ATCCGAGCCCGTTCCGCACGATGCCTTCACACGTCGCTGGGGCGCCCCAGGCGCCATGCGGGGTCTCACCTTCAATCAGCGGCTGCAGCTGCTGTGCCTGACTGCTCGCAGCGGCAGCATCGACAACCTGGCTCTGGTTGTGACGGCGACGGAGTTCGTGTTATCCGCCAAGCCCTTCACACAGGTCTTTGATGCTGCCGCATCCGCCGGCCACCTACACGTGTGCAAATGGCTGCGGCAGCAGGGCTGTCCGATGTGGCCTAGCGTTCTGCGAGCCATTGCGAGGGCAGGGCACCAGCATATTTGTGACTGGCTGTTGGACCAAGGCTGCGCCTGGGATAAATATGCAGTGGACGCAGCTGCACGGGGAGGGCACATGGCCCTGGCGGAATGGCTGCAGCAGCGGCGCCCTCCCACGTTTGATGCAGTTAATGGCGGTTTTCTGTCGGCGGCGGTGGCAGAGGGCTGCGACCTGGCCACCCTGCAGCGACACTACGCCGAGCTGGGAAACCGGTTCGATGCATATGAGATGCAGTACGTCGTCGCTGCTGCTGCCGCCAGCCCCACTCCCGACTGGCAGGCCAAGGTTGCATGGCTGGAGTCGAAGGGCTGCCCACGCAGCTCTGACGTCTGCTGGGGCGCTGCTTCGTGCTCTGATGCCGCGGACCGCCTGGCCTGGCTGCAGGAGCGGGGCTACCCTGTGAACAGGAAAGTGGCAAATGCGGCCATCCGGGCTGGCAACACGGCAGCGCTGGAGTACCTGCTGCGGCAGAATCGGGGCGTTGATACCAAGCAGTTGAACGTTGAGGTCGCAGCAGGAAGCGGCAACCTGGACATGCTGCGGGTACTGCAGGCGGCTGGCTGCAGCTTGGAGAGGCGACCCGTGCTGCAGGGGGCGGTGCGGGGCGGACACCTGCATGTGGTGGCATGGCTTGTGGAAACGCTGGGGATAGACTTGAGGCGACGGAGTGAGCTCATGGCGTCCGCCGCCAAGAGTGGCAACCTTCAGCTGCTGGTGTGGCTGCACGAGCGGGGCTGCCCAAGGGGCTCAGCCACCCTGAATAATGCAGCGCTGGGGGGCTGCGAGGAGGCGACGGAGTGGATGGTGCAGCAGGGCTGGCGGCTGAGCGTGAGTGGTTGGGGCGGGTTGAAGGATTGGCATTTACGGAGAGTCTTGCTGGCATGCCTGTTCACCTTGACCCCGGCAACTTTACTGTTGGCTGGACTCCGTACAGCACCATGACCAAGTACCCTGTGTTCCTGCCCGTCCTACACTAGGATGGAGGGAGCAACAATTGGTCCATCGCACGCGTCTACGACCCCTACATGATGTCCGGCCGCCAAGGAGACATGGCCATACTGCGCTGCCTGCGGAGACTGGGCGTCCCCTGGTATCATGGGGCGGGTGCCAACACGTTCCAGAACTGCATCTTCGGCGACTGCCCCGTCCCAGTGCTGGCCTGGCTGCTGGAGGAGGGCTGCCCGGTGGACTGGGAGGCTGCCAGGCGGGCAGCAAACGACTCCCGACAAGAGCCGCTGGTCGAGTGGCTGACGCAGCAGCAGCAGCAGCAGCGGGAGCAGGTGGGAGCAGCGGGAGCGGGTGTACTGCCAGTGCCAGCACCAGGCGAGTTATAGACAACGGTGTCAGGCGGCGGAGGAGGATGAAGAGTGGGACGCGGAGTAATGGGGCAGCTGAGGGGGCATGGTGAGGAGCAGATAGAGCTTTATCTTGAGGGTCTGGCATTACGCATAGGTTGCAATCTGTGAGGGGTTGCCCAACCACGCTTACTGGGCCAATCAACCAGTTGCTGAGCACTACCTCGGCTGAATAGCTGGCCATTCCAGGCGGCTGCAGGTAGTTGGGGGCATAGAGCTGGGGTACTCATGCATGCAGCGGTGGTAGCATGCCCGACTGTATCTTGGCTGCAATTGGCTTTGCAAGCCTTTGCGTTGGGGAAGAAGCGGGGATCTAGGGCACGGACGGCGTGCTCACAGGGCAAGTTTAGCCGTGTCCAGCCGCCATGCATGTACAGCCCGATGCATGCCGCACGTGCTGCCCATGCCTCCCAATTGGCATGTACGCCAACGTACGGCAACATCCTCATGGTAATTTCGGCGCGCTGGCCTGCTATGCAGTGGCCTTTCGGACTGCTGCCTACGGGTGCGGATGCTACCCACTTGTTTTAATACGTCCTGACATGCCCTGGTTAGCGACTGTGGGTTGTATGGCACACACCTGCGCTGCTGGACTGGCCGTTGTTGTATACGTTTGTGTATCTATTGGTCGTGGGTCTTCAACCCCATTGCTCGTTGTTGTGTAGGCTGGCTTTCAGGAAGCCATGAGTAACCAGGCATCTCTCTTGTCCGTCCGAGTTTCTGACGCTGACATGCTTATCGAGGGCTGGCTATTTTGTTGGGGTTCTGCTGTTGAGGCGACCCATGGGTCATATGGTCTTCCTGGTAATGTCCACGCGGCCTTGTTGTGCGTGTGTCATCCGTGTGTCATCAGACTTTTTAGGCATGTCAGGGCGCACGACTGTATGTGATTGCGACGCCTACACAGCTGCTGGCCGCTGGGGACGTGCCCACACCGCCATGCCTGCGGCGATCGTTTGGGTATCCCCACAAGTCATGGCTGGAACAGGTGGCTGAACGTGGGCGTCTGTGTTGAATGCGTCTGGAGCCCGTGTCTGCTTCCAATGCCCGCTCCTGGTGCTGGGTTAAAAAGGTGCTGGGCTGGAGAGATGGAGGGCTTTGAGGATGCAGTGCCGTGGGCGGGCGTACCAGAAGGGGAACTGCTGGGACGGCTGCTGCTGGAGTGGCTATCTGGCTGAACCAGCAGCAGCTGGTGGGCTGCTACAGTAGTAACTAAACACTGATGGGAAGGGCTGTGATGGGTGCTTTGGCGGGCAGCGGACTAAGAGGAGGGGAGGAAGAGGAATGTGCTGTATTGGTGGCTGCAGCAGTGTGGGGACAGGAACACAGCCATGGAACCGCGTTACCGGTATGGTTGTAGCATTGTAGGCAGTAATCGCAGTATGTTTGAGTGGGGATGTGCAGGGTTGCTGTTGATGCCGGTAGCGGGGGGGTTGAAATATATCAAGCTTGCTGTGCCGCTTGTCGGTGAGTTGGTTGCATAACGGGGTTCAGATAGCAGGTGCTGCTGGGTACTTAGGTACGTGTTTCACTAGCCTCCTTGATGCCGAAGACCTCGACAGGCATCTCAACCACGTGTGCCTGGGTACCGGTAGCCCTGTGAACTGCAGTGTCATCCGTGCATTGGAGCGTTGAGTTGCTGGTTGCTGTTGCCACCATAGGGTAGGAAGCTAACGGGGCAGCTGTTAGGGGCCGAATATCAGGACCGGCTTCCTGGACATGTATCTGCCTTAACAGGTCTAGATGGCACCTACCCCTTACTGCAGCCGACCTGTTTAGCGTGAGGACCTTGGCTTGGTTCTCATCAACTGCAGGGCTACAGCAACAGTCGACACGGGGGCACCGGGGGCTGTCATCTTCCGGATACACTGTAACGGCCATTCAATCAAGCACAAATACAGCTTAAACATGGGCACGTGGGACGGGCAGGGGCTGGAGGTGTGGCATGACGGTGATTTGCTGGCAGGTTAATGACATACAAGGCAAGATGAAGAGGTTCAATGGCTAACATCGTAGTTTGCATCAAGAGAGCACAACACCGTTACGGTTTTTCAATAACCCAAATATGGCAGGTACCATGTTACTACGGCACTGGCGCTTGCCTCAACCCTAAAGCTGTTAAGCGTAGAGTATATACTCATTATACAATGTGCCTTAAAACAAGGGCTGGGCGCATTGGATCTGTTGCGCGTACGAGATACGACAGGCCGGGCTAATAGCGCGGGAAACAAGAGTGTTTTTTCATGCCGCTACAATGGATGGAAGATACATATTGTCCCTATTCAGTTGCTTACCTCCATCTTTGCTCAACTCTTTGCTCGACTAGCTAGGCTTGCGCGGCTATTTGTGGAGCTGCTTCGTGCGAGAACAAGCAAAAGTTTCAGAACCGTAATAGTAGCACTGAAGTAGACACATAAAGGGTCTTAGGCACAACATCTTGCACGTTTACAGAAAATGGACAAGCCTCTTAGCAAGCAACGGCCCTCGGGCGCGTCGCTGCCGCATTTTTGGATCCCTGACATTGTTGAACACATTTCCAGCTTCCTTCCGAAGAATGAGGTGGCCTGCACGCTTCGCTTGCTAGACAAGGCCACCGCAGCGCAGTTCAGTCGCCCGGAGTTCACCACCGTGCGGCTATCCCAGCCCGTTCCGCAGCATGCCTTCACACGTCGCTGGGGCGCCTCAGGTGCCATGCGGGGTCTCACCTTCAATCAGCGGCTGCAGCTGCTGTGCCTGACTGCTCGCAGCGGCAGCATCGACAACCTGGCTCTGGTTGTGACGGCGACGGAGTTCGTGTTATCCGCCAAGCCCTTCACACAGGTCTTTGATGCTGCCGCATCCGCCGGCCACCTGCACGTGTGCAAATGGCTGCGGCAGCAGGGCTGCACGTTGAGTGAGGACGTCCTTGTAGCTGCTGCTAGGGCGGAGCAGTGGACAGTCTGCAAATGGCTGCTGTCCACTGGTTGCCCAGAAAGCCCTGAAGCAGTGTATTCTGCCGCGCGTGGGGGGCATGTGGACTTGATGACGTGGCTGAAGGGGCGGATGACTCATGACTCCGCTGTCACACCCGAGCTGCTGGCGGCGGCGGTGGCAGAGGGCTGCGACCTGGCCACCCTGCAGCGCCACTACACTGAGCTGACGGACCGGCTGAATGCATCCCAGATGGTGATGATTGTGAGCGCTGCTGCAAGCAGCCCCACTCCCGACTGGCAGGCCAAGGTCACCTGGCTGGAGTCGCAGGGCTGCCCACGCAGCTCTGACGTCTGCAGGAGCGCTGCTGCCTGTCCTGATGCCGCGGACCGCCTGGCCTGGCTGCAGGGGCGGGGCTACCCTGTGAACACGGAAGTGGCAAATGCGGCCATCCGGGCTGGCAACCCGGCAGCGCTGGAGTACCTGCTGCGGCAGAATCGGGGCGTTGATACCAAGCCGTTGACCGTGGAGGTCGCAGCAGAAAAAGGCAACCTGGACATGCTGCAGGTGCTGCAGGCGGCTGGCTGCAGCTTGAAGAGGCAACCCGTGCTGCAGGGGGCGGTGCGGGGCGGGCACCTGCACGTGGTGTCCTGGCTGGTGGAGACGCTGGGGATAGACTTGAGGCGACGGAGTGAGCTCATGAGGTTTGCCGCCAAGAGCGGCAACCTGCAGCTGCTGGTGTGGCTGCACGAGCGGGGCTGCCGGCGGGACTGGGGCACCCTGTCGGACACAGTGGAGGACAGTTCTGAGGAGGCGCTGGAGTGGCTGGTGCAGCAGGGCTGGCCTGTTGACGTGAGTAGCTGCTGTGGGCTATAGCACTGGAAGGCGGGCCAGCAGGTGGCTTGGTCTGCACACTGGGTGACACACCAGGGACTGCTGCTGACGGGTGCATCGTGTAGGGATCCTACGGCCCCGTATGATCTGGGGACAGTCCATCCAACACTGTAATGCAAGGCCTGCAACTCTATTCCCCCATGCTCCCTCCCAAAGCCGCCCCAACAGGCACGTGGCAACGCCCACCCCTACCTGGTCGCTGGCCGCCGAGGCGACCTGGCCACACTGCGCTGCCTACAGCGGCTGGGCGCCCGGGCTGGCAGTGGGACATTTGGCGCCTGCATTCGCCAGGGCTGCCCGCTGCCGGTGCTGAGCTGGCTGGTGGAGGCGGGCTGCCCTGTCAACTGGGCCGAAGCGAAGCAGGCAGCGAAGGCTACCATGCAGGAGCCCCTGGTGAATTGGCTGAAGTGGCTGAGGCGGCAGCGGAGAGCGTAAGAGGACTAGCCGGGGCAGCAGGGGCCGCAGCTGCCGCAATGACAGCTGGGGCAATGGATTGAAAATGGTGCATGCCATGCCTGCTGAAGGCTGAAACTGGTAAGCAAGGAACATGTGTGGCAGTGATGTGGCTGCCACACATGCTGTGTTCAGCAGGATGCATGCGGTTTGGGAGCTGTGTTACAATGAATTGCTGAGGGCAGGCAGGTGGTTATGGCTGGCATAGGAGGCAGTGTGCAGGGCAGAAGCAAGACGCTGTTCTGGGCCGCGGGTTGCAAGGTACGCATGTGGACGCTTTTGTGGGGGCCCTAGGGAGACATTGCATGTCAGCTAGGAGCAGGGTGGCGTCTGGCAAAGCGAAGTGCATGTGGTGGAGGCTCACTGTAGGGGCTCTGCATATAGAGCCTGAGATGGGTGGATGGGCATTGGTTTTATTTTCGATGAGGACTGTTACAGAGGAAGGACCGGAAGACCGGCGTGGACCGGCGTGTGGCGTGGTGTGGGATGTGGCACTGCATGGTGGACATGCTGCTTGGGAGTCAAGGCGTGTATGGTTTGCAGAGGCTCTGGAAGGTTGCACGGCTGGAAGGGACGGGTGGGGGATGGTGATGGTGGGGAGAGAGGTAAAAGGTTGTGCTGTCTGGGTTGTGTTCCTGCAGTGCGGTGGTGGGCATGAGGGAGTTGCAGGGTAGCTGGATGGATGGACTGCCCACGCATGAAGCACCAACACATAGAGTAGTTTTCTGTAATGCAACCTGTGTTGCCATTACAACACTTCTGGTGACAGCGACATGCATCATCACAGGGTCAATACCCCGGTTCTCACTTAATACAGGGTGCCGTGCACGTCAACACCCAGACCTGCTGAACCACACAATCACCCAGACCAGTGCCTGCCGCTCCTGGCAACCACGCCAGGCCCCGCAGCTCTACCACGGCATTACAACATCAAAGTGGAATCCCAAGCCAAGGCCAAGCTCGGGACATGCACGATACATTCCCCGCATTGAGGGCTACTACCGGTACTCTTCAGCAGTGCCAAGCCTCCTCAACTCCACGCCCGCCCGGGCAGATCACAAAGAGCGGCAACAGCCTTCATACACACGCATCAAGGGACCTCCCGCATCTTTTGACGTAAACATGGTGGCACCAGGAGCCATGCGGTCGCGCCAGGAGCCACATGCATACAGGGCCACACATCCGTGCGTGTTTTCTCTTAGGGCACCCTTGTAACGGTCATTCCTTCAATTGGCCACCAATCACCCACCAAATTCATCGGCCAACGCGCAGAGAACTATAGGGCAACGAGCCTCACTGCACGCAGCTCATTACAACGCCCTGCAGAGCTCCAGCTCGCCCGCCCCCTTCCCCCGGCTCGCCATCATCGCACACCCCCAAACTTCTGCACGCCTCTCCATTTCCCGTGAGGGCAGCAGCAGGGATAGACACCAAAACGTTATGTGATGCTTTATGACCGGCTGTGTACACGTCTATCTAAAGCCTATAAACAAGGGCCCACCCACCGCCCCCACCACCGTCAACCACACCGCCAATCTTGCAACAGGTCATCAACGGTAGGTAGTGCCACCGCTGTTCAATGTCGGCAACAAAAACAACAGCAGCAGCAACAACGACAGCAGCGCAGTAAACACCCCACGCAGGGCAGCAGGTCTTCACAGTAACAAAGCGCACAAGAACGGCCTCAGTCCCAACCCCTTGGGGCTCGCACCCATGGGCCAACGCCAGAGGGGATTTGTTGACGAAGTTGGCAGTGAACGTCGTGCTCAGTAGGATGATGCGGAAGTGTAGAAACGGCGGCAGTGCATGTGACGAACGGGAAACACAAGTCACGGCCCCTTCAGGTTATCACTGCTTATTATCAGGGAGGTTAGGGAAGGGAGGCATTTGGAATCACAATAGGGATGTCAAGGGGTCAACAGCAACAGGCAACGGAAACGGGCAACGGAAACAAACAGTACACTGCACGTTCTACGCTCAAAATTGCACGTCATTGTATCACCTTTTAACTGGTCAGGTTCGCAATTGCTGTGCGCGCTTATAGAGAGAATTAGCGATGTACAATTTCTGTGCATCCATAGTAATTTGCCGTACGGACAAGACAACAGTAGCAGTAGCAGGGCACCGTATTCCAACTGCCGCAGCCCGCAAGCCATTCGTCGGCACGCCCAACTGTCAGTCACATACAATGGCTATACATTTATTCAAGACCCAACACAGCTCTTGTCGAGCGACAGCCCACTACGCTTATTTAAGATCTTCCAAAACTGCTTGCCGCTTCCCAAACACCCTCAACCTCGCGGCGCTCCCTCCCCCACCCATATACGCCACCAACCCCTTACTTCCCCACTTCACCCCTATCTCCACTCCCCTCATCACTCTCCCCATCCTCATCACTCCCCTCCGAATCCGAATGGTCGTCGTACAGGCATTTCCGTACCTCCGGATCCAACGCCGCCGCCGGAGCCTCCGGACGGTCCTCCGCCAATGCCACCATGATCCCACCCAGCGCCCGCAACCTAGCCAACCGCTCACTCGCCTCTTCCAGAGCAGCAGCAGCGGGATGACTCAGACTGCAACCGCCCACACCGCCAGCGCCGCCGCCGCGTAAGTGCCGTACAACCGCCGCCGCCGGCATGTACGATTGTGCGCCGCCGCCGTCACCTGCTGACCCGGCGGCAGCAGCAGCAGTAGCACCGAAGCGCGAGCGACCTCCTCCTCCTCCTGCTGCTGCTGCTGCGCCTGCTCCACCTCCTGCTGCTGCCAGTCGGGCTGCCAGCAGGCGCTGAGTGGCCTCGAGTGCCGCTAGCTCCGGGTCCTCGTCCTCGGAGAGGGGCTGGTGCGCCAGTGCTGCGCGACCTAGCTCCAGCGGGTCATGCAGGTGGGAGGGGGCTGCTGCTGCTGCTGCTGCTGCGGGTGTTGCGGAGGAGGAGGAGGAGGGATCGCTGGCGGCACTGTCCGTCGAGGGGCGGTGGTGAGGGTGGTGGTGCGGGTGGTGGTGGGGGTGCGGGTGCTTGCCGGCTGCGCTATGATGGGACTTATGGGGGTGGGAGGCGTCGTCACCTCCCGCGTGGTGGTCGGCGGGGTGTGCGGCTGCGAGGGCGGCCAGCTGGGTCACACGCGCCTTCTCCTCCTGCACAGAGTGCGGTTGGGGGAAAGGGAAGGCGCGAGGGTGGGAGTGTGGGAACAGGGTTGTAGGAGCAGAGAAGAGGTAAGAAGAGAAATTAACCGGTAGTCACGGGTAACAAAGCTCGCAGGATGAAACGGAGCCCGCAGAAGCCAGTCACGACAGCAGCCACACCTTCCCCTCCCGGCTTCCCCCGCCCGCCCCCCGCCTGGCCGCCCTGCCCGCCCCTCCCACCTGCATCCAGGTCTCCCTCACGGCGTCCATGGCGCGCAGGAAGCGCATCCGCTTGAGCGCCGTACGCTGCATGCGAACTGCTGCCTCCGGACACCCCATGCCCCCGCCCCCGCCCCCTGCACCTGCATCCCCACCACCTAGCGATGCCGCAAGGGCTGCGACACCTCCGTTGGTGCTTGTGCCTCTGCTGCGGGCGGAGGAGGAGGCCCCGCCGCCCCCGCCGCCGGGGGTTGGGTTATTGTCACCGCTGGCGCCCTCGCTACCACCGCCGCCAGTGGTGCCGGTGCCTCCACGAGCAAAGGCCAGGGCGACAGCAGCCGCTCCCCGCGCAAGTCCCAGTGCCGCCATCCAGCCTCCTATCTTCTTCGGGGCGACCCTGCCGTCGGCGTCAGCTTCACCTCCGCCGGCATTTTTGTCGGCGCTGTCCTCAGCCTGTGGGGTCGTGGGGAGGGTCAGGGAGGGCGGGTGGGTGTTAACATAGCGTGCGGACATGTTAGGCAGCGAGGTGCGAATGAGTGGTCGTGCTTTGGGGAAGAGAGCTAGGAAGGAACGCAGGTACAGGGAGGCAAAAGGGGAGGCAAAAAGGGAGGCAAAAGGGGAGGCAAAAGGGGAGGCAAAAGGGGAGGCAGCCACGCAGGGGGCGGTGTGCAGCAGTCGAGGCGCACGCGCCTGCTGCTTGGAGTGGTGTAAAGCGGTGTGCAGCCAGCCCTTGAGCTTGGTGGCTATCTTGACAGACTGGGAGGGAGGGAGAGGGGCAGGGAGGGAGAGGAGGGGAGGTGCGAGAGGGCGGCGTGGAAGGGAGGGAAGAAGGGAGGGGGGCAGGGAGTAGAGAGGGGGAGGTGGGTTAGAGGAGTTGTCTGACGGGGATGTATGGCAGGGACTGTTGAGAGGAAGGCAGGCTGGGTTGGCGGGCGGAACAACGCAAGCGGTATAGTATGGTGAAAGGCGCCTGTATGCCGGTATACGCATGATGGAAGGCGCCTGCAGGAGCCAGCGGCCTGCCAGGTCAAGCCAAGGAGCCGTCGCAGCTCCCACCCCCTCAGCCCCTGCAGACCCCCAACTCCTCAAACCCCACCACCCCCACATCCATTACCCTCACCACCCCACCCCACCCGCCCCATGCACCCACCGCCATCGTCGCCAGCAGCGCCGGCGAGTGCTGCACCGCCCCGCCCCTCCGGATGAGCGCCATCGCCCCCTCCACAGTGGGCAGCAGCGGCCGCTCGCCCTCGCCACCCTCACCGCCCTCACCACCACCACCTGCTCCTGCTCCTGCCGCCAGGTCTCCCCCACTACCGCTGCCGCCGCCTGCAGCTGCTGCTGCCGGGGTGGCAGCTACAGCAGCAGCAGCAGCAGCGGGTTGCTGCCCCACTGCGCCCGTGCGACTGCCCGGCATGCCTCCGGACCCCTGCTGGTACGCCACACTGGGACCCGAGGAAGACACGGAGCCGCCGCTAGCCGCCACCACACCAGCAGCACCCCCACTGCCGCCAGCTCCTCCTGCACCCCCAGCAGCAGCCCCAGCAGCAGCGGCAGCAGCAGCAGCAGCAGCAGCAGCAGAGGCCTGTTTAGCGGCCGTGGCTGCAGCGGCTCTCGCCGCCGCATTCGCAGCCGGCGCCGCCGCCTCCGCTGCTCGTATGCGTGACTCGGCGCCGTACACTCGCCTCAGGTGCTGTCGTACCGTGTCTTCGGAGCAGTCGGGTATGGCGGCCTTGAGGGCGGCGCTGAGGAGGGAGGGCGCGACGTAACGCACGCGGGCTCGGTCGGCTGCGTCTTGCAGCGCGTCCTCGATTGCCTGCGATACACAACACCGGGGCAACAGGGACAACACAGGTACCAGAGCAGAGCACGGCACAGCAGTCAGCACCATCCGTTATGGCGTGTTGCGTTTCTCTTGCAGTGTAGGGGTGGGTTCATCACCCGTGTTCCCTTAGGAAGCACTGTACCGGTCATTCATCCACACCGTTTTTGTCACACAACAGTACAGCCTCCCCTAATGTCAGCCTTGTGTGCGTGCTTGGCTTTACCGTCGCAGCAAGTAGCAGCAGCAGCCGCAGCACACGGAGCCAAAAAGACCGCACGCCACACCCACCCCGGTAGTGCTGCCCTGGCACCCTTCGCACACACAAGCTGCCTCCTTCTCCCCCCTTTTTCCCCACCCCCTACCTGCAGCTGCTCCAGCCTCTCCGCCAGCAGCTGCGTGCGGCAGGTCTCCGCGAAGACGCCCTGGTTGAGGTCGCCGTCGTCGTCGAACAGGCGGCGGTACTGCACCCGCTCCCCGGGGCAGTCGGTGTCCAGCGCCTCCAGGATCTGATGGGGAGGGAGGAAAGGGTGTTGACGGGGGGAAGAAGGTGGAGGGAGGGGGTGAAGAGAAGGATGTGTCCAGGTTGTGGTAACAGGAGGGTTGTGAAAGGAAGCTGGGGGGCATAGGAGAGATGCAGGCTGGCAGGAGGGCAGGGCGGTGGTGGTGCGAATGAGCGGGCAGGGGAGCAGGGGGAGCAGGGGTGGTGATGGATGCTCTGCGATTGATAGGCTCCGATAGTCGGTGACACGGCGCTTTCTTTCCTCGCATACGTTGTTGCGGCGCGCACCTCATCGAAGCGGGCTTGCGTCTTGGTGGCGAAGAAACCCTGCGGACAGCAGCATCAGCATGATGGAGTGTTGCAGTTAAGGAGTGTTGTTAAAAGACGGCAAACCTTGAATATTAGCAGCACAACCCTGACATGAACGCAGGCCACTTCCCCTCCTCCCCCTCCTCTCCCCCCCCACCTTGAGCGCCACCCGCAGGTCCCGCTTGTTGAGGTATCCTGTGGCCCGCCCGTAGGTGGCCCTGTCCACACACGACAGCATGTTCACCAGGTCGCGCTGGGGGGGGGAGGGGGGAGATGGGGGTCAGAGAGCATACCAGTTTATGCCAAACCGCAGGAAGGGGTGGGAGAGGTTGGGGTGGGGTTAGAGCATGCAGCAAGGCGCGTGGAGGGCCACCCAGGGTACTGTTCGCACCACCCCACCTGCAGGCTCCGGTGCCTTATAACACGGTACACATGATGACAAGAACCCACCCAATGCGTGCAGTCTGCTACACCCTCCCACTCCCCACCCCGACCCCTACACCCCTCCACCCCACCCTCTCTCCCTACCTGCAGCTCCTCCTCCTCCTCGCGCATCCCCTCGTCCACCTCTCCCAGCAGCACCTGGGGGCGCGGGAGCGGAGCGGAGGCGTGGGGTGTGGGGGGACGTAGAAAGGGGAGACTGGGGACGGGGCTGTGGCTAGGGAGCCATCACAGAAGAAGAACACGGCAGCCAGCCATGTACGCAGGCCACCGATGTCAGACCACGGCACAAAACACACACCTGGGACGCAGGTGGTCAGGTTTCCGCCTCCCCGCCACCACGGTTCGTAAGCCGTTTCCGCCTCCCTCCCCCCCCCAAGGCCCCCTACCTTCAGGAAGAGGTTGCAGTCGGGGTCGTACTGGTGCTGCCCCAGCGTGTACACCAGGTTGTAGGCGGTCTCGGTGACGGCACGGGGGGCCACGTACTTGCGCTGGGAGGAGGAGGGAGGCGGGGGGGATGTAAGGAGAGGAGAGCGTTGTGGGGGTGCATGACGTGGCTGGGGGGGAAGGTTGTGCCACAGAGCGGATCGAGCTCCATTCTTGCCGGCGGACGGAAGGACAAGGTGCATGAGGGACATGAACGCTCAGGAGGCGAATCCGGAGGCCGCCATGAGATTCGTAACCCGTAACCTAAGCCCCTCTACACTCTCCCTCCCCCTCCCCCTCCCTCTCTCCCCCACCTGCAAGTACCCAGCCAAGAAGTCCGCTAGGCTCATGTGTGCGCCCCGGTGCTCCGCCTGCCACTCCTGCTTGGCGGCCCAGATGGCGTTGACCATCTTCTCGGCCTCGACCTTCTCGAGCCGCCTGGGCAGGGGAGGGAGGGAGGGAGGTGGGGAAGAGGGAGGTGGGGAAGGGGGTCTAACTACTCCTGGTTTGTTTACTCCCCACCAACCCAACACACGCACGCACACCCCGACAATCAAGAACGTTCCTCCTCGCGGCCAGTTTTTCTTACGGTAATTCACACAACCGCACCCCCACCCCCATCTGCACCCCCACCTGTTGAAGATGCGTCCCTCCGCCCGCAGCACGGTCGGTACGTTGGCCGCCTGCCCCAGCCCGATGAAGAAGTCCGCCCACTTGGACTCCAGGAAGCCGGCGACGGGGTGGGGCGGCCGCTCGTGGCGGGAGGAGCTCTGAGAGGGGGGGGGAGGGGGTGGAGAACAGTGAAGGAGGGGAAAGGGAGGCGCTGATGGCTTTGTATAGGAGGTGGTATGCGTGCCTGGGAGGAGACGGGGGCGGCAAAGGGGGGGATGAGTGGCGTTAGCGTAAGTGGCGGGGCAGTGGAGGCGGGGGATGTCAGGTACCGTAGGACTAGGAGTGCAAAGGTACCGGCAGCAGACGTTGGCGAGCCTGACATGAAGACGCGAGACCTGCAGCTCCCTCTCCTCCACACTCCTCCTCTCCCAGCCACCGCCTCCACTAAACACCCCCTCCCCACTTTTCTCTGCTTGGCCTCCGCCTCCGCCAGTGCTCGGGCCCTCTCCGCGCGCTTGTGGTCTGCCAGGGAGCGCTTCAGTTTCACCACCTCCCTGTGGTGGGGGGGAAGGAGGGGGAGAGAGGGTAGGCAAATAGGGAGGGGGTTCATGGGTTCGCTGGGTGATGGGGTACAACTGATGAGCCGCATGAAGGAAGGGAGAAGGGGAAGGGGGGGAGGGTAGGCAAGGAGGCCGCGGGGGGGGGAAGAAGGGTAGGCAGGGGGGGCGTCCAGGGGAAGCGGGGAGGGGAAAGGGAGCTGACAGGGGACAGCTGGAAGGGAGGACGAAGGAGCGGCGGAGGTCCACAGACCGCCGCGGTGCGTAGGACAGTACTGGCTTGGCTAATTCATGATGGGCGGGTCGAGGGTGGCTCACATGCTGCAAACCATGATGACGCCTTATCCCACGGTTAGTTATTCATTTCGTCTTTACCCACCTGTGCAGCTCCTGCCCCCGCTCCTCCAGCGCCTCCACACGCGCCACGGTGCTCAGCGCCGCCAGCTGCAGCGCCTCCGTGACGGGGCCGCCCAGCTCGTTGGTGGTGGCCTCGTACTTGCTGGCCAGCAGGCCTGGGGGGGATGAGAGGGAGTGGCGGGGAGGAGAGAGAGGAGAGAGAGTGAGGGGTGATTTGAGGAGGCAAAAGGCCCCTGCACGGTGGAGAAGCAGAGATACTCTGCCCCATCCTCACCAGCACCACCAGCTGCCCACCACCACGCCTCCCCGCGCGCGGTTTTTGTAGCCTGTAACCTGGTCCCACTAGGTGCCCTGGATCGACCCATGGGTCACCCCTCCTCCACACTCACTCCCCGCACCCCACACCCCTCACCCCCCCTCATCCCCACCCGTGAGGTCCTTGTAGGGTGTGAAGTTGAACCCCCCCGGCGCCAGGCAGCCCAGCAGCCAGCCCGCCAGCCCCCCGGGGGAGAAGCCCAGGTGCAGACCGCCCCCCAGCGCCTCCACCGCCGCCTCGGGCAGCAGCCGCCGCAGCAGCGGCACCTCGCCCTCCAGGATGAGGGACTCCAGCCAGGACTAGGGGGGGTGTCGGGGGTGGTGGGAGGAGGGTGGGCGGGTGGGGGGGTTGGGGTGATGGGTGGGGAATAAGGGCAGATAAAGGAGGAAAAGGACCGGGAGGTAAGGTAACCTGTCAGCGACCGCAATGCCCAGCTGCGGTACCGCCCAACGGCCGCACATGGCCGCCAAAAACCCCGCCCCTGCCGCAACTTCTCCTTCCCCCCACGCCGCCGCACCCCCCATCTTCCCCCACCCCGGCGTCCTCACATGCATCTTCTTGAGGTAGGCCTGCTGCTGCGCTGGGCTCATGGGCGCCGCCTTGCGACTAATTGACACCTGCATGCATGGATGGGTAAGGTGCAGACCGTGACAGCAGTGCCTCCCAGGAAGGAACACCAGTGATGAACCCTACAAAAGATCTGTGTAAAACACCGCAAAAACAGCACTGGGAAGAAGCCGTCAGTCTGTGGGAAGACGCAAGTCTGCACGGCCCTACCTACCTGCATGCTGGCCGCCGCCACAGCCGCGGTAAAGCCGGCGGAGATTGAGGGAGACATGCCGGAGGAGCTGATAACAGCAGCACCAGCAGCAACAGCGGAGGAGGAGGGCGGCGGCGGAGGCTGAGGTGCCGGGGAGGAGGAGCTGTCACGCGGTGGCAGCGGCAGCGGCGCCGCCGGCGCCTCGGAGGGGGCTGCTGAGGGGCCTGTGGGGTGCTGAGGCGGTGGAGGGTCCTGGTTGGCCCCCGACACGGCAGCGCCACCCCCGGTAGACGCAGCACCAGCAGCAGCGCCGCCGCCAGTACTAGGGGGCATGGGCGACCCCGGCTGGGTTGGCGCCTGGGGCTTGCCTCCCGTGAAGCTCACGCCCTTGCGCAGGGCTGACGACATGCGCATCGCAACACTGCTGATACTCCCCACACCGCCACCTCCGATACCGCCGCCGGGGCTCACCGGCCGGCTCTTGTACGACGACGACGACAGCGGCGGCGGCGACCCCATCCCTGCCATACCACTCCGCCCAAGCGCGCTAAGCTCCGTCGGCGGCGTCATCGCCGCCGCATGCGTCGCCGGATCGCTCCAGGGCGGTACGACTCCTCGTACGGCACCGCACACCGCCGCCCATGGCCGTACATCCTCCCCCTCCGCCGTCACGCCGAGCAGCAGGCGGTGCACCTCCGTCGGCGTCGCACCCGCCGCTAGCGCCGCCAGTACGGCGGATTGTTGCCCTGGCTCCGCCAGCAGGTCCCCGAGAACCCCCAGGCTGCGGCGGGGCCGCGGGGTGCGGGCTCGGACCTCGGTTGCTAGCGCCTGGGTGGAGGACTCGGCGGCGGCGGCACGAGCTGCCGTGATGGCCTGGTCTTGGCGCGTGTCAGCCAGCTCGTGCTCCAGCTCCTGAGGGGCGCGGAGAGCGGGGTCGTGGAGACCTTACCGCCGGCAAGTGCCAGTAGTAAAGCCGCTCGCACCACATGCCTCACCTCACCATGTCCCAGCCATCAGCCCTCACGCCATGCCTTGCCCTAACTTGCTGTTCCAGGTCTCCCCCCCTTTCTCACTCCCAGCACCCACCTGTATCTGCCTCCTCGCCGCCTCCAGCTGCTCCACCGCCGCCCCATGCGCCCCCTCCAGCTCCCCCACCCGCGCCACCAGCGCCTGCACCTCCCGCCCCTCCGCCAGCGCCCGCAGCCGCCCCACCTCCTCCACCGCCTCCGCCAGCTGCCCCCGCACCTCCGCCTCCTGCGCCGCCCCCCGCTCACAGCGCTGCAGCAGCAGCGCCACGCTCTGGCGCAGACCCTCAGCCTCCGCGGCTGCGCGGGCGGCACTGGCGGCGGCCTCGCGGCGGACCTCGGCTAGCTGGGTCCTGTTGTGTGATGTGGGGCGACGAGGGGTGGGGAGGGGGAAGGACGGAAGGTTGTAAGGAGGAGGACGATGCGGGTTGCCCCATGAAGATGCGCGCTACCCATGTGCAAGTGCTACCCTCGCAACCAGCTGCTGGCTTGCCTCACCAGGCTCTTTCCCCTGCCATCCCTCCCCCCTTCCCTCCCCCCTACCTGGCCACCTCCCTGTCCTGCATCACCGCCGCCATCAGCTGCCGGGCGGTGGCCCACACGCCGTGCAGAAGGTGGGCGCGCTCCACACACGACACGCCCACCTGGGCGGGGAGGTGGGGGAGAGGGAGGGGAGAAGGTAGGGGGGCCGCGGCAAAGGCAGAAGGAGAGACAGATGGAAGATGGTGGAGGGAAAAAGAGGTTTATAAGGCACATGTGGCATGAGATCATGTATGGATGTGGATGTGCAGGTGAGCGGGTAGGTACAGTGGTGGAGCGGGTGGGGGCCCCGGCATGGTGCGTTGTGAATGGGGGTGCGGGCGTGGGGGGGATGCTTGCGGTGACGTAGGCCATGTTGCGGTTGGTCGTGTCGGGTGGCCCCCACCCTCCACCCCTCCCACCCCACCTGCAGCACCAGGCCGGTCATGGCGGTTGTGAGGGCGCTCTCCTGACCCGAGATGACGCCTGAAGCAGCGGGAGGGGGGGGAGCAGAGATGGGCGGAAGGGTGGCGGTCAGGGTCAGCGGATAAAAGACGATCTGCATGTCGATGTAGACCAGATAGAAGGGAAAGACCGCCACACTCTAGCCCTCCCCATCCTCGCTCCCTACCCCTTTCCCCTCTTGTTCTTCTCCCCTCCTTCCCTCTCCCTATGGTTTGGTCTATTTTCTACCCACTTCTATGGTCTATTCCCCCCGCCCCTCTCCCCGCCTCACCCTCCAGCAGGAACCCCTCCGCATCCCGCACCAGCAGCGGCTGGAACGCCACGTCATCCCAGCTGAAGGGCGCAGCGGAGGCGGGCGGGCCGCACACAGGCAGCGTTGAGGGCAACAGCCCACCACCACCACCACCAGCTGCTGCTGCTGCTGCTGCTGTTCCCGCACTAGTAGCGGCTCCGCTGCCGCCGCCGCCAGAAAGACTGGCAGCGGAGGTGCCGCTGCTGCGCCAACTGGAGGAGCCCAGGGCCGCTACGGCAGTTGCTGCAGCTACTGGCGGCGGCATGGCCTGTCCGGCGGTGCCTGTCCTGCCGCCCGACAGCCCAGCAACAGTGGCGGGACGCTGCTGCTGGTGCTGGTGCTGCTGCTGTAGCCCCGCTGCTGTCGCCGAGGAGGGTGTCTCATGCCTGCCGAGGGGTCGTGACGTTGAGGAGGAGGGCGCAGTAGCAGCAGCAGCAGTAGCAGTAGCCGCTACACTGACGGAGGAGGGGGCGGAGGTCAGGCCTGAAGGCGGAGGTGATGAGGTCCTTGGAAGCAGGGACGTGGAAGAGGAGGGGGCGGAGGGAGGTGCCGTGAGGGATGCGGATGCGGCTTGCGCGGCGACGGTGGAGACCTGGCGGAGGAGGGCGGCCTGCGAGGGAAGCGGGCAGGAGAGGGCAGGAGGGGAAGTGAAAAGGCAGGTGGGGACGGAGTGCGTAGGTCCACGGACACGTCAATGGCTTCCCGTCCCAAGTACAAACCCCCGTCCCCTCATGGCAGGCAGCCAGAGCTAGTCTTCCCCCCTGTCCTCCCTGCCTGCCACCGTCCCTCTCCCCCACCTGCAGCCCCCACACGTCCTCCCGGTTCGGCGGCTTGGCTCGCGCATTCAGGTTTCGGAAGCCCTGTTGGATGAGCTGCAGCGTCGCGGGGTCGGGGCGGCCCGCTGCGGGGGACGTCAGGGCCCTAGAATGGGTGGCGGTGGGGGAGGGCATAGGGAGGAGGGGACAGCGACAAAGTCAAACGTGAGGTGCTGATGGGGTAATGGTGGGTGGGAGGAGTGGTTGGACTAACGGCTGGGAAGCAACAGCGCCGATTTCTATTAGGTAAGCAGCCTGCCATTCCCCATGGCGACATGCACGCTGTGTGACACCCACTCTGCAAACTCACACCCACCCTCCTTCCTCCCTCCTCCCTCTCCGTTGCCCCCTCCCTCCCTCTCACTTGGGTGCTGCGCCCGAGCCCAGCAGGATGTGCTCAATGCTGATGTGCTGCCCCGCCCGCTGCTGCTCCAGCAGGGCACTGGTGGGGGTCAGCGGAGGTGCGCCGCTGCCGCTGCTACCGCTGCCACTGCCGCTGCCACCCGGAGGGGGAGGGGGGCTGCTGCTGCTGCTGCTGGAGGGCGCAGTTGCTGGCGCAGTCCCAGGCAGGCCGAGGCCGGGGCTGCTGCTGCCAGCGCTGCTGTCGCTGGATGCTGAAGCGGGAGTAGGCTGGGCTGCCTGGGGCTGTGCCTGCAGCGGCTGCAGCGGCTGCGTCCAGTAGGAGGAGGAGGAGGCCGACAAGCCGCCGTCCAGCCCGGCAACTGCGGGGAGGAAGGACGGGAGCAGGTGGGTGGCACACGGGGGGTGGGGTAAACTTGCGGGTGTGGCCCAGACCAGAGAGGTGATGGGTGGGAATGGCAGGCAGGAGGGCCAGGATATGCCAGTTTGGTTGGAACTTGGGAGCAACCTTCCCTTCCCCTGCCACCTCTTCCCGTCCTCTTCCTCTTCCTACTTCCAATCCAACTTCTCAACAGACCTCTAAGGAACACTGCACAGCATGGCCCCCCCTCCCTCCCTCCAGCCTCTCACCAGAGCTGACAGAGGGGTCAGGCCCAAGAGGATTCGCCACCGCCGCTGCTGCCGCCGCTGCTGCTGCTGCCGCCTGCGTGTAGGGCGCCAGGACCGTCACCACCTGGTGCCCTCCGCTGCAGCTGCTGCCGCCCGCAGCTGCAGTGCCGCTGCTGCCACCGCTGGCACTGATGCTGTTGATGCTGCCCGACAGGCCGCCCTCAGCAGCACCAGCAGCGGTGCCTGCCCCTCCTGCAGCAGCACCAGCTGGGAGCAGCATGGGCGCCGGCGCGGACACCACAGGACGCGAGGCAGCTCCTGGTCCCGCTGCTGTTCCCGTGCCCCCTCCGGGGGAGCGGCGTGACGGGGAGCTGCGAGAGGGCGGAGGCGGCATCTTGGCCAGGTAGACGGAGGGGGCGCCGTGCAGGGAGGATGGCTGCGGGATGAAGGTGGAGGCGGGGCGGGAGGAGGCCAGGGAGGAGGCGCGGCGCATGGGGACCGCGGGCAGGTGGGTGCCACCGGCGCGGTCGGAGGCACTGTCGTGGGAGCCCCTGTGGGGGGGGAGGGAGGGAGGGGGAGCGGGAGCGGAGCAGGGGGAAGGGGACGGGTGGGCCAGAACACCGGCCGGAGACAAAGGGTGCACGGCTATGCGATGTCCTCTCCCTCAGGGCACATGCAAGTCATTCCTACAACACCAGTATACTCGTATCAGCCGTACACCCCGCCCTCCCCCACCTTGCAAAGGCCAGTTGCGCCGCCACACTAGCCGGCAGCGGCGCCACCTCCCCACCACCGCCACCTCCGCCTCCCCCACCCGCCCGGAGCACCGCCTCCCCTGCTGGCGGATGGCTGGCGGACCTCTCCGCCCGGGCCACCCAGGGCTGACCCTGGCCCTGGCCCTGACCCTGGCCCTGCTGCACCCCCGACCCCTCGGCAGCGGGTGAGGACTGCCCTGCTGTTGCAGCACTGCTTGTGATACCCTGCTGCCAGGAGATAGCGCCCGCGCCCGCACCAGCACCAGCACCAGCACCAGCACCCCCGTCGCCGCAGCCGTTGCCGTTGCCATTCCCTCCGCCCCTCAACGCCGCTCCCACCGCCCTCGACCCCGGTCGGAAGCTGCAGGTGCCGTCCATGCTACGGAAACCCACCGCCGCCCCCGCCCCCGGCCCCGCCAGCCCCGGCAACCCCGGCAGCAGCGGCTCCAGATCAAAGGAGCGCCGCTGCATGGAGGGATGGGAGGGGGTGCTGGTGACCGCCACCGCCTCAAGCTGGGTGTTGGGGGTGCCGCTGCTGATGCTGCTCTGCACTAGGGGTGGCGGTGCGGACTGCTGCTGCTGGGGTGTCACCGTCACCGTCACCGTCACGGGCTGCTGTTGCTGCTGCTGCGGCGGCGGCGGCAGCTGCAGGGAGGGCGAGGAGGCGGAGCTGTTCAGGCCCAGCAGCACCAGCCGGGGTACGGCAGAGGGGCGGCTCTGGAAGGAGGCAGCACTCTGCTGCACCCCTGATCCTCCTCCTCCTCCGCCGCCGCCGCCGCCCCCTGCCATGCCTCCTTCGCCGCCCCCCACGGCAGTTGCGCTGGTGGATTCATCCAAGGAGTAGCGCCCTCCCGAGCCCGTATGATGAGGGGAGCCGGGATTGTGCTGCGAGCCCGCTGCACCCGCCGGCGCACCGCGGTTCATGCTGCTGCTACGGCGGGGGAGGTTGCTGCTGCCACCACCGCCTCCTCCACCTCCTCCTCCACCGCCTGCAATGCCCAAGGGCAGGGATACCACGGTTGCTAGGCTGGTGCCCGGCCGGAGGAAGGTGTCAGGACCGCCGGAGGAGGAGGCGGAGAAGTCCCAGGGGTGCAGCAGGCTGCGAGCGCTGCGGTAGTGCTGCAGCGCCGGCGGCGGTTCGGGTGGTAGTTGCGGGTCGGAGTGCGGAGGGGGCGACTGCTCCAGGGGGGAGTCGTGGGAGCGGCGGGACATGTCGCTGCCGCTGGGCCGGTGGTGGGGGTGGGGTTGCGAGCCGGGAGCTCCATCGCTGGGTGTGAGGGGCGATGGCGCTGTCAGGGTGAGGACCATGGGCGAGAGCGACCCAGGGGTCGGCGAGTCCAGGCTGTGAAGAGTCGGAGTGGAGGGCGTGGTGAGGCTGTGATTGGGTGGAGAAGGTGGCAGTGGGAGTTAGGAGATGAGCGAAGCTGGTGTGCGACTGAGGATGTCTTAGGCGGCAAGATGGGCAATTTTGGTGCTCCAGGACAATGTACGTCTTTGGAAGAGAGTACGAATGCAATATTTTGCGATACTACCCTTGTGATACATCCAGACGGCCTTCCTATCTGCTATCTTCTATTAACGTACACGGTAGGCTACGAACGCTGGCCCACATACTACCGGTAGTACTAAGTTCCGAAAGTGCACCACCCATGCACCATATCCACCCAACGTGGCTTGCAGTTCCAGAGCCCAGACGGGTAATCCGGCAATCTAGTTTCCCAATTGCAAGCGCGACGATTTGGGTCTCTGTTTTCTGTACCTGAAGCTCCTTCCTTGTAGGCCCGGGATAACATGGCGGTGCGGCAGTCGCACCGTTTTCGGCAGACCTGGGGCCGCTTCAGGCTGCTGATGCCATGAGGGCGTATGAGCCGCGGTTTGCTGGGGCAAAGCGCCTGCATTAGCAAAAAACGCTTGCCATGCGCCTTCCGTTTCCCAGTGTTTACGTACTTACGGAACCTGCGCACCTGAACCGCCAGCAGCCCTAACATTTCCCTGCGTTTGCGACCTGCAAGCGTGTGTAGTTGATGAAGCTGTCAGTACAACAGCACCTATAGGCGCTTTTCCAGCATGATTTCTTACTAACCTGCCGTCCTCCATTAATTTATATCCAATTTACTCAGTTCGCATTCCGTTCTACTGAAGGAGGCCTAGGAAACAGAGGGTCTGCCGAGAGTGACATTGCAATACGGTAAGTAATCTTTCCATCCGTAAATCAATTGCGCAGCAACACAATGTAGAAACAACACCTCGAGCAGTTGTTCGTCGTGTGAAACCGGCGACTTGACTTTCGCTATCAGCGCTGTACGGCATCAAAGTAACATCAAAACATGAATCCTTAGGAGTAGACGTCAAGAAAGACCACCTGTGAGTTCGCTGGTTGCTATCATTTTTAGGGCCGCTATCAGTCACTTGCTGTCATCACCTGTCTACAGTATGAGAGCGGAGCCACCTACTGGCCCACCGCAATTGGTGCTGATCCTGAATATGCTTCTACTTAAGGGAAGCTATAGCTAGGAAGACTTCCAAAGACGCTGCGGAGAGCCAACTAGCTGGCGTGTCACGGACTTGCGCTTGCCGAATGGGGCCGGAAATATCGAAACCTCCACTATTTATACCCCTAATCTAGGTCGTGCAAACGTCTGCTCTTGGGTCGGGCTCTCCATAAGAGTGTATAGACGGTTTCGTTCCAGCTTGAATGCCCTTGTGATAGGGAGCTACACCCCAGCTGCACCCGGGGAGCGGGTTACAGCTTCTTCTAGTGGAATCGCTGCGCACGACCACCCAGACGTGGAGTTGACGTGACCTGGCCTACATGATGTGTTCGCCCTAGGCCCCACTAACTATATCCCGCGATGGGGTGCGGGGGCAGCAAGCAGCTCGTAGTACCAATCCATGACGATCTTCATGATCGCGACAATGGCGAGGGCCCGGGCTCGTCGCCTGCCGTTGCTCATCGAGGCATCGGTGCAAAGTCGGTTCGCCTTCTGGGCGGATCCGTCAGCAAACGGCAAATTGACCGTAAAGTCAATCGCTCGTTCTTTGACAAATCGCGCTCAGCTAAGGGGTTTAAGGCGGCCAAATCGAGGCGAGCTTCGCTGGTGGCGTTCAACAGCCGGACACCAAACCGTCCCGATGCGTCCCCGCATCAGGACGGCAAGCCAGCAGCAGTCGGGGGAACAAAAAGCCGCTTCGCTCGGAGCCTCATGGCTGTCACGGACGCCGTGTTCGGGCCGCCACCGGAGTGGATCCTGCGCCAGACCGCCCCCATCAAGAGGTGCGGCGAGGAGGAAGCGGCGGGGGGCGGGTGTTTGGAGCTGAGGGTTGCTGCATGGGAGGGGTTGGGTGGGTTGCTGGGGTTTCCACGGGCTACTAAGGGTTGAGTGGCGCCACGTCCACAGGCTTGTATCAGTTCGTACTGGTTTGGAAGTGGGGGATTGGAAGGGCACCATGGGTACCTCACCGCACCCATGCGGCCTGCCGTGCTTGCATGCCATATGCGTCTGCGGGTGTAAGCGCCACGGGTGACCTGCTCCGTCGGCCGGACAGCCTGTGCGGCGGGGAAGTGGGGGAGCAATGCTGTGTGGTCCGGACGGGCGGGGAAGTGAGAGGATCTCCCCTGCACCCTCCCTTCCCCTCCACCCCGCCCCCTCGCAGTCAGTACCAATTCCTAAACGTAGTGGGGCGAGGCCAGTTCGGACAGGTGGGGCGATGGGAGGAATGCGGGGAAGTTTTTTCGAACAACGGATGGGGTTAGGGAATGGGGCTGGGATGAGGGGTTGTGGGGCAGCTACAGCGGGCGGGCTCGAGTACGGTACCCCTCAATCTACCGTGAGGGGGTCGCGGGCTGCGGGCGGCGGCAGACGCATGCCGGTAGCCTGGGTAGAGGGTGATCCAGAAGCTGGGTGCTGCCCCCAGAAGCATGACCGCACGCCTTGCCCCCTTCCAACGGTGGCCGGTCACACAGCATGGTGCCCGGACACACACATGCAAACACACAACACCCCCTGATGACCTCCACACCCTCCCGCACCGCCCCCCAGGTCTACTGCATCCGCTCCCTCCAGCCCGGCGGCGCCAGGTACGCCTGCAAGACGCTGGGCAAGCGCAAGCTGCTGTCGCAGCTGGACGCGGATGACATCAAGCGCGAGATCGAGGTGATGCACCACCTGAGGGGGCACCCCGCGGTGGTGGGGCTGCATGGGGTGCTGGAGGACGAGCGGCACGTGTACCTGGTGATGGACCTGTGCGGCGGGGGGGACCTGTACGAGCTGCTGAGGGAGGCAAGGTGGGTGCGGGAGGGGGGGGTCGCAGCATGGGGATGGGGGTAATGGAATGGGATGCGGCCCATGCGGGTAATGGAAGAGGGGCTGCTGAGGGAAGCAAGGTAGCTTTGGGGTGGATGTGTTCCGTTGTATGTATGCGTTCGGGGTTAGGTGAATGGAAGGGGGTGTGAGTTATTGTTAGGGATCATTGAATACGTTCCGCATGCGCTTACCGCAGGTTCCCGTTCTTACTGTTACTGTTGTTACCGTTGTTGTCTTACAATACGGTCACCCCCACCACCACCCCCACAGGTTCCTGGGTGAGGAGCGCGCGGCGCCGCTGATGCTGCAGGCGCTGCGGGCGGTGCAGTACTGCCACTCCATGGGGGTGCTGCACCGGGACATCAAGCCGGAGAACTTCCTGCTGGCGCGGAAGGGCGAGCTGGGCAGCATCAAGCTGACGGACTTTGGGCTGTCGACGTTCTACCAGGAGGGTGGGTGTGGGGTGGGGGGGGGGGGGTGAGTGTTAGGGTTAGGGTGCAGTGGGTGAGGCTGGCGGGCTCCTTGGTAGGCCTTTCCTTTTTAGGGCGTTGCTCTGTAGCTCGTCGGATTGCTGCCAGGAGAGGCCTGGTTGGGCTTAAATCGCATGCGACATATGCGACAGTGTTTCCCTGACCCTGACGCTGCTTCTCCCCCTCCCCCCTCCTGATCCGCTACAGGCCAGGTGTTCACTGAGCTGCTGGGCAGTCCCTACTACATAGCACCCGAGGTAGGCACGCGGCAGCAGCAGCAGCCGGTGGTGGTGGTGGTGGTGTCACGTTGGGTTGAGAAGGTCTGTATACGGGTACCGGTAAGGTTTAGGGAGCCCCTCCCTTCCCTCTCCGTTTTACTTCCACTACGTCCCCCCTACCCTTTAACCCACCACCCACTCAACACCCACCCCTCACTCCGCACCACTCCGCCCATCACGCATCACGGGTGCCCTCAGGTCATCCGCCAAAAGTACGGCCGCGAGGCGGACATCTGGTCCTGCGGCGTCATGCTCTACATCATGCTCTGCGGCGAGGCGCCCTTCTTCGGCGAGGGCGACGAGGGCATCTTCAAATCCATCATGCGTGCCAAGCTGGACTTCAGCTTCGAGCCCTGGCCCAGCCTGTCTGCGGAGGTCAAGGCGCTACTGCGGCGCATGCTGGTCAAGGACCCCCGGGAACGGGCGTCCCTTGAGGAGGTCCTCGCGCACTCCTGGTTTGCCAGGTTTGCAGGGGCCAGCAGCTTTGACCCGGTCCTAGGCTGCGGACCGGGTGTGGGGGCGGCCAGCGGCAGAATCAGCGGAGACTCCTCGGCGCCGGCAGCAGCAACGAGTCCGGCAGCCATGCCGCTGGTGGCTGGCCGCACAGGTGCACCTGCAAGCATCCTCCCGCCCCTGCACTCGGGGGCTGTCCCTCGACCGCCGCCGCAGTCCTCCTGTCTGGGTCCTTTTTCCGGACCCTCCGCGCTTTCCTCCTCTTCCGCATTCTCCGCGGCGAGCAACGAGAACCCGCTGTTTCACCGGCTGAAGCGCTACTGCGCCGCCAGTCGCACCCGCAAGGCGGCGTTGCGGTACATTGTGGCAGGTGCGCTTCCCGAGGAAGTGACGGCAGGGCTGTGCAACCTGTTTGCGGATTTCGACGCGGATTGTGATGAGGTGGTGGACGTGCGGGAGCTGCAGCAGGGCTTCCTGCGGCGGGGGGTGGTGCTGCTGGAGGAGGAGGCGGCGGCGCTGGTGCATGCGGCTGATTTGGATGGAGATGGGGTGCTGAGTCTGGTGGAGTGGCTTGCAGCGACGATACACATAGCGGAGGGACAGGTTGACTCGCTGGTTTCGGAGGCGTTTGCCTACATAGACGCCGACGGAGACGGTTTCCTATCGCTGGAAGAGCTAGCTGACTTTCTGGGGGGAGCAACCGACCTGCAGACAGCAGCAGCAGCAGGAGGAGGAGCAGCAGCAGGAGGAAGAGGGCCCGGGGGGTTGATGGGGCAGCAGGCCTGGCAGCTAGCTGAGCTCATCATAGCAGAGGGGGATCTGGACGGCGACGGTCGTCTCAGCGGTCAGGAGTTTCGAGTGGCGTACGACATGATGGTGGATAAGTCGCGGGTGGTATCGCGGGCGGAGATGGCGACGGCGACGGCTGCTGGGGGAAGGTGGAGCGGCAGTGGGGGTGGAGAGGGTGGGGTGGTGGGAAGTGGCGGAGGCATGATGCTGGGAGGTGGTGGAGGGTCGGGAGGATATGGCGGAGAGTATGGCGATAGAGGGTCGGGAGGCTATGGTGATAGAGGGTCGGGAGGGTATGGCGGCGGGTCGGAAGAGCTAGTTGAGTTGGCGACGGGGTGTGGGAGGGGGAGCGGCGGGGGGATGGTGGTGGCGGGGAGCTGTAAGCCGGCCCTGGAACGGTTGACCAGTGTGAGCTCCATGGGGAGTGCTACGGGGAACAACGTGAGCGGTGAGGCGGGCAGGGGGGGAGGAGGAATGCCCGCAGCGAGCAGCAAGGCGCGGAGGGGGTCTGCGCTGATATGAGACGGGTGGAGTGCAGGAGTTGAACCGCATCCCCCTCCCTCCTGACGTCGCCATGAGAGCGCTGCATGCGCGTTAGGTCAGCAGGTGGCCGACAACAGGATTTGCAGCGATGGTATTCTTCGCGCCTGCGTCCATGTGCAGTGCGTTGCGTCGTAAGGTGTGCATGCATGCAAGTACCGGAGTGCATGCAAGGGTGGGTGTGTGTGGGGGTGCTTGCAAGGGTGTGGCTCTTCGCTCTCCGCAGTGCATGCTGGGGGATGGTGCCACTGTGCAAGGAGGTGGCCAAGAAGGCCCCCAGGTTGGTTGAACTTTATACTGGATGAGGACTGCGGCTGATTGGTGTGTTGCATGCGGTATTGTGACCTGGTTTATGGGTTCCTTTTATGGCACCGCCGATGGCAGACAATGTCGTGGCGGCATGCAAAACGTGGCGGGACTGCTGTGTGATTCATTTACTGCAGGGGCGCAATGTGTGACCTTGTAAACAGCTTGATGTGTCGCGACGAAGATGACGTGTTTAGAGCATGTGTGTGTTGGTTAACTGAGACGCAATTGTGTATAAGTCAAATGGGTCGTTTGTGTGCGGACCCACACACAAGTGGCGCGAGGCTGGCATGCGTGTCGGTACGTTCATGGCAGGCCTGCTGGTGCATGGTATGTGATTCCATCTCTTTTGCCTTGTTCTTTATTCTTCCTTATCCTTTATTTACATGTAATAGTGTTCAGCCCGGCTTACTGTCGTACATAAGCGATGACCTCCCGAGACATGGACCGTATTAAGTAGGACGGTTATGTGTGTGACCACATGCTTGATGGACCGTTTACACATTGGCTTCACGCCGCCTGCTACGATACGGAATATATATGTCAAGGTGTTTGTCCTGCGATTAAGCAGGCGTTGCGGGTACCGTAGGACCACTGATCGGTTGCACACAATGCATCCTATTTCCTATTCTACGTACGACATTTGTAACATGGGTACTGAAGCCTATGCTCAGCGCCGTGGCTTGTTGCGGTGGTTCACACAACCCCTGTCTCCTGCCGCGTCCTCACTGCAAAACCCCGCGTATTCCACACACAGCGTCGAAAGTACGTTCCTGCACTCAGCACTGTGCCGAAGCACACACAGCTCACATCCATTGCTGCACGCTCCGCTTCCCGCCGCGACACACACTCTGCACGGGGCATTTGGGTGTGCGATGCTTGCATAAACCTAGCACGATAATATACACGCCGCTCGTCAAGCCAGCCGCGGCCCTCATCAGCCCTCACCATCGCCCGCCTGTTATGCTCACTTCCCCCGCGCCCGCTCCGATTCCCTCTTTCCCGTATCCCCGTTGTTAGCTACCACGAGACCCTTATCTCCCATCACATGGGGTCGGTGGCAGACCTCATTAACGCTGCATTCAGCCCAGCGTATCACCTGTGATGCGCCGCATGCAGGTTAGCCGAGCCTGCTGGCCAGGGTGGTCCAAGGGTGTCCACTTTCATCCAGGTCACCACCCTCGCCCGCACGAAAGAACCACCCCAAAGCCACCACTGTGCTTGCTGAGGCACACCTTTTGTTGTTCCCCTACCACGCGCTGCGCACCCCACACAAGCCCGCCCGCTTACACCGTACATCAAGCGCCCTCCTGCATCCGCTACCAGAGCTGCGTGTCCAAAGCAAGGCGCCCGCACCTCGCACCTCCGTCCCCACTGCTGCTGCCGCCGGCCTATTCCTCCCCGCTCTCTCCCTCCTCCACCAGTGTCAGGTCCGTCATGCGAGACACCACCAGCTCCTCAACCTCTCGCGACAGCCGCCGCACGCCGCGACCCGAGGAGGCCCCGCCGCTGCGCAGGACTCCGGACCGCCGCCTGCTGCTGCCCCCACCGCCACTTCGAGGGGTCCGCCTGGCGGGGGTTCTAGCGGGGGTTCTGGCTGGGGTCTTGGCAGGGCTAGCTGCAGCAGCACCGCCTGCTGCCGCCCCTGGCACGGCAGCACCGGCGGCCGCAGCGGCTGCGATGCGCGCTTGCTCCGAACGGTACCTGGGGGAGGGGCAAGAAACACGCGAAACGGGACGGGAGGGGGCCGGAGGAAGAGTGATTAACGCACGGAGTTAAGTGACGGACGGGAGGGACACACCAGGGCTGGAGCGCGAGCCCTGGGGCAGCACCTGCCACCGCACCCCGCCCCGACCCGCTGCCGTACTCACAGCTGGCCCATGCGCTGGAAGATGGCGGAGCTGGGCGTCTTGGCAGGCAGGCTCTTGCGCACGCTGTCGTAGTTCTCCTTGCAGAACAGCGCGTAGGCGTTGGGAGGCTGGGGCGGGGGCGGGAGGGGGGTGGGGCGGGTTGGAAGGTAAGGGTGACAGAGGGTGTGAGGCTCAAACCCAGTACTCGGGCTTGGACCCTGGGGAGCTAGCTCCCATGACTCCGGCCTGACGAGCCAGGCAACCAGCAGCCGGGTTGGAGTAGAAGTACTGCTAGCATGGCACACACGTCTCGCCGCAGTGCTTCTAACAGCCACATGGTGATTCCTCACACATGCACGGAGATGCCAGCATGCCACACTCCATCTGAGGCGACTACTGTCAGAGCTCTTGCGCTCTGCAAGCAGAAGCAACAATGCAGCAACAGCAACAACCACCCCACACGCGGCCCGTGTTCGCAACACACCTTCTTGGCAGTCGTGCCAGCCGCCGCCCCGCCTCCAACCCCGGCCGCTCCTCCTCCTCCTCCTCCTCCTCCGCTCGCCGGAGCCACCAGCCTGCCCCGTGCGTCGAAACGGCCCAGGTAGCGCAGCGGCGCATGGCACACCGCGCACACGTGTTTGCCCACGCGGATGGTCTGCCGCTGCCGGCCGTACTCCTTGCCGCATGCAGCGTGCGTGCACACCCAGCGGTGCGCGTACTCGATCTTGTAGTCGTGGGTGCGCGTGATGATGAGGGAGGGGTCGTGCCGCATGAACTTCTGCGCCCAGCCAGCCCAGGCGGGGCCGTGGGGCTGCTGGTACTCGTGGCTCAGGTGCCAGGCTGCGAGGGAGGGGGAAAGGGTAATTCGGTGTTATTCGCATCGAGGGAGGGGTGGCGTAGGTTCAGGGGCAAAGGGTACCGGTATTCGAAGGAGGAAACGGCCAGCAAACGTACCGGTACGCCTTCACGATTTGCACCGTCGAACCATAGCTCCGGATGCGTAACGTGCAGCAGCCACCACCTAACAGCCTGTCCAAACAGCACCCCAACCGCCCCCCTCTCCCCCTGCCCCCCTCCCTCCGCTCTCACCCGCCACGTGGCACATCTCATGCGCCAGCGTGTTGTGCAGCTTCTCAATGCAGTCGATCAGCCGGGTGGAGAGCTCCAGCTTGGCGGGTACACGCCTGGGGGGGGAGGGGTCGGGGGAAAAGAGGAGAAAAGAAAACAGAGTAGGGGTTGGGGATCAGGGGTGGCGTGCGAGTGTCCGAATGTTGTTTAATTCGAGGCAGGCAGGCTTGCAGTGCGGTAGTGTCCCAGGCGCATAGCCTCGCCTCATTTACATCCCAATTAAACCTTGCTCCGCACAAACCTGCTCCCCACAAACGGCCCGCCCTCTCCTCTCTGCTTCACTTGTCTTTGATTTTCTCCCCTCGCCCCACATCAAGAGCTTCCACACCTGCTAGCGCCCAGCAGCTCCGGCCGCGCCACCACCTGGCCGGCAGTGGTGGTCAGTCGCGGGTTCCACACGAGCGGCAGGTCGGGCGGCAGCTGGCCGGAGAACACCGCAGCGTTCCACCTAAGGTAGTGGTGGGAGAGGTTGGGGAAAACAACCCAGGAGAAGGAGGGGTGTAAAAAAACGTATTCCGTACAGGTTGCAGGCAGGTTGCCGACAGAAGTCCGGCGGGCTGTACCGCCATGAGCATCCTAACGGCGCCAGACAGCAACAACAACCCGCTGCTCCACCACAGTCCCATGCACCCACTTGTTGTATAGCTCCTGCGCCACCACCGGTCGCGTCTTCAGGAAGGCCCGCTGAGCCGCTGCCGCCGTTGCCTCCGGACCCTCCGGCTTCCTCTTCTTTATCGTACTCCCTCCCGCACCCCCACCACCACGACCGGTTGCGACGCCTCCGTCAGTCGTCATCGGCGGCTGTGTGGGCGTCGTCCTACCTCGACCCCCTCCACCTCCTCCCTGCTTCCGCCCCTCCCCCGCGCCCGGCGTAGTAAACAGCAGGTTGGGCAGCGGCAGTTGCGGCGGTGCGGGTGTACGCAGGGGCAGCAGCTCGTCCTCCTCCTCCTCATTCTCGTCCTCGTCATCATCAATGGTCAGCACAGATACGGATGACGCGTCGTCGTCTTCATCTTCCTCCTCATCCCGGGGCGCCGGCAAACGCCTAGCCCAGGGAGTTTCGAAGCCGCCGGCTTCGCCGCCCTTACCGCTGCCGTCACGCTCGCTACTGCCACTGCCATTGTCGCGGCCGCCCCGGCGGGGACCTGGAAACCGCGGGAGTGACTCGGGCGGCCTGGGCGACTCGGGCAGCTCGTACGGATCGCGGGACATGCCGTCGCCACCGCTATTAGGTTTGGTGCTAACGACGCCCTTGTTGCAGTTGTTATTCATGGCGCTGCCGCCAAGAGGAACTCCGGAGGCACCACCGCGGGTGAAGAGGCTGAACAGGCCGGCAGGACTGTCACCAGCAGCACCACCAACACCAACACCAACAATGCCGGAAGGGCTGCTGTCGGGGCTGCTATCCTCCAGAATGACTCGGCGCCGGGCAGTGCCGGGAGCAGCAGTGCTGGTGGTGGTGGAGATTCCGGGCTGCCCTCGCCGAGGTGCCGTACGACCCGCCGCCGCCGTCGTCATGGGGACCCAGTCATCGCTGTCATCGTCGCTGCACAAATCAACACCGCGAGTCGCAGCACTGCTGCCCCCAACACCACCTCGCTGCAAGCCGGTCGTCAGCTGGCTGCCACTGCTGGTCCCACTGCTGCTTCCAACGTTACCGCGTCGCTCCTTCCCCGTCTTCCCAGCCTCCTCGGGGCTACTGAGCAGCGTGAGGTCTACCATCTGACGTGTGACTCCACTCGCACCTGCCGCACCCCTCCCCCAGCCCGAATCCCCGCCCGTTAAGGAGGGGCCGCCTGCTTGTGCCGTCTCCTCTTCCGGCTCAGCTCCCTGCGCCCGGTCCCAACCCACTGCCGAGGAGGGAGGTGACAGCCACTCAGCCGACTCCGTAGCCTCCTGCAGCTTCGCACCATCACCACCATCCCCGACGTCAGCCTGCAGCAGTGGCTGCTGCTGCTCTCCCACCTCGCCCTCCTCTGCCTCCTCCTCCTCGCCTTCCAACGCCTCCACGGCTAGGCCGTCTGCCGCCACGCCGGCACGCAGCGACAGCCCCCTCAGCTGCTCCGCAAGCAACAGCTCGCCGTACAGGTCGTACATGAGCCCGTCATCTCCGACGTCATCTGTTCCTGGACCCGAGGAGCCGGTGCCGGCCCCAGTCTGCAGGCCCGAGGCAGGGGCCAGTCCAAGGACGGATCTACCAGCTGCTTCGCGTCCCGACCGGCCCTGGCGCCGCCGGGGCACCCGCGCCAGCTGCTGCTGCCAATTCGCAGATGGTGCATCCGTGGCCAACGCCGGCAGTCCGGACTCCGCTCTTGGCACATGTGCTTTTGATGCTGATGTGTCTTCTTCAGCGCTTGGATTGGAGAGAGGCTCGGGCAAGTCCTTGATGCTGCCCGCAGCAGTGCCCCAAGTGAGCGCGCTGGATGCACCGACGGCAGCAGACAGGGCAGGTGCGGCCACAGGAAGGCTGGGACTTGGCTTTCCCTCGCCGCTGTCTGCCGAATAGAAGCTGTCTTGAGCGCTGCCGAGGTTGCTGTAGCAAGAGCCGGGCGACCCAGATGGGGTATCACCTGACCCAGATGGGGTACCTGATCCAGATGGGGTATCACCTGACCCAGATGGGGAGTGCGGTGACCCAGATGGCACAAGGTCGGCAGAGGCGGCGACAGCAGCATCAGCAATAGCAGCCGGTACCAGCAGTGATGGCGTCCCCACGCACCCCGCGTCATGCCCGCTGCTGCTGCTGCTGTCAAGACACCCACTCGTCGCCGGCTTTACCCCTCCGTCCACCGCATGCTCGTCCTCTTCATCCTCCTCGTCCTCCAGTACACGCCGGCGACTCCGGATGACACGCACGCTGCGGGCGAAGGTGAGCGGCGCCTCCTCCTCATCGTCTTCTTCGTCGTCACGGTTGAGGCCTCTCTGGGCGACCTTTCCTGTGCTTCTTTGCCGTGGAGAAGCTGGAGGCGAGCGGGCGCCTTGCGGCTGAGGTTGTGATAGAGGGTGCTGTGCTTCCATGCAGCCAGAATCGGAACCAGAGCGGCTATGTAGCTCAGGCTGCGGCTGCGGAAGGCCGCTTCCACCGCTGGTGGCAGCTTTCCAGGGGCTTTGGATGCGGGCGTTACTGAGGAGGGCTGCGAGCTCCAGGATGCCCTGCTTGCTGCCTTGAGCCGAACCTGCCTTCGTTGCAGCACTGCCGGGAAGCTTGGGACTCCTACTGCTGCAGCTGCCTCCGTTGAGCAGGGATGTTGGGCGTGCGCCTGGACTGCACCTGGACTGCATCTCAGGCATATTCGTGACGTTTTGTAGAGGATGCTGCTGTTCCTGCTTTGTGGAGGCCAAGGAAATCACCGGAGAAACCGCCTGGGGCCGCGGGCTGCCGCCTGCCAGGAGTTTCGGCGCAGGTGACTTGGCATGGTCAGGGCTACTGCTAATGTGAGTTTGGGTTGAAGGTGCCAACGGCGCTGGTCCCCCATCGCCGGCACCATCCTCTTCGTCATCAGATAGCAGAATACGTCGCGGGCGTGCCTGGCGACGCTGAGTACGGCTTACGGTCAAGGGCTCTTCCGGGGATTGGGAATCGTCGCTGGTTGCTGAAGCAAGTGCCCTCTGAGCTTGGAACGCCTGCGAAGGCCACGTTCCGCAAAGGGCACAGGCTTGGGGTATGGGGAGGGGGTAGGACATCTGCAACAATTGCTCAAGCGGACTTGGCAATTGGCGATGTTCACAGGGCCTGTCGCAGGAGGATGCTGCATACCTGGGGCCCACGATGCGCCGTCATAGATGTTGTTGAAGGGCTGACAAGGCCACCGCTTGGGCGCATTCCAGGTGGTTCGCAACCTCGAGGATAACGATTGTGGCGAGCGCCAACTGGCGAAAGCGGCGTACGGCGTTGAAGCAGATGGCTACCAAGCATTAGATGTAGAAGCTGTTAAATTTTATGCGGCCGTTCATGCGACGCTAACTTCCATGCCGCAGGATGCGGTTTGACCTTGCTGCCTATCGGCTTTCATGTACACCAGGCCGACTACGACGTGCACGCAAGGATATGCCCTATAGATACCGCTTACGGAACAAACAAAATAACACGGAACTTTCCGCTTTTGTTGCCGGGCTCAAAATAGCTACTGTAGCCATGCGAGTTAGAACTTTAATATAGGGTATCACGTCTCTGCATGTGCTGTTATGATAGAAGTTAAGAGTGGACGATATCCTGGTCTGCTGGCTGCTTGGTTCCATTCAACGCATGCAGTTCACGTACGGCACCGCACGCGTGCGCAGCCTGCCCGAGTGATCATGCCAAGGGATGTGCTGGACCTCATCGTTACCACACGCTCTTTCTGTAGTCCATGTATGAGAACATTTGTAGATCTATGATTGGCACTGAGCGATGGTAAAAGCTCGCAAACACTGGCACCATGCCACGCTCAGTGTCTTGTTAAAGCTCCCCGGCGCCAAGTTCTCCCTTGCGGCGACGAGCACGTATTGTGGGTTGCCTCCAGGCCAACAAAAGTATGCCCTTTCTGGAAAGGTGTGTCCTTGCCCCTCTCGGCGTCTTGAAGATGTTGCGATAGCCGCGAGGACAAGGACTGAAGACTGATGCGCCGTAAGCACCTCCATGCCAGAAGGTCGTGCAAGGAGGTATCGAGAGGTTTGTTTAAGCCTTGTCTTGGATCTTACCGCACCCCGTTCTTACCTTTGTAAGAATGGCACCAAACCGGCCGACAGCCTCCGTAAGAAAGTTCCCACAGTTCCGTGAGGAGGACAAGAGCTGGTGCAGCCAAGTTGGCCGCAATGGGTGTATGGGTCACAATGGATTGAGGTTGACAACATGCGCTGGGCCTTGCAAGGGCTTTGCGGAGGAGTAAGCCGTATTAGTCTGTTATGATAGTGCATATGTAAACAGCCTTCGGCCAATAACGTCGTAGCTCGGGCAGTCGTGTAAGGAGCTGCAAGCAAAGGTTAAATGCACCTTCGCTATCACCATTTTCTGGGTCTTTCGTCTTGGAACGGACTTGAACGACGTCTTGGAGCTTGGGGTAGCACAATAAAACAAATTCCTTGCCAGCTCTTGCTAGAGCGCATTTAGGGGATGCTGACTTCGGAGCATAATCCATGGATCCCAGAGAACCGACACTAAACTGGGCTGGCGACGCCTTGAGAAATCTAACAGCACTGCAACCACCGGTAGCTAGTGCGCTGTAAGGATGCAGTCAGCGCTTCGCGCAGCGAGCCATAATGGCGCAAGTCGTCCACAACTGTGTCAGTCGCGTCGCGGACGCTTGCAAATATGCGCATACACATTGAAGAACGCAGCGCTTGACCGCAAGGAGGAGCGGAAGTCAGAGCTAGCAACTCTCCTTGCATCGGGCATTATCGTCGGCGCTTGCACGTCGCCTGCGCTTGCAGAAGATGCCCTTGCGGTTGCAGCTGCTCCTATCACAAGTGAACTGCCTGCTTCTACGGCTCCCGCTTTCTCTGTCGTTGGTAAGGGTGTTGCTGCGATGTGTGGTATTGGTTCGCACTCCAAGGGCCATGGTGCTTGTAAAGCCATTTTGCTACAGCAACAATTGCATCGCTTCCTTTCTCCGCAGCTGAACCGTCTGCCCCCTTGCTGACAGCACCTTCAGTCCAGGTGCGGTTACCGTACCATGCCATCTAACAATGCTACCCGCTTCCCAGGCCGTCACACTCCTTTTGCATTGCGTACCGTGCCCTTTCCTCACCTGTACTGCACCAGCGCTGACGATGTCTCCACCTGACCGCACGTGCACGCGCCCCTGCAACCTTAGAACCCACTGCCGCACGGTACTCCGTCGTACAAACCCACTATCTATCCTCACCCACATCCGTTCTGCTGGCCTGTGCTGTTGGCCCCCGCTACTGCTAGTGCTGCTGTTGCCCGTACTGCTTCCTGCTGCCGTATAACGGTACCCGTGATTACCAGTCACCGTCACTGCGCTGCCTTCCCCGGTAACAAGCAGGCGGAAGGCCAGGAGGCGGTTGCTGCTGTTGCTGGGGCTGGGGCTGAGGTTGCTGCTGCAGCTGTGTCGGCTCCCGAGATCCATGGCCCCACCTCCGCCCCCGCCCCCTCCTCCGCGCTGCTGCTGACATACGCGGGTCTGGGCTCCGCTGCGGTGGGCTTCCTGGCCACCTTCTTCGTGGCGCCGAGGTTCAGGGAGGCGTTCAAGGTGGGGGGAAAGAAGAATACCCAATGTGGGGGGGGGGCTGGGGAGGGAGGGAGGAGTGGAAGGCCGGAAGCCGCGATCGAACACGCACCGTGACCTTAACAGGCCGGAAGTTGTGGGCGCCCCAAGGTGGGAGGGAGGGGCGGTGGGAAGAAGAAGAAGAAGCCTGAGTAGCCATGTCTGTCCCGCTCTGCCTCTCCCTCTCACTTTATGCCTCGCTCCCTCCTATCCCTCCTCCCCCTCAACCCCCCCTCCCGCACAGGAGTCGGTTGACTGGCGGGAGATGTACGGGGTGCTGGTGGCACGCGGGGGGGTGCGGAGTGTGAGCCCCGATGAGGCGTATGCGCGGGCACGAAAGGGGTGAGTGCCTGCGGGGGTAACGTTATGATGGAGGCCAACGGCAACGGGCTGTACGTGGGTTGGGGTGGCTCTTTCCCTGCCTTCCCTGGAGGGCGTCGGGTGTTTCGGGGGTTTCCCTCCGGGCATATCGAAGTCACTTGGGTGGCGTCTCCCCTCTTACCCAGGCTTTACCCTCCCTCTCCTTTATCCTCCCTCTCCTTATCCTCCTCCTCCTCCTAGACCCTCCCCCCTCTCCGCCCCTCCTCCCCCCTCCCCCTCTCCCTCCCCCTCTCCCTTCCCCTCCCTCCTCAGCGCCGTGCTGCTAGACGTGCGGCTGGCCTCCCAGTCCTCCTCCCTCGCCCCCCAGCCCTCCACCGCCGTACCGCTCTACCAGCCCATCAGCGGCTGGAGCCTGGCAGCCAACATCCGGAGAGCGGGGTTCGCGTTCTTCGGAATCTTTGGAACGGGTGAGGTGGAGCGGGGGAAGAGCAGAAGAAGAGAAGGAAGGGGGAAGGGTGGGAGTGCAAGGGGCGAAGGGGAGGGGTGGTAGGGCCCATGGAATGTGGGGAGGCCGACCAACCCCCTCCCCTTCACCCACTCCACTTTAACTACTAGGCTGGAATGTACTGCCGTCCGATAGGGGGTGCAGGGGCCTCCTTCCCCTCGCTGCCTCTCAACCCACCCCCCTAATCCCTGGGGCCCCTGCAGGGCCAGCACTTTTGTGGCTCGGCCTATCTGACCCGCCCGCCTCTCCCCCGTTCCCTCCACCCTGCCTTCCGCAGAGCTAAACCCCGACTTCGTAGCTCAGGTGGAGGCGTGCGTGTCCCGTAGCAAGGAGGTGGGAGGGGGGCAGGGGTGGAGGCGGGGAGAGGGTGAAACGTGGGAGGGGGCTGCTGCCACTTGGGGCTCCCGCTATCGGCACGAACACCATGGCACATCCTCCCTTCCCTTCCACCTGTCTCCTTACCTCCGCCCCCCTGCTGCTCTCCCTCCCCCTCGGCTAACTCGGCCAATGTCACCAGGAGCTTGTCAGCTTGTTTGCTAGCATCATCATTAAACACCTTGGGATTCTTCTTTCCCCCTCCCCCTCCCTCCCCCCCCAGGTGCTTGTGTTGTGCGAGTCGGGTGGCTCGCTGGATAACAAGCCGGGCACGCAGTTCGGGTTCCAGTCCAGGTGGGCAGGAGGGAGGGAGAGGAGGGGAAGGAAGGGAAAGGGGGAAAGGAGGGGGAAAGGAAGGGTGGAAGGGATACCCATGTGCGCCCCATGCAGCTATCCTCCCGCCGCCCTTCCCTCCTGCTGCCCTTCCCGCCTGCTAGGGCACGTGTGCAGCAGTAGCCGACCCCCCCCCTTCCCTGCCCCCCTTGCTCCCCTCCAGGAGTCTGAAGGCCATCTACTTCCTGCAGCAGGCGGGTTACACGCGTGTCACACACGTCAAGGTGGGTGGCTGGGGGTTTGCGGTGACAGCCACACCCGTCCCTTGCTCCAGCACTGTGCGAATCGCATGCAACTCCAATCCCCTTCTTCCCTCCTCCCTGGCCTCTCCTCCCTGGCCTCTCCTCCCTGGCCTCTCCTCCCTGGCCTCTCCTCCCTGGCCTCTCCTCCCCTCCTCCCAGGGCGGCCTCCGCGAGTGGCAACGCGCCGGCCTGCCCCTCACCTCCTCCTCACCTTCCGAAGCAGACCCCGCAGCCCCCCAGCAGCAGCAGGTGGGGTCTTCCAGGCAGGCGGGGGCGGGCAGCCCTCCCGCCTCCCCCTCTGGCACCACCACAGCCGGCAGCAGCAGCAGCAGCAGCGGCAGGTTCCGGACCCCAGCCGCCCCCGCACCCCCCAGCGGCACACGCAGCCTGAGGGCGGCTGCTCGGGAGCTCATGGCGAGCAGCCGCAGCCGCTAACTGGGGGGGGGGAGAGGGAAGGGCGCTTAGGAAGAGGCGGGGGGTAAGGAGAGGAAACTGACGTGTTGTAGGACGAGGGACGGGGTGCTTGGGAGGGGGCGGGGAAAACTCCAAACTACCTTGGTACTGGTACCGGGGTGGCCAAGACCCCGTGGTTCGTCTGTATGGTTCGTCTGAGTGACAAGTTGCCTCATAGTTGTCTGGGTGCGGAGAGAGGAGTGAGAGAGAGGAAAGAGGGAAGAGAACGGACACGAGTATAACATGCGTGTGATGATGTTGAAGGTGTAGGAGCGTTAAGAGGCACGGACCTGTCTGTCTGTCTGTCGAGGGCGAGGGGTATGGAGTGGTGAGTGGGTTATGGCTCACGAGAGGTGAATGCCAACTTGTGGGGGACCCTGCGATCTGCTGAGCGACAGATGGTGAAGCGCGAAAGGGGTGGATAGCGGATGAGCGCAGGGGTAGTTCGAGAAGGGGTGTCAGCTTCCTAAAGCTGATAAATGGTTCGGATCCTCTTGCTGAGGATAGGCACATGGATATAGGGCATCTCAACGGGTGTGTACGAAAGCCAAGTGCCGTACATTGCTTGTAGCTAAGCTGTCCACACACGTTCCAAGATAACCAACTAGCTGTTGTGTGTACCGTATGTTACGTGTCAGATCTCACTCGCACGCATTTTACCTCCGTGTATGTGCAAGGTTGCAGCAGTATCCACTTGTACGACGAAATACACGTGTACGGCAAGCCCATAACAACCTTCCCCGGTGAGCAGACGCACATCCCTACCGTACTTTCAACGGATAAGCTACCTGTACTTAGTTAGCTATGGTTGTACGGCAACGCAGCCTACGACCTATCAACATAACTGTCAACCCCTGAAACACACCAACCACCACCTAAACCCTATACAGTATCCTTGTGTCAGCAACAGCAACGACGAAACAATGCAACTCCGCAACAGCTCACAACCTTCATTCTTCTTCTTCTCTCTTCAGTACCGGTACCTTTTGCGTCCAGCCATACACACACATGTTTGCATGCTCGCGGGTGCTTCTGCTCCCTCCTCTTGCACCAGTGCTCTTCTCTCCATGAAACGGCGCGTTGTGGGACACGGCAACTCGCTTGCCGTGCACACAAAACACACGAAATCCCACGCACGCCGCATTCCCCGCAGTACTTCGTCCAAGGCAAAGGAAAGCAGGAGCCAAGCGGCCCCAACCTACCTGTCCTCCTTCAGCGTCAGTTAGAGTACGCACCTAGCAAAGTATTGTGTAAGCAAGAAGCATCCTCACATAAGCTCTCCCTCATGCGTGCAGATGTGCCTGCGTGCCCGCCCTCCCTCCGTCAAGCTTCCATAACCACCACCAACAACCACCAACAAACCGCTCAACTGCCTTCACACCTTACCATCACGGATAGATAGTATCGCCACTTCGCCAGTATTGCCACTTCATGCCCAGCCATATAAACGCCACACATGCCTCGAGTTAGTCTTCTTCTTGTATGTCATGCGGCGCCTCGTACGAACCCCCTTGCAACATCAACATTGTCACCTGATCACCATTACCATGCGTCTGCTCTATGTTTGTTCTTCTCCTTCAACTGACCTTCAACCAACCTTCAACTGTTTAATGTATATGCTAGCTACTCTGCGGCTGTGTCATAAGTGTGTCATAAGTCATGCCCTGCTCCTCGCTCTTCTGCATGATGTTCTGACATCTTGACACATGGGCCCCTGGCAAACGCCCCCTGGCACTGATACCCGTCGCCCAACTCCCCGCGCGTCCCTCTCCCCCATCAGGCTCTCTCAAGTCTCCGCTGCTGCTGTTGCCCCTGCGACCCTCCTTCCCTCGCCCGCCCATCAGGCTCACATCTCACTGCCGGGGTGTCACCCGCATGCGCAGTCCGTTGGTGGGTTTAAAGTTGAGGGTGATGTCGTAGGCTGCCGGGATGAGGGGCGTGTTGGGGTGCAGCGGGGTGAAGGAGAAGCGCTGCAGCAGCACTGCAGCCATCAGGACGACCGACATCTGGGTTGGTGGGGGGTGGGAGAACAAAATAGGTAAGTGCGCTGATGGGGGGCGGGTGGGGGGGGAGGGAAGGAATGGGAGGGGGGAGGTTAGGAGGCAACATGCAAGGCAATAGCTATGTGGTAGGCTCTCCTCATCAGCCCGGGAGAAGGAGGACAAACATGGGCCCATGTACAGGGGGAAGGTGGGGGACTCGCATGCACGCACGTGTGCGTGTCCCCCACATGCATGGAGCTCACGCCCTCCCTGCCCTGCCTCCCCTTGAGAGACCACCATGCTCCCCTCCGCCTCCCCCGCCCCCTCACTCCCACCTGCGCAAACGACGCCCCCAGGCACATGCGCGGCCCCGCTCCGAAGGGCAGCCACTGGAAGCGGTGCTGCGCGGCCTCGGCCTCGGGGGAGAACCTGGGGGGGAGGAGGTGGGAGGTATGGAGGGGAACTAGTGGGGCTTATATGGCGGTGGGGTTTCTTTCCCCCCCCACCCCCTTCTCAGCCTCTGCCTCCCGTCTCCCCCCACCCCAACTTCCTTCTTCTTTGCCCCCACCGACCTGTCGGGGTTGAAGGTCAGCGGCTGGTCCCACAGGTCGGGGTTGCGGCCCAGCGCGTAGGAGGACATGAACACCACGTCACCTGGGGCAGGGGGGGGGAGGGGAGTGAGGAAAGGAGGGGGAAGGTGTAACACACTCTCGATGGGTTGAGTCGGGGGTGGAAGGAAGGCAGCAAGTGGGCAGCACCGGCAGCAGACGGGCCTCATGAGGGGTCATGACACACCTGGAAGTGCATGGCCCTGCCTCCTCCCCCCTCCCCCCCTTCCATACACACCTGCATTGATGGCATGCCCCGACGGCAGCACATCCTCCCGCAGCGCCTCGCGAGGGAACACGGGGATGGCGGGGTACAGCCGCATCACCTCCTTGGCGCACGCCTGGGGGGGAGAGGGTGGGGGCAGGACAGCAGGGGCAGTAAGGAAGGGTATAGTCAACGCGCGTAAGGCAGCGGGTGCCACAGTAATGCAGAGCCCCCTTCCCTCCTCCCCGCCCACCCTCCTCACGCCCCCCACCCCCCACCTGCAGGTAGGGCAGCCGCTCCAAATCGTCGAAGCTGGGGGGCCGCCCGTCTGCAGAGGAGGTGAGGAAGGAGAGGGTGTGTGTGGTTGAGCAGGTGTGGATGAAGAGTCTGAAGACAGGAGTGCCGGGGTAAGTACGAGGTAATCCCGTACGAGGCGCTCACTGCATGAGTCGGGATATGGGATTGGGATTCGTTGTTTCACTTATGTAATTTTTTCTCCCCTCGCCACTCCCCAATCTCTCCTCACCCCACCTTCCCCCTCACCCCACGCCCCCTCACCCCCCAGCCCCCTCACCCAGCACCCCCTGCAGCTCCGCCTCCACCCGCTGCCGTACAGCGGGGTGCGCCGCGATGCAGTACAGCAGCGCGGCGGTGGTGGTGGCGGTGGTCTCGTGGCCGGCACCCATGATGTCGTGCACATCCTCCCACAGCTCCTCGTCGGTCAGGCTGGCGCCCGCGTCGTCGGTGGCCTGGGGGTTTGATGGGGGTGGGGGAAGGGGGTTGGGGGGTTCAAGCATGGTATGGTGAGGGAGGCGGGGTCCCTCAACACCCCCCCACACACCCTCCTATGTTCCTAGTTATTTTAACACACCCTCCTATGTTCCTAGTTATTTTAACACACCCTCCTATGTTCCTAGTTATTTTAACACACCCTCCTATGTTCCTAGTTATGTAACACACCCTCCTATGTTCCTAGTTATTTTAACACACCCTCCTATGTTCCTATGTTCCGACTCGCGGCCAGTCTATTTAGTATTTACCACACCTCCTCCCTATCTTGTCGTTTGCCCCCCCTTCCCCCCCCCTCACCGTCAGCAGCGCCTGCAGCAGGTCATCATGGGAGCTCTGATCGGAGGCCAGGGCCGCTCGGCGCTCCTGGGGGGAAGGGAGGGAGGGAGAGGAAGCGAAGACGGCGGTTAAGGGAGAGGGGAGGGACATTTCGCACAGGGAGCGAGAGGGGGTAGCTACGAGCTAAGAGCGTGCGTGCTGGGGCCAGGGAGGGGGTGACTTCCTGGGGCAGGCAGGTGGGGAGAGAACATAGGTGAGCAGGCACCCATCGATCCCAGTCCCATTCCTGCCCAACAGGTACTAGGAAGGGGATTTCTGCTACTCCCCTCCCACTCCCACCCACACCCCACTTGTACGTCTACAGGTCATACCCCCCCCCCCCACCTGTATGACCCCCAGCATCTCGCCCCTCTGCCCCACGCTCCCCACCCCCACCTGTATGACCCCCAGCATCTCGCCCCTCTGCCCCACGCTCCCCACCCCCACCTGTATGACCCCCAGCATCTCGCCCCTCTGCCCCACGCTCCCCACCCCCACCTGTATGACCCCCAGCATCTCGCCCCTCTGCCCCACGCTCCCCACCCCCACCTGTATGACCCCCAGCATCTCGCCCCTCTGCCCCACGCTCCCCACCCCCACCTGTATGACCCCCAGCATCTCGCCCCTCTGCCCCACGCTCCCCACCCCCACCTGTATGACCCCCAGCATCTCGCCCCTCTGCCCCACGCTCCCCACCCCCACCTGTATGACCCCCAGCATCTCGCCCCTCTGCCCCACGCTCCCCACCCCCACCTGTATGACCCCCAGCATCTCGCCCCTCTGCCCCACGCTCCCCACCCCCACCTGTATGACCCCCAGCATCTCGCCCCTCTGCCCCACGCTCCCCACCCCCACCTGTATGACCCCCAGCATCTCGCCCCTCTGCCCCACGCTCCCCACCCCCACCTGTATGACCCCCAGCATCTCGCCCCTCTGCCCCACGCTCCCCACCCCCACCTGTATGACCCCCAGCATCTCGCCCCTCTGCCCCACGCTCCCCACCCCCACCTGTATGACCCCCAGCATCTCGCCCCTCTGCCCCACGCTCCCCACCCCCACCTGTATGACCCCCAGCATCTCGCCCCTCTGCCCCACGCTCCCCACCCCCACCTGTATGACCCCCAGCATCTCGCCCCTCTGCCCCACGCTCCCCACCCCCACCTGTATGACCCCCAGCATCTCGCCCCTCTGCCCCACGCTCCCCACCCCCACCTGTATGACCCCCAGCATCTCGCCCCTCTGCCCCACGCTCCCCACCCCCACCTGTATGACCCCCAGCATCTCGCCCCTCTGCCCCACGCTCCCCACCCCCACCTGTATGACCCCCAGCATCTCGCCCCTCTGCCCCACGCTCCCCACCCCCACCTGTATGACCCCCAGCATCTCGCCCCTCTGCCCCACGCTCCCCACCCCCACCTGTATGACCCCCAGCATCTCGCCCCTCTGCCCCACGCTCCCCACCCCCACCTGTATGACCCCCAGCATCTCGCCCCTCTGCCCCACGCTCCCCACCCCCACCTGTATGACCCCCAGCATCTCGCCCCTCTGCCCCACGCTCCCCACCCCCACCTGTATGACCCCCAGCATCTCGCCCCTCTGCCCCACGCTCCCCACCCCCACCTGTATGACCCCCAGCATCTCGCCCCTCTGCCCCACGCTCCCCACCCCCACCTGTATGACCCCCAGCATCTCGCCCCTCTGCCCCACGCTCCCCACCCCCACCTGTATGACCCCCAGCATCTCGCCCCTCTGCCCCACGCTCCCCACCCCCACCTGTATGACCCCCAGCATCTCGCCCCTCTGCCCCACGCTCCCCACCCCCACCTGTATGACCCCCAGCATCTCGCCCCTCTGCCCCACGCTCCCCACCCCCACCTGTATGACCCCCAGCATCTCGCCCCTCTGCCCCACGCTCCCCACCCCCACCTGTATGACCCCCAGCATCTCGCCCCTCTGCCCCACGCTCCCCACCCCCACCTGTATGACCCCCAGCATCTCGCCCCTCTGCCCCACGCTCCCCACCCCCACCTGTATGACCCCCAGCATCTCGCCCCTCTGCCCCACGCTCCCCACCCCCACCTGTATGACCCCCAGCATCTCGCCCCTCTGCCCCACGCTCCCCACCCCCACCTGTATGACCCCCAGCATCTCGCCCCTCTGCCCCACGCTCCCCACCCCCACCTGTATGACCCCCAGCATCTCGCCCCTCTGCCCCACGCTCCCCACCCCCACCTGTATGACCCCCAGCATCTCGCCCCTCTGCCCCACGCTCCCCACCCCCACCTGTATGACCCCCAGCATCTCGCCCCTCTGCCCCACGCTCCCCACCCCCACCTGTATGACCCCCAGCATCTCGCCCCTCTGCCCCACGCTCCCCACCCCCACCTGTATGACCCCCAGCATCTCGCCCCTCTGCCCCACGCTCCCCACCCCCACCTGTATGACCCCCAGCATCTCGCCCCTCTGCCCCACGCTCCCCACCCCCACCTGTATGACCCCCAGCATCTCGCCCCTCTGCCCCACGCTCCCCACCCCCACCTGTATGACCCCCAGCATCTCGCCCCTCTGCCCCACGCTCCCCACCCCCACCTGTATGACCCCCAGCATCTCGCCCCTCTGCCCCACGCTCCCCACCCCCACCTGTATGACCCCCAGCATCTCGCCCCTCTGCCCCACGCTCCCCACCCCCACCTGTATGACCCCCAGCATCTCGCCCCTCTGCCCCACGCTCCCCACCCCCACCTGTATGACCCCCAGCATCTCGCCCCTCTGCCCCACGCTCCCCACCCCCACCTGTATGACCCCCAGCATCTCGCCCCTCTGCCCCACGCTCCCCACCCCCACCTGTATGACCCCCAGCATCTCGCCCCTCTGCCCCACGCTCCCCACCCCCACCTGTATGACCCCCAGCATCTCGCCCCTCTGCCCCACGCTCCCCACCCCCACCTGTATGACCCCCAGCATCTCGCCCCTCTGCCCCACGCTCCCCACCCCCACCTGTATGACCCCCAGCATCTCGCCCCTCTGCCCCACGCTCCCCACCCCCACCTGTATGACCCCCAGCATCTCGCCCCTCTGCCCCACGCTCCCCACCCCCACCTGTATGACCCCCAGCATCTCGCCCCTCTGCCCCACGCTCCCCACCCCCACCTGTATGACCCCCAGCATCTCGCCCCTCTGCCCCACGCTCCCCACCCCCACCTGTATGACCCCCAGCATCTCGCCCCTCTGCCCCACGCTCCCCACCCCCACCTGTATGACCCCCAGCATCTCGCCCCTCTGCCCCACGCTCCCCACCCCCACCTGTATGACCCCCAGCATCTCGCCCCTCTGCCCCACGCTCCCCACCCCCACCTGTATGACCCCCAGCATCTCGCCCCTCTGCCCCACGCTCCCCACCCCCACCTGTATGACCCCCAGCATCTCGCCCCTCTGCCCCACGCTCCCCACCCCCACCTGTATGACCCCCAGCATCTCGCCCCTCTGCCCCACGCTCCCCACCCCCACCTGTATGACCCCCAGCATCTCGCCCCTCTGCCCCACGCTCCCCCCCCCCACCTGTATGACCCCCAGCATCTCGCCCCTCTGCCCCACGCTCCCCACCCCCACCTGTATGACCCCCAGCATCTCGCCCCTCTGCCCCACGCTCCCCCCCCCCACCTGTATGACCCCCAGCATCTCGCCCCTCTGCCCCACGCTCCCCACCCCCACCTGTATGACCCCCAGCATCTCGCCCCTCTGCCCCACGCTCCCCACCCCCACCTGTATGACCCCCAGCATCTCGCCCCTCTGCCCCACGCTCCCCACCCCCACCTGTATGACCCCCAGCATCTCGCCCCTCTGCCCCACGCTCCCCACCCCCACCTGTATGACCCCCAGCATCTCGCCCCTCTGCCCCACGCTCCCCACCCCCACCTGTATGACCCCCAGCATCTCGCCCCTCTGCCCCACGCTCCCCACCCCCACCTGTATGACCCCCAGCATCTCGCCCCTCTGCCCCACGCTCCCCACCCCCACCTGTATGACCCCCAGCATCTCGCCCCTCTGCCCCACGCTCCCCACCCCCACCTGTATGACCCCCAGCATCTCGCCCCTCTGCCCCACGCTCCCCACCCCCACCTGTATGACCCCCAGCATCTCGCCCCACTGCCCCACGCTCCCCACCCCCACCTGTATGACCCCCAGCATCTCGCCCCTCTGCCCCACGCTCCCCACCCCCACCTGTATGACCCCCAGCATCTCGCCCCTCTGCCCCACGCTCCCCACCCCCACCTGTATGACCCCCAGCATCTCGCCCCTCTGCCCCACGCTCCCCACCCCCACCTGTATGACCCCCAGCATCTCGCCCCTCTGCCCCACGCTCCCCACCCCCACCTGTATGACCCCCAGCATCTCGCCCCTCTGCCCCACGCTCCCCACCCCCACCTGTATGACCCCCAGCATCTCGCCCCTCTGCCCCACGCTCCCCCCCCCCACCTGTATGACCCCCAGCATCTCGCCCCTCTGCCCCACGCTCCCCACCCCCACCTGTATGACCCCCAGCATCTCGCCCCTCTGCCCCACGCTCCCCCCCCCCACCTGTATGACCCCCAGCATCTCGCCCCTCTGCCCCACGCTCCCCACCCCCACCTGTATGACCCCCAGCATCTCGCCCCTCTGCCCCACGCTCCCCACCCCCACCTGTATGACCCCCAGCATCTCGCCCCTCTGCCCCACGCTCCCCACCCCCACCTGTATGACCCCCAGCATCTCGCCCCTCTGCCCCACGCTCCCCACCCCCACCTGTATGACCCCCAGCATCTCGCCCCTCTGCCCCACGCTCCCCACCCCCACCTGTATGACCCCCAGCATCTCGCCCCTCTGCCCCACGCTCCCCACCCCCACCTGTATGACCCCCAGCATCTCGCCCCTCTGCCCCACGCTCCCCACCCCCACCTGTATGACCCCCAGCATCTCGCCCCTCTGCCCCACGCTCCCCACCCCCACCTGTATGACCCCCAGCATCTCGCCCCGCATCACGCGCACCGCCTCCGCCAGCTGCCGCAGCTGGGGGGCACCCAGGCGGTCTAGCAGCTGGATGGTGGGGAGAGGAGGGAAGGAGTGGGGGAAGGCCAAGGTGACAGGGAATAGCGATATGCGGTTAGTTGCAATGGGCTGTCAGTGAAGCTGTTAGACGCAGAAGATGGAGGGAAGGAAGGGAGTGGGAGGGAGGGGCAGCCACAATCTAGCAAAGGTAACACATGCAGCGACCAGGACTGATATGATTTAGGCGAGCGGATTGGTTTGGGCATACGTCAAGCCGGGTGGGCGGCCATCATTCTCCTCCCCACCTCTTTCCCCACCTCCCCACCTCCCTCTCCCCCCTCCTACCTTGAGCAGCGGCAGGGGTGTGATGAACACGTCCGCCAGCACCTGTCCGAACGTGTTGACCGCCCAGAGCACCCGGTCCTGGGGGGCGGAGGAGTCGGAGGCAGCGCCGGACAGGTCCCTGGTCAGGGGGGGAGGGAGGGGGGTTATGAGGAGGAGGGGAGCGGGCTTTGCAGCCGCGTTTCGCAGGATGGGGAGGAGAGGAGGATGAAATGAAGCGGCAGCAGGTGGTGGGGAAGCAGCAGAAGAGCGTGAGCGGAGTTCCAGGGAGTTGGTTCTTCGGAGTTCGGACACACGGCACCCTTCCAGAGCCGCAGTGGCAGCAGCTGGCAGCCGGCTGCAGCGACAGCCACACAGCCGCTGAGCTCATTTGCCCGCGTCTCCCGGTCCTCCCCTCCCCCCACCTCCCCCCCACCTGCGCACCCGCTCCACCTGCCCGAAGTCGTGACTGAACGCCACCAGACCCACAATGTCCAGTGTGAGCCGCTGCGTCTGGGTGGAGATGTCGGTGACTAGGCTGCCTGGCCCTGCACCTGCACCTGCTGCCCCGCCTGCGGTGGCTGCGGTGGCTGCGGAGAGCCAGATGTCGGCCAGGCGCTGAGACCTGCGGTGGGTGGGTGGAGTAGGGATGGTAAAGGGAGGCAAGGAGGAAGGCATGGGTGTCATACGTGCTCCGTGCCTACAAGCATTTGGTCTGCTCCTGCCTCACCCGCTCCCCCACCCACCCGGCCCCCGCACCTGTCCACCACCACGGACGAGAAGCGCTGCAGCTGGGCCCGGTTGCGGAAGGGGCCGGAGCACAGCCGCCGGTGCCGCGCGTTGTACTCATCCTGCGTTGTCGTTGTTGGAGGGGGGTGGCTTGGGATTGGAGCGGAAGCGGAAAGGGTTGGGGAACCATGGGGATCCAAACTCCTGCCCCCAAAAGGGGCTCCCAACCCTCGGAGCCTCCCCAGCTCCCCCTCCCGCCATGACATTGATGCGTCACTCACATATTCTCCTCTTTTCCCACCTCTCCCAAAACCCCAAAACCCCACCCCACCTGCGACCCCAGCAGCCCCTTGCCGTGTGTGACGTAGGCGTATATGTCGGGCAGGTAGCGGCGGCCGTAGTTGCGCACATTGGATGCGGCCACGTGTTGGATGGCGTCCGGGGAGTTGAGGAAGACCCAGGAGGTGGCGCCGTTGAGGGAGGCGGGGTTGGCGAACCTGGAGAGGCGAAGGGAAGGAGGGGGCGGGTGGATGGTGAGAGGAGGGGGAGGGCGAGTGGGAAAGGAAAGGCGAGAGGCGAGGGAACATGGGAGGAGGGAGGTGGCAAGGGAGGAAGGAGAGGGGCGGGGATTAAGGTATGGCAGCTTGGCAGGGCAGCTTGGGTTGGACCGATAGTGGTGGTGTGAACGGCTGCTGTATGAGAATAGAGGGACAGGGGATAAGGAAAAGCGCAGAACGGGTGGGGAAATTGGAATCGGCCAGTGCAGGTACATGAGGATTTGAACCCTAACCGCGGTCAGACCCTTTGAAACATGTTCATGAATATTAAACTAAGCTTATCCCGTAAACGCAAGGTAAAGAAATTCCTTCCTAAAACCCTAAAACCCTAAATTCCTGCATTTTGGAACGAATACCGGTAGCTTTTCAAACATTCGCACCTGCAGATGGGGCCGTATTTCTGACTGAACCGCAACATGGCGACATGGAGGCCCTCAAAGAATATAATGCTTACGTCCTTTAGCGCTTCAAGGCTAAGCGGCGGCGGCCCCGGAATAGGGCGCAAGGCAGCCGGGGCAGCGGTTGGGGCGATGACGGCAGATGTTGCAGAGACGGCATTCGCGGAAGCCCCCGAAAGGACATTTGAAAGCTGGTGGACGGGGCATTTTGATGTTTGCGAAGATGAAGGCGCTTGCGTAGACGCCTCTATGGCGGATGAGGCTGCAGATGGCAAAAGCTGTGCTCCACGCGCCGGCAAGTTATTTCGACTTAAAGCTGGCCGCCGCAGAAGCGGCTCATGTAGCGGAGAGTGACGCCAGCTGCTTGCCAAAGGCGATGCTGCTTGCTGGGCGACAACCCGCCTTTCGGGCTGCTTAGCCCTACGCGCTGTTTGTTCAGATACGCTGCAGCATGGCCCTGATACGAGAACGCTCATGTCGACTTACGGTGATACCGGTATGTGCGCGATCCCAAGATTAGGATGAGTGCTGGAGAAAATACTGCGTAGCGAGGGCCTGTCGGTTGCGTTGAAGATCACCAAATGTGCTGTTTTCTTAGCCCTTGTGTCGTGATGCAAAAGACGACACTCCTGACTATGGTACTTCGCGCAATGCCAGGGCAGATTCGCTCCCCGGCCTTCATCTCTCGTACACGGGACGAGCGGCGGGAGAAGCAAGCACTGGCTCCTTGAGAAGGCAATGGTCGTTTTTCGCTAACCTTGCATTATGCAGCATAAATATATACGCTTGTTTGATCGATCTATGTTGAAACTGTCCCTCTTCGGGCATTCCGGTACAGTTGCACGTGTTTGGACACCACGGTACAGGGGCCGCTTTGCGCATAACGAAAGCGTTTCTAATACAATACAAAGGCTAACAATACGCTCAATTACATGTCTGCGGGATACATCTTTGCTTGGGGCTTCCACATACTTCTCGATGGCGCATGCCGTTCCTTGTCAATGTTGGATTCTTACGTTTCTTTGAAAAAGCATATTGGCATACTGCCCAGTTAATTCGGGTATGCGTCTTCAATGCTTCAGGCCTTGGGTAACCAGGTTCTTGCAGCAACCCACCGCATTGCCGCAGGGGTATGGTCTACGGTGGGCTCTGCGTTTCTTTGTTTCCCACAGGTCTGTCGTATAGCACCAACTCCCGCGACCAACTCCTTTTCATGTCTTGCTTCCACATCCCACACCATTCCACCCTGGGCATCTGCAACACAGGTTGCTCGACCCTCCGTTGTCCCCCAACCAAGACCAAGCCCCCTTGTGATCAAGCTGCTCTTTCGCCCGCAGCACATCGTGCCAAAGTTGCTTCCCTAATGAGAACGGCAGTGCATCATAATATAGGAAAGCCAGTGGCTGGCGTGGCTTAGAAACTTGGGCCAGAAGTAATGTGCTCACAAGAAGCTGCTACCAAACCTAGGATAGCACAATGCCGCCCTAATGCAGGAGTGCAGCAGCATCGTGCCTGCTGCGCTATACTGGTGCCGTACCTTCAACTAAGCCTAACTACGGTTTGTTGGCCCGCCTGATACTGCGTCCCCGCCGGCCTCCCCCTGACCCTGGTTTGTTTTGCCTTTGACAACCCCTATGGTTGCTTTTAGCTTAGGATCGCGCAAATGTCGATAGCCTTGAGGCCGTTGGGCACTGCTGTGACACAACGCAGCAGCTTGGCAGTTGCTCTGTACAATAGTTTGTTGCTTCTTTCGCGGGCTTGGCCTGTGTGATGTTTACCCCTCGCGGGCTTGGTGTTTGTGGTGCTGTGGCCTTGCGGGCTTGGTTTTCGGTGGTTATGTGTCTGGCATGGCTCCTTGTTTTTTGCAGGGCATGTCCCTGGGGTAGGTTGCTTGGTTGCGGCTGTCTAGCGTGTACCGCTAGCGATTGGGTCTCTTGTACGGCTTTCCGGCTTTCAGGAGCTCCGGTCCCCCTTGTAACTTTCGCATTCTAACTGACCCAACCTGGCTTTGCTGAGCAGAGGCAACGCTTTCCTTACGCTGATTCAGCAGGGCACAAGGGCAGGGGAGGTAACAAACTTGACATACCCACCCGCTTACATCACGGTGGACTACCCCAAACCCAGCCTGGCTTCAAGCCGTGAGCTGTCACATTGAGAGCATTCGGCCACGCAGTATCAACACCGGTAGATCATCACGTGTAAATCATGGTATAGGACGGTGTAAACACAACCCGCATTTTGCGACGGTGACCATGCCACCAATGGGCAACTCAATCTCAGCCCGTTGCCAGCAACCCAGACCCAATTTGCTAATATATCTTAGTATTGTATTCTGATGAAGAATGTTAAGTCAACTAAAACTGGTGTTGGTCGCTATACAGCTGACAGGAAGGCAAGAAGGCATTATGTGGAAGGATGTGTTCATTTTAGGCTGGATGTATACACTACTAAATATAAAAGCTCTGACCCAGAAATCACTGGGGCTATAAAAATTTAAGGCTCGCAGTCCAGCTGCTCGTCAGCAATAGCCAAACTTGTAGTCAAAGAGCGAAATGAACGCCGTCTCTCTTGCATAGCAGTAATGTTCCTTATAGTCTGTTTCCTGTTGGCCACAACTAGGGATAGAGCGAAAACCAAGTGCTGGGCGCTGGCTAGCTATCGTGCACTATACGGAAAGGAAAGGAGCAAAGGACCATCCCGTTGTACATCCTCGCTGACCCAATTAGCTTGAGTTGCCAGCTTTCTAAGGTTTCGTTTCAGCTCTTTATTGCATCTATATTGACTTACTGCACCGAAAGCATACATTGCCGTTGAAAGACTTTTTCACAGTTGGAAGGGACCAAAGCAGCTATTTGGCCCTTGTAGTGTCAGTTCTACTTTATACAAATGTGCTGAAGAATGCATAGATGACGGACGTAAATAGCGCTAGAGACGTCGACGCGTCCCCAGACTTCACCAATTCTTGGCCGCAAGCCTTGTGCCTAGAGGTTAATTTAGGACCTCAGGCACCTTTCTTTTGCTCTCATATCATTCTACACGTAAACCACTTCATCGTTGAAACGTTCCGGAAGACCTTGCAGCTTCGCAACGCGGCTCGAAGGGACTCCACGGCCTACTAGTTAGGAGAACCATGTATGCACCCAGCTCAGCGGGCGGGAGTGTTTTCTCCAAAAGATTCAGGTATGCCTAGTAGTGAGTTAGATGGCTAGATGTTGGCGGCAGCAATGGATGACCAGACAGTTGCTGAGTGGGTATAAACATGTGCGGCATAGATAGCGTTGTATCCCCCAAGCCTCCAGCATCCTGACAGCCAATGTCCGCGCGATATTGCTGGACCCGACTGTGCGCATAACCGAGGCATGTTCTTGGCGATACCCTTTCAAGTTACTCACTTTGAAACCTAGGGGCTATTGACCAGGGGTTGTGTTTCTGGAGTGTTCCTGGCGGGTCAGGGCGTGTCCGCAGCTTTGGCACTGCTAGCGATTGTCAGTTGGCAATCCACCCTGGTGGCACCATGTGACCGCTATTTCCCAGGTTGGGTTCGAAGAATGCTGACGCCGCCGCTGGAGGCCGTGGGGGTGAGGACCTTGACCCCCACCAGGCCAGTATCGAACATGCGATCTTCGGAGTGCTTTTTACGCTCAGGTATGTCGTACTCTTGACGTACAAAGACCCGCCGTACTCATTCCCAGCGTAAGACGCTCCCTGGACTTCAGAAGGAATCCTTCTCCCCCGCACTGTATAGCCATAATGGCTTGGTGTCGAGCACCGCGCATACTCCATCACCTGCTTCCTCCGCGTAGACTTGACGTGCAACGCGCACCCATTTCCCGTCCCTTCTCCACCCTTGCCTACCGGTACCCTCGCTCCCCTTGTTTCCTTGTTTCCTCCCTCCTCCCTGCAGCAAGGAGAACAGCGAGACACGCATTGTGATCCGCTGGGTGCTCCTGAAGATCCTGCTGGACGGCTGGCAGCTCTTCACCACCGTCATAAAGCCCAGTCAGGGGTGGGACATGCGGGAGGACGGGAAGGCGTGGAAGGTGGTCAGCGTGCTCAGCTTCAACTGGCTAGCAGACCTGGTGAGCGGGATAGATGGGGGGATGTGGGCTGGGTTGGGAGGCCTGGGGAGGGGCGTGTGTGGGACCGGCACGCCATTTAGCGCCTGGACGCACAGACGAGCTACCGGTAGGAGGGGAGGAACGAGACGTCGGCATGGAGCACCTGCCGGCGCATTGAGTACCTGTTGCACTGCGCAGTGCACAGCGCGCTTATGCGGACCAGCGCAGCAGCTGCTGCGGACTGCCGACGGCTGGTGGCCTCTCTGCCACTGCTCCCCTCCTTCCCACCCCATGCATGGTCTTCACACCCTCCCCTCCCCTCCCGTGCTCCCCCCGTCCTCCCCTGCTCCCTCCCCCCCAGGGTTACAGTGCCTACGTGGCGCTGCTGTACGGCATGGTGGCACTGCTGGCACTCAACATCGCCCTGTGCGTGTGGGTGGCCTGGTGCTTCAAGGAACAGAAGTTCCCCGTGGTGTGGCCCATCAAGGTGGGGTGCGGGGTGGGGTGGGGCAGGCTGAGGAGGGGAGGGGAGACGTGGGGGAGGGAGGGGCAGGCAGGCAGCGGAGGAGGGGGAGAAGGGGGGGAGGTGGACAGCGGAGTTAGGTAGGGGCGGCCAACCTCCCCTCCCAGCAGAGGCTGGGGCATGGCTGGAGATGCAGGGGTGGTGACGCTGCCGCACCATGAGACGAGGGAAGGAGGGCGCGTGCTTGTGCTTGCCGCTGGAAGGAGCACCCCATGATGTCGTAACCCCATGCGCTCACAACCCATGCTGTCGCCTCTGTGCTGCTGCTCTCCCTCCCTCTAGGTGCTCCGCCTCTTCTCCAGCGTCTTCTTCCAGGCCTTTGACGTGGCCTCGCTGAACCTGCTGCAAGTGAGTGGGGACAGGCAGGAGCGGGGAGGGGTATAGGGAAGGTAAAATGGGAGGGCCTCAGCCTCTCTGCGGCGGTTCTGTGGGGACTTCATCTTCCGACAATCACAGTACGTTCCTATTCGCAGCCAGTTTTCTTAACACACACCTTTCCCGTCCCCACTCACCCAACGTGTGCCCCATGCCCTCCTGCTCTCCTCCTTCCCCCCCCCCTCCAGGTGGGTATCTCCTGTCGGCTGACCGGCCCCACCAAGCCGCATCTGCACCTGGACCTCTTCCCCGCCTACAGTGAGTGCGGGGGGCAGGGGGCTGGGGGAGGGGCATAAGGAGGCAGGGGGCAGAGGGGTGTCAGGACGCGCCCCTGCGCCCGCGGGGGGCAGTCCGACAGTCCCGACCCGACCCGTCCTCCCTTGGAGGAGCCTTGCCGCGTACCTATTGATTCCCCTTTAACCAGTTCCTCCCCTCTCACCCGCCCGTGCACACGCATGCATGCAGGCTGCGCCACGATGCCTCAGGTGGTGCATGCGGTGGTGTCGGGGGCCAGGTAGGCAGCAGCAGCGCACCGGGAGGGCGGGAAGGGAGGGAGGAGGGGATCACAAGTGCCTCTGCTACTCGTGATAATGGGGTAGCCATCCCGCGCCGCATCTCAAGTGGTGCCCCTGCTGGCGGGGGTCACCCATCACGTGCCATCATTAGCCTAGCAATCCGGGCAGCACTCCTCCCCTGGCACCGCCTCTCTAGTGGAGGATCGCACCAAGCGCTCACCTTTGCCCCGTCCCCCCTCCCTGTGTGCCTCCCCCTCCCCCCGCCCCCCTGCAGTCTGCTGGTGTTCATCCTCCTGGCGCTGCTCACCAACATGGCGGAGGTGGGGGTGGGGGCGGGCGGCAGCGGGACAGCGGGGGGTGGCGCGGGAGCAGCGGCTGTGACTGCGTTCCGTAGGGTGCATTGGTTATGTGTCGTGGGCCGTTGTGACCATACCCCCTCACCCCCCACCCCGAACCACCCCCCTGTGGCTTCCTATGGTATGGTATGGTCTTTGACCCTCCCATCCCGCATGCGTGCAGGTGGAGGTCAACCCCAAGAGCCGCCGGCCCATGGCTCTGGGCCACAGCGGCGCGGAGGTGTCCGCCTTTGCAATCAAGGTAGGGCGCACAAGCAGGGAAGGGGAGAAGCCGGACAGGCATGCATGCATGCATGCAGCTGCCCAGCTAGTCCGAGCCTGGGTGTTGTCCCGTGCTCTCGTTAGCGACAGACACCCTGCCCAGCTGCCTTGCTGCATGCGGACAGACGGTCACGGACTCCCATGCAACTGATCCCCACCCCCGGCAACCCATGCAACCCACCCCCATGCAACCCATATCCCCACCCCCGCTCCCCTCCCCCACCCTGCGCAGGTGCTCATGACCCTGACGGACGTGGTCTTCGGCTGGCGTCGTGTGGCTGCCTGCTGCTACCTGGCCCTCTCTGTGGCCATAGCCTACCAGTACCTGAGATGGGTGAGGGGGTAGCACCGGGGGTTGCTGTCACGACGGCAGCTCTATGTGCGCCTCAACGATTTCCTCAATCCCGCTCCTTTTCCGTCCGCTCGCATCCCCCTTTTACTCCTCCCGCCTACCTCCCCCCTGCTCTATGACTTGCCGCCTTGGCCACCAACCCTGCTTCTCCCCTGCCCCCCTCCTGTCCCCTCCCCTCCCAGCGGCCTCACCTGGTGGGCTGGGTGAACCACTTGAAGACCGGCGTCTCCATCGCGATCGTGTGGTGCTCCCTCATGCTCGTCATCCTGGTGTTCCAACCCAACGTGCCCGAGCACCGCCTGGCAGCCTGGCAGCGGGGCATGACGGTGGGCATGCTGGCAGGCATTGCACCCGCGCTGGGGGGCGGGGCGCTGCTGTCGTGGCTCTTCCTGCGGAGGACGTTTGCGGCGGCGGACAGGATCATACAGTGAGTGGGGAATGTGAGGTTGGAAGGTGAGGGATGGAAAAAGGGCGGGGCCTGCTTAGCTGGGCAGTAAACGCGGTCGACCTTCAATGGATTTATGAATGGGAGAGTGCTTTCGAGGCCTCCCTCCTACAGCCGCTGAAGTGGTCATGAACTGACATGTGCATATCGATCCCCCCGACCCCCGACCCCACCCACCGCAGGCAGTCTGCTGCCACCAGCACCCCGCTGCAGGACCTGTGTATCGACCTGTGCGCCGACCCGCGGGACGTGGAGACGGTAGCCAGGTAGGGAGGGAGCCCTGGCTGGCTGGGGGGGTGAGATTGGGGGTCAAGGAGAAAGGAGGTGACGAGCTGTGTGACCCCGGCTCTGGGGTCGTGTGGTTGTGACGAGGCCAGAAAGACTAAAACGTAGAAGAAGGGTGCATGCCGGCAGGTGGTCGGGCCGCATGTACCTGTTGGCTTGGGTGAAGAAAACTGGCCGCAACCCCCCACCACCTGTGTATGTGCCCCCCCCCCCTTTCCCACACGCCCTCCACTTCGTCTTCCGGCAATCACAGTACGTTCCGCCTTGCGGCCAGTTTTCTTACCACCACCACCCCCCTCCCTGCCCGCAGGTGCTGCCGGGTGTGGGTGGACCAGCACCACCTGGACAAGGAGGCCATTGCCAAGGCGCAGGCGTACATCAAGGTATACCGGTACAGCACACTGGCACATATTGACATACACGGGTGCTCGCCTGTCTGCCGGCTGCGTCGTTGCCTGCATGCACCCCCTTGCAGGCGTGTCCCCGTGTCCCTGTCTTCCCTTGCCCTCTCTTGCGGTTTTATTCGGTTTGGTTTTCTACTGACCCGTCCCCTCCCTCCTATTTATTCCCCGCTGTCTCTCCCCTGTCTCTCCCCTGTGTCTCTCCGCGGCTCAGTTGGTCTAATCCCCTGCCTCTCCCCTGTCCCTCCCCCCTACCCGCAGGCGGGTCTGGAGCTATTCCCCGGCAATGCCTTCGTGGCGCTGGTGCAGGCCAACTTCATGATAGATGTACTGGGGGTGGCGCAGAGCGGCAGCAGGCATGTGGAGGTGAGGGGGCGGAGGGGGGGGGGGAATAAATGATAGGTGGGGGGAGGGGGACAGGTGGTGCATAGGACTGGGGTATGATGGAGGCCTGCCGGCATGTTGTTCGTGATGTGTTTGGCGTACATCTATTACTGCTCCAACGTGGCTACAACTCCCACCTGTGCCGCATCCCCTCCCCTTCCGCTGACGAGTACCCCCTTCCCTCCCCTGTTGCATTTCTTATATAATTTTGTCCCCTCCCCTCCCCTTCCCTCCACCCCCCTCAGGCCGCCGTGAAGCTGAGTCCCGGCATCGTGACCCGCTTCATGATCTTCGTGCGCATGCAGCAGGCGCAGCAGAAGGCGGTGGGCAGTCACGTGAACGGGGCGGCGGGATCCAGCATGGACCTGCTGGGGTGAGAGGAGAGAGCCGGGTCTGGGGGGGGGGGTGAAGGAGCGGGAGAGGAGGGGGGGGGAAGGTGGGGGAGCGGGCGCGCCAGCAGGGCTGTGTGGGGGACCCCTGGAGGCAGCAGGGGGAGGGCAACTGAGTAGTCCTTTTGGGAGCTGTTCTGGGCTCCGTGGACCCCCCCCCCCCCCAACTCCCACGTGTTCCCTCCTGTTCCCTCCTCCCTCCTAACCAACCGTCCGTTCCTTCCCGTCCGTTCACACCTCCCTCTTCCTCCCCCCCTCTCTCCCTCCCTCCCCCTCCAGCTACGTGGAGTACCAGCGGCGGCAGCGCATGGTGGTGCGGCTGCACAGGGAGGCGCTGCAGGCCATGTGCACCTTCTGGTAGGGGAGGAGGGAGGGGGGGTGAGGAAGGAGGAAAGAGGAGAGAGACGCCCGGCCTTACCTGCCTCCTCCCCCACCTCACTGGGAGGAAGCGCTTGTCCTGCACCCACCCACCCGGTCCCCGGCCGACACTGCCCCCCACCACCCACCCCACATACCAGTCCCAACCCGTCGGGAGCAGCTCTGTGCATGTCACGTTGTCACCCGCCCCTCCCCACTCTCCCCCCCACCCCCCCACATGTGTTCCCCCGCAGGAAGGCGCTGGAGACGCACACCGTGTCCTTCACCAGCCTCAGCAAGGCGCTGGCAAACATTGAGGCATCCGTGTCGCAGGTGGGCACCCCCATACCGGGTGGCGCAGGGTTGCAGCTAACTAGTGCGCAAGACAGCTGTCGGTAGTACTGATCATATAGTGACCCATTGTAAGAGCCCGGAAGATGATGCGGTGGGGTGGCCCGAGCGGAGGTTCAAGGGAGTCCATCAGGGGCATCAACCCAGCAGCAGCAGCTAAAACGTCTTGGAGATGGACGGCTTGACTGCCGTGAATGAGTCATCAACACGCCCAATGCCGTTACCTTCGTGCTATGTCCCTCGTCCCCTCTCTCCAGGCACAAGCGGCGTATCATTTGGTGTTGGAGACGTACGGCAACAGCCCTCGTCTCGTACATTTGTACGGCAGATTCCTGGAAACGGTGAAGAATGACCCGTGGGGCGCTGGAGAGTATTACGCGGAGGCGGAGCGGCTGGAGCAGGCGAAGAATGAGGACAGCAACGGACCGCTGTTGCCGGATGGTAAGAGAAGCTGGGCACACCTCGCCCCTCTCTCTCTGTCTCTCTTGGCGGGTTGGCAAATGGTACTACTACATGGCACTCCAGTGTAACTTCCGCTTCCTACATGGCACTACTACATGTATCGATGCGTCGATGCTCTTTCTTAACTCCTCTAGGTCCTACGACCGCACATTCATTGCGGCACATCTCATCGACTGAGATGCTGCACTGTGTGAAGCACCCACCTTGAACCCTGAGATACGCTACCGGTGCCTGCATGTGCATCTGCCACAACCCTGTGGCAAGCCAGGCCCATTTGGCAAGACCTGTCCTGCCTCCTGGCCTGCAACCCTGCTTGTGCTCCCTCTGTTGCCCTGTTGCCCCACTGCTGCTGCCCCCGCTGCCCGCTGCTGCTGCAGGCACCCCTCTGAGCCGCATGGACGAGCTCACCACGGCGGTGCTGGTGGTGTCCGCCACGGGCGAGATCCAGATGGCCAACAAGCAGGCGCACCACATGTTCGGGTACAAGAAAGGTGGGTTTGAAGGAATCTGGGCGCGAGACGTGTGGGGGTTAAGAGGACCGAAGAGGAAGCTGCCGAGCTGTATGAAAGGGGGGAGGGGGATAGGAGAGCAGGGGAGGATCAGAGAGACTTTTGCTACTGCTGCTTTTGCTCTGTATCCGCAATGAAACCATCAGGAATACGGCTTACTGCAGAGAAGCCTTTAGGAAAGGACTACACGGCATCCAAGATTCCAGCCCAATGCAGCATATCCATACCCTCGCCCCCCCCCCGTCCTCTCCCCGTCCTCCTCCCTCCCTCCCTCCCCCTTATCTATATTTTCCCCCTCCAGGCGACCTGGACGGCAAGTCCATGGCCGCCCTGCTGGCCCCCCAGAGCAGCCGCCGCCTCACCTCCTGCCTGGCAGCCATGGTGGAGCGAAGCATGGAGGGGCAGCTGGGACGCCGCGCCTCCGCCACCGCCGGTGCCCCCGGCGGCACCACCGCCTCGGATGCCGCCGCAGCGCTCAACGACGCCTCCACTGCTGCGGTGCTGGGCATGCACCGGGAGCGGATGGCCTTCCCCATGCGGGTCTCGCTCACCAAGGCTTCGGGTAGGGGGGGAGGGCGGGTGGGGCATCAAACATACCGGTACGATCCCTGTTAGGATGTTAGGATAAGGAGCAGGACACCTGCTCCCGCCTCACTACCGGTATTGCCTGGCTCAATGGTGCCCGTGGTAGCGAACATCGCCGCCTGTGTTCCCCCACCCCACCACCCCACCACTCCCCTCCTTCTTGCACCCACAACACACCCGCCCCGCCCCACCCCGTCTCCCGCCATCCCACCCCCACCCAGGCGCCGGCGAGGACAGTACCTTCATCGCGCTGCTGGAGCCCGTCAGCACCTCCAATGACACCTCCTTCTTCTGGGTGGCGCCAAACGGCATCGTGGCAGCGTGCGACCCGCAGTTCATCGCAAACTTTGGGTAGGTTGGGGGATAGGAAGCCGGGCAAGGGACGTATTGGGATCTAGGATATGCCGGCCATGTCGGCTCTGGCGGGTAAAGAGAAAGTCCAAAGCCCTACCACATGGGCCTCATGCTTCAGCTGTGTGCTGAACTCTGTGCGACATACGGTCTATACGGTAACACGCGCCCATGCCTGATGCCCACTGCTGTGCGTACCACCGCCCTTCCCTCGTTCTCGTTCAACGCATTGGGTATCCTTCTTTTCCACCCTTCCTTCTCAGTTTCGGTCAGTGTTTTCCTAAGGCTCAGTTTATCTAACCCTTCCCTCACAGCTACCAGGCGACCGACGTGTCGGGAGCGCACCTGGAGAGCTTCCTCTCCTGCGGCTCCGCCTCCACCTCCACCCTGCCTGGCGGGGGTGCTGCAGGAGGGGGGGCGGCGGGCAAGGGCGGCAGCGCGGTGCTTCACAGCATGCTGAGCGGCGTGTCGGTGGACGCCTGGGACAGCGAGCCTGTGGGGGGCGACTTGCTGGGGGGAGGCGGCGCGGGGCGGGGCGCGGGCAATGCGCATGTGCTGGACAGGTATGAGGGGGGGGGAGGGGGACCTAACCTGTCACGAGGTGGCTTGGGATTGGGGTTGGGGTTCAACATGTAACGGCATAACTGGGAATGAGTGAATGAATGATTGATACCGCCCCGCTGTCCGCGTGCCTGCCTGACGCAAACATGTTATCCATGTAACACAACTCTTGTAAACGCGGCCCCCCTATCTGCCTGCCTGCCTCCACCCTGTAACACCCCACCAGGCTGCTGGCGCTCACAGCGGTGGACAGTGTCAGCAAGGGCGGCCCGCAGGGGGCCATGTGCCTGGTGTCGCACCGCTACAGCACTCCGGTGCCCTGCATGGCATCCATACGACACCTAGGTGAGGGGGGGCTGCGCGAGGGCTGCAGAGAGCTGCAGAGAGCTAATAGGTAGCCTGCAGGCACATGGGTTCGGATGAGCTGCCTCCTCCACTTCCTCCTCCTCGGCTTCCTAAACGCAACATGCCCTCCTCCTCCGCTTCATGCGGCAGATGATATCTGGGCGCACCCTACCGTGACTTTCCCAAACGTGCAGTAGCAGTGGTAGCAGCAGCACTATTTGCGTACGGGTCGGCGTCCCTTCCTCTGTCCTCTGTCCCTATCCGCCACCGACCCCGTACCTCCCCCCTTCTCACCCCCCCTTCCCACAGACCTGGGCGACGCACCCCTGTTCGAAATCAAGATCCGTCGCGCCTCCCCCGACCCCTTCCTCATGCTCGTCACCGACCGCAAGGGCGCCATCAAATTCTCCACACCCCAGCTCGCCGCTGTGCTCACCGCACGAGACCACACGGTTGCCGGCGGGTTGTTCGCGGAGGGCGGCATGTGCCTCACCTCGCATGGCGACCACCACAAGGCGGGCAGCCACCACTTGGGCGCCAACCACCACGCTGCCGCGGCGGGGGGGCACCACGCCATGGGCAGCGCGCAGGGGCTGATCACGGGTTACACGCTGCAAGACTTCCTGCCGTCGCCATGGAAGGAGATGCATGGCAAGTTGCTCAAGGTAGGGTGGTGGGAGGGGGAGGGGGAGGGTTTCGTAGGGCTGGTCCTCTTGGCCTTCGATTTTACCCCGGCACCTGCCCGACTGAGAGCTTCCCTGCACCCGACTCCCCACACGCCTGCCATCTACATCCCCGCGTTTCCTTACAACCACCCCGCAATACCGCACCCTCCTGCCCTGCCCCCTCGCAGGACCTGAGCACCACCACCACTGCGGGCCGCGCGCAGTGGAGCTGCCGGCAGCAGGCGGGCAGCGGCCCCTCGCTGCAGCTGCACAACACGCACGGGCAGTCGCTGTACATGCATGTCAACGTCTCCTCCTCGGACTCGCTGGGGGAGCTGCAGCATATTGTGCGGTTCGTGAGGTGGGTGGGGGTTGGGTGGGTGGTAGTGGGGTAAGAAGAGGAAACGATCGAGCTGTATGACGAGGGGGCTTCACCATGGGTTGCTGTGCGAACCCGGCACATCCCCACCAGGTGGGGGTGGGGGTGGTAGGCAATTAGCTCTGTCGTGGGCGAGAGAAAACGCTGTCCTGAACGAGTTCATGGCACGTCTTAGCGACGTCTTGGGAATGCTGGAGGTGTCACTCACGCGCGTGTCGCCCCTCCCCTGCGTGTCCCTGCCCCCAGGTCCTCCCTGGAGGGCGCGCTGTCAGAGCGGCGGCTGCGGCTGAGTGTGAACTCGGAGGGACGCATCACGGCGGTCAGTCAGGAGGTCCGACACATGTTCGGGTTCGACTCCAAACAGGTACGGCACGCGGGATGCGACCGGTACCGGTATGACGTATGAGAGGATGCGATGAGAGCCGCCGGGTCCGGGGGGCGGAGGTTTCTTTTCTGAGAAGCGGTTCCACGTAGTGGTTTGCCTTTTGCAAGGTTGTGGAATATGAGTACGCGTTGCTGTGAAACGGAAAGAGAGTTTGGCGGTGGCTATCGCTCATGCACTTATTGGGTCAGTAAGCTGTCTCGCACATGTGCCCTGCAACGGCTGCAAGCACTGCTAGCCACCACTGATCCTTTCCCCCCAACCCATCCGACCCGTGGGTCATCGTGCTCCTCTGTGTCCCCTGCTGTCCAGATGGTGGGTCGGCTGCTGTGGGAGGTGGTGGACGGACTCGACCACCAGATGCTGCTGCGACTGCCCTCCACTGCCAGGCAACACAGCGCGCACAGGGACAACGCGACGTTCTTCGCATCGCTGCTGGAAAGGTGAGAGGTGCCTGGCGTGTGTCGCAAACTTGATGAGGAGGGGGATGTTGCATGCATGCATGGGACACATGCTCTGGTCTCGTTCCTGGTGCACTGGCTTTGACCGAGACTGGGCACCGCGGCATAGCTTGAAAGCCGGCGCTTGTTAGCATGACTGCATTAACAAACCTCCAGTGAAGCCGAGGTATGCCGTACCGCAAATACCCATTCTCCAACCCAGCGCGCATGTTACCATGCCATGCCATGCCAATCCCCCTCCCCCGCCCCTTGCTCAGGGTCCTCCACCTGCCCGCGGGCCGCTCCTGGCGGGTTGCCGTGGCTCCCCCCCTGCATGCGACCTCCCGCACCGGCGGCGTCATAGACCACGCCAACGCGGAACTAGCAGCAGCTCAGAGGGCCTCACGCACCCGCGCGGCCGTCATGCAGATCCACATGCCCACTCTGGCGGCTGAAGACAGCGACTCGGAGGACGCAGCTGCGGCCGGGGGCGTGGGTGCTACCGCTGTGATTGGAGGTGCCGGAGTTGACAGCGTTCCCGGGATGGGTCCCGCAGGGGTTTCAGCGGCAGCAGCAGCAGCGGAAACGGTAACTCTTGCTGCCCCGCCGCCGGCCATGTTTGTTGACCTGTGGCCCACGAACAGCGTTTCCGGGGTGCTTGAGTTGGACCCATTTGGCCGCATTACATCGGTGCTGGAGGAGCACTTGCGACCCGCGGGTCTGTTATTTGGCGTGGCGACGGCGTCGCTGCTTGGGGAGCAGTTGACGCACATGTTGACGTTGCCGGCCGGGAGGGTGGATATCAGCGACCTGCTGTCGGCGAGCGGGCGGAACAAGAAGAGCAGCATGAAGCAGAACCAGAAGGAACCCACCATCAAGGTAAGAGAGCTGAGCCGAGCTGGGAAGGGGCCTCCATAGGTCCGTTTTCCCCGCGACTACCGTACACCCATCCCTCACACACCCGGCCGCCCGCCCCACCCCGCTCCCCTCCTCCCGCCCTCCCGACAGGTCGGTCCGCTGCACGTGCTGCAAGGCATGCACTCCGACGGCCAGCCGCTAGAGGTGGAGGTCCAAGTGGTGGGCAAGCCGGGCGGCGGGCAGCCCCTCACCGCACTCCTGCGCCTGCACGCCAAACCCCTCACCCCCGCACCCATCGCCACACCCCCCGACATGGCCCTGGTACTGCCACCCCCCGGCGCCGTACGCTCCCTAGCCCCCTCCATGATGCCCTCCATGGTCGCCTCGGAAGCCGCCGCCACCGCCACCTTCACCGCAACCGCAACGGAGCGAGATCGGGATCGAGAGCGGCCGCGAACCAGCAGCACCGATCGCGCCATGGCGATGGTAGAAGAAGAGCTGTCACGCAAAAGCGCGGTCATGAGTCCCGCGCCGGGAACGCCGCTGGCTACGGCGCAACGACAGGCGCTAGCGGCCCATGGCCCGGGATCGCAGGGCAGCACCCTGACTAATGCTGTTGCTGCTGCTGCTGCGGCGGCGGCTGTGGCGGCTGCGGCTGGTGTTGGTCCGGGGAGGTCTGGATCGGGTGTGGAGCCGCCGATGCCGCCTGGGGTGGTGTCGGGATCACCGCGGGGGAGTGCGACGGTGGTGCCCTCGACGTCCCTAGCTAAGCGGGAAGGTGAGAGCGGGGGCGAGGGCGGGCGGGTGGGATCTCTCTTGGCGGGCGTTGCAGGCGGGAAGGTGGGGGCTGGCAGATCTCCTCTTTGTGTTGTTTGTGTAACCCAACCCCCCCGGCGTCCTGAGATGCCGATACGGTAGATGCCGATATGGTGCTAAAGGTGTTTGTTGCCGTGCGTTGCGTTTCCGGCATGCAGGGTCTGTGACCAGCCCACCACCGCCGCAGCCCCCCGCCGCGCCCACCGCCATGACCGCCTCCTCTCCCTCGCACTGGAAGGCCACTGCGGTGATTCGGGTGGGCGACAGTGATGATGATGCCAGCGACAAGGACAGCGGGGAGGCGGAGGAGAGAGGGGGAGGGGGAGAAGGGGGCGGCATGCAGCAGGTGCGTGTGTGGGGGGGAGGGGAGAGGAAAGAGAGTGGGGGTGAGAAAGGGGTTGAGAGCGACAGGGAAACTTTGGCTGGGGCTGGCTGGCTTTGTTGCTTATTATAGGGGCGGCGGTCACGACCAGATGGCTTTGCATGGTTGTGCCCGGGACGTATGTGTACCGGTACTGACTGCCGCGCTTTGAACGGCACCGTTGAACTCATCCAGCCGCCCCCGCTCCTCCGCCCGCGCACCCATGCATCCGGCCACTCCTCCTCCACGGCCCCCCCCCTTCAGATGCCCAGCAGTGCCCCCAAGAGCATGCAGCGCGTATCCGACTGGGTGGAGTCCAAGGGCGCCCTCTTCCAGAACTCCGTCTCCGTCAACCCGGGCGGCGGCGGCGGCGGCGGTCTGGGGGGAGCGCTGCGGTCCGAGGGGGCGCTGGGCAGCAAGAGCGACAACGAGGACGAGGAGGACCGGGGTAGTGAGGACGACCTGGTGGTGGTGCCCCGCGGACCCAGCAAGGCGGTCCTGTCATCCAACATGGCGTCGGGAATCAAGAGCGGAGGCATGGGTGGCGGAATGGGAGGAGGAGGGTATCCCGGCTTGGCGGCGAATAACAACTGGACGACCCGCGAGCGCGCGTCCTTGCGGCCCGAGCCTACCGCCGGCAATACCGGTGGGGGGTACATGCCGGCGCAGGAGGAGCCGCGGGCGCAGCAGCAGCAGCTGTTGGAGGCGAATCTGCCGCGCGGAGGCGGGGGTGGTGGGGGAGGGGGGGGAGGCGAGGCGGGGGGTGGTGCTGACTTTGACGATGCGGCGAGTAATGGAGGGCAGAGTGCGATATCCGGGCAGTCGGGTGCGAGCAGCAGCTGGGGGAATGAGTACAAGCGGGGAAAGCGCTTCCGCAACCTGGTCAAACTCATGGATTCGAGCCAGGCAGCACAGGTGGGGAGGGGGTGGTGGTGGTGTGGGGTGGAGGGTAAGGAGGAAGAAACTAATTGAGTCTATAGTGGTGCTGGGTGGGGGTAAATGTGTACAAGGTTTGTGTGTGGGGGTAGGAGGAGCGGGAGGAGGAGGGTGACAGGGAGCACGGAGGTCTAGGGCCTTTGTTTTTCTGGGTACGTGCTCCATGCGCCCTTATCCGGTTTGCTATCCGGTTTGCTGCCGTACCCCCACAGGTCCTGCAGCGCTTCAAGCGGGGTGCGCTGCTGACCATGATTGTGCTGGCGGTGGCGCACACCATTTGCTTCGGACTCATCGTGTCCAGTATCAAGGTACGTGGAGCGGGGGGAAGAACCTGCCTTAAGCCACGTTACAAGTTCACCGCCGCCTATCCCGGGCGCCGGCGCGTATGATAGGGTCCCTTACGGTAGTTTGGGAGCTGCCCATCCAGCCCCTGCCGCCCACTCCGCCCCCCTTCCCGCGCCCCGCCCCCCTTCCCCCCCCCCCCACAGGAGCAGCAGCAGTCCATGGCCAGTTTGGTGGAGGCGGGGCGCTGCCAGCGCATGCTACACCAGGTGGGGGCTGGGGGGGGTCACCAAGGGAGGAACCGCACCAGCTGGAACCCGGAGTGGTGGGTAGAGGGTGTCCGCGCCTCAGCACAGCCCCCTACAGAGCCCCTGGCACTCCCCTGCTGCCGGGCTCTCTCTTCCATGCTCCGCCCCTCCGGCCCCACCCACCCACCCGCTCCGCCCCCCACCCCGCAGGTGCTGGTGGCCACTCGAGCGCTGGACCTGATCTACAAGGGCCGGGCACCATCCAACCTGTACAGCATGAATGACACTGAGGTGGGAAAAACTGCCTCCCTGCCTGCTTCTGGGGGTTGGGGGCAGGTCATGACACATGGGGAGAGGGGGCTGTTTTGTTGTTGGTGGTGGTGCTGCTGCTGCTACTGTGTAATATGGGATGTGTTGTTATGGGCTTGCAGCAGCTGCTGCCTCTTTGCGTCTTTTTGTCCTCAGCTGCTTTGCTGACCGCTTGTGCTATGTAATTGTGCTTTGGCTACTGCTGCTGCCCCACCTACTTTTTACCCTCCGCAGACCTTTGCGGAAAACATCATGACCTTTGCTGCGGGCGTCAAGGTGAGATGACACCTGCCCTCCTCGCCGCCCCCTCGCCCTTGCACCCATCCGTCATGTCTTCTGCTGCCATCAGCCCATCACGCAGGTCCTCCCATCGCTGTCGTGCCACCAACTGAGCCCTATTCTCTTCTCCCTTTACCCCCCCTTCCCCCTTTTCAACACATGGTTTCCCTCCCTTCCCCCTCCTTGCAGGAGTGCAACAACCAAGTTGCGGCCAGCAACCTGAAGCAGCAAATCATCCAGGACATCTACTACTACACGCAGATGACGGTGTGGACGGCCAACAGCAACGGCACGGACGTGTACACCAACACAACGCTCTGGGTGGGTGGGCGGGTGGGGTGGGTGGGGGTTATATGTGAACGGGAGTAGGGGGTCATACAGCCATCCAAGTATGAATTCAGCCCAAGTGAGACCTCCGCCCCCGCCCCCCCCCCTCATTCAACGCATGCTTTTCCTCTTTTGCCCCCCCCTTCCCTGCCCTTCACTGATGTCCATCCCCCCCAGGACATGGCCACCAAGGTGTACATGGCCAGCAAGGACGTCTACCAGAACTACGAGGGCTGGGCGGAGGCGGGGGTCAACATCAGCTCCACCTCCTCGGGGCAGTTCCTGCTCAAGAGCGGGCCGGACCTCTTCAACGGCTTCAGAAACGTGGGTGTATGTGTGTGGGAGCGGGGGGGGGGGGCATCGGCGAAGCCTAGGCTTCAAACACCCCGCGTGTAGTCCTAGCTTCCGCCACCAGTGCCTGCCCATCCCTCCTAGCCCCCTCGCCCCTCACCTTCCCACCCTCCCCATCATACCCCCGCTCCCCCCCCACCCCGCCCCCCTCCTCCAGGTCCTAGACGCGCTGCTCCAGATCGCGGTCCACAACACCCACACCGTCAACAATCTGCAGCTAGCCTGCCTGGCCGCGGAGGGGTGCGGCGTGTCGGTGATGGCTGCGGCGCTGCTGGCCTTCCTGCTGAGGAAGATGGCGGTGCAGCGGTTCACGCTGTACGGCACCTTTTTGTCCATCCCGGTGGGGCTTACCCGGGCGCTGGCGCAGCAGCTGACCAACACACCGCTGCTGGAGGTGAGGTGGGGGGGCGGGGGGGGATGTGTATAGGATCACCACACGCACTGATTTGCATGTTTAACTTGATTGCTGTTTGTTGCCGTATTAACGGGGGGGAGGTAATGTGTCTATAGGAGATAGGACCAACCGCTATGGTGTCAAGGCGGAAGGGGAGGGAAGAGGGGAGGGCGAGGGGGAGGGGGGGAATCGACACGCACTGATTTTCATGCTACTTTGGTTGCTATTTGTTGCCGTGTTAGCTTGTAGTTGCCTCCCGTGGCGGCGGCGATGACGGCCCCCCTTCTCACGTGCAACACACTGTCCTTGCCCTGATGCCTGTGTGATGTTGCCAACAGGAGGAGGAGGACGATGACGACGAGGATGGCATGGATGAGGGGGCGGAGGGAGACCGGGTAAGCGGGTTAGCTGACTGGGTGGCGGGGCACTCCTGCTGCTGGCGCTTGCCGCGGTGCTTACTGGCGCTCCTCCTGCAATTCCACTTCTCCCCGTCCCTACCCCTCATGACTTGCGAACTCCACGGGTTGCCACTAACCTTGGCAGCTAACAACACGTCTTCCTTTATTCACCCTTCCCTCACTCACCCTTCCCTCACCCCCACCAGGGACATGGTCACGGCATGCACGGCGGCGGTGACACCGGCGGGGGTGGCGACGCCAGCCTCAAGCAGCGCCGCCACGCCACCCTGGAGCCCAGCTCCTCAGAACCCCGCGGCGGCGGCGGAGGGGGCATGCTGCTGTCACAGTCCCAGCTGCCCTTCGTGGGCTCACCCGGGCCGCACGGCGGGGGGCGGCCTCCGCACCCCCACATGTCACACAATGAGAGCACCAACATGTCGCAAAGCAACTTCACGCTGGGAAGCGGGTTGGGAGGAGTGGGAGGGGGGCTGAGGTCGCCGCCGGTGGCTGCGGGAGGGCTGCGGCCGCTGCGGTGGTGGTCGGGGGTGTGGAGCAGGATGATGAGCTGCATGCCGTGCGTGCGGAGGAGGTGGGTGCGGGGAGGGGGGTGCGGGGAGGTGGGAGGGGTGGGGGTGGGAAGAAGGTGTGCGGCGTGTGCTGGGATAAGGACTGGGGAGTGCGCGGGTTCCCCTCGGGGCGCTGTGTTGCACTGTTTCCCTCCCCCCTCACTCCCTCCTTCCCCCCTGTTTCCTCATTCTTTCCCGCCCCTCTCCCTCCCTCCTCAGGACTCACGTGTTGCCCTGGGGCGGCGCCGAGATGCTGTCCCCCTCCGTGGGCCGCTCCACCTCCATGGGGGGAGGCGGCGGGCACTCATCCAGCCACCCCTCCCACCACAAGCGCGTACTCAAGGCCGACAGCAACGACAACCTGAAGCTGCTGCTGCCGTTCGTGATGTGGTCCTGCCTGGTGGTCATCTTCTACGCGGTGGCGGTGGTGGAGCTGCAGGGCGTGAGCCCGCTGGTGGCGGTGGCGAGTGTGAGCAACTTCAACACGGCTCGGACCTACCGAGCATGCTTCTTCGCACAGGTGGGGGGTTGGCGCCGGTGGCGGGGGGGGGAGTGGGGCGCAGCAGCGGTGCAGCAGTGGTGGGGTATAGGGGGAGGGGCCTGCAATGCGCTGCAAGGAAGGAGGGTCTTGGACATGCCTACAAGCCCATCTTGTAACCGGGTTTCTTACTGACCCCACTCCCTCTCCACTAGTATCATTTACACACCACACTTTGGAATTTCTTTTTTCCCCACTCCCCACTCCCTCCCCCCAGGAGCTGGCTGCCGAGGAGGACGTCAGCAAGCTGGCCGCCCGCCGCGCCACGCTGCTCAAGGTGGGCACCATGCTGAAGGACGCCTTCTACACGCTGCAGCTGGGCAAGGAGGCGTGGAGGGCGCTGGGTGAGAGGGGGGGGCGGGGGCGGGGGCGGGGAGGGATTAGGCGAACTGAGCCGTGAGGAAACACTGACCGTGACCATAGGACGACTGGGGAGGGAGGGAGGGAAGCGGGGTGCTAGCCTCGTTTCACGCACAGGCGGTGACGGCGGCCTGCGCACGAAGACGGTGCGCTTCATCTCTCGGCAGCCTCCCTTCTCCCATCCGCCTACCTACCTACCTACCTACCTATGTGAACCCCCCTCCCCCTCCTCGCAGGCAACGCCACGGAGCAGTTCCCGCTGGTCACCAAGGGCCTCTCCTACGAGACCACCGCCATGCAGCGCCTCTTCTACTCCAACACCGGCTGCCTGCGCCAGGTGCCGAACCTGCCCTGCCCCGGCCCCTCCTACCGCTTCTACGAGGTGACGCATGCGGGCCTGGACAGCATCATGCAGAACTACCTGAGTCATGTGATGGGGATGGCGCACGAGGTGTACGACACCCGCCTGGGGCTGGCTAACCCGAGGTTGGACTTCATATACAACGTGGGAACCAAGGTGGGTGGGGGGAGGGGGGCAGTGAGCAGGGAGCAGGGAGGGAGAGGACGGCTTGGAAGGAGGGAGGGGGGCTTGCAAGGTGGGAAGCGGGTGGGGCGGTGCAGCACAGTCGCCCGCCTCCTCCTCCTCCTCCCTTGGTATCTCTCCTGCCGCCCATTGACACAATGCCAGCTTTCTTAACACACTCCCCCTCTCCACACCTATTCCTCCTAATCTGCGCTCTCCGACCCCTCTCTCACCCTGTTGCTGCTGCTGCCCCCTGCCAGGACCTGACTGACGCCAACGTGCAAGTGGGTCAGCTGCACTTCGAGCACATCCGGGCGCTGTTCAGCCGTAAGTGGGTTGGGATTGGGGGCGGTCCGGGCCGGGGATTCTTGGTAGGCCTGCCTCACGCTGCCTGTCTCTGCCTGGCCCTGCCTTCCTGGTTAGCCGCCTAGCCTCCCCTCGGACGATGCGGGTCGTAAACGGCTGTCAGAGCTGCAGCGCGTTTGCTTTCCTGTCTTCCCGCACCCGTCTGCCTCCCTCTGCCTGCCTCTCTCCCCTCCCTCACACACCTCCCTGCCTCCTTCCCCATCTCGGCCTTCTCGCCGCTGATTGGTGGTCCATTTCTTCACTTCTTCTCTCCCTTCCCCCCTCCCCCTTCCCCCCTCCCCCCAGAGATCCTGCTGCTGCACATCATCCTGTTCGTGCTGCTGTGGTTCTTCCTTGTGGGCTTCCTGGGGCTGCTGCTCAACCCGCTGATCACACGGTTCATGCGGGAGGTGAGCTGCAGCGGGAGGGGGGGCAGGGTGATATAGGCGCAGTACTGTGCCGGGCAGGGGGAGGGGCTGGAGTAGAAGGTGTGGGAAGTGGATGAGGTGGAGGGTTGGGTAAAGAGGGGACCGTGTGAGGACCATACCGGCATATAGGCAACCAACCAGGTGGGATGTTACCCCGCGCTCCCCTTCCCCACCACCACCCCCAACCCTCTCCCCAACCCGCTGCACCCACTCACAGAAACGTCGCATCGCCGAGCTCATGAGTCAGCTGCCCCTCGAACTAGACGTGGAGAAGCTCGTTAAGGCAGCTCTCGGAGCCTCCAACGGGGAAGCTGGCGGCGCTGCAGGCGCTGCCGGCGGTGCCGCAGGCGCCTCCGCTCCCAATGGCAGCGTGTCCCCGGGTCCCGACGGCTCCATGCACCCCGGCCTGCCTCCGGGCGCTGAACACCAGAGCCATGCGGACGCGGCGCGGGCGTGGAAGATGGTGCTACGGTCCGCCTCCGCAACCGTGGCGCAGTCCAAGGAGCGGCGGACGTCGGCGTTGGGGCTGGCGGCGGCTCCGTCGATGATGCAGGGCGAGCGGCGCGCTTCCATGATGGGTCTGCCCGCCACGGGATCGGTGGTGGCGCGGTAGGGGGGAGGTATGGGGCAGGGCGGCGTGGAGGTGTGAGGGTGAGGGTGGAGGTTAGGATGAGGAGGCTGCTGAGATGAGGCAGCAGGGGTGCGATGGTGTTATGGCAGGTTATGGAGGTGCATAGCAAATTCCTCACAAGGGAAATCAGTGTGGGTAATATTAAACGTACGTGTTCAAATGATCGCCGCAGCAGGGGTGTGATTGGCCGTGTGGGCATGAACCCCTCCTGCGCGCGCTGTGAGACTTCTGCCTTCGAAGCCCCCATGTGATATGCCGTTTTAGTAGCGTAAGGGGATGGTGGTGATATGGTAAAACGGTTCTATAGGCATTGCGGTAGTGCTGGTGGATATGGATTTCGGTTGTAGTGGCGCGTGATTGGACACTGGTGTGTGCGGTTTGGTGTGATGCATCTGTCTGGGTCATGCAGCTCTCCTCTGGGAGGACCAGCACAGGGAGGAGTATTGCGACAGGGGGGCAGGCACGCACACGCGCCCCTCCTCCTGCATGCGTTATTGTGTATGTATGTGTGTGTACTAGTACTGCACATGCTGGGGCCCCGCCCTCTTGTGCTGTGCGGGCCCTGCATAGCTGTGCACGAGTTCCCTAGCCGTTTCCACTTGCTGGCTATTGGCAGAGCGTCATCTGCTGAAGCGTGTTGGGTGCGGTCTACCCGTCACCGAAAGCCTTCATCGTATGTTTTCAGGTGTTGGGTGCACTGGGTATTCTTCTGATGGCGCCATCATGCGGGGTCTTTACGCCGCCGCGTTTGTGCTGCTGCGTTTACTTTGGACGTTGTCGAAGTCACTTCTTGACTAGGTATAACTCGGTATTGCCAACTGCTGCTGCTCCAGGGAACAACGCAGCACACACTCTGTTCGGCGCCCAGCTTGCTGCATGTGTGTGCTTGCCAGCTGGTGTGCTGTCGATGTGGATTATCCCTCGCATTGTGGCTGTTGTGGGTTACAATTCTGCGTTGGTGGGTGGCTGCGGTGCATTCGGACGAGTCGGTATTGCTGTGTGTGTGTTAAGAAAACTGACCGCTGGGAGCAAGAACGTATACTGGACGGTTTGTGTGTTTCACACGACACGACACGACAAGTGCGTCAAGCCAGGTGGCTGGGGGGCGAGCCTTGAAATCTGGCGGGAAACTGGAATCAACGACTTGTGTGGTGTTTTGCACGGATGGGGGCCGCAGTTAGACCCCTCCCCCCGGGGCAGTGCGGGCTGGCATCTTTGTGTTTGCTGCCATCACACGCGCCTGGGTGGAGGAACATGCGTGTATGTGTTTGCATGCATGTGCGATGTCGGCTGCTGAGAAACGGGAAAAGCGAGAACGGCTTTTTTTGTACTTGAACAAATCTATATTCATTGGAACGGCACACAGGCTTTTTGTGCAGTCGGTGTGTAGTCGGTGAGATGGTGACGCGCACGCCGGTAGTGCGGGACCTGTAGTGGCTGTGACTACCGTGCGTGTAGTGTCATGGGTCCATGACACTTGTCCGCACCCCGGATTTGCGAACACCGGATTCGTGGGTGCGCTGCTGGGCAGATACCATTTACCGGCTAGTCACTGTACTGCGGCTGTTCTCTCCTTTCTCATGTGTGTTTGTATTGGGGAAAGCTGCAAACATTACGATATAAAACAAAACACTTGCTTTCACGGATAATATAGCATCGCCGGGAGGCGTGAGGGCGGATTATGATGAGGTCCCCTTTCCTCACATGCAGCTTTGTAGCTGTGTGCTACGCTTATGCGCTGTTGCACTCGAGATTGTCTCGGCTTTCCTGACCACGCATATAGCGCCCGAAAACGTCACAAAACGTCGATGGCTGTTGTTACGTTGTCACCCTTCATTCCTTACTGGCTGTGGTGTTGTGAGTGGTGTCAAACGGAAAGGTGCTGTGGGTATTGTTTGTTACTGTTGTTGCATTAAAGGCGTGTACGGTAGCCGTAGCAGTAAAAAACGTTCATCAGGCATGGTTTCTTTCTAAGCCCATGCCACTGTTGGCGGCGTACAAAGCAGCTTGCCATACAGGTTTTGCGTCATTGCGCGTGATAGAGGGCGCATGCAAACAGGGTGATGGTGGTGGTGGTGGTGTAATCAGTCCTTAGCGCTATGGGCATGCGCGATGCCGGACAGGGGCACCGGGCCGCGTGTGTGCGTGTAAAGGTTAGCTAGCACTGGATTCGTAACAAGATGTGTAAACAGAGTGTCGGACCGATACAATGACGGACTACTTGCGCTAAAACAGCCGCCGCAGCAGCTCGTGAGCCAGCTACGTGTAGGCCGCATGGCGTTACTATCAACTGGTGTTTACAGTTGGGTGGCAGCACCTGCCTAAGAGACAGCTGCTCGGCGAGTGCCCAGCAAAGTCAGGAGGAAGCAGGAATGGCGTCTGTCAACGTAAGGATGTAGGCGCATGACGCCTGCGATGGGCGGTTACTACTGCTGTTGACTCCATGCTCCCTCTGCACCTGCTTGAACGTGCATGCGGGCCACGCTTATCCAAAGGCTTCCTAAGGGATGGTCTACATTTGACCCATGGGTCGTTCCGTGCCTGCTGTGTTGCGGATAGGTGTGGCTGCGTGACCTGCCACTGCTTCACCTGCCGCTTTGGAGGCGAGCACTGAGTATCTTCGAACGGCTGTATGAACTGGCAAAATCCAACCGCAATCCCTTGCACGACGTTACCCTTGCGTGCGGTGTGACGACAGCCAGTTGACGTGAGTCTCTCACAAACCTGGAAGGGACGCCATGGGCTTCTTCCGGGCAAATAGCCATGCAACACAAGAGGAAACGATTTATCCAACTAGTCTCAACGACTACGCGCTCCTCAACGACCCACAGACGTTATGCTTCCACCATACCATGTATGCTTACATGTCCCCACGTCTACCAATCCAAAGCATCTTGCATGTCAACTGGCGTTCCAGCAATAGCCGCAATGAGGCTGCCGCAACTGAATGAATGACCGTTACAATGGTGCCCTAAAAGGGAACACGGGTGATGAACCCAACCCAACTGTCGTACACAACGCACACAACGCCGATACAAGTTGTTGATGGACAACCGTTATCCTTGCCTTATCCTCTACAAGACAGTGGCTCGACACCTAAGCAGGTGTGGACGGTCAACAACCCACTTAACTTGACGATTAGCCCACCTCCGCAACCCAAGCATGCAAACATGCAATGTCCCTGCAGCTCGACTGTGCGGCTGCCGTCGCCACCCGGATGGTTCACCCGCCCACTATCAAACATGCCGTGCGTTGCCGTATCCCCGGTTACCGTGAGATACGTTCTGCCTAAAACCAACCCCACCAGACCATACAAACAAATCCACATTCACTACTGTAAAGCTCACCGCTTATGCTTCCACTCTAACTGGGGGCGTCTAGCCGCGTAACATGCTAACATCCCCCACGCCTGCATGATTGGCTGCCGTACATGTCAACAGCAGCCAGCGTGCCGTAACCAACTATCTTCCTCAACGTAATGCGGCAGCGGTACAGGACCGAATATCCCACCATGAGAACACGAACATCCTGGCGTTGCTTAACAACCTGAACCCCAAACGGACACGGTGCCCTACTTAGCTACAGGACTTGGCTCAAGCCAGCATGTGTCCTCACCAGCCTTTCCGGAGGAGGCCACCCCTGCTGCCACGACTGCTGCCGTCTCTAGCCTCCCACAAGTGAGGAGGGGCGTCGGATAGCTGCGATGGTCTCTTACGTTGCCGCTAAAAGAGCGGGCTGGCCGTGACGGGCGCCGACTCCGTTAGCAGGACTTCAGGGCTTCCGGACGGTGATCTCGCACACGCAATCCTCCACCTGCTGCGGCTCCTGCTGCTGCTGAGAGCTCTTGTTGCCGGCAGCGGGCTTGATGAGCGGCTGCAGCGCGGCGGGCGGGTGAGCCGGCTGCAGCAGCAGCAGGGCGTGCTCGCACATGCGGTACACCGCGATGTAGCCGCCCGGCAGGACCGCCAGACGTCCCGGTGAGCAGTACGCCCCACCGATAGCAGCAACGCCGGCTATGTCGTCTACCAGCGTCAGGACACTGCCGTCCGGCCGCATGACTCGCAGCGCCTTGTCGTCCAGGATGTACACGTCTCCGCTGTCGGGGTGGGCGGCGATGTCTGAGATACGGGTGAAGCGGGCGGTCTGCGAGGGACCAGCCACACGGCCGGCCTGGTAAGGGTGACCCGCAAGGGGCGCGAGGCGGCCGGCGGGCTTCACCTCCTTCAGTGTGGTGGCGCTGTCGGCTATGATGAGCTGGCCGGTGGCGGGGTTGAAGGTCAGTCTGCACGGCGACTTTTCATGCAACTCCTGGCTCGTCACAGCGTAAGTGTCGCCCAGCCGCTGCAGCCGACGCAGCGACCAATAAGCAAGGTACTGAGTCGACTTATCAATTATGTAGAGCATGCCCGTGGGACCGACCGCCACATGCTCTGGCGTGTGGAAGCTCGCCTTCCCCTGGATGCCGTCTTCAGGGGGATTGTCACCACCAACTTTACCCGCCAGCCAGCTAGCGGAGTCTTGCTTGTCGAGCTCTAGAATGCCGCCGTCACACGTCACAAAGAGCTTTTGGCTGCGCGGGTCATAAGCTGCGTGGCGAAAGTTGCTCATGCCCTGCAGGGGTCCGGCGCTGCCCTTCAATGTCAGCGGCAAACCAAGCGTTGGGCAGCCGCCTTCCGCATCTCCCAGGCGCTCCAACCCCTCCAACGGACACACGCCAAAGTCGCAGAAAACCAGGGTCTGCTGCTTTCCCTCCTCGGTAGGGTGCGGGCGCGTTGTGACCAGAGCGTTGGGCGCTTCCACTACGAAAACCTTGCAATGCTCCATATTTCTGGTGGTGTTATCTCGTGCCCCAACAATTAGCGCAGCATGCAAGAGCTAAGGTTGCCTGTCTTTTGGTGGCCAAACAAGGCGTTGTCAAGCAGACTGTGGAATGCCAGACAACCGAGTGCTCATGTGTGTGACAGCTTCGTCCGCCAGTCCAAGGCGACGTGCACCCGTGAGCCTGTGAACCCGTGAGCTTGTGAACCCACGGACCCGTGCACCCGTGAGCCTGTGAACTCGTGAACCCTTACCACGCAAACGGTCGTCCGCATCCAAGGCAGCACGGGGCATATGCAACCTACCCGCCCTGACTCCTGACTCTTGCAGATGAAATGAAGAAGGGTGCACGGCGGCGTCTAAGGCGTCAAGGGCGCCTTGGCAATGCCCTTGGCCTCGGCAGCTCGGGTTACCAGCAGCCAACCAACAGCCATGTTCTTCCGAACCCGAAAATGTGAACCCGTGCGCCGTATATCGGTTCCCCGCATGCTGGCGCTGGGGGTGGTGCCATTGAGCCACCCAAGTGGTATCTCTCTTTGCCGCCGTCCACAGTAATGCGCATGCGACCTGCCGCCCATCATACGGTTTACGGCAGCCTTGGGTGAGGCGGGGCGCCGGGGTGTGGTATTCAGCGTGTGCTGGTCAGTCGAAATAACACTGAAGTGAAGGCGTGCTGCACTGCCAACATGTACAGAGGGCGTGCAGGGTTTCTTTGTGCCGGGTGCGACTGCTTGGTGCCTGTGCTGCAAGGCGCAAAAGGGTTCCGGTCTTCATCGGTTGCTGCAATGTAACGTAACCCCTGCGCAGTCCGGTTTGTGCCTGACCAAGCACTGGGGTTGCTGCGGTCGCAAAACTTGTTTGCATGATGACCCGTGGGTCGAACCCTTCCTTCCCGCTGCCAGAAAGTACCCTTAATCGGTGAATGAATGCCAGCTCTGCGGGCCTACCCGCCTGCGAAGTGAATACACCAGACAGCCGTGAAGTCTGTCGACGATGCGTCAATGCGGCGTGCCTGTCAGCTTCAACTACACAAGGGGGGTGTCAGATGATCATGTTGTCATGCTGCTTTAAAAGTAGGGACGTCAACAGCCCCAGACAAGGCGTGTTAGACCTCAGCCTGCTAAATAGTCAGCATCGCACCTGCGGTGCGCAGACTTCTTAGAGGGAGTTTCTCAAGCAAGGGGTGTCAGCATGTCAAATAGGGGTGCGAGCTTTATGAACAAGGGGTGTGCGCACCACCCGGCCCGGCTACAGATGCCTCGTCACGTCCGTTCGGTCACGCCTCACGCGGCCCTGTCCCCAACAACAGCAGGGAGCTGCGCCTCCCTCCCTCGCTCCGAGGCAAACAAATGCCACCATACGACACCGCCCCACGCCCCACGTCCCACGGGCCTACAAGCGGCTACAGCCCCACACTCCTCTGCACATGTGCTCCTAGCCTGTGCATAAGCTGGTACTTCCTCCTCTGTAGCATCTCCCACCGGCACTGTTGCCCGGCCTTCAGGACTGCATGACTGCAGTCGTCAGTCAACAGCAACACAAACACATGCAGGCGGGCTTCACCAGAAAAGAGCTTTACTATCCACCCTATATCCACACTACCGTAAGTTAGCAGAAAGCAACTGCCAACGTGCATATGCAACTGCCGCTAGCAACTAACAAACGTGCAACTGCCTTGCTGGCTTGCCTCCTCGACCTTTCGGGTAAAATCTTCGCATCCGCAATCAGCTTCTTAACCCCGCGCCATGTCATGCTAAGTCCACACTTCCAATACGCCAGAAGCTGCACGTGACAGCATGCGCCGACCCCGGACTCTCCCCTTCCTGAGCTACATATGCTGCTGCAACGCACATGTGCAACGCATGCTGCCAGCTGGACACACCACAGCACGGCTCCTCGCCCCTCCTGGGATGCGTATCTACAACACCCACAAACCCACATGAGCTACCTACCTGATTCCGCTGCACCCGCTGCGCTCCTATGCATGTGCGCCTGGCCGCGCCACAACGCCTACCGTATACAAGTACACCTCTCATCCGGCAAGACGCAAGCAAGACGCGGGGAAGGAAACACCCCAAAGCATGCTGCAAGACAGGCTCTTTGGGGAACCCGGGCCGGTTCTAGCCGCCGCCCTTTCATGCCTGCTGATGCCGTATACCACCTTGCCGTATACTAATGCGAGTAGTATGGCTGACCCGGCTGGTAGGGGTACGGCGGCTGCTGAGGTGGCGGCGGAGGAGGAGGAGCGCCGTACCCGTACGGCGCTGAGGGAGCAACTGGCGGCGGCGGCGGAGGCGCTCCTTGGTTGTAAATGTTGTGTTGGGGGTACGGATAGCCGCCGGGGGGGTAGCAGGGCGCCGTCACTGGCGGAGGCGGCGGAGGCGCGGTGCCGTACCCCTGAGGTGGCGGAGGCGGCGGCGCGGCGGCGTACCCACCGTAATGCCCCGGCGGCGGCGGCGGAGGTGCGTTGTAGGGCGGTTGCTGGTGCGGGTGGTGTTGCGGCGGAGGTGAGGGAGTGGGCGGCGAGGCTGAGGGTGAGTAGGCGGGTGGGGGGGCGACGTGTGGGTGGGGGGACGGGGGCTGGTAGCCGCCGCTGCCTGGGTGCGCGGGGGGGTGGGGGGGGTGGGGGCGGGGGCGTCTGGGGGGAGGGCGCGGCGGGGTAGGCTGCTGCCGCGGGGGGTGGGGGAGGCACGCCGGAGCGGATGCCTGCGGGGAGGGAGGGTTACAGGGACAGGACGTTAAGGAAGCGGGTGAAGAAGGAGGTGGCATTTTGATGGCAGCTGCCGTGCAGACAGGGTGCGCCCTGCCAGGTCCCCCGCACTCCAACCCACTCCTCCCTCCCTCCCTCCCCGAACCCCCACCTGCCGCCGCCAGCCTAGCCGCTAGCTTGTCCGCGTCCTCCTGCGCCGCCCGCCGCTCCAGGTCCGCTAACAGCTCCTCTCGCTGCACCTGTGGGAGGGCGGGTGGGAGGGGGAAAAGGTGGGGCGAGGGATGGGGCGGGAAGAGGGAATAGGGCGCCAGTCGGGAACGAAAGGTGGATGACGATGGCACCAGGGCAATCGGCCCCCCCCCCAGCAGCTCTCCTCCCGCACATCCCCGCTCATCAACGCATCTCTTCTACCCCCCCCCCATGACCCCCTATCCGCCCCCTACCCGGCCCCTCCTCTCCCCCCCCTCCCCCCCACCTGTCGTGTGAACGCAAAGTCCGCCGCCTCCTGCTTCATCTTGCGCACCACCTCGCTCATGCCAAGGTAGAAGCGCAGACCCTCGCTGCAGTGGTCCAGCAGCTCCCGGTACTGTCGCACGGTCTGGGGAAGGGAGGGGGGTAAAGAGGGGGGGATGGGAAGGGGGAGGGAAGGGAGGGGAAAGGGGTAAGGGAAAGAGGGGTAAACTTGAGGAAACAGATGGAAGTGGGGAGGGGTAAGGGTCACAGGGACGTGTGAGGTGCACCCGCACTCGTGCGTCCCTCCAAACACGCCACGGCGTTTAAACACAACCTCTTCCGACAACGTTCCGACTCGCGGCCAGATTTCTTAACACACACGCGGCACATCAAATGCAGCACTAACAAGACTGCGGTAGACACAAACCCAAGAGCATGCCTCTCAAGTCTCAACACCCTGTACCCATACATGCCCCCCCCATCTGCTTCCACACCCGCCTCCCTCCCTCACTCTCCCCCCACCTTACCTCCCTCACTCCCGCCGCCGCCGCCTCGCACCCCGCCCGCCACCCGTTCACGTCAAACAGCGCCCGGAAGGTGGCGTTGGCCGCCCCCGTGGCCGCCAGCAGGCTCTCCTGCGCCGCCAGGTTCTTGTCCACGTCGGCGATAAGCGGGTCGTACTTCTTGAGCTCCTGGGGGGGAAGAGGGGGAGCGGATTGGGGGGTAAGGGGAAGCAACAAGCACAGTGAAGGAGGCGGGTGGGGGGGGGGAGAAGAAGAAAACACCTCTGCATGTCGTGCAGGAGGAGGGGGAGTGGAGGGCAAGGGCTACCTTCGACTACCGTTGACACTCCTTCAGGCCATCACAGTACGTTCCTACTCCCAAACCAGCTGCCTCAGCACACCTCCTTGAACAGCGCGTCCTGCTGCGGCCCCCCTGGAGTGGCCATGAGTCGCGGCAACACGTTGTCGCGGTTCTTCAGCTCCTTCAGCGCCTCCTCCATGCCGCCCCGCTCGTTGGCCAGGTTCTGGCGGGAGGGGGAGGGGGGGGAGGGGGGGAAGGGAGGGGGAAAGGGGGGTTACACGCACGGGGTTACGAGACATGCGTGTGGTGAGACATGCACCCCCGCACCAGCCCCGAGTCGGGCAGAGTGGCATTGGGATTCCAGCGCTTCGCTTCTTCTTACCGGTACGTGCCCCCCTCCCCCTCCCCCTCCCCCTGCCCCCCTCCCCCTCCCCCCTCACCCAACCCCTCCTCCCCCCACTCAGCCGCACCTGCAGCGCCTCCAGGCTCCTGCGCAACCCCGCCACCACCGCAGCGGGGTCCTCGGGGCCCGTCACCAGCAGGGGGGCCTGGGGGGGGGGAGAAGGGGGGGAGAAGGGTGGAAGGGGCAGCAGAGAAGGCCAAGCTGTTAACGATACCGGTAGTGACAACCCATGGTGAAAACCCGTAACAGGAAGGGGAGGGGGAAGGAGGGAAGGGGGCTGACAGGAGGCGGCAGAAGGGCTTGGAAGGGACAGCACTTGAGGAGGTAGGGTATCGCCCGGCAGCCGGGGAACCGTAACGGGTCCTCCTCCCACCCCTTCCCCTTCCCCCCGCCCCTTCATGCTTCCTATGGCTTGGAATACCTTCCATCCCCCTCCCCCCCTTACACCCCCCCACCTGCAGTCGGGGCATCTGCGCCGCCGCCGCCTCCGCGGTGAGGGCCCCGAACGCGCCCTCCTGCGCCGCCAGCCGCTGCAACACACCCTGGTCGCTGTCACCCGCCTTCTGCAGGGCGGACCTGAGGGAGAGCGGGGGGGGGAGGGGGGGGAGGGAGAGGAGAGATGCACAGTTGAGGGGCGGTGGGTCGCATTGCGTGCGCCGGGAGTTGAGGGGCGCCCGCCGCGTGTGCCTCTCAACCTGGGTTCACACACCTCGCCCCCCACCCCCACCCCACCCTAACTTGCTACGCAGGTTAGTCAGGGTTCGCACTAGTGGGTGGGCTGGGCTTTGTTAGACCCATGGGTCATTGCGAGGGTCGGGCAGGGTGGGATGCTTTGGTGCACACAGCCGCATGACAGCCCCAGCTAAGCAGCGGAGCTTACATACGTGATGCTGCTGACAGCATTGCAGCACAGACAGCAGGTGCAGCGCAGCGGCGCCGGTTATCACGGTGGCAGCCGCCTTTTATTCGCCAATACAGAGTGATCTCAAATCACCTTGGCAGCCGCCATGGAGCTTACAATACGGTTTGTTATTGATTATTGCAACTACAATAAATTGCTATCCCTAAAATCCAGCCTAAGGCGGATTACGTCTCCAAATTAATCCCCACCCCACCCAAACCCAAACCCAAACCCACATCTACACTTCACAACATCATAATTCTTTCTCCCCTCCCCCGCACCTGTACTGCGATATGCGGTCCCAGTAGGGTTTAGCTGCGGTGGCAGCCGGCTGTGCGCGCCACTTGTCCCCGTGCGTGCTGCGAGCCTCCCCGTCGGCACGCGCGTCGGCGTCAAGGGAGTTCTGGGGGGTGTGAGGGGGGGGGGGAGCGGGGGGGGGATTGAGAGGGGTGTATTCATGTGTATTGGGATAACGAGTAGGGGGAGACAGAGGGTAGCATGCCCCTCCCCCAGCTACTTACTACGTAAACTAAGCACACTTGGGTTTTACTTACTACATAAACTAAGCACACTTGGGTTTCCTCACTAAATCCCCCCCCTCACCCCTCCTCCCCTCCCCCCCACCTGCGCCTCCATCAGCTCCCCCTCCACCTCGCGACGTAGCTCCCCGATCTCTGCCAGGATCTGAGGGGGAAGAGGGGGGAAGGGGGGGGGGAGGGGGAGTCAAGTTAGCGAAACACAGCACGGGAACACACACAGCCTGGCCACCGGGGGCCATAGCCCTGCAGGACAGCCAGCAACCGCTACACGCCCTGCTCCCACCCCCTCCCGCCTACAGCCCCTTCTCTCCTCTCCCCCACCCTCCATCCCTCCCCCCCTTCTCACCCCCTTGAGGTGCCCCACCCCCCCGATGCCCTCGATCTCCGCCAGCTCCCGCTGAAGCGCCTCGGGCAGCGCAGCGGAGGTACGGGCGTCCATGGCCTGGTAGTGGAGGGGGGAGGGGGGGAGGGAGGAGGAGGTGGGTTTGAGGCCTAAGGAATAGGGCAAACTGGCGTCTCCCCTCCCTCCCACCGTGTTCCCTAAAACTCGGTCTAACTTGACACCCCTCCCCCGCCCTGGCTACCTTCCCGCCTCCAACCCTCATCTGGGTTACCCCATCTTCCCCCTCCCCTCCCTCTGACTTTCATTTACGCCATCGTACCCGTGTGCCTTTCCCCCCTCTTCTCCTACCCTCCCTCCTCCCCCCCGCGGCTAAGTTGACCTAATCCCTCCCTCCCCCGCCCCCCACCTGCAGCGTGTCCGGCAGCTCCCACTCCCGCAGCCTCAGCCGCGCCGTGTCAGTCGCCCCCGCCAGCCGCTCCAGCTGCCCCCGCAGCAGGCTGTCAACCTGCTCGCTGTACTTGGACAGCGCGCGGGCGCTGGGGGGGGAGGAGGGGAGGGGGGAAGAGGGGTGTGGGGTGTGGGGGGAGAGGTTGGTATGCCGCACCATCCCTGCCTCTCCGCTCTCTATTCATTCCTCCCTTGGCCTTATCACTTGGTCGGTTCTCCCCCCACCCTTCCCCCCCTCACCTCGCCTCCGGCACCAGCCCGGTGAAGAGGTGCTCCGCCGCCGCATCCAGCGCGGGTGCGGGCGGGGGGGCGGCCTTGACCAGCAGGGCGCCAGGGGTGGGGGGCAGCTCGGGGAAGGAGGGGACCTGTGGGAGGGGAGGGAGGGGAGGGAGGGGAGGGAGGGGAGGGAGGGGAGGGAGGGGAGGGAGGGAGGGAGGGAGGGGAGGGAGGGGAGGGAGGGGAGGGAGGGGAGGGAGGGGAGGGAGGGGAGGGAGGGGAGGGAGGGGAGGGAGGGGAGGGAGGGGAGGGAGGGGAGGGAGGGGAGGGAGGGGAGGGAGGGGAGGGAGGGAGGGGAGGGAGGGGAGGGAGGGGAGGGAGGGGAGGGAGGGGAGGGAGGGGAGGGAGGGGAGGGAGGGGAGGGAGGGGAGGGAGGGGAGGGAGGGGAGGGAGGGGAGGGAGGGGAGGGAGGGGAGGGAGGGGAGGGAGGGGAGGGAGGGGAGGGAGGGGAGGGAGGGGAGGGAGGGGAGGGAGGGGAGGGAGGGGAGGGAGGGGAGGGAGGGGAGGGAGGGGAGGGAGGGGAGGGAGGGGAGGGAGGGGAGGGAGGGGAGGGAGGGGAGGGAGGGGAGGGAGGGGAGGGAGGGGAGGGAGGGGAGGGAGGGGAGGGAGGGGAGGGAGGGGAGGGAGGGGAGGGAGGGGAGGGAGGGGAGGGAGGGGAGGGAGGGGAGGGAGGGGAGGGAGGGGAGGGAGGGGAGGGAGGGGAGGGAGGGGAGGGAGGGGAGGGAGGGGAGGGAGGGGAGGGAGGGGAGGGAGGGGAGGGAGGGGAGGGAGGGGAGGGAGGGGAGGGAGGGGAGGGAGGGGAGGGAGGGGAGGGAGGGGAGGGAGGGGAGGGAGGGGAGGGAGGGGAGGGAGGGGAGGGAGGGGAGGGAGGGGAGGGAGGGGAGGGAGGGAGGGAGGGAGGAAGAAACTAACGAGCTGTGTGACAAGCGGCGGCTTTACCAACCCGCTTGGAGGTCACCCCCCCCCCCCCAGCGGTCCCCACAACAACAACAACCACACCCCTTTCATTGCGGCTCTCTTTCGCCGATTGAACTGTACCCCTGTGCCGATTGCTCTGTACCCATGTTTGTGTCCCTCCCCTCCCCTCCCCTCGATCCCCTGTTCCCCCCCTCCCCGCCCCCCCGCCCACACCTTCATGAGGTAGATGGAGTTGTTGTCCTTCTCCGCGCGAGCCAACAGCTGCTGGACCAGCTCCTGAAGGGGGCCAGGGGGGCAGGAGGGAGGGGGGAGGTGGATGCCAGTCGGGAGATATGAGGAGTCGGAGGCTGTTGTGGAGGACAGCGCGCGGAGCAGCCACGTTTGTTCACAGCATTTGGGTTTCGCTTCCCCAACCCCCTCCCTCCCCTGCCCACCCCCTCCTCCCGGTCCCCCCTGCCTCCCCCCCCTGCACCCTGCCGTCTCCTGGCCCCATTGCTTTGCCTTAACCTGTGGTCACCTATGGTTTGGTATGATCTTGGACCCCCCCCCACCTGCGTGCGGTTGACGCTGTCCGCCATCTCGGTACTGATGGCCTTGGCGATACGCCGGGTGCTCTGACAGGGGGGGGAGGGAGGGAGGGGGGGAGGGGGTGTGGTCAGAACTCAGATTACATGCGGCAAAAGCGGCCGCGCTAGGTGCCGGTAGGTTGTTCTGTTGCCATGTCGTGCCATGCCGTGTCCAGGGGCTGTCAAAGCACCGCGACTCATCAACTGCAACAGTCGAGCCCTGTTATTCCCCCCTCCTCCCCCCCTCTCCGGCCCCACCTGCAGCCGTGCGAAAGCCTCCTTGAGCACCGCTATCTCGTTGTTCACCTTGTCGTCCGCGCGCTGCTGCCGACTGGCCTGGATCAGCTCCTCTACCTGAGGGAGCAGTAGGGTGGAGAAAACGAACACCCCATGTGTTGAATGAGGCTGACAAACAAGCCGACTAGCTCCTGGTGATGGAACCCAGGTAGGGGGGAGGGGTTGGGGGAAAAGAAGAAGAGGGGGTGGGGGTGGGGGCCGAGAGGAGCTGCCCTGCCCCAACCATCATGCAACACATCATGGTTCCGCCTGGTGCCACTTGGTTAGCTCCTTCCTCCTCGTTACCCCCCTTCCCACCTCCCCATCCCCGCACCTCCCCCCCCATTGTTTCTCCCTCATTCGTGATCTCCCATGGTTTGGTCTCTTTACCCCCTCCCCCCCCCCCCACCCCCCACCTGGTAGATGCTGGCCTTGAGGCTGACGTGCTGCACCCAGCTCTTGTCGAAGTAGCCGGCCAGCGCGGGAGCGGCGAACAGCCGCTCCACCTCCTCGTACATCAGGGCGGCCTGGGAGGGGGGGGTAAGGAAGGGGGAGGGGTTAAGGGGGTGAGGGGATGCTGTGCACGGGGTTGCCGTACTCGACCCGGAGGGAGTTAACTTGGTGTGCACCGACCCGTACAACTCTCCTCCATACGCAATCACGCATGCATCCACGCAGCTCCTCCCCCAGCCACCTCCTCGCATCCCCGTCTTCCCCCTTGCTTCGGCCCACCTTGTCCCTCGCCTTTCTCCCCCACCCCTCCGCATTTCCCCCCTCCCCCCCCGCACCTGCTTGGCCAGCCTTGCCAGCACGTTGGGGCTCTTCTTGTCGATCACCGCCTTGTGGTAAACGCACTCCTGGGGTGTGTGTGGGGTGGTGGGGATGTGAAAAGTTCTAGCAATCGTGGCAACCCGTGGTGAAAGCCTTACTAATATCCTTCCCCCCCCCCCCCCCCAGCCCCTCTCCCCCCCACCTGCGCCTGCGTGAGCATCAGCTTCTCCAGCAGCCCCGCGCACTCCGCGCCGGTGTCCAGCGGGCGGGGGGTGTCGGTCTTGGCGGACTCGGCCTCGCGGAGCAGCTGGAAGGTGCCACTGGCCTCCTGGAGGGTGGGAGGAGGAGGTGGGGTGGGTGGGTGGGAGGTGGGGGGATAGCTGAGAAGTGAGGCACCGAAGTCCCAATCCCATTCCCCGAATCATGAGGAGGAGGGCTGGACAGGAGGTGTGTGTCAGCTTGTCATCCACCGGCTTTCCGCCCCTCTCCCCCGCCCCCCGCCTTCCCACCACAGCTCGTTAGTTTCCTCATCAGTTTCCTAATGTAACTCCCCCCCTCCCGCCCCCACCTGGAACAGCTTGCATGCCGCCGTGAGCCCCTCCGCACTCGTCCGGTCGCTGCCCAGCGCCGCCTGCGAGGCCAGTGCGCCCGAGTTGAACAGCACCGCCGCCTTCTCGAAGTGGATGTTGGGCTGGGAGGCGCGGCGGGTGGGGCGGAAGGCGTCGAACCAGGAGAAGACGACCTGCGGAGGGGGTGGGGAGGGGGTGCAGGGGAGGGTTAGGGGTAGGGGTAAGGGGAGGGAAGTAGTGGTAGGGACACGGCTCGTAGTGTGGGAGGAGGGCGGCTGAGGTGGCAACCGCCGTCCCTTCCTCCTCCCCATCTCTAGTAGACATGTAGAGGTATAGTCGGGGAACGTATTCCCTGAGTTCCCCGAGGTAACAGACAACGGCAACAAATAGCCTACAGAAAAGAACGGGAGTTACGGTCTCCGTGGTGCCCAACTCCCGCCCCCAACACGCTTCCCTCCGCCCCTCCTCCACCCCCCGCCTCCTCACTTGCGCATGTCCCTTCTCCTTGCTGATGGGGAAGCGCGTCTCGATGGCACACAGGCAGCGGTAGTACCTGTGAAGGAGGGCGGAGGGAGGGAGGGGGAATAGGTAATAATGAAAAAGACGGCCTGGTTATTGACGACGGTGTGGCAACCCATGGTGGTGAAGGTCCCGGAGAGGGAAGAAGGAAGGAAAAGAAGCACTGGGAGGGGCTTGGGAAGGGTGTGATAATGACGCAGAACAGGCCAATCCACAGCCTAACAGAGAAGAGAGGGGCAATTAGTTGCATGCCTGACCATTTCCGTCCTCCCTGGTAGCGGGAATGCAACATGCAAGGGCTCATGGGGCGAGTAACGGAGCGAATGCAGCAGGGGTGTTGCAAGCTTGCAACATGCCTGTTTGACCGGCCCCTGAGCACGCACGGCGGTTCAACACAGCACTATGTGTTTCCACAACAGAAGCTGGACATATTGGGGAAGCGTTCGAATGGAGGCTAGGGTTACTGGTTTGCCCAAAGCTGAGCAAGGGGAGGCAACAGCCCCAGGCCTTGTAACCCGCACCCCAGCTACCGGCAGCCCCCTCGCTTCCCAGACCGCCAGATCTAAAGTTTCCCTGCGCTCACTTCATCAGCGTGTCACGTGCGCTGGGCTGACTTCCACTCTGAGCCAGCGCAACCTCCGCGCGCAAGGCCTGAATGCGCTCAAGGTCATCTGCAGCATCGTCTGCCTCCCGATCAGAGTATGTTGCGCGAATGTAAGTTAATAGGGGAGTTTTCAGATCAACTGTATCGGCCTTTTTACAGTGTATAGCAAGCATAACAGACTGCGCGGTCGGCATTCTTCACCCGTCTTAAAAGCCTTTCAGGAAAAATGCGTTCACAACATAAACTTGAACATATGCTACAGAAGAAACAGTTAATCGGTGGCCGAGGGGGCTTGGGGATTGCGTTTGCATTCTCGTGGTTTCATGGGCCTCCCAAACGTGTTACTTACTCGCCCGTTGCACACAATCATTCTTTCACTTTAGGTCGCGACTGCAATAGCCTGCAGCAGTCGTGTGCCCCAATCCAAAGCATTGTTCAGGCCGTCATAGGGAGGTGAACAACATTTAGGAAAAATGTGCGGCATTCTAGCGGTCCTCAACTCTTCAGATGACAGCCAGGCGATGCGATCAAAGGTCCTGGCGCTTAGCCGTCGCCAGCGGCACCGTGGACCCGACTGGTAAGCAATCAACGCGCCGCAACATCATTGCTCGCTGCTCTGGCCCCTTGTAGGACCCGTATGCTATATAGCGTTTGAAACGGACCCTTTAAGGCTCTTGTCTGGCAAATATCGTCAGATTCTTTCAGGCCATGTTGGTCGCGGTCTCCTTGGTGCGGGGTGTAGCGGCACCTGGGGTGCGCGCAATTAGTAGCTCACCAAACCCTCCTCCTCCTCCACATATTTTGGTGTCTTACCAAGGACCCGACTTGAATCCCCAAAGAGGTCGTAAGTCAATTCCAATCGCTCCGCCGCCTCCCTTAGCTCACCGCCAACGCGCATGGACTGACCAGTTTCCCTGCCTTTCAACGATTGTCTTCAAAATCAGGTCGGGCATGCACCAGTTCAGCAGCAACTCCAGCACGCACTATCTGGCGCATGAACGCCTCGCAATTATTGACCCCGCCTCTGGCGATCAGCCCCTCTTCAACGAGGACCGCACCATCGTTGTGACGGTGAACGGCGAAATCTACAACTACAAGTCGCTGCTTGCGCACATCGTGGAGAAGTGCCCTGGCAAGCAGTTTGCCACCAAGAGCGACTGCGAGGTGCGTGTACTTTAGTGCTTTGAAGAATCGAAACCAAGGGTAGTTCTGGATACGGGGGAGGGGAAGAGGGGGCGCGTTGCCGGCAACCAACTGGGCAGGTTGTACGTAAGGGGAGCCGCACACGAAGGAGGGTGCTATACCCATCTTTGGCTGAAGTGCCGTTGCATACTGGCGGCAGCGGAGGTCTTCCAAAAGGAGGGCGCACAGCATGGCACAACGGTTTTTGTGTGGTGCCAAGACGGCGACGGGGTCAACAGCAGCAGCTGCCATTGCAACAGCTTGAAGCGACTTGTACGGCTGTGGTGGTGCTCGCGTTGCTGATAGCACAGTTGACGCTGCTGGCAGGGGAATTGATCCGCGCCAACTGCTCTATCCTGGCGCTTGTGGCGGCCCAGCCCTGCCCAGCTGCCTCTTTCCTGGCAAGCCGTATGGCGACATCCAGCTTTGTCGCCAGCATGGGTTGCCAGCCCACGACCCGCAGCTTGTCGTTAGCTGGCAGTGGGGGGGCAGCATGGGCGTCGACGATGGGTGGTGCGGGCGGCAGGAAGTAGCCGTAGCCAGCAGCCATTCTGCCCATACAGTTGATTAGCTGGTCGTGCTGAAAGCCCAGCACCCATTTCGGCGGCGGCGGGCTTGAGGCAGGTTGCGGGGATTTGCGTTGCTTTCGGCTCTCCCTACTTGGGGCAGCAGCAGCTCAACCCTGGCTCCGTCTCTTCCAGGACCGCGCCTGCCCTGGCTATGGTGGGGTTTCCGGCCAGGATGGGATCACAGCAGCAGGATGTGTCAGCTCCCCATGTCTGGGTGCGGTGGCAAGGCTCCGTCAGGACCAGAGGACCTCGTCCGAGGGAGGCCCAAAGGCCCTGCTCGCTCCTGGGGCTTCAGGGCAGCGATCCAGGGAATTGCTCCGATGGGACCCTGTGCGCTGCCGGCACTCCAGCAACCGTAGCTACCAAAGCCGCTCCGTGGCGTGCCCAACTGCAGCCGTGTCGACAGACCCACAATGACAGCCACACCAGCAACGCATACACAGCCGCATACAGAGCTGCTAAATCCCTGTGCATTACAATGCGATTACACGCTCGCCGTGTTCCCATGCCTCCCGCCATTACCATCCCGCCCCCCTCTCCGCATGGTTCTTCCTCTTTGTCCCCCGCAGGTGATCAGCCACCTGTACGAGCTGCACGGCGAGGCGGTGGCGGGCATGCTGGACGGCTTCTTCGCCTTTGTCATCCTGGACACGCGCACCAACACCTTTTACGCGGCGCGCGACCCCATGGGCGTGACCTGCATGTACATTGGCTGGGGCCGGGACGGCAGCATCTGGCTGTCTTCGGAGATGAAGTGCCTCAAGGTGAGGGCTGCCCTGGATGGAGAGTGGAGCGGATGTGGTTTGGGTTTTGATAGGCGTGGGCATTGGCATCTAGGGCATAATTGACTGGGCGGGCGCGCCAATTTTGGTTGGGATGCTAGGGAAAGGAAAGAGCGCCGTGGGGTAGGTGCCTAGCACTGGTCGAATCTTTGCGACTAAGGACTTACCGAATCAGGTCCCTGACATGCAAGCCATGTCTCTCTGATCTGCACGTACGGCGAATGGAAGCAGCTGCTTTTTCGAGTCCCAGAGCGCCAGAGCGTTCTTGCTCCCTTCCTCTTCTCGCGGCTGACTCTACATGCTCCATGCGCCTCACCGCACACAACCCACTTCCGCACCCCTCCTCTTCCGCCCCGGCAGGACGACTGCACCCGCTTCCAACAGTTCCCCCCCGGCCACTACTACTCGTCCAAGACGGGCGAGTTCACCCGGTACTACAACCCGCGGCACTACCTGGACTTTGAGGCCACGCCGCAGCGCTTCCCCTCAGAGCCCTACGACACGGTCAAGCTGCGCCTGGTGAGGAGGGGGAAGGGTAAAGAGGAGGGGGGAGGGGCGTTGCCTGGGAGGAAATGTCCAGAAGCTGCTGCGTTGGAAGCCATGGAGGGTAACATTCTTTACAGGTAGCAACAAAGCCCACGGATGGGTTTTACTTCAGACCTGAAACATCCCTCCGTTTGCTTCCTGTTCCCGCTTCCAGGCCTTCGAGGCTGCCGTGGAGAAGCGCATGATGAGCGATGTGCCCTTCGGTAGGTGGTCCGGCGACTTGGGTTCAACCGGGGAGGATTGCGAAATGGGTTCGTACACGCGCGGTTGTTGGCACAGTCGATAGGAGGGCGGGACAGGGTAGAAGCCGGGACAAAAGCGGGTATCTCGCCCCAAGGAATGCGGCATGCCAGGACGTATGGTGTCATGTTCCGGACCCCTGCCTCACCCGCCTAGTCGCGAGCGTCCCACTCAACGGCGGGAACACCTATTACCATAGCTCACCCCTCCTCCTCCCTCTCCCCATGCAGGTGTGTTGCTGAGCGGCGGTCTGGACAGCAGCCTGGTCGCCTCCATCGCGGCTCGCAAGATCGCCAAGGAGAAGGGCAAGCTACACAGCTTCTGCGTGGGCCTGCAGGGCTCCCCCGACCTCGAGGTGAGCGGAGGACGGGGGGGAAGCGGGGAGGCGCCGCCCGGGGGGAGTCTGGGAACCTGAAGGGGAGGGGGCGAGGAGGAAGCACAGAGGGTCAGGGGGCTAGCACTTTGGTCTCCCGGTGTCGCCGATTGTACACCCCATAGATGTTGTGCTCGAAGCTGTTGTGCTACTCCTCCTGCCTAGCCCTTAACTACCCCTCTCCACTCCCTCTCCCAACCCGGCCCCCACTACCGCACCCCAACAGAAAGCCCGCGAGGTGGCCAAGTTCCTGGAGACGGACCACCAGGAGTTTTACTTCACGGTGCAGGAGGGCATTGACGCCATCAGCGAGGTCATCTACCACATCGAGACCTTTGACGTGACCACGGTAGGCAAGGGGCTTGGGGCCGGGGGAGGGGGTAAATAGGAAGAAAGTAACGGGAGAGGGTAGAAAGGAAGAAAGTAAGGAGGGAGAAGGTGGAACTAAAGGGCTCCCCGCCTTGTTCTCCCCTCCCTGTGTGCAGATCCGCGCCTCCACGCCCATGTTCCTGATGAGCCGCAAGATCAAGGCGTTTGGCGTGAAGATGGTGCTGTCGGGCGAGGGCTCGGACGAGGTGTTTGGAGGCTACCTCTACTTCCACAAGGCACCCAGCGCGGTAAGGGATAGCAGGATAAACCGGCTGTGGGCATTCACCCACACTATTGGGAACTACCTTCTGTGTGCTCAGCAGAGCATGTTGAGGGCCCAGATGGGCAGCTGGCTGCCTATTGGCCGCCGTAAGGGGGCTTGGAACATCAACGCACTGGATCCGTGTCCCCAGCAGCCCTTGCCCCCTACCTGCAACCCCCTACCCCTCTCCCCACCCCACAGGAGGAGTTTCACAGCGAGACCATCCGCAAGCTGCAGGACCTGTTCAAGTACGACTGCCTGCGCGCCAACAAGTCCACCATGGCCTGGGGCGTGGAGGCACGCGTGCCCTTCTTGGACCGGGAGTTCCTGGATGTGGCCATGGCAATCGACCCGGCGGAGAAGATGATTGACAAGTCCAAGGGTAAGCGCATGCGTGTGTTTTGAGAAAAGAAAACTGGCCGCGAGTAGGAACGTACACTGGATTGTCGATGGAGGATGAAGTCCCCACCGAAAACGCAACGGGAGAGTGCGTGTGTGGTTAAGAGGGAGAAACGAGCTAGCTGTGTAACATTGTGACAAGACGCCACCTCACCCCGTGGAATGGACACACCGTGTGCTTACCAGCTCCCGTCCCTCGCACACAACACCTTGTACGCCCCGCAGGCCGGATTGAGAAGTACATCCTCCGGAAAGCCTTCGACGTGCCGGAGGTGAGAGCTGCGGCGTTGTACCCGCTTGCTATCGGCATGCGTTGAACCCTAGTAGCAGGCGTTGTCCAGTTGTCTTGCGTTCGCAGTACTGTGGCGTAAGTTGTCATGTTGAACTTGGGGTTTATGGGAGAGAGTTCTAAGCAGTTGCATCTTTCCCCCCTCCCTCCGCAGCAACCCTACCTGCCCAGCGACATCCTCTGGCGCCAGAAGGAGCAGTTCAGCGACGGTGTGGGCTACAACTGGATCGACGGGCTCAAGGTGGGGGGCTGGGCTGGGAGAAGTGCACGGAGGGATATGTGCCAATGGGCACGGGGTCATGTTGAGCTCAGAAACCAATGGCTCTCGGAAGCCGGCTGCATGGCAGGTCAACAAGCTGACAGCATGTCTACCTTCACGGTAACAGCGAGGACCAAAGAAAGCACCGGTATGAATGATGGTTTGCCCCATGCCTCCTGCGTAGGCGCACGCCGAGACCCAGGTCACGGACGAGATGCTCAAGAACGCGGTGCACAGGTGAGAGGACGTTAGCAAGAGAGAAGGTAGAATGAGGCACGGACTTGTTGCCGGCTAGCTGCCAGAGCCCGGGGTCCGCTCATCCTGGTTGCGCACCTTTCGTGCGTCCACCATATCCATCGGTATCACCCAGCTCACCCCTTCCTTCCCTTGCCCCCTCCCTTCCCCTCCCCTCCCTTCCCTCAGGTACCCCGACAACACCCCCCGCACCAAGGAGGCCTACTGGTACCGCACCATCTTTGAGAGCCACTTCCCGCAGCGCGCAGCCATGGAGACGGTCCCCGGCGGCCCCTCGGTGGCCTGCTCCACCGCCACTGCGGCGCTCTGGGACGCGGCGTGGGCGGGCAAGGAGGACCCCTCGGGTAGGCGGATAGGGCAGGGGCGGTGGAGGATATGGGTGGGCCCCAAAACGCAGGGTAGATCCTTCTTTCATGGCCGCCATCTATTACCCAGTATTGTGTCCCTGGCTTACGTGCAACGGAGGCTGTAAGCATGTAATCCTGCCTGCTGCCGCTGCTCTGCAGGTCGCGCCGTGGCGGGTGTTCACGACTCGGCCTACGACGGCAGCGCGGAGGCCAACGGGGCCGCGGACGGCGAGCCGGCGGCCAAGAAAGCCAAGTGCTGAGCCGCACAGCAGGGCAGTCTAGCCTAGCTGGCAGCAGCAGCAGCTGCGTTTGGCAACCGAGGACGTGGGAGGGGGATCAGCGCTGTGTGATGGTTGCCATGGGGTCTAGCGTTTCTTTGGGCGGCAAGCGAGCGACGGGGTGTCGAACTCAGTGCTGACACCCTACCGTATACCACACGCACAACCCCATGACACGCCGTCACGGTGCTTTCCTAAGGGGGGTTGAACAGCCGCTGAGACGAGCGGACCGGTATCCCATGCCCTGGGGACGGGAAACGGGGATTGTGTATTTTTGGGAGGGAGAGGACGGATGCATGATTACACGGTGTGCTTGGGGCCGGCAAGGCGGGGGGTGTAGCGTGCGTGGTAGCTTTAGCCGTTCTGGCACAGATGGAGGTCTCTTTGAGTGCTTTGTCATTTAAAGCACAGCTACCACACCGGATGCCAGGTTACAGAGAAGCGCTTCGAGCTCCTTGACTTGGGTGGGCCTGTGTTGGATGGGGTGCATGTGTTCGGACGCTTTCAGCAATGCGAACCCGGATTACTTGTTGGTTGACGGCTAGGTGTTCCTTAGGTCACGACGCGCAGGGGTGCTTGGGGCTGGACGCGCCACACCCAAACTCTTTGAAGTCTTTTAACTGCAGGTGCGCGCACGTTTGACGACGACATGATGATGACTCTTGACGGCGGAGAAGCGGAAAAGGAGTTGTTAGATAGCATCCGGCGTGTGACCGAGCGACGTATGTTAACCACCGACGTCGATGAAGGGAGGTGACTGACTATATTTTTGTCAGCCCTGGCTACCGGTATAGAGTCAGGAGGGAGCAGCGGGCGGATGTAGTGCCGGAGGCTGTTTTTCCATGGGCATTGAATTGAATGAAGCGGTGTGTTCCTGCCCTGTACCTTTTTTCTTGCTTGCAGTTGGGGGCCTGCCGCGCACTTCGATGTTTCGGATGTGTGGATCCGTTGACCGGCAGTGTAACGCAATCAGCTGTTTTGGGGGGCAACTTCGAAATCCTCATGTCGGCATGTCGGCAAGGGAATCGGAACATGGGTTGGACATAGCCCGATGCCGCACAGGGCTCATTCCCTTAGACATGCCGATTCTTATACCCCTCTCTCCAAGGTAAGTGTTAGTTCTGAGGCCAGTTGGTTCAACACACGCGCGAATTACGAAGCTCCGGTGTGTGGCGACGTACGCTAGTGTTTGCTTGCCAGTAACCACCCACAGTCCCCAGCCGGGCACAAGGACGAGCGTATTGCAGTTGCTGACCCAAGGCAAAGAGGCCCCACTCTTCGTCCAAGCAAATAAAATGCCACGCTCTGTCCATGATCGCAACCTGCACCTGTGGCCCAGACGGCCAGCTACACGACCGCCTCACGACCTCACAGCCAATCCCGTAAAACAACGGTCCGAAACACGGTCGTACAGATTTGCATAGAAACGTACGGTAAGTACGTACTTAACATACGAAACGTACATGCATGAATGCTGACCTACGTATAGGGCTGGACTAAGCAGCCGCAACCACATGCGCCCCAGCTGGTAATCAACAACTGGTAATCAACATCTAGAAGTCCGGCCTGGGCAGCGCCACCCTGCTCGGCAGGCGCCCCAGCTGCTGCCACGCCTCCAGCAGCTACCGCAGCCACTCCCGCTCGCCCACTCGGCGCCGGGCGGCCACATCGTCCCACAGCTCCTGAAGCTCCTGAGGTATGGCAAGGAGGGTGTGTGGCAAGACGTGTTCAGCATCTGGGGATCAGAACTGTGCTGGCCCCACACCCCAGGCACTAGGCCAAGCCAACAGCGCACATCATCGCTCCTTCCATACAATTGCACGACAGCACCTCCACCTGAGCCCCTCCTCAAGTACGGCGCCAGCAGTCGACAAAGGAACCCAACATGTTCCCCCCGGCGGCGACAAGCAGCCCCACCACACTGGGGCACACACAGCCTGCTGCCGCCTTACCTCCTGCAACGCAGCCAGCAGCACGCGGTCACTGCCCACATGCACCCGCCCTCGCTCCGCCACCGGTACCCACGCCCGCCGAACCCCCAGCAAACCCGCCACCTCCTCCTGCCCTCCGCCTGCCGCCGCTACCATCGTTCTCACCGCCGCCTCCACCGCCTCCACAGCCCCCGCCTGCCGTTCATTGCATGCCAGCAGAACGACGTTACCAGCGGCGGGTGGCAGGTGCCTGTGCGATGAAAGGCACCTAGGGGCGCCGCCGCCGCCGGCGCCGCCGCCAGCAGCAGCTGCAGCTGTGCTCGCCTCCCGCTGCAGTCCGGCCATGAACTCGTGCAAACACCGGCTAGATGCGCGGCTAAGAACACCCAACGGGGCCCCTGCAGCAACAGGAATCGCGAGGCGTGCTGGCCCTCCTCGCCTCCTCCCTCGCCGCGCGGTGGCGTCGTGAGACGTCGCTGCATCGCCGCGGCCACTGTGGCTGCTGAGGGGGTAATGCTTGCCGCCGTTGCCGTTGGGGACGACGCCAGGGATGGGACTGATGATGACGTCAGGGCCCCAACTAGCGCCGCATCCTCCCCCTTCCCCCGCAGGTGCAGCTTCACACCCACCTCCTTGTGCGATACACCCAGCGACATCGGCTTGCCGTACAGCCCAACCACCGCTAGCAGCGCCTCCGAGTACGACACGCTACCCGAAACCCACACTGTATCAACCTCCAAACGGTTAAAGTGACGGAGGATGGCCTGTAGCGGCACCACCGCTGGGTGGACTAGGAATGCGGCCGGGCTATCAGCCCCGATGCCAGCGGTGTCGGTTTGCTGTACACCCGTGAACCGGCAGACGTGCAGCGTAATGGTTCCAAAAAGGGCCCCATGTGTACGGCACAGCTCTCTAGGGTGAGCTCCTCCAGGGAGGGCGGTAACGAGTTCTCCAAGAAGTCCAGGAGGTGTGCCCCGGAAGCCAGCGGGGCAGGACTGACCCGTGGGTCACGCGGCCCGGCATGTTGCTGGAAGCCGAAGGAGCCCAATTCGAGGTGTGTGAGGCGATGTAGCTGCGAAATGGCAGCAAGCGCTGGTTTCCCAAGGACCACTTCCCGCTTGGCGTCTTGGTCAGCATTGTAGTTGCACACGCTTAAGCGCTTTATTGTATCTTTCAGCGCAATCACGCGCCCCAGGCCACGGTAGCTGCCCATCTTTAGAGAATCCAGGTACGGTAGACTGGATAGCGCGTCGTACATGAGTCGCTGATGTATGGCATCGTACGACATGACCTCCCAAAGCTCTGTGACGTCCAGCTCACGCAGCATCGGGAGCATCGGTACGACTGCCGCAACGGCAAGCTCGATCTGAAAACGGGCCACCGCAGCCAACAACAGCAACGTGCTTAACTTTCCATTTACCACACAGTTGGCAGCCAGAAAGCGCCCCCGTCGTACCTCCCTTGCGGGGCCATTCAGCCCGGTGCCACTGCGGATTCGTAACCAGTGCTTCCAAGTAGATAGCACAAACATCTAAGCGCATGACACGCTTATGTACGTGCACTGGCTCTCCTTTGAAAGGTAGCAGCATGAGCTGCGCTGAGTCGTTGGTCGTATTAGCGTAATCCAAATTTAGGACCAGCCTAACGTCAGAGCAGCGGGGCCAGCGCCACAAGGGCTGTAACGGTCATTCGTGCAGCCATGCATGCAGTCATACAGCTCTTACAGCAGCTATCAGGGCGGTGTGTAACGGTCGCATGCGATGACAGCAGGATGACATGGGGAGAGCATCATTGGTATCATATGCGGGCCAGCAGCGACGACTCGTCCCACATCGCTCCCTCTCGGCCCCCTATCAGAAGGACCTGAGGACTTGTACTCGGTGTGTGTCCCTACCACATCAGCCCCCACCTCACCCCTCCAAGAGAGGAGGGACACCGCCGCCTATAACTATAGCGGCCCATTAACCGCCAAGAAAGCAAAACCCAACACCTCTGCAACCCTCCCTCCCTGCAGCAACACCAGCAGCAGCAGCAGCAGCAGCAGCAACGCGTAGCAACGACAGACGAACAGCAACGGAGCGCATATCATTTGGTGTCGCGGCTTCAGCATAGTAATAAGTAATATATGGGGGAGGGTATATAGTGGGACACTTAACCCCTTAAGGGATATGCACCCTCACAACCGGCTACATAGCCTCTTTTGCAGAGGCGCACATACAGCCGTATCGGTACACGCAGCACCGAGCGTAAGTTATAAGCACCACCACAGTCGTCATCGCCATCCTACATATTAACGCCGCGCGTTGCGCCTGAGTACAGTAATCCTTCCTTTTCGTACATCGCATTCGCGCGCTATTACAGCGCGACAGCCACAATATCATACATCCACGCGCTTTCATGATCCGTTAATCACACAACGTTTCGTTTTCTTTCATGTCTCCTTTCGCGTTTGCGCGTACTTGGGTGGTTTCCACCCAACAAACTCTGATCGCAAAAGGGAGCAGCATTTCGGCTGCAGCTTAATGTCCCAACATCGTCCTTACGCGTCCCTTGCACCCCGCCCCCGCTGCCTCCATCCCCCACACCTCTCCACCACCACCAAAGCACCCTGCCGTACACGCACGTCTCACCGCTCCGTTACCCGATCCCGTTGTATCACACCTCCCATACACACGCCCGCATTCTTAACACACGTTTCCGCAAGCAGCCCCCAACCAGCCCGCGTGTTCCTTCATCCTCCAACATCACCCTGCCCAGCATTTCCCCGCCCCTCCCTCCTCCTCACCCGTTACCCCCTCCTCACCCCTGTGTCCTTTTTCGCCTTCTTTATCCCCTCCTCCTCACCCTCACCCTCCTCGCCCCCCTCCTCACCCCCTGGTCCGCTGTGTCGACAGCGACCGCAGTGACACGCTCCTGGAGGACGGCGACCTCCGACTGCTCCCCGACCGCGAACCCAACGAGTAGGAACTCGAGTGACCCACCGACCCGAGCTGCCGCTCCGCCCACCCCCAACCCAACCCCCCTCCTCCTCCCCCTCCTCCACTCCGCCCGCCTCCCCCCGCCTGATCCGCCCACACAACTCCCCCTCCTCCTCCCCCTCCTCGATCCCCGTACAAGCTGTGTCGGTGGTAGCCGCTAACACTCCCGATACCGCCGACTCCCGCCGCCGCCGCCGCTGCCTCCGCTTGCCTCCGCTGCTGCTGCTGCTCCGCGAGTCGCTGCTGCTGCAGTTCAACGGCCCGTCGCAGCAGCTCCCGCAGCTTGGCTCGCGGGTAGAAGAGGCGCATGCGGGGCACCACGGGGGGCTTAACCTCGGGCTCCACATTGAGGCCTGGGGGGGGCGGGGGGGGGGGGGGTAATTTGGAAACAGAATCCGAATTAGGCTAGATATTTGGGTTGGGGGGGGCGGGGGGGGGGGAAAGAGGAAACAACTAACTGACTGAGGGATAAGGCGTCAACATGGCCTGGGGCGGGGGCGGGGGGGGGGTCAGTGATATACCAGAACCACAGGTTAGGGCAGGTTAGGTAGATATGGTAGAAGTTGAAGAACAGGGAAGGAGGAGTTGCCGGGTTGGGGCAGGGGGAATGGTTGTCTTCCCTCTTAACATACATCTCCTGTATCCTCTTCTCCTCCTTCATCCCCACCCTAACTATCTTCCAGCCCCGCTCTCCCCCCTCCCTTCCCCCCCAAGCTCCCCCTCACCCGCATCCCGCAGCATCTGCTGCCGCATCTCCTCGATGGGCTTCCGCGTCAGGTACGCCGCCTTGTCCACGGAGTACCGCTCCAGCAGCTTGCGGTGTGCTCGCCGGGCATCCAGCAGGTAGGCGTCCACAACCGCCTCGCGGACCTGATGGGGGGAGGGGGGAAAGGGGGGGAGGGAGGGGAAGGGAGGAGGGGGGAAGAAGGAGAGAAAGGAGGGGAGTTGGGGAAGAGCTTCAGGAGGGGAAGGGGGTGAGGAGAAGGGTAAGGGGAGGGCGGAGAAGGAGAGGGAAAGGTAATTAGGATTTCAGATGTTTGGAGGTAAAGAGTGGGTTTCCCTGCTTGCCGCGCCTCCTGTACTGCCTCCGCCTGCTTCCACGCCTGCTCTCCTCCTCCTGCTGCTGCTGCTGATCTCCCTCACCTCTCGGGGCACCATCTCGTAGTGCTGACGAAGCACCTCGTCCTGCTCGTCCCCCGGGTCGTGCAGCACCCCGCGACCCGGCTGGCGGGACCTGGGGGGTGAGGGAATGAGGGGAAGGTGAGATGGGGGGAGGGGGAGAGGTGGAAGGGGGGGTCGTGAGGTCGGGGAGGGTGTATGGGGGGGGGGAAGTGTGTGGGGACATGGGGGTCCCTCCCTGTGCCCTGGGGGTAGGAGCAGGGATATAGAGGCGTGCAGTAAGTAGCGACGGAACTGGCGGGGTGCTTAGCGAGGTAACGGTAGAGGCCTGGTGAGGGAGGCAGGCGTGAGGCGGTGGCGGGAAGAGTGGGGATTGGGCCCTGAGCGAGTTCAGACGCACCTGTCGTACTGTCTCGAGCGGCCCCCTCCGCTGCTGGTGGTGGTGGTGGTAGTGCGCTCTAGCATCGCCCCACCGCCACCGCCCTCCGCCGCCCCGGCCTGCAGCGCGCCCGACATGAACGCCAGCGGATTAATTCCTGCGATGGCGCTGGCACTAGCACTGCTGCCGCCGCTGCCTCCTCCACCTCCTCCGCCTCCACCGCCCCCCGTGGCTGTCCCCCCGGGGTTGGAGGTGCGAGGGGGCGGAGGGGCGGAGGGGTTGTAGGATGCGGCAGCTGCTGCTGCGGAGGCTGCTGGGTAGTGGTGGTGGGAGGTGGCGTGAGGGGGTGGGGCGCGGGTGGGGGAGCCGGGCGCCAGTCCCAGATCGGGTTCCAGAATGTTTACGGATTTGCCGAGCCGCAATATCTGGTGGGGTGCAGGGGAGGGAGGGAGGGAAAGTGGGTGGAATGGGAAGGGAAAGGAGGGGGTAAGGGATAGGGGGAGGGGGAGGATCACGAATACGTTTTGAGGTTTATTAAGTGGCTGAAAGCAACTCCCACAACGGGTGGTGCACCACAACCCGCACCACACCTGCCACACCCGCACCACCCACTCCACACCCCCTCTCCCCACCTGGTTCTGCAGGCTCCTCTCCGCCCGCTTGTTGTTGCCCACGATCTCCCGCTCCACTCGGGTCAGCTGGTTGTACAGGGCGGAGCGCTGCAGCTTGCGAACCAGTAGCGCGTTGCGCCAGGCGCTGCGGGTGGGTGGGTGGGGTAGGGGGGAGAGGGAAGGTGTGTGGAGGGGGTTCAGGAGTAGGAAAAAGAGGAAACCCATTGGGACAAGGGCCATGGTTGCCCGCCCTTCCAGCCCAATCGAGTTTATTGAGGCGGGAAGTTGTAGGTTTCTTAGGTACGTACCCATTAAGCCCGTTGCGCATAACCCTCAGCCCCTTTCTCCGCTTCCCCACCCCTCCCCCGCTCCCTCCCTCTCCTCCCTCTCTCCCTCCTTCCCTCCCTCACGTTTGAATGGTAGCAATCCCCGCCTTCAGCTTCCTCACGCCCACCACGGCCATGTTGCTGCTGGCCGCGTACTGCAGGAACGACACGATGCGCAGGGCGCAGCGCTGCCGCAGCGTCTCCAGCTGGCCGGGCATGTAGGGGGGCAGCAGGCCGCGCAGGCGGCCGATGAGGGTGAGCAGCTCCTGCTTGCGCCGCCTGGGGGGGGGGGGGAGGGCAGGGGAAGGAGGGAAAGGAGAAGTGGGACAGTGGAAGGGACGATCGTCCTCTCTCTCTTTCTCTCTCCCTCCCGCTCGCCCTCCCTGCACGAGAGGGCGTTCCTCCGGCTATCACGTTACTGCGCCCCCCTCCCCCTCCCCGCATCCCCCCTCCCACCCTCCCCCTTCTTCCTCACTGCGCTCACTGCATGAGTCGGGATATGGGATTGGGATTCGTTGTTTCACTTTTATGTAATTTTTCCCCCTTCTTCCTCTCATCCCCCCCTCCCTCCCTCCCTCCCCCCCTCCCCCACCCACCTGAGCAGCACGCCCTTGTACCAGGTGGCGATCTTGACCGCCGCCTCCTTCCGTAACGCCCGCAGCGCCCGAACCCGCCGGTCCTCAACTACCTGAGAGAGGGAGGGGGAGGGAGGGGAGGGGAGCACGCCAGCCGTATGTGAGCCGTGCAAAACACACACCTCGTCTCCCGTGGCGTTTTGGTGGGGACATCATCTTCCGGCAATCACCGTGCGTTCCGAATTGCGGCCAGTCTTCTTAACACACGTGTGACGCCAGGGTATTAGTGCTATAATAACACAGGGCTGGGTTGGGTCAGTTAGGAAGAGGAAAAGGAAGTATTCCAAGGTGTTAAGGAAGGGGAAGGGAAGGGGGGAGGAAGCGGCGACCTGCGGTTAGGTATGCTGCGGAGGGGGCAGCTCTGCGTTGCGTTTCCTGTCTCCTCCCCTCCCCTCCCCTTCACCTCCCCCCTGGCCCCCCACCTGCTCCGCTAGGAATGCGAGTTTGGAGCACAACCCCACGATACCCGTCCACTGCCGCCGCCTGGGAGGGGGATGGGCGGGAAGGGGCGGGAAGAAAAGGTGGAGGAGGGGGATTAATATGGAAACAGAATCCGTATTAGGGAGGAGGGGGACGGGAGGCGAGACAGCATTACAGCGGGTCAGACAGGGCCCTGGTGGGAGAGGGGCACACCTTTACTTAGCTTGCCATCAGTACCGGCATCACCAACACCACTCGCACAGACGTATAGCATTCCTGTCTTCTCTCTCTCCCTCCTTGGCCCCCCCCTCAACCCCCCCCTTCCGCTTCAATACACAGTGCCTCTCATTCTCCTCCCCACCTCTCCTGCAGCTCCGCGAGCACCCTCGCCTCCGCCGCCCTCGCCTCCTCCTCCCGCCGCTGCGCCGCCCGCAGCTCCGCCGCCCTCGCAATGCCGCGACGTCGCTCCGCCTCCAGAGCCGCCGCGCGCTCGCGCACCTCCACCGCCCGCTGCGCCCGCTCAGCCCGCAGCACCGCGTGCTCAGCAATGAACTCCATCCTGATGGGGGGTGGAGGTGGTGGGTGGAGGTGGTGGGTGGAGGTGGTGGGTGGAGGTGGTTAGGTTTGTGGGGTATGGGGTGGGGGTGTAGGGGTGTAGAGGGGCAGAAGGAGACCAGGTTTGCTACTACGGTAGCCATTCGCCACCACCGCAAGGACCACTCCCCCCCACAACCCCTCACGTCCTCAGCCCTCCTCCTCCTCCTCATCCCACTCAGCCGTGTCACACCTGCGGCTCCCTCTCCCCCCCCGCCTCACCTCCGAGTGGGCGATCCCCCACTGGCCGGACGACTGCTCAGCGCCAGCCGCAGCCTCCTGCTGTCCACACACCCTCCACCTCCTCCACCTCCACCACCTCCACCTCCACCTCCACCACCTCCACCTCCACCACCTCCACCTCCACCTCCACCTCCTCCTGCTGCTCCTCCACCGCTGCTTCCGGGCATACTCCGATCGGTGCCTCCACCCGCAGCACCCCCACTGCTGCCAACCAACTCCGCCGCCACCTCCGCCATGCTGACCCGCCCTATCGCCCCAGCCGACATGCGTCCAGGTGCCTGCTGCCATTCCCCGGACATCTGCTGCTGCTGGGGGTACTGCTGCTGGGGGTACTGCTGCTGGGGAGGTGAACCGGAGCGGTGGCCGTTTGTTGGACTAGATGAGCCTGACCGGTAGCCCCCGGCGCTACCCCGCCCGCCCAGCACCTCCTCCACCACGTTTCCCAACGACGTCGCAGATGTGGCAAGCATGGAGGTTGCGGTAACGGTGACGGTTGACAACGGCGGCGTGGGTGAGGGAATGGAGCCGCTGAGTCGCCGGAAGGAAACGCTGCTGCTGCTGGCGTGGTGTTGCAAGGAGCCGGAATCGAGTTGCGTGAGGAAAACGCCGCCGGGGCTGCTTCGACCGCTGCCCCCGCCGCCGCCATTGCTACCTCCTCCTCCTCCCAGGCATCCAGTGCTCACTCGCTCGATGCCGCTGTAACCGCCGCCGCCGCCGCCGCCAGAGCTGCGAAAGTACGATGACGAATTCCGAGCCGTTGGATCCGGCGAGGCGGCGGAAAGCGACGACGGCGACGTCGGTCGGCCCCATGTGGCCCCTGTTGACCCTGCTAGCGGTGATGACGTCATCGGAATGGTTGTCTGCGAGCCTCCCCAGGCCACGTGTACGCCGCCAGCCGTCGCGGGCCTGCAGTACACTCCACCGCCTCCGCCGCCGCTACCTCCTCCTCCGCCTCCGCCGCCAAAGCCACCCGAGCTACGTGATGTCGAGGCCGCTGCGGGCAGGTGGTGTTGGTGGTAGGCAGTGTTGTTTGCGGACATGGGACGGTAGGCCTCCGGACCACCGCCGCTGCCGCCGCCAAAGCCACCCGAGCTACGTGATGTCGAGGCCGCTGCGGGCAGGTGGTGTTGGTGGTAGGCAGTGTTGTTTGCGGACATGGGACGGTAGGCCTCCGGACCACCGCCGCTGCCGCCGCCGCCTCTGCCGCGACGGCGCCGCAAGCTCGCCATGCCTTGGTCTCGTAGCGCCTGAATCGTCAGCTGCAGGCTGGGAGGCAGGCCATGTGGCACAATGCTGCGTCGGTTGGCTTCGACGAAGTTAATGGCCTGAGTGGCCGCAGCGGCGGCGGCAGCAGCGGCGCCGCCGCCGCTGTCCGCGGCGGTGAAGGAGCAGGCGCGGGCGGCGGCGGCCTCACGTGCGGCTGCGAGCTGCTCCTCGCGAGCTCGCTCGGCCCTCTCCTGCGGTGGGTCGGGGCCGGGTGGGGTCAGGGGGGTCATCCCAGGACATGCACATGCACACACACGACGAGCTCGCTAACACATGTATGTGTAGCTATGAGAGGCACAGGTACGGCGGCGGCTCCGTTGTTTGCATACATACACACACGTATGTGGCTCAATTGCCTTCCCCTCCTGTTAATATCTGTACACACTATCCCCCGCCCGCTCCCCCTCCCCGCCCGCCCGCCCCCACCTGCGCCAGCCCCGGGTGGCTGCGGTAGTACTCGATGCGGGCGGACAGCGCCCGGGTGGCCCCGGGGGCGGCGGAGCGGATACGCCGGGGCTGCGCTAGCACACTCTGAATGAAGAGCTCCTCCTCCATTGCCGAGTTGGGCACCGACATGCGTTGTGCCGCGGCAAACTGCAGCTGCAGCTGCTGCCAGCGCCGCCCCCCAGCACCACTCCCCGCTCCACCCCCTCGGTCGCCCTCAGCGCCTCCTCCGCCTCCGCCGCTGCCAACTGCTGTGGCCCCTCCGCCGCCACCACCGCTGCCGCTGCCGCCACCACCGCCGCCCCCGGCGCCGCCTGATGACCCGCGGGTCGCTTCGTTGCGCTGTGCGTTGCGCTCTGCCTGGTAGCGGGACAGCACGTCCTGGATGCTGTGGAGCTTGGAGTCGAAGCTGGGAGGGGCGAGGAGGCAGGGGGGCAGGGATGGGAGGTAGCAGGGAACAAGTCAAGTCGCGGCATGGCGCATAAGATGTGACATGCAGACTCAGCAAGATCTCTCAACGTAACCTTTCTTAGAAGACTTGTAACCTTTTTGTGCCTCTCACACGTCTACCCCTACATGATCAGTATGGTGTCACACACACCAGGGCCCACAGCTCACATGTTGCTACAGTGCCACCACCAGCCTCCAGGTGTGCCCCACTACCCAACCCACATCATTGCCCCACCCAACCCACGACCCCTCTCCCCACCACCCGCCCGCCCAACTCACTCCCTCAGCAGGTGCGCTGGCTCCTCCCGGACCGCCTCTCCGCCGCTGCGTAGGAAGGGTCGCTGAGGGGTGGGCTCCAGCGCTGCGGCCTCGCCGGCCCGCAACTGCGGCCGCTGTGTTTGGAAGGAAGGAGGGAGGGAGGCAAGGGCGTGGGCAGCGGAGGAGCAGCGGAGCGGAATGGGCAGCTGGGCGGGAGGTGGTGGCACCTTGGAATGCATCGCTGCCTGGCATTCACTACGGCCGAATATACCGATGGCACTAAGGAATGGGCTCCACGGGGAATTGCACTCATGGGCCGCCATTGTAACCCTCGAAGGACGTGTCGTGCCTCACGGCAGCGCACCTTATCGAAGGTGACACCACGGGATGGCCGCAGAGATGCCGCCGCACCGCTCTCCGCCGGTTCTGACGTGCGCCTCATCCGAAAGGGTTGCGCTTGGGAGACGTGAATCGGGGCTAGTATGAGCCGCTTGCAGCCTCCGAAGCGCCCTGGTTAGGACCTGTCGTGGATGTGAATCCTGGAGTCGCGGCGACAAGTCGCAGAGTGCGACCCGTCAAAGCAGCCTTGTTGCATTGCGCCGGACGGCATGCCGGGAGTGTAAGTGGTTCATTGCCGAGCGAGACGACGTACGCGTTGCAGTGGCGTCGGCTAAAGGTACCCCAACCAGCAATGCACTAACTTGCTACCTTACGCACTTGCTACGTTCCGCAAATAGGGTACAGACTGTAGTGCAATGCTACGCAGCGCTAGTAACGCATTCTACACTGTACTCCAGCGCCTTGTGACGGATGTCGAGCAGTTTTTTGTGGCTTCCAAAACGGCAGCGCTTTAATTGTAATGTCAGCTACGACTCTGAACAGGCCTACAAGTTCATCGAGTTGCAGGGACATTCAGACGGTTTGGCTAAGCTCGATGAACAAACACGTCTGCAGTACACAAGCATCGGACAAACGCGAGACCCCACGAAAGCTTTGCACGTTCCCTTCTATGTCCTGAGTTCTTTTCGTATCGCTTGTGCAACAAAGAAGTCAACGTTTGCTGCTCCTTCGAGCCTTTACCTTTACACCAGCGTGGCCTTTCCTAGTTGAATACTAAATATATAGGTAGCACTATGGAGGTATCTGATCCGAGCATTGAGGAGGTACGTACTTGCTTTGTCGTCCTAATATGGGTGCCTACATGCACTTGACCAGAGTTCGCTGCTTGCAGGCTGCGTTTGTAGCAGACGACGTAAGCAACATCATCAAGGAATCAATTGACGCAGTCCTTCAAAACCAACAGTACAGCGAAGCGAAGGTGCGCGGCGATGTTCTGAAGGCTAAAACGTTGGGGCTCTCGCTTGCTTAACTTTATAGCGTGAACGCACACAGGTTAGCCAATGGACGTCGAGCTGCCTGGAGCACTGCATTAAGCGGTTAACGGCCCTCAACAAGCCGTTTAAGTACGTAGTCACCTGCGTGATCATGCAGAAGAACGGTAAGACGCCCTTTGCGACCACTAGGGTGCTGGAAGGGGGTCTCAGACGTGTGTGGAACGCGCCGCAGGTGCCGGGCTCCATACCGCGGCGTCCTGCTGGTGGGACAGTACTACAGACGGAAGCCGTACCGTGCGGTGGGAGAACAAAAGCATGTACTGCATCTGCACCGTCTTCGGCTTGGCGATATAGCACCCACCAGCCTTAGCGGCGGGGGGGAAAGCAGAACACCCAGTGTGTTGGTCGACATCGGGGGGTTCGGGGGCGTCGGGCCTGCCTTCTGGCAGTAGAGGGGACTGGAAAGGGTTACTTCAGCCCTTCATCAGTTGCTTATGTACAGAGTGGCTGACGAGCCTTAGCAGGTCAAGTTAACGTTTCATAGCTATAGCTTCACGGTCTCCACCGGTCCGGGATGCACGGGTCCATTTGCGCCTGGGTGGTGCTGGCGGCGCTTTACAGGCCCATGTTCCGTACATACATGCAACATGCATGTGGCATTCTGTTTGCCACAGCGGTTGCGGCACGCTTTTATATGTTAGGGGTGGCCTTGCCCGATAGCGTCATGCACTGCCTGTGTTTTGCCCAAAGGTGTGACGACAGCCGCAGTCCTAAATAGGCGTGCATTAGCAGGATGGTTTGGGTAGTCTTGGTTTGTTGTTAGCAGGTAGGCGGGTAGATTGCTAAGGAGACATGAGGGGGCCGTAGCTGGGGTGGAGTGTTGGAGGCTAAGGTAAAAGAGGTACCCTAGAGTGGCCCTGCTCCTGCAATCCCATGAGGGCAGATTCTCTCTTGCGTGTGAGCCATGCGTTTGTGTGTGTTTCTCTTTCACTGTAACAGCTTGCGTCTGTCTGCGCTTTCATGTACGGTTGCATTTCCATTTCTTGAGGGAGGTGTTTACAGTCCGTTTGACTGCATTTGTTGAGCACAGCCACATTAACATGCAAGACAGTGGTATGTCGAGGTAGCAGAATGAGGCTGCTGGGAGCATTGGTATGAGGGGTTGTAACACATACGCTCGACCCTTACGTTTACACTATGCAGCTTCTTGGTGCATTCGCATATATGCAGCAGGTCATATGAGTTGCCGCTGTTAAGATTCAAGTCATTCGCACTAGTTGCAGCAACTGCAGTTGTGTACATGTCTGGCTTTGGCTAAGCAATCTTCTTCCCACTGCGAGCGCTGAGCTGTTTGTGTATTGGTGCTACATGGGTTGTCGTCCTCTACCGCTCATGCCCCTTGCTGCTGCTTACACATTAGGTGTAATGGTTGGTACATTAGCGACCATGTATTCCACTTAGGGTTGGGTTCCCCTGGGCTTCAGAGATGAAAGGAAGCAAGATAGGGAACAGGGAGCATAGACAAGGATGTAGGAAATAAAAGACTTGAGCAGGGAGTAGGGCATTCGTTCGTCACGTAGGCGTTTAGTTAGGGTGTGGATCAGGAACAGACGGTGGTGCTTTTCAAGAAATCTTTACTTCTAGATTCGTCACGAGAGGATACAGGACCAATGCGGTCTCCTGGGTTCAAGCCCGAGTCCACGCCAACCGGTACTATCAGTCAATTGCCATATGCCTGGTCTATCAAAGCCGTTCGTTGTTTGTACGACATGAGTCAAACAGTACCATAAAGATATTGCTTTACCCGGTAACGAATGCCCGTCATACAACTATCAACCCTGCGCCGATCAATGATAACAGATCTACTCATAATCCAGGACATGTCCACCAGTTTTTATGGGCACCGCCAATCATGCGGCAAGCGCCAAAGGAATACGACCGCACCGGACGCAACTCCACTAAAAATTGGTCAGTGCAATGGGTCCTAATTGGCCGGCCTTTTGCGTGCGGCAGGTACGTTGAGCAAGCATACGGCTAAGCTGCTGAGCCCGCGGGGCGCTCTATTGAAAAACACGTACGGCCATGTCTCCCCCTAATACCCGTGGCTACCCAGGTCGACGCCACAGGACCCAGCATTCCGTTGCAATCGGCAGCACTAGCCCCAGCAGACTATGGCAAGACGTGTGAAGCCAGATGTGCTCGAGGACGAAGTCTGGGAGTAATGACAGGCTGTGTGGCGCGTGGTTCCATGCGCTACGCAGCCTGTCATCACTCCCAGATCTCGTTCTCGAGCACTTCTGGCTTCACTTCGACCTCCACCCAGCCGATGTCGTCTGGAGAGAGACGCAGCTCCGTGAGCCTCTCGTCCGCCATCGCCTGCGCTTTGTTAAGCTCCACGGGCTCGGGCAGCGGCTTGCCAGAAGTTGCCATCACGTGCAGCCCATATGCGAGAACATACTCGGCGTCATCCATCGCCTCCTCTTCGGTGTCTCCGCTTCCAATTCCGAAGGTGAACTGTGCAAAGCAAACACTAAAGGTGGGCCGGCCTTCCTTCGGCTTGACTAAATAGGCGTGGTAGTGCTTCCCGGCAACGTCCTCGACGGAGCTGCCTCCCGATGAGCTCGTGGTCGTGCCGGGACATGACCTCACGCTCTGCATATATCATAATGCGATAAGCAATTTCGTGAAAGATGAAACGAAATCGCCTGTAACGTGCCAACAAACAACTCTGGCGCCAACGTTGTCATCTCGCACCACTTTCCGCAAGCATTTTCCCTCAGCCCACAGGGCATCACAGGGATGACGCGGTTCACTGTCATCCTTCTAGTACCCGACCTACTTAATTCTCGTCTGGCAGAAGATAGCGCCTGGTCCACGTCTATGCGCTTGCTTTGGTTGTGGTCTACGAAGGTAGCGTTCAGTTCGACATGAAAGCATACAACATGCAGCTTGCGTGTGATCCTAATGGGGGCGTAGCCGAGCTCAGACCGTTCCTGTGTAACCGCTTGTATTTGGCGCTTGCATAGGACAGGTGCTCACTGTATTCAACCATATGGCTGGAAACACTGCAGGTGATGAAAACAGGCAGCACTTGGAGCCGCATGATTCCCGGCATTGGTCTGTTCCAGCTGAGGTCGTCGTACCCATGGAAGCTGCGAAGCTCAACCCTCGGCTTTGGGGGCTTCCAAACGACAGCTGATAGCCTCAGCTTTTCAATTAGCCTTTAATTTCTTGCATGTCGGCCAGTGGCTTTGAAGCAAACCCACCCGATGCTCTTGCATTAAATCCGTATCCGTACACAATGGGGCCTATTGATAGACAGCTGCACGCACTCCAAGAAAGGGTTAGCATGCATTTCATTAAAGGCATTAAATATCTTATTTCTTTTTCCCATTTATTGGCATTATCGCGCTGGAATGAGCGAAAGCAGCAAGCCCTTAACCCATGTTTTACGATGCTGGGGTTACCACATAAATATACCTAGGGCAGTTGCTTCTAAGCTTTTTAGTAAAGATTTCATTGAGGCTGCTCTGGGCACGGGTCAAGGAGTCGAGCTTCTAGCATGGGATGGTGTAGGACGGCCGCTATTGAGGATTCACGTTTTGTTGCAGGCCGTTCGCTTCAGCAAAACCGCGCTGTGCCGATTTAAAGGCATTAAAGATCTTGTCGATACGTTGGGCGTCAGCCGGAAGGGCGGATCAATCGGCATTCGGGTCCTGGATGATGGCAGCCTTCTCGCCGTGCCGGTGCTTGAAGACGATGAGGACTCGTCAGATGACGACCAAGATCCCGAAGACGACCCACGCGTGACTGTGGAACCTACTCATCATAAACAGGAGTCACATCAGCCGCTTGGTCTTGCACGTGTATCGGCCAGCGGAACTGTGCTAACGCTATCATCACAAGCAGTAGACAACGTGTTCCATTACTTCACAGCCGCAACACGGACAGGGCCGCAAAGAGTGGCGGTGGTGGCATGCTGCCCTGGCCAGCAGCCCGTACCATATCAGCCAGTACTCCGCCACCATCCCTCCGGCGCGTGGGAGCTCGAGGATGCAGCCAAGCTGGTGAGGGCGCTGGGGGCGCGACCAGGAGATGAGGTGTCACTGGTGCGCGGTCCCAGCGGTGGTGCGATAGCTCGATTAGTGCTTCCATTGCCGCGGCCTGCGGTGGTGCAGCAGCCTGACGCGCTACGGCACAAGCAGCAATCAGCGCAGCAGGGGCAGCAGCAGCAGTCGCTAAGGCCTGCCGGACCTGCGAGGCAGCCGCGCACTGCAGCGCCTCCGCCTCACACTCCGCCTTTTGATGCTGACAACGATGATGGCGGCAGCGCGCCGCAGCAAGAACGGCCGCTGCAGGCTGAAGGGCCGTCCATGCAACAGCTGCAGCAGCAACAGCAAATGCTGGAAGGGCTGCAGGCCAAGACGTACGAGTACTTGCAACGCGAGTATCTACCGCTTGAGCAGCTGCTGCGGGCGCAGCTGCTACAGCAGACCCAGGAGTTTGTACGCTGGGTGCTGCAGCAGGGGCCGTCGTTACAACGGCAGAGGGCCCCACCGCAGACTCAAGTCGCGGCCGTTGCACCCTCCGCCTCGCCTTCCGCAGACCCCGTTGTCCCCGCACAAGACCTTGCTCCCTCGTCCGCAGCCGTGCAGACGTTGACGGCGCCAGGAGTGGGCTCGGCTGCGGCTCACCCCACCCCGCAACCGGGCGCTAGCCCAGATCACAGCATCCTGCTTACTTGCAACCCGGCGCGCGGCTCGTTAACAGTGCCCATGGAATTCCTCCCCATCTTCTTCGCGGACGTTGAGGAGGCTGCTGCACGGTGCCCGCAAAGAGTCACGGTGTATACTGAGGAGCACGCAGCGGGCCCTGCATCAAGCACAGCGGGCCAGGTGCGGCCGGTGCTACGGCCTTGGGAACTTCGGCTAGGGCGCATAGGTAGAGGCTGGGGTTTGCGTGAAGCAGGCGGCTTGCTGGAGCACCTTGCCGTGCGGGAGCGGTGCGCCGGTGCTGTTCACCTCTCCAAGCGGCAAGTCGACGGCGTACTGGTGATGAGCTTGGCTGCAAACGAGGCGCATCCGTTGACTACCGGTACCTGTAGCGCGGCTGCTCCCATTCCGGAGCAAGGCACGGCATTGGAGGGCAGCGACGTTCGCAGCGGCATCACGGCCAACCCCACCGGCCTTTGCCGGGGTACGGCCATCGCTACCGCCCCTGCTCCCGCTGCTCCGACAGATCGTCACTGCTCCGCAGCCCTTGGCCCTGCCGGACCTCAGAAGCCGGTGACGATGCTGTCATGCAACCCGTCAATGCTGCAGCCGCAGCTCCCGGTTCCTGCCATGCGGCGCGGCGGACTGCGTGAGAGCATCACCGCCGGCAAACCCTTCAACCCCGCCGGCGCCGGCGATGCAGCAGATGATGCAGCAGCAATTGCGTCAGAGAACCGCCCTCAGTCACAACAGACTGTTGCAGCACGTAGGTATGGAGCCGGCAGCAGCGGTTGTCTGTTGCATGCAGGAGGCGCGACCGACAGCAGCATCGGGATTCACTGCACCGGCGTAACAGGCGTCACGCTTCCTTCTGTACCGCGTAAGCCGGGTGCAGTTGCGGCGTATCCCTTGATGCCGCCACGCCAACCCCTCCCCAAGCAGCCTCTAAAGCGGCCTCTGCAGCCACTGCAGCAGTTCGAGACAAGCCTACACCAAGAGCCAGGCGCATATGAAAGGGACTACTGCCTGCAACGGCCTGCGGAAAGTAGCCAGTGCCAAATGCTGCGCACGCAGCGGCAGCCAACCCAGATCATCGCTGGCGGCGCGTCGGGACCTGTACGGCAGCGTGCCGTACCGGGTGCTGGCGGCCGCCCGGGTACGTGTGCAGGCGTCAGCAGCGGCGCTCGAGGCGGCGGTACAGCCGCGGGCGGCGGCATGGTGCATGCAGGGACCGCAGGTCGCCAGGGCACCGGCCGAGGACAAGACGTCGAGTTCCGTGAGGAGCTGAAGAGCAGCAGCAGCGGCGGCGAGGAGGAGGGGGAGGGGGAGGCTGCATGTGATGGTGCTGCTGCTGCTGCTGATGGGGTCCTCCACGTGCATCGCTGCAGTGCGGGACTTCGGCGTCGTGCTGGTCACGAGGGACGACATGTCGGTGGCCCGGAGCCTGGCGTTGTGATGGGCTGCATGGGCCCTATCCCCGAGGGAGCGGCCCTGGGTCAGCAGCTGCGCGCGCTGATCTCGCTTGCCCTCGGGGCGAACGGAGGAAATGAGAAGGTGAGGAGCTAGGGTTGCGGATTGGAAGCCCGAGGGAGGTGAAGACGATGGGGCCTATATGCGAATTGGGAAAGCCGTATTGTTTTAGTCGGTCGGTGGGATAGTTTATCAAGAAAGGGAGTGAGGAGTGATGTGTTAGCATAGCACCTTGGTTGTTGTGTTCCTTGGATGAAACTATTCCGTTATCCCTCCTTTAACTTGAATGCTGCTGCCCTTGCCTTCCGGCCCTGCTGCTAACAATGCCCCTCATTCGGCCTTGTCATCATCCACCAGGAGAAGCAGCAGCTGGGCAACAGCAGCAGCGGCCGGGGCGAGGCGGTCGCTTGCAAGGCTTCCACAGCATCATACAAGGCTCCTGCAGCAGCAGCAGCACAGTGGCCCCAGCAGGCAACCGCCGCCAGCCGCCTGACGTGCCCCCCGGGCCGCTGCCCTGCTGACCCAGATCACGCCGCATCAATGTTGGGTGCTGCCAAGCGGCGGAGGTTGGAGGCTGGGGAGGAGCAGGATGGGATCGAGGAACTTGACGCCTTGACGCGCGTCGGCTTTGTGCCCATGACTTCGGGGCTGGTAGCCACCACTTGGTAGTGAGCTGAGGCGGCAATGCAACGAAACTGGGTAACGCCCGATTGTGGGCTATAGCAGGTGTGGGCAACCCGCGGCGAGCTGTCGCGGGTAGAGTAATACGGTAGCAGGGTGTCCTGGCTATGCGGCGTACTATATATGTACGGAGCATGTGGTTTTGTTTACGGTTGGCTGGAAAGCCGCATAATGCTGCTCTGGAGGGAGTGCGAGGTGGGAGTGGGCATTTCCATTACCCGTACGAGCGTGTCAGTGTTGTGTCTTTGGGGCGGCTGGACGTGCTAGCGAAGATCTGATGTTTGTTTCATATTCTGTGGTATGGAGATACGCGTACAGAGATCCGTCTAGTTCGTAATGTGATGTGTCCGTGTGCTTACGCCGGCAGGGGTGCATAGCTGTACATACTAATTGCGCGTCATGCAAAGAGTGCTCAAGTCTGTTCGGTTACGTGTACCAGCGTAATGGCACTGCAGTGATGCCCCATACACGGAATGGGTACCACTCCGTGTACACAAAGCTTGGTTACGTGAGCGTAGATGTCCCTTCCGACTTCGCAGCGTTGTGGCCTGAAGCCTAAGGGTTTCGGCTGGTTCCCTTACGGTGTGCGTGTCAAAGAGTGCCGAAAAGAAGGGCAGCAAGTTCCGCCCGGTACGTACCATGCTGCAGCGGTACTGTGTTGCACGACAGTTCGTCGCTGTCACCGCATGTAGCCTATGACGTTCGTACCATTTTAGTAGAGTGGGTGTAGAGTAGAGTGAGAGCGGGAGAAGTGTGTGAGACCCACACTGGCGGCAAGATTGGAGATTTGGAGGGTGTAGAGGTGTGCGTGGGACCATGCCGACGCCATCTATAGTATCAGTGATAGGTCCGCTGGACGTGAGGACTTGGTGGTCCAAGTGGCTGTTTTCGCTTCCCTTGTGCGTGGGACGGTGATGTGGGTCGGCGGTAGCAGCTGGTTTGGACCCCAGCCACCTCATGAGCAGTGTGCCCAGTACAACGAGAGCAGCACCGTGGGCAGTGGCGCCGTGGATCAGGGCCACGCGCCGTGTGTGATAGTTATAGGGGATACATGTCAGGAGTGCATTCGCTTGCATGTCCAGGATGCGGTGAAAGGCTAGGTGTGTGTTGGGGTGACCCGTGGGTCGTGACAATGTGATAACGGCGTGCGGGTACTCATGAGCGTGGTGACGAGTACGTTTACGCTATTTGCGCTGCTTTGTTGTATTCATTTGGACCGAGCAACACATAGGATCCAATGCCTTGAAGAAGGACGCTGCACAACCAAACGCAGGCAGTACCGAATCACCCATCAGTATACCGGTAAACTCTCCTTATGCACATCCCATCATCCAAAGCGCAAACCTTCATTATCCTCAACCGTGCCAGCAGCCCATATTTTATAATTATTGACAGCTTGGCCAGTAAAGTTGTCAGCGTGCACTTTCCGAAGGCCACTTGCGATACGCTCTTCAAACATGGACGCGGATGGTATCTACAGGGTACGTCGTAAGCTTCACTACCTTCAAGTTCCGGTGTCTGCTGCTAGCCAACTATTCGATGATGGTCTGCTCCAAGCTTCAAAAAGCGATGGGCAGAAATTTTGGATGTTTGCTGCAACCAACGATGGGCAGCCGCCGCAGCGCATAAAGGCGAAGCTGCGCACATATGCTTACAATACAACTAGAAGACGCACGAGTCATTTAATGTTTGGACTGGCGGCAATTGCGGATAGGTTTGGGGCCCGCAATAACGGCAACTGTGTGGGCATTCGAGTCCTTGAGGGCGGCAGCCTTTTAGCGGTACCGGTAGAACAGAAGGCCGAGGAACGGGTTGACGATGACGGAGGGTGGCCGCTTGCCATGCAGGCGGAAGACCAAACTGGGAATGAGAAGAGGCCGCGGCGGAGGGCTGCCAGCGTCCTGCCACCAGACGTCGCCCCGCAGCCCGGGCCGCAACAACAACAACCGTCTAAAACCCAACCCAGCCTCGACACGCAACCGCAGCCGCACCAAAACCCCAGCCCTTCTCCCAGCCAGCAACCAGCCACCCAGCTTGCTCTGCAGCAGCAGCAGCAGCCTGCCGGTATCCTTCCTCCCGGTGTTGCGCGCGTTTCCAGCTGCGGTACGGCACTCTCACTCTCGCCCCTGACTGCACTCTCCGTCTTCTGCTTCGCCATCAGCGGAGCGTTATCGCAGCGGCAGGGGGAGCTGGTGACGGTCCTCGCGGGGCCTCCTTGCCCGCCGGGCCAGCAGCAGCAACAGTTGCCTGCACGTCACCCGTCTTTCCATGCTACCCTCCGTGCGTTCGCAGGCGGTAGCAGATGGCAACTGGAGGGGGCAGTGCACCTGCTGGGAGCACTGGGGGCGCGGCCGGGGGATGAGGTGTCGCTGGTGCGAGATTCCGGGGACGGTGGAGGCGGAGGCGGAGTTGTGACAGCGCAGTTGTTGGTGTCAGCCCCCCTGAAACCACCTCCACCGCCGCCGGCCGCAGTAGCGGAGACGCCGCCGCCGCAGCAGCAGCCACTGCAACTACCGGCCCCTGAACCGCTGCAGCAGCAGCCGCAGCAGCTGCCGACGCAAGAGCCGCACGCTCATCCGCAGCAGCAGTCAACCCCGGGCGAGGGCCCTAAGGATCAGCTGCTGCTGCCAACAGCGGGTGCGCAGCTGCCAACAGCGGGTGAGGTACCGCCGACCCCATCCGCATCCCCGACTCCGTCCCCGCCGCCGCCTTCACCGTCGCTGCCGCCACAGGGCCCACCTGAGCTGCCAGTACACGGCAGGGGCGCCCACCAGGCCAGCGAGGACGGGGGCGAGGTGCTGCAGGGTGCTGGTGGTGAGGAGCTGCAGCAGCAGCAGCAACAGTTGCTGCTGCAGCTTCAAGAGCTACACGCACTGCACATGCAGCAACAGCTGCAGGAGCTGCTGTTGCAGCAGCAGCAGGCGCACTTGCGCAGCAGCAGCGATTCACAGCAGCAGCAGAAGCAGCAGCAGCAACAACAACAGGGCCTGCTGACACCGCTCGACGAGCAGCTGCAGCTGCTGGACTCGCTACTGCAGCAGCAGCAGCAGGTGCTGCTGCGTCAGGCGGCGTCCTCAGCTGAAACCGCCGCAACGGGAGCTGGGAGCGGCGGTCAGACCTCAGCCCTCCAGCTAGTACCTGCACTGGTCCAGCAGTCCCTGGACTCAACCTCCCAGGCACTGGCGACCCTACAGGCGGCAGCGCGGGAGCAGCCAGCCGCTGACCAGCCACTGACCCGCCGGCAACAGCAGCAGCAGCAGCAGCAGCAGCAGAGGCAGCAGGCGGGGGCATCGGAGGAGGGGTTGGGTTTGCAACCGACACCTAAAGAGCAGCTGCAGCAGTCTTCGTCGTTCGTCGTGCCGCCGCCGCCGCATCCTCCTTTTCCATGGCCGCGTTCCGCTGTGGTGGTTTCGGCACATGGTAGCAGCAGCAGCAGCAGCTGGCAGCAAGGCGCGATTGCTGACAAGGAGGAGGGTGCTGGCAAGCCTGCTCTGCGACGGGATCAGCGACGGGATCAGCAACGGGATCAGCGACGGGATCAGCAACGGGATCAGCAACGGGATCAGCAACAGCTGTTGTTGCCAAACGCAATCTCCGTGACCAGCCCAGTCGCAGCTGCAGTCACGGCGGCAGGCCAGCACCTGTCAGGGGGCTTGGCCCCGGAGGGTCGCTCCGAGTGGGAGCCCGGGCAGCAGTCGGGGGCAGGGAAGGAGGAGTGGCTGGTGCACGTTCCAGAGGTAAGTAAGCCTGCTGCCAGGCAGGCAGGCAGGATAGCTGTGTGAGGTGTGTCTGGCACGTAACAAGGCGTTCACAGCTAGCTTTGCTGTGGATGGGTAGCAAGGCAGGCAACACGGTTTTTGTGGCGTTTGCCTAAGCGGGCAGGTTGTTGATCGACAGGGCAAGTGACCACGGCCCTTGCGACCTTCTGGTTTGTAGCTCTCGCCCTTCTGTGCCGCCCTTGCCCTGGCCACCAATGAAGCTGAACATTCAGGTCTTTTGCTCATCACTGCATCTGCAGCAGCAGACCCGGCCCCATGCTCATCCCTCCTGCCGCACCCCTCCCTCATGCAACTCCCTTCCTTCCTAGGCCTTGAACCATAAGGCACGCGGCGCCCGTGGCGGCGGCGCCTCGACCAACGCAACCGCCTCCGCCGCTGCCGCAGTGGCTTCCCAGGGAGGCTGGCCGCGTGCCGCCGCCGTCAATGCCGTCCCCGCCAGCACCGGCCGACGAACGCGCGCGCCCCCTCCCCGCCCACCAGCTACCGGTATCCCCCACACGGAAGGGCACCTGCAAGTGCAGTCGCAGCCAGCAGTGTCAGCAAGTAGGGGGGCCAAGCGGAGGCGGCAGCAGCATCAGCGGTATCCCGGTGTGCCGTGGGGGCCTGAGGAGGAGAGCGCCCGGAGGCTGGAGGAGTCGGCGGACACTGATAGCGCTGGCTGATCTGTCAAGTATTGCGGTTTAGGTTGGACCCGAGTGTCGTATCTGTGGTGCCCGTACAGCGCCTAAACGGATGCGCTGCTAGCTGAGGCGAGGTGAGGTGCATGTCCTTGGTAGTTGTAAAGGAGGTGGGAGATGCGTGTTAGGCGAGGAGGGTACGGTACGTGAGGACGCGAGGGGTGAAAGATTTGGGAGGGCGTGGGAGTGTGGTATGGTCCGCAACTGTAGTGGGCAGGATGTGTGGGATGTGGAGTGGCGCCTGACTGGTTTGTTGTCTTTCGTGGTTCCGTGACGTGTCGTGAAGCAGCACGTTTGGGTCACCTGCCTGTCTTTTGGGCCGCCGGAGGAGGGTGCACACATGCGTAATGGTGTGCAGGCACGGGAACGGACGGACTGGGTGCATGTTTAGGTGCAGCTGCTGCTCAGTGCTGCTGCATGTGCAGTTGAACTACAAAGTACGGCTAGTGTGCCACTGGCGGATTCATTCCTGGCCAACAACCACCAAGCACGCTGCCGTGCGACGAACATGTACGGCACTTAACGTTACAACACTTTCACAGTGGCCCAGTTGTACTCCAGACAACTTCGCTCTCCCCCCAACACCGATAGCGCACGGAGACGGCATACAGCACACGCTAACGAATAGTCCATTCCCTTGGTTCTGGTTAGCACATGGCTGGCATGCACATGCACCTCACACCGGCTGGGCACTCAGCTACATGCACCCCAGAGGAGCCACAAACAGCTCCCGCAGTTCCAAGCAAGACTCAACACCTCCACAGCAAACATCTCTTCACGGCTGCGGACGCACATGCTCCGGCCACAGCTCTCCCGCCCCCACACCTCCCAGCCCCTCATCTCCCTGCACACGCCGCTCCACCAACCCAACTCACGGGAGTGCTGCTGCCGCTGCCCCTCCAACCAGGCCAATGCCACACTGGAGATGCCATAACCATGCATTGCGCGCCATGCAGCCTCCCAGTCCTGCACCGGGCAGCCCTCCTCACGCAGCCAGACCAGCACCGGCAGCGGGCTGCGGGCATGTATGCATGCACGGAAGGTGCTGCCGCTGCCTCTCGCAGCGCGGTTTGGTAAGGGGCCGTCCCAAGGGCAGCCCAGACGGCGAAGGCAACGCAGTGTGGCTAGGTCGCCGTTGGAAGCGGGGGTGACGTAGGCGTCGTGAGCGTCGTGAGTGTAGGCCTGCCGGGCAACAACATGGCGTGTGCGTCAGTTGCAGTCATAGCCCCGGATCACCGCCCACAAACAAACACAACGCACCCAAAACCACAACCACCGCCATGCCCGCCTCTACCCGCCTTTACCCACCTCCCACCGCCATCCCTGCTCCACCATCCATTCCATCGCCACCTCGCATCCAGCCGCCGCCGCATCCCCCATGCTGCACTCATGCAGCGGGCAGCCCCGATCCCCCAGCCACCTCAACAGCTCCAGGTTGCCCGAGGCGATCGATGGCAGCACCCATGACACGCGCCCCGTAGCGCTGCAGCAGCCTCCCCCCTTCATCCACTCCCTCCTCCTCCACCAGCCATGCCACCACATGCAAGTGTCCGCGCCTGGCTGCTGCTACTGCCACATCCCCGGCGTTCATGCGGTAGCGCTGCAGCGCCAGCAGGACTTTGAGGAGCTCTAGGTGGCCATTGCTGGCAACGACCAGTGGGTCAATCGTGACCCCGTGGATGTCGGTGTTGGCTAGTAGGTACTCCAAAGCCGCCAAATTGCCAGATCTTTGGGCAACCTCAGCCATGGAGAAGTTGTCTACCGGGTAGCCCTGCTCCCGCAGCCAAACCAGCCGGTCCAATGCGTCCGGGCATGTGGCAGCAGCCTTGCATGCTTCACCATCCCGCCGGCAGCCCTGCGCCTCAAGCCACCCCACCTTGTCACGCCAATCGGGTGTTGGGCTGCGAGCCGCGGCTGCAATGATGGCCTTGCCGCGCTTCAGCTGCTGCGGCAGCTGCGGCTCCACGTGTTCACGAGCTTCCTCCGGATGCGGACGGAGGTCCTGGCAGAAGCGCTGCAGCGTTGGCAGGTCGCAGCCTTCAGCTACTGCTGCAGCCAGAGCCTCATCATCGGAGTCCGCTGAGTGAACACGACGTCCCAAAAGCATCTCTGCAAGCCCCATGTGGCCCCCTCGAGCTGCGGCGTGTACGGCACCCCTGCCCTTGGGGCAGCCATGGGCCAACAGCCATCCACATGCAGCCTGCTGTCCGTAGCCTGCTGCGATTTCGAGGGGCCTGAACCCCATGGGGCAGCCTTGCTGTGGGAGCCAGTCGCATGCTGCCAGCTTCCCCGCTGATGCCGCGGCCTCGAGCACCTCCCGCAGAGGCCATGAGCGAGCAGCCGGCATGTGCAACCGCAGCAGCCAGGTTGTCGATGCTGCCGCTGCGAGCAGTCAGGCACAGCAGCTGCAGCCGCTGCTGGAAGGTGAGGTCCCGCATGGCACCCGGCGTGCACCAGCGTTGCACGAAGGCATGGTGTGGTACTGGCTGTGACATCCGCACGACTGTATACTATGGTCGACGGAACAGCTCCGCTGTTGCCTTATCCAATAGCCGCAGCGTACAAGCAACATCGTTGTCAGGCAGGTAAGTTGCGATTCGCTCCGCAAGGTCGGTAGCTTCCCACACGTTTGAAGCACGTGCAGTTGAAGGTGCAGACATTCCATAAAGCGCCTAAGGCTGCGTCACTACTTAGAATTAGAAGACTGCGGTCATTGAAACTGAGTTCTCAATGCAAACGTAATAGATGGCTTCTATGGCAAGGTTTTGCTATCGCAAGCAGTTAGTATTAGGCTATTAGCTCTAGCTATTTTTCGTCGTTGTCGGAGCCATATTCAAATTAGGTCCCTACCTGAATTAACCGTGTGAGGCAGACCAAGCTGGCAAATTTAGTGATTGCTTCGACAGGCGTCAGCTACCGCCGTACATGAAGATGTAGGTAAGTGTGCACTGTTAGCTGGCTCGGACGGATCTTACGAGCTCGGTACGAAGCTTGTAACACATACACATACACTGTTAGCTATCGAGGCCACCTATGCTTGTAAAGCAGAGGCTTATGGTCTCGTTCGCAAGGGCGAAAGTCTCCATTAACCCATACCGGTATCATAGGTGCGACGCGAGCTAGCAGCAGTTGGAAAACGCGTTCCCGCACAGCTTGGCACTTACAGGAGGCAGCAGCACGTTCTACTTATGTTCCGTAGATACCAATTTCGTAAATACCAGAGCCGTTGCGATATAGCCTCAGTGTGGCATATGGCCCGAGCAAGCTCACTGGGGCTATATGTTGAGGCACCCGGCCTCACAGACATCCTTCCTCTGCCCGCAAATAACATAAGCAAAAGCCCATTCCATCCGCAGAGGGAGGGAAAACTAAATCCAATACATGGGCGACCCATGCTCCAGAAATGTACATTCTTCACCGCCGATATGTTGCCCACGACCAACTTCTACACGGACACAAGCCGCCAGGTTAACGAACATAGCACAACAGATATGCCCAAGCTGGGCTACCCAAGTCATATTTAAATTGATAAAGTAATATAATATTACCGTCTCCCGCTCTCTGCACTACACAGCTTTATTAAGTCACGCGCAGTCCAGTGCATGCCACCAAACTGAAAAGTTAAAATAACCGCCACAAGACATCGAAACTCAGCAGCCTGAGACATGCTAAGAGTGCAAGGTCAACTGTCAGCACCAAAACCACCAAACACACAGGAACAGGTGCCAAGCCCAAACAATGAACATACGATACAACATAACCCGTTTACTAGCAAGTCAATGTTGCACGATATCGGCAACTGCATGCCGGAAGGTGGCTGATGCACCACACATGGCATAGCAGATAGCACGTTGGTGCTTGCACGTTCACAACTATACTTCAACCAGCTCGTCCGAAGAAGCTCCTAGCCAGCGCACATGCGTAACCGCCCATAACGGAATCCTCCTGGCTTCGGTTCCACTTGCAAAACCGCCGCAAGCAACAGCCACTTTCCTCCGTCAATCCTCTCGAATTCATCGTGCCTACTACCACACCCCATTCGCTCCGGCTTGCCAAAACCAATACGCAGCAAGCATGAAATCTGCAATGCGATCCTCTCATTGCATCGCTCAGCTCCATTCTCACATCCGCAGCTCGAAGCTTCCCACACAGCGCCACCAAACACGCTGCCTCCCTGCTGCTCCTGCAGTGCCCTCCCCCTTTGCCCCTCCTCGACACGCATGTTGCTACCCGCTGCCATCCTCCCCAGTACCCGCGCCAAGTTCGTTCTGCTGCTGCCGCGTGTCTTGTTGTGCCTGCGACAACAACATCAGCTGTTGGGGCTGTGGTAGCTGCTCGGGTGTTTGCGGCCGCTGTATGAGCCCCTGCTGCTGCTGCTGTGGCGGCGTTAGGGTCGCCTGCTGCGATTGCAGCTGGGAGTTGTTGTTCTGCTGCTGTTGCCGACCGCCGCCGCCGCCTCTCCCTCCAACCCGTACATATACCGTACGATACGTGATCGTACGCCCACTCGCCGGCCCCGCTAGCAACTGCAGCGTCGAAGTCACAACCAACAAATCCCCCTCGGCAGCAGCAGCAGCAGCCGGCAATGACGGCGGTGGCACAACCCTTGCTGCACCGCTAGCCCATTCTTCGCCTCCTCCTCCTCCACCCCCACCTCCACCGCTGGCTGCTGCTGCACCCCCTGCCGCCGCCGCCGCACTGGACGCCGCCGACACGACCGCGAAGTGGTCTGTGCCGCTTCCCGGGAGCGGCTCGCCCCAGGTGAGGGAGAGCAGCAGCGAGCCGTCCGGCTGCACCGCCACTGAGCCGGAGTGCTTGCCTGGGGGTGGGAATCGGGGTGGGGCGGGCACGGGATGGTGGTTCTCGCTGGGACGTGAGCCCGCCGCAGGACAGCACCCTTCCCATGGTATCGGTAAGCACCCTGCGCACTCAGCCCCCCCTCCCTCACCCCTGCCCACTCACCCCTGCGCAGGTCCCTCCGGTTGTACTGCCCCACACCGCCGTCCAGCCCATAGCTCTCGCGGACCTGAAAGGGGGTGGGGGAGGAGGAGGCGAAGATGAATGTGAAGGGGGATTGCGGTGGTGGAGGCGCGGAGATGACATGCATGGGACAGACGACAAACACAGGAAGGGTCTGGCGCCCAAGCAGCAAACCGCATTCACCGCGACCTTTTACCTTGAACCAAGCAATAACGCTGAATATCGCCATGTTAAACCTGCAGTTGCAGCGGGGGCCAATCAGCCCAGGGTTAACGCCTGTACCACGGCTCAATTGCTCCAATACACACACACGCACATGTGCGCGCGTGTTGCTACTTGCGGTCCCGTGTTCTTGAACGCACACACGCCCCACCCCACCCCACCTGCCTCCCCGCACGTCCAGCTCCAGACCCCGGATCAGCCGCACCGCGGAACGGACCAGCCCGTTCAGCCGCATGGCAGCGATGGCTTCGTCCATGGGCTCGGAGCGGGAGGGGTCCTGTGCATGCACGCGTGTGCGTGTATTGCGTGTGCGTGTGAGGTTAAAGGGAAAAGGAAGAGGAGAGGCATTGCTGAGGCATGGCATGAACAAAAACGGGTTAAGAGGAAAGAGAAGGGCGCGGCTGCTGAGCAGGAAGGTGAGAGCTTTGGAGGGTTGCGAGGCGTACCTTGACCCAAACGCCCTGCAGACGGGGGTCGGGACTGGGAGGAGGGACAGGCGGCCAGGAGAGGGCTGCCGTGGAAGGCTCCTGAGAAGCAGCGGCGGATCGAGGCTGTGATGAGGCTGAGGATGACCCACGGGCCACCCGAGGCGAGGAGCTGCTGCGACGGCTACTGCCACTCATGCCGCGCGCAAGCTGCGAGCACAATTAAAAAGGATTAGATACAGGTTATTAGGAGTGAGGAAGCGCCGAAGCAGAGTGGGAGCACAAAGAGAGCACGGAAGTGAGGAAAACATGCGGCGCCGGAGCAAAGAAAGAACGGGCTATTGCTTCGCATGGAAGACAACCCTTATCCATTTACAGACACGTTTTTGTCTTTCAGAAGCCTAAACAGGGTATTCTCGCTGACAAGCGCGGCGCACCTGCCCTCCAAGCTGCACCCCAGCAGCAGCAACCAGCACCGCAAACACGTCCCATGCGCCTTTGACCGCCGTTAACGACATCGCTGCGCCCAGCAGGATGAGGAAAATCCACTGCAATACAGCCCCTAGCATGGGCTTCACAGCTTGCACAGATATAGTCCCCGACGTCAATGCTGCAGCTGGGATGGGAGGCGGGGGCTGCGCTAGATTTGCATTCGTGCCGCTGTGCGCTATTACTGATGTAGCATGCTGAAGTGCTGTAGGCTGTGACGGTTGCTCCTGCTTTGCTTTAGAGCTGGAGTGCTGCCATCTGCGGTGCAGCAGCCATAACGAGCCTATAACCGCAACAATGGCGTGAGGCTTCATACTTCTATAGTAATTAAGATTTATAACAGCGACGGTGCAACGATGCTTTCTTTGTAACAAGGTGTGGTGTCCAGCAAGAGTTGGCAGCACCAAAAACAGAAGCTCGACAGACTAATTTCATAATAATACATGTTGGTGCAACTCTGCAAGGATTAGGAATAAAAACGCTAAGACGTCAAAGCTAGCTCGAATGGATTCTGGGCATTAAACGGATTCGGAGCACAGATCCGGAGAACTGCGGAAAGTAGTAGGCCTAGATGGGCGAGGAATGGAGAAGCCTTGCTACCGCTCGGGGAGGTTAGTGTAATGTGCGACGATATTCGTTGACTTTAGCAATACATAGTGATAATGGCTGTCCAATAAAATCCGTCCCTATTGATTACTCAAAATCCACAACTCCTGGCTCGCCTGGCTATTATCCCGTGTGGGCGACACTGGATTTCGCCGCTAAACGTGCCGCTAACGCGAGGGACGCGCACGCGGACTCGTCGATGGAACTTGCAGTATTTGCGCCTTGCAGCCATGCCAACACCCTGCTCAACACGGATGCGCATGCGCAAGTGCCTGGCTGCTGAATTCTACTGGTCAGTTCGTCCACAAATACCTATCTGGCTAGGATGAGTCAAGGAGACCTGCGCACGCATGGGTGGTTGGGGGCGGGTCCTGGCGACCTGCGCACACGCAGTTGGCAGATGGAACGAGCATCCTGCGCATGCATGCGCGGCTGGAAGAAGGCGGTATCCTGATCTCAACACGATGGGCGCGGTGGGCGCTGGACCCGGCCCCGAATGCGCTTCCGTACACTGTGGCGGGCGTCTACACGTGGATCGTGCCTGCTCGCATGGAAGGGCGTGCTGGGAAGCTGTGCTGGCATAAGGCCCTAAGCCATTAACTAATATAGGAAGCAAGATTGCCCACCTAAGCATGGATCGTTCATACCATGGTGAAAACCGCCCATCCCATCAGCACTGGGCACGTAAGCACCATTGGGCCAGATCAGTAGTACGGTGGGGGACCACGTGCGAACCCCTGGTGACGATCTCTTTTGCTCAGCCCACAAGAACCTATTTTTCGTGTTACCGGTTCCAACCTTGGCGGGAGGCCCTGTTACGTCTGGAAGCCGTCCCTGCACCCCTCGGTCAGTCTATCTTGTGCTGTGCGCATCCGCACATGTCTGGCTGGCAGGTCCCATTGTGTAGCGCACGGCGCAGTTGGTTGAATGACTGACCGTTAAAAGTGGTTGGCTACATCCTATGCGTGCGTTGCATGTGTGGCTGTGAACATGCAATAAAGGGTTGCATCTCCGCGCGAGCAACGCATTTACTCCGCTTCGAAAGGTAGAGAGTATTTGGCGGTTGCAAACCCCAACCACCAGAGCGTTCTCCCATGTACAGCAACGTGATGCATGTTTTGCCGACCAGCCCCTACACACTGGCGTTATGTAGACAGACGCTGTCTAGTGTCCTCACATAGCCACGCAACTTGACTAACCACAAACAACTCGCAACACGTGTGGTGCACAGCGCTCGTTCGGACGACCCACCTGCGTCCTAATACCACCCAGCCACCTACCGGCAAGCCCGGCCACAACCCAGCGCCCAACCAACTCAGCACCACAAACACCGGCCCCTGCACCGCTGTTGTTGTAACACGCCGCGCCCCTCAGCTACCCCAATTACCGGCGGCACACCCGCCCTACTTGAACCACTTGTGGCCCTTCTTCTTCTTGTGCTTGTAGCCCTTGTGCTTATGTCCCTTGTACTTATGGCCCTTGTGCTTGTGCCCCTTGTGCTTCCCGTGGCGGTAGCCCCCAGCCGGGTAGTGGTGGCCCCCGGGCGGAGGGGCGCCGGTCATCACGTAGGCTGCATGCGGAGCTGCGGCTGCGTGGCCTGGTGGGCGGGATCCGTAGGAAGTAGGAGGGGTCAGTAAGGAAGAGTTATGTAGGAGGTGGGAGGTGGACTTCTCTCTTCTGTTCGTGTGTAGTTTACAAGGTGAGCTTACTAGAAGTCAGAGGAAGAGAGAGAATTGAATGCTGAGAGAGAGGATTGAATGCTGGTCCGGTACGCATACCGACAGAAGGCCGGAGGGTGGCGGCTGGCTTGCAAGGAAGCAGGACAAGGCACGAACCCAGCGATGACAAGGTGGAGCAGCCCCGCGTGTCGCCCCTCGCTTACCGTAGGCTTGCGGCGGCGGGACACCGTGGGCAGGTGGAGGGTAACCGCCGTGGGCAGGCGGGTAGCCGCCAGGCGCGGGCGGATATCCGGCGGGTGCAGGCGGGTATCCCCCAGGGTAGCCGGCTGCATGTGCAGGTACGGGTTGTATGGGCGTGAGGGACGAATTGGGATCCAGTTTGACAGCAAATTCTTCAAGCAAGGGACGGATAGCAGGTGGCAACTAGCAGCGAACGATTTGTGGTGGAGAGTTTGGGCAAGGGTCTCACCAGGAGGTGGGTAACCGGCGGGGGCACCGTGCTGGGGCGGGTAGCCGGCCGGAGCCCCGTGAGGAGGGGGGTAGCCGGCGGCGGGGACCCCGTGAGGGGGAGCGTAGCCGGCGGGGGCACCGTGAGCCTGGTGGCCTGCGGTAAGGTAGTCCGGCGGGAAGGAAAAGAGGTTGGGCGCTGCCCAGCAGTCATGGCCCTCAGGAGGATCGCCCCCACACCACCACCGGCAGTTTGCGATTCGAGGCAGGGCGCATGGCGCTCGCACTCGGGGCCAGCTCCCTACACACCAGCACTCACCTCCTTGCATAGCGAAGGACAGACGTACGGAAATGAAGCCGTGCTGCTTGCCGGACTTGGTGTGCACGGGGCACTGCTGGTGGTCGGAGCCATGCTCGCGAACCTGGGGGGGGAGGCGGTCATGACATCACGTAAACGTAAGAGATAACGTACGACCACCGTACGAGCTACCCAACCAACAACCAAGCTGCCGTATCGTACTCACCCGGGCTAGCGATACATGGGCGCTCCCGATCTTGTCATCCTTGCCGATGTCCTCGTCCTTGATTGTGATCTCGATGCTGTTCTCGTTGATCTGCACTCGTACACGGCCAGTCGAATGAGCTTGGAAGAAGGAACCATCTAGATTCGCTGGACAGCTACCGTTAGGTAGTAGGTGTGCCATGATCAACCGACCAGCAAAACCTTATTATCACTACTTCATTCCCTGCTATCTGCAGCAACTGGCGAGCGCCGCATGCTTCTTCTAGCTTAGCCAGCAGGATACATGGACAGACGGCGAACAGCGGGGGCAGCAGCAGGCAGGCAGGCAGGCAGGCAGGCGGGCAGGCGGGCACACCGCTGGACAGCATGGGTCGGGTGCCGGTACAAAAAGCCATGGTGCAGACAACAGATGCCGTCACCTAGATACCGTATCCAGCACGTGCGACTTACGACGCTGAATGTGAAGGTCTCGTTCCAGACCTGCAGTGAAGGGTTAGTTATGTAAAGCACACGCGGGTGCAGGGTATGGGTTGCGGGTGTTAGGGCCGTTGGGCGAACAGGTTAATAATCCATCCATCCAGCCATTCCTGCTGTGAATCGCAACATTGCACGCAACATCCGATGCAGCCACCCATGCATTCCTCACCGGGTTCTTGCCGCCGTCCTTGCAGGTCTTGGTCTTGTGCTTCTGACCCCCCACCTCAAGGATGGCGTACGGGTCCTGTAGGTGACAGGGCCGGGAGGCAGCAAGAGCAGCAGGGAGGGCGGCGAGGTGATGTAGCTGATCATGAGGTGGCAGTAGCGAGGAAGTGGGTGAGCAGGAGGCAGGAGGAGGTCTTGAAGGGGGGTTGCAAGCCAGCAAGCCCTGCGGCCCGTAGGCTTCTCTTTCTATGTACGAAAGGTGGTGGAAGCCATACCTGCTTTCCAAACCTTCGTTTTGTTAATGTCGACGATGCACATGCAAAGGAAGGAGGCGAAACAAGTTGCTATCGGCGGAACCAGCAGCGAACGCGCAGCAGCCGAAAACAGGCGACGATATTCGTTCGTTTGGGAAAACAGACGCCTTACCAGTCCTTGTCTTTCAGATCCTGCGGCCATTGCATGAAACAAGAGTCAAACATACACGTGCGGTTAGCCGAGCGGACAATGTAAAGCTTTCAAAAGCACACAACAGCACCTAAAGTGACCCATGGGTCGCAGCGCGAAGGCGGTGGCTGCTGCATCGCATCACCATTTGCGTGTGCAACTGTCAGTTTGCTGCTAGACCAAATATTTGACACAAACGCGTCTAGATCTTGTTAAGTTACAGCGAATGCGCCTTCGCCCAGCTCCGACCAAATCTCGGAAGCAAGATAAATTCCGTTCGGCCGCCTCTACGCTCTCATCACTCCCATTGCCATTCCAATCCCAACTCTTCTTTCATACCTTTGCGAACTCCACTGTAACAGTCAGGGCGCCTGCTGCCAGCGCCATGCTGGCGGATAGAAAGCTCTACGAAGCGATCAGCTGCCTACACTTCAGGAGAGAAAATTTACGCCGCAGCTCCTAGAAAAGGTTTAATTATTATTCTATTGGTCTATTCATAGTCCAGGAGCTTAAAAGGAGCTGGCTGCTGCTTTGACAGGGCGTCGACTCAGCTAGTACGACCGCTGGCACGTGGCCAATTAACTCGGAGCATGTTCTCTAGCGGTTCCCATTACCGCGCTTATCTTGTCTCCGTTCATAATGGAGCCAACCAAGGCAGTTAAAGCTCTATTTTTTAAGCCATGCATCATTGCTTCCCAGAGTCTCTTGATGAGGTGCAGTACACGCATCCTAGCGTAGCGTCATGACCACACTGCGTAACGCGGCCAGTGACGAAGCCGCCAAGCCCGAGGGGTCCTCACATTGCCGCATCGGAGCACGTGCGGCGCATCTCAGCAGGCGAATCCGTCCCAACGCCTGCGGACCCCGGCAACTACATATCGGCGGGGAGGCGGCCGGGCTTTACTGTGCTGGTTGCAATTCCGAGCGCGCCCAGTGTGTAGTTGAGCGGAAACAAGAGCAAGCGGTTGGTATAGGTTCGCATGTGATAGGTTCGCCCAGAGTGTGTGTCACCCTGTGTGATTGCTGTCGCAGTCACTTGGCGACCGGCGTCAGGACTGGCTTGTGCTGGCACTGTTAGCGCAGCGCATTTGGACCTTGCACTCGATCGGCCCCAGCGGGACAGCAGGGTCTTCTGTATTTGTGCACGGATAGTTGCAACCGCAGCTGGCCCTATATAGTGCATGCGTGGCCGTGCATCTGTATGCGCGGCCGTGCATCCGCGGCAGATACTGCAATTTGATTGGAGGTGCACACTCGGTTTACAACGCCTCATCGGGATGGGTTGTTAGATGCTCTTGTTAGGGAACCTGCTGGCATACATGCGGGGCGCAGATAGCAGTACGAGCCGTACATCGTACATACGACAGACACCGGCACTGTTGATAACGGTCATTCATCCACACAACAGCATGTGTGTTCAGAAGACTGGCCTCGAGTGGGAACATACAACAGGTGTGGTCACAGCCGGCATGTACGAATAGCCAACAGCAAATAGCTATATGGGTTCTGCATGTTCACTGCTTCCAAGCAATCACATCAATTTCAATCTTCAATAAGTACCTGTAGCACTGTGGCAGGTTTGAAGCCCACGATTCCATTATTTTATGATCATCGTACAGCCAGGTCCCCACTTCACAGCCGCAACAGCCACGTCCCGGGATCTCTACAAACCCCAAACCAAGATCACATCCATGTGATGTCACACGACTTCCGCCTACTGCTCCACTGGCAGCACCCACCCATGCACGCCCATACCGCCATACGCCCTGGGGTCACAACGCTGGTCAGCCTTACGCGCAGAACGCCGTTACGAACCACTCCATACAGCAGCGACGCTCCAGTTTGTGCGCGCTCGTACAGAGCCTGCAGCAGCAGCCATCCGCTCGCAAGCAGGCGCGCTAGCTTGTCCACTTAGAACTTGAAGAAGCCCTTGAAGCCCTTCTTCTTCTTGTGCTTGTGCTTGTGGTGGTGGTGGTGGTGACCCAGGTGGCCCATGCCCGGCGGCACTCCCGTCAGGTGCACTGCCAGCCCGCCAGCAGCACCCAGGCCGTACATGCCCGCGGAGGCGTGGCCTGCAGCAGCAGGGGTGGAGCATGAGGGTGGGGACGTGCGGAAAACACACACACACAAGGAGGACACATAAGGAGGACACAGTACGTTTCGCCTTGCGGCCAGTTATTTTAACACAAGGAGGAAGAAGCAACAAGGAACAGTTCGCCAAGACACGACATAAGGGAAAGTAGTGGGCTTGAGATTTCCCTAGCAACGCGGCTGCACTGTCGCGGGTCACCATCTCACCAACAAAAAAGCGTCAATCAAGACGCGCTGCTGGGCTGCTCCTTACCACACAGTGAACACCGCTCCCAAGCTAGTACCGTATGCCCGTGACCCCGTCTTCCACTACCGGTTCCACGTTCCAGCCCCAGACTGTGACTGCGCCGATCCCTCTCACGCCTTACCGTAAGCTGCGGGCGGCGGGGCTCCGTAGGCGTGTGGCGGGTAGCCAGCAGGCGCCGGCGGGTAGCCAGCTGCGGGTGTTGAGAGGCAGCGCACAACCGGTTACAATTGGTACGAACAGGTGACCGCTGCTGTGGTTCCCAAGGAGAGAACACAGGTATGGCACATCTATTCCAACGGTCGTGCCGGACGCCATTTTAAGCCGCTGGTACAGCTGATCAAGTGATCGAGACGGCGATCGAGTCGGCGTCAGGACTGCGAATATGCAAACGTGCAGAGTAACAAACCACTGAGCAGCCAATATGGAGTGCAAGCGAGTGGATGTAATTCATGTCACATGCGTCCTTCCAAACTACCTGGCGGCGGGTAGGCGCCGTACGCTGGAGGAGGGTAGCCGCCTGAGAGGGCGAAAGCGGCGGGGGCGGCAGCGCCAATCCTCTTCGTTCAAGAAAGAGTTTAAGAGACATGGACTGAACCAACACAGGGCAGCGCCGTACTGCGAAGACAACACGCCCCAAACAGAAGCTCGCTGCAATGGGAGCAAAGCTGCTGCCCTGTCCCCAAGGAACCAGCTCCTGTCCCTGTCCCGCAAAGCGCAAGAGCCCAGGAAGCCAGGAGGCCTACAAACCCCTGCTGGTCCAGGTGTAGGAAGTGCGGTATACGGCAGTGCGACATGCATGAGGAGGAGCCGCGTAGCGGTGCATGCACTCGACAAACTTAAGAGGTCACGCGCCCCTGTCCTGCATCCCCCCCACAGCCGCGGTTCGTTCTCACCAGGGGGCGGATAGCCGGCCAGGGCCCCGTGAGGAGGTGGGTAGCCGGCCGGGGCCCCGTGAGGAGGTGGGTAGCCGGCGGGCGGAGGAGGGGCCTGGGGCGGGTAGCCGGGTGCTGGGGCCGGGTAGCCCGCAGGGGGCGGGTAACCGGCGGGAGGCGGATACCCGTGCGCTGGGGGCGCTGGGGCCGGGTAGCCGGGCATGGGCGCCGGCTGGGGCGGGTAGCCGGGTGCGGGTGCGGCCTGGGGCGGGTAGCCCGCTGCGGGGGGGGATGGGGTTGGGGAGCGAGTGACGGGGCGGCATGTCAGGGGGAAGAGGGCGGGTACGAGTTCAAGAGCACCAGATGGCACCTTCCACGGAGAGCAGCCTGTGAGCGCTACACCATGCTTTCCCAACCGACCCAACGCCGCCTCCCAACTTGCACCCACGCCCACACGCCCACCACCAGCACCACAGGTGCACCCACCAGCACCACCCTCCCACCCCCGCCACTCACCCTTCATGGCGGAGTTGCGCGTGAAGCCCAGTCGCACCGCCACGAAGCCGTGCTGCTTGCCGGACTTGGTGCGCACCGGACACTGCTGGTAGTCGGAGCCATGCTCACGGACCTGGAAGAGGTGGGACATGGGATGGAGAGGAAGGAAAGAAGGGGAAAGATAGTGTGTACAGTGTAGGGTTGGTTTGGTCTGTAACCCTATCACGAGCCAGCTGTGTAGTTGAGAGGGGTTTACATTGTGCCGAAGACGCGGTGCCTCGGCGCAAGACGCCTGTTCATGGGAGCTGGCGAAAGAAGCCATGCATGGGCGGACTGGAACGAAGAAGTGGGGACATGCATGCACGCATGCGCGGGCAACTCGCGCGCTGCCATATCGTCAGTTAGACAGCTCTTCGCGACTCGTGTGGCTCATTACCTTTGCCAGCGACACCACGGTGGTTCCAATGAGGTCATCCCGACCCACATCGCTGTCGTAGATGGTGAGGTCCAGGTTGTTGTCGTTGATCTGGGGTGGTGGCAGCAGCAGGTGGTGCGGCATGCGGCAACCCAGGAGGGATTGATTAGGAAGGTAAAGGCAGCCCAGGCGGGGTTGGCTATTTGGCTTGGGAAGGGAACACAAAGGAACCGTCCGCCGCTGGGAAACATGGACTTTGCTTCCCGGACTTGGATTAGGTCCTTGTAACCGTTTTATAAGGATCACCCTTAGCAGCATAGCCGTACACCAGAGCAATCGGGTGGTGGTCATCAGCACTGGCAGTGCATGTACATGCTTCACACTTCCGCATGCATGCCACACCTCCATACGCCTGTCAATAAGCCCATCCCGCCTGCTGGCTGGCAAGTCCAGCACCCCCGCACGCACACGCGCTCCGCAGCTGCAGACATCTACCCAACGACCGAACTACCTAACGACCTTGTTCAACAAACGACCCAGCCCTGCCACCATGGTGCGCGTATGACTTACGATGTTGAACCGGAAGGTCTCGTTCCACACCTGCAGCAACCGAGAGGGGCGCCCGGAACCCGCCCATGTGAGCGCAGATCATGATATACCGCAAACAGGCATACAGACTGCGGCATTGTTTGGTCAAGCTCGCTCTGAGCCCCCGAACCCGGCCCGACCTCCCGGGCGCAGCACTCCATCACACTCCCGCGTGAATGACCAGCATTTCCTGGTCGCCCGGCCTCACCGGGTTCTTGCCGCCATCCGTGTGAGTCTTCGTACGGAACTTTTGGCCGCCCACAGTCAGAATGCAGTAAGGATCCTTAGGGGTGAAAGCGGATAGGTGAAGGGGGAGGTGAAGATTAGGCGGTAGGAGCAGGCTACGGCAACGATGACACAGGCGTCTCTCCTCATAAGTGAGCAAGGGCATGCGCAGCATAGCTGGTATGCTCAAGAGAGGCATTCATTACAGAGCGAAATACCCAGGCAGTCAGAGGCAAAGATGTGGACGCAGCTAGAGGTACGCGTGCACAGGAAGAGTAATTGCCTTATGGCGAGATCGGAACAAAAGGATCGCTACAAACAAAACGGTGTCGCCTGTTACGCCCACCCACCTGCTTGCCAAACCTTCACGTGCCAAGTCCGACCAGCATGTGGGAATACGAGGGCGTCAATCCGGAATGAGGACAGCGCTCGTGTAGGAAACATACCAAGATGTTCTTACCAGTCCTTGTCTTTCAGATCCTACGGTGAACAAATGAAGGGGGAAAAGTAAAGGTTTCGCTCACGCAATGGCAAGGCCCCGATTACATTTAATTAACGTATTCCACTCCTTACCTTGGCATACTCAACCGTTATGGTCAACGACCCTGCCTCCAGCGCCATTGTGGCGCAGATAGAAGCTAACGTCCAAACGCTGCAGAACTTTAATGAAAGCGAATACTAGACTAAGCTCCCCGAAAACGAGGGTGGGGAGACCCCGTAAGGGAAATGTACAGTATGAGTGCAAGAAGCTTGCGAGTAGGTCTAACCACCGGAGCCAGTACGGCATGGAAACAGCAGGCACACGCTTAGCGAGCCTCTGTCCTATGTGTGCCGTGCAGGGGTCGCCGGGGAGAGTGGAAGATGAGAAGCACATCCTCATTGAATGTCCCGCTTACGATGATTTGCGTGACAAGATATGGGAAAGTGGTGTCTCACGGGATGCTGATATGATTGCTGTCATGGGCATGGAGAATCAGGCATTGCTTGCTAGTGTAATCACTAGCATGCGAAGTCGCAGGATTGCGCAGACAGGGTTTATCATATGATTAGCGTTCTGTTTGTTGTCTCTTTTGTTTGCTTTTTCTTCTTTTGGTTGTTTTCGCGTTTTGTGCTCGCGATCCATGAGCCTTCTGGCTCGGACGGATCTTACGAGCTCGGTACGAAGCTTGTAACACATACATACATACAGCGAGCCTCTCACATAAGCGCTGCTGTCTAAGCTCGTAGGCAATATACATTACAACCCAGATCCAACTGTAGACCCAGCGTGAAGTGGTCCATGCATGAACTGGTCCGGATGCGTAGTTGTTAGTAGTTGCTTGCCTTCTTTTTGAGCGAGCAAGCGGTGAACACTATTGGTAATTATTTTTGTGCCCATGAACAGACAGAGGCTTGCCTTCGGGGCCGTCGCTGCCCTCAGCGGGGCGCTTGGCGTGGGGAATGCGTGCCTCGATCCCATGACGCAATGCCGTTCCGACGCCTCACCGCCTAACACCACAAGTGTAGCATTAGCATCATTACAACATAATGCCACCCATGGTGACAGTAACGAGGGCAGCAGTACTGCCAGCTGGGGTCTCCGGTGCCTCTCGGCTCTCGGCGGACATTTGCATGTCCCTTCACTGCCCGCGCAATTGCTGCCGCTTTCTTCATTAGCCGACGGTAGCAGTTACGCGGATATGGATACATCAGCTGCCTCACCAAGCAGCGCCATGGCAGCAGGCGCACTTGCTACTGACATGGATGGCGAGCGCGGCAGCAATGACACCATCACCGGCGTGTTTCACCGCCTCGACCCGCAGCGTGCTAAGCTTGTGCTGGTGCAGGTGGTTTTCAGGTGAGGAAGACAATTTAAGCCGCATCGCGGGACAGTGCGTGGCAGGACCGTGCGTGAAAGAGTGTAACATAGTAGAATGTAGCGCGCTTTGGGAATGGAGGAGAGCATGGGCCTTTATCTTTACATGCAGGGGCATCGCCACCAGCCGCTGCCATTCCCCATGGCCGTGGGAGGAAGGCCATCTTGCCTGCTTCCCCGCTGCTCCCAGCAGAACCATCCTCCTGCCGCCCTCGTCCCCCCCTCCTCCTACGGCACCCTGCGTGCAGGCACGGCGCCCGCACGACGTTGTCCAGGCGGTCGGAGATGTGGGGCGACACGCAGTGGGACGTGTGCGGGCAGGAGTACCAGGTAGGCGGCAGGGGGCACATGCGGGGCACATGAGGCGGCGGGAACACAGGCGGCGGAGGAGGGGGGTTACCGCGGGTAGGCGGGAGCCTGGCCACAATCAGAAAGGCACCGCCATGCACTCAGTAGCCTCACTCCTCCTCGCCCCTCCACACTCCCAATTTGTGCCATTATCACACCACACATTAGGATTTCTTTTTTCCGACCTGCTGCCGCCGTCCCCGCCACTGCTGCTGTGGCCCAGGCGGCTGCGGTGCGCGTCTTCTCCACCTCGGGCCAGGAGAACCCCGAGTCAAGACACGACCTGCGACTGGTAACCGCCCATGCTGACGCGCGCGCTTGGGGTATCGTGTGCTGCCCGGTACCGGCACTAGCTTGAGCGTTTCAGGGTTGAACAGCAACCCTGGGGAGTTTTCCTAACCAGCGTCCGTGTGTGTTTTGCGCGGCTATGGGAACATGTCCTCCTAACCCCGCGTCCTGTCCGCTTCCTGCTCCTCTCTCCTCGCGCTCCCTCCCCCCCGCAGCGCTCCGCTGTGCTGCCCGGCGGCTGCCGCAAGGGCGAGCTGACTCGGCTGGGTCAGCAGCAGGCGCTGCAGCTGGGGGTCTGGCTGCGGGAGCAGTACGTGCTGCGGAGGGGCTTCATGCCGGCGACACACCAGGTGGGGTCAGGGCGGGAGGAGGGAGGGTGTTGCTTGACTCCCCCAAACAACCGGTTCGCTTATCCCAACCTCACCCCCCACCCTCCCCCCGTTCCTCCCATGCCACCACCACCCCCCACAGCCCGGCCTGCTGGAGGCTCGCAGCACCAATGTCTCCCGCACCCTCGCCACCCTGCGGGGGGTGCTCACCGGCCTCTACCCCGACCTCGCCACACCGGCAGCAGCAGCAGCGGTAGCAGGGGCAGCAGCAGGCTCTACCGGAAGTGGCAAGCAGCAGCAGCAGCAGGGACTGACCCATGGTTCACAACAAGGACAGCAGCAGCAGCAGGCGGCGCCCGCGTCCGGGCCCGAGCTGCGTGTGACTGTGTCGGGCGACCTGGATGAGATCTTGTACGCGGACACGGCGACATGCCCGCACCTGGGGTCCTTCCAGGCTATGGCGAAGGAGGCGGGCAGGGGTGAGGAAGAGGGGAGGGAGGGGTGTGTGGTAAGAAAATTGGCCGCGAGTCGGAACGTACTGGATTGCGGGAAGATGAAGTGGTGTGTGTGGGGGACTTAGGAAAAATCGAGACGGAGGTGCACCTGCACACGATATTATCTGGGCTTCTTAACCTTCTTCTGTTCCCGCTTGCTTCCTCCTGCAATCCTGGCAAGCCTCAACGGCTCAAACCCACCTCCATGCTCGCATCTACATGCATGCCCAGCCTCGTCATAGTGCGCGTCAGGATCTTCTTATCCACCACATGCATGCAACCTCGCCAGTGTGCCTTATCACACGGTCAATTAGTTGTTTCCTCTCCCCCCTCCCTTCAGCTGCCATTCGAGCGGATCCCGAGTTCCAGTGGGCTCGCGGGGAGCTGCTGCGACTGCTCAACCTGGACACCGAATCGGCAGATGTGAGGTGTTCGGGGTTTTTCAGGGGCACCGTACTGCAGTCCAATGCATTGTCACCCTGTGTCACACTCCCTGCTAATCCTGCCAATATCCAAATCCCACATGCCACTTGCAGCCGCTGGCGCATCAGACTGGTGACAAATACCTGCTGGTTATTGTCTTTTGCCAATTGCCGCACCCCACGCTCTCATTCGCGCCACATGTGCGTGCCTCCCTAGAACCCTAAAAGAACTCTAGAAGCACCCTAATACGGCATCTCCCTACCCCCAAATGTCGTACAGTGGGTCTTCACGGACGTCCATGACGTGCTGACGTCACTGGCCGCGCACGGCAAGCCGCTCCCGCCCGGCTTCCATGGGCACCGCAGGCTGCTGGAGGCGGTTGACCGGCTGGTGGGTGGTGGTGGCTGTGGAGATGGAGATGCGGTGGAGGAAACCACACAGGGAAACGTGAAAAGAGGGTGAACAAATGGGGGGAAAGGAGGCGGCAGGGTGCCGCAAGACAACGGGGGAGGGTTGGAGGCCTGGTGGGTGGGGTGGGCGGGTGAAGAAGAGGAGGAACTAACCATGCGACAAGACAAGGCTTTACGCTACCTGTCACCTCCCTCTATCATACCACTTGGTGTGATTAGCTGTTTTTACTCTTTTCCCCGCCTCACCCTCTCCTCCACCTCCTACCGGTATCAATCCCCTCCATCCCCGCGCCTTCTCATTTAACGAAATGGGAATTCTTCTTCTTCCCCGCAGGCCACCTTGGAGTTCGCCACTGAGATCGCGCCCTCGCTGACCGCCCCGCTCACACTGGCGCACGGCCGCTCGGTACTGCGCCTCAGCATGGGCCGACTGCTGCACACACTCATGGACAACATGCGGGGGGCGGCAGCAGCGGGGGCAGGGACCGCGGGGGCAGCAGCGGAGGGGGCGGGCGGTGTTGGTGGTGCCGTGGGGAGCCCGCGCATGTACCTGTACAGTGGGTAAGCGGGCTGTGAGGGCTGCTGTTGGGGCTTGGTGACAGTGTCGGGGGGCTTCTTCTCCACGAAGAAGACAACACCCTGGGTGTGGTGCTCTGGGAGCGCTTCTCCGGGCCGAGAAGCCTAGTTTGCAAGGACCTCTCTGGGCATTCGCTGTGCTACTCCTGGGTACTTCATTCCTATCCCCATTCCCATCGATCCCCCCCAACACTCGCAGGCACGACAGCACCATCATGCCGCTGCTGGCAGGTGAGGGCAGCTGGGGTGGCGGCTGGGGTGGCAGGGGGGGATGGAGTGCGTGCGGTTGTGTGTGTTTGCTGCGTGTGTCCGACGTACTTGGCTCGCCGTGCTGCCCAGGGCGTCTGCCCAGGGCTTTCGTCGGAATCCAGTTGTTCCTGCACCAAAATGTCAAACTTACCCTTACTTTCCATCTGCGTCCACCGCCCCTCCAACCCCCCAAACAGCCCTGGGCCTAGACGTGACCCACTGGCCTCCCTACCTCTCCAACCTGGTATTCGAGCTCTGGGAGCTGCCGCCGCCGCCGCCTCCCCAGCAGCCGCCTCCGCCTTCCTCCTCCTCCTCCTCCGCAGCCGCCACTGCTGCCGCAGCCTCCCCTCCACCCCCACCACCGCCCCGCTACGTGGTGCGGGTGTTGTACAACCTGCAGGAGCTGCCGCTGCCGCACTGCCCGCCAGGTGGGGGCTGGGGGTAGGGAAGGAGGGTGTGTGGTGATGACAACACAAACTACTTCCTTTCTAAGCTTCCTCTTTACTTCCCCTTCTGTTGCCCCCTTCTCCGTGGTCCTATGGCTTGTTTCGACAAGTCAACCACAATTGTTTTCCCTTACCCCCCTGCGCGCTCACCGCGCCCCCCCCATTGTCATTGTCTTTGTCTTGTGGCGCCCTGCCAACTCCTACCCCCATTGCTTTGCCCTAACTTGTGGTCTCCTATGTTTGGTATGGTCTTTGACCCCCATTGTCGTCTTGTTTGCCCTTCTCACTCAACACATTGGGCATCCTTCTTTTCCCCACCCCCCAGGATACCTTCCCTCGCTTCCCACCTTTGAGCGGGAGGTGGTGGGTCCCTTCCTGCTGTCCGCCGCACGTCACGCGGAGCTGTGCCGCGTGCGGGTGCAGCACGACTCCAGCATGCCGCAACCCGAGGGCAAGCCGGCAGCAGCAGCAGCACCGGTGGCGGCAGCAGCAGCGGCAACGGCCGCCGGAGGCTCGGCCCCATCGTCGGCTGCGTGAGGAAGCAAGCTGTAGGCGGTGTGTAGTTGAGCGGAAACAAGAGCAAGCAGTTGGGATAGGTAGGTAATGTATAAAGTGCTTGCAGGAGTTGGTCATGTGTTAGGGAGGCAAGAGCCGATGCATGTGTTGGTGCGAAGGGCTGGCGCATGGTGGATAGCGCGTAGCAGGATGGTGTGGCGCATGCATTCTGATACAAATAAGATTCGATGTGGCGATGTTGTGGTGGTCGGGGTTATCCTCAGCAAGTGGTATACCGGTACTGGTATTGCATGAAGACAACTTGCAGGTTTCGCCAAAGCTGCAGAAGCTAAAGGACCTTGAAATTACTGGTGATAAGGCAGTTAGCTTACGTGCGTTTGTTGCATCATTTGGATGTGGTGTTGCATCATGTGTACAATTTGTGAGTTGCATGCGCAAGACTCTGCATCTCATACATACCCGATGTGCGCTACCACCCAAATACTGTTACACATACATGCGTGCGGGGCCTAATGTGTCCTGGCCATTTGGGCTCACGAACACGCATGAGGAGCGCTTGACTGCGTGCTGCAGCAGTGTCAAGGCACACCTGACGATGAATGTTTTGAACGGAAGAGAGATGCATACATGTGGTGTGTACGACATAAATACACCAGACAACCTGCCGTACTCTGTCCTACGTCTCTACCCAACCTCAACCCGAGCGATATCCCGCTTTGGGACAACGGTACCAAAAGGTAATGGTGCATGTACTGTAAACATAACGTGTACATGCAAAAGTGTCTGCCCGGGAACCGGTTATGATGAGTGAAAAAGCCCCTACACCCTGTGTGATACTGCCCTGTCTGTGATGTCCTGTTAGCTTGTAAACCCTTCCTGCCCTTGATCGCAATGCCCAACCTACATGGAATACATCCCCCTGAATCGTGACCAAAAGAAGTGCACCACAACAACCACCTGCAGCCCAAGACGGCACCCCTAGACACTGTCGTACAAGTACACTTGTCCCTAGCTCCCAACCTCAGCCGTCAACAAATCAAATCTTCACGGCCGGCCTGGCCGCAGTGTTGACTGCTCGGGCGCGCACAAACACTATCACGCCGGTATACCGGGAAACGCACCCGCATTTAGTCATCTTGCGCCATGCTCATGGTCAGGGGCTCAACACGTGACAGACCGTGTACGAGCCCGTGCTGAGGTGGGGCCGGCTTGAGTGCAGACTTAAGCTGGCAGGTACCGAGCTCATCGGCCAGTGCGTCCAAGTCACCCTGCAGCCGGTGCCTGCCGAACCTGGCGCGCATTGCCATGCGCTTGTCCTTTACTGGAGTAGCTTTCCGAAGTGCTGGCGTATCCTGGGGAAGTAAAAGCGGGACATTAGCGTTTTCCTTAGCGGGGAACTGCAAGTGAAAGTTCATCGGCAGTTAAGCAGCGGCGAGAAAACCCGTCGTCATGGACAACAAACGGTCAGGCAGAACTTACCCGATATTCCTGCATGCGGACCCGTCCAAGCGCAGGGTTAATAGCGTTGTTGCTTTGCTGTGGCTGGGCGCCTGGGGAAGCAAGCCATCCCTTTATGGGATAAAATGGCGAGGACCCAAGCGCGTTTTCCTCAAAAATTGTGCAAAGCGCACGCTGAACCTTCTTTGCTTTAGCCGCAGGTTGGTATCCCTACGTCAGTAGCAAAGCCAGCCTCAGGCGAGAGGCGCAGGGGAGTTGGCGGACGCTCTCCTCTTACCGAAAGTTTTGATACGCCCCGAAGTCCACCGGCTTTGCTTGGCCTTGGGGACAGCATGATTGAGGAGGTGCCTGGGCACGAAACCATTTGGTTGAGGCCCCCCTAAGTTGAGCTCAGCGGCTTTCGTGCTCTATGAGCACGCCCAAGCGCTCGCTACTTCGAGGGATCCTCGCCCAACAATTGTCCGACAGCTCCTTCTGTTATATTTAACCTACAAGTGTTTATGTAGCTCGTTTACTCTAGCGACGGTAGTACTATCTGCGACAGCTGCTGTACATGATCCAAGCCGCAACACTAATCCTGGCCAACTTGCCAAACATTGCCTGGAAACTCCCTTAGAAGCTACCACCTTACTTTCCTTACAAAACGTAGCGCAAGTAGATCAAGAAAAAACTTCTCTATCCTTTGCCGTTTCCCTGGGTAGCCCGCCACGATGGCGGACGACTTCGATGATGCGTAAGTGACGTTACAATTTCTATCACTTCACGTGTGGAATAAAAAAGGAATGGGGCAAGCCTATGGAGCAAACACTCTGTACTGAACCGTCGATACCATGGTGCAGGGGAGGAATGGAGGAGCATATGGATATGGGTGAAGAGGTAAGTTCTGTGACTGTTTCCAGTCTTCCTCGTTCGCCGCCAAACCGTTACCATCGACCATCCGTCGCCCACGCAGCCGGCGCTGGATGACTTTGGAGCTGAGGCGCCAGAAGCAGAGGAACACGTTGACATTATTGAAAACCAGGAGCAGCATGAACAGGGGCATATGCCACGGCAGCGAATTACTACTCGATACATGACAAAATACGAGAAGGCGCGAGTATTGGGCACGCGAGCATTGCAAATAAGGTGAACTCGAGGGGGATGGCTTGTCGGCATAGCAGCCGAAGCTTCGCGATACTGTCGCCCCTTTCGCAACCCATGCTCGTACCACCCAGTTCCCCCAACAAACTGCTTTGATTGTGCTCACCTCCTGCCGTTCTCCTGACAGCATGCGGGCGCAGCACCTCCATACAAATCGCTTCGTCCGTGTGCTTCTCCCACTCACCCTTTATCTACTCGCATGTTGCGTAAAGCACTGCTGAGGGACACCCCTTACCTGCTGCCGTCCTCTTTATCCCTTCAAGTACCCCTCCCTCCACCTCTCTTCCTCCATCCCCCTTCCCCCCCTCCTCCTTCCCAACCCCCTCCCAGCATGAACGCCCCCGTGATGGTGGAACTGTCCGGGGAGACGGACCCGCTGGAGGTGAGCACCGGAGCCCGGGATGCAGCCATGGATGGAGGCCGGGGGGGGGGGCATGGCTTGGGGTCCGGAGGCTGTAGCGCATCCTGATGCGGTTCTGGCGATTGGGCGATTGGGCCTGGTTGCGTCGAAAGGAAGTGTATTAGCGTGACGTGCTGGTGGTGGTGTGCTGGTGGCCGGACAACAAGGAGGGCAAGAGCCGCGTGCGAAGCCCGGGAGGAAGGGAAAGTGCCGTGTGCGGGCATTCATGCTGTTGGGGCCCTCGCTGGTAGGCTGGCCGCCATACGCGGGGGAAAGATACCGCCTGTGACCTTACGGGCTCTCAGCTCACCCCCACTCCGTCCTCCCTCCGCCAGTGCTTCACCCCTCTTCTTATCCTACCCCCCCCCCGCCCCCCACACCCTCCCGCACACCTCTTACCCCCCAGATCGCCATGAAGGAGCTGCGCGAGAAGAAGGTGCCGTTCACCATCCGGCGGTACCTGCCCGATGGAAGGTGAGGGGCGGGGGGAAAATATATGAGAGGGGAGGGGAGGGGGAAGGGGAGGAAGGGAGGCGGTGTGGGCCACAGGTGGGGGAGGGTTGGTAGGGCTGCGGAACGCCACAGTGGGCGGGATAGGGTTCGAGGGCTGTGGGTTGTGGGCAGGCACGCACAGCGCCATGGGTGGGCTCAAGTTGGAGAAGAGTTGGGCTTGAAGCTCACAGGGGCACATGGGCAGGGATGCTGCTAGTTGCTTTGTCGCTGAGGCAGGCATCCCAGCTCCGTCCACCGTATGACTGATGATTGTGATGAATGACTCCCTCCATTCCTCTCCCTGCCGCCCCTTCCCCCATCGCCCCTCCTCCAGCTACGAGGACTGGAGCATCAGCGAGCTGGTGGTGCCGGATTGAGCAGCAACAGGCCGGGGTGGATCGAGGGTTGGTGGATGGTAAAGGAGAGCCCTGTGGGTTGGGGGTTGGGGCCCTAGACGTGGCGCCCGCCTGCGCGGGCCGCCTATCTTGCGGAGCCGGTGGCTGAGAGGGCTGCGTAGGGAAAGCCCTGCCTTGCCTGTCGAAGCTTGATCGGGGAAGGCGAGCAGGGCAACAGGGAGGAGTGTGCGCTGGGGTTCAGGAGGTGTGGGTTGGCAAGTCCAGCAAAGCCTCTGGGGAGTAGGACGGGGTGCCGAGGGCTGTGCGCGCAGGCTGAACCCCGGGACCAGGTAGAGGTGTTGAGGGAGTGGGGGAGGAGGGGGGTGCGGCGCAAAACCTGCGGAGCTGCAGTGTTGTCCTCGAGCGCTTGACTCGTTTGCTGGCCCCTGGAGAGGCGTGGGTGAAGGGGAGGGGTCAACCACTCCTTGGTTCCTCACACGGTGGATAAAGAATGGACCGGTGTCATTTGTATTGCGCGAGACGTGACGCGGCGGCACCTACTGGTGCCTTAAGACGTGATAAAGGCGACTGCTTTGTCGCAGAAGGACGCGTGTTATGTCTTCTGTGGCGATAACTTTCCTATTGCGTGTACGGCAGCGCGCCTCTGTGACACAGGCATTCGGCTTGTGTGCGCTTTTGTTATGGCCCATGTGTCCTTTAACGCGTGGCGTGGCACAACCTCTGCCTTTAACGCGTGGCACAACCTTGCAACCTGAGTGTGGAGCCAACACGGCTAGTCAGGGTGAGCGCGATCCAACAGGGTGCGCACAACACAAGACAAGGCAGGAAGGCCAACAAACGCAGCCGTACCAACGGCTGCTGCACGCGAGAGCCCTGAAACCCAGCGTCGCCGCTCCCGTGCCACGTCCCTGACCCACTGCAGCACCAGGGGCTGCCGTGCAGGAGGGGCCGCCGCTACCCAAGACTGCTACTCAGGGAGGACCCCGCACTACCGGTACTGCCGCCCAAACACCACCATGCAACCGCCTCATCATACAGCTCGTCAGGTTCCTCTCTTTACCCCCACCATGCGCACTCGTATGGCGCAACGGAGCACAGCATGCATGCAACATGGTACCAGTACCTCCCATCGAGCAACGGGTTTCCCAATCGTCAGCCCATTGCCAGCCCCTCACTAACCCTCTACCCGCCACGAACTGCACCCCCGCAGTCCCTAGCATCAAGCCACTCGCTCCCTCGCTCTGAGTCCCCTCTACATTGACGTTAGACCCTCTTCCAACTTGCTGTGTCTGCACCCCATCCTGCTATGCGCACATGCTGACATGCAAGATCCTACCTAACCCCACCACCACGAGCCCTGCTTAACTCTTGTCCGGCATGTGGCACCTTGCACCATGCGCCACCACAACAAAGTCAGGCAGGCCGTACCAGCTGCTGTAGCGGTAGTCCTATTGGCTTGGCCATGGAAGAGCAAGGAGCGTGGTCCCCCCACACTTTGGAATTTCTTTTTTTACCCCCCCGCCACGTCCGTCTGCCATTGTCGTTCACAACACATTATGTATTCTTCTTGTTCCCCCTCCTACGCTCCCCACGCGGCGGCAGCTCAGGAGCTCTTCTTGTACACCACCTCGGGTACCCCCTGGGCCATCGCCTGAGGAGGATGAGGAGGGGGCACAGCAGCAAGCACCGCATTGCGAGGGGGAGGGGGAAAGGACAGTCCCTTCGGTACCGGTACCGTACTCCCCTCACGGGAAGGTGCGTGCACGCCACCGACCCGCACCGCGCAGCCCGCCCTCAGCCCGGCGCCCCCCTTGCCCCGTGTTTCCTCTCTAATCTCTTGCGCCCTCGCCCATCTCCTCCGCTTCCTCTCTACCGCACCCCCCCCACCCCGCCCCCTACCGTGAGCCTGGCGGCAGTAAACAGGAAGTCGCTGAGGCGGTTGAGGTAGGTGGTGACCTGGAGGCGCAGCGGGAGGAGGGGAAAAAAGAAATTCCAAAGTGTGGTGTGATAATGATATAAGTTGCTGACAATCCCTGGTGAAATGAACCGTGAGGGGCGGAGGGGGGGGGCGGCACGTGGGGCGGGGAGCGGGGGAAGAAAACACAGGCAGGGCATGCAATGTACCCACCCATCCCAGTCCTTTCACATCTGACATCCCCGGTACCTTCCCCCGCCAGTTGTTCCCCCGCTAGTTGTTTCCTCTTTTTCCCCCGCCAGCGATTTGCTTTCTCTCTGACCCCCGCCCCTCCCGTCCGCCCCGCAAGTACCCTACCTCGGTGCTGATGCTCTCCCGGCGGGACAGCACCACAACGCTCCGCTCAGCCCGCCGACATACCTGGAGCGGGCGCAAGACAGGGTGGTGGCGGGATGGGTGTTCAAGTAGGCGTGACGTCCAGCACCACATGCTTAGGTACTGTGTCCGGGCCCTGCAGCCAGCAGCCTCCCAAACCCACCCAACATATCTCAGCCACCCGACACGCTACCCAGCAGCCAGCACCCAGGCTACCCATGCTACTACCCGTAACCCACCGATCGGGCGTGGTGCAGGAATGCGGATGCCTGGCCGCCCGAGGGCAGGATGAAGTTCTTCAACGGCGGCAACCGCTCGTCCATCGCATCGATCCATGCCTGTACGGCGGTATGTCGACGGTACGGCGGTATATTGACGGTACGGCGGGGGCGCCTCCAGATCAGCTTCGAGCCTATACACTATGTTGTCCCAGCACGGCCAGCAGTCCCCCTCGCCCCATGTCGCGCTGCCTAACGTTTGGCCTTTTCGCTCTTGCTCTTACTTTTGTACCCATGCCCCATGCTGGATCGTTGCTTTGGCCTTGCAACCCTAAACCATCCTGAACCTGTCACATGAGCTAATACACACGCAAGCAAGTACGGCGTACACACGTGCGACAAGGCTGCCCCACCCCACCTCGAGTTGCGCCGCGTGCTGGGCCCCGGGGAAGTGCGTGCGCTGCAGCTTGGTTTCGGAGGAGGAGGGCAGCGGGGTGGCGACTGCTGACCCCACGTCGATCAGCCGGGACTGCACGGCCTCCAGCTGCAGAGGGATGGGGGTGGGGTGGAGTGGAGTGGGGGCGGCAGGGATGCGGAGGAGAGGGGCACAGGAGAGGAAGCGGTGTGGCATGCAGACTTTGGTTCTGATGTGGGATTGATGCGGAGGGGCAATAGGGTGTACTGACATGCCCCCGTATGCGTAACTCTTGACGAGCCGCGCGCTAACTGAGCATATTGGTCCCCAGAGCACGGGCCCTCCACTCCAACGGGCCAAGTGATGTACGACCGCGCCGTATATACGGTTAAACACTCACCTGGCCAAGCAGCTCTTTGTCAGTTAGGAATGCCATCGCTACCCCGATTGCAGAATTCAGCTCATCCACATCCCCGAGGGCCTGGAACACGGCATCGTCCTTGTACAGCCGCTCGCCGCTGAACAGGGATGCTTGCCCAGTGTCGCCGGCACGCGTGTAGATCTTCATGGGAACAAGCTTGATAAGCTCTCTGAGGCTGTCTGCCGACTAGTAAGAAGTGTAGGCCTGGGCTGATGCCTTGAGTAAGGCGAGGTGCTGCAATCAGACGCGAGAGGTCTTAGCTAACAAGGCAAATTGGTTACTGTGTTTAGTAGAACATGCAGTGGTTTATACGAATCACGGGATAAAGGAAATTAAGGCTGGCCAGTGGGGCGGCGACCGTTAACCTACCCCTTTGCAATCTTGTCGATCACAGGAGTCACAGGGTAAGTATTACAATTGCACAGTAGGTTTGGGTGACAGCTGTAAAAGGGGTATGCAATCACCGCACGTTTGCCAGCGCAGTAGCCAGGTGTACGGCTCCTCGGTGTTGGCCACGTCCTGAAAATTCAAGACCTATTCCTGCTAGATAGATAACATTAAAGAGGTAGAAACAACACTCAAATACAAATAGATCACGCTTCTCAGATTTCAGGTCAAAGACCTGGTCAAGCATATGGAGTCGGAGTTGTTGCTCCTAAAGCGTAGCTTTGAGGTATGGATCGCTAGGCTCTCACCCTCTAGATGCAAGTTGTGTCTGCAACTATCTCTGTCCCACATGTAGAGACTGGACCGCCAATACCGATGTGCGGAGGAGAAAATTGGCGAGTTTCGCGATAGGCTTCGTGAGACTCGCAATGAGCTGGTTCAGAAAGACAAGCAGCTTGAAGCGACAAGGAGGCTGCTGGCGAAGATGGGTCAAGAAAAGTCGGAGCTTGCGGTGAGCGGTTATAGCTGACGCCTGTTGGAATGCGGACGGTTCTTTATCTTGCAGTCGACGCGCCAGGATTAAGGTCGTTACCGAGCAATGATTCGTTTGGCAATTGGGTGTTGCCTCACTACTGGCTTTTCGTCCCCCATTCCCAGATTGTCGCGGAGCAGAACCGCGACCTCACTCGCAAGCTCGGCGCGAAGCTGTCCCTAACCGCCGACGCCCCTGAACTCCAAGCAAAGCTGCAACGCTACAAGCGTAAGGTATGCAATCCTGCGTGGGTCGGTTCGGGCCCTTCGTGGACGCCATGGCACTGAAAGGTTCGACGGGAATCGAAGTACGTCGCAAAGTACGTCGCAGATGGTCACGTCTTGCTATTGCAGCTATCTCACAAGCACGGCCCCAGCTTCTATTCTCGCGCTGAATCGCTATGGTACAGTTAGTTACATCCGTCAGCCTGCGCATCGGTGCTACAACCAATGCACCGCCGCACTGTTGCTCTCACACCACGCTAAGTTGTTAACCTAACCTTCCAGCCTGCCACAATTGGGCCAATTCACCTATTGTACTCAAACAATCACCAACCACCTCGCCATGCACATACCTCGCACCTCTGCACCTCGCACCTCCAGCCCCGCACAAACCCCGCCCTTACCCCCTCACACTGGCGCCCCCCGCCCACCCACTCCCCCCGGTTTGCGCTCAGGTTGCTGAGCTGGCTGCCCAGCTGGCGGAGGCGCAGACGCGACTGCTGATGGCGGAGGAGGCGGCGCGCGCGCAGGCGTCGGAGGTGGGCGTGCTGAAGCGGGCTGCGGGGCTGCGCAGCGACCTGGCGGAGCTGGGAGGGGGAGGAGGAAGCTATGAGGGGCAGACGCAGCTGCTGCAGGCGCTAGCAAAGGTGGGTGAAGGGCATCGGGGGTAGATGGACAGGGCTGCGAGATTGGGGGTGTGTGTGGGGTTATGAGGGTTGCCGTGAGGTGTGTATTGTGGAGAGCTGCCGGGAATAGGAGGGATGCGCGACCCTGGCTTCTGTCCATCCATGCGTCCATTCCCTCTCCCCATCCGCCCACATTCCTCCCTCCCCCCCCATCAGAGCCAGGAGGAGGGCGCCAGTCTGGCAGCCCAGCTGGCGGACAGCGGCCGCAGGGTGGCGTGTCTGGAGCAGCAGGTGGCAGGGAGGGCCAGGTGGCGGGACGGTGTGGTGCTGCTGCGGGGAGTGGGAAAGGGATTAGGCTTCCCACATTGGATGAGGTCACAGCGATGATGCGGCCTCCCTCACCTGACCTCCCCCCTCTACCACAACGTCGGTTAGTTGTTTCCTCGTTACCCCCCCTCACCTCCCCCCTCGCCCCCTGCAGCTGAGCCACCTGCAGGGCGAGGTGGACCGGCTGGTGGGGGCGCGGGTGGCGGCGGAGGAGGCGCTCATGGCGGCGCGGAAGGAGGCGGCGGAGGCGCATGGCAGGGCGGCGGCGCTGCAGGTAGGGAGGAGAGGAGGAGGGGGGTGTTGTGGGTGGGAGGGCATGGGAGGGAAAGGAGATGCGTGGAAGAAGGGGCTGCGCGGGAGGGGGTGAGTTGGGTGTTGTGGTGGACGCAACAGGAGGGGGGCTGGTGCCACAGCTTCTGTCTCTTTCTCTCTCTCTGACCCTCCTTCCCTTCCCATCCCATCCCACCCAGATGGATGTAGACGAGCTGCAGACGCAGCTGCGCAGGAACAACGCGCACCTGGAGGAGGTGGGTGGGCGGGTGGAGCAGAGGGGGGGTGTTGGGAGAGTGGGATACGCAATGGAGTGCTGCGGCCATGTTGTTGGGTGGAATAGGTCAGGCCTGTAGAGGGGAGGGAACAGCTACGTAGCCGCAAAGCACCTACCCAGTCTTATTTGACCTTCTCCCCCCCCCTTTCCCCGCCTCTCCCCGCGCCCCAGGTGCTCACCGCCCGGCGCAGCTCCGAGGAGGCTGCTGACAAGCTGGCCTCCAAGGTGCGGGCGCTGAAGGACAAGCTGGCGGCGGAGCAGCGGGCGGGCAGGGTGCAGGTGGGGCAGATGGGGGGTTGAGGGAGGGGGAAGGGAGGGGGCGGAGCAGCGGGCGGGCAGGGTGCAGGAGATGAGGGGGGTTTAAGGGAGGGAGAGGTTGATGGGGATTGGGTGCGGGCGACGTGGTAGGCAGCGGCGAGAAGGCTTACCGGTACTCTTTGACCGGGTCTTGTCACCCCTTCTCCCACATGTTACCATCCCTCTCCTCCTCACCATACATTCTTATTTATCCCCTTTCCCCCTGCCTCCTCTCCCCCCAGGTGGAGTCGCTGCAGTCGGAGCTGCGCGAGGCCACGCAGCGGGCGGAGCAGCAGGCGGCGGAGGCGGCGCAGGCGGCGTCATCAGCTGCGGCGCGGGAGGACTCGCTGCAGGCGCAACTGGAGGCGGCGATGCGGCAGCTGCAGGAAATGGAGGTGGGAGGGGAGGGAGGATGGAGGAGGAAGCAGCACGGGGGACCTGCGTGTTTGTCGGCCTAACACCTCCGGTTAAGGGATACGCGCTTCAGCGCCGTGGGCATGCTTGGGTCCCTTCCCCTAACCTCCCTTTCCGCCCTACCTCCCCCTCCACCCTTTACAAACCCCCCACCCCCCCAGGCTCGTGTCACCCAGACTGCTCGCGAGCAGGAGGTGGAAGTGCTGCGGCTGCAGAGCCGCACCGGGGCGCTGGAGGCCTCCCTGGAGGGCAGCAAGCTGCGGGAGGGCAGTTTGGAGCGGGAGGCGGGGGCGCTGCGGGAGGAGGTGGAGCGGCTGACGCGCAGGAGCCAGGAGCTGGCGGTAGGGCGGGAGAGGGGAGGGGTTGAGAGGAAGCAAGCGGAGGTGGGGGGAGCGTGCTGTGGCAACAGGTTGTGACCGGTACCTGTGTAATGGGAGTTGCCTGCCTCTGTTCACTCGACAGCCCACCGGTGCCGTCAGACCATCACCATCATGACCCCACCCCCACCCTCCTTGCAGGCCAGCCTGTCAGCTGCGCGGAGTGAGGCGGAGGCGTTTGCGGAGCGGGCGGAGGAGGCGGCAGCGCTGAGTGAGAAGGAGCGGAGGCTGCGCATGCAGGTCCAGGGCGCCCTGGAGTCCACCTCTAGTCGCGGCGCGGTGCGTGAGGAGCAGCTGGCGGGGGAGGCGCAGCGGCTGCGGGGCGAGCTGGCGGCTGCGGGGCTGGCCAATGAGCGACTGCAGGGGGAGATCAAGGTGGGGAAAGGAGGAGGACACGGCACCTTACTCTAAACCCTAACGCTAAACCCACCTCATGCTTCTCAAGTTCCCGCCCCGTTGCATGATCGACATGCTGTACCGTCTGTACGACAGCTCCCTCCGCCATACACACACCTGGAACTACAACACCTCCCCCCTCCTCCTCCTCCCCCTCCCCCTCCTCCTCCCCGCAGCTGCTTCAGGAGCAGCAGTCCGACTCCGCCGCCCGCCACGCCACCAGCGAGCGGCACATCGAGGAGCTGCACGCCACCATCCACTCCCTCACCAAGTCCAAAACCAAACTGCAGAACACCATGCTGGAGCAGCTCGCGCTCTTCAAGGCCAAGCTGCAACAGGTGGAGCAGGAGAACCTGGGGCTGCGGAACGCGCTGGCGGCGTCCGCGACCGCCGCCCTAACCTCACCCGTCAAGACCGGCTCCTCCGGTGCTGCTGCTGGGGGTGCTGGGAGCCAGGGGAGCAAGGAGGGCAATAAGGACAAGGGCGAGCACAAGCCGGCCTTGCCGGCGGCCTCCCCCGGCACCACCCACGACCGCCACCGGCAGCCCCACCACACCACCCACACCCACCACCGTGTGCATCATCATCATCAGCATGGTGAGCAGGCCACCGCGCCCTCCTCCATGGGCGCCGCCCCTGCCATGAGCACCAGTGGGCTCAGCGGCATCAGCGGCCTGAGTGCCAGCGTGAGTGCGGCCCTGGGGGGCGGCATGATGCGGGGCTCATCCGCTGCTAAGAGCCCTGCTCGTGGCGCTGCTGCTGCTGGGAACGGTAATGGTGCTGGGGGTGCGGGTGCGGGTGGGGGTTGCGGTGGCAGCAGTGTTGCGGTGGGGGTGGGCAGCTACCGCGAGCGGAAGAGCAGCTGGTCGCGTGCCAGCACCACCACCACCTCGTTGCTGTTGTATGGGGAGGTGGAGGGGGAGGATGCGGTGGGGTCGGGGGAGGGGTGCAGCAGGGGGGTTGGGTTGGGGGGCCGGGGCGGCGGCAGGTCGGATGAGGATTAGGGGGGGAGCTGGAGGGTGGGTTTGTGAGGGCACCGGAATCCTAGCCCCATGACCGTGAGGGAGGACTGTCTGTTGTGTCCTGTGTTGTGTGGCGCTGCGAGCGAGCGCTTGCCGTACGCGATCCCTGCTTGTCTTTTTAGTACTTAAACCTTTTTACGTGAAGACGGTGCCGTGGCATGAGCATGACGGCTCGGTGCGTGACAGGAGCACTGAAGACCCGCCTGGTTTGTGCTGTGACCCTACTCATTAGGACCATACTGTTACGTTTACTAGATGGTGAAGATTCCCTTGTGACCAACGCCCCGTAAATAATACCGGTACCATTGTGTGCATGCTCTTATGTGTTCGAGAGCTTGTAACCACTTGACCTAACAGCCAACGGCAGTGCAAGTACAACTGCGGGTGAGATATGGGTGGTATGGACCGTGTATGCAACCGAAAATGGAATGGAGCCCCTTGTAACCCAAATTCCTAACTGTAACTGAAATGCAGATTGGTTCCGGTTAAGGCGCCCAGTATGTACTGGTAGCTGTGCCCGTACCATTCAAAAAGGGCTTCCCATTCTGTTCAACAACGGCGCTGCTGCTGCAAGGGAAGCCCCAGATGGGGTGTTAAATAGCTAATGTGCAAGCTGGTGGTGCAAACGGGAAAACAGCATGCTGGGCGAAGCTCTTCGGCAGTGCCGGCATTCGCTTGCTTTGACGCGCAGGAGGGAATGGGTTGCCCAGCGGAAGCTGGGCGGGGGGCTGAATGCTTGGCCCGTTTCGCGACATAGGTTCTTAGGGCTCCATTAGCTTACTGCTCAGTGGAACGGAAGGTGAATTTGAATGCATCTGCGCTGCATGACGGCACCTAAGGCACCCGCTAACAGCCGTAAGTTCTGACTCCCCTGTAGTACCCGCATACTGATGCGAATCCAATTACGTCCAATGTATTACTGGTACAACACCGGGAGAACAACACAAAACCAAAACAATACATCAAGAGTCCAAGAGACCAAGACGCATGCGTGGGTGCCGTACGCTCTGGATGTTACGCGCATCGGGCCTCCAGCCTAATTCTCGCACCCTAACATGAAGCCGATGTAGTATGCACGCTAGCATCAGTTCCGAAGATGTTGCATAAGTAACAAATTAGTGGGGCAGTGCAGCACGAATCGCGCATCGCCTTGCACGTTTGTGGCTGCTACTAATCGTGTCAGTATAATGGACGCTGTAGTGCCCCAATTACCAGAAACAGAAAAGGTTTGCGATGCTTCAGCTCATGACGGGCGCATCTCTTGATTTTCATTTAGGCACTGTGGCATAAGCTTGTGCTTTTAGATTTAAGTTTCCCTGTAGTTGGTTGCGAGCACGATTGCAATCGGCGCTCCCCTTCCGTGTTCGCTGTCATGTCTCGACGCCGGGCCTCGGCTCTCAGTAACCGTCAGATGGCGGACCAAAGCAGCAGCGTCCCAACACGTATCTTGGACTGCATTCCTTCAAACGTGAAGGCTTGCCTGCGGCGACTTCCGGCTGCGGTCGACCGTTTCCTATCGGCACGAGGTGATGGTGTCGCCTTAACTGTTGTCCGGAGGGCCTCTGTCGGCCTGTCACAGGAGGTGGGCCCGCTGAGCGATTTCCTTTCGGAATTTTGTAATGAGCCGGCTTCACTTCACGACAAGGCGAGCAGGATTGCCGCTGCAGTCCTGGCAGATGAGGCAGTTCGCACCTCGCTTTTGCGTCTGGTGGCTGCTGGGGTGCGGCTGGCCCCAGCTGACCTGGAGACTGGCCGTGCGTCCGGAGCAGGCAGGACAGCTTTAGCTTACATAGAAGCGTGCTCTGCCACTTCCATCCTCTTGGAAAGAGTGTTATATGCGGAGAGAACTCCTGGGCTCTCATCGCAGGTCATGGACTTTGTTCGCAAGCTGTTGCGCATGCAGACCCTGCACGCCCTCAGCCGCCAGCTGGCTGCCTCGGCAGAGGTCTTCAGGCGCTCCCGGGACGAAGCATTGCTGCAGCAGCCACCGTCACCGCTGCAGCAGGGCGCCATCACGGCCGCCGCCATGCCCTTTTGCCTTCTCAGGAGCTTGATGATGGTATTATGGCTGGTACTAGGCGGGCGTCAGCAGGATGAGCTGCTGGCAGATCTCTACCTGGCTGAGCTTGCAGCTGCGCTGCATGACACCCACGTGATGGAGCATGCGGCCAGGCTGGTGCTGCTAGCACAGGAGTCAGGGGCATGGGAGCTAGGACACCTCGACGTAACCGGCGCTCACGCCGTTAAAGCCTTTCAATCTGCGTGTCGTACCCTGGCTAACCTCTACGACCTCGTTTCTGACAGCTCATTAGGATTTCCAGCTGCTGTTCAGGCACAGCTGGGCCGGGTGCTGGCGGGGCCCTGCGTGCGGCATGCAGTCATCCTGCACGGCCTAGCAACGCTGTGCGCTGCTGACGGCGGCACCGCGTATGGCCTGCCGTGGCTGGGTCGCTGCTGCGTGGAGTTGGACCATCATCCATGCATGGATGGCTCACGCCGCCCAGTACCGGTCCTGTCGGCTGCCGCAGCAGTCCTGCTAGCAATCGAAGCGCTGGTTCCCACTGCTCAGACCCCACCACGGGGACGGCGTGTCGCCCTGGCGCTGCTCATGCGCTTTGGGAACATGGCGGTAGCATCAGGGCAGGCTTGGGCGGGGCTCACCCGCAACAGGTCATCGTCATCGCCCGGCTTCACCCCGACAACAGCTCCGGACATGCAGCAGCTGGTTATCCTGCCTCGTGCTTCCGTGACGGAAGTTGCAGTTAAGAGCCTGCTGGCAGCCAGCGCGAAATTACAACGTCTGCAGGCCGACTCGCCAGCCCGCCTAGTGCAGGAGGTGGTGGAGTGGTGGCAGCTGGTAGATGCGGTATTACGGCACGCGATGTCAGACCCGGGGGAACACGTCCAAGAGCTGGGAGAGGTGTTGGCGAATGGTCTGATCCACTCTTTGCCAAGATCTATAGATGGAGGTGGGTGTGCGGGTACAGCATGTCTTGTGGGCAAACAACTGGAGGGGTTCTTTGTAGGCAAGAATTCATTTTCTTGTCCAGAGAATCAGGCTGTGATCCCAGTAATCTTCTGGTACGATAGAGGACACGGAGAGACGCAGTAAACGGTGGCTACCAACATCCCAGCATGAAACAATGAAAACGTCAAGACACATTCTATTACCCACTGTACCCACTAGTCCCCTGACCTGTTCTCTAAGCAGTCAACTTCCTTCCTCCCCTACAAAATGCAGGGTCATGCACCCTCCCTCCATTATCCAGCAGTGCACCGCCCATGGCTGCAGCAGCGCTGGCAGGCGGCGTCCTGCCCTGCCTGGAGCGCACCTTTCGCCGGGCAGGCGCGGACCCTTCTGGCCCGGAGATGGCCCTAGTGGGCAGCCTGTTGGGCGTTGGAGGTGCGTCAATGGCTCTGGTGGGCCTTTTGGTGCATGGTGAGGAGCCGCAGGCGGCTGCTCTGCTGGTCACGCTAGGGAAGATGCTGCGCAGTGGGGACGCTCGGGACGCTGGAGAGAGCGCGGCAAGCAGCAGTAGTGGGTGGATGGCTGAGACTGTCTGCCAGCTGGTGTGTGACATTCTGGCGTACAGCCAAGCGCTGCTGGAGTCCCGTGCAGCAAGTGTGAAGGAGGGCACCGCAGTAGCAGCAGCAGCAGCCAGCGGGACGGCATCCACCCGTTTCCAGCAGGCGCTGCTGCTGGCGTCATGCGCCCTGTGTGAATGCCTGCCGCCACTGTCACGACTGGTGCAGCAAGCTTCGGTGGCTCGTGCGGACCGGCTGCTGCACGGTGGTTCAGCTGATGCGAACTGGATGGACGCTGCGCAGCATTTCCTTGCCGTTGCAGATTTCTGGCTGGTCAACATCATCTGCCAGTGCCTTGGCCCTGCAGCCACATGCCACCCGCAGTCCAACAGTGGAGCGGTGCTCATCAGCAGCAGAGCTGCAGCAGCTGCAGCAGCTGACATCAGTGGTCCAGGCAAAGCCAGCTGGCGGCAGCTGCTGCTAGTAGAGGTGGACGTCGTGGCGTTGCTGGGAGCACTCCTGAGGGTGGGGGCTAACTGCCACCAGCCGGGCCATGGCGTCACATGCCTTGCACGCAGCTGTTGTGCAGTGGCAGTGGCATTCCCGGAGCAGGTACGGCAGGCGGCGGTGGCGGCAGCAGCGGATCCGGCAGCAGCAGGCTGGCGGCCGGAGCGGCTGCTTGCGCTGTTGCCGCTGCTGCTGCCATCAGCAGCCGCTGCAGCAGCAGCAGATGACATGCAGGCAAGTGCATTGAGCAGTGGCGTATCTGGCAGCAGCAGTGACATGCAGGAGGAGGGTGGGTCCGCCGAGGACAGCGCCTCCAGCAGCGGCGGTGAACCAAGCAGTGGGGTATCGAGGAGCAGCATGGAGCAGCAGGAGGGCAGACGCAGTGGTGGTGGTATGGCGCAGGAGAACGGATCCAGCAGCAGCAGCAGCGGCAGTGGTGTATCAAACAGCAGTGGTGGATCAAGCAGCAACCGCATGGAGAAGGAGCACGGTGATGTACCAAACAGTTGTACATCCAGCAGCAGTGACCCGGAGGGGAGTGGGGTCAGTGCCGATGCTGAAGCTGTTGAGGTGGAGGAGAACAGCAGCCGTGATGCGAGTGCTGTCTGGGTGGAGGGAGGTTTGGCTCGATTAGTGCAGGCCCTGGCGGGGCAGCTGGAGGCGTGGAGCAGTGGTGGCGACCAACCCAGCGAGGAGGGCAAGGGGGCGGCGGGTGGCAACGGGTATCTGGACAGCATCAGTGTGATGCTTGGGAACGCATTGGCCCTGGTCTCGCCGGCGGAGCTGCGGGTGCGGGGGCTGTTGCGGGGTTGCGGCAACCCGGGCTGTGCGAACCTGGCGGGGGACAGCGAGGCGGAGGTGAAGCTGAAGAAGTGCGGGCGGTGCGGGGCGGTGGGGTACTGCTGCCGGGAGTGTCAGGTGGCGCACTGGAAGGCGGGGCACAAGGAGGCGTGTGGGCGGGGTGCAACAAGGGGGCGCCCTGACTGCTAGTGTGAATGTATGAAACCTGGGATTTGAGGCCTGGCATGTATACATATAGGACGACACGACTTGCATTGGGGGGCCTGGTATCAACGTGCAAGGGCACAAGGAAAAGGATGCGTTTAGGCATGGTTGACGGAGATGCGTATGGAAGGGTTCTCGCTGTGGTTAAGGGAGGGGACTCAAAAGGACCCGAGTAGTAGCCGGGATAGGTATGATTTCATCATCACTCATCAGGAGCTGGGCACCGGTACCTTACCCTAGCTGCTGTGGTGCGTGGGGTGCATGGGTCGTGCTTGCATGCACGGTTCAGGACAGGGTTGGTTTAAACCAGCCCAGCCTAACTGTGCTAATAGGCCTGTCCACGTGTTTGTGTGTTCGAGTAGTGCCGTTAGTTGTGGTTATGCTTGTTACCGAGTAGCCTCTAGGTTTGGTTGCTGCGGGTGAATATACCGGTAGTCGGCCACTGGTGCATCCTGAACATGGGTTGGATGGGTGCGGGGACGTGTGGTGTGCTGTATGTACGTAATGTCATGTTAGCTAGATAGGTGTGGGGAGCTCGGTGCAGCGCAGGGGCGATGCTTGTGCATGCATACGGTCGGTGAGGACTTTGGCTTAAGCCTACAAGTAAGCCCTGCTGCTGCACACGCCATCATGGCAACTGGAGCATCAAGAGATATCAGGTATGTACGATGTAGCTGGCACTGTAGCTGGTTATTAGGGTATGGGACTATATATGTATGGGACTGTATGTTGGTGCAGGACCCTGACAGCTATTAGATGGACACGGGGTTTCCAGTGTTATGTGACATATCGTGTCATGCACCAGTCGGAATACCAGTAATGTCTGGAGACTTGGCGACAGCACTGCGTGGACAAATTGTTTCCGGGAATGGCAACGCATCAGTGTAGTGTGTGGGGGTCTCTCATGGCGGACAGGCAGCAAGAGGCTTCTGGGGCCGGTTTCCTAGCTACATACCTGCATGCCCCGGTATGTATCGGCTCTACTTGTATGGTGTGATCGGCTGCTGGCGAGGGTGCTAGCTAGCTGTGCATACCGGTAACGGTCTTGCGATCCAAGCTACCGTATAATGGGCGCAGCAGTACTAGCACTGCTGGGTGTGCTGGGCTGCGGCTGCCCCTTATGCACGTTGCTACCCCGCACATGGCCTTGCTCCTGGCTCCTGATGCTCAGTACCCCTGAGGGCACATGGCCGGAGCGAGCCTTGTTATACGTCGGAAGGACTTAACAGTTGCGTGCAGTTTTCGGGTCGCCGGGGTGTAGCACGGATGTAGGAGAGATGTCACTGACACATGGGATGGGTCTTGACAACAGCGGCATGCCAGCAGCCGCCAGTCGAGTAGCTTTCCCTTCCTGCGTGTTCTGTATGTGGCTGGTGGTCTCGGTTGAGAGTCGTTTGGGCTGCCTGCTAAGCTGCTCCAAATGCCTACTTGAAGGGGCATGCACCAGCCCGACTTTCAAGATACATGCCAGCAGCACGTTTGCTGGTCCAAACCATCCGGTCAACTACTGCTCGTCACAACGCCGCATGGTCAGTACCTGACCTGCGCACATATGCGCTTGTTACGGACCCCGGACAACTGGTGTCTTTCCTAGCTAAGTAAACAGACGCTGCAGCGGTAAGGACATGCAACGCGTCCTTTTCACCCGCCCACAGCAGCGTCCATCCAACGCTACTTTGCACTCAAAACGCCCATCCCCATCCTACGCTACACCCTTCCACAACGCCGCCAACTGCATAAACCGGATACCTGCAACCCTCAGCAACGCACAAATCTACGTTCCAAATAGCAAAGCAAGGCAACCCACCACCCGCGGGTACAAAAGCACACACTTGAAGTAAGCCCCCCAACCCAACTAGCAATATATGGCTTTGTTTGCTTCCCTCCCCTCTCTCCTCCGTCCTCCCTACTTTTTCCTCCCCTCTCTCCTCCCTCCTCCCTACTACCTCCTCCCCTCCTCCTCCTCCTCACTATCACACCACACATTGGAAATTCTTTTTCCCTCCCGCCGCCCCCATCCTGCCTACGCATTGACCACCCTGCCCCCGTTGGGGTGCAGGCTCTGTCCGCTGATGTAGCTCGCATCCTCACTGGCCAGGAACACGTAGCTGGGAGCCACCTCGCTGGGCTGCCCGGCGCGAGACAGCGGAGTGCCGGAACCGAAGGACTGAACCTGGGGGCGGGATGGTGGGGGTGGGAATGAAGGGGGGAGTGACGATAGGAGTGCGGGTAGGTTTAATCCAACTGCCGACTACGACAGGTGCACGACTCGGTGCCTACCGGTATTTCCCTCTTCCGATGGCACCCAACCACCTGCTGATGCGTATGCGTATGCGTATGCGTATGTGTCGTACGTTGCGCTCGTCCGTACCTTCTCCTCGGGGAATGTTGCGGGGATGAGGGGCGTCCAGATAGGTCCGGGGGCCACTGCGTTGACACGGATACCTGGAGGGGGACAAAGCAGACCAAACCATAAGAAACCACAAAGAGGGGGAAATGGGGAGGGGCGCGGATGAATGCAAGAGGAGGAGGTGGGAGGGGAGGAGGTGGAGGGTTAGGCAGCAGTGGAGCTAACTCCTGCTAACTCCCGCTTACTCTCCCCCTCCCCCTCATCATGGAGCATGGTATTCCTCCTACCCACCTCCCCACCCCCCCTTCCCTCCCGCCCCCCCTCACCGCTGCTAACCGCGCTCATGTGCAGTGCCCGCGTGAAGGAGGTGATGGCGCCCTTGGTGGCAGTGTAGTCCAGCAGCTCGGGGTGGCCCGCGTAGGCGTTAACACTGGGGGGGAGATGGTGGGAGGCGAGGGGTAAGTGGGGGGGAACGTGTGTGTATGTGTGGCGTACACAATTCTACCAACGCTTGTCCATCGCTTCACATAATGCCCTCCTTCCTCCTCCTTAACACGTCCTCCTCAACACGTCCTCCCCCACACGTCCTCCTCCGGCTGGTGATTCAGGAGTGGCGCATCCCCGCTCAGGCGGACCGATACACACACACACACGTGCCAACGGAGATCCGTCAGTGCTGGACTTCAAGTCAGGGGACGACACCTTCCGAACCCTCTCCCGTTCTCCCGTTCTAGTAACCCCACCAAACCAGTACGGCACACCTGGAGGTGTTGATGATGGAGGCGCCTCGCTTCAGGTGCGGCCAGGCGGCCTGAGGGAGAGAGAGGGGGGAGGATGGGGGAGGAAGGTGGGGAGAAGGCAGTGCGAGCGTGAGCAGCAGGACTGCGCGGAAGACGGAGCCTTCTCGAATATAGGTAATGGCATCCTTCAATTCCACCCCTCCGCCCCTCCGCCCCGCCGCCTCACGTGCCACAACACACCAACTAGCTCACTCCCCGTAACAGCAGCAGCAGCCCCGCCAGCCCCCTCTCGCCCCCTGCCCTTACCCGGCACAGGAAGATCTGGGAGTAGATCTGGTGGGGGCAGTACGGCAGGGGGATAGAGGGGGAGGGAGAGGGGACGGGGGTAAAGAAAGACCAAACCACAGGAAACCAAGGATAAGGGGTTGGCCGGAGGAGGATCAGAGAAATAGGTGATGCAAGGTGTTGTGGAAGGGAACGGCAAGTACTACCAGCCGTAATCGCTACTGACATTCCCAGGATGGATGACCCACGGGTCACAACACCAGGACGTCACGACACCAAGCCCGCAGCTCCAGCCACCTCACACACCTCCTTACACCACTCCAAAATGCCTCGGCATCATCACCAAGGTACATAACATACGCGTCCAACACAACTTTTCACTGTTCATGTGTTTGCGCAGCCCAGCACAAACGAACAGCATGCTCGCACGTTCACAACAAACAGACTGCTGCTACACTGCCCCACTCATGTGCCGTACGGCTGCCGTACTAACAACTACTACACCCACGCACGTTGGTCCTGAAGGTGCGTGCGATCTTGTCTGGCTCCATTTGCGATATGTCGCCCACCGGGTGCTGCTCCGCCGCGTTGTTGACAAGCACATCGATGCGACCGTACTCCTGCCCGGGGGGGGGGGGGGACGCATGCGGGGTGGGGAAGGGGGGGTTTGCGGTTGGGATTCGAGTCTTGGCGTGCCCTCCGTCGGCAGATTCGCCCTCTCATCACCACCGAAACCCCTCCCCCCCCCACCCATTGTTTTGCCCTAACTTGTGGTCTCCTATGGTTTGGTATGGTCTTTGACCCCCACCTTCATGGTTTCCTCCACCACTCGGTTGCAGAAGGCGCTGTCGCCCACGTCCCCGCTCAGCAGCGTGCACCTGCCCAGCGGGGGGGGGAGGGGGAAGGTGGTGGGGTTTGGGGCAGCAGACGGGGCGGAGTAGGTAGGCGGAGGTGCAGCCAGCCAGCCAGCCGCATGAGGAGCCCATGCAGCCCCACTCGCGGTCAGTTCCCACCCGAATCCATTTCCCGATTCCCACTCAGCTTTGTTGTTACGAACACAGCTAGCGGCGTGCCGCTTCCCCACCCTCTCAACCCCCACCCCCTCTCAGCCCCACCTGCTTCCCTCCTTCTCCACCATCCTCCTCGTCTCCTCCGCATCCTCCTGGTGCGTGTGGTAGCAACACACCACCCCCGCAGCGCCCTCGCGAGCAAAGTGAACCGCCACGGAGCGACCGATGCCGCTGTCGGCGCCTGAGGCGGGCGGGGGAGGGAGGGACGGGGGTTGATTTAGAGGGTTGGTTCAAGGGGAGTTCGGGGGTTGGATAGGAGGCGTGGACATGCAAGAGGTGGGGCACATGCATGGGGCTTTACGGTACCGTTTTGGGATTCGCTAACAGTGCGAAACTGCAAGCCGGGGTATAGTGCATGGTGGTTATCATAAGCTATAAGATGGGGTGCACACGACGGGGGCAATCAATAAGAACGGGGGCGCGGGACTGTGACCCATGGTGACCCATGGGTCACTCGCTCCTCTGTTCACCGCTCACCAGTATACTTAAGCACTCTCACGCACCTACCACGCACCCACCTGTGATGATGGCTATCTTGCCCTTCAGCTTGGCTGCGCCCTTGTACCCAGCGCGGATGACCTCGGGTGAGGGGTCCATGGCAGACTGGGTGCCGCTGGAGTGCAGGGCGGTGTTGATGAGGATGGAGGTGAGGGCAGGCGAGGCAATGCAAGGCAAGGGGCGCAGAAACAACGGAAGCAGCTTATGAAGCACTAGGATGGTTTGAGCAAAGTAAAGTTGTGCGGTAAGTTTGGGAGGACATGGGGGCAGGCAGCGATGTTGTACTGCTAAAGAGTGGCGCGGTCCAAAGGCGCAGCATCGCTGCTTGCGTCATGCCCGATATATTGCCCGAAAGCACAACATGATATTAGATACTAATTCCAACTATACTTGTGCAAAGAAGGCTACATGTCAGTTGTTTTGAGGGAGTTCGCTTGGCGAGATGTTAGCTTGGCTCTCCATTCCTCTTTCACTCTCACTCTTACCTTGCACGTGCGGCCTCCTGAGGCGGAAACTGCTTCTCCTGGGACATGATGTTGGCTGTTGGTGGTGGCTGCTGCTGATGCGGGCTGGTTGGCCGTTAAACGAAGCACGCGATTGCTGCTGTCCCTCCGACACTTCCTTCTTTGTAATCTGCTAACGAGCCGCCGAGAGTATTGAGCAGTAGACAAGGATATCGGCGAACGGATTTGCTCTTAGCGACAACGAAGCGCGGTATAAGGTTTGTTTGCCAGAAGAGCTTTCCCTCCGGCAGTTGGGTGTACGGCGTTTCCGCAGCGCCATCATGACTCACCTCATGTTGACATACGCAAGGCAAAGCAGTTGGGAAGTGTCACCGCTGCAGGACTAGTAAGGCCCGCCTTCGGCGGGAGCTACCCGTAGCTCGCGGGAGGGAGCTGGATGGACTAAGAGTAGGAATGGGAGGTGATGTCGAGAAGAAAGATTTGGTTGCACGCATGTACAGGGTGAGGATGCAGAAGGATTCTTGAATTACAGGAGGAAGGGCAGCGATTGTCGCCAAGGCTGCTAGATAGCAATTAAACGGGTAGGATGCACGAACGGCTTGAGGACGCCGCGGAAGCATGCAGTATATCAAGACATACAGGTGGTGGAGTGCGAAACCCCGCCCTACCCACCCGAATACTGGTGCTCATATGTACATGCGTATGTGCGCATGCCGTGCCGTGCCCTGTCGAAATGCTGGTACTCGCACCCGTGCGTTAGTATACAGTACTGACGCTGCCTACTACCACCGTACCAATACACATCTTCCCGTCGTCCCGGCGTCCCGCCGTCGCCCACATAGCAACCATCCGTCCGGGCATCTTTTCGCAGTGGCTATAGTCAGCACAGTAACGCAGGTCAGTTGCTTATTATGGAAACACCCGCGCGTGCACCCTGCCACCCTGCCAGACCACCTGTGGCCATGCAAACTAGCAGTGCTGCCGTGCCCAAGTACGGGCGCTGTTGCACCCGTCCTGCCCCGTCCAAGTCAAGGCACCGTTTCTGCCTTGTTCAACTACCGGCGCTTGTATGCTTCCACTAATCCTGCGCGCCCATGCAGTCCCCGCACTGGCCCATTAACAGGCATGCATGCGAGCAGGCATGTCCTCCGGATCTTCCGCGGATGCCCCAAGCCCCATGCGCCCGGTGCTTATGCTTAAAGTTAGTGGCGTCAGGGCGCGCAAGCACCACCGCCCTCCCCAAGCACTTGCACCCAGGCACCAACGCTGTTGCATGGGTGCATGCCGATCCGGCAGTACCCACCAGGCCCATAAACCGGCACAGATACATGCATGCATACCCGCCATTCCCAACTACTGGCGACCATGCGGGTACGCACATCCACCGTGCCCATTTTCGACCCCGCCCAATCTATGTATGCATCAATGCATGCATGCATCCCCGCCCTGCTGCTCAAGTGCCGACACCCATGCGTGCACGATACATCTCCATCCTACACAGCCAGGCGGGGGCAACTTGAGGAACAGGAGGAGGCACGGACCGTGCGGGGAAGGGCGTGGGAAGAATACTTGTTGCCTTGGAAAGCAACTAACGGATCTACGTACACACTAAAGGTGAAGACCCGTTCATTGCTTCACCCGCCCGCATGCACGTGCATCTCCACCCTTTCAAGCTGTCTGTGCTCAAGAGTGCAGCAGACGTCCTCTCTTATTACGTCACACCCAAAAATGGACACGTTTTTTGCGTCGTGCTACGGCGTAAGTGTAATTGTGGTGGTCTTAGGACCTTTTCGTACACGTAAAGCATAAGAAATTGCTTTATTCCCAAGATAAAGGCGCTTGAATACATCAAAAAGTTAACCGTAACCGACAATGTATGCCATGTTAATTGTGATATTTAATTTTAAGGCCTAGTTAAAAAGGAATATGCCAGTGGAAGCGGTCAAGCGCTGGTCAAACCTTGATCAAACTTTGGTCAAGGCGGTCAAACTCGCCAGTGCGTTAGGCCCTTACGATGCAATAATCTAGGAATGCCAACAGCTGTATATAGGCTCCTCCAGGCTTCCTAGTTCCCTCCTTGACTCACTGGCTTCACTGCTAGGCAAGAGTATGCGTGACACGCTCATGCGCTGAGACACGCACCATTACAACACCTGTGTAACGGCTCCCCGTGCATGCAGCCGACGCCTTGTATAACGAACGCCGCCCATGCATGCAGGCATCCCTTCCTGCTAGTTACTGGCGCCCACTGCATACGCATCCCCGCCCCTCCCTGCTATCGGTGCTCATGCTTGCAGGCCTCCATTCGTCCTGCCAGGAATCGGCACCCGTGCGTGCAAGCAACAAGAACCTGCGCCCAGGCATCTCAGTCGCACCCGCCCGCGGATCAACGCCGATGCGTAAATGCATACGGTAACCACCCGGCCCATAAACTGACATTAACACATGCATGCATACATCCGGCATGCCTAACTACCGGCGGCCATGCGGGTACGCACCCCCATCGTGCCCATCTACTATTCCCAATTACCGCTGTGTTGTACGCATGCATCCCTGCCTGCCCAAATACCGACACCAATGCCTGCATGCATACCGTAATCCCCCGTTCATCCTACTCAATAACCTGCGGCTATGCAACTAGCGGCGGCCCTACCCTGCTCTTCAGCTGCCACATGCAGAAGTGAATGCATTCGGAGGCAGGAACTTCACGGAAAGGGCAAGCGGCCCGCAAGGGCGCTGCACCGAGAAGGGCACAAGGAGGCAGGGCCGCGCGGGCAACGACAGCCGAGGGCATTTGAGGCAGGCACTGCCCACGGAAGGGCACCGAGGCTCCAGCAAGAGGCTCGCAAATTCGCTGCACGAGGAAGCACACGTGGAGACCGGTGCCGCGTGGGCGTGCCGGCAGCTGCATGGGTCAGGGTCGTCACGGAAGGCAGCCGTCGCCGGGGAAGGGCAGGAGGGGCAAGCGCGTGCCGCACGGGTAAAGGCAGTTGCATAGGGAGGGCATGAGGAGACAAGGTAAGGGCAGCCGGCACTGTGAAGGACTTAGGGAGGCTAACGCGTGGAAGGGCATCGTGAGACAGGTAATGTCGCGGGGAAAGGCACGGGCATGCAGACATTGCACGGTGGAGGGCAGGGGTAGCCAGGCGCAGCGCGGGCAAGAGCCGCACACCTGGTAAGTACTGCGTAACCCATATGCGCAACCCTTAAGTGCCCTCTTCATCATGCGGCGAAGACCCTCCCCTAGGCCGGCACTGCACTGAAGGAAGGCACGCCGCCCCATCCTACGTACGGAGGCAACGCGCTGCAGGCAGGTAGCCTGTTCCCTGCTAGGCATGCAGTACGTCGCGGGAGAGGACGTTGCAAGCCCTCAGCCAATGCGCTGCGAGGTGACAAGCTGGCCCTCGGTGATGCGCTGCTGGAGGCACGCAGACTGCTGCTAAGGAGGCAACACACCGCGGGCAGGCAAGCTGGCCCTTGCTCGGCATGCCGATGCGTCGCTGACAGAGAATGCCGGCTGTTGCTAAGCGGGAATTCGCGGATGGGAACACGCCGTGCTGCCAGACCGGAGAGATTGCTGCCGGACCGCACTGCAGGAGAGATCGCCGCGGGCGATACCCGAATGGAAGGCCGAAGGCCCCAAAGCCGGTAATGCGCTGCGGGAGAGAGCGCCGGAAGGCATGCCAACCCTGCTGCTGAGGTTATGTGCTGCGTCATGCAATCATGCAATGTGCCGCACGAGAGGCCGTCATGCCATGTGCTGGACCGGGGTTTCGCTGCTGGAAGGCATGCTAACCACTGCCAGGGAGGAAAACGCTGCGGGCAGGAAATGCGCAATCAGGAGGGAACGCTGCATGCTCTGTGCCAGGCCAGTATTGCGCTGCCGGACAGCACACAGCCCGCTGCTATTGCGCTGCGAGGTAGAAGCTGTCACTGCCAGGCCGGGAATGACCTGCAGGAGGTAACGCCGCCTGCTGCTAGCTCGGTAACGCGCCACAGGAAAGAACACCTGCTTCGCTGCGGGAGGGAAACACAAGTCGAGGAGGGGATGGGCGGCCGCAAGGGGAAGGGCATAGACGGGCAAGCGCAGCGCCTCACGGAAAGGGTGGGCGTTTGGGGAAGGGCAAGGGGGGCAGCACTGGGGAGACGCAGGGAAGCGTGTACAGGGAAAGGCATGGGTAGGCCGGCGCCGCATGGGGAGGGGCGAAAGATGAAAACGACAGACGATCCAGCTGAGCCATCGGGTTCACGTGAACGGCCCACTCCGCCCATGCGACAATAGCCAAGCCCCGCAAAGACCGGGGGGAGGCAGGGCCGCACAGGGAAGGGTAGACGCACGGGGAAGGGCATTGGAAGGCAAGCAGATCTGCTCTAGAGGACTAGGAGAGGCATGGAGAGGAGGGTGCCAAGAACATGGGCAAGGGAATGGGGAGGCAAGAAATGCACCGGGAAAGGCAGGTGGACGCAGGCGCAGCCCGGGGTAGGGCAGAGGGACGCATCCTTCCAAGAGTTGTCTACCTACCAGCGCCTGCACACGCAGGCATACTCGTGCTGCTGAACCACCGGCGCCCATACGTCCTGCCCAAAGCCCGGGCGCGCCTGCTGTTCACTCCCCGCACTGGCCAACAACAAGCGAGCAGGCATGCACTCGGGATCTGCGGCGGATGCCCTAGGCCCCATACAGAACCTGCAACCCGACGCGACATCTGCTGCTGGAGGCATGCGACGTTTGCGAATTACTTGGTTATGCGCGCAAGTTCTGTTGTCCCACGGTTCTTCAAACTTCAAGCCCAAACTACGTTGATAACTTCTTTCTTCTCCAGCCAGCTGGCTGGGCTTTCTTGTGTCTAACCTCGCCGGACCGCATATATTTAATATTAATTACACGTATGAAACACCTTTTTCTTCTTCTCTTCTCCGGTCTCCTGCCAGCTGGCGGGGCTTTTCTTCCGTCCTTCTGGCGAACCTCGCCGGACCGCATAGGACGACCGCGAATGTTTTGCCGATTCTCAACTCCCCGCTTTAACAGAAGTCCGTCAAACATTGAACCGGGGAAACCGAGCGAAATAGCGTGGAGCGTTTACAGCAAAAACGTTAAGAGCCGTTAAGATCGTGCTGTTAGGGCGTGACGGTCTATGCCTATGCATCCCTTCGCTTCGCTCCTCCGAAACCGTATACTACGTATACGTTTCTTCGTTTCGAGCTACGGGGACAGAGGGCGCAAAGGCTAGACTAGCTGTAGCGCTGTAGCAATCCGTCCTGAACAGCCCCTTCTTTTTATGTCACATAGCATTTTGGTTAAAAGCTGATTGCCGCGAAAAGCCCTAGCTAAATCGCACTGCCGGAGAGGACCCCGTTGCGTTGATGTTCTCGTAAAGCCCAGCAGCACGTTCCCCAACATATCTGGCCCCCTTTTGCCTTTTGCCTCCACCACCACCACATCAACATGCACACCCCCATCATCCACCTAGCCAACTAAACGTATCTGCAGTACTGCATCCCCCTATGCACTGGGGATATAGTCGCCATCTGGGCACTCAAGCGCCCAGGCAACTGCACCCTAACGAGCAGGCCAGCAGAAGCAGCGCTACCAACGACGCATACCATATTGTGGCAGCCCCTTCCCCCCAGACTTCTTCTCGCCCAGGCAACTGTTAACAACCGAAGCCCCCCCATGCATGCCAACGCGCGCTAAGCCCTTTCCCAGCCAATGCACTATCATGCCGGCCCCCACACCCTCACCCCACGGACGGGTCTCTTCCCAACACACCCCTAACCCTCACCCACCCTCACCCACAGACGCCACCATCCTCCTCGCACATGCACCCAACCGTCAACCACCCGAGCTCCCAACACCCATCCCTGCATACCTCACCTCAAGCGCTCACACCCGGCAACCCACATGCATGCATGCACGCCACACACCTCCCCACCTCCCCACCTCCCTCTCAATACAACACCCACCCACCGACCCCCAGTGTTGTCGGCTGTCTCTCATTACAAGGGGCAAGCAAGCGGCCCCAACCAACCACCACTCCCAACCTGCTGCACATGCCGGTACCCTACACAAGCATGCAGGAGGACCAGATCACACGCCTCCGGTCCCTTATATCCCATACCCTCCAGCATGCGCGCCTCCTCTCCCCCCCTCCCCTCCCCCCGTCCCCTCCCCCCCCAGCACCTCCATCAAGTCAGCCATGTTGACCACCAGCAGCGAGAACAGCGCCAGGGTGACGGCGGCAGTCATGGCCAGAGCGCCCGTGGTGTCGTCGAACCTGGGGGGGAGGCAGAAGGGGGCAGGGGGAGGGGAAGGACAGGGGCGTTGTTGTTGAGGGACGAGGCAGGCAGGCTCCCCCTCCATGCTTCTTACCTATATCCTCCATGTTGCAAACCATGATGACGCCTCATCACACGGTCAGTTAGTTGTTTCCTCTTTACCCTCCCTGCTCCTCCCCTCTCCCCCCCTCCGCCCTCCCTACCGTGTGGGGTGCAGCTCGTAGAAGCGGGTGGAGCGCCACACGAAGGCGCCCAGCCCGTATGCCGCCATGGCCACCGCCACCCCGAGCAGCACGAAGGAGGTGATTTCGGAGATGTGGATGGTGGGGCGCTGGTAGGGGTCGGTGGGCGCGGAGGCGGCGAAACCCAGCATGCCTGGGGGGAGCAAGGGAGCAGGTGAGGTGAGGTGAGGACGGCGGGTGGGCTTCGATTGGCGTACAACAACTTTGTTCTTTTCTTCACCTCCCTATCGCCCCCCCTAGCACCCCCAGCGCCCCCCCCCCACCCACCCGTCGCAATGCCCCCCACTGTGATGGCAGTTCGCAGCCACAACAGGAAGATGCGCTCGTTGCGCAGGAACTGGGTGGGGTCCACGAACATGAGCTGCGGCTGGTAGGCGCGACCCTGGGTGGGGCAGGGGGTAAAAGAAGAATCCCAAGGTGTTTAATGATGATAGGGGGAGGGGGGAGAGGGGGAGGGGTAAGGAGGTGGAAACCGACGGGGAAGGTAAGAGAAGAGGATACGCAAGCGCCCCCCCATATCTGCCCCTGCAACCCCTTCCCACCCCTCCTCCATGGGCACGGTAAATGCTTCAACGCGGCTCAGGTACAATGCCCTCAACCTTAACCCCACCTCAATTTACCTAAATCCCCTCCCCCTCCCCCACCACCAGCCCCACCTGCAGCGCCTGCCGCTGTAGCAGCTTGGCCTGCCAGCCAGCCTGCGCCGCCGCGGGGCCGCCCAGCCGCTGCCGGCTGCTCACACTGCGCTGCAGGGTGTGCAGCAGCGGCAACACAGGGCTGCTGTCGTCTACTGGCCCCGCCCCTGCTGCTGCTGCTGCTGATGGCGTTGTTGTGGGGGGAAAGGTGAGAGCGGAGGAGGAGGATGCGGAGGAGGCTTCTCTCCTGCTGCCTAGGCTGCCCCGATCCTTGTGAAAGGAGAAGGTACGGGAGAGCAGGTCGGCAGCAGTGGCAGCCGCGTTTGACAAACGCCTGCCCACCGTCCCTCCTCCACCTCCACCGCTATCGCCACCACCACGCCTCCCCCCCGGGGCCGACTGGGACCAACTGGGCTCTAGCAGGGGGGCAGGGGACACCCCACCCGCCCGACCATAAGCCCCGCCTCCGCCTCCTGCTCCGTCCCTGCTGCTGCCACTGCCGTAAGAACCTCCCGCCCCCGCCCCTGCCCCTGCACCGCAACCCGATGCCATGGCAGCATTGCCGCTGGCAGCACCCGCCCCTCCCGCCCTGCCCCGTGCAGCTGCCGCCGTCTGCTCCAGGGTTCCCTCCTCCAGCTCCGCAACCACATTGTGACCCGACAGCAGCAGAGCCTGAGGTAGGGGGGTAAGGGGAGGGCCGAGGGAGGGGCATTGCGTGTGTGTATGGGTTGAACCGCACTGCCTTTCGTGGCGCCTTGCCGCCCCCTCCCCTTGCCCTCAACTGCTTTCTGTGACTCCTGATTGACAGATCTGAATCAGCATACCCAGGGTCAGGAGTGTTAGCTTCCCCCCCCCGCCCCCCACACACCCCCACCTGTGTTGTTGCACTTCTCTATAGATTTTCCCACCTGCAGGTCTTCATTCGCCACCACATTGGCGTACAGGCTCTTCTGCACCGCCTCATCGTCGATCCACTGCGGCACCGCACGAACCATGTCAGGGAGCAGACCCGCGCAGGCGTGAAGGAACTTGGAGAAGTCGCTGATCTGAAGGGGTGGGTTGGGGGGTGGGAGGGGTGGGGGGGAAGAGGGAGAGGGGGTTGGAAAGGAATGTGACGTGGAGGCAGCAGCAAGCCAGAACCAGGACCGTCCTGTTCCCGCTGTTGCCTACAAATTCTCCCACTGTCAGTCATGCCTCCTTAAACAAACACCCAAGCCCGCCTACCACACACCCTCCGCGCACCCCCTTCGCCCCCCATTTATCTGTATTCTCCCCATCTCCCCCATCTCCCCCCCCTCCCCCCCCTCACCGGCCGAACCAGCCCCTCCCTCAGCAGCTCCAGGAGCCAGGCGGGCGGGGACTCATCGTCGGGGTAGGGGCGCTGAACCTGGGGGGGGGAGGGAAGGGGGGGAGGGAAGGGGGGGAGGGAAGGGGGGGAGGGAAGGGGGGGAGGGAAGGGGGGGAGGGAAGGGGGGGAGGGAAGGGGGGGAGGGAAGGGGGGGAGGGAAGGGGGGGAGGGAAGGGGGGGAGGGAAGGGGGGGAGGGAAGGGGGGGAGGGAAGGGGGGGAGGGAAGGGGGGGAGGGAAGGGGGGGAGGGAAGGGGGGGAGGGAAGGGGGGGAGGGAAGGGGGGGAGGGAAGGGGGGGGGAGGGAAGGGGGGGAGGGAGGTATCAGGCGTTGCTCGCATGGATGGGGGTTTGGGGTGGCTGGCTGGCAGGCTGGGCCTGAGGTCGTGTACGGAAGCCGTACTCGGGGCACATTGCGGTACTGCTGTACAGTAAGGTATGGCCAGGTACGACACCGTACGACGCACACGGCCCCCCACCCCACCCCCCACCCCCTACCTTGAGTACTGCGTAGGGGAACTCTATGGCGTCCGCCGGGTGCTCCTGGCGCCATAGTCCGTGGGAGAGGCGGGTGGAGGTGTCGTACGCGTATTCCAGGAGCATCTGGGGGTGAGAGGGGCGGGAGGAGGGGAAGGGTGGGGGAGGAAGCATGGACAGCTTGTCAGTCTCTTCCTCTCCACGTCCCCACCTGCACCCCTGCGCCCATCCCTTGCTCCCCGCCCCTCCCTTGCTCCCCGCCCCTCCCTTGACCCCCGCCCCTCCCTTGCTCCCCGCCCCTCCCTTGACCCCCCCTCGTCAGTTTCCCCCTCCCCACCCACCTGCACCTCCTCCTCCAGCACCGCCCTGCGCCCCACCTCCTGCTCCCCACCCGGCTCGCGGAAGGTGGTCTGGCGGAAACGAACCTAGGAGGGACCCGGGGAGGGAGACGGGGTGAGAGGGTGGGAGTGTAGGGGTTGGGTTGGGGGAAGGGGGGGCGTAGGGGAGCGGCAGAAGGACACACAAACAGGGGCTGGGGTTGGTTCACTTCCTAGTACCTCCCCCCCCCCCCGAAACACCCCCACCTGCACCATGGGTTGCAGCCCCTTGCTCTCCACCAGCCGAGCCACTTCCGTGAACGTCTTGAACAGCTGGTACTCCTGGGGGGGGGAGGGGGGAGGGTGGGGGAGGGGGGGGGAGGGATAGGGTGGTGATGTCCTGATGTGAGGGGGGGACGACCGAGGAGGGGCCATCCAAGATAGGGTACGTGCAATGGGGGAGCTGCAGAGGGGCACAGAGCGATAACGCACCGGTAGCCTTCGCCTCCTTCCCCGCCTCCTCCTCCCCCACCCCTGCTCACCCAATCTCCTCCACCACCCCCCACGCACCAATTTAATACCCCCCAAACCAATCCTCGTCCGCCCCTCTCCCCCCCTTCCATGGAGCAGCCTCATCATTAATACTCCCTCCCTCCTTCCCCGCACCCCACCTGCGCCAGGCGGGCGGGATCCGGAGTCGCCACAGCCGCCCCCCCTCCTCGCTCTCCTCCCCCGTGATGCGACCCGCCCCCTCCACCACCTCCACCTCCCGTCAGGCTGCTGCTACTGTCATAACTACTGCCGTATAACCCTCCTCCGCCCCCTCCGGCTCCCCCTCCCGCTCCCCCTCCTCCCCCACGGCCATGAGAGGGAGAGGGCGGTCCGCTGCCCCAACCGCTGACCCCGCTGCTGCTGGTGGTGGTGGTGGCAGCGGGCCCGCCGCGGGGGGGCGGTTGCGAGGTGTGTGGGTGCTGCTGGGGGTGGTGGGGGTTGGGGAGGAGGCGGGGGTCCGGTTGGTGGGGGTGGTGGTGGGGGTGGCTGCTACTGTTGTGGTGGTGGTGGGGGTCCGGGTGGCTCATGGTGCTGCTGCTGCTGTGATGCAGTCGACTGCTGCTGCCGCCGCCTCCGCCGCCTCCTCGGTGCAAGTGCTGCTGCTGCTGGTAGGAGGATGATGCTGCGGAGGAGTGGCTGGTATTGCTGCGGAGTAGGTGCTGCTGCTGCTGGGGCTGCTGAGGTTGCGGAGATTGCAGCTGCTGGGAGTGTTGTCTGAGGTGAGAGGAGTGGTGTTGCGAATGATGCGACTGGGAATGGTGCAAGTGGTGGTGGTGGGAATGGTGCGAGTGGGAGTGCGAGGAGTGATGGTGGGAGTGGTGGTGGTGCCGCTGCCGCCGCTCCTGCTCCTGTTCCGGCATCATTAGCTTCCTCGCATCCGCCCAAGTCCAGCGCCCATTCAGGAAATCCGCAACTCGTGTTTCCTGAATAGGAAAGCTGTCCTCCTCGCAATCCTCCGGCCGCCACCCCTCCCGGTGGATCTGCCGTATAATGTCCACCGTATCCGGAACTCGGCTGCCGTACCACCTCAACTGCAAGGTGGTTGCATGGGGTCTGCCGTACAGGAGGTTGTGGTAGAGCTCCAGGGAGGGGTTATCCAGGAAGATTGTGTTTACGAGATCTCGAGATGCGGTGTCGCATTGGGCCCACAGGGCTGCTGCCCCCGCTGCTAGGGAGCAGGGAGGGGCGGCGGAGGCGTTTGTGGGGGGCGGCAGGACGGCCAGACGCTGCATGAGGAGGTGTTTGACCTGGAGGCGGGTGGGAGGGGGAGGGGGAGGGGGAGGGGTAAAGAGGAAGAAAGAACTACCAAGGGTCGGCCGGGGCGGGTTGGGAGGGTTGCGCGTCCCTAGAGTGGTTTGTGTCGTCGCGCTCACTGCATTCCAGTCGTGACATGAAACTGGAACCCCCCAACTGCTTGCCCCCATCCCCCCCACCTCCATGCCTGCCGTACCTACCTTTGCCACCTCCTCATTCCGCACCCAATAGGTACTGCTGTGGAAGTCCCGGTGGTGGCTGCTGCTGGCGGCGGCGGTGGCGGCGGTGCCGGGGGCCCCGTGCGGGTGCGGCGGGGGAGCGGTGGAGGCGTGCAGCGAGGGGGAGGCGGCGGGGGCGAGGGAGGAGGAGGGGGAGGGGCCGGGGGCTGCTGCTGCTGCTGCTGCTGCGAGGGTGGCGCTGTGGAGCTGGGAGAAGGTGCGGGAGAGGGTGACCTGCGGGGCGGGAGGCGCGAGAGGAGGGGGAGTGGAGTGGAATGGAGAAGGAAGGAAGGAAGGAGGGAAGGAAAGGGGGGAAGGTGGATGGCGAAGGAGAATGGATGGTTGAATGGACGTGGGTTGGCATCTCTCTTTAACCCGCCAAACCCCGCACCCCTCACCACCCCCACCTGACGCCTTATCCCTCAGTCAGTTGTTTCCTCTTTACCCACCTGAATGTCGTGGTGGTCCCCCCGCACCCAGGGCTGCCGGTTGATGTGAACCTGTACGGCACAGGGGGGGGACAAGAGGAAGAACAAGTTGTACGGCAGGGAGACACAGCAACAGGCTGAAGTGTTACCGGTAGCAGGCAGAGTCGGGTGAGAGGAGGCGGGTTCGCAAGTTCAGCGATGAGCCTGCCCTCCCTGCCCTCCTCCCTTCCTTGTCACCTCCCTCCCTCCCCGCCCTGCCCTCCCAGTTCCCACCTTGTAGAACTGCCAGCAGGGCGCAGTGGGGATGAGCTTGTCGTGCTTCTTCAGGATCTTCTGCAGCCCCGCGTAGTTCAGGTTCACGTACTTCTCCAGACGCAGGTACTCCTCACCCAGCCGCCGGGCGGCACCCAGCCAGAACTCCCGCACCGAGGGGTCGCGCAGGTCGCCGGGTGGGGGCTGCGGGGGAGCTGCTGCTGCAAACCCGCGTCCTGCTTCTCCTGCAGCTGCGCCCTGTGTTGCTGCCGCTGATGATGTTGAGGCGGGTGCTCCAGAGTCGTAAGGCATTGGTGGTGGTGGTGGTGCAGCAGCAGCAGGGGCAGCAGCAACAGAGGCTCCGGAACCGGGATGCAGGGCCCGGGCAACGCCCACCGCCACGTCCCGCAGACGGCCCCGTAGCTCGCATGCGGTTTGCTGGTGGTGGGGAGTGCGTGGTGGTGGTGGGTGTTGCATGGGGAGATTGGGGTGAGCACAAAAGAAGGGAGTAGGGACAGGCTGGAGACACTGGGGTAGGGTGCTAGCTAAGGTGTCGAGGCTCGCAGGTTACCCGCCTGCATGGCAGGGCGTGGACCTTTGCCCCGTCGAGCCATATCCCATCGCCCCGGCATGTGCACCGTTCTCACTCAAACCCGGCTCCACAGTATTCAAGCAGGCCATCCTTCCTACCGTGGTGAAGTCATTAATGCGCTTCACATCGGCCTCCAAGAACAGGAAGAACTTCTCCTGCGGAGTTGGCTGTGCATCCACCGGCTTTTGTTTCACAGTCAGTGACAAAGCTGTCGGGACGTACACAGGCGCACCCTCTTCGAGAATCTGCAAAGAATGAAATGCGCCATACCGTGAGCTGCGGTTGACACTCCTGCGGTAGCCGTGTGCAAGGGGATGGCCTTGAATCGGGGTCACCTTAACAAGCAGCTTCTTGAGTTCACCATAACGAATGTAATTCTCTTTCCAAGCCTCCTCCTTATTTGCATCCAAGTACCGCTTAAATTTCATGTTATGCTGCGCTGCGGCTTAGCCGTCGCAGTCCTTACAGCTGCTAAGCATTGAGAGTTGTATCCTAACCATTTAGCACAAAAGGTGAGGCAAAGGCGCCCTGCGGCTCTCTTACTGCAGTCGTTAAAGACCATGCGCATTAAGAGCCGTGGCGCCGAGAGCTCATACTTTACAGATTCATATGCTAGTCCATATAGGCTACGGCAAACGATGAGACAAAATATACCTATGTCGCGTTTGTTGGAGGCATCTGCGTATTACGCATCCCCAAGCGCGCAAGCATCAACCACGACGACTCGGCCCTCACAGCTCAACCGTACCGACCCTCAAACCTAGACTGATCATAAGGATCACACAAAACGACATACACTAAACTATTATTGCGTCGCGAGAACGAAGGCGCAGTTAGTTGGCCATCCCAGCCATCGCATTGTGACGTTCACTGCATAGCTAATAGCATGTCCAACACGCTGTATCTAATTATGTACATTGACTATCGTCAAGAACCTCGAAGTCGCGTCACTGTGGAATATTCCTTGCGGGTTAGGCCACCATGAACTCCTGCGCGTGCGAAGCAGAACGGCGGGGGGCATTCTGTTTCTGAAGCGGTAAATCGTAGCATTAAGTGTGTTGTTAAGCCACGCTTACAAGCGTTGGGCGCATTATACAGCGATACAACTACATCAGCCACATCCCGCTTCTCCTCACGCCCCACATTTCCCGCACCCTCGCAACCTCTCATCCCCCTCCAACCAAACCCCTAACCACACCCACCTTGCCAATAGCCGGGTCTCGGTGCCCCACCCACGCTCCCTCCTTGGTGAAGTGACCCTCCTGCACAAGGCTGCTGCTGCTGTAGTAGAAGGAGCCCGCCGCGGGCCGGCTGGTCTCCCCGAAGCTGCCCATGTACATGGAGCCGTCTCGGAACACCCAGCGCCCGTACGTGAACTGCCCGTCCGCCCAGTCGCCCACCAGCTGGCAGCAGGGCGCCTTGTAGTGGTACATGCCCTTGCCGTGCCGCTTGCCGCCCTGGAAGTCGCCCTGGGGAAGAGGAGGAGGAGGAGAGGGCGCGGAGGGGGCGGGGATGGGTAAAGAGGGTGAAAGCAAGGGGAAGGTGGGATGCGGCGGGTGCGGTGGAGAGGAAGGAATGGCAAGGTTCGAGACAGGGAGAGGGACTTCGGCTCCGGCCTGGCGCCTGATTGGACTTGCGACTTCGCCTGAAGGGCCCCAGCCCATCCCACACCTGGACCCCACACCGCTCCTCACCTGGTACACGTCCCCGTTGGGGTAGGTGAAGGTGCCGAAGCCCTGCATCACGTCCTGCACCCAGTCGCCTTTTGGGGAGGGGTTGCGCGAAGGGGAGGGGAACACAGAGGGGTTGGGGATAAGGGAAGGCCACAGGCTGGGCATGGCGCTAGCTCCCGCGGGTGCGAACAGCCGGGCTGGGCTTCCTCGTTTGGTACCGATGACACCCAGTCGGTTGGTGACAGGGCGCCGACGACAACTGCCCCAACCTAGTAGCCCTGTACCAGGACAGGAGTTAACCCCCGCCAGCCGTTGCCCATTTGCCTCCCACCCGGCCCCCAAGACAACTCGCACTAAGCATAGCTTGATAGTTCGCGTATGGTGCTGCCGGTAGCCCGGTACAACCCAACCGCAGTTGCAAACACACCCCGCTTACACCCTCGAGGGCTCTCACCATCATAGACACCCTTATCAGGGAAAGTCATTTTCCCTTTCCCGTGCTTTTTATTGTCAACATATTCTCCAACGTATATAGCTCCGTTCGACCATGTATACGTCCCTTTCCCTTGCCGAATGCCGTGGGACATGGTGCCCTCAAAGGTGTCACCAGGCTTCTCCTCTTCATCATCATCAGCCATCGGCGGCGGAGGATATTGCATCTTGCCCTGCAACCAATAGGAAAGTCGGTCACCTCCTGCCGCGGGTGGCTACAGAAAATTCGACCAGCCCTTGACTGATTCCGAGCCTTGTACTAGCTTCGTAATAGTAAAAGTAAAGGACGCACCTGGCCGTTGGGCTTTCCATCCTCGTCAAATGGTCCCTCCCACACCTGTGTTATTTCCCAAGCAAGTAATGTAAGCTATCTGTAAGCAAGTATAGTGTCTAAGCAACTAGTATGACCCTACCGGCTGCGGAACCTCGTCGTCGTCAGCCATGATACCAAGAGTCGAAAGAAAGTCCGGTAAGTATTATAGTCGTAAAATGCAACGAAGTATCTAAATGAGCTTTTACGCTGTATAGGTGCACAGCGGTTCCACTGGAGAAGCCCAAACTGTCCCAAGTACGAGACTTAGAGGATGCCGACCCAGCAGGCAAGGCTAGTGTTTGGTCCTTGCCATTAATAGGAATTGTAGAAGACTGCTTAATCTATGTTCCTTAACCAGTTGTTCGAGTTGTGTATTCTTGAGAAGTAGGACCCATGGGCCAACCTTGAAGGAGTTCATAATGATGCCCTGCCAAAAACATAAATAGACATTCTATACGATCTCACAGGTTTAGGTGTAGATAGCGCTTTTGGGCGCAAAGCGCTAACGACTGTTTGGAAGTTTGTTGATGTGGCGGCAGGAAGCTGTCAACCATGGCTTGTAAGGTTACAAAGTAATGAAAATCGTGCGCGCTTCAGGATCCAATTACCTTTGGGGACCTGGCGGCTGGGAACAGCGTACATCATCTGTACCGGTGCGTAAGCTGTCAACTGACACGTGGCAGGAGTGCGCGGGCCGCCCTACAATGCAAGTACTTATGAGCAAGACGCACCGCATTGTAAGCTGTTAGGCTCGCGTCTTTTACAGATACATCGTCTGTTTGCTGTTTGTGTACCAGTGCTTCAAGGCCTAGGTCGCCTTAACTACCGCCTCGCCTTGTTTGCGAAGTCCAGTACAAGCGGCCGCAGTGCAAGAGCGCACTTAAACCTGGAGCTCGTGTACTTCCAAGCGCAGGCAACAGCATCGACTTCGCGAAGGAGTCGAGCGCTGGTGTAAAGTTCGGTACATCGGTAGGCAAGCCAGCTTACGCCGCAGTAAAGCACACATCAAGACCAGCCGCCGCATCGGTCGCGTTCGATGCATAAGCGGACACCTGAATCTTTTGGCGACCCGCCGCCGAACGCGGCGCGCGTATGGATTCCCGGAGTTGTTGACCACATTATCAGCTTCCTTCCGCGCAACTTCGTAGCATGCACAATACGTCTATTGGACAAATCATTTGCAGCAGAATACTCTAAATTTAACATCGTGCGGCTGTCAGAGCCTACTCCAACATCCGCATTCGCGCGGCAATGGAGCGACCCAGCCAACCTACGAGCGCTAACCTTCAAACAGCGCCTACAACTCCTCTGCCTAACCTCTCGTAGCGGCAGCCTTCCCAACCTCGCCCTCGCAGTCGCCAACGCCGGCATCGTGCTGACCTCATCCTCATTCAGCGCCATGTTCACATCCGCCGTAGTCGCCTGTCAATTCCACATCTGCGAATGGCTGATCCAGCAAGGCTGCTGCCCGCCCGCTACTTCCCTCAAGGAAGCCGCACGCGCCGGGTCCCAAGCTAGCTGCGAGTGGCTGCTAGCTCACGGCTGCCCCTGGAGTCCTGCCGCGGTTTACGCAGCTGCGCGAGGAGGTCACGTGGGCCTGATGGAGTGGCTGCTGCTGCAACCGCACCAACAGCAACACTGCCTGGCAAGGTGTCCTGTTCCTGCTCCTGCCTCCTCTGTGAATCCCTTCAGCCTGCTGGTAGCGCTGGTGGAGGGCGGCTGCAGTCTGGCCTTGCTACAGCACCGCTACCTGCATCTCACAACCACCTTGGCTAACGACCAGCAGCCGCAACAACACCAGCAGCAGCACGAAGTGCAGTGGTCGGAGGTGGCTGCGGAATACCGACGCGCCATCCTCAAAGCCGCCGCCGCCAGCCCCGGCCCCGACTGGCAAGCCAAGGTCGCCTGGCTGGAGGCGCAGGGCTTCCCTCGCTGCTCGGACGCCTGCACCGGCGCCGCCGCCTGCCCCGACGCCCTGGAGCGCCTTACCTGGCTGCTGGCTCGGGGCTACCCGGCCAATGCGGAGGCTGCCACCGCGTCTGCCAGGGAGGGAAACGCCGCTGCGTTGGGGCTGCTGCTCACCACAGGCGGTGTTCATCCGGGCTTCTTCATCGCGCAGGAGCCCGCTGCGCGGGGGCATCTGGAGGTGCTGGCGGTCCTGCACTCCCTGGGATACCGGTTGCCTGTTGAGGCAATGCAGGTGGCCGCGGAGAATGGGCACGTGGCTGTCGTACAATGGCTCTTCAAGACGGCTCAGCTGGGCGGGAGTGCTGACGTGGCCGCCAGCTGGGCGGCGAGATCTGGGCGGTTGGAGGTGGTTGGGTGGTTGCGGCAGCAGCAGGAGTACGGCGGTGGTGGTTGCGACAGTGGTTGGGCGCCTGGCACGGTGGCGAGTGCGGCGGAGGGGGGCAGTGGGGAGATGATGGAGTGGCTGGTGAAGAATGGCTGCCCGTTTAGGGTAAGGGGGGCGGGGGGGGGGGAGAAGGGAAGGGAAACGGAGAAAGGGGAAGGGAAAGGGGAACCAATGCATGCTGCCTAGCCATGCCTGTCTAGAGGCTGTCGAAAGCAACCTGGTCCATCGCCCAACCCGCACACGCGTCCTGTGTATTGTCCGCCCTTCCTTTATACACATCACCCCAACCGTCCCCACCGCCCCCACAACGCCGCCTCCAGGTTCCCGCCGCTGCCGGCCTGAAGGACCCCTACGTGCGCGCCGCCCGCAACGGCGACCTGGCCACCCTGCGCTGCCTGCACCGCCTGGGCTGCCCCTGGGACGCGGCCGGCAGCACCTTCACGGAGTGTGTGCGCCACCATGCGCCGCTGCCGGTGCTGGGCTGGCTGCTGCGGCGGGGCTGTCCCGTGGAGTGGGGCGCGGCGCTGCAGGTGGCGGCGCGGGAGGGGCGGCGGCAGGAGGTGGGATGGCTGCGGGCGCAGCGGCGGCGGCGGGGGCTGGCGATGAAGCGGTGCGGGTGGGGGCTGGGAGGCGGTGTGGGCGGAGGAGGTGCAGGTGGTGGAGTGCTGGAGAAGAGTCTGCAGATGGTGCAGGTGGGTTGGGGTGGGACGGCGTGGGTGCGTAGGATGATGAGTGAATCGTGGATGTGTTAAGGCACGGTGGGGCTGGGTAACAGGGGGGGTGGTTGACGAGCGTAGCACAGAGCAGTTGATACTATGTGGCAGCTAGCAGCGACCAGGATCAGCGCGGACCAGCGTACAACACGGTTCTTCCTCGCGGCGGTCAGTTTCTTAACACAACGGTCTTAGACCACATGCCTCACCTGCCCCACCCGCGCTACCCGCACCCACACTCAATCGTTCCCTTTCCGTGTCTATCCTCCCCCCCCCCCTTCCCGCCCCTGCTGTCAGGTGCTGTTGGCGGTGGGCGTTATGCTGGCCGCCACTGCCTCCGGACAGCTGGGCAGCAGCAGCCAGCAGGGGCAGCAGGGGCAGGGGCAGTTGCAGTAGCCTCAGAGGGCAGGGGCAACAAAGGCAGCAGGGGCAGCAGCAGCAGTAACAGCCGTGAGATTAGTACTTGAAAGTGCGGCGAGGCATGCAGCAGCACCCGCAGGTGCGTGGGAGGCCGAGCCCGGTGTCCGAAGGTAGACATGATCCGTTGTGCATGACATGCGTATGTCATCAGTCTAACCCACGCCATTTTGAGGGGATTTGGGATCTGCGGTGGTGCCGTGGATGAACGAGGAAGTGGCTTCGGGAGCTCGAGGCGAGAGCACGGTTGCTGTGGTTAGTAACTTTGTATGGTTTGGGTTACGGCAGTAACTCAACACTATCCAATGTTGTATTAGCACTGTCTACTGGCTGGCGTAGTATGCTCGCATTACTACTGTAGTAATGGTTCACTACTCTCGTAGTTGGGTACCTACAACACATTTGTTGCTTGTTATAGATGGAGGAGGGGACAGCAGAAACGGGTTGGGGCAGCAGGGCATGTGGGGTTAACATCAATTTTGAAGTGCATGGGGTGCGGGTATGCGACCTTAGCTTAAAGTTAGGAGCATGGGGTGGGGATTGAGAGTTGAGAAATGTCCTAGCTAGACAGAGGGGCGGGTGTGGGGCATCCGAAGAGTTGTACTATGGCTTTAATCAAGGAGAGGAGAAGAAGCTTTCATTGGAGAGATGGAGAGACTGTTGGTGGTTTGGGGGCAGTGCCCTGTTCTGAATTCATAGTAGTACGGCAAAGGCAAAAAGCGACGTCAGCAAGCGGCTGTCAGCAGCAGGCCTTGCACGCATGCTTGTTGTGCAGTCACAAGCCGCGCAAACCAATTGTGGATTTTGCGCATTCGTTTTCCGTAGGAGGGTGAGCGGCGTTCTGGTGTTGCCAAGTCAAACGAGGGAACTGAAGCGAGGTACGGTATACGTGTTGGCGAGTAAGAGAATTTGTACGGCATTGCTTGATGAGAGACACAGGGATCCTATTATGAACCCAGCTGAGGGTTTGGTTATTTGGTTGTTAGTCGGCATGCGGTACGTGTTTTTTTGCGGTGAGTGGTTGTAGGAGCGAGTTGGTTTAGGGCCAGCCGGCCAGCCATAGCATGGCTGCATGGGTGCCGACTTGGATAAGTAAGCTGAGATTTGGGAGCGTTTCACGCTTGGGTGGAAAGGGGTTCGAAGGTAAACGCGTTCATAAGGCAATCAAAGGGTTTACGTTCTTTTCCTTCGGATTTGCTTTTTGGTTTTCCGTTCATTAGGTCTCCCCAATTCTTTAGGGTTTAGTACGAGCGGTGGTCTTTACGTTTGGCCTCTGGGCAGGCAAGCACGCAGAGAGCGAATGCATTACAAGGTTAACACAGTGGATGCATTTGCCGTTTTTGTTGCTGTGTGCGTCAGCGTCGTGCGTGGGGTGTTTTCTGCCAAACACTCACACTGCCTTGATTGCTTGCCTCTTGGGGCGGTTTTGCGGCTGCTGCTGACTGCGACACGCTAGCGACATCTGTGAGACGCGAGGAGTGTCTGGTGTGTGTACCTAAAGGGACGTACGGTTGCGTCAACAAGGGTTGAAGATGCGCCTGAACGATAGGATTTGTACGGGTGTGTGTTTTACTGGAGAGAAATGGATCCATGGGTCGGCACATGCGTGGATGGACCCATGGGTCAGCAGCAGCGCATGTGTTGTCATCACCATCATCATGGCCACCATGTGCGGTTTAACAATAGCATTGTCCTGCTGGGGAGACGAGACGGAGAAACGTCAGTGTGTTTGTGTGCTGATGGTGGAGTAGGAGATGATGACGTTGAGATCGAAATAGGAGAGCTGTCTGGTGAGTAGTGTGTGCTGTCCTAGAGGTTTCGTTGCAAAGAGGTTGATTGGGAGCGCTGGGTGAAGTCGTGAAAATGATATTAAGGATGAGCGGAGAGATCTTGGTCTATCGTTGCTGGACACGATTTCAGTCCACAACATCATATTTTGTTGTCTGTCTGGGCTGCAGACTGAAGGTAGTGGCCCTTCTATGGTATCTTTCTGCAAGGTGGTGAAGGGTAGAGAAGTGGCGAGATGGCGCAAGGGGCGCTCAGCCGGGGGGTTGACTCCGGTTGACATTGACATCCATGTTGACTCAGGACCGGTTGCAGCAGGACAAGGCGTACATTACAGGCATGCACTCATGCAGGGGGAGGTAAAGAGGAAACAACTAACTGACTGAGGGGTTGCTGATGACAGACTACTGAGTTGACGTGCACGCACGTGAGACAATAACGTAGTGCAAAGGCGAGGATGTCGTACATGTGTGTTGTTTGCGGCGGAAGGAGGAAGCGGAGGGTATAGTGCTTATTGGACGAGGATTTATGTTGTGTGCCTTAATTGATTCCTAAGAGCGAGGGCAGAGTCGCAGCAGAGGCGCCGCTGGGGGCCCTATCTGCCGTACTTACATTGTGGCACGCCATGCAGGGGGCTGGCCTAGCTATGCGGGCGATATGCGGGCAATAGCCATGCGGGCTGTAGTTGAGGTGCATAGGCCGCAACAGCTGTTGGTAGGTGCTTAAGGGGGCTAGCGTGGGCTGCTGAGTACACACGCCCTCACGCCCTTGCAATGCTTTATGGGTGGTTGGGTACATGGGAAGGTGATAACATGTGTGAGGTGTCGTGTTGTTACCGGCAATACGGAGGGTGTGTTAAAATAACTGGTGGCTAGCCACCGGTGCAGGGCATGCTTGCAGCCCCCTGCGTGCAGCCATAACGTGCGACATTGCGACTAGATTGGTGTGTTCACAGCACTGGCCAGGAGTCGGAACGACGACTTGACGACCAGGGTGTGTGTTGAGATAAACTGCTGGCCGCGATAGGGGAACGTGTGTAAACGTAGCAGTTAGGGTGAAGGCCGGTTTGGGCCGCTGCTAGACCACAAAGCATTGCGGGTGGAGGCTTGTGTGTTTGGCTTGCGTGCTTTGGCTGGCACCCGGGGCTTGTTTGCAATAAGTGCGTGCACGCAGGGCGGCAGCAAGGGCACACAGACGGGTGTGGTGTTATCAGCACTAGGACTGTAAAGCGTCGCGACTGAGTCAAGACAGAGAACACGAACACGAGAACGAATACCGCTCAACAACACTACGTGTGAGACCACCAGGGGAACAATGAGTGGCTAAGCACCCTGCACCCAGCAACCCGCGTCCTGCCGAAGCCACTTGTAGGTGCATGTAACCGCTTGCCACCAACCACCGCACGCCAACCTATGTACACCGTCAATATGTCACATATGCACAGATACAGATGTATGCTACAGACTTGAGTACTCTGGAGACTCTGGAGCTTGCTGCAATCCCGCAAACCATGTCAAGTTGTCAACATTTCACGATTTTCACCGTAGCCGCCCCGCTGCTGCCAACATGTACATGACGGCATAAACATCACCCCTGATGTACGTACAGCAGGCCCCAGCAGGCCCTTCCATACCACATCATCCCACCCGACGCCCAGCACCCCAGCAGCAACCCGGGCCCCCCTCTCTCCCATACGCACATGCTTCCAGCCACCTCCTCAACCTCCTCAGCCGAACCGCTGCTGCCTTCCCCCCTGCTGCACCCAAGCCAATACCCCCGCGCTCGCCTCCCCAGGGCTATCCCGCACGCGCCACTCCGCCGCCGCCACCGCCGCCCCCCAGTCCACCGGACACCCCTCCGCCGCTAGCCATCCCAGCACCTGCAGCGGGCAGCCGCTGAGGACGCAGGAGGAGAAGGTCGTGTGCGGGCTGGCGGTGCCCCAGGGGCAGCCCAGCCGCCGCAGGCAGCGCAGCATGGCGTAGTCGCCGTTGGCGGCCGCCTTGTCGTAGGCCTTGCCGTCCATCTGATGGCGGGGGGCGGCATGGGGGGGAAGAGGTGCGGGGCGGCGTGGGGGGAGGTGCGTGAGGGTGTGTAAAGGAAGGGGGCAGGGTGCTAGGTGGATGACAGTTCGGCAACGACACACGACACACACAACCCCCTACCGGCACTGGTTATACAGTTATACCGTTACGGTTTGTATACGGTAGTCTTTACAGGCGCGTGCCAGCACTGCTCCTCACACACACCCCCCGCCACCCACCGACATGGGGCAGCCGGCAGCCAGCAGCCACTCCACCGCCTCCTCACTGCCCGCGCCCGCCGCCTCGTTGAACGCCTCACAGCTCCACGCCACACCCCTCTCGTGCAGCCACGACAGCAGCGGCAGGCTGCCCGACCGGGCCGCATGCACCGGCACGCTGGCCGGCAGCCGCAGCCCCACCTCCTCCACCAGCCAGGCCATCACACCCAGGTGTCCCTCCCCCGCCATACCCCGCCAGTCCACACCCTCCGGCGCCAGCGCCCCCCGCGCATGCAGCATCTGCAGCACCCCCAGGTGACCCCGGGCGGTTGCTCTGTGGGTGAGGTCCGCGTCCGGCTGCACCCCGCCCTCATCTAGCAGGTAAGTCAGCGCGGCAACGTTGCCAGCTGCGGCCGCTCCGAGGGCCACGGTCTCGCCAAAGGGGTGTCCCCGCTGCCTCAGCCAGATCAGCCGGGGCAGTGCATCAGGGTGGAACGCGGCGCCGTGGCAGGCTGCATGGTCCTTCGGCAGGCCCGCAGCCAAGGCCTCCAGCCATTCAATCTTGGCTTGCCAGTCGGGTGTGGAGCTGCCGCCAGCGCCGATCATGACGTGACGGTAGAGGAACACGATGTAGCCCAGGAACCAATCGGATTCCTCTTTGGTCAAGGAGTGGAAGATGCGTCGCATGGTGGGCAAGTCGCAGCCTTTGCAGGCGTCAATCAGGCGGTGGATGGAGTTGCTTGCTTCGCATGCGTGACCCGCTCGTAGCTGCCAAAGCCAGTCCATCAGGGCAGGGTGGCCGCCACGAGCGGCGGCGCAAACGGTGCTGATGGTCCATTGACAGCCATTGGCAAGCAGCCATTCGCACATCCTCCGCTGACCCGCCTCCGCTGCTTCCTTTAGTGCGTTGCCCAGTGGACATCCCAACTCTCGGAGGCGCAGGACGGCGTCTAGTTGCCCCCCAGCGGCGGCGGCTTCCAGGAATTTGGCGCTAGGAGCCAGTCCAGCGCATGCTAACGCCAGGGACAGGTTGCGAAGGTTGCCGGTGCGAGCTGTTAGGCATACGAGCTTAAGCCTCTGGTTGTAGGTTAGACACCTCATGGCGCCTGGAGCGCCCCAGCGGTGCGCGAAGGCATCGTGCGGCGATGTCAGCGACAGCCGAACGGTCGCGTAACGCGGCCCCCGGAACTGCGCCGCAGCTGCCTTGTTGACCAAGCGTAAGTTGCAGGAAACGTCATTCACTGGAAGGAAGCGTGCGATGTGCTCCACAATCTCGGGTGGCAGCTGAGGCCAAGTGGACGACATCTAAGGAAGGGCTACTACCGGTACGTGTTGCCTTTATTTCAGACCTTAGAACCAACCGGAGTTCAGGTTGTTCCTCGTCTTCCTATGTTTCCCTGGCAATCACCGGATAAACTTCCGAACAACTTCCCAAAATAATCCTTAGGCAAAGTTAGTGATGCCCTAGCTGCAAGGGTATGAGGTGATCTGGAGCACCTGGTTAGCCAGTAAGCTTTCAGTGGGTAAGCAGAGAAGCCATTTATGTACCGTACAATGTTTAGCAACCGTCGACGTTGGCATTGCGAGCGTCACAATTTTGCTGCACCCAAAAAAAGCCATAATGGGAAGAGCGAATGCGGCATAACCCGCATAAGGCCAATAATATCTGCCCTTCTAAAAGCCTGGCTACATGAGCAGCCAAGGGGTCATATCGTGGCTGGATGCGTTTCCACGTTTAGCAATCCCTCCTTGACACAGACAGAAACAGGTTATAAAAGTTGCCGTGCGTTAAAAATGGCAACAGCGCACACCGGCATGCCATGGCACTCGTGACATTTGGCAGGACATGCATAATTTTAGGGAATCCGTTTGACATGCCGATATGCACAATTTGATTCAGAACCCTACGTAGCAACCATATGGGGCATGTGGCCTACATATGTTTCACTCCGTTCGCCATATCTAGCCTAGGGTTAAGTTCTGTCTGCACGAGCACACAGACGTTGGGTTTTTGCGCACAAAGCACATCTCTCCACTCACTCTCTTACAACCCGCCTCTCCACTTGGCATCTCCCACTAGGCTATGCAGCTGCGCCGTCCCTTTAGGAGTTTCGCCGTGTTCACTTAAATGTTTCCGCTCCCCTACGACACACCTCCAACACTCATGTTATTGTTCACTAATGGGTGTAACAACATGTATAGTGCTTGTTACTCTGATGTTGGCAACACGCATCAGTTCTGCTGCACTCTCCTCAACACGCATACCCCTCCTCATTGCACCAATCTCCCTACCAACGTACCAAGCCGACCCCCTCATCCCCCCCCAGTCCTCAATCGTTCCTCCAAGTGTGACCGCACGTGTCACACACGCACTTCTGCAGCTGCACCCGCTCCTGCGCGTAGCTGCCGCCCGACAGCACGTTGTGTACCGTGGCCCCGGCCCCCCCGCAGCTGGGGCACACCGTGGCAGCGCTCTTGTAGGTGGAGGCGCCGCCGCCCTGACCCGCGAGCTGGGGGGGTGGGGCGCAGGGGAGGGGAAGGGGAGGGACGGGGAGAAAGGGGCGGTGAGGAGAGAAGGCCGAGATCTCAACCATAGTAGTAACTTGTGGTGAGGGCGGGAGGAAGGCGGGAAGGAAAGCGGGGGAGGGGAGGTGCCGGTGGAAGCGTTGGGTACGGGTTCTGGCCTTCTGGGTAAGAGCAGCCCGCCACCCGCTGGCCAACCGCCCTCCATTGCCTCTACTCGCCGCCCAGCTAGCCGCGCCCCCCACCCTCCCGCCGCCCAGCCCCACCTTCTCCCAGGCCTCCATCTCCTGCCGCCTCCGACGCTCCAACTCCAGAGCCTGATGAGAGGGGGGCGAGGTTGGGTGGGAGCGGTTGGGGTGGTTGGGGCGGTTAGGGTGAAAAGAGCGCGCGGTTGTGGTGGAAAGGGTAGCGCGTAAGAGCTGTTCCGGGAAAGGGATGACAGCGGTGAAAGGATTGGCAGCGGTGAAAGGGGGTGAAAGGAAGCGTTAGTGAGTAAGCGGGCGTGTGGGAACAGGTCGGAGCCCACACTATCGCACACCTGCGCCTTGACACTCGCCGGCGCCAGGTCGCGCGAGTCGGCCGTCGCCATGACCCGTGGGTCAGTGGCGCCACTCAGCAGCTCCGCCGCCACTCCGTCGACGTGCCGCAACGCGACTGACAGCATGCGACTGCGGGCCTTGTAGGCGGCGGCTGAAAGGAGGAGGGGAGGGGGAAAAGAAAGAAAAAACACCATGCGTTGGATGTTAGCTGGCAACACTGGAAAGGGGTGGGGAACGGGCGTGGAATGTACTAGAGAGAGGAGGTTGCATTAAACACAAGCACCCAGGCCCTCTATTAACCCCTCCTTGAACTCTCACCTTCCCGCCCGTGTTCCCGGAACACCGCCTCCTCCACGAGCCGCGCCACCTCCGTCACCCGCCCCCAGCCCGCCTCCTCCGCTTCCTTGCATCCCGCCCCCGCCGCCCGTGCCGCTGCTGCCAAATGCGTCCTCAGTGCCTCCGATAGCAGGGAGGCGGCTTTGGAGCGGAGCGCTGCATCCACCGTGCTTGCCGCCGGGGGGCCAGCAGCGGGGATTGCAGGAGCGGCGGCGCCGCCTCCGCCGCCTTCGGCTGCTGCTGGTGGGGAGGCGGAGCGGCCCGCTGCTGATGGCTCTTTGGAGGAGGCGGTGGCGGTGGTGGGTGCGGTGGTGGTGGGTGCGGTGGTGGTGGCGGTTGAGGCGGCTGCGAGGGCCTTCCAGCGGGCCACCAGGGTGCGAGCCAGGGAGGCTACCTGTTGGGTGGGGGGGGGGGGATGGGGGGGAGGGGGCCGTGTGCGGGGTGAGGTGAGGCTGCTAGGATGTGGCAAGCAGAGCCACAAGTACTGGGCAAACTGATCAGCAGGTGGAACTGGCAAGATGATTGGTGGTGGTTGGGGTGGTAGGTGGTGCCGGCTGCTGTCTTGCGACCTACATCACCCGCCTTACAGGCGATCCTGCGCGTGACAACCCATCCTGCTCCCACTGCTCCTACCGCAAACGCCAACCCCCAGGCACCCCCACCCCCCACCCCCCCTACCTCCGTACACCCCCAGGCACCCCCACCCCCCCTACCTGGTGGCAGGGATGTCTCTTCAGCGCCGCCACATGCCGCCCCACCCCCGTGCCCCTCAGCTGCTCAACCGTCACCGGCCAACAAGACAACCGCCGCAACAAACTCAACAACTCGTACACATCCTCCCGCTCCTCCCCCTCCTCATCACCATCCGCTTGAGCTTGCTGAGCCCCCGCCTTCGCTTCCCCCTCTTCTTGCTGTTGCTGCTCTTCCTTCCCTGCCCCGTCTGACGTCTGCACTGCCGCGCCGCCAGCAGTTCCCGCTGCCGCACCACCACCACCACCACCTGCAGCTGCCGCCGCCGCCGCCGCTGCTGCCGCTGTTGCCTTGCCCGCCGCCTCCGCCAGCCGTGCGCACACCTCCCTGAACCCCGCCGCCAGTCCCCTCTCGTAGCGCCGGTCCAGGGCCGCGTTGGCGGCGGCAATCACCTCAGCCAGCGGGCGACTGGCGAGCAGCCGCGGGTGCAGAGGGGGGCGGGCGGCGCCACCTCCACCACCTCCCCGCCGTGTTTCCCTGGTGCGGGCGGGAGGAGGGGCGAAAGTCGGGCGGGTCAGGGAGGGGCTTCGAGTGATAGCGCAGACGCTACGAGGCTTAGGAACACTTTAGATGCAGCAGTCCAGCAGTCCGGGAGAGCTTCTTAACCGCAAGCCTTAACGGCTTCTTAACCCCTTTACTGCACCGCTCGACGGCACCGCTTAACTGCACCACAGTAGTCAAGGGTATCGCAAGACCCAAACCCCGAACCCCAAATGTGGGGGCCTTCGGACTCCTCCAAAGGGCAGGCATGTACGTGCGCATTCACGTGTGCCGTACCTGCCACCGCCGCCGCTGCTACCTCCTCCGCCACCCCCTCGGCGCCCGCCGCCACTGCCGCTCGTCCCGGGTCGCCCTCGCAGTGGCATCAGCCCCAGTCCTCCGCCCGCCATCAGCCTGCCACCGCCTGCCCTGCCCGCTTCCCCTCCTGGCCCTCCTCCTGCTCCTCCCCCTCCTGCCCCAAGGTAAATGGCTCCTGAGAAGGTCTCCTCCAGCTCGCATACCTCCACCTGGAGGGGGATGGATGTGGTGGAGTACGGAGGCATGTTGCGTACGTGGGCGGGATTGAGGGTGCGGGGAGAGGAGGCTGATGGCTGGGGGCGACAGAGCCATTCTATACCCTCCCATACATCCGGCACCCACTCAACTTTCCAACTTCCCAGGAACGGGTTTCACTATCTTCCCCCTGCCCCCGGCCCCCCCTGCCCCCGCCCCCCCCTCACCTTAACGTGCGGAAGTCCCCTCCCCGAGCCCGCTCCCTCCTCCTCCTCCTGCTGCCCCTCCCCCTCCCCGCCCCCAGCCGCTCTCCGGAGCTGCGCGGCCGCCCTCTCGCGGGCATCCCGCTCCGATACCATCTGAAGGTGGGTACGGCAGGTACGACATCAAATCGGGAGACACGCGCCGTACATGCGCGGGTGGGGGGGGAAGGGTTAGTGGCATGGGGGCCGGGTAGCAGCTAGGAGCGCCGCCTCATGCCTACCCGGTATTGTGATGCCCCTCCCCCCACCCCATCCCCCTCCCTCACCTGCTTCAGCACCTCCTCCGCCCACACCGCCGGCAGCTCCGCCGCCTCCCGCCTCAGCCGCCCCGCCAGCCCCACATAGCTGCCCAGGTCCGCCTCCAGCTGTCTCCGCGCCTCGGGGGGCAGCACCCGACATGCCAGCCGGGCGACAGCGCGAGCACTGCAACACAGCAGACCTCCACTGCCACTGCCACCACATGCTGGGGCTACGATTGATGCAGTTGTTGCTGCTGCTGCTGCTGCTGTCGCGGCACCGGCCCTCCGGCAGTGAGGACCGCAGCGTGCGGCTCTGGGACCCCCTCACGGGCGAGCAGAAGGCGGTGCTGTTCGGTCACCGGGGCCAGGTGCTGGGAGTGGCCTTTGCACCCAATGGCGCACTCATCGCCTCGGGTTCCGTGGACTCCACTGTACGGCTGTGGGACGCGAGTACGGGCGAGGGAAAGGCGGAGCTGGTGGGTCATGTGGATTGGGTGCGAGATGTCGCATTCGCGCCGGCGAAGCCGGCGCAGCAGCAGCAGCCTGACGGCGGCGGTAGCGGTGGTGGCGGCGGTGGCGCCTCCACCCCGCACCTCCTCGCCTCCTGCGGCGACGACAAGACTGTAAGGCTGTGGGACCTTTCCGGACCTGGACAACCCACGTTGCGGGCCACGCTGGCCGGCCACACCGACGTGGTCTACTCTGTTGCCTTTGCACCCGACGGCGCTCTGCTCGCCTCAGGTTCCGCGGACCAATCCATCAGGCTCTGGGACACGGCCGCATGCCGCCAGGCAGGCCGAGCGCTCGTCGCGCACAAGTTCCCCGTAACCTGTGTTGCCTTCAGCCCCGCAGGGGGGCTGCTGGTTTCCGGCTCGCATGACAAACTGATCTACCTGTGGGACCTGCCGAGCTGCCGGGACAGCGGCGTGCCGTCAGGGGAGTTTGCAGGGCACACGGACAAGATCCTGAACCTCGCCTTCTCGCCCGATGGCTCGCAGCTGGTTTCCGCTTCCGCGGACGGGTCCATGCGGATTTGGAACGTGGGCAATCGACAGCTGCAGGGGGTGCTGTTGGGCCATGCAAGCGGGGTGGTGGCTGCGGCCTTTGCGCCGTGCGGCAACGTCCTGGCCTCCGCGGCAAGTGACAACACGGTGCGGTTGTGGGATCCGCGCATCGCATGTGAGGGTGGAAGCGTGGAGGAGGCTGCTGCCAGCCACATGGATTGCGTCACGTGGGTGGCGTTCAGCCCCAGCGGGGCGATGGTGGCGTCGGCGGGGCAGGACTGGACGGTGCGGCTGTGGGACCCCGAGGATGGGAGCCACAAGGCGTTGCTGCAGGTGGGTGGTGGGGATGTTTCCCGGGGTTTACCCGGGTTAGGGTGGGCTTTGGGGCTCCGTAACTACCGGCCGCACAGCCCGACCTCTGCTCTCCTCAAACCTCCTCACCCCTCCGCTTCTTCCCTTCCCAGCCCTCCATGTATCCCTATTCATCCCTCCATCTCCCTCCCTCCCTCTCCTCTCCCCCTCCCCCCGCCTGCAGGGCCACACCGACGTGGTCCGCTGCGTCGCCTTCAGCCCCAGCGGCCACCTGCTGGCCTCCGCCTCCTCCGACTGGACGGTGCGCCTGTGGGACCCGCTGGCCAAGCTGGAAACGGGGGTGCTCACGGGGCACTCGGACCGGGTGCTGGCGGTGGCCTGGGCGCCCAGCGGCCGGCTGCTGGCGTCGGCGTGCCATGGCGGGGTGGTGATGGTGTGGGATGCGGTGTCGATGAATGTACGGCTGACGCTAAAGGTGAGGGGGGATGCAGGGAGGGAGGGGGAATGGGGATGGCGCGGAATACGCGGAATGTGTCACTAGGCTTTTGGGAGGCACCCGGAATACGGGATTTGTGGTTGGGGGACGAGAAAGACGTTTCCCTCTCCCTTTCCTTCTCTGTGTCTCATGCGGCTTACGCCCCTCCCCCCGCTTTCCCCTCCTCCCTCCCGCCTGCAGGGCCACTCCGCACCCGTGCACGCACTCTCCTTCGCACCCAACTCCAAGTCCCTCGCATCCGCAAGCGCCGACCGAACCGTACGGGTCTGGCACACCACCCCCTCGCAACAGCTCCAACAACCCTCAAACGGGGCCGACCCACCATCTCCGGCTGCTGCTGCCGCAGCGGCTCTCGTCATTCGCGGCCATGCGGGCGGAGTCAACGCCGTAGAGTACGACAAGAGCGGCAAGTTCCTGGCCAGCTCCTCCCTGGAGGAAAAGGCGGTGCGGGTTTGGGACCCCTCCACCGGTGCGCTGTTGTGCGTTATCGCAAACGCAGCACTTTGCGCTCCCGGGGCATTCTCCATGTACTCTCTGGCGCGCCACGCGCCCTGCGTGAGGGCGATTGTGCTGAAAGCCAGCGCGAGTGGTTGCGGCGGTGGTACCGGCGGTGGCGGTGGGTGTGGGAGATCGGATGGCGGCGGAAGCAGTAGCGGAGGAGGACGGGGCAGCGGCGGCGGCGGCGGCGGCGGAGGGACAGGGGGCCCCATGAGCCCTGCGTTGGGCCACATGACCTCCTTCACCCCTCAGCACCTGCTGCAACCCTCCATGACGCTGCGAATGGAACGAAGCTCCCAGAACGGTGGCGGGGTGGTGATTGGTGGTGGAGGCGCGTCGGGGGACTACGCGGGGTGCAACTTCAGCGGCATGATTGCGAGCGGCGGCGGCGGTGGCGGGGGGTTCGGAGGCGGTTTCGGAGGCGGTGGCGGGTGCGGTATCGGCGGCATGGCGGCCGTCCCTGGAGGTGGTTTGAACGCCAGCATGCGTATCAGCGCCGGCGGTGCTGGCGGCTTTGGTGGGCTTGGCGGCATGGCGTCGACTAGTCCTCGGGATGGCCCTGGCGGCGCTGTTGGAGGGGGCCCTGCGTCTCCGTCTCTGCAGGGCGCTGCGACCATGCGCCGAGGCAGAGAGGATGCGGCTGGGGGTGGTTGTACGACAGCCCCAAAGGCGGTTATGGAGCTGGTTTCGGAGGCGGATAACCCGATCGTGCCCATTTACACGCAGTTTGTGAGTCCCAAGTGTGTCACGGTGTACGGCAAACGGGTGGTGATGTCGGATGGGCCGCACTTGTATTTCTTCGAGTCGAATGAGGGCAAGGTGGTGGGCTGGAAGAACCGGGTGCAATCGGCGGTGCCTTGATGGTGTGTGGCTGGGTGCTCGTGTTGAGAGCCATGACGGACGCAAGGTGCGAGGAGCTGGCATACGGTACAGAGGTGCCGAGCTGTGTGTGGGCTGATGAGGGCACTGCGTAATGAGATGCGAGGTGTAGGTTGAGGTGGTTGTGAGGTGGAGTGTATACGCTATACGGATGCCGCAAGAGGAATGACTTGGCGAGGGCAAAAGCGGCATGAACCGGAACTAACAGGTGTTGGTACCAGAACCCAATCATTGAGTTGCTCGACGTGTTTGACGTTTGGCTGTGTGGATTTGACGTGTCTTCTGTTAGGACGAGAGGTTTGTTACTACTTGGCTAGGATAATGTATATGCTATGATTCGATCAATCGCTGTCAAACGTCATCCCGTCGTGGGATGACTCCAGGAAGGGCAAGGACGCCAGGCTAGTGCGCTGCAAAGGGGCGCAGTTAGCCGGGCAGGGGGAGGGAGTGGGAGATTCGGACCGAGGGGCTAAGGCACGTTATGTGTCGTACAAATAATGATGTGAAGGTGATGGTGTCGTGTATGTGAGCATGTTGCGTGCATATCTGCGTGTGTGGCCTGTTTGATGTGCAGGGTTGAGCGGCGGCGCGCTGCTGCTGTGATAACTAACCGGGAAATACACTCAAGGAGTGGCAAGGCAGGATGCATGAATGGCCGTTACAATGGTTCGCTAAAAGGGAACATGGGTGGATGGGCGGTAATCGCCCCGCGGTTCGGTCGTTGCCGGCTTGCTAATGAACAGGGATGTGCCTTTGCAAGTCGACAACGTAACGTGATGTGGGCTTTGTACATATCGTGCTGCTGCCGGCTATGGCCGGAGATGTTGGCGAAAGCGACATCTCTTTTTCAAATTGTTTCATCTGCAGATGTATGTATATGCCCGTACACAGTCATTACGGTGAGATACTAATGGCCTTTTATGCTGCTAAAACGTTTGCCCTGAGCTTGCTAATCGTAGGCAATGAAACGACTTTGTAAGCTGACGCAGGCGGAAGGTGTCTTACAAGTGCCGTATATGTCAGCACATGATGTACAGCACGTGAAGTACCGATACTCCGCATACGCGCTGAAACCAAACTGGCCTTCAACCAGTGCGCCACCCCCGTGATGCTGCACAGCAGGCTCTGTGTGCTGCACGGATTGGGGTCTAAGGCAAAGGCCGCATGCGACCGGCCTGGAGGCATGTTTAGTACCTTGCCATGGGATCTTCGCAATGGAAATCAAGTAGCGAAGTAAGAATGCGACTATTGCAGGGTAGTCAAGTTGTGAAGTAAGGATAGCATCGGGTGAGTTTGCTCGTACATTACTGTGTCAGCAACTCCCCCGTCCGACCATCGCCATCCTAACGTGTCATCCTCTGCATACGTTGTAGTAATTTGCGTGCGAGGTGCGCTGTAGATACTTAGTCGGCCTGTACAAGAAATCCAAATTGCCGTCCTCGCGCACAAACCAACAGACACGACATGAGAGGAACGCTTATACTCTACGTCAAACTGCCGACGATAGTCCAGAGTACCAAAGTATCTTGCATAGACTCGTTACTGTCTAAGTAGAGGCTGGAACACAGCAGGCCTTGCACGCCGATGAGCTGGAGCGCTCAGCACCGAGCCCGTCTGGGTTTATATAGTCATAGTACAGTGTGTCGAGTAGTATCGTGGGGCACTAAACCTCTGAGACCCTGCCGGTTAAGGGTCTGGTCCATGGCGTCGTTAACGCTTGCATGCTCATCAGCATCCCCGTCCCGAGCTGGAGCTCCCTCCCAAGTCCTCGTCTACTGCGGTGAAGGCGCAGGACATCAATCCGCACGGAACACCCTACACGCGCTCAAACGATGCCTTGCGCCGGGCGTTGAGGTGCGAACTGCTGTCTCCTCATGCCTGAAATGTCACCAGACCGGCAATACTATCTGTCAACCACCTTTGCCCACAACTCCTCCTCTGCTCGTAATTACATCCTCATCCTCACACAGGCGCGCTTTCTGGACACCGAGGAACTGCTCGAGGGTCGCTGGCGTGGGAGCTGCCTGCTGCTTGTGATGCCCGGAGGAGCTGACCTGCCTTACTGCAGACGTCTCAACGGCCGGGGCAACCAACTCCTAAGGGGTGCGTCCTTGTCGTTTACAGCTACATGCAAGCCCCGTGGAAACACACCTTGTCGCTACCTACCTTTCTCCTTTCCCTATACAACACATGAAGTGGAGCCTTGTCACATTGCTAGTCATGTCCTGTTTATCCCTCCCTCCTTCCCATCCTTCACCCTCCTCCTTCCCTTCCCTCCCTCTCCTCCTCCTCCGCAGCCTACGTGGAGGCCGGCGGCTCCTACCTCGGCCTGTGCGCGGGCGCCTACTACGCGTGCGGCCGAGTGGAGTTCGAGGTGGGCGGGCCGCTGCAGGTGGTGGGGGACCGGGAGCTGGCGTTCTTCCCGGGCACCGCACGGGGAGCCGCGTACCCGGGTGAGGGGTTGGCGTGAAGGGGTGGGTAGGGTTGGGTAGGGGCGTGGGTGGGGGAGGGTGGGGGAGGGTGGGTAAGGGTGGGGTATGTGCGTGTACATGGGTGTTGGGTGTACATGGGTGTTGCAGGGGTGCATGCTGCTGTATCTGTCGGCCGGAGCCAACTGCTTGAGGGGGGTTACCAAGGGGCTGCTATCAAAGATTTCAAAGTGGTTGCGGCGCGAGCGCTACCTTGCATGCATGCATCCGCCCTACCCTGTCCCCTGGTGCCATGAGCCCTTGCCCTGATCACATATCTTGCACCACGGCAAACTCGGGGGTGGGGTTTGCGCTCTCCCTCCCTCCCTCCCATCCACACGCCCACCATCCCTGCCTCCTTCCCTCCTGCCCTGCCTCCAGGCTTCGACTACACCTCAGAGCTGGGCGCCCACGCCGCTCCCCTGCGCTTCCGGCCACCCAAGCTCCCTCCTCCTCCTCCAGCCCCCTCCCCATCCCCATGTACCCCGTCTTTCACTACTCCTAGCCAGGCACAACACCCGCACCACCCTTGCCAGCCGCAGCAGCAGCAAACTTGCCAGCAGCAGCAGCCACCGAAACAGCAGCCGCCACCGCATGCGCAGTCGATACCAATGCCCGACCATAAGGGAGGCCCCCTGCCTCTGCCGTGCCACCAGCACCACCTGCACCATCACCAGCAGCACCACCTCCACCGACCCATATCATTGCAGCTGCAGCAGCGGCCGGAAGAGGAGCTGTCCGTCGCTGCATGCCCCTTGCGTGTCCCACGGTTAGCACCTGACCACCTACACTTCGGCGACGCAGCAGCGGCAGCAGTGGCGGGGGGGCCGCACGCAAGCCGCCCTGACAGCACCTCCCCCGCAGCCGCATGCGGCCATGTAGGCTCGTCACCGAGCGGGACCTGCAACCGCGGCAGCCCACCGGGGAACGCACTCCTTGATGACGCACCTGGGCCAAGAGGGCAGGCAGACGCAGGGCTAAGAAGAGTTGCGGGGCTGGCAACAGCAGCCGGTGGCGAGGGGGTTGCTAGCAGCGGCAGCAGCACTGGTGAGGGTTGGTGCAACGGCGCGTTGCGAGGCAGCGATGTTGGTGGCGTGCGGAGCAACCTCTTCAACGGAGGTTGCGGCAAGGGCCATGCCAAGGAGGAGGTGGCTGGGGTCGACACCGATGCCGGGCGCTGGGTGTTCTGCCGGGACTACTCCAATGGGGGCCCAGTCTTCCAGCTTGCGAGCGACATACCGGTAGCAACAGCCGCCACCGCTACTGCAGGCGCTAGTAGTACGGCAGCGGAAGCGGAGGCGGCATTAGGGCATGGCACGGATGATGCGCATGCAGTAGCAGCAGCCGCGTCATCATCATCCGCAGCCACCGCCTCCTCATCCCCAGCAGCACCAGCAGCAGCACCAGTGGTGGGGGCTGTGGAGGTGCTGGCGGTGTACCCGGATCTGGGGAACGCGATGGCGGCTGTCAGGTGCGCATGACGTCAGGGCGTTGGGTATCCCACGTTTCTAAACGTGGGAGAGTGGGTGTGATTAGCTAGTTCCAGCATAGGTAGGCACATTGCGTTTGGCATGGACCTCCTCCCCACCTCGTTCCCCCATTGTATTGCCCTAATTCATGGTTTCCTATGGTTTGGTCTTTCTTTAGTCCCACCTCGTTCCTTCCCAAAACAACACGTCGCTCTCCACAAACAAAAACCAAACACACAGGTGTCGTGTGGGCCGGGGCGTGGCGGTGCTATGCGGTACGCATCCCGAGATGCCGTACGAGTCACTGTTGAATGCCGTATTGCCGTACGACGCACGACAAGCACGACACGTGGCGGCACTTGGCTCGGAGCTAGCGGCCTGGGAGCGACAGCGGCGGCAGTTTTGGATGGCACTGTTGTTGGCATGTTGTACGTCAAGCGCTGCTGCCGATGATGATGATCCGGGATTACCGGCGGCGGCGGCAGCAGGGGCTGCAGCGTCATCGTCGTCGTTAGCACTGTTTGGTGGCGTGTTGTCGGCAGCGGGAGTGAGCTGCGACGCTAGCAGGAATGTGGAGGCGGTGAAGGCGGTGGGCGTGGCGGTTGAGCGACGATGAGAGGGTCTGTCAGGGTCTGTCGCAAAGTTGGGGCTGAGAAGCAACATTTGATGATGTCGCCTTTTTAATATCAGGCCGTTACTCTTCCATCCATCCTTCCTTCCTTCCTTCCTTCCTATGTATAATGTTAATAATTGTACACTGTTGCACACCTAGGCTGATACCCGTTCATCCTCCTTCCCGCGTTTCCAGGCCGCTAACCGCCTTGAATAGTTTGACTCCACAGTCCACAACTAGCAGACTGTACACGCAAGAAGAAGGTTAAAGCTTGATGCCGTAACAACCCTGCGATGGCTGCTGCAGCTGATGCACTTTATGAGGGGGAACACTTTGCGGTTGGCGACGACGAGTTAGTAAGCGAGTTCGACGATACAGATGGCAGTGGACATGACTTTGGTAGCCAGGATGGAATTCCAGGGCGGGAGGCCTCGAGGCAGCACCTCTCCCAGGCGGAAACGGACGCGGTGTCAACGCGCAGCAGCATCACCAGCACCTTTTATGCGTCCTCTGTTGTTTCATCGTCAAGACCAGCTATAACGATAATCGGTGTTGCTGAAAGCTGCATCTCCGAGACGGATGGATGGCAGGGCCGCGCGAACGGAGGCATCGCGAGCCGGGGTGGCTTTGCCACTCTACTAACAACCCACCAGCACCAGCAGCACGGACCTGCTTGCAGTAACAGCACTGCAAGCATCCCACAGACCAGCAGCAGCAACGGCCCACATCCCGACAGCTGCGAGCGAAGGCCCTTTCACAGCAGTGTGCACCTCGACCAGCAGCCACAAACATTTACAGTCGAGAGCACTTGGGCTTATCATCCTCCAGCCCTTACAGCTACCGCACCATCACAACAACCGTACCAAGGGCTTCCTGCGCTGCCAGTTCCCGAACAAAGCGGACCGGGCGGACCCAGCACGCGACCCGACCCAGCTGCTAGAAGATGCCTGACCGCCTCCTTCACAGCGGAAGCCTCCTCATTCCCCTCCTCCTCCTCCTCTTTCTCCCCGTCGTGCTCCTTCCCATCAGCCCACCCTCGTGTCTGGCAACACCACCAACAACAAAAACAACAGCAACCGCAGCAAGGGCTTCAGCTCGAAGCAAGCGGAGCCGTGCACGGAGCGCATAGGCATCTGGGTCCGACAAATCCAAGCCAAAACGACCCATGGGTCACTACACCACCCGGACGCCACAGCAGCAGCAACGTCGCTGTTCCTTCCGATATCACTAGTTCCTCCCCGCCTTCCGCTCGCATTCCTCCCGCTCCGCCCATGTTTCACCCGAACCAGTCCGCTGGTTCTTCTCCCTCAGGGCAAGTGCATGCGACACCTCCACGCCGGTCCTCAGCCCCCCATGCTTATGCCGCTGCTGCTGCAGCTGTTGCAGCTCGCCATCCGCTGCCGCAGGGGGCTCCCCAGCCCTCCGCCAGCCCATGCAGCTTCGGCAGCCCCTGTCCCAGCCCTCCTGCTGACTCCGAGCTACGCCACGTCAGCCACCGCAGCACCCCTGGGGGTCGCAGCGGGGGAGGCATGTACGACGACAACCCGTACGACAACAGCACCAACAACAGCAAGACCGTTACGACGGGCTTGGAAACGTACGACAACGCATTGCAGGAACGGAAGCAGCGGCAACAACAGGAGCAGAAGGAACATTTGCAGCAGCATGTATTCCAGCAGCGGTCGCCTGCTGCTGCTGCTGCTGCGCCGCCGACGCCGACGCCTCTGCCGTTGGAACCGCGACGGCAGCAGCAGTCGCCGCTACAGTGGGCGGGGCTGTCACCGCATCAGCATCAGCAGCAGAAGCAGCAGCAACAGCAACAGCAGCAACACTACCAGCCTTCGCAATTCTTGCGGCCATTGCACCAGTCGCAGCAGCTGCAAGATCAGCTGCACCAGCGGACGCATTCCCCCACACACCCCGACACCTCCACCGCCACTGCTGCTTCTGCTGCTGCGCCCCTCCGGCAGCCTGCTGCTTCCCAACCGCACCCGCCGCCGCAATACAACGAACGACACATTGAGGTTGACGGCCACCCTGACCCACATCCCCATGCGCGCAACCACCACCGCCATCAGCAGCAGCAGCAGCAACAACAGCCCCTCTTTGCATACCTCAACATGCAAGGTAGCGCCAGCCTCCATGCAAGACCAGGCCCGGGGTTGGACCCGACACATGACGCTCCTGCAGCCGCCCCGAACGGCGCTGCTGCTGCGGCTGCTGCCCGGGGCTATCCTGGGGGCCCCAACATGTACGGCATGTACGGCAGTGCTGGTTGCTGCAGCGTGTACGGGAACAGTTCCGCCGATACCCGCGGTGGCAGCGGCACGCCGTACGGCATGTACGGCAATGCGTGCACTCTCCCCAGCGACGACAACGGCGACTGCGGTGCAGGCGGCAGGGATGGGGCGGGAGGCAGTGGAAGCGGTAGTGGCTTCGGCGATGTGGCGGCGGCTGCTCGAAGTCAGGGCGCGGAGCTGCTAGCTATGGCTGGGCGGTGGATCAGTGGCTGGCGGGAGCGGTGTGCGGCGGCGGAGGCGGCGATGGAGGAGCTGGACCTGCAGGTAGCGTGGGGGCTGGGGGCTGGGGGGGCGGGGGTTGGCACTGCAGGGAGCGGAAAAAAGGGTGGGACGGGGAGCGACGGGTGGGGGGGGACCCTGGGGCGAGGATGTGAGCAACGTGAGGTGAACCCGCGCGCCCCGCCTCTTCCCGCATGCCGGTACTGATACGCCACCTCCTCGCCTGCCTGCCGGCCTTGCGCGCATGCATGCACCGCCCACGCCTCCTGGGACTCCTATCAGGTTCGTCTAGCCCGGTGGCGTGCAGCTGAGCAAGAGAGGGCACTGCAGGCCAGGGAGGAGGAGCGGGGCGCCGCAGTGGCACGAGCGGAGGCAGCGGAGCGGAGGCGGGAGGAGGCGGAAGGCGAGTACGGGTAACTAACACAGCAGCAAGGCTTTAGGAGGGGCAGTTTGCTTGGGAGGGGGAGGTGGGAAGGCGGTAGGGCAGGCGAAGGTGCTGCCCATCTCGTGTTGGCTGCGTATGGTGGTGGCAGGAAGGTTGCTGTCCGGAGGGATAGCTCTGCAAGGACCCTGCAAGGACCAGTACAAGGACCGCATGTCTAACATGGGTGCCCCGCCCTCGGCAGGTGCTCTAGCTGCTGAGAGGGAGCGCGCGGACAGGGCGGAGGCGGAGGCGCGGGAGGCGGAGCAGCGGGCCGAGCAGGCGCAGGTGTATGGTCTGTGCTGTGTTTGGAGGGTTTGGAGTCCTTGGGAGGAGCAGGAAGGGTCCGGGAGGAGGAACTCGGGAAGAGGGGGTTGCGGGCTGCGCATGAGCGGGCAGACAGGCAGGGCTGACGGCTGCTGGGTACGAATGGTAATGCGGAGGAGGGTTGTGTTCATTCTTGGTGAGGATGGATGGGGTTCGTTGCCTATGTACCTATATTCTCGCCTTCTGTGTCGCTTGCCCCTGTACAGGCGCAATGCGAGCAGCGGGAGCGGGCGGCGGCGGAGCTCCAAAGGACAGTGGAGGCGACGGAGGTGGAGGCGCGGGCGGCAGTGGAGACGGCACGGCGGGTGGCCGCTGTTGTGGAGGCAAACGTGCAGGTGTGTGAAGCTGTGACGAGCTGCCCACCGCGGTGTGTGTGTTTTTGGCTGCTCTTGGCCCTAGTCCTTCCTTCGCTTTTCGCCGCCATGACCCAATGTAGGCGGCGGAGGCGGCAGTCACGCGCCTAACCGCCGTCGTCACGGCGGCGGAGGCGCGCGCATCCCAGGCGGCTGAGGATGTACGACAGCTGCAATCGGATCTCGAAAGCACTCGACAGGAGCACGAACGCGCGGCGGCGGCGCAGGCGGCGGCGGCGGAGGCCGCCGTACGGCGTGCTGAGGCGGCGGAGGCAGCTGCGGAGGGTATGGCGGCGGAGGCGAGGTCTCAGGCGGCGGCGGCGGAAGCGGCTGTACGGCGTGCGGAGGCGGCGGAGGTGGACCGTGCGGCTGCGGAGTGTACGGCGGCGGAGGCGAGGTCACGGGCGGAGGCGGCGGAGGCGGAGGCGGTTCGGCAACGTACGGAGGCGAATGAGCAGCGAAGTCAGCTGGTAAGAGAGAACCCACATGGCGTGTACGGCATGTATACGACATGGGATTGGGTTCGTGGGTTGGTATCCGGGACCTTATCCCTCTACTCCTCCAACCTACAACAATTGGAGACAGCATCCCCTAGCTGCATGCCATTCCCAACCCCGACCCCGACCCCACCTGCCCAGGAGCAGCTCACCCACCAACTATCCTCCGCACGCTCCTGTAATGCGACACTGGCGGCGGCTCTTACGGAGGCACGCGAGGAGCTGGCGGCTAAGCAGGAATTGGCAGCGGAACTGCAACGAGAGGCGGCGCGGGCGGGAATGGCGGCGGCGGCGGCGCAGGAACAGCTGGCGGCAGAGGCGGCGGCGCAGGCGGCGGTGACGGCGCGGGCAGCGGAGCTGGAAGCGGCGGTGGCGGCGGTGACGGCGCGGGAGGAGGCGTTGCGAGAGGAGATTGAGTCGCTGGGAGCCAAGCTTGTGGAGGTGTGTACAACTGGTGTTGGCGCTGGTGCGCATTGCCTTGCATGGAGCACATTGCCGGAGTTGCTGCATGCTTCCCTGCATGCATAGCACCGCCGCCTCGCATTGCATAGCATACATCACCTCCTGGCGACTCACCACCCCCGCTTGCCTCTCATCTCCCCCGCCCTCTCCTCCCGCCTGCCACAGGCTGCTGACGAGACGACCCGCCTTCAGCACCAGACCCAGGCAGCCCGAGCGGCGTCAGAGGCGCTGCATGGGCAGCTGTCGAGGCTGCAAGGGCGGCTGGAGGCGGCAGAAGGGCAGCTGGAGGGGATGCAGGGAGAGTTGGAGGCGGCGGTGAATCGCGGCGTGCAGCTGCAGCGACGTATCGCGTGCATGAGTGGACAGGTGGGACAGATGGGCGTGCAGGGCTGCTCCACCCACCTAACCCTGCCTCGTCAGTTTCCAGACTTTTACCGGTACCTCCCCCTCCTAACTTGTGGTTTCCTATGGTTCCGATATGGTCTTTGGACCCCCCCCCTCCTCGCTGCACCCCACCCCACCCCATGCAGGAGGAGGCTCTAGCCGCCCAATCCCTGGACACCCTGGAGGCACTCGCGCAGCAGGCGGAGGCGGCGCTGCCTCGCTTACGACATGCCATCGTGGCGGCCAGGGTGGCAGCGGCGCGGTCGGAGGCAGCGGAGGCGGTGGAGGCGGCGACGTGTGCGGTGTGCCTGGCGGCGCGGCGAGACACCTTCCTGAATTGCGGTGTGTGAAGACTGTGGAGGGGGGCGGCACACCTGCGCCTGTGGTTGCAATCGCTGCGAGTCCAATTGCATGGCTGTCTCGTTCCGCGGGCCCCCGGGGTCCCGAGGCCATGCCCTGCTGGAAGATTGGTGGGCTGCATGGGTGGATGGACCGATTGGGGGCTAAAGCAGGCGACCAGGCTGAGCTGAGCGCGGGACCGGACGGCCGGTTGTCGCTTCGGCTGATACGCGCGCAGACGGCTGTGGCAAATCAAGCGGGCATGGCAGCAGCAGCGGCGACAGGGCTGCCTGCGGCGGACCCTGCAGGCGACGCTGGGGCAGTAGCTGCAGCGGCGGCGGCAACGGCTGGTGAGGCTGTAGCCGCCGGTGATGCGGGTTTGCAGAGCTCGGCTGCCGCCGCTGTGAATGGCAATGGTGCCGTTCCTGCTGGCGAAACAGCATCTGCTGCTGCAGCCGTTGCGGGCGCTGCGATTGACGCTGGAGGTAACCCAGCTGGGGGCTTGCCCCTTCCCTCCGCCGGCTCAGGCTCCTTAGGGGGGGTTGTCCAGCCTGGCCCGGTGCCCATCCCCGCCTCGGCCCTGACTCCCAGCAGTAACATGGGCCTAGCCGTTGAGCTAAACGACCGGTCTGTGACCGACGGCTCCATACGACTCCCGGTGCTTCTGTGTCGGAGCCTTTTTTCGGGCCTTACGGCGACCAATGGGTCGGGCTCGGACATTGTGGTACGAATGGTGGACGATACCGATGGGCAGGTGTTCCAAACGCACCTGCATGGCTACGCAAACCAGCGCGCCTACGTGACATGGGTGCTGAAGCGCTTAAGCGCTTAAGCGCTTCAGCACCCATGTCACGTAGGCGCGCTGGTTTGCGTAGCCATGCAGGTGCGTTTGGAACACCTGCCCATCGGTATCGTCCACCATTCGTACCACAATGTCCGAGCCCGACCCATTGGTCGCCGTAAGGCCCGAAAAAAGGCTCCGACACAGAAGCACCGGGAGTCGTATGGAGCCGTCGGTCACAGACCGGTCGTTTAGCTCAACGGCTAGGCCCATGTTACTGCTGGGAGTCAGGGCCGAGGCGGGGATGGGCACCGGGCCAGGCTGGACAACCCCCCCTAAGGAGCCTGAGCCGGCGGAGGGAAGGGGCAAGCCCCCAGCTGGGTTACCTCCAGCGTCAATCGCAGCGCCCGCAACGGCTGCAGCAGCAGATGCTGTTTCGCCAGCAGGAACGGCACCATTGCCATTCACAGCGGCGGCAGCCGAGCTCTGCAAACCCGCATCACCGGCGGCTACAGCCTCACCAGCCGTTGCCGCCGCCGCTGCAGCTACTGCCCCAGCGTCGCCTGCAGGGTCCGCCGCAGGCAGCCCTGTCGCCGCTGCTGCTGCCATGCCCGCTTGATTTGCCACAGCCGTCTGCGCGCGTATCAGCCGAAGCGACAACCGGCCGTCCGGTCCCGCGCTCAGCTCAGCCTGGTCGCCTGCTTTAGCCCCCAATCGGTCCATCCACCCATGCAGCCCACCAATCTTCCAGCAGGGCATGGCCTCGGGACCCCGGGGGCCCGCGTAACGAGACAGCCATGCAATTATGCATGGCCGTCTCGGCACCTCTTGCAGTCGTGCACCTCGCTGCTACATGCATGACGGCAAGGTTATGATGTGGCCACCTGACGGCCGATAATACATGCCTGCCAAACAATACGTGTCTGCTGGGAACCACAGTAACGCGACCATGCATCCATTGTCAGATTACCGTATCACATGCCCGTCGAACTCGCTCCGACCCCGCCACAGGACACATCATCTGCCAGGACTGCGCGGAGCGGTTAGAGCTGTGCCCGCTGTGCCGGGCGCACATCAACCACCGCTCCCGGGCCTTCGTGTGATGGGGGCGGATGATACGCGGGCGTTCGTGGGTCGACGCGATGAGGGCTGGTGGCATGCATGCGTGCATGGGGTACACCTTGTGTCGCTGCGCCAGCCGAATATGTGGTGTCATGATTACGCATTCCATAGAACGCGAGGTTATTGCCGTAACTTCCTGATGCTTTTGATTGTGTCCTATAGCCCATGTGTTGCATACTTTTCTGTACATCAAAGGTTGTTGTACATCATGGCTAAGCACCGTACGGGATTTGTACGGCAGTACAACCGTACTACGGACGAGTATTGGTCTTCTCTTCTCTTTCAAAATTGGGGATGCACGACTCTTTCTTCTTCACGTCGGCGACGATGCGCACACCCTTCATGCCCGCAACGAACCCGCCGAAACACGTTGTGGCTGTGAACACCGCTCCACACCCGTCTCTTCCTAAACCCAAAACAAGCTCTCCTTCTACACTCCACTCCCAAAGACAGTCCAAAGCCAACTGGCCTCCCTGCCCATGCTACAGCTGCCCAGCTGCAGGCAGAAAACGGCACGGCCGGCCCTTCCCTGTGGGACAACCCCCATAGGGCTTGCACACCACCACTGCCTAGCGGGGGGCGCCCAGCATCCATCCATGCAGCTGCCCATGCATGCGACAACACAACACAACTGCCGCTCCTGCTGCTGTTGCCGATCCTACTGCCCCCGTGTGTTGCTGGTGCTGTAGTCACCGCAGTCACTTACACCTTGGACCAGGGCTCGTTCCAGGGGAAGTACGGCACGGACTCCTTGCCCGGGTTGAGGGTCTTGGTGGCCTCAATGATCATGGGCAGCACGCACAGCACAGCCACGGTGACGCAGGTCTCGGGACCCACGGAGGAGGTGTAGACTAGGGGGGAGGAAGGGGAGCGGGGCGCAGGCAGGGAACATTTGCAATGGGAGGAGAAAGGAGTGTTGATGCCAGCTAAATACGTTTCTTACGATTGCTGTAGACCGCACCCCACGCGTGGATCCAAGGAAAAGGTGTTATCGACCCATGGGTCACCACCACAAGCGGCGTTACCAAAGGGATTTATAAATACTATCCCCTCGGCAGAAGTACAGGGAATATAAACTCACTGTTGTTGTGGCCGGGGTCAGCCAGGTGGGTGGTCAGGCAGTCGATGGGGCCCTTGCCGGTCACCGCGGCCTGGGAGCAGAAGCCCACGAACGCCAGCATGGCCTGTGCGGAGGTAAGAGGGGGGAGAGGGGTGTACATGCATGGAAGGGCGGGGGGACGGGGACGGGGTTTGTGAGAAACCAATCGTCTTGAAGGAAACCGCAAGGCGGCTGGGTCATGATGGGTGTGCTGGGAGTAGGGGCTGATCGAATGTGTTGCGCTGAGGGTTGCTCAGCAGCAGCTGCTGCAGCGGTTGCTGAGGGAGGGGTATGCTGGCTGCACAGCCGCCGCCTTTGCTTGTCACCCCAGCGCCCTGAGGTGCACCCTGCAGGTGGCGGTTGTTCCCTGATTGATACCGGTACGAAAGCAGCAGGGGCCTTCGTGGGCCGGGGCGTCCCCAGCTGCTCCTCCTCTGCTGCTGCTGCCACCACACCTCCCCAGCTGCTGACCCCTCCCCTCCAGCAGTCCCGTCGTCCCACGTTTTATGCCCTCGCGGGCCTTAATTGCATACCACGGACCGCTTACCCAAACAGTCCCCCCAAGGGCAATCCCACCCCACCAGCCCGGCTGCTGCTGCATCTGCTGCCTCCGCCCCCACCTGCTGTGCCCCCTGCCCCATGAAGCTGCTGCAGCTGCTGTCCTTGTTCCCGCCCTCCCCCCTCCGTGTGTCCGCCGCGGGTTGCAGCGCCTCCAGAATGCGACCCAGCGTGCGGACCAGCTGCCGCTCCTGCTGCAGCCGCCGAGCCTGCCTGCCTGGGGGGGTGAGGGGAGGGAGGAGTGAGGGATGGGGGGAGGGAGGAGGGGGAGGGGAGAGGGGAAGGGAGGGAGGGAGGGATGGGGGGAGGGAAGGGAGGGGGGAGGGATGGGGGGAGGGAAGGGAGGGGGGAGGGATGGGGGGAGGGAAGGGAGGGGGGAGGGAGGGAGGGAGGGAGGGGGGAAGGTGGGCCTACCGTGTCTCAGCTATTCACCCGGACTTCACCCGCTCGCGCACTCCTTACTCAGTCCTTCCCTTCTCCCTTCCCTCTCCCCCGTCCCCCACCCCAACCGGATCTCCTCCCTGCCCGAGTACCCCCCATACACCCCACCCGTGTGCAGGCAGGTGACGTCATAGAACTCCTCGAACGCCTCCCGCAGCACCCCCGCGCTGTTCACAAAGTCCGTCACCCCCACCAGCGCCGCCCGCTTGCCCAGATGAGGGGCGGGGCGGTTGAGGCGACCCAGCACCTGCACCGCGCGGGAGCCGGAGAGCGGCCTGGGAGGCGTGAGGGGGAAGGGGGGCGGAGAGGGGCCGGGGTCGGAGGGGCAGGAAGGAAGGGGGAATGGTTGGGGAGGTGCAGGGGTTTCGAGCGGGTGGGTGCTGGCGGCCCCCCCCCCCCCACACACCTGTCAATGAACATGGCGCCCAGTCGCGGGTCGTCGTACCCCGTCTCGTACTTTGAGCACACCACCAGCAGCCGAGCGACCCGCGGGTCGGTCCCGCGACCGTTCAACTCCGCCTCGCTGATTGGCACCATGAGTGGAGCGGCGGACGACGACGAGGAAGGGCCGGTAGTGGCGGTGGCGGCTGTTGCTAGCTTGCAGCGTAGCCGTAAACGCGTCTTCCGCCCCTCCACCTCCTCCTCCTCCCATGTATCCCTCCCTGCAATGGGTGCTGCTGCTGCTGCCGCCGCATGTCTACATCTCTTACTCTTCTTCCATCTCGCACCACCTCTGACGCGGCGGCCGCCTTCCTCGCTATCACTGCCACCCTCGTCCCCCTCCCCCTCCTCCTCCTCCTCCTCTGGCCCCCATCCAGGTGTTTCCTCCTCCTCTTCCGAGTCTTCGGACGCTTCGCTTTCGGTGCTACTGCTGCCACCGCTGCCCCTGCGGCTGCTAGTGCTGCCGCCGTCTCTCCAGCTGTCCTCACTCTCCCCACCGCCCTCACTCCCCTCATAACTGCTCCTACCATCACCTCTCCCATCACCGCCCTCACTCCCGCTACTCCTGCCCTCTCCCTCCTCCTCCTTTCCCTCCCCCTCCGCCTCCATCCCCAGATGAGCTAGAGCCGCATCCCAGCCGTTGACCGCCCGCCTACCCCCGCCCCTGCTGCCGTTGTTGCCCCTCCTCCCCTGCTGCTGTTGCCGCCGCTGCTGCTGCTCCTCCTCCTCGTCCTGCTTCGGTCCCTCCTCCTCCCCCCGCTGCTGCTGCTGCTGTTCCCCGCACCGCCGCCGCTTGCGAGGTGGCTGGCTGCGGCGGCGGCGGCCTACACAGGGCCCCCCATCCCTCCCCTCCTCCTCCTCCCCCTCCCCCTGCAGTCCCCCGCCTCCGTTCCGCCCTCGCTGACCCTCCCTGCAGCCACCGCCCCCTGCCGCCAGCACCCCCAGCAGCTCCCCCGCCTCCTCCGTGGGCAATGGAATGACCCCGCTGAAGGCGCCGAACACTGCGGCGGCTGTTGCGGAGGAGGTGGGGGGGCTGCTGCCCCTGCTGTTGCGGTTGCCGGTGTTGTTGCTGCTGTTGCCGGTCAGTAGTGCGGTCTCCCCGGTTTCAGCCGCAGCCGCGGACTCTGCGGGGCGGGAGAAGAGGAGGGCGGCGAGGGGGGAATCGGTGAGGGCCGAGCCCCGCCACGCGGCGCCATGTCGAACCGGTGGGTCTGGGAGCTGCGATGAACCCCACCGGCCAACCCCACTCACCACCAGCACGCACAGCATGGCATTATTTTCTCCCCCCCTCCCCCTCCTTCTCCCCTCCTCCAACCCCTCCAACACACACACACACTCCATCTTTCGGCAATCACAGTACGTTTCGCCTCGCGGCCAGTTATTTTAACACACACACACACCTGCCAACCGGGCGAACTCGGGGTCCTGCGCGATGAGCCGTCGGAGGGCCTGAGGGGAGGGGGCCGGTGAGGATTGTCGGGAGCCCAGAGCAGCACAGCAGCAGGGGGCCATTCAGCACTCGGCAGGCGGGGGCTCCACCATGTGGGGGTGGGGGTTGGGGCCGGGGCAGCCCAGCAGGTGGAGCAGGCGGTGGCTGCATGGGGGCTGCATGGATGGGGGCTGCATGGGGGCTGCACGGATGGGGGCTGCATGGGGGCTTGCTACGAGGACAGATGCAGCGACGTATGACGTTTGGAGCGGCATCCCCCTCCTGCCACCGCCACTGCTGCCTGCCCAATCCACGTCATACCCTCCCCCTCCATCTCCCCCCTCCCCACCCCCCCTCGCCTCCCCACCTGCACGTACCACACCACGTGCTGCCGGCTGCGCGCCACCAGCATACCCCGGAGGCAGGGGAAGCCGGCGGCGGCAGCTCGCCGCCACTGCGCCGTGAAGCGCTGCAGGATGTAGGCGGCCTGGGGGAGGGGTTGAGGGGGGGGGGCAAGGGGGCAGGGAGAAGGCTGGGTTGGGGCCAAAAAGGAAGAGGCTGGGGAGAGGATAACCGTGCGACATGTCGGCTCCTCCAGGCGGTGCGGGGCGGAGCCGGTCCGGAGGCAATTGACTGGAGGGTGGCGGCGTGTCGTACAAAAACACACATATTTTAACACACAGACATACAATACAATACAATCACAGTACGTTCCTACTCGCGGCCAGTTTTCTTAGCACACCCCATGCCCCCTCCCCCGCCCCACCTTGCGCTCCACCACCTGCCGGCTGTTGGACGCCGCCTCCACCAGCACCCCCTCCTCCGCGATGCTAGCAGGGGCGGCAGGGGCAGGGGCAGCAACACCAGCACCAGCGCCGGTAGCATCAGCAGCACCCGCTGTGTTACCAGGATGAGGCGCAACCCCATCCAAGCTGGCACCCTCTGCTGCTGCACCTGCAGTACCGACACCCGCAATCCGCAGTCGTGGCATCACGCAGCTGTAGCACCGCAGTACATCCAGTACGAAGCCGTCTCGTACGGCACTTCGCATGGAGTAGCAATGGAAGGGGGTGTACAGCAGGGCAGTGCTGCTTTCCCGCCTCGGGGCTTTAGCGCCGTCGCTGTTGTTGTCATGCCCGCCGCTGTTGTCGCTGCGCTTCCTCCTGCTCGCCTCTCGACCGCTGCTGCCGCCAGCACCCCCACCCCCACCCGCAAACATCAAGGCCTCCAGCAAATCCTCCTGCCGCTCCTCCTGCTGCCGCTGCCGCTGCTGCTGCTGTTGCTCCCTGGCTTGCTGGTCGGAGTCAGTAGTGAGACGATGGCGGCGGTGAGGTCCTGCGTGTTGCCTGCCACCACTGCCGCTGCCATGTTGCCCGCTGACCCCGGAAGTCTCGTCGACCCATGGGTCGGCGGGTACCTCCGTCGCCACTCCAAACAGCTGCAGCGCCTGAGGACGTGATGAGGGAGGGAGGGAGGCAGGGAAGGAGGAGGCAGGGAAGCAGGAGGCAGGGAAGAGGGGCCAGTGAGCGTGTTGCCACCTGATCCAGCAATCCTACAGCCCCCGGCCGTTTCTATCGTAGCTACAGGGACGCAGTAGTATCAATGTATCATGCTTTACTGCTCAGTCCGCACCCGCACCCTCCCCCCCCCAGCACCCTCCCCCAGCACCCTCCCCCAGCACCCAGCCCCCACCAGCCTACCCACCTTGGGACTGGGTGTGGCGGTGAAGCCAAAGAACGTGAGGCCCCGGGGCTGCTGCCGGGGCTGCACCCCACGCACATGCCGCCTCCCACCTCCACCGCCCGCCCCACCACCCAGCAGCAGCCCTGCCAGGATCTGTTGGATCTGTTCTGTCGTACCGTTGCCGTGGTGCCGGTGAGCCTCGTCAGCAATCACCGCGATCCGCGTCTGAGCCCTGCCCCCGCCCCCGCCCCTGCTGCCCCCTCCTCCCCCTGCTCCTCCCGCCCGCCACAGCGCGGTGAGCTTCTGAACCGTACACAGCACCACCAGCGGCCGGCAGCGGGGGCGGCAGCTGGGGGCCTCCTCCTGCTCCTCCTCCGGATGGCAGGGCGGGGAGGGCGGGGAGCTGGCTGGGGGTTGCTGCGGGGAGCTGGCTCCGGGGGGAGGGGAGGGGCAGCCGGGTGGTGTGGGGGCCCAGCAGGGGTCCCCCTCCCCCTCCGGGTGGTGGTGCTGTTGTTGTTGTTGGGGAGCAGGGGCCAGGAAGGCGGCGAGCTGGGCGGTGGTGGCGGCGCGTAGGAGGCCGCCGGGGGGGCCGCCGTTGCCTGGGGAAGGGAGGGGAGGGAAGGGAGGAGGAGAGGAGGGGAGCGAGGGATGGAAACACGAGTGGCAGGAGGAGGTGGTCGTGGCTTGTGCGTGCGGAGCGGAAGCTGAGCTGCATTGAGGGAACCGCATGTTGTGGGAAGTACAAGAGGGCAGCAAGGATGGAGGGACGCTTACCCTCATAACCCCATTACACCCTCCCTCACCCCTCCGGATCCCTCCCGCCCCCCGTCCCCCCGTCCCCCCGTCCCCTCACCCCTCACCCCTCACCCCTCCAGAAGCCCTCCACCGCGCCCCCCAGCTGCTCCTCCAGCTGCAGCCGGTCGCTCAGCAGCAGCACCCGCCCCACCGCCCCGCCCGCCCCGTCCCGCCAGCCGCACAGAGCCACCGCCAGGGCAGCTAGCGTGAAGCTCTTGCCACTGCCCGTGGAGTGCTGGGGGAGGAGGTGGGATACCGTAAAAATAAAGAAAATTGACGAACTGGATGACGAGGCTTCTCCATGGGAGGAGATGGGAGGGAGAAGGGGAGAAAGATTCCCAACGTGGGGGATAGGGCAAACTCAGCTGCTGGGTGGTGTCAGGTCCCAACTGACGAACCAACTAACAAACCAACCTGCAGGAGGTAGTTGACAGGTGCGGGTGCCGTACAGTCCCAATATACCCCCTCCAGCAGCCGCGCCACTGCCTCCACCTGACACAGCAGGGGCAGGGGGAGAGGGAGGGAGAGGGAGGGAAGGAGGGGAGAGCGGAGTGGGGGTGCATGGGAGTGGCTGTGGTGGAGTAAGCCCGCATGCGAACATGCGGACATGCAGAAAGGAGGTGCCCTCACCCACGTTCAGCCCGCGTTCAGCCAGGCCCTTCCTTCACGCCATCACCGCTTGGGTACCTCTGCGCCCTGCCAGTGTCCCATGCGGGTCAACCTGGAGACCTTCCTCCCTCCCCCTCCAACCCATTGGGTAGTCTTCTTTTCCCCTTCCAACCCCATCCCTCCCTCCCGCTGCTGCCGCAGCCGGAATTACAGACCTGGTGCGGCCGTGGTTGGGGTGGTGCGTCCGGTGGCTGCGAGGGAATCGCGGCTGCGAGGCCCCTCGCAAAGACCTGTCGTGCAAGCGCTTCGCATCGCTCCCGAACAGCACTTCGAGACTCGGGATGCAAGCTAGGGCGCAATACAGGTTCCACATCACGGCTTTCGACAGACATGGCGACCGCTTGTGGAGCCGTCGAATGCGCATTGGAGCTCATTCCCTTGCAGCAGCGGTTGACTAATAGCAGGAGGAAGGATTTAACATAGCGCTGTCTTACTAGTTAATACATTCTGTTGCACATTGATAGGAGCTTGGCCTATAGCGGTCGGTAACCAGCAATAAGCTAGCGGACTTTGCACGGCCACGGTGCACGGCGGTTTCCGCTTCGCAGGATAACCACGCAAAATTTAGTCGCGATTATAAGGAATATTACTCATGTCCTTTGCCACCCAAATTGCTTTGCTTTTGGGGAAGGTTTCAGGTATCGTCAAAGCGATGTCCCTAACATTGTTCAGCAGACGAGTCCAAGAAGAAGCGCTTAAGTGCTTAAGTAGGAAAGCCGTTTTCATCGTAAGGAAGTACATTGTTACAGGCTTCGGGGCTTGCAAGGCCCAGACGAGCCAGCAGGCTCATGGACCGCCACACACACAACAATGTGCCCGCCAGGACGGGACACGATGGTTCACCCCATGCATATCGCATACCAGTATGCCATAGGCACCCACATGGCACGATGACAGGAAATCCCCGAAGGCCCCTCCAGAAGCAGTAAGGGGCATGTGGCATGTAGCACATGTTCCAGCACACCTCCCACCACGGAAGGTCTCCAGAAGGCACTGTAACAATGGGTAGAGTGCCGTCTGTAAGACCCGCCAACAGCCTAGCAGCCGACAGCTAGGCCAACTGGCCCTGCACCTCCGCTCGTCTGTGCACCGTGTACCGCTGCGCCGCTATGTCCCTCCACCCTCCCATCACGGCCGCTTCCCGGCTACAACCCTCCTCCCCCACCCCCACCTCCACCACCCACCGCCACCCCCTCCACCTCCCCCTTTTTCCGCTTGGCTCCCCTCCTCCTCCGCTCAGCCCCCTCCACCGCCGCCAACAGCTGCTCCACCTCCCCTCGCAGCTCCGAGAAACCCCCTGCGCCGCCCCTGCCCCTGCCTCCTTGCCAACCCCTCCTCCGCTTGCCTCCGCCTCCACCACTGCCTGCTGCTGCTCCACCGCTGCTGATGACGCCTGCATGTCTCCCCTCCTCCTCCCCCTCCTCCCCCCAGGGTCAGCTGAGCGCTTGCACCACCAGCTGGGCGGTAGCGGCGGAGCTGGCGGGGTTCTGACCTGGGGGGGTCAAAGACCATACCAAACCATAGGAGACCACAAGTTAGGGCAAAGCAATGGGGGTAGGAGTTGGCCTGGGGGGGGAAGGTGTATGCGGGGGTTTGGGGAGCTGCCCAACATGCTGCAACACATTGCAATGGGCGTACCGGTACCATTGAAGGGATGCGTGTGTGTGTGGGGGGTGCACTAACCCCTCACCTCCGACCTCCTCCCCTCCTCACCCCTCACCCCTCATCCACCCCCCACCCACCCACCTGTCACCAGGTTCCCATCCCGCACTGCATGCGGCGCCCACTTCTCCGCTGCCGCCTCGTACCGCCCACCCAGCTGCCGCAGCCGCGCCTCCAGCAGGAAGGGCACCACCCCCTCCTTGGCAACAGCGAACTCCTCCGCGTCGCTGAAACCGGTCACCTGGGGGGGGGTTAAAGAGGAAGCAACTAACTGAGGGGGGGGGAGGGAGGGGTCCCTTCCGGCAATCAGAGTGCGTTGCTGCGTTCCTTGTTTCCCAGCCAGCAGGGTCGTTAACATGCACGGTACTCACACGCACATGCACCAGTCCCCCTCCTCCTCCACCTACCCCCCCCCACTTACCTTCTTCCCTGCCACCAGCGGCTGTCCGTCGGGTCCCTTGATGTTGACGAGACCCACGGGTCCGTGGCACACCGCCGCCACCACCTTGCCCGCCGCCACGAACTCCCCCAGCAGCGACTGGAGCGCCGCGTTGTCTGTGTGAGAGGAGGGAGGTGTGTGTGGGGTTTTAGGGTTTGGAACACCCATCTGAATGACCCCGTTAACAACCACACCTCCAACCCAACTCAACCCCCACTCCACACAACCCCAAACCCACCCATGGTGAAGCCTCGTCGTATCAGCTCGCCACTTTACTCATTTTACCCCTCCCACTCGTCCAGTTAGGCTTCTACTCCTTCCCAACCCACCCACCCCCAACCCCCACCCCCTACCCGGGAAGTCCCAGCACGCCCCATGTCCCCCGGGCAGGAACACGGCGTCGAAGTCGGCTGCCCGCACGTCGCTGAGGGGGAGCGACTCCATCACACCCTTCATGGCGTCATCTGGGGGGGGGGGCGGGCAGGGAGGGGAGGGGAGGGGAGGGAAGTCAGAAACACACCGAACCATATAGGACGGCACCATGTTGGGTGGGAGGAATGGGGGGAAGGAAGTGCAGAGGAGTTTGTGGTGGTGGCAAAGGTGGTATGAAGGGCTATCATGCCGTTAAACCACAGCACACACCCCACAAACAGTAGATTTCATGTAATTTGGTGTGGTCTCTAATCCCCATCTCGCCCTGCCCTCACCATCTAGAAGGAAGTCCTCCACCTGAGGGGGGTGGCAGGGTGAAGTGGTGGGGCGGGGACGGGCATGAGGACGGGCATGAGGGGCAAAGAGGAAGAAACTATGTATTACCTCCCAAGCCCACCCAAACAGGCGCACCACTGAGCCTCGCGAGCCCCCGAGCTTGGAAAGACAAATCAGTGAGGAGAGTAATGGCGACGCTCCGTGTTATGGCCACCTTCCTTACCTCCTTAGTGAGGTACGGCGGGTTCAGGCTCGCGTCATCCATGGGAATCTCGCCGCCCTTAATGGAAGCGATAACAACATTGTAGCCCTGGCGCTTGAACACATGGTAAGGCGCAACAACCTCCTCAGCCCTGGAAAGAAGCACGCGCGGATGTTGTGCCGGCCTGTATAATCACTCACAGGTAAAAGTTTCATCGAGCCTACCAGCATCCAGTTGGCTCATCAGTGTCTCCTAGCTTGTCCCAGGACGTGCACACGATAAGAATGTTCTTTGCCATGGCGACGGAATGCGCGTGAAGAGCGCAAGGTTTCGCTATGTGTTGTTCGGAAACTACTAGCAGTAAATGACGTGCTCTAATGTAAGCAACTACTTAGGTCGTATTGCGGATACAGCTTTGGCTTGCGCACTGATCACGATTGCCGTATCGGCTCATCGGGCTTCAAGGCTTCATGGATACCTTCTAGCAAGCTCACTACGCAAATTTACATATTAGTTCCCTGCCCTGCCCAAAATGCAATGTCAAAATACATCACATCCTCGGTGTGCGACGCGCGGAGTCACCGTAGGAGTTACAACACCTTTGCCCAGAACTTCACGATTTTTTCTTTGCCACCCACCGCCATGTCAATCGCGATGGAATCGCTTAACTTGCTCCTCTTCATCCGCGGCAGCGCCTGTGCCGGATGACAACCCCGGCCAGCCCAATGCCTCCGCTCCACCTGCTGCAGAGAGGTACACCCCCATGTGCGCACAATTGCGCAAGAAGCCACCCGAATGTGCCATAGCTACCGAAACACCGACTAACTTCTTACGTGTGCTGCCCTCATCTGCTACCTGGGTACCGCAGTCCGGGGTTGCTTGGTCGCGTCAAGCGTTTCTTCCTGGGCGATAAGCTGGACAAGGCGAAGTTGGCGCAGCTGGGCATGGGGGCGTTCGCCAGCTACGGTGAGGGCGCCTTGGGTGAACTTTGGGGGGCTGGGGAGCGGCACTGGCAAAACCCGACGATGTATAGTAAACGCGCTTACCGTTGCGACCCCTTAACTTCCTACGATGTGGGGGTTCCTTATTCCCAAGCCTTAGGAGCCGGGTTAGCCCCACCCCCGGGTAGTGTGGCGTTAACAGCATGTCATGCTCTTCCTTGATCAGTCAATGCGCACCAGCTGAGCTCCCAACCCTCCTTCTCGGTGCGTGCTAGAGCGTACTCTTGTGCTACGGAGGTGTGGGCAATACGGAGCGGGAAGTTGGTAGCACCCCAATGCACTGCAGAAAGCTACAGGCAGCGTAGTTACGCGAGTAACTGACCCAGGGGTCGGACACATCATGAGCGACTAGGATTCTACCCTACGCTGACTCCGGAGATGTTGCAACAATTCTGACTAGCAATTCCCCTTGTGGTCCCTTATGTAATGTAACCATTGGCAGGCTTTATATCGAACGTCACGTACGGTATCTGCCTGGGCATTGCGTGGATCAGCTTCGTTAAGGCGACAGGCAAGTCGCCGCTGGCAGCGGGGCAGTGGCCGGCCTTCCTTGCATTCTACGCGGGCCTGTGGACGATGCAGGTACGTCAGAAATGAAGGGACCTCAGAGGGGCATTCTTAGAAGCGAATCGCGTATGGCGAGAGCTTGGACCCTGAATAAGATGGGTCGTGTATGGAATGGAATACACCGTGTCCTACTGCGGCACATAACTAAGAAACGACCAACTGTCTTATTGCTGGTCAGGCTCCGTGGGATACGAGATCAGGTCAGGATCTGCGGCCCCTGAAACCCTTCATTCGTTATGTTTGCTGCAGAATATTGTGCGGCCGCTTCGCTTCAGCCTCGCCATTGCGCTGGCGCCCGTGTTCGAGAGGATCATCGTTGGAATATCAGCGAAAACAGGGCTTTCCAAGCGGTGGGCGTTTGCGGTGTACCTGGTGGGCTTTGCACTTACGACATGTGTCGTACTGTTTGGTAGCATATACATGCTTGGAGGCTTCCCGCCTACCACATCTTAGGCAGGATGGTTGTACGGTACTGCTGTGCTGATAAGGGCTCCATGTTGTTCCGTTTGGGGCTTGGGGTAAGACCCAATGGGCTGTGTGACGCAGTTAATGCGTGCTCAAATGTTAATGGTCAGGTTACCAACGTTACATTGAATTGCTGGACTGTGTAACGCTGTACATAGTATACTTGTACTGTGCCAAGGGGCACCTTGGGGAAAGGCTACATGTCATGAGGCGCTGTGCAGGTAACAGGATTGGCCAAGCTATTCGGTGCTGTCTTGCCGGCCATTTTTGTCGCAGTGAATTCGCAACGAGTAGAGGGTAGTACCTCCATATCGAATCCAGGAAGTACTGTGAAGTACAATTCTTAAAAAAATACGGAAGGTCTGTTCGTTCGTGGTGCCATTTAGTCACACATATGTAGAGTTCTGGCAGTCGGCTATTATAAGGCTATACAGCACCGGCGAAACACCGGTGGGATTTCTAAACCAACCTGAGCCGCATCCGTCTAAACAGCATTGCTAACGGTACACCCCGCTAGTTTTCGCGTATGTCCCCTGAGGTCATCACTACAGCAACATGTCAATGCTCATCATGTCAGGTAATCCTGTCTAAAATGCCCTTCCCACCTTTTCGCTTACGAAGCGTTACCCGTATCATAGACAATTAACGTAAAAGTATATACCATGTCACAACCTCGGATCACTCGTTACGAGGAAACAAGACCCCTGAAATTCCCCTAATGAAACTGTCCTATGCTGCTGGCGCTCGGCACTGCAAGGCTTGACAGACCTATTGCATCCCTCCGAAACCCTGTACTACCCCGGAACCCCAAATTCGCCTAGCAACCCTATTGCAGCTACGTGTCTGTGTAACCAGCCAACCAATTAGATTTCACCATTCTTGTAGCTGACGGTGAGCGTGTGTGGCTTCTCCGCTCCTACAAGACGCTTGTACAGCAGCACTGCCCCGCCAACGAAAACGACGATGAGCGAAATGATGCAGGCCAGCGCGACCCACCCAGTTACGGTTACTGTGCTGCTGTCAGCATCTACAAGCACCGACTCCAAGCCAGCTGCTTGTTGCACTTGCGCGATCTTCTGGATAAGCGCGGATGTGGACTCTGGGTGGTCGAAGTAAACGCGTGCGTCCTTAGGTGCGGCTACAAGAACCAGTGAGCGACACTTGCTCTCAAGCCGCTTGCCCTCCACTAGAGCCTTTGACAGACAGCGGCCCACAGCGCCGATCGTGAACACAGCGCCGGAGCGGCTGCGGGCACCCTGTGGGGCAGTAACCGAGACCCAAAAGATGTTGAAGGCATTAGCGCAATACAAGGACATATTGGTTTGGAATCCAGCAGCTTTACGTCCGCCACGCGCCCAAGCACCCTGCTCAACTGCTCGCCTTTCCTTCGTCGCGTCCCCATTGTACTACTCACCCGTGGGCACTGCGTGTCCACGTCATTGTCGCACGCGGTCGTAAGCGCGGCGCCCGGCTTGTAGTCCCACAGGGCAAGGCGAACAGCGCGCGACATTTCGGACTGGCACTGCTCTGCCAGGTTCTTAAAGTTAGCCACCAGGCACTTAAGGACCGTGGCGTTGCCCCGGAGCTTAGTCTTAGCCTCAGCACAGTAGGTGTCGACGTCCGACTCGCAGTTGGTAAGGACGCCAACGTCGTACCGGTAGTCCGACTTCATCATGTCCTCGCGCTTCTGCAGCTCCTCCTTGCACTCCTCGCCGAAGTTGGGCTGGGCCATGTTCTCCATCAGGCACTTAATCACGCGCGCCTTGCCGGGCTTAACGTCCTGGAAGACAGGGAAATGGCATTCAACTCGGTTAGGTACCTCCTGTTTCTTTACTACACTACGAATGCAAGCAACACCCCGCACTTCCTAGCCCCGAACAACGCTCGAAGCAGGAAACCGACCAATGCTCAACCTAATCAGTCGTTGATGCGTCGTTGCCCCGGTTCTCACCTTGCAGTACACCGCCTTCTCCTCAGAGCAGAGCTTATTGAGCTTAGGCCGCAGGCGAATGTCCCGGTATTCCAGAGCAGCCAGCTTCATCTCCTCGTTGCGGCACTGCTCAGAGAGCTTATCCCTGTTGTAGCGCAGGCACTGGTGGACGCGACCCTCACCTGCAGGTGACCATGACACTATATTAGGATAGGGAACCCTGCGCTCGGCATGCGATCGGATATGCGCCCCAGGTGCACAACAAGGGAGATCTGTCCCGACCCCGGCATGGAAGCCATCCTAGCATGACACGTTTTGCGGCGTTGCACCGGGGCCAGGGCACAGAGAACCCAGCAAGAGATGGCTATGTAACGGTACCACTTAACAACAGCCGTAACATAAGCCGGTCACATGCTGAGACTTGACCATTTTGCCACCATCCATTAGTTTTCATGGGTCGATGACAGTCAATGCCAATCACCCACCAGGCTCAACGTCCTTGCAGTACGCGTCCACATCGTTGCGGCACGCCTCAGCGAGGATAACGTCGTTACGGAAGTCAGTAACCTCCATAAGCTCGTAGTAGAACACCTCATCCTGGCAAGCCTGGCTGGTAATGTTATCCTGCTTATCCTGGAGGCACTGCAGCACCAGGCCTCCGCAAGTAACGCCGGGCACGCTGCTGCACCTGTTGGGGCAAAGCTTCTGGATTTCGGAATCGCAGGCGTGGTTAAGACGCCAGTTGAGACGGAAATCCTGCGACATGCGGTTCATGTCCTTCATTACTTCGTCCTTGCACTCTTTAGACATGTCCGTGTCGTCCAACTTGTCCTCGAGGCACCTGCATGGCAACAAGAATCAGCCAAAATGTAATACCTTGCGGGGCTATTAAAGGCATGGGACATCTTTAAGTGATAGGCAATCCTTGGACGATCGGCGTACTCACGCCGCAAAAACGTACACGACGCCGGTGGGAATGCTATAATACAGGATATACCATCCTGCATTACCGTCAATCGTGCCTAAACTTTAGCAGGACAGAATGCGCCGTGGCTCACCCGGCGCAGTAAGGGTACAACTACACCTAGGCACCCACCTTACAACGCGGGCATGACCATGCGGAATATCCTTGCAGAAGTTGCTGATCTCCCATGCGCACGCACGCTTCATTGGGAACTTGAAGTCAATGTCCTCTGCCATTTTGACCTCGTGGTCAAAAAGGGCAGCAGCGCACTTCGACTCCAGATTGTTGCGGTTGTCCTGGAGGCAGCGGATGACCCTGGCGGAGCCCTGCAAGTGCCCATAATGGATTTTGTTAGCACTTCGAATTGTAGAGCCTACGCCGTGTATATGTTCGCAATCCCCTGTACGTCTTACGGATCTTTGGCAATCCCCTGAAATCCCACGCACCGGCTGGATGTCACTGCAAAAGCGGCTGCGGTCCTCCGTGCAGGAGCTCGCAAGCACCTCATCGAACCGGATGTCACGGGCAGCACGGGAAAGGCGTCGGTGGATCTCCGCCCTGCACTTGTCGCTCTTCAGCTCCTCCCGATACTGCGTCAAGCAGTTGAGCGCGTCCTTCTTCCGCTTGTCGTCCTGCATTGCATGGCCAGGCCCAGTACGAATTCGTTGAACTCTCCCCCCAAACGGCATGAATATATCCTCGCCGGTACCTTCAGGGCAATATCCTAAAGCACCTTTCCGTTGTCCTAGCATGGACGTTTAGGGCTACGTGCAGCCCTCCACAAGTTCTAAGGTAGTCTTAAGTCACGAGCCTCTCCAAGCTCATGCGATTAGGCCCAGCGTCAGATGATCGGAGGCATGGAGTCTAGAACGCATGCCCCGAAGGTATTCCCAAGTGTTCAACGGCCCTTCGCGAAATACCGACTGGAACACCTTGTTACCCATAAAAACTATGGGGTTTGAACGCACCTCGTCCATTTCCTTAAGGGAGGTGCCGCAGGTATCCTTCAGGTCGCTCTCGCACGCCTCACGGAGCGCGATGTCCAAACGGAAATCCGCCACACGCTTAGCAATGACGTTTTCCAGCTCAGACTTGCACTCGGCAGAAAACCCGGACTCCTCAACGTTGTCCTCAAGGCATTCCTGCACCCGCATGTGGCCCGGCTCCACGTCCTTGCAGAACTTCTGCTGGTCTGTCAAGCACTTGTTGAACAAGCGGGTGCTAAGGCGGATGTCGTCGCCGCTGTCCTTCTCGTTGCGGAACATCTGGTTCTGGCACTCCCATGACACCTGTAGCCGCTTCTCGGCCTGAAAAGGTACGTGTGCTGTTAAAATGCGCTCGAACCATCTGCTAAGGCAACAGCCAACTTTGCAACACGTTCAACACCCACCAGGCATTCCAGCTCATCACCCTTCTCTGCGTCCGAGCAAAGGTTAGCAACGTCGTCCTTGCAGGCAGTGTACAGCTTGTAATCGAACCGGTAATCCTCCGCAACCTGAAGAGGGAATGACAGCTTAGTGCGCCGAAGAGCAGAAAGCAGCAAGCATGATACCTACTTCTTGCTGCGTCCGGAAAACCTCCGCACCGCAAGCTGCAGTAAGCTTTGGCTTATTGTCCCTGCGAGTATTCAAAGAGCAATGTAAGCAACTGAACATAGGCAGCAGCATAAGGGGCCACGATATGCTGAAACTTACGTTAGGCATCCCGCAACAGAGCCAGGCAGGGTGTTGTCGTTAGCAGACTTGCACAGCTTGGCAACATCATCTTTGCAAGCCTTGGCTGCAGAAGCAAAGAAAGGATTTAAGGTCAAGTACTTGTATAACGTTAAAACTATATACACTTATTGACAACCTCACCGAGGGGCACGTCTTTGTTGATGTTCTTAGACCTGTCCATCTTGAAGGCTGCTAGTGAGTCCTGGCATTTACTGGACACCTTCCGGCCTGTAGAACAAAAAAGATGCTGTAGAAAAGCTCTGGAGCAAGGTTCGCTTCTGCTGCACGCACCAACAACGTTCCCTTGGCGCTGAGCACGGATGCGCTTTGTGAGACATAGTGCCAACCGGCCCTCGCCCGCGCTGACGTCCTTGCAAGCCGCCTTAATGTCACCAGCACACTCTCCTGCGGGCCTCGTGGTCTGTCAAGTCCATCCGGTTGCAAAATACACTGGAGATCGGGACTCACCCGTTGCGCTAACGTCCCCATTCCCGCTATATAGCTCTGCAGGGCCAGCTGAGGGGATAATATTCGATGTCTTAGCTGCTGGCTTTTGCTCGGCAAGTACACGGTCCTCGCCGGCGCATGCTAATAGTATATGAGCGCCCAGAAGCAGGGCAAGCAAAGTTGCCCGCATGGTCTTGCTAAAGTTGTTTCGTAATTTGTGGTATTTTCCTTACAATTCGGTCATCAGGTCTGCTAGAAGCAAGGGTGGAAATCGAGTTGGGCAAACTACTCAAGGCATGGGCCCTGCGTGTACGGCCGGAGCAATTTTTCATGCAACACCGCAGCTAGGTCTCAATCGATATCCTGCCTAAAGGAAATTCTCTGAGGAAACAATATAAGGAAAAATGCATTGGGTTCCCCCACATATTTTCTTTGAAGCGTCTCCCGTCCAGTTCGCTCATAGCAATTGTATGCAACCTTTGTGTAGGGCTATCTAGGATTATGGAAACCAGAGCGTTGGATTCTTTCACAGCGCTTGAAATGCAGGACAGCAGGCGAAAGGGCGGGGCTCGCCAAGAACTACTACTTTTCGGCCTTCACAGCTATTGCACGCCCTTTCCTTGGCCGGTGTTAGTTCTCTGGTTGGGTTGCGGGGACTTCGCCCCTGAGTTGGGTATTGCACGGATGGTGCCGGGGCGCTTGGCGCGGACACCCAACCTAGCCCCACACACGCCCCTAAGGTACCGTATACGGATATTCCAGAACGTAGAACGCATAGCGGTTCGGATAGGAGCAATTTCAAACCCCTCGCAAACCCAACGGCAACATGCAATCTGTTACCATGATAATGCGCGTATCCTGCTTGCTTCTTTTTCGTGTTGATGCTCATAACCGCCCTCTGACCCTCGATACCCCCTGTCTGTGCCAGCCCGCCGCTCCATTACCGCCACCATTGCGCCGCCCGGCCCTGACCGCTGAATAGCACTACTCCCACTCCCCTAGCCTGCTGAGCACGCAGGGTTGGCTACTTTGCCTGGCAGCTTGGGTTCACGTGGACCTTTGCAACCGCACCTGTCTCTTAAGCTAATGCGCACTACGGAACCCTAGCCTTTGAAAATTTCCTTCTAGCCGTCGCAAATTCTCGTTCGCACGCAACCCCTTACCTCCACATACCTCACCAGCCCGCCATATTGCTATCATGACCGTACACCCCATGTGCAACCTGGGCTGTTGCATGTCGTACACCAACGCTTCCACTCTTGGACATAACCGTAATGCCGTATCACAAGTGGCTGCAACCCAATGCTGAAGAGCTGCTTGAATAAGGGCGCTGGAAGAAGCAAAAAAGGAGATGGCAAGAATGACTTGCAAGCCACGGGTAAGTGCAAGGCGTGTTAGTTCCGCAAGGCTGCTAAAGAGCAGCTTGGGATTCCCCGGCAGGCCTAGGTCTTACACGGCCTTTAGCATTGGCTCGGTATGGCCCAACCTAGCCCACCCTGCGCCTCGTAAAAGGGGATACGGTTAGGGGCTAAATGAGGACGGCAGCGTGCGAACGCCGTAATGGCATGTCAACGTGCGTGTTACGTCTTTGCCATCCGACTCGGCGCAGCAGAGCGCGACATACGCTTGCTTCTTACCATCAAAGCTTAGCATCCATCCCGGTCTCAGCTCCGGTGCCTGCAGTGGGTGTCTATCAACTGCCCTCTCAATAACAGGAACCATAGTCTAAGAAGTTCAGGATGCGTTGACTGCGCCTTCATCGGAGCGGCGCAGCGGCCAGAGCCCTATTAGTACGACATACATGCGTAACTGTCGTCCATATTCGGGATACCTATGCACATTCAGCACATAGTTATACTTCAGCGTGTCTGCTGGTTGCATATAGTATTGATTTTTGGTCACATTGCCGAAGCGCAAGCTCTTCTGTACAATTTTTGACAAATGTGCAACTTGGTCAACGCTGCGTTGAAAGCCGCGAACATGGAGAGCCCTTTCCCAGTATGCATAGTCCCTTGTATCTTAGCTGTGCTTACAATTATTACCTTTGCTCTCGTGTGGAGCGTTCGCAAGAAGCCTGTGAGCAAGCCTGAAGACGAGGCTGAAAAGCCCAAAGAGCAAGACCAGCCCCAAGGATCAGTCTTCGTAGCAGATGTGAGTGGTAAAATTTAGCGAGTATTTTGCGACATCAATGGGTGCGGTGCTGTCGTTGTTGACCGGGCAATTCATGTCGACATTCCTGTTTTTTTAATACGCTGCAGAGCGACGGTCACGTCATCCGTCGGTCGTCCAGGTATGTCTAGTCCCTGGGAGCGTATGGTCTGTTCTGCGTTGCTGATTTTCTCGTCTTGGATGTTGGGGTTGGCGCGTCCAATTCGTCACACCAGTTTGAGACGTTTGCTGTGACCGCAGGCTTCGCAAGCCCACCGCTGCCTCAACTGAAACTACTCCTGTGAAGAGTAAGCCGGAGGTAAGTGGAAGCTGTCTGTCCTTGCCAGCAAACTGTACGGCTCAGTGCTCGTCGTTACAAAAGCTCACACACCCGCTGCCGCGATATACGCAGGGCGCCCCCAAGACGCCAGCTGCAACGCCGCGCACCACCCGTGCCGCTTCCAAAGCTGCTGCCGCCGCCGCTGCTGCTGCAGTTCCCGAGGAGCCAGTTGCCAAGGAGCCGATCAGCCCAAGCATTCGTGCCCGTCGCACCCCACGTGCTTAAGGGCTCCACAGCTGGTATACAGCTGTCGTCCTACACAACATGCTCGAGTCCCAGAACGCGTACGGACTAGCAGAGAAGGGGATGAGAAGTTCTACTCGCCCAGGCAGGCGCCATGCACTCGTGGTTACCTTTTGACCGATGATATTGTACGGCTATACTAAGCCCATTAGTGGCTCGGGCACGGACCAAAGCAGTGCTACGGGTCGTTTCGGTTTCATGGTGGACTGATGGCACATGTTGGGTTGTATTATGTTAACGCCGTGTGATCCGGTTCACAATTGTTCGTTGACCGTTTGGACGTTGAGGAAGGGTAGCATATGATTTCGTACGTGCACATCTGCCAGAGGGGTGCACACCGCAAGAGTGTGCCATTCGCGCGACACACCAGCTAGGAGAAAGCGACAGACTTTTGGCCGTATACGAATCCGACAACTTGTCGCCATTCCTAGGTGATTAACTGATCTTAACTATTAATTATAGCGTGTTGTGCGCTGTTAGAGTGATCCGTACATATCTTATAACCGTATAACCGTGGTGCATGGGGGCCTGTGCAACGCCGTTGTTGCCTGTTGACCCCCACCTAAATCCTAACCAACACACCTAGTTTCGGACTAAAGTGGGACCCATGCGTGTTGCGTGATCACATGCTCTCCTGCTGCCAGCCCTGGATCGACCAGGCCCTCCACTTAAATGCCTAGACCTCATTGTAAAACCCCTCGCATACTCCTACCTAGGCAGCTCTCTCTCCCCTTCCAGAATCGGAATGTCAACAGCGGCACACCTCCCTCTCAACATCAGCACGTCCTCAACGTGCTGGCAGCACAGCGGGTGTTCACGTCGTGTTCACAGCAGCGCCAGGGTGGGGAAGTCCGCCAGCAGCTCGTCCTTGCTGTAGCTGTCACCCTCCGCCTGCAGCCCAGGCAGAGACACACGCGCGCAAAGAGTATATCGCGCACCGCCCATGGCGTCAACAACGTCACGCATGAAAATCTGTTGGCTGCCCTGAGTGCAGTGATGCCACCACCCAGGCGGCTCCGGCGCAAGTAGCCCCACCACCCTCATAGTAGCCCCACCACCCTCATACATCCATAGGAAAACCCGGTGTTGAAAGATAGCGGTTTCTTCCCTTCCGGTGTTGCTTTCCTAGCCCCAATCTCCGCCCTCCCCACGCACGCACCACACATTGGAGTTTCTTTTTCCCCATGCACGCACCTGCGGTGTCCACAGCAGCTCGAACGCCAGCAGCGAGTCCGCGCCCACACTGCCCAGCTGCGTGAGCGCCTTCCGCAGCTCGGCCGAGCTGCTGACGCGCGGCAGCACCAGCCGCCCCTCCACCGCCACCACCAGCGTGGCGACCAGCCAGCAGTCCAGACCCGCGTCTGGGAGCGCAGCGGTTGAGGGGGGTGGGGGAAGAGGGGTGGTCGTAGAAGTGAGCGGGGTGAGGGTGAGGCTGGCGGGCCAGGAGGGGTGCAGCCATGGTCATACTCATTCACCATTCTTGCTATTTCCCTGTCCCACCACGCCCACTCTCCAGCTCGGTGCTTCACATCTTCTTCCCTTCCCTTCGACCCAACACTCCGCCAGCCCACTTAGCTGCACCCCACCCCCTGCGCCTCCCCCCTACCCGGGTTGGGTGTCAGCTCCATGCTGCGGCGGCGCCTGCGTCCGTCCACATTGGAGTAGGTCTCCTCCTTGAACTTGCTGCGCTCCTCCAGGGAGACCTGGGGGCCAGGGAGGGAGGGTGGGGGGCATGCAAGTAGGCGGGAGGGCAGGCAGACGGGTGGGCGGGGAGCGGGAGAAGGGGAAGGGGAAGGAGAGAGCGGATGGAGGAAGAACCCCCACCTCAGCTCACTCAGCCACCCCTCCCACCTCACACCCCACCTGGTTGAACTTGCGCTCCGCCGCGTCCAGGTCTCCGAACACCTTGCCCGCCGTGGCGCCGTAGGAGCAGTACTCCAGGTTGCGGAGCAGCTTGGTCACGGTTTCTGTAGGCGGGGGAGGGAGAGGGAGGGAGGAGGAGAGGGAGGGAGGGAGGAGGAGAGGGAGGGAGGGAGGAGGAGGCAGGTGGGGACAGGGACGGGACGGGCGGGAGGGAGGGTCAGAGGGAAACCAAACCAAACCACTTGGTACTGCACATTGGAGCAAAGCAATGAGGGTGGAGGCAGCAGAGGCAGGGAGGTAAGGATGGGAGGCTGTGTGGAAGGTTGCTGCTGCCCATACCGGTATACCTGAGAGGAGGGTAGCCTATGACAGCGCTAGGGTCTCAGCTCTATTGTGTCACAGCTAACGACCAGGTGTACACGTGTAGACACGCGCGGGTAAGCAGGGCACTGACGTAGGGCCACTATCCACAAATTGGAATTTCTTTTTCCCCACCCTGCAGTATGTAGTGCAGCCCCTCCTCCTCCTCCGTGTCGAACAACTCGCTCAGCCGCTCCAGCTCCCGCTGCCACCGCGCCACGTCGCCGAACAGCCCCACCTGTGTGAGATGGGGGGGAGAGACAACCCGGGAGTGGAAGCAATCGGATCCGGGCTTGGATGTCGCGGACGTGGCGAATTTCATGCCTGCCGTACTATGAAGGCGGTTTTCCTTAACCGTTGCCGCTTTTCCCTTTGCACGACATGCCCCCGCCCAATGCCGACCACGCACCTGGACCTTCAGCACGGTGTACTCCTCCTCATAGTCATCCTCCTCGTCTGGAAAAGGGAAGGGTGGAGGGTAAGGGACGAGGGAAGGGTGGAAAGAAGATAGCTAGGAAGAGTACGAAGTCCTAATCTTTCCAACACTTCACATCGGGTGCCATGCTGCATGTGCGGATGCCACATGTGCGTGTGTTGCGTGTACCGTAATGCTGCCTGCAGTGAACAGCGCCCCATTGAATACCACCACCACCAGCCACTGAGTGCGGCCCCAGCTGGCTCCTCACCTCCGCCAAAGTTGAAGAAGAAGACCGAGGGGCGAGCAACAGCTTGCGGCGGCCTGCGCGGGTGGCGTCGTACGAACGGCGGTACATCGGCGGTACGGGAGCAAAGAGCGGGGCGGCGGCTGTTATAACACAAATGTGGCGCTAGCTGAGGACTGAGGACGGATATGCTTATGCTCGTAACCTCTATTGTAATCTACCGAGGAATCCATGGGAGTCAAGGGAATCCGCAATACAACATGCAGGCCAGGCCACGGCTTGCGGTGTACTAATGGATTGTGTTAGTACGGTATGGCTACTTAAGGTGGATGCATACTAAAAAGCGCTGCACCTGGCTGCACATGGAAAGGGGCGAGCAACATCCCTCTTGAGGCTAGCGACTTGCCTCACAGCCGCGCGGCTCTCATGCCGACGGAATGCAGCCGTAGGAGTACGACTCGAGGTAAGGGACTTGCAGTGAGGCTTGAAGCTATGGGGGAATGTGCGCTGGCTGAAAGCTGGTGCCACAGACACTGCCTGCAGGAAGACACACGAACATCCCCTGTTCAGATCGGGCCTGGAATCTCACAAGCCGCTAACCGTGGAATAGTTATGCCATGTTTGAAAGCGCGCCTCACCTTTTGCTGCTGCCGGAGAGTGCTCCGCTGAGCAACTTGCTGCTGCATGGTTGGGGTTGCGCACCTGGACTGCGGAGTTGATTAAATACAAACAATAGAAAGTGGCGCCGGTATAGCGATTTGAGGTTGCGACCAAGCGCACCAGGAGGCGTAGATCGGTCTCAAGGTCGACGAGGGGCGAGCGGCAAAGATGCGAGGGGCAGTCCCTGTAGGACCTCAATTTTGCCAGCTACAATCTGCAATCTAGATAAAGAAGCATGAGATGTTGCGGGGATGCATGCATGCATGCATACAGAGCTGTGTCGGTCGACCATGCGTACGGCATCACCGCGAAGCTATGTGTGATAACGTTGACAGGAGCCCAGAATCGGTCTTACAAGTAGCAAGGTTCTCTCTTTGGAGCCCTGTGCTCCTTTTGGGTCCTAGCGACCAGTAAGCTTCTACACGCCAACACGCTTCTATTACAAACCACCTTTAAGATGGCGCTCCAGGCGACCATGCACGCTCCGTGTGAGTCCACGCTATACGATATACTATATGAGCTTTGCTTGGCAGGGTGATATAATAGTGCTGTTGTCGCTCATGGTCCTCTCGCCTACGTGTGCGCAGGCACCGCCAGCCGTGTGGCGCGCCGTGCCATGAAGGTCTCGGCAGCGGCTGCAGCTCCCTCTGCCCGCACGCCCTCGGCCACTGGCGCGGTGGGTGTGCGGCGGCCGCGTTGTCGCGAACTGCCCTGCTTTACCTTGCGCATCCTATTACATAGTCTGGCAGTTGAATTGATGCTTCCATCGCCTGCTATGGGATACTGCTGTTGTATATCTCTGGCTGTCGTAGGATTGCATATGTTTGCGCATGTGTTTGCCTGAAGGCTTGCTCTTCAATTCCCTTTCGGCTAACAGGTGAAGCGTGCCATGACCATGACTGAGAAGATCCTGGCTAACCGCTCGGGTAACACGAGCGTGCAGCCTGGCGATAACATTTGGACGCGCGTCGACAAGCTGCTTACCCACGACGTGTGCGGACCGGGCACCTTCGGCATCTTCCAAAAGGAGTTCGGCCCTAACGCTAAGGTCTGGGACAACGAGCGCGTGGTCCTGATCCCTGACCACTACATCTTCACCAACGATGCCCGTGCCAACCGCAACGTGGACATCCTGAGGTAAGCTTGTCTACCGTTTTCGGGGTACAGGCGAGGAATATAGTGTCTTTCCCATCAGTTATCACGTAGCGTCCCTTAACCATAGCCTGCCTTTGTCAACATTCGTGCCATCCATCCTCCGCCAGGGAGATGGCTCAGAAGTACAACATCAAGTACTTCTACGACATCACCGACCGCAGCGACTTCCGCGCCAACCCGGACTACAAGGGAGTGTGCCACGTGGCGCTAGCGCAGGTGGGGATCATAAATTGGGCCGGGTTGGACATGTGGTCAAACTGCGGGCGCTGGGTAGTAGTAAAAGGGAGGGGCTCCCAGAGGATTTGGGGAAACAAGCAAGCACACAGAGCATCGCAGGACGCTGGCAGCAGAAGCTGCAGCAGGAGACCAGTGGGGGCACCAAAATAGCGCAGCGCGCAAGCGGGCTATGGAGGATGCCTGCAGATTTAAAGGATTCAGTGCTTGGGCGTGGCCGCTGTAGCAGCAGCATTGGCAGAGGTAGGCTTGGCAGGGGACCGAGCCGTGTAGCCCGGACCGCGCTGCTGCAAGCGAAAAGGCGGTGCGCGAGGAGTGGCAGCAATGGCAGCAGCACAACTGTGGCAGCACCCCAGGCTTGCCGCCTCTACCGCTGGCGTCATAGCGTGCTACTGGTACTGCAGAGCCAGCCCATGCAAGGGGCTTACTCAGCTCATCAGCACTCCAGGCTTGCCTTCAAGAGCATGTGGGCACCGACCCAGATGGCCATTTTGCATGGGGAGGCGCCGAACGTGTTCCTTGATCCACCCGTCTCAGTCTTCTCGCTGGTGTGTGGGGTCTGGTGTTCCATGACAGCACCTCACGGACCCAGGCGCCCCGCTACCGACCAGGCGCCCTCTCCACCAGCCGGTCAGCGTTGGCGCGGCTGTGGCAGCAGCGACGCACACTGACAAACGGGCGGACTTGCGTGCCCCCACGCATGATAAGGGCGTGTGGCGTGTGCATGACGGCACTCGACCGGCGATGGCGGGCGGCAGCGATAGTCCGCAGCTGCTTGCTGCTAGGACTGGCAGTTACGGTGGCGGCTAAAGCACGAGAGCAGATTCGGCTTTAGCATTGGCTTGTTAACACTTCCAGCAGCAGCAGCAGCGGCCGGCGGTCCTCCGTGGCACGCCCAGTGCAGACGCCGTGTAGGGTCCGCAACGTCGGCCATTGCAAGGGCTGCCGCGTGTCGTTACGGCCGTAACGGCCTGGCGCTGAACCCACATGGGGGCGCGAGCATACATCCTCAGCCTTGCTGCTGGCTGGCTGCATGTACTGGTGGGGGCATCCGGATGTTCATCGGGATTGCCCCCCCATGCGGGCTTGCCATCCACACGATCATGGATAGCCCCGATGGTCCTTTACGCGTCCCGCTCCCTCCTCACCTCATGTCTCCAGCCCATGTCCTCGCCCCCTCCATTCCCCCATTACCCTTGAACCCTACCCCACGTCCCCAACGCTACCCCTACCCCTCCCTACCTCCCACAGGAGGGCCACTGCAAGCCTGGTGAGGTGCTGTTCGGCACCGACTCGCACACCTGCAATGCCGGTGCCTTTGGGCAGTTCGCCACGGGTGTGGGCAACACGGATGCTGGCTTCATCCTGGGGACCGGCAAGCTGCTCATCAAGGTGCGGGAAGGGAGGAGGCAGGGGTGACGGGGACGGAGTTTGGTCGTAGCCCGCAACGGGCGTGGAATAGGGGATGTGGGTTAAGACCTGAAGCGTAAGGAGGGGAGCTGGATGGCGGTTGGAGGGAGGCCTGTGGCATTGGTTTTCAGGGAGAGAGTGGCCTTGTTTAAGTGGAACATGGGTTAACCGGGCTGAGCATGCCTTGGCGACAGCGAAGGGGAAACGTGGGTGAGAAATGGGTTAGGAAAGGGAGTGGAAGGAGTGGACGTGGCGAGGTTGGGAAGGAGATGGAGTTGCGAGTGAGGAAGGGACGGGCCCTTGAGGGCGGGAGTGTTAAGTGGATGAGATGCAGGAGGAACGTCGTCACGGGTGCTGGACGCTCTGCTCTTTCCTTTGTCGTTGCCGCCGACCACCCGCCTGCACTACTATCAATCCACTTCCCCCGCTCCCCGCACTCCTGCCCCCAGGTTCCCCCCACCATGCGGTTCGTGATGGAGGGTGAGATGCCCGAGTACCTGCTGGCCAAGGACCTCATCCTGCAGGTGGGGCGGGGGGGGGCGGGTCGGGCGGGTTGGGGTAAAGCTAGGTGCAAGTGAAACACTTGGAACCCCAATTCCATGGCCCCAAGGGTGCGGCATGCGGGGGACCACCGTAGCTGCTGAGAGGAGCAGCACTCTGCCCACCTCGGCACCCTCCACCCTTTTGTCTCGCCCATGACGGAGCCTTGCCATCTTACTGACTTGACCCCCCCTCCATCCTTCATCCCCCTCCCCCAGGTCATTGGCGAGATCTCTGTCGCCGGCGCCACCTACAAGGCCATGGAGTTCAGCGGCAGCGCCATCGAGGGCATGAACATGGACGAGCGCATGACCATCTGCAACATGGTGGTGGAGGCGGGAGGTGAGGGGGGAAATTATATAAGTAATGCAAACAACTAGAGTCCCAATCGGGAGGTGAGGGGCAGGGAGGGCAGAGATGGGTGGTTGGGAAGGTCTGGTCAAGGGGAGGAGGTTTGAATTCCATTCAGCACCTTTTTCCGTAACGGCGCCTCGCCTCACCTCCTTCCCTTCCTCTCCCTCGCCCCCTCCCCGCTCCTCCAGGCAAGAACGGTGTCATCGCGCCCGACCAGACTACCTTCGACTACGTGCGCGCTCGCACCCAGGAGGCCTTCGAGCCCGTGTACAGCGACCCAGATGCCAGCGTGAGTTGGGTGCTGGTGGGAGGGAAGGGGGAGAGGAGAAGGGTACCAGGGGCAGCAAGCACATGGGATTAGATAAACTGAGCCGCGAGGAACCACACAGCACAGGGGAGCATGGCGAAGGAGGAACAGCGCATGATGTGGAACAGCGGCAGCATGGGGGCGTGTGAACGGCGATGTGCGCAGGGCCTTGGCTTGACGGTGTTTGAACCGAGCCGCCACGGTGCCTTTACTCCTGCCCAACCTTCCACCCTGCCCCCACCCTGCCACCCTGCCCCCCTCTTTACCCCTCCTGCAGTACGTTGCTGACTACCGGTGGGACGTGTCCAAGCTGGAGCCCCTGGTGGCCGCCCCGCACTCGCCCGACAACCGCAAGACGGCGCGCGAGTGCTCCGACGTCAAGATTGACCGCGTCTACATCGGCAGCTGCACGGGTGGGTGCCGTTGGTGTGGCAGCGTGAGCATCTCCGTTACCCAGTCATCCGTTTCAGCCGCATTTGCGTCGCGTTAGCTGACCGGCGTCGTGGGGACCCCATGTACCCTATGCGCCTCATATCGGTATCTTCCCCCCATGTCTTCACCTCACCTAGCGCATCATCCTCTCCCTCAGGCGGCAAGACGGAGGACTTCCTGTCCGCCGCCAAGCTCTTCTACCGCGCCAAGCGCCAAGTCAAGGTGCCCACCTTCCTGGTGCCGGCCACGCAAAAGGTGAGGGAGGGGCACCAGAGCGCCCCGCGTCCCCTAGCTGGGCTCTGCCGTTGCTGTACCCTGGTGTTGTTGAGGGCGGGGCAGCAGTGCAGTGCTTGACCGCAGCCATCACGACAAGGGTGACAAGTCAAAACCTAAACCTCACCTGCCTTCCAACCCATTCCCACCACCACCGCAATCCGCGCCCTCCCTCCCTCCCTCAGGTGTGGGCCGACGTGTACACCATGCCCGTACCCGGCTGCGACGGCAAGACGGCCGCCGAGATCTTCGAGGAGGCGGGCTGCACCACCCCCGCTGCACCCAGCTGCGCAGCCTGCCTGGGCGGCCCGCGCGACACCTTTGCGCGCATGAACGAGCCGGAGGTGTGCGTGTCCACCACCAACCGCAACTTCCCAGGCCGCATGGGACACAAGGAGGGGCAGGTGTACCTGGCGTCGCCCTTCACGGCGGCTGCTTCGGCGCTCAAGGGCTTTGTGTGCGACCCGCGTGAGTACATGTAAGGCAGAGGCAGCATGTAGGTGGAAGGCAGTAGTTTTGTGAAGCAAAGCCGGGACAGGAGCGGCGGTAGGAGGAAGAGGAGGTGGGGGCGTGGATTGTGTGGGCTGCGGAGGGGAAGGGAGGACAACAGTTGAGGAGCGCAAACAGGAAAGGAGTGTGTAGGATGAAACACGGTTGCAAGAGAGGTGTTGCAGCCACAACATTGGCGGTGACAGAGCGACCATGGCTAGGCGGGAAATGAGCACTACTTGTGTGATGGACATGGACACGTGTCTCGTTCCGCTGCGTTGCCATGGTCGCTATTGTGGTTGCTGCCTGCCATGGACTGCGGTGTGACTGCTTGCGCGGATCCTGTCGTACATTCGCTTAAGCCCTTAGGGTATTTTTGTTCGTACGCGTGACGGTTGAGAGGCCGCTGTGCGTCTTGGTGCGTGGGTAGCGGTTGTAAGGGTCGGTGCTCGGCAATCGGCTGCGAATCGCGTTTCATTGACAGAGGACAGTGGTGTTGAAGTGCTGGGAGGAATTAGGTGGTCAGACATAGGGGGTGGTGTCAGGAGGAGCTGGGAGGGACGAGGGAGACACAACACAGCGAGGAGGGCGCGCGCCCGGGCGGCACGGATCTATTGGTGCTTGAGGTACCCGCAGTGGGCAGGTGCGGAGGGTTAAACGATGGGAAGCGCAATGACGCGCTGCAACAGGGCGTGTCAGCCAATCGCTGTCAAATCACAGCAGCGTCGTCCTAGGGCGATGAGAATGGCACGGGTGATAACGGTAGGAGTTCTGGGGCCCCAGCCACCATTCAAGCCGCCGCGCCTCTCTGCTGTGCTGGAGGTTCAATGCCGCCGTGTTTTGTTTACATGCGGCTTTGGGTGTTTTGGTGCCCTACCCCAAATGCTTTTCATCTTGAAAGGAAGCTGCGTTCGGCGTGTAAGTCCGTAGAGTGTTTGCTCCCCTGAATGCTACAACAAGGCGTTGGGATTAGGCCTGCGCTTATAGGTTGGGCTCTCTCACGGTCGTTGGCAAATGTTGAAGATGCGCAAGATCGGTTGTTCCTCGCTGCCGACATCCAACATGGTAGCACAGATGTCCATTTTCCCCGTTACAGTATCGTCTGGTCGCACATGCTGATGCGCGATCCAGAGAGAATAAGGCAGCAAAACATCGGAGGTGAGGACACGGCCGCGGTACGTGGCAGGGCTGCAGGTGCACGGCAGACTACCGGTAGTGGGACACTGTGGCATGCTATGGGCTGAACCCGGCGCCGCAGAGCAGCCTCAGCAGCGGTACGGACGCGTTAGTTTTGCGCCCGTGTTGCTTGGCCCAACATCAGGAGCAAACTCGTTTATATTATTTGACGATGTAAGGCAAACAGGCCTTTTAAGATTACGATTACATGGTACGGTGTAGGGCCCTCCCGCCCTACCGCACAACCTCACGAACCATTCCGGTGCAATAACAAACAGAAGTTCGCGGGGAGACATAACTGTTTGGGTAGGTGGTCACCTATTAAGCGCGACTAGACCTACACGCATAAATAGTATGTAGAAGGCTCGCCAATTTAGCAACATCAGGCCTTTTAAGGGAGGCAACCGCCGTACATAAATGCGTCCAAAACAGGTTACAATCGCTTCCTACCTATGTACGCCCAATGCGAATAGTTCGGCATGGTAGCCACTCTGTATAATTTATGTCGCGACAGTATTAGGATTTAAGACAGACAGCCAACCTGGCTCTTGCTATTGATGATAGCAGCTAGGGCAAAACACTCTATTTATGCATACCACTCATATATTTATTTGCCATATAAATAAAACGGGCTTAAGATCCTTTGGTAGCCGAGTGCTTGGAATGTGTCCGCGACATGTCCTCTATCTAAGAACCGGGTCCTTTAGTTCACGGAGGATCCTTTTGAATAGTCTTTAAATAATATACATCATGGAAGCGACCTGCTTGGAAAAAGCGTCCCTCGCTGCATGACGGACTCCTGGATAGGAGCCGCACCATTTGCTTACACGTCGCAGCGCAAATCCATTCGGTTTCAGCTTCCAAGTGAGAATCGGCTTATGCCTCAGCAGCATCTCTGTATCCCAGTGCCGGTTGAGTCACTAACCGGTTGCCTGGTAATGCAGCAAGTTGGAGACACCCTGCCTCCGAAGACACGTGTACCTTGCAGCATTACAGTCCTTCACAGCTCTATTACCAGAATGTCTGGCGGCCTAGCAGCCCAAATGCAGCTGTTTCTGCTGGTTTGGGGTTTGCTCTCCGCCACCATCAACGGCGCTGTGCCTGCCAAGAACAGCTACCGCAGCCCATCAGGCCACCCCTTGTTCATCGAACCGCGCCATGCCGTTTACCATGCCGGAGTACGGCATAAAGCTGATGAAGCCGGGCTGGACGAGCATGGCGCATGGGTGCACTTGAAGTACGACATGGAACTGGTGGGTCTATCTGGTTGGGCCAATAGCTAATAGTGGCGCGATCAGGAAGCAAGTGAGCCACGTCAATGTCTTTGAGCTTTAAGTTTATTGACGGCATATACACTGAATGATTGAAGGGTGGGCCTAGGAGCGCTCCAGTAAGGCCATGTGTGCCGTACATGCGACAACCAGCAAACCCTTTACGCTCCCCTCAACCCAACCTGCCGCACGCATGTATGTACGTATGTAGGCTGAGCACCTGGTCATCCTAGCACACGAGCCCAGCCTGCTGGGCCTGAGGTGCTTGGAGGAGTCCGGCTGGCTGGTGTTCATGGTCAGGGACACTGCAACACCACTGCGCTGGCCGCGGGGAGCTGTGGTGGTGGGAAACGAGTCCTGGGGGTGAGGGCTGCCACGCACATACACCTCGCGGCCAGTTATTTTAACACCCATGCATCACATTACGCCCTTGCCCCTTGTTACGTACGTACATACATGCATGCCATATGCATGCCACATGTGCCCCCAAGCAGTCAATATGGCATGAATGGGGCATTTATAGGTGAACTGATGCTGCAAGTGGCTGGCACTGCCGCATGCGCCGCTCAGACTACCGGTACCATTTACAAGTTGTCGTGCTCTTTTGGTTCCAGCCAAGCGCCAGTTACTGACCAGCTGCATGTGGTGCCGCAACACGCACAGGTGTCGACCACATGGGGAAGAGAAGGCGAAGCCCTTCTACTACCGCTTGAAGAGCGCTGGCACGGCACATGGCCCCAACGAGGCTATCACTGGAGATTGGCTCGACGTGTTTGCCAGCATGCACAAAGGCAGTCCTAATGACACTGCTGCTGAGAGCTCTGAAGAAGTACTCCAAGACTACGACGCTGATCAGCAGCAGCAGGTCCCACGCTTTGCAAACCGCACGACGGCCCCTAATCATGTTACCTGGTGCAGCATGTTCAATTGCTCAACAGCAGCAAACGTTTCGTTTGTGGTGTTCGAGGCCGAAGCGGTAGGTTTGGCAGGAGTAAAGGTAACTCGCTTGCCAAGCTTGTTTGGAAAATACATTGCCTGAATAGCTGCTGTGGCTGAGGCAGGCCAAGGCAAGTAATAACCCCAACCCGAAACAGGCTGCGTGCTGTCTCGCCTAAAATTGCCTTGTGAGTGCTAGTTACGCTGCTGCTTTAATGCCAAGCTTTTCGTTACTGGCTCATGCACCAGGTTATTTCACGTACGGCACAGTTCGTACTCCGTTGGACCTTACATGCTTTCTGGCTTACCACTACGTCCTTGCTTAACAGGTCGGCATGGAGTTTTGCTTCCGGCACGCACGCATCTCATACCGCTACCTGCCTCATGGCCACGTTGACCACCCAGTAAGCGGAGCCAAAGCTCGCGCTGCTGCTACTGCCACCGCCCGACGGCAGCAGCAAGCAGCCGCGGGTGGCTTAATTTACACGGGCATGGGAACCATGACGGCCGATGAAGTTGAAGCAGCTTATGCTCACCTCGTGAACGCTACCGGCAAGTTGCCACGGTTGGAGTCCGAGGACGACAGCATGATGGGTGATGATGCCAGCAGCCATGGGAGGCGACTCCAGGGGTTCTGGAGCTCCCTTTGGGACGGCACCAAGAAACTCGCTAAGCAGGTGCGGAATCCATGGCGCAGTGCGTGGGTGGCTTGTCCTTTATTTCCCCTTACTTCCCCGCTTAAGAATGGAACAACAATCTGCTGGCCCCACCCCACCCGCTGCAGGTATCTCGTGAAATCGTCAAGGTGGCAGATGCCCTTGTCAACACTGTCGAAGCGGTTGCGGCGGTGGTCGACGTGGCAGCCACGCTGGCGAGTGGTGACCCAGTTACCCTTGGTGGAAAGCAGGTACGTACACGTGTGGGCCGCCGTTTGAGCGTTAATTGCTCGGTTTCTTGCCCCGCTGCTTGCAGTATAGGTAGCAACGTGAAGGGAAAAGGATTCATGCATGGGGCACGCACCCAGCCAGCAAAGTGGACGGTTGGTGACACTAGCTAGCTGCCCTGACCAATGCGCGGCACCTACCTATCTGATCCTACAGGCAGTCAATCTTCTGGGCATGAACTATGACAGCGCAACGCAGCGTGTCATAAATCCATCCATAGACCTGGGAACAAGCGGTATCACTGCCACGTGTGATGGGTGCTACGCTACCATGGATGCTGGCGTGCTGTTTGAAGTCGTCATTGCACCCCAGACCTCCTTCCCTTTCGTTCGCATGGAGAGCTGTAAGGTGGGTGCAGGTGTATGCAGGGACAACCAATCAAACGAGTCCCTCTGCTCGAATCCGTAAACTGGGCCTACCCTCCGCAACCGTCCGTATTTCATGTCCGCGTATACGCACGATCATCATGCATCCGTAAAGTACGTAGGGATTTACCGGTATTTTGACGGACGCAAACCCCCCTAGAACCAATACGGAGACTAGGGCCCCGGTTTTCCCAAAATGCAAATGAGTCCCTCTGCCCTGCCTTTGCTATAATTGTTTCCAGTTCAAGGCAAAGAACTATAACCTGCTGTGTTTGTCCTTGCAGATGTCCGCGTACGGCTCCCTAAACATAAATGCTGATGTCACGGTTGGTGCTACGGTTAGCGGGTCCTCTGGGTACCAGGTTATGGGCACACGTAACAAACCGCAGCAGCCAGGCATCCAGGACAACTACGTCGGCGCCATCTCGTTCATGGCTGGCCCCATTCCAGTGACATTGGATTTCTTTGTTGGGCTTGAGGTAAGAATGACGATCTCACAGGGGAGTAACCATCCCCGCCCATCCAATCAAAGATGCTGATTGATGCAACGTGCATCACTTCGTTAGGCTGTTCAGTTACTCGTTGCCAACTTACCGCACAAAGCCAAATTTCTGCCTGTGATGGCATGCTTGCTTGCCCAGTTTGGATTTTATTGTGTATTATTACGTGTAATGCTAATAATACGCATAACGGCTTGGGCGTGTCTCACCTCGTGGTTTGCACCTGCCTGCTGGTCGAAGGTGGCGCTGGCAATGTCCGTATCCGCCAGCGGCACTGCAAGCACTGGGTTTAGCTATTCACGGTACATGGAGCTTGGGACGGAATACCGGTACCAGTGGGGTGAATTCAGGAGGTAAGGGTTGGTCTTAGCTTGACCCGTCCATGGGACATGTACCCATGCCCCATGGGTACATGTCCATGGGGCAAAGTACCAATATATGAGTTACCCGCGTCTTCCTGTCTTAACGACCCGTATGCCGTCCTCCTGGTGGCTTGGCACATCTGGGTTGCACATATGATGAGGTCACCGACCCATGGGTCATCACATGCATTACGCATTAGGAAGACGCATTAGGAAGACGGATAACAACCCTCGCCCACTCCCTTTGTTTTGATTGCAGTGTTCCATCGCAGGTCTGGTCCCAATTTACCTTCCATCCAGTTCGCCTGTCATTCAGCACCGGCGTTGTTATTGAGACAACGTTTTCACCCCGGCTCCTCATCAAAGCATGGTAGGCGTTTCACCAGTACTGATACTGGACAGCCTCTTAGTTCCTTAACTGCGTGTCTAGATAGCTAGAAAGAGGACGGCACCCATCCCTCCTAACTCTGGTCGCATTCTGTCCTTACCCTATTATGCAGGAAGCTAGTCCCGTTCCTCATCAGCCCCATGTTCACAGTGGGAGTCGAGGGCACTGTAAACAGCCCCGGCTGCTCCTCTCTCGGATACCAGCTCTTTTACGGCTTAGCCCTGAAGCTCTCCGTTGAGAAGATTATAGTGCAGCTGCCCATCATCAAGAAGAATCTCACACTGGGGAGTCCCGTGCTGCCAATGACAGCGACCATACCTCTGATTTCCAAGGTAGGGCGGCGCCTGTTGCTTGCCAGTAACGGGCTCGACAAGCCCGCCAGAGAGACCCATGGTTCACTTACATGCTATCAATGGATGGCTCGTGTTGATACTACGTGCTCCTGCTGGTTGATTGTAGAATAAGCTTCTGTCAGTCATCAAGTGGTTCCCTTTCGCTTGCCATGGTTGGCAACTCACTTAGCCTCAACTCAGATGCACTTCACCATTCTTCATGCAGGCCAACGCAAACATCGTCGGATGTCTTCCCCTACCCGGTGGAGGGAGCACGTCTGGTCAGGACACCCTGTGGTACACCGGGCCGTGGGGAGCATGCAGTGCCACATGTGGTGGGGGCACACGCAGCCGGGTCGTGGAGTGCCGCCTGCGGAGCAACACAGACGTGAAAGTGGCTGACAGCTCCTGCCCCTGGACCAAGCCAGCCGCCACTCAGGCTTGCAACAGCATGACCTGTGGCACCTCAGGCAGCTGCCCTGCTGCATGCACTCGAGACATGCTGAGCAACGAGGAGTGTGACCGGGAGTGCATGGTTCCGGAGTAAGTTCCCCAAGTATTGGTGCAAATAAGTAATTGGATACGTCAACCCCCATGCTTGTTACATGCATTTTTGCTGCCCCTTATATGCATTATGCAAGGAATGCTAAGACTGTTGTTTGCAAGATGCTATTTTGTGTTACCGGTAGGTGTCCGTCATGCATTCCTACAGCCGCAACATACAGGTCAGGGCCAGCAGGTCGTGCGTGTGTGGCATCCTAACTTGATGCCACGCTGTATGTGCCCCTACCTCATCATGCCAGGTGTGGTTTCGACAACGGCTACTGCACAAAGCAGCTGCAAGTCGCAGTTGCATGCCTGGCTGCCACCACCTGCCGGGACTGCCTGTCAAGTGGCACCTCCTGCGGCTGGTGCGCCTCCAGCAACCGCTGCCTTCCTGGTGGCCTTGGCGCACCCCTGACTGGCTACAGCTGTGGCTCATCCTCTTGGTGGACAGGACAATGCGTCCCTGATGAGCCCACGCTGTCATTCTCAAAGCCTACCGCCGGCAGCAGCTGTTTTGTTGGGCAGCAATGCACTGTGCAGTGGAGTGGTGGCTCTGGGGACGTCCGAATCTTCCTGCGGTCAAGTTCCTCTGCACCAATGTTGCAGGGGTTCGGCCTTCCAACAGGTGGGTTTGCAGCGGTGGGGGATTGATGCCCTGACAAACAAAGGGGCGGATGCTAATGTGCTCATGGTGCTCATGTTTTCGTTGTGCAGCTTACTTTGTATTGCTGATGATGCCAAGCATCATCGTAACGGATGCCAGGCGCTCTTGCGCGTGGCATGGAGCTGTCAAAACAATGGCCTAATAAACCCACAACATACGCCTGCTGGCTTTCTGTCTGCTGCAGGACCGGTATCAAATACCAACCCCTCCCTCACTTGGGTAGTCCCTGCGGGCACTCCGTTGAGCAGTAGCTATCAGCTAATCATCCTCAGCGATTCAGATGATAGTAACTTTGGTGTCAGCAGCACCTTTGCTATCACCGGCACGGTATCAGCATACCGTTGGGATGTGGCGACAGACTGGGGCGCCTGCAGTGTTATTTGCGGTGGTGGCACCCGCACACGTACCATCCGGTGCATCAAAATTTCCGACAGCTCAACAGTGTCATCGAGTCTGTGCAATGCTGCATATCAGCCAGCTTCTAGTGAAGCGTGCAACACATACCGTTGCCAAACATGCCCTTCAGTTGGTGTATGCTCCACGGGCCGCTGCCCTGCTTGCACATGCAAGCGGCAGCCTAGCGGGTTTGGATACTTCTGTGGCACAACCCTAGATGGTTTCACATACGGGTGCGACACAGACTCAAATGACTACCCTGGTTACCAGGCCTGCTGCCGTCGTCAGGGGTAAGTCCGTTTGTAATGCCTGCTGCTAGCTGCTGGGCAGCAGGAGCTTGAGGAAACCTGGTGCAAAATGGACCATGTGCAGGTTCATGTGTGATGACGGCTGCACAGGCAAAGCCAAGTGGATGGAGGCCGCCCGTGGGCCATGCAGCAAGCCGTGTGGAGGGGGCACCCAGACCAGGTCCTTCCGATGCCTAGGGCATTATGATCCCGGCTGTGGTACGTCAACTGGATGCAAGATGCAAGAATGCGGTGGCTTTAGTGTCATGGATAGGGCTTCAGGCATACTATCACCCACAACACGGCGGAATTATGGGATCCGCGGGATGAAGGGGTATTATGTATGGGTGATCTGACAGTCCCTGATCCTTGATTAGGCATGTCACTGCTGTTTCCATATGTTCTAATGTGGTGACCCATGGGACCACTGATGGGGCCCCAAGCAACCCACTTGATATCACCGTTCCGCCCTACCTATAGCTCAGCTCTTTCCTAACCGTTACTTGTGTATGTATGCGCTGCACACGCATGCAGGTGGGAGTGATTACCAGTGCGCAAAGAATATCACCTGCTATGACTACCAGTGCCAAGGGCCCGATCCGGGCAAGCTGACATATGAGTGTAACACGGAGCCCTGCCCAGTGTACAGCTGGAAGACATCAGATTGGAGTGTGTGCTCTCGGGCATGCAGTGGAGGTGAGGTAACAAAGCGTTACCAATGCTGCTGCACTGTGCTGAACAGCAGTGCGCTGGCGGGGGTTTACTTTGCATGGTTTAGCATGCCATCATGCACGCACGTGATAGATGTATGGCCTGAAGGCTGCTGCTGATGCTCCCTTCCCTATTGACGTCCAGGTACTCAAACTCGCACCGTCCAGTGTGTTCTGGGGTCTTCAACCGCTGCAAGTGGTTCCGTGGTCGCAGATAGCTTCTGCACAGCCACACGGCCGGCAGAATCACAGAGCTGCAACTCAGAGGCATGTCTTGAATTTCCCCTGGGCTTTGTTAGCCCTGTACCCGGCGATCAGTTTGAGGTCTGCAGTGCGATAAATGTGAGCTGGTCAGGAGGTCTAGGCTATGGTGTTATCAGCGTGCAGGCAGCACTCATAGCGGAAGGCCTGGCAGCCATACCACCGTTGGCCAACTTTCAAACCCTAGCAACCACGTGGTATGCTGAGACCTTGAACCTGCCGACATCCGTGGAGAATACCGGCAGCACTCTGTGGCAGGTTCCTTGCTATGCGAGCATGCTTCCAGGGTGGTACCTGCTGCGGGTAATCTCGGGCAACAGCAGCAGCAACATGGCTACAATGGAAGGCCCAATCCTCATACGGGGAGCCCCTGGTGAGTTGTGTGCCATAACCCTGTCGTCTTTACCTTCACGTAGATCCCCCTCGGACGCCTAGGTAAGTAGGCTTGACACATGGAAGGCCTCGTACACGAAAATTAGCAAACCGCATCCTGACCCCAAACTCCACACGTACTACACAGGGTCATGTATGCGCCCGGATGGGTACTGTACACACGCCGGCTCTACCCTCCAGCGTGTCGACTGTGATGGTGACGGCCGGCTCGACCTGGTCTGCACGGACACAACAGGACAGCGCGGGGTGATCCTGTCGAGTACAGGGTGCAACCGGCAGGATGGATGGCCCAACGTCACGGTTACAGCATGCCCAGCCATCCTAACCAAGACCACCCATCTGGGCTGCTACACGGACAATGCACAGCGTGTGCTGCCCACCCAGCTAGCTGTCCGTTCCGACATGACACCAGAAATGTGTGCAGCTCTGGCGTACAAAGCAGGTAATGAGTTGCAAAGGAAGCTGGATGAACCACACCTTGTGTGTCCATCCTTGAGGTTTGCCGTTGGCTGTTCTTTATGACTTCAATTGACATAAGCTCAGAGGTGTATGTAGGGGGGGCTGTTCTTAGGTCTTTCCAGCTTTCGAGATGACACCCTGCTGTATGAGCCACGTTTACCCAATCTACATGTCCCGCGAAAACAGGCCTGAACATATATGGTATCGAGGTGGGAATTGAATGTTTTGGTGGCAATGACCTTGAGCGTGCCAAGCAACTGGGCACAAGTCAACACTGCGACTCCGCATGTGCTGGTGACACCTCACGCTGGATGTGTGGGGGTGGCTGGGCGCTGGACATATACCTCTTTGGTAAGACTTGATTGTCCATCCGACGCCTGCCTGATCTCTAGTTACCAGTCCGTCCAACACGTGCCGGATCTCTGGGTGCCCCGCTGCTGCATATGACCAGAATGTAGACGTATGCTGTCGTGTTTGCGCCCTTTGTTCCACATCTAGGACCTGCCGGCCCCTGTGCAACTCCTGTTCCCCACAGAATCATGCATCCGCCCGGACGGGTACTGTACACACGCCGGCTCTACCCTCCAGCGTGTTGACTGTGATGGTGATGGCTGGCTCGACCTGGTGTGCACGGACACAGCAGGACAGCGCGGGGTGATCCTGTCGAGTACAGGGTGCAACCGGCAGGATGGATGGCCCAACGTCACAGTTACGGCATGCCCAGCTGTCTTCTATGGGATCACTTTCCTCGGCTGCTATGCGGACAATGCACAGCGTGTGCTGCCCACCCAGCTAGCTGTCAGTGCTGACATGACACCAGAGATGTGTGCAGCTCTGGCATTCAGGGCAGGTGGGTATCGTAAGTCATGGTGACAAGACACAAACCCAATTAGTGATGCACGTGAAGTTCTAATAGAATGAATGCTTCCTGCTCGTGTGTGGCCTTGGCATGCATTGCTTCCTTTTGGAGTGGCAATGTGGCTGGCCTAAACCTTGCACGCATGTGCATGTATAAATGGCCAACGTACACATACATGCAGCCGCGCATATGATGCGATGCTGACCCTTCCCACGTACGCACGCATCCTCGCGCGCACCCCAACCCACAGGCCTGTCATTGTTTGGGATAGAGGTTGGGATCGAGTGCTTTGGTGGAAATGATGTCCAAACTGCCACACAGTTAGGCATGAGCCAAACTTGTGGCAGTCGATGTGCTGGGGACGCTTCCAGAATATGTGGTGGCGGCTGGGCGTTAAGTGTGTACATTCTCGGTAAGCTGGATTGAAATGCATGCATGCATGCATACCGGTTCTGTCAAAGAAACGGGACCTTGGCTTGATAGTACGATTCAAATGATGGCGTGTAGAACACTGTAGGCATCATTTCACCGCCAGACAAGAAGTATGTTATCTAGTTGCAAAGCAGCATTGGGCCCAAGTTGTGTGTCATGCATACGCACTGCCTTTCCCTGCTATCCCCTAGCGATCTGTGCTACTATGTTCACCCTTGCCACCTTCCAAACACACAGGTAGCGGGTCTCCAAGCCCTCCAGTTCCCATTCCTCCCTCTCCACCCAGTCCTTCGCCTCCCTCCCCACCCAGCCCTACACCACCCTCTCCGCCTAGCCCCACACCTCCCTCCCCACCCAGCCCTTCTCCACCTTCTCCGCCTAGCCCCAAACCTCCCTCCCCACCCAGCCCTTCACCACCTCCTATCCCTCCAAGCCCTAGACCTCCTACACCTCCCAGCCCGCCACCGTCCCCACCTAGCCCTTCACCACCTTCTCCGCCTAGCCCCACACCTCCCTCCCCACCCAGCCCTTCACCACCTACTCCGCCTAGCCCCACATCTCCCTCCCCACCCAGCCCTTCACCACCTCCTATCCCTCCAAGCCCTAGACCTCCTACACCTCCCAGCCCGCCACCGTCCCCACCTAGCCCTTCACCACCTTCCCCACCCAGTCCTTCGCCTCCCTCCCCTCCCAGCCCTACACCACCCTCTCCGCCTAGCCCCACACCTCCCTCCCCACCCAGCCCTTCACCACCTTCTCCGCCTAGCCCCACACCTCCCTCCCCACCCAGCCCTTCACCACCTCCTATCCCTCCAAGCCCTAGACCTCCTACACCTCCAAGCCCGCCACCGTCCCCACCTAGCCCTTCACCACCTTCCCCACCCAGTCCTTCGCCTCCCTCCCCACCCAGCCCTACACCACCCTCTCCGCCTAGCCCCACACCTCCCTCCCCACCCAGCCCTTCACCACCTTCTCCGCCTAGCCCCACACCTCCCTCCCCACCCAGCCCTTCACCACCTCCTATCCCTCCAAGCCCTAGACCTCCTACACCTCCCAGCCCGCCACCGTCCCCACCTAGCCCTTCACCACCTTCCCCACCCAGTCCTTCGCCTCCCTCCCCTCCCAGCCCTACACCACCCTCTCCGCCTAGCCCCACACCTCCCTCCCCACCCAGCCCTTCACCACCTTCTCCGCCTAGCCCCACACCTCCCTCCCCACCCAGCCCTTCACCACCTCCTATCCCTCCAAGCCCTAGACCTCCTACACCTCCAAGCCCGCCACCGTCCCCACCTAGCCCTTCACCACCTTCCCCACCCAGTCCTTCGCCTCCCTCCCCACCCAGCCCTACACCACCCTCTCCGCCTAGCCCCACACCTCCCTCCCCACCCAGCCCTTCACCACCTTCTCCGCCTAGCCCCACACCTCCCTCCCCACCCAGCCCTTCACCACCTCCTATCCCTCCAAGCCCTAGACCTCCTACACCTCCAAGCCCGCCACCGTCCCCACCTAGCCCTTCACCACCTTCCCCACCCAGTCCTTCGCCTCCCTCCCCACCCAGCCCTTCACCACCCTCTCCGCCTAGCCCCACACCTCCCTCCCCACCCAGCCCTTCACCACCTTCTCCGCCTAGCCCCACACCTCCCTCCCCACCCAGCCCTTCACCACCTCCTATCCCTCCAAGCCCTAGACCTCCTACACCTCCAAGCCCGCCACCGTCCCCACCTAGCCCTTCTCCACCTTCCCCACCCAGTCCTTCGCCTCCCTCCCCACCCAGCCCTTCACCACCCTCTCCGCCTAGCCCCACACCTCCCTCCCCACCCAGCCCTTCACCACCTTCTCCGCCTAGCCCCACACCTCCCTCCCCACCCAGCCCTTCACCACCTCCTATCCCTCCAAGCCCTAGACCTCCTACACCTCCAAGCCCGCCACCGTCCCCACCTAGCCCTTCACCACCTTCCCCACCCAGTCCTTCGCCTCCCTCCCCACCCAGCCCTTCACCACCCTCTCCGCCTAGCCCCACACCTCCCTCCCCACCCAGCCCTTCACCACCTTCTCCGCCTAGCCCCACACCTCCCTCCCCACCCAGCCCTTCACCACCTCCTATCCCTCCAAGCCCTAGACCTCCTGCACCTCCAAGCCCGCCACCGTCCCCACCTAGCCCTTCACCACCTTCCCCACCCAGTCCTTCGCCTCCCTCCCCTCCCAGCCCTACACCACCCTCTCCGCCTAGCCCCACACCTCCCTCCCCACCCAGCCCTTCACCACCTTCTGCGCCTAGCCCCACACCTCCCTCCCCACCCAGCCCTTCACCACCTCCTATCCCTCCAAGCCCTAGACCTCCTACACCTCCAAGCCCGCCACCGTCCCCACCTAGCCCTTCACCACCTTCCCCACCCAGCCCTTCGCCTCCCTCCCCACCCAGCCCTTCACCACCCTCTCCGCCTAGCCCCACACCTCCCTCCCCACCCAGCCCTTCACCACCTTCTCCGCCTAGCCCCACACCTCCCTCCCCACCCAGCCCTTCACCACCTCCTATCCCTCCAAGCCCTAGACCTCCTACACCTCCAAGCCCGCCACCGTCCCCACCTAGCCCTTCTCCACCTTCCCCACCCAGTCCTTCGCCTCCCTCCCCACCCAGCCCTTCACCACCCTCTCCGCCTAGCCCCACACCTCCCTCCCCACCCAGCCCTTCACCACCTTCTCCGCCTAGCCCCACACCTCCCTCCCCACCCAGCCCTTCACCACCTCCTATCCCTCCAAGCCCTAGACCTCCTACACCTCCAAGCCCGCCACCGTCCCCACCTAGCCCTTCACCACCTTCCCCACCCAGTCCTTCGCCTCCCTCCCCTCCCAGCCCTTCACCACCCTCTCCGCCTAGCCCCACACCTCCCTCCCCACCCAGCCCTTCACCACCTTCTCCGCCTAGCCCCACACCTCCCTCCCCGCCCAGCCCCTCACCACCTCCTATCCCTCCAAGCCCTAGACCTCCTGCACCTCCAAGCCCGCCACCGTCCCCACCTAGCCCTTCTCCACCTTCCCCACCCAGTCCTTCGCCTCCCTCCCCACCCAGCCCTTCACCACCCTCTCCGCCTAGCCCCACACCTCCCTCCCCACCCAGCCCTTCACCACCTTCTCCGCCTAGCCCCACACCTCCCTCCCCACCCAGCCCTTCACCACCTCCTATCCCTCCAAGCCCTAGACCTCCTACACCTCCAAGCCCGCCACCGTCCCCACCTAGCCCTTCACCACCTTCCCCACCCAGTCCTTCGCCTCCCTCCCCTCCCAGCCCTTCACCACCCTCTCCGCCTAGCCCCACACCTCCCTCCCCACCCAGCCCTTCACCACCTTCTCCGCCTAGCCCCACACCTCCCTCCCCGCCCAGTCCCTCACCACCTCCTATCCCTCCAAGCCCTAGACCTCCTGCACCTCCCAGCCCGCCACCGTCCCCACCTAGCCCTTCTCCACCTTCCCCACCCAGTCCTTCGCCTCCCTCCCCTCCCAGCCCTTCACCACCCTCTCCGCCTAGCCCCACACCTCCCTCCCCACCCAGCCCTTCACCACCTTCTCCGCCTAGCCCCACACCTCCCTCCCCACCCAGCCCCTCACCACCTCCTATCCCTCCAAGCCCTAGACCTCCTGCACCTCCCAGCCCGCCACCGTCCCCACCTAGCCCTTCTCCACCTTCCCCACCCAGTCCTTCGCCTCCCTCCCCACCCAGCCCTTTACCACCTTCTCCGCCTAGCCCCGCGCCTCCGACCCCACCTAGCAGCCCTCCAGCCCCTTTTCCTCCAAGCCCTATGCCTCCTACGCCACCTAGCCCTTTTCCTCCTTCATTTCCTAATAGTCCTGGACCACCCTCCCCTCCCAATCCTTCAACTCCTTCCCCACCGAGCCCTAGGCCACCTTCGTCACCAAGGCCCTTCCCGCCTCCACTCCCCAGCCCGTTAAGAGCTTTCCCAGCGCCGCCGCCCTACCTCAGCCCCTCGGCCTCGGGATCCCTCATGGTCGTGGTCAAAGTCACGTTACTGTTGCAGTGTCCCGTTGATCCAACCAGGACCCTTATCGTGTCGACTACCTATGAACTGCATGTGAACTTCAACTTCATCAACGTTTTTGCTGGCTTTCCGGTGGGTCGTTGCCATGCAATACTTTAACTTTGTTCTGCAGTACGTTTGCCTCCATGCATGTATGCCCCGCACACGCGAGCGCACCCGGGTGTGATGGCTCATGGTAAAGAGGATGCTTGCTTGCGCACCGGCCGTACACCTGTATGTCCCATTTATTTGCGGCTTCACTAGCGTCAGTAGCACCAACCGCGTTATTACATATACTGGTTTGGCCTCCTGCTGCGGCCTGCTGCTGAACGTCTTCCCCAGGATGGCTCCGGGTACGCAAGCTGCGATGCGGGTGTGCAGGCGGGCTTCCTGATGGGCCTTTCCGGTGTGCTGGGTTTGCCTGCTGGCAACGTGACGTCGCTCTGTGCGGACACCGCGTCTGCCGGCGGAGGCGATGCAGCGACCAGCAACCGGCGCAGCTTGGCAGATAACACGGTTAGTTTATATACCGGTATCGTACGGGCAGTGCTTCGTTCTTCGGGGATCTCGGCTCTTAGCCAGCTTGAGATAAAACATTTGCGCTAAGTAGACGTTACGCCCAATACATGTAAGTCCTTGTGTACATATTATTGCTGTACCTGCCGTAACCCGGCACAAGCGCCGTTTAGGGCTAGAACTTCATGCATGCACGGCTGCTGTATGCTCACAACATGATTAACAACCAGGCCCGATGGGTTTGCTGGCCCCATTTATGTGCCCCTCGCACGCAGTCAACTTGCAGTCCGCGGGTATCGAACACCCTGCTTCTAAAGCTGGACCCCACCACCCCTGTGGACGTGATGAAGACCACTCTGCACTCAGCGCTGACGGCTAGTGGCGTGTGCGCGCTGGGGCCTGTCGACGGCGACTGGGCATCTACAGGTGCTGAGGTAAGCAAGCAAGCACGCAAAGCAAGCAGTAAGGCAGTCAGCTACTGACCTGTACTAGCAACGGTTGCCTACCTGGTGCGTGACTGCGCGTTGCTTCTGTAAGGAACAGGCAGGACCGTCTACTGCACTTCTGCTGTACTGCTGCAGTAGTGAGCTATGTGCCGCCTACACTGCTCGTTGAGATGTATGTGGACTACCTATCACCACATGTAATGCATTTTGTTTGGATTGCTGCTGGCTGCCTGGCCCCAAACGTGTCATCGCCATCACAGGTTGAGGTTCTGTCTACGCCCGGATCCGGTCTTGAAGATTGCATCTCCCTCGCTAACGCCGTGCTGCCGACACTTGAGGGCGCCGGCGTCTCAGCAGCAGGATCCTCAACTTCTAACTGCAGCGTGTCGTACATCAGTCAGACCAGCCTCATGGACGATAACCCGTCACACGGCGGCATCTCCAAATCCAGCGCCATCGGCATAGCTGGTGCTGGAGCAGCCGTCCTGGGTGTTCTGGTCATGGTCGCTTTGGTGGTGTACCGCAGGCGTAAGAAGGTAAGCTTGGAACGACCGAGTTGCTCGCATGGCGGTGATAAGATATGGCATGTCTACCCGACTGCTGTTGCTCAAAATAGGTGGATAGATAGATGCCGTCCCCATTCCGACCGCCCCGGACACAGTGTGTGGAAAGCAGTTTGAGCACAGCGACAGTGGGCCTCCCATGCACGGCACTGGCTTAGACGTCATGCGTGTTGTCCGCACGGCATTCTGCTCTATCTTTGCCTAGAACTGCACGCAACCGTGTGAGCCGAACCACATATCCAAATTTTGCGGTATTCCAGGGTACCCAAACAAAATGGCCTGACGCGCTCACTGCTATGCGCATACCGTATGTGCAAACCCCCGCTACACACACAGAGACGACGAAGCTCCACTGCACCCAGGCCAATAGAGTACACTTATGCGGCCAACGAGGAACGTCCTTCGCCTCATAGTGCCTGGCTGGAAAGGCAGAGTGTTGACGCATGTCAACCGCAACACAACGTCGACTCCGGTCTCACGCTTGGTTCCGCTTCATGCGCCACACGAGAGGGGCCACAACTCCATCTGTTGGCAGGCAGCGACAGGGATGCTGACGCCAGCGTTGCGAGCGGCAATGTACTTGCAGGCACGCCGGCGAGCAACCAATGCGTCGACGTCACCCAGGTCACAAGTAGTGCTGTCGTTTTCAGTGCGTTGAATCTTCCAAGAAGCGGAGGCGATACGTCTTTGCAAGTAGCTGATGACTCAGCAGGTCCGCGCGCACACAAGGGTGCAGCCGCCCCAGCAGCAGCAGCTGCCACCAGTAGCATGCCTGCAGCAGCAGCAGCACCCGAGCTGGAAACCCAGCAGCACCAAGCCGCTGTACGGGGCAGACTGCCTGCACTAGACCCAGCACTGTACCCCCACGCCCCTGCATCTCCCTTCCGCGCAAGTAAGCGCCTGGAGCAGCAGGCCCGACTGACGCCGCTGCCGCAGGCCCAGGCGGCCCCGACAGGCACTGGCAGGCCCGCTAAGCTGCCTCCCATTGCTACTGATGACAGCAACAGCAGCCCATTGGCAGCAGCCTTGCAAAGTCCACAACCCGTCCCACTCAGCGGCCAGCAGCCCGTCACGCCATCCGCGGCGAGCAGCGGAGCAGATGGTCGGAGAAGCTCCCACGTGCGTTCCGCATCAGAGGCAGCCAACACCGGTACCATCACGCCGTCAAGCCCCGGTTCTGCCACCGTTAGCTATCAGGAGCAGACAGCAGCTGCAGTACGACGCGACCCAGCAGCAGACAGCCGCCGCCCAGTGCTGGGAGGTGACAGCAGACAGCAGTGTCTCTCGCCGCGTAAGCATGCCTACCTGCACTTGGGCACTGGTAGCAGCAGGGAAGCAGCACAAACAGCGGCTGGTGGAACGCCTTCCGTTAACGACGGGGCTGGACAGGAACGACCCACGGTTCAGCTGCCAGGCACCCCTCTGTTTGGGAGGCCCAGCAGCAGCAGTGTAGCGTCGACCAGCAACTACTGCGATGGTCCAAGCATCGGTGGTGATATGGCCCCTGCTGGGCGCCAGCAGCAGCACGATTCAACCGTCCTGGAGCCGCCTGCGTGCAGGGGGAGTACCTGCGAGCCAAGGGGCTGATGAGTTGGGCAGAGGGCGGCGGCCAAGTAGCGCGAGCGACCAGGGTTATTATGATAAAGGATGCTGAAAAGGCTATCCTCGCAAACCTTGTCGGTGACGCAAAGAATGTTTTAACACCGGCGGTAGGTTAATTGTACAGTGCAATTGAGTGTGGTATAGTTGTATATTTGAATGTGGCATAAGAGGACGAGGTTATAGAACCCTGGTCCACGATGGACCCACGGGTCGTTCCCCGGCAACGCTGTGTACGGGCATTGTTCGTGCACACGGTGTATGCCGAACAGAAGTGGGTCGAGTAGCCGAAGAGAGTTGGGTGCTGTGTTCATGCGTCCTGACGCGTGTGCTGCGGGGGTTCGTCACCCGTGCGTGTCATCTTGTTGGGATCCGCTGCAAGGGTTATAAACTTATAATCATTCTTTTACTTAGCTTCTGCTGGTAGACCGCAAGCCTGCAACCGCCGCGCACGACATTTGGGTTTGCTGTAAGCATGGGATAGCATGGCATTGACCAAGCTCCTACCCGAGACGGCTATTGTCAGGGGGACACGCGGGGCGAGGAGGGGTCTGTATGTCATCAGGACGTAATGATAGAATGGAACGTATGTACATAGCGACGGGACCAGTTGAATGCCCGCAGTCTTCAAGTACTTCAGGACAGATGTGAACTGCATGCCTCTGCCTGTGAGATGTCGATGGCTCGGTGCCAGACGTGTTGTTTGCCGGCTGCGTGCAATGTAAACGACCGGGTGGTGTTGCCACTGTGTGGGGCGCATTTGGGTTATTAGTTTGGATCTGCTGTCGATGTGCAGGAGATGGGGCTGAAGGTAAAGTCAACATGCATGCACGTAAAATTTCGGTGCGCTGATGTTTTGCGCTACTTGGCGGCTTTGGTTGGGGATGCCAAGGTGAAGCGTGGGTCAGCTTGTGTCTATGAACAGCTGTTGCCGCTGATGAGTCAAGTGGTGAAGGGCCGCTGAGGAGCTAAGTGGTATGGAGGATTCCAGCGTTGAAGCGTGTGACTGGCAACTACGCCACTGCACTGCGTCGACAAGCCATTCTTCCTTCCTGGAAGCCCTTGCCGCTGTCCTCTTCCCGTCACTTAAAGCACGTGGCAGTGCGGCCGTGCTTGCTTGCACCCCTGCAATAAGGTGCGACGCGGTGTTTGTCTGGAGTCAACCCTGCGGTTGGACCATACGACACTTACCGGTAACTGGTGGATACACACCGTGTGGATGGTTTGTGGGTGTGTGGCCCCCTCACCTGCTACTCGCCGTTATCGGGGTCTCACCAATACATGTACCTTTGCATGCGCTACCCATATGCATTGCCTTCCCGGTGCTTGGCGACTGCTTGGCAGGCGCCACACTCGCCAGGAGGGGCACGGGGCTCGCGGCAAGACCACAGACCGCTTAGCGCGTCCTGACAGCGTATACATATGGCCTTGTCCAGGATCCAAAGCGCTTTACGTGGGCATCGCATCGGCGGTTCAAGCACGCCCAGCAGGGTTCACGCTGTGTCATGGCGCTGATGGCTGGGCGGCAAAGGAAAGGCCATGGCAGCATTGCGGCATTCAGGACAGCTGTGGGACGTGGCCATGGGGTGTGCGGCAGGGTGTTAAGGAAACTGGAGGAACTTTCGCGAGGAGTAACTGCCTTATGGTCTAATTGCCCGGGGCCAGGAGGGTCATAAGCTGCGATGCTGCATATTGGAGTGACGGTGGGGTGCAGTGCAAGGAAGCACAGATGGCTTGAATTTTACAGGTATCCAAAGCAGGTTGCTATTCTCTTTGTGCAGCCACGATGTTCGGTTCAGAGCTTCGTGACCTGTTGCGCCTTTTAGCTTGACTACTTGCCGTGCTGCTTGCTAGGAGACAAGTAGGGTGCACGGCCGCGATCCAATACGACGTTAACTGCCTTCGACGTGAGGCCTAGCCTATCCGAAGTCCTATTCGAATTGTAGCAACACCATATACATAGTATCTATAGAAAGCTAGCGCATGCACTCATGCAAGCATTGTGCAAACAACACTACGGGAAAGAACAGCTTTACTTCATGAACGTCGGTTAAGGCTCCGGACTTTCTGTCCTACGCCTGAAAGCTTGATCGATAGACCATGGTAAGCAGTGTGAATTAAATGGGGACAGTGTGCTGCGCCCGGGGTTGCGCCTTCGGCTTAGAGCTAGAGGACGTATTGCCACTTCTTCCTACCTCGCAGTCGCACAGCTATGACGAAGTGATGTATGTCTTCCCTTCTTTGGGAGGTCGGGGGTCTTGTCTATGTGGATATGCCTTGCGCCGCGTCCATTTCGCCAATGCCATCTTGCTAACTGTGTACTGGCGTTTTGTGTTCACCCTAACTAGGTTATCACCGATTCTAATCTTTTCAATAGCCAGGTAAGAGTTAAAGGGATTGTCGCAACGCAACCGGTATACAGCTTTCTGCACAGCGTTGTTACAGCCATGGATAATACCCCTTAGGTTGCCATTGTTTCCAGCTGTCCTAACGGGTTCTGGGTGGGGGCTTTAATCGGAGAGGGAAGTCTGTGCGGACAACTAAAGCCTAGGCTCGAAGGGAACCGCGGACGATACCAGATCGAAATTAGTGCTGTATTAGAAGCTGGTTGTGTAATAAAGCTTTTAGAGCGCGCAAGTCGAATAGCGCACCTGCCATGCCACCCTGTCAATAGCACTAACCTGGTATACTGTGCGCCATAGGTGGATGACGACGACGCCGTAATATCTTACGAAGGCAACGAAGCTAATCCGGCGCACTCGGAGCGGCCGGGCAGGACCGGAGCATCGCAGCAGCGCGACTTCCAGGACGACGGCTCGGGTTTAGGGGGCTTGGATGATGAGGTGTCTGAGAATTTCTCATCCAGCACGTTGATGCTTGACGGCAAGCCGCGTAGCACACACTCACGTGTGCCTTCGCAGCGTGCTCCGTCCAATGCCAGCGGTCGCGGTGGGGGCAATCGCTCAGACTTTGGCGACGATCTCCCCGGCGATGGTGACAGCAAGCTCCCTTCTGAAGCAGTCGCGGGTCATTCTCCTCACCATAACGCCGCAGGCGGTGAATCTTACGCCGCCGATGATGTCCTGGGTGCCACCGTCAGCTCATCCATCGCGCTATCTGAGTCAGCTTTAGAGCATCCCGGCAAGCCGGCGTCCCGGCGGGCACCGTCCGCAGCACCCAGCAGCAAAGCTCCTTCCGAAGCAGGCGCTGGGCGTAACACGCGGACCGGTATTGCCGCGGGCGGCAACTCGCAATCCTCGGAGATCGTGCTGGGGGAGAGCGCTTTGGACGACGGTCCTGCGGATGCAGCATCCGAGCGACGCGGCAAGCCGTCCTCCCACCGCGCACCATCCACTGCAGCAGGAAGCACTCGAGGAGGAGGAGCAGGAGGGTCGGAGGCAGGCGGCGCGCTCTCGGCCCGTTCCAGCTTCGTCGGAGGCGACACCTACTCAATTGACTTTGACGGTGCTGCTGCTTCAGAGGCGCCGGCGACAGCTCCTTCGCCGCCGGTCCGGCGGCGATCCTCCCTTGCTAGCTCCCTCCGGCAATCCGTGGCGTCCCAGAAGTCCCTTTCATCACCAGGACCGCCACCGCCAGCAGCAGCAGGGACAGCAGCTTCACCCGCCGGCGGCGGCAGCGAGCAGCACCAGCAACACGGGGTGGCGGCAGCTGCGGCAGATGCCTCCCTGAGCTACAGCATTGCACTGGACGACACAGCCAGCGTCCGCTCCGGTGCTGCTGCTCCTCCCGCTGCTGCTTCCCGACGCACCAGCGGTTCACATTCGCCGGCCGTCCAACCACCTGCGGCAGCCCATTCGCCAGCAGCAGCCCTGCCAGCCGGTTTCGGAGCCGCTGGCTCGGTACGGTCTGGCCGTTCCGCCGCGGCGTCATCCTCAATTATACGCAGCGCAGGAACCACCGCTACTGGTGCCGCTGAGAGCCACGCGGACTACAACCAAAGTTCGGACTCCGTTGAGGCGGGGGCAGAGGCGGAGGCGGGGGGCGATGCAGCCAGCGCACGATCTGGGTCGCGTCGCAGCGGCAACGCCACGCCGCCTCGAGCCGGCCCGGGCTCGGCACACAGCGCATCCGTCCGCTCCGCGCACTCCGCTGCTGCGCACGTGCCCTCGCCTCACACACCGGCGGTTGCGGCAGCAGCCACGGCAGGAAGGCCGGGCAGTGACGGCAGTGATTACGACCAGAGTGGCGATGGCTTCGAGGATGAACCCTTGGACGATGATTCAGAGGAGGAGGAGGTTGCCAGCAGGCGCTCTGCACCCGCGTCCGCGCACGGCAAGGCCGGCGGCAGCGGCGCGGTCGCCTCCGCATCAGCCATCCGCGGCACGGCCCCCTCGGTGTCCGGATACTCTGCTCGTTCCGCCAACACAGCTCGAAGTGCGGGCGGCGCCCGGATGAGCGGCACTTACAGTCAGGGCACGGGCGCGTTCGAGGACGAACCCCTCACGGACGAACCCGCGGAGAGCGTGTTCGCAGCTTCTGAGAATGCGGTTCCACACGGGTCAAAGCGCGCCAGCGGATCCGTGTTGGGCACCCCCCGTGCACCCTCGACATCAGGTGTTTCCGTGTCTAGTCGCCGTACGGGCAGAAGTACGATTATGGCAATGGCGGCTTCGGAGCATCCATCCGGTGGCGGGGATCACTTGCGGCACCCTCATGCTGATGAGGCGTACCCGGGGGGCCCCGGTGAGGGCTTCCTGGCCCCAGGCTATGACAGTGTGGGTGACGTGGGCGAGCCCTCCGTGGCATGGCAGGCGCCGGCTTCGGAAAGCGGTCAAAGCACGGTCAACGCAGGAGGTGGCGGTGGAGGTGGTGCTGCCGGTGGTGGCGGCGGCAGCAGCGGTGCTGCGGGCGCTAGTGCCAGCATGTCTGGCAGCATCTTCCAGCCGGAACCCACTTCTGCTAGTGCAGCCGCTCGCAATCGCCGTCCAGGCAGTGCCGTTTTCCGTCGCCTGCCCGCGGATGCGGGCGCGGACAGCAACACAGCGCACCCCCACCATCATCACCACCATGGCAACAACGACCCGCACCACCACCATCACCGTGCCTCTTCCGCTCGCAGCTCCGCAGCAGACGATTCCGCCTCCGGCCTTTTCGGCCTGGAGGAGGAGGACGACTGGAACGAGGGCGCCATCCGCGTCGCTGCGCCGGGCGTGCAGCAGCGGCAGCAGCGGCTGGACCGGCCCGCCTCCGCCTCGCCTCGCGACCTGCGGGCCAGTGCGGTGGAGGGGCTGCCTCGGAAGCACCCCGCCTCCTGGGACTGCGTGGAGGTGGCCAACTGGGTGGAGTTCCTGGGGCTGGGGCAGTACCGCAGGTGAGGGAGGGGGGGACCGGAGATGTACCAATCCACAACTGAGGGTGAGACCTAAGGGGATAGGAGGCGGCAGAGGGAGAGGGGAGAGGAGGGAGGGTCTTCTCCCAGACCTTTTCTGCATCGCCGCTCCTTCGCTCACGTAAATTTCCCAACTCCATTCCCTCCCTAGCTCAACCCCCTCCTCCTCCCCTCCTCCTCTCCTCCTTCCCATCCAGGCGCTTCCTGCACCACTACATCGACGGCCGCCTGCTGCTGCAGCTCTCCGACGCCCAGCTCAAAACCGAGCTCGGCATCGCGCCCGCCGTACACCGCCGAGCCATCCTGGACTCCGCCGGCGCGCTGCTGCGGCAGTTCCACGAATCCCAGCGGGAGCGCATGCTGGCTGCATCCTACCACGAACACGCATCCAACCCGCATGCTTCTGTCACCGTCACCACCACCTCCGTCTCCCCCGGCCGCGGCGAGTCCCCGGGTCGCAGCGCTGCTGCTGCTGGTTACACAGACGACAGCGTCGGAGGCAATACCCGACGGGAATACGTTCGCCCCGGTAGCGCCCCTAGAGCTGCCGCCCGCGCCCGCACCCGACCCGCCAGTGCGTTGCCGGGGGGTGCAGTCGAGGCCTCACCGCGGGCTGCAGGCGCCCAGGGGAGTCCCGCGGCGCGGCGGCGGCCTTCGTCTGCGTCACGTGCCGCCCCGCTGGTGCCCCCGGATGCCTACCTGGGTCCTGCCATGGGCAAGGTGACGGCGTACGAGCAGCGGTCCAAGCTGCTGTTTGAGCTGGACAGAGCGCAGGCCCGCGCGGAGCAGCACCGAGTGCTGGCGGAGCAGCTGCAGCACAAGGCGCAGCTGTCCGCCAAGGACGTGGCTCGCGCGCGGGGGGCGCTGCTGGATAATGAGCACAAGAACAAGGGGGCGTTCGGGCTGATGATGGGGGCAGCGGTTGCGGGCGGGGGACCGGGCAGTGTGGGGCTGATGATGGGGGGGAAGGACAACAAGTCGTTCATCCCTTGGTGCCCCGTGGGCAAGAGAACTACGGTGAGAGGGGGGAGGAGGTGGGGAATGAGGAGGCGGGGCTACCTCCAGGGAAGGGAGGTGGGAGAGGTAGAGAAGGAAGCTGATGGTGAGGAGGATGCCACTGGCACACAGATGGCGTCGTGTGTGTATGTGTGTCTCAGCACGGCAGCATGCGTCATGCAGCTACCCCCGCCCCACTGCCCCTTTTCCTTACCCCACCCCCTTTCCCCCATCCTCACCCAGAACATGAACTGGCACCCCGAGCGCTTCGCGCGCCCCGGCGAGCCTGACACGGTGGACCTCACCTTCCAGCCGCGCTGCACCAACGCGGAGAGCAAGAAGCTGCTGGGGGAGCGGGGCGGCAGTCCGGGGGGCGGGCGGGGGGGCAGCCCGGGGGGCGGTGCGGGGGAGGGGGCGGACCAGTCGGCGGTCGTGAATGGCTTCTTGGAGCGCCTGAACAACGACCTGCGCAAGCGGGAGCAGTCGCGCAAGGTAGGGTAGGGGGGTGAAGAGGGGGAAGTGGGGGTGGGTGGGGGTAGCGGTATCACGGAAGATGGGTGATGGGGGTGGAGAGGGGGAGGAGGGGTCAGGGCACGCAGTCGCTGTGGAGCGTGTCACCCGCGGGGCCGGTGGGTCGCATCAGGCGTCGCGTGGCAACTTGTCCTTCACCGGCCCTCGCCCTCATTAACCCTAGCCCTCGCCCTACCAAAGCCCCATCGCATCCTCATCACCCCCTCCCCCCCATCTCCCCCCCGTCCCCCACCTCTCAGGAGCTCACCCGGCGCTACTGGAGCGAGGGCAGCGGCGCTGCAGCCGCCAAGCAGGCTGAGGCGGACTGGAAGCTGGTGTCGGAGGCGCTCAGCAGCCGCTGCAAGATGGACATGGGCAGCGAGCCGGCGGAGTATGAGGGGCAGATTGATGAGGTGAGGGGGGTGGGAGTGGGGGTTCAAGAAAGACCAAACCATAGTAACCCAGCCCAGTTCAAAAACACGACCAAACCATAGTAACCCAGCCCAGTTCAAAAACACCCCCTCCCTCTCATCCCCCTCCCTCCCTCCCCCTCCTCCTCTCCACAGGCCATGTCCAAGCTGAGCACCTCCGAGAGCTGGCGCGAGGCGGGGCTGCGGGACGGCCCCATCAAGGCCGCCAAGGGGCCCGCCAAGGTGGCAGCGGCGGCGGCTGCACTGCGCTCGCTGTCCTTCATGGAGAGGTACCGCTCCGACCTGAAGAGCAAGGACAGGAAGCTCAAGGTGGGTAAAAAAATATATATGATGAGACACTGGCGAACGTCCATACCCCCCTCCACCCCCCCCCCCAACGTTCCGCACTGGGATGGGGTATAGGATTGCGTGGCAAAAGGTGGGGGTGGATCCGGCAGGTTCCTTTGCTGGGTCGCAGTGGAGCACCTGTCCGCGCTGCTACCCTCACCCCCGCACCTTCCTCACCCGCACCTTCCTCAACCGCAACCCCCCCCCCCTCACCCTCACCCCCCCGGCACCCCCCTCCCCCGCCTCCTCCCCTCAGGACCTTGAGAGGAAGTGGCTGAGTCAGACGCTGGGCACCCAGTACCTGCCCAGCGCCAAGGACAAGGAGGACCTGGAGCAGGCGGTGCAGTTCTTCGCGCTGCTGGGCTGGCGCGACGACGACGGCAGCCCGGCGGAGGCGGCGGTGCAGCCCTACCTGCTGGACAGGCTGCTGGAGTGAGTGGGGAAGAGGAAGGGGGGAAGGGGAAGAGGGGGGAGGGAGGGGACTTTCGTGATGTCAGCGGGGCAGGCGGAGGGTGTTGTTGTGCCTCTTGTTGCCTACGCGCTCGTAGCTAACAGCTGTGGGGGAATCCCCTCCCTCCCCCCTCCCCTCCCCACTCCTCCCGCTGCAGACGTGCCATCGCCTACCGCAAGCAGTACGACCGCTGGTGGCAGCGCGTGAGGGACCGACCCGAGGTGGGGCGCAGTGTTGGGGTGGGGGGCGACAGCGGAGGGAGCAGGGTGCGGGGTGCTGCAGTGCTGCTGCCCCCTGGGGGGGTACCGTGTGTAGGGTGGTGTACAGCCGGATGATGCGCTGCCCCGCGCCTCCTCACGCCCTCTCAGCATCCCTATGGCACCCCACCCTACTCCTGTACCCCATGGATTATGAAACCCACCCCACCCTCTCTCTCCCAGGAGCGCGCTGCCGGCTTCCACTGCGAGATCGACTGGACTCTCCCCCCCTGGGACACGGACGGCCTGGCCGCCCCCATGGAGGAGGAGATGGAGCGCATGGCACTGGCGGCGGAGGCGGCGGCAGCCAGTGGGGCGGGTGAGGCGCTGGGGGGAGAACAGGGGTGGGCTTGGAGGGAGGGAGGGAGGGAAGGAAGGAGGTAGGGTTGGGCTTGGAAGGAGGGGGAGGTGGCCACGCAACCAACTCTTCCTTACCGGTACCCCTCACTCCACACAACCCCCCCTCCAATTGCCTAACTTCTCACTCCCCCTCTCCCCCCACCAGGCGGCACCCTAACCCAGTACGGCACCGGTTTCGCCGCGGTGGACGTGGCCCCCGTGGCTCCCGGCCCCGGCCCCAGCAGCCGCGGGGGGCAGCAGCACCCGCAGCTGCGCGCCTCCTCGGCTGCCGCGGGGGCGGGTGTGATGGACTTTGTGGACTTCACGGTCCGGCTGCTGGGGCGGGCGCACCTGGAGGACCTGCACAAGCTGATGACGCTGGCGGAGCGGCAGAAGAGGCTGGGGGTGTACCGGGCGGTGAGTTGGGGTAAAGAGGAAACAACTAACTGACTGAGGCATAAGGCGTCAACATGGGTTGCAACATGTGAGCCAGCCCGACCCGCCCAGCCCAGTTGGGGGGGTGGGGGCTGGGTGGGGGTTGACAGAAGGTGGATGATCCGCGCCGGCTTGAGTAGAACCCTTGCTTTGTGACCTCAATGCTTTGCCTTGTTGCGTGGACTCTATGGTTTGGTCTATCCCTGACCCCTGACCCCTGACCCCTGCCCCCTCATCCCTGCCCCCTCCAGATCCGCACCCAGAAGTTCATCGAGTTCACGCAGCGCGACATGGAGGAGCGCAACCGCAAGCTGCGCCACGCCTACGCCACCCTGGCCCCCGCGCGCCGCAAGGTGCCCTCCTCCCGCATCGAGGCGTTCTTCGAGCGGCTGGCAGAGGATGCGGCGCGGCGGCGGGCGCGGGCGGAGCGGCTGGCACACGACAAGGTGGCGAAGGAGGCGGCCATCCTGGCGTCGTCGGTGATTTACGGGCGGCCGAGGTCGGCAAGGTGACGAGGGAAGGGAGTGGGGAGGTGGTGGTGGTGGTGGGGTGGGGTGGTTGAGGAGGAGAGGGGAGGATGGGGAGGATGGCTATGTGGCATGGACTGCATAATGGTATTGGGAACGAAGGGGGAGGAGGAAATGTGGTCGTCCTCTGTGCTTTTGGTGGGTTGCAAGAGGGGAACGGGGGTTGTCCAGAAGGGGGACGAGGGCGTTGGGAGGTGAGGGCAAGAATGCGATGCATGGATGCACAGTGGAAGGTGGTAGGGGGTGAAGGTAGATCGTAGTACAGCAAAGGAAAGGAATCCGTGAAGGAAGGAAGCGCAAGAGGTTTGGGCTTGGGCTAGCTTGGACTGAGCTTTAACAGCGGCTAAAGGGATGATGCTTACAGATGCTTGCTTGTGGAGTTCTTGTAAGGGAACGAGGAACAGGAGGTAGTAGCGTGGGTTACACGCTTCAGCTGTAGGCGTTGGCTGGCGCTTTGCTGCTTGGATGGCTGACTGGGGGGGTGTGCGGTGCACTGGGAACGAAGGTTGGAGTTGACTCGTCCGCTGTGCTGTTGTTGGGAGTGCTGTGCTGTGGCGCGTGGCTGCGACTGGCTCCTGAACGTGATGCTTGGCCCCGTGATGCCCCGGCCCCGGCTGCTCTTGCTGCTGCTTGCATGAGCTACCGGTAATAAGGCTTACGTGATTACTAAACGCTCGTTGTGATAGGTTTTACTTTGCGTACGTGGTTGCTTGCTTGCATACCGTAGTTATGTGGGGACTTTGGTTTGGGTTGCCATTAGAGACCGTAGCAATGGGGAGTGGCTGTGAGCCGTGAGATGTCGTTGCGGTCCGTTGGTACGTCGGCGGCGGTTAGCGGTTGTATTAGTTTGGGGCTATGCTGAAGGGGCTACGCTGAAGACACTTGCAGAGCTGCGATGCTCGTTTGGCTGTAGTTGAACTGTTGACCTTATGACCCGTCTTGACGTGCAAGGTGCTCCACGCCTCTTGTCCTGCCGAGCTCATGTATTAACAGGCACGTTGGCCGCTTAAACTTTCACAATAGGGGAGGGGGGCACGGAGCATAATGAACTTGTAATATGCTAGGTAGCGTAGAAGAATCGCTGGGTCTGAGAGATGCTGTGCCCTTCTGTACGACAGCACCCAAGTGACTTCCGCCCATATCTGGACCGTTCGAGTTTCTAAATGTAAGCCGATCTATTATGATGGAGAGTATGTCGAAGCCCATGGTGAAAACCCAATAAACGCCCAAACACAAGAATCAGCATGTTCGCTGAGCTCCTGCTTGTTTCAGTTAGGAGCTGCCAGCGAAGCTTTTCACAATCTGCGCAGGGGGGGGGTAAGAAATTTTCTTATAAACCCCAACCCGAAATTTCCAAAGAGAAGGCCTCGGAGCCACCCACCCACCGCCAAGCGTGTCGTACAACCTGTAAACTATGCCAAAACGCCGGGGAAAAAAGCGTCTAGGTTCCTCTGCGCAAGCTCTATTAAATGCAGTCGAAAAACCCCAAACCCCCTGGGAAGTTAATGTCACAGCGTTGCACTATGGACGGCTAAGGTAACCATGTTCTTGGCCCCAGCTTGACTGATGTTATGTATTTGGCGCCTAGGAAGCACCACGGCCCTTCCATTTGCGCCATACCACCGCAGTTCTGTTTTCACCAACCGAGACAACGGCGCCACCACGTTCCAGGTCCCTGCTCCTGCCTCTTCTTCCCCCTGTGGCACGGGGCCCTCGACCATAGCCCCTGGTACCAATTCCCACGCCTTCTTGTTTCTGTGCTCAGCATCCCCACCCCATTCGTGGTCACTGTAAGTGCTTTCTCGCAGCTCTGTCTACTCCAACCCCGCATCCTCAGTCGTGCTCCACATCCATGGGGACACGCGACATGCTGCTATGCTAGGCCTTTACAAAGGGCCGACTAGCCGCGTTCGCAATATATGTTTTCTACATAAGTTGTTTCTTGTACGTTTGGGGATTGGGCAGTCCCGTTCGGCTACCGTGGTTCAGAGGTGAAGTGTCAATGCAACATCGGAAGCCGAGAAGTGACCATTTTGTTGATAGAACTAATTCTGTGTATAAGAAACGAAGAAAGGATGGCAATACAGCTTTCAAAACACTAACATGAGGCCTGGAAAAAATTTTCCGGAGGTTCATGTAAAAAAGTCGTTGGGGCCCTGAACCCACCCACCCACCCCTGCCGTACCACCAACTTTGCAAGCCCATAACTTTTTCCATACAACTCTAAACAGAAATCTGAAAACAGATTCGGAATCCCCACGCAAAACTCCTTCGATTTAAGGGTTGGGGTCTATTTTTGCGGTTCTTACCCCCCCCCTGATCTGCGTCAAATTATAGCCAGCTTCTAGCTGTTTCTCAGGGCGAACTTTTTCCCACAGGCTTGCTCAAAACACCAGCATCTGGCTTGACATACCGGTACACCGAATTGTCAGAGCAGTCAACATGGCCTTCCCCTTCTACGTGGAAAAATCTGTGGCAGTATGGCACGGCCGATGTCCCTAGCAGCGCACGACGGACCGTCTCCTCTTCGTGTCTGGTCGAGTGCTCGGCTGGACTTTCGTCCCCGAAAGGAGCTTCTGCGGATGTGAATGTCCTGGTCAATTCCATCAAAAACACCGTCTCGGTAAGGATGCTGGAGATGTTAAAATGCACCATCGACAGATGAGGAACTCATGCAAACCTACGCTTCTACACAGCTGTGCCTTAAATCGATTTCATCTATTCCGCACCTCGCCAGGACGGCATGACAAGAGGCAAGCTGAAGGACCCGGCCTTCCGCAACACGCTCTCCACCCTTGCCGCTGACTTTCTGCCGCACGTGGACCGGCTGAAGGTGCCTGCTCACTGCACTGGGCCGCTCTGGGCGTGCGCAAGGGCGGGCTTCTGGGAGGGCGGCCTCACAGCAGCGCTGCTTGCTCGCCTGGGGCGCGACAATTGCTCGTTGCTGCATCAGTCAACCAGCAAGGAACACGTGCATCTGTGGTTAGCGTTGAGCAACGCCCCGCCATCCGTACTGGCCGGCTCTGTACGGCTGCTCCGTGCAAGCTCGGCATGCCTGCTGCAAACGCCTGCAGAGCAGCTGCATCCTAGGGTCTGTTACACTGTGCTTGTTGCCTGTAGCTCTCTCGCCGGCGAGCACGGCGGGGCTGGCGGGGGGGTGCAGTATGAGCTGATGCTGCTCCTGTCTGAGCTGTCTCCCCTGCTGCACCACCTGACTGGCATGTTCCTAAGCCCCGATCACCAGCATGACGAGGTGTCATGCGGTCAACTTGTTAACCTCACATGTGCGCTGGGCGAACTGGGGTTCTGCGGCCACGTGCCTAGAGCTGAACACCTGCAGCGGCTGACCGGTGTGGCGCTGGAGAGGCTGCACCGTCAGAAGCGGCAGCAGCGGCAGCGGGCAGCACAACGGCAGCACGCCAGGGAGGGGCGTGCGACCGCGGGGCCAGACGTTTTCACTCCCAGTCACGTCTCCAAGTTGCTGTCCGGTTATGTGAAGTTGGGCGTACGCGACCCGCGGGTGCTGCATGCGGTGGCGGCGGCGCTAGGGCAGGCAGCCGTGCAACAAGGCGGCGCAGGGGACGTACTGAATGGCACAGATTTTGCACTATCGCTGCACACCCTGGCGCTTCTGGAAGGCTCAGACCACGTATACAAGCTGGCGGCAAAGAAGGTGGTGTTGGGCCTGACAGAACGCCTGAGGCTGCGTCCATCGGAGTTCCCACCAGCACGATTATCTCAACTCCTGCACTCCGTAAGCCAGCTCCACTCATGCGGGAACATCCAAGGTGACGAATGCCACGCAGTGCTGTCAGTGATAGCAGCCGAGTGTGTACGGCGGCAATTTGAGGGCTTTTCACCGTACAACATCTGCACGACCGCTCGCTCACTCGCCCAATTGGGCTTTTAGCTAGCTCCCAAGGAATGCCACCCAGCCTTGCAGACGGCAGCTGGTGAGCAATGTGAGGAGGATGTCCAGGATGCTACACCACAGCAGAACGAGATGAAGCCCCCGTCGCTCATGTACAGCGATTCTGCTTGGCAGCAGCAGTCGCAGCAGCGGCAGCGGGTCGTGTTCTGGTCAGCGCTGGCAGCTGCCTGCGGGCGGATGAGGTTCCAGGGCTTCACAGCGTCCGAGCTGAGCAGCACTGCCTGGGCGCTGGCCAGGATGGGCTTCAGGGATTCTGGCTGGTACGTCACAGCGATGCGTGCGGCCCGGCAGCCTGCCTTTACGTGCACGGCAGAGGCCCGGGACTGGGCGACGCTCTGGCGAGCGCTGGCTACTGCACATGCGCGGGCTGCAGCTGCCGGCCTGCTCAGGGCGGTGGTGTCGTTGCACGAGGAGGAGCAGCAGCGACAGCAGCAGAGGGAGCACCGCGGAAGCAGCAGCAGCATCAGAAGCCGCAGCATCATCTGCGACGACCGGGGCATCCCAGTGGACGACCCCATTCAGCTCTTAGACAAGAGCGCTACGTACGGGGATTGCGTCAGCATGCTGTGGGCGCTAGCCGCGCTTGGTCTTTATGACAAGCAGTTGGTCCAGGCCCTGGGCAAACGGCTACATGCGCTCCTGCTGGGGCGAGCCGAGACGCTACCCAGCGTGAAACTAACCATCAGCCTCTGGGCGCTTGCGGAAATGGGTGACGACGCGCTGTCCCAGCACAGGGACTTGGTGCGGGTGTTGCTGGAGGAGGTGGTGCTGCGCTGGGAGGAAAGGCGGGAGGAGGGGAGTGGCAAGCAGTCCACCAATGCTCGCACCAGCACCGGCAAGCACTGCATGGGCGGCACCAGCTCTGGTGCAGACCCCAGCACGAGTGCTGGTGCTGCGGCCAGCACGGCCCCCAAGCTTCTGGCTGTTCCGCAACTTCGGCAGCTCTTGCGGGCGCAGCAGGCGCTGTTGGCGGCTGGCGAGCAGGAGCTGGCAGGCATCCTGGTTGCGGGCGGGCAGGGCAGCGGCTCGCTGTACAGGGCCATACAGGAGGTTGCAGCTGTTGGCGCTGTCGGTGAGGGCGAGGGTGACGGCGGGGCGGGGCAGGTGCAGCAGCAGGAGGAGGAGGAGGAGGCGGTGTTGCATGGCGTTGTCAGGTGCCGAGCAGTGGACAGTTAGGTTTGTTGGCGGACTGGAAGCTGGGTACATACAGCGTGTGTACCGGTGCAGTAGACAGCATTGTGGTGCGTACTATGCACGGTTGGGTTCTGGGTTGGGCCCCTTGTTTAGGCCCGGAGGTTACAGGTGCAGCAGGCAGTGCTTGGCCGTAAGGGTGTGCATGTATTACTGCTTATGCATATTGGTTGCATCAATTTGTGAATTTATGCCGAATGTGGAAAAATGGCAGTTATAATGGTTCTTCCCTGGAAAGGGAACATGAGTGGTTATGAACTCAACCCCAACCCACAGAGGGCCGCGTGTTGCTTGCCGCGCCCTGTCTAGGCTTGTAGGGAACTACCTGACACACGACCGAGCACATTCCAAGGTTATGGCCCAGAAGGTCAAACCCGATGAGCGGAGCCATGTCTGGTACTCACGATCGGTACGAGGGGGAAGTGTCGGGGCTGCATGACACCCACTGCATCAGGTCACGTTAACCATTACTTGAATTGACGCGGTGGTATGCGCAACGTGTTGGTAGGCAATGGCACTAAACGCGTGTGCGCTGTTAGTTACTTGTATCTAGTTAGGGCCATGACGCGTCACACGGACGCGGCTAGCAAGGAACTTCTTAGTTAGGAGCCTGTTGTGTACCCTTGGCCTTCTCAAGTGCCCGTGCACAGGGAGGACCGGTGTCCAGCCGGCATTAGAAAATACGCTCAGTGGGATACCACTGAGCTTAACGTTGCGGGCTATGCTTATTGATCAGGTTTGTGCAGCGACTCAAATGTCTCATTCCGACATGGTGCTGGGTGTAAACGGAATACAATGCGGCTTTTCTCCAGCTCACTGCAAGCGTTAATGTCATTTTTTATCTTGCTTTGGTCAGCTGCACGTTTACCGGTACTGGCTGCGAGTTTGCGCAGGAGCGGTTCAAAATAAACCCTATACTATTGCCGTCGAGTATTTGGACTCAACAGTGCTATATTCTTTTTTCTATAACTGCTATTTCCGCTGAGTTTGGGGAATCATGACCTTTACTTGGCCGTTAGCGGTTGAGCTCTTGCAGTCCCTTTGCTGGGGCCTGTATTGATTGTATGCGTATCATTGTGGCCAATTTCTGTTGTGGAGAAGTTAGCCTGAACCGACAAGTCGTCGTACAACCCTCCAGGAGTTGGCGAGTTGCCAGCGGTTGCACCCTTTCGCGTAGACCAAACGTCAATTTAGGACTCGAAGTCTAGCAGTTGTTTACTTAGTAACTTGTATGCCGAATACCTACCTCAGCGCTTGAACGTATCCTGACGTTGCTTGACTTCTGGTAACAGAGCGTCAAAACGTTTTACGCACTAAACCTGTAAATACGTACGAACAATGTAGTCTTGACGCTAGCCTAAAATTCTTCGGGTACAGACGTAGCGGCATGGCTAGCATACTTAAGTCGCCGGGAGCGGACGACGCTGGAGAAGCGGAGGGACTGCCGCTTGAGCGATTACGTGAGGTAGGCATATGTGTTGTGGCCAGGTCTGTGGCGTGTAGTGGGCGCTTTGTCTGGTATGGTCGGACATCCCGTGGCCTACTCGTAATGTTCCATGCGGAAGCGGTCTGTATCGTTGTGCACTTAATGGCTATTGTCTACCCTAACCGTGCTATATAAGGGTATAAATCCTGCAAGACTCTGTTGTGTAAGTGCTTGTGAAGCTTGTTCCCCCGCCAAAGATGCGACAACTGCCCGTTAACGTGCTTAGAAGGGAAGGATATGATGGGCTTTGCCTCCGGCTTTCTGCCGAGGAACATAATGTATATAATTATACATTTATAGAGCAACTTCAACGCTCTCTTCGCGCATTCCAACGACTCGCGACGTATGGCCATTTTCCCCGTCCCATGCAGTGCTTCCACCTATCGGCCCGCGATGCCTGCGCCCGGCTACACATCAGTCAATCAAAACTGAAAAAGCTTTGTAGACAGTATGGGATCTCGCGATGGCCGCACCGAAAGCTTGCATCATTGGCAGCGCTGCGAACCCAACTGCAGAACGATTCTGGAATTTCCTGTGAGGAACGGCAGGTAAGAAGTCCACCCGTATACAGAAGCCCTGAACCGGACGTTGTCTAAGGTTTGTGTGGTTCGGGCTGTACACCGTGTCCGTAAATGTACCTTGACAGTTGCATCTGATTTGCTGGCCCACATGATGCACTTTCTCCTCTTAATGTTAAGTATACTCAGCCTGCCTTGCCGCTCTCCATTTCCAGGCTGCGTGCCGTACACGCTGTTTTGTCCACCCGTACGGCATTGCAGTACCGGTTGTGCCTGTATGCACCTCGCTGAGGCATTCGGGTGGTCGCGAATAGCATACCTCAGTTATCTCTGCATACCTGTACGATGAATAGCACCTTCGGCAACAACCGTGGGTAATGCCGTGCGCTGACCATTTTGCATTTCTCCTCTTCTCTGTCCCTCGTCGTTCATTCCTTCGTAATCCACGTTTCCCATGCCTCGTGCTTCTGCTTCTGACAGACCCATTTAATTCAGCTCCACGCTAAGGTTTCTCCTCATCCTCCACTTCATACCGCCAACTCCAACCAACTCTAATGAACCCAGCCAACGCAACCAACCGTGCCCGACAGGCTCTGCTGACGCGGCTGGAGCAGCAGGTGGCTGCTATCCTGCAGGACCCCGACCGCCCCATTGAGCAGCAGTTCGAGGACATGCGGCAGAGCATCTACAAGGTGGGAGGGGTGCTGGGTAGGGGGAAGGTGAAAGAGGAGGGGGAAACATGGTGGGTGTGTCAGAGGGGTGTAGTGAAGAAGGGAGATAGGAGGGCGGGTGTCACAGAGAGGACAAGGAAACCAGAAGTGAGGGCAAGGCAATAGAGAGTGGGTGTGGGCTAAGTGTTGGCAGGCAGGCAGACCGGTCCCGCACTTCACTATAGTCTCGCTGCCTCCAAGGTGCATGAGTAGGCAGGAGCTGTCATGGTGCCCCCATGCTGTTATGATGCTCTCATCCCGCGCCCCTCACGCCTGCACCCCCTCAGGTGCGCTACCAGCAGAAGGCTGTGAGGCGGCGGCAGCTGAGCGGCGGCAGCGCAACCCCCTCGGAGCAGGAGGGGCAGGCGGATGAAGAGGAGGAGGACGAGGAAGGAGGGGTTGAGCTAGGAGCCCAAGTTGTGGAGCATGTGGCTACGGAGACAGCAGCCGTCGTCAGAAGGAAGACACCCACAGCATCCGCAACAGCAGCAGCTGCTGTTGGGGCTACAACGACGGCAAGGCATGTGGGGGCAGTGGCGGTGGTAAGCCGGGGGAGCCACAGCGGCTGCCCACCACCACCACCACCTCGTCCGCACAAGCAGCAACCACAGGAACCGCAGCAACAGCAGCAGCAGCAGCTCCCGCTGCCGCCACTGCAACACCATCAGATGCCGCACGCACGCACCCGTAGAGCGCCAGTGACTAGCGCCTACACCGGTGGTTCCGCTGCTGCCGGTATCGGTACCGCCAGCACTATCGCAGTTGCTGCAGTTACGCAATTGCCGGCCACTGCCTCTGCCGCTGAGGCTGCAGCTGACCTCACAGCCGACTCCCTGAGTTGTCGTCTGCTGACCCCGGGCAGTGTGGCTGCAGGCCCCGGCATCGGGGCGCTTCATGAGAGCTCCTGGTGTGATGGCGGTGACAGCAAGCGAGCACGTACGGAGCACCCGCAGCAGCAGTTGAGGGTTAAGGAAGTGCCCCCACAGGAGGAAGAGGAGCTTCGGCAAACTTTGCGTAGGCGGTTTCCGCCCACTGCGGCAGTGGAAGCAGCCCCCGCGCCGTCACCATCCCGACACCCTTTCGGTCCCCAGCAAGCCCCGTCCAAGGAGCCATTGTTGCAGCAGGGAGGCACGTACCACACCAGTAGCAGCAACGCTGCAGAAGCTGGGACTATGGCTGCGGCTGGAACACGGGCGGCGGAGGTAACAGCGGCAGCAGGCGGCATGCCTGCCAGAGCCCGTAACCAGAGTCTTGGCAGCGGCAGCATGAGCGTCAGCAGTGGAGGAGGCGGAGGCGGAGGCGGAGGCGGAGGTGGGGATTTGTGTCCTGAAGGCGACTGGCACAGTCACCACCGCCGCCGTTTTCGCAGCAGTGGGACCGGAGACATCTGTAGCGGAGGAGATGTACAGCACACCGGCGGCAGCGGTGTTACTACTGTCAGCGGGGTTTGTACGACACTTGCGATGCAGGCGGGTGCAGCAGCAGCCGGCGGCGTCGCGTGGGGCTTGGCAAACGCGGATGGAGGTGTGAAGATGGCCGTCGGCGGCGGCGGCGGAGGTCCAAGCGGTGTTGAAGGGCTTTGGACCGCACCCGCACCCGCAGAAGCTGCAGCGGCGGCGGCGGCGATAAACCTCACGCGTGCTTCCGAGGCGACGTGCAGCCCGACATCCGCTGTGTACCCACAGCAGACTGCCCCACAGCAACGGCAGCAGCTGCAGAACTACCCGGGCCTTGAGCTAACGGCAGCGGACACGGGACGTCGGCACCAGCAGCAGCGTCAAGAGCAGGAGCAGGAGCAGCAGGTGCCGCCGCCGCCGCCACAGCAGCAGGTGCATTGGCAGCAGCAGCAGCAGCAACGTGATGCGGATTCCCTGCCTCAGCAGCAACCGCTCTCCGACAACTACCCACAATACCGCCGCCAGTCAGCGAACATACGACCTCCTCCTCCTCCTCCGCAACAGCAGCCACCACAGCAGCCACAACCGGACCCACAGCAGCAGCCACAACAGCAGGCTGAACATTTACAACATCAACAGCCGCCACAGCAACAACACTACCAGCAACGCCAATACCAATGCGGCCAGCAGCAGCAGCTGGAAGCCCAGTTCCTCTGGCTGCAGGGGCAACGGCAGGGTGCAGAACCCCGCTGGGAAAAGGTTACAACTTTATCTTATTTCCGTTCAAGCGGTGGCGTCGGTTCTCAGCCAGATAGCCAGCTGGCGACCTCGCCAACCTCATCATTGCCCGACTCTAGGGTAAACTGGGTGGGCGCTGTCTCCCATGCAGGACCGCTGCACCCTCCAGCGCCCCAGCAGCAGCCGCAGTCGCAACGACCACAGCTGTCGCTCCTTCGGCTGCAGCCGCAGCCGCAGCAGCAGCAGCTGTTACAGCAATTGCCTTGTGAAGGATACCTGGATCCCTCTCCTCAAGAGCCGTTGTCACCGCAGACCCTGATGTCGTTGCAAGGTAACGATCCTAACGAGCAGCAACGGGCCCTTGCAGTACGGAAGCGACTGCTGCAACAAATGGACCACTCGCAACAGCAGCAACAGATGCTGCACGGGCATCTGTCAGTTCGGGAACGGACGCTGGTTGCCTTGGGTGCGGGTAAACCGTCGCCGTCGCCGTTGCGGCCGTCGGCCTCCCCCATTGGGTTGAAGTCAGCAGCCGTTGCAACGCAGTCCGCACCAGAGGCGACGGCGGCGCCGTCGTCACTGATGCTGCTGCCATACTCTAACAGTACTGCAGGCCCCATGCAGCGAATAGCAGTTGGTACGGCAGCATCGGTGGGTACGGCAATAGCATCTGCAGTACCTTCGCTTGTAAGCGCTGTCGGCGGCTGGAGCGGGAGGATTGGCTGTGAAGTCAACAGCGGCGTCCCTGCTGTGGGCTGCGGCGGCTACGCTAACAGTGAGCAGCAGGGGACGTCTCCTGGGCTGCAAGGGTTCAGCAGCGGTGGTGGCTTTGTTAGAGGTGGTAGTGGCATTCATGTTACACTCGCAGGAGTTTCAGGAACTGCAGTGTACGGCAGAATGATGAGTGTTGGATCTAGCTGTAGCGGCAGCAGCAGTAGCAGCAACCAGTGCTACGGCAGCAGCGCTTCGGGCGCAGCAGCCGCTGCCATGTGGGCCCCCGCAGCAGCAAGGGCAGTAGCAGGAGCAACAGGAGGGGTAATGGGTGCGACAGCAGCAGCAGCTGGAGCACGAGGAGGAGGGCAATTGAAATACCAGCAACAACAACGCCATTTGCCCCATCATATGATGACTCCTATCAGCGGCGACGCAGCAACAGCAACTTCAGCAGTAGCGGGCTTCGCAGGCGGTACATGTACGGCACCGGGCTACGAGGAGGCTGCCGCTGCCTCATGGGGTTGTCGTAATTTAGTTTCTGCACTTCCTTCTCGGGTTGCAGGGTTGATGCATGCTGGCATCAGCAGCGGCAGCACCTGGCAAGAAGGTGGCGGCCCACGGCAACCGTCGCCGTTCTCACCGCTGCTGGACCATGTAACTCCAACCACCGGCGGGGGTGCAGCCCAGCGGCGCTTGTCGCCGTCTTCTACACCCATCAACATTAACAGCAACAATAACAACGTGATAACGACTGGCGACGGAGGCACCTCCGCTGCCGCCGCCGCCGCTGCTGCCGCCAATAGGGCCGCCGCCGCCGCACGGCTGATGCCTCCGCCGGCGCCCATGCGACGCCAACCGCCGCCGCCGCCGTTTCAACAGCAGCACCAGCAGAACCTGGCGCCATCGCCAAGGCAACCGTACTTGTCGTTAGCGTCTTTTCCCCTGAGCGCTCCTATTGCTAATCTTTCCGGATCCAATTTGCTGACGACGGGTCGTACGGACCATGCGGGTGGTCCGGGAGGCCATTGTACGACAGCGTGTGAGTTTCGAAGCTCGTACGACGGCTCGAATCCACCACTGTCGTCATCGCCTTCCGTTCACGCCGTGTTGAGCAACGCATCGGCGGCGGATGCCGGATGGATTAGCACCATGCCTTCTTCCTTCGTCGCAAACGCCGCCGTTGCTTCCGCCGTCAATGGGGGAGCGGTGCTAGCAGCTACTTCCTCGGCTGCCGCTGCGGCAGCTCTGACCAGCACCGGTGCTGCTTCGGGGGTTGCCTCTGCTAGCATGTCCGATGAAGAGGGCTGGCTACAAGAACAACAGCTGGGGGCCTGGGGCTCCTAATGCGTATGAGCGGTTACTGACGTGATGGCTTGTTTGTGCTGGTGGGGGCTGATACGCTCGGTGGCCTTGACACCGTCCAAACTGGTTTGTGATGGTGCTGTTGGTGTATACTTTATTGGCCATCCAACGGTGATGCAAATGTGTCGTGGCACCGCTCTTCTATTGCATATTCGTTAACTGAATACAGCAGTGATGCTGAGCGCGCACATCGAGGATGTCGCATCTGCTTGGCTTTTGAGTGGCTGATTTCTTTGATTACTTTTTTACCAGGAGTGTTACTTGAGGAGTTGAGTAGCCCAGTGGTTGATGGTTAGGTTACAGGCAGGCGAACTAACAGCGTCCGATTAACAGCGTTGACGGTGAAGACAGTTTTCGTTTAGCTTGTACGGCGGTTTAGGCTGTTGCATGTACATCATCGTGCCCAGCAGGGTTTGGGTGTGGCACGATAGGGGTGTTTCTTGGGTCAGTGCATTCATGAATTGATGAAGGATTCCATCGAGGATGAGAAATTCGAGTTTGGGATCTGCGGAGACCTGCCAAGTCTGAGCTGCCTTGTTGAGGGTAGGCGGGGCAGAGGAGAGAGGACTCGTAGAAGGCCAGCCATTCAAGTAGTTCCCAAGGAGAGGGCGACTGGTTTGTACGGCTGCGTTGGTTGGTCTGCGACATTTTCCCTGCGATAGGTTTTCCAGTTACTGCAGTAACATTTCATTGGTGTCTTTGGGGTTGGTGAGATACTTGACCATTATGGCAATGCATTATTGCATTGCCTGAAAGGATGCATGGAGAAATAGGAAAAGCCTGGAGAGTGGATGCATGCGTGTTCTATGGGAGCATCTGGTGTTGCAGAAAAGCCTCAAGGAGGTGTATGGAGGTTTTAAAGCCTTGAATGCGCTGCTCCACATGGAAGGAGGCTTCCCTGCAGGCTTGCATGGGAGCTGCAACCATGCAGGGGTTGAAAGTGCCCGCAGTATGTGTCTCGGTGGCAGAAGATTTGAACTTGGACGCAACTGCTTATTCATTCTCTGTGGCTGCTAATGCACGGGCGGCTTGCATGGGCGTTGTGCAGGATCCGGCGTTGTGCAGTGCAGAGATACGGCTCTTGGAGACAGAGGATGTGAGCCTAATGTGTGTGCACTATGATGGCTGGATAGGACAATTGTCCAAAGAAGAGAACACGCACGTACTATGACAGGGTGAGGGCGAGTCATGCAGCGTTCATCAAGAGCTTGCTAACATGCATGCAGACTCAGATGGATGTTAGGGTGTGGCGAGTTAACGCGTTGCCATCGTGCGTGTGGTTGGTAACTTGCAGCAGTAGTGGTGTCTGATGCGTTCGCACTGCTGACAATTGGTTAGTGTGCCTGTTGCAGTCGGCTGTTGCGGAAACCGTTTCTTGTTATCCTGTTTGGTTCTTTGTCGACAGGGTGCCGCTCTTTTTCTCGTCCTGCTGGGGAAGTGCGTTCCTGCTGCTTGCATAGATTATTAAATTACCCGTAGATACTGTTAGTTGTGGTGTGTCAGTAGTGTCAGTCTGTGACACCCCAACGTGCAGTAGTTACACACGGTGTTTGGGTTTACTAAGGTTTTGCAGGTGTTGTGATAACAAGGTTAACAACAGCTATTAAATGCTGCTGCCGTAGACAACAAACCAACGCATGGATTTCGGTGTTTGATAGGAAGCCTGGTGGAAAGCATTTGTGAAATGCGTCCGGCGGAGTAGAGGGTGGTTTTTGCGCGACGCTTGTCCATGTGCCGCTAGCAAGATGGAAGAGACGTGGCAATTGGTAATGCCTGATGCTGCTGCGCTTGTGTCGTTATGGGAAGTTCCAAGATTGCAAAGGAAACATGTCGTTGCAGTTGTTGGTTATCTGTTAGAACAGGGTTACGTCGGTAGGGTCATCAGTACGTTTTGGCAAAGGGGGTGTAGTGTATAATGGCATGGTAAATGGGACGACGGGCTTTGAGCTTAGTGCACGCATGCAGCTGGATTTCGTAATTCGCCGTACGTAATTTGGGTACGTGATTTCTGCCAGGTGCCTATCGTTCATTCTTGGTATTGGAATGCGGCAGTGGTTTCATGCGCTCCTTATTTGCATCCATACATCCGTACAGCGTGTTTGTACGGTATCGTCGGTATGGCAAAGCTGCAGACAAGATACATACGGCAAGCTGCAGGCATTTGGAGAAATGCGCTGGAGAAAGGGGCGGGGTGCATGTGCGTTTGCTTGCTGTATATTAACTTTCTTTGGGCCTTTGCCAGGTTAAGACAGTTGGCAGACAGTTGGCTAGGACGGTATGGTAGCATCGTATTGTGACTTCGTGAGTGAAAGCCAAGGTACGAAAGGTTTACAGGTTTATAGCTTGGGTACCAACAGCTGTGTCCTGTACGGCGGTAGTAACAGATCCTTGCAGGTGTTGAACACGGCAGGGATTTGAGCATGGATTTGAGATCCATACGAGCGAAAGGGGGCGTATTAGCAGAGTTGCATTTGAGATTTCGACCGTATTCGTTGGCGACGGTGGAGGGTGAGTTGCAAGTGCATGGTATGAGGCATGGGTGGTGTGAGGTATGGTGTGTACAGGGCTCGTGCAACCTGGGGGCGGGGAAGCATTGAAGCTGTCGTACACCCACAACAGCTGTAGTACAGAGGTAGCTGCGAGCAGCTGCTGGTGCAACATCTGTGGAAAGTTGCTGTATGGACGTGTCGAGCGCGAACACCGTGTGCAAGCGTGTGCACGGGCGGAAAACCCCACATCCTTACACCTCGGAAGCTTTACATGTACCGACATCGCCAAGCAATTCCCTTTGTAAGTTTTCCAGGAGCAGTGGCTAACAAAGACGTGCCATCTCTATACTCTTATACAACATCTTGCCAAAGCGTGCCTCCCTAGTGTTCCCAAATGCACAAGTGCTTCGCCTCAACATCGCAACATGGATGCCCTCTGACCGCTGCTTTAGTTCTAAAGCTTAATGGAAAGCTTGGACAGAGACGGCAACTCGCCGCTTCGCACAAACACAACACCCACCCACAACACCCAACCAACAGAACACCAACACGACACATCCAGGATCCCCGCATGATGGGACTTCTCTAGCGCTCCCAATGTCTGACAAACACCAGCCATCTTGCACCTTCTCATCCTTTCCGCCTTTGGCCCACTCCACCCCCGCTCTACCCTCAACTCCGAACCTCTGCATTGAATTTATTCCGGTTTCTTTCCTTCTCCCCTTCCCTCCCTTCTCTTCATGCCATGCTACTTGCCCCCCGCTGCCGCCCACTCCGCCCCAAGCACCTTCTCCAGCCACTCCCGCTCCACCTCACTGCCGTACTCCCCCGCAACCCCAACACCACCCGCCCGAGCCGCCACCACCGTCTCGAACCGCCGCCAACTCTCCTCCAGCACACCCGGACCACCACCACCACCACCCGCCGCAGCACCAGCAGCCACAGCGGGCTTCTCCTCCACACCTGAACCCATTTCACCACTGCCGCTGCTGCCGCCAAAAAAGCGGCTCCAAAGCGAGGTCATCCAGCCGCCGCCCCCACCGCCGGAGGCGGCGGCAGCCGGCTCAGTGGGGACCGCGGCGGCGGCGCTGGAGGCAGCTGGAGCCTCCGGCAGTGGCACTCCCGCCAGCCAGGCTGCGAAGGCATGCGAAGCCAGGGACGACGCGGCGCCATCTTCCTGCTTCAGAGGCAGCGGCAGCAAGCCCTCGCCTAGCAGCTCCTGCGGCAGGGGGCCCAGCACCTTGCAGGCCAGCGAGCGGATCTCGGCAGGAGGCCGCTTGCTGGTGTGCCACTCCACGTGCACGGGGCCGGGCACCTCGTCCTCGCCGCGAAGCACGGCTTCGGATAGGCCGGGGCGGGAGAAGCGGAAGAGATGGATCAGGCGAACTGTGGGAGGCTCGGCCTGGGGTAGGGGGGATGGAGGGAGGGTTTGATGCGCTCGGTACTGTACATTTGGGTGCATAATAAGACCGGGTGAGACGCATACATGTGACAAGCAGGAGATGCGTGGGCAGAGGGTGAGACAAGGCTCATCATGCGCATGCGTGCATTAGCTTCCTGCTTAGAGACAGACATGCTCCTGCACAATCAAACCTCACACCACTGCACCCACTTACACCCCTGCACCCTTCACCTTGTGCCTGCCCTTACCTTTCCTCCCTCCTGCGCCCGGGCCCCGCCGCAGCTGCCGTCCGTGTCCAGCACCAGCAGCGCTCCGCGCCCCAGGTAGAGGCCGAAGTAGGTGTACTGCCCGCCGCCCAGACCGCCGCGGGTGCCGGGCACCTTGCGACTGGCCAGGCGGAGGCGGTTGTATCTGCATGTATGGAGGTGGGGTTGGGGTTGGGGTTGGGGTTGTGAGGGGGAGAGAAAAGGAGACGGGGACGTGGGGCTGCCTGAGGAGAGGGGACAAGGATATACCACACCACAGCCCTGGGGAGAGGGGAAGGAGGGTGAGTGCATGGCAAGGTTCTCACGGTCCGGTGCAGCATAATCAGTTACAGGGCGGGGAGGGGGTGCGCACTGATAATATGGCCACACGGGCGTGGGTGAAACCCTCGTACGTTCATGCGGTTTGCTTAAGATCCTGAGTGGTGTTGCGATGGCCTGCTAGCCCCTTCCCCGGCTACGTTGTTACGATGACAGCCGACGACCGCCGGCACAGCGGCCATCCATCTAGACTAGTGTTGGCTGCCGCTGTCGTGGGTCGTCCCGCTGCTGCCCGGCCTTCCACTGCCTACACGCGGTGCTGCCGCCGCCGCAGGGCAAATGCATACATGTGGGTCAACGCTTGCGACAGGAGTCAAACACCACCGGCAGTAAAACTAGCGCACATACAGCGCTTGACAAACCAAACGCCCAGGAGTAGCTAGAGGGACATCCCATCTACAACAGGTTCATCGGGCTGCTGGCACGTACGCACGTGTTACCTGTCAATGCGCCGGCGGAGCAGCGCACGCAGGTAGCTCTGCTATCATCACGGTGCCTTGCTCACCTGTCGATAATAAGCTGCTGCAACGGTGGCTCACCTGTCGAAGGCGCGACTCTGCACCAGGGCCGCCTCCACCACCGCCGGACTGTCACTACCGATGGCAGCGGCCGTAATGCGGCGAAGCAGTGCCTCGTCGACGGTTGCTGCTGCAGTGGATGTTGCCATGCTTGGCGGGCGAGCGACTGCTTGGGCCACCAGGGGCACAAAGTTGCGTATCCGTGCGTTTAGAGTACGTGCTGAGTTGTCTTTGCTGGCTGTGCACGCTAGGGGCGTTGGATGTGAGGTAGGGTGAATGCAGGGAAAGTTGTTCTATATAACGCGGGGAAGCTACAGGGGTTGTAGGGTAAGTGTACGTTTCAGAGATTCACTGCTTGCCAATTGCGTGGGTGGCGCATGCACGTGATGCTGCGATTATCGATCGCGGTTACATTTAGCGCCGCTAAATAAAATTGTTCGATTGGTTAAGGTAGGTAGCGCAAGCGTTCGACGTGCAAGGGCTTCGTCAAAGACGTTTAGCGACTTGCTACATTTGTGCACGCGGGTAGTCCTGATGCATAGAGCACATATATGCGTTTTCCTTTATAGCAGACAAGATTACCGGCATGTAAGGCTTCTGCTGCGTCGCATATGCATGGACTCAGTCAAGCGACCCATGGTTCACCCACACGCCACATGCAGCGTTCTGCACGTTCTACGTTGATGGCTTCTGTCGAGCGTGAAAACCGCGAGGCACACACGTATAATGCTGTCAGATACTTGCAGTTTGCCAGCTCTTTTCCCCGGTTGTGGCAGCTGCAGCTTTCTAGGTTTCAACTTCTGACAAAGTCATACCCTTTCCAAGGGCCTAGGCCGCACCGGCGCATGCATAGTATCTGCATATCGAGGTGTACCACAGTGTGCAAAAGAGCAATTTCTTACAAAGGCCTACTTGGGGTGCGACTTCAGCAATGCTGTACAGCATAGCTACGTAACTTTTGTTTTCTGTAAAAACAAAAATGCGCATTCTTTACACACAGACCCCTTGTGCGGTGTTCCGTACTTCCTCAGTCACCAGTGTCGTACGTAAACGACATGGCATGCGACTGTGACTTCGGTATCTATCTACTCGCAAAGAATGCGCATACCTGTCTGCATACTGCCAATATCCCCGGCGCTTAACATAGGAAACATAGGATGCTGCAAATAAGTGCACATGCAGTAACAACAGCTGTCGTGACAGCCCTGGCAACAGCAACGTCCATACATCCACACATGCACACCACACCGTGTTACCTACCTACAGTAGCATCATATAAACATCTGCAGCAGGCCTACAGGCTACAACCAGCATGCGACACACAGCAATCTCTCCAACTTATCCCGTACCGGACTGCACTACTCTGCCGCAACATACAGCACAACAACCGTGTACTCCTCCGCTACACCCTGCTGCCCTTGCATGACAACCTCCATCACCTCCCGACACGTGTACCATGGCACTTATCCGGTATGCTACCATAAACCATGCACAGCTAAGAAAAACAACGGGGGCTAAGCCGTTTCCGCGCCCTCGCTCAGCACCCTCCCTCGGTAGCATCTCAGCATCCCCTCCTGCAGCAAGAGTACATGCCCTTTCCTATTGGGTTTGCGGTCCCTAGCAACGAGCGTCGTAGCGCTTTGAACAGATGGCAAGAAGACATGTACGGTACTCGGTTCAGCTAGGCAACACACGCCAAAAGAGATTAGCCGTACAGTACGGAACATGTACGATAGCTTGCCTTGATTCAAAAGCCACCTGCCATTCATGCACAACCCCTGGAGGAGTGGGGACCTCTTTTACCCAAGGTACCGGACTCCAAACATGTATGACCGCATACAACGGTTTATTAGTACTCTAAAAACCGTCGCCGCTAATTCAGAACGCACAATTGCGCCTGCTAGGCGTACAAATCAATGAAAAGCGTGGAACGCGTGCGCGGAACGGAGGCAAGCAACATGCCCTGCCGTACACCCAGCGGCAAAAAACACCCAAGGCACGCCCTCGCAACAAAGGCGCGGACCGCTTACCGCACGGCCCTCCGCTGTGTCCCCCCCTGCATGTACCCAACATCAACAACGGCGATCTCCGCGCCACCAAAGCGAAAGTCGGCAATTAGGCAACAGCCGAGATGCAACCCCATGTGGTACACACACGCCTCTTCCCGCATGCATGCCTGCATGAACGCACGAGGCCCCTAAGAGCTCTGGATGAACCTTTGTACCGCTCCCTTCAATGCCCCTCTCTTCCTCCCTTTCCTTCTTGCCATACTACTTGCCCCCCGCTGCCGCCCACTCCGCCCCCAGCACCTTCTCCAGCCACTCCCGCTCCACCTCACTGCCGTACTCCCCCACAACCCCAACACCTCCCGCCCGCGCCGCCACCACCGTCTCGAACCGCCGCCAACTCTCCTCCAGCACACCCGGACCCTTCTCCTTCTCCTCCACCGTCTCCTCCTTCTTGCCCTCCGCCTCCGCCTCCGTCGCCGGCGGCGGCGCCGTTCCGACGCCGCGACCCAACACTCGATTCCAAACCGACATCAGACTCGCCATCCAGCCGCCGCCGGAGGCGGCGTCGCCTGCACCGCCGACAGCAGCGCCGGCACCTGCCTGCGCCGCCGCCGCCGCCGCCTTCGGCTCCGCCGTCTGCGGCAGCGGCAGTCCGCCCAGCCAGTGTGCGAAGATTTGGGACACCAGCGCGGACTTCTCCTCCAGCACACCGCCGCCAACCAGAGCGGCAGCGGCGGGGGCTGTGACCTTGGGCAGCAAGCCCTCGCCCAGCAGCTCCTGAGGCAGGGGGCCCAGCACCTTGCAGGCCAGCGCGCGGATCTCGGCAGGGGGCCGCTTGCTGCTGTGCCACTCCACGTGGATGGGGCCGGGCACCTCGCCCTCGCCGCGAAGAACGGCCTCGGATAGGCCGGGGCGATAGAAGCGGAAGACGTGGATCAGACGGACTGTGGGCTCGATCTGTGCGAAAGATGGATGGTGAAAGGGAGGGGAGGGATGGGGGCGGAGGCGGAGGCAAAGTTAGGATTTCCGGGTTGAATACCATGTAGGAAACAAAGGCTGGTACGTAGCAGATTCGAGAGGTTCTGCCGGCTGGTGGGCCAATGGATGCAAGGGTTGAAGTTAGATGCTGCCATGTAGTAGTCGCCAGGGGGGGTCTTTGGGGGCGATGTATGATGGTATGCGTGTGTGCCCTCACGTATGCATGCATGGGACGCCGAGCAAGCCCCAACTCACATTATCATTTCGCAAAAACATGGAAAATGGTATGCCGTGCATTTCAGACTAGGAAAACAATTATAGGAACGAGTCAACTGAAGCTGCACCGGCAGCCCAGAGAGGCAGTGACCCATGGGTCAATAGCAGCCCAGCGCGGCGCCATACATGCCACACGCCCTCGCAAACGCACCTCAGGGCCAGCGGCGTCGGGGCCGTCACGTGTGGTCAGCATGACCAATGCTCCGCGACCCAGGTAGAGCGCGTACTCCCGCAGTCCTCCTGCGATGTCCGCGCTGTCGGCGTGCGTTCCGGCTGCTCGGCGACTTGCGATGTGCAGGCGGTGGTACCTGCGCCGACAAGAAACGCGGAGAGGAGGAGGCCCTTCAGCACTGTTTGCTTGCTAACGTAACCGAAATTATGTGATTTATAAAGGAAAATGGAGCTTTAAGCAACTGATAAAAGTCTCGAGCAGCAGTAGGAAGGCAAATTCCAGCAGTCAGACGCGCCCTTGCCGCCGCAGGTAGATACCAACTACAAAAGAGTGACACAAAAGCCAATAATCAGAAAAGAAGGATCCTACGGCGCTCGTCGACCTTGTCGGATCCCGACTGGACGGCCCCCTCAGGGCGAAGAGCTGGAAACCGCGAACAGGCACCAGGCCCGACCTAGAAAGCACTGGAGGCTAACGCAACGCATCCAGTCGCATCTAGTCGCGCGCACGCACGCACCTGTCCAAGGAGCGTGTTTGCGTGATAGCGATATCTGTGACTGTTGGGCTCTTGATTCCGGCGATGGCCTCCGTGAGGCGTCGAACCACCGCCTCATCTACTGCCGCTGTGGTGGTCGCCATGTGAACTAATCAATTGCCTTCTGTAAGCTGTTAAAACGCAAAAGTAGTTGCCGGTTCCTTGGAAAGCGCTTAAGGTTTGTGTATTATGACTAGAGATTTGTGGCGTGTGACGATATGCTTTGGAGGAACCTAAAAGATGAATAGCTGTGACGTAGGTACTACTGGGCCATGCATGTACAGCTGTCAAACGCTGTTTGATGTCTGGTGTATGCTGTCATCGGAAAGAACAGCTGTATATATACACGTTTGTTCTGCGGGATCACGCACGTACGAAGGTGTGTCGAAAAACCTACGCCGGCACCTCGCCGAGTCACACCCGACCAAGGTTGTTAGCATGTGCAAGCCTGCAAATCCGCCTGCTGTACGTGTTCTCGTGTTCCCCAGCCAACGATATGGGGCATATTTCTTTGTTTGTAGTATTAAAAGCTTGCGTTGCATTCCCATCCTGCTGGTGTCCTCTTCCGGTGGGCACCTACAGCACTAGTAAGCACGAGTCCTAAAATGCAGAGCCTGTTGCCCTTTCACTGCTTCACTGCTAGCATATCGACGGTTTGCGGCGCTTGATGAAGCCCTATATATAGGAGAGGAGGGAACGCCTTGTAAACCGCCAATAAACCGCGTGTCATGACGTATCACGTGCTGTTGCGACGGAGGCGACTCAACTTGAGTGACGTGTTAGCGCGCATCAGGTGCCGCCGTTTCTACAATACGCGTTGACTACCGTAACAGTCGGTTGCAGTTCACAAGAGCTCGCAAGAGCTGTGTCCGCATGTAACCAGTCACTGCCATGTGTGCCACTGCTCATACTCCCCTTCCCATCACCCCCTGGCAAGCTCCCAGGCAACTGGAATGCACCCTTGACAGTGCGCACGGAGTCGCTGCTAGATTGGACATTGCGCGTGAAGCTCACCCGTCCTATCTCTTAAACCCTTTCAGCAGTTTCGGGGATTCGGGTTGTCATTATACAGTTCGTATTTCGTATGGGCGCTTGTGCAGGTGTAAAGGGGACACTTTACGGCAGAAGTCCAAACAAACGGGTCCCACCATTGTATTATCGACATGTACGGCACCGTCGTACGGCAAGGAGCCGCCACACACATTGCCGTACTATCCGATATCCCACACATACAGCAGGGTTCCAGAGACTGGGGAGAGTAAAGCAAGGTTGACACGCTACCCTCGCTATACCTCCAAAGCTATATCGCTACATACATCGCGCTGCCTCCCATCCAACAGAATCCATGACCCCACCGGCCACACATTGGATCCCAACGAGCCACGAGGGTAGTGATAACGGTCAATTGTCCCTCTCTTCCACTCCGGCAGCCTTCATTGCGACGGACCAGGTGACTATTAAAGCCCTCATGCATCTGTCCCCGGCTTTGGCGCGGTGTCTTTCAAACCACTCTGCCAAGCCCGCAGCCAGGAACTAAAGGCACACACGAACAAAGGCACAAGTTGACTGGTTTAGGACTTCAAAGCATTGCACAAAGGTTCACAGGCCTTTGCAAGGCGCAATAATACAACTTACACCCTACACCTGTTGCACACGGGACACATACCGGCATGATATAATTGATTGCTTATGTGCCGTCAACTTGTCATCACATATCACGGAAGTTATAGCAGGAGTACAAGAAAGTGCTCGGTAATAGGACTGTGGCGGTAAGGCCGTACATACACGCAGGGGATCCCCTCAGTTCCAACCCAACCGCCTTTCATCCTGTAAGCATGTACGGATTGCCAGTGCTTACCGCGTGCGCACTGACGGCAGCAGACAAAACCGCAGCCAATCAATCAACAAAGCAACCAACCAGCCGCCTTAATGCGTTTTATACCGGGATTGCAATGTCAGATGACAAGAGTATCAGACGTAAAAGTAATGTTGGTTACTGACGTACGCATGTGCCATACTTGGGATCTCAAAACACACATGGATCTCCAAGTTCCGGAATAACAAACTGTTGCGTGTGTGTTGGGATTTCGAACGCGCACATACTCACAAACATGTGCGTGAACCTAGCACACACTCAGTTGATTGCATATAGTGGGTGATTAGTCACACATTGTAATCACTTCCATCCCATCCTTACACAATATCATAATACAAAACGTGCCCTCCTCGCGCACAGGAGCTCTCACGCACATTGCAACCCACCCTCTTTATGTTCGACACACCCGCATAGACTCTCTCCCCCTCCTCCTCTCCAGCCCATACTCGCAGCCCGCACCCCGACCCTTCTCTCATAACGTCGGCAACTCAGTCCAACGAACGTAGACCCCGTCCACATACCCACCTCGTCCTAGCCAGCAGCCAAAGTCCCAGTTAACCCAATGCCTCCCCCTCAACGCAGCGCCTTCCTGCCTCTCCTCCTTCACCACTAAGCGTACGCACTGCTGGCGCCTTCCTCCATCCGGTCCCAATGCTCTTCGCGGTCCGCTTTATCCAGCCACCACACCCAAAGCGAGAAGCCCCCTTCACATGCCCTCTCACCTCATTCATCAACGCCCGCCCCACACGTCCGATACCGCCAACCCGAGGAAGGCAACACGTGCGCCAACAATTCTACTTCAGTTAACCAGTGTCAGTGTCAGTGTTGGGTCGTCCAGTTAGCATCACACGTCCAGGAGCAGTGTCCCCCAACCCTTTCTTCTCCATCCTTAAATCCCGAGCTGCAGCGGGCAAGAACAAGCAAGAAACAGCCCCCCTCCGCTACGCATCCATCCGCCGTCTCGCGCCGCTAGCGTCTCTTGCACTCAATGCTGCATTGCGCCTTCCCTTCCCTTCTCTCCCCCTCACTTGCTTGACAGTTGCTGCTGCAAGCCGTGCAACCAACCAACCAACCAGCCAGCAAGAAGCCTCAAAGCTGTTGCATGCATGCATTCACACGGGGGCATGCATCTTCGTCCAGCGGCCATTCAGTTCCTCGCTTGTAAACCCTCAGCGAAACCGTGCATACAACGTTCAAGGACAGACAGAGCGGCAAGGCGCCCACCCGCACCCGTACCTCGCACCTCGCACTCACATCCTGTTTCCGGTGCCCCGCAGCACTCAGCCGGCCAGCTGCACAAGCCACACACACACAGTACGTTCCGACTCGCGGCCAGGTTTCTTAACACACACGCAGCTGCCGCCGCCGCAGCAGCAACAACAATGGAATGAATACGCAAGCTACCCCGCACACACAACACAACTCATGACAGCAGGTGGGTTCCTAACAGCAGCAGCAGCCGCGACTGACACCAACAGGATAACAACAGCAGCAGCAGCAGCAGCGGGAACTGCAGCACTCCACCCCGGGTGTGCGTGGCAAGCGGTGCAAGGCGGTGGCGCCCCCCCCCCCAACGCAAGCAAGCCGCTTTCTTTGTGGCTGGGCGGGATTGGAGCCAGACTGCTGCACGGCTGGCTGGCTGCGGGCAATACACCGACGGGCCAACCGCGCAGGAGCTGCTCCTGCTGCTGCTGCTGTTGCTGCAGTAACGTATCAGCAGCAGCAGCCCCCCTAGCCCCCCCCCTCACTACCCCCTCGGCTCCACGTTGCTCAGCCGCTTGGCGGAATCCGCCAGTCGGGCGTGGATGAGCAAACCCTGCGGGGGGGTGGGAATGGGTGTTCTAAAGAGGGAGGGGAGGGGGGTAGTAGAAAGTGCGCTCACTGCATGAGTCGGGCCATAGAATTCCCGTGCTTCACTCTTCTCCTTCTTACCCTCCTCCCCCTCGCACCCCCCCCCACCTCCAGTTCTGCCGGCTCCGGCGGCTGCAGCTGCTGCGCCCGCAGTGCTGGGAGGTCCAGCGGACTGAACCAGCGGTGCGACAGGGCGGAGGCGGCGGAGGGGCGGTCGCGGGGGGACTTGTCCAGCAGGCAGGACAGCAGGTCCTGGGGGGGGGGGGGGGCGGGAAGGAGGGGTTGGGGGGTCAAGTACCAAACCAGACCATAGGAAACCACAGATTAGGGCAAAGCAAAAGGGGGGGAGTGAGGAAAGAGGATTCTCGTGCGTGTAGGCCCGCCCACCCTTAACTCGGGTGAGGACGTGTCAAGGGGCTCCGCCATCCCCATTAGTCACGTCAATACTACCGGATAACAAACCCCCAACCCCACCACCACCACCATCTTCCACCATTCACCCCCACCCCCCCACCCCACCTTCAGCTCGGGTGAGAACTTGTCGGGGCAGTGCAGCGTCTTGCTCCAGTACCAGCTCATGGCGGCCCAGCGGGGCAGTGCGCCGTCCACCATCTCCCACACCATCATACCCAGGGACCACCTGGGGTGAGGGGGGGGGGTAAGTGGGGGAAGGGGTGAAACAACAGCCTGGCACTGAGCTGTGTCTTGTGTCGGCAGGGTAGAGGGGGTCAGCTCGCTGAACTCATTGACAGCTTCCATTGACAGCTCCTAAGAGCCCGCTGCTGCATGCTTCCCGGCCTTCCCTCACCCCCGCACCCGCTCTTCCCCACCCCCACCCACATGTCTGCGGAGAAGTCGTACCCCGCCTTGGTGCCGTGAACCACCTCGGGGGCCATGTAGAGGGGGGTGCCGGCCTGGGGGGGGAGGGGGGGGGAGGGAGGGGAGGGGGGGTAAGAAGGGTGGCAGTTGCGGGACTGGGGGCTGGGGGCAGGCTGGGGGCACGACTCCGGCGCTTCACCTCTCCCTTCCTTGCCCCCAAACCCACACCCCCACTCCCGGTTAGTGTATTCCTCCTTACCCACTCCCAACCCCCCCCTCAAATGCCCCCCCCCTCCCCCCCTCACATGCGAGTGTGCCTTGCCCCCCGCCTCCAGCCGCTTGGCCAGTCCCAAATCTGACAGCTTCAGGTACCTGGGTGGGTAGGTGGGGCGGGTGGGGTGGGGCGGGGTAGGTGGAGATATGTGTACGACAAGGAGGCAGCAACCCGGAGGTATGCTGGGATAGGGGTTGGAAACGCAGGACGTAGATATGCACTTAATTGCATGTGAAGGAAGTAGCGAGGGGTTAGCATAACGTTGTAACGAGCCCGCCCTAGCAACGAGCCAGCAGCTGCCCCCCCCCCCCGGCCCCCGCCCGCACCTGCTCTCCGCCAGCAGGCAGTTGGAGGGTTTCACATCGCGGTGCACGTAGCCGCGGGAGTGCATGTCCTGAGGTAGAAAGGTGGGGGTTTCTGGTTTGGGGGGTGGGGATGCGAAGGGAAGGTTCGGGTTTGGCGAGCTTACGAGCCCCAAACAGATGATGTGGGATGCGTCAACCCTGCTGCAGGTCTTGTGTCTCATGTCAACCCACCTGCAGCAGCGGCCTCCTGCTGATCAGCGGCACCGCAGCAACGGTGGGTGGCAGGGGTGAGGGTTTGGCAGTGCGAATCCCGCTCATTCGCCCATCTAACCACCTGCTCAACCCCTACTACGTCGGCCTCCGCGACCCACATCCACGCTCGTAACCCCCGACCCGCCCTCCTCGAACTACGCCTCTCCTTGCACCCTCCGTACTTCCTGCCCCCAACCGACATGGTTTGGGAACCTCGCTGACCCCCGTCTTCCACCCGCCCCATACCTCCAGTGCTATGAGCACACAAGCCGTGTAGAACCGAGCCTCGTCCTGGGGAGCATCGGAGGAGCGGGAAGGGGAGGACAAGGGTTTAGGGGTGTTGGGTATTCTGGCCAGGTCATCCGCCCACAGGTATGGCTAGTAACAATTGCGACAAGGGGTGGCCGGGTGGGTTGAAGGAGGCCGCCTAGCTCCCAATTCCCCTCCCGCCCCGTCCCCCGCAACACCCCGCCCCCCCCCTCTTCCTCCCACCCCCACCCGCCCCCCTCACCTCGGTCAGCCCCGCCTTCCTCTCCGCCCGCAGCACGCTGCTCAGCAGGAAGTCGAGGCAGGCGTTACCGCTGGCGCTGCGGCGACATGACACCTCCTGGATTGGGGGAGGGGGGCCGGGAAGTGACCCACGGGTCACGGGTCAGGGGAGATAAAGCGGAGGGCAGACACACGGGTCCGAGACGGGATGGGCATTGGGTGGGGGGTTGGATAGGGGTGGTACAGCCCCCAACACCATACACCCATACACACACACCTTGAGCAGCCCCTCCAGTGTGCCGTACGGGCAGTACTCCAGCAGCAGGGTGTAGTCGTACAGCCCCACCACTGCGCTCCAGAGCTGTGTGAGGAAGGGGCAGTCGCGCAGGGCCGTCATGGCCTCCACCTCGCGCTCGGGGTCGTGCGGGTTGGTGTCGCTGGCCTGGGGGGGAGGGGGGCGGGGGATGGGGAGCGGGGAGGGAGAGGAGGAAGGACGGGGTTCAGAGACCTGCTGCCACCTATCCCCATTGCATTGCCGCTGGCGAAGCCCCGTCATACAGCTCGTCAGTTTCCTCTTTATAGGAATTATACCACACCCCTCAACGAGCCCCCTCCCCTCCCTTGTCGGGATATGGGATTGGGACTCGTTGTTTCACTTATTTAATTTTTCCCCTCGCCCCCACCTTGAGCAGCTTCTTCCGCACGCACAGCAGCGGCCCCGCCCCCGTGTGCACTCGCACCAGGTCTACGATGCCGAACGCGCCCTCACCCAACACCTGGGGGCGTGTGTGTTTGGGTGTTTGGGGGGTGAGGGAGGGAGGGAGGGTGAGAGGTGAGGTTAACAGGGCCTTGCTGTGGTGCACCTGTGTCCCCGCCGCGGACCTTTGTTCCCTTCTCCTGTCTGCTTCCCCTCCTGTCTGCCCCACTCCGTGTCAGGACAGCCCGTTTTGAGCCCCCCTTGCCACCTTGACACTCCGGATGTCGGACTTGAGGGCGGAGGCCAGTGGCTCCTGCGGCGAGGCGGGCAAGTTAAGAGGGGGGGGGTGCGCCACCGTACCAGATTGCTCGAACCCATGAAGAATCCCTTCAGCCCCCCCGTGATGGCTTGCTTGCCGGTACCGAACTCCCCAAGTTCCATGGGCTCATGGCTTATACCCCGGCCCACATACGCAACATCCTACCCATATCCCACTGGCCTCCCTCTCGCCCTCTATAACTGCATGGATAGTTTGTAGGAAGGGGCCGAAGTGTTTAGTCACTCACCCGATCCGTCGCGACCGCAACCCTTGCGCGATGCAGGCTAGCTTGCTCATGTTGCACCCCACGCTGGCGCATCTTTGCGCTGTCCTCAAGACTGCGCCGTATATGTCGTTTCTCATTGAAGTCATCTCCACCTTCCACCGCTGCTAGCCCTTGCTGGGGTGAGCTGGGAGAGGAGACCCGGATAATGGCAGTCTTCGCGCCAGTGTGCTTAAGGGCGACTTCCTCCGAGGCACGCCGGCTTTGCCCCGTCCGGCATGCTACATCTTCCGATACCCTTGGGGGTGTGCTCATCTAAAGTTCTCGACGATGCTAGTCCGCTTGCCCGGCCTGCCATGGAATGCAAGCGGCAATTGACACGCGGACTGTTGCAGTCGTTATGCGTATAACGTGCAAAGAACAACAAGCTATGACGTTCAATATAAGGAAATCGGCCAATAAAGGACTGTGTTCGCCTGTCGGTGATACATTGGTGTAGAAGAGGTCCCACATCAGTCTTACTTGCCTCAGTTACAGCAAACAAAGGGACCAGCATATGAAATCATCAATCGCTGTGGGCGAATACTATTTACGCTGACCAGGGGTGACACGTCCTCCACGAAGGAATAGAATGCCCAGATTGCTTCATTAATCGTACTGCTTAACACTTATAGCATTTTATATCAAACGCGCACAGCGACGAACAAATGTCAACTGTTAACAGCACGGAGCCGTCGTGTTAAATCTTTAAAGTTACAGGAATAATTTTTTGGAAGTTAGGCGTGGAGGGAATCGTGTTCGTCCAGAGAGGGTTGAATGCGGTATGCGGTTGCGTATGCGGTTGCCGAGTCGTGTTAACTGTACGGACGACGATTGAGCTAACCCATTCCTATTCAGCACCTCAGGGCATCAATACAGCAAACATCTTTGCGCACAGCTTAGCGTTAATCTTCGCGACGCAAAAATGGTTGACCTGAAGACCCTTGCCGCGGAGTATGATGTGAACAAGCAGACGGTAAAATCCTCGTGCAAGTTCAAGATCGCGGACAACGCTGGGGTGAGGTTACAGCTTTGTAAGCGAGCGTACCCATAGGCCTCTTACGACGGGCTTCTTTGCGCAAGCAGGTCAAGCTGAAGCTTACAAACCCCGGGAACAAGCTTGGCTTGGAGTTTGAGGGCAAGACCTGGTCAGCTTCCTACGATGTGAAAACGAAGGTGATTCTGCTTGGAAGAGGGAAATGTTTGCAAACGCGCAGGGAGTAATCAGTTTACGCCGCACCATCGCAGGATATCGAGTATGAGCGGAAGTGGAAGAGCCAATCTGGAGAGTTTAAGCTTAAGCAGAAGATTCCTAAAGGGCAAATTGAGCTAGTGCCTTCGCCCGAGTTTCAGGCAAGCTATGCCGATCGACGTAACGCCTACCGCGACCATGCTAGAAACTGCCATACTTGGCTTGATATGCATCCGGTCTCTTTTAGTAGGGGTGTCCCTTTTGGTGTACCTCCTTTCATGCCACCCGCGTACTTGTAATGCTCCATGCATGCCGATGTACAGTTTACCTCCCTTTGATCACCGTGCCTTCCAGTATGTTAAGTAATGCATTTCTGCGCAACAATCATTTACGCATATGGGTGCTACCGCAGCGCTGCATATGTATGTCGCTTTACGACAATGCACCCGCCATGCGCACCCCGAAGGAGGGACACTTAGGGTTGGGCCGAGGTCCAAACATGACCAGTTCCAGAGGCACCTGTAGGAGGAATGCAGTCGTGTTGGGTGCTCACTAGAGATGCTCACTACATGGGCCCCCTTGTGCCCTCACTGCGCTAAGCTGCCCCCCCCCCCCTCCCACGCGCGCCTTCCTCCCCCCTTCCCCTTCCCCTTCCCCTCCCTCCCCACCCAACATCTCCACCAACCCAAACAGTGGCGCTCCCACGTGGTGAAGGGCCGCAAGGTCGCCTGGGAGGTGCAGCCCAGCTACTGCTTCCAAACACGCAAAGGTAGCTGGGGCTGGGGCGAGAGGAGGGGGAGGATGAGGGGGCAGGTTGAGGGCGGAGAGGGAAGGGTGGGGCGGGTTGGGGAGGCAGGGTAGCTGGGGCTGGGGCTTGTGCTGGATGTGGGGGTTGAGGGCGGAACGAGAGAGGGGAGGGCCCTGGGGCGGGTTGGGGAGGCAGGGTGGTGGCCCGGCCCCCGGTTGGGGCGCGCTAAGACTGGTGACGTGGCGGTGGTGTCCAGCTGGAGGAGCTGCGTAGCAGGAAAGCAGAGGAGGGGCCGCCTTGGGAGACGTGGGGCTGACTCCTGGCTCCCCCGGCTGCCCCCACCTCCACTCCTGCTTCCCCACCCCTCCTTCCTCTCTACACCCGCCCCCTCCCCCTTGCATGGCCCCTGCTCCCCCTCGTACCCCAGCCAAGCTGGACCAGACCCTGGAGCTGGGCGGCGGCAAGCACAAGATCAAACTGGAGATGGACAGCCGCGCGGTGAGGGAGGGGAGGAGGGGAGGGAGAGGGGAGGGGAGGGGAAAATTATGTAAGAAATGCAAACAACTAAAGTCCCAATCCCATATCCATATAAAGGGGATTAATATGGTTGGAAGATTCCGCATTAAGCTGGAATTTAGGATTGCGCATAGCCAATTGCGCATAGCCATTTTCGTTGGGTTAGTAACAGCACACAAAGTACAAACCGTGATAAAGCTCCATAAGCTGGCGGCTGTGCTGAGATCATCAACATTGGACGAATCCCTGACGAGCTGCGCCTGAGCTCCACTGCATTGCTGTGCGCAAATGCGCTGTAAGCTGTGGCTGGTATGCGGCTGTGTGCTCCTAAACATCCCACCCGCCCGCCCGCGCAAGTGACCCCTGGGTCGAACTTTAGCCCAGCCCACCCACGACCGAACCCGACTGACCTGCGTAGCAAGGGAAAATGGTGCAACGAAGACGTACCAAATTTCGTTAATAGTGAGCGAAAAGCGTCCAGAGACACAAGAAGGGGAGGGGAGAGAGGAGGAGAGGGGGGAAAAGATATAGAGAAGTGAGAGGGGGAGGTAAAGAGGACGATGTTGGTAAAGAGGACCGTGTTGTTGGTAACAATGATCGGGGGCGGCGGGGCGGGGTGAGGACTCCTCCCACCACCTCTTCCCACATGCCTCCCTTACTGCGTCCATTGCGGTCCGTGCACGACCCCCCTGCCCCCCATCCCCCCCCACCCCCTCCCGCCCCCGTGCCCCAGGGCACCCGCGGGCTGACCGGCACCCTCACCAGCCGGCTGGACGCGGGCTGGGCGCGGCAGCTGAGCGTCAAGTACTCCCCGGCAGCGGGGGCCAGCCTCACGCATGAGCTGGAGCCCAGCAAGCAGGTAGGGTGGGGAAAGCCGGGGGGAAAGCGCGGAGGGGGGCGCAGTGAGCTGTCCCTATGCTGGTAGGGCCCTCACGTGGCTCGCTCCCGCTGCTGCCGCACAACCCCGCATGCACCTTCGATGCCGTATACCACCTGCACGGCACGTCCCCAGAGCCCTCCCCCCCGTCCACACATGCTCGCCTCCCGCCGCCACCGTCGTTACCCCTCCAACACGACGCGCTCCTCCCATCTCCGCAGGTGTCGCTGAAGAGCACGGTGGGGCTGCGGGCTCGGGACCTGAAGCTGGTGGCGGAGGTGAAGCCGGGCAAGGTGGCGGGGTGAGTGGCGGGGGCGGGGGGATTAAAAGTGGGGGGGGCTGAAGGAGTCATTGGAGGGGCTTGAATGGCTCATCATCAGTCCATGAAGTTGCCGCCATACACGCCGCTATCCGACCCCACATGCCTCGCTCCCATGTCTGACCCCGCACGCCTGCTCATGCGGCTCCCCCTCCGCCCCCTTCCTGCTCCTCCCCCAGAGTGAAGCCCAAGCTGACCCTGGAGTCTCGGCTCACGGCCAAGGCGCCCCTGCGGCCCTCAGGCATCATTGCGGGGCTGAGCTTGGATTGCTGAGGAGGAGGAGGAGGGTGGAAGAGGGAGGCAGGAAAAAGGATAAAGGGGTGGAGGTGTTAGGGGGGCAGGAGGTGATGCAGGATAGAAGCAGCAAGCGTGGGGAGGTGAAGGAGGAGATTTGGCAAGATTAGGAAGACTAGGAAGGAATACGCCTGGAGATATATGTTTCCCTCCGCAGGGTGGCTTATGCCTGTGCTTGATAACTTATATGAGCACCTTGTTGCTACAGTTGTGCAATGCTGCTAATGGAACAAACTACCATGTCCTGCACGGATCAGAAAGCGGCTGGGGGCGGGTGTGTGAGAGATAGCTGCTGCAGCTGTACAGTGATGGCCATCCACTATAACGCTGGAACGCGGAGACAGCAGCTCATTTGGTGGTAAGAACTGTGTTGTTGATGTTGGTGATGGCACTGTGTTCGTGGTGATGGTGAGAGGGTCGATGAAGGAGAGCAGAGCTGGAAAGCCCCTTGTGTGGATTACACCGCACTGTGTATGAGGTCGGAGGAGCCACCCATCCATCCCAGGGAGGCTTTGTGCTACTGGGATGGCACATCGCACGGAGCACGCTTGCACTCTGCTGCTGTGTAACAGTTGTGAAGTTTTTGTTGTGCATCTGCGGGCAGGAAGGCCGCTACCTGCTGCCACTGCTCCACGGACCACCTTTTGGGCCTCCTACGCACTTCACAATGAACCAGCTGTATGCTGCATGGTCCAAGCCACAAAAGGAGCCACCTGCTGCCAAAGTGGCAATCACGCACTACTACAGGGCTCACAGCAGTATATACAATGCCAAGAATGGTTACTTATCTCTCATAGAATACGGCAGAAGTGGAACGGTCATCAGTTCAGACGCTGGACGATAAGCCCACGGATAGGTAGGCTCCGGCCCTGTTGCATTATTTACTTGCTGCACGGTTTGCCTGCAGCAAACAGCCAGCCTACAGTCACCCCATACCTGGTCAAAACGGTTCAGTAATTGCTTTTCCTTTCCCCTCTACCGTGTTGTTTCGCCCTCATTTCTGCATTCCTTTGGTTTGGTCTAACTCTAAAATCCCTCCTCCTCCTCCTCCTCCTCCTCCTCCTCCGCATCTCCCTCACCATACGACGCCCAACCATCCTCCCCACCTCGAATCCCCCACACCACATCCACACCCCGCTCCCGCACCCCCCGCGCACGCAGCAATCCCTCCCCACCAACCCCCAAACCCAACCCAACCCCTCCTCCCCCCTCCACCACCTCCAGCCGCGTAAGCCCCCCCAGTGCCGCCACCACCATCTCCACCTGCCGTACACCCACCTCCCCACCCACCTCCCCACACAGCAACCCCTCCACCCGCAACTCCCGAAGCGATGCCAACACACACACCCCTTCCCGAACCCCGCCTTCTCCACCCTGCTGCCCCTGCACCCGAATGCCCAACTGCCTCCCTTCACCCCCTTTCCTGTCCTCCTCCTTCCCCACCTCATCGTCACCACCGCTACCGCTGCCACCGTCTAGCTTACCACCACCGCTGCCACCGCCGCCGTCCAGCCTGTAACTGCTGTCAACGTCTAGCTTACCACCACTACCACCACCACGGTCTAGCCGCGACTGCGGTGCAGACGCAGGTGGAGGAGGAGCAGCAGCAGCAGCTGCAGTCGCCGCCTCCTGCTCCTCCTCCCGTCGCAGCAAGTGCTCCCCGCAGCAGCTCAGCCCCAGCAGCAGTGCGCTGTCGCAGCCGCACAGCTCCAGCCGGCGCAGGCGGGGCGGGAAGCGCAGCAGCGACAGCGCGGCGCCAGCAGCGGAGACGGCGGCCACACCGGCAGCACTGGTGCCGGCAGCAGCACTGGTGCTGCATGCGCGGTTTGCGGTGGAGCTGCTAGCACCGGAGGAGGAGGGGGTGGATGAAGACGTGCCGGCGGCTGCAGCGGCGGAGGCGGAGGCTGTGTCGGGGCACCTGCCAGCGCTGCTGGCGGCGGCAGGGGTGCCAGAGCCGCTGCTGGTGCCGGCCGCTGCGGTGGTGGTGGCGGCTGCAGGCGGCAGTGGCGGGGGAGGAGGAGGGGCGGAGGGGGCTGCAGTGCCGCACCCTTCGTACGCGGCCCACATGCGCTGCCAGACCCGGTGCAGGTCGGGCTCCATCAGGGCTGCGATCTTGCTGCGAATGGAGGTGCTGGGCTGGGAGGAGGAGGGCTGGGAGCAGGAGGCAAGGCTGTCACCGCCCCTGTCGTCATTGCCATTGTGGCCGCCGCCCCTGCCGTCACCGCCGCCCGCAAGCTGCCGCTCCCAGCCGCCACAGCGCCACGCGGTCAGGTTGAGGCGGGTGAGGCGGGTGAGGGGGCGCAGGTAGTGCAGCAGCTCAGCCAGCAGCAGCGGGCAGGAGCCGTGGGAGAGCTGGGCGGGGCGGGGGAGAGGGAGGAGGGGCAGAAAGTGAGTGGGGCAGAAAGTGGGGGAGATGAACGGTGGGGGCGGGGGATGGTTTGTACACACGCGTCCTTGCAGCAGGGTGCACCTCAGGGCCCCAGTTGGTGGGTCCTCAACACCCTCTTCCTCTTCATCAACAGCCCTCCACTCGGAGCCCCCACCGGGCTGCCTCCCTCCCCCTACACCCCCTGCCGCTTCCTATCCCCATTAGCTTGCCCCAACCTTTGAACCCCCCCTGTGTCCCTGACTTGTTGTTTTCACGTATAAAATGTTCCCCGCCCCACCCGCAGCTGTGTGAGGCCGGTGAGGGTGCGCAGCAGCCCCCAGTCCGCCCCCTCCTCCGGGTGCGCCAGGCTCAGCGAGCGCAGCCGTGTCCAGCCAGCCAGCTTGCGGGGCGCCGCCTCCCACACGTAGTGCAGCTGCAGGCAGGTCACTGCAGCGGGAAGGGGGGGGGAGGGGCAGGGAGGGGAAGGGAAGGAGGAGGGTAGGCGGGTGAGGCAAGCGGCGCATGGCAGCAGAGCCCCTGCGAGGCGACCCAGGCGATTGCGCATGTAGAGCTGGCGTGCCTGCTAGTCGAGTACCGCTCACACCTGCGCAATGCGCGCCCACGCCCTTCACAGCCCATTCCGTACCCTACGCCACCTTGCTAGCCCCTCCCAAACTCCCGCCCCGCCCCGCCCCTCCCAAACAAACCCTCACCTTGCGGGAAGCACGTCTGCAGGTGGGTCTGCGCCCCCGACTGCACCCCCAACCCCACGTCAAGTGACCGCAGCCCCGGCAGCAGCGGCCCCCGGGAGGAGCTGGGGTGTGGTACCGCCGCCGCTGCTGCTGCCTCCCCCTCCCATGCTGCGCCGCCTGCCTCCCCCTCCTCCTCCTGCTCCTGCCCCTCCCCCTCCTGCCCCTCCCGGGTGTCCAGCCGGTCTACCGCCAGGTGGCGTAGCCGGGGCAGCAGCGACAGCAGCTGCGGAGGAGGGGAGGGGGAAGATACGTTGGGGCAGGGAAGGAAGGGTGCACGCATGCGGGACGGACGGACGGAAGGGTACAGCAACAGCTGGCAACAGATACAGCTTTCATTGGCAGTACTAGGTTGGGTTGGCCTGCAGGTGGCCCTCATACGGGGAGCTGCACTCCACGAAGACAGCCCCACTCCCCGTGTGCGGCACCTCTGCCCTTCACAGCTGCCTTCCATGCCCAGGCCCCCCCCCGCACCTACGTGTTCCCTCCCCCGCTCCCTGTTCCCTCAGTCAGTTAGTTGTTTCCTCTTTACCCGCTCTCACCCTCAGCTGCCGCGGCCCCAGCTGCCGCATGTCCTGCAGCGCATGCAGCCCCAGGGCCGCCAGCAGCGGCAGCCGGCCGGGCAGACCCTCCAGCAGACCCTCAATGCTGCCCTGGGGTGTGTGTGTGTTAATGGGGGCCGGGATCGAGGACAGGATAGGGGGTCAGGACGAGGACGGGGACGGGGACGAGACAGGGAAAGGCGGGGTCAGAGGGGAACCAAACCAGGAAGGGATAGGAAAGTTACATTTATGGGGCTAGCGGACAGTTTGCCTAACATGCACACGCACGCACCCCCCACGCACCCGTATGTCACACAACACCAGTCGTGTGATGTGGCTCCCCAGACCCGGCTCCGGAACCACTGTCGGCTGGCGGACCGGCATAAGCCCCCTCAGCAGCTGCTGGCTCGCCTCCGACATTTGCATGTGCACCACATGCTCCGCCGCCGCTTGCGCCAAGGCCGCTAGCGCCTCAGCTGTAAACTCCACATTGACACCCAAGTCTGCTGCTGCCTGTGCCGGCAGTTGCAGCAGATGCGGCGGTAGTGGTGGTGGCTGTAGCATCACATCGAGCTCCCGCAGGCCGCGAAGAGCCGACAACATGTACGGCAGGTCGCGTTGCAAATCGCCGTCAGGGCAGATACGCAAGCCTCGCAAGGAGTGGACGACAACCTCTCTTTTGGCGCTAACGGCGCTGTTGGTGGCGGTGCTGGTGCTGGTGCTGGGGCAGCTGGTGGTGTGGTTATCGTGGCGTGATTGCAAGGCCGGCGTTGATGTTCCAACCGCTAAAGCCGTCCGAGGCGGCATTGTACTGCAACCAGCCAGTTCTGGATTTGTGAGTTCCATTAGGGCCCTCACATCGCCGCGGCTGTGGATCCAGCAGCCCTCGAGCAGCCGGACCTGCCGTATGGAGGGACACAGCCTCAGCAGGTGCAGCAGGGCTGTCAGGTCCAGCCTGGTAGACTCTTCTCCGCTAGCGGTGGCATCGCTGCCGCCGCCGCTGGTGCCCCGCAAAGAGTGTGTGAGGACAAGGCGAGTTGTGGACGGGGGAATAAGCGAGGCTAGGGATGGGATGGCGGAGGATGGGAACACATGGCCTTGCGACAGGGACAGAGTTAGGGATTCAAGCCCGGTAAGTCCCTGGAGGCCAAGTTGTTGAAGCTGTGGAAGGCAAGCTGCGGGTGTAGTGCAATCTTGCAGTGCGAGCTTGATGCTGCGGAGCGATGGAAGGAAGTCGGGCAGATGACCACGCGGCAGCAGGCTGGGCAGACAGTAGGCCGTAAAGGTAATGGATTTTGTAAGGGCATCCACGACCGGTCGCACTATCTTGCTAGTCAGGCGTAGTTGTCGGGGCGAGTGTGCATCCGCAGCTTGCACAATCCGCGAAAGGACGCCAGGCGGCAGATCAATAAGCGTAAGCCTTGCTGCTTCATCTATGTTCATGGACAGTAAATCTTGAGGCAAGCGGTCTGCTTCGCCAAAGGCCACTGCCATTTCTAAGTTACACTTTAGAGGAGCTATATAGCCAGTCTGTTCCCCTTCGTAGTGTTTCTGCTTTGCTGGAAAATGAGATCTGCAACCTTCGTCTTCATTACTGTAAGTTGCCCAGGACAAGGGATCTTGTGAAGTTTAACGGTCGGGAGAGGTCCCAGCTAAGGGTGTGTTTACATGTAACAGGATTCGTGTTAGGATTCATAGTTACCTTCGCAAGTGATTCCCAAATCGCGTTCACAACGAATCCGAAGGACAGTAAACCAACCCTCGGATTCCTTGTCCGTCGCCCCTTCGGTGGCCATGGAATGGGCCCGATCACGGCCTGTACCGGTTAACCGGTTGCCAGCGTGATCAGCGTGATCAGCCCCTCACGGGGCCTCGCACAGCCGTGAACTAGTCCCCGGGCAGTGTGATCTTGCGTGTAGATGCTCCATACAGCCCCCTGCGTGCCTTTAAGGTAGGTGTGGCCATGGAATGGGCCCGATCACGGCCTGTACCGGTTAACCGGTTGCCAGCGTGATCAGCGTGATCAGCCCCTCACGGGGCCTCGCACAGCCGTTAACTAGTGCCCGGGCAGTGTCATCTAGCGTGTAGATGCTCCATACAGCCCCCTGCGTGCCTTTAAGGTAGGTGACGGACACAGGTGGTTGAGGTCGTTATCCTCTTTCTTCTAGTGTGCGCTTTCTCCTTTGCACTTTACACCTTCAGCTCGTAGGTCCTGCACCACACTATTGCTTTCTGCCGTCTCCGCGCTCCTTCCGGCTTTTTCCATGTACTTCACATTATACCGTTGGCAGTTATGCCCCTGGAACGCTGTTCTACTAAGCGGCTTAATTACCGGCTAGCCGGTAAGGGCAGACCCAGTCAATTGCATCCTACCTATTGGCGTATAAATGTACCAAAGTCCAACATAGATGCCAAGGAGGCGATCGCGATACCTCTTTCGTCAATCGCAAGCACCATACTGGTTTTGTGTCGTACGACAAAGCATGCTCAGCCGGATTGGAAGCGTGTTGCACACATGACGGACTACACTCCTGCTCCTGCTCCCTAGCCGCAGTTGCCAGCCGCTGCCGTCTCCGTGCTACTGCTACTCCCCTGCACCCTTCACCTCCCCTTCACTTCCCCGCCTCTCCTGCCTCCCTAGCTGCTGCCCTCCCCCCTCCTCCCCCTGCTGCTGTCCCCGCTGCCCTCGCCGCCTGCACCGCCTGCTGCAGCGAGGCCAGGTAGAAGGTCTCCATGTGCTCCTCCAGCCCCCGCCCCCCCACCAGGCAGTCCAGCAGCGCCAGCTCGCGCTCCGCGATGGCAGCGTACACCTCGTCCCAGGGGAGGGACTGGGGAGGAGGAGAAGGAGGAGGAGGAGGAGGAGGGGGATGAGTGAAAAATAGGTGAAAAGGGGGCCCGATCCCCACGTGAGCCTATCCGCACAACACAGGTAGCCACTATGATGCAGTAGCTACTTGCAACTCCCATAGCATGGCGGGACGCTTCCGCCGTCCGAAACACCGTGTCACCCCGAGCAACACCCTCCCTCCCCCCCCAACATCCCGCCCACGACAGTAAGGTCTTCCTCCCTACCCCCCAACTCCTCCCCACCCCCCCTCCTCAGTGTCTTCCTCTACACCCCTGCCCACCCGCCCCCACCCCCACTCTCACCTGCTCGCTGACCTTGCTCACAATCTCCTGAATCACCTCCACCCCCGCCTTCCCCTCGCCGAACACATCCACCAGCCCCCCCTCGCCCTCCTCCTCATCCTCCTCATGCCCCTCTGGATGCGGGTGCTGCTGCTCCGTCCCCTCATGGGCCCCTGCCGCTCCGCTGCCCGCACCCCAACCCGCACCCCCACCCGCACCCCCGTTGTTGCTGCCGCTGCTGCTACCACTGCTGTTTCGTCGGCCCACCCTCAGCCGCCCATCCGCCCCCAGCCGCACCGCCCGACCCACATGACAGTAGCCCATCAGGCGGGGCACACTGGGGGGGCGGGGGGGAGAAGAGGGGGACATGGGAGGTGAGGGGAGAGGAGGTGGGTGGGAGGTGGAGGAAAAGGAGGCGGGTGGGAGATGGAGGAAAAGGAGGCGGGTGGGAGGTGCATGGGTGGGATGTGCATGGTTAGGACGGGAAGGGGGAACCGGGCTGGGGTGCGTCGCACATGACAGAGCAGCAGGAACTGCTCAATCCAAGCCAAGCAGAACGTTCAAACCCCAACCTCCCAAACTCTACCACCCCATCCCCCGCCCCGCACCCCCCACCTGGGTATGATGTCATTGCTGTTGGTCACCCGCCACGCGTCAGGAACCAGCCCGTCGAACTCCGCGGCGAAGGCCCGGTTGCCCACTCGGGGGGCGCCGAAGGTGTAGAGGCTGATAGACTGGCGGGAGCGGGCGGGGGTCCTGGGGAGCGAGGGCAGAGGGGGAGGAGGGACGGAGAGGGGAGAAGGGGCGGGAAGGGGTCGAAGGGTATCATGGGGGGTTGGCAGGTGACAAGGGCGGCGGTGAGGGGCGGTGCGACACAAGCACCAGCAGCGGACCCCTCTTCCTCCCCCCCACTCCCCCCACCTCCTCTCCGCCAGCTCATACGCCGCCAGTGTTGCCAGCGCACCGCCCAGCGAGTGCCCAGTCACCAGCACCCGCCACACGGGGGCCCCGCCATCCGGGTGGGCGGCGGCACTGCTGGCACTGCTGCTGCCGGCACTGCTGGCACTGCTGCTGCCAGTGGTGGCGGTTGCTGCATCCAGCAGGGCGAACACGGTGGCCCGCACGCTGTCGTAGGCGTCCAGGAAGCCCTTGTGGACCATCATCTGAGGGGGGAAGGGGGGGAGAGGGAAGAGAGGTGGTTGTTGATGGGGGGTGTTGCGGCAGGCTTCTACACAGAGGTGCCAGGAGTTCGTGAGGGCGCGCGCATACGAGCACACACACACCCGCCCCAGTGATAGCTCTATTACAACATAGCCAACGGACTTCACTTCACCTGTGGCGTTTTCGGTGGGAGGACTTCATCTTTCGGCAATCACAGTACGTTTCGCCTCGCGGCCAGCTATTTTAAGTTTTTAACACACCCGCCCGCACCTGCTGCTGCTGCACCCCCGTCACCGCCCGGATGATGCGCGCCGTGAAGGGCAGCCCCGCGTTGTCGTCCAGCCGCTCCGGGTTGAGGGAGCAGGGGGTGAGGTTCAGGTCGGTGGCCAGGTCCTTCCACTTCACCTGCAGGCGGGGGCGGGGGGGGAGGAAGAAGAAGAGCCATGCGTGGGAAAGGGGGGGGGGAGGGGGGAAGGGGGAGAATAAACATCATGCATGCTGCTTACCAGATTGCCCCTCCCGATTTCATGTCTCGTACTTAGCGCTGATACCGGTAAGGGTGGCAACCTCTGACCCCCCGCAAGCATACCCATCTCCTCTCCTCCCCTCCCCATGCAATGCATCCGCGACATGTACCAACCCGGTCTCCCTCCCGTGTTTCCCCCGGGGCCTCTGGCTGGAGTATCCCCTTCCCCTCCTCCACAACCCCCACCACCCCACCCACATCCCGCCCCACACGCCACCGCCCCCGCCGCCTCTCCCCTCGCTCCCACCACCGCCACCGCCCCCACCACCGCCCCCGACCCCACCACCACCGCCCCCATCGCCGCCGCCACCGCCCCCACCATCGCCCCAACCACCGCCACCATTCCTACCACCACCGCCCCCGCCGCCACCGCCACCGCCCCCGTCGCCACCGTCCCCGCCGCCCCCGCCCCCGCCACCGCCCCCACCCTCGCTCCCACCGCCGCCACCGCCCCCGCAGCCACCGTCCCCGCCGCCCCCGCTCCCGCCACCGCCCCCACCCTCGCCCCCACCGCCGCCACCGCCCCCAATCCCGCCACCGCCTCCACCACCGCCAACGCCCCCAATCCCGCCACCGCCCCCACCACCGCTCCTGCCCCCGCCGCCACCACCTCCCCCACCCCCGCCATCGCCACCACCGCTGCCACCGCTGCCACCGCCACCCCCGCCACCGGCCCCGACCCCAGCCCGCCTCCTCCTAATCCAGCCCACGAACCCCCTCCACCTCCTCCCGGCGCCTCCCCCTTCTACCGACCGTGTGATACCACCTATATGCGCGCCCTCCTCAACCACTACAACCACCTCCTCGGACGCTGGCGCATCCGCTATGACACCACTGCTGGCTCCCCTACGGCCGACCCTGCCTACTACGCTGCCACCGTCAAAATGCACAAGAATCCCCCCGCCATGCGCTTTCTCGCTTGCTCCCATCGTTGCCCCACCACTATTATCAGCGACCTGGTCCTCGCCGTGCTCCGTGCCGTGGACCCCCTGTTCCGGCAGCACTGGACCAACACCCTCCGCCACACAGCCCCCTGGCACTGCTTCTCCTCCGACGCCGCCGTCGCCATGGTCCATACTTATAACGCCCAAGAGTACCCAGCCGCCAACGTCACGCTGCCTCAAGCCTATGACTTCACCCGGCTCTACACCAACATCCCCCATGACCTCTTGCGCAGTACCATTGCAGCCCTCCTACGTACCACCCTCGGAGCCCACCTCTACCCCGGCACTGCTCCTGGCGCCATCTATATCGTGGTGTCTACTACCAGCAACCCCGCCAAGCCCGACGACAAGCCCCGACACAATGTATCCTTCCGCACCCGCCCCCTGTCCCAGCCATATTGCCGGGACCATAATACAGAGAAGCGGTGCTTCAGCCTGGACGAGTTCCTCTTACTCTTCCGTACCCTCCTGGCAGCCACTTTCATCCGCTTCGGACCCGCTCTGGTCCAGCAAGTGTGCGGCATCCCCATGGGCATCTCCGCGTCTCCTTTCATCGCCAACCTCTTCCTGGCCTGGTACGAGTTCGACTTCATGTCACAGCGACGCACCTGCTCTGCGAGCGCCCGGAGTCTCCTCGACGGCTTCAAACACAGCTGCCGCTACCTCGACGATCTCATTTCCCTCAACAACCCCCATCTTACTCACCTCCTTTCCACCACCCAGCAATACGAAGGGCTCCACGGCCTCTATCCCCCGCAGCTTCAAGTCGAGGCGCAACAACACCCTCAGTTCCAGCATGGCGAGATGCCTTTCCTCGACCTGCTCCTGGTCCCGACCACTACCACTCAGGGCCGCAGCCGTATCACTACACGGCTGTACGATAAGCGCGTCCAGCCTGCCTTTGAGTCCGTCCGCCTCTCTCGGTTTGTGGGGCGCACGTCTAGCGTCAACGAGGCCAGCAAGCGCAACATCTTCACCGGCCAGTTCCACCGTCTCCGCCGCGTCATCCTGGACCCACACAACTTCTGCTTCGAGATGGCGTTCCTCATCTGTGCGCTTGTCCGGCAGGGCTACGCCGAAAGCCACCTCTGGCAGCAGTACGACCGGCTACTTCACAGTGTACCTTTCCTGTACAGCCTCCAGCGCAAGGAACTGTCCCTGGACCTCTACAAGCGGACGCAGGAGCTCTACAACCAGCACTGGAAGCGGCACGCCCACCTCTAGCGTTTTAGGGATCCACGGCCTATAGATAGGGGCTTCGGCTTTGTGCGGGGCCATGGTTCGGTCGAGTTGGGTTGCCGGGTTAGGTCACGGGTCGGTCGGGTTGGGTTGCCAGGTTGCCGGGTTAGGTCACGGGTCGGTCGGGTTGGGTTGCCGGGTTAGGTCACGGGTCCGTCGGTTTGGGTTGCCGGGTTAGGTCACGAGTCCGTTGGGTTGGGTTGCCGGGATGCCGGGTTAGGTCACGGGTCCGTCGGGTTGGTTTGCCGGGATGCCGGGTTAGGTCACGGGTCAGTCGGGTTGGTTTGCCGGGCTGCCGGGTTAGGTCACGTCAGGGTCGGTCAGTGGGACGGGCCGGGTGGGTTACGTTTCAGCGGGGACCGGAGTACGGTGGGACATCGCGCCGTTTATCGCGTCCGGACAGGACGGCTTCTGCGCTGTACCGACGGTGTACGGGTTCGGCGGGGTCTGTGTCCGGCTTAGTTTTTGTTTTTTCAGGCATAGTAGGGTCGGGCCACGGGCCTGGTATGACATCGCGGAGCTTCGTCGGACGGCTACGGGGATTTTTTCAACAAACTTGCACAACTGTTTTCAACCCCGGTTGGGGCTCCCTATTTGCTCAGGGATTCACCCAGGGGGGACATGCCCGTGATCCAATGTAATGCACCAGCCTTCCAACTTTGTCCACCGCTCAAGACCTCCCCAGGCATCTTCCCCGCCTTCACGCATCCCCCATCAGCCACTACCTGCCTAGTCATCCTGCTACGTGTCTCTAACCTCCCCTTCCCATTTCCCAGCTCCTGCACCCTAGGCGGTCCCCATCCCTGCTGACCCCTAGGCTTAGTAGTGATGTGGGGATCCGGGACCGGACCGCACACTGCTGCCATCCCTGTCTTCCTGTCACACCCCCTCTCACCTCTCTTGTCCCCTTCCGCCCATTCCTGTCCCCATGCGCCCCATGACTTGTCGTATTCCGCATCCCGCACAACTACTAATTTTGACCCTCCCCACTTATTCTTCCTTTCCGTTGCCGCGCCGCCGTGTCCATAGGAAACCCTACCACACCATCATCGCATGTTTCTCGTTTCCCGTCTCGCCTCCTGACTGTTCCTCACCACCTCATTCACGCGCCCTGCCTCTCTTCCTTCCCTATTTTTCCGCATATTGACCACCTCTTCCTACTGGACACTGGAACCCTGGTGCGGCTCTGTTGGTCTGCGCCTCCACTCCATCGGACCATGGAAAATGGCCTTCCCTCTCCAGGTAAGTTTCCCGTAACGCGTCTCGATAACATGTATGCTCGTATACCCCATATGCGTGTTGCTTTGCTTTTCGTGACCGGCGGCGCGGCGCATGTCTCCCTAGTGTTACCACGCAAGGCGGCTTCTTCCTCAAGTCGTCTCGGTTTCCGGTAAGCAACGATTCGGTAAGTAATTTGAGATGCGTGTTATTAGTGCCTCCGAATGCGCTCACTGCATGAGTCGGGATATGGGATTGGGACTTAGTTGTTTGCATTTCTTATATAATTTTCCCCCCACATCCTCCCCCCACCCCCCCACCCCCCCACCTGCTCGGTGCCCCGGAAGGCGATCACCGCCTCCCGCAGCTCCAGATTGCGATACAACCACACCTGGGGGGAGGGGGAGGGAGGGGGGCAGAGATATTCCAAAACCACATGTTGGCGAGAGGGCGGGGGACGGGGCGGCGCCCATACCGCCATCAAGCTTCAGGGCGTGTGCCGTACACCTACTGGCGGCCCCGAGCCCCAAACCTTCCTTTCTTTCCCAAGGGTCCCCCGCCACCATCCTTTCCCCGCTCCCCACCATCCCCGCCCGCGCGGACCCCACCCAACACCCCTGGTGAAGCCCCGTCATACAGCTCGTCAGTTTCCTCCTTTTACCCCCAACACCCCAATACTCACCCACCCACGCACCCACCCACCTGCGTGTCGGTTTCCTCGTTCTCCACGAATGCCACGGGTGTGAGCGCCGCCCCCTCCCCGCCCGCCGCCCTGCCCGCCATGGCCGCCAGCACCCGCCAGGGGTTGGGCACCTGCTCGCCGCCGGGGAGCTGGACTGGGGGGGGGAGGGGGATGAGGGGGAGGAGGAGGGGGGAGCAGGACGATGATGGGGAGGAGGGTTAGGAGGAGGCGGGAAAGGTTGGAGGAAGCAGGGAGGAGTAGCTGAACATTAGGAGTGCAGAGAGAGGGGGAGAAGAGTCCTCAACCACACCAGTACGGCGCCCCCCCCCCAGCCTAGCCTGCCTCTCCTCCTCACCACCCCCCGCCAACCCAACCCAGTCACCACCCACCGCACCTTGCGGCTGCTCCTGTGCCAGCTGCTGCTGCTGCTCCCTCTCCTCCTTCTCCCTCTCCTCGTTCTCCTGCCCTTCTTCCCCCCGCTCCTTCTGCCCCTGCTGCCCCCGTGCTGCCCCCATCACCGCCTCCAGCTGCTGGGGAAGCGCGGAGACCGCAGCTGCGGCAGCCTGGGGGGAGGTGGAGGTGTAAGGAGTTGGGAGGGTGAGCGGGTAGGGGGCGGGGAGGTGAGGGGTGGGGTGGGAGGCTTCGGGGGCTACACTTCTTATCCTATCTACCCTCCCTACCACCACCCCTATCGCTCGACACGTTGGGTGCTCCTCTTTTCCGAACCCGAACCCAAACCCTTCTCCCCCACCCACCTGCAGCCCCGCCAGTGCGGAGGGCGAGGGGGCGGTGGTGGTACGACTCGTCAGGGCCGCCACGTCAGCCGGGTCGGCGTCGGAGAAGGCGAGCAGTCGCACTCGCAACGTAACGCTCGCGCCTGAACCCGCTCCGGAACCTTTTAGGTGGTGGTGTGGTAGGGAGCGGGGGGGGGTTTGGGAGAGTGGAGGGGAGGAGGGGGAGCACTGGAGCACTGGAGGCGGCGAAGGTGTGGGAGTGTCGCGAGTGTGGTGCGGATGGGAGGGCTGCATGGCAGGGTGTATGGGTTCGGGAGGTGTCTGCACATCCCGCTTCGTGTTCCCGTCTGTAATCCCCCGCTCCCCTCAATGCCATGCTACATGCCGGCTAAGCCCGCAGGCCGCACCCTCCGCTCTCACTCCCCTCAGCACCCCCCCAGCCTCCCTTGGTCCTCCGTAAGGCCCCCGTTACCCCCCCTCCCCCCCCGTCATCCCCCTCCTCCCAGCCCCTCACCTCTAAGCGGCAGCGTCACAGTCCGCGCCTTCCCCCCAGCCCCCTCCCCTCCAGCCTCCTGCTCCTCCCCCTGCCCCTCCAGCAGCACCCCCAGCCCCATCATGGCTATCCCCAGCTCGTCGTCGCTCTTGGGCCCGGGGTCCTCGTCGTACAGCCGCACCCGCAACACCTCTGTACGGGGGTCCCTGCAGGGGGGGTGAGGAGGGAAAGAAGAATACCCAATGGAGGGGGGGATGAGGAAGAGGAGCGGGGGAGAGGGGGGTTGAGGTGTGGTATGCAGCCATCAGGGTAGCAAGAGGTAGGCCAGGGAGGGAAGGGGAGGTAGCCTGACGGGGCGCTGCTTCCCTGTCACCTGCCGCTAGTTCCTTCCTCTCTGCCCCTTTCCCCATCCCCCTCTCCCTACCTCACATACAGGCAGTGCGCCTCCCCCTCCCCCCATCTCGGCTCCAGGCTGCCCCACACCGTCGCCGACCGCACGCTGCATGCGCCCAGCTGCAGCAGCGCGTAGGGGTCGGAGGCGCCGCCCGGGTCGGCGGGGCGCAGGTTGGAAGCGGACAGCAGCTGCACGTGCAGCACGCCGTAGTGGGTTTGCGTGAGGAAGGACCTGGTTTCGGGGAGGGGGCCGGGAATGGGGGGGAGGAGGAGGTCATAGGGAGGGTCAGAGGGGCGCGGGGTGGAGGCGGGGAGAGGAGCTGCAGCAGCAGCAGCACGCCTCACTTGTCGGTGTAGGTGACGGTAGGGCCGCCCACGGTGCGCTGCTGGAAGCCCTGTCCGCCCTGGGGCTGCAGGTAGGACTCGAAGGCAGCGCCGGCCAGCACGACCGCAAGCGGCAGGTCAAACTTGTGGTGGTGATGATGGTGTTGATGGCCATGATGGTGAGGGTGTTGTTGTTGCTGCTTCTGCTGAGACACGGGCTCCTCGGCGCTTGGTGGTTTTGAGACCGCACTTTTAAAGAATGGAAATACTGCGACTGGACGGAAAGGAGTTCTAGCCGCGCGGCCAAGCCGGTTGCAACCACCCATTGTGGAGGGCGAAACACGCCTGTTCGTAAAGGGGACGAATGCAGCGCGCACATTAAGCACATGCGTTAGCCGTTCAACAACTTAAATACCTAAACTAAGCCTCACCGAGCAGCGCGTCCAACCGCAGCTTGCACGCATCTTCGCCGGGTCTCCTTGCACCGTTGCTGCATGTATAAAGTGCACCATTTAGAAAATGGAGTACGGTTCATTTAACGCTTACGCTTGGGTAGGATACCTAACGCTCTTACCGATTGGACACGCTGCCCTGTATCAAGACGCATTATGCGACGAAAGCAATTGCCAAGTGCGCTTACTTTCCTAACAGTTATTATGCTTTATCCGCGTAAGTCGGGAATTCGCTTATAACGCGTCCCATGGGCGAGCGAAAGCTGTCGATGGATCTCGACCTCAGTGTTGCCGAGCAAGGATTGGAGCAAGAATAGCATCTGGAAGCCATGGTAGGCAATCTGTATAGCAACATTGCACCGATATCCATTTTAAAAGTGAGGGGGTAAGCTATGGAAGCAACCTGCTTGCAGGTCTGGCCATGCTTCCATGTCTGCTGTTTTCTTGCTATACATGACGGTGCAACGATGGTCTCAGTGCGAATTCTTCGTCGAATATAAAACATAGTCATATGCCCCTCTGCAACATGTGTGATACTGGGACATGCCAAATGTGAACATTTGCCCAATGTGTGTGCCTTGTGTGCACAAGGCCAGTCATCAGACACCAAATAACACGCATGTATTCTGCCCCTTGAGCATGTTCGTGAAGCCACCAGACAAAAAGTACCCTGTTTGGATACGGTTTTAGCTTGTCATCTTCACACTTAGGCAAGCACATTAATTTCTACCGCACCAAAGTTTGGGCCCATAAACGAAAGTGAGGCCATGAACAGGAAAGACATTTGTGGGGACGGAATGATCGGGATTGGTGAACGACATGAAAGGCCCTGTCCTGCAGGATGGAGGCAATCGTACGTACCATGGCGGGTACAAGAGCGCAGCCGCGCACGCAATCCTATACCTTCCTTCACAAGGATTGTTGAGATAATAACATAGCTGCTTTACTCTTTCTCAATCAGCCTTATAGGAATCCTTTGTATTCCTACTGCAAAATGGCAAGACAGCAAGTTTCTTGGCGCAACTCCTCATCAATAGTGGAACGCCTGGCCTATCTGTTCTTCCTCTTGGTTACATTTGTAGCCGCACCCTTCTGGCTTCCCTTCGCGGTTCTGCTGCGGTTGGCGCTGCCGTTGGCGCAGCATGGCTGGCAGTGGGCTACTGGTGTTCAGCTGGTGGGCTGTAAGCCTCAGAAGTCATCCGGTGCTTTAACTGCACCTTTCCCTTCGGTATTGAGTAGCCCGGTAAGTGACGCACCTGGCTGTCAATTGTCATGGCCGTTGCAAGCCAGTTTTGCCTCGCGGTTTTTCCAAGTTGGTTTAGCATTTACACATAATCGTTATGTCCTTAGTTGTGATGCGCTTTGGACGTAAGGCGTTCCTGTCTCTTGCTTCGGTTTTCGCCGCCTTTCCTTATCATGCTGACTCTTGCTCCCAACCTTTCACCCACTCGTAGACTCCCAGCAACAGTCATGAAGTCAGCAGCAGCAACATCGCTGCGCTGGTTAACGAGCCTCTTGAGCCCTTCGAGGTAGGAGACACAGCAACTTTGGCATCGCCATGACCTAAAACACTGCTTCGTCTCTCCTGCTTCCATCGCTACTGTCCCTAACCTTGCCTCTTTTCCGCCACACTGTCCCTGTAACAGGATTCTGCCTCGCAGTGCTCCCAGGACGCTCCTTGCTCCATCTCAAGCTCCTCGAGCTTTGCCCTGATGAGCGATACGGATGATGACAACAGCAGTCTGGCCTCCTTCCCCTCGGAGGTCTCCGAATTGGACACAACAACAACGTTCGAGGTAGGTTTGGTTGATCTGTGTGTTTTTGCTCCTGTTTGCCCTGATGTCCCCTCAAACACCCCTCTTAGGGTCTTGTTTTTGCTCCTTTGCTAACCCACCCGTATCCCCGTTCACCTTGTGCGTTGTTCGCAGGTCCCAAGCAGCACTCTCCAGCCTCAGCCCATCTCGTTCCTCAGCGAGGAGGACCTGCGGTCCTGCAAGGTCGTGAAGCGAATGTGGGGCGGCAACATGGCCGAGGTGACGGTTGGCGGTGTGACGTTGGTCCGCAAAACCCTCGTGACCGGCGTATCGGAGCGGCGACTGGAGGAGCTCACGAGTGGGCTCCCCTCCCTCGGCTGCAACAACCCGTACGGCAAGCGCTTGCTACGGGCTGCCGCGTCATTAGCCAAGCGGCTCACGATGCTTCCTGTTGAGATCCAGAAGGCGGAGGTCCGCGTGGAGTGCGAGGTTGCGGCCCTGAGTGCCGCCGTCGCCAGCCCCTTTGTCGTCCGCTGCCTCGGGAAGCAGGTCGACTCGCACGAGACTCACATCTTTATGGAGTCCGCCCACTCGTCCCTGGCTCAGCACCTGGTGAGTTGCTGTCGTACTGTGACGTGCGGTCGGCTTGCTGTGCTAGGATGCGTTTGCGGTGGCCAGACGGGTGAACTGAGGGGCTTGTAGGTTGCGGTTGCTTGTGCTCGTACACGCACGCATGCATGTTAGGTGCCTGCACTCGAGCGATTTCCCGTGCCGCTGTATAACCTCCCTCTCGTCTCCCTCCCTCGTTCCCTCCCTCAGGACAAGTGTGTCGCCAACTCCAGCCAGCCCCTCACGTCGGAGGACTTTGCTCGCACAGTGGCTTTCTCGGCACTGTGTGGTCTGCAGGACATGCGCGAGGGCGGGTTCTGCCACCGCGACGTGAAACCCGACCACATCCTGATCTCCCCGGCTGGCCGCGTGATGCTAGGCGGCATGGGGAGCGCGGCCAGGGTGGACGAGGAGACGACGGGGGCGGTGCGCAGCGGCAGCTGCAGCGGCGCGGGCTCGGCGGGCTACATGGCCCCTGAGGTCGTACGAGCATCGTACGGCAACACGGCTGTGCCGTACTCGGAGAAGGCTGACGTGTTCAGCGTTGGAGTGGTTTTGGCGGAGTGTCTGATCCCCGGGTTGCGCGGCAACAAGGCCGCAGTGCTGGAGTTGTTGAGCGGGGAGCGGCCGCTGCCGTCGTTCCTGCCCCGGTACATTCGGAGGCTGATCCGGAGCATGACGGCCCCCGACCCCCGGAGGCGACCCAGCGTCGAGCAGGCGCTGAGGCACCCGTTCTTTCGGGAGGCGGAGCTGACTGTAGCGCTCTGAGGCTGCCAGGGGCCTGCTACCATGGGCGCGCGGGCTTGCTTGGCTTTGCATGGTTGCTTGCAATCCCGCAGATACATAAATAGTTGGTTATTATAGGTGTAGGATGTGTTTAGGGTGCGTCGCTGCCTGTTACATGAAAGGGGGCTTGTCTATAGGTTGCCCCGTTAGAGATAGTTAAAAATTAGTTTATGCAATAGGGGTGTTCAAGCACGTGGCCGTACGAGCCATAAATGGCGTAGCACTGGTGCTTGAGGGTGTACCCCTCGTAATGGTACCTGATGCCCCTTGGCTTCTGGTGTGTTGGGATGATATCCCGCTTGACTTGAGTGCCCCCTTAGGTATAGAATGCATGGTGTGCCATTTATACCTTGGCTGCCTTGCATTACTCCCCTTGTGTATATATGCCTTTCTGTTGTTTGTCTTTTCGACGATAAACTGCCCCTTTGGTAGTGTGCATGGTACTGTCATTGCCGTTTGTGCTGCATTTATCCGGGTCGATGGTAGCCTTTCGTTTATTTGCCTTTCCTGTTCGACGTTAAACTGCCCCTTTGGTAGTGTGCATGGTACTGTCATTGCCATGTATGCTGCATTATACCCCTTGCTTGTAGGCGTGCGTCGTTTATGTTTATTGCCTTTCCTTTGCCAAACTGCCCTTAGATAGGGTGCATGGAACTGTCATCATGACGCCTCTCTGTTGTTTGCCGTTCGACGCTGAACTGCCCCTTAGGCATGAAATGTGAACTGGTATTAGGTTTGGTGTGCGCATACTTGCGCAGCTAGGTTTCATCCCTCTTGTCCTTATGGGTTGCATGGACGCCTTTTCATTTCTTTTCTCTTTTTATTTTCTTTCTTTTATTTTCGCACGTCTTCAGCTTTCCTGGCCCCCCTCCTTGTCCCTGGGAAGACAATGCTTTCCGGGGGAATTTCTTTTGTCATAGAACGTTCAGTCCGGGTTGGTGGTGCTGGGCTCACATGAGCACATTTGCAAGGCATGGCATGAGTGGTGCCTTACACTGGCGTGCCTGTGGCACTGCATATTACGTGGGCAAACTTATAAACTTATCGTGACCGAACAAGGCATGCATGGTCATGTCAAGTTAGCGTGTACCCATACTGTACGTATGGAATGGGACTCCTCCCGACCATGCTGGGATACCGCTGTAGTACGGCGATATGACGCCGCGTTCCAGTGATAACCATAATAACGATGTAACTAGGCCAAATGTTTGCTTGCATGTCAAGAGCCTCATGGGGGCGACCTACCATACGAAGATTGAGGTTAGGCACGTTTTCGACCCACGGGTCGCTGCATAGCAAGGCAACATCCCGCGAGCCATACGGTCTGCTTGAGGGTCCAGCCCGGCGCTGCTTCCCACACTCTCACGGCAGTGTTGTATGGCAAACCCGCCGGCGCAGCATCGCAACCCCAAAAAACGCTTGCATGCGCCGAATGCAGTTCTCAATGCTTCACAATGACTTCCTCACTCCGCAAGGCGACAAGATACAGAACTGCGACGCCGCCAACACAGGGACTGGTCGGCTTAAAGCCCTCGGCCTGTCAACGCAACCGGCACCCATCTCCAACCCCAGAACAAGACGCCTCCATGAAATATCGCCATCATACTAGATTGCAACCTAATATGCCGTACAAGGTACAACACAGCCGCACATCCCAGAGTGTCAAACTTCGCAGCAACCTTGTGTGCATGTGCGCCGTGAGCCCTGAGCAGCAAACCCGGCTGCCGGAAACGGGCACTATTACCGCCCACCCGCAGTACAGGCCGGCCTGTACAGTGTGAGCGAAAACACTCGCAAAAACATTCGATATCTGCAAACATGCCTGCAAATGCTTACACTTGATACACACAGTTTATCAGGGGGCTCCCGGCGTCGAGTTGGTCAGCGGGCTTTCGTTCTCGGTAGTATTTTAGTTTTCCGACAACCATCAGCATCACCGACATGCGTCGTCACTCGTCACCCGCCACTCTTCTTACATCCAGCAACAGCTATTTAAGCAGTTTTTGAATTACGGTTCAGGTTTGGTCACCTCTGTTTTTGCCTGTACTCGCGGTTCACATGCGAACCTCTCCCCATTGCTTGCTCTTGTCCTACTCAACTACACACAGTAAGCCTGGAGTTGAAATCAGCGAGATTAGGACCAACAACACTACTATATAAGGGAGCAGCCCAGCGCCGCCATGACCGGAGGCTCGGTGCGGTGTCTTCACTCGTGAACACAGCCACACAGCCCCAATACACACGCAGCACCTCCTCCTGCCCTTCTTCCCCCCGCTCCTTCTGCCCCTGCTGCCCCCGGGCCGCCCCCATCACCGCCTCCAGCTGCTGGGGCAGCGCGGAGACCGCAGCTGCGGCAGCCTGGGGGGGAGGCGAGGGGTGAGGGGCGTTGGTAGTCGGGGCAGATTCGGAGGCTACACTTCGCCGCATTCTTTCTACCCTCCCTAACACCCACCCTTCTCGCTTGCAAGCATTGCTTCAACGCATTGGGTGCTACTCTTTTCCAAACCCGAACCCAAACCAAAACCCAAACCCTTCTTCTCCACCCACCTGCAGCCCCGCCAGCGCGGAGGGCGAGGGGGCGGTGGTGGTACGACTCGTCAGGGCCGCCACGTCAGCCGGGTCGGCGTCGGAGAAGGCGAGCAGTCGCACTCGCAACGTAACGCTCGCACCTGAACCCGCTCCGGAGCCTTTAGGTGGTGATGGGGGCGGGAGAGCGGGGGGCCGGGGGGTTGGGAAAGATGGAAGAGAGGGGGGGGGAGCACTGGAGCACTGGAGGAGGAGGAGTTGGGGGAGTGTCTCGAGTGAGGTGCGGATGGGAGGGCTGCATGGCAGGGTGTATGGGTTTTGGAAGCGTGTCTGCACATCCCGTTTCGTGTTCCCAATTCCCACCCCCCGCTATCCCCCTCAATGCCATGCTACCCCCCGGCTATGCCCGCAGGCCGCAGGGCCCGCAGGCCCAGTACCCTAGCCCCCTGACCCCCATCATGCCGCCTCCCAGCACCCCCTCCCCATTCCTCTCCATCCCTGGCCCTTCGTAGGCCCCCCGTCACTCCCCTCCTTCCACTCCCTCACCTCTAAGCGGCAGCCTCACCGTCCGCGCCTCCCCCCCAGCCCCCTCCCCCTCCCCTCCAGCAGCCCCCCCAGCCCCATCATGGCTATCCCCAGCTCATCATCGCTCTTGGGCCCGGGGTCCTCGTCGTACAACCGTACCCGCAACACCTCCGTACGGGGGTCCCTGCAGGGGGGAGAGGGCGGGGAGGGGGGGAGATGAGGAGCGGGGGAGAGGGGTGGGGGTGGGTTGATGGCAGCAAGAGGTACGCCAGGGAGGGAAGGGGAGGTAGCCTGACGGGGCGATGATTCCCTGTCACCTGCCGCTAGTTCCTTCCTCCCTGCCCCTTTCCCCCCCCCCTCTCCCTACCTCACATACAGGCAGTGCGCCTCCCCCTCCCCCCATCTCGGCTCCAGGCTGCCCCACACCGTCGCCGACCGCACGCTGCATGCCCCCAGCTGAAGCAGCGCGTAGGGGTCGGAGGCGCCGCCCGGGTCGGCGGGGCGCAGGTTGGAGGCGGACAGCAGCTGCACATGAAGCACGCCGTAGTGGGTTGCGTGAGGAAGGACCTGGTTTCGGGGAGGGGGCCGGGAATGCGGGGGGAGGAGGAGGTCATAGGGAGGGTCAGAGGGGCGCGGGGTGGAGGCGGGGAGAGGAGCTGCAGCAGCAGCAGCACGCCTCACTTGTCGGTGTAGGTGACGGTAGGGCCGCCCACGGTGCGCTGCTGGAAGCCCTGTCCGCCCTGGGGCTGCAGGTAGGACTCGAAGGCAGCGCCGGCCAGCACGACCGCAAGCGGCAGGTCAAACTTGTGGTGGTGATGATGGTGTTGATGGCCATGATGGTGAGGGTGTTGTTGTTGCTGCTTCTGCTGAGACACGGGCTCCTCGGCGCTTGGTGGTTTTGAGACCGCACTTTTAAAGAATGGAAATACTGCGACTGGACGGAAAGGAGTTCTAGCCGCGCGGCCAAGCCGGTTGCAACCACCCATTGTGGAGGGCGAAACACGCCTGTTCGTAAAGGGGACGAATGCAGCGCGCACATTAAGCACATGCGTTAGCCGTTCAACAATTTAAATACCTAAACTAAGCCTCACCGAGCAGCGCGTCCAACCGCAGCTTGCACGCATCTTCGCCGGGTCTCCTTGCACCGTTGCTGCATGTATAAAGTGCACCATTTAGAAAATGGAGTACGGTTCATTTAACGCTTACGCTTGGGTAGGATACCTAACGCTCTTACCGATTGGACACGCTGCCCTGTATCAAGACGCATTATGCGACGAAAGCAATTGCCAAGTGCGCTTACTTTCCTAACAGTTATTATGCTTTATCCGCGTAAGTCGGGAATTCGCTTATAACGCGTCCCATGGGCGAGCGAAAGCTGTCGATGGATCTCGACCTCAGTGTTGCCGAGCAAGGATTGGAGCAAGAATAGCATCTGGAAGCCATGGTAGGCAATCTGTATAGCAACATTGCACCGATATCCATTTTAAAAGTGAGGGGGTAAGCTATGGAAGCAACCTGCTTGCAGGTCTGGCCATGCTTCCATGTCTGCTGTTTTCTTGCTATACATGACGGTGCAACGATGGTCTCAGTGCGAATTCTTCGTCGAATATAAAACATAGTCATATGCCCCTCTGCAACATGTGTGATACTGGGACATGCCAAATGTGAACATTTGCCCAATGTGTGTGCCTTGTGTGCACAAGGCCAGTCATCAGACACCAAATAACACGCATGTATTCTGCCCCTTGAGCATGTTCGTGAAGCCACCAGACAAAAAGTACCCTGTTTGGATACGGTTTTAGCTTGTCATCTTCACACTTAGGCAAGCACATTAATTTCTACCGCACCAAAGTTTGGGCCCATAAACGAAAGTGAGGCCATGAACAGGAAAGACATTTGTGGGGACGGAATGATCGGGATTGGTGAACGACATGAAAGGCCCTGTCCTGCAGGATGGAGGCAATCGTACGTACCATGGCGGGTACAAGAGCGCAGCCGCGCACGCAATCCTATACCTTCCTTCACAAGGATTGTTGAGATAATAACATAGCTGCTTTACTCTTTCTCAATCAGCCTTATAGGAATCCTTTGTATTCCTACTGCAAAATGGCAAGACAGCAAGTTTCTTGGCGCAACTCCTCATCAATAGTGGAACGCCTGGCCTATCTGTTCTTCCTCTTGGTTACATTTGTAGCCGCACCCTTCTGGCTTCCCTTCGCGGTTCTGCTGCGGTTGGCGCTGCCGTTGGCGCAGCATGGCTGGCAGTGGGCTACTGGTGTTCAGCTGGTGGGCTGTGAGCCTCAGAAGTCATCCGGTGCTTTAACTGCACCTTTCCCTTCGGTATTGAGTAGCCCGGTAAGTGACGCACCTGGCTGTCAATTGTCATGGCCGTTGCAAGCCAGTTTTGCCTCGCGGTTTTTCCAAGTTGGTTTAGCATTTACACATAATCGTTATGTCCTTAGTTGTGATGCGCTTTGGACGTAAGGCGTTCCTGTCTCTTGCTTCGGTTTTCGCCGCCTTTCCTTATCATGCTGACTCTTGCTCCCAACCTTTCACCCACTCGTAGACTCCCAGCAACAGTCATGAAGTCAGCAGCAGCAACATCGCTGCGCTGGTTAACGAGCCTCTTGAGCCCTTCGAGGTAGGAGACACAGCAACTTTGGCATCGCCATGACCTAAAACACTGCTTCGTCTCTCCTGCTTCCATCGCTACTGTCCCTAACCTTGCCTCTTTTCCGCCACACTGTCCCTGTAACAGGATTCTGCCTCGCAGTGCTCCCAGGACGCTCCTTGCTCCATCTCAAGCTCCTCGAGCTTTGCCCTGATGAGCGATACGGATGATGACAACAGCAGTCTGGCCTCCTTCCCCTCGGAGGTCTCCGAATTGGACACAACAACAACGTTCGAGGTAGGTTTGGTTGATCTGTGTGTTTTTGCTCCTGTTTGCCCTGATGTCCCCTCAAACACCCCTCTTAGGGTCTTGTTTTTGCTCCTTTGCTAACCCACCCGTATCCCCGTTCACCTTGTGCGTTGTTCGCAGGTCCCAAGCAGCACTCTCCAGCCTCAGCCCATCTCGTTCCTCAGCGAGGAGGACCTGCGGTCCTGCAAGGTCGTGAAGCGAATGTGGGGCGGCAACATGGCCGAGGTGACGGTTGGCGGTGTGACGTTGGTCCGCAAAACCCTCGTGACCGGCGTATCGGAGCGGCGACTGGAGGAGCTCACGAGTGGGCTCCCCTCCCTCGGCTGCAACAACCCGTACGGCAAGCGCTTGCTACGGGCTGCCGCGTCATTAGCCAAGCGGCTCACGATGCTTCCTGTTGAGATCCAGAAGGCGGAGGTCCGCGTGGAGTGCGAGGTTGCGACCCTGAGTGCCGCCGTCGCCAGCCCCTTTGTCGTCCGCTGCCTCGGGAAGCAGGTCGACTCGCACGAGACTCACATCTTTATGGAGTCCGCCCACTCGTCCCTGGCTCAGCACCTGGTGAGTTGCTGTCGTACTGTGACGTGCGGTCGGCTTGCTGTGCTAGGATGCGTTTGCGGTGGCCAGACGGGTGAACTGAGGGGCTTGTAGGTTGCGGTTGCTTGTGCTCGTACACGCACGCATGCATGTTAGGTGCCTGCACTCGAGCGATTTCCCGTGCCGCTGTATAACCTCCCTCTCGTCTCCCTCCCTCGTTCCCTCCCTCAGGACAAGTGTGTCGCCAACTCCAGCCAGCCCCTCACGTCGGAGGACTTTGCTCGCACAGTGGCTTTCTCGGCACTGTGTGGTCTGCAGGACATGCGCGAGGGCGGGTTCTGCCACCGCGACGTGAAACCCGACCACATCCTGATCTCCCCGGCTGGCCGCGTGATGCTAGGCGGCATGGGGAGCGCGGCCAGGGTGGACGAGGAGACGACGGGGGCGGTGCGCAGCGGCAGCTGCAGCGGCGCGGGCTCGGCGGGCTACATGGCCCCTGAGGTCGTACGAGCATCGTACGGCAACACGGCTGTGCCGTACTCGGAGAAGGCTGACGTGTTCAGCGTTGGAGTGGTTTTGGCGGAGTGTCTGATCCCCGGGTTGCGCGGCAACAAGGCCGCAGTGCTGGAGTTGTTGAGCGGGGAGCGGCCGCTGCCGTCGTTCCTGCCCCGGTACATTCGGAGGCTGATCCGGAGCATGACGGCCCCCGACCCCCGGAGGCGACCCAGCGTCGAGCAGGCGCTGAGGCACCCGTTCTTTCGGGAGGCGGAGCTGACTGTAGCGCTCTGAGGCTGCCAGGGGCCTGCTACCATGGGCGCGCGGGCTTGCTTGGCTTTGCATGGTTGCTTGCAATCCCGCAGATACATAAATAGTTGGTTATTATAGGTGTAGGATGTGTTTAGGGTGCGTCGCTGCCTGTTACATGAAAGGGGGCTTGTCTATAGGTTGCCCCGTTAGAGATAGTTAAAAATTAGTTTATGCAATAGGGGTGTTCAAGCACGTGGCCGTACGAGCCATAAATGGCGTAGCACTGGTGCTTGAGGGTGTACCCCTCGTAATGGTACCTGATGCCCCTTGGCTTCTGGTGTGTTGGGATGATATCCCGCTTGACTTGAGTGCCCCCTTAGGTATAGAATGCATGGTGTGCCATTTATACCTTGGCTGCCTTGCATTACTCCCCTTGTGTATATATGCCTTTCTGTTGTTTGTCTTTTCGACGATAAACTGCCCCTTTGGTAGTGTGCATGGTACTGTCATTGCCGTTTGTGCTGCATTTATCCGGGTCGATGGTAGCCTTTCGTTTATTTGCCTTTCCTGTTCGACGTTAAACTGCCCCTTTGGTAGTGTGCATGGTACTGTCATTGCCATGTATGCTGCATTATACCCCTTGCTTGTAGGCGTGCGTCGTTTATGTTTATTGCCTTTCCTTTGCCAAACTGCCCTTAGATAGGGTGCATGGAACTGTCATCATGACGCCTCTCTGTTGTTTGCCGTTCGACGCTGAACTGCCCCTTAGGCATGAAATGTGAACTGGTATTAGGTTTGGTGTGCGCATACTTGCGCAGCTAGGTTTCATCCCTCTTGTCCTTATGGGTTGCATGGACGCCTTTTCATTTCTTTTCTCTTTTTATTTTCTTTCTTTTATTTTCGCACGTCTTCAGCTTTCCTGGCCCCCCTCCTTGTCCCTGGGAAGACAATGCTTTCCGGGGGAATTTCTTTTGTCATAGAACGTTCAGTCCGGGTTGGTGGTGCTGGGCTCACATGAGCACATTTGCAAGGCATGGCATGAGTGGTGCCTTACACTGGCGTGCCTGTGGCACTGCATATTACGTGGGCAAACTTATAAACTTATCGTGACCGAACAAGGCATGCATGGTCATGTCAAGTTAGCGTGTACCCATGATGTACGTATGGAATGGGACTCCTCCCGACCATGCTGGGATACCGCTGTAGTACGGCGATATGACGCCGCGTTCCAGTGATAACCATAATAACGATGTAACTAGGCCAAATGTTTGCTTGCATGTCAAGAGCCTCATGGGGGCGACCTACCATACGAAGATTGAGGTTAGGCACGTTTTCGACCCACGGGTCGCTGCATAGCAAGGCAACATCCCGCGAGCCATACGGTCTGCTTGAGGGTCCAGCCCGGCGCTGCTTCCCACACTCTCACGGCAGTGTTGTATGGCAAACCCGCCGGCGCAGCATCGCAACCCCAAAAAACGCTTGCATGCGCCGAATGCAGTTCTCAATGCTTCACAATGACTTCCTCACTCCGCAAGGCGACAAGATACAGAACTGCGACGCCGCCAACACAGGGACTGGTCGGCTTAAAGCCCTCGGCCTGTCAACGCAACCGGCACCCATCTCCAACCCCAGAACAAGACGCCTCCATGAAATATCGCCATCATACTAGATTGCAACCTAATATGCCGTACAAGGTACAACACAGCCGCACATCCCAGAGTGTCAAACTTCGCAGCAACCTTGTGTGCATGTGCGCCGTGAGCCCTGAGCAGCAAACCCGGCTGCCGGAAACGGGCACTATTACCGCCCACCCGCAGTACAGGCCGGCCTGTACAGTGTGAGCGAAAACACTCGCAAAAACATTCGATATCTGCAAACATGCCTGCAAATGCTTACACTTGATACACACAGTTTATCAGGGGGCTCCCGGCGTCGAGTTGGTCAGCGGGCTTTCGTTCTCGGTAGTATTTTAGTTTTCCGACAACCATCAGCATCACCGACATGCGTCGTCACTCGTCACCCGCCACTCTTCTTACATCCAGCAACAGCTATTTAAGCAGTTTTTGAATTACGGTTCAGGTTTGGTCACCTCTGTTTTTGCCTGTACTCGCGGTTCACATGCGAACCTCTCCCCATTGCTTGCTCTTGTCCTACTCAACTACACACAGTAAGCCTGGAGTTGAAATCAGCGAGATTAGGACCAACAACACTACTATATAAGGGAGCAGCCCAGCGCCGCCATGACCGGAGGCTCGGTGCGGTGTCTTCACTCGTGAACACAGCCACACAGCCCCAATACACACGCAGCACCTCCTCCTGCCCTTCTTCCCCCCGCTCCTTCTGCCCCTGCTGCCCCCGGGCCGCCCCCATCACCGCCTCCAGCTGCTGGGGCAGCGCGGAGACCGCAGCTGCGGCAGCCTGGGGGGGAGGCGAGGGGTGAGGGGCGTTGGTAGTCGGGGCAGATTCGGAGGCTACACTTCGCCGCATTCTTTCTACCCTCCCTAACACCCACCCTTCTCGCTTGCAAGCATTGCTTCAACGCATTGGGTGCTACTCTTTTCCAAACCCGAACCCAAACCAAAACCCAAACCCTTCTTCTCCACCCACCTGCAGCCCCGCCAGCGCGGAGGGCGAGGGGGCGGTGGTGGTACGACTCGTCAGGGCCGCCACGTCAGCCGGGTCGGCGTCGGAGAAGGCGAGCAGTCGCACTCGCAACGTAACGCTCGCACCTGAACCCGCTCCGGAGCCTTTAGGTGGTGATGGGGGCGGGAGAGCGGGGGGCCGGGGGGTTGGGAAAGATGGAAGAGAGGGGGGGGGGGAGCACTGGAGCACTGGAGGAGGAGGAGTTGGGGGAGTGTCTCGAGTGAGGTGCGGATGGGAGGGCTGCATGGCAGGGTGTATGGGTTTTGGAAGCGTGTCTGCACATCCCGTTTCGTGTTCCCAATTCCCACCCCCCGCTATCCCCCTCAATGCCATGCTACCCCCCGGCTATGCCCGCAGGCCGCAGGGCCCGCAGGCCCAGTACCCTAGCCCCCTGACCCCCATCATGCCGCCTCCCAGCACCCCCTCCCCATTCCTCTCCATCCCTGGCCCTTCGTAGGCCCCCCGTCACTCCCCTCCTTCCACTCCCTCACCTCTAAGCGGCAGCCTCACCGTCCGCGCCTCCCCCCCAGCCCCCTCCCCCTCCCCCTCCAGCAGCCCCCCCAGCCCCATCATGGCTATCCCCAGCTCATCATCGCTCTTGGGCCCGGGGTCCTCGTCGTACAACCGTACCCGCAACACCTCCGTACGGGGGTCCCTGCAGGGGGGAGAGGGCGGGGAGGGGGGGAGATGAGGAGCGGGGGAGAGGGGTGGGGGTGGGTGAGGTGAGGTATGATGGCAGCAAGAGGTACGCCAGGGAGGGAAGGGGAGGTAGCCTGACGGGGCGATGATTCCCTGTCACCTGCCGCTAGTTCCTTCCTCCCTGCCCCTTTCCCCCCCCCCCTCTCCCTACCTCACATACAGGCAGTGCGCCTCCCCCTCCCCCCATCTCGGCTCCAGGCTGCCCCACACCGTCGCCGACCGCACGCTGCATGCCCCCAGCTGAAGCAGCGCGTAGGGGTCGGAGGCGCCGCCCGGGTCGGCGGGGCGCAGGTTGGAGGCGGACAGCAGCTGCACATGAAGCACGCCGTAGTGGGTTGCGTGAGGAAGGACCTGGTTTCGGGGAGGGGGCCGGGAATGCGGGGGGAGGAGGAGGTCATAGGGAGGGTCAGAGGGGCGCGGGGTGGAGGCGGGGAGAGGAGCTGCAGCAGCAGCAGCACGCCTCACTTGTCGGTGTAGGTGACGGTAGGGCCGCCCACGGTGCGCTGCTGGAAGCCCTGTCCGCCCTGGGGCTGCAGGTAGGACTCGAAGGCAGCGCCGGCCAGCACGACCGCAAGCGGCAGGTCAAACTTGTGGTGGTGATGATGGTGTTGATGGCCATGATGGTGAGGGTGTTGTTGTTGCTGCTTCTGCTGAGACACGGGCTCCTCGGCGCTTGGTGGTTTTGAGACCGCACTTTTAAAGAATGGAAATACTGCGACTGGACGGAAAGGAGTTCTAGCCGCGCGGCCAAGCCGGTTGCAACCACCCATTGTGGAGGGCGAAACACGCCTGTTCGTAAAGGGGACGAATGCAGCGCGCACATTAAGCACATGCGTTAGCCGTTCAACAACTTAAATACCTAAACTAAGCCTCACCGAGCAGCGCGTCCAACCGCAGCTTGCACGCATCTTCGCCGGGTCTCCTTGCACCGTTGCTGCATGTATAAAGTGCACCATTTAGAAAATGGAGTACGGTTCATTTAACGCTTACGCTTGGGTAGGATACCTAACGCTCTTACCGATTGGACACGCTGCCCTGTATCAAGACGCATTATGCGACGAAAGCAATTGCCAAGTGCGCTTACTTTCCTAACAGTTATTATGCTTTATCCGCGTAAGTCGGGAATTCGCTTATAACGCGTCCCATGGGCGAGCGAAAGCTGTCGATGGATCTCGACCTCAGTGTTGCCGAGCAAGGATTGGAGCAAGAATAGCATCTGGAAGCCATGGTAGGCAATCTGTATAGCAACATTGCACCGATATCCATTTTAAAAGTGAGGGGGTAAGCTATGGAAGCAACCTGCTTGCAGGTCTGGCCATGCTTCCATGTCTGCTGTTTTCTTGCTATACATGACGGTGCAACGATGGTCTCAGTGCGAATTCTTCGTCGAATATAAAACATAGTCATATGCCCCTCTGCAACATGTGTGATACTGGGACATGCCAAATGTGAACATTTGCCCAATGTGTGTGCCTTGTGTGCACAAGGCCAGTCATCAGACACCAAATAACACGCATGTATTCTGCCCCTTGAGCATGTTCGTGAAGCCACCAGACAAAAAGTACCCTGTTTGGATACGGTTTTAGCTTGTCATCTTCACACTTAGGCAAGCACATTAATTTCTACCGCACCAAAGTTTGGGCCCATAAACGAAAGTGAGGCCATGAACAGGAAAGACATTTGTGGGGACGGAATGATCGGGATTGGTGAACGACATGAAAGGCCCTGTCCTGCAGGATGGAGGCAATCGTACGTACCATGGCGGGTACAAGAGCGCAGCCGCGCACGCAATCCTATACCTTCCTTCACAAGGATTGTTGAGATAATAACATAGCTGCTTTACTCTTTCTCAATCAGCCTTATAGGAATCCTTTGTATTCCTACTGCAAAATGGCAAGACAGCAAGTTTCTTGGCGCAACTCCTCATCAATAGTGGAACGCCTGGCCTATCTGTTCTTCCTCTTGGTTACATTTGTAGCCGCACCCTTCTGGCTTCCCTTCGCGGTTCTGCTGCGGTTGGCGCTGCCGTTGGCGCAGCATGGCTGGCAGTGGGCTACTGGTGTTCAGCTGGTGGGCTGTAAGCCTCAGAAGTCATCCGGTGCTTTAACTGCACCTTTCCCTTCGGTATTGAGTAGCCCGGTAAGTGACGCACCTGGCTGTCAATTGTCATGGCCGTTGCAAGCCAGTTTTGCCTCGCGGTTTTTCCAAGTTGGTTTAGCATTTACACATAATCGTTATGTCCTTAGTTGTGATGCGCTTTGGACGTAAGGCGTTCCTGTCTCTTGCTTCGGTTTTCGCCGCCTTTCCTTATCATGCTGACTCTTGCTCCCAACCTTTCACCCACTCGTAGACTCCCAGCAACAGTCATGAAGTCAGCAGCAGCAACATCGCTGCGCTGGTTAACGAGCCTCTTGAGCCCTTCGAGGTAGGAGACACAGCAACTTTGGCATCGCCATGACCTAAAACACTGCTTCGTCTCTCCTGCTTCCATCGCTACTGTCCCTAACCTTGCCTCTTTTCCGCCACACTGTCCCTGTAACAGGATTCTGCCTCGCAGTGCTCCCAGGACGCTCCTTGCTCCATCTCAAGCTCCTCGAGCTTTGCCCTGATGAGCGATACGGATGATGACAACAGCAGTCTGGCCTCCTTCCCCTCGGAGGTCTCCGAATTGGACACAACAACAACGTTCGAGGTAGGTTTGGTTGATCTGTGTGTTTTTGCTCCTGTTTGCCCTGATGTCCCCTCAAACACCCCTCTTAGGGTCTTGTTTTTGCTCCTTTGCTAACCCACCCGTATCCCCGTTCACCTTGTGCGTTGTTCGCAGGTCCCAAGCAGCACTCTCCAGCCTCAGCCCATCTCGTTCCTCAGCGAGGAGGACCTGCGGTCCTGCAAGGTCGTGAAGCGAATGTGGGGCGGCAACATGGCCGAGGTGACGGTTGGCGGTGTGACGTTGGTCCGCAAAACCCTCGTGACCGGCGTATCGGAGCGGCGACTGGAGGAGCTCACGAGTGGGCTCCCCTCCCTCGGCTGCAACAACCCGTACGGCAAGCGCTTGCTACGGGCTGCCGCGTCATTAGCCAAGCGGCTCACGATGCTTCCTGTTGAGATCCAGAAGGCGGAGGTCCGCGTGGAGTGCGAGGTTGCGGCCCTGAGTGCCGCCGTCGCCAGCCCCTTTGTCGTCCGCTGCCTCGGGAAGCAGGTCGACTCGCACGAGACTCACATCTTTATGGAGTCCGCCCACTCGTCCCTGGCTCAGCACCTGGTGAGTTGCTGTCGTACTGTGACGTGCGGTCGGCTTGCTGTGCTAGGATGCGTTTGCGGTGGCCAGACGGGTGAACTGAGGGGCTTGTAGGTTGCGGTTGCTTGTGCTCGTACACGCACGCATGCATGTTAGGTGCCTGCACTCGAGCGATTTTCCGTGCCGCTGTATAACCTCCCTCTCGTCTCCCTCCCTCGTTCCCTCCCTCAGGACAAGTGTGTCGCCAACTCCAGCCAGCCCCTCACGTCGGAGGACTTTGCTCGCACAGTGGCTTTCTCGGCACTATGTGGTCTGCAGGACATGCGCGAGGGCGGGTTCTGCCACCGCGACGTGAAACCCGACCACATCCTGATCTCCCCGGCTGGCCGCGTGATGCTAGGCGGCATGGGGAGCGCGGCCAGGGTGGACGAGGAGACGACGGGGGCGGTGCGCAGCGGCAGCTGCAGCGGCGCGGGCTCGGCGGGCTACATGGCCCCTGAGGTCGTACGAGCATCGTACGGCAACACGGCTGTGCCGTACTCGGAGAAGGCTGACGTGTTCAGCGTTGGAGTGGTTTTGGCGGAGTGTCTGATCCCCGGGTTGCGCGGCAACAAGGCCGCAGTGCTGGAGTTGTTGAGCGGGGAGCGGCCGCTGCCGTCGTTCCTGCCCCGGTACATTCGGAGGCTGATCCGGAGCATGACGGCCCCCGACCCCCGGAGGCGACCCAGCGTCGAGCAGGCGCTGAGGCACCCGTTCTTTCGGGAGGCGGAGCTGACTGTAGCGCTCTGAGGCTGCCAGGGGCCTGCTACCATGGGCGCGCGGGCTTGCTTGGCTTTGCATGGTTGCTTGCAATCCCGCAGATACATAAATAGTTGGTTATTATAGGTGTAGGATGTGTTTAGGGTGCGTCGCTGCCTGTTACATGAAAGGGGGCTTGTCTATAGGTTGCCCCGTTAGAGATAGTTAAAAATTAGTTTATGCAATAGGGGTGTTCAAGCACGTGGCCGTACGAGCCATAAATGGCGTAGCACTGGTGCTTGAGGGTGTACCCCTCGTAATGGTACCTGATGCCCCTTGGCTTCTGGTGTGTTGGGATGATATCCCGCTTGACTTGAGTGCCCCCTTAGGTATAGAATGCATGGTGTGCCATTTATACCTTGGCTGCCTTGCATTACTCCCCTTGTGTATATATGCCTTTCTGTTGTTTGTCTTTTCGACGATAAACTGCCCCTTTGGTAGTGTGCATGGTACTGTCATTGCCGTTTGTGCTGCATTTATCCGGGTCGATGGTAGCCTTTCGTTTATTTGCCTTTCCTGTTCGACGTTAAACTGCCCCTTTGGTAGTGTGCATGGTACTGTCATTGCCATGTATGCTGCATTATACCCCTTGCTTGTAGGCGTGCGTCGTTTATGCTTATTGCCTTTCCTTTGCCAAACTGCCCTTAGATAGGGTGCATGGAACTGTCATCATGACGCCTCTCTGTTGTTTGCCGTTCGACGCTGAACTGCCCCTTAGGCATGAAATGTGAACTGGTATTAGGTTTGGTGTGCGCATACTTGCGCAGCTAGGTTTCATCCCTCTTGTCCTTATGGGTTGCATGGACGCCTTTTCATTTCTTTTCTCTTTTTATTTTCTTTCTTTTATTTTCGCACGTCTTCAGCTTTCCTGGCCCCCCTCCTTGTCCCTGGGAAGACAATGCTTTCCGGGGGAATTTCTTTTGTCATAGAACGTTCAGTCCGGGTTGGTGGTGCTGGGCTCACATGAGCACATTTGCAAGGCATGGCATGAGTGGTGCCTTACACTGGCGTGCCTGTGGCACTGCATATTACGTGGGCAAACTTATAAACTTATCGTGACCGAACAAGGCATGCATGGTCATGTCAAGTTAGCGTGTACCCATGATGTACGTATGGAATGGGACTCCTCCCGACCATGCTGGGATACCGCTGTAGTACGGCGATATGACGCCGCGTTCCAGTGATAACCATAATAACGATGTAACTAGGCCAAATGTTTGCTTGCATGTCAAGAGCCTCATGGGGGCGACCTACCATACGAAGATTGAGGTTAGGCACGTTTTCGACCCACGGGTCGCTGCATAGCAAGGCAACATCCCGCGAGCTATACGGTCTGCTTGAGGGTCCAGCCCGGCGCTGCTTCCCACACTCTCACGGCAGTGTTGTATGGCAAACCCGCCGGTGCAGCATCGCAATCCCAAAAAACGCTTGCATGCGCCGAATGCAGTTCTCAATGCTTCACAATGACTTCCTCACTCCGCAAGGCGACAAGATACAGAACTGCGACGCCGACAACACTTTTGGGACTGGTCAGCTTAAACCCCTCGGCTTGTCAACGCAGCCGGCAGCTCTCCAACCCCGAAACAAGACGCCTCCATGAAATATCGCCATTATTCTAGATTGCAACCTAATATGCCGTACAAGGTACAACACAGCCGCACATCCCAGAGTGTCAAACTTCGCAGCACCCTTGCGTGCATGTGAGCCGTGAGCCCTGAGCAGCAAACCCGGCTGCCGGAAACGGGCACTATTACCGCCCGCCCGCAGTACAGGCCGGCCTGTACAGTGTGAGCGAAAACACTCGCAAAAACATACGATATCTGCAAACATGCCTGCAAATGCTTACACTTGATACACACAGTAAGCCTGGAGTTGAAATCAGCGAGATTAGGACCAACAACACTACTATATAAGGGAGCAGCCCAGCGCCGCCATGACCGGAGGCTCGGTGCGGTGTCTTCACTCGTGAACACAGCCACACAGCCCCAATACACACGCAGCACCAGCTCCTGTCATGCAGTACTAGGAGCTGTTGTATCCCATAGCGGGGTGCCCCTACTATCGCCGCTAGCCCCAGAGCTCCCTGCTCAGCCCCCAAAGCTACACACCAGGCTGCAGAAGCACCCGTCCCTAGGTTGTTCTATTCGACACGGTCCCCCCCACACGCCTCCTTGTGCCCCGGCTTCCAGTGCGCCACCTGACACTCCCGGCAGCAGTACCCCACCGCCCCGCACCGCCCGCACTTCTTCAGCTTCACCTCCGCCTCGCTGTCGCCCGCCAGGTTAGCACAGCCGGGGTTGCCGCAGCCCCGCAACAGCCCCCGCAGCCGCAGCTCCCCCGGCGACACCAGAGCCGCTGGGCAGGACGCTTCCCTTGCTGGTAGGGACGGGACAACCCACTTACGAAGCCACGAGATCAAGGCTTGACTCTCTTCATCCATTTCGCGGCCAGTGCTCCAGAACCTCAGCTCGGCTGCCAGGGATCTCACCGCTTCAGCGGTTGTCGCACTACGGCTGCTGCCGCCCTCGGCTGCAGGCTCGGAACCGCCAGGTGCCTCCTCCGCCTGCGTCTCCGCACCCCCTGGAAGCATGTCAGCCAGCTCACACAGCAGCTCCGATCGCCAACCCACTGCCTGGTCTGGATTCGCTCCTGCCACCACCGCCGCCTGCCGTACCTGCTCCGGGAATGCCGCCGCCACAGCACAGCAGCTGAAGGCGAGGTCGCCAACTGCTGAGCCGAGCTGCAGCCGCTCAGGTTCCACTTTCAGGACCGCCCCCAGCAATGCCACCGCATCTACCTCCTCCAGCAACCGTCGCCAGCCGTCGTCCTCCACGCCGGCGGCTTCAGATGCTCCGGGGTCTGCAGAAGGCGCCGCCGCCATTGCCGCGGCGCTGCTGTTCGCCCCTTCACTGTCGACCTCCTGCTGGCTTGTGGAGGCCCGGCTGAGGCACCGCTGGGTGAGAATGGGCAGCCACTGCAGAATCCTGGTTAGCGCGTATCGAACGGCGTCCAACGAGCAACCCTCCTCCTCGCCATCCAGCTGATCCTCTAAGAGCCAAACCAACATTGGCTGCACCAGTTGGCAGAGCGGCGGCAGCCACTCGTGCAGAGCGCATGATGCCAGCAGCTTCAGCTGCCAGGAGGGGGAAGCAGCAGCAATGGCAGCTCCGGCGGACCCCACCACCTGTTCCTCCCGCTCTACCGACAGAGACGTGAAATCTGAAATAATCCCCAGGGCAACCGTCAGGTACTGCACTGCCGCGTAAAGCAACGCCTTGTGGGGTCCCGCGTGCTCCGTGACGACCCATGGGTCCATCTGGCGCAGGGCCTTCCCCACCGTGACCACCAGTGCTGCCGCCTGCCGCTCCTCCCCGTATGCGAGCAGCGCAAAGAGCCACTGGGGGCAGTTACTGCGGCCCAGCAGCCGTTCCACCATTACCGCCTCACGGCTGTTGAAATCCGCGCCCGTACGCCTCAGCAGGCGCTCCAGGCAGGGCAGGAAGCCGCCCGCCAGCGCCGCTGCCACACTGGGCGGCGGTGCGGCCGGAAGCGGGACACCTGCGGCACCTAGAGGGGATGTGCTGTAACAATATGGTGGCTGGGAAGCTGCACCGCCGGGAGAGAGGTAACAACAATGCGCCCTGGCACCCCTTCTGGGACAAACAGCAGCGGCTCATGCGGGCTTGTCAGGCGTTACGAAGCCAGATATCTGACAAAAAAGGTGCCAAGGGGGCACACTTGCCTCCGTAGTGCGTGATTAGGTTAGTAACAGCAACCGTTGGCAACAATAAGATGGAGATCTTACTGCGCTTACCATGAGCATCCCGATCCCCTTGGTCAAGCACCATCTCCTGCAGCGCCGCAATGTGTGCCATCGCACCCACCGGAGCCCCGCCAGCCGCATGCCGTAAAATCGCATCCATCAGCCGCCACCACTCCACCGTCTCCTCCACCACGTGGGCTGCCGAATCGGGCTGCAGCCGCCTCAGGTGGCAGCTCGAGTACACAAGCGCATTATCCGCAAGCTCCTCCACATCCGCACGTGGCAGAACTGATAGGTAGCCGGAGGCTTGCAAGTTGGCGGCAGAGGCAGCCGCGTAGAACTGCCCCGACGCGACCGCCAGTCGGCCCATGCGCATCAGCAGCGCCAGTGCTGCACGCCGGCCTAGCGGCGGGGCCCTGAACTCGGGATTGAGCGCCAGCAGCATACATTGTAGGGCTAGCTTGTTTATTACAGGGGTTACCTCGCTCTCGCTGGTATTCGCGGAAGCAGAACCAGCAAAGGATGAGAAGCCGACCGTAACACAAACAAACCTCTGCGAGAAGCCGTACAGGGGACCACCATCTGCTATGTACAGCGTCATCAGCCCGTGTCCGACAGCTGCGTACTGCGTGCACCGGCCGGACAGCACCTCGCGTAGCTGGGCGCATGTGGGTGATGCAGGCATAGCTGCGGTAGCCATCTGGAATAGCAGCACGCAGCTGCTAAACGCCTGAAAGAAGTCGTGCACTGCTTGATAGGGGTTTCCACCCAGCGCCTCCTCCTGCTTAGCTGGCCCCTTAACTGCCCGCTCTAATTCTGCACGCTCCGCCACTTCCACCAGGAGCAGCAGCCTGGCCGAGTGCTCCAAGACGCAGCTGCCGTGCAGGGCCGTCACGAGATCTGTGAAGTAATGCGTAGCCGCCGGACTGACGATTAAGCCATTCAGTAGGCTGCAGGACAGGCAGACGACGTTAAGAGCCTGGTACAGCACGGCATCAATAGCCATCTGCTGCTCTTGGTCGGGCGACTGACCCTGCGCGCTTCGTGCTGCCAGGAGGGCATCGGCGGCCGCAGCCAGCTGGCGGCTGAGCGCTTGCAGCGTCTGCATGCGCAGCAGCTTGCGGGCAAAGTCGACTACATGCGGTGTAGGCTTGGACCATCGCTGCAGTAATTCCCCTACAAGATGACCGCTTGTAAGGAAGGCGCGTGCGCAGACTGTTTGAGTCCTCTTATCGTTGAGGGCGGGACACAGCTCAGCCGGTGTCAGGCGTGTTGCAACTGCCACCAGCCGCAGTAGCGCGACGCTGACGGCTCCATCCGCAAGCACTGCTGCAACCGCCTCATTAGCCGCCTGAGACCTTGAATTTGGAAGCATATCTGCGTATCCACCCACGGGGTTTAGACACCGTAGCAGGTCGTCAGCAGCCCTCCGCGCCAAAAGAGAGGTCTGTCCCTGGATGGTGAGAAACCGCTGGGCCGCAGCTGGCAATCGCCGCAAGCAGGCCTTAACGTTGCCAGGAAGGCAGTCAGGAGCTGGAGAAGGGCTGCTACTGCTGCTGCCTTGGGCCTGCTGGTCGCGAGGAAATTGCCGCTGCGACATGATCAGGAGTGACGGCTTAACACGGCCGGCGTAACCTGGCAACTGAAGGTCTGTACGCCTGCAGGACCAGGGGGGACAACTTGACATGCCAAGAGGAACCCAAAAGCATGGTTCATTTGATCAAAAGCGCACATGCATGGTCCCGAGCCATGACTATCAACTCCCGATGAGCATGGATGCAGACTATGAAAGTTGCGCTAAGACTCCATGCCTCGAACACAGCCAAGCGTGCATGTACTAGAATAACTTACGGTGGATTTAATGGCAAGCGTGGACGCCCGCAAGGACCGCAGGGCAAGCCGCCCTAATACCGCAATAGATATTAAAAGTAAAAAAGGTGGAAAGCTATCCAAAAGTCAACATGTGCCTTCATAGAAGATTTAGAATGGCGAGAGACTACCGGTAACTAAGTTGGACGACTTTTCACTAGGAGAGCCGCCTTTACAAGGTTACTCATGCAGTAGTTGCACTGCAGTTAGAACCAAAGCTCGGCTGTCGATTAAACATGAGACTATGGAGGAAATCCAGGTTCACAGAAATTCAAATCTTCGCCATCTGTACGACGACAGCTACCGTACTTACCATGGCCATGACGGCCGGGCGGGGTACATATGCAAAGGTTGTGTTATGCAAAAGCGTCCCAGCGATCAGTTACAAGTCGCGCGACTGACGTCACCAGCGTTAAGTGGTAGGTCACGATTGATACGTACCTAACCTCCAAGATATTGGCTCAGGCGCCTTCTACTACCGGTACTACTACAACTTCAGTAATACACGTTTTTGATCCGGTGCCCCGATACCAGCCGCATGTCTACCGTTATTTCTACTTGGTCGACAGCTGTGGTCAGTACAATTACACGGCAACTACGAGCCCAGGGGGAAAGGCAAGCCCCTACCAACAGAACACGGCTTACCGAAGCAACAACAACAACCTGCCATATACATCGTTGCCATTGTGCAATTGCCACATCCAACACACCCAGCACACAACCTCCTCGTGGTACTCGCTTGATGAGATGCTTTAGTCTGCCCTTCCGACGCACCTAGCCGCAGCTACAGTTACCATCCGTATACCAGAGCTCCTTACAAATGTGCGCAGCCCTCCTGCAGCCTCGTTAGAAAATGCCTCCTTGCAGAGGATGATCAGGCTCGTCCCAGGCCATGCATCCTATGAACGTCCTCTTGACACCCGCCGTCCACCCGCTTACGTACAGCCATCCCCCAGCCTCAATCCTGCGTTACCCACGCCCTGCCGGCAATCCTGCCAACCAGTGCGCATGCGGCACGGCATTGCTGCTCCAATGTGCTGCCCAGGCATGGTACGGATGCGCTTATTCCCTATAGCCCTATATGATGCCTTCCGAAGCGCTTGTCAGCACCACCGGAAACAATTTCATAACATCGTCCCGCATGACGTTTCGAACACGCACTCGTGCGCAGGTCAGCATGCAACGCATGATGCGCTGTACAACTCATATCTCTATTACCATATCTCTATTACCCAAGCCATATATACTCGCTTTCGTCTAACCCCCGTCTAACCTGCAACACGGTCCTGCCCACACACCTCCTTGTGCCCCGCCCTCCAGTGCGCCACCTGACACTCCCGGCAGCAGTACCCCACCGCACCGCACCGCCCACAACCCTTCAGCTTCACCTCCGCCTCGCTGTCGCCCGCCAGGTTAGCACAGCCCGGGTTGCCGCAACCCCGCAACAGCCCCCGCAGCCGCAGCTCCCCCGGCGACACCAGGGCCTCTGGCAAGGTTTCAAAGCAGCCGGGTTCTGTTAGGGCCTCATGAAGCGCGGCGCGCAACCCTGTCGCCCCGTCCGCCTGCCTGCCATCCGCCCCGGCCTGGCCGTCACAGCTCCATGCATCCAGCTGCTCGGCTAGGGCATCCACCGCCCTGACGAGCGCTGATGTTGATACCATCCTAGCCTCATCGCCGCCGCCACTCCTGCTGTCGCTGCTGCTGCTGCTGCCTGCCGTCACGGCGTCACCGCCCTCCTCCTTTGCCTGGACATCAGCAGACAGCAGCGGCACCAGCGCACGCAGCCGCGCCGGCCGCCAGCCCGCTGCTGCTGGATCCGGATCCTCTGCTGCCGCCACCACCACTGCCTGCCGCACCTGCTCCGGAAATGCCGCCGCCACAGCGCAGCAGCCCAGGGCCAGATCGTGAGTAGCACCGCCCGGCTGGTGCCAATCAGCACCCGCCCCCAGGACTGCCCCCAGCAGCCGTACGACATCCACTTCCTCCAGCAGCAGCAGCCGCCAGTCAACATGGCTTACGCATGCGTCAGCAGGGGTTGCAGGGGCCGCCGCTGGAGCCGCAGAACCTGACGCCGCCGCCGCAGTCCCCACCAGCCGGCTGCTGCCTGGGTCGAGGCACTGCAGAGCGAGCGCAGACACCCACGGCAGCACACCGCGCAAGGCCTTAACGCAGGCGCTCTCACTCAGAGCAGCACCAGGCAGTGTGCTGCGGTGCTGCTCTGCACTGGCCGCCGCCGCCGGCACCGTTCGCCGCTGCAACAGCCGCGACAGTGGCGGCAGCCACTCGCACAGCATGCACGACGTCAGCAGGCCCAGCTGCCGCTGCTGTGGAGCACTGGCCTCAACATCGGCCTTGGGCTCCGCTGGAGGCCACAGGACCGTTGCAATCGTGCCTACTACTTCAAGCAAGGCCCACGTTCGGAGACCCAACGGCGTAGCAACGACCCGTGGGTCAGCGCGGCGCAGCAGCTTCCCCACCGTGACCACCAGTGCTGCTGCCTGCCGCTCCTCCCCGTATGCGAGCAGCGCAATGAGCCACTGGGGGCTATTACTGCGGCCCAGCAGTGCGTTCGCAAGGACTGTCTCCAAGTTATGGAAGTCCACGCCCGTACGCCTCAGCAGGCGCTCCAGGCAGGGCAGGAAGCCGCCCGCCAGCGCCGCTGCCACACCCGGCGGCGGTGCGGCCGGAAGCGGGACACCTGCAGAGTCGGGGCGGGTTGTGGAGGATACTCAAGTGGAAGGGAGTGGAAATGGGATGCCCCCCGGAATGGGGTGCTAGGAGTGGGGCGGGAGTGTAAGTTAGGGATGCATTTGCATGGTCCTCTGCGAAGGGCAGTGATAGGGTCAGCGTAGGCGAGGTAACAGCCACGTGCGGGGCAGCCATGACCATCAATTGCCAGAGCTCCGTATGTTAAGGCAATTGCCAGGGCTCCGTATGTTAAGGCAAGTTCACAAGCAGCTCTACACTCCGAACCTACCGGTAGTAAGCAGTGCGCGCTTGACGCTTTTCGCCTCCCCCAGACACGTACAAGGTGCTAAGTGCTAAGTGCAGGTGCCATGAACACGCTTACCTTGGCCCCACCGAGCCGTCGCCCCAATCGTGCCCTCCAGATACACTGCCAGACGCTCCACCATGCAGGCAGGTGCGCAGAGCGCATGCCGCACCACCCCTTCCACCAGACTCCACCACGCCAGCACCTCCCGCGCCACATGCGCCGCCGAGTCGTGTTGCAGGGGCCGCAAATGTTGGAACGCTACATGAAGCGTGAAAACGCCTGTCATGCCTACCAGAGTGCATGGCAGGATTGCCTCTAGCCCGCTGCCTCGAAAGCTGGCGGCGGTGGCAGACGCCCAGACCTGCCCCGAAACCACCGCCAGGCGACCCACGCGCATCAGCAGCGCCAGGCCGGCCCTGCGGCCCAGCGGCGGCACCCTGAACACAGGCTGTAGTGCTGCCAGCATAGCTTGCAGGGCGTTATCGCCCAGCACTGGTACCTGCTCGCTAACAGAACTGCCATGTGATGCGGCGAAGCGAGCAAGACATACGGAAGGGTACCATGGCCCGTACGGCAGGCCGTACATCGGGCCCCGATCTGCGATACACAAGGCTTCCAGGCCGTGTAGGATCATCGCGTGTTGCAGACAACGGCCTGACAGGACTTGGCATAAGTGGTCGAGGACGGATGAGGGCAAGCGAGAAGCACCGGCAGCTCCGGAGTCAAGCCGGGCATGTAGCCGTGAACAGGCCTCGTAGGCTTGCTGGAGTATGGTGCAGGCCCTACCCACGGTCTGGGGCAGCATCCCATCCACCTGGGTTGACATCCTCGCTTCCAACAGCGGAACGGATTCTTTCAGCAGCAGGAGCAGCTTTGCTGCATGCTCCATTAGGTAACTGGCGTGGAGGGCGGCTACAAACTCTCTGAGGTATGACCTAGCCGCTTGCCGTTGTTGCTGCTGCCGCTGGTGCCCAGCGCCTCCTGCCTCAGGGTCAGCAGAGGCCTGTACGTGCAATGCCAGGGCGGCCAAAAGGTTGCAGGACATGTAAGCCGTGATGCCGACCTGCATCAGCATATGAGGCCACCGCTGCTGCTGCTGCTGCTGCTGCAGGACTCGGTGATATGGGTTCGGTGAGGACTGAAGGACCTCCAAAGCAGCAGCCAGCTGGCGGCTGAGCGCTTGCAGCGTCTGCATGCGCAGCAGCTTGCGGGCAAAGTCGACTGCAGGAGCTTGGAAGCTTGTTAGCTTTCGCAGTAGTTTTGCCGTGGCTTCGCAGCTTTGGAAGAACGCCCATGCGGATGCAGCTGCCAAGGTATGACTGACGTTTGGGTCCGGGAATAGCTCAGTCGGTGTCAGGCGCGATGCAATTGCCACCAGACGCAACAGCGCGACGCGAAGGGCCTGATACTCGAGTGCCGATGCCACCACCTGACTAGCTGAAGGTGAGCCTTCTGAGTGCCCGTCGAGGTGCTCGCACACCGACCCCAAATTCCCAGACAGCTCCTTGGCAACGTTCAGTTCCGAAGGGCGGCCTTGCAAGGAAAGGAAGCGCTGGGTAGCAGCTGGCAGGCGCTGCAGACAGGCCTCAAAATCGCTTGAAATGCCATCCGCAGGGAATGGAGGGCTACTGCTGCTGCTGGCCTCCTGATGGTGGCGGGCGGTCGCTGAAGGCTGCCGCCGGTGGGGCATTGCAACTCGCACGTCTCGCAGGGACAAGGTCTAATGCTCTGCAGAGGGACATTGTGGAGCACCACAAACCCTTAGGACAAACTACATCCGCTAAAAGAGTATGAATACGTTCCGAGCTGTGACTGAGTAAACCCATCCATCTTAGCGAAAAGCGAGGGCTTCACAAATTTATAGAGCTAGATATCTTCTTGTCAATATAAACTTACCTGAATACGATTGACTACCGGGATGCCAGAGCGCCCTAAGCTGGCCCTAGGGCTGGCCCGACTGGGCAGCTACCCAAGCTATGACGCTAGCCGTCGTAGAGTGACGAAGGTGGTGCCGACTTAACAGGTAGTGATTTAACTAGGTATATGACAGTTTGTGACACGCTGTGTATGTGTGCATGTTCTACAAGCTTTGTCTAGTATGGCCTTGCAACTCACGTGCAGTTCACCGCCTTGCATAACCTGTACTAGAACTCTGGGCGGCAGATCAATTTTGGATAGCAGAACCGACTCGTGAAACGTTAGCGACAGGCAAGGATTCGTGGGTACAATCTTTTCATTTCGACCAAGGCGGTTGGTCTAGTGCCGTACTATACCATTTCCTCAATCACCGTATGTTGGCTTGCTTGATTAATGTTAGTTGCCTACTCGGATTTCATAAAACGTGGCTGGCCGTATCGGTGATTCACAAGCGACTAAACTCGCATTCTGTATTAGGACATTGAGACAGACCTTAAGAAAAAGACACTTGTATTGTAAACATCAGTACACAGCGACTTCAACAATTTCCTGGATTGAGAGTCATGGCAAACGCCCAGCTCATTAGGACAACCCAACGCACGTGTGGTGCAGCCACGCGACTAGCCGCACGCTGCCCGACACCGGGCCCCTGCCCTTACACACGGCTACAACCACATCCCCGGCAATGCTGCGATGTGCTACGACCGCGGAAATCACCTCGCCGTACCGTTGTACGGTCTTCCCCGGACGAGGTGTACGACAACCTCTTCAACAGCCCAGTCTTCCGCAGCGAACTCGTCATGAAGGAGTTTACAAAGTATGCACGGGCGGCACACGCGGCCTGGTCCAACCCCATGAGGCTGAATCCGGTTGTCTGACACCGCTTCACAGTGTCATGACGTATCCTTTCCTGCGCATACTATCCCGCACGATCCCTTCTCCCCATCCATGAGCCTGCCGCACCCTTTTGTGACACCTGCTTGCCAAACCCTCCGCTGCAGCCTAGTAAAGGAGGTGACGGGCCTCTCGGGGATGGCGGCCAAGTTCCCAGACTTTGACCTTGCAGGTGCGGGCCGAAACCCACGCTCCATCCTGCCATGCCACACGTCGCGGCCACCACATGCACACAATTGGCACTCCACCCCTGCATGTCAACACGCATGTGACCGCACGCAACCACCACACGCACCCGCTGTTGGTTGCTGTTCCATCAAAGTGAAGGTGACAACATGCGGCCGGGCTAGCAACATGGCAACGCCCAGCTGTTGCTTGCCTCTTGCTGCTTTCCTCCATTGCCTTGTTCGCTGACCCCGCGGCTACCCACCCCGCCCACCTGCCTGCTGACATTTGGTGTCTCTCTGAGCCCCATGCTGCTCCGCTCGTTCCACCGCTGCCGCTGCTGCTGCTGCTCCGCTGCTGCTGACCACGCTAGGCAAACGGATGTACCTAGATAGGGTAAGCCAGAGGCGGGAGGGCAGGCAGGATGACACCGCGTCGCGTCCTTACATGCACCTGCATGTCGCACCGGGTAACATGCACGCCGGCCGCCCTCTGTCGTGCTTTCCGTACTCACGATGATGACCTGGATCCCGCTCTTACTTTGTTAAGCCGTCCTCTGCTCGAGTCGCGGATTTTTCCCGAACTCACTCTCAGGATTCCTCCTTCGCCCAACACCGCCCCTGTTGTACCCGACTATTCATTGCACCCCGCGTGCTCTCCCCACCTGCACTCGCCTCTTCCCTTCCCCGCCCCTTCCTACCTCCATGTGCCCTACCGTGTACCGTGTACCCCAGATAATGCAATCAAATCATTCCGGCTGCCCTGTGCTCTAGTCTGTTCCGCGAGTGTCGCAGCATACTGTGATTGCCAGAAGACCTAAGCCCTGCGTGTTCGGTGTATGCCACATCCAAACATCATACTCCCCCCCACCTCCGCTTGTTTGCTAGCATCATCAAACACCTTGGGATTCTTCTTTTCTCACCCCATCCCATGCCCAGGGGAGTACGGCACCCTCCTGACGCCCCATCACCATGCCCCCTGCCTGCCTGCATGCCTGCCCCCCTCTCAGATGCAGGAGGTGTCGGAGCGCTACGAGGTCTTCATCAAGCGGTTGGAGCTGTCCCAGGACCCGGCTGCGCGGGAGTACCTGCGCTCCACCAACGCACAGATGCTGGAGGGCGGGTTCACACTCAACCAGATGTTCGTCGGGTGCGTGACTTAGGGTGACTCTGCGTGGCTACCGGTATGCGTGACCCTGCGTGGCTATGCGTGACCCTGCGTGGCTATGCGTGACCCTGCGTGTCCTCTTGGTGCTGCGGCTGCAGCTGGCTGGGCTGGGCTGGGCGCCCTGGGCTGCAGCATGGCGCGCATGGATTGCACACATGGGGTGGCGTAACGGCATGGGAAAATGGGATGCACCCCCAACAGCAACCCGCGTGCCCTTCGTCTCATCACCCACCCGCCGTTCCCCTCCCACACCACTGCCACACCACTGCCGTCTGTCGACTGCAGGTTAAAGCAAAGCCTGGATGACTATCGTCGGTAGGTGCCCGGCATAGTACCAAGCAGTGATGCAGTGTCCTGCTGATGATGCATGCAGCTGGCTGAGCTCTGCTGGTGACCTCGGATGCTGATTGGCCGGGTTTCGCCGGGCGGTAATCACCACCATCATCCGCTCTTGCAGACATTGTCACCCTCGTCCCCACAGCGCTTGCATGCCAGGACCTGGCGCTGTACCGCCATGTAACCACCATGTAGGGGGTGCGCATCGCATGTTGAACTACTACCGTACCACCGCTTCTGTGTCCCCGGACCGCATGTGCCCGCAGTTGGGTTGAGCAGGAGGAGCGGGTCAGCAGCGACCCAGTGGCGCACCAGCAGTTCCTGAAGGTGAGGGAGAAGGGCGCGATTTTCATGGGGCTGGAGGAGGAAGAAGGAAAAGCATTATAGGACATGTCTGACCCATGGGTCGTTTTTCGTGTTGGGCAAGCATGGGTTCCCTTATCAATGGTAGGGCACCACAACATGCTTCACGCCTAGCTCCTGAACCTGCTACGTCCCTACCATGCTACCGGTGGTGAGCCGTGCAGGAGCACTTTGCCTTCAAGGTCTCGCCCATCACGTCCTTGCCGAGCACTTGCCAATGACAGCGGTTTATCCTTGTTTGCATGCGTGTCTGAGCATCCATGCACATGCGCTGCGCTGCTGCAGCACTTTCGCGAGATGTGGGCTACTGGCGTGCTGGGTCGAGTGGACCTGAGCTACTTGCTGCAGAGCACCGACCCAGGGGTCATTCTGCGAGCCCAAAGAGACCCAAAGGTGCGGGCTTACGATGTGCACCGGTGCACACCCGCCTTCGTACTTGCACACGTGTTGGGTATCGGTATGTACGCGCCGCCCTATCTGCCCACCCCCACGTATCGGTATCCTCTATCCGCATTCTTGGCCAGGAATGTGTACCCGCACCTCCCTCTGACCTCGCATCAGTTCGTTTGCCATCCTTGTTCCCATTCCCGCTCCCGCTCCCGTTCCCCCACCCCCACCGCTACGACCTGCGCAGTTTTGGTTGGCCATCAAGGAGATCACGGGCAGCCCCACCCCCGAGGTGATGGCCCGCTGGCTGGACGACCCAAACATCGGGCCGCTGGTGGCGGAGCTGTGGAAGAGCATGCAGGGGGGGCAGCGGGGGCAGTAGGGGGAGGGGGAGGGAGGATGGGGCTGTGGAAGAGCATGCAGCAGGGGCAGTAGGGGGCGGGGGCAGCAGCAGTAGGGGGAGGGAGGGAGCTGTGGAAGAGCATGCAGCAGGGGCAGTAGGGGGAGGGAGGGAGGGGTGGAAGAGCCGGGGGCAGAAGGGGCATGAAGCGGATCATGGCGGGTGACCCAGGAGCTAATTTGCAACGCTTACATCAGCGGGGGGTTTTCCGTTGGCGAATACCCACTGGGCCATGCACCCTGCATGCACTGCATGCCGGTACTCTACTGGCGGAAGGCTGAACGGGAGGGGGGGTACCGCGTGGCCGTTTGAGCAACAGCACAGTTGCATGGGGTCCGCGGTTGTGTGTGCGATGTCGGCCATGCAGGGGGTGTGGTGCACGAAGCGTGACATGTGGTTTGGAAAGCGGCAAAGCCTCATGGGACGACTTGCGTTTGGTGGTATGAAAAGACGGAGGCCAATGCGGCTGCTGCGCGGCGCAGCAGGCGCTCCAGGCAGGGCAGCGAGCCGGCCGCCAGCGCCGCGGTGACCTCAGGAAGGCAGCACGGGTGATAGCTGGCGGGTTCCAACTGTGGCAATAAGTGGATCTTGAATCCGGTCCGTTTACAGAGTCAGGCACTCATGCAACGCCAGGTTGATGCATGCACGCATAGCCGAGGCCAAGCACCTTCATGAGTCATTAAAGGCCCTATTTCCAGGGGGGGGGTAACAACCGCAAAAATAGACCCCAACCCTCAAATCGAAGGAGTTTTGCGTGGGGATTCCGAATCTGCTTTCAGAATTCTGTTTGGAGTTGTATGGAAAAAGTTTTGGGCTTGCAAAGTTGGTTGTACGGCAGGGGTGGGTGGGTGGGTTCAGGGCCCCAACGACTTTTTTACATGAACCTCCGGAAAATTTTTTCCAGGCCTCATGTTAGGGTTTTGAAAGCTGTATTGCCATCCTTTCTTCGTTTCTTATACGCAGAATTAATTCTATCAACAAAATGGTCACTTCTCGGCTTCCGATGTTCCAATGACAGTTCACCTCTGAACCACGGTAGCCAAACGGAACTGCCCAATCCCCAAACGTACAAGAAACAACCAATGTAGAAAACATATATTGCGAACGCGGCTAGTCGACCCGTTGTAAAGGCCTAGCATCGCAGCATGTCGCATGTCTCCATGGATGTGGAACACGACTGAGGATGCGGGGTTGGAGTAGACAGACTGAGCTGCGAGAAAGCACTTACAGTGACCACGAATGGGGTGGGGATGCAGAGCACAGAAACAAGAAGGCGTGGGAATTGGTGCCAGGGGCTAAGGTCGAGGGCCCAGTGCCACAGGGGGAAGAAGAGGCAGGAGCAGGGGCCTGGGACGTGCGTGGTGGTGGCGTCGTGTAGGTTGGTGACAGAACTGGCGGCGGTAGGGCGCAAATGGGAGGACCATGGTGCTTCCTAGGCGCCAAATACATAACATCAGTCAAGCTGGGGCCAAGAACATGGTTACCTTAGCCGTCCATAGTGCAACGCTGTGACATTAACGTCCCAGGGGGTTTGGGGTTTTTCGACTGCATTTAATAGAGCTTGCGCAGAGGAACCTAGACGCTTTTTCCCCCGGCGTTTTGGCATAGTTTACAGGTTGTACGACACGCTTGGCGGTGGGTGGGTGGCTCCGAGGCCTTCTCTTTGGAAATTTCGGGTTGGGGTTTATAAGAAAATTTCTTACCCCCCCCCTGCTATTTCAGTCAGAAAGTAAGCACTGCCGCCATTACCCCTCTCTATAAGGCTACACCCAGCTACCCTCGCCACAGCAACGGGCCTCCATCCTTTCCTTACGCCTTCGCCACAGGACAGCACATCCGCCATCTCCGCCCGTAAACACGACGTCGTCTGAACCGGCACCGTCCACAACGCATGCCGAGCCGCTGCCACCACTCCACCTTACCCAGGAGGTCATGAGCTCATGACAGCCGTTCCCGGTAGGCCCATACAATATGTCAAGCCGCAACGCTTAATTAAAACAACAAGGCAGCTAGCCTGGCTAACGTAACCCACGGCAATTATTATTCTTGCCCTTTTGGGGGGATAGCCCCCGTCGCGGCGATGGGGAGATAAAACAAGCAAGCTTCCACACCATCAACTGGCACCGAAACCCCACGGGCACAACAACACAGTCCGCCAGACACACAGACGGATGTTCCCCTCGGACAAACAATCGTCCTTGTTGTCCGCCGTGCCCCTCCCAACTCCCTACGCCTCGCACCCACCAGGCAGCTCGGGCTACTCCGGGAAGACCCCCCTGCTGTCCGCCCTTCCACCTCCACCCTGGCGTGCCGCCCAACCCACAGTACATGGGGACTAAGACAGAAGCCACTCGCTGGCTAACTTGGCACCACCATGTAACATCACATCACCCTACGCCTAGACGACCAGCTGCTGCTGCAACCGCACCAGCAGCTCCATCTGCGGCCGCGAGCTGCTCGGGTCGGCCGGGTCCTTCATGGCCGCCAGGACTTCCCCCAGCACCTGTGCGGGTGGAAGGGAAGGCGCCTTGTTAGGGAGTGCATGCCGGATGGGACGCATCAGCACAGGTTAGCCCCCGGATGGGCATTTGGTGGTGGATGGCCGGCATGCCCTCACCAACGCACCGCTGGGTTTACACACGCACAAAATGCATGCATGCGCACGCGCAACATTGACAGAGTGAATGCCTGGTGTATGCTCGCACCTCTTCAGTAACAGACCTAACAGTACAGCTCCCTAAGCACCAAGCGAAATGACCCAAGGCACGAAGCCGTTGCCGCCTCCCCGTTCGCAACAAGCGCACCTTCTGAAACTCCATGCTAACGACCGTATAACAGTCTGCCCACACGTGTTCGTGCCGGGCATCTAGCTGCAGCACCGCTACAGAGGCTTCAAGGCCCCGCTCCCGGACCCGCAATTCCACTGCAGCCTTCACTGCAGCCGCCCGCTTGTCGATAAAGTCCAGAGCAAAGTAAACGATGTCCGCAGTTCGCATGCTCTTGCACTCCTTGCGGCGGTCCACACCCGCGTCTTCCAACAGCTCCTCCATCCTGGCGCGCTCGGCTGCAGGGCCGCGCACCAGCAGATACCTCTCAGAGCCACATACCGGTGCCGGTAGCTCCGCTGCTGCTGCTGCCGCACCCGACAATGAAGCACCTCCGGGCGACAAGCGCGACACCACGTGTGACATCAGCTCCGCAGCAGCTGAGGGCATGGAGGGCGCGGGCAGCGCTCCAGCTGCGGTAGTTGCAGCTGGCGGCTGAAGCTGCTGCTGCTGGTTTCCAGACCTGGGCCCAGTGCCCTTGGGGTGGATGCAAAATCTAACCCAAGACTCAGTATCAAAATACAGTCTCTCAGGGAGGCCTAGGAGCTGGACCACCTCCTTGAAGACGGTGCTGGCGGTCCAATCGAATTGTAGGCTGTCCTTGATCTGTGATCGGCAAAACCACCCCCGCAGCTCTCTCAGGCCCTGCAGCTGCTCTGCCGACAGCTGCTGCACTCCGCTCAACGTTAAAAAGTAGATCCGTAGCTCACCCAACGGAGGCTCCTGCGGCTGCCCTCCCCTCGCAAGTTTGGAGAGCAGCCGGCCGACCGCCAGCAGCACATCCAGCCGCCCGCCCTCGCAGTCTAGCAGCTCCACAGCGACGAGCCGGCCTGCGTCCAACCGCCCGTGCAAACTGCGAAACCATGGCGTATAGCACTCGTCCAGCTGCAGGCGCTTCAGGGATTCGGGCAGGCTGTCCAGCAAGAACTGCTCAGCCATCCGCTCGTCAAGCCTGCAGTTGCTGAGGTGCAGCTCTTGCAGGCCCGACATGTCGGAGAGCTCGTAGACGACGGACGGCTGCAGCTCCTCATCTTCTGTCTCCCCGTGGACATGAAGGCGCTCCAGGTGAATGCCCTTGTCGGTCAGGGTTTCGATACCGCGAACCGCTAGACTGCTTGGCAGCGACAGCTGTTTCAGCTGGGGCAGGCCAGCTTCCAGGCTGTCGTATAGTTGAAGTAGTGAGCGCTCCCAATAAGCCATGCCGAGGAAGTGCAGCAAGTCGAGCTCTCGCAGGCCCGGCAGCACTCCCACAAGTGACTGCACGATCTTCTGAGCGGATGGTACGGCATCCTCCTCGGCCTGCACAAGCTCCAGCCGTGTGATACGCTGGCGGGCCTCGGGGCTCAGCCTCAGGAAGAGCTGCGTGGCCAGGAGCACGGCATCCTCGACTGCAACGTCTTGGCCAAGCTCAAGTTGTAAGCGGAAGGTCGATAGCTTCAAAAGGCGTGCTCCAAGATAAGGTAGCTGGCCATGTTTGCTCAACGCAAGATCCTTGGGACCAAGGTTGATGCTGGCTTTGGTGGCGTTGCCGTCCACTGCCATGCGCCAGGAAGTGCAAGCTTGGCGGAAGGCCGGGCGGTCGTCCTTTCCCACAAGCGCATAGATGCGAAACAAAATTTCGCTACCTAAGTTATTCCAACCCTTGAATCGGTCTTCGATTTCCATCGCAACCTTACTCATGGTTGTCCGCAAAGCAGACTTCACAGGTTTCCTAGCAATAGCAGTGTTATTACAGTAATTTTAATCTGGGTGCCAAGGTCAAGGCAGCAGTCCTAGCAGAACCCAATTTCCAATGCGTACCGGTGCATGTACGGCATGGCAAAATCTTTCCTTTCTGTGTAAAATCCCCCTCTGCGCTCACGCCCATCCACAAAAAAGGCGATGTGATGGAGAAGGGTAACTATAGGGGTTTAGCAGTGGGTGGTGTTTTGTCTAAGCTTTATGCGTTTATGTTGGAGCACAGGCTGTCTCGTTGGGGCGAGCTGGTGGGAGCTAGGTCGCCGTATCAGGGAGGTTTCCGACGCAAGCGGGGTACCTGCCACAACCTGTTTTTGTTGCGACATCTGACGGACAAACATAAGGGGGGGCGAGATGCAGTTGACCCCCTGTTCGTTTGTCAGATTGACTTTGAGAAAGCGTTTGACAAGGTGCCACGTGATCTCTTGTGGTTAAGGTTGGAGGAACGGGGTGTGCATGGCGCTATGCTGGAGGCTCTCAAGACTTGTTACAACAAGGTCATGATGCGTGTCAGGGTAGACGGAGTGACGGGGGATCCTTTTGAATCTTCGCAGGGAGTCAAGCAAGGATGCCCTCTCAGCCCTACGCTTTACGGGATTTTTGGCGAGGGGTTTGCTGACTATGTTGACGCTAAGGATAAGTGGCTCCCTGATGCTATGCGCGCTAAGCAGCAGACTCCCCATGCGGATGGCCGGCGTATCCCGTTGGAACTGTATGCCGACGACCTCAGCCTTTTCGCTACGACGCACAGACGGCTGATTGTGTTGCTTGCTGATTTGAGAGAGTGGTGTGAGGCCTTTGGGATGCGGGTGAATGTCCGTAAATGTGAATTGATGGTTTTCCACCCTCGTGCCAATATCCGCGAGGCTTTTGCTGCCCTTTGCCCCGTGGTGTGGACTTCTATTGAGGGAAATGCGCGAGTACCTATGGTTATTCCCTGGGTACAACGAGCCCGTTACCTTGGTTTGCACTTTGGTCCTGGCACACCGTTTGTTTCCTGCACAGAGGAACTGTTGACCTCTGGCCGACGTGCTATGTTTTCTCTTCAGCGTAAATTAAAACGCCTAGGTCTTTTGGTCCCTGCTGTTGCAGTTAAGTGCTTCGACGTGCAAGTCCGCTCCATCTTGTCGTACGGTGTCCAGGTGTGGGGGCCTGATGTGGTGCTGAAGCTAATGACGGACTGCGAGAATTCCGCGAGGTACTTTGACAGATCCTTGCGGGACCCAATGGTGCAGTTACAAAGGGAATTTCTTCGGGAGATTGCGGGTGTGAAAGTCTCGCCTGGTACGTTGCTGTTTAAGGAGTTTAACCAGCGCCCCTTGCATGTCTTCTGGCTGGAACTGTTTCTGAGGTTTTGGAATGACCTGGTCAAGCAGAAGGACACGGTCTACCACCAGGCGTTGCGAGGTGAAATTCGTTCGGCTCTCAGTACTGAGCATTATGATGGCTGGGGTTCTAAGGTGTTGAAGATTCTGAAAATGTTAGGGACGGATTTGACGGCCTTGGGGGGTGAGTTGGACTTGAATGCGCGTGTGGAACGTATTGCTGGCACGGAGCTAAATGTGTCTGCTCTCACTAAAAAGTTTGCTGATAGAATGGATGCGGATTGGGAGGATAGGAGTTTGGAAGATGACCCGCGGCTTTTCAACCCAGTAGACCCCGTACCAGGGGTTGGAGTTAAGATGTGCAGGTACAAAAATTGGATGGGTGACCCGGTTGACAGGGGGTACATTACTCAGCGGCAGCATGTGAACCTGATGCGTTTTCGGCTGTGTGTGTGGGGCATTGAAGCCAATCGCCCTAGGGGTAGGCAACGAGTAGCGCGTGTCTGTCCTATGTGTGCCGTGCAGGGGTCGCCGGGGAGAGTGGAAGATGAGAAACACATCCTCATTGAATGTCCCGCTTACGATGATTTGCGTGGTAAGATATGGGAAAGTGGTGTCTCACGGGATGCTGATATGATTGCTGTCATGGGCATGGAGAATCAGGCATTGCTTGCTAGCGTAATCACTAGCATGCGAAGTCGCAGGATTGCGCAGACAGGGTTTATCATATGATTAGCGTTCTGTTTGTTGTCTCTTTTGTTTTACTTTTCTTCTTTTGGTTGTTTTCGCGTTTTGTGCTCGCGATCCATGAGCCTTCTGGCTCGGACGGATCTTACGAGCTCGGTACGAAGCTTGTAACACATACATACATACATACGTGTAATCTTTCCAGGCAGAACGTCTCTAGCACAGGGTGTGGACGTCACCGATGAGGTGCCTCTGCCCTGTCATCCCATTGCTCATCCTACTTTCCTATCCTCATCAAGGGGCTCCACGCCCTCTTATTTCTACCAATGAAGTTTCGGGCAATACGGTGTATGCACATGTCAACGCGCGCTTACTGCTGATCGAAGTTCATGCTAAGCCGCCACCCAAAGGTGTCCCACGTAACCCACACAAACTCCCACGCTCCCACGCGTGTTCTCTCGCTCACCCAGAAGCATCATGCATCTTCACATGTCTGAGACCCCTCGACCCCTACCAATTCATAATTACCATCCTAGCCAGCCCTACCCTAGGCTAGCAGAACACGTTACTTCCCTATACTTTGTGCCCCTGCTCCCCGCCGTTCCTTCGCTTCACCCTCCTTTCTATCCAGCACTTGGTTAACTACCACCCTAAATCTGCCACCCTACCCCTTAGGGGCCGTTTACATATTCGTGACCCTAACTTAAATCCCGCGCCCATGATTGTACCCGAGCACCTCCATACTCCGCAATTCTAGCTACGTGCGAAATTATAGTCGCGTTTCCAGTCATTAAAAATCGCCGACGGAAACGAATTTTAGCTCGGAAGTTCTGCGTGACGGAAAGTTGGTTTCTGCTTTTTTCTTTTACTTTCGCATATCGCGCATTATGAGAGCCTTCTGCAATGTATGCGTATACGCTTAGGTCTTGATAGCTGAGACGAAAGCTTAAGGGACGGCAGGCGAAACCAGGGCGGTCAATGGTGACACATGGGAGGGTTCAGTTAGCGGTTAGCGGCGTGTCGTAGGACGGATAACTACAGTCCGGCGCGGGGGCCTGTTACTGCACTTGTGAAGATTCTACGGACCGTCACTGTTATATTCTGCGCCTTGTGGAGCTTTTGGGTGTAAAGCCCAAGCGGACGATGTGGCTTCGTTTGACCTAAATAGTGAATACAGCTGAGCCCGTTCCGTTACCCTGGGCAACATAACCCAGTGTGCCTATAACATATTATAGCCATTTTACTAAACTTCAGTATTTCGCCAAGTTTCCAAACTTGCATGACCGTATCAAGGCCCTCACTGATGCTGTACTCATATAGGTAGCGCTTATAAATGGCGAGCGGCAGGATGCCGCTTGGCTGCAGCAGCGGTTGGCGCCGAATACGAGCGTGGCCATGGCATTGCCTTCTCCTGCTCCTCGCTTCGAACCAAGCCACCAGCTATACTTTATCAGCCTCGCAGACACGTGTGTCACGGCTAGCTTGCGAGGACTCCGGAATGTGCAGTCTTGGCAAAGTGCAGCCATTCCACGGTAAGCCACTCCAATCAACACCCATGCCCAAGTCGGTCTTTGCGGCTACTTGCACCCATTTGCACACCACACCACTCTAGGCGTTTGTATAATGCGGGAGCACAACCCGCGTGTCCTCTGCCCCCTACTCCCGGAGCCATTATCATCGACCGTCTCTTCTCTTGCGACGCCCCGTAAGGAGACCTGTGACCCGTATTTCTTTTCTCACAGTGTCCCGGCCCCCTAGCTGCCTCGCACCACACACCCTACACGCTTGCAGACTGTAACTGATTGAATTCTCTTCCGCATCCCTTTTTGCGCATTCCCCCAGGCGACATCCGCTCCTCCCCCGCTCTGAAATCCTGCCTGGCTGCTCGCTCCTACCGCAATGAGATCATCCTGCTCACAGAAACCCGCCTCAATCCCGCATACCAGGTGCGAACTCCCCCTCGTGTGACGAACCGCGGGCTTGCGCTGTCCGCCTGGTGCGCTAACCACAGTAACCAGCACCCCTTGCCCCAGCACCCCTTGCCCCGGCACCCCTTGCCCCGGCACCCCTTGCCCCAGCACCCCTTGCCCCGGCACCCCTTGCCCCAGCACCCCTTGCCCCAGCACCCCTGGCGCCTCCTGTGCCCATCCATCCAGACACCAGAGGGGTGGCTTTCCCCCTAAACCACACCCATCCGCTCCCTCCCTCCCCCTCCCTACTCACAATTCACTCCATGCGTTTAACCATACACACACATCACCATCTTCCGACAATCACGGCACGCTCCTACTCCCAGCCAGTTTCCTTACCCCCTAGTCGGGATTCGGGATTGGGACTCCGTTGATGCACTTATCTATATTCCCCCCCCCAACACACACAAACCCCTCCGCCACCCCCCCCAGACCTTCCTGTCGCTCCTGTCTCTGGGCTACGAGCACGTGGTGCTGCTGTCGCTGCCGGAGCGGTGCGCCCGCAGCGCCGCCACCTGGCCCCGCCTGGCGTGCGTGTGGAGCAGCCAGGGCTTCGTGAGCAACACAAAGTACCTGCTGGACAGGTGGGTGGAAGGGGGGGCTGAAGGCAGGGTGGGAGGGGGAAGGGAGTTAAAAAGGAAACGACTACGGTAACAAACCGTGCGATAAGGCGTCATTTGCAAATGTGCTGCCAGCCCGACCCGCCCAGCCCGAATTAGGCCAAGCTAGTACGTTTAATGGACTTCGCCATCCCCAGCCCTAACACCTATTATATAATTTTTCCTCCTCCCTGCACAGAGTTGCCTTCCTGGTTCGTGCCGCTCGGCTGGGCGCCGGTGTGCTGCTGCTGGACAGCGACGTGCTGCCGCTGCGGGACGTGTACAGTTTGCTGTGGTCGCCGCCCCTGGGGAACGTCACGCTGGCAGCCATGAGGGACGGGAACGGAGGGTGAGAGTGGGGGGGGGAGAGGAGGGGGTGAGAGGGAAAGGGAGGAGAGGAGGGAGGGGAGGGGTTGTAAAGCTCCGTTGTATAGCCGATTGCTCCGCCCTGCAGCTGTTACCCCCCGCCCCGCCCTCCACATCCCCCACCCCCCCATCACACAGCTCGTTAGTTGCCTCGTCACTTTCCTTCGAACTACCCCCCACCCCCCACCCCCATGCAGCATCAACTGCGGTGTGGTGTACGTGCGTCACGCGCGCCCCGACGGCCCTGCCGCCTACATGCTGGCGGAGATCGTGGACCGGTTGGAGCGGTGGGGCGAGAACCCGCGGTTCGTGAGCGACAGGGGCTTCTCGCCAGGGTGCTGGGACCAGCTGATGTACAGGTGGGGAGGGGCAGGGGGGGGCCGAAAGAATACCCAATGCGTTGGGGGCGGGTGCGGTGGGCGGGTTCGTGGGGGCGGGGTGGGGTGCAGGGGTGCGGGTGAGGGGGGTTGGGCGGGTGTTCCTGAGGTGGGGCTGAGGTAAGGGGGGAAGGTACAGGCGGGGGGCGGGCGTGTTGACAAGTGTGTTAACACACCCTAACTGGGCGCGAGTGCGGTGTCTAGAAGGTGCCGTAATTGCCGGGAGGTGCATGACAGCATGTCGGGAGGTACTCACGGACCCACTCGCCCCTAACCCAAACCGCCCCACCCCTCCCCTCCAGCCTAATGCGGAATATGTCAAACCCCCCTTCCTTTGGAATTTCTTTCCCCCCCCCGCTGCAGTGACACGCTGTTGTCGGTGCTGGCGGGTCGGCCCCTGTCGTACGGCTGCTGGTTCGTGGGGCAGGAGCCGCGCAGGTCTGCGTGGGAGGAGGCGCACATGCGGGTGTTTGGGGCGAACGACGGGCGCAAGACGCTGCAGGCGGAGCATTACCTGAATGTAAGGGGGGTTGTGGGGGGGGGGTTAGTGGGGGAGAGGGGTGAAGATATAGAATAAATGCATCAACGCAGTCCCAATCCCGACGCATCCGACTCATGCAGTGAGCGCATTCGGAGACACTATTCTAGAAACACGCAACTCAGAGACTTACCAATTGCTTGCTTACCAGAAACCGAGATGACTTGAGGAAGAAGCCGTGGGGGAGAGGGGTGGGTGGGTGAGGAAAGGGGTAAGCGCGCGGGCATGAGGCCTTCACTCGGGGCGGCCGTTATCACTTCACTATTCTGCCTTTCTCTCTTTTCTTCCATCTCCTTTCCCATCTCACCATAACCCTCTCTCTCCCCCCTCCCTCACCCCCCCCCCAGCCCCCCACCCCCTCCCGCTGGCCCCCCCAGCTGTCTGCCGGCTTTCCCGACTTCCCCGCCCCCACGGTGGACCTGCTGACGGGGCTCATGCGGGTGCCCAACACAAGGGTGAGGGGGCGGAGGGGCTCATGCGGGTGCCCAACACAAGGGTGAGGGGGGGGGGAGGGGCTCATGCGGGTGCCCAACACAAGGGTGAGGGGGGGGAGGGGCTCATGCGGGTGCCCAACACAAGGGTGAGGGGGGGAGGGGCTCATGCGGGTGCCCAACACAAGGGTGAGGGGGGGAGGGGCTCATGCGGGTGCCCAACACAAGGGTGAGGGGGGGAGGGGCTCATGCGGGTGCCCAACACAAGGGTGAGGGGGGGAGGGGCTCATGCGGGTGCCCAACACAAGGGTGAGGGGGGGCGGGAGGGAATTATAAATATGTGCAACATCACAGTCCCAATCCCGAATCCCGACTCATGGGTGAGGGGGGGGGCGGGAGAAAGGGGGGAAGGGAACAGAAGAATACCCGTTGTGTTGTGTGACAGCGGTAAACTAGGCGACAGGCCCTCTGGGGGGCGGAGGGTGGGAGGAGTTATGACCGTGTGGGTGGGACGGGAGCAGGGAGGGAGGGAGGGAAGAAGGAAGGGCCCGTGGGGTGGGTTGCACGGGTGGGTGTGAATCCATGCACACACGCAGGGCTTTTGAATGCGGGCAGCCCCTGCCGCTGCCTGCCCTCCGGCCCCCCTGCCGCTGCCGCCCCTGATTCCCCTGCCCCTGCGACACACCCTGCACGCTGCAATCCCCCTCCCCTGCTGTGCCCCTTCTGCACCTGCCCCTGCCCTGCTACCCCTGCTGTCCTTCCCCAGGGCGTGTGGCCGGAGGAGCTGGGGGGTCAGTTCTACCCGCGGGAGCGGGGACCCAGCGCGCAGGCGTGGATCGACATCCTGAAGGTGGGGTGGGGGCTAGGGAGGTAGGAGACAACTGTATACTTCACACACCGTGTAAACAGACTTCGTCATCCACAACTGGTCACAACTGGTTCGTTTCTCACTCTTCATCTCCCTCCCATCCCCGCCCTCCCTCCCCCCTCCTCCCACCAGTCCGACATCCTGCCCCTGTGGCCCGACCCCGAGGACCCCGCCCAGGTGCGAGTGCGGGGGACCCGCCGCCTGCCCCCCCCCGTGTGCTCGTATACCCCATATGCGTGTTGCTTTGCTTTTCGTGACCGGCGGCGCGGCGCATGTCTCCCTAGTGTTACCACGCAAGGCGGCTTCTTCCTCAAGTCGTCTCGGTTTACGGTAAGCAACGATTCGGTAAGTAATTTGAGATGCGTGTTATTAGTGCCTCCGAATGCGCTCACTGCATGAGTCGGGATATGGGATTGGGTTTGTTGTTTCACTTTTATATAATTTTCCCCCCATTTATCTATATTCCCCGCCCCTAGCTGCCGCTGGCTGCCCGGCAACTGTGCGTGTCAGCCGCGTAGCATTACCCACCAATCGCTATCGACCGAGGAGGTATGCGCGAGCCCGGCCCTGCCCGGGATGGCTGCCCTGCCCTTCAGCATGCCAGCGGGGCCTGACAGGCCCAACACCAGCTAGGTCTGCTAGGCCTGCCCACCCAACCTTCCCCCATTATATGCCCCCCTCCCCCTCCACCGCCCCCCCCCCCCAGGCCGACGCGGGTGCCGGCATCACGGAGCTGTTCGCCTACCTGCCGCAGTACCTGGGGCAATCCTGGTCCAATGGGGGTGCACTGGGATACTGGAACCCCGGCCTCAGGAGGAGGAGCGCCGAGCGACCCGCGGGTCAGTTGGACCCGGCGGCGACTGCGGCTGCGGGAGGAGGAGTGTCTGCGGGAGGGCAGCAGCAGTTGCTGCAGGTGGTGCAGCAGGAGGAGGTGGTGGTGGTGGAGGTGGAGGTGCCGTCTCCGGTGGCGTTGGCGCATTTCGTGCACGTGCCGGGGGGTGCAACGAACAAGCTAACGGTCAAGGTAGGCAGCGCGTTTCGAACAGTGTCTTGGCAAGTTCAGTGATGTCGTACGCGAGTCTTACCTGGCGAGATACTTGCTGCCGTACCAATCATGGCATGCTGTGTTTGCTCATTTGGCCTTCCCCTCACCAAACCCCACATCATCAATCATCGCCACTGCATCTTCCGGCAATTGCAGTACGTTCCGACTCGCGGCCAGTTTTCCTAACACGCGCGCGCTTACCGCAGATGGCCTCAGCCAACTGGGATTGGGACATCGCCCACGCCTCGCACCCCAACCGCGGCGTCTTCTTCGCCAGCAGTGCCGCTGCGCCCGTGCCGTACGTGCTCGCCTACTCCCCCTCCCTGGAGCGATCCGAGTGGACGAGTGAGGCGGAGTTTGCGGCTGCCGTACTGTCGTTGATGCGGGTGGCCATGGAGATGGGGCGGGCGGCGGCCTATCCCGCTCCCCGCTGTAACGTCAGCTGGCTGGGAGGGGCGGGGAACAACCGCCTGCCCCTGCAGGTCTTCCATGTGAGGCATAGGGGGGGGTGGAAGGGGGGGGGGTAAAGAGGAAATTGACGAGCTGCGAGTGGGGGGTGGTAGGGTAAGGGCGCGAATGGTTGCGGCAAGACGTAAGAAGGCGGGCGCAGGCTAGCCGCACGTCCCATTCGGTGTCCTGCCCGGTTGCTGCCTGCACGACTTTCCGCCCATTTCGCCGGGCCCCGTTTCCTGCCCATTTCGCCCGCCCCCCATTCGTCCCTTCTCTTCCCACGTTTCCCTTCCACATGTCCAACCCCCTTCCAACCACTCTACCCCCTTGGCCCTGCCAGCTTCACAGCTCGTGAGCTGTTTATTCCTCTTTACCCCTCCATTTTCCCTTCTCAATACCCCCTTCTCTTCCACCTCCCCGTCCCCCCCTGCCGCAGGGTGCGCACATCCCCTACGCGCCCGCCTCCGCCGGCTTCTCCGACCTGCGCTGCCTGTGGGGCGGCTACCTGCAGCACGGATGCCAGGCGGTCAGGAGCTACTTCTCGGGGGGGTGAGCAGACGGGCGGGGGGGCGGGGCGGGATGTGGGGTGAGGCGAACAGGGAAAAAAAAGCAGGAAAAACTTGCTCTTATCTCTTATTCTCTTTTCTTTTACCGGCAAACATCCCCTGTATTCTCCTCCTTGACACACCCCCGCAGCCTGCTTGCTCCCGAGTTCGACCACTTGATAGACCTGCTGCGGCCTCACATGCCACCCAGCGACAACAACAACCCCTTTGTGAGTGGCAGCAACAGCAGCAGCGGCACCGCTAGCAAGGTCAGCGGTATCAACCCAGCTGAAAGCGCGGCGCACCTAACCGAATTGGGCTTCTCAGCGGAGGCTGTTGCAGCTGCAACCAACATTTCCTTCATCATTCCAGGGACTACAACCGCCGCAACCGCTGCTACAACCGTTGGCAGCGGTGGCATTAGCACCATCGTACCAAACCTGGTGGTTACAGTTCCCTCGGAGGTGCTACAACCGCCACCGCCTGCTACTGCCTGGGACGTAACAGAGCTAGCAGCCCGGCTATCCGAATTGTACGGCGGTCCGAAAGAACCTAGTAGTACGACAAATAGCGGCAGTACGACAACGGGTAGCTTTAGCAGTAGTGCGGGCAGTAACGGTGGCAGCAAACCGTTGGTGTTGGTGCTCCCGGAGGTACCCAAGTTGTCGCATAAATTGGGTCCCAAGCATGTGCTGCTCCGGGAGCAATTGGAAACGGGTCCGGATCGATCGACCATGTCATGTGAATGGATCCGTACGGGAAGACCGTACCGGCGGACACGAAGGAGGGCTCGAATGGCAGTGTAGGTGGGGTGTACTTAACTAAGGAATATGAAGTGAAGGTTGGGTGGAGGAGGCGGAGGAGGAGGCGAGACGCGAGGGAGGGGCATCTTGGTTGTGGGCTGAAGAGGTGGTTTGAACTTGCCTGGATGGGCGCATGTGGGTTGTGCTAGGTGTTGGTAAAGTGGAAAGGGGTATTAGGCATTGACGGTGTCGAGCCTGCTGGAGGTTGACATGTGAGCTGATGTAAATACGTGGGATAGGTGCAAGAGGCCTCCTAAAGTGGAACATGCCGTGCTAATGGTGGCCACCTCGCAAATCGGGACAAGCTGAAGGAGTTCAGAACAGGGGTAGCAACCCCGCACGATATGCTCCCGTTGTACGGCTTGCATCTGTCGCATGGCTCCGAGACCAGTTTCACAACGAAAATGCAAGCTCGGCGATTGACTTATCTTGTTGTTTCTTTACGATGACTGACAGCCGCGATGGCTGTCTTTGTGCTAAATCCGCGTTTAGACGCCAGCAAAGTGCAGCATGCAACACGTGTTGCTCAGCCAAGGAGGATTGTTACTGTAAGAAGCTTTCTTAACGAAAATGGAACACAGTCCGACGCCACTTGGCTTAGGGGCGCAGCTGGTGTTGTCGCGGGTGCCGCACTATTATGGACGGCATCCGGAGTCTATTCGCCTCCGGCTGGAGCCTTCACCGCTTCAAGCTCGACCGCATCATCGTAGGTTCAGCATCGCCTATGTATTTCGCGTGAAAGGGGTTTCTCCACCTATGCTGCGTCCCCAACAGGTCCATCACAGAGGACCGTCCCAAGTATCTCATGTTGGAGCGGCATCGCATAGAGCGTTTAATGCTAGGAGAATTCGCTGACAGGTAGGACGGTGAAGAGTGACAAGCCGGGCTGCAAGGATGCAGACCGTTAAGTTTTAACGACCGGAGAACTTGCTTGCAGGCTGGCGGAGCTTAGCGACGAAGAGTTGACGGACCTCTTAGAAGACGTTATGCGTAGCAGACACACCAGCAGCGCCCCGGAGCTCTGGGACAGAGTGGGTCGACAAACTGCCAATCAGCAGGCTCGCTCGACTGGAGGCCGGCATGACGCCTCACCACTTTCAAACGAGCAAACACCTTTTGCTCAAACATCGGTCGCGCCCTCTTCCGCCAACACGGACACCGCGTCCAGTCCTCCTTACCGGGGCATTGGCACGCCGAGCATGGTGATTGAAGAGCGTGGAAGTGCTCTCACAAGCAATAGCGGCAGCAGGAGCAGCAGATCCGAGGGGACGCCTCAAACGCGGGGTGGGGCAGAAAAAGCGCCCAAGTCAGCTTCCGATACAAACCCCAAAGCTGCCGCTGCTAACCCCATCCTCCGCGACCGGGAAGCAATCAGCAGCCAGGCGTCCAGCAGTCCGCCATCCTCCTCAGCCTCCTCTAACGCCCCCTCTCCGACACAGCCAGCACCGCAACCGCCTAGCAGCCAGCGGCAAGCTGCCAGCACTCCGCGTGGGCCCGATCCCGTGCCCAGCAGGGCGGCCCAGGAGGAGGAGGAGGACGATGAAGAGTTCGACTACACACGGCAGCTGCTGTCGCGTTCATCTGGGTCGGATGCAGCAAGCGTGAGTTCTGCATCGCCCCTCCCACAGCCTACAACGCAACAGCAGCGGCAGCAAGAGGCGGCCAAAGCCGTTTCCCTTGCCGAAGCACCTTCCCTCACCAGCGATACTACAACTTCTTCGGGCGATGCACCCACCACCACCACCACCACCAGCGGAGGTGTTGCCCTGGTCCTCCACGCCCTAACCTCCCACCTGCCAGACCCATCCTCCATGCTTCCCAATCCCCTGCCTAACCCCTTCGCCGGGTTAGAAGGCCACCTCCCATGGCCCTACCCCTTCCCAGATCTCCACCTCCCAGCTCTGCCCCTCCCAGCTGCTCTGCCTTCCGTTTCCCTTCCGCTGCTGCTGGAAGGGGTTTCGGAGCTCCTGCCTCGGATCTGGGTCAACGTGCGCTACGCTGCAGCCAGCCTGGCGGACAGCGACGCGGCGTACGCGGCTCGGGAGGTGCTGGTGCCGGTTGGACTGGTGGCTGCGGGAACTGCGGGAGTGGTGGCCATCAGCTCGTTGGTGGATGCAGCTGCGGAGGCGCCACCGGACACACCCACAGCGGCAGCATCGGGGACGGAACAGCAGCAGCAGGAGCAGCAGCAGCAGCAGGGAGGCCAGCAATCCACGGGCTCGCCATCGTTTCCCGGCAGCGGGGGGAGTGGGAGCGATGGCGGGGCGCAAGGGGTTGCAGCGGCGAGCAACGCTGCGTTGCCGACCGCCTCCCAGCAGGGCCCACAACAGCAGCAGCAACAACAGCAGCCTGAGCAGGGGCCGGGACCGTTGCAGCGGTTATGGGGTCTGGCCTCCACGTTGCCCTTGCCATTCCTCACGCGACAGGGCGCAGCGGAATCTGCACCCGGTGGCGCAGCCAAGCCTTCCCCCACGGCGTCCCCAGCCCCGGCCCCAGTGCCAATACCACAGGTTGCTGCTCCTGCTCGAGAGGTGTTGCAAACTACGCAGCCCCCTAGCAGCGCAAGCCAGCCTGCGTCGCTCAACGGGTCAGTGACGGCGGGATCCGCGCAGCAAGGAGATGGCACTGCCGCTGCTGCTGGCGGCAAGGCGGGTGCGTTACAAAACCCCCGACTGTTGCGGTTGTTGGACAACGGTCCTGGGTCGCAGATCCCTGGGGTCGGCTCGGGTCCTCCTGCTGCTGCTGCTGCTGCTGCTGCTCGCCAGGGGCAAGCTGGGAGCTTGCTGCCTGGCACGGAATCCGCGTCGGAGTCGCCAACATCATCGTCAGCAGGGGCCCCCGCAGCGCCCACGGTTCTGTGGACGCGACGGGGATCCGGCGGGGATGCGCCTCAACAACAACCACAACCGCAGCAGCAGCAGCAGCAGCAGACCGGCACGCCTGGGTCGTCTTCAGGAGGAGGAGTGCTCTGGCAGCGGGGTGAGGCGGGTGCGGGTGCAGCGGCCGGAGCTCGGAGGCAAACCAACAACCGTCAACGGTGGCCCCAACCGCCGCCGCCTCCACCGCCGCCGCCGCTCTCCGACATGCCTCCGCCGCCACCGCCGCCGGGCATGCCGCCTCAGCTGCCTATGGGTGCGAGCCCAGCTGAGATGTTGGCCCAATCGGCGAGGAGCAGCAACAGCAGCAATGGCAACGTCACCTTGAATGGCACGGTTGGGGACAACGGTCTCACAGGGTCCGTGGCTGGTGCAGCTGCAACATCCCCTGCCCTAACAGCAGAATTTGCTGTTACTGCCGGTACCACTAGTGGCATCGGGGCATCCTTCGGCATCCCGCCTGACCCATGGGTCACTTCCTCAGCCACATCCGTGCACTCCGATCCTGCCCCGGCGCATGGCAGCGCTGGTCCTGCAGGTGCCCCCGTTCCAGGTGAGGCTGCTGGGGCCTCAGGGGGGGCAGCCCCCGGGCAACAGCTTGCGAGCGGGGGCCAGCTGCCCCTCTCGCCACCAGCGGATGGGGTGTCTCCCTGGGATCTGCCGCGGTAGGTGTTTCATCGCACATGTTGCATAGCTGGCTACCTCTTCCTTTGCTGGAGATAGTGCTTGAGGAGGGAGGCAGGGGAGCCTGACATGTTGAAGTGGGCTTGGAGAAGTGGCTGTGTGAATGTGTGAAGTGTGGCCTGTAGCCGCAGCTGCATGAGGGGTGTGGCTGCAGGGACGTGCAGGATGGGGCATGGCGCTGAAGGGGGAGTTACTGGTGCTGTAACGGCTCTTGCGCTCGGTGTGGGATTCTAGGCTAGAGTAAAGACATGTGAACTAGCATATAACTAGATGTTATGTTCAGGCGTCGCATGTACTGACGCCACGCATCGCATTATGCACATCTTCATTCAGCGATTGCAGCAATGCAAACAGTAAGTTAAGGGCGTTTCATTTGCCGCCTTTAACGTGCACACGGGTAACCGTATGAGGTATGACATGTGGGCATCAGTGCGTGTGTGCAGGGTCTCTTTGCGTCTTGCGGACATGTGCCCGGTGATAAGGACACAGATGTGCATATGTGTTTACACAAGTAGCTTCTGTGACGGACTGTGTACATGAGTATGGAGTATGCCGCCTCTAAGTCGGAAGAGCATTGAATGCTATGCCAACGGCATAGGGGCTATTACGAGTCCCGATTTGTGTAGTCCGTGTAACTGTATGGTCGTTCGGAGAGCCTTTTAGGGGCCTTCTGTCCTCTCTGTCGGCATGTAACGGTTACAGCTTTGCACCGGATGGTCACGAATAGCTGGCGCCGGAATGCCCACTAAAGCCTGGACTCTTGTCATAACTCATAAGGAGAAAAGTAAAAACAACAAAACAGTACAGGAGAATTCAGTCCATCGCAGAACGATAACATCTTATGCGGAACGTTCCCCCGAAGTATGTGCTGCTCATACATACGGGTCATGCTTCCGCCCCGCCATATACAACGCCTCGCCATCCGAACTACGACGAAAGAACCAGGAAGTAAGCGCCGTCCGCCAAATCACGCATACTGCGGGGATCAGACGTGGCCCTTGCAGGCGGCCGCCAGTGTTATCCCAACTAAGCTCAACTGCACAACCACACGCGACCACTATTTCGACACCCAAGCAACGGGGTTTCAAAGACCAATCCTAACTCACAGGATGTGCTGCGCGTAAGCCTATTTGGAAACATCCGTCTGTTCAACCCCGTACGGCAACGTAAGGCCCAAAAGCGCCACCCGCCTTCGGTTATAACCACGAACAGTGAGTCACTCCATTACGTACCCAAGCAAGCGTCATGTAACACAGGAAGCATGCAAAAAAGCATATTAGGGATGAATAGGGTGCGAGGATTTGCACGATTCGTCAAGAGCATAGGAAAAGAGACAGGAACAGCAATCGGCAAAAGGGGTTTAGGAAAAAGGCTCATCACGACTCAGAAGAGGGAAGAAGGAAGCACTGAACCACGTATCAAAATAACAGAAATACGATAAAACCACAACGCAAAAACGACGAAAGGAAACAAATGCTCTCAACCTGCCATGCACCGATCCACTCCACACCGCACACACAAGCGGACGGATGCCTGTGAACGGCATACCACCTTCCATGCGCTCCTGCCTTATCTCGCTCTGCTTTGTGCCAGTATTTACCGGACCACGTCTCGCTCACGGCTTAATAACGCCGAACATGGAGTTTAGTCACTGGTTGCAAAACCTGCAGCACCACGCTGCAAGGCCGAATGATGTTCCTATTATACGGTGTCCAGCGTTGTCCCCTTCCCCAGCGTTGCACGGGGCCGATAAACAATTGCAGGCCATAATAATAACATGCGAAACGGGTGTCCTACGAGTAACACTACTGTGCTTACGTACCGTACACCATTTACGGTAAGAACGCCCGACCCTGCCCTGCAGCAGCATTCCAAGCTACATACGGTTGCGTTTTAGGGTTTCCACACAAAATTGTAGTTTTGTCTCTCTCTTTCACACACACAATCATAGTAACCGGTAGCCCATGGAACCCAACGCTATCTCGCAAGCACCCTCTCAGTTGGCACCGTTTCCAGCCTGAAAGGCACACCTCACCTCCAAACAACAGGAACCCCATTCACCAACCTTGAGAAACCGTACATGCTTATCTCCCAGGCGTCTTAGGAAACCTTTGCCGCACAGAAAACACGTCCTAGGATTATTGTACGGGTAGGTTTAAGATACCGCTATGAGTTAAGGGGGCGTACAAGCAGCCTGGTGCCATACGTGCCACGCATCGGCATATTTTTAAATGTCTGGAGGCAACAGCCGCACCGTGTCCGTACGACAAGAGACATACGACCAGGCCCCGCCGACCCCTCACCTTCCAGGAGACAACAGCGCGCGTGCTTGCAGCTGCCGCTGCCATCGCCGATCATAGCTCGGCCACTCCTGCACTTCAGCATCGCTTGCAGCAAGAGCAGGACAGCCCTGCCGTAGCCGCAACGCCGGCTGCTGCTGCTGCATGCTGCGTCTATCCGGCGATCCATGCACGCTACGCACTCCTGCTGCCGCCGCGGCAGCAGCAGCAGCGGCTTTAACTGCATGTGAGGGGCCCCGCTCCCACACACGAGGGCTGTGGGGGCTGCTAGGCAGCGCTACGCATGCGCCCCCAGCTGCGTTGTCGCACTGCTTCCCGCTGCTTCGAACAGGGCTGGCACCGGCACCGCTGCCGGACAAGGCAACTGTAACAGCAGCACCTGCTGCCGTACCCTCCAGCGCAGCCGCTGCTGCGGTGGCGGGGCCGGAGGACCAGGCAGTCGTACCTCCATGCGGTGTGGGAGAGAGCAAGGTGGTGCGAGGTGCATGCGCCCGAAAGGCAGCTGCGCTGCTGGGGATGTTGCATGGAGCGGATGGCCCGATGGGCGTCTCCCCGTGTTTTAACATGACGGAATAAAGCGCCGCAAGGCGACCACGCGCCCCCTGGGCTGCCGCAACTGCAGCTGCCACGGACTCCCGAGACCAACCGACGCCGCCGCCGCCACCGGCGGCGGCGGCGGCGCGGTTCGTCGGGCCGGTGAGCGGTGGCGATGCCGGCGGCGCAGCAGTTAGTGAGAGCCGTCCCTCGCTGCGTTCCGTGGCAGGACGAGGAATCATCACCGCTGTCATCGCCGCGCCGCCGCTGGTGGTGCAGCTGCTGCCGGTGGTGGTGGCGGTGGTGGTCGACTCGGCGTTACGAGCAGTCGCCCAGCCCCGTCGTGCACACTGAGCAAAGCTGCCGCTGCCGCGACTCATGGAGCGAGCCGGAAGCCGAGACGTCGCGAACCCGCCGACGGAGGTCCTGCCAGTGAAGGCACTGCCGTCGGCAGCAGCACCTACGGGCAGGTATGACCGATCCGACACTGCGCCGCTGCAACTCGCCTGATCGCATGCAGCCACACCGCCGCTACCCGGCGCAAACGAAACCTCTGCGCCGCCACCCGCCTGCATGAGCCTGTGCAGGGCGAGCCGGGGAACGCTGGGAGGACGGAGTGGTGGCGACTGAGCCGCGTTTGAAACCTTGCCGACGGCGCCGGCAGCAGCGGGGGCTTCCGAAACGGCGCAACCGCTTGAGCCCGGTGCCGATGCCGAGGGGCCTCGGAATTGCCGTGTGGACTGCCCCATGCTGCTGCCAGCAGCAGTCGTGTGCACGCCACTGCCGCTGCCGCGACCACCAACTCTACCACCCAACCGGCTTTGCTCGTCTGCCGCGGGAACGAAGGGTCCCGTTGAGTTGCTACCGGTGCCGTTGAGCCTATTGCAGCTCGCGCCCTCTCCTCCGTCAAGCACAGCAGACAGTAGCGGTGTCGCCGGCGCGAGGAAGGATGCTACCATAGGCGCATCCCAATCGTCGTCGACAGCATCAGCGTCATCGTCATCATCTCCATCCCCGATGGCTCCGAAACCCCCATTACCAAAGAAACCAAAACGATCAAAGTTTACTGGCCCGGCCGAGTTAATACCGTTGGCGCCGCCAGGGGCAAGGTTGCCGAGAGGCAGACGAGGCACCGGTGGCGGTGTTAACGCGGCCACCGAGGCAACGTGGACACCCATGCATGACGCTTCCTTGGTGCCCCGCATCCCTGGCGGCGACGGAGACGTCGTCCGCGACGTGGACGTCACGCCAGCAAAGGCGGCGGAGGCCGATTGTACGGCAACGGCTGCTGCTGCCGCCGCCGCGTCGTACTGCGCCTCCGTCGCGCTGTAGTCCGCCATGTCCTGTTGCAGCTGCCGAGCGTACGAAGCCGTTGTGCAGCCCGAGTTGTAAAGCGGGTCCGGAACCATCATACCAGGAACGACGCGCGTGGATCCACAATGGGGTGGAAGGGATGCGGGAGGCGTCTGTGCGGTAGACATGCCGTGGCCGAGACCGCCATCTCTTGATGCTGCGGGGAACGAAACAGCAACCGCAACACCAGGAGCAAGCCCATGGTTGCTACAGCACGTAGCAACAGGCTCCTCGACTCCCCCGCCACCGCCGCTGATGGTCGCACCCCTGAAGCTCCTGCCGCCGCCGCCACTGCGACAACAAGGAGAGTACGGAGGTGGTTGTGGTTGTTGCTGCGAGGTCGGGTGAGTAGCACTCGAACCCCCATGCGGCGGCAGGAGGCAGGGGTGGTGCCCTGGAGACCCTGGTTGGGGTGCGGAGTGGGAGTGTCTGGAAGGTAGGGCGCGAGGGGAGACGGTGACGGGGGTGGCGTTGCTGTACGGCAGGAGGTGTGAGGCGGCGGTGGAGACGGGCGGGATGAGGAGCGCTTCGGCGGTGGCGTAGGAGGAGAACAGGGGAGGGCTGCGGGGCGTCTGGGGTGCGTGGCTGGGCGCCTGGGGAGGAGGAACAGGGGAAGGAGGGGCAGGAACAAGGTATGTTAAAATAACTGGCCGCGAGGCGAAACGTACTCTGCGTGTGTGTGCATGGTTAGCACCGGTTGCAGTGGAGTGCTTGTGGTGTGGTTGGTTGCTAAGACACATGACGCAGGACAAGGCGGAACGTGCAACATCCCCGTCACGCACATGCAGGCGCCATGCAGGCAAGCACCAACTGCTCGCCACTCCCACCCCCGGTGGCCAGCCTTACTTGCTGCTGCTGAGACGCCGGCAGCGGAGGCCTGCTAGCCGCGACGCGGCCTCGAGAGGTCTTGCAAGCCACTGTGGGCGCGTCCAGTGCGGACACGATATCCTCCAGGGAAGGGCCGGCGGCGGCGGCAGCGGTGGCGGCGGCGGTCGCCGCGGCAGCAGCAGCGCTGGCGGCAGCAGCAGCCGCACAGGTGGCGGCGGCGACATCAACTGCAGAGTACGAGGGCTCCAGCAATGCTGGTGGCAGAAGGTCACTTAGGTTCCTGGGGGTGGTTGCGGCCGACTGGGGCTGCTGATGAGCGGTGGGAGTGGACGCGGAGGTTGCGGGGGCCAGAGGGGTGGTCCGATACTGCGAACAAGCAGGAGGGGGTTTGGATGGGCGGGTGTGGCTACTGATTAGGGTTGAAGGATCGAGGGAGGAGGAACCGAAGCGTCCAGCAGGTAGTGGTACTGGTAGCAAGGGGGACTGCAGCTGGTCTGGAACGTCCAACCATGTCCCAAGTTACGGACACGGACCAAAGCCTTGCATTACTTGCATGAAAGGTCGATCATAACACGGTTTCAAAGCCCTCAACCGCAACACACCGCCGCTGGCTGTTCCCACCCCCACGCGCCCTCACCCGCATTCGTGGCGTGTCCCCCTCGCCCCCAGCTCCCGGGCCGCCCACCAGTCCCACTGCCTCTCCCTCCATCAGCTGAGCTGGCACCTCACCTGCAGGGGGAGGGTGCGAGGCGAGGGGAGCGGTGCGGCTCAGAGAGCAGCGAAAGACATGAAGAGTAGAATGACACAAGGGGCAGGACACGGCTTGCAGCAGGTAACAGCAGGGGCGATTGGGTGCCCGGAAGCCGACCACAATGTACGACCAGTGATCAACGCACCGTAATCAACCGGGGAGATGGCTCTCATGGACGTATGCCGACAGGGAACCCGGGGGCTTTGTCGCCCAGGACTGGGGCTGCAGGAGGGGCGTTGGTTGGAGCCCCGGGAGGCCTGCCGAGCGGGGGAACTCCGGCCCCCAGTAGCCGTACTTGCGGTACTAGCTGTTGTAGCTGCCGTACTAGCAGTCGTACAGCTGAGGCAAGAAGCACCGCAGCTGCTTCGAGGCGTTGAACTGCCGTACATTCCTGCCGTACTTGCAGCACTAGCAGCAGCTGCAGCTGCTGACATGGGCATCATCGCTAATGCGCCTGCAGTAGCAGCACTGGCAGTTGCAGCTGCTGCTGAGACGGGAACCAGGTAGCCGTCCCATGTGCCCGGGCGACATGTCATCGAAGAGGGGACCCCAACTGCGTTACTAACGCAGCCCCCTGACATGGAGGTGGTGGTGGCTGCATGCAGGATGAAGGAGGTTGAGGAGACTGCAAGGTTCCGCATGCTTCGGCTCTGACCCAGATGCTGCTGCTGCTGTTGTTGCGTTGCCAGCAGGGGTTGCTGCTGCTGTAGCTGCTGAGGCTCAGGCCGTTGCTCTTGTGCGGCAGAAGGCCGAGGCTTTCCACCACGCATCATGGTTGCTAGGCGATCTAGTACGGCATCCATGGACCCCTCCGGAAGCGCCTCCTCGCCCTCCGCCGCACCGGCTGATGCACCGGTTGACGTCAGACGTCGATGCTTGCTGCTACTGTGTCCTACGTTGCTGCTAATGCCGCTGCCGCTGCTGCCGCTTCTCGTGCTACTGCCCCCTCCAGCAGCAGCACCACTGCCGCTGCTTCGCTTCCTTGCCGATAAAGCGCCACCGGCATCATAACCACCACCAAAAGCAGCGGTACCTTCGATACCACCACCTGCCGGGGCCTGCTGGGACCCCCCTTCTTCGCCTTGAATCCGACCCAGATCAACCGCTGACATGTTTGCCAAGTTAGTTGCAACCGCCAGTCGGTTGGATCGTTCGTTGTAGCGCTGTGCAAAGTGCTCCCGGAGTGTTTGTAGATCGGCAGGATGTACGAGTTTACGTAGGTCCCAGGCGGAAAGGGATAGCGTGACGAGGCCCGTGCTGGAGGCTACGACGCAGCTGTGCGGCTGACGTTCCTCTCCGAGCACGCTGGCCTCTGAGCAGCTGAGAGAAACGGGAACGGGAGGGAACGGAGGGAGAGAGGAGGAGTGCGGTTTGGGTTTTTTTGGTTTGGGTGCAGGACTTGCTGGCTGATTATAAGGTTGAGGCAAGTCGTAACAGGCGGCATGCCAGCAACAACCAAAATCGCAGCACAATACCGAGTTTTCGTCTACAAATGCTAACATAAAACTATGCTTTTTATAAACACACACGTCCCGCAGCCAACCCGCACACCACCCCGCCCCAACCCACATGTCTCCGGGCCCCAGCACCGCCAGCTCCAGCCTGCGCGACCAGCCGTACGGCCTCACGTGCTGCTGCTGCGGACTGCCCCACCGCACTGTCAGCCCCATGCGGGAGGCGGTTCGGGGTGTCATCAGGGAGGAGGCCCCCACTGCTGCTGCTGCTGCCAGTGCTGGGTCGCTGCCATCATGCTGCGACCTGAGTTGTTGTTGTTGTTGTTGTTGTTCTGCATGTTGTTGCTGTTCTGCATGTTGTTGGTGCTGCTGTTGCAGGCCCTTGGCCGTCGTCGGTCGGTTGCTGATCATGACACTGCAACCCGAGCCGGAACCGGAGCTCGGTGACCCACGGGCCGGTGGTGGTAACGCGTCCGGCGCCACCGCACCCATCTCCATCGCCGCGGCTAACAGCGACGCAGCGGGAAGCGCCGGACCCCCAGGCAACATCAACTGCCTTGACCCCAGTCGCGAAGGTGAAGAGGCTGTGGCTGCTCCGCCAGTCATTAAAGCGATAGCGGCATCATCCGTCGGCAACTTCACGACCACCTTGCAGCTGCCCTCCAGGATGAGGTGTAGTGCGGCCGGCGGTTGGCCTTGTTCGTACAACGCTGCATGCATGGGTGTCGTACGGCGCTCCATGGCGTACGCCAGGCGGCGCAGGTCGGTACGGTGCAGCGCGGATCCGAGCACCGGGGAGCTCCGCAGCAGTGCCATCTTGGCCTGTTGTTGTGCAGGGGGTTTGCAAGGGTTGCAGGGCGATTGTTTTGGGTCGGTTAAGGGGCATTGCGTGTAGGGAGAGGGACAGAGAGAGACGAATGGATGAGACACACAAAGCCACATCCCCAAGACAATCGGAGATGTTGGCACACATTGCCAATCAGAGCTTGGGGACCATGCCAGCAAAGCAACGCGAGCTTACCTTGAGTTCTCCATCGAATCCGTTTTCCAGGATGTGTTCGTAGTCCGCTCGCTCCAGCAGCAGCAGGTCCGTGGCCACCAGCGCCATCAGCACCCCGTCCTGGGGCTGTGAGGGTGTGTGGGAGGATGGGGGTGTTGGAGGGGAGCAGGCAGGAGGGCATGGGGGCAGGGGAGCATGAGGGTAGCAGTGGTGGTGAGAGAAGAAGCGGGCATGAGGGTAGGTAGGAGGGGTGGGGCAGCAGGAGGGTCGTGCACCTCATGGCCTGCGCCATGCGCCACGAGGGTGCGCCCCTCGTGTGCTATCTCTCCACGTCACATGTGCGCCCTTTATGCCGTCACCTGCGCCGCTGTTCCGTCACCTGCGCCCCCCATGCGTCATGTGTCAGGCTGAGGCTCACCGGCGGGTCAGGGTCCAGCATGGCAGCCTCCCCCAGCGCTGCGCCCGTTGACATCTCCCGCTGCCACATCATGTGGCCGGCAGAGGCACTGCCGCTGCTGCTGCCGCGCCGGCTGAAGCTACAGCCGCTGCCCATGCTGCTGCCCCTAACTCCTCCACCTCCACCTCCACCTCCACCTCCGTGCCCGCCTCCGACTGCCTCGTGCCATTCGCTCATGCCGCCGCGTCCGTTGGAGGCGCCGCCTCCACGAATTGCCTTGAGCAAGACCGCCTTGAACTCGGGGAACTCCAGCTCGCCTGCAGCGTTAGAAGGTGGGAAGGCACACAGGATGGAAACGGAGGGGGGAACCCGAGGTAAGGCGGGGGCAAAGTAGGCAAAGGGTGAGCACATGACGTTCAGCCAACGAAGATCTGGTCAAACAGCACAAGAGGACCACCCATGCGAACCGGCGTGCGAGCCGGCATGGGGTACCGGTCCACGGCAGTTCCCCACACCTCAAGGACCTCACCCGATCCGTCCTCGTCCACCCCGTCCAGCAGCTCCGTGACCTCCTCCGTGCTCTTGCTGATGCCCAGCAGCTCGAAAGCCGTCTGGAGCTCTGACACGTCGATGGCACCTGGGGGGGAGAGGGGGTTAGGTGGGTGCGTGCGGTAGCAGGGGTTGAAAAGCAGGCGGGGTCTGAGATAATGGGAAGGAGGGAGATAATGGGTATGAGATAACGGGAATGGGGCGGGGTGGAGGGGCTCTGTTCCTGGGACTCTGTTGCGGACCGTCTTGAGGGCGACCCGGATGACCCATGGGTCATTCTGACATGTACACATCGGCTTCTGCCACATCGACTGCACCATCCCCACACGCGCATGCACGCACCCGATCCGTCCACGTCTATGGACCTGAACAGCGCCAACATGTCCTCCTCCGTCACGCCATCCAGCTCGCTGCTGCCGCCGTTGCCGCCGCCGCCGCTGTTGCCTGCCGCTGCCCCTGCTGTCGCCGCTCCTGCTCCTGCTCCCCCTCCTACTTCGTCCGCCCGCACGGGAGCCAGGCGGTGGGCAAAGGCCTCACGGTTGCGAGTTCGCAGCTGCACCTTGCCTTGGAGGACCTGCGCGGACGCGGGGGCACAACACACACCCACATGCAAACACACGCAACAAGTGGGTTAAGACGAAACGCCGGGTACGCAAACGCCGGGCTGCCGACTCTCTTGGTTCACATGGCTTGTGTCGCCAGTCGTAGCCCCTCCTCCCTGCTCCCCCCCTCCCCCCCTCTACTCACGTAGATAAACACATGGCCTCGACTGCTACCGCCGCCGCCGCCTGCCCCTCCGCCACCAGCAGCACCGCCACCTCCTCCCCCGGCCCCCGCAGCCGCTGCCCCCGCCGCGCTTCCGCCCTCTCCAGCGCCCTGCCCTGGCGCCCCCCATCCCTGCTGCTGCTGCCCCCCTGCAGCTCCCCCCCAGCCGGGCTGCTGCCAGGGCGGCAGGCGGATGGAGTCCATCTCCTTGAGCGACACCACGCGGGCCACTGCGGGAGGAGGGACGCGCAGCCATGGGGATCAGAGCAGCGGGATTCGGGTTTGCCGGAACGTGAAGACTGCAACGATAACGTTGGAGGTCCACTGTTGCCACTGGCGTCGTGAGCGCCATGGTATGAACCTACATGGAGCAGCAGCAGCAGCAGCAGCCCACCCACCATGGCACAGGTCTCGGTGCACCCCCGGGCCGTCCCGCGTCATGAGCGCCAGCCGCTCCGTCTCCGCCATCACATAGCCCACCTGCATGGAGGCGGCGGGTGTGTGTGGGCGGGTGTATGGGTGATGGGCAGCAAATGAGCACAGAAGGAAAAGCCGAGACGAGGCGATGAAAAAGAGGTGGTGGATTGCTCTTGATCCCTGGCGAGGGGAAAAGCCGTCCAGTTGACCCGTGCGGGTTCCCCCGGACTGTGCCGCTGTTATTCAGCATTGTTAGGATCGCCGGTATCGTGACCCAGATGGGATAGCTAGCGGTACCAGCCAGAGCCGGCGGATAGATCTAGTAAGCTCACCTCGATGGAGGTCCTGAGCTGGGGTTTCTTGGACAGCGCGCGACATACCCGCCGGATGGTCTTGATGCGCTCCAAGGAGGAGTGCAGCGCTGTGCATGGAAGGAGTATGTTGTGCCAGAGTGGGTTGTCGAGGGCGTGTTTTTAGAGACCTAAAATGGCGAGGACGCTATGGATGGAGCATGCGGGTAAGGAGAGCGAGATTCCGACAAACCACACAACTCAGAAACGTAACTTGGAAACATAGCAGCCGTATGTTGCCATGTGAGCGTTGTAGAGCTTCCTAAAAACAACACGGCTAGGAAAGGCGCCCCATGTGGCCAACAACGACCTCAGCGCTTGCGAGCGCGGACAGACTACTAAGCGCTATCCGTAACCATAGTTAGGAGCAGGCAGCATGAAAATGTTAACGGGTGCTTAAAGCTCAGGGCAGTTGCTTTTTGAAGTGTCATGTCAACGGTCGCGTCGGCTCAAATGCCCTTGCACTATTGCTCTACGAGGATTGAGCACAGCATAGCTGGAAATTGCTACGTGCAAATTGGAACCCTGGCAATGGACATACCCGCTAAAAGTATGTCGCCACGAGCAGCTGTCCCCGCCATGGCCAAGCCCGTCCTTTCGCCACTAACCCTCCGCGAACCAAATTATTCAATCGGTGAGAGTCAGATCAACATATGGGAGAGGTTAATTCCATGCTTAGTGTAATAGTCATCGGGTATGGCATAAGTTGGGAGTATGATCTCGAAGGCCAAACCACGGACGACTTGCCCCATAGTAAAATCTGCAGCTAACCTATCAAAAGGTAAATTGACGGTTGACTACTTAAAGAACCGTTGGGATTACGCCTCCTGAAAAGAATGACCATCCCAACTAATGGTGCAAAATCCGCTATATAAGTATAAGTGGTTGCAACTAATTAGGCGTTGTAAAGACACTAAAAGAGAGTGAGGCCATACGCGTACGACAAATGCGAGGACGAGGACAGTGCAAGCCCAGAAACTAGCCAAAGATTTGCATGCTACTTATATGGCTCGTTCATACACTGCTTCCGGCTATTACTTTAGGTTTTCAGTCGTTTCTGTTTACCTGTGTCCTTTGTCTCCACCGTTTACTTTCTAATACGGCTCTTAGGGCCCCACCAGCTGGCTAACCGGGTACCGGGGGCCCCGGACGGTGGCCCCTGCCCCTGGAAGACCAACCGCATAAGTTTTGCGACAATGATGGAATAACCTAGGGGCTTTCCGAGCGCGGGCCGCCGCGCATCACACATAGAGGCCAGCAGCTTTACTAGCGGTCGAAGGTTGGGCTATGTCGCTGCAGCCCAACGGGTTTGGCAGCTCGGCCCCGGAAATCCAGGCGCTTGACGGGGTGGTCCAGCCCGTTTGGTTGTACAGGTTGGCGGACTACTTGAGTTTTAGCGAAATTGTTTTTCTGTTTCTGCCGCTTATGGTACTTTGACGTCTTCACCCACCGCAGCTGCGCGAGCCAAAAGCTGATCTGGGCGAACAGGGCAGCTCTCCGATATTTCAACAGGTAGGATGCTCGCTCACATAAGCTTGGCGTGAGTGCGGTCAGGGAACGAGGCGCTTGCGCTCATGTGGTCGGGTAGAACGGGCGTCTGATGATGTCCACCACTTGCTCGGCCGAACAGGACCCTAGACGCCTTCACCTCTTACAAGTTTGCACGGCTATCACCGGAGGAACACTCTAGCTTTTCGGTGCTTAACACGCTACTCCGCGACGAGGTCGAGGTAGGTTGTGAGCAGGCTCGGCCGTGAGCGGCGAAAGTGCCGGGCCTTAACACAGTATACCCCTGCAGAATGGAGGCCTTGACCAGGTCATCTCTGGTTTTGGGCATTCGGTTCTGCCGGGTGTTATCCCGCACGACGACCTGTCCAACAGCGAATACTTGTTCAAGGTGCGCATTTACACATGGGGCGCTCTTTGCCAGACCCCGCCGTGGTTGAGCTCAGACCCATTATGTGTCCTCCTTGCAGCAATTCTACCTCGTACGACCTATCGCCAACTGCACACGGGTTACTCAGATACAGCTTATAAGCGGGTCGAACTTGAGCCTGCCATCCGCGAACACAACTATCGTCAAGGTGCGGGACTTCCTTTGTGTCTTGACTATCAGCGTGATGATTCGTGCGAGTTATGTTGTACACGGCATGCGGTGCTATGCTTGCAGACGGTGAGAAGAGAGCGGAATCGGCAGAGCAGCGCCGACGGCCGCATGATTAATGGCACCAAGGGTAGGGTGTCAATACGCTGCTTAATAACATAAGGTGATAGGGACTAACAGGGCGTAAAATACCCTAGCAGTGACGTCGACGGTGTCGAGCCTCATCGACATGTGCGACCGGATTCTCAAGGGTCAGGAGGTTGACTTAAACAGCGTGGAGGCGGTGCAGCAGGCGGTTCTGCGCGGCGATATCATTACCCAGGTGTGTGTGCCACTGCCTGTCTGTCGCAACCGCCTTGGGTTCCGCCTGGAGACATTAGTGCCGGTAGGATGAGAGCACCGCCAGCACTCCCAGTTGGTGCCTCGGGCTGACGTATCAACCGCTTGCGCGATGCCGCACTCTTTCGCCACAGCCGACGCGGATCGAGGAGGAGCTGGTGTCTAAGGAGGAGCTGGACCAGGATGTGGGTCTGAACCTGCTGCAGCTGCTGGGCGGGAAGAAGCTGGGCGAGCGCTTTGCGCCTGCACCTGAGAGCTACGATGGCGAGGTATGTACGGGCAGTAGGGGCAGCGGCTCCGAGTGCAGGGTGCTGCTCCGCCAGGCTCCTCTCGCGTGGAAAAGGGTGTTGGCTTGCGTGTTGCAAATACATGGCAGCAGGCCAGCAGTGCACAGTATGAAGAGGATTGCACTCATGGCAGGCGGGCCAAGCGCAGATAGCGAGGCAGCTGGGCCATGTATACAACCCCTGCCGGCACACCCTGCATGCTACCGGGACACACTGCGAACTGAGGGTATGGCAGCACATGGGGCTGGCCCCGCCGCGCATGCAGGTCATCACGGGACCGGTGCCAGGCGGCTCTCGTAGCGGCGGCGCCGCTGCCGCCGCCGCCGCTGCATCGTCTGTAAAGGAGGAGGCGGAGGCGACAGGCGAGGAGGAGAAGGACGTGGTTGCGGCCAGCCTGATGCCCGCCATGGAAGCAGTGCTGGCGACGGTGGATGAGTGGCGCTTCAATGCCTTCAAGCTGGCAGAAGTCACGCAGGGGCACCCGCTTTCGGCGCTGGGCTTTTGGCTGATGAAGCGCTACGACCTGATCAGCATTTTCCAGCTAGACGCGACCAAACTCGCGCGCTTCTTACGGAAGATTGAGGACGGCTACCCAGACAACCCATACCACAACAAAACGCATGCGGCGGATGTGTTGCAGGGGATGCACTGCCTGCTCACGCGGGGCGGCCTGCACCGGCGGTTAGGCGAGGACGTGGCCATCTTTGCGAGCTACTTGGCCGCGATCACGCACGACTACGAGCACAAGGGGCTTAACAACGACTTCCTGGTGCGGGTGGGGGACGACCTGGCCTTCACCTACAACGACATTTCGCCCATGGAGAACCACCACATCGCAGCCGCATTCAAACTCATGCGCCAGAAGGAGTATAACTTCATCAAAAAGATCCCGCGCGAAAAGTGGGTTCGGCTGCGGCGGTTGCTGATAGACATGGTTCTTGCGACGGACATGAAGCAGCACTTCAACATCCTCTCCAAGTTCCAGTCCAAGCTGCAGGTGAAGCTCCGCAGCACCAACTTTGCGGCGCCCAACCTGGCGCACCTGGAGGCGCCCTCGTACGATGACCCGCTGCCCATTTCAGAGGACGATGCGGACAAGTCGCTGGTGCTGCAGGTGGGGCTGCAGTGCATGGGCAGGGGGGGCGGGGCTGGTAGGGCCGGAGGGACGGAGATTGCGGCTGGGGCTGGGAAAGCGGAAAGGTGTGTGCGGTGATGGAAGGGAAGGGAGGGTGCTGGTTTGGATGAACGGGAGGAGCGAAAGGGCGTCCGCGTCAGGCCAGTGTGTGATGTTGGTGCCATGGCGTGCGCGAGGCAGTGAACGACACAGCTGTCTGTCAGCAAGTGGCGAACCCCCGTAACCACGCGCCTCTTTTCCATCCGGCTCCGTGTTACAGGTGGGGCTCAAATGCGCGGACGTGGGCCACCTAGCGGCTCCCTGGGAGGTGCACCACCGGTGGGTGAGCGGGCTGGAGGAGGAGTTCTTCCGGCAGGGCGACAAGGAGAAGACCATGCACATGATGGTGTCGCCGCTCATGGACCGCTGCAAGGACGGCATCACCAAGTCGCAGGTGGGGGGGGAGGGGGAGGGGGAGGAGCGAGGCCGAAGCTCCGGCATAACCTGTGGGGAGGGCAGTTAGGGAAACAACCGAGGGGAAAAGCGAGACTATAAGCTGTTCCGCTGTGGGGATTACCTGAAGGCTGGTTGGGGAGCACGGTGGGGAGGGGGCTGTCATGTACGGAGGAGGGTGCTGGGTGTCTCGGCAGGGCTATGACGGAAACCTGGCTGGAGCTTGAGGAGTCTTCTTCGTCCTCATCCGTATCGCGCATCCCACTCAATCCTACTTCACTTCCCACGCTCCCTCCGCATCGCGCCCGCAGGTGGGTTTCTTCGACATTGTGGCGCTGCCGCTGTTCTACAGCTGGGCCTCCGTCTTCCACGAGGCGCTCCCGCTGGTGCGCGCGGTGGAGGACAACTGCAACCGCTGGCGCTCGCTGGAGCAGGGGCGCAACGCCTCGGGGTCCAAGTGAGGGCGGGAGAGCAGACCTCGTAAGGGCGCAGTCGCCACGACGACGCGGTTGCGGTGGGGTTGGAGGGGAGCACGTAGCAGCAGTACCGATAGCAGCGGCGGAGGCAGCAGCAGCAGCGGAGGCAGCAGCAGCGGAGGCAGCAGCAGCAGTCCGCCGCGACGTGTGGCTGGCTGGCCGGCCTTGTAGCAGCAGCGACTGGGGTGTCTTAGCTCACACGTAGCGGCGTAGCGGCCACGGCGGCTGAGCTCGCGCGCCCTTCATTCCTCCCGCAGCAGCAGCAGCAGAGTAGGACCACAGCTCCAGCGGCTACACGGTGCCGCTGGCACACGGGTTTCGAACGGAAATACATGCTGGAGCTGCGGGCGTCCCTAGCAGCTAGCAGCACGAGTTCCAGCGGTCCTGAGCTTTACTACTGCCGTCGTTGGGTGTGCCTGGCGGCCGTTGCAGGGCGCAGCTTGAGGCGGTGGCGACAGCGAATGTGCACAGGCGCACACTCGAGCTGCGTTGTGTCCAGCCGCAGCTTTTGCAGCGTGAAACGGATGTGGCAGTGTTGCAGCAAGGGAGCGAGGAGCCAGCGGAGCGGCGGGCTGGGTTAGCCTGCTACGCTCGAGGCCAAGGGCGATAGAGCCATTCCTCGTGCGCGATCTGGGTCGATGTGGGTCGGGGTAATTTTCGCCGTTGGCAGCGTGGGCTGCTTTGGCAACAGCCGTATCGCCGTCCAAAGACGGCTAGCGGCGGCAGCAGCGGCTCTCCGCGGCGGCGTGGCATCATATCGGGGGGAAGGGGAAGGGGGCTTGGAAAGCCGCCACGGCCTGTCCGACCACGTCTTGTACGGGTCGTGGAATGCAGTACGGGCAGAAGGCTTCTGGGGAAGATACGTTTTTGGGGTGAGGGATGCTCCGGATATGGATAGGGTTCGCTGGGCGGGGTTGGCTTTTAATGCGAGGGCGTGCGCCAGGGCGCGCTGATGCGTCCCGGTGTCGATGTGCGCAGAAAGTAGGGCACAGCAAAGAGGCCAACAGGGAAGGGATGTGGCGGAGGGGCGGGAGGGGGACTCATTGTGATCAGCTGGTTTTCCATTAATACCCCGATTCATGTTGATTTGTGGTGATGATGATGGGAATGGCGTCGCCGCCTCTTTACCTTCATTGCCAGGGATGGCCAACACACAGCGTGCTTTGTTGCTGTTATAGGGGGTTTGGGTTAGGGTGCTGCGACCGGTTGTCATGTTAGAAGCAAGCATGGGGTGCGTCATCCGTTTGGAACGAACCACATAACACATCTGTGGCAGGCAGCGCGTTACTTTACCACAAGGCATTGCAAATCCCGCATCCCTTTGGGCCTCTGCCGAGGTTACCGGTACCCATGGAGAACGAACTGGCCTAGTACCTCAAGAGGCCAGCAGATGAACGAATGCATGCCACACGCAGTTTTCCTGGGCATCTTACGACTGATCGACTGATTGACAGCTCGGCAACCAAACGGGTGTTGTGCTGTCGCTGTAAGCATCTGTGGATGGTGACACGTTTCTCTCTGCGTGCGCGGTTGGATGCGGGTTAGGACGGTATTACAACAAGCAGTGGTCGGCCTTCGCCACTGACGCGTGGGTTGTGTATGTGTCTCGTGCGTGTTTTTGTATTGTGGGATGGTACATCAGCTGGCCTGTATGAGATTGAGAGCGGATAGCGTGGTGTGTCGCCGCGCCGCTTGGAACTACTTGGCTTGACCCCTCTTTGACTCCTCTTTTGCTGTTCGCGTGCGTCTGTAGCGATGTTTTCTGCGCGTGGTGTTGCTGCTTAGTACTGGAAACGGCGAAAGTTGGAAAGCTTTGCCCTGAGTATTGACAAGGGCATACGCACCATTTTTGGGGGCCTGATGAGCCATGGCCGGGGGCTTTCCATTGTGTAACATAACACACAATGCGCGTTTTGGGTGTTCTGAAAACTGGCCGCGAGTAGGAGAACGTACTGCGGTGTGTGTGCGTAGAGAGAGGAGGAGGGTGTATGCTGCGGGAGGCCCAGGGGCCTTATGAGAGCGCTGGCGAAGGTGTGGCGGGATGTGCTTCCTAATGTATGAAGGGTGATGGTGACGGCGCTCCCAAGTGTGAGAGCAAGGTCTTGGAAACGAAAGCGCACTGGATTTGTTCGATTTCTTTTGGTTATTGTTGGGCTGCTGTCGTGGTTGCTGTAATCGTAACAGGTGCACGCCGGCATGCTGTTCCGTGGGCTGCGCATCCTGCTTCACGGTTGGGATTCCACCAAGAGACAGGCTGATAGCTCTTGTTGATTACAGAGCTCTTGTTGAAAAGAGAAAACCATGCACGCTTTGTTAGCCGCGCTGGCATTGGAGACGTTGCCTGCCACCTGCCGCGGTGCACATACCCTGCTGCCACGGTGTCGTACCAACTGCAGCGTCCAAGACTTCCACGACATTACCGAAAGGAATTCCTTCCAAATACCGCATGCTAACCTAACAGTGCTGAAAGTTAAAAAGCTCCCTTCACGTCGCCAGCAAGTCATCCTTAGTACGCAACGTGGTAGTTTTAAGAACCCATGGCCAAGACAGGTCAAGAGTTAGTCAAACGGAGGTATTTGGTACGACAGGACCCAGTGCTGTCAGACCGACAGCGGAGCATGGAGCATAGCACGAGGTATATGCTAATGTACCTGTACTACTGCTCTGTAAGGTCTCTATCCTAGTTAAGGGTGCAGCTTGGTAAGGCTACGCAGCGCAGCGGCTGCAGCAATGAAACACATGAAAAGTGCCCGCTAGCTACGGTACAAACCCAAAGCCAACAGCGTTCGTCGGGTGCTGTGTCCCATGCGCACATACCGCAACTCGCACGCAACCCAAAAGTGAACGTACAACCCTCCGTTCCCCTAGTTCCGGTACTAATAGTACTTTCAGTACGGCAGATTGCTGCAGCAGTTCTTATTAATGTGTACTGCATCAGTACACGTCCTACACAAGCCAAAAGTCACGTAAAGTAACGCCGTGTCTCACAGACAGCAGACCATGCATCGCTACCTAGTTCATGTCCAAGAAGCCGCACCACGCCATGCCATGCCCCTGATCCACCCTGCTGGTCTAGTCCTCCTTCCGTACCGGTCGGTGCGGGCGGGGAGCTGCGGGGAGCCATGCAGGGGGCCCAGCAGTAGGGGAGCACAGTTGGGGGTGCGTCAGGCGAAGCGGCAGCAAGCCAGGCGCCAGTATACAAGGTATGGTGGCTGCAGGATTGCTAGGGCTGTGAGACTATGGCCCCCCAGCCTGTTGCAGGCCCCATATGATGTGTTGATACCGATATCATAGGTATGGGTCCACTCATTATGTAATCCTGATCCGTTTTAAGGTACGTTTAAGGTACACCAGAGCGCTCGCTGCTCACCGCATGGGTTGCCAGCCGCGTAGAACTCCCGCAGCAGCTCCACGGCCTCCTCGGGGAACAAGCCGCCCTGGGCGGGGAAGCCCCGACCCGCATGCGAGCCGGGGGGTGATTGCCTGCATGCGGGCGCGAGCAGGCAGGCAAAGCGGCGGCAACCTAACGAACCCCAACTCGCTTAATGAACACGGGTTACCAAGCACTTTGAAGGGTAGGAGAGGGAAGAACCTTCATATTGTTCTTCATATGGCAATGATTTGTCCCGGGCTGTGATACAGGTAACCATGTGTGTGCGCTCTGTTGCTTTCTTCTCTTACCTTGCACAAGGGCCGCATCCTTCATCGTTGACGGGAAGGATGGAACCACAGCCGCCGAAGCGATCATTGCCGCAGCCGTAAAACACGCGTCGGAAGCCCAGAAGGGATAGCGCACCCGCGCACATGATGCAGGGCTCAACGGTGACGTACAGATCACATCTGTGGAAACAACAACGAAGGGTACGGCAGTACGTGACGGCAGCACGGCAGTACGACAGCGGTAAAGTTAAGATGGTGCTCCGGGCAAGGAACCAGAATTTCGACATAAGCTCCGTGCAGAACCGTCATGAGACAACAGGTAAAGGGTAAGTAATAGGATCATGGAAGGCCTTGTTAGCGAAGCAAGCAGCTGAACTGTCAGCTGCTGGGCGCTCACCTGTCAAACCCGGCATCGGTGACTGAGCCGCCGCAGTTTGCTAGGATCTCGTCAATGGCAATCATTTCCGCATGTCGCGTGCCCTGCATGTGGAGGGGATTACGGTGGTCACGTGCAGACATGGCCAACGACCATCGAGTTGGTCCCAACCATAGTTGCTCCAATAGAAGCGCCGCTATGCCACACCCCACCGTGCTCACATTACGGGTTTTGTTGGTGAGGTTATGGCCTCGGCCCACTACCTCGCCGTCTCGGACAACCACGCACCTGGGAGGAGTGGTTACGGGTAGCATTACTGTGGTGTGGGCTGGAGGCACATCGTGATAGTGAGGACGAGCGGTATGTCCACTTACCCTACGGGTACTTCTCTGCACGCCCATGCTTTATGCGCCTACATAACAGACCGCAGCAAGTCATGCAGAAGCAAGTACAGCAAAGCCTCGATTTTTGCTGGTGTAGGGATTAAGCACCTGCGTTAGAGCTTGATACATATTATCTATTTGTGAAGCAGACCAGCCTTTTTCTCTCGCCCGGGAAACTGCTTCCTCATTAGGGAGAGCTGGAGGGGGCGCAGTCATCTCTGCTGAATGGAGGCAACACAGGAACTTTCTGATAAAATGATGATGGCGACAACCCTGCAACCGGCTTGCAATTCCGAACCGTTGTACGGAGTAACCGATTTAGAACCTGAGGTCCAATCTGGTTGGAGTCTGGGTCGAAGATACAGTTAAGGACATTTCATGTCCCGACTTACAACTTAATAGGCCTGTAGGTGCCCAAGCATTAAGAACTGTTACCATGCTTGCCAAGCACTTGCAGAGCCCTGGGTCACGCCAGGTCGCGCCTGCTTCCCGCTGTTCAGGTCATGCCCATATAACACTTAGACATATTTCTGGACGTCGAGCGCTTAAGGTTCTAGCCCGCGATTGTCCAAAGCCTGCCTTTGAGACGGCAGACACTTTCCAGGAGGCACAGGCTCTATCAGCGAAATTCAGGAATGCGCCGCGCCCCGTTGAGCCGCTTAAGGTTGTAATTGCTGGCGCTGGTCTAGCGGGGCTATCTGCAGCGAAGTACCTCGCGGACGCGGGCCACGAGCCAATCGTCTTGGAGGGCCGCGACGTCCTGGGCGGCAAGGTGCGCCCATCTGGGCGTCATTTGCCTCCAAAGCGCGCAACCCTTGAATCTCTAATTACATCCGGTAAACGATCTGCCCAGGTAGCGGCTTGGAAGGACAAGGATGGCGACTGGTACGAGACTGGCTTGCATATCTTCTTCGGCGCTTACCCAAACATGATGAATCTGTTCAAGGAGTTGAACATCGAGGATCGCCTACAGTGGAAAGATCACTCGCTGATCTTTGCCATGCCCAACCTCCCCGGCGAGTTCAGCCGGTTCGATTTCCCGGATATCCCAGCGCCCTGGAACGGAGTCTTCGCAATCCTGCGCAACAACAAAATGCTTACTTTCTCGGAGAAAATCCAGTTTGCGCTGGGCTTGCTGCCGGCCATTATCTTCGGCCAGAAGTACGTTGAAGAGCAGGACAGTTTGACTGTTACGGAGTGGATGCGCAAGCAAAACGTTCCCGATCGGGTCAACGAGGAGGTCTTCATCGCCATGGCAAAGGCCCTGGCCTTCATCGACCCGGACCGGCTATCCATGACGGTGGTGCTGACGGCCCTCAACCGCTTCCTGCAGGTGCGTGGATCTTCCTGACCCAACCAATCAAATCCCCGCTATAGATCCTAACGCCCAACGCGGCACTGGGTGTGCGCACATGCCTAGCGGGAGCAGCGTGAGGACGGCAGCACGGGAGCAAACCACAGAACACATACACATTCGCACCTATTCCGCCCCGCACTCCACTCAGCACTGACAACGTGTGTGTTTTCCCCGGCCCCTCACCCATTCTCTCCCCCTCACTCCCCCCGCCTCCCTTCAGGAGCGCCACGGCTCCAAGATGGCCTTCCTGGACGGCGCCCCGCCCGAGCGGCTGTGCGGACCCATGGTTCAGCACTTCACGCAGCGCGGCGGGGTGGTCAAGATGAACGCGCGGGTGCGGGAGATCGTGCTGAATGAGGACGGCAGTGTGAAGCACTTTGCGCTGACCAACGGGGAGATCGTGGAGGGGGACCTCTACATGTCGGCAGTGCCGGGTGGGTGCGGGTTGGTGGGGATTGGTGCGGGGTGCGGGAGTGAGGAGGAAGAGAAACGAACAGTGTGACATGTAGGCCCCACCACCCGAGGGTTGCGGGTGGGGGTGCGTGACAAGGTGCGGGTACAGGTACGGGTACTGCGGAATGCCGTCACTCCTCCGCCATCAACCCCACCAGATCCGCCTCTCTCCCCCCCCTCCTCCCTTTCCTACCCCTGCCCTCCTCCTCCTGCCCTAACCCCCTCCCTCCACTTCCTCCTCCCACCCACCTCCCCCCAGTTGACATCCTGAAGCAGCTGGTCCCCGCCCCCTGGCGCCCGCTGCCGTACTTCTCCCAGCTCAAGGAGCTGGAGGGCGTGCCGGTCATCAACATCCACATCTGGTTCGACCGCAAGCTGAGCACGGTGGACAACCTGCTGTTCTCGCGCTCGCCGCTGCTGTCGGTGTATGCGGACATGAGCACAACCTGCAGGTGTGGGGGGGATTTGGGTGCGGGGGTGGGGGTGGGTGGTGGTGGTGGGAGCGGGGGGTTGGGGAGCGGGAATGGCTGCTTGCGGATGCAAGGGGTGAAGGATGTAGGTGACGGAGGGGCATGTGGAGGGATCAGGGGCTAACGAGAGGACACAGCCTGACCTCAAACCCAACCCCACTCCCCTTGCCCTCCCGTGCCCTCCCCTCCCTCCGTCCCCCCCCCCCTTCCCAGGGAGTACGCTGACCCTGACAAGAGCATGTTGGAGCTGGTGTTCGCGCCCGCCAAGGACTGGATCGGACGGTGGGTACTGAGGGCCGTTAGGGGGGGTGTGCGCTGAGGAGGGAAGGGAAGGGCGGTAAGGTATGCCGGTGCTTTGGGGGAAAGGGAGGTGTGCTGCGGACAGAAGAGCGTAGGAGCTGACGGTTAGGAAGGGAAAGCCCGGGGGAAGGAGAGGGCCTTCTCTGAGTCTCTCGCTCCATAGCATGCCATCCTAGCCTACCCCATACACGCTACAGTACTTCGACATCTGGGACACCATCAAGCAATTTCAAGCGGTAAACTACGGTCAGGGTCCGTGTTTCGGCGGCCCAGTTTATCTAATCCCCCCCTCCTGTCCGCTCCCTCCCGCTCCCCCCCCCAGCTCCGACGAGGACATCATGGCCGCCACCATGAAGGAGCTGGAGCGCCTCTTCCCCAACGAGATCCGGGCGGATGGCTCGCTGGCCAAGATCCGCAAGTTCCACGTGGTCAAGACGCCGCTCAGTGTGTACGAGAGCCGCGCGGGGCGCGAGGCGTTCAGGTGCGGGAGGGGGGGGGGTTGGTTGGATGTGGCCAAAGACCATACCAAACCATAGGAGACCACAAGTTAGGGGAAAGCAATGGGGATAGGAGGCGGCAGGATGGGAGGGGGGGCCAGGGTAAGGGGGAAGAGACTGACGAGCTGTATGAGGACGCTTGCATGGGGCCGGGGCAGGGGGGAGAAGGGAGGCGGGCGGGGGGGGGAAGGCGGGATAGGCAGTATCGACACCTAACCCGGATCCGGCGGCGGGGGAGGCGGGCTGGGTTGGGCTGGGATGATGGAAGAGAAGGAGGGGCGCAGAGGGGGAGGCGGAGGTGTGAGGAGGGGGGGCTGTAGATCCCTAGGATGCGGCTGCAGATCTCACAACCCTTCCTGCCCTCCCACCCACCCACCCTCCCTGCCGCCCCCCCAGGCCCACCCAGCGCACCCCCATCTCCAACCTCTACCTGGCGGGAGACTTCACCAAACAAAAGTACCTGGCCTCCATGGAGGGCGCCATCTTCAGCGGCAAGCTGGCGGCGGAGGCCATTGTGGAGGACTACAACATGAAGGGCAGGAGCGTGGCGGGGGCGGGCAAGTCCTCCTCCTCCTCCTCGTCTCCGGAGCTGGTGGCGGCGTCGGCGCTGCTGGCGCTTGCGGCGGCGGGAGCGGGTGCCGTGGGGTTCGGAGTGATGTGAGCTGGGGTAGGGAGCAGGATGAGGGGGGAGGGGTGGAGAGGGAAGGGCATGCATGCGTGCGTGCCTTGGCTAGGAGGGGCTGCTGTAGTGCAAGATACACTGAGCCGAGGGGTAACGTGGGGAGCTGGGGAGGCAGGAGTATGAAGATGAGCCGCGAGAGGTGGTGCGCGGGAGAGGGAGGGGGCTTTCGAGGGGAGTGTGCTTGATTGGGTCTGCAAGCGTGAAGGCTAATCACACACGCGGCGTCGGTGTGAGAAGCATTGAGAAGGGGCTGCGCTAAATGTGAATGTGCGTGTGTGTTGAAAAGGGCATTTGCATGCTTGCGGATGCATGCTTGCGTGTCCACTCTGGTCCTATGATACGGGTATCCTACTTCCTGGGGGCTCCTGTGATGACGGAGGTATAGGGCTATAGGCGGAGCTGCGGTTCAAGCTGGGGGACTGTGCTGGCGGGGGTGTTGCTCCCCACCTTCCCACATGCCGGCGGCCAGGGCAGCGAGGGCAGAGGATGAAGCTGAGGTCAGCGATATTGAGGCTTCAGCTAGCTTGAGATAGGGACAACCCGCTTTCCAGAGGCGGGTGTTGCCTGCGTGTGTCATGCCCGATTTTGCTCCGTACGGCTTGGGAAGGGCTTTACCCCAGCTTGTCTTCTTCGATGAACGCCTCACGGGGTGGGGTTGGGGTACGCTGTGCGTTATGCGTGCTGCGCGACTGATGTGTATCATTTGTAACTATTTTGACTATCGTTATACCGGAATGCGCCCGCTTGGGCGGGCAGGCGGTGAAGGGAGCGGAGAGAGAGAAAGCGCAATGCACCCAAGCATCTGAGTTGGTACTGCAATGAGGCACAGGCGTAACGCGGGTGTGTTGGTGCAAGGCAATCAGGAGTGTTAACTTCGGGCTAGGGTGGTTAATGCCTTGGCTTGGCCCACTGTGCGTCTGGTAACGCCGTAATTTTGGCATGTGTGCATATTTACGGTGGGACGAAGAGGTCCATTGTAACATTGTAAAGGTTTCCCGAAGATGTAGTCCCTTATTCCTTCCACGACCCCGGCGATTAACGCTTCACGCAGCGGCCGGGGCGGCATCTGAAAGCTCCTGGGTGGGGTGGTCGTTGGGTATGGGCGCATGGCTGATAAGTCACAAGTATGTGGGGATCTACTTCGAGGAGTACCGAGTCCCTTGCATTGCATTGCAGTGCAGTGGGGTTTCTACGTAGTTGCCGGGCTCTGAAACCGTGATATGACCGTACGACGTGAAAGGCCAGGATGCTGGATGCAGACTCTCAAGGGCGTAACAGAGTGGAAAAAAACGACTTCACTACTGCGACGTAAATCCATTTGAATAACATACGTAAGGAGATAAACGCGGAAGCTGTGGTTCAGAAAATTCGCTTTTGTGCCGCGGTTTAGGTTTCCTTTATGATTGCTATGCCTTTAGTTACCAACCTGATATATGGTTGAACTTCTGCATACTGATCAACACGCTGGTTAGGTAGACGGAAGTTGCAACTTGCATGTTAGCGCGTATCTATTTCGGGAGAAAAGAGGCTTAAAGCCTTGGGAGAGCGTTTGCTTTGGATATAACATAATTGCTTTAGTGCGCTGGTGCTGGGAAGGCGGAGGGTGCTAAGGACAAATGGCCCCCAAACCATTGTCCAAGCCGTCAGTGCTCAGCGCGGAGGCTGCTGCTATGGAGGTAAGGCTACGCAGCTGCATTTCGAGCAAAAAAACCTACTTTTGAACCGCTTCGGTCTGAGGGCTGTCACCAACCGTGCGCTTGACTACGTGCAGCAAAAACTAGCAGAGCTCCGGAAGGCAATGGAGAAGGAGAGGGCAAAGCGTGAAGCGCTCATGTAAGCTGAACTGCTGCGCAAAGCGTGCGCTTGCTTGCAGCGGGGCTTGGAGGCGAGCATGCAACCATCCCCTGCAATGCGCAGGGCTAATGCTGGAGGAGGCTCGATCTGGCGAAATGGTTCAAGTTTGCGTGCAAACGTTGGCAAGGGTAAGGGGAAATGGCACTGGCCAACTCCTGCGGGGCAACTCCCGCGCCGAGCTCACCTCAACCTCGCTCCGGCCCCTAACCCTCCCCAACCCAACCCATGCCGAACCACCCCTCCCCCGAACACGGATCGCTTGTTGCGATTTCTCTCCCCCAAACACACAGGCAGCGATGCCGCGAGTCGGCGACCTGCCAGCGGTGCGACGGCCTTCGGAGCCGCTGGAGGTCCTGGCCCAGCTCCCAGCCGCGCTCCTGCGTCAGCCCGAGGAGGGTCCTCATCTGGGACTACTGAGGCTGTGGCGGCGAATGTGCCATCCGTGTCGGGCAGCCGGATGTCGTCAGCGCGGTCAGCTGTGGAGGCGGCTCGAAGCGCCACGCCTGACTCACAAGTGGGTGCGCGGAGGGTTGCGGGCAGTACCGGTATTGGTGGTGCTTGCGAGAGAGGAGTTCCATGGGGGAGGGCTCCTCAGCCTTGTTGGGGCCAGGTCCGTATGGGGATGGTTGGCACCGTAGTCGGTTCAGTTGTCTAGATAGGGCCAGACGCCGTCAAACTTCTCTCTGAAGCAGCAGCAGTCCCAGCGCGTCTTCCCTTGACTGCCGTACGTGCGCGCTTACCGTAACCAACATGGCAATGTGCACGGGATGGGGCGCCCTCTGCTTTCGGGACCTTGCAGGGCGGCGGTAGCGGCAGCGGGGGCGGTGGATCTGGCGGGGGCGGTATGTCGTGCGGCACTGACGACGGCCCCTCGCTGGCTGCGGGGCAGTTCAGCGAGGCTGACAGCCACCGCTCCTTCCTAGAGGCTCTCAACGAGTGGCGGAGAGGCAACCGGGGGGACGTGCCGGACGCGGCAGCAGGGCAGAGCAGCCAAGGTAAGCCCCGGTGACCCGGGGCCTTGATGGGACTACAAGCTAGGCTAGGCTAAGGGAACTAGGGGCGCTATGCCGACGGACAGCGTACATCTGGTGTAGTCGTAAGCCGTTCCTGGACCGTCATGGGATGCCAAGCAACGCATTTACCGGTACGCAACAAGGGCTCGTCCCCTATTCTTTACATCGCATGCGCTCCTTCTCGTCCCCCTGTCAACCCTTGCCTTGACTTCAGAACCGGCTGCTGGCTCGAGCTTCCCACGTGAGCCCCCGCGAGCGTCTGCGCGCGTGTCGTCCTCGAACCTGGAGGTGCAGACTGAGACACGACCGGTGTCACGACCCACATCCGCCAAGCCCTTATCGTACTTTGACAAGCTGGTGCTGAACACGACGTCGAGGCAGGCGGGGCACCTGGCGGCGGGAGGTGGGTTAGTAGGGATGAACTGGAATACAACGAATGCGTATACGTTAGCATTGGTTCCTCCCTTAAGCCGCATGCATGTTCTTCCATGTTAACCAAGGTATCTACAGTGCATCTGCATCCCCCTCATCTGCCCTCAACCGCAGGAACGCCCGAGTCAATGCGTCCTTCCTTAACGGGGCAGGAGCAGTACGGCATGCGCTCAGCATCTGCAATGGACGTGCGGCCAGGATCCGCAAGTAGCGTGCGCCCGGGGTCCGCAGTTGGGGTGCGGCCGGCTTCCGCTGCTCCCGGAAGCACCCCGGTGGCGCCGTCCGCAGCCTGCGCTAGCCCTGCGGTAGCCGCGCCCAAAGCAACGAGCGAGAACGTACCAGATAGCAGCGCTGCCTCGGACCCGCTCAGCATCCTTGACCGGTTGGAGGCACTAGAACGGCAGCGGCAAGAGCTGCATGCGGGTGATGAAGATGACGACGACCCAGGGGTCTTTACTGTGACGACGGCTACGGGGGTGTTGTTGACAAAGGGCGTGCGGCTGCCGGATGAGGTGTTGTTGCCATGCAATACGGAGAGCTAAGGTTGGCCGTGCCACGTGTGAGCGATGTGGGTTTGGGATTGTAATGATGCGGTGTATGCGTGCGTCATATGAGGGACATGTGGTCGCTTAGCGAAAGGCTAGATGCTGTAAGGCGTCACTGTACATTTGTGATTTCAACTATCCGGGCTGAGATACATTCATAACGGGGTTGGCTTTGGTGTGCATATCTCAGGTTTTATTGCTGAAGTCGTCTGATAGCGCTGTCCGTAAAGGAGCAATAGTAGCACAGTCTAGCGATATGCGCCCATGCGTGCACATGCAATTAGAAGTATGCAATTTGCCGCTCACGCCCGTTTAGGTTACAAGAATCAGGAGTTAAGGCAATCCACTTGCCCATTACTATCTCCGCCTTGTGGATTGCACGATGTAACCATCAACCAGGAGTTGCTGCTTCCCATCGGCCGCACCGTTATGGATAAGCCACCATCATTGTCTACCTATGAACGCGCCAGCATTCGAAAAACGCATGTACTGTTCGAGGTCTGGGGCAGGGGTGATACCCAGCCGAGGCTAGCGGGGGAAACGACCCGCGCACATGCGAGTAGCATGCCGTCGTCCCCATGCCCATAACCAAGCATCTAGGTTGCCACAGCAATCACCCCATGCCGCAGCCACACCACGCACCCCCAAAACACCCAAAGGTTGCATAAGCCGAGACGTGATGACCACTACTGCCATGCAGCTAACCAAACCAATGCCCCTCAGTTTCTGCCAAGTTGCACTATCCCCGGTTGCCACAAAGCTGCCAGTGCACGTCACACCACACTTCCGGACGACCCTCCCCGCCCGGCACCGCCAACATCCGTCCTAAACCCCTGCAAATCAACACCATACCAACCCCCAATCCAAACCTCCACCACCTGCTTAGAAGCGCTTGGCGATGGACTCCGCGCGCGGCAGGCTGGACAGGTTGCCGTACGACACAAACGTGGGCGTCGACTTGACCATGGCGCTCACGTAGCTGGTGACCTCAGCCGCGGTCAGGCCCTGCAGAGCAGCCGCAACCTCGCCCGCGCTGAACTTGCCGGTGGCCAGCACCGAGGAGCCCACGCTGGCAGCCAGGTCGGCGGTGGTGGCCGTGGAGGCCTTGAGCTCACCCAGGGCCAGGCCCTTGGCGTGCGCCAGCTGAGCGTCGGACACGCCCTTGGCCACAGCCTGCACCTTGGCGGTCAGAGCATCCACCAGAGCGCCGGCCTTGCCCGGAGCGCTGGCGCCAATCACGCCGACCAGACCGGTGCCCTTGTAGACGTGGGCGAAGGGGGAGACGGTGCGGAACACCTCGTGCTCCTTGCGGGTGAAGGGCAGGGTGGGGCGAGCCTCCTCCAGCAGCGCCTTCACCACCTTGGCGGTGGCAGCCGACTTGACATCAGCAGCACCGCCGGCAGCCTCGAAGCCCAGGCCGACGTAGGTGAGGGGCGAGGTGGGGGCGATGACGTTCATGGAGCCGCCAACGTACTTGGAGGCGGGGGCCGCAGCGGCGTCGCCAGCGGGCAGGCTGAGCAGGGGGGCGGCCAGCTGGGAAATCTCCTCGTGGTCAACGCCGACACCAGCCAGCACGACGCGCGAGGGGGTCAGGATGCTGGCAACGTACTCCTTCAGCGTCTCGTTGCTGAAGCCGTCGACCAGGGCGGGGTCAACGATCAGGGAGTTGCCCAGGCCGCCCTCAAAGGCCGCGCGGTGGAGGACCTCATTGACCGAGGTCAGGGGGTTCTTGAGCTCAGCGGCCAGCTGCTCCTTCAGGGTCTCCAGGGTGTCGCGCACCTCCCAGTAGGTGTAGCGAGCGTTGACCACAGCATCTGCCAGCACCTCAAGAGCCTCGCGCTGGTTCAGGCGAACAGCGTTCACACCGAATGCGATGTTGTCGCGACCGGCGCGGCAGTAAGCCGTGGCGCCAATCTTCTCCAGCTCACGAGTAAGCCGGAAAGTAGAGCGGTTGGCAGTGGCCTTAAACGCAGCAATCTCCAGGACCTTGCTGGCACCGGTCGTCGAGGCAGTCTCCGCGCTGGAACCACCCTCCACAAACAGGCACAGGCTGGAAACAGGGCTCACGGAATCAATAGTGGCTACCTTAATGCCGGAGCTGAGGCTGGAAGTTTTCAGGGCCGGCTTGGTTGCGGGAACAGAGCTGCGGGGCGGCTCCGCCACGGACGGCAGCCGCTCGCTCAGAGGCACGTCAACGCGGCTGCATCCAATACCGAAAAGAGAAGAAAGAAGGTTGCCGCTCTTGGCAGGAGCAAGCGCGGGAGCTGCGCTTGCGGCACAGCTGCTGGTGGCGATGCACCGCACCAGAGCAGGCGCCAGCTGGGTGCTGCCGGAACCGAACATCTTTGACGGTCCTGCAAAGGCAGGAACGGGTGCATAAGCCGCCATTGCATTTCAGAAAGAGAACACCCGAGATGAGCGTGATGGTCTCGAGGAACAAAGACCACGTCCGTTTGGTGCAACAAAAGCACCTCTACGCATATAAGATTTATGGCAAACACTGCTGGGACTATAGAGCGTTAAGCAGCCGTGCCGAGCCCACACTGTGAGCATCAGGCTTACCTCCCGAAAGGCAGCAAGCGCCCTATATAAATGCGGTAACGCGGTTCTCAGAGGCGACTTGGGGCCTCCTAATGACACAGCTCTGTTTTTTTAGGCGGGCAAGGAAAGCACTGCTAGTACGGCATGCCATACGGTGCTCCTCCAATCCTGTTCTTCTCCGCGCAGCTCAGTTTCTATTCCTTCACGTAGGATCAATAACATCAGCACCAATAGGAGCCCCATGCATGTCGAATTGATTCTTGGCACTCAACCCACGCTTCATTCCTAGCAGTATCCTGCAGTAAATCCCCGTATTGTCACAAACCCTTAGCGAATAAGCTTGTGGTGACAGCTTAAGATATTCCTTTGCTCGAAGTCATAAGACGGGGCATGCACCTTGCTCACTAAGGCTGTGCGGTCTCCAGGCTTGTCACCTACATCTTAGTTAACCTAAGGCAAAGGCCTGGCTCAGTCGCGGCACTTAGATTGCCCTGTGCAAACGGACCTAAGCAGACGGACCTGCAACGCCTCAGCCGGGCCAGCCTCCCGTTCCTGCCATGAAATCGCCAGCTAGCGAGGGAAAGCGAGTAACGAACGATGTTACAGTTCAGCAGTTCAACCAAACAAGCACGAACATCGGCGGCACTGCAGAAGGCCTCCGGAGGTCGTTGAGGGAGCTCGAGGCGGACCTGAAGAAGGACGAGGAGGGCAAGAAAGTGAGTTTCTAGCGCTATTGAATTGTATCATACCGATATTACAACTGTATGGGACTGTACGGCTCTGGTTTCACATGCTAGCAGCCAATGCGCGTAACATAACGTACACCGTCCCATGGGCCACTAGGCCTAAGGATACGGTCACAAAAAGCCACGAGCACGCTGGGATACTAACTCATCTGCGGGGGGGGGGGCACAGATCTCATGCTTATGGTACCACCTGCATGCCGCCTTGCATGGGCTTAGCCATGCCCCTGGATCCAAAGGTCCTGTGCGCTGTCGTATACCTTGTGTGCGTGTACCCCTCTCCTTCCCTCCTTCCTCTGCCGTACATTCTGCCGTACGTACACCATTACTCTGCCGTACATCCTCGTGGCCGTATGCAGGAGTACGAGACCTACCTGAAGCGCCTCGAGGTGCAGCGAGCCGACCTGCAGAAGAAGGTGGACGAGCATAAGGCCTGGCTGGAGGCGGCTGACGCCAAGGGCGCGGAGAGCTCGGAGCAGCAGTACATGCGGCTCTTGGAGCAGATCCAGCACATCTACGAGGGAGCAAAGGAATTCCACGGCAAGGGAATAGATCTGTTGATTAAAGAGGTGAGGGCAAGAAGGCTGGGAGCTGGGGGCAAGGGTAGGGTGCGTGGGAGGCGGCGTGAAGGTGGTGTCCTGTCCGGGTGTCCTTGTACCGTTGTACGGGTGTACAAGCGTTCAAGACCAGCATGCCCGTGATCCATGACACCTGGGCTTCTGACCCGTGCCTCTATGCCCGCAATTGCTGAGCGAGCTTCCTCCTGCGCTGTCCATGCAGTTCGGCTACCACATCGCGTATAAGCGCTGGAACGACACCTTCACCGCCATCCCTTTTAAACCCAAATGAGGCCGCAGCGCTGCTACATAATTACTGTACGGCAGAGGCCATGCTGTCTAGCCGCGAGGAGGCGGTGGTGGGAAGGCTTCCGCTCTAGCATACAGTTGAACTACTTCTCGGATATGTAACGGCGTCAGGATTGTTTTAGATAGCCATTAGCATGTATAGAATGATTTGGGTCGGAACTTATAGCTAGACACGGTAGCCGCTAATTCCTGTCATACAGGTACGGCTTGGCCCCTGTGTCATCGGGGCATGCCCTTGAATGATTTGTGAAGATGCGTGTATGAAGGATTTGGAGAGCCGGAGCTGCATACCGTACTTATGGTAGTCTTGTGTAGCGCTGTACGTATTCCTACTTGTACCCTAGCTGTACATGTCTAATGTCATGGGCATACGCTGGCTTTCCTGATGATAGTGGTTTGCCGGGTAGGCAAACGCTTCAAGCTGTCGGCAACAATCAAGGCAACTTATCATGGACAGTCCTTTGACCCCTCCGCGCGAACCTCACGCTTCACCCCATGCGGGTTGACGGTTGCAAGCACCTTCACAATCCCCTAGGCCGTACCACTCGCCCAAGACATGGTTAACAACACGTATGAATGTCCAAGACCCCCCCCAGCTCGCTGTTTAGCGGTTCAACTGTACGCAACAGCAACCAGACATCTGAACAACGTTGGTCACTGCCCATGCAGGCCTGTAGACCGCATCAGTCCCCAACCCATGCTTTACTTATATTAACGAAAGGACACCGTCCGTCATAGCAGCCTGCGCGCGGCAGGGCACACGTGCGTGCGCATGACCGCTTCCGTCCAACTACACACAAACCCACCACCGGCCACTGGGCCGCACACCTCACATGTGACCAACCACGCATGCTTCCTGTAAGTCAAAATCCTTGCGGTTAACTTCTGCTTCCGCCCCTCTTGGCACACGTTACCTTCCCTCACTGCGTAGTAGTATCGAAACTAGACGGACACTGGTCAACGCCCGTTGTCAACTGTAAACCGCGACATCTTGCCTTCCCTAGCAGAGTAAGGAGACGGACCAACGTTCAACCCAGGCAGCGCCTGATGATACAAGGATAAATCCTACCATCCCAAGCTACACCTCCCCCATCAGGTGCGCGTCCCACCCCTCACTTCTTGCCGCTAAACAGCATCCCCCATTTGGTGCGCGACCTAGTCTTCGAAGAGGCGTCCTTGCCGTCAGCAGCCGCAGACGCCGTTCCCGCAGACACAGTCCCTGCACCCGCACCCAGCCCAAGCCCACTGCTCGCCCGCGCTAGCGGTCCCGAAGCCCCAGGGCTGGCTTCTCTCGACTGGGGCTGCGACAGTGCTTGGTTCCGCGCATTATCCACCATTGGAGGAGAGCTAGTAGCTCCTGAGGCGGATGCATGGGCAAGGGTGCTGCCACGCATGCCTGGGAGGAAAGGGCCGCCAGCAGTGCCCGCAGCCGCAGCCGCCGCGTGCATGTGCTGAGGCGGCAACATCAGCTGCTGCTTGCCATGCTGTTGCTGCTGAGCTTCCTGCTGTTGCTGCATGGTCTTGCTGTTCAGCTGGTTCGCCAGCTCCAGCAGGCTCAACTGACCCGTGGGTCCACCCAGCCCAACTCCACCGCTGGTGTTATTAGCGACTTGGATTCCGTACCCTGGACCCGTCATGCTCGGGCCTGTCGTACCCAACCCGTACTGCCTCGGCGACCCGGGCATCACGCCCTGGCCCATCGCAGACGCCACACCCACACCCATGCCAACGCCCATGCCGTACACTCCTACGCCCGGAGACGCTGCCCCAGGCATCATGCCCATACCCGGCGCCTTCATCATCCCGCCCCCCAGCATCCCGTCTCGGGGGCTGCTGCCAACGCCGCCAATTGCAACCGCAGCGCCACTCATGCCGTCCTGCATGCCGGTGTCTGATGCTGGGGATGCAGCCGACATGAAGCCGCTTGCAGCGAAACCCACTCCACCTGCGCCTCCGCCGGGGCCTTGCAGGGAGTAGGCGTCGACCGACGGCCGGCGCATACCGCTCCCCACACCCAAGCCTGCAGAAAGGCGAGCCAGGGGAGATCCAGATGCTGCGGGCGGGAGCAGACCAGCGAACATGCCGCTTGTTCGAGGAGACTCAACCGCACCCCGGGCAGATCCGAGTGCGGTAGCCGTTGTGGCAGGACGCTCCGTCCGGTTGCTAGCTGGACCCCTTGGGGATGCCCCGCTGTTGCTCACGGGTTGCGCTTGCGGCTGTGAGTGGGGTTGCTGTCCTTGTTGTTGCTGCTGCGGCAGCTCCTGCGCGTGCTGCGGGAACGTGAAGCCGTCCGGGAGGGTGACGTGGAGGCTGTCTCGAGGCGTTGTGCCTCCGGTGGACGCCGCGAGGTCAAACGTGGCGTCGGAGCCGACCGAGGATTGGGATTCATGACTGGTCAGCGGGGGCTGTTGCTGAGGGGGTGGTGGCAGGAGTTGGGGCTGGGACTGGGGCTGTGATGACGACGACCCATGGGACGCTGTGGAGCCCTGGAGCCCCGTTGAGGAGGGCGCTACAGAGACCCCGACACCGCCCAACTTCAGCGTTACCGCCGTGTAATGCAGTCCGTTGCCGGCCCTTGCGGCTGCAGCAGCAGCAGAGGCCCTTCTGGACGTCGACGTCGTCGTTGCCTTCGTCGGTTGCGCGGAAGAGGAGGAGGAGGAGGCGACGGCGGCAGAGGTGGTTGCAGCAACCGTCTTCGCCGGTCCCCCTCCTCCCGCTGCCGCTGTTGCGACGGCTGCCTGCAGCCATTTGCTCATGTCGGCATGCAGGATGCGCAGCTGGGAGGCGATGGAGTGCTGGGGGCCGTGGCGTCGTTCCACGCCTCGCCGGTAGGTGTCCAGCTGGCCCAGCAGCTCCGCCATGCGTACAGCGCGGGAGCCGTCGGGGTCACCTGCAGCAGCGGCGGTGGAGGAAGGCGGGGAAGAAAGGAAGCAAGTCAGGAGAGGGACGGACGCGCGCGCGGTTAAGGCGGTGGTGTGGGTAAAGGCCGTTGCAAAACCGCGATACAAAAACTACGACTTGGAAAGGAGAAAGGCATGGTTATGTCAACAGCACTCACCCATCGACATGGCTGTCCGAACCGCTCGCAGCTCTGTCAAGACCGGCTCAATGCTGCGCGCGTCTCGGCTCTTTGGGCGGGTGGGCGTTGCCGTGCCGCTGCTGGGTGTGGTGGTACCGCTGCTGGACGATGTTGGCTCGGCAGCAGCAGCAGCAGCAGCCGCTGCCGTCGCCGCCGCCACCGCAGCCTTCAGCGTTGTTGGGGAGGACGACGTCCGCAAGCCCCTTTCGGGCTCTGAAGCTGGAGCATCAGCAGCAGCACCACCATCAGCAACAGCAGCAACAGATGCAGGGGCAGTCTTAACGGCTGCTGCTGCTGCTCCTGCTGGCGCGGGCACCGCAGGCGGCGGGACCGTGGTTTCCAGGGCCGCCGTACTTGGCTGGGATGGCTGTGGGGATGTATTTGGCGGCTCACCTTCAGCGGCAGAAATCTCCGGCGTCGCTGGCAGCACCGCCGCTTCCACCGTCGGCAAGGCCTTGGGCAGGGTCGTTAGGTTATGGGAAGCCTCGACAGGCGCCATACCCGTGCCACTCAAGCTGACCGTTGCAAGCACCTCTGAGCTGGTGTTGCTGCTGCCGTCATATGTGTTGTTGCATGCCTTGTGCCCAGAGGTAAGATGATCCGGAGCTGAGACTGACCGGACAGTCGCCTGAGCTGCATCTTGCTGTTGCTGCTGCTGCAGAGGAGCAGCGGTAGAAGCAGAAGCAGACGCAGGAGCAGCCAGCTCGGACTCCCCGTCCAGGTTGGCACCGGTGTTTGCAGCGGCATGCTGTGGCACAGGGGCGACGTTCGCAGACGACGCCGTTTGTAAGGGTTCTGGAGGAGCCTGGGAAGCTGGTGGTGGTGGTGGCAGCGGAGGCGGCGGCGAGGCAGAGGCAGACATCATCGCTGGCGGCGGCGGTGGCGGCATGTCGTCGCTGGGAGTCGTCGTCCCAGGCGACCGCCCGGGACCGGGCGCGGGCATGGCTGCTGCGCTTGCGGGCGGTGCTGCGAACGCAGTATCCTGGGGCACTGAAGCCGATGCTGCTTCCACTGCCAGATCGGTCTCGGGTGCTTCCTGGGCTCCAAGCTCCGAAGCGCCTTCCGGACTGGCCTCCACCTCCGCCGCTGGGAGCTGTAGCGACAACTGTGACGGTAGACCTACCACATCGGTGACCGTTGCTTCCGCTGCTGGTGGCGATGCCGCCGGCACTGCCAGGCTGCCATCGTCATCGGCAGCGGCGCTAGGCGGAGCGCCATACGCTGTGACACTGGCAGCAGCAATGAGCCCCTCCTGCGACATCTCCGTTTCTTCTACGGTCGCTGCTGCATCATTGTCGATGGGTTCCTCCTGCCTAACATCGTCAACGGCTTCGGCAGGCGCAGCTCCCTCCGATGAAACTCGCGCTTTCCCGTACAGGTCCATGGTAGCGGTGGTTGCAGTGTGCAGACACCCCTCACACCCCTCGCCAGCAACGTCCTCAGCCACCACGTCTTGAGGCACGGCTTGCGGCTCCAAGGCTAACTCGGATTCCGAGACTGCGGCTGGTTCGGCAGGCGGCCAGGCGGCGTCCTCCTCTCCAAAGGACAGCCGCACCTCCTCAGTCTCCCGCGGCAACTGCGGTGGTATCACCGCCTCGTCATCACCAGCAGGGTGCTGGTGGTGCTCCCCAGTGTCGCCCTCAATCTCAGCGTGGTTGACTGCCGTCAGTGGCTCCAAAGCTACCGCCCCACCTTCCGTCGCCAGGGACGTTACTTTGCCCACAGCAGCAAGTTGAGCCTCCGCCAAGCCGCCGGCCTCCTCCTCTACCTCCACCGCTTCCTGCGCTTCAGCCGTTGCACTCCTCGCCGCTGCAGCGACGACATCCTCCTCCGCCTCCGTCGCCGCCTCTGTTACCATGTCTGCCTGTAGCGCCGCCTCCGTTACCTCTTCCACATCCGCCGGAACCGCCTCCGCAGCTATCGCGGCCTCCAGCTGCATCACGAACCGCATCGAGTCGCTACGCAGCTGCTCAACAGCGCCCAGCTCGGATGCTCCCGCAGCCCTGCTGCTGCCCGATGCACCCGACCTGCCAGACGATAACGTCCTTGCAGAAGCCAGTGCTGTGGACGGCCGTTCCCGCGGCGACGCCTTGGGCGCGTACGAAGAAGCGGGGGACAGCGCTTGCAGCTTGGGTGGCCGGGCGGATGCGGGGGAGCCCGGCGGCGAGTGGAACGCCGCGCTGGCTGGCTTTGACAGGACGATACCCGTGTAGGCATGGTAGCGATGGGGTGAGGCGGAGGAGGAGGGCGTGTAGGTGGCGGGGTGGTGGTGGTGGTGCTGGTTGGAGCGAGGCACGGAGCTGCCGCCACCGCTGGATCGAGGGGAGGATGCACTGGGCGGGGAGCGGAAGGTACGGCCCAGCGCGACGGAGTCGGCGGAGGCCCTCAGCACAGAGCCCACCCCAGGCCGCGGACTTTGCCCGCGTGGCGAGGAGGAGGCTGGAGATGCCGACATGCGGTGATGTGGCAGGCCGCCGCTGGTGGAGACCGAGCGAGAAGCAGCGGCGGTGCCGATGTTGACCGCGCTGCCGCTGTCGGTGCAGCTGGGGCTGATGGCGTGTCCCACGTGTTCCTCCAGCATGGGCTGCATGACGGCGGGTGCTGGAGCTGCGATGGCGGAGTCGGAATCCACGGCGGCTCCGGAAGGCGCAGCGGTCTGCTCGCGAAGGTGCTCGGGCCAGGAATGCACGGCGGCGGACCCCTCGGCGTCTTGGTCTCGGCTCAGCGCATGGCGCTCAGCAGCGGCGGTGTCCGGAAGGGAATGTCCCGCCCACTCCGCAACAATAGGAGCCGCCGCTGCCGCAGCAGCAGCAGCAGCAATGTAAACCGAGGCGCCGCCGCCGTGACTGGAAGGACCTGCGGCTGCATCCGTAACAAGAGGGGGCACTGCATCCACTGGTTGCTGCTGCAGCGACTGCAACTCCTGCGGCTCTTCACAGCTCCCATACGGCGCAGAAGCACCATCGTTGCTGTTGTCAACGTCATAGACAGACGCAGCAGCAGCACTCTCGTCGCCACCGGTGCCCTCGCCGTCATGAACCGCCGCCGCGCCCGTCTGTGGGCCGTCGCTGGCGGCCCCATGCAAGCTCCACCTATCGGACAGCGGATGACCGTACGGCAGCGCATACGGCCCGCTGCCACCGCCTCCGCTGCTGCTCCGTGCCGCTTTCGAAGGGCTGAAGCCGCCGGTAGTGACGCTGCTTTGGGAGCTGCATGCACCGGGGGAGCGCGGAGATGCCAGGGCAGCAGCGACTGCTGCATGCGTGGAGGGACGAGCCGACCCGCTGGCAGCCCTGACTGCAGCGATGGCTGCGGCAGCAGCGGAGTAGTGGAAGTACGGCAGGTGCTGCTGCGGAGGTTGCGGGTGTTGTTGATGCGTGGGGAGGAGGGCGGCCTGTGGGGGGGCGGGTTTGGACGGGAGAGGAAAAAGCAAAGAGAGGGAGACGTTCTGGTGTTAAGTAGGCGGTTGCAAGAAGTGCAGGATGGAAAAGAACGTTAAGAACGTCACATGAGACGCATTGAAAGCTTGCAGGAGGCGGAGCTGCGCCGTCTACCGCAGCTGCTTACTACTCTGGCAAGGCGTGTGCCGTGCCGGGTGTGCTGCTCTTACCTGTTCAGGATCAATAGCCGGCAGTTCTCCCTCGCTTGCCGTACGTGCAGCCTGACGCATCCGCTCCTCCAGCGTGTGCTCTCTGTCCCACGCAGCCCTGCGCAGTCCCTCCGCCACTGGTGCCTCCATGATAATCGATGTCGGCGGCATTGCGGCTGCAGCCATAACCGTTGTTGCAGGGGGGACAAGGGAAGTGGCTGGTGCTGCTGCTGGTGCTGCTGCTGCAGCAACAGGAGTCGGAGCAGGTGCGGGCTGTACGTCTGTCGCTGCTACTGCAGCTGCTGCTGCCTGCCGCTTGGCCTGCAGCGCCTCCTCTACCAGCCGAAGTACGGCTGCCTTGACTACTTGGGAGCGGACCTGTGGGCGAGGGAGGCAGGGATGTACGGCAGCAACGGACATCAGCGGGAGATACAGCAGCCGGTTCGAGGAGGACGGTCAGCAGGGCTTCAGGGTGACTTGCATGTGCAGTCTGACTACACCGCATCAATTTTCATGGCTTGGGTCCAACGGACCAATGCGCGGCTTGGTGAGGACGTGAGGAGTACGACACTAGCCAGGCCGCCCATGAGCACTCCACGGTATCCGCTACATCTACACGGTACGGCTCGACTCGTGTACTAATCACCTGTCCTGATTGCTGTTGAAGCGCCTGCACTCGCCCGTCGATATACCCGCTTGCGTAGCCACGGATCACCTCCAGACTTGCAACGTCCATGTGGCTTAGCTGCTCCGTCAGAGCAGCGGCATCCAACACTCCAGCGACAGGCGACCCATGGGTCAGCGCTCCTGCAAAGACGGTAGGAAAAAGCATCACCCAAAAATCGGAAAGGAGTCAGCAGTTGGGTCAGTATCCCGCCACAAGCCAGCCCATGGAGCCCAGCAATCCGTTCAAACCTCCCCCAAGCAAGCAACCCACAAGGGGACACAAGGGGCTCACATCCCATTCCCACCTGCGTGCCCATCCAACCCGTCCTGCTGCGGCTCGTCTGGTTGCCCCCCCGACGACGTCATCGCTCCTCCTGACACTGAGCTGCTGCTGGACCTAGCGCTGCTGATGGCAGTAGCCACGACCGCCACCCCGGCAGCAGACAGCGCCGCCTCTGAAAGCCCGACAGGGCCTGCGGAGCTGCCGCTACCGCCGGCTCCACCTCCAACGCCCGCATGGGCCCCACCATGGGACGTGGGCGCTGCATGGACTAGGCTGGGGTGAAGGTGCTGCTGAAGGCCCCAAAGGTTCCCTCCGTTGGAGTGGACGTGCGTGCGTTGGTGGGCGTGTAAGGCGCTGGGCAGCTGGAGTGAGAAAGGGTGGTGCGGAGCAGCAGGCGAGGCGAATGCGAGGGGATGAGGAGCCGCAGCGGCAGCGGGAGGAGGCGGCCGCTGCGGATAGTTCGCTGGCATGCTGGGAGCTTCGGCCCCCAGCCTTCGACCCCGCGCCTGAGCCTGCGCATCAGCCATGGCCTCATAGAACTCAAACTCCTCGTTCTGCTGCCGCTCAAAAGTGCCGGGCGATACGGGCTCTGATGCCAGCACCCCGCGTACTCCGGCACCGTGCACCGCCGCCTGAATGCCACCACCCATGGACGAGGGCAGCGGCGACGCGCCTACCTCTTCCGCTGCCGCCGCCACCGCGGCGGATGATGGTGCCAACGGTGGCGGCGGCGGTGCTGCCCAAGCGTACGGCATGGCCCCCTCCTCCAGCGCCGCTGCCATGTCATTGTACGACACCGCCGCCGGCCGCTGCTCCTCAAACGCGTCAGGAGAACGCAGCTGTGGCTGCGGCTGCATGTCCACCCTGGGCGTGGCTGCTGGCGACGCCGGTCGTGCGGGGCGAGGCGGCTCGCCTACAGGGCCCTCAGCAGCTGCCCTCTCCAGGTCGCCCGAGAACCGCTGTTGCCTGCCGCGGAAAGGCCGCCCGCCAGCAAACGCTGCCGCATCGTCCAGCGGCTGTGGGAAGCCTGGTGGCCCTGCTACTGATGCTGAAACCGCATGCGGCACGGTGCGGGCAACGTCCCCAACGTCACCGGTAGGCGGGGCCTCGGTAGGGGGCCTAGCAGACATGCTCACAGCGCCGCCGAAGGACCCGGCGGCGTATTCCCGATAGGCCTTTGGACTGATGAAGAGGTCAGGGCTGGGCGGATCCACAGGCGAGGAGGACACGTGCTCCTGCGGCCAGTGGTCAGCTGGGAGCAGTGGACCAGCGGGCCTCCTGCGCTCCACACTGCGTGCAGCTGCTGCGGCCCCAGGCCCTTGTCGCTGCTGCGCCTGCCCATGCGACTGTCCCCCTGCAGCAGCAGAGGACGAGGCCGCGACATGCGACTGCAGTTGTAGCATGTGGCGATATGCACCATGCGGCGAGGGCGACCTGGAGCGGACAGCTGCTTCCATCGGCTCCATGAAACCATGCATGTCAGCCACCGCAGCTGGCATGCTACCACTGCCGCGTTGCGGGGCGTCCTGCTGCTGCGGCTGCTGTGCTCGGCGCTCCCCAGCACTGTTCCGGAGAATGCCGCGTCGAGGCAACACGGGTTCACCCGTGGTTGCGCCGCGTTGGGCGGCTGCAGCCACGTGGGCCGCGTCCACTGCTCCCGGGCGCGCAGCTTCCTCCCAAGGACTCGCCAACCAGGACTCGGCTACGCCTGGCCTCTGCTGCTGCTGCCGCTGCGGCGGCGGCTGCTCAAGCGGCCGAGACCTAGCCGACGCCCAGCGCTGCGGCTGCTGCTGGCTGGAGCCTCGCGCTGAGAGCGGGCCCTGCTGGTCCTGCTGGTGCGGGCGCTGCGGCCGCTGCTGCTGCTGCACGGCCGGCGCCGAGCTGCGCTGCTCCAGAGACGCCCAAGCCATGCGGGCGGCCTGCGGCCCCGGCTGTGCAGCAACCGACTGCAGCAGCCTAGCACGGTGCGGCGACACGCCTCGGTGGAGCGCTTCAAAGATCTCCTCCCGAGAAGCCGGGGACACCTGCCGCGGCGGGCTGCCTTGGCGCTGGATGTGGCGTACGGCGTAGCCGGGAGACGTCATACCACTGCCCGAGCGGGCGCCTCGTGCGGAGGCAGGGCCAGGGGAGGGATCACGGCTGCGGTCACGACAGCTGGTCGCCACAGATGCCCGGCCGGGGCTGACGCGCATGGACATGGCTCGGCGAAGCGCGGTGGTGGATTCGGGTGGCTGCCGTACGCTAGTTGCGGCGGCGGCAGCGTAGGCTTGTTGTTGTGCTGGGCGGTAGCCTGGAGACCAAGGTGCGGTGTCTGGCATGGGCATGGAGGCTCGCACCACGCCGGGAGCTGGCTGGGAGGGGTTGCGCTGGTGGTGGGGCAGGGCCTGGGGCCGAGGGGCGGCCCCGGGGTGTTGGTGCTGCGGCATGCCCGCAGTTCCAGAGGGCAAGGCAGCAGCGGCTCGGGATGAGGAGGCCGGCGTTAGGTTGGCGGGCATAGACGCACGCGTGGGCACGGCGGCGTGCTGGGCGCGGGTGGCACTCCGCTGGGCGTTATGCGGCTGGCTAATGGCGAGGCTCCCAGGCATGACCACGGTGGGTGAGAAGCTGCGCTGCTGCGGTGCAAGAGGAGGAGGAGGAGCTGCAGGTCGGGGCTGTGTCGAGAACAGAGGCGCCTGAGGGCAGCTGCTGCTTGCAGGGGGCTCATGTGGCCGCTCGCGTGCTCGCAGATGAGGCGCTGCCGAAGGCTTCGGCGGGTCAAGCACTTGGGGCCGGAAGGTTACCCTGGGCCCAGGGGATGCTTGCGCTAGGCGACGTAAGAGTTCCTCTTCAACCGCTGTCGCGTCGTCCGCCATGGCCTCCGCTACCATTGAGCTCATAATATCCCCGGGCAAAGGGACAGCGGCTTCGGCCCAACGCTCCGCCGCTGCATGGACCAGCATCTGTGCGTGATTTGACATGGCTACGCCCGCCCTGCGCAGCTCGTCTAGTGGTGCCTGTGATGATGCCCCGAGACTCTGAGACGACAGCGTCTGTTGTGCAGCTTCCATGGCACGCTCCGCATTTAAAAACTCGTGGTAAAGCGTTCGCCATTCTCCTAGTACCCCGTGGCCGTCAGGCGATGACATGACTGGGGGGAGCACCCGGAAAAGTTGACCTTGCCAGTCGCCTGCCCGTATGGTCTACCGGGGATGGATTGATAAGCAGATATGCTTGAAAACCTGACAACAAATATAATAGCTCACTAGCTCGTTACCAAGTCGCCGTGAAACATTCATGCTGAGCATAACCCAAAAAAGATCCACAAAGAAAGAAGCAAAGATCTACTAGCTAAGAGCGGACTGTGATCGGTCCAGTCATGCAAATTGTATGCTCCGGGTTGACGAGTAAGTTCACAGTTCCAACCAAGGCCGTACTACAGTTCCCTATACACGCCGACTAGCTAGAAATCAAAGCCATGACGGCATGGATTGACTATAAGTGAGTATATTCTTACCTCTCTTGCGCGCATTCGGTAAAAAGCCAGATGGCATCGCCGCCTGCTCTGAGTCCAGAGCAGGAATTGCACCTTCAAACAGCCTTCCTACTATCATCTGCGGTTGATGCATTCAACCCAGTTTCTGCACTTGTCGAGAAGGTGCGGATATCGCCGGTAGCCTTGTGGAGCACAGCCTCCTATCTGCAACTAACGTTTTACCCTCTGGCCCAGATCGAGCTGCATAACTTTGCCGAGTATGCAATATATGAATCAGGTCCTGTTCGGGCGCTTTTGGCGCTTTCAAGCAACGCCATTAAGTTCGGGCCCAAAACTAAGACTCAAATGCAGGTCAGGGAACTGCACGGCAAGGGTTAAGGGATTTGTTCGGGAACTGTAGACGTGGTGAGGGGCGACGGGTACGAACAAGATGTCACCTTGTTGTTGCTGGTCGTGCCGACAGATGTCTCGGCGCTGCATGCATGCTGCGCAAGGGGCACAGGAGACGCTCAGAGCCAGTCCATAGGTCATGGGTCTCAACTTATCTGATTATACTGCGATTATCTGTGTTCGCAGTATAATCAGATAAGATACGCTGTGCCTTATGCGTGCTCTTAGAAAGGTGTCATCCGTTGCAACGAATGCGATACACAGAACCGTGGACGACTTTCCACCAACGTACGTGCACTTATGTCATGAACCCATGGAGCCTCGACGGTCGCCATGGTGGCACGGGTCTTGGGCCAAATGCCTTTCCCTTACGCATTCAGACTCACTTCGGGCTCAAAGCCTGACTAGGAAACGCCGCTCTCCTGACCCACTTTCACGATAATCCCCCCTTTACCGCTGCTGTTTCCACCATGTGCAGGTCCAGCCAACCGTTTTCATCGCGTTCTCCAACAGCCTTCGCCACCCTGCGCACACCGCACCCAACCAGTCCTCCATGGCCAACTTCCTAGCTGCGCAGCGGCAGTGCGGCTTCCCGGGAGCTGCAGGTGCGGACACACTATGGGGAGTGTGAGGGACACACAACAGAGCACACGTCCCTGCATCAGCGTGCTGCTGCTGCTGCTGGCCTTGCGATCCGTTTGCACGCGTAGACTTGTCTGCAAGAGCCTGCCTGGATGTTGCTGTGTACAGATGGCGGCCCTACCTATCTTACCCACTTAACCGTTACTGATCCATCTTGTGTTCATTCCCCGCAGCTTGCAATGTGCATGGCCACGCGCTAGCTGCCCTCGAGTCGCTGCCGCTGGGGTCCGTTTTCAGCCTACTGGGCCAGGTACGGCAGCCGGGTTGATGAGGAACAGGCTAAGGAGGAAGAGGTTAAAGAGGAACAGGCTAAGCAGGAACAGGAAAACAGTTTGCCCAGGAGGGGGAGGTGGGAATTGTGAGGCCCGAAGTAATCCAGCGGTGGTGCAGGCCGGTCAGGCCAGGTCAGCAGCTCAGCACCCATCAGACACCACAGCTCTGCTCCTCACCAACCCCTCAACCCTCCAACCCTCCCAGGGCTACAAGCTGGTGGCCACGGGCTACAAGTTCGGCGGTGTGGTGGCACACCTGTTCGCCACACGTGTGCTGCTGCAGCTGCACCAGGAGGTCCAGATGGCGCGGCAGATGGGCATCAACCTGACCATGAACCTGGCGGATAACAAGGTGAGGGTGTAGAGGGGAAGAGGGGATGGGTGTTCCGCACCGGGCAAGAGGCTGCCACGGGAAGGGTGCCATGGAAAGGAAGGGAGGAAAGAAGGGCATTGCTGGGGGGCCGGAGTTTGCGCGCTGCAGGGCCGCGGCTGTTGAACTCCTCATTCAGTTCCTTTTACTCACTCCAATCCCGACTCCTCCTTCTCCGGACGTTTGCTCGCTTCCTGCACATAGGTTTCCAGCTACGCCTTTGGCAGCCCCTTCTTCGCCACAGCCTCCATGGGTCGCTGCCTGGCCGCCCTAGACCTGCTCCAACAGCAGCAGCAACCCTCCCAGCGCCCCTCACCGCCCATACAGCACAACCTGCACACCATCTGGCGCGCCGGAGACGCAAGCGCCGCGTTCTTCACCGCTGCCAGCGAGCTCGTCACCGTTGCGTCGGCAGCCCGAGATGCAGCGTACGACGTTACAACTGGCGACGTTGACGCCGCGGGTGGAGGACTGGAGGGCGACCTGGCCTCGCAGGCGTCCATAGCACGTACCCCTCAGGTTGCAGCTGTGCAGGAGTGGTGCCGTTTCGTGGCGGATAATGTGGACGGGCTATCTAGGTGCCGTAGCAGCGGCCCCAGCCGTCTGCTAGCACGGCCGCTCGACACGCAAACGCTGGGGCGGATCTGCGCGCCGGGAGGGTTGTTCGGGTCGGCAGCGGCAGCGGCCGCCGCCGCGGCAGCGGCGGCAGCAGCCGTTGCTGCCGCAGGAACGGACGTCGGCGGCGGCGAAGCCGCCGCCGCCGCTGCCTCCGACAAGCTCCAGCAGCTGCGTGTATCCGACGGCGACGGCATGTCAGGCAGCAGCGGCAGCAGTCCGAGCTCGCCGACGCCCGGGAAGCAGCCCTCCACGGCGTCTCGCCCGCGTGCCAACTCGACCTCTGCAGGCTCTTCGGTTCGCCTCACGCGGCGACGTAGCGTGGAGACGATGGACTCGGCAGCAGCATCTGCGGGGGGTGCGGCTTCGGGCGGGGGTGCAAGCTCGGGTGGGGGTGCGGCGTCGGGTCCTGTGCGACCCATATCGCCAGTACGGTCGCCCACGCTTCGAACCAGACGTACCATGATGGTGACGCCGGAACCGAAGCCGCCGGGCAGGGTAGTGGCGCCGGCGCGGCAGCAATCCATGAAGTCCCCTGGTTGGCGAGATGGTCTGCTGCGCTTGTTGCAGGTAGGGAGTCTGAGGATGACTGCTGGTTAAGCTTTGGGTCCGGTCGGGGATGAAGAACGGGCAGGAATGTCATCATGGCGTGACGCCCTATCGCGCCCCGCTCAGCCCGCTTAGACCTTACCCCCGCCCTTCCTCACCTTCATTTCCTCCTCCACTTTCACCTTCATTTCCTCCTCCACTCTCCCCTCTGCAGGTCATGGGCGACGGACTGGGCGAGCGTTACGCCCCACTGGGCCAGTTCTGGATCCTGGGCAGCCTGCCCACCGACAAGGACCGCCCGGGCTGCGGCGCCTCGGGCGCTACCGCCTCCTCCTCATCTGCTGCTGGCAGCGGCAGCAACGGCAGCGGCACCTCCAGCCGCCACCCTAGCACGGGCTCCGGTTCCGGCAGCTGCTCGGCGCCCGGGCAGCTGAGCGGCGGAGCCGGGCCGTTGCAGCCTGCGGAGGGTCCGCGTGCCGTACAAAGCAGTGCGTCTTGGTTGTCACCAGGCAACCATGCGGCGTTGTTCACGCGGTGGGAGTCGGAGATTGAGGAGATGCAGAAGGACCTGATGGATGCGTTTGCGTGGACGTCCTTCCAGCAGACGATTGAGGTGCGGGGCGGGGCGGTGCCTCGGAAGGAGCTGCTGCGCACGTCTGCGGCGCTGAACCTTGCGGCTACGTGAACGGCTGCATGAAGGCTGTCATCTGCGATGAGGGTAAAGCGGCTTAGGGCGCGATTAGGGAGTAGTGATTACAGTGACGGCGATGAGGGTGGCATGATCACAGTGTAGGTGGTGAGGGGTCGTGGTGCAAGGAAAGTGGTATGGGCATGGCGTGAAAGAGGTAGGTGAGGGGGCGAGTGTGGGTATCTTAAGACACTTGGTGTGAGGTAGTTGAGGAGCGCGCAATGATGGATGTCCGTTGGGAGCGTATCGAGCGTGTCCGCCGGCCGGTGTCTGGCGGTTTGGTTCAGCCTGTTAGCCTATCCTGTGCTGCCCTGTTAGGCTGTGTGTATAGGCAGTTTGGCGGCTAGGAGGTGGTTAGCTGGAACTTTCATCGTTGGATTGGGTTGCAGCGGTGGCGTGGAAGCGCCCAGTATGGGCAGAACAACACTACAGCTCATTTTGCATGATCAGCAGCGGTGAGCTAGCAGGGCAGGGAGGTCCTTGCTCGAGGAATGCCTGCATTGCGTCAGATGGTAAGGCTGCGTGATAGCCGTTACAGGGTTACAGGAGATGTCGTGTAAGGCCCACTTGGGGCACAGTGAACGGGATGCGAGTGACGAGTCAACGTGGTTGCGTGCGCTAGCGTGCTCGGATGCCAGGTGCCATGCCTGCTTGCGTGAGCAATGCGGCATCCCATAGTTTACAGGTAGCTTGGAAAGTATAGATGCTTACCGGTGTTGGGCATCTTTCAGCTTTTCCGTAGGGTATTAGTAGGGTATGGCGCGGTTTGCGTTGTAGGGGCCGGGGCTTGACGGCGTTAGTGGTGCTTACTGCAGCCAGCTGCAGCGCACGAATCCCGAGAGCCTCGTAGGCGTCTTAACGTTTAGACCCCTGCTGTGGCTGAACGTTAGCGCTTTCGCACAATCAACAGCGAAGCAGGTACTGTCCTTTACGTGCGCGCGGAGGCAGGCATGCACCTGCGGTTCTGACGGCGGTCGTGATCAAAACCGATAACGGAGTTTTTACCCCGTCTTCCGGTTGTGTACTGAACGGCGCCTGGCATGGTGTTTTTGTCATTGCCCTACGTAGGTTTGGGGCCATGATGACCCTGGCGCGCGTATGCCAAATAAAGCAGAACTGTTATTCTTTTAGGGAGCTAGCTAATGTCGTGGTGTGCTGCCAAGAGGACAGATCAGGACGATGACAACGTGACATGCGTGCTCTGCCCCCTTGAGCATATCAAGCGGGAGGGGGGCTGAAGAGCATGCGTTGAAGGGCGCTGGCAGAGGCCATTGTGGGTGGCAGCCGCTGTTGTCTCATCATCATCACAGCAAACCGGGACACACGCCGCACACACACTTGCCGTACGAAGTGAACGGGCTGTGTGCCGTACTTCGCCTGCCTACGGCTGGGTGGCGCTACACACACGAATTCCTCGGGGGTTACGTTGGCTTGTTGGCTGCGATATGGATGGGTGGAATCTGCTTGCCGTTGGGTCACGCTTGGTATCGTCTGATAGGAGTAGCAGAGTAGGGTTTGGGGGCAGCGTGCGTGTGTCGATATACGGGCATGATGGGTTAATGCATGCACATATGGTGGCGTGTAGTCGAGTGATTAAAATCCTTTTCAAGTTTCCGTCTTACTCCCGTGACGCAGTTCTATTTGCGGTGCACCCTGGTGCCCCTGCAACGTCCTGATACTTGCATGCATCGTTTTTCAGAGCACAAAGAGACATAACTATTTACATATCGCTGATACCGGTGTCTGGGGCTTTGATTAATAACAGTGCTAGCTCTTTGCTACTGCTCTACCACGGCAGACCCGTTTATCATCTAGCAAGGAATGTTTGAGGTAGTAACCCCTAGTAAGGTTAGAGCTGGTCTGCGCCCGAAGCGGTCAGTCTCACTGTGACTAATGGCTACTTCCTTGCTTAGGGCCCATTTCAACCCCCAGGACGCTCATGTGTTTTTTCGTTTCTTCAAACCGTGTTGCGCGTGTGCAATCACATTTGCTCGCATAAGCCGTAGCTTTTGGCGGCTCACAACATACATGATGCTCACATGCGCTTCTTGTTTCACGAATCGCACTCCTCAACCACTCACAACGACCCTTACAACCGCACTTCGCGGTTCCGGCGTCGGCTTGACGTCACCCAACCCTTGCTGCAACCCATATTTGTCTCCTGCCTAGGGTAGGTCGTCTGCGCTGTAACATTGTACACGACTTATTACCCCTCATGGTCGGTTTGGCACAAGTGCGCGCCCATCACCACCACTACCACCGCAGTGACTCCATAGCCGCATGCAGTTGCCCCAACAGGACTTTGCGCACGCCGATCTCACCCTACGCACCCTTGTCAACACAGCCGCATGGAAAGAAGTAAGGAACGAGCTTCTCCAGCTCGATTTCAGCTTTCGGAAGTCGGGGTCCCAAACACGTCGTCACCTAGGTTTGTTGCTACTATGTATCCCTGCCTGCACGCAGCCCCTGTGCCCATGACGCAAACATGTACACCACCTCGTTGCCGCATCAGCCTGACACTTGTCTCCCTCACACCTTTCACGTACTAGAGAGCATATCGTCAGAGAGACCGCACCGCGCCCATAAGCACCGCCATGCAATTGCAAGGGCAGGGGGCGCGGACCCGCTGCGCGAGGAAAACCGCCGTTATGGCCGCTTCGCTACATCATGGTTTGTCATGCGCCATACCGGTACTCACGGCAACGTCCCTAACCAGGACGTAACAAGAACGCCGAGACTATTATGGTGCAGGCAGTTGACTGCCCAGTTAAACACTATACCGTCCAGCAGGGACAACCAGCATCCCCTACGAATGAGGGGGGGCCAGACAAGCCCAATGCTTGCTCCTATATGCTGCTGATGTCCCTGCCGCATGCCATGCGGCAGGGACATCACCCCTTCCACCACAGCAAGAACTCCCCGAAAGAGATCCGCCCGGTCTGCGAGGTGTCCAGCTGCGCTATCGCCTGTGACAGCTGGCTGGGGTTCAGAGGCACCCCCAAGTCTCGTAGCAAGCCTGTGGGAAATCGGGGCAAGCACAAACAACAGTTAGCAAGCATGGGAAGGGTATAACAACACGAGCAGGTAGCTGGGGTCCCAAATTAACGACATGCCTCCCGGCCCCAATCGTAGAGTGTTCGCATTGTAGCCATTAAGGCCCCTTGAACACAATAACCCATTTACCCCAACTTGGTGGTGTGCGGAATACAACCCATATGTGCAATGAAGAGATTTCGCTGCCCCCTCCTTTCTGTTAATGCCACACACTTCTTAAGATCTTAACATGCCATGCTAGCAGCCGTCCAGGTGCACAGGTCCACGTGCAACCCTTGCCCACTCCTGCTAAACAGAAATTCCATATGGGGCATTCGGGGCCTACTAAACCACTACATGAACCACCATATTCCTTATCTCTTCATTCTGTGCAGCAGCCTTTTACTGTTCGTTGCCTGACCGTAGCGGGCAACCTCACGCGGGCATGCCGCTAAGCGCCACTCGATCACCCCATACCAGCAGCGCGTCCCTCTTAAATCCCTTCTCATTATCTCAGTACGACTTACCGTCCAGTGAAAGCGTCGGGATCTCGCCCACTCCCTCCGTGTCGTACATCGCAAATGCGCGCGCCACGTCTTCCTCCGAGGGTTCCTCCGGCGGCCCCTCCATCGCGCCCGATTGGCTCGGCTGCTGCGACAGATTGGAGGGCGAGGCCACCGCTGCTGCCGAGGCCACAGCCGTGACCTTGGGGCTGCTCGGCTTGGAAGCCGCAGCCAGGCCCTTGCTGGTGCTGCAGGAGGGAAGGGAGAGGGCAAGGCAGGGCAAAATGGATGTTGCGGGCATCCGTGGCGTCTGGCGTGGAATGCGAGGGTGTGTTTCGTTACAGGCGGGTGTGCCAAGGATCGATTCGTTGCTATCAACGCAAAACTGTCCCTTCTGCCCTTGTCCTAGCCTTATGTATCCGTATCCAACAGACCTAAACCGGACCACGTCCGAACCCGCCAGCCCAGAAGACCCCAGTGACGATGCCTCCCAGCCGCAACAGAAATCCCGTTCCCAGGAATGCCTTGACGACCGCGACGCACCTGACGTTGCCGAGTGACAGCACCGCCTCCAGCTGCTGGTACGCCTTGCGCTGCTCCACCTGCTTGGTTTTGAGCCGCTCGATGAGATCAAGCTCCAGTTGGGCCTACACGGCAACGCAACACCGGCCGAACCGAAAATCGTAAGGAGGTTCAGAAGGTGCGATTTGGGTCAGACATGGACGTGTTAGGCGACCTGGCGCCTTCCCACATGCAGTTACAGAGACGCCCTTTCGTGAAAGCTGGCAGCAGCAGCAGCACGGCAGCAGCACGCACCAGACGCTCAATCTCCTCCTCCTTCGCCAGTTTGGCGTCGATCTCCTCCCTAAGGCGCCGTTCGTACTCTTCCTGGGCCTGCAGGACAGTGAGTCGTAGGAAGTCAGGGCGGGGATGGAGTATCGTGCCGTACCAACGAGCGCATGGCAACCCAAGGAGCTTACCGCAGTGAGTTTCTGGAGTTTGAGCGTCTCAATCTTCCGCCGCGCATCCTCCTGCTGCTTACGAATTGTATCTTTCTGCTCCAGTGCCTCCTTGCGTGCGAGCAGCCTGCTCTCAGCGAGCAACCGCTCAATTTCTGCACGCTCCTCCTTTGTCTTCTGCACTACTTCAAGCTTCTCCTGGTATATCTTATGCTCCTGCTCTATTCGGTGCCGAAGCGCCTCCTCCTTCGCCTTTAGGTTGTCGAGCTTCTGCTCTTCGACCTGTTCCTGCAGCTCACGCTGCCGCTGCTCCTTCTCCAACAGCTTCTGTTCATTCCTCTCGCGTGCCTTGATAATTTCCTTGGCCTTCCTCTTTGTTTCAAGGATACGCTTCTGCGCCCTATCCTCCTCCTTCTGCAGCTGCCTAACGCGATTGTACAAGCGAAGGGCATCATCTTCAGCTGCTTTCCTTGCACGCTTCTCTGCCAAAATGGTCCTGGCCATGGCCGCGACAGCTTCGTCGCTGGCCATTTGGCCTGCAGTGCCCCTTACAACCCTAGACCACTAGTGAATTGCGTAGGCTCGCCAGCAGAGTGATCGATAGAGTCTTTAAGTGGGTATTAAACCGCTGTAAGAAATGAAAAATATCAAAAAGCCCTTATCTGTGCCAGTAAAAAGCGAGAAGTTAGTTTCTATGGGTTAACGAACGTTATGGAAGGCTGTGGCATGGGTAAAAGTTGCTTCGAAGTACGGCGCACGGCACCTCGGGCCCATTCGCCACATACTTGCCTTGGGAAACCGTAAGTGAAAACATATGCTCACTACCGGTACCTGGAAGCTCTTACTACTCTCTTACATTCCAACTTACCGCCGCCTCAGTTCCCGCCACGACACGTCTAGCATAATCGGCCATGGCCACAGGGGAGGTTCTTTGCCAAAGCAACTGGTGTCCTGACCATATGATTTGCCCAGATGTACATGCACACTGTGTTTTGGAAGCCGAAACAGAGAGTTGCTCAACTGGTGGTGCGAGCTCCGACGGCGCCGGGCCTCGCTCACCAGAACGGGAAGAGTCATCAGCACCATCAAGCCCAACATATTGTAGCGAGGTGCACACTACTGCCGTGACACCTCGCTACCCGCCTGGTGACAGCCTATCGTCTGGTTCTCGGCCAAGTACACCGCCAAGGACTCGCAAGGAAATTCTCGCGGAGTCCGGGCTACTACATTTAGGCATCGGGCAGGAACTCGCCGCGTTGCAATTGGAGCAGTGCTTAGGCATTAAGCGCCAAGCAGCGGAAAGTGCGCGCGGAAGTGAAAGCGCCAGCACCAAGCCTGGGGAGCAGCACCCTGCAGCTTCCTGCACGCTAGAGCCGATTGAGAATGGATTACTCGGCGGCCCGGACGGCCTATGTTGCAGACTGTTGCCTTCGCCGGCAAGTGGGGTCCTGGACGCGCAAACATCGGACGAGGGCGAACAGCTACAAGGACAAATACAGGCAACAGAAACGAAAGCTGAGGAGCGGGGGCTTTCACAACTAGCAAACGGCGCGCAGGGGCCCGCTGTCGGGTTGCAGAGCTTACCATCGCAGGGGGCAAAGTTTACCCCGCAAGAGTTACAGGAGGCGATTCTGGTGGAGAATCCGCAGCGATTTACGCTGTTTCCAATTCGGTAGGTTCACCCTGCTTTGGTACCTTTGCTTGGGACAGGGACATGAGCAGGCGCCACATGCTGAATGGCAGCCGTTTTCTTAGCATGTCCTGGTGTAGGCTTGCAAGTTGCGTTCATTTCTCCCGTGCACAGTCATTGCCAATTGCTGGTTTCGCTTGTTCCGGGGAAATTTCCCTCGCGTCCGCTAATGTCGCGGCCCTTCATGTCTCTAATTCGACAGCTATCCCGACCTCTGGGAGTTCCACAAGCGGGCTGTGGCATCCTTCTGGACCGTAGAGGAGGTGGATTTCACTGGAGACCTGCGCGACTGGGACCAGCTTAAGCGTAAGTAACGTTTGCAGTGCCATGGCCTGCGCTCAAGCTTGGAGTCAAGTCAATGATGCCCAGACTCGACATTAGAACCCTAGGACCTAAGCTTTATGCATCTCTGCACTGTTCCAATCGCGTAAGCGACGCGCTGCCGCCCCTTCCTCACATCCTTCCTTTCCATCCTCCCATCCTCATCCCTCCCTCCTGCCAGCCGAGGAGCAGCACTTCATCAAGTACGTGCTGGCCTTCTTCGCGGCCAGCGACGGCATCGTGATGGAGAACCTGGCTGCTCGCTTCATGACGGAGGTGCAGGTGCCCGAGGCGCGCGCCTTTTACGGCTTCCAGATTGCCATGGAGAATGTGCACAGCGAGATGTACAGCGTGCTGCTGGACCACTACGTGCGGGAGTCGGAGGTGGGTGGGTGGGCGGGTGGTTAAGGAACCTCCCTAGGTCATATCACGTGCGGTGGCCGGAGTTGCGACGAGGGAATAAGGCCATAAGTAACCTCGGCCATGTGTCCCCTCCACACACCCACACACTGTTCTCCCCTCCAGGAGCGCACCAAGCTGTTTGACGCCATCCACTCCATCCCCACGGTGGGCAAGAAGGCGGAGTGGGCCATGCGCTGGATCAGCTCCAGCAACTCGTTTGCGGAGCGCCTGGTGGCGTTTGCGTGCGTGGAGGGCATCCACTTCTCCGGAAGGTGAGGGGCAGGCGGGGGGTTGAGGGAGATGGGGGGAGGCGAGCGGTGCGCTAGAGGTGCGGGTGGGGGGTGAGGAAGGCTTGGAAAGGAAGCTGGGGACCAATCGCCATCGTCATCGTGTTACCCTCGTAACGACCCCCTACTGTCCTGCCCTGCCCTGCCCCGTGTCGCTGTCGTACACAGCTTCTGCGCCATCTTCTGGGTGAAGAAGCGCTGCCTGATGCCCGGGCTGTCCTTCTCCAACGTGCTCATCTCGCGCGACGAGGGGCTGCACTGCGACTTTGCGTGCTGCCTGTACAGCCACCTGAAGCACCGCCTCACCAGGGAGCGGGTGCTGCAGGTGGGGGGGTGCGGGGTGGGGGGGGGGGGCGGCAACCAGTTGTGATGGGGAATGTAGGAGAGGCTGTACACCCAAAGATATTACCGATATTGGCGGTCCGGAAGAGCTTCACTCGGGAGAGTGCTGGGTACTGGCCACGTGGCCAGTGCTGGGCAGCGGGACAAGATGCGGCTGGGCGTGTACATGCAATCACACTTGTCGTACTTGCCCCTCTTCTTTCCCCCGACCCAGATCGTGGACGAGGCGGTGCGGCTGGAGGCGGAGTTCATCACGGAGGCGCTGTCGTGCGAGCTGCTGGGCATGAACGCGACCATGATGTGCGAGTACATCAGGTGGGGGGGTGAAGCAGGTTGAAGCGGAAGCAACTAACCGTATGTACGTTGTGTGGGGGTACAGAAGCCGAAGGCAACGTCTCGTCTTTTTCTACCCGCCCAACCTTTTCCAACCGCCTCTCACTCTACACAACCAATGCTCACCTGCCGCATCCACCCCTCAGGTTTGTTGCCGACCGGCTGCTGCTGTCGCTGGGCTACGAGAAGCACTACCACGCTCGCAACCCCTTCGACTGGATGGAGATGATCAGCCTGCAGGGCAAGGCCAACTTCTTCGAGCGGCGCGTGGGCGAGTACCAGCGGGCGGGTGTCATGGGCAGCAGCGGCAGCGGGGCGGGCGGGGCAGCCGGGCCCGGGCAGGCCAGCCGCAACGCCTCGGAGTACGTGTTCCGAACGGATTGCGACTTTTGAGAGGGGCGGCGGCAGCATGGGTGGGGGTAGGGGTACCAGGCAGGGGTAGGGGGCGGGTCTTGAGAGCGGTGCATGGGTGTCAGGGGGGCAACGCGACTGAAGGGCGGCCGCTGCAGTAGCGGTGCCAGCAAAGCACGGTTGTGAGCCAGTCCCCGGCAGTTGGGGAACGGAAGAGAGGAAGAATGCGGAAGGGGATGGCTTCTTCCCGGAAAGGGGAGCAGAGCTCTGGGAGAATGGAGGGAAGATGGGAGGGGAGGGACTGCAGGACTGCAAACGTTGATGCGCTGATTCCGTGAGGTTGTCCGGAGGTGTGCGGAGCGTGTTGGTGCGGTATAGAAGTTCGGGCTGGTCGGGAGGATCATGTGTATTGCTGTTGTGCGCAGTGAGCGGCATTGCCCGGCGAGGTTTGCCCCTTGGAGTCGTTAATTTTTTCTTTGTTGTCGACAGCAGGAGGAAGAGGTTACACCTGGAGTGGCTTTGAAGATCGTCACAGTTGCTAGGAAGGAGAGCCAGTACAGCAGCAGCTAAGAGGCAGCAGCAGACGAGGCGGGTGTTGACACGCTGTTAGGCAGTGAGGCAGGCAGCTTGGTAGAGAGGGAGAGCGCCGGATGTGTCAAAACGCAACATAAGGACCGTTTCGGCTGAATGTCTTGTTGCAGGCGAGGACCTACCACTTTCCCATCAGTTGATGCCCGCGTTGGTGTTGTTGTCAACCCGGAACATGTGTTGGGCATTATGACACTCAGTTGCTTTTTTGTCCCGTTGCGTGTTGACAAATGACATGACAGCAGGATTAGGTTACAAACACTCCGGCCGGCAGTGGCCCTACTTTCGTGCATTAGCAGGTTGGGGATGACAGGACTCTTGCGTGTTAAGATTGTGGCGTGTCCTGATTAACACTATATGCGTGATACTTGGTCAAGACGTCATGGGTGGAGGTCCATGCTCACGGCAAATCGCGTCTAGGGCGTTGCTCTTGCTTGTTTTGCCGTTAAGCCCCGAGTTGTGTTTTGCTTCGTGTATTTCTCATAGATGGGTAGCGGCAAGTGAGCGCCTTGGGGTGGGTGGTGTTCTTTCTGTTTGGCGAAATGCCATGGCACGGCATGTGTCTTAAGGGCTGAACAAGCGATTCCCGCTATCGCCCAAGTGTGCCGTGAAGACTGTGTGAAAGGCATAGCGTCTGAGCGACATGTGTGTTATTTGAGTGGCACATGTGCGTATGTGTGTGTTTTGGAGGTCTAGTGTGTCGGTTGTGTTCATCTGGGGAATGCCGTACGGTCTTTCCTTCTTTCCAAGTATTATAACGAGTATTGTCTTTTGGCTTGCAGCCAGCAGGGTTGCGGTCGTTAGGCTTTTGAGGCGTACAAAGCCGGAGTTTGCAGGTCCGTTGTATTCTTGGGCTATAGGTGTACCGGCAAATTCCATACGCACGACTTATCATGTCGGCTGTACCGGTATTCATGCGAATGTTCCCTTCCTGCACATGGGTGTGCTGACGCCCGTATTTGTACGACGCTCTCCTCCTTTGTCGTGAGGGGAGGTCCATTCATCCCTTGTTCCTTGGGACTGCGCCGGCCTGTGTCGCCTGCTCTGACATTTGCGCGGCACGCAGACGTGCGTGTTGTAAGGGATTCAGTGGGCTTCATGAGGCTGGTGCATTGTCTGGTTTCTCCCGCCTTGCTTCCTGTCTAGGGCTGCAGTGTCCTCAGTAGGGATCTCCGCTGATTAACGGGTACCCATTGGAATCGCATGCAGCGGGGTAACATGACATGCAGTTATGGGGGGCGGTAGGCCGGTAGGCCAAACCTCAGATCAGCCAAGAAGCCTACCAGGATTCCTCCTTTGGCGATTGTTTCGCAGGCACCTTACCTCCTCGCAGTCCTAGTTAAGGTTATGCGTGTGTCCATTAGGGGCATCATGTGCCCCTTGCGCGTTTGCCTTGTGCTAGATTCACAGCACCTGGTTTCGGAGGCCCGCATGCCTCCATGGGTTGAAACCTATTTCGTCGCTACGAAGCGAAGTGAATTTGCACATGTTCCTGTAAACTCGGCAACCCGGGCTAAGTTGTCGCTTCGGGGCTAGAATCGATGCAACGGAAAATCCAGGGGCCTGAACAACATCCCCAGCAGGACAACCCTAAAAGGAAGGAAACACTGGCGACTAATTTGTGACTATAATAAAAACACGGATTTGATCATGTTGTTTAGTAGAACAGCGCTCTGCGTGATTTCTGTCTTCACCCTAGTCGCTCTGCAAGGCAGCAGCTCAGCAGGAGGTGAGAGCTTACGAAGCCGGGATCAAGCATGCAGTTTCACCTTCCATTTTATGTTAACCCACCAACGTACAAGGAGCCCATCGCGCTAACTCTCTGTCTCCCTTGCCACGTGTGGCCTCCTGCTGACGCAGCCGAGCATATCCGACCCAAAGCCACCTATGGTGATCCCCCAGACCCAGGCCTCGGCTCTCCCCTCTCAGGTACGCCCTACAGCCACACCAGTTCCTTGGGAAGGCAGACCTGCTATGGCCGGAACTCTTCATTGCTGTCGGTGCTGGCGATATCGCTATTTCCCGCTACCAACCGGCCTGCACGCACCCGTAATCCCCACCGCAACACCAGCCGCCACTTGCGCCCTAAGCCTTAATTCACGCTCCTCCCACGCACCAACACGCCCAACATCCCGCCATCCCTCACCCTCCCTAGCATGGTACCTATCGCTCAAGACCAGCAAAGGCTACTGCGGTCTGGTGCCCGCTGCTGCTGCAACCGGCGGCTACGGCTACGCTATCGCATGCAACAACAAGGCCCCCCAATACGACGCTCAGTTCTCGCTGATCCTGCCGCCAACAGCAGCAGCAGCAGCAGTGGAGCTGCCGCCAACAGCAGCAGCAGCAGCCGCGGCTGGTTCTGAAGCGGGTTCCAGCGGAAAGAGCAGCAGCGGGTCCCGGGTAGCCTCGCAGCTCATGTCTGGAGGGCGAGCTAGGCTGCTGCGGCGGCTGATGGGTCGTCTTGGCATGAGTCCGCACGTCAGCGGCGGCATGGGCGTTAATGGCGACAACGGAAATGACGACAGTGACAGCAGGCTCGACGGAGCATTGCAGAAGCCAAACTCAAAGGCTATGGCAGCTGCAAGTATGCCGGTAGCTACTGCATCCGTCGGAACAGCAGCGGCAGCAAGAATCGCAGCAGGAACAGCAGCAGCAGCAGCGGCAGCAGGAGAGGCCCAAGGGGATAACGCTGGCATGGGTACGGGTCCGCAGGCTTTCAGGGACCCGTCGGACCCCCTCATCATCTCCAGCGGTCGCCCGGTGCGGCTGCTGGTCCGCAGCTCTGGACTGTGCAACACCCCGCCGCCCCCGCCACCACCACCTGCCCCGCCACCGCCTGCTTCGGTGGCGGCAATCCCTGGGGAATCGGCTTTTGTATCGTCATCCTCCTCCTCCTCCTCCTCCTCCTCCTCCTCCTCCTCCTCATTATCATCAATATCGTCATCATCATCTTGGATTTCGATATGGTCCTGGGCAGGCAAGGTGGTCACGCGGCTTGCCAATTGCCTAGCAGCAGCTGTAGCACCTGCAGCTGCAATGCGGTACGGCAGCAGTAGCAACAGCAACAGCAACAGCGGCTCCAATCGGTTAAGCGACCTGACGCCGCGGGCGGTCACATGCTCCCTGGCGCAGCCTTCGACGCTGACGTTCCGCATCTACAAGCCGGATTTGAAGGACGGGCAAGATGTGGATCTCGCGAAGGAGTGGGTGTACCTGTTGGAGGGGGACAAGTTCTGCACTCTGGCGGGTGAGTGCCGCTGTGGGTAAAGAGGAAAAGTACGATCCATGTGACGAAATCCCGAGGTACCGCGGTAAAGAGGAAGAAGCTAACCCATGTGACAAGGCTCCACAAGGGCCGGTTGAGGAGGAGGATGGAAAGGGGAGCGATGTATGGGTGGATGTTGGCGTTGGGGCTCACGGCATTGGCAGCGCTGCCGGTAACGCCAAAGTTCCTTGGCCCCGGTTGTTGCGCCATGTTCCCGTGGGTCCAAATGCTCCAATGCTGCGTTGTTGCATTCTTCCTTAGCTTCGTTGCTACTCTACATGTGCAGATGTTGCTGGCATGAGCGCCGTCATCTCATGTCACCTGGACGCCCCCGGTTGGTCCGGGTACAAGTTCCAACTGCAACAACTGTCGTACCCGCGATCCCAACTGAATTCGTTGATGACGGGAGGGGCTTGTGCCGTACGAGCATCTGCGCTGCCAGGGCCGCACGACATTGAATGTCAGTGGGGATTCCAACCGCCGCGAGCTCGGGGAGATTGGGTTCCGGAGCTAGACCTCATGCTACAGACCCCTGGGTCAGCCCTGACGGGTGGTGTCGTATTAGGTAAGCAGTTAAGCCTGCACATGTCTTAAAGCAGAAGGCAGTACAGTATAGACTGTAGTATCGCTGTTTGAATTGATGTTGTTGTACATCCTCCTGCTTTAGCCGCGGTCGTTCAGGCTTTCCATACCACCATGGAACCCGGACCACAGCCCTCTGACATGACACGAACCACCTACCGATACACCCCCAACCCCTTCTCACCCCCAACCCCACCCCCCTGCTGCACACAGCCCTGTCTACCTTCAGCCCTGGTCTCACGGGCACGGAGCAGCAGCGCTGTTGCGCGCTGGGAGCCTCCCCGCACATCATCGTGTGTGAGACGCCGGGGACTGGCGGTGTGGCCAATGAGTGCTGGTTTCAGTTGTACGACGTCAAGTTGAGCAGCAACAGCGGCAGTAGCAAGTTGAGCAGCGCTGAGACGAGTAGCAGCAGCGGCAACAGCACTGGCGCGAGCAGGGATGAGCTGACTGGCGCTGGCGTTACGGACAGCAACAACGGCCATGGCAAAATAAATCGCCGAGGTGGCTTTTGGCGGGCATTCCTGCGGGCTTTTCAGGCCGAGCTGTCGCCAAGTGGTTTGGATCCAGATTTTTCAAACACGGACAATCCGCAGCAGAGGGAGCTGTCGATACCCACTGTTGAAGCACCTGTTGCCATAAACCACGAGGAAAAGGAGGTGGAAGAAGAAGAAGACGAGGCCGTGCTTATGACTCCAGAGCTGTTGGGTGCCTCAGCCCCGCTGACTGACGGCACCCTGGTCATGCTCTACAGCAAGGCCTTCGGACGCTACTGCTCCGTAAGTTTGGATGGGACGCTGTTGTGTGTGAGCGCACAGGTGTCCAACGCATCCCGCAACCTCTTCACGCTGCGGATGCCGCCACTGCCTCAACAGCTGCAGCCTTAGCAGCAGCAGCAGAAGCCGTAGCAGCAGGCGGGGGTGTTAGTTACGTCGTTGTCCGGACCAAGGGAGGTGCTGATGATTTGGGAAGGGTTAAAAGGGCACGAGGTGGCGGTGGCTATGGAGGGTGAAGGGGAGGATAGGAAGGAGCAGGATGAGTGGCAGCGGCGGTGACTGGGAGGTGGATGAATGGACGGAACGGGGAAGGGAAAGGACGGTAGACGGCGGCAGCGAGTTGGCTGCTACATGTCAAGGCGGCATACCGGTACATGTCGGCCAACTATAGTAAGGTACTAGTGGACGGGAGAGGCGTGTGACATGATGCTTTACTTGGTTTTGCACTGTTGCAAGCAGCAGAGATGCTGCTGCCTCAGTTAGTTGCGGTTGTGGGGTCAGAGGTGAGGGTGACCACGTGAAACATGTTGGTGTATCTGTTGGTAAACGGCTTCCACGACTAACAATGGAAACATACGGCGCGGAAGGGGGCCCAGGAGGCGGCTACGAAGGGGTGACAGTTGGTGGTACATGAGCGTTTGTAGGTGTGTGTGTGATTATGTATGCAGGTTGTGTGCATTTGTGTCTCGTAAGGCGTCGAACTTCCCTGCACTTCACAGCGACCTTTGCTGTAGCTGCGATACGGCGGCAACAGGTCGGGATGTGAAGCCCGGTACCACCCATGCCCACCGTCTCTTTCAGACCCCTGTACCGTATTGGCATGCATGCGTGCAAAAGGTGCCCCCCTCAACACTAACATCCGGGCAGCACCGCGGTGCGCTGAGGGGACCTCTGCTACCACACAGCCCACACTATAGCCCGCAACGGCCATCGAAGCAAGGAAGACAGCCTCTCGTGTACCAACAAACCCAGGACAGAACCGCTACCGTAACCCGACCACCCCACAACCGCCATACCACCACCAACAGTTGCAACAACAACATACCTTGCACCTTCCCCCCGCTCCCCTCCCACTTCAATTCCAACTCCCCCCTCGCGTATCTCCCTCCCCCCTTCCTCACGACATCACGAGTCAAACTGCTGCCGCAGCACCATCTCCGCCTCACTCTTCCAGTGCGAGTGGCTGCTCTGTCCGCGCATGCGCTTCTCCTTCTCTTTGTCTTTGCGGTCCTGGTTTCGGCGCGGCAGCTGCGCGGCCCCCAGCCCCTTATTCAGAAATTCGGACACCTCCATGGGCTTCGAGGGAGCGCCGCCGGCAGCAGGCTTGGCGGGTACGGCAGCGCCGGCGGCTGCAGCGGCGGCGGCTGCAGCTGTGAAGTCGTTGACGCGACCTCCCATCATGGCGATCTGGGTTGGGGAGAAGCAGGATGGGCAGGGCGCAGGACGGAAGGGGAGGCAGGAGGGAGCAAGAAGCAGGCAAAAGAAAAGGTGAGGAAGGGTGACGGCAGAGAAGAGGAGGAAAAGCAAGCAAAGAGAAAGCGCATACGGGACACAAAGAGACAGGCACTTGAGTGTGCAGCACTGTTCGCGCCCCCCACCCGGCCCACCCCAGTCCCGCGCCCCTACCTGCGCCGCCGTGTACTGCTGGGTGGCCTCGGGTCCCTCCTCCGCCTTGTAGCGCTTGGCACGCCCCTCGATGATGGCACCCGGTGGGGCGTCTCGCTTGTCTGCGCTAGGCCTGCGGGAGGGAGCAGGGGACCCAGGCGTCACCCCACACGTCATATACGACGACATGAGAGGACATGTGCGCATGCAACCCTACCCATGTCCACGTACTTGGCCTGGCCTTTCAGTGGCGGCGCCAATCGGGAGATGTCAAAGTCCTTTCCGGGCTGCTGCCGCTCCCCTCGCCCGCCTCCTCCCCCTGCTCCGCCTTGCCCGGCTAGCCGCGCTGCGGCCTCCTCGGAGAGGCCGTGCAGGGCGGAGGAGGCGAGCGGGCGGATGGCCTCCGGGTCGAGAAAGGTGGGCGGGCCTTCTACCTGAGGTGGGAGGGATGGAGCACAAGCTGCCGTGTATGAGGGGTTTGTGCGGGTGGGACATGTGTGTGTGTGTTTGTGCAGCTGGGAAAGCGAGCTGCTCCCGTGGGGGGAGTGTTGGTGTCGTGGCAGTTGTCCGTACATATAAGCGGCCAGCGGCCATCCGTGCAGCCCCTTACCTACCTGGTCTAATACGTCTAATGCGGACGGTAGGAGGGGCCGAACCGCTTGCGCCTGTGGTTGTGGCTGTCGCCCTGACGTGGCCGTTTCCCCGTAGTCCCGCACCCGTGCAGCCGCCTCAGCAGCTCGTAACTCAGCGCTATCCACGCTGCAGCCCGAACACAGATGGAGTGTTCATCGTAGGGGGTGCGGGGTGCGAGGTATGCTAAGCAGTGCCCACACATGGGTACATGCAGCACGCAAGTCGTAAAATTGGGCAAAGGTTGTTTGCAACAACCCTGGACTGACCTTTCATCGCTGCTGTCCACACTGTCGTCATCGGAGTATTCCCTTGGGCCTCTATGCCGTGCGGCTACTGGTCCTGCCTGCTGCTCATCCTCGTTTTCCTCGTCGGTCCCGCTCCCATAGCCAGCAGCTAAGAGATCCATGATGATGTATATATGTGTAGTCTTCTTACAGCCTATGAGCTGCAAAAGCTAGGGTAGCTTTGGTCAAATTACGGCAGAGCTATTCACGAGCAATGCCAATGATGCGTGGTATGCAAAACTGAATATACAATCTTGATTGTCTTCTGGGCATGCTTCTAATCCAGTCTAATAACTGTGGCGTTCCGTGTAGCGGTTACCGGGCACATTATGAGCTACATGCGCGTCTTAACTGGACCTGTTTACTTGGCCGTGAAGAACATCCTCCTTACATACTAGGCTTTAAGTTTGACTTATTTTGCATGCATCAAACCGGAATCGCAATCGGCGGCTTCCTTCGGCAAGGCGGTACTCGCTATCAGGCCACGGAAGCTCCGTTAGCACCGCGTGAACGCTAGGGCTTGCGCATCATTAGGTTGGCCTCCGTCGCAACCGTTGTGCGAGCCGCGTGCAGCGCGCGCTAGCGATTGCTGGAAATGAAAGCTGCTGGACATGCATCAGCGGGGCTGTCCACGACCAGCCCCTCCCATCGGATACAACCCCCAACGCTGCCACCACGTCAGACATGTATTACCGCTTCACGTCCTGCGCTTCAGCACGCCATTCCTAGCAACACCTTCATCCCCCATCCCAGGGCTCGCGGCAGCCACCGCAACGACGGCCGCAGCATGAGGGACACCCGTGCAGCAGCCTCCAGCAAGGACGTTGCTCCTGCCATCGTAACCTATGTAGTGCAAAAGGGCGAAACGCTTTGGGACGTTGCCGTCCAACATGGCGTGTCCATGCGCACCATCCGCGACCTCAACAAGCTCCCCGGCAAAGAGCCCGTGCTGGCTGAGGGCCAGCAGCTGCTGGTCCCCGCGTCCGGCATCACAGCGGTTCCAACAGTGGACGAGGCGGCGTCAGCGGCCGCACTTGGCTCCACACCTGCACGAGGACTATGGGGTAAGAGAGAACCGCATCCAGCCACTACGCGTTACCCTTGACTGCCCCCCCCCTAGCCATAACAACCTTCCAAACATGCCGTACGCTGACCCTCCCTCCTTCTCCACCTCCTTCCCTCCCTCCCTGCCGACCCCGGAAACACCCTGTCATTTTAACTCCAAGCCGGCTCGGACCACGTGCGGCTCGCCTCCGTGTCGGATGCGCGGCAGCTCTACCTGCGGCAGTGCGAGCGCGGCAACTCGCAGAACACGCTGCTGGTGCTGTTCGCGCCCTGGTGCCCGCACTGCCGGGACATGGAGGACGAGGTGGGGGGCGGGCCGGGCAGCGTGTGTGTTAAGAAAACTGGCCGCGAGTAGGAACATACTGTGATTGTCGGAAGATGAAGTCCCCACAGATACGAGACTGGGGGCTGAGAAAGACGGGGCTGGGGAGAGGTTACACAGCTTGATGAGATGAGATGAAGGAAGGAAGGCAGCAGTAGGGCTGCAGGGCCCATGGGCCATGGCACAGCTCTGCTTCCATCAGTTCTCCTTATTCCCCGCCCCTGTCCCCGCCCCCCCCCATGCGGCAACCCCGAACCCCACTCCACAACCAACGCCCCCAACCCTCGCACCCGCACCCGCACCCGCACACCCCCAAACAGCTTGAGCGCCTAGCCGAGGGGCTGTCAGCTGTCCCCGCCGTGCGCGTGGTGGCAGTCAACGGCGACTCCCCTGAGGGCAGGCTGTTCGCACGCGAGGTGCTGGGCGTGGCCTACTACCCCTCCATCATCGCCTTCCCGCAGCACTCCCGCACCTTCTTCAAGTACAAGGGCCGGCAGCGGGACGCGGAGGCGCTGCTGCGCTTCCTCAACATGACCTGCTGCGCGCGCGAGGACGCCATGTGGAGCCTGCGGCCGGTGGGCACCACGGCGGCGGTGGCGGGAGGTGGCGGCAAGGTGGGTTGCGGGACAGTGACAAAGACTGGCAGGGGTGAGGAGGAGGGCATGGGTGGGAAGGTGGGCGAAAAAAGGTAACTGACGAGCTGTATGACCAGGCTTCACCATGGGTTGCATGGGTAGGAAGGTGAGAGGTTGGCTGCCTGGATGGATGGACCCTGGGCGGTGTTGCTTTGGGTGGGCGGGTGACGAGCTGTATGACGAGGCTGGGTGGGTGGGTTTGCATAGGGGTGCATAGGGGTGCATAGGGGTGCATAGGGTGTAGAGAGGGGGTGTTGTGGAAACCTACGCAGACATCTCAGAATGCATCCCGGCACGCAACGCTCCTACCCGCCACCCCCTCCCTACAGGGTGGTCCGTTGCAGTGGGCCAACCAGGTGCTGCCAGTGGGTACCTCACCGGGCGCCTTGGCGACGGGGCTGGCGGCGCTGGCGGCGGCGGCGCTGACGGCGAGCGTGTCGTACCGGGCCGTACGCCGCCGCTCCGCTGCCGCCGCCGCCGCTGGTGGTGATGGAAGTGGCGTTGAGGCGAATGTGGTGGCTGAGTTGGATAGCAGCCTGGGCCGCATGGCGACGTTGATGCTGCGTGCGGTGGGGACGAGGCTGGCGTTAATGCTGGGGCTGGTGCAGGCGTCGCCGTCGCCGCCGGCAGTGGCAGTGGCAGCAGTGGCGGAGGTGGCCGTGGAAACAGGCGCAGCAGCGGGAGCGCCTGTAGCACTGCCGCCGGCAGCAGCAGCGTCAGCTGCGACAGAGGAGGCACGGGCTTTAGGAGAAGGGTTGGCATCAGCGACCCAGGGGTCATCATCAGCATCAGCACCTGCTGCTAGCGATACCGTACCCGTACAACCCATGCCGGGTCCAGAGTCCTCCTCGCCTTGTGAAAGCAGCAGCGGCAGCAGCGATGGCTGCGTTGGTGCGGTACCCGCGACTACTACAGCGGGGTCAGTGGCTGCCGCTCAGCCCACCTCAGCAGAAGGTGCAGCTGCCGCCTCCGCCGCCGGTTCGTCTTCCCCCACGCCGGTGCCCCACCGTGAGCTGACGGCTGAGGAGCGGCTGAGACTGACTCGGCTTACGGATGACGAGCTGATTGCGCTTGTAAACAGCGAGCCGGATCTCGATAAGGTGCTGTCGCGGTTGCTGGGAGACAGGTAGCAAGGCCGCGTGGTTGTTGTTGAATGACGAGACGTGGGTGGAGAAAGGAGATGCTTGTGGGTAAGTACATGGCTATTTGGGTGCATGCATGCAAGCGATGCGTGTTGGGACGGCATCTGTGTGTATGTGCCGTTCACATGCTTTTGTGAGGCGGGGGCGAGGGCTGTTGGTTCGCGAGGCGAGTGAAGGCGATGTGGGTTGGGGGGCATGATGGGTTGTTCTGACTGAAGGCCGATGCGCGAGCAGCAGCAGCAGCCGTTAACAGCTTTAGCTCGTATGACGCGATGTATGTGCGTTAATTTGCGCTCATTGCGTTTAGAAATGCTGCGGCAATGGGCTACTATCAATAATATTCTAGAGAAGGGGCGTGCGCGTGCAAGGAAAGGTTGGGAGCAGGAGGGCAATGCTGTGAGCTGATGGGAAGCGCTAACTGTGGTTGCACTCGACAATCGGACGGGGGGGATTATTTCCGTTATAAAGTATTCCACGTGCTTTGTGGATGTGTGTGGATGTCCTGTCAGATGGCTACCGACGGGAGGGGATGACAACCATGTGCTTGGACATGTCAGAAGGTAGCAAGCGGGAAGGCCAACATGAGGCCATAACAGGTTTACCTTAACCGGTAAGAGGCTTGTTTGTGCACTGGCTGGTGAGGACAAGACATCTGATGACAGCTTGGACTCTTGGACACTGGCATGGCAGTATGAGGTGTGAGACGCAAGGCGGATTCTCCTTCTCGGTGTGTGAACAAACATACCGGTACCGATGGAAAGCCGTTGCCAGCACGTGTTTTCCATTACTACAATTTACTACGGTTAATGTCCTGGTTTTTGCATATACCTTTGAACTGTGCGCGCGGGAATGGTTGAGAGTATGCCTTGTGTCTGTGACTCTGCGTGGCAGGACGGCTGTTGGTAGGTGGGTGCTGATAGCGTGTCGCTGGGATGTAATAGCGGCACCCATAGCTGTGTGGGTTGCCCATAGGGGAGTTTCATTCACTAGGGTCTTCGTGGTCCCTTTGGCCCTTCCGTAAGAGGTGATACGTGGCGGTGGGGGTCCCAGGTCTCAGCCGCCACACCAAGCGAGAGCCAAGGAGTGCGGACTAGACGGGCCCTATGTCGCCTGCAGCGCATGTTGTTGCTTCCAGTGCATCAACCTCCCCCCTGCCTTCCGAGCCATAGGCTACATGTGAAACGCCAGGCCGGAAGGAGGAGGCTTTAGCAGCGTGTGAAGTGAAGTGTCGTGCAGGCGGGTGTGTGCATCAGGTGTATGGCTGCATGGTTCCCAGGGTTACGTAGCTGTAACTGCAAAGAAAACGTGCCGTTCCGCCGCCGTGCAGCAGTTTCCCAGCAGCGTGAAAACGTTTTGCCTTCAAGCAAGCTGCCCTTCACGTCGCTTAGTATGCAAGCGCGCTAAATAGGTGCGGCTAAACAGCGCAAAGCAGGAAACCGCCTTGCTCATCCGCGGTCCGCCATCACAGCCATCCGCTCCAACCAACATGCCGCACATTGCTCTCAAGCTACCCTAAGCACTCACATCCCCCTCATGCAGATTACTCTATTTGGAACTATTCCGCCCTTAATTCCAAGCCCCGCACAGCGCGCGGCCCACCCTTTCCCCATCCTTCCCCCTGCCCCGCGTACCCGCTTCCATCACCACTCCACTCCACGACACACCCACCCACCCAACCATCCCCAACAACCCTACTCTTCGCCCAACCCAACCCCGCTCTTCACCCAACCCCACCTTTCACCCCTTCACCCACCCACCCCTACTTCACCCCCAGCCTCTTGAGCTGCATGCGCACCGCCGAGATCTCTTTGTTCAGCAGCTCCAGCCGCTGCTCCACCACCGCCTTGCGGTTGCGCTCGCGCAGGCTGCGACCGGCGCCCAGCGGCATGCGCGCGTACTCCGCCTCCAGCCCGCCCTTCTCCGAGCACAGCACCATCAGCTGGTCCTCCAGCGCCTTGCTGCGGGACATGAGCTCCTGGGGGGGGGGGACGAGGGCGGGGAGGAGGCAGGAGGAGGACATTGTAAAGGCGAGGTTCAGAGGGAAGCCAAACCCCCTGGTGGTGGTGGTGCTGGAAGGGCAGGGAGGAAGGGAGGGGAAGGAGGTGTTGTGTATGGGGCCCAGGGAGAGAGGAGAGGAGGGTGGGTTACTTTGGGGGAGGGAGTAAATACCAACCATGTGACAGCTTCAAGCACAAGGCTCCACCACAAGGGTTGCATCTTGCATGTCATGGTTATACCGGCCCTTTCCAGGGGTACGTCTACGGTATACTACCGGGATTACCTTGGTGGTCATCTCAGTTCCAAACGGCGTGTCGCTGGCTGCTGCCGCTCCAAGAGGCGCCGTCGTACCCGCCCCCACCGCATTGGGCGGCCGGCGGAAGGCGTAGCTGCTGTCCACGGTGTGGATGGCGTACGGCGGCGGCGGGGGGGAGGAAGAGGAGCCAGGTCCGCTGGTGGGAGCGGTGGCGTTGTTGCCGCCGCCGCCAGGCGGCTGCCTCCTGAACTGCTGTTGTTGTTGCTGCTGGTGTTGCTGGTGTTGTTGTTGGGACCAGCTGGATGTGGGTGAGGCAACGCCGTCACCGCCACGACCGCCGCCGTAGCCCCGAGCATCCCGCAACTGAGCGGCCCAGGAGGCACGCGGGTCAGGAAGCAGAGCCTGCAGGGAGTCCCGAACGCCCGCATCGTACGGCTTGTGATCGTACGACTTGCGCTCGTGATCGCCCTCTTTACCGACCCATGAGTCACGTGACGGCCCCGCACCAACATAACTGCCATTATTGCTGGGTTCCGGTGCAAGGAGCGGCGGATCTCCGTACCCGCCGCCGTACCGGCTTCCGTACGAGGGCTGCCGAGGCGATGACGGCCCTTGCCCGTTGTTGGCAGCGCGAGCCAGGGCCTCCGCCTCTGCTCGTACCATACTTCGGAACGTTTCGGGGTCCAGTTTGCTGAATGCGATGTCGGGCGGGAGGTCCCGAAGAACGGCGGCCGCCGAGCTTTCAGAGGTTTGTTGCTGGGTTGGGTATGCAAGGGAGGCGGAGACCGAGGGCTGCGGCAGGGCGGGGCGTCCGCTTGAATGGGAGGCCAGGACGCTTCCGGAGGAATGAGGATTGGCAGGAGCAGTAACGCCAGCAGCAGTGGCGGTGGTGGTAGTGGAGGAGGAGGTAGCGGGAGCAGGTTCCGGAGCCATCCAGTTTTGAGATTGGTATCCGCCGTACTGTCGTGCTGATGGAGGACCCACATCGCTCATGATACCGGCCTGGAGGAGGTTGGGGAGGTTGGGGTGGTCGGGAACCCCGCATGGACAGCTCAGAACGCATGGACAAGACAACTCAAACCACAACAAAAAAGCCATAAACCAACGGTTACCACACAACGCGATTACCGTAGCACCCTAACCCGCCGTGGCATAAGCAGCAGCGCAGCAGTGCACACATGGAAGCAACAACACTCCCCCCTGCAAGCATTCCAAAGCTATACTAGCTTCTATTAACCGCATAGGCCCCACGTTTCCCTGTCTCACCGGCTTCGCCGCCATGGCCGCTCGCGCCGCCTCCGCCGCCTGCCGGGCCCGCACCTCCCCCTCCCTGCTGGCCGCTAGGTCGTACGCCAGCTGGCTGTTGCGCGCCTCCAGCTCTGGGTGGGGATGACGGCGGAGGCGGAGGGGGTGTGGAGAGGTGGAGAGGCGACCCCAGGACAGGACAGGCCGGCGAACGAACCACAAACGCACACGTCACGTCACGTTTCGCCTCGCGGCCAGTTATTTTAACACACGTCCGGGCTGTGGTAAAGGGCGGTGTGCCATGCACTCTCCATGCTTGACAGCCCAAACTCCCGGCACTCCGCTGGGGGTGCTTACATGCAGCGACGCGAGGCACCCGATTTACTGACGACCGCTGCAGCATGGGTTACTATGATTTCCCGTTTTCCTGTTTCCACTCAGCCCACGACATTACTACCGCTATACTCCATGCCACACCACTCCATATGCCCACCTCCCTCTCCTTTCCTCTTTCCTTTTTTTTTCTTCCCTCCTCTCTTTCTTCACCCACCTGCCAGCCTGTTCCTCAACACCGCCAGTTGCGTCGCTGCCCCCTCCTGCTCGCTCTCCGCCCGGTAAGCCACTGCATGCGCCGTGCTGACGGCGCGCGCCGAGTCTTGTTGCGCCGCCCGCAGCTTCTCCCGCAGCTCGGCGCCCTCGATGCGGCCCTACACGGCAGCAGCCACGAGAGGGAAGGGAGGAAGGGGGGATGCATCAACTGAGCAGGACTGGGCGTGCGGTAACCAAGGAACGCTGTGTTGCATACAGCTCCTTCACGGCATGCACAGCCCCGCAACAAACCCCGTGCCCTTTTCCTCGCGGCTCAGCTACAGTACCCCCCCACACACAAGTACGTTCCGACTCGCGGCCAGTTTCACGTAATACACACCTTTATGATGGCGTCGTTCAGCTGCTGCACCTCCTTCCGTAGTACCATGTTCTCAGAGCTCAGCCGCCGCTCCTCCTCACCCAGCGTCTCAATCTGCGACACGACGGAGAAGAACGGAAGACACGAGCTGAGCAGGGTCGAGTAAACACTGTACGGTAACCGCCTTCCTAAACCTCCGTTCCTCACTGCTCCCGCGGGCGTCATGCCACACCCAAAATCCTGCCGGTATTCCCAGCATGGGCTCTACATCCCCTCCAGCCTCCTGCTCACACCTACTCTATCAATCACTGACTCACTGCATGTCTCTTCTTCCCTCCCCCTTTTCTCCTCACCTTCTTCCTGGCCGCCTCCAGCTCTTTCCCCAGCTCCATCGCGCGATCCTGCCACTGCACCGCCGTGTCCTTCGCGGCCGCCAGCTGGTCGCGAGCAGCCGCCAGCTCCTCCTGGCAGCCGCGCAGCTCACCCGACAGCGCGTCGTTGGCGCGGCGGGCGGTCTCCAGGGCGCCCTCGCGCGCCTTGGCGTTGCTGGCGGCCTGCAGCGGCGGATGGAACCGACATGTCTCTCTCACAACAGCACCACCACACAGCCGGGAAGAAGGCACCACGTCTGCTTGCATGCACGCACATGCGGCCTTCCCCTCACTTCTTAAGGTTCTAATTCATCCCGGGGGCCCCCTCACCTGCGCTGCCTGGTCCTTCAGCGCGTCCTGCTTGGCCTCCGCCGCCTGCTTCGCCTGCTGCGCCGCTTCCAGAGCCGCCTGGCTGTCCGCCAGCCGCTTCTGCAGCTCCGCGTTCTGACGCTCCAGGGACAGCACCTGCGCCTGCGCCGGGGTGGGAAAGCGCGGGGGGTTGGGGGAAGCGAAAGCGGTGCTATAAGGAAGGAGAGGTGGTGCAATGAGGAGGTGGGCCGGATGGAAAACGGCACACCATGAGGAGGCCAGCGAGGAGGAGAAGAGGAAGATGCGCCACCAGGAAACAGTCAGTCCAACATCACCTCCTCCCAGTCAACAGGGAGCACACCACGAAACAGCATTTATCAACCATCCGGTCATCACACCACATCCTCTGAGTCCAACCCAAAACCCCCAGCTACCATCGCATTCCAACCTCCGTACAAGCAGTACAACCCCCCGGGTGCCGTACCCCACCCACCTGCAAGCGCTGCTGCTCGCCTCCGCCTCCTGCTGCTGCCCCGCTGCCGTAAGCCCCACCTCCTCCTCCGCCTCCTCCACGCCCACCCCGCCCCGGCGACGATGTGGACAACACCTCGTTCCCGCCGCCACCTCCTCCTGCAAGCGGACTGGTCCTGAGATCCTCCACCACATGCCGTACGGCGCCCTGCAGCCCGCCAACCGCCGCCAGCGCAGGCGAGGGGATGCTGCTGTTAGCGCTGGCCGCATGCATCATCATCTTCATCATGGCATGCGGTGACTGGGACTGAGGAGAGACGGCGGCGCCCGGGGGCATCGTGGGTACGGCAGGCATGGAGGCTGCTGCTGCCACGGCCGCCGCCGCCGCAGCGGCGGCGCTAGTTGCGGATCCAGGGGGTGAATTCGAAGCATGCGGAGGCGGCCCGGTGTTGGTGGTGCCGGTGTTCGTTGTGGCGATGGGAGCGCAGTAGGGGGGCAGGTATGCGGTCATGAGCTGCGCAACGTCAGCTGCAGACCAGCCGGCTCCCCCAGCGGCAGCGGCTGGTATGCTGCCGCCAGGATACTGCTGTGGGTGCTGCTGCTGTGGGTGCGGGTAGGGCATTGGGGGCGGGGGGTGATGTGGGTCGCCAAAGCTTCCATGGTATGCGTGTTGTTGCGGCGGCAACAACGGCCGCTGACCGTAAGGCGCAGCGGCAGCGGCATCGTACGCAGCCCCCGGCGCGCCGGACACACCCATGCCTCCAGCGGCTGCTGCCGCAAAGCGTGCATCCAGTTGTTGCTGCCGATGGCGGTGTTGCGACTGCTGCTGCTGCAGTGCCGCAAAGTGCCACTGCTCATCTTGTGAGAGGTACACCGGCTCATGGCCGGGCGCCAGATTGCCGCCGGGGCTCACTACGGCTTGTGTTTGGGAGCTGCCCTGGGGAGGCGGCGGGGAGCCATGCGGTGCCGTGGTTGAGGGTGCCGCGCCCGTGAAGCCGCGGGGGCTGAGGGCGACGGCCCCTGACGTGGGAGCCAGGTCTAAAGCAGCCAGCTGGGCCAAGTCCTGAGGTGAGAAATGGTGTTTGGCTTGATAGACGTGGGAGGGGAGGTCCTGATAGTGCTGGTTGGGCGCTGGAGCTGCTGCAGGGCTGTTGCGCGGTTGAGGGCTGTTGCGTAGCGCGTGGCTGGGGTGGAGGTTGCTGACGCCACGTCCGGGCCATGTGCTGCCGAACTGACCGGGACTGCCTTGCAGAACGCCAGAGGCATGGGGTTGAAGCGATCTGAGGGCAGACAGCGGGATACAAGGCTATGTACTCATCGTCTTTGGCATACTGCGCTCTTAACTACGTGCCATACGGGTACCCAAAGCATAGGATGAGAGGCCATCGCGTTGCATCAAACTACGTCGCGGCATTCCCAAATTGGAGGATTACAATGCCTTACCCGTGAGGTTTCAGAAAAAGCTCTTCCTGTCCTGGAGCTACGAATGCTGAGGTGCTTGGCAGGACATCATCAAAGAACGATGACTGGCCTGGGCTGTCCATGAGTTAAGCGACGAGTATCTAGTCTTTTTCGGCTACGCAGCTACAGATTTCAAACCACAAATACTATATCGGTCTCAACCGCGGTAATCGCTGTCCTTCAGCACGACTCCATGTGGCCAGCTAAAGCAGCTTCTATATACCTTTAAATGTTCTCAAAACGCCGTCGGAATAGCTATAATTAACCTGATGTTAAGCATCGCTGCGCGCTGCCCTGGGAGCTCTGTCCTGCTCAGTTTGGAATTTACCGTACATTCGGCGAAGGGTTTCAGGATCGGAGAAACAACGGCATGCAGGTAGAGCATAAAAGGTAAAAGCAGGCCGGAACATGCTAGAACTTCTGGCGCTCTAATACTTGGGAGGTGGCGCTTATACCCTATTCGGGAGGCCCTCCACTGTTTCACTTTACTGCGAGGCTCGCTACAGTGTTGTAGGTTAAGGACGATATTACGGGTAGAAAGGTATACCGAGGACTCTCCAGGAGCTTGGCAGCCCAGCAGCAATGGCACTAAACGCAGCAACGAACGGGGCTGATGCCATGGCTGTAACCGATGCTGAGAACTGGCGTATTAGAGTAAAGTAAGCTCTCCATTATCGTTTTGCTGGCATTTTGCGTTAACAAAAAAACCCAGCACATGGCGACATAGCGGGTGCAGTTGCCTCAAGGCGGTCATGGCTATTAACTGTTCGTCTAACAATGAGACGCCTTGTTTGTCGTGATTGGCGCGTACGTTCTTCCTTGCACAGGCACGAGCAGAAAACGGCGAAGGACTTCCAAAACGAGTGGGGCTACCTCACCTCGCCTGGGACACCCACGCACGTGAGGCTCGTTCAGCTTAGTTGTACAAAAGTAGCTCCTCTGTGTGTGCTTACTCGCGGAATTCGACCTCACCTCTACCAACATACCTGTACAACCCAACTTCCCATTATACGCAGCTAAAGCAACCACACGCACGATCCACGGTCAAGTACTTTGCCGGTCATTCAGAATACACGCTCCTGCAAAAGAAGATTCCGCTGACAGGGGCAGATGCTGAGCGTGCGGTTGCTCAGGTACGGTTGCAACTGGAACGACCCCAATCCCTGGCCTGCCTCTTATCTGCCTTTGCGGCTTTGTGCAACAGCCCTCTTGATTTCTTGTGTCTTGCCGTGGGCTACTACTTATGTTACTGTACCTCCCCTCTTACATGCCTATCAGCAATGTCGTATCTGCCGTACTTTCTTCTTTTCCTCTTTTCCCCAGGAGGAGGAGTACCTTGCCACTGCGAGCCTGAACGGGGGGCGGCCCACCACCGCCCTTCAAGCGACTCTGTACTCGCACTCAAAACGCATGGATTACATTGGGTACGTACGTTGCTGCCTGGATACACAACGCCTTGGGGTCCTGCAGGCAATCGAAGAATTAGGGTTGTGCACCCAGCTGTTTGTCGTCATGACTTGCACTCGGCAACATGCAACACCGTGCATACTTGTGTCAAGCCCGAACGCTGAGGCCCTGCTGACGTGGTTGCTGCTGCTGCTGCCGTACACCTGCCGTACAACAGGAATCACGACATGGCGCTTGAGACCACTAGCAGGGTGTACGGCTCCCGGCACACGCTGGAGCAGGTGGGCTGACAGTGGCTTAGCTGACGTCCGTCTGTGGGGTCTTGTTGGTTACATATATGCCGTAATTGGGTGTCGTTATGGCTGAAGGAGGGGAACGCTTGCATGGCAGGCCTGGGTTTCTTGCAAGGGCTTTTTGGGGTTGTAGGTTTCCTTACCGGAATGATAATAGGTTACCAGGCATCGTCTTCTACGAAAATAAGGTCGTCACTTCGCGTTTCATGACCGCCTAGCATGCGAACACCTGTCGCTGCTGCTTCCTTTCTATCCTCCCGCAGTTTGGCGTCTCGCAGTACGGTCTGAAGGAGACCCGTAGCAAGCTGCCGCCGGCTTAAGGGGATCTGGGCAGAGGAATGAGTGACGTTCTCTCGCCTGCATGAGCATGCATGCGGACATGCAGCATGCTTGGGGACCTGCACGTGTCTTCGCAGGGCGGAGACGTGTGAGGGTGCGGCTGCTAGGTGACCTTGTATCATGACAACGAGCGGTTTGGAAAGATGCACGTTGTGAGCTAAGCGCTGGGAAAGCAAAACGCCGCATGCAACGCAGCGCTAGGGGCGCAAGATGTGTGGTGGAGTGGAGTCTGTGAGTGTAAAAGGGCATCGTGCGGAACCTGGCAATGTTCTTTGGGTGAGACTTTGCAACGCAGGTGAGCAACAAAACCATTAACATTATAGGCTTGTGCGTTCATTGTTTTATAGCTTGTGGAGGGGGATTAGGCCCCGGTACGACGAGGGGTGCGTTTGGCTTGATTCGCACACGTGTAGGTTTTCGCGATAGCAATGTTGTTCGACATGGATAGTAGCTGCTGTTAGGACACCCCATTATGCACATGCATGTAGTGTTCCGGTTTTAGGTTATGGGCTTAGTACTTATCTCGACTATCCAAAAACGCTGATATAGTGTTGCATTGGGCTTGTTTAGCGGTCCTGGGGCAGGGTTGCTAGGTAACTTTTAGGCAGGGTGACGCAGGGCTACGTGGAAATGACCGCACGTGCATTCATCTGCAAGCATGCAGTGCCTGTTCTGTGCTGCGATGGATGGCATTCGTTAAGTCGGATTTCAGTCCTTTCGGCCTCGCAACAACGGAGAGTTCGGGTGGTACCAACCTGCACGTTGGCTGTTTAAGCCACGCAACATGTAATACAGAAACAGTAATAGAGAAACAGTCGGCGCAGTGTCCATTACTTGATCTGGTAGGTGTGTGTCACCAATGGTGTCACTAGAGCAAGGCACGTGCTTAGTGCCCTGGTCACATGGGCAACATGCGCTGACTTCTGGCCATTTCCACCCCTCCGCACCCTGGGAAGCCATTCCGCATTGCTCCAAATGAGCCTGTGACAAGCCCTTCCTGCTTTGAACTCTTGAAATGTTCAGGGCTTAGCAATAGAGCACTCGGATGGAAAGCACTGCATCTCGTATACCCTAGGGCGGGAACCATGCGGTTTGTCTCCGAGTCCCTCCCATGTTTGTTTATCACGTGCAGTCTGTGTGGTCGATGATGAGGCGTGCATTGATATTCTCCAAAGGAAGTCAACTAGCTGGGAGCTGCATGTGGCGTACAACGAAAGACCTCCACAGCTAACGCAGCTCGAAGCAAACTAGAAGGCGTGCTTTGGCATGTGGTGCATTGCAAACAAGTACCCTTTTTGCGATGAGGGTCGGAACCAATCGTTCCCAGCCAGCCACCCGCGGCTCCGGAGCCGGTTTGAGATGCCGCTCCTTGTTGCTCAGTCTTCGTGAACGTCCTGTTGCCTGGTTAGTGTTTAGCAAAGGGCATCGCTTGTAAACCGCTCGCAATGGCTCTGAAGACATCCTTCTCCCCTCGTCAGGTGCTTGCAGGACTGTTATCCTGAATAGTGCACTATATTAAGCCCGATCACGCAATAACTGCAACCTGTACCATTCAGGTCACTTCGCGACCCTTCAATGGGATTGCGCCCCGGCCAACTTATAGGAAAATTGTCCGTTGCCAAGCATCAGCTAGCACGACTGGTTAGTACAAGCGAGAGGGGGCCAACCTCTGTTTGCTTACAGTCCTAGAAATCACAGTCACTCACATTTTGCAGGTACCATCGGGCGCCGTGAGCTACTTCAAGCTGTCTCAGCTGCTACACTTCTGACTGCAACTCCCGCGCTCGCTGCCAAGAGTAAGCCCTATGTTCCCTCTCCTTACCCCGTGGCCCCAAACTCCGTGCTCTTTCTCACACCTGCAAGTCTCGCTCCGTGTCCTTCTGCTGCCCGTGCAGCTCCCAAGGGGTTTAACGCTGTGGAGGACCTGCAGGACGCCTACAAGTTCCTGTACCCCTTCGGCTGGCAGGAGGTGGCGGTGCAGGGCGCGGATGTGGTGTACAAGGATATTGTGGAGCCGCTGGAGAACGTGAGCGTGACGATCACCGCCACAGACAAGAAGGACATCACGGAATTTGGTGACCTGCAGACGGTGGGTATTTGATAGCCCTGATTGGAGGCTGTGGCGTTTACAGGTGTTCTTGCAGGGTGCTCCTTGCCCAGCTGGGAAGGCAGCATGCGGTCAAAGGGATGTGCGGCTTGTGTTTCGCACAAGGAAGGTGGTAGTATTTGATCCCCGGAAAGACGTCAGGTTTGTACAGTGGTTTGACACTTCCGTGTATGCGGGCATGGGCAATGATAAATGCGTGAACGCATAAAAAATGTTGAGGCGTCAGCGTCGCACGGTACTCGGCATGTCCTGACGCACTATGATTGTTGCCTCGCATCGGTTCACGCAGGTCGCCGAGACCCTGGCTAAGGACGTCCTGACGGCTCCGGGTACGGACGTGAAGATCGTCAACGCCAATCAGGTACGACGCACCTTGTAATGCGCGGGTGTCTTGTCATACGTCCGTAAACCTGTGTCAGTTGGGGCACTGCCCCAGCATTTCTTACCGGCTGCCGTGACTCATACCCGTGCCTTCCTGCGCTTGCCAACTGGTGCAACAGCGGGAGCTCAAGGGCCACAACTACTACGAGATTGAGTTTACAGCTGCTAACCCGCGTTTCACGCGCCACCAGTTGGCAGTGGTCGTCTGCAACAACGGTAGGTCGCGCCGGGGACGCATTCCACAACGCCATATGGGTCTATGTGGTGCGTTACAATACAGCCGCACACACGTGTAGCGTACACTCACGCGTCTGCCAGCTTGCCTCACACATGCGCGCTTATGCAAACATACACATGCAGGAACATTCTACACGTTGACCACTGGCTCCAATGAGCGGCGCTGGAACAAGATGAAGGACAAGCTGGAGACCACTGTGCGCTCCTTCCAGCTCCTCAATTAAACGCCCTGGGGCCTACATGAGCGCTAGAATCTATGCATGCTCAAGCGGACGCGCAAGCGTGCGCCCAACCCTGCACCTCTACGGCCCGGGGCTACATAACCTATGAACACCAGTCAACTGGCGGATGCCCTGCACTGGCCAATGCATCTCTATGAAACTATAAGCGGGACGGAGAGGATTCCGCACTCGTCCCTACACGCTCGCGGAGCGTTGAAATCTACACATCGTCGAATGCCTGGACCGAGAAAAAACTTAAATGTAGCGAATCACTCGCAGTACCGTCTCCATGCAGTGCCTGCGCCATCCCACGCTCATGTGTCATGTGGGTCGTGACAGCCATCCCGCAGTCATCGTGTAGCGCGCACATGCTCGCATATCCTACGCGCGCCTCCTCTGCTCCTCTCACCGCCCCGCCTCGGCGCTGTGGTAGTGCGTGATGAGCTCCTCGTAGATGAGGTTGCGCACGTCCTGCTCCGTCAGGGTGGACTCCTCGAAGTCGAGCACAAACTCGCCTGCGGTTAGACGATGAAGAGTGGGGCGAGTATGGGGTGGCGTGATAGGCGGCAATAGCGAGGGGGAGAATGGCAGCTTTTGTGGTAGTTGCTGCGCCTTGGGTTTGTGGACAAGCTGTGTCGCTGGGCATGGGGCAGGCTGCTATGATTCAACTGTAATTAATACACAAATCGACAGGAGGCCTTGTACAAGCAGGCAAATCATGCACGGACAACCAGCACCCTGGTTGCAGCGCCTAGCCATGAAAAATGCAACATCCGGACCCAACCCACATCACCCTATCCCAAAGTTGCATGCACCTCCTTGCGCCCTGCCACACAACGCCACTAGCCCAGATCACGCAAGCCCTGCTTACATGGCGCACTGGGCTCCGCCGCCTCGTCATGCAGCTGCGCCAGCCAGGGGTGCTTGAGCGCTTGCGTGACGTCCACGCGTTTCCGCGGGTCGAAGTGCAGCATCTTCTCCATCAGGTCGATGGCCAGCGGGTCCGCATCTGGGAACTTCTTGCGGAAGTTCACCTTCTGTGGGGCCGGAAGCGGAAGCAGCAAGGGAAAAGAGTTAACGGACAAAAGCAGCACTCATAAGAGTCAAGCGTGTTGTACGCTCGCGCCATAGTACCTGCGGTAAGCACACCAGTGACCACAACGTGGTGTGCTCCTCTATGAGTGCTTCCTCGTCACACATGTTGGCTTCAGGACCCCAAACCCCGCCTGCCAACGGACACGCCGTCTTAACAACGGGCACGCCCCCTAGCGCACCTCCGACGGCGGCAGTGCCCGGATGTAGGCTCGCGCCTTCTGGCTGGTGATGAAGGTGAGGTCGTCCTCGGAGGGCGGCCCCAGCGTCTTGATGATGAGCTTCAGCTGGTCCACGTAGTCCTTGCCCGGCAGCAGCGGCTTGCGACCCAGCAGCTCGGCCATGATGCAGCCCACAGACCTGCGGAGTCGCGGAGTCAAGGAGGGGCACGGAGTCAAGGAGAGGCATGGAGCATGGAAGGCAAGGAGATAGAAAACACGGAGATGGGAAGACATGGAGGAGGGGGAAACAGGGAATAACGGCTTTAGCTTACGCATACGGTAGCAGACCTACAGCAACTAGCTGAGGTGACGGATATGCCTGATGTACAGCAACGGCATGCCACACACAGAGCGCATATGCGGTGCGCCATGTGGCGCACACAATACTTGCTGCACTGCACGTTTTTCCGCCAGTGAATAGCTGGGGTGGTGGGGAAGGTTGGATAACATTCACACAGCAGAAGGCCGTCCTAAGCTCTTACCACATGTCGATGGCCGCTGTGTAGTGCTCACAGGACAGCAGTAGCTCCGGTGCGCGGTACCAGCGTGTCACCACGTACTCCGTCATGAAGTTGCGCTCCGAGCTGTTGTTTGCATTGGGTTGGTGGGGACATATTGGTTGGGAAAGGGTGACAGAGGGGTACGGCTCGCAAGAGCCTGTGTCTGTGTGTCAGTAGGAGTCTAGCATTGCGCGTGTGACGTGATGTTGCGTGCCTGCATCCCTTCCCCCGCCCAACCGTAACCCGTTCAGATGCCACGCAACCCGCAACCGCAGCAGCTGAGCTATCCGTGACTCCCGTAAATCCCCCTTGCGGCCTTCCCCCTCACCCCGTCCGCGCTAGGCCGAAGTCGCAGATTTTGAGGTCGCACGAGGCGTTGAGCAGCAGGTTGCTGGGTTTGAGGTCACGGTGCAGGACGTTAGCCGAGTGCACATACTTCAGGCCTCGCAGAACCTGCAAGAGAGGCAGGGTTGACTATGTGGTGGCAGTAACCGGAGGAACCAAGCCGATTCCTGCATCGCAGGTTGTTGCGGACCTGGTAGATGAAGTATTGGAAGTGCTCGTTTGTGAGCGGCTGCGACGAGCGGATGATCTGGTGCAGGTCCGTGTCCATGAGCTCATACACCAGGTAGACATCGTTGAACTTGTCCCTGGAGGGTGGCTTCAGGATATCCTGCGCGCACATGCCACACGGAACATGTAAATACCGCAAGCATGGCCAGATTGCCTCCTTTCGCTCCAAGATGATCAATCGGACTGCCGTTGACCTCTGCTGCCCACCTTGACGGCGATAATGTTCTCGTGCTTAAGGTGCCGTAGCAATTTTATCTCCCGCAGCGTCCGCCGGGCATCCGTGAGGTTCTCAAATGCATTCCCAATCTTCTTGATAGCCACCTTCTCGTTAGTTTCTGAGTTCTTAGCCGAGCACACAACACCATAGGCGCCCTTTCCGATGGCCTTGATAGGCTGGTATTTCTCGTCTATTTCAAACGTCGTGCGCCACAAGACCCATCGTTCCTTGCCAGGAATGCTACACTCTTGTCTCACGGGTATATTGCTACTTGAGGAGCCGCTTGTGGAGGTGGGTTGCGCCCCCTGCGCTTGTTGCCCCGGTTGCGACATTCTTCTTTGTAGATCTTACGAAAAGCCAGCCCAAAAACCTGCAGTTGTCGACCTATCGACTGCACCACCTGGCGTACGGCAGTCAAAGCTTCGTTCACCCACCCGGCATTTTTGCAAACCCAAGGTGCGTATACCGGCTGTCATACACACCTTTATGCAACGGTAGTTTGGACTGCTTCTATAAGCTTCCGCGTAGCGGTTGACTGTGCAACATGCGCATGATGCATACCCAACACGCCGTGAGCAGCGAACACGGACAGGAACGCCATAGGAACGTACCGAATCCATCATCAGCATTACAATACAGGATCTTACAGTCCCTCACAAACGATGTATGTTACATTTCGTGCCAACGCCATTCTTTCCAACTGTTTCTTCGCGGCTAGATTGAATTAATCCCTGGCAACATGTAGGAGCGCATGGCCATAAATGAGAAAGCAAAGGCTCTGCCTGTAATCCCCGCGTACCGGCACTTCCTCGAAGACGTTCCCCGCAGAAAATCCTCAGGACGCGCCAGAGGCAGCAGTTTGTACCGACCCTCATACCCCTCAACCCACTCACCTGTACGAACAAATGGTGCACTGCCCTGCCCCTTCGCCCCTTTATACCACCCCACTGTCCAGCATTACCCTCCTCGAATCCCCAGCGCTTCACAACCCTGAACGCTCGTCATGCTCTTCAAGCTCAACGAAAGCCCAACCCATGCACAAGGCAGCACCAGCAAAGGTGATTTAAAGCCAAACCAGCGGCCGACAGTGAACTGCAATGCTAGTTTCATTACCTTTCGCACCGACCCAAACAGCTTTTCCCAGCTGATGAGAAACAAAATGGCGCATGCTCTACCGTGGTCTCTCCCATGTGGTGTCCTCAAACGACGATCCTCGGCCCCGCACTCTTGTTCAAACGCTCTCCTCGCACATGCAAACAACACCCTCCCCTCACTGCACACCCCCAACATCCCCAACACCACCACCCATTTTCCCTTCTCTTCACGCCGCAGCCGCCGGCGGCAGCTTGGGTGGCGGCAATGGTGTGAGCAGTGCATACTCGCTCTGCACCCAGCTCTCCACATCGCGCAGGAAGGTGCCGAACGCCACCGCCTCCAGCACGGACCGCCGCTGGGTGGCAACCTGGGAGAGGGTGCACAGTCGGTTACGGCAGTTAGTTACCGTTGGCAGCTACAGTCCCGAATTCTTAGAGTCGGCTGACCGGAAGCCTTTTCTCTGTACGCGTGCCTGTCTCCTCTCGGCCCCCCCCTTGGGATTTGTTGTTTCACTTTTATATAATTTTCCCCCCTTTGCGGCCTACCGGCCCCTATCATTCAACGCATGATTCTCCTCCCCCCCTACCTCCCCCCTCCCCATAGGCCAGTGTTTCAGCGGCTCAGTTTACCTAATCCCCCCTACGTCCCCTGCCCTTCCCTGCCCCCACCTGCATGGTCACCGTCTCCACCAGGTCCTGCTCCACCGCCTTCGCCATGCGCGCCATGGCCTCCTGCATGGACCCCGCGTCCGCACCCACCACCTCCTGGGGGGGAGAAAGAGTACCCAATGAGGGGGCGGGGAGGAAGGGTGAGGGGCGGCAGCAGGGGCGTTGTTCCATGGGACGGGACTGGGGAGGTGCCGGTAGGGTTGGGAGAGGGGGACCGCACCACAGGTGGGGAAGCCCGGCCCGGCCCGGCACGTCACGGCACCACCACACGGAGCACCACTGTACGCACCTGCATCTGCTGTGTGAGCTTCTTGATGTCACCCAACAGCGCCGACGTCTGCCGCTCCACCAGCGCCGCCCCCTCCACACTCACCACCCGCGCCGTTTCCACCATGGTCGCCTGGTCGAACGACTCCACGTAGCGCCGCAACGCGTTGTTGCTGCTGCCGCTGCTGCTGCGGCCGGCGCGATTCGAACCCGACTCACTGGGCGCCGCTGCTGCTGAGGAGGAGCGAGAGGGGGATCGCGTGGAGGAGGAGGGGGGAGGGGAGGCGGTCGAGGAGGATGCGGAGGCCCCGCTGTTGCGGCGCATGGAGGACTCCTCCTGCTCGTCCTGGCTGCTGCTGGGGGAGGAGGGAGCCGGCATGTCCAGGTCCACGGTGGTGGCGGGGGCGTAGTCGGGGTCGTCCGAGGTCTCCACGTCACCGGCCTGTGTGCATGGAGGGGAGCATGGATGGAGGGAGGTTGGGGAGGCAGCCCGGGGGCGGTGGGGTTTAGGCAGTGGGAGACGTTGTGCTAAGAAAACTGGCCGCGAGACGGTGTGCACGCGTGCCGCTTAATAACTTCTAGCCCCTAGCGCCCAGCAACGTGCTTCAGCCCTCTCCCTCCTCCTCCCATCCCCCGCATGGCTCTCCGTATCCTTTACCCCACCCCTTCCTCCCCCTCCCTCTCACCGCCGCAAACAGCCTCTCCAGCCGCGCCACCGCCTCCTCCCTGCTCAGCGGCAGGCTGCCCAGCGCCTTCTCCAGCTGGAACCGCTGGTCCACCCGCCGAAGGAAGTAGCCGAACATCACGCTGGCGGCGTACACCTGGGCGAGGGGGGTGGGGTGAAAGACCTTGCCATACCATAGGAAGCCACAGATGGGGGCAAAGCAACGGGGATAGGAGACGGCAGGGGTGGGGTGGGGTGAGGGGAAGGTAACACCAGTCGCATGAAGGACGTCCAGCTCTCCCCGCCCTCCCCAAAACAATGCTCCTACGTAACGCCTCACGCTACAAACCTCTCCCCTACATCCCGCAGCCCCACCACCCCTCCACCAGCACCTGCGCCATCTGGAACTTGCTCATCTTGACGTACGCCGCGCTGTACGCTCCCGCCGCGGTTGGCCCCATGATCTGCAGCAGGTGTTCCCGCACCAGCTCCAGCGCCTCGCGGCTGTGCAGCCCCTCCGTGAGCGCCTTCAGGTTGGTCATGGGAGGGTCCACGAAGCCTGGGGGAGGGGGGGGAGGGGGGGAAGGAGGAGGGAAGCAGAGTCGCGTGTCCCGGGGGGCGCCGGGAGGCCCCACCCAGCCCCAGCCAAGGGCGTAGCAGCAGCAGGCGGCCCTGCTTACCCCCCCGCCCCAACCCCAACCCCCCCCTACCATCCATGCGCGGCAGCATGTCCACCCCCAGCATCAGGAACTTCTCCAGGATGGACACGTACATCAGGTCCTCCAGCGTGGCGCGCACCTCGCCCTCGCGGACCTCCTCCATGCGCCTGGAGGGGTGGGGGGGAGGGGTGGGGGGGTGGGGGGAGAGAAGTGGAGAAGGGTACGGTAGCGTCAGTAGGGTCAGCGGTGAATAAAAGGAAAGCAGTTGGACGGTGTATTTGATCTGGGTCGGGCTTGGGGTGGGTTCTGGCGAGTTGGTTTGAGTGCGGGGCAGTCACACCAGTTGATTCTCCCCACCCGCAGCTGTACACAGCGCCCGCCCCGCCCTGAGCTTCCCCTCTCGCCCCTCGCCCCTGCCCCCACGCCGCACCCTGCCTCCCCCCGGCCCCCCCCCCCCCCTTGTCAGCTACATGTACCACTATCACAACACACATTGGAATTTCTTTCCCCCTCCCCCCCCGCCCCACCTGTACAGCGCCAGTTGCGTGCTGTCCGGGTTGGCTGCCAGCTGCTGCTCCTTCTCCCGCTTGGCCTGCCGCTCGTCTCGCAGCTTGGCCAGCTGGCTGTCCACAGCCTCCTTGAACAGGTGCGGCTCCTAGAACAGGTGGGGCGGGAGGGAGAGGGACGGACGTGTTACCAGTAGGGTAGTGGCTGCAAACGCAGCATTGTGATACGATCGGACTGGGACTGGGAGGAGGAGGGGTGGGCAAGCCGTGCAACAGCCGTGCAGTTGGAGGAACGGCCCCAGGGTAGGCTTCAGCTATGTCGCCGTTGAGACTCACCATGCGGAGGTAGTATTGCAGCATTTCGCCGTAAGGAGTCTTGGGTTGGGCCGGAGCCTGCATGCAGCGCGTACACATCGCGGGTGTGCTGGCGGTTGGAGATGCTCAGCGTCGATGCGCAGTTGGTCGGGGCACAAACGCGTTGTGCGCAACCTACCAGCCCAAACTCCTTTGCGTCAGCGCGGACTCGCATGTTCCTTTTTGCAACGGAGCTGCGATGTACTGATGCCGCGCAGGGGCGAGCCCCTGTCCATGCCGGCCGGATTCCCCTACCGGTGTTGTGAATCCGCATCGCTGGAAGCATTTTATGCTAGCCCTTTACCAAGTCGCGTGGAAGGATGCCGTAGTTATGATTACTGGTACAGTTGAAAACCCAAGAATGCAAGGTCGACTTAATGGACCAGAGCGCTCGTAAAGGTAACTATATAGGTGAAACGGTTGGATAAAGATAATCTAGGTATGGCTTATGATGTGAAGTTAGCGCACTTGTAGTGAAAGGTAAGGCCTTCTGGAAGGTCTGAATGTGTGGTGGGTGGTTCCTACGTGGCTTTCCTAGCGCGTATTGTAGAAAGTAACAGTTTCGGTCAGAAGCATATGCTTCTGTTGCTTATTGCAGTCCTTTGTCCTTTTAGGGTTGTCTTACGTTGCATACGGTACCATATGTCGGAATTCCGCAAGGAGTAACGCTTCATAAATAGCATAGACATAGCCCTGAAAACAACAATAGTTACAAATGACGCCGCCTAAAAGCAAAAAGCCTAGAACTGGTGCGCTTTCGCACGTCAAACTTCAAGCTTTTGCGGACGAGCCCAGCGACGATGAACCAGATCCCGTTGTGCTGGCTAACGAGCTGAAGGTCAGAAGAAGATCCCTGCCTTGGCGTGGGGACTGGACCAGGGCTGGCAAGAAGCGGCATGTTGCAAAAGTCCCGTCACTTGCCGTACATCAGGTCCCGCTGAAAGGGGCTATCCAGGCAGTCGGCGGCTAAGGGGCTACCGTGACTCTGCTGTTGAGACCGAAGAGGAAACTTGGTAGTACACCCACTGTTATGCTCAGCGACTTTACCCTCCTAACCCACCCTCCCTCGACTCCTAGCTGGGTCACAGCAGCCCCAGCCATCCACAAGCCCCCTGCCAGAACCCACACACCCACTCCGCCTGCCCACACGACCACACACGCCCCCCATGCGTGTCTCCCCGACCCTTGTCGTACCGGACGATTACCTGTACCGTATTCAGGATCGCGGGCAGGCTGCTGCTGCGGAGGGCCGCTTCTCCGAGGCCCGGCCGCTGCTGGGGCAGGCGGTGCGGCTGCTGCCGGGGTGCGCCGAGCTGCATGAGCTGCACTCGCAGGTGGGGGCGGGGTGGTGGTGGTGAGGGACAGGCGAGGAGGAAGAAGCAAAGGAACTAGCCGTCAGGAAGTACCAGAACTGACCGTTGGGGAGGGTGGGGTACTGCAGCGGGGTGAGGTGCGCAATCGCCTGCCGTACCACACACCCCTCCAACAACCCCCTCCAGCCCCCTCCCCATCCGATCGCTCCTCCGCCCGCACCAATCCTTCCATCACCCTCGCCGCCCTCACCTCTGCCCGCCACCCGCCCGTGTCCCACCAGGTGCTCCGGGAGCTGGGCAGCTCCTGGGAGGCGGTGCGGGCCGCGGGGCGGGCGGTGCAGCTGCGGCCCACCTGGGCTGAGGCGCACCTGGCGCTGGGGCGGGCGCAAGTGAACCTGGGGGAGGTGAGGGGGGGCCGAGGAGGGTGGTGCGGTTCGGTACGGTAGGTGGGTAACGGTGTGATGAAGTACCGGTTGAGGTTGGTGATAGTCCTTGGGGTAGATGGATGGGCATAAGGGTGTTGTGAGTAGTGGTCAGTAAACTTGTTTTTCATGCTTTCCTTGAAGCGGGCTACTGTACTGTACTGCGTGCGGCGGCGAGGCGCCCAATTCACACGTACCGCACTGACAGACTGACCCCCGGGTCACATGGGCCGCACCCTCACCCGCACCCACCTCCCGCACAGCCCGTCCTAGCGGAGGCATCCTATGAGCGAGCACTGGAGTGTTGGCATGCGGGTGGCGAGCAGCATCCCCCTGAGGAGCCCGCCGCCGCCGCCGCACCTTCCCCCTCCGCCGCCGCCCCTCCCCCCTCCGCCGCCTCCTCCAGCTGGGATGCGGTGGTGGTTTCGGAGCTGCGGGAGGTCCGGGTGCTGGCGGCTCGTCAGCGGGCACTGGGGCCGGGGGTGCGGGCGCATGTTGTGGCCGGGGGTGGGGAGGGTGTAGCAGGAGAGGGAGAAGGAGCAGTAGGGCAGGGAGCAGTAGGGCAGGGCGCAGCAGTGAAGTCTGTAGGAGGAGAAGAAGAGGGAGCAGCAGGCCCAGCAGCAGCAGGGCAGGGCGCAGCAGGGCCGGGCGTTGGAGTTGGAAGCGGGGGCGGAGGAGCGTCTGAGTCGGGCATGGAGGCGGGTGGGGAGGAGCAGGGAGAGGGAGGGGTTGGTGGTGGGCTGGAGGCGGGGGGTCAAAGAAGCACCAAGCCTGGAGGGAGGAGGGGGCAGGAGGAGGGTTTGGAGGCGGGTGTTGGGAAAGGTGGGGCGGATGAGGGAGGTGCGGTGAGGGCGGGTGGAGGGGTAGCAGGCGGTGGAGGAGGGGGTGAAGGAGGGGAGGAAGTGGCTGCCGGGGTGGAGGGCGGGCTGGAATGAGGAGGTACCGTGGCGTTGTGGCTGTCAATTTGGCTTGCGTGTGGCTCTTGGTTGTTGCAGTGACACCGGGAAGACGTATTTTCTGTTGACACTACTGGGGGTATCGATGTCGGTATCGCGTCGTACATGTAACTTCCCTCGAGCGGCTCGCAGCTTCCTCGTCAGCCCGCATACAGCCTCACAGCCCACATACAACCACATAGGGGTCCATGTATACCGGTACAGTAATTACACGGTACAGGCTTACTTGGACGGTCGCACTCCACTCGTTCAGACCTCGTCCCGCTGATGAAATGAGGACCGACAACCGCAGCTCTTGGGATTAAGGCATGCCCCCGCCTTCTTACCAGTACACACGCCTGCACAACATGGAATTGTACGATATCGTACGACAAACGTTCAAAGAAGGGTTGGTTTTTGTTGGGGAGCTAATGTAAGCTCACCAGCGACAATAACAACAATAGCTGTTTATGCACCAACGCGGGAAAAGAGTTTTCAAATGCCTCGAGTGCAACATCCGTTCTTTCGCCGTCCTACTATCCGTACCATGCGGCGCAGCTTTGGCTGTAAGCACTGGCCAACCCGCACAACCGCAACTCCTGCTCCTCATGTGGCTCGCCATGTGCGCCAAGTAATATGCTACATACACACAACACGCAGCCAGCCGACACGCGAACGCCCGGGGCGGCTTTAACACCGGTACATCATTATTAAGCACCCGTACTGCCGTACATTGTCCACACGAGGCAGTACTCCGAAGCAGCGTTGCGAAGGGGCGGCAGTACAGCAGCAACACGCGGGCAGGGGCTGCTGCGCCGGCTGCCCAAGCTGCCCCCCAGCTGCCGCCCCCACCTTCTCAGCGCACCAGTCACACCTACCACCCAACGCCCCACCGAACCGCCCACCTCGTACGACCGGGCCGCCCGCACACCAACACACAGCACTCAAGCTCTTAAGTCCTTAACACCACCCCCACGCCCCCAGACCGCTAGACCGCTAGACCGTTCTTCCTCCCCCCTCCCCTCAGAACACCAGCCTCGCCGCCTCCTCCCCCTTCGCAAAGTCCACCGAACCGCTCTCCAGCGGTCGCATCAGGAAGATGCCCACCACCTCCGCCACCATCCGCTCCAACAGCACAGCGGCAACCAGCGGACGCAGCGGTCCCGGCACCTGCCACTGCTGCTGCTGCTGGAGGGGCCCTTGCGTCTTCTGGCCACGGTCCTCCTCCCCGTGTGCTGCTGCTGTTGCGGGGGATGCGGAGGCCGGTGCTGCTGCTGGTGGTGCCGATGCTGCTGCTGCCGGTGTTGCTGCTGGTGCCCCCTCAAAGAGGTCCTGCAGTCGGGTGTTGAGGGCGACCAGGCGGTCCATGCGGGGGAAGAAGTCGGGGTGCTGCACATCGGGTACGGCGGGGAAGATGCGCGCGGTGGCCTTGTTGGTCTCGATGATGACTGTGGGGTGAGAGGGTGGGGCGGGATGGGAATTGCGTTGTTGGGTTTGGAACACGTTGGGTGTTGCCTGGACGTGCAGCAAGTCTGCCCGTTGGTCTGCCTGCCCGCATACCCCCCCTCCCGCGTTTCGCCTTCCTTGCCTATAAGTGCTGTAACCCCTTCTTTACCCTCAGCACCCCCGCCCCCTCACCATGCTGGTTGAACTGCGTGGTATTCAGTCCCAGGGCGCTGTAGAACGCGGACCGTTGGTGGTCGTTGAGGTACATGGTGATGTAGACGGACAGGCAGAAGAACCGCGCCCACAGCTTGCCGGTCCAGTCGTACAGCATGTGGGGCTGCGACTTGAGCACCGCGGTGAAGAAGTCGCCTGTGGGGGCGAGGTGAGGAGGGAGGAGGAAAGGGGGGGGGAGGAGTTGAGGAGAGGGAGGGGGGAAGAGGAATGAAGGAGGAGGAGTGGGGCGGGGATGAGGCGATGGTGGGGTTGGGGCACTGAGTCACCGGGTACGATGAAGGCATGAAAACACAGGCAGAGGAAAGAGCATTGCCAATGAGCCTGGGATCAAATCCGGGATGACGAGGCTATTCAACTACGAAGACGTATATAGCGGCGGATACCCGCATGCTGTGCGGCCAAAACTGGACTTAATGTATGCATGGGCGTAACACTGACCCATGGGTCATCACCCGCATCACAGCTCAGAAAATGATTACCACAACTCCCGCCCTCCCAAGACAAGGCTCTCACCATGTCGGTTCTCGTCCTGGCACCAGTTCTCGAAGTACTCGAACAGCGGGTAGAGCTGCTTGTCGGGGTTGCGCTGCAGGTGGCGGTAGATGGTGATGTAGCTGGGGGGGAGGGATGGAAGGGAAGCAGAGGGAGGCGAACAGGGGGTGGTTTGGACTTTGGAGGGAGCCGGTTAAGTGTGACAATATTTAATATAAACGTGATAAAGGAGCCACATGGGGCTGAGGCATTGGCCACCGCCGCCGTCCCCCACATGTACATGCGTTCACGTGTTTCCTTCTAAAAACCAGAGTAACGGTCATCCATCCAGCCTCACGTACCGCCAGTATCCAATTTTCTCGGACAGGTACGTCGCGTAGAAAATGAACTTGGGCTTGAAAAAGGTGTAGGAGCGGTTCTTAGTCAGGAAGCCCAGGTCCAGCGCGAGGTTAAAGTCGGACATGGCTTTGTTTAAAAAGCCGGCGTGGCGGGCCTCATCGCGTGACATGAGCGTAAAAATTTCTGCGACAGTTGGGTTGGCGGTCTTCAGCCGGCGGCCCAGCTCCTTATACAGCAGGAAGCCGGAGAACTCGGCGGTGCAGGAACGTTCCAGGAACTCGATGAAGATCTTGCGGGTGTCGCCGGTGACCTTCTCGGCAGCAGCCTTGAAAGTCTGCGCAAAGCAAGACGGCACACGCAAGCAAGCAACATCCGCCGTTGTCGAAATACGGTAGGTTCAACGGCAAGCACGCCCACAACTTCACACAGCCGGATAGAATGCAACACACACGTGTAAGGCAACGTAGCAGGGGCCCCTTGGGTTACATTATCAAAGTGCTGTCAATCGCAGACGTGCTAGCTAGCAAGGTCCAGCAGCAGAACGCACCTCGTTGCGGACAAAGTGGCATTTGTTGTAGTCCGTCTTAAATTCTGTGAGGATCGCCTCAAACTCCTCCATGTTCAGCTCCTTGTTCAGCTCCAGGCTGAACAGCCGCTCCATTTCTTCAAAGTCAGTCGTGTAGAAGCGCGGAGTAAGCAGCGACTCCTCTGCCGCGACTTTAATGCCTTCACGCATCGTCTTGAAGCCCAGATCCTGCTGGTCAGGAGCGGCTGTGGCGGCAACGCGGACGGTGCTGCGGCTGGGCTTGACCACGGCAGCACGGGCGGCCGCGGGCACACGAGCAGCAGCAGGCACACGAGCGGCGGTGCCGCTGTTTGCAACGCGCCTGCCTAGGAGAGCCATTTTCTTGTGTTTACTCGGGCTACTGTAGCAGCAAGACAGCTTGGAAGATGCAACAAAGATGGGAATATGGGTGTTGCAAGCGATTGTTGGTACGGCCGAGATCCACAAACAGATACACCGAGATACAAAGCCTACTACGCCTCGACAACGACGAATGCCAGTAGGACCGAGGCTGTTACAGCCGACTCGCCAATTCGCAGTGGCTGTAGGGTCAAGCAGTAAAGCCACCCGTCGTCTGCCGCGTGATTTTGCAAAGAGGCAAGGGTCTAAACTCGTCTCTCAATAGTGCTGGTCCTGCTCCTCTAAGCAAGCACCGTAACTCCAATTGTAGCGTGCATGCCACTGTAGCCGATGCTCGGCAACTGCTTTACTAACATAGTACGTTAACATTACACATACGTTGGCTTGGCGTGCAAGCATACGGCTGCAAGTAGCCTGTCATTGCTACGGTCACAGCCCAGTCGTCCAATTTTAGACATGCTACCGAAGCGCATAAAGTATAGTTTACAGAAGCTTGGAGCTTGGGGAAAAGGGTATGACCGATTGCTGAGGCCTGAGGGTGACTTGCCTACCAGTATTCAAACCAGCCTGACGAAGACTGCCCTGAGCGTGGGGCGCACCCAGCAAACAAGCGTGTTACCCACACTGTGCATGTAAAGCACAATCCCGCACTAACTCGCAAAGGCAGCAGCATGCCGCGGTGTCTCTCACCCCACATCAGCCACCACGCGAGCAGCCCACCTCCAAGCACTTTGTGCTTCGCCGATTCGCACAACTAAATGTACAAAGCGGCTCATGCGTGCCGCATGAAACTACGTACGTGCACACACAACACCAGGACGTTTGCAGTACACATCTTAGCAGCCGGCCATTTTACCGTACAACCTCCGGCCGCATGAAATCCGGTGGATGTACTACTGCCCACAATCTTGTCTACCGGTACTCGCCCGGTGTGTTTTAAATTGATGTCGTAGATAGCACCGATACCAGGTACAGAGAGCGGGAGAAACCCGCGCTGCCTCGACCCTCCACGTCATGCCACGTCATGCGTACAAAAGGCTGTGCATCCGCTGGGGACTAAACTAGGCTACACGCGCTGCCTAGTTCACCCATTTGTTGATGTCAGCCTACCTCGCCCAGCCGGTACCAGCCTGTCCTAGCTTACCTAGCTTCCTGTCCTACCGGTAGCTGACATGCGATTGCCGAGATCTTCTGTGGGTGTCAGCCTACCTCTACCAGGCGCCCATGGTAGCAGCCTGTCCCGCTTGCCACACGGCGTGCCGAAGCATCCAAGCTACACAGCTGCCCTTCTCCTACAGGGACCCATCACAATGCACCGATGCACGCACATGCCGCTACGCAACCAGCCTGCACAACTGCACAACTGCACACCGCCTTTGCAGCCTACATGCATACCGTACAAGATACAACCAAAGCCGCATACCCTGCTCTGCTCCCTTTTCCACTCTCGCCCTCCACTCGTCCCTCCCACTCGCCCCAGACTGCTTTCCCTCCCTCCCTACAGCAGCTCCCACTCCTCTAGCTGCTGCTGCTTCGACCCCACCACACCCCCACCCCCAGCCGCCGCACCCGCCTTCCGCTGCCCCGCCCCCCCGGCAGCCGCCCCCTCCTCCTCGTCCAGCAGCCCCTCCCCTAGTCCCGCTGCACCCCCCTCCGACTGCTGCTGCTCCGGTCGCCCTCCCTGCTCCTCCTCCTCCTCCTCCCGCTCCGGCTCCTGCTCCGCCAGTGTCATGAGGGGTGCGGCGCTGTGTTGCCGAGAGAGGGCCTCCAGCCGCGTAAAGAGGTCCTCCAGGTCGTCTGACGGGGGACAAGATGGGGGAATGGGGGCATGGGAGCGGAGGTGGGAGATGGGAGGGGAGCGGGGTTCAGGCAAGGAAAGGGAGGTGTGAGGATGTGAAGAGGTGCGGATTGCGGCGGGCCCGTTGCACGTTGCATGACACCCTCCCACCTCCCTCCCCGCCCGCACCCCTCACCTGGTCCCGTACACAGGAAGCCCAGTGCCATGGAGGGGTCCAGGGAGGAGCCCGGCAGCAGTCGCACCACCTCGCAAAAGTAGCTACACAGCGCAGCCGCCGGCAGCACCGCACCCGACCCCGCTGCCCCCGCTGTTGCTGCTGTCGCACCGCTGGAACCCCCACTACCGCCTACTCCACCACAGCAGCTGCTAGTAGACCCCCCGGCGGTGGCGGCAGTGTGCGGCTCCCCGGCTGCTGGTGCTGCTGCTGCACCAGCCACACCTCCCGGCGCCCCCGAGCAGGGTGCAGCTGCCGGCGGTGGCAGCGGGGGCCGCACCGCGGGTTGCGCCTCGTGCGGGTCCAGGTACAGGAACGCCGCCTCCTGGGTGCCGCAGAGGTAGAGGGAGGCGCTGGGGCGGCCCCCGATGATGCCCACGCTGTGCGGCCAGGAGAGCACCTGCTGCAGCTGAGGCAGGTAGACGGGGTTGAGCTGGGGGGCGGGGGGGGAGGGGCGGGAAGAGGGGATAAAGGAGGAGGGAAGAGCAGCGGGGGAGGAGGAGGGGGCTGAGGTTAGCCGGGAATGAGACCTCACGGACTTGCGCGGCATCACCGCCACACTTGCTGAGCCTCCTCGTCGTGCTTCAGCCGTCGTGCTTCCCCGCAACAATAAGACCAGCAGCACCAGCACCAATAGCAACCTCTCCTCTCACCTTTTCCATTCCCAGCGTCAGCGGCACCAGCAGCAACACCGGTGCATGACGCGACGAGGGGGGTGAAGCACCCTGCTGCTGCTGCTGCCCTGGGTGCTCCGCTTTCGTGCTGGCTGCCCCACAAGACGGCCCCTCTCCACCACCGCTGCCTCCTCCCAAGCCACCACCAGCAGCTTCAGCTGCTGCTCCTTTCCTCCCGTCCGTTGGCCCGTTGACCGCCTCCGTGCCATGGCTTTCCTCTCCGTCCTGGCCGCTGTTGGCGCCACCACCGCCTCCAGGCGGCCTGCTGCTCCTCCCGCTGCCCGTGCAGGCAGGGTCCTCCTCATCGCACGTCACAGGCCCCACTGCTGGGTTCGCTGCTGCCCCGGTAGCGCTCCCCCTCCCTTCCGTTGCCACCCCATGGCGCTTCCCAGCCGGAAGCCCCTGCCCCTCCCCCTCCTGGCAGCAGCCCCTAGATGGGCTGCTTGCGGACGCGGTGCCGCTACAACCGGTACGGCAGGAGGAGTGATCCTGACCCAATCCTGATCCTCCGTGCCGTGACTCCTGATGCTGCTGCTGCGTTGTCTGAGGCCCCTGCTGGGTGGATGCTGCTGCTGCTCCCGCCTCTGTCGTCACTGCTGCTGCCACTTGGGCTCGAATGCTGTTCTTGTAGAGCTCAGGAGCGCCGCCGCCTGAGCCGCAGGCGACGTGGAGACGCAGACCCATGGGTCGTTTGTCGCCGAGCTGTCGAAACAGCGCGTCCAGGGCCTTGCACAGCATCCAGGGTCCCACCCAGCGGCCGGGCACGATTCTGGGTCGGAGGGTAAGGTGGGCGGGGTAGCAGCAGGGCATGGCAGCGGGTGTTGTAGGTGGGGAGTACTGGGAATGGACGGGCCTTGACGGAACTGCAGTGACAGCCCCGAACATTGGTACAGCAAAGCGCTTAAAGTTGCAGTAAGAAGAGGGGAGGAAAGCGTGTTGCTGCATATGCATGGCGTACAATGCCAGGGACTGACCCTGCCGGGCCGCCAGCTGCGCAGATGTTGTGGATGGAGAGCGGCGCATCGGGGTGGTCTAGGAAAAGTTGGACGACCGGCTGGACGTCATCGAGCTTGTTCGCTGTTCTGTTCCAGTTTCGTCCAAGAGCGATACGCGCCACGGCCTGCAGGAAACGTTGGTTAAGCTAAGCATTGCTCGCGAAACGGCATTGCCACGGCAAGCGTACCTCCGCTAGCAGCATCTGTCCGCTGCGAATCGTGCAGCCCCATCCAACGTCACTGGTTAGCTGAGAAGGCCCTGCTCGAAGAGAAGCTGATAAGCGCCAGGCAACCGCATTGAGAACCCTACTGTGCTGTCTTACCGAGCGAAGCGAAGTCCTTGCGGTAGGTAAGCCATAACCGCGATCTGAAGTCCTCCAACATAGCTTCTAAAGACTGCGGAAAATCAGCGTGACCGTTCGCAGTGTCTCGCGGTTGACGTGTGCTTTTTGCCCAGAACAATTACCTCAGGGTCCAAGGCGTTCACGTCGGTGTCTCTATTCCTAGCACCATAGTAGATGCCAAGAAGCCAGGCGGGGTGTTGCGAAAGGCTGGTAGCGCCCTGGAGGGAACCGACGGAGGTCAACTTGCTTCCCCAAGGCCGCGAAGAGCGTCTGCAATAACTTCTCACATGCATAATGTCCGCAAGCTTTCGTAGACTAAGCACCTGACTCATGTTGAACGCAAGCTGCGTGAACTTCAGGTAAAAGGACTCGGTCGAGGTCAAGGTTTTAGTTCCTGATCCGCAGCTCATGACCAAGCAACCCTACAATGCTAAGTCGAATGCATACGCAGCAGCCAGCTTAGCAGATCAACACAGGGGAAGCGTAAACGTAGAAGGAGGCACGCTCCAAGGTCAGCAAATGCCGTGTGCGTGTTTGTTAACTTTGTGCGGAGCTTGTATTCAAGGCACATACGCATCTAAAGCTTTGGTTTGCTCTGGTGCAACACCTGCCAATTACCGGTCTCTGTACGGTACGGAGCTCTATATACGCACATGATGACGCCAGCCCTGATGTTTGTTGCTCTGCTAGCTATTGGTACTCATTCTTATCCTTAAGTCAAGTCTTTCCTGGCTTTTGGTTCCAACAGCCCTTGCGGCCGCTGGACGGCTTGCCTGTCTTTGCGGCCGCGTGTTGGCTTAAAAGACTTTCCAATTATCTTGTAGTTGACTTTTCTAGCATCTAGCACATGGACGAGTGGGGAGGAAGCGGGGGAGGCTACCGCCCTCGAGGTCCCAGAGGAGGCTTTGGAGGTGGAGGTGGCCGATATAATGACAATTATTATGGAGGAAGAGGCGGCAGGGGAGGCGGCAATTACTATGAAGGAGGAGGCAGAGGCGGGTATTACGATGGCCCACCTAATCGAGGAGGCCAAAGCGGTCGAGGAGGTTACAACGATGGTTACCAGGGCGGCGGATATCAAGGCGGAGGTTACCAGGGCGGTGGATACCAAGGCGGTGGTGGCTATCAAGGAGGCAGCTATCGGGGCGGTGGAGGCGGGCGATTCAATGATGGTGGATCTAGACGCGGTTTCCGCGGGGGTCGCTCCTGGAACCACGCGGGTAGGGATTCATGACCAGCTTGACTACCCAGCACTTTCCTCGCTGCAAACCTCGCGGCAGTAGCTGACGGGCGGGAGGTTACAACGGTTGGTTGCAGGGCAAAAGCGGCAGCAGCAGCCGCAGCAGTACAACGCCAACCCGCCTCCCAACCTCGCCCTCGTCAAAACCATCCAAGCGCACGCGGGCGCGGTTACCTGCATCGCTTACGACCAAGCAACCAACGCGGTAAGAACGCATCTGCAGTACAAACATACATCTGCCCTTGCACAACAGAGTTATGTAGCTTGGTTCCTTCTCCTTCCCCAAGCAAGCATGCAAAGCCCCTGCCCGGTTCCTCGCTATGTGGGTCACTGCACGCCGGGTGTCCAGCACGACGCTTGCAGTGCCTTCACTCCCTCTTTTCGACACCGTCTTTCCCTCCCTCCCTCTCTCCTCCCTCTCTCCTCACTCTCGGCCTCAGCTCTTCACGGGCTCCAAGGATGGGAAGATCAAGCAGTGGGACTGCAACTCGGGGCAGGTGGGTGCAAGGGGCGCAGGGGGCTCTAGCTATACGAGCACGCCATGCAGCCCGCTGCACGACTGGGCAGGGACCAGGGAGGACCTCCCACGTGGTCGTCCCAGCAGCAGCAGCAGCAGGTTGCTGGCCGGGAAGGAAGGGACTGACGGCACCTCTGACGGCAGCAGCAGCAGGCAACTCCTTGACACATGCGGCGCAGCATGCTATTGTTTCACTGAACCGGGAGCTCCCCTTGCTTGCTTGCTTGGTTGCCTGGCGCCGTATAATGACCCTAGTGCCCGCCCCTCGTAACACCCTCAGTGCTACCCCTGTCAGCCCCACCCACCCCCACACCCTGCTGCTCCCCCTCCTCAACCCATGGATCCTCATCTGCCCTCCCTCCCTCCCGCCCCTCCCCCCCTCCCCCCCTCCCGCCCCTCAGGTGGTCCACGAGGAGACCCTGAGCGGCCAGGTGGACGCCATCCTGTTCATCCAGGGCTTCCTGTTCGTGGGCTACGTGAAGGGCTCCGACCCGCGCAACCAGGAGGGCATCATCAACTTCTACAACACGGCAGCGGGGAAAACACAGCTCATCCCCGGACACAGGGTGAGGCGCGGTGGGGGTAGCGGTGGTGGCGGTGGCGATGGGGGGTTGGGGGTGATGGCGGTGGCATGGTTGGTGGTCTTTGTTACTAAGGCCATCTATCAAGCCATCTAATGGTCTATTACCACTAAGAGAAGCACGTCGCTCCCTTCCCCTTCCCTTCCCCTCCCTGCTCCGCACCTCCCCCCCCCCTCCCCCCACACACGCAGGGCCACATCAACCAGCTGATGGCCGCCAACAACCTGCTGTTCAGCTGCGGCACGGACGGCAGCATCCGCGTGTGGGGCATGGAGGGGGAGGCGTTTGTGTGCAAGGTAGGTGGGGGGCATGGAGGGGGGAGTGGGGGGCACGCGGGCTGAGCGCTAAACGTGGGAGCAGGGTGAAGGCAAACAACCGATCAACACAATGATGAATGACTATCACTGGGAGTGGAGAGGGGGCCATGGGTCCGTAATGTGCATGAGGTGGGCCCCCCACTGCGCCAGCCGCCCACCTTCCCGCCCCCTCTCCTCCTCCTAACCCTGTCTTTGCCTCCCTCCCTCCCCCTTTCCCCTCCTGCAGCTCATACTCGACTCGGACAAGGGCGGCCACACGCACCCCATCTACTGCATCGAGATGATCAACGGCTTCCTGGTATCAGGCGACTCCGCGGGCTGCCTCAAGGTGCGTGTCGCCCTGCCTGCCTGCACCCCTGCACACCTGCCCTTCCACCCGCCTTTTGCCCCCCTGCTGCCTACCTGTCTGCCTACACACCTGCTCACCCGCCCGCCTGCCCACCCGCCCACCCGCTCCTGCTGCAGATCTGGGACAGCGCCTCGGGGACGTGCACCCAGACCCTGCAGGCCGCCCACAGCGGCATCATCTCGTCCATACTGCAGTACGGGGTGAGTGGCAGCAGCAGCAGCAGCAGCAGCTCTGAAGCAGCAGTGGGACACTTGCGGCGACTGCGAGAGAACCGCTCGTTGAAGCACACACGATGTGCGGGCCATGCAGCTACGCTATCTTTGCGAACCTTGCTTGAGGACAACGCCCTGCACAACTACCGGTGGTGTATTTGGGTCACATCCCCACCTTTGCTAAGCCTGCAGCCACCGATGGCAACGCACCATGGACACCTGCCGTACCGTCTCCTAATGACCCATACGCGTTACCCATGGGTCACTTGCTCTTCACTCCCTCCTCCTCCCCCGCAACGCAGAAGAACATCCTCACCGGGTCCGCGGACGGCAGCATGAAGGTGTGGGAGCTCAACGAGCCCGTCATGCCGGGGGCGGTGGTGAAGCCCGACCCCATCGACCGCTACTTTGGAGACGCCTCCGACTCGGGTGGCGGAGGAGGAGGTCGGGGCGGGGGGCCGGGGAGGTACCGACAGGTGCGTTGGGGGGGGGAGAGAGAGGACTGAGAGGAGCAGACGCAAGGATGGATGGTTGCTGACATGCGTTCGTGCACCCGGGGAAGGGGAAGGAAACAAGGGATAGCGTACTCCGTGGGGAGGGTAAACACTTCCCTCCCTCCTCTCCTCCCCAATCCCCCCTCCAGGGCAGCCCCAACGCCATCCTCACCATGGACGGCACCCCCGACAAGAAGGGCGAGAGCATGCTGGCCATCTCCTCGCTGTACGACGGAGTGCGGGTGTTCAACGTGGATCAGAACATGGCGCTGCTGGGCAGCCTGCCGGAGGTGAGGGAGGGGAGGGGAGGGGGAAGAGATTGGGGGAAGGGCCGAAACGGTGTTGACCCCTCCCCCCTTGGTGCCGACCCACATCACCTGACTCCGTCCCTCCTCTCCCAACCCTCCCAACCCGGCCCTCTCGCTTTCCCCTGCAGGTGGAGGTGTCTCGGGCCATCACCAGCATCCCCGGGGCCGCCATCTTTGTGGGGGACGACAAGGGTCAGGTGCACATCTTCTCATGGACAAGTTGACAGGAGGGAGCGCCCCTTCCTTCCTTCCTTCCCACAGCATCCGCATGCCGCATCCTCCTCTCGTGCTCCTCCTCCTCTCCTAGCCATGGGCCGCTGCTTGCTGCCCAGCCACCCAGACAACAGCTAGCTGCCCTGCACAAGCCGCAAGCGCACACCTTCCGCCTTTTAAGATGGAGCCCCTGCATGCGCCGTCATCCGCAGTCGTGATGTGGGTCGGCGATGGGGAAGCGGGCTGAGGGAAGGGAGCTCTGCACGCCTGGACGTAACCCCGGCTGGTGTAGTCATGCGCCGTGCGGCTTCTGCCAGGTGTTCATGGTTATCTTCTCAGGGAGGGGGGTTGATCATGGGGAGGCTCAGGGGGGGGTGATCATGGGGAGGGATGGAGAGCAGGAAGGAGGCCGTTTGGGACTCCGGATGCGGTTGCAGCTTGACGTTGGGCGTTACGATGTGTTGCAGGTTAAGAGGCGTAGGGGATGCCGCTGCTCGCTGTGAAGGGTTGCTTGCGGGCGGAGAGCATGTGGCCCGCGTTGCAAGGTGTTGATGTCCGGATGACCCTGATTGGGGGTTTCTTGGGCATGTGTTTGCACGATTGGGGTGCTATAGGTGGTTGGCATTCTCCTAGCGCGCTGAGGATGGGTTTGTCTTTGGTAACAGTAGCAGTTGACGCTGTGGGCTGGGTAGCCCACTTTCATGGCTTTCAGGACGTGTAGGTGAGATGTTCGCGTCGAGCGGACGCAGGAGTGTGTCTTTGCGGACAAACATGGAGGCGTGTTCATCGGCCCTGGAAACCAGGTTAGGGGGGGTGCGGGTGCAGACACAATAGGACAGGTTGTTAAGCAGAGCGTTGACGACGCATACAGGGGGGTTGGCGTGTACAAACGTATTATAGAAAACTGCGGGGATTTCATGTTTTTGAGGAGAAGGCAACAAGCTTGGCCGCATGAGGAGGGAGAGCAAGGCCGCGTGTGCCACGTGTTAAGGAGTGAAGGCGACACAGACAGGCGGATGCCTTACACATGAAGGAGGAACGCACGGTGTGGGGGAGTTCTAGACGTCAACCAACCAATCCGAGGGCGGTTTGCGCACGTGTACTTGTAACATTGATGATTGCGACACGCGACATTCTGAGGAAACAGAGATGCTACCAACCGAGATGTTGTCTCCTAATACTAACCGTCCCCCCTCACTAATAGTCTCCATCCGCAAGGCCAGTGTAGTGCACGCACAGGACTCAGTTCGTTCGCAATTCACATGGCTCAAGACCCTAGTGAACCCAATTCACAAGGCGCCACACTCCTCCCCTCTTCATCGCCTCGTTACCGTTACTTGAAAAGAGCGCATATGCAATATATGGGTACATCGAAATAGCATTCAACGCACAGGTCTCCCTAGCATGGTAGGCCTCTCCTACCGCGCCGTCTCAGCCCCCAAACACATCATCCGTCGAAACTGCACGCCGCTGCTCGACACACCGCAACTATGCAGCTTGCCGCAAATGCAGATCATGTACTTCTTCTCACCATGTGTTCATGCAGGGATGCAACCTGCACCGTGCTCGCATAGATTGATAAAGGAGCCGTCCGGCCGCCATCATTCTTCCACAAGCCTAGTCTCACCTTCCCCCAGGCCCCACACCCCACGCCATCAAACCAAGCGCCGAAGTGCACCCACCCCGCGCCGACAAACGCGTTTCCCCGTACGTTCAACATCACCTTGCAGTACCGTGTAATAGTCTTCCTTCGACACGGCATTCATCTTGCTGGCAGGCTCTTGTCATTTCCCCTCTTCAACCGCGACCAACCACTCCTAACCAAATCCTAACGAACAAACATAGCGCTGCCGACTGGACTGCCCCGAGTACTGCCCAGACTCCCAGCGGCAGTAGCAGCATGCCTTTTGCTTCCGAGCTGCGAAGATGCACGTGTTCAGAGAATTGACCGCGAGTCGAGATGCACGGGTGTGTGTTCTTGAAGTCAGCTCCTGCGGATGTCTGTGCACATGCCTCGCCATGCCCCCCCAGCATGCCAGCGCCTCCCTCCCGCATCACTCCTCACTCCCACCACCTCTCTTCCCACACAGCAAGCAACTGCATGACTACCACAACGGGAGCACAACCCAAGCAGCCAGCACCAGCAACCCCAATACTGGTGCCGCCAGCACAGCAGCAGCAGCGCTCTGAGCATTGGTTACTCGCGGGCCGCGCAAGGCGTTCCCCGCAGCACCTGTACAGTCAATGTGCAGGGAAACAGAATTCCTCCTTATTGGGGGGTCGTCCCCGTGCAAAAGGCGTTGGGCCGCAGTCAAAAGACACCGATAGACGTCCAAGCGAAGCACGGTTGAGCCCAGCCCGTAGCAGACAATTAGCCGTACCGGGGAGCCAAACCAGTGACGCTGATTCAAACACAAAATATCGACAGCCAGACCTCCCATATGAAAGCCCAACGTTCAGAGGATCCGCTATAGTGGTGCGCATGCAGATGGTCGCATATGCACATGCGCTCCCGGCCTCCCAACTCCACATGCATACATGCATGACTGCAAACCCCACCAGCCCGGCAGAGACCCCCGTCGTGCGTTCGCCAACCAGCTCCAGACCTTCCGGTGTTGCGGTGTTACGCGGAGCTGCAGCGGAGTCGTCCACATAGCAAGCCTCCGTAGTCAAACTGTCCTACCCTTGGAATGACGCCTCCCAACCCCAATAAGCGCAACCACAAGGAGCTATAAGGAGCTGCATTCAAACACAGGAGGCGATGACTACACCTACGCCGCCAATCCCACACATGAACCGCTGATAACAGAGCCCGCAACCAAGAACACGCTTACTCCGTCATTTGACCGCTTCCCTGCGACCCCCGCTTCCCACCACCTCCGCCTCCACGCCCCAGCACACCCTCGCTGCCGCGGGGCCCGCCACTCCCTCCCGCCACTCCGCTGTTGCTGCCGCCGGGGCCCTCGATCACACTCGTGACGCTGGGCTCAAGCCGCAGCCCGAGAGCTCCTACCCCTCCACCGAATCCGATTCCGCTGCTGCCCCCTACTCCTCCTCCTCCTCCTGTATGAGCCGCCCCGGTGGTGAGCTGCAGCAGCGTCTGCAGCGCCTCTGCGGGCAGTGTGACGGCGGAGATCTGCTGCTTGGCCTCCAGACGGCCCCGCAGCGAGGCGTTCTCCTCCTTGAGACCCGTGATCTCGCGCTCGTTGTCAGCAACCTGGGGGTGGGTTGGGTGATATCGGTGGGGAGTGTTAAGACCTTGGCAAGAGAGAATTGGTAACGGGAGGGAAGGAGGGATGAGGAGAAGAGCAGGAGCATGTGGGAAAGGGCAGGGGTGAGGATGAGGGGAAAGCTGTCCACTCCGCTGCCCATGTATGCGTTCCCCACCTTTTTCTGGAGGTCCTCCACGCGCTGTTTGAGGTTGGTGATGAGGTCTTTTTGCCGCTCACGGAACCGACGCTGGGCCTGCCTGTTCTTCTCCTTGGCGCTTTGCGTTAAACCCAGAACCTTCTCCCCTCCGTAGTCTCTCCGTCCGCTGCCGCGCACACTGGCAGGAGGGCTCTCGGATTCGCTGTGGGAGCGTCGGTCAAAGGGAGGAAATTGCCAGCCATTGAATTGTCAAACAGCTGTAACCATGAGGATACGAGCAGCATAGCAGCTGAATGTACCTGTTAGTTGGAGAGTCGATGCTTTGGGCCGGCTGTGGCACTGGCACCGGCTGTGGCGGAGGCAGCCGGTCTATTCTGCGCGACGCATGGATGTCTACCGCGGGGCCCATACGGGCTGTTGCCGGACCCGCTTGTGGGAAGTCATCATCTGGTTCCCGCATAGACTGCAGTATTGTTGCAGTAAGCATTTGGCGTATAGCGTCCTCGTGGACGTGGGGGCCTGGAGCAGGCGCATGGAAGTCACGCCTCTGATACGCGAGCTGCTGTTGGGCGAGCTCCTGCTCCCTCTGTTGGAGCTGCTGCTGCTGGTGGTGTCGGTGTAAGAACTGTGCAAGCAGCGCTTGCGTGACTTCATCTTCGCGAATGGCTTCTATGGGACGGCCACGACTAAGGACAGGAGGAGGCCTTTCCCGCTCTCTTTCAGCTGGAGGTACTAGTGCGTAGACCGCCCCGTTCTGGGTGACATAAAGTTGGCCAAGTCCGTCCATGTCTACAGTGGGTCTAACTATTTAAATTAGGGGACAACGTGCCTGCATTAGATGGTGTTGGGGTTCAGCAAAGGATAAAAACGCAAGCGTATGGTCCCTTAACCTTTGTTAACAATGGCCTGGTAATGTGATAGTCAAGGTTTACTACATGGTGTCACAATGACTACTGGCCGTACACCCAAGCCCATGTGACAGAAGCTATTGTGTTAAACCAATTAAGGTATTCCCCGCAATGCGGCGTGGGCAAGTTGGTCCGCAGGCCAACTGTGGTACAACTGTGCCTAATGCATTATATTGCCGACCTGTGCACAATTATTGTTCATGCTAAAAGTACTTATCGCAAGTCTGGCGTAGCTCATGTTAGAAACGTTCTTGTGCCGGGTAGGCGCCTTCCATAGTCCCCTACTCCCCTTCAGTCCAAGCTCGGACACATCTTTGTCATAAGTGTATTAGGCCATCTGAGTCCATCTACATATTTCCGCAAATTTCAATTGCGCAAAGGGTTTTCGTGCTTTTAACCTAAGTAACCCAAATAGGAAACCGTGCCAGTCGGCCCGGACCCAGACTCCATGTTTACCCAAAATTACCGCACATCCCGTGGTAGCTGTGAACGTGCACTAGGTGGTGCAAGGCCAGAAGTTCGGCTCAGCTAGCTAGGGCATTGAGGCACCCCTCAAACTCAGGAGCCCCCACCCTCTCCTGCTATTTGTCGCCTAGATAGCTGTGATGACCCGTGCCTGCGTTGCACTCCATATCCCTGGCCCCTTCAGTTCTCCGTTTCAGTTTTATGCTTGCACTTCTACTACCGGTACCGCTGCCCGTCCCCTTGGTGAGGCGCGCTTCTGGGCCACTGTTACTTCACAGCCCATGCTCCTTTCGCACAATTGTACAGCACAGCAGCCCTTACACACATGCGAAAATCTCCCACTTGCTTGCTCTTGTCCTACGCAACTACACATGCCATACCCTGGCATATGGTGCCCCTGCGGCTCAGCGTGGCCAACTCTTGATAGCTACGGTGCAAAATCAGAGCGGTATTGGGAAGTGGACTGGTACTTAGCACGGAGCGGTCAGCGGTGGGGGCTATGGATTGGAGCAACGCGTGACAGGCGGGTTAACATGATGCGCCCTTGAATGCGCTACGTGAAATGCCGCTTCCTTAGCATCGATTAGCTTACCTGCGTCCGTGACGCTATGACTATATAATGAGATGTACAGGAGCATCGGCGATCACTACGCGACTGGCACTCCCCGACTCAGCGGTTAGTAAAGGAGGTCATTGCGGCTGCAGCTTCGATTTGCACTGAGCCTTCTTGACTGTTCCATATTGTTTAAAGCGCACAGGTTTAGCCTATCAGCCAAATATGGTCTCATATTGGTTGATTCCGTTTTCTGCGTAGCCGTACATGGCATCATTTTGGCGACGCTGATGCCTTAGGCCAAACGTGCCAAACGCTCCAGTTACCAACAAACTGTCAACCTGCTCCACTCTGAACTGATTAACCTGCAGATAGAGCCATGACGTCCATATTAAACAACATGAATGGCACTACGACTAGCTTTCTGTTTGATAAGCTCTATGGAACCAAGCAGCACACCGCTGGTGCTGAACTCCAGTTACCTCGCAAGGTTCCTATGCGGGTCGAGCCCAAATCCTATTTTGGTGAGCCCTGTGCAGCTGTCTGAGCACAATTTAGCATTGGGGACTCATATAGTTAACTCGCACTACATATGCAGCTAATGAACGGACTTTCCTAAGCTGGATGGGAATGGCCATCACGCTCGGGGGCGTTTCCTCAGCCCTGGTGGGCTTTTCCGGGAGCTCGGAGGACGCGACAGAAAACTTGATATCGCAGCGCACGATCGATGTGGTTACTTGCATCTACTCGCCGCTGTCCGTCCTCATTATGTGCTACGCCCTGTTCACATTTGAGTGGCGCAGCAAATTCATGCGCACGAAGCAGGTATGCCGCATCATGGTATATTGGGAATCCGCCTAGCGTTAATGGAAAGGGGCGCGCAAGGGATGCGGCTGTGTGAGAGGGAGGGAGCAGCACATGAAAAAACCCTAGACATGGGAGGGTTTGCCAGCAGTTCTTTGCTCAGTAGGACAGGGACAGCGGCTCTTGCCATTCAACCTGCGTCTGCCCCTGCTTCTCTGCTAGGCGCAGACAATAGGGCTCCGCACCACATGGGCTCATGCATCCACCGTACACCCGCACGCGCCCTCACCCTTCATCCCCTCAATCCCTTTGCCCCTACCCACCTCCCCGCCTCCACCCCGCCTCTATTAAACCCTACTACTCCCCACCCGCCTGTATCCCACCCCCCGCCCCCAGATTGGCTTCTTCGACGACAAGGTCGGCCCCATCACGGTGGCGGTGCTGGTGCTGCTCACGCTGGTCACCATCTTCACGGTGGCGCTCATCGACTACCTCTTCTGAGGGCCTCTGCCTCCTCTTGTGAAAGGGGAGCAACCGCTCTTGTGGGGGGCTTGTGAGGGTCTCACTTGAGGGCCAACCCGCTGTGAGGATGCGGCTTCTCCGCTAGGCGGCGGATGAGTCGGCTCAGGAAGTGCTGGGGAGTCAGGAGGCGGCTGTTGCGATAGGTCGGAGGACGGGAGAAGGCGGCTTGGGAGGGTTCATGAGGGTCCAGAGTTGAGAGTGCGGATTAGGGCGTCCGTCGCGGGAATTGCGGGGGAGTAGAAGGCTACGACTGCGACTGCATAAATGCAAAAGCTGGCCGACCTGATCTGATTCGCCGCCTGTGGGTGCGCAGAGCAGAGCAGGGGCGGGCAGAGGAGGGGTGCTGCGATGGGGATTAGTTGTGGTGGTTATACGGTGTGCTTGCCTCGGACCATGGAATGCCTGCGGAGGCGGGTGGAAATGCCTGGACAGCTGTATAGCGGGGCTGTGGGAGGAGCTGAGTGATGTGGGGGGTTGCGGGTTGAGGGAGGCTTCTGATGCTGGACCGCCGTAGCCGCGGTGCGGGGTGGTGGTGGCAACGTGTGTCGTCTTGGGCATGCATGCATTTGGGATGACAGCTAGCTGCGCGCTGGCTGGGCGGTGTAATTTGTTTGCGGCTAGAAGGGAGCTGTGGTTGCTGACTTTTTGACCATATCGGTAGGGGGGGTTTGCCTTGCCGCGGAGTGCGCTGCCAGAGACAGAAGAGGGAGAGAGGTTAGAGGGCCAGAGAGGAACCAGAGAGGAACCGAACCGTGTGGTAACAATGCATGAGTGCGCCGAGTGGGGCGGCTGTCATTGGCGCGTGTGTGTGGCGTGTGGGGTGTCTTCAGCGGGGTGTGTCTTTGAGGCCTGCAGAGGAGGCCCCAGTCAACGGCGATATAGAAGTGGGAGAGCGGGTCAGGGCAGGTTGGCAGCTGCGTGAATCAACGAATGTGGACACAGTCTTGAGGCGCTCGCATGTGTGGAGAAACCTCCTCAAATGAAAGGAGTTTGTTTCTGTCTCCCCGCCTTGGAGCTCCAAAGCCTGAACAGTTTGCCTGCGGTTTACCTGCCGAAGAGGATCCTAACTGCGCGACGGTCTGTTTACATGGCTGTCACATCTGTTTGCTACACGCAGGGATGGTTAACTGGTTATGTATGTGTACGGAAGTGTTCGGAGTTGCACGAACGGAGCTGCGCAAGCTCCAACCTCAGCGTTGTTCGTTATGTACGACTACCGGTACCTTGCCCGGTGCTCCTACCAGCAAGAGGGAGTCTGTGCCTTGACCCATGAGGCACGCCATGCTCCGGGTTGTCGAGAGTATGTGGCTGGGTGAGTAGGAGGGTACGAGAGCCCCAATGCCAACCGGGCCCATGGGTCCGCCAAGCAGGGTCCCCAGGCACACATGCAATGAAAAATCTCTTTTTCATTTTTCACTACCGGGAGTTGGGCATAGAGATTATGCCCAACTCCCGGTAGTGAAAAGCAATGGTGCCAATACGGTAGTAACTATAGGCTGAATAACAGGAGCAAAATTTGACACCGGTAGGTGGTGCTCAGTCGTAAACAGGTAGTACTGGTAGTACATAGCAGCATCGAATATGGACCAATGAACAACAACAGCAAACACCCCCGACCAGCCGCGCCTCTGCGCTTGGTAACGCGACCACATGCCTGCAAAAGCCCGCGTTCTCCTCCTGCTGCAACAGCTCATGTACCCGCATCAGCTCCAACCCCGAAGCCCATATCCTCCGATGTCCGAGTCCCGCTTGCAAGGTAGAGCATCCTGCATCTTCTTCGCATGCACACCTCCCTTATTAGTCGGTCTAGTGTACATCCTGAACGGCTGCCTCCCTACCAGGCAGCTCATGTTGGGTCATGCACCCTCTCCCTCCTCACCCAGCATGCCTTCGCACCCCTGCAGCACACGCGAACTCTCCACTGCCCTCCTCCTCCGCCCCTTTCCCATGCAACGCCTCTATGCACCTCTTCCTAACCGTCCGCTTCCTCCGGCCCCCTCTTCTCCAAGCTCCAGCCCACCAGCATCATTGCCTTTGTAACCCTTGCACCCATCTTTCCATCAACCCACCACCCCACGGGTATTTCCTCGCGGCTCAGCTCACCTACCTGTACCACCGCCAACCCCACGCTCACAACTCCGCCCGCAACGGTACCTCCACCACGCACCAAGCTGCTGTACACGCCAACCTGCATCCTTCATCACCCCACCCCCCCAGGTTTCCTTATTGTTTTTACCACCACCCCCTCCCCACCGCCTGCCTCACAGCTTCGCCAGCAGCTCCAGCAGTCGTGCCGCCTGCTCGTCCAGCTTGGCCCGCAGCTCCTCGCTGGGCGCCGCCCGCACCCACGCCCGCACCCGCTCCGCCAGCCGCCCGCGCAGCAGCCGGAAGTGCGCTGTCACGATGTCCGCGGTGCCGGGGGGCGGGTGCAGCAGCGGGTCCACCATGGCGTGACGCATGACCAGGAGCTGGGGACAAAGGGGGGCGAGGGGAGAGGGAGGAGGAGGGGGGGGGCAAAATACCACAATTGGGCAAAACAATTGACTAATTGAGGAGGCGCGGGGGGGGGGGGAGGGTTTGAGGGTGGTAAGGAGAAAGAGGAGGTAAAGGGAGGGGGCTCTCTCCTTCCCCATGCATGGGGACTGCCTTGACTGGGGTGCGCGCAGGCAAGCAACGATAACACAAATCAGGCCTGCAGAGCAGTTCACTGCCCACTACCGCGATACCAATCAGTTCACCACCCACCTGCAGTCGTGCGTTGTACTCCGCGGTCTTGGCGGCTCCCTCCGCGGTGCCCGCCAGGGTCTCGCTGAGCGGCTCGTTGGTCATGGGGTCGTCCACCAGGATCTGACTCTGGACCGACATCAGAACCTGGGGGGGGCGGGGGGGGGGAATAAGTGACAAGTGAAGCAACGGAGTCCCAATCCCAAATCCCGACGCATGCGGGGGGGCGGGGTTGATAGGGATACAAGTATCGCATTAGGCTGGATTGTTGGGTCAGCGTAGGGCGAGGGGGCCGAACAAGAAAAGGTACGGGGGCAGGGAAGGGGGGAGGGCGTGCTTCTAGCTCGGAGTGGAAGGGGAAAAGCACTGGGGCAGCAGTGAACGACTCTTCCCTGGGGAAGAGGAGCCCCAGCATTCAGGGAGCAGGAGCGGAAGCAAGGGGGCGTGTTGCGGACATGCACGGGAGGAGGTAGCGGTCACGGTACATTAAGAGAAGCAGCAGCCATTGAAGAACGATTGCGGCGAGGCGACGCGAGCAACCAGGCAGCTGCTGCACGGCATGGGACTCTACCCGCGCACCTGGTAGATGGTGCTGAGTGAGGGGTTCCACTTCTCGCTGGCGTGACCGGAGTTGTAGGTGCCCAGCAGCGACAGGCACACCTGCGGCAGGTGGAGGTGGAGGTGAAAATGAGTTAGGGAGAGGTAGGAATGAGTTAGGGGACGAGCGGAGGATTGGAGCATTTGAAGGGAATCAATTAGTCACCCACCTTCAACCGCAACCACACGCATGACCGCCCAGATCGGGTCCCTGCTGACCACTTTTTTCTTGTCTTCTCCGCCCCCTCCCCCACCACCCACCACAGCTCGTCAGTTTCCTCTTTTTACCCCCCTCCCCACCACCACCACACCCTCACAGCCCCTCACCCGCCCCACCTACCTTGCCATCCGCGTACAGGTTGGGGTTGTACCGTGCCTTGCCGCCCCCCGTGTTGTACACCATCATGACGGGCGGGTCGCTGGGGTAGCCGGCGGGGCAGAAGATGTCGAACACGAACAACCCGCCCTCGTAGGGGGTGCCCTGGGGGGCGGGGCGGGCGGGGGGCGGGGGAGCGTGGAGCGGAGGGCGGGTGGAGGTAAGAGAGAGGGGGGGTAGGGGCGGTGAAGCGATGAGGGGAGCTGCCGCTAACCCTCGCCTGTTTTGGGGGGCCTGCCGCCTCCCCATTGTGGTTTCATTTGGGAATTGGTCCCTCTCTCTCCCCAACCTTCGCCCCTCCCATGCCGCCACATCCCCCCCTCTGTTTTGCCGATTCGGGGTTTCCTACGGTTTCGTCTACCGGTATTCATCCCACCCACCTGCGGCCCCGTGATGACCGCCCGCATCTTGTCCATGCGCGCCGCGTCCTGCCGCAGGAATATGGCTGCGTCCGCCGCGCAGGGCAGCGCCAGCTTGCCTCCCGGCTGCATGTCTGCCAGCTCGCGAGCCAGCTGGCGGGCCTTCTTGCGGGAGGAGCCGGAGTCCTGGTCGGCCAGCCGGGACATCTGGGGGGGAGGGGAAAGTTAAATAAGTGAAACAACGAGTCCCAATCCCATATCCCGACTCATGCTCATATCCCGACTCATGCAGTGAGTCGGGATATGGGGAAGGGGGAGGGGGGGTAAGAGGGGGAGAGGGGAGGGGGTTAAGTGAAAAGTGAAGCAACGGAGTCGCAATCCCATGTCGCGACTCGTGCAATGGGGGGGAGATGAGGAGGAAGGAGCTAGGTAACTGTGTGAGAAAGGCTCCACCATGGGGAGAGCGGGAGGAGGGGAGGGAAGGGGGAGGCAACGAGGAAACAACTGACCACAGGAAGGTGGGAGGAGGGGAGTAAGAGGAAGACGAAACCACAGGAGACCACAAGGGACGTGTTGAGGAAGAGGGATGCAGAACACAAAAGGGCGGGGTTAGGGGGCGGGTTGAAAAGGGATAATGGGATGAAGGGAAGGAGTCCCACCGACCCATGGGTCGGTCCACTCATGTCCCTTACCTCTCCTCAGCCTCCCTTCCTCCCTCCCTCCCCCTCCTACCTCCTTGAAGTAGCCCCCCGGTACGGTGCTGTCGTACTCGCTGACGGACAGCGGACCCAGCTGCTCCCGGTAGGCGGCAGGCACCTGCGTTGGGTGCACGTGTGTGCATGTGTGTGTGTTTTGCAGTGGAGCAGGACGGTGGGATGACCGCAAAGGGTGTGAGGGGCGCCATGGCAGCAGAGCCGCCTTGCTCCGTGTGCCCTTCTACACGGTACCTTATATACCTTATATCCTCATCACCATCACACACCCCGCTCCCCTGCTCCTCCCCCACCCCAGCCTTTTCCTTAACCCCCTTCCCCACCCCCGTGCCCACCTCGTCCGGCTTCAACGTCTCCTCCGGCAGCTGCACCGCCTCACACGCCAGCAGGGGCCCCTCAGCGGAGGGACCGGCACCGCTGCCGCCATCGACCTCCATGGCATCTGGGTCGGGAGGGAAGGGGAAGGCGGGAGAAAGGGAAGGGGGTTAGGCAAACTGAGCCGCGGAAACGCTGACCCTGAAGGGAGGGGAAATGGAAGGGGAGGGGGAAGGGAACGGCAGCGAAAGCACACCAACCCCACCACCCATCATGACTGCACCACCACCACCACCCCACCGCACACCCACCCCGCCCCCACCTGCGCCCTCCGCGCTCTTGCGTCGCTTGAGCGGCGGCTGCGCACTGGGACTGACCGGCACACCCCCTGCTGCCGCTGCTGCTCCCCCTGCCGCTACCGCTGCTGCCCTCTTTGCGCGTATGTCCGCCGCCCGGGCCAGCAGCGCCCGCAGCTGCGCCTCCATCTGCGCCTGGTGGGTGGCCTCCAGGTGGGCTAGGGCGCGGGACATGATCTGGGTGCGGGGAGGGGAGGAGAAGGGGGGAGGGGAGGGAGGGGGGGAATCGATTATGGACGATTGAGAGGATGGGAGAGGAAAAGCGCGGCGGAAAGGGCGGCTAGGATGGCAGGTAAGGGAAAGCGAGGAGAGCATAGATGGCTTGCTTTGAACCCCCCCTCCTCACCTCTTCGCTGTAGTCCGGCTCCGCCATGAGGGCCGCCACGAACCTGTCGTACCGCCCCAGCTGCAGCAGCAGCGACAGTACGGCGCCCACCAGGGCAGGCAGGTCGAAGCCGTACTGTTCGGGGCGGGCGACCTGGCCGGGGGGGGGAGGGGGCGTGGGTGCATGCGACATCGAGAGAATCCTTGTTGCCTTGGAATTCGTGACCGGCGCGCGGCTTATGTCTCACTAGTGTTACTAACCAAGGCGGCTTCTTCCATAAGTCGTCTCGGTTTATGGTAAGCAAAGATTCGGTAAGTACTTTTTGAGTTGCATGATTCTAGGATAGTGTCTCCGAATGCGCTCACTGCATGAGTCGGGATATGTGTTTGGGGACTCGTTGTTTCACGTATAAAACTTTTTCTCCCCTCCCCCCCACCCCACCTGCAGCTTCTTGCACGCATCCCCCAGCAGCAGCTCCAGAGAGGACACCAGCAGGAAGGCGGTCTTGCCGCGCAGCGGCTCGTGCAGGAAGGCGGAGGCGATGGAGGGGTCGGCTGGGGGGATGAGGGGGGAGGCAGGGGGGAAGACGGGGGGAAGGGGTAAAGAGAAAATGACTAACGAACCTTGTGACATGGCGTCGTCATGGTTAGCAACGTGTGGGAGCCCGGCCCGCGAGGGAGGGCGACTCGGGCAATGCAGGGCCTCCAAGGTCGCGGGCTGCAGCTCGCGGCATGCATCCCCTGCGCATCCGCACCAGGTACGCATCGGCGCGACACGCACACACCTAAACCTACAGTTCCTACTTGCGGCCAGATTTCTCACACAAAGCAAGTCCCAGTTCCGCCGCCGCCGCCGCTAGGCCCCCCCCAGCAGGCCCCCCCCAACCCACCCGTCAGCGTGATGAGCCAGCGCAGGTTGCTGGCGCCCATGCGCAGGAAGCCGCCCGCCGCGCGCTGCTGCCCGCGGTAGAAGTCCTCCTTGCGCTGCCGCTCCTCCGCGGGCTGCGCGGCCCAGGCGGCAGAGTCGGCCTTGGAGCGCTCTATGGAGTAGATGTCGGCCAGCCGGTCCAGGCCGTCCTGCAGGAAGGGGGTTGGAGGGAAGGGGAAAAACAATTGAAAAGGGAAGCAACGGAGTCCCAATTCCGAATACCGAGGGAGAAGGGGGGCAATGTGTTGGCTGTGTGAGTCGTAGCATGTGAACTTAACATGTAGGTGGAACGAGAGGGAGGAACGGAACAAGAAGTAAGGCACTGTATCCCCAAGGCGGGGAGGGTAGGAAGGTGGGGAGAGGGAAGGGTAAAGAAAGAGAAAGAGGGTTGCGTTGCTTCCAGTGATGGTGATGCTGGGTAGCCTTGCGTGTGTCCGTCACCTCTTCCTCTCTACTCCTCTCCTTCCCTCGCCCGCCCTTTCTTTCCTTCCGTCCCACCCCCTTTCCCCGCCCCTCCGCGCCCTTCCTCCCTTCTTCTTGCCTTGAAGAAGTGCATCACGGTGTTCACGATACCCGAGGCATAGTCGCTGAACAGCCCGGGCTCGATGTCACTGCTGCTGCTGCTGCCGCTACTGGAGGCAGCAGCAGCAGTGGCAGTGGCAGCAGCGGTGGCAGCAGCAGCAGCAGCACTGTTGGAACCGGCGGCTCCTCCGTTGGCGGTTGACGGTTGCGGTTGTTGCGGTTCGTTAGCTGCCGCCAGCTCCACGAGGCACCTTTTGAGTACGGCATCCTTGATCAGTTCGTCCAGGATGATATCTGATGTACGACAAGGGAGGAGGGGGAACAACAGGTGAATCGATTGCGAGCGCATGCAACCCGGACACAACCCCCATGCAAACTGGACGCCCCCCACCCATGCAAACCGGGCGCCCCCCACACGAACACATCTTCACAACATAACCAACCAGATTCCTGCGCGGCAGTCGCTCCCCCTGCCCTCCCAGCCCTCCTCAATCCAACCCTGCCAGCCCTCCTCAGCTGCCAGCTCCCCCCCCCTCCTGCCCTCCTCCCTACCGATCTTGTTCCTCATGTTGTATTTGTCGTACGAGTCCTTATCCACGTCCAGCCCCACCACCAGCTCCGCGTTCACATGCGCCCGCAGCAGCGCGGGGATGAGGTGGCGCTGGAGGGGGGTAAAGGGGTGGGTGGGGGGTGAAGGGTTGGGTGAGGGGTGCATGGCATGCGGTGTGTGTGGGGAAACATGATGGAGAAGACCAAGTTGTTAAAAACATGTGATTAAAGATCCTGACAATGACAACGGACGGACGCGAGTGCGCCGAACGAACGAACGTCCAGGATCAGCCCCCTCCCCACCACCTGGCCAGGTAGTGCCCGCCTCCCCTCCCCCACCTGCGTCACCGGCGCCCCCAGCACCGCCCCCACCAGCGCCCGCTCCCCGGTGCTCATGCGGTCGGGGGCCAGGGCCAGTCCGCGAGCCTGGCGCGCCTGCAGGCGGGGAGGCATGGGGGGGGGCAGAAGGGGGTAAAACTAAGGAAACTGATAGTGGGGGCCGGGTGGGAAGGGTAAAGAGCGCAGCGCCCCCCCGGGGCCCCCCCAGGCGCCCTCCTCCCTTCCCCGCCCCCTCCCTCCCCCTGTCCTCCTCCCCCTCCTCCCTCACCCCCCCTCCCCCTCCGCACCTGCACGTTGCTCAGCTGCGACGCCAGCATTGCCAGCAGCAGCCCCACCAGCTTGTCTTGCAGCACTGCGCTGCGGACCACGTCCTTGGCATTCAGCAGGGTCACCTGGGGGGTGGGGGGGGGAGAGAATGGGGGGCGGGCGTTAAGAGGGGATGTGTATTTCGCACTGGGCTGGGATACAAATTGGCGGAAGTACGGTAACATGCGTAGGGTGCTACCTCCTCTCCTCCGCATCCCCCCTCCCCCTGCTGTCGTGCCATGCCGCTTCCCCCCCCCACTCACCACCGCCCGCAGGATGACCCCGATGGGTTTCGCCGCCACCAGATCCGCCCGCCCCGCGTACAGCACCGCCACCAACCAGTCCACCGCGTCCCCCAGCGCGAACTCAGGAACCAGGCGCAGCAGGGGCGCGGCGGGGGCGCCGGCACCACCGCGGGCCAGCCAGGCTACCCAGTCCAGCTGGGGGGGGGGAGGTGGGGAGAGGGAGGGAGAGGGAGGGAGAGGCGTTGGAAACATAAGGCGAAGAATGTATTGGGGTGTTAGGAGGGGAGGGAGGGAAGGAAGCTCTAAGAACCCCGCGACACCCGCTCCCCACCTCCACCACCCCTCCCCTCCACCACCACCGCTACCGCCCCCCCTCCATCCCCCCCCTTCCCCCCCCCCACCTCCATCACCGCGAACGCCGTCATGTTGTCCGCGAACACCGGCTCCCACAGGTGCGCGTCGCAGCAGTCCTCGTACAGCCGCCACTCCAGCATGACGGGCGCGTCGTACGGATTACGTAACCCACCGCCGGCGGCGCTGGGAGGTCCCCCCTCGCCCATGTCGCCCTCCTCGTCCCCGTCTTCACCTCCTCCGTCACCCCCGGAGCCGCCTGCTGCTGCTGCCGCCCGGCGGTAGCGGTCCTGGAAGCGCTTTGTCATGGCTCGGCGCCTGGCGGGGAGGGGAGGGGGGAAGGTGGGAGGGAGGGGGGGAAATGGGAGGCAGGAGGGGAGTGGGAAGGAAGCCCATGGTGTTGCGCGGTATTGTAGAAATGGGGGTGTTGTGTAAGGTATGTATCAATGTATGCAAATGATCCTGCTGACGTTACCCCAAGAGCCCCTACCCCCCCCCCAGCACCTGAACACGCTCTGCATGGGCCCCACGTGCAGCAGCAGCTGCGTGAGGAAGAACACGTCAGCCATGAAGCTGGGGGCGCCCTCGCCGCCCACGGCATCAGACTGCAGGGGGGGGGGAGGAGGGGAGCAGAGGTGGGAGGGGGGCAGGGGGGGAGTTGCTGGATGGTGGAGGTGGTGGTGGCAATGGTGGTGGTGTGAAGCTATGAATGGGAGCAGTAAGGAGGCAGGCGGTGTGCGGCGGACCGGATTGCAGTGGGGTCTGGCCGCCGTGTTGACCGTGGTTAAAGATGCTGGGGCTGCCTCCTCTTTACCGCGCAGGTTCACCACCACCGTGGTATTAGCCGGCATGATCCCCCCTCCCGCCCCCCAGTGGTGGCTGCCCTTCAGCCCGCCAAGTCACCATCAAGTCATCACCCCCCGCCCCCCGCCACCCCCCTCCCCCTCACCTGCAGCAGCATGGGCGGGCCCGCAGCGGGCGGGTCGTCATCCGCCGTGAAGCCACCCGAGCCGCGGGAGCCTGGCGGGGCGGAGGGGAGTGAGGGTGGAGAGGAGGGGAGTGAGGGTGGAGAGGAGTGGGGGGTAGTGAGGTGGTTGTAAGCAGGACTTCCTTTTACGGCGTACGGCAATATATAATTCCCCGTCGCTTCCCAGTCATGCCACCCTCCATAACAAGCTCCACAACCCTCCTCCCTAACCAACCCACCCTTCCTCCCTAACCCACCCACCCACTCCACCCACCCACCCGCCCACCTGTCACATTGAACACCCCCGACAGGTCCCCCAGCCGGTGCCGCTGCGTGCGGTAGTACTCGGGCCGCAGGTGCTTCTCAAACAGGTCCGCAAAGCGCGGCAGGGCCGCCCCTCCTGCCGCTGCTGCCGCCGCTGCTGCGAAGGGGTCGGCTCCGGAGCGGTAGATGGCCAGCCAGCCGGAGGTGAAGGGCTCGGCCAGGCGCAGGCAGCCGCCCGTGACGTTCAGCAGGAAGCCGTCGGAGCCGCCTGGAGGGGGGGAGGAGGAGGGGAATGAGGAAACAACTAATGGACCGTGTGAAGGGTTGGAAGGCAGGAAGGAAAGCGCGGTGGGGTCTTCATCTTCCGACTCGCGGCCCGTTTCCTTAAGACACACGCACACAACACCACACACACACACACAGGACTTCATCTTTCGGCAATCACAGTACGTTCCGCCTCGCGGCCAGTTATCCAGTTAGCACACACAGCACCAGTTTCCTGCCACCGCCCCCACCTGCCACGAAGTCCGCCAGGTCCTGCTGCAGGCGCATGTCGGAGGTCTCCCCGAACGCGCCCCGCACTGTGTTGGCCCGACCCACCGCCGCCACCCAGCTCAGCAGCGCCTCGCGGGACAGGCCGCCGTCCTGGGGGGTGGAGGGGGGGGACAAAGGGGCGGAGGGGCATGGCGTGGTGAAGAAGGGTGCGGAAAGGAGAGGAAGTGAAGTAACCGTCTTGCATGTATAGGCTCCACATTGGGTTGCAGCATGGGCAAGGAGGTGAAGGAAGGGCGGTCGAAGCCCCCGATCCCGTATTTGGTGGACTACCTAATCCGATAATCCACCATTCCGCTTCCACTTCACACCGCCCCCGCCCTCAGATCACCTTGGTACGGCTCAGTCGAGCCATCAGGTGACCTGCTCCGTCCTGAATGAAGGGTGAAGGGGTGAAGGGGGGGCGAATGGGATGGGAAGGGATGGGGAGCAGGGGAAAAATGGGTTAAGCGGAGGCAGCAGCGGGGGCGGCAGCGCGCGCACGCAGCCTTAGCCTGACCACCCATGCATGCCGCGCGCCCCCCCTGCGCTCCTCAACACTGCACCCAACATGCTGTCACCACCACCTGCCACTGCCCAGCCACACCTGTACAACACCCCACCAGCACCCCCTCCCCCAGAGCTCGTCGTTTGGTTTGCATTCTCATTCAACGCATTGGATAATCTTCTCCCCCCCACCCCCACCTGCACCCCCAACCCCTCCAGCACCCTACCAGCACCCCACCCCCACCTGCACCCGTGCCATCATGCCCTGCAGCACTGTGCGCGCGGAGGCCCCGTCCACGTATCGCGGGTAGTTGCGGATCTCCAGGAAGGCGGTGCGCGCGGGGCTGACGGTCTTGAGATGGTACAGCGCATCCTGGGGGGCGGAGGGAGGGGGAGGGATTACTAGGGATAGGTATTCCTTATTAGGCTGGATTATAGGAAGGGGGGGGGGGGAGGTTCAGAAGCACCATACCAAACCATTTAGGAAACCATGGGCGCGGTGTGCGGGCGAGGTGAGAAGGGTGAGGGAGGAGAGGGACATGCATGCTAAGGATGGACACCGCACGGTTGTTGGGCCAGAGGGCTACCCCTGTGAATCAAGGCATGCATGCAGGACGATGCATGCCCTCCTATATTCACGTTAAAAGGTACATATATACATTTAGGGGCTCCCCTTCGCTCCCACCCCGCCCGTCCCCCCGCCCCCTCCCATTGCTCCACTCTGTTGCTTGTCTTTCCATTTACTTTGGCCCCTCCCCACCTGCCCGCTCGGCGTAGTCCTAGCCCGCCCCTCCCGGCCCCCTCCCCACCTGCCCACTGGGCATGGGACTGGCCCCCAGCAGCGGCCCCAGCACACAGCTCTGCTCCAGCGCCCGAGCAGCCTGGGTGGCGGGGCGGCAGCGCGCAACCGCCTCCACGTCGGCCAGGAGCAGGGAGGCCTGGGGGGGGGAGGGGGGAGCGCGGGGAGGGGGAAGGAGAGGGGAGGGCGGGATATGGGGTTAGGGGGGCGAGGTTGGGGGAAGGGGGCCGGGGAGAAGTGGTTGCCGGGAAGAAAGGGAGCGGTAGAGCGGTTCTGTCGGGCGTATATGGCGAGCCCCGCTGGCTCCTCTCCTTCCGTCCTCTCATGAACTCCCCAATCTACATCACCAGCCGCCTCCCTCCCTCTCCTATCGTCTCCTATGCCTTGCTGTGGTCTTGCCCGCTCCCCCCCCCCTCGCTCCCCTACCATGCACTGCTGCAGTCGCGGGGTGCACGTCAGTCGGTCCAGCACCGCCAGGGGGCGCTCGAAGCCGCCCGCGTCCGTGAGGCGGGCGGCGGGGGCGCACACGGCCCGCAGCACCTCCCGCATCAGCCGGCCCCACACCTCTTGGGTGGAGGTGGGGGCAGAGGAGGTGGAGGAGGATGAGGTGGTGGAGGAGGAGGCGTCCAGGAGGGCTTCTAGAAAGGCGTCGGAGAGGGTGGCAGGGCCGCCGGCCTGAGGGAAGGACGATGGGGAGGACAGGAAGAGGAGAAACAACAGGAAGTGGGGGAGGAAGTAGGCGGAGGTGTGTCACCCGTTGCCCGGCTACCCACGACTGGATACCTGTGCCTCCCCCCAACCCCGTCCCTCAAGGGCACGTTCGCCATCTTTGCCACCCCATCTTCCTCTCCTCACTCCTCACCCCCACCCATCCCCTCCTACCATTCCCTCCCTCTCCTCACCCCCACCCCACCGCCCCCCACCCCCAGCCACTCCCCCCTACCAGTGCCTCCACGAATGCCGCCGTGTGCGCCCCCGTGTCGAAGTACAGGTCCGCGCCATCCTCCCGCAGCAGACCGAACGCCTCCCGGGCTAGCAGCCGGCGGAAGAGGTCCAGGGCGGCCGACACCCCGCCACTGCCACTGCCGCCGTCGCCGGGAGGAGGGGAGGCGGAGGAGGGCAGGGAGGCGAAGGCGCGGTGGAGGGCCTGGGTGGAGGGTGGGGGTGGAAGCAGGGGAGGTGCGTTACAGGAGGGGTGGGAGGGTCGGGAGAGCAAGACGGGTGAGGATGGGGTGCAGGCTTTCTTTTACGGGCCTATCCACACCCGAAGCTTAGCTTAGCTTAGCACAGCTTTCCCGGCCGACCCCTCCATTTGGGTCGGCCGGCTTCCCTCACCGCCCCTTCACCTCCTCCATTTGGGTCGGCCCTCCCTCTTAACCATTTGGGTCGGCCCTCCCTCTTAACCATTTGGGTCGGCCCTCCCTCTTAACCATTTGGGTCGGCCCTCCCTCTTTACCATTTGGGTCGGCCCTCCCTCTTAACCATTTGGGTCGGGCTCGGGTGGATCCGGAAGGTTGGGGTTCGCCTAGCCCACGCAAGTTAACTGCTTTCCTTGGTATTTACCTCGCCATCCAATGCATTTGGTATGGTGTCGTACCATCACGATCTCCAACCCGCAGCCTTCCCCTTCTACCCCCACCCCACCCCACCCCACCGAGTATGCCAACACCATCCAACACATGGTTCTGCTTCCTCTTTTCCTCTTTCCCCCACCTGCAGCCTGTCCCTGGGCGCCACCCGCCGCTGCAGCAGTGCCGAGTTGATCAGCCCGCGGAACGACTCGGAGCTCAGCTCGCGACCGCCGCTGCTTGCAGGAGGAGGAGGCGGAGAGGGGCAGGGAGCAGGAGGCAAGAGGGGTGCGGGGGCATACACGAGGGCAAGGAGGGAGAGTAAAGGACAGGGCAACACAGGCGATTTACTGGTTGATATGTACGACATGTGCTTTCCAGGACGGGTTGTGTTGTTGCTGAGCCCCTCCCGCGCCCTCATCCCTCAGCCAGTCAGCCAGCCAGCCAGTCCCCCTGTTCCAGGCCTCCTCCCCCACACCCGGGTGCAGCGGAGGTCTTGAGGAACAGCGCTCCCCCGGAGATGGCGGCGCTCTCGGAAACCACCTTGACCTGCGGGTTCGGGGAGGCATGCAGGGGGAGCAGCGCGGGAGGAGAGGAGGAGCGGGCGGGGAGAGGTCAGGAAGCAGGGTGGGTAAACCATACCTCTCGCTGTCTATCACGCACTGCTGCAACCCGCCGCCCCAAGAATGACAACTGCGCAACGGCAGTCCATTCCTTCACCAAACCCCCTTCACCCCTTCGCCCCCCCCACACACCCACCCACCCAAATGCACAACCCAAAACTCCAGCCCTCTATGCATACTGGTTAGTACCCCTCCCTCTCCTAACCCCACCGTCACTACCCACCTGCAGCGCATCCCCCAGCCGGCCGCACACCGCCCCCAGCTGCTCCTGGCCCGCCAACGTCACACTGCCGCTACTGCCACTGCTATTGCTCGTGGGAGCAGCCCCAGCCCCAGCCCCAGCAGCAGCAGCAGCCCCCGGGTTGCTGTTATTGGTACTGCTACTGCTGCTACTGCACCACCAGCTCCTCAGCTTCACCGCCCAACCGGGCAGCGGTGTGGCATCGGGAGGCGGCGGGTTGCGCGCCGCGGCTGCCCGGCTGCTGCCGCTGGTGGCGGGTGCGGCTGCCACCGCTGCACCCGTGGGGAGGAACTGCCCCTGGTTGGGGTGCGGCTGTGGCTGTTGGGGTGCTGGGCCTCCTGCTGGCATGCCGCCAGCGAAGAATTGCTGCAGGAGGGCGGCTAGGAGGTTGTCGGGGGGAGCGCCAGCAGCAGCAGCAGCAGGAGGAGGAGCAGGGGGGCCAGCAGCGGGCTGGGCGGTGGGTGGGAGAGGGTGGGGTGCGGGTGCGGGAGCGGGGGGAGCTGAGGCGGCAGGTGGGGGCGGAGCTGGTTGTTGTGCAGCTGTGGGTGGAAGGGTGGAGAGGGACAGGTGGAGGGCATGTTAAGCTTGGGGGGGCGTGTTTACTCTGACCCTGCCAGGCAATCTGGCCAGGCGAATCGATAGGACGCGCGTCAGCGTCGAATTAGCGGAGTTATAGCTCGGAGCAACGTCAAGACGGGCAGGCTACCTTGCAGGCCTTGCAGCAGTAACGTCGCAAGGTCGGGCATGCCGGGAGCTGCGGCACCGGCGCTTGAGGGGCCGGCAGTGCCCGGTTGCTGTGCCGTATTCGTGCCTGCGCCGGAGCCCAAATCAGCAGCAGTGGTCTCCTGCAGCGGAATGGACATACCGGTACATAAATGTCACGGGTAACCATGCAACAGTCGGCCCATGATTTTATATCATGATCTTAAGGGGATTAAGTGGAAAACTTCAGCTCAGGGGAACGCTTTAAACAGCTTCCTTGCCAAGGATGAATGCAAAATGTGCTAAGAAATGGGACTTGCACAACCGAGCCGGATGACGAATAAGGCCTATGATATATGGTTCCTTAATATATTCTAAACGAGCCGGGAGCCTGGGGTTGAGGCACAAGTGGTTAAGGATGGCAGATCATTGAGACTGACTGACCTGCAGCGACAGCGCTAAAGCAAGTTGCAACTCCATATCCTCATCCATAGCTTCATCGTCTGGCACATGCGGATCCATGGCCTCAGCTGCAGGTGTTGCGACGTATGCTTAGCCACCAGCTCTATGTGTCAAGTTATGGCTTGCGAAGTAGGTGATTACGTTAACAGTCGCAAAACTTGGTACAGCCAATTGTTGACTGTTTCAAACGTTCATTCGGCGCGTCTAGGAACGTTCGCCGTACGAAAGTCAACCGCCAACGAACCGGCCGTACACCGGATTTCTGCAACAACGGCGGAACGGCAGCTTCTCTGTAGTGGAGACATGGTCGCGGGCTTCCTCTCGTTGGTGTTCAGTCAGGCACTCTGCCAACATCCGGCCGTTCTTGGCGGCCGACTGCTGGGGAATCCCTACCAGCGGTGGGGATGAATTGCGTGCGTGTCGTCAACAGTTACCGCGGGCTCGGTTGGCATGAGGCGAATTTGTAAATTCGGGAGCAGTACCGCACACCTCTGCGTTGCGCGACCCGACCGCCGCCTTGAAACCCCATCAGAGTATCCCGCGCAAGAACAGCACCAATTTGCGCGCTTAAAACTCTCCTTCAACAAGCACAGCCCTCCCATTCCTACGAATTCAAACACCCTCTTCATCCTCTTCCTCCTCCTCCTCCTCCTCCGCTTCCTCATCATCCTCCGCCTCCGCCGCCAACCGTGCCGCAACCAACTGCTCCATAACCGCCGGACTCACGTTGCCGTACCTCGCCCCATACGCTCGTACGACCCCCGCCCTGACCTGCAGGTACTCCTCATGCTGCGGCCCAAAGCGTTCCAAGCACCGCATCACAAGCTCCGCTGACAGACTCACATGCGCATCACTGCCCGGCGTTACACCTTCAATGATGCGGCAGCACTGCGCCAGGGATTCCGTTTCCACCAGGGCCGCTGCTGCTGCTGCTGCTGCTGGTGGTGAAGCCTTGAAGGATTGCTCTCGGGCGCCGCCGGCAGCAGCAGCAGCAGCAGCCAGCTCGTCCGCGGAAAGGCTGACGAGGTCGTACAGGTCGTACACACTCGCCTGTTGTTGTGGAGGAGAACGGGTTTCGAGGACTCAGATCAGGGGCTGCCTGATACTTACAATACCGTACCAATGGACGACATATTTGATCACAAGCACACAGCACGTGCATTGCTGCTCAGACACGGGATTGCATGAAAGAAAGAAGCTGGAATGCGGCCATTCCCGCTTCTTTCTTTCATGCGTTCTCCTGCTTGGGCAGCAATGCGAGTGCTGTGTGCCTGTGATCAAGATATGCCCGCTAACCCACAGCCAACATCGCATCTCACAGCCTCTCCGAAACCCAAGCGTGCGACCCAAATGACCCATGGGTCTTCACGCACCTGCAGCCACCTCCGAACCTTGCTGTTGACCTTGGGGCTAGCCGTCCTTATCGCCGCCTCAACCTGCTCTTGCAGGCCCCGCAGCTGCTCCCGCGCTGCCCCCACCGCCGCCACGTCCCCGGCAGCAATGGCCTGCTCCAGCCGGGGTGAGAGCTGCTGGCAGGTGTCGTACACCGACATCAGGAGGGCAGCAAGAGGGGTGCTGTCGTACCTGTTATTCGCGGGGAGAGTGGTGGCAGTGTATGGAAGTTTAAAGTTTGAAAAGGGGCTAGGGCTTGGGAGTGCTAGGGAGGAGAAGGGGAACGTGAGCTACTAATGCATATGTGCGGTGCTTGCATGGGCTAGGTTAGGGTGTCCAGCAAAGACCGCCCATGTACCGGTGCGTCAGCCGCTCAGCCCCAACCACCGGTCGTTAGGTCGCTTACTTGGCCTCCGCCGTACATCGAACGCAGCCGCATGTGAAGCCGTACTTTTGCCGTAGCTCGGCCCGCCGTACCTCCAGTGGCGACGTCAGCAGCGAGCCGAGCCAGTTGAGGCTCACCTCGCCGCCTGAGGGAAGTCCCGGGAGCAGAAGTAACAGCGACAGCAAAAATATACCGGTAAGCAAATACACGGAACATTCGATCGATCCTAAAAGGAACATCATGTCACTAAGAAGACGTTGCTATCTTGCTAATCGGACCTTTCAGGATATCCACCGCTGCTCGGGTGATGAGCCTATCCCCAAGGGCGTAGGCAGTGGCTGTGGGCGCGCAGGAGTGGCTCGTGAAGGCTGCCTCCGGCCAGAGCGCAATGTGACCCATGGGTCGCTCCCCACGCAGCTTGCACAGCACCAAGTCCTGCGACCCGGACCAGCAAGCCAAGGTAATGAACAAATGAAGCAATGTGAACAGTGCCCAACACCCAACAAGCAACAACACGACAAATCAGCTGCCATGCTCATGAAACACCGCGTAACGTCTAACGTGCCTTGGATCCCGTGACATGCCCAGACCACCCCTCTTCACAACCCAAAAAACAGCCCCCATCTTGCCTGGAATTCCTCCCCCATGCAGCTCCCATTCACCACCCGGTACAGCTCCTCGGCCCCCAGCACCGGTGGCGACCGGGGCGCTGAGCTGTCCGCTGCTGACCTGGCCACCATCTCCAGGAAAGCACGCTTCACCGCGGGACCCACTGCCACACTGCTGCTAGCACCGCCAGCACTGCTGCTGCCGCCTGGTGCCGCTGCTGCTGCTGGTGCCGCCCTCGGCAGTAGCCCCAGCAAGCTCTGCTGCAGGTCCGTCAAGCCGGAAAAGCTGCCGTTGCCATTGACAGCACCGGAGGAGGAACCCGCTGCTGCTGCTGCTGCTGCTTCCCTCCGGTTGCCACCGACCCCTCCGTGCCTCACGTGTCGCCCCTGCCCCTGCTGCTGCTGCTGCTGCCCCGTCATCGTCAACATCATAAGGTCCGCTAGCTCCTCATTCTCAGGAGTGGTCCCGCGACGGCTGTAGCGGATGGCCAGCGGCAGCGACACCGCCAGAAGCTCCCCCGCTGCTACGGATCGGGTGGCGCGAAGCGACACACCGCGTCCAGTCGCCCGACCTGCGGCCACCACCTCCAGCGGTCCCAGGAACCAGGGCGGCAGGCTGGGAGGGGTCATGGTGGCGATGAAGGTATCTCGCAGGTCGCGGAGAGCCAGATCCGCACCCGCTGCCGCCCCCACCGCCTCCGTCACCCCTGCTGCCCCCTTGTTGCCCCCTCTTGGTGGTTGTGCTGCTGCAGCTTCTGGTCGGTGTGGGGCCGGGGCCTCCACCTCCGCCTTCGTAAGAGAAGAGGCTGCTGCATTCTCATCCTCCTCCTTCGCTGCCGCTGCTACATCCCCGGTGTCTGCTGCTGCTGCTGCCGGCGCCCTGCCGCCGCTGCCAGCGCCGGTGTCCGGCTGCTGCTGCTGCTGCAGAGTGAAGCCCAGCTGCTGCATGCGGGCCAGCAGCTGCTCGGGGCTCTGCAGCAGGGAGGGAAAAAAGGGGTTCAGGGAGAATGCGATTATTAAAGGGGAGTCCGAGCGACTCAAGTGCGACGCACAACCTGGAGGGAGTTGGTGAAGGGCGGGCACCGGTAGGGGCAGTGGATGGGGTTTGACGATCGCGTTGAGGGCGTATGAGGAAGGCAGGTTATGAGGGTGGAGGATGGCTTGTGTGTCATACACACCGTACGACACACGTAGCTACCGGTATGAGGTGTTGTACGACATACGTAGCTGCAGGTTGTTGATGTTGCAGTACGGCACCCACCTGCGGGACATCCTCGTCCTCGTCTTCTTCACCCTCAGCGCCTTCAAGGCCCTCCTCTTCTCCCTCCTCTTCTTCCTCCTCCTCACCGTCTTCGTAATCCGCGTCATCGATGCCGCTAACCTCCTTCCAAAATCTGGATCCATCCAGGAGATCTGGATCTGTTGTGGACCGGATTCCGCTGGAGCTACTGGGTGAATCAGCCGCTCCGTCCGCCGCTCCTTTAACCGCAGCCTTCTGCACATGCATACCGGCGCAATGCAAGGGGAGGAATCCCGCTGTTCAGCGCACCCTAGCACGTTAATGAATCTGCACCCAACAAACGCAGAGGCTACAGGCAGGCAGGCAGGCACCCCTTACGGCCTCAACATGGCTGACCGCGACATGGGTGTTTCCCACCAAGTTCGCACACATGTAACCCCCTACAGGCGATGAAACAACACCCTTCCAGCTGCAGGGAACCGTGAGGTGTCGTACCTGGCGTACTGCCGAAGGGGTGTCCGCTCGCCCAATCACGATGAAGTCCCCATCCGTAGAGGCGGATCCAGCTCCGCGCTTCCTGGTGCTGCCCGTGTCGCCACGATACTCATCATCCTCATCATCGTCGGAACCGTCATCCAAGTCATTCCTGTTAGGCCGCCCAAAGCGACCTCCTCGCCCCTGCTGCCCACGCCCACGTCCACGCCCGGACTCGCCGCGCCCGCGACCCCTGAAGCCTTGAGCCTGACCCCGGCCTTGCGTCGAGGACTCCGAACCTGCGGGTGCTAGTTGCTGTTCGACAGAATTGCTGCGGCCTCCGGAACCATGGCCGCGACCTTGCCCGCGACCGCGACCACGGAAGTTGCCGATATTGTCACGATTGCTAAGCCCATGGGAAGAGGGGTTGCCATGGCTCCTCGCGTCGCGGTCGTTGCTGCTGCTTCCTGCATCCGAGCCGCGGATGTCGCGGGACCGTCTTCCATATGGCGACGCCGAGCCAGCATCTCTGCTTCCTGTACCTCCATAATTAGAATTGAAGCTGCGTGAGCTTCCACCGCGGCTTAAACTTGCGGTGCAGAAAGCATGACTTCGTCGGCCCACACAGAAAAATGGCGTTTGGGATCTATTTAACAACATTTTGGAAACACGTACGAAGGGATACCGTAAGCCGATAACAGTCGGACAATTGACGGTCATCCTTGCTGGTGGCCGTTGGCTCGGCAACGGATGTGCCGTACATATTTGGGGTGTTTACCCGGATGCCGGATCAGCTGGGCACGCGAAACGGGCCATGTAAGCCGGTTGCCTTTGTTTAGCTGGTTGATCCTAGGCATAAAATGTTTAACGTGCAAGCGTATACAGCCAAGGTGCGATGGTCCATGCACTGGACTCTGCTAGCATCAACCTTAAGCAAAGCGGCCAAACTCGCCATGTTCTCTCGGCCCATGCCCGTTGTCACCCAAACAAACAGCAAGCTGCGGCCCAGGGCTTTCTTCGACGGACAGCCCTGGTGGATCTAACTGGATCTAACTGGATCCAGCAGTAGCCAAGGAAGGAGCCATGTCGCCAACAGATGCATATTTTACACACAGGTTCGTTCTACAAAAGGCTGCTGGGAGCGTTAAGCACTCCTGATGTCATCAAGTGCAAGGTTAATGGCATGCAAGGTAGGAGGGAGGACGTCCTACCCAGCCAGCTCTCGCGAAAGGTAAAACACCCTCTTGATACAAACATGCACCCTCTTGATCTCTCGCCCTTCATCCGAAAGCTTTTCCATGGCACGCCTACATTGTCACTCACTCGTGTTCCTAAACGCCCCTTATTCTGTAGCGCTAATGCCACAACTCCATGCACCTCCCACACAAAAAGGACGCTCCATGCAAAATGTCCCTCGCCTCCTCCACACCACTCTCACTAGAATTCTCCGCCCCCAATCACTCTCTCACGAAGACCCACGGGTCACGACCCTCACGCCGTACATCCGCTCCTGCCGTACTGCTGTCCCCTCCTTAGATGCTCGTCCCCAAGTAGAACAGTACGGCAATACCCACCAGCCCGCCGATGACGGTTGCGATGGTTCCGATGGTGCCCTCAGCAACACCGCTGGTCTGCAAGGCAGCGGGTCAGGGTTGCAACATGAGGGAGGATATGATAGGTTGCTGCCCTTGTGGCAGGGATGTGGGAGACGCTATTTCTAACGTTTCCACAAAGCTCATCTTCCAGTATGCCTAACAACGCTCGCATGTTGGTTCCCAACACACCGCCTCCCATGCACACCACCGGTACCAACCTTTCCAGACTTGGCGTCGTAGGGCACGAAGCGGCGCTTGGGTGCATTGCACTGGGGGCAGCGGTAGTTGGCGGGGGTCTCATCGAACGGGACCCTGCGGTTGTACGGCATGGATGTGAGGGCAAGGGAGGGTGAGTGGCAGCACGGGACAATGCGGACGGTAGGGCACAGGGGGGCTTCAGGGCTTCAAGGGCTTATGGGGTCTAGCAAGCACTGGGAGAAGGGACTCGGCCGTATCCCATTTGACCCTTTTTTGCGCCCCTCAGCATCCCCCACAACCCCAACCACCCCCACTCACGGGTCGCAGTAGATGTATCCGCAGTCCACGCAGATGTGTGTGGCCAGCGCGCGCTCCGCCTCCGTCAGCTTGCGGCCGAAGCGAGCGGGTGCGGGCCGCTTGGGCAGCCGCTTCACGTTGACCTTGGTGTTCTCACCAGGGACCTGCGCCGGGGTAAGCAGGGGTACCGGCGACAGGGTGAAGAGAGGTAAAGAGGGGTAAAGGTCTGCTAAGTGGGCGGTGGCGAGGATGATACCGGTGGATGGAAGCGGGTTAGACGGTTGGGACCCCTTGGGAGGCAGGACGGCGGCGGCAGCACCGGAGGTAGCGTATGATAGCTAGACGCATGGCGTGCATACGCAGACTACGGGCAAGGTGGGTGCGGGCATCTAAGGAAAGGGAAAAGGCGGGTGCTTACGTAGATGAAGGTGACGGGCGAGGGGCAGTTGGTGACGGCGTTGTTGGTGAAGCTCAGCTTGTCAGCGGGCCAGAGCTCGTCGCCAAAGAAGCTGCTGGTGTAGATGATGGTGTCGCCCGCCTTCAGACCCGCCTTGGCGGCATTCCCGCGAGCACTCTGACAGGGGAAGGGTGACGGGTAGCAATGGGGGTATACTAATCTTAGTTGACAGAACTGGGTGTGTGCGCATGTTGGCACGGATCGATGGGTCCCCAGGATGTTGATGGGCTTGTGCGCCGGACGCAGCGATACAATCCGACCGAGGTGACACTGTGCGCATCCGGTTTATGCCAAACCGTCCCCCTTGCTGCTGCAGGGTTGAGCTCTCTTGCTGAGTCTGAGCATCGAAGCATTTTTGAGGCGACTTTCCGGGCGAACCAAGGCTTGGAGTACAACGAATTATAGCACGGCGCTGTGTAAGCGCGCATGAATACGACCCTTGCTTTGCTGTTTCTGCGGGTGGTTAAGCCCCGGCCTCCCATGCACCTTAACGACCAGGCCACCTCCAGGCGCCGTCGATTGTTCCAGCTGCAGACCAAGCGGCTTGTCAATTTCCACCTAAACGTGAAAAATGCGGAAAGGGATCAGCTCACTGGAGTGCTCTAGTCGAGGTCAGCAAGGATATGTGGCAAGGATAGACGCTAAAAGGCACGCATTTAGCACCTGAACTTGCTGGCCATCGGCCCGAACTGATACAGCGGAAGCGCGGCTCTTAGCCACACGGACCACAGGGCGCGTCGCCTTAGCGGGGCCAAACGCGGACCCGCGAAGAGATTGCTTATGCATTAGGGCCATGGTGTTACCGTTATGTATATAATAGCGCTGTAGGTTGCGTTCTTTTGCGCTTTGAGATATATGATATACTGCAACTGCGACTGGTCGTGATTGACGAACAGATTACACGCCAACAGCGACAACGCTCCTCCGACCTATGCCACCTTCTGACCCATGTATATTAATGTCGTTAAAAACGGAGCGCATTGCATTGAGACTGTCTCCTTGCGAGGTTAACGGTAGCCACACGACCCGATAGCGACTGGCCGGATTAGACAACAAGCTCCTTGTCAAAGATCGGGATACTCGCTCTGGACCGGGATATCCAGAGCGTCCAGATTTCTTGACTGGTGGCACTTATTGCATTCACAATGTGATGGAGACGGTCGTGGTCCGCGGGTCGCAATGATATGTCTGCCGACCATCCAACCTGCAGGCCATCAAACATCCTAAGAAGTCCCATGTGGTCCTATTGAAGAATGGGAATTGCGCGGTTTCCCTTCAGTAGGAGTGGTCTGCGTATGCTAGTGCACCCCTATGCGCGCATTGTCCTACCCTTGCTGGGACAACTGTCTGCTGTGCCTGGCTGTAATTAGCATATAGTGTCTGCCTAGTCTACTGCAATGGTGGACTTAGGGAATGAAGCGGGCTGTGTTAGGCTGCCGTCAAGCTGCACCACGGCTATCGTCAAGTGCAACTCTCCCGACCATGCTGTATGACGATGTTGACCCAAGGCCAGGTTGACCTAACGGATCATGCAACAAATAGCTTTGCAATTCCCTATACATCGCCTTCAGAGCTGGGCGAGCGGCAGAAATTCGCCTGGCTAGCAAACCCGTTGTCCCGCAACCATGGAACGGAGGGGATGATGGTGTGGAGGTCACCCCATACCCAATCTGCTGGGCAAACCCCCGTGTCCGAGCTGCAGGCCTATGACCGTATGCTGGGGGACTGGCCCATATTCCGCTGCAAGCTTGCTGACTGCGCCGCTGGTAGCTGCGCCGCTGCTGAATAGACGGCATGGAAGCGTATAAGAGGGAGGCGTAGAAATAGATGTGCAGCCCCTTAGTTACACATAACCTCCAACGAGTAACACTTCTCCCAGGCTGCTTTACCGCAGGCGGCGAGCCTCACGCTCAGACTCCAGCAGGGTCAGGATGTCACCTGTCAATACAGGGCCAAGAGGATAGCTATCCTTAAACACATGTTGATTCAGATGCTTTAGAAGATTCTGAAGGTGCACATATTTTACATACAACGAAGAATATAGGTAAGAGACAAACAAGCCATGCCATTCGCCAGGCGAGCTCACCCTCGCGGACGGGGCCCTTCACGTTGCGCATGATGAGACGGTTCTGGTCGTCCAGGAACTTCACGCGCACCTGGGTGACCTGCGAGCCAAAGAAGGAGATGCACGATTGCATAAAGTTGCTGAAGGCGGCCAGGTATACACCATTACCCCAAGTAAAACTATATAGAAGCATGTTTCTCGCTTAATAACATGAAATTGCTATCACAGCCAGCCGCACAGGCTGCGCCACCACCGCCGCACCTGGCCACGAGAGCCGGTGCGCCCAATGACCTTCATGACGATGGCGAGCTTAGCCGGGGCGTCCTACATTACATGCAGCCATAACGTGCATGGTCAGCTTCAAGTGCCCGAAGAGACTGGAACATTGCTGTCTGGCGGCAGGTAAGTAGGAAACGTAAGTGCAAGCTCTCTCACCATCTTTGCGCTGCTTTAGGCTCAAGTGTGAAGAGACTGATCAGAGGAAAGAGCAGTGCCTTCAAAGTGCTGATAAACCCCGCCCAAACCCTGGAATACGGGGCACTCTTGACGTACTTTCGTCCTAGGAACCAAACCTATGCATCTCTCTGCCATCTATTTATACTTTAAGAAAAGGTACAGATTACCAAGAGCATTACTACGTTTTCTCGCTGTTAGGTTACCCTTGTCAACATGTTCGCCGCGAGAAGAAGTTCCCCAAATTGCACCCCCTTCACAGATTGCCACCGATCTTTGCTGGAGACCATGAATAAAGGCGACCAATAAGGCAGCAGTTTTGAGTTTGGCTAGGAAGTGGTTGTGTACACTGATGACAACTAGTTGCCCCTTGCTGTTCACACGTCCAGCTACAAGGACTTCCATGGAGGGCTTCAGTTCCACGGAGTACGGCTTGCTGTTCGCCATGCGACGACTATATCTCTGGCGCAGACACTGCAAGGAGGTTACTGGGCTGGGCTGTGTGCGTAAACGTGTGTCCCATGCCTTCTTGCCAGCTATTTAGCCGACACACTGCAAATTCCTTATGTGAGAACTATACGGGTTGCCTCATTGCCATGAGAGCAACCTTACAGGCACACCTCCAGGCCCTACAGCCCGAAGCCCAGAGTCTGTTTGTTGTACGGCACCAGGACAAGTTTCATGTTGATATGAAGTCCTTGACCCCGTTGCCACAGCCGTAGGTTAGCGTAGCCTTATGGCGGGAACGTTGCCCCGGCGTTGCCGCAGCACCTTGGTTGGGTACTACATAAGAGTGACGTAAGCTGGGCGGCCGTGACAGGGCTGTTACAACCGCAATAGTCAGGATCTGCTGCACCCGCAGACAGATACAAGTATAGGCAGATGGGGTGTGATGGGGTACTCATGTCGAGGAAACTGGAACTAACTTCATCAGCACCTGCCGGGCGCGCGGGACCGGTACACACTTCAACATACCTTGTGTCCAGTCAAGACATCGGTTACCGGTACACGCATTCCCCTAACCCAACCACGCAATGCAACGGCACGCCTGTAAGAGCCTCCTCGGGGCGAGCAATTGATTTTGTAACGGGCATGTGGGCTTTGGGTGTGCTCAGCTCGTCCAACACCGTTCACACGACACCGTGTCGTTTACAGCCTCAACTCGACTGCATACCGTACCAAAGCCGCCTTGGAAACCACCGTAATGGGAACCTTGAAAGGTCAGTCAAGACGATCCCAAGCCAAGCCGCCTGGTACCGTGGCAACTGCTGGTACCTGTCTCTAAGGGCTTACTTGGTGCGTACTGTCTGTCCGCCTTCTGTAACAGCCCACATCAGAAGGGAAACACCTGTCCGCATCCGGATGGCGGTCCCGCCTGGTGGCGTCAGGACCATGGAAGCACGGGGGGCACAGCCCCCAGGCACGACAGCGGCACTTCCTAGCGGCAGGCACCAGCATGTCTGTGACTGTGAGGACCCGTACATCCCCCTGTAGTCCCGTGTTGACTTTGAGCTTGATGCCAGTAAGGCGTTTGGGGGTAAGTGAAATAGACTACGATTTGGACGCCTGCACGCAGCGCCAGGACGTGTCGACTCTGGAGGCTACTGCTACAGGTGCTGCATGCCAGCTGGTATCGATGGATTGGCCCTTGGTTCTATGTATCGCTAAGCGGCCGAGTAACCGGATCAGTCTAGCTACACTTGGTCCTTCATTAAACGATACGAGGCTGGTTGTTGAAGATCGCACCGCGTCTTGGCCTTGGAGCACAGGCCCAGGTCGTTAAGAATTGACGCTCGGTCAATGTACAGTGCGATTGGGTAACAAGACCGTCTTTCATACTATATACCTTGCAAGGAATACGAAAAAAGCTGTTGTTTCGTCCTTTGCTTGCCGATGCCCGCCGATGTGCTTGTACGGCAGACGGAGAAGATAAGGAACTGCCCAAGCGACTAGCCGAGGCACTGTTTGGTCGCAGTCAAAATGGCTTCCATCACTCAACGCACTATTAGCCAGGCAGGCCTTGCCACCAAGGCCAGCCGTAAGGAGGTTGTCGCTGTCCGCGCAGTGGCCCAGCCTCGTAAGGTGATTCAGTTAGGTTCTTGCGCTGGTAAGAGACCGCAGCTAACTCAGCTGTTTGACTACACGAAGGCCTCGTCTGTTGGCTTCACCGCTGCTTCGTCAACGGTTCCTGAGGAGCGGCGCTCGGTGGTGGCCCAGGTCGGTCGATGTGATGGGAAAGTCGCTCTTTGCAGTGTGTTGCAAATTCGCTTGGCGCCCCGCTTCATAGGCCGTCGCTGTGGAGGCCCCTCCTAAGCCGGTGATCAAGGCGAGCCAGTATGAGATTTTTACGCTCACTACCTGGCTCCTCAAGGTGAGCTTCAACGCTTACGTTCGCGGTGTCCCTGTTGTATAAATAGATGAGATAATATTATATATGACGTACTACCTACTCTAGTTATAATGCCTACCTTTAAGGAACGGCTACGCAAGCTTGCAAGCGCATTGCATTCGACCCAACATCTGGCGGGCAGCAAATGAAGGCGACTCAAATATGTTAACTATGTACTGCAGGAGGAGATGAAGGGCACGATTGATGGCGAGCTTGCTACGGTGATCTCGTCGGTCGCGCTTGCATGCAAGCAGATCTCGTCCCTGGTTAACCGCGCCGGTATCTCCAACCTGACTGGAGTAGCAGGCAACCAGAATGTACAGGTAGGCCTTATTTAAGGATGTCACATTATGAAATAGCTCCTTCGTCAGACACAACTTGCAAGACATGTTTGACCACATTCCCACCAAGCCTCCTGGCTGCCCTTTGAACCCGTGTGCATATCACGTGCATCCATAATGTGACACCCAGCCGCAGCGCCTTTCCTGCCGTCTACCCTTCTGTGCTAGAACCCCATCCCCAACCCTAAGTCTACCGGTAACTCGTTTACCCCCATCCTAACCCCACCACTTCCGCCTCCTCCTCAGGGCGAGGACCAGAAGAAGCTGGATGTGGTCTCCAACGAGGTCTTCAAGAACTGCCTGGCCTCCTCGGGCCGCACGGTGAGAGGGGAAAGGGAGGCAGGCAGGCAGAGACAGCTCCCAAACCACATCACATTCATCCAGCGGGTTAGGGTGCAAGCATGCAGCCGCAGTGGGGCTGGGGCACCCGCACGCTGCCTCCAGGGCCTGGCCTTGCTGACCCAACCGCCCGCCCACCTTCCACTCCACCAAATCCTCTACTCTCCTCCTTTTTCCGCTCTTCTCCCTCCTCTTCCGCCGCCCCCTCCCAGGGTGTGATCGCCTCAGAGGAGGAGGACCAGCCGGTGGCCGTGGAGGAGACCTACTCGGGTAGGGCGGGGGGTCAAATACCATATCGAACCATAGGAAGCCACAGGTTGGGGCAAGACAATGGGGATAGGAGCGGCAGGGTGCCACAAAAACAAGTATGGGCGGGGGGGGAGGGGGACAGGGGTGTGTTGGAATTGCATGGAGGGGAACAGACTGGCCAGATGCAACCCGCAGCCCACAGCGCAGCAGCAGCAGGGGTGGTGGTGGTGGCTGCTGGGAATGGCTGCTGCTGCCAGTCCTGCTACCCAGGTCGCTTTTTGTGTACGACAGCACGGATGGAAAGCACCAGCGCCAGGGGGGGGAGAGCACCAGGGGGGGAGAGCCCGCACGGCACCAGGGGGGGAGAGCCCGCACGGCAGCACCACAGTGCGCCGCGTCTGGGTCAGAGAAACCAGGGTCCCGGGTACCCTGGGTACCGGCTACTTAAACTTCAACTTACCACCCAGCCGGTGATCTCGTGACGAGCGAGTGCGCTGCTGGGAGGCAGCGCTGGGGGGTACGGTAGCAGCACTGCAGCAGCAGCAGCAGCATACCGGTACCCGTGAGGCGCTGAGGACTCGGACTCGGGCTCTTCGGCACGACCCTGTCCTCAGTGCGTACCGAGTTGACTGTCTCTCACCTCCCTAACCTACACCCCTCCTCCCCAACCCCTCTTCCGCCATCTAGCTCCACACTCTCTTTCCTCACCCACCCCCCTGGTGCCCCTTTCCTCACTACCACGAGTTGCCACCATCGTTAACAATGGGGTCTTTATCATTTGGTCTTCTTTATCGTTAACACCCTCCTCCCTCTCCCCACCCCCATGACCCCCTCCCTTGATGCCTTACCACACGGTCACTTCGTTATTTCCTCTTTATCTCCCCTCTCCCCGCCCCCTTAACCCCCCTGCCCCCGCCTCCCCGCCTCCTTCACCCTCTTTCCCCCTCTCCCCGCCCCCCCAGGCAACTATATCGTGGTGTTCGACCCGCTGGACGGCTCCTCCAACATCGACGCGGGCATCAGCGTGGGCAGCATCTTCGGCATCTACGAGCCCAGCGAGGAGTGCTCGCTGGACGCAATGGACGACCCGCAGAAGATGATGGTGGGCACGGGGGGGGGGAGAATACCCAATACGTTCAATGAGAAGGGAGGGGGGGAGGGGGTTAAGAGGGGATGGAACAATGGATATTCCGCACTGGGATGGTCTTTTGGGTTCCGTATGGCAATGTTAATAGGGTTCGTATCAGTAAGCAGTATTTACAAGGTGGAGAGGGAGGGGCAGAGAGGGGAGGGGGCCCTTGGAGGGGGAGGGCCTAAGGGGGCCCAAGGGGGGGCTGTCGGAGGGGGCTAAAGGCGGGCTATATCGCTTTAGGGAAGGGCGGGGAGCTGGGGGCTCCACCAGTAACCTTCATCTTACCTCTCCCCGCCTCTCTCCCTTCCTGCCCCCCTCCCCCCAACCCCCAGGAGCAATGCGTTGTGAACGTGTGCCAGCCCGGCTCGCGCCTCAAGTGCGCCGGCTACTGCCTGTACTCCTCCTCCACCGTGCTGGTGATCACCATCGGCAACGGCGTGTTCGGGTTCACCATGGACCCGCTGATCGGCGAGTTCGTGCTCACACACCCCAACGTGCGCATCCCGGAGGTGAGCCAGCAGGCGGCGGGCGAGAGCTGGGAGTGCTTGGGGTGGCGAAGGGAATGAAGGAAACCCCCTGGGGTGGGTGGCGTAGGGCAGCTGCAGCGGAGTGGGGAAACATACATGAGAAGTGCAGCGACCGGGGAAGTGGGGAAGTAGAAAGGCCGAAGTAAGGCCAACCTGTCAACCTGGTTGTTGATTTCCTCTTTTCCCTCGTACCTCTCCCCCCCTCCCCTCCCCCTGCCAGGCTGGCAAGATCTACTCCTTCAACGAGGGTAACTACGCGCTGTGGGACGAGGGCGTGCGCGCCTACATGGACTCGCTGAAGGACCCCGCCAAGTGGGGCGGCAAGCCCTACTCGGTGAGCCGTGGTGACGGGAGGGATGGGAGTGATGGGGGCTGTGGAGTGCCGATGGGTGCTGAGTGCTGGGGGAGGGAGCGGTGTGCGACGAGGTGCATGGATTGGGAGGATAAGAGACCCATGGGTCACAGCGACGGTTATAGGGCCTAAGTAAACGCGGATGTACGGGTGCGGTGGAGGGAAGGGAAGAATGTTACGTACACACCGTGAATAGGATACGACTGCGGGGCCGTACGTGTTGACATCTGCATAAGGTGTAAGGACCCCCATTCCCATTAGTCCGCCCCCTCTTCCGGCCCCCTTACCCGCTCCCTCCCTCCTTATCCCCTCCCCCCCAGGCCCGCTACATCGGTTCCCTGGTGGGTGACTTCCACCGCACGCTGCTGTACGGCGGCATCTACGGCTACCCGGGTGACGCCAAGAACAAGAACGGCAAGCTGCGCCTGCTGTACGAGTGCGCGCCCATGTCCTTCATCGCCGAGCAGGCGGGCGGCGCGGGCAGCACGGGCACCGCGCGGGTGCTGGATGTGAACCCGGAGAAGGTGCACCAGCGGGTGCCGCTGTTCATCGGCAGCAAGAAAGAGGTGGAGTACCTGGAGAGCTTCACCAAGAAGGGGGGCAAGTAAGGAGAGGGAGGAGGAGGAGGAGGAGGAGGGCAGGAGGAGGCGGTGGAGGTGACAAGGAGAGGTAAAATATATAATGAGACAGGAGAGGGGGGGGAAAAGGTACCGAGACGGAAGCAGGAGAAAGGAGGAGTGGATGCATGCTAATGGTGCATAAAGGTGAGAGTGTGTGATTGCGGAGAGGATAAGAGAAGAGATGGAGAGGCTTGGTGTAGAGATGTTAGGGTGGTAGGAAGGCAGGGAGGGTGAAAGCCGTGAAGGCTGTTTGATTTTGTCGTCGGCTGCGCGCATGTGTGTGTGGGCCACAAGAAAGCGTTATGTACGGCAGGTGGGCTGCCTAGATCCAACCGTAATCTCTATTGCTGCTGTTTTGGAAGGCGGCATCAATTTTGCGTCCCAAACAAAATAATATATTTGTATGGGTTGTGTACAACTGACAAGATGCCAGCACACGTGTTAAATAGCAAACCCGAGTGTTGTGACCTGAGAAGAACAAGAGACCATTCGAGTGATGTAAAACTCCACGATTCTTGGCACAACGAGTCACTGAACATCTCTATCCGCAACCGCCCCTGCTGCTGCTGGTGCTCCTGTGCGGTAGCCCCACCCCGCAAGCAACACCTACCCCATGTTGATGAGTGCGCCACGTTCCCTGAAACTACAGCCGCCACAACCCCTACACACTCCGGCTATTCCTACCGGTGGATGCGGCCGCCCCCATCACACCAGCGCCTCTGTTCAACCGACCTCCTGTAGCCGCCTTCTTCGCCGACCCCCCCCCCCTTCCTCTGCTCCCACACCACTACGCTTCCCAACCGCAGCCGGCAGAGCGCCCACCCGCCTAACACCTACAACCCTACGCTTGTAGTACAGTCCTAGCCCCTACCCACCTCCGCCCTCCTCGCCGCCGCTACCTCTAGCCTTGCTACTCTTACGCCTGCCGCCCCTGCCCCACACCAGCTCCTGCCCCACCTCCCCACTACTACGCTCCTACACCTGCCTCGCACCCTCCACCCCCAACGCTTCCCTTCCTTCCTTTCTCCTCATGCACCCCTACGCCGGCTCCTGCCCCATCATGGCCTGCCCCGCCACGTCCTCCTCCCAGCCCAGCTCCCCCAGGGGCGCCACGTGCATGTGGTAGGCGGGAGACCGGCCGGGCTCCAGCGCTCGTAGCCGCAGCTCCTGACGTGGCAGCCTGGGGGGCGGGGGTGGGGGCAGGCGAGGTGCGTGAGCAGGAGGAGGAGGAAGGGTGCCGTGCTGGAGAGCTCAGGTTGTGTAGGTGTCGTGGCAATGCTGCAGCACAGATGCAGTAAGGGCGTTGGTGCGAGGGCTAGAGAAGAGCTCAGCTTTGGCTGCCTGACTGGCCCTGCCCCCCCCCTCGCGCATGCGCATGCGACCGCAGCTGCAGCTGCCATATGGCCGTCGGACCCCTCCGGCCAGGAGCGCAGAGCATGGCGCGGTGTGCCGGGAGCAACGAAACCCCACACTGCTTGCACGCAACATGCAACATGCATCATGCAAGACATGCCCTTCTTCAACCCCGAAGAAGATCTGCTTCCAGAACTGCTTCCCCAACCCAGCTCACTTGAAGGGCCGGAAGATGGGCGGCACGGGGAACTGCGCGGAGGGGTCGCACGCCAGCAGCCGCCCCGTGGCGGCGCAGCGCTTGGAGAACAGGTCGCGGCAGCCCACCAGCCACAGCAGCAGGTCCTCCAGCGCGGCGGCACCGGGGCTGAGGGGCTCGGCGGGCAGCGGTTGGAGAGCAGGAAGCGGAGCAGGGAGTTGGGGATGGGGTTGGGATGCGGGTGCGGGTGCGGGAGGAGGAGTGGGTGCGGGTGCGGGTGTGGGCGGGCTGCCTGCGGCATGGCCCAGTGCGGGTAGCTGGGGTTGCGGGGGGCTGCCAGCGGCTAGGGGGGCGGCTGCATGGGGGGCGGCTGCCGGTGTTGTTGTTGCGGTTGCTGTTGTTGCTGCTGTCGCTGCTGTTGTTGCTGCTGTCGCTGCTGTTGTTGCTGCTGAAAGGGGTCCTCGTTTGAGGTAATAGGTGAGGACGCGGGTGGCCAGGGCGCTCAGGCGGCGGAACACCTGGCAGGAGGAGGAGGGAGCGCAGGGGTGGGAGGGAGGGAGGGGGGCAGGAGAGTTGGGGAGCGAGGGAGGGGAGCAGGCAGCGGGGAGAGGCAGGAGTGGGATGGGGCGAAGGGTGCATCCAGCCGGGGATGCAGCGGGGGATACAAATGGGACACGGCTTAAAGGGGCAGGGTAAGGGGGGCGGGAGTAGGACTGCCGGCCTCATGCATGCAACGCACCAAACGCCTTTGGCTACTCGACCCCTTCTCTGACCGTACGTACTGTACCCCTGTGTGTTGTGGGTCTGTAGCGCACTATGCTCGCTAGCTAGCTCCCCCCCATCCTGTTAGCGCACCTGCGTGGTGGGGGTGGCCCACGGGTCGATCTCGAAGGCCCGGTCCGCGCAGTCCACTGCCACTCGCAGCGGCGCGGCGCTCCCCGGGCCCTCCAGCACCACATTGGCCACCAGCACGCCCGGCAGCAACATGCGGACCTGCATGCGGGTGAGGCAGGACGGCCCATGGGTCAGCGGCAGCGTCCAGGGCCAAGGTAGCGGCAGGGGATCCCGCACAACGGGATATACCGGTAACCTTTGTGGCTTTCCAGATGCGCATCGAGCGGCTGTCATGACTCATGAGAATGCGCACCCATACCCCACTAAGCTACTTACATGTACCGGTATTACATGTATTGGGTCTACTCTCTACGTCTCAAAAGGCGACGACGACAACAACTGCGCAGCCCCCAGCACCCCCAGCTACGGTACTCCCCGGGGTCCCCGCCTCCGCCCCGCCCACACCTGTGTCGCAGCTGCCAGCCTGGCGGCCCCCTTGGACAGCAGCTCTCCATCCACCAGCGGCAACCGCCCGCGTCCAACCCCTCCCGCAATCCCCCCTGCACCCCCTGGAGTAGCAGGCACTCCTCCTCCCGCGGCCGCAGCAATCGCAGCACCTCCGCCTCCTGAGGTCCTAGCCCTCGGTACTGCTTGAGCCGCAGCAGATATCGCTGCCAACAGGCCCGAGGGCAGGCTGATGGGGTTGCCGCCGTCATCCAGCGCATGCAGCCGCATACCCCCCAGCGCACTGCCTCCAACTACACTGCCACTGCTGTTGCTGAGGGTACCATGGGCGTTAGCATTAAGGAGGCTGCTACTGCCGCTGCTGCAGCCGGGGGCTCCCAGACCCGCATCCAGGGCTCGCAGGCGCAGCAGCACACCCAGTAACTCTAGGGGCCCCCCGGAGGGGGAGGCGGAGGTGGGGGTGGGGGTGTAAAGGGAGGAGGAGGCGGGCTGCATGGGCAGCCGGGTTGCTGTTGAGGTGGGCGAAGCAGCGGCTGGAGTGGTTGTGGGGCTGGCCCACTCATCCGTCCGTGCGCGCTTCACCCTCCGCTGCTGCTCCACTGCTGCTCCCGCTCCCGCTCCTCCCGCTGCTGCCCCAGCCCCAGCGCCCGCTGCCCCCAGCATCTCCTCACACAGCGCCGCATCCAGCTGCTGCACCACCGCCCGACAGTGGCCCTGCAGCGATGAAGCCGCTGCCGCCGCCGCAGCTGCTGCTGCTGATCCTGAAGAGGGAGATGCTGATGCGGGGGCAGCGGCGCTGTGGGTGTTGATGCGGGCACCGCCGCCGCCGCTGCTTCCGGTGGCTGCCGCCGCAGCAGCAGTGGCAGCCGCGCTCCGCGCCGCCGCCACGCGGCCCACCAGTCGCGCCACCTCCATGGCTGCGGCCATGCGGGGCCAGCCGGCGCGAATGATGCGGTGGTCCTCATCCAGGCCCTGGGGGCGTGGGCGGGCGGGCGTGTGTTCGTGCCTATTTTCATGCCCCTTTTTTATCCTCCGCCTCCTCCTCCCACCTAAATTTGGTCGCTGCGCTCAATGCATGAATCGAGGGCTTGTACCGGTAATTGTGCTTCACTTCTCATTTCTTTTGCCCCCCACCTCGCCTTCCCGATTCCTGCCCCCACCTTGATGACCCCCGCCAGCATCTGCCGCCCCTCCTCGGAGGCCAGCAGGTGCGCCTCCCCGCACACGTACACCACCCGGGACTTCATGTGGTGCAGCTGGGGGCGGGGTGGCGGGTTGGGTGGAGAGAAAGGGCGGGAGTGAGCGAGGTTGTGGTTGCGGATGTTTGAAGAGATGAGGGATGAGGAGCTCGGTGAATGGAGTGGGCGATGTAAGGCTTCAGGCGTGGCGAAGGGCAGGAAGTGCTTTGTTGAAGGTGTTATGGTGCGGTATTCGGGCTCACCAGCTGCTGGGACTGATCTAGGACTCGGAGGGCTTCCTTAAGTTGCGCCAATGGGGGCCCTGCTGGCGCGGGCGTGCTGGACTGGCCATCGCCGCCCTGAATGCCGCTTGTGTTCATGCTGCAACTGAGCAGTTGGAGGCAGTGCAGTTGGCTAATGGCCTTCGGGGCTGAAATAATGATACAAGTAGCAGCAGCACAGAGCAGCCCTCTACATACTAAGTGCTTGCTTTAGTCTAGACACGTCTTTATTAGGATGGATATATATGAAACACCTTATGTCTTTAAGCAACGAGGGCATGACAAAGATACAAGGTGATTTGAAGGAGGTAGGTAGGAACGTGATAGCAAGATGTCCGTAAGAGAACAACAGCAAACTGAATTGACCTTGTTAACCGTTAGTTGCCGCTCCAAACTTGCAGGATTACGGCACCGTACCTAGATCATTTCCCCGTCCACGCTTGGCTTTGTTCGGATCCCAAGGTAACATCCGTTGCCCTAGCGATTTTCAAGTCGAATTGTTCTGGGATCGCTAGAATCGTTCGAATCTGACAAAGTAGGCTTCGTTAACGTCTCACCTTCAATTCGACCCAGACCACTACAAATAAAGCAGCAACTTGTTAGGTGGTAAAGGATAGCTATGCAGACTCTGCAGGGCCAGCGGGCCTTCACTGCTGCTCGGCAATGCCGAGCGCTCCGTCAGCGCCGTGGGCCGGCGCTGGTAGTGCGTGCTTCCGTGGCCACCACCCCAACAACCAAAAGTGCAAAGAAGCCGAACTTTCCATTCATTAAGATCCAAGGCCAGGAAGAGATGAAGCTGGCGCTTATGCTTAACGTCGTGGACCCAAACATTGGCGGTGTGCTTGTCATGGGCGACCGCGGCACAGGCAAATCTGTCGCTGTAAGTATTCCTGCTCCTCAAGTTCTCCTAAAAAATCACGCAAACCTCGACCAGCCTCATCCGCTTGCATATCCATCTCTATGAGCCTCCCAATTCCTCCCTCACCTCTTCCTCCGCCTCCATCCCCCCCACCCAAACAGGTTCGCGCCCTGGTTGACCTGCTTCCCGAAATCGACGTGGTTGAGGGCGACCCCTTCAACTCCTCGCCCACCGACCCCAAGCTCATGGGGCCCGACGCGCTGGAGCGCTGGCGCCGCGGCGAGAAGCTGCCTGCCACCAAGATGCGCACCCCGCTGGTGTGTGTGGGGAGGTTGCGAGCTGAAGGGGGGAGGAGCTGCGGTTGGTCATGTGTTTGACAGAGTTAGGGCTCTCGAAGGGTAGTGCTGCTCTCAACACATTACTCTTGGCATGGAGCCCACCGCTGCATGCCACACGGCTAGTTTCTCCCTCCTTACCCCTCTCCCTTTCTCCCATGGTTACGCATGGCGCTTTCCCTCCCCCCTATCCTCCCCTCCCCCAACTCAGGTTGAGCTGCCCCTGGGAGCCACCGAGGACCGCATCTGCGGCACCATCGACATCGAGAAGGCGCTCACGCAGGGCGTCAAGGCGTACGAGCCGGGACTGCTGGTGGGGCGGGGGGCGATGATGGGGTGGAAAAAAAGAGCAAAGTAACGAGCTGTATGACGAGGCTTCACCATGGGTTGCTACATGAGGAAAATGGTTTTTTTAAAGTGAAGCAACGAATCCCAATCCCATATCCCGACTCATGCAGTGAGCGCATTCGGAGATGGGGATGGGTGGGGCGGATGGGGCTTTGGTGCGGTTGGGTGGGGAGGGTAATAAGGAAGGAGCTAACCGTATGGAGGGGGGCCGGGGGGTGGATACCTTGCTGTGGGGTGGACTGGGTGGGGGGGGCCATTGGGTCGGACCAAGCGGAGGAAGAAGAAGAGACCCAAGTGAAATACGCTTTGCAGTGCTTTGCGGGAAGCTTTGCGTGTTGGTTGGGAGGTGGTGGTGGTGGCGTTCCCCGACCCTCCCCCACCCCTAAACCCCAACCTCCACCTCAACCCACCCCCAACCACCCAACCAACTCCCACCCACCCGCAGGCCAAGGCCAACCGCGGCATCCTCTACGTGGACGAGGTGAACCTGCTGGACGACGGTCTGGTTGACGTGGTGCTGGACTCCGCCGCCTCGGGGGTCAACACGGTGGAGCGCGAGGGCATCAGCGTGGTGCACCCCGCCAAGTTCATCATGATCGGCAGTGGCAACCCAGCGGAGGGGGAGCTGCGGCCGCAGCTGCTGGACCGCTTCGGCATGAGTGTGAATGTGGGCACGCTGCAGGACACGCAGCAGCGCACGCAGATGGTGCTGGACAGGTGGGGTGGGGGTGGCCTCCTCCCGTTCTCTTCGGCGCCGCTAAAACTGGATTCCATGTACCAGCAGCTCGTCGCATCGCGTGTTGTCACCTCAACGCTCATTCAACGCAGGGCTCGCCTTCGTTTTCCCTCCCCTCTTCCCGCTCCTAGGTCTCCGTATGCGCTCACTGCATGTGTCGGGATATGGGATTGGGACTCCAGTTGCTGCACTTTACTCATTCCCCCCTCTCCCTCCCCCCAATCCTAGAATGAATGCGGAATCTTCATCCTAAATTAATCCCCCCCCGCTGTCCCTCAGGATGGCGTACGACACCGACCCCGACGCCTTCGTGTCCGGCTGCCTGGCTGAGCAGCGCGAGCTGACGGGGCGGCTGGCGGCGGCACGGGAGCGGCTGAGCCGGGTGCGCATCAGCGACGAGCTGCAGGTGGGGTGGGGGTGGAGGGTGGGGAATACCTGAGGTGATGGGGAATGCCTAGTAAGGGAGTGCCTAGTAAGGGAGTGGGAATGGAGAGGCGAGCGGGGCAAAAGCTAGGAGGTGGGGAAAAGGGGTGCGGAGGAAGCAGAAGGTAGGTAACGTGACCGGTGGAGATGCAGGCAGTTGGATGGAGAGAGGGAATACGAGGGAAACGGGCTGTGGCATGGCGAAAGGGCTGTGACAAATAAGAGGAAGAGAAGGAATGGCAAGGGAAGTGTAGGGGAAAAGGAAGGGGGAAAGAAGCATAGGGGTATGCGGTTGCTCCTCTCTCCCATCGCAACTCGCATTGGGACTCCGTTGCTTCACTTCTCACTTCTCATTTCTCCCCCTCCCTGCTGTCAGGTCCTCATCTCCGACATCTGCTCCCGATTGGATGTGGACGGGCTGCGCGGCGACATCGTGATCAACCGGGCGGCCAAGGCGCTGGTGGCGTACGAGGGGCGGGCGGAGGTGACGGTGAAGGACGTGGAGCGGGTCATCAGCAGCTGCCTCAACCACAGGTGGGGGGGGGGGGAACATTAGTGATGTGTGTGCAGCAACGAGTCCCAATCCCATATCCCGACTCATGGGGGACGGGTGGCCGGGAGGCGACATGTGGGGTACTGTGTATGTGGTAATGCGTGTGCGTTAAGACAACTGGCCGCGAGTCGGAACCTACGTACTGTGATTATCGGATGGTGAAGTGCGGGTTTTGCTCCCCCCTTCTCCCCCCCAGGTTGCGCAAGGACCCGCTGGACCCCATCGACAACGGCACCAAGGTGGCGCTGCTGTTCCGGCGGCTGACCGACCCGGAGGTGATGCGGCGCGAGGAGGAGGCGAAGCGCCGGGCGGAGGAGGCGGCGGCCAAGAGGGCCAAGGAGGGCGGCTCGGCGAGGCCGACGGGGGCTAAGGCGGGGGCGTGGTCGGGGATTGGGCTGCCGGGCAAGCGGTGATGAAGGAGGGGAAAGGGGGGGGAGAAGAGAAAGGAAGTACAGGGGATTGAGGGGGGTGAGGGGTGAGAAGGGGTGCTGGGAAACGGGCAGATGACGGGGAGAGGGGCGGCACAGCAGGGACTGGGGTGACATGCGTAACGTGACATGATCTGCACGACAGGCGTATAGAATAGGAGGCGGAGGTGGTGATAAGGAGGAGGGGGGCGTGTGACGGCAAGGCTAGGAGGGGTCGAAAGGAGGGAGGGAGGTGGTGCTGCATGTTGCCAGCCGGAGCGGGGCGGAGCGCGAGGGATGAGAGGCTCGAGCCTGCGTGTCAGTGATGTGTTATAAACACACGCCTGTCATGCCGGCAATTTTGCGGAAGCCGATACAACCGACGCACTTTGGCGACGCGCTTGCGTTTATAATACTTTAGCAACCGCTTTACTTGGGCGTGTAGACGTAGAGGTGCTAATTTAACGTTTCTAACCAATTGCGGTGGCTCTCTGCGGCCTGGGGGCTGCTATTACTACGCAGCAGCAGGATCGCTGCCGCTGCAGGGGAGTGTGTGACACGGCGTCATGACGGGCGCCGTTCTTCAAGTCAATGTTTGTTGGCACAGCATGGTCACATGTACTGCGCAGGCCTAGGCTGTGTTTGCTCGGGCCTAGTAGTTAAAAGGCAGCAGAGGTTACCAAAGGCGGTGTCACCTGACTGCCCTGTCCGACCCGTGGTGTGCGCCTGCTCAGGGGCACGTATGGCATCTGCTGTGTACTTGCTGCTATAAGGTGTATCACATTCGTGCAGGCACGCGGCTTCTCGCTCTTTTGTGCCTCTACCCAGCAGCCGTCAGCCGCATCACATGCACAACACCAGGTGCTACATTAAGCACCGCAATGGGGAATAGGCGCCCTGCATCCGACGGGACGTCCGTACATTCTTCTGCCGTACTGCCTGCTCCACTGAGCCAACGCATGCAACCGCACACACATGCAATACCTCATGCCAGCGCAAAGCACTGAGAGCACTCTTCTGTAATTCTGTTTCGACTACTGCAATCAAGTCCCTGCCCTGCCCCGTGTTATACCCTGACTGACCCATGGCATATGCACCCGGCAACGCGATCCCATTCCTTGACCTCCTCTCAAAAGCAAAAAGCGCTTTCAAGATGAAAAGCACGACAGCCCCCCATGAGGCCGGAGAGAGGAACGCCGGCAACCCGGCGGCGGTGGCGTATGACTAACATGCAGACACCCTGTCACCAGCCACAACCTGCCCCGCAGCTGCTGTCATGCCTCCGATGCTGGGTATAAACGTAACCTGTCAACTGGAAAGTACCCCATTTTTGACCGTCCTAGCACAGTCATCAGGCCGAGGCGCGGAGACGCGCACAGGTCTTTCAACACCCACATGGCCCCACAAGGCCACATGACCCAGACGAGAGACAATCCACATGCACGTGCTCTCTTCAGCACGACGTGACCGTCAGCAATGCTCTACCTGACCCCACTACACCTCCTCCATTTCCAACAACCTAACTGCCCGGCAAGCGGGGCACCGAGTACCAACCACATCCCAGCACATCCCAACCATGCCGGTCGGGTTCAGCTCCTGAACGCCCCCGCCCACTTCACATATCCCCATGCCACACAGCGGCCGCCTCCGCCGCTGCTGTTGCTGCTGCTGCTGCTGTACTACGTGTGGTCGCACACCACTACACGGCTGACAACGCTTTGCATTGTCACCGGTGCTCCCTCCTCCCCCAAGCTCCGCAGCTGGAGTATGCTGCCAGCAGCACCCCTATGCCCCTGCTCCTTTCCATCCGCTGCCCTTTCCCATTCTCCATCCTTCCATCCTCCGCTGCTCCTCCCTCCACCGCCCCGCTCCGTCTCCTCCCCTCCACTGCCCCCCTACTTGAGGTACACGGTGGCCAGCCCCACCAGCATCACCACCATGAAGGCACCCGCCTGCCGCAGCTGGGGGCCCAGCAGCGGGGCCAGCGGGGTGGTCAGCGCGGCCATCAACTGGGGGGGGAGCGGGGAGGGGAGGGAGGGAGGGAGGGGAGGTTAGGGTTAGGAGAAGAGAGGGCAGCAGCATGCGAGCAGCGGCTGGCAGCTGGGTGACAGGGCGAAGCCTGTTGCTGGTGCATTACTGTGGATACCGGAATCCTCCTCCTTCTTTTACCATCGGCCCCCACTCGCACCCATTCCTCAAGATTGTCCCACCCCACACTCCCACCCCACACGATACCCTCCAACCATCCCCCCACTCGCACCCCCCCCCCACCCACCCCGCATGCCGCTCCCAGCACCAGCACGGTGGTCAGGATGGCGCCCACGATGGGGTTGCCCCCGAAGAAGGGCCCCTCCGGATCCGCCTTCACGCGCTTCTGCTGGTACTTGTAGACCGAGTAGGCGAAGGAGGCGGCCAGCGGGAAGGACTGGTCGGTGGCGAACATGGCCCTGCAGTGGGTGGGTGGGTGGGGTGGGTGGGTGGGTGGGTTGCATGGGCAGTGTTGGGTGCATGTGGGTCAGGTTTGGGTGTGCATGAGCGCTCCGGTGTTGGGTCAGGAGCTGCTGAGCTGCTGTTGGGACACCCCAGGTGACCCACCACCAGGCCATGACGACCAGGCCCGCCCAAACAACCAAGGACAACAACAACAGTTGGAGAGCGAGGTGTGAACGGTAGCAGCCGGGTAGGTCCTTTCCGCCCAACGTGACGTGTACGGCATCTGCACCCGTGCGTCACCTGTACCCGTGTACGACACTCCCCGCTCACCACAGCGCCAGGCCCAAGAAGACGGATCCCTCGTTAATGAGGTTGGTGGGTGTGATGGTGGGGTCAATCAGGTCGTACAGTTTCTTCTCCCATGAGGCCTTGGCGCGACCAAGCACGCCCCCGCGCCGCCCTGTCCGGATGGGCTGGAAGCCGTACTTGTGCCGTGCGCTTAGCTTTTCCTGCAGGTTGGGGTGAAGAGGGTATGAGGGTGGTATGAGGGCATGAGGGCGGTGGTTTTCAGATGAAGATGCTTTGGTGGGTTGCCCTGGGTACTGCAGGCAGGAGCCACCGGAAGAGGGTTTGCCAACCAGTGGGACCTGCACGGCTGCTCCCAAGTCCCAGCCCGAGGGCTAACACCCAGCCCCACGACAGCTCCGCAGACCGCAGTCCGCACCTTGATGAGGTGGTCAAAGGCAAGCTCGATGGCTTCCCGACTGGGCTCATGCCATCTGTAGAGTTCGTACAAGTAGTTTCGCGCGTCCTGAATCTCCTCAAAGCCCGCGTCGTGACTTAAACCTAGCAACCTGTTGGGTAATGGACGCCGAGGTATTGTCAAGCTACACATGAAAGCAGCAAGAATTGGATGAGTTAGGTGCGATACCTGTAGGGATCGCGCTCTTTCAGCCGGGGGAAAGGCTTATAGTCCTGCCCTTGTGCTTGTTGCTGGTCGCCGGATGACGACGCGTCGAACGCAGCAGAAGCTGCGACTGGGTGTGGCAGCGGAAGCGCTGTGTGTACTCGACTTTGATGTCTGGGAGATCGGGTAAAACGTCAATTAGGTCATCGCCGAGCATAGGGAGCCTCATGTGCAGAGGAAGCCCCTGGCGCCGTCAGATGACGCTAAGAAGTAATTCGAGCCATCATAGAATTACCTTAGGAAGTGTGTTGTTCGACCAATAGGGCGACTGCAGGAAGGACCGGCTTGCCCGGAACTCAAGCGACCCAAGCTCTGCATGCTGGCCCCGCTCTCCTCCCACCCAAATAGTGCAGATTAACTAATAAGATCCTATGCTTAAATTGAGAAGCTAGATAATGTTAAGAAAGTCAATTGTCAGAAGGCACGATTGGTAATCTGGCCTAGCGTTAGAACCGCACGGCGATGATACAGGACTAATTTCCTTGATTTCGGCAAAGAGTTTTGTTTCCAATACAAATTATAATTGTTACTGAATTGTCTGAGATGTATGCTTGCTTCCAGTGATTTGCGCCGCCGTATAACCATGCTTTCTATACGAAGGTGCGAACTCTGCGCTGTAGCCGTGTTATGCAATCAGCGAAATCGTTCAAGGAGAGCTAATTGGTAAGCTTAATCGCTCGAGTAGCGGTCCGGCTCACGTGTCGACGCAACTTGCCGCTCTGCGACTCTTCGTTATATTCCATACATGTTTACATCCATGCCCGTGCTCCAGGATGTTGGACTCAGCGCGTCGGGGCATCCGCCTCAGTTTACCGATGCATCCGCTTCATTCCAACTGTCCTATCTGGAAATCCGAACCTGTCGATACCTGCCCTGTCAACCCGGTCCACAAGTGTAAAGTGTGCACTTACATAGGAAACGAGAGCGTAAAAGTAGAAGGGGGGCCTTTGTAGCAACACCCTAGAAATGTCGGAGGAAAAGGCTCAAGAGAGGTTACCCGAGGGTCTTTCCCTCAACAACACGACCAAGGCCAAGCTTCACGACGAGCCTCACAGATCCCAACCGGCCCAAAGCAACCATTCATGGTGCTGATGCCCTGCCACATGCTCACAACGCTGGTTCTTCCTCTGTACCCCATATCCAACCACTAGCCAGACCACTATCGGCGTAACGCCAACATCCTTCTAGCGCTAACTCTTGCCGCAGCAGTCCTACACCTCCACCACCACCAACCCACCAACTACACACACCATTACCACAACACAAGTACACAACCCTCCTCCACCTTCACTTCCCTTACTGGACTCCCTCCTTATCTCCAGCAGCCTCACCCTTCATACCGTTTCCCGTACCGTCCGCAACCATGCAGCCGGCCGGCAGCACACCCACCCCTTACCTCACCTCCCACCAGGTTGGACCCAACACGTGGTGAGGTGCCATGTGTGTTAAGAAAACTGGTTAGTCCTCTACCTCTTCCCCCTTAAGCCCCCACGCCAGGGGTTGCCACTACCGACAACAACTAACAACATATAATCTTCCTCTTTCCTCTTTACAGCCGCCTCCAACCCCACCCCCTCACAGGATGTACCGTGTGAGGTCCTGCTTGTGCAGCAGGGCGCTCAGCGTGCGCTCCACATGCGCCTTGTCAATCACATACCTCACCCGAGGAGGGGCAGCAGCAGGGGCGGCAACAGGAGCACCCTCTTGCTGCTGCTGCTGCTGCTGCCCCGCCTCCTCCTTCGCCACCTTCTCCTCCTTCTTGGACCCCGCCGCCTCCACCTCCTGCTCTCCTCCCGCCTCCGCCTCCGCCGTCACCGCCCCCTGCTCCTCCTCTCCTCCTTCTGCTGCCTTGGCCACCACCGCCTTCTCCTTCTCCTCCCGCTCCTTGTCCTGCCTCTCCTTCTCCTCCCGCTCCTTCTCCTCCCGCTCCCTCCTTGCCGCCGCCACCAGCTCCGGCGCCGCGAAGCTCACCTCCTCCACCACCCGCTCCAGCACCGCATGCAGCCGCCGCGCGCCCATGTTGTGGGTGGCGCGGTTGACCTCCTCCGCCACCCGAGTGAGCTCCTGCAGCGCCTCGGGGGTGAAGTGCAGGTCCACGCCCTCGGAGGCAAGCAGCACCTGGAGGGGGGAAGGGGGGAGGGGCGGGGGAGTGGAAGGAGGAAGGAGAAGAATACCCAAGGTGTTAGATGGAGGGAGCGGGAAGGGAAGGAGGAGGAAAGCGTCGCAGCCCACCGGTGCCCAATCTGACACCCCCCCCCTCTACTTGCAGTCCGTTCCGAGCAACCCCCGTGAACGTCAACCCGGCCTGCTGCCTCCCCTGTTCCCTCACCCCCTCCCCTGTTCCCTCACCCCCTCCCCTCCCCGCCCCAGCCCCCCCCCCACCTGTTGTTGCCTGACCAGGTTGTACTCGGGCTCAGTGAGGATGCGCAGGAAGTCGTGGCGGCTGAGCGGCTTGAGCTCCACACGGATGGGCAGCCGGCCCTGCAGCTCCGCCATGAGGTCCGACGGCTTCACGGAGTGGAAGGCGCCCGCGCAGATGAAGAGGATGTGGTCGGTGTTCACGTTGCCGTGCTTGGTGCTCACCACGGAGCCCTGGGGGGGAGGGAGCAGGCAGGCGGGTGGGTTGGAGGGGATTAAAAATAAACTGAGTTGCGGAGATGGAGGGGAGAGAGAGAGGAAGAAGACAGGTGTCAGGTATGGAGAGGGAGGAAGGGAGGGGAGATGCATGCAGCGAGGGGCTGCAGGGGCGGTTCTGTTCCATGAAGGAGCGGGGGTACCCCCGCTTTGCACCGCTCCTTCCAGCAATGTGCTTGTTACCGCCGTTACCACTAGTAACCATACCAGCAGCCAAGAACAAAGCAGCTTTAAAGCTAGCGTCCCCGCCTCCCAGCCGGCCCCCCCTCCTCACCTCGATGATGGGCAGCAGGTCCCGCTGCACTCCCTCGCTGGAGGGGTCGCCACTGCGCCAGGAGCGGTCGCCGCGCCCGCCGCTCACGATCTTGTCGATCTGGGTTGGGGGGTTGAAGGGGTGAGGAATGAGGGAGAGGGGGGGAAGGCGGGCGTTGAGAGGCATGCTGGGTTAAGGAAAGATACTAGCCACCTTCTCCATGGGCAGCTCCTCCTCCTCCAAGCACATGGCACCCGTTCCCCGCCTTCCTACCCCATCTCCCCCCTCCCTCCCTATTATATAATTTTCCCCCCTCCCCCCACCTCATCAATGAACACGATGCCGTCCTGCTCCGTCGCCGCGATGGCCTCCTTCACCAGCTGCTCGGGCGGGAACAGCCGCTCCGCCTCCACGTCCTCCAGCAGCGGCCGGGCCTCGCGGACCTGACAGGGGCGGGGCAGGGCATCAGCGGGGCAGCATAAGATAGGGCAAAGGCAGCATGACAGGGCAGCAGCGGGACGCTTAGACAAGCACAACGACCTTAGGCCTGAACCCGGTAGCTGACCCGCAGCAGGATAACTCGTCAGCCAGCTGCCAGCAAGGCGCGTGGAAGGCAACCGCCTCCCCCGCCTCCCAACCCCTCCTCCGCACCCCCCGCTGTAACCCCCTCTCCGCTGTACCACCCACCCACCCTCAAGTTCAGGCCTTCCTCTTCCCTTCCCCCCACCCGCCCGCCCTACCCTCAGCGTGCGCACGTCCCGCCTGCCTCCGCCCATCAGCCGCTCCAGGTTAATCACCACGGGGCCCGGAGCGCCCCCGCCGCCGCCTCCCAGGTCGATGATGCCGCCCCCGCCCCCCCGGCCGCCCCCCAGCCCGCCTGCCCCCCCGTTGGCGGGCGGGGTGAGGTCCACCTCTATGAGGGCCTCCTCCAACTCGCCTGCGGGGGGGTGCGGGGGTAAGGATAGGAGAACAATGCATGGGTGGTGTGGAGGGTATAGGGGTGGAGAGCGGTTACGGGGTTCCTCGGGAGCAACCTAGGTGCCTACCGTAGTTATCGTTATAGTTGTTTTCTCTTCACTCCTCCCTCCTCTCCCTTCCCCCAGTGCCTTCCCCTCCGCCCCCACCCCCTTTCCGCCCCCTACCTTTCCTCAGCCGCTCCCTCAGCGCCTCCAGCGCAAACACCGACCCCGCTAGCCCCAGCTGCTCCTGCTGCTGCAGCGCCCGCAGCAGCCGCTCCTCCACGGCCTGGGAGGGAGCGGGAGGGGGGCGGCAGCAGGAGGAAGACACACAGCGGGGGCGTAGGCATAGCGGGACAATCCTGCTGGGTTATGCCCAAATGCGCCCCTGCCTTCCCATGGGAACACATAGCAACCCATGGTAAAGCATCGTTGTACAGCTCGTCAGTTTCCTCTTTTCACCCCTCCCCCCCTCTCACCGCCTTGAGTGCCGCCGCGTGCTGCCTCCGCAGCCGCCCCCGCACCAGCCCTATGGCCGCCTCCAGCAGGTCCCGAATGATGGTGTCCACATCGCGACCGTGGTAGCCCACCTCCGTGAACTTGGTGGCCTCAACCTGGGCGGGGGGGAGGGTATGCATGTGTAGGGTTGTTATTTGTGGAGCAGACGCTTGCATGGGCGGTTGGGCACATGCGCACGCTTGCAGTGCTCCCGCTCCCGCCCCTGCTTCTGTGCTCCGCATGGCACACACACAAGGAACCCACACATGCAGCACAGCACAGGTGCGCAGTCAGCCTTCTCAACACGGCACATCATGCAACACACAGCTCACAGCACAGCACACAGCACCCCACCACCTCGTCGTGTACCGATCCGGCCAGGCGCCCACCGCACCTTGACGAAGGGGCTGTTCGCCAGCTTGGCCAGCCGCCGTGCGATCTCCGTCTTGCCGCAGCCGGTGGGCCCTATGAGCAGGATGTTCTTGGGTACGATGTCATCCCGGATGGAGGGCGGCACGCGCTTGCGGCGCCAGCGGTTGCGGTAGGCCACTGCCACGGCGCGCTTGGCGTCGTCCTGACCGATGATGTACCTGGGGGGTGCGGGGCGGGGCGGGGGGTGGTGGATTACTAGGAAGACATATTCCGTGCGCGGTGGGATGGGTGGCAGGGTGGGAGGGAAGAGTGGGGGCAGGGTGGAAGAGGTGGAAGGAATTGAGGGAAGACCCATGGACCCATGAGTGAGGAGTGTGGGGAGAGGAGTGAGCAGTTGGGGGGGGTAAGGGTATGGGCTATGACCCAGATGGCTAGGGAGGGCTCTCCTGCCGCACAATGCCAGTGACCCAAATGGAAACACGCTGGCCTGAGCAGCCTCTTGAGCATCCCAGAACACACCGGTAGCCATCCCTTCAGCCCCCGAGTCTGTCTCCGTACGGCACAAGGTGTCGTACCTGTCTAACAGCTCTACAACCGCCTTGGGTGTCATGTGTGCATGTGGGTCCTCATCGGTCGCCTCCGGCACCCCGGCAACGGCGAAGACTGGCGTGCTTGGCTCCGCTGCTTTGACGGCACCGCTGCTGAAGGGACGATGCTGGAAAAGCGGACGGTGAAGGGAGATTTCATCGCTCCTCATGCCCACAAGTCGGGTGACCAAGTGTCGGCTGCTAGCAGCGACGTTGGCAGGCGCTAAGTCGCATCGGGGCAACGTAGCGATGCCGGTGTGGTCGGGCAACGAAGTTGACAGTCCGCTGACTGTTGAAGCGCTGGCGCAAGCTGACGCCTCAAGAATGCTAGCTGAGCCATCCAAGGCCCTTAAGGCTTGTAGGGCGCTTCCGCCAGAGCGTAGGAAAACGCCTCGTGGCATCATGCACAAGCGGAGGAGCTTGCCGATCCTATGTCCAACGAGATATCGAACAGTAACCTGGACTGTCTTCAATATCTGGGCCCCCAGATAAGCCGCTCGGGAGTGAAACGGATTCACGTAAACATCCGGAGCCCCAATAATTACAGCAGCCGAATGAGCGATATGCGTGGCAGGGTATAGATGTTTAAGGGAAAACCCTGGCGAAAGGGCTTAACTGCCCACACGAAAGCAAGCAATGCGTAACACTGCACGGCAAGTCTGTTTTTGTCTCGTTGCCGAAACTCCTCTTGGCCCAAATCATAGAAAACTCCCGAGTGTTTTCATTAGCGAGTCACATAGTTTCCTGCCCTTTGCACCTTGAACTCCGAACCTGAGCTCTGTTCCGAGCGACTTCACAGTTCCCCGGACCCCAGAAGCAACATGTCTGATCAGTCATCGGGTGTGGAAGCGAGTAATGCTCTCAAGAGGACGTATGATAGGTACGCACTAAAAAGGGCCCTGGATCTGCCTTGAAGAAATGGGTCCCGCGTTGTTATCGATCATTCCTTGGCTGTTGGTCATATGCAGGGACGAGCTTATTAAGATTGGACAGAAATGTAAGGGCAAGCCACTTCCAGATGGCGTGAGCCTGGTCGAGCTGAGGTGAGGGCATGCTTCTTACCGCGCTCCGTGATCCTCATTTTTTGTAGTCTGTCGTGTTCCATAATGACATGCTCGCAAGCATTATGCCCGTATAACATTGCAAGATCTGCGTGAATTGGGCTTGCACTCTTCGCCATGCAGCCTTATCGACCCTGCAACATATGAGCCCGAGAAGACGCTCGAGAGGAAGAGCCTGGGCGATGATACGACAAGCTTCAAGCCTGCTTGGGCTAAGGGGAACCGGGGAGCGGAGGGTGGCCGAACCTCTTTCCCAGGTACGCGCGCCATCGCTACCCCAACTCTACCCGGCTCTCTCAGGGCCTGTCCTTACATTTCCCCTCAACCTCGACTACATTGCGTGATAACCTGGAAACACCACTTTTATACACGTTTGCCCGCTTCCTACTTCATGTCCCAGCTAGCCAAACCACGCACCCTACACCGCAAAGACCTTTGATGTACCGTATGCCCGGTTCCTCCACCCGCAGTGCCGATTCGCAGCAAGCTGGTCGACATCCCGTCAGGCGGCGGCGACGACGAGGGCTCGTCCCGCGGCGACCGCAACGGCGGCCTCAGCGCGCGCAGCAGCTGGCGCACGGGCGATGAGCGGCTGGGAGGCAGCTTCGGGGACCGCGAGCCGCGGGATCGCGATCCCCGGGGTGGTCGTGATGCCTGGGAGGTGGGTGTCATGTAGGGGAGCTAGGGGCCCCATGTGGGTCGGGAAAAGAAGAAGACCATGTGGGTCGGCAGGGGAGACGCTGCAGTACCGTAAACGCTGAACGCAACGCACTACTAGGCGCCTCACTCTTTTAGATGCACTGTTCGGGCTGAACATGTGCCTTTGAGACACGCCGACGGCGCGGTGGCACTCTCCCACGACATGCTTGACGATCTGCGTGTACGCTTGTTTTGTTTTACACATGCCAAACGCCATCCTCGTGGTGGATGGTTCTGTGAGTACCGGAAGATGATAGGTGAAGGCTTACCCAAAAAGCCACATGCCACATGTGACCTGTGTGCACGCGCTTGGTGTGGTTGCTGCTCGCAGGCTTCTCGCTCTCCCAGCGGCCCGCCCGGCCTAGAACGGGGCATCCCCGCCCCCGCCGGTCAGGGGGGCCGGGGCCGCTGGGGCGCTGCCGAGCGGGACAAGGACGCGTGGCGTGCGGGTGGCGGCAAGGATGACAGGTAGACGGGCATGACGGGGCGCGGCGAGGCGATCCACTTGCACCCATGCGCATATGCGTTGTGCTGTCCTTTCGATCAGGGGCAATGGGTGTGGCGCCCCTCCTTATTGCGATATGTGACGTTGCCACGCCACCCTGCCAGTGGAAACGCGCACTCACCCTGATGAATTCCATTTTCGTCCCAACCACTTCCCATACCCTCCATCTTGAGCCGCATTCCTCTCCACAGGTGGCGCGGCGGCGACGATAACGAACGCCGCGCCTCCGCCAACGATCGCGAGCTGGACCGCACCGAGCGCTGGGGTCGCCGCGGAGCCGCCACCGCCGCCGCCGGCAACTCAGACGAGCCGTCGCAAGACGAGGGCCATCATCGCTGGACGGACGAGCGCCGCCGCCGTGCCAATGAGCCGCCGCCGCCGCCACGCGGACATTACGGCGAGCGCGAGCACCGCGGCGGCGGTGGCGGCGACTATCACCGGGGCGGCGGCGGCGGCGACTATTACCACGGCGGCGGCGGCGGCGGTTACGAGCCGGAATGGATGGCGGAGGAGGGAGGTGAGGGTGGTGGCCGGCGTGCCGGTGGTGGCGGTGGCGGCAGCGGCGGCGGACGTGAGGAGCGCGGCGGAGCGGGTGGGCGGTCGCATGGGGGTCCGCCGGGGCGCATGACGGCGGCGGATATCGAGCGGGAGCGGCAGGCGTTCCGGGCGATGGCTAACAAGGAGAAGGTGCGGGCCGGGTCGAGTCTCTTGTTTTGTTGCTGCTTTGATGTGGACCGGTGAGGCGAGGGGACGGGGAAGAGGGAGGGAGCTGTGAGATTACTACGGGAGGAGCCACTCTCAAGAACTATGCGGTCATCACGCATGCACGGTACACGGCAGCTATGCAATACCGTGAAGCCACATAGCCGTCTACACCCTACCGGCACACCCATACGAACTACCTTACACAAAGCCGTTACCGTTACACCGCTCTCCGCACCGCTCCATGCACAGGAGGCGCCCAAGGCCAAGCATGGTCTGTTCGATGTCGAGGAGATTGACTTGGACGAGCTACGCGACGACGAGGAGGACCATGTGGGCGGCAGCCCCCGTGTGGGAGGCGGCCGCGGGCAGCACCAGCCGGCTCGCACGCAGTCCCAGCCCCTGCACCAGCAGCCTGCTGGTGGTGGTGCCAGTAGCGGGGCGATGGGCCTGGCGGAGTTGGAGCGGCGCATGGAGGCGGGGGCGGCGGGGGGCGGCGAGGTGGCGGCGGCGGCGGGTGGAGGCAAGCCAGGTGGGTTGGGTGGGCTGGGTTGGGCGGGCGCTGGGGAAGTTGAGGAAGAGGGGGTTGATTGGAGATCCGCATGGCGGGGCGCCAATGACTGCGTACCGGTACCGGCTTTACAGTTAGGTTGAATCTTTCGCAGTAGAGTTCTGTCGGAAAAGGTGCACTATGCTTTTCCTCTTTAACTCCTATCCATGCCCACGCTACTCCCAGCTCACACACACCACCATTCCGACCCCCGTCCGCTTGTACAAGCAGTGCAACCACCGCCGGGCTTCGGAGGTCCCAAGCCCCCGCCGGGCTTTGGCGCACCCGCCCCTGCGCCGCTCGCCCCTCCTCCAGCCGGCGCTGCAGCAACAGCGGCTGCTGCGGCAACTGGGGGCATGGGCGGCGGCGGAGGCGGTGGCTTGGGGGCGCTGATGGGCGGGAACGCGGCCGGCAAAGCGCTGCTGGGAATGCTCAAGAAGTCCTCAAGTGTCGAAGCGAACACCGTACCCGCAGTCGCGCCGTCGCCAGCAGGTACGGCGGTGCCGGCGCCGCCACCGCCGGGCCAACAGCCTCCGTCCGCATCGCCACAGCAGCAGCAGCAGCAGAGCCAGCCGGATGCTGGCCCTGGGGGCGCGGGCATTACTGCGCCCCCAGCGCCAGCGCTTTCCGGACTAGCGCTTGTTCGCCAGTCGTCGTCTGGACCCATGGGTCAGTCGACGCAGCCAGCTCCGCCGCTGCCCCAACCAGAGCAGCAGCAGCCGACCGCTGCCGTTCCGCCCCAGGATATCGGTAATGTTCCAGACGCTGCGGCCGGCAGCAGTGGCGGCGGCGCTAATGCCGCCGCACCCTCCGCGGCGTCTGCTGCAGGTGGTGCGGCGGCTGCCAAGCTGGCGCCCGTGCTGCCTCCGATGCCGCTGCCACCGCTGGTGTCTTCCATTCCCGAGGGCGTGCGAAACGCCTTTGCTGACTTTAAGCCGGACGCCCCCGCGGGCGGAGGCGCCTTGAGCGGCGGCTTTGGCAACGCTGGGAGCGGCGGCCTGGGCGGCGGATTCGGCAGCATCTGGGGAACGCCTCAGGTGAGGAGTTTGGTTGTAAGTCCTGCGCGCTTGCTTCGACAACAGCAACGCTCGGCGTTGGTTTGCTTGTACCTTAATGTCCCACTAGAGGCATCGTCTTTTTGCGAAAACCTGTATGGCTCGGCCTCAGCCGCACGCGCATGCGCTCTCCTTTCCTAGATCACATCTCTTACCTCATAAACCATGTGTGTTCCCTTTTCCCTTGCTGGCTGTGCAGCTCTTTTCTTCCTCCTCCTCGTCACTCAAGTCCGAGCTGTCCGCACCGCCCACACACAAGCCCGTCGCCCAACCGCCCGCCGGCCCGCCTGCCAGCGGTCCCAGCGCTCCCCCCGTCGCAGCCGCCTCCGCCAACGCTGGCGGCCCGCCGCCCGTGCAGCCCGCCTCCTCCTCGCAGGGCCCACAAGCCGCACCCCGCCAGGAGGGGCAGGCGGGTTTCGGAGCCCCGCCGCCCGGACAGCCAGCGGTGAACCAACTGCCACCCTCTCTCCAGGCCCTGCTCTTCAACCAGCCCATGCAAGCAAAGCCGGCGCAGCCCTTCGGCATGCCGCCTCCCCAGCAGCAGCAGCAGCCCATGCAGCAGCCGGGTCAGGGATTGCAGCAACAGCAGCAGCCGCTGCCCATGCAACAGCAGCAACAGGGAGGCATTAACGTGCGCAGCCTGCCTGAGAGCCATCCCCTGCATGCGCTCTTCCGCGCAGCCGCAGCTGGAAAGCAACAACAGCAGCAGCAGCCATCACAGCTACAGCAGATGTTGATGGGGAACTCACAGCAGATGCAACAACCGCAACAACAGCAGCCAATGCAAGGCCTTCTGCAGCAGCTGCAGCAACAGCAGATGCATCAACATCAACAGCTGCAGCAGCACCAGCAGCAGCAGCAAGGCAGCATGGCTGGTCCTCCCAGGCAAGGCGGCAGTGGAATGGACCCGCTATCACTACTGCTGGGTCAGCTGGGCCGTGCTCAGTCACAGCAGCAAGGTCAGCAGCAGCAGCAGGGGCAGCACCAGCAGCCAGGTCAACCTCCTCAGCAGCAGCTGCAGCAGGGGTTGGGGCTGCCTGGATTCGGCCAGCCGCCAGCGAACGGGCCTTCCTCGGCCTTGCCGGCTGGGATGCAGCCTTCCCAGCAGCAACAACAGCACGGCCAGATGCAACAGGGTCAGCAGCAGCCGGGGCAGCAGCAGCAGCAGCAGCCCCAAGGTCCGCCTCGTCTGCCTTTTGGCGGCCCGACACCCAGCGACCTGGAGCAGCACCTGCAGCGCCAGCAGCAGCTGCAACAGCTGCAACAACACCTGCAGCAGCAGCAGCAGCTGCAGCACAACCCGCAACATGCACTGCAGCAGCACCTGCAGCGTCAGCAACAGCAGCAACAGCAGGGGCAACAACAAGGCGTGGCGCCGCCGCCGGGGGCCGGCGCAGCCGCCCCTGGACTGCAGCAGCAGCAGCAACCAGGAGGCCAGCCGGGCGGTCAGGCACCCAACGTGGTTGCACAGCTTCATCAGATGCTGCAACAAGCCGCAGCCCAACAACAACAGCAGCAGCACCAGCAGCAGCACCAGGCTCAGCAGCAGGCGCCCAGCCTGTTTCAGCAGCTCATGGCAGGTGCTGCCGCCTCTGGTGGCGGCGGCGGCGCACAGCAGGCAGCTGGCGCCGGCTCTGCCGCCGGTGGTGCTCCTCCGGGCGCCGGGGGCTCCAACATGTCAGCCCTGCAGGCTCTTCAGCACCTTCAAGCCATGCAGGCCGCGAACGCAGCCCGCGGGGTGCCCCCGCAGCAGCAGCCGCAGCAGGGGATGATGCCTGGCGCCGGCATGCAGCGCATGGGCGGCCCTCCGCCGCACCACCTGCAGCAACAGCAGCACCAACAGCAACAGCAGCAGCCCGGCGGGTTTGCAGGCATGCAGCCGCAGCCGCTGGTACCCTGGCCGGCGGCACTTGGCGCCAATCCATCAGCACTGGCAGCCGCCGCCGCGGCGGCAGCTGCAGGCGGAGCAGCAGCCCGCCCAGGCATGTCGCCCATGGGGGGTGGCGCCGGTGGTGCGGGCACGGACCCCAACAGCTTGGCCCGGTTGCTGAGTGCTGCAGCGCTTCTGCCGGGGGCGGGTGCGGCGGGTGCTGCGCAGCAGCGGATGCCGCCTCAGGCGGTTCCTCCGGGCGCACCGCTGCAGGGAGGGGAGCTGGAGCGACTGCTGCAGATGCAGGCGGTCGCCAGGCAGCAGCAGCAGCAACAGCAGCAGCAGCGGTAGAGAGGTAGGGATACAGGACTGCCGCTCTGCTCTGCTGTGCAGCGAAGCAGCGTCTTTGTCTGTACAGCCGAGAATGAAGGCGGGCTGCGGTATGGAGGAGGTGGAGTTTATGAAGGGGTGTGTTCATGAGGCCATGGAGCAGTAGGTGGTGAGCTGCTGAAGGGACGGAAGGGATCGCGTATTGAAAGTTAGCAGGCGTTGTAGCGGCTACGGTTGGGTTGGTTGGTTGCCTGGAAACACGTGGCACGTGGCACCGTTTGTTAGGACACATGGGGCAGGTGGCACGGAGTAACGCGTTAAGAGAATACATTTGTGGCATGTCACGATTGCCGCCAGGTGCACAGGCCCTGCATGAGTAGGGGAGGTTCGGGGCAGTGTCGGCAGGAGTCGGGCCACTGCCGCATGCCTGCATAGTCCCGCCGAGCATGGCCATGGGCTTGCTTCACCGTTCGTACGAACGCCGTACCACGGCCGTACGGTAAGTCCCAAAAGACCCATTACACAGCAGGAGCAGCTGCTGCTGCGAGAAAGCGCGTGCATGGCGCTAGCTAGGGCGATTGTGGTGGTGGTCGGAGGTGGGTTTTGCAAGATAGGATTATACCAAAGTACGAAGCATACAGGCAGCGGTGGTTATGCGGAAGAACACCTTAGGGCCGGAGTGTCGAAAGGCAGGCAAAGCATGGGGCGGGCTGTTGCATTCCCAGCAGCAGCATTGTTTGCAAACTCCAGCAAACGCTGCAGAGCGTAATCATGTAGGGCATTCAGGCGATTTAATTGTGTGTGCTGCCACTCCGTTAATTGTCATAGGAGTGTTTCACGATAGCTGGCTGTCCCGCAGATGGCTGGGTGGCTATGGGGACTCTTGAGTGTCATCGTCTGGGTGGAGTGTTTAGGTGCCCTCCAATAAGGCTATGCTATCGGAAAGGGGGCACGCATAGGGATGCGGACACATTCTAGCAAGAGTGGCAGTAGGTAATTCCGCATTGCAGCTATCGTATGTGGTATAGCATCATCGTCCGGCGTGCGTCCGTACTGGCGTTCGGGCGTTGTTCGTCGCACTGACACGCGTGGTTTGTTCGACCCGTGGGTCACTCGGTAGCGGTCTCACTGGGCCCCTCTCTCACGTCACGCGACATGCACTGTGGCTCGTTGCGCGGTGGCATCGTGGGCGCTGGCAAAACCGGGGGTTTGGGTTTTATGGTGAAAGCTGATGTTTAGCGGGCGGATACAGCTTCAGGGATATAGCATCACCGTAAAAGAGTGCCGTACATGTTTTATTAGGGGTGCGGTAATTGCCTCTGGGGTGGTAACCCCCAAATAACCGGGGTGGTTATGCCGCCAGGTGGGGGTAGGACGGGGAGATGTGCCCATTACGTTACCGGTATACACCTCTTTTGTCCGTTCTCCGGGTGTATGGGCGCCCCTTGCTTACCAACATACCAAGCACACGCTCCTCCGGGTGTGGTGTTCTCAGGAAGGGTTAAGCAAGCTAATTTCGCGGTGGCATGCGTTCTGCCGTACAGTCTGGTGTGGTGGTAGGGGTAGGGATCTGGTTTGGTGGGGGAGGCTTTTGTTGGCCTGTGCAGCTTAACGTCCGGCCGGGGACATGTGCCGTATGCGGAGTCGGGCATAAGTAGATAGCACATAGGGGCATTGCTGCATGTGTGTAGCAGATTGCGCCTTTCGCGTCAATCGGACCGGCCAGCCCGCGAGGCCTTGCAGAGGGCAAGGTTCTTGCCAGTTGTGCGGCCATCTATTACCTTCAGTGTGCTTAGTGTTCGCGTTTCAGGGCAGTCGTGTAACGACGATACAAAACACCTGAAACCCTCTCTCCTCCGTCACGAAATGAGACACTGCGAGCTAAACCAGGACTGTTAGCCCAGCCGCTGAGCAAAATAGGATACAGCCCAGCGAACCCCTCTCCCCCTCCCTCGCCACCTTACCCTTCTCTCCCCACTCCTCACCGCACCACCAGCACCTCAGCAGCACCTCCCCCTCTCCCTCTCCCTCCCTCCCCTCCCAGCTCCTCCTCCTCCCCTCTCAACCCGCCCGCCCCCTCCACCTCCCCTGCCAGCCTGCTCCTCAACGCCTCATTCTCCGCCTCCACCAGCCGCAGCCGCTCCAGCATGGCGGCCACACAGCCCTCGATCTCGCCGTCTATCTTGTCCCGCTCCGCCACCTCGCCGCTCAACCGCGCGATGTGCTCCTGCAGCAGCCGCTTCTCGACGTACCTGAGACAGCGCGGGAGGCAGAGGACGAGAGGAGGGAGGCAACAGCAGTTGGGGGAAGGCAAGAACAGCAGCAGCAGGTGGGGGGTGTTCAGACAGGCAGAAGGAGGACACGCGGTACGCTTCCACCGGTTTACGCCATGCACACAAGGGAGCCCAGACGGCGGAAGAGCGAGTCCCTTCCCCCTCTACCCCCTCCCCCGCATGCATACATGCAGGACCAATTTGGCAACCATGGTGAAGCCCCGGCATGCAGCTCGTGAGTGAGTTTCCTCTTGATTACCCCCGCATGCATGTCCCGTTGTCCTGTCCTCCTCCTCCTACCAGTCTGACATGGCCTTCTCGCTCTCGTACAGCCGTGCGCTGTACAGCGCCGCCTCCGCCTCGCGCTCCTGCACCTCCGCCTCCAGCCGCCGCTGCAGCTCTCCCACCAGCGCCCGGGCCGCCAGTGCGTTGGCGGAGGTGGAGCGGGAGCCCACCTGCAGCGCACTGGCCCGCCTGCGGGAGGGAGGGAGGGAGGAGGGAGGGGGGGAAGGTGTGGGGAAGTAAGGGAAGGGAAGCCGGCAGCAGGAGGGTTACTGGAAGAGGCCCCTGGCATCTGGGTTGATCTGGGTAACCTGGGTCAGCAAGCAATGTTCCGGAACTCCCGTGGTTTTCTCAGGCACATGCGGAGGTCAGATATCACGTATCCCGACTGGCTGCAACCACCACCAACACCCCAGCAAGCACCGGTACCGTAACCAACCGCCCAACCAACCTACTTGTACAACAGGCGGTTGTAGTCCTCCCGGATCTGCTTATACTTCTGATGGTGCAGCGCCGACTGGGCAACCAGATCCCGCAAGCTGTCCGCGCTCACACCGCCCCTGCCTCCACCGCCGCCGCCCCCTGCTGCCCCAGGCCCCATGCTGCTGCTGCTGCCCCGCCCTCCACCGCCTGTCCCGCCCCCACTATTAACAGCAGCTCCCCCACCGCCGCCGGCTGTGTTCCCGGATGCCAGCTGCATTTCCAGCAGCGCGCAGCGACGTCGTGAGGCCTCTAGCGCCTGCTGCAGCTGCCGGATGGTGAGGTCTCGCTCCTGCATGGCATGCAAGTAGGGCGGCAGGGAGCCAGGCAGGGAGCCAGACCGAGCCGGTGCAACGTGGGGGTGCATGCCGGTAGGACAAAGGTGAAAGAGGGCCTGGCATGAGACTTGCTGGCTTGCAGTGCCCGGTAGACACACTGCTGGCCTGGTGCTGTCAAGACAGGGGAACCCCATGAAGACGGGTACGGCAGCTGCATGCCTGCTGGCCCCACCGCTGCCGCTCCTCAGCTCTCACCTGCAGGGCCTGCCACGTCAGGCCTGCGTCCGCCGCCGCCATGCCGCTACTCGCGGGCGCCGTGGCAGGCGGCCGCAGGGACGTCCCTGGGCGGCTGGCAGCAGCCGTGGCAGGCGGCGATGTGAGGTCCAGGCCGCCGCTGTTGGCCTGAGGGAGGGGCGGAGGGCCGCAGGGGAGAGGCGTGTGAAGGGTACCATGTTGGTACCAAAGCTTGGCTTGCTTTTGTACTGCAGCGTGTTGACTAAACAGGATCCTTGCAGTGCCGTACAGCTCGTGGTGTACAACCATCAAAGGTCCAGGCCGACAGCCGAGCTGTTTGGCTTGCAACACTCTTACACTGATGCAGAGCCCCAAATCCAGTACCCTACCTTGGCAATCGCTAGCTCCTTCTCCAACTCCACGTTTTTGTGGTAGAGCTTCTTCATGATGCTACGTGACATGGCCATCTTTTGTTCGAGTTCAGCCACTTTGCGCTGCAATACATTCTCCCGAGAGGCGCTAGCTGTTGTTTTGGGTCCTGTGGTTGTTGGGGTGGAGCCGGTGGCGCCACGCCCATCCGTGCCATCTGGGTATGCAGGGAGGGTATTAGACGCGACGCCTGCAGCCTGCGTGAACTCGTCAAGCGCCCTTTGCACTTGGTCTCGAAGCGCCGGCGCAATCCCGAGAGATGCAAGCCCGGCGAGGATGTCTAGCGCCTGCGATGCTACCCCAGGTTCGTTGCCGGGGCCAACATCATCCATACTGCCGACAAAATCCTAAGCAGTATAAGCCATCGTACGTAATTGTACAAGTTAAGTTGGAGACCGTGCGCAACCCTAACTAGCAACCAGAAACCAAGCTGGAAGCTTACTGGACAAACTGATGTATGGTATAATAATTGTACTACTTTCAAGCTTATGGAAAGTCGCTTTGCGGGTGAAAATGAAACCAAGGGTATACTTGCCGTGCGGTCACTCAAAGGAGTCACGAATCACACATAGCTTGTGCTGAGGAATTTACACACAAAGCCATATCTATACATGCAAGATACTGCTGCACTTGTTACATAATATAGCGAACCTAAGGCATTCTCTTCGACCACATTAAGACTGGGTTCTACTCTTTAAAGTTTTCCACCCCTTCGACATAGCTTTACATAGGAGGCCTACTGGCTGACAATATACAACAGTCCCCTTAGGGTTCGCAGCGGCGCGCGGCAACCATGACGCGGGGACTGGACTATTATGAAGTGATGGGCCTCACGAGGTCAGGAGGTTAAGCTGCAAGATTGATCAGCGCTGGATGATGTGGCGTCTGCGGCCTCCAAGCCTATCGCCAGCATGCACAGGATCGAAGCATTCAACCATTTTCCTCCCCGTTTGCTCCTCTCCTCACAGGAGCGCCAATGACATGGACATCCGGAGAGCGTAAGTCCACCAGCACAGAGGTGGTGTGCTTCTGGGCATGCGCTGCGGGCAGCCCCGTATGCACCCCTAGGGGCATGCTGGTTCACCAGGAAGCCAAACCGGGGTCACCCTTTGGGACAAGCTCTCTTCGGGAGCTCACGTCCCCCTCGACTATGGGCGTCTGCCTGCCAGGCGCTGCAGCTCCACCTTATCCCAATGTCCCACGGGTCGGAACGCAACAAACACACCACCATTCCTGCACCCTGCTAACCCCGCAGTTACCGCCGGTTGGCGCTGAAGTACCACCCGGATATCAATAAAGATGCGGCAGCGAGCGATGAGTTCATACGGATATGCGAAGCGTACGAAGTGCTTTCAGACCGTGAGTCCTGCCGTGGGCAGCATCCGGGTTGCTGCTGGGGCATGGGTTACGAAGCAGGAAGAGGGCCAGGGCTGCAGCAGTTGTGAAAGCTGGGGCAAGCTTGGATTCCGGGTACAAGCCAGATGCACTGCAGCCTATGGGGCATAATGCCTATTATCGGGATAGTGGCGCCTAATCCTGATTGCGCTTTCCGCTTGCAGCCAAGACCAAGGGGTTCTACGACCTGTACGGAGAGGACGCGCTTAAGGACGGCCTGCCCGACGGCAAGGGAGGTGAGGCTGGGAGCTGGCACACCAGGCAGTCCTAGAGGCGTTGTTGGGGTGCCGCAAGACAGGCTGCGATTGGATTTCCCTCCATTCCATTCCATACACGAAGTGTCCCCCCGTCGTCATTATATTTTGTTACCCTCCCATCGCCAAGTGCCCATGCATTCGTCCTCTTGACCGCTACACCTCCTGCCACGCCTGCCGTAACTCCCCCCCCCCCCGCACGCGCCCTGTCACCCACCCCGCCTGTCTTCGATACTGCAGGACTGCGAGGCCCCATGTACCGCTTTAATCAGGATGACAGCCCCAAGACCGTCTTCGAGCGCTTCTTCGGCACCAACAACCCCTACGAGGCGCTGGAAGGCAAGGCAGCAGGGGGCGGCTGCTGGGAAGCTCGGGTTGGGGTTCAATGCTATGACATGGGCAACCAATTTTGCGCTTGGTATGGAAACGGGGCTGTGGAGTCCGAGGGGTCAAGGCTGTGTGTATGACCGAGTTTGCTGCTGTGGCTGTCCTCACACGCTTTTCCTCACCGTTGCTGTCCTGTCTTCTCTCATGTCCTGCCTCCGCAGCGCTTTCTAACCAATTCGAGGCGATGACGTCAGAGGACCCGCCTGCCAAGGGCAAGAACAAAGTGGTAGGTGGGGCAGCGACCAGCCCAGTCCACCGCGCTCGGCTTGCTTCTAGCCGGGCCTGACCCGGTGCGCTCCTTACGCCGCCCATTCCTTTCCCTTCCTCACCCCCGCGTCGTCCCTCTCCCCACTCCCGCCTCCTGACAACCCCATTCACCCGTCACCCCCACCCCCGCCTCTCCCCCACCACTCCCCCAACCCCACTCCCCAGTACCCCCTGGAGCTCACCCTGGAGGAGATCTACCACGGCTGCCTCAAGAAGGTGACGCACAAGCGCAAGGTGCTGCTGTTCAGCGGGGAGTATGTGGAGGAGGAGCGCAACCTCACGGTGGATGTGAAGCCGGGGCTGCCCACCGGCACGCGGTTCGTGTTCGAGGGGTAGGTGTGCGCGCTGGGGTGCTGGGGGCTGATCGCGTTACCGGAGTGCATTATGAGATGATGAGCGGATAACATGGCATGGGGTTTGTGTGGAGGCCTCATATTTTGCTTCTTGGGCTGCGGCGGTCTTTGACATGCTGCCTCCGCTCCACACACGTCCAGGGAGGGCAACAAGACCCCCAAGAAGGAGCCCGGCCCCGTCATCTTCGTGCTGAAGCCCAAGCGGCACGCGCGCTTCGTGCGGCGCGGCTCCGACCTGGTCCACAAGGTGTGTGGACGGATCATGGCATGGCATGGCATGGTGCCGTCAACAGGCCTTGGGTGTGGCCTACGTCCTGACAATCCGGCCCCGTCCTTGGGTGTTCTCCCTAAAATCCCCATACAACATATCTTGTTTGCATGTTCCCTGCATCCCACCGAATCTTAGTAATGAACCCCCAACGGCTACCCATTTGCTGCACTCCTACCCCATCCCCCCAACACCACCTTGGTGAAGCCTTGTCGTACGGCTCGTTAGTTGCCTCGTCAGTTTTCCTTATTTTTACCCCCCCCCCCCCCACAACCCATCCGCCCCAGGTGACCATGCCGCTGCACCACGCGCTCATCGGCACCTCAGTTGAGGTCCGCACGCTGGACGACCGCGACCTCAAGGTGCCCATCGCCGACATCGTGCGGCCCGGCTCCACAGTGGTGGTCCCGGGGGAGGGCATGCCCATCCCGGGGGCGCCCGGCGCGCGCGGCAACCTCATCCTTGAGATCGACCTGCTGTTCCCCACGCACCTCACGGAGACGCAGAAGATGCTGCTGCGCTCCGCGTTCTTCCTGCCGCCGCCCACGGAACAGAACGAGGAGCAGAAGAAGGCGCTGCGGGATTACGAGGCCGCGTTCACGCATGAGCTGAAGGGCTGGGCGACGGTGTTCAAGCGGTAACAGCTGCTGGCCAGAGTTTCGGGCGTTTCAGCTCATGGGGGGTGAAGCGGAGGCGGGGAAGGGACGTGGTGGTGGGGAGGAGGAGAGGGATATGGCTTTGAGGTTTATGATGGTTGTGGTTGAGGAGGAGGGGCAAGGAGAGGCCTGTACGACGGCGAGGAAAGGGTGTTAATCTGGGTCGTACATGACGATTTAGTTCGGCGCACTATATAAGCAAATCATGTTCTGTCTATGCTATGATGGTCGTGGTTATGTCTGGAAGGCACACTGCGAGACCAAGTAGGCAAGCCGTCACAGAGGCTGGCCGTCAGGGGCACAGGTCGAGGAGGCACAAGGAATTGAGTGTTTACACTGTAGGGCATGGATCACTGTATACTTGCTCCTGTTGTACAAAGTATGCCCTACCAAGCACAAACGATAGGACACGGCAACGTGCCCTGTTCCCAGGTTATTGCCGGTGATCTTATGCTTCAGGCACTAAGTTCATGCGTTATGTAAATAAGGCTACATCACAGTCCCGCATCACAGGTACCCAGGTACGATGCTGCACACAAGGCCTACTCAGTTCCAAGACCTTCGACCCAAACGCCATTCCATGGGATGAAGAAGAGGGGAAACCGTACGGAACGTTGACGCGTGCGCGACTCGATGCACGACGAACATCGAGGGATAGCCGGCACGTGCTCATTTGGGTCATTATGAAAAGACTACGGGCATAAGCATCTTTGATGCACTGCGTCAGCGCCAGCATCCTCACTTGCACCAACCTCGGCCGCTACCGTCACCATAGGGCGGACGCAACCATTACCGCACTACACAGCAACGCCGCCACAAGCGTGATGCTCGACACAACGCTCATGTCCAGCATGCAGCCTGCAGGAAGGGCTACAACCTCAGGTTGGGCCTGAGTCGTCCGCACGACACTCCACTGCTGAGCCGCCCCTCCGGTGCGCCCGGGGTGTTGCTGTCTTGTTTGCTGCTGCCGCCGCCGTGGCTCTTCTGTATGGGCCATGCGAAGCTCTTCAGCGCCCGCCCAATGCCCACCAGGGGCTTCAGCGAAGTCGTCGTCGTTACTGTCACGGCGCAACCCCGTGCGCAGCAGCAGCAACGGCTGGGGCCAACTGACTTGACGCTTGGGGCCTGTGGGGGTGGACCAAGGGCACGCGAAGGCGTCGCGTTTCGTGTGAAAGAAAGAGCTTGTCGGCAGAGAGCTCCTTACCCCCTAGGCCCCTCAACTTAGCATGATCCATTGACGTCAGTCCACGGCGACAGGCAAGGGAGAAGGGACTGCTGCGTCGGAGGACATCTAGACATGCAGGTCGCTAACCCCAGGTGTTGCGGTTCCCTGTGCCCCCGCACCTAATTTGAGCCACCGATCCAAGAAGCTGCTAGTGCAGCCCTCTACACCGTCCACAGGAGCCGGGTACTTTGTGTGGAAGGGCAGCTCAAAAGAGTGATACACGCGGCTGCCTTCCACCCTTGTGGGACGCTCCGTTACGTTGAACAGCGTCACACCCAACACCGTCTCCTCACAAACAGTTGCCGGCCTGTGTAGGTACCATTGGGTGAAATAAGTGTTGAGTGTATGTACGTAACCCACTCTCCACATGCAGGTATTCACCACTTCCACACAAGCGACAGATCCGCTACCCATTGCTCAACTGCTCCAGGTCCACGGGCCCAAACAGGGCTGTCCGCATGATGCCTGAAATGATGAACGGGGGAGGGATTACCGGTAAGCGACCGTGAAAAAAAAAGCGACCGCTCTCCCTCAGGGTTAAGCAGTATGGTGAGTACCTGATACTACTCCTGACGCATGTTCGACCTCATATGGGTCAACAAATAATTCTGGTGGCAGTCTTTGGAGGATTGTAACCTGCGAAAAGGTTCAGCCTGTTTGGTAACCTGTGAAGTCCATCGCAATCGGGATGGGTCTACCTCGACATACCTCGCCGGCTCGCTGAACGTCCGTAGAGGTTGCACGAACCACGCTTGGTGGACAGATAAGTTCATAGATGACACGCTGATGAGCGCCTTCCCTGTTGCGCGCGTTGGACAAAGCATGCAGTTAGTAGGCGGGATTCCGATGATCACCTCGAACACGCTTACCCTTGCAGTGAGTACGATAAGCAATTCTCGGCAGAGAAAGGTGGTGCTGCTTGCGCTCCATCTCGCAAGGAATAATGTGCTGCTATGTCTGCGACGAAAGGGCAGACGAATAGTCGTTGCGTTTACAAGGCTTTCGTTACTTGTAACGCTTGAGGTATTCTTCGCCTTCCTTGCCTTGCCACCAAGGAAGGGGGTAAGAGCCGGGCGGGCCTTGAGAGGCTGAGGGTGTGTTCGAGACTAGCAGACCAACACAAGCTGATGCCGCGGCCAGGAGCCATAAGAGTGGTGCAGTCGTGTCGGGCATGATGCAAGACTGTAATAAAGATGAACTCCAACCTCCAATGTACCGTAATCCGCGGCAACCATACGGCAAACACCCCGTACATAAGCAGCCCAAGCTAACCTGAAAGGGAACAGCTAAGTACTATATCAGCCTGCTTTGCCTGGACAGCCTGCTCAAAACCTGTCTTCCGTGCAGCTCGCAACTAAGACCCACATGCCCAAGTTTCTAGCAATCGCGAAGTTGTCAGTTGCCTGTCGCTCACCATTGATGTCACATAAAAAACAGAATAATAAGACAACACAAACAAAACGCATCGCGAAATGGCAATGCTTTATGAAGAATAACGGCACAAGTTGTCCCTTGGTTACTTGCCTTGCCCATACATCACTGTGGCCCATTCGCCAGCCGGTCACAGGTCAAAAGGCAGCTCACGAAAATCCTCCTAACCCCTTGGTGCATAACCCAAAACCCATATCCTCGAATGCCTAAGCCCCTGCACCCCACTAGTACCCTGCTCTGTATGTATTCCGGCCTTGGAGATGATGTCTAGCCAAAAGAGGACACGGACCCCAGGGGCATTACTCCAGGGAAGTCTCGCGGGCTTGTGGCTGATGTGAATGCGGCAAAGTCGTTGCTTCCAGCAGACTCCAGCGGACAGGTTGAAGCAATCGGTTCGCAGGCTACAAAGGGGTCAAACGCAACACTTGAACCCGTTGGCAGCGTGGGCAGCGCCGTTGCGCTGCTTTCGGTACCTGCGGTGACAGCGGGTTGCGATAGTCCCAGCAAGTCCGCAATGTCTGTCGCAGGCCCTAGGCCAGGACTGCCAGGACCGGTCGCAACGCCCACACCACCAGCGGCAGTGGCGCTCGCTCCACACGGCACGACAGCAAAAGGTGACGTCGTCGTCGTGGTGGCAGCAACACCGTTGGCGCCAATGGTAGCACAGTTGTTTCCGCCCGCGCTATACACCGTGTCGATGGCCGGCGGTGCTGACCCCACGCCAAAGGGATCCCAGTCCGTCGGCACGGGCAGGTGCGTGGCGCTGCCGCGCCAACACGTGGCAGGCGTTGCGCCCACAATCGCCGCCGCCGGCGTCGCATCTCCCCCTGCATTTGGCTGGTTGACAGCACTGCCTGGCCCTTGGACGGATGTCGCCATGGTCTGCGAGCCGTCAAAGGACTGTGCACGGACTTGCGGCCGAGCAGCGACGGGGGATGCCGCTGCGGACAGCGCTATGGCGTCTGGAGGGGTTGCCGGAGCAGCAGGAGAAGCGGACGGCGTGTGCAGTTTCCAGAGGGGCGTGGGTGGCGGCGGTATCAAACCGCCTGCAGGTATCTGCGTTTGCAAGCTGAGCGGCCGCTGCGGTGCGTGCGGCTGCTTAAGCTTGCCGTCTGCGCCAGCTAGGAGGGTTGCGCCGCCTCCGCCAGTCAGCTGGGCCTTGAACTTCGCAGCCCGCTCACCTGCACAGCGGTTAGTGGGCTTCTGGTTGACCCAAAGCACTAGACACTACAACAACAAGACAATTATGTAGACCATTCCCCGGCGGCTATGACAACAGTGTGGGGCACCCATGCTGCCTACCTGTGGTCTGAGGCTTGTAGGTGGGCGTCGGCAATATGCCTAGCGCCTTGTTGCCCGCCCCGGCAACCTTGTCCTTCAGACCCGACAAGAACGAGGAGAGGCGGTCATTGCGTTGTAGCTGATGAGGGTCGTCGGCACGGGGAGCACCCCCAGCCGAAGGCGTGCTAAGCGCTGCCGGGCGACTGCCCACACCGCCCCCGTCAGCACTGCTCACACTGCCGCCAGCAGTCCTAAAGCCGCCCTCGGACTTAACGACTTGCGCATGCGCGGGTGGCATACCCGGCAACGGGACCGTTCCCAGCTGCCCCACACCCGGACCGTTCCCCGACATGGCTTGGCCTTGGGAGGGCTGCGTCCCGGGGAAAGACTGTTGCGCCTGTCGTTGCGCTGCTGCCCCTAGCAGGGCGCCCTGCGCTGGACGCTGCTGCTGCTGCGGCTGTTGCAGCTGCGGGACTGGGGCCGGGATGCGACGATCAGCGTTAGCCTCCTTGTCCCTCCCTCTGGGTGAGCCACGAGGCGATGTAAGGCCCGACAAGCCGTTCAAGAGGCCGTTCTTGGCCTCCGTTGCGGCAAGCCGCATGATATCCTTGAAGCTGCCGTCGTACACTCGGTGGCCGTCGGGTAGCGTCTTAACCTGCGGGGATGAGGATCCGAAAGGCCCAGGAGGGAAGATGTTACTTGGACGCGAGCGAGCCAGGGCCAGATAACGTTGAACATGGCATGCATTGATGGGATTTACACTCACGCATGGGGTATGGCACTGATTACCGAGCAAGTAGTCGAATCCGCTACTCGCCTGCACCCCGCAGCGGGAGGCTCCGCTGGCCGCGTTCCCGCCGCCATCGGTAGTCGCAGATGCAAACACGCTCCCAAACGCGCCCAGCCGCGTCCCTCCCGCCCCGCCTGCTGACACAGCCGCAGGCCCAGCTGCCGCCGCTGGTGCGGGCGGACCCTCCGCAGCGCCTGGGGAATCACCCGACGGTGCTCCCCGCAACGACATGTAGGCCGACTTAGCGGCGTTCTGAAAGATTGGGACCGACGTGCGGCGCAGCGGCGTGTTATCGTGGCAGGGCTGGTCCCGGCCTGTTCCGCCGCCAGCTACGCTGCCCGGGCGGCTGCCGGGCGCTGCGGGAGCTTGTGATACAGCACCGCTGGGCCCAGCTGCCTCGCCTGATTCGGCGGACTGAAGGCTGTTGCCACTCTCGCTGCGCCCGTGCTCGCTGCGCCCGTGCTCTCGGTCTGCAGTGTAAGGATGAAGCCGTGTTAGGCGGCAGCCTCAAGGCCTAAAACGAACACCATACGATTCCGTACTAGCGTCCACTTATAGCTGCGAACACCGTAGAGATGGACCAACAATGACCACGACGGCGGAAAAGGCAGACAACAGGGTGGAATACGGCACGTGGTGTGTTTGTTAAGCCCACCTCTGGGACTGGGACTCGGGCTTGGGGAGTCGTCATCATCGTCCTCGTGCATGTCCCACTCGGCAAAGTAACTTGCCGGGTTGTCAAGCGATGCAACGGAAACGTCTGCATGAGCGAAAGGGACCACGGCGTCATAGGGTGGTTCATGTATAAAGTACGAACGTGATTATAATCTTACAAGCGCAAGTGCTAGGCAGAGTGCGCCTCCTACTCTGTAGGCCCACCAGCGCCGCAGCAGCCCTCCTAACAGACGGCATTCAGCATTCACACACCCGCCCCCTCCCCGCCCCTTCCCTCCACACCCACCAACGAGCCCAGAGTACGTCGTGATTCGGCGCATGATGTCTGCCACATGCATCGACCCAAACGGCTGCTGCTGCGAATGCAAATCCTCACTATCCGTTCTCCGATGCCGCCGAAGCCTATTCGACAGCTTGCTGCCGCCTCCTCCTCCATGCGCCGCCCCCTCCGCAATGGCGCTACGCAGCTGCTCCTTCAGCAAACGCCGGTGCTCCGGATAGCGCTGTACGCGCAGCTCAAACGGGTCCAGCACGCTCGACGAGGAAGCCATCACCGCTTCCAAGTCCTGCCCCACATTGCTACCGGAGCAACAAACCTCCCGCCCTCCGGCGCTCGCCAAGCCATGCAGGAACGACTGCTGCTGCTGCGATTGCTGCTGCTGAGTGACTGCTGCCTGTGCCTGGGAGACTGAGACTGAGCCCCCGCCGCCACCACCACCACCCTGCGAAGCCAGCTTGTCGAGTGTTGCCAAGTTGTGGGCGCTGTTGCTCTTCAGCATGCCAGCGCGCGTGCGGGGGCCGCTGGCCGTGCTGGAGGTGCTGAATGAGAAGCTCTGGCTGTTGCTGGGGGGCAGCTCAATGGCGCCCGACGCCGCCATCTGCAACCGCTCCTGGATGAACATCTGGTACAGCTGGCTGTGGCGCATGGCGTTGAGGAAGGCGCGGACGGTCTCGCTGCGCCTGTAAGAGGTGCAGCGATAGAGAAAAGGGGTCCAGCCTAGATCAGCAACTGGGCTTGTTGAGGTTGGGAGGTAGGCCGTGTCCATGGTAATAATGCATGTACGGTGGGGATGTAACATTTAGCATGGCAGGCCTTTCCAGCGGCGTTAAGGGTCATGCTGAAGACGCAACGGTGTCCGCAGCAGCCGCATATACCGTAGTAGGCAAAGCGCCCCCTCAAGCGAAAAATAGATAACAGCTAATGTGCGCACACATGCAGTGGCCCAACCTCACCGGTGCGCTACAAAGGCCGGCTGGTCAAAGAACAGCCCATGCCCCCGCAGCATGTCATCATGCAGCCGATTGGAGCTCAGTGGCACCGACGGAGAGAGCGTGCTGTCGCTGCCCCCGCATGTACTGTGGCTGACCGCGCCGCGACCCTCCCGCACGTCACGATTGCCACGCCAGCCCTCCTTGCCGCCCCCTGTGCCGCTTTTCCATGGAGCAGGCCCGGCTGCTGCAGACACGCAGTTTGCGGCCCGCAGCAAGGGCTCCGCCGCCTGGTCGTGGATGTAGCGGCGGTAGGAGCCGAAGAGCCGCACAAAGTACTCCTGCATGACGCCTGCGTGATATTGGATACAAGAGGGGCTTATGCAGCAGGGTCCCACCGGGAAGTAGGACAAGAACAATTTACGTTGAAAAGCTTGTTCGACGCTGCTCCACATCGTTAAGTAAAGAGCGATGCGTGTCGATAACCGCAGGTTTGCGTATGTCTAGGATGGTCGTTAGCAGCTTTGGTGCCCTCCCCACCCCTCGTCCCCTACCCCGTGCTCCTGGTCCCTTTAGTACAACACACTGTGTCCCAATGCCCTAGCGCCCTTCCCCTTTCCCTTACCGCCCTTACCAGTGATCACCGGGCTGCTCTCGTACTCCGTTGGGCTGCGCACGGTCTTAAACACCGCCTCCAATGCCCTCGCCAACTGCCGGCCGTACGGCAAGGCCCGGCCATCGTCGTACGAGGCACCGGGCGGCGGCGACACCTCCCGCAGGTCCAGGTCCACGGTGGTCACCTCCGACATGGGGATGTGGCGAATGAACGGCAGCATCTCCGAGGTAAGGCCCACGAGGAAGGGCATGGGCGCTGACAGGTAGTCCACCAGGTCGCGAGGCAGGATGGGCAGGTAGATGTGGTGCCACCTGGCAGGAAGAGCAAAATTGCGGCAGCATGACACAAAGGACATAAGGAACGACCTAAGTAGCAGGTTAGAGGAAGAAGATGAGATTATGTGAAGGCTTAAGAGGACCTTGGGGAATCTTGGCAAAGGGACGCCTCGGTAGTCTGGGTCAGGCTTCATGATATACCGAACCCAAGGAGCACCAGACAACGCCATGCTGCAATGCTATTAGGTTTTGCATGGGTTGAACCCGCCCTCAGGTGCCTCCAGCCACGTCCCCCGTTCACGCACTTGAAGGGGTATATTAATGCCTGCGCTGCCTGCACGGCCGCAGTAACGGTGTCCCGCGACCGCGCCACAAACACAATGCGCCGCTCCAGCAGCAAGCTCGCGATGAGCGTCAACATGCCCTCCACCTTCACATGGAAGAGCAGCCGCGCCAGGGGAATGCCCGAGTTGACCAGGCCGTTACCGCAGTCCGGCGGGACCTGCAGCTCGATGCGGCCGTCAGCCCTGCAAGACAGGTGGGGGAGGGTTAAGCCAACATGAGCAGGGGGTTGCGGCACATCCCAGCGTCATGCTAGCCTCGAAACCAGGCAGGGGCTAGGGCGGGCTAGGAGCAATCTGTTAGCGTAGGACGAAACCGCTGCGTCGCTGTTGCACCTGCAGATGTGCTCACCAGTTCAGGGAGTCCCCCACGGTGCCGGAACCCATGTAGCGAGGGGGACTGACGCCATGCAGCACGTTCAGGTTGGGCACCAGCACCCTGCAAGGGTGAGGAGTGGAATAGTAAGTCTTGAAGTTATTTGAAAGGTCGTCATGTGTTATGGCACGTGCTGGGTGGAGAAGAGTGGGCCAGTTATGGGTCCTTTTACGCCTGGAATGAGCAAAGCTTGAGCAAACCCCGCCACGCTTACCTCAGGACCTCCCCCGGGGCAGGGTTTGTGGACAACTGCTTGCGCAGGTCTACCAAGAAGGACCCCAGCTGGGAATCCAAGGGCAATTCCTTTTGCCCAGTGTCTAGGAGCCCATCATAGCCCTTTAGGACCTGCTCCGCTACTTGCAGCACCTGCAGCCACCGTGCCACAGTCAGTGCCTTACATGCGGGTTAACCATGGTTTCTCCGGGGTTCGGCTTCACAATGCGGCGCTGGAACTGTCATAGGTGCCCACCTTGAAGAAGAAGTTGCACCAAGGGTTCTCGGCAACGATGCATAGCACCTGTGGGTACCGAGCCTTGCTTCCCACCCGCGGCGCAGGTGGAAATATTTGACGGCAAAAGCCCGTAAAACGCTGGCCATCGCCGTGCGTGAGCGTAAACGTGTACTCCTGCATACCACCCGTATGAAGTCGAGCCGCATTCCAAACCGCCCAGTAAGGTAAACAAAATCCCACCTCTGATGCTTGAACCTCTTTTGGTTGGACAGCTTCCGGACCCAGAGGAAAACAAAATGCGTTCAGCAGCTGCTCATTGAAGTCCACGTCCTCGCACCCATCCGTTGCGGCCTTGTAGCGAAGATAAATGATGGGTGTCCTTGTGCGGCCCTCCACACGCAGACGTGAAACAAAGAAGAGTAGGTACATTGAAGCTTGCTCTCTAGCACCGCTCGTGGGCAGGACTTTGTGGGAGTGCCGCCTCCTTGGGCATCTTCAGCCCCTTCTCCTTATCAACTTCTATGGTATTGAACCTCTACACTATAGGGTGATAGCCCTGCAGGGCTGAGCAACAGCACAGGTGACCTCATACCACCAAGTTTTTTGCGATGCGTTATACTAGGCTGCTAATGAAATAAGCAATATACAAGTCAACACGGATCGGTATTGGGAATACCGACGGGGAGTCTAAGCGAGCTCGTTCATCTTGACGTATTGCATACGGCAATTTGCAACCGCCCTTGTCGCCATGGGGTACACCCCGTGCGGAATCCACGCTATGCAAACCTATGTGCTCCTTATCTCCTTCAGAAACGCATATACTACAGGAATCCCTTTACCCGCTATCACCCGAGGCCGAGCCAACCGTTCACCTTCTCCTTGCTCTCCCCAACCGCCGGGCGGATTTCCAAATACCCTCACCCTGTGGCTGAAGTGTATGCCCTTTCGCATGCATTGCCAGGTTGCGTGTACTTCGTGTTCTGTTTAATCTGTGTTACAAGGTACAAGCAGCACGCGTCTGAGACTTGGTCCGGTCCGCCTTGGATCTTGTGACACGCATTGGGAGGAAATCCGAAGGTTTGTCGGGCTCTTAGGCCGTTCAGCCAGCTAGGAGGCAGGTAAACCAACTGTCGTTTCCCCTGACCACCAGGTTAAGTGTTGCCCTTATGTAACGGTTGCGTTGCATCGACTGTGGCCCCCATCATCCCAATGGGCAGCCAAGTGGCTAGCCTAACATTTGCCCATGCTCAGCAAGACTTACTTGGTATCTGGGTGCTTGGCGTGTACCAAGGCAGTAGAGGATACCGGTATAATATAGAGGGTAGCGACTTCTGGGAATGCGTTGTAAGGGGGAAGTGTGCATGTGTCCCTTGGTGTACCCTGTTGATGTACCTCGTATCAGGTATCGTACCAGGTATCCCGTACCTCGACGGCTGCGTCCATGTCACTCGCCCTACTTTGTAGTGCGGAACAGCGGCATGAGTCTAAATATCTGTAGCAACCTGTCCTCACATTGCATAGCTTTAAAGGGCTGTTGCATATTTGTAGTCTCTTGGAACCATGGCCTAAAGTTTCTGAAATACAAGCTCTCATACGGGTGGCAGTGGGGAGAGAGTGGACAGGTCATAGTAATGTGGCGACGAGACCCAGGGGTTTCTGCCCGGAGGCCTGGTGGGCTACCGGTATTGTTCGGCAGGGGTTAGCCAAGGGGACTGTGTCAAAACGTGCACGCGCACCGTCCAACCAAGATAATTACACGCCAAATACAGTTCAAGAGATATGCTTTGACATCCCTGGATCAGCATCCTGTGTCAATTTTCTGACGTGTCTTCGTCGCTTCCGAGGGCATTCGTTGCGCCTGCTGTACCGGACACCCCCCCGTTCAGGCACGTTAGCAAAATTGTATCACAGCTGGGTTGTCAGCTTGGATGAAAGCCTATGGAAGAAACCCATTACCGTGTGAGGGTTGAAGAGAGGATTAATACGGTACAGTTGTAGTAACTAAGTAACGCTGGTTTGAAACGCCAACAGCAGCGGTAAAATCCGATCATACTTGACACAAGGATGCACCGGATAACCTGTAAGAAGGGGTGTTGTTAGTTTGTAATCGACGAAAGGCACGGCGACGGGCATTTGCAGCAGCACTCAAAGCGGATAGGGACCTATCTGGACATATATATTTAAGCGTCGAATTAAGAATGGGTCTTTAAGAAGACCATGCAACTCTATGCCCTACGCACACGCGCGCCACACGCTGCCGTACACATATGACAAAATGGTATGGTCATAGCTTTTATGCTGCAGCGTTCTGTCTCATTGAACTGTTGGTTCCACGTGGAAAGCCGGCCTTTAAACTTCCATGTGCTAGTTGCAAACTTATCACGGGGTCTAAGTTGTGGACCACCCTAAGCACCTCCGATGTTCCGATTTGTAATTAGCGCTTACTCGTGGGGTCTGTGATTAGGTGTAGGGCTGGATGAAACCCGACGGCCAGCTACGTGACGCCCTTGCCAACACGTACTCTAGCGACAGGCAACGTTGGATGGCGGATGAACGCGCCTACTATGCGAGCATGAATTATGGTAGACAGCCAGAGGGACAGAGTCACCATCAACAGCCACCGCATCACCAGCTGCGGCCTGGTACAGCTCCATACCATGCTGCCGCTGCACAGCAGGCGCCGGCTGTTGGCTGGGGTGGCCAAGCCATCCAGGAGCCTTCTGGTTACCGTGTTCCCTGGTTTGGGCGCAGCCGGTCGAAATATGGGGGCGGCAAGTATGGCAAAAAGGGTGGGGATCAGATGTATCCAGCCGGGCAAGGTCGCGCCGGCGGGCCTGGCGGCGCTGGCCCCTCAAACAGAGAAGGCGAGGATGCGCTGTCGGTCGAGGAGATGGTCGTGATCATTCAGAAATTGCAGGCCAATGAGCCACTGCCGGATGTCATTTTCCGTGCTCTCCACCACGTTGACAGCCGCGCGGTAGCTCTCCTTTTGAAAGACCTCAGCCGCCTCGGGAAAGACCGGCGTGCAATGGAGCTCTTCGATTGGTTGCGCTCAGCCAACGAACGCAGCCCGCTTCGGGCGCTTTGCGATGTCTATAGCTACACGGCCACCATCTCGCTCTGCATACACGGGCAGGATGTCGATCGTGCGCTAGAGCTGATGCAGGAGATGCGGTCGCGGAATATTGAGCGGAACGTCCACACGTACACTGCGTTAATGGTGAGGTTGCTGCCCCAAAGACCTTACTTGGAGCTGCAAACATATATTTTCTTTTTATCCTGCAGAACGTATGCATAAAATGCGGGAAACTTGCCCTTGCGCTGGACATTTACAACTCCATGCGCGCGGTAAACTGCATGCCCAATGTCGTTACCTACAACACGCTCGTCGACGTCTACGGGAAACTGGGGCAATGGGAGCGCGCGATTCACGTGCTGGACTTGATGAAGCACGAGGTGCGCCAGGCTGGGTTTTCCAACGGGGTCGTTCTTTGCTCTGTTCGTGCTGATTGGGGTCTGCTAACACGCCCGGCCCATTGCCATGCAGGGTGTCGAGCCTGTGCTGCGGACGTACAATACCTTGATAATTGCCTGCAACATGTGCAACCAGCCGCGGGAGGCGCTGGCGGTCTATCAGCGCCTCTTAGCAGAGGGCTTCACGCCCAACTCCACCACGTACAACGCGCTCATCAGCGCGTACGGCAAGACCACGCAGCTGGGCAAGGCGCTCGAGGTGTATCAAGAGATGCTGCGGCAGAACATGGATCGCAGCGTCATTACGTACAGCTCCCTGATCAGCGCATGCGAAAAGGCGGGGCAGTGGGAGACGGCGCTGCGGATTTTTAACGAGATGCAGCAGGACAACTGTGTCCCCAACACCGTCACCTACAACTCGTTGGTGACGGCGTGTGCCCAGGGTGAGTTATGGGCGATACGGTGATGCTGCGTGCAGTTGGCCTTATATTGCCTGTCAATGTTGCAAGTGTTGTCAGTATTTTGACGTACGCTCATTAGGTAATTACTTAACTCTTGCTGCACTGCAGGTGGTCAATGGGAAAAGGCCACGGAGGTGTTTGAGCAAATGAATGCTCACGGCTGCACCCCCGACGGTGGGTCTTGGGGATCTTGGGTAAAGAATTTAAAGATAGGGGTCCGGGTATAGCGGCATGGGAGGGGGCTGGGAGTTAGACGTTCGCGCACAATAGTATGCGGCGATCCCAAGGACCCTTTCGGGCCGAAGCCTTGGTCTTAGGGCGACCAGCTGGCTGGATGAGTTGGGTGCTTCCGTAGGGGGAAAGGCCATCCAGCCTCGCGCCTAACTCTCCTCTTGCTGGTCCTGTGCTTGCCCCCACCCGCACAGTCGTCACGTACACCGCTCTCATCAGCGCTTACGAGCGCGGGGGGCAGTGGCAGAAGGCGCTGCAGGCGTTCCACAAGATGTGTGTGCAGGGCTGCAAGCCGGACGCCATCGTCTACAACGCCATCATCGACACGTTGTGGGAGACGGGCATCATTTGGGCGCAGGGCAAGGCGCTGCAGCTGTTCCTGACAGCCGTCCAGCAGGGGCACTTCCGCCAGGAGCCGCTGGTGCGCCGCCCCGGCCGCATCGAGGTCAACCTCCATGCCATGACGGCGGGCGTAGCGATGGTGTGCCTGTACTGCTGGCTGCTGGAGCTCAAGTGAGTGTTGGCACTGGCTTTGGGAACAGCGGGTGGCCTCGTCCAATATTTAGGCGCAGGGATGTGGATTTGCTCCCTAGCAAGCTGCGGTGTAAGTGGGCCAAATGCTTCTTATAAGGACGGGCTGGGACGTAACTTGGGTCAGGATCCCGTTCTGTGCCTATTCCTTTTGCATCCCTCCGATTCCTGAGGGCGGGGCCGCTGGGGCATGCGGGTCCAAGAATTTTCGCCCCCTGCTGTCGTTTTAGCACTGCGGGCTAACACGTTGCTGTGCCGTGCGTTGTTGTCCCGCAGGCGTATTGCAACGGAGAAGGGCCCACAGCACCTTCCCGCGGTGCTCGCCATCGTGACCGACATGGGCAAGGCCAGCCGCGAGCAGGGCAACTGCATTGTTAAGGAGGCGGTGGCGGCCATGATGAGCTTCTGGGACGCGCCTTTCAGGCAAGGGGCTGCTTCCTCAGGGTAGAGCCTTGTTGCCATGTCCGTTACCCTGTCGAGGGACAAGGAATTTCCGGCGGCACCCAGAGCACGCAAGCATGTGGTATCAACGCAGCGGTGGTCTGCCTAATGCAACAACCGTAAGCTAAAAGCCGACCTTATTCGTATGTCCGCTACCATCCTGCAGGCTGGTGCAGGACAGCATGTACGCCTCCGTGCTGGAAGCTGGCGGCGCGCAGGTCGCGGAATGGGTGACCAGCACCTCTTTCAGCGCGCAGCTGGCAAGCTTGTTCCCAATTGCGGATAGCAGCAAGGTGGGTCCGCCGGTGTTCAGGTGGCTTGTAGCCCGTGATGGGGAGTAAGAAAGGCGCGTGCCGTGTTAAGTGGTAACCTGCAAGCCCCAGTGCAGCCATGAGGCGCTTGACCCACATGCATGCAGCACATGCCGCCAACGCTGGAGTCGCTTCCACGCTGCTTTGCATGCAGGAAGTTACGTGCATGCAGTGTTACAACTGCAGTGCAGACGCTACATGCCACAGCTGCTCTGCTGGACACTCCGCTGCTGCACCACTCTTTCACTGACGGCAGTTGCCTGCGTCCTACCCACCCCTGTGCAGATGACGGAGGAGGTGTACGCCATGCGTGAGCAGCAGGTCACGCAGGAGTGCCAGGAGGCGTTCGCAGCAGTGCAGCACTTTGAGAACACGCACGGGCTGGTGCTCTCAAACATGAGCCCCGGCTACGTGCAGCAGCGGCCGGTCCTCATCTCCCGACTGCTGGACCTGAGCTCTAAGCTCAGTCTTCGCGACGAGGTTGTGCACGATGCGGTGCTGCTCATGGACCGCACGGCCTCCCAGGCGAAGCAGGTGCCGGAGGACGTGCTGCCCCTGGTGGGTGTGGCCGCGCTCATCATTGCGGCGAAGCAGGGCGACAGCAGCGACCGCGTACCTACCAACGCCGAGATTGAGCAGATTACAGGTCAGTAGGGTTAGGTTGCACTGAACCGAATGCTGCAGCGGTATGTGCAGGGGGAGCCGACAGAACCCGCATGCATGAGCGCTTCCTGCTTGCGGTATTGTTGCTCGCGTGGGTGCTGAACTGCCGACTGCGGCTATAGCGCTTAATCGGTGCACACCGAAAGCTTTGCCGCGTAGGGAATAGCAGTGCCTCACCCAGTCCGTTTCCTTGTCGTAATGTGACTTGGCGCCCATGCAACGGTGCCTTAGCCAGTTCTCTTACCCTCTTCCTGCCTCCTTTTGCTGTACTTTTGCAGAGCTGCCTGCCACGGCAGTCGCTAAGATGGAGTGGAACATCCGCGGCTTGCTGACGGACGACATCTCGGCAATCTCCACCATGCGCTGTTTGAAGGTGTACCTGGAGCGCCTCGGCTACCGCTACCTTGACAAGCAGGACGTGTACGGCATGGCGGGTTTCGCCATCATGCTGGCCGTTGAGTCGCTGTACGACCTCTCGCTGCTGAACTGCCGGCCGTCAGTGGTGGCGGCGGCCATCCTGTATGCGGAGCGCAGGCTGCGTGGCGCGGTGCCCTTCTGGCCATCCATGCTGTCGAAGCTCACCGGCTACCATGACATGTCGACGCCGGAGCTCACGGTTGCGGTGCGCGTTGCACAGAAGCTCTCTCGTAAGCTGGTGTACGCGCAGATGTACAAAGCGCAGCTCATCCAGCTGGCGGGACAGACAGGCCCGGCTGCCGGCGCCGGACCTGGGGCGCCGGAGCTGGCCAGCGGCCCCCCAGGCGGCGCTCCTGGGCCGATGGTGGCGGCCGGCGTGCGGCCCCACATGCCACCTGGCGCCGCGCCTGCAGCCGTCATGGCTGGGCCCTTGGGCGGCGCCGCAGGCGCCGGTATCATTGCACCACCCGCGGCGCCGCCTGTGGTGCAAGGGGCTCCGCACGGGGGCTCGCATCCCTCGGCCGCAGTGCAGTGGCAGCAGGGCCGCTATGAGCACATGGGACAGGGCGCGGCGGGTGTGCCCGCGGGCGCGGACCCGTCGTCGGGTCTTGTGACAGCTTCGGGAGCTGGGCCCAGCAGTGCTGCAGTATCGCAGCCGGACGACGGTGCGGCGATCAAGGCGCTTACACAGGCGATGCACAGCTTGACAACGGGCCCGCGCGGCATGCAGCCAAACAACACGGCTGCGCTTGAGCAATGGCAACGGCTTGGCGCCGAGGAGGCCAATGAAGGCGTTGGGCCGGGGAGGTAGTGAGTGAAGGCACGTTTGTATTGGGAGAATGTCGTCTTCGTACGTTGCGGTGAGGTCTGCTGCATTTCAATTCTTGGTGCAAGGCCTTCTGTTTGGGGGAAAATTGCTGTACTAAGCTGTTCAGGAAATGTCTTCCCGCCGTACATTGATATAGCACGTGATTACCTTCTTTCACATAGGAGCCTTAAGAACCTTAATTGCCCATGTCTCGTACGGGCTTCTGGGTAGCACTGCTTGAGGCTGTTCTTGGGGGGCGATAGAACACGGGGGGTTAAGTACTTACGTCAAATGGTATGAGTCCTTGGGATGAATGCATGAAGTTATTTCCATATGCAGTGGAAGCTTAGTCAATAAACTAATGGCATGTCCTTGACGATAACGAGGCTTGAAGAAGTGATAGCGGTGGCCCGGTGGGTGGACGGGTCAACAGCAGTTGGGCGTCTGGATTGTCGTGGCTTGGAGGAGGGGGGGTTCTCAGCACGCACCTGGTTCATTCGGCATATTAGTCGGTGCCTTCTATTGCTGCTATGGCCTTGGGTCATGATGGTGGGTTTGCACCGAGCGCGAGTCAGTTCTTATTAGAAACTTTTCGTCAGGACCGCAAAGGACCCGCCTCAAATCGCCCAGGCTGGTAACTGCAAAGCCGTGGATTCTTCAGGGTTTGGTAGGCAGCGGTGCGCGTGCGGCAGGATTTGTTACGCACCCAGAAAAGGTGTATAGCCCGCGTTCGTTACATGTGTTCATCAATTGGAAGGGCGGTGCGGATGTTCTTGATATGCTGGATGTTCGTGAGGGTTTGGCTGCGTTGTTTGGCTACGTTGATTCAAACCCAACGAGGAGTTTGTGTCTTATCATTGAGCAATGGTCCTGGCGATGCGTGTATTTTTAGGGCGCTCCGATGGTTGGGTGCCCTACCACGCATGAAGCCTGTTACTGCGCAGGCATTGCACTGGGAATTCAATCTTTCCTGCTAGTGTGCCTGGTGTTCGTCGATTTGTCAGTTTGCTCGTCACCATGTGTATTGTTGTTTATCGAGTCCTGCACGGCACGCGCTTGCCTCTCGCTATGGATGCATCTTGCGGTGGTGCATACCCATGCCAAGGGCGATGCATTTGCGGACATTGCTCTGAGGCGTAACTTCATTCCTCGTCGTCAAGTGTAAGGGAAGCCGGCTTGTACATTTTAGCTAGCAGAACCTCGTGTGGGCACGGAGCAGGCAATTGTGTATCCAGCGTCCAATGGTCTCTGAAGACATGGATAGCTCTCTGTGTGAGTTGTGGCAATGGAAGGAGTGTCAGCCCGAGGACACCTAGGCGTGCACCTCGCCGAACCATACACTCCCATACAGTTAAGGGGGCTGGGGCATCTTCTCATGCTGGCTAAAGTAGCCCCTGCGCCCCCAGTCTGCCGCAATGCCATGACTCCAGTCACGTGGCTCTCCTCTGAACTCCATACACAGCACGCTGTTCTTAAGCTGGCAAACCTGATCCTGGCAAGACCATTTGCGCTCATCATACGGACAAGCCCAGATCGAGGCGGACGGGATGGCTGCAGGGATGGCTACGCGGTAGGGGGAGTTATGCTTAAATGCATGGCCATGTAAGGTGCGCGGGCAGTGCATGTCATGGCGATATATGTGCAAGTTCATGTCAATAGCTGGCGGCGGCCAAGCATGAGATTCAGGGAGCACCGGTGCGTGTATCCTTGCCTGAACCGCAGCGGGTATTATGGCGGGCACACGGGTTATTGGTATTATGCGAGTGCGTTGCTCTGTACTTATTAATAGCTGGCTACGCGTTAGTGAAAATGCTGCCGAACATTTTTGGTCCCGGGCCGGTATTTCATTGCAGTCTCATTTAGCAACATAACATGTTGCTAGGCTTGGTCAATGTGATCTTGACAAAGAACACTCTTGCCAAAGGAAACGCCTCAAGACTGCAGCATGTGATCGACTGTAGCAAGCACGGGTAGTATGTCAATGCATCGCAATATGGTTTGTGCATACCGCGTATAGGGCGTTGATGTCCACGGCATGTCGTACGCATGCAATCATACCTGCCTTCGTAGCCTGACTCGTAAAATTGGAAATTTGAGTACTTTAGATGTTAGGCATGGGCTGTTAAGTAGTTGATAGTATACTTACGCCTTCCCCGGCCTTGGTCTGGCCCGTTGCACAAACGATCCTAGGGATCTTTCCTCATAGTGGGCTTCTGCTGCGGCTTGCTGGTCGCATCAACGTTTTTGTCCCAGATGGGATTTGATAACTTGTAGGACGGAGGCCCTTAGGACTCCAAGCTCAACTAATACGGTCCGCGCGCTTTACACTAGGCTCCACATTTGGATAGCGACCGGAGTGGTGCCCCGTGGTGCTTTACTTAGCTCCTTTTGACCGTGGTCTCCAATCTACTTCACTCTTCCTTGTGCGTGGAGCTAGGCAGCAATGAAGGTATGTACTGCCCGCTGCCTTTTGCCCTTCGTTCGTTTCCTTAAACTTTATGGCTTAAACGTTAGAGGCTTGTGCTCTGCAGGCTAGCACAATTGTGCTGCTGCTGTTAGGCTGTTTGGCGTTGCCAGTCTTCGCAGCAGAAGGCAACACCACTGCTGTCACTCCAGTTGCTGCAAAGTCATCTAGCGCCAGCACTCCTGCCAATAACTCTAGCGGAACAGCAGCTCCTTCCGGAGCCAAGACGGCTCCAGCTGCAGCTGCCAGTCAGCCAGCAGCGAAATCAACTTCTCAAGCCAAGCAGGACGGCAACGCAGCTATAGCCAAGGCTGCTGCTGCTGCTGCAAAGGCTGCTGCAGCAGCTGCGGAGGCTGTTGAAGCAGCTGTGGCGGCATCAGAAGCAGACGATAAGGAGGAAGGCGACAAGCCTGCCGCTGCTACTGAGGACGCAGCTGCTGCTACCGAAGGCAAAGGAGATGCTGTTAAGCCAGAGGAGTCGGCGAAGCCCGCTACAGATGCAGCAAAATCAACTGCTTCTCAGACTGCCAAGGCTGAGCCTGCTAAGGCCGAGCCTGAGGAGGCTAAGCCTGAGAAGTCAGAGCCTGTGAAGGCTGAGCCTGCAAAAGCAGAGGCTGCTAAAGCTGAACCTGCGAAGGCAGAAGGGGCAAAGGAAGAGGCGAAAAAAGCCGATGATTCCAAGAAGCCTGTTGCTACCGACGCAGATGCAAAGGAGCCTCGCAAGAAGCGACCAGCCCGCACTAAGACAGCACCCTTCCAGAATAAGCAGGTGGCTTTCGCGCCATCCGCGAATGTCACTTTCGGCGACGACATTGACGACGAAGGTCGGTTGATTTTCCAACGCGCTGACGGTATCCTATTCCGTTGTTTCCTCACCTCACCGTGCCCTTCTGTGCTATAGGTAAATGCGCTAAGGAGATTGAAAAGTATTGCGACGATGTGGATGAGGGAGAGGGCAAGCTGGCGGACTGCATCAGTGAGCAAATCGATGCCTCCGAGTCGCCCGAGGGTTCAGACGGTGCGTGTCATGCGGGGGAGTAGCTTGTAGGGAAGCGAGGCCCTTGCCACTTTTCTAAAGCACGTTATCCTTGCAGACGCTCCTGATATCTCGGATGAGTGCCGCGAGGAGGTATTTGCCTATAAGGTCCAGCGTAACAGCAACATCAATGCCAACGTACCGCTGGGTAAGTGGTAGGCTGGCTGGGGTTTACCGAAATGTGGTGAAGCACCGTAACCTCTTGAGGCGTAATGGCACCGTAATTCTGTGTCACCGGTTGGGTTATTAGGTGCGGGTTGGGGTGGTTACGGCTATTGGCTTAAGGACTGGGATCCAAACCAGGGCCCTTGTATGGCCGTGGGTTTCCCACTAGAAGCCCAGGGATGGGGGTTGGGCTATCCCTGACAGCCCAGGGATGGCTTGGGCAGGACACCAGCCACCCCTGCCCCAGCACATGACTATTTGGGGTCTTTTGGCAACTCTGAACGATCGATCTGAACGATTGGCCATTGGGTTTCTTCACCACTCCTGGTTCCCAACCCCAACAGCCAAGGCCTGCAAGGTTGACGCAGACAAATTCTGCAACGTCACCTGGTTCTTCGGTTACAAGTCGGGGCAGGTTATCGCATGCCTGCGCGATGTTAAGGCGCAGGTGTCCAAGCCATGCAAGCACCAGCTATTCAAAGTGATGCAGGAGGTGGGTACTTGAACTCTTGGTGTCGTGATCTTAAGCTTTAGGCTGCCGGTTTGGTTTCTTGCATACAGGCGAAGGCAGCTAGGTTATGGAAGGACTCGGTCCGCGTTTTCTCACGAGGATGCCTGAAGCTCCAAGGCCCCCTGCATATGCATGTTGCCTTCAGCACTTGACGGAACGACCATTGTGACCTATTAGAGGGTATTAACTACCGGCATGGGGACCCATTTACAGGCCGCCAAGGATATTCGGGCGGACCCCATGCTGTACGAGGCTTGCAAGGAGGACACGGAGACGCTCTGCAAGGACGTCAAGAACGGTGGTGGCCGCGTCCAGGCTTGCCTGGTGGGTCCTGTTGGGCTGTCGATCCGCTCAATCTATGGTTGGGTCAGATAGCAATGCATTGTGCGCTAATATCAGCTATGGCGTGTGTACGTTATCTAAATGTCTGGCACACGCTTAGACTCGCCATCCATTGCTGTTCTTTGCAGCGTGACAAGCGTATGCAGCTGTCGTGGGCATGCGAGGAGCAGCTCTTCCGTCAGGAGATGGAGAACGCAGATGACATTCGCCTTAGCGTGCGTCTCTTCAAGAAGTGCTTGCCCGACAAGCGGAAGGTAAGCGGTGTTTGGGCTCGGTGCATTAGCGCACTCATTGCTTGTCCATTTCTCAGCCACTTCATCGAATCGAGTTTTGCTCCTGGCTAGGGCCTCTGAAGCCCCATGCACGTCAACACGGCAACCCTGTTGCATTTCCGCAGTTCTGCAAGGACATTGAGCCCGGAAACGCTCGCGCCAAGGACTGCCTCGAGGAGAACCGCGACGAGCTGTCTAGCGGCTGTAAGGAGGAGGTGGACGCCATGATTGAACGGCGTGTGCGTGACTTCCGCCTGGACTCCCGGCTGCGGAGCGTCTGCGAGCAGGAAATCTTCAACATGTGCGCGTACTTCGGGGTAAGAACTTCGTGCGTGTCCAGAGCATGCGGAAACTTGAAGGCTATTATGGAAAGCTTGAGGGTTTGTGCCTTGGCGCGTTGCTCATGTCGTCCCCAAAGCTGACGTGTGAATACGTGTTCTGTGCAGGACCTGGACGACATTGATACCTACGATTCATCTGTGATTAACTGCCTGCAAGACTACTCGGGCGAGATCAAGAACGGCGAGTGCAAGGCCCAGGTCAAGAAATACCTTCAGCTGGCGTCGCAGGACATCCGGTTTGATGTCCCTCTTGCTGAGGCGTGCTTTGAGGACCGTCAGAAGTTCTGCGCGAATGTCCCACCGGTACGTTCATGGGCCTTCCTAAGCTTGCCAGGCCTAGTTTCTAAGGCGGGTTGCTCAACGGGGGTTACTGGAATGCTGAATTCCGGGGTTTCCTTCGGCATAACCAGTGTTTGTCCTTTCGTTCGCGGCTTTCATGCTATGCCTTCCTGCCCCATATGGAACAAGCCACAATGCGTAATCTCCCCTATCCTCCTGATCCCGCTGTGCCACAGGGATCTGCCCGTGTCATCCGCTGCCTGAGCAACAGCCGTGACAACCTCAGCCCTGTTTGCCGCGCAACATTGTTTGATGAGGAGGTCCGGTTCTCCGAGAACATTGATTTCCAGTACCCGATGAAGACCGCTTGCGTCAAGGAGATTGATCGTTTCTGCAAGGACATTCCTCACGGCAGCGGGCGGGTTATTCGCTGCTTGCAAGACAACAAGGCCCAGAAAGAGTTCGGCAAGGCTTGCGCCGAGGAGATTAAGGCGTATGAGGCCGAGATCTCCAAGGATTACCGCTTCAACTTCCGTCTTAAGAAGGCTTGCCAGAAGGACGTGGAGAAGCTCTGCCCCGGACTGTGCCAAACCAACGATGGAAGTGTGAGTTGGGGCAAGGGTGTTTTTGCTTCTCTAGCTCTAAGAGAGAAAGGGTGGTGAAATGTCATACACTGTGTCATAGCGCTGAGCAGTACGTGCTGTTATAGCACCGCATTGTCGGAGGTACAAAGCCTTACCCGTGCACCGTCTCCTCTCCCCTGTGTCCGCTGCAGCCCTGCGGTGGTAAGGTTCTGCGCTGCTTGACTGACAAGATCGACGACATTGGCGACGAGGGCTGCAAGAAGGAGGTGTACTACTACGAGAAGATGGAGGTGTCCAACTTCATGAACGATATCCTGCTGGCTGAGGCCTGCCGCACGGATGTTGACAATTTCTGCAAGGACGTGGAGCCTGGTAGGTGTCTCTGCTTAGTAGAAGTATACTTTTGGTAGGGTGAAATTGGTTCCCGCTCTGTCGTGTCATGACTGCATGCACGGCCTGCTCCAATGCCATACCGAATGCTAGGGGTTGTCTGCATGTCGACGTATCTCAACTGTTTGCTGCCTTACACGCTGTCCACAGGCGAGGGTCGTGTGCACAAGTGCCTGCGTGACAACCGCAAGAAGCTGAGCGATTCTTGCCGCCGGGAAGAGTTGCTGCTGGAGGAGAAGGAGGCGAACTCTATTGAGCTCAACGTGTCTCTCCTGAAGGCATGCAAGGCTGAACGCCAGCTGTATTGCTCTGCAGTGCAGCCAGGGCAGGCACGCGTCTTCCGCTGCCTGGCAGAGAACATGAACGATGCTGATTTTGGAAGTGGTTGCAAGTACCAGATTGTTAGCAAGCTGCAGCGCAGGTAACGTGATTGGGGGCCGAACAAGCAGGGAAATGATAAAGTGTTCTCAGGTCCCTTGTCCATCTCGACGCGGACTGTCCCTCGCTGAATCGTTCGTATTATATGGTTAACGCTGCTGATGCTTTGCACCTTGCAGGCAAGCCAACTGGAAGCTGGATCCGCCTCTCCGCAAGGCGTGCAAGTCCGACGTGCTTACGTACTGCGCCTCCGAGGATGCTGCCAACAGCGAGGATGGGCTGGTTTACCAGTGCATGGTCAAGAACTTCGAGTCGCTGTCGAACGGCTGCCAGAAGGAGGTTGGCCGCGCCGTGCACATGGCGTTCTTCGTGTGGGCACCGGCCGCTATCATCACCCATCTGTGCGACGACGACATCAACCGCCTGTGCCTGGCGGATCGCCCGAACATGGCTTCCCGCCCTGGAGCTGTTGGCACCTGCCTTGCGACTCTGGTGGGTTGGGTTGCGGGTTCTTAAACTGGGGGCTGCATCGGTGTGTCCTGCTGATGGATTATTACTGCCCAGTGTCGGACTTGCGTGATGTCGGATTTTCCCGTGTGACTGCTGCCCCGCGTCGCAACCACCGCTTAATGTTGTATTGTGTATGCATGCCTTGCAGTTGGAGAAGCAGGATCGTTCTTCGGCGCGCCTGCTCGTGGAGACCGCCGGCAACCCCAAGTTGCTTTCGCCGGCATGCGCGCGCCTGGCCGACATCGCGGAGCCGCCCAACATGAAGCAGGCCTTTGAGTCCTCGTTGACTTTTGCCCTGCTCAAGGACCACCTAGAGAACATTGAGGTTGCGACCGGCCTGCCAACCGTCACACGTGATACGCGTGGCAACGCGCAGGGCGTCAGCCTAACGGGTTGGATGGCCATGCTTGGCATGACTGCCCTCATTATTCTAGTCATCTACGGCGGTTATGCCGGTATTAAGCGTATTCGCGGTCTACCCGATCGAGATTACACGCTAGTAGTCAAGCAGCAGCACAAGTAATGTGTAGATGCTTGCAGTAGTGTGGTGCGGAGAGCTTTTAGTTAGAGCGTTGTGTTTGTACATGGGGATGAGCATAGACGGTAGGAGTTCTGTCGCTTCGATGGCGAGTAGGATTCCCAGCTAGCGTAGCTGGTGAACTGTGGTGCGGGCGTTGTGGATGGTCCGAACCTCATTGTACCGTCGGATCCGTAGCGAGCAAGGGCCCACGCATGGAGACGGTTCCCCGTTTTGAGGTGCTGAGGGCGGTAGTTTACCTGAGGCTGTGATTACCTGTGTTCTGGCATCGTAAAATGCGTGTGGCTATTGAACATGGACGGGATGCGAATGGGGAGCTCGATGCTCTCAACATTGTTCGGGCTGACCGTCGTAGATCGTGGTACGATTTTGCATTATGACCGGTACATATGTGCCCAATGCTTTCGTGGATGGCCAGCCGCGGATTTATTCCCATAATTTTGTGTATCAAGGAAGATGTTAGATTGACTCGTGCGTTAACGGACAAGTTCGACCTCGTGCGTCAGCCTTTCCAGCTGGCACTAATAGTAACATATAGCTGTTTCCACACATCAACCCTTACAAATGGACCTCATAGGCTTCTTGCTCCGTGGACCTTCCGGTCCGCATAGGCTTCTGCTGTTACTTGGTGCCCTCGCAGCGCTGCTACTCTCACATAGCGTGGCCCCGTCATCGGCGAGACCAGCCAATACGCTGCTATACCAGCGAAGGCAGCCAGTGGTGAACGTCAACGGCGAAGACATAGTCTCTGCGACTGCCTCCGAAAGTGGCCAGCAGGCGGCGGAGACCCGCGGGACGGACGGCTCCAGTTCTTCAGACCTCCCGACGTTGCTTCGCATTCGCGATGGAATTAAGAATTGGAATTTGGCCGCAGCAGCGAATGGCTACTCGGGTGGGAAACGCTTGCTCTTCGCGCTTGGTGGCTTATGGCGATAGCTAACATTGGACCAGTGCAGGCTCCTCGTTTGCCTACCCCGCACTTGCTTCATTTCCATTTGTTATAATTAAGGTCAACACATTTCTCGTCTTGCCTCTATCTCTATAATGCTTGTTAGTTTCGTTTGGCAAGGCTTTCGCAAATGAAGTGTTCCAGGTTGCTTCCGGCATGCCGCAACACGCGCAGTCATTTAAATGCCTGTTGCATGTTGGGGCGTGCGAAGCGAGCACACTTGTCTGGGGTCCTCCGCACTGCCTGTAGCAAGGCTACAATATAAGTCCTAAAGGGGTCACGACATCTCGACATCTCGAGAGGCCTTATAGGACCGTTGTTACACTGCCCTACAGGTTGGGGGGACGGTGACCCGTGCGGCGGCAACTGGACCGGAGTCCGTTGCAATGACCAGGGGCGGGTAGTGGAGCTGGTGCTGGTGTGTACGCAGGTCAGGCGGGGCAAGGGATGGCGTGCGGGGAAACTTGGCGGCATGCGGAGAGGCTTGGGGCCTGCTGAGAGCCAAAGGGGGTCCAGAGGGTTGAACGCGCCGCCTTGCACGTGATTACGCCGCCTTGCACGTGATTACGCCGCCTTGCACGTGATTACGCCGCCTTGCACGTGATTAAAATCCATGCCTTATATTCTGCTTTTAACAGTGCATCAATATGCCGCATGCCTGCGAGTACCGTACACCCCGCGCTTCATGCCATCCCCTTTGTGCCATGCAGCTTACCAATGCACGCCTCCTGCCATTCCTTCCCTCCAAGTTTGCCTCCCTTGCCCGCCCCCTTTCGCCCATTCGCCCGTTGTCTCCTCATTACCCCTCCAGCAGCCGTGCTTCTCCGGTCCCCTGTCGCCCGACTTTGCCAAACTCTCCGCCCTCACCAAACTCGACCTCTACACCTCCAACCTGTACGGCAACCTCCCCACCGAGTGGGCCGACCCAGGGGTCTTTCCTCAGCTCAGCTTCCTGCGCCTGTCCTTTAACAACGCTAGCGGACGTGTGCCGCCCGAATGGGGCCGACCCGGAGCTTTCCCTGAGCTGCGGTGCGAGAATTATGGGGGGCGGTGATTGCCGGAAATAACAATTAGTGGGGTATTGTTCGTAGGGCCTTCAAACGGGGTTTTCACACGGCATATACGTGCAACGGGGCAAGCACCGGCAAAGGGGTACGGGCTGCACACATGGACAAAGGAACGCACGCTGGCCGAGACACATTTACGAAACCGGCATGGGCTACCCCACGGCATGGACCACGCATCCGGCATGGGCCAACCCACGGGTTACCGTGCGACCCATGGGTCACCAACCCAACAACACCCTCTCCAGCCTTCCTTCCGCTCCATCCCTGTCCCCTTCCCTTCCCTCACTCCTTGAACTCAATCAGAACATCTCTTCCACCAACCTCCCCCTTCCTCCCCGCCCCCTCAGCTCCCTCTTCCTCAACAACAACAACCTGAGCGGCACTCTGCCCCCCGAGTGGGGCCAGGAGGGCAGCTTCCCTTCCCTGGAGCTGCTCTTCCTGGGGGACAACCGACTGGAGGGTGCGTGCATGATGCCGCTAGGGGCTGGTTACCGACTGGTTGCTGGTTGCGTATGGGTCCCGGGGAGGGCATGCGCACCACAGGGGGAGCGGGCCTACCTAGGTTAGATGCGGCTGGATCAGGCGACCGCTGCGGGCGCGCCTGCCGGACACACTCCTGCGGGGGCCGGGGGCTGCATCCCTCCTTCCGAAGCTGGTAGCGTCCCTTCCTGCACTCTGCCCGCTTGCTCACACCTCATACCGATACCTCTCACTTGCCGTACCTTGCCGTACCTCGCCGTACACGCGTCTCTCAGGCTCCCTGCCTGGCGCCTGGGGCACCAAGGGCGCCTTCCGCCACCTCTCCCTGCTCTCCGCCATCTCCAACCGCCTGTCGGGCTCCCTGCCGGCGGAGTGGGCGGACAGTGGGGCCTTCCCGCAGCTGCAGGTGCGGGAGGGGGGGTGTAAGGGTAGGGGACTAGGGGTAAGATACATAAGTGGAGCGATTGAAGATTCAATTCACTGCTGGATCCGTGCTGCAGGTGTGGGGGTAAGATGGGGTAAGGTAGAGGAAAAGGAAAAAAAAGGACCAAGTTGCTGTTCAGGGATTTGGGTCGGCTGGGGAAGGCGCAAGGAGAAAAAGAGCGCAGAAGGCGAGGTGTGCCTGCCCCTGACGACCGTTTCACGAACCCCCCCCCCGCTACCTGCCGGCCTCCCCGCCAGGACCTCATTCTGATGGACAACCGCCTGAGTGGCAGCCTGCCGGAAAACTGGGGCAGCGACACGGCATGGGGGAACCTGACGGGTGAGGTGGGGTTCGGGTTCGGGTTAGGGCAAGGCAGGGCGGCAGTGGGCGGCAGGGGTGGGGCGGGGGTTGGTGCTGCCCGTACTGGGCCGTAATGCCGTTGGCCTCTGGGAGTGCGTGTGTGACCCTTTCTCCCTTGTCAAGAACTTGCGAACCCGTAAGTCAAGTTCATATAACACCCCCACCGCCACCCCGCCATGCATGTGTCCTCCACTCTCCTCCTCACCCCCGCCCCCGCCCCCAGGTCTGCTGGTGGCATTCAACCAGCTGAGTGGCAGCCTGCCCGCATCCTGGGGCGCACCGGGGGCCTTCCCAGCGCTAGGTGGGGGGCAGCGGGGGCGGGGTCCAGGGGGCGGGGGGCAGGGGGCTTTCGGGACGTGGAAGACGTGCAGTTGGATCGCCGGTCAACTCCTCCTGCCGTCAGCAGCTTGCAAAGGCGTGTGCGTACCTTTCGTTCGTCGCACTCCCTTACCTGTCCTCTCCCTACACGCCCTTCCTAAGCATTCGACCTCTCCCTACACGCCCTTCCTAAGCATTCGACTCATGTCACTCATTACTCCCTTTACCGGTGCCTCCTCCCTTGCCTTCCTCTTCACTACCCCTCGCCCCTCACCACCGGTACTCAACCTGGATTCCGCAGGCGACCTCTACCTGCACCGCAACCGACTGCAAGGTCCGCTGCCGCAATCCTGGGGCGCTCCCGGCGCCCTGCCCAACCTGCGCTGGCTGTCAGCCTTCGACAACCAACTCACAGGTGCGGCAGACGTGAGGCGCTTCTTGCTATCGCTGCTGCATTCGGAGGTTGCCGTACCTGCACGGTGGTCATTGTGATAGCGTAGGGGTTATAGCGGTTGCCTAGATGTAAGGCATAGCCTGCATGCCCTAGCAGCAGCTTGCATGCTCCCGCTTTGATGCTCGCTTTTCGCAACTGCTTACTCCTTTTCAAATCTTTGGCCGCGTTTACGCTGTTTTCAGCGGTTGCTGCCCGTGTTAATGACATCCAACACATTGACATGCCGTACACTTGCCGTACTCGGTGCTGCTCCCGGCCCCCGTGTCGCACTTCTCCCCTCAGGCCCGCTGCCCGCTTCCTGGGGCGGCTCCTTCGACGTGATGCCCAACCTGCGTAACCTCTTCCTCTCCAACAACAAGTTCAGGTGTGTGGGGGGGGGTTCCCAACCGCAACACGCGCTGCTGCTACGGCCCTGCTATGGAATAACACAAACTACCCGTGTCGACTACCGGTGCCGGTACCCGCCAGATCTGTTAACAGCCACAGCAGCACCCTACTTACCCTGTGTCCCTCCGCCCCTCCGCCGCCATTCCCCGCCATCCACCACCGCTCGCTCCCACAGCGGCTCCCTTCCCGTGGACTGGGGCCGACCCAACGCCTTCCCGCAGCTCCGAAACCTCGATCTGTCGTACAATCCCGGCTTGTACGGCCCGCTTCCCGACACCTGGGGCCTCTCCAGCGCCTTTCCTTACCTGGAGCAACTCAGGCTGCACAACTGCTCTCTGCGTGGCGAGCTACCGTCCTCCTGGGGCTCCTCCGGCGGTCTAGACAGCCTAGCTGCCCTAACCCTGGAGGGAAACCAGCTGGAGGGATCCGTTCCGACATCCTGGTCGCAGCGCGCTGCCTTCGGCGCGCCGTTGCTGACGGTGGTGGTTAGGCCCGGTAACGATAAGCTCTGCGGTCCAACGCCGAGCGGTGTCGTACTGGCAGCCGAGCCGCCGAGGAATGGTACGGGTACGGCAGCAGGGGGTACGACGGCGGGTGGGCCGGAGGCGGGCAGTGGACCGATTGCGACCGAGGACAGTTTCGGGACGGGTTCGCTGCTTGCGGCAGAGAGTGCAGGAGGAGGCCGTGGAGGGGGAGGCGGGGGCAGCGGCAGCCGCGGCGGGCGCAGCAGCAGCGGCGTGGCCGTGTTTGGGGGAAATCTGCAATCGGTTCAGCTGCCAAATTGCTAGAAGAAGAGGAGGGGGAGGAAACGTGGAGTGGGTTAAGCCACGGGCTCGGTAGATGAGCACGTGGTTGTTTGAAAAACATAAATCCGAAGTATAAGTACGGCAATGTACAAGTAGGCTGAGAACCTAAAAAGGTGTGTTAGTCATCAGGCGCGTACATGCTACTGCTTGCGTGTCAAACGTACGTGCATTAGTACTACTTAGTCTAAGAGGATTGCGTATCAGGTTTCCTATTAGTTTTGCTGATGTGCTTTTGGTGCGTCGTACGGTATCCACGCGTCATGCTCAACCGTTTCTACCGTTGGGTTAAACCGCCTGCTGTTGTTGCTGCAAATGGGACATGGCGCACGTTGCCACGTCATTAAACAGGTGCGTGTTACCGTTAGTCAACGACAAGCTAGATGTATGCTGGCGTAGCGGATTCTTTCCTAATGCGCTGTCCATTCCCCTTTCCTATTGTTCCATACGGCAACATACAGTAGTACATTACGCACAGGTGCGCGTTTTCATTTTCAAATAGGCTGTACGTATGTTTGTTAATTGGCTTGGCGCGGAGGTTGGCGGTTGTGCACGCAGAGTTTGGAGTGCAGGAGTGCAACATGACAGTGCTGCTAAGCACCTTTCCTGCATGTGTGTGGTTGCAAGGGGCATTCACACACAAAAGCAACGGCTGCTCTGCCTTAATAGCCCCCATTTCAGCGTTCGCGCATTGTATCACGCATTTGGTTGTAGCGTGCAGTGCAATTTGCGTGCCATGCATGGCTTTGCGTGTAGATAGCCTGTTCAGGCCTACACCTGTTGTGGTCGATTCTTACCGGTACGGTTCCTACGGTGTTTGGTCCTGGCTGGCGAAGGATGCGTTGTGCATGCTAGCAGTGTACGCATGTGCCGAATGCAAGTTGTTCCTGTTGGCATGGGCAGCCGATATAGATTGGCGATGGTTGCCTTGTGAGTTGTTGGTGGAAACACAGTGGCTGTTTGGGGCCGTTCACCTTTAGCTGTAGGGGCTGCTGGGCATTGGCCGATCGGCTAACGATAGTTACTGATTGCCGTCCTGGTTCTGCATGTAATAAGCATTGTTGCTTTCCTTTGTCAGCCTTCCATCCAAACCTTGCGTACCGTATGCATTTGTGTTGAGCACTCGGACTAAGCGGAACCTGCGCTTGCCGGTCGGATGGGAACGAAGGGGAGCCCCATGGGTCGTTACACGTAGGCATAGGTCCCTCGCACAAACTACTTGCGATAGCCAAGAGTTTCCGGCTTCCCTAAATGCGGTCTGGCCGTTCCCTAAGCTGTCGTGCAGCGCCGGGGTTGGCAGCAGCTGCGGACAGCAGCCAGGCAGCAGCTGGCAGTGGCCAGCCATGAACAGGAACCGGCTACAGACCTTGGCAAAGTCATCCGCATGCCATTACTTATTTATGTGCGGTGCGCCAGGAAACCCCGAAACAACCAGTTAGGGGTGCGAAGTCCGTCCACAACATGTATGCAAGCCCTGACACTTGCAGATTTGCCTTCAGGACCAATACAGCAGCAAGGGGAAAGTAAAAATGTAGATGCCATATGAGGTTTTTCCAGGGGATGCGGCGCAATTATGCCGACAGCTGCACTCAACGCGGCATTCGTCCTAGGCTCGTTAGGTGCTGGCAGTCAGCTTTTACCATATAGTTCAGCTGCATCCCGGTTCGCTACCACATATGTTTTTAACCGTGGTGCATTAAACAGTTGTTAGTGCGCGCAGCTTGCAGCTTGCAAGCCTTCCCAATGCAGGACGTTGAAATCTGGAGCTTGTATGGCATAACTCGGCAAGTGACAAATTATAAACTAAAGCGGTGTAAGGCAGTCGTCCAGTCGTGCTGAATCAGTCAGGCCAATCCACTTGGTGACGGTTTCGGAGCTTCAGTTCCATGGATAAAGCCATCAGTAAGCCACAGATAAGAGTCGGTATTCCCCTTCTTACACCCGCCAGCATACCCCAAGCACATCAAGTTAGCAACAATGGCCCTTAACATGCGCAGCTCCTTTAAGGCGGTGGGCGCTCGCGCTGCCAAGCCATCGCGCGGCGTCGTGCGCGTGCAAGCAACCCACCGGGTGGATAAGTGCAAGAAGAGCGATATTATTGTGTCACCATCGATCCTTTCAGCGGACTTTGCTCGCCTGGGCGAGGAGGTGCGTTGGCGCTTCCTAACAACCAAAGCGTTCGAAGCGGCGCCGAATCACCGCTCTGGCGCGCTGATGTATGTCAGTGGTTCACTTCATATCTGCAATCGTAGGTCCGCGCCATCGATGTCGCTGGCTGCGACTGGGTCCATGTAGACGTTATGGACGGTCGCTTCGTGCCTAACATCACCATTGGCCCGCTCGTCGTTGAGGCGCTGCGCCCAGTTACGGACAAGGTGCTCGATGTTCACCTGGTGAGTATTTGTGCGATCTGTAGATATAGCAGCGACTCTTCTTGGCGGTCGGGGTCTAACCTGTTGCCATGCCATTCGCAGATGATCGTGGAGCCTGAGCAGCGCATTCCCGACTTCGCCAAGGCTGGCGCTGACATCATCTCGGTTCACGCTGAACCCTCCTCTACCATCCACCTGCACCGAACCCTCAACCAGGTAAGCAACCATGGTATGCGTTGTGTATGCGTACCGTTGTTCACCCAGGGTTTCACCAACGGTCTCACCCTGGTCCAACCACCTTAACGCACGCAAGACGACGCCTTACCTACTTACATGCATCCTTCCTACCAACCTCCTCATATGCTACGTTCCCACCGGTCACTTCACCCATCCCTCTCCCGGACCCCCACCATTCCCCTGCTCCCTCTTCCTTCCTCCACCCACGCCCACGCAGGTCAAGGACCTAGGCTGCAAGGCGGGTGTGGTGCTCAACCCCGGCACCAGCCTCTCCACCATCGAGGAGGTCCTGGACGTGGTGGACCTGGTACTCATCATGTCGGTCAACCCCGGCTTCGGCGGACAGAAGTTCATTGAGAGCCAAGTAGCCAAGATCCGCGCCCTCAAGCGCATGTGCCAAGAGAAGGTGGGTGGTGGGTGCTGGTGTGGATGAGTGGGTGAGCGGGCAGGGAAGGAGAAGCGCAAGTGGGTGTGTGGGTGGTGGGTAGCTGCCAAATCTGCACTCAGCGGCGACATGCTGTGTACCAACGACTTGCATCCTTAGCCTGTGATGTTCCTGGGGGTGTGGTGGTGGCAGCGGCTCGCCACGGATCTACTGGCGAGCCGTTGCTACGGTGCAGATGTCTTGCGGCCGCGCTGAAGCTGAAAGCGGCCTTGCATGCACTTACCGTTATGGTATGTCCCCCTGTTGCGGCATGCAGGGAGTTAACCCCTGGATTGAGGTGGACGGCGGTGTGACCCCGGAGAACGCCTACAAGGTGGGTAGTTGTAAGGACGCTTCCACGCCATCACACAACACGCTTGTGCTGCTTCATGAATGTGAAACGCATGCTGCATGCAACGCAAACAATTAAGGGTGCCTGCAAAGCTGCGTGGGTTGCGAGTACTGATTTTACCGGTAGTAAGTGGGTCGCATCGCTTGGGTTGCATGCAGGTGATTGACGCGGGAGCCAACGCCCTGGTGGCGGGCTCAGCCGTCTTCAAGGCCAAGTCCTACCGCGATGGTAAGTTTCCAGTGGTTAGGGTTGGGCCCAGGTTGGGTTGAGGTTTACGGGTTTTGAAGCCGATTTGCAACTGGCGATGTCACTGGCGCAACGTCGGTCGCCTGTAGGGAGTGCTCACAGAACGGATTGTGTTTGGGTATAGAGCATCGCTGCCTCAGCTGCGGGTCCGATGCGTAGTCGTTGGGCTACACCATGATGCATGGCTTTTGGACTCCTTAGCTAACAGTTGCTTCCTCTTGCCTCCATTCCCACCTCCCACCGCAGCCATCCACGGCATCAAGGTCAGCAAGGCGCCCGTCCCGGTCATGGCGTAAACAGTTCGGAGGCAGTATTTGTACCAAAGCTCGAAGGGGAGATAGCTGGACGAAGAGACAATTTTGGTGTTTCCGTTTCAAGTGTACGTGCATCTGTAACTTCTAATTGCAATTTAATGCAATCAAATTCTTTACAAATGTCCATCGGTAGTCGTGGCGATTATAGCGTACGACGTGTAGCATTAGTTCAACCGTCACAACTACAGATGGCCAGAAGTCCCAAGACACTGATATGTAACAAATGAGACCTGGGTAACTCCACCACTTCACCATCTTCATGATAATACACGGTTGTGCACACGCATGCACAGTTGCCAGTCAAGTTAGTGAAGTGGGAAGGGCCCGTGTCTACCCTAACGTGAGCTTTACCGTGACACCTACTCATTCGAGATGCCACCGCACACGCGCGCCACAAAGCCGCGCAGAGTTGTAAGATCCCTTCATGATCACGAGTTAAAAGTCGGCAGCATGACAAGGCCCAACGACAAATCTGGCAGTACAGCCGTCAGTAACGTATCTCAAGACCACTCAGCTAACCCGCTAGCCATGCCTAGACAACCGTGCGGCACGTAGTCTTCTCATTCCTTCGGATTCTACCAGGCCTACCAATTGGCAGCTGCCCGCACGCCCTGATCAACGCCCCGCAGCCGCATCGGTTAAGAGATACCCGACGCCATGCCGTGCAAGCAGTCGTTGAAAAGTGCAATCCCTGAACAATCCCGACACGCCAGTTACATGGGCACCCTCGCCCTAGACCATAATGAACATGACCATCAACCACCCTCGAAAACCCTCCCAATTACCCCATCAAGCCATTCCGTGCTCCTGCGCAAAACCAAGGATATCCTCCAGCACCGGTGCCCCTATGTCCAGCTGCCGCCCAACAGCTTATGCCCAGTGCCTTAGGCGGTCCGTGCCGTGGGCTGCGGGGCGGGAAGAGGGCGGGGCGTGGCGTTATAGAGCTTGCAACAAACAACCGTAATGAAAGCACCTCTATTGGAGCCTTTCTTCTCCCTCTCCCACTATGTCAACGCGGCGCATGTAGCATTATGAGCTTTGTACCCGGAAGGCATGGTTGTAACGACAGGTATCAGGCTAACGCGCATCGGGCCCCCTCACCTGCAGCTTGCGGACAATGTCCGCGGGCACCTCGTCCAGCTCGCCCGGCAGCCAGTTGAACAGCGGCGGCAACGGCCGGCCTGCACCGCAGATAGGTGACAATGCCAAAGTACATTTGTTAACGAGACTAGTCACAAGTCGGATGTTGTGCGTGTAAAACCGGTCACTTGCCAATAAATACAAGGTTCTACGGTTCTAGACAAGACTCCCAACACCACGTACCGTTGGGAAGCCGCGTGGTCGGGTCCCGCAGCTCATCGAAGAACGGGTGCGTCATCGCTTGCACAGCCGTCATGCGCTTCTGCGGCGCGTACTGCAGCAACTTGGACACCTGCGCATAGTAGTCGGGTCTACCTTAGGCGACACATCCATGAACCAGCACACTATGGCATGGGCCCATCTTAGGAGACGATTCCAGGATCTAGCGTTCCCTCAAGTACCCATCGGGGGCATTCAACCCTGCATCCATCGAGGTAACAACCCACCAGGTCCACGGCGTCCGGCGGCATGCGCTTGCTGAACACCTTAGTCCATGGGTGCGCCTTAATCTGAGGGAACTTGAACTCCGTGTAGTTGGGGTTCATGGCGTTGATCTCCTCGCGCGTGGGCGTGCCCAGCACCTTAATGATCTCCACCAGCTGGTCCACCCCGCTCTCGCCCGGGAACAACGGCTGGCCCAGCAGCAGCTCCGCCAGCACGCAGCCCACGGACCACACGTCAATGGCGCTGGTGTAGTCGGTGGCACCGAAGATGAGCTCCGGGGCGCGGTAGTACCGCGAGCAGATGTACGAAATGTTGGGCTCCCCCTTGATGAGTATTTTGGCGCTGCCGAAGTCGCAGAGCTTCAGCTGGTGCGTCTCCGTGTTGACCAGCAGGTTCTGCGGCTTAATGTCGCGGTGGCAAATGCCCATTTTGTGGATGGAGTTCAGCGCACGGCACATCTGGTACGCGTAAAGCTTGACAAAGAGGTTGGGCATGCGCTGGCTGTTCTTGGCATAGTGCTTGCTAATCCGATAGACGGTGTCCGGAACAAACTCCAGGACCAGGTGCAGGTAAGTCTCGTCCTTGTCGGTGTGAGAGTAGAAGCAGTGCTTGAGCTTGACGATGTTGGGGTGGTCTACAAGCTTCATAATCTGCAGCTCCCTGTTCTTAAACCGCTTGTCCTGCAGCACCTTCTTAATCGCCACCTGCCGTAAACAATTTGGGTTTAGGGTTAAGAGGACAGCTTGTTGGCGACATTTCCCGAGCACATGTCACAGTTCCGACCTACCGTCTCGCCCGTCTCCAAGCAGGTCGCCTGGAATACGACTCCGAAAGAGCCATTGCCCACCACACGATCTGTAGAGTAGTTATATGTTTGTCGCGACGAACCGGTGCCTGCCGACGCCGAGAGAACATGGCCCCCGCTTTTTAAGTCTCCCTCAATCAGCCTTCCTTCAAATATCTGCAGATCAAGTCATGCCATATATTATGACCTAAAGGCTTTAGCGCGGGAAAGGTCAGAAGCTTAGCAGCATGCTGACCTCTGCCGTTGCCGCGTTCTGCTGCGCCTTGCTCGAGCCGACCTCCTCGTCCTTGTCCTTAAGATTCAGCTCCTTCATGCCCTGCACACAAAGTGGTGTTGGCTTGGTGCCCGCGCCCGCTGTATGGTACCTTTGTCCCAGCTATACCTGCTGCAAATCGTTGCCTGACACAGAGGGTTGCTGGGCCGGGTTGGCCACACTGGCACTCATTGCCGCCTGCACCAAAGAGAGCTAGGAATTAGGGACTGATGATGGCCAGGAGGCAGCTGCGCCAAGAGGTCCTAACCCCCTTACCGAGTGCTTGCCAGCACCAAGGGATCTCTGGGTGTCCTCTTGACCTATACGCACCGCCGGCCAAGACTATGTCAGCCATACCCTGTAACCTTCATTGCCATGTTTCCAAGGACAGCTGCCTTGCCGCTGAAGCTGCTCAACTGAAACTCACGCTGGGGCGCGGCGACCAGCTTAGCGTAGCGGTAAGTATCTAAAACGCCCTTTCCGTGCCCAGGCTGCTTTAACCACAAGACCCCATTAGCATGCCGTAAGTTAAAGGCTATCGTGGGAGCAATTGGAAAGTGGCCAGGGCTCCAGCACCAGGCTGGCTAACCTATGCAGCGGAAGTCGTGTTGAGTGTACAGTTACAAATAAATGCGTTGCAAACGTATTCTACTAGTTTGTACCGAATCCTTAAAGGGTTGACTAGAGTACGGCCGCCTTCATGTCCCCATTACTTCGCTCGCTTTTCTTGAACAACACGCTACAGCCAATGCTAGTTATGTAAGACAATTCAAAGGGCGCCTTACAAGCACCTTACGTCGCTTGGAGCATAAAGGGCGTTCCGCATCTGCTTGGATACGCAAAGACCGAAGGTCTTTGGCGTTAGAATATTACAGCTGTTAGGAACCAGCACCATGCTCAAATGCAGCCTGCAATGCTAGGAATGACTTCGGGGCAAACCTGTCTGGGAAATCCCCTTACGAATCCTTGCAAGTTGCAAAGCCTGTAGGGCGCCTAATGCATTCCCATTTTGCGCGACGCGCGATGGCTGCTTGTCCAATCAGTGGGATAGGTTGTTATTATCTGTCTGGGCAACACTCTGTCCCATGGGCCGCTAGGGATTACTTGGTCGCAACTGCACGGACGTTCTGTTGTCCACGGCTGCGTGGAACTGGGGGACAAGCTGCTGCCCTGCGTTGGCCACAGATTTTGCACATTGTTCAGCAGCGCTCTATGGAAGCAGTTAACGGGCGGCTGAAGCGGTTGCAACCCGGCAGGGAACCAAGCAGGTCGCATGCCTAGTCATTTAAGGAACGTGAAAGGTTTACTTGTATGGGGTGCGCCTTTACCTTAGGGTTCGGCTACCTCCACTCGGATTACAGGCGATGCGTGACAGCTACACGGTCACTACTATAAGACCTGCCTAGCTGCCTTCGGCAGCCCCCATGGAGGGCAAGACGAGGTCAGCTCCCGTCAGTCTTCTGGCAAATGAGCTTCATTACATCAAATTGGCCATACCGTAATGCTCTTTAGGAACATCAAGCGAGTAGCGCTCCCGTTGGCGTCAAGCAGCGGTACGATAGGGTTTGTTGGGCGTTAGCATACAACACCACAGAGCATGACTGCATGAGCGAGCCAAAAGCAGACAAGTTGACGAGTCAGTTACGCCCTTTAGGTAGCTAGAGTAGCACCCGGCAACCCCCTACCGCGCCATGTCGAGATCCAGAAGAAACCAACCAGGCCACCTTATACAACCGACAACTTGAATTATCCGCCAATGCGCTGCAGCCCAAACGCAACACTACACAACTTCGCTGTCGCCTTGAGCCCATATACTACCGCTAGATATGCGGCTCACAAACTGGCTGGCATTATCGCATGGTGTGTTAAACGAACTACAATGCAGCGTACATCTCGTCACACAAACGGAGCTCCGAAGCCCTCAGGCAAGCTCACATGCCGCTCCCCGCCGAGGCAAGCGTGTCCAGGGCCTGGGCCACCTACACGGCAGGTACCGAGGTACGGCAGGGTAGGCAAGCGCACAAAAGACAGTCGAACTGCTTAGCTGCACGGTATACCGTATACGGCGAGGTGTCGGGGATTAATGCTGTCCCTGTCCCACCCATAATGCTGAACCGCTGACTTGGACCCCTCCTGCCTCACCTGCAGTGACATCGAGCCCATCCCCGCTATGATGCACACCACCAGCAGCGCCTCTCGAAAGCTGTAGATGCACAGGGGGAGGGGGGTCACAGTTACACCAACCCATAGGAAACCGCAAGTGGGAGGGAAGGGAGGACAGGTTGGGAGCGAAAAGAAGAATACCCAATGTGTTCAATGAGGATGGCAAACAAGCCGACGAGCTCCGACAGGTTGGAAGGGGAGGGAAGACCACTGGAGTCAAAGCCGAGGCAGCAAGCAGGCCGCAAACGAATGCACACTGCCCGCGCACGAGGAGCAAGGAGGGCACGCCACCTCTCAGGCGCCGTGCGTAGCCGAGGCAGGCGGCACTCACCCGCACACCCATGGGCGGTCCCAACCCCCGCCCGCCCCTCGTTCACTCGTCTTTCACTCCACTTTCCTCCTCCCTTCACCCCTGTGTGCCCCTTGGTTCCCTTCAACGACCCCCGCCCGTAGGGTCCCCCCCCTACCATGGCGGAGCCTTGTCACATAGTTCGAATTTCCTCTTTTCTCCACCCTCCTAAGTCACAGCATGGCCCTCCTTCCTCGTTTCCCCACCATTTAGTTCACAGCATGTAGGTATTTCTTCTCCACCGCACCCCCCCTTAGCTGCTCACCTGTACAGCTCCCGCATGAACTGCTCCCGCCGGAATCCCAGCCCCTTGAGTCCGAAGGGGTCCAGGAACAGCGCGTACACGCAGCGCCACAGGCTCATGAGCGCCAGCACGCCCGACGCGCTCACGAAGGGCTCACCCAGGCCCGAGGCGGCCAGCGGAACGGCGCTGGCAAAGTCCGCATCGCCCACAAGCGCGCTGCGAGCGGGGTGGGGTGGGGTGCGGGTGGGATGGGTGCGGCGGAGATAGGGTATGGCGGGTAGAAGGAGGCAGACAACTAGATGGGGCCGAGGAAGGGCTTTGCTTGTAAGGGAGAAGGAGCTGTAGGGTACGTGCGCGCTGGAAGCCACGGGTGTCGTCATTTCAGGCATCCACGGCAGAAAACGGAAGTGGCGACCCCCACCCACCCACCGGCTCTCCGCCGCCGTGGCCAGCACCAGCTGCGCCGCCGCCACCGGCATGGCAGCCAGCCACGTCAAGCAGGCGGCGCGCAGTGCTGCGGGCAGGTCGGCGGTGGCGGCGGTGCGGTAGGCGCCCAACAGCAGCCCCGCAGCCACCCAGGTGCCGGTCAGGGTGGCGGTCAGGCCGCAGAACTCGCCGAAGCGCGTCCAGTTGAGGTGCAGCGGCGCCAGCCAGCCGGGGAAGTCGGGGGAGAGCACGATGCTGGCGATCTGCCGGAGGGGGGTAGAGGGGATGGATATTCCGCATTGGGTACGTAGCTGGGACGGGCGAGGTGAAGGAGAGACACGTGTTCAACGCATACGGGAACTGGTGGGAAGGGTAGTCAGCGCACACGCAGGCACAGGTTGCGTTGGTTGCTTTTCCTCTTTAAAGGCTTTTCATCTTTATAGGCCCTCCACCTTTACTCATCCTGTGGGCCTTCCCTTGCTGCTTGCACCTAGCGCACCTGCTGAGACGCCCTTCCCCGCCCCGCTACCCCCGCTACCGCAAGCTGCTTCCGCCATCAGTTGGAACTCATTCCCAGGGCCCGCTTGCCTGTTTATAGAGGCAAAAATTAACCATGGCCACAGCGTCCCCCACCACTAGTTCTGCGTTCTCCACGCGCGGCCACGAGCGGCATCCAACGGGGGATAACCTACGGCGGGTGCATACGTCCGTGACACTGCATCACCAAACAGCGCTCATCAAACGCTGCGCTTGGCACAGCCTGGCCCTTACCAGTTGCCGCATATGAAAGCGCCAAATTGTGAGAGCTAAGACCTACTGGCGACGGTGATGCAACCCTAACCTACACTTACCATTGGTCTTTACTGTAACGCCCGGTGTCAGTGCTCCTTGCTAGATAAGCGTGCTGCCCAGCTAGTCTATTGCGCCCAAGCGGCAGACAGGCAGCGCGCGTTCGCGGCTTTACTAGCGGTTGGTTGGCGACCAAAGTGCTCGTTAGCATGACACTGTATCCTTCTGAAGACAGGTGCTGCCTAATCGTGCGTAGCTTTGTCGCCTGCGGCACTGCAGTGGGCAATGCGTCGCTGACTACAGTTACTAACTGCAAGGGGAACGCATCCTTGCCAGCGAGGTAGCTTTATGAAGTTAGCCAGAAGTTCAGACACATTAAATGCCAGCCACTCGAGGATCCTATCGCCTGCAAAATGTAATGCATCTGGGTGCAACACTCACGATGCGATCAACAACCTGATCCCCAAAATCGCTCACGAAGTAGCCAACAACAAGACAAGAAAGCATGCACAAGAACACGTTCAAGCAGGCCACTGGCTTTGAAAGCAACTGGTCATGGGACAGCAGAAATGAAGTACTCAATGACAGTCTAAGACCATTCGGGTGGTTTCCTTCCATTCCAGGCATGATGCACACCAAGATTCCACAGAATTATATAAATTGTTAACCCATATATCCTTAAACTGCATGTATGATAATATATAATAAAAGACTAAAACACGTCGTGCAACTACCGATTTTAGGAGAGACGCCGCTATCATGTCAGGAGTAAAGGCATGCTTACAGCCAATAGAGGGACCTGCGTAAGTTTAGCACGGGACAGCAGAGGTCCAGCTATGCCCTCGAGGCTTTCCTCTTGCTTGCAAGCTCAAGCCTCCTCCACTGTTGCCTTGTAGTCGCGTTGGTGGAGAGTATGGTGCTGTATCAGGCAGCAGCCCAAACTGGCGCGGTAACTTCTGTGACTTAGGGAGGTCGCACAACGCTGGACCATCATCTGAGTTCGGCTCACAAGGTTTCGCGGTTTGGGAGCAATCCTCAGCTGTTCGTGAACCCGGACTAAGGTGCGTTCGTTACTCAGTGGGGACAGGAAGGGGCTGGTCGTTGGGCGGAGGTGTCTCGCGAACTCCTATGGGCGATGCCCAAGCCTACGGTGTATGAGACACCACCCGACTACAGGATTTTGCACAATCTCAACCTTGCCCGTATGCTGTATCTTTCCGGCCCCCCCCCCCAGACGGCACATAGAGCAGCCTTGTTCCAGCAGCTATGCGGAGCCGACGGTCATGGGCGGCCACACATCCTACTACGGACGGCGAACTGTGAGCGACGCGTCTGAAGCAACAACATATCGGCGAACGCTCAAGTTGATTCCGGAGCCTGTACGACCTGAGCGGTGAGGGATTATGCAGCACGCAGGCCATTACGGTAGCTGCGGCTGGGAAGACATGGCGCAAGGGAGCGACAGTGCAAACCATGATAGGTTAGGGTTGTGCTGCATACCCCTTAGCGAATCGTAAGAGGCAGCTAAGGTTGCAGGCTTAGGCCACCTGGGAGTACGGCGTATTGTCTTTGGCGGCATGAAACGTCTGGGTTAGCCGGCTGCTGACAACGGGTGACGCTATGGGGGCACGACTATGTGCGCATGTGCTTGCAGCTTGCAGCTGGGCACGCTCGGCTTGTTAGGGAAGCGAACCTGCTAGTGGAGAGCTGCAAGGGCCAGATGCGTAGACTATACCTTGCTGGTAACCCTCTCCCTGACACTGCTCCCCTGCTGCCAACCTCGCAGGCCGGAGGGCAAACGCAGCATCCCAGAGCCCCAAGGCCCCATGCCGCTGCACCCACGCGGCATGCGCCCGCCGCCGGACGATGTGCGATACCGGCCAGCTGGCGGACTGGCAGAGCCGCCGCTGCCAAAACTGGGTCGCCCTGACGGCATAACCGGGTTGCGTGAGAGCGACAAAGAAACCAACTTTGATGCGTCGCTGGGCCGAAAAATTCGTGTCGGGCCAGACAGCTACCGCGGCTTGGGGCGGGCTGGCGACCGGAGCCTCGTGTACGGCGCTCCAGCGCGTGTAGAGGATGATCCGACGTACTACCGGTCCATGAAGGATTCGCCCACCTTCATGCGGTTTTGCAACAGCCTTCCGCCCAAACCGGCGGTTAGCCCACACCAGCGGCGGGAGGAGGGCATGCGGCGGCAGGCGGAGCAGGAGAAGCGCCGTGAGGAGGTGCTGGTGTCTACGTTAAACATTGAAGGGGTGGTGGATGAGGACTGAGTATTGAACGTGGCCCAGGGTTTCTTCTGACACAGAGGAGTAGGTAGCAGGGGTCAGGGAGGAAGCCTGTGTACGCGGGCGGGGGACTAGGGGCCAAAGGCTGACGGGCTGAGCGATTTCGCAGGAAGTAGGCTGGCTTTAGGTAATAGCCGCTGCGCAATTAGCTATGTTCATAGTCAGAATTCACTTAGCACTACCGGTAAATGCTGCGGTACCAGTTGCCTTAATCCATCGTCATGCTATCGACGTACGGCACTTACAGTGCCGACAGTAAGCCGCTGCTGCGGATGGCCTTGTAAAGCTGTAAACGACAAAATCTGCGTTTGCAGCTTGACCTCTGACCATGTTATGAGCCGTTTACCCAGCCGTCACTATTGTTCGTGTTGTCAGTGTTTACTAACCAGAAAGCGATTTGAGCAAGGAAGAGCTGTGGTATACATGCCAGGACTCTTAAACGTTTAACATCTCATAGTTAGCTGTTATACCGCTGTCCTTTCTTTCAAGTTAGGCTAGCATTTTTTGTGTGACGGCTAAAGATGAGCCTTCGGAAAGCAGCAAGTCAAGCGGGGCTACTTGGCGTGGCGGCAGCCTCGTCATCGAGCGCTGGTGAGACCGTTGGTGGCTTGGCTCAATCAATCATTGCTCATCAGTCTTACGCAGCGTGTGCGCGAATATCCGACAGGCTGCTCATCGTCAACGTCTTCTAGCGTACTCGAAATGGTAGGTAACTATTAAGCGCGCATTTAGTTACCCTTTCTGGCGTGTCGCCCGCAACAGTGCTTGTTCCTTGCAGGGCCGAGCACTGCATAGGATGTTTCTTACAGCTGCGGTACCAAAAGGCTACATCCAGGTATGGGTATTCCTTACAATTATCCTGGCCGGAACTCTCGCTCATAAAGCATGCCGGCGCAGACGTGGGCGGAGGTGCGGGGCCGGCAAGTGGAGCCATTTAATGTTGTCCAGCAAGAAGTCGAGGTCGTTTCCGAACGGTTGCGTCATAGCGTAGCGACTGGCATCCCAGCGCTCAAAACCGCAGCTGAGTACTTTTTTCGTCGTGGCATCGAGGGCAAGCGCCTACGGCCAACGCTGGCGCTGCTGATGGCCTCAGCGCTATCGCCATCAGCACCTCCCCAGGAGTACTTGCAGGTGGATATTCGGCCCGCGGACGAGCACGCACCGGAGTTGCGGAGGCGGCAGCAGCGCATAGCGGAGATTGCAGAGCTAATCCACGTGGCAAGCTTGCTGCACGACGATGTGATTGACGACGCCCAGACACGGCGCGGCGTCGTGTCGCTCAACAACGTCATGGGCAACAAGACGGCCATCCTGGCGGGAGACTTCCTGTTGGCGCGTGCGTCCGTGTCCCTGGCCGCCCTGCGGAATCCGGAGACGGTGGTGCTGATGTCGCAGGTGCTGGAGCACCTTGTGTCCGGCGAAATCATGCAGGTGGGGCCTCGCACGGTGGCCGATGCTTGGGCTGTTGCATGGAGGGCCATGCTATGTTCCAACGGTTAACCCCAAGTGGCTTGTCCACGCTGTTCCCATTTGGGTCAATCCTCCACATGAGAGCCAAGTTGCCTACCGGTGATCGTCTGGCACCCTCGGGTCACCGCCGCCCCCTGCCCAGCCCTTTCCGCATACCAGCGCTTCACCTCTTCTTTGCCCCCTGCTGCGCAGATGACCGCCAGCAACGAGCAGCTACTGGACCTGGACCACTACCTGGCCAAGACCTACTGCAAGACGGCGTCGCTCATGGCCAACAGCGCACGCTCCATTGCGGTGCTGGCGGACTCGGGGAAGGAGGTGAGGACAGCGGCCGGTGCATAGGACAAATGGAGCTATGGGCTAAGTAAATGGCTTAACAATAAAACTGAGCTGCTAGGGACGAGCGGGCTCGTATTAGGGTCGATAGTGATGTGGGTCGGCTTGCAGGGCGACGGACTGGGACGTAGATTGACACCGTCAAATCCAAGCCCATGCTTGCAACTTCAAAACCAATATTGATTCTCTTGGCCCCTGTATAGGTGTGCGACATGGCGTGGAGCTATGGTCGCCACCTGGGCCTTGCATTCCAGGTACGTGTGCTGACTACGTGGGGAAAAGCATGGGTAGCCACGCGCCGTGAGGCGTGGTAGGACGGCCGGAGCAACTGAAAGCAAGGGCAGCACATCTACGGGCGTAACGCCGCTGAGTTTCGTGGACGCAGCACCGCCTTGCCCTAACAGCCTTGAGTGTTTGGGGCAGCCCATGCCAATCAGCTATACGCCAGTCTACGGCGCGCAGCGGCGTGTGGCACGCGTTGAATCCTAGTTCCGGCTTACATCTTCTGGCCGTGTTTCTCGCCCCCTCTTTTGCCTCGTGGTCCTTACTTACCGGTATCTTCCCGCCTCATGGGCCTCCTCCTGCTGCTGCTGCAGGTTGTGGACGACCTGCTGGACCTGACGGGCAGCAGCTCCGTGCTGGGCAAGCCGGCGCTGAACGACCTTAAAAGCGGCCTGGCCACGGCGCCGGTGAGAGAGGCTTGAGCTTTGAGGCGGGGGTCCGAAACTTGGGGTTTATGACAACCACAATGAGCCTTCAGCATGTCACGACGCGTGGAAAAGACCCCAATGTGCACATGTACTCAGCTTGTCCTTAAGCCATCTTGTTCACGCGTGGTCTAGCTAAGTGTCAGGCAAGAGTGCCAGGATGCGCCTTCTGCGTGCAGTTACTAGAAGGCTAAAGCGTCATCCTTTCTTGCGGTGGCATCGCAGGTGCTGTTCGCGGCGCAGGAGGAGCCAGAGTTGCGACCGCTCATCCTGCGGCGCTTCAAGCACGACGGCGACGTTGCCAAGGTAGGCGCTGTACGAGGTTCCCACATTAAGAACTGGCTCTTGCCTGGAGCGGGGCCGTATTGTGCGTTTGCGGAGTGTTGGAACGAGTGTTGGAACGAGGAAAGTAAAGAGAGCCGTCTGTGCGGCTGCGTGGAGATCCTGAATACCTCGTATCTCCGTATCTGCTGCCACGTACGCCTGCACACCTCGTTCCGTGCAGGCCATGTCGCTGATTGAGCGGTCACAGGGCATCCGGCGCGCGGAGGAGCTCGCGGCGCACCACTCCAAGATGGCCGCGGACATGGTGGGTAGGATTTAGCTTGGGTTGCGTCCTAGTTACTAATTGCACACCAGGCAACTAGCGCCATCTCTCTGTCGCCGCCAGGTGAAGGAAAACCCTTATAGGCCCGTGAGTACAGGCGCTTAAAGGGGGGCTTGTTAGGGCCCGGTGTCCTGATCCCGCGTGCGACCGCCGCCATTGCTTCCCTGGCCCTTGCAGATCCGCTGCCTGCCTGCTGCGCAATCCGACCACGCGGAGATTGCACGGGAAGCGCTCATACAGATTACACACAAGGTCCTTACGCGCAAAAAGTAAAGGGCCTTACGATGAGGGCCTCACGGTGATCCCACGGATGGTCTGCAACGCTGTTTGTGCTGACGGGGAGACTTGGTTTGTCTGGGCTACAACAACGCTGCTATGCTGACTTACGACGATCAGCTTAAGACGTGACGTGTCGGGTTACGGTACCGTTAGACCTTAGGATGACCCAGATGGCTGAAAAGGGGAATACGTGTCTAGACTGCCGACAAGAACCCAGCAATGCGGCTAGGCTTGGCTTGGAATGGCTGGGCTGCTAGGCCGGGGGAAGGCCTGTTGGGGTGACTGTGGCTTAAGCCAGACATGACATAACCGGGTGACGCGGTATGTATCCGCAGTGATGTGTACGGATAACACTTTACTGAAATGACAATTGTAGGCGCGTCCCGTAGCGTTGGTGGAAGGTGGCATGGGGTGTTGTGGCCAGCATGTCAACACAGGGCCTTCTCGACCGTGCTACCGGCAACTGTATGCCTGCGACATTGTAGCTGTGTTGACGGCGTTTACACATGACTTATTTCATTGTCAGGGCATGACGAGCCAGTCGTAAACTTGCAGTGGTGATACTACGTAGGTGTTCTTAGGCGCATGGGAGTGCATGGGAACGCTGGTGTTTGGTGATGTGCACTGATATACGCTGTCGTGGCGCGTGCGTATCCACGCGGGTTCGTGGGGGATGCTGGGAAGGTCACACCGCGGCAGGAACGGGCCCATTTTTAAGCGCTGGTAACATACGCCGTTATGCTACAAGAGCTGCACACTTTTGAGCGTTTCCATTTGTACTTTTGTTTGCAATGTCCCGCTTCGCAGAGCGGGATTGCACTGGTGGCATGTGTAATTGAGTGCAACTGCCATCACATGGGAACTCCGATCAGTACTCTATAGAGGAATGTGTTACTTATAATTCCGTGTACTGGCATTCTTCCACACAGCTACGCATACTAAGTTATCTGGACGCCTTGCCGATGCGAGAAGACGATCCTCACAACAACTGACATAAGCTCCACGATGTCTGCAGCATCAAGGAAAAGTGACCCCTTTAATTTTGATGACATATACCGTCAGGCAGGCGTGGAGGATTTGTTCGTGAAGAAGACCTTGGGCGAGCTGAAACAAAAGCAGGCATCGCCTGGTCCCGTGCCGGCCTCTTCACGTAGGACTTATCTCTTAGCATTAAACTGCTTCATAGGACTATCTATGTAACAAGAGCTTAACCGAAACCTGCGCAGCTGCTCGGCCTGTTGCTGCATCTTCACAAGCAACCAAGCCCGATGCCTTTAACTTTGATTTGGACTTCCTAAGTGAGTTTCTGGGAGATACCCTGGCTATCCTAAGTACGCAGGCGGCAGTTTGCATGTGCGCTACCTGCTCGGTGGCCCCGCTGTATCCCCACGCCTTCCTTTGCCCCTTACCCCTTTGCCCCTTTGTTCACAGCATCAGTCACCACACCCGGAGGTGGCGCGCCACCAAACTCCTCGTTCCAGGGCGGCACGGCGAAGCTAACGGTGGCCAGCAGCCAGCAGCGGCCTGTGATTGCCCCGGCGACACGTGCGCCACAGGATGATCCGTTTGCACTCTTCGAGGAGGTTCCTGGAGCAGCCCCCGTGCAGCGGCACGCACCGCCTCCAATCAAAACTTCAGCACCGACAGGCGGGTTAGGCAACCTGCTGGACTTCGACGACGGTCAAGGTAGGCTTGACCGTCATATGGCAGCCTCTGCGCCGTGGGAGTAGCTGAAGCGGGGCCTACTTAAAGGCCATGCACTTGGCAAGGCAGCTTGGCATGTACTGTCGCTTAGGACTTGCCGTGTGGAACCCTGCGTGCTGCCCAGTGATGCGTATTGCGCCGGCTCTGTCCTCTGGATGGGTGCTTGGGGTCACTTGGCTTGCACGCGCATACAGTTTGGGGCCTGGCGCTGGCTATGTGGCTAAGGAAGGAACCCTATTCCCCATCCCGCTCTTCTATATGCTGTTGTCACAGGCTTTGCACCCGCAGCCCCAAGTTCCGGAGCAGCTGCCACGTCAGGGTCCACGTCGGTGAGCAGTCAGCCGGCCCGCCCAGCACCAACGCCTGTTACCGAGGAGCGGCAGTTGCAGCTGCAGCCAGCCGCGCTTCCTAGCAGGTAACATAGCAAACCAGGCCGAACTACCGCATCACGGTGCCGGTAATTGGACGTCGGAATCTACTGGCAACCTAATCCTCCAGCGCTTGTGTGTCTGTCCGATGCGTGCATTCTTGAACCAGGGGTTCCACTGTCTTTCTGCGTATCCTTGTTGCTGACCCACATCGCCAGGAAGCCTTATCAGAAACATGCTGGTGCCTACCAGTTTCGTGCATGGACTCCTTCCGACCCAAATCACGCCCAATCCGCAGGCCTTCGCCCGCAGCGACCCAGCCGCCACCATCGCCAGCACCACAGGGGGCTCCACCTGCCCCCGCTCCGCCTTCGCCACCGCCCCCTGTGGCGCCGCCTTCGCCGCCACCTCCCGACTATTCAGAACACGAGGAGCACTACATGGCTCCTCCGGGCCTTGCTCCCCCTCCGGGCCCAGCGCAGTGGCAGCATGGCGCTAATGGCGGCCCCGCACCCTCGTCGGTCCCCCATGCAGCAGCACAAGCCCCGGACTGGCGCCATGACTATGGAAATTCCGCAGGCTCCGGCTCCTACTTTACGTCCCATGGCTCCTCGGCCGGCGTGCCGTACTCCCCCCCTGCATCCTCATCTGCCGTGCCGTACGGCAGCCATGGGTCCCATGGGTCGGCCGGCGGCGGTTCCGGCGGCGGCATCTCTAGCTACCTGAAGGCCTTTGGCAAGAAGGCGGTGCGGGCGGCCAAGGCGGGGATCGCCCAGCTGGAACAGGCGCTGGAGGGTTTGGATCAGTCTGCGGCGTCGTCTGCGTCGTCATCGTGGGGGCAGCAGCAGCACTCTCATGCCGGGGGCAGGAGCGGTCCTGGGGGCAGCAGAGGGTAAGAGATGCTGCCGTGCCTTGCGAGCATGTTAAGGCACCTATCTTCCCTTTGTGACTGCTTTCAATCATTCGTGATCCTTTATAGGTATCCCTTCCGCCTGGGCGTTTCCCCTATCCTGTCATTGTATGCGTTCTAAACTGGCCATGACACCATTACTCACTCCACGCCCGGCGTGTTACAACATTGCTGCAGCCACGACGATGGCGCCGCTATCAGCAATGACGAGGCGCTGGCGTGGGCTGTACGACTGGCGGACCTGGCACCGCATGCACAGCAGCATGAGCTGTCACAGGTAGGCGCCAGCGGGTGTCAAAGTGATGAAGACAAGATGCTAGTTTGGAAACTTCCAGAAGGACACTTCTGCTCTTTGATTCTCCACATGCCTCTATCTCTACCCCCAGCCTCCGCCATGTGCCAGCTGTCCCACTCCTCTTCTTCCTTCTCCGTTGCCACCAACTGCTCCTTGCTTTCGCAGATGGCGCCAGCGCTGCGGCGCAGGGTAATCGAGGTGCTCAGGGAGCAGATCCGCGTCGAGCATGAGGCAGCAGCGGCCACCCAGGCGCAAGCGGGTGGAGCAAGCCAGGCATCGGGACACCTAAACGACGGCTTTGCCCCCGGCCCATCTTCGGGCGCTGGTTACGGCCACGGATCAGCGCCGGGGTTCCAGCCGGCGCCTGCGGCTGTTGTGGGGCTGGGTCATGGCACGCCTGTTCCGCCGTACCGTGGATCCCAGGACGGCAGCTACGGTCATCTGGGGACAGAGCGGGAGCGGACGGTGACGGGTGCGGCTGCTGCGCCACCGTCGCCGCCACCGCCCGCTTATACTGACGCGGACGAGCATCCGATGGCGCGGCAGCAGTCGCAGCCGCCGCCGCCCGCCCATGACCTCTTGGGTATGGACAGCATGGAGGGCGGCAACGCCGGCGGAAGCGCCGCCGCTGCTGCTCCGGCCGTTCCTGCTGCTGCCCCTGTGGTTGAGGACTTGCTTGGCTTTGGCGATGACAGCCATATCCCGAATGGAAGTGGAAGCGGAAGCATTCGCGCTGGCGGTGTCGTGCCTGCTGCTGCTACTACTGGTGCTGGTCCCGCTGCAGCGCCCGCTGTGGCCGCCTCCACGCCTACAAAGCCCTCCCAGCCGCCCGTCGTCCAGGCGCCGGCAGTCCATGTCGACGATATGGACGATTTTTTCTCCGGTGGCGGCCGGCAGAGCGGGAGCGGAACGGCAGCCGCCGCCACCTCGAGCACCTCCATGCACCACAGCTCTTCTGCAGCCAGCCTGGCTGGCCGCGGGGGAGCAGCAACCTCCGCTGCTGCTGTCCCCACCAGCAGTAGCGCTAGCAAGACGTTGGGCGACTTCTTGCACGATGATGACCACCACGCCGGCGACCTAGGCGACCTTGACGTGTCGGGCTATGCGGACCTGTACCGAGGAGAGCAGGGTGACGCTAATGAGCCGGAGCTGCGGCGGCGGCTGAGGGAGCAGGTGGGAGCGCATAGTTCTCATGCGCTATTATGCCTTGCAACGATATGCTGCAGGGATATATTGTTAGGGCGAGACGGACAGAGAGTCCATTCGCATTCGCGTGAAACATCTTTGAATATGATGTTTATAGAAGCGGCTCTGCCTTGGCTGACCTCGCAAAGCCCTGCTAAGCTACCGAACCATATGTATGACCTTATGCCCTGTCCGAAAGATTATACTGGTACCCACCGCTAAAAGCAGGTTGTTACGTGGTTTGGTCGATTGGCCCGCCACGGTCCCATAGCAACCGCTCAATGCGTTCCTGTCCCGCAGGTGCTTCAGGTCGCGCGCAGCTCCGGGCAGCTCAGGCCGCAAGGCCTGCGCCCGCTTGATCAGCCGCAACACCTGCCTTGCTCGCCAGGTGGCGGGCCGAGGTGTCGGGATGGGCCCGGCGACAGCGGTGGTTTCCGTGTTGGCGGCGGCGGTGATGTGGGTGTTGTTGAAGGCGGTCTCGGAGATGGCGATGGTGGCGATGTGGGTCGAGGTGGTATTGGAGGTGGCAGTGGTGGAAGCGCCGGCAGCACTAGTCCTGCCGAGGGAGAGCAAAAGCGAACGAGCTCTCCCTCGGCAGGACTAGTGCTGCCGGCGCTTCCACCACTGCCACCTCCAATACCACCTCGACCCACATCGCCACCATCGCCATCTCCGAGACCGCCTTCAACAACACCCACATCACCGCCGCCGCCAACACGGAAACCACCGCTGTCGCCGGGCCCATCCCGACACCTCGGCCCGCCACCTGGCGAGCAAGGCAGGTGTTGCGGCTGATCAAGCGGGCGCAGGCCTTGCGGCCTGAGCTGCCCGGAGCTGCGCGCAACCTGAAGCACTGCGGGACAGGAACGCATTGAGCGGTTGCTATGGGACCGTGGCGGGGCACCTCCAGAGGTTAAAGGCATGCGTTCCATGTCCCCTACCTTATCGAATCTTACTCCATCCTGTACTGCTGCTCCCTCCCCCTACACAGCGCGAGGCTGCCAAGCACGCCAAAATGAAGGCCGCGTTGGCTGAGAAGAAGGCGATGGAGGCGGAGGAGGCGGCGCGGCGGGAGCAGCAAGTGGCTCTAAAGGACCAGTACAAGGCCAACATTGAGACGTGGAAGAACAAGAACAAGGTACGCGCAGGGAATGCCGAGTGGAAGCAGCTGCCGCCTGGGGATGCCTCCCATGAACTTTGGGTTACCATAAGAAGGCGGCAGGGCAACTACTGGTATCCCATGCTAACGACACCAGACACATCACGTGACCATGTGTTGCCTGCCAAGTGGCCATGTCTGTGTTATGAACGCCGCTCCGTCCGCTGCCTGCCTGCCTGCTGTTGCTATCCAGGGCAACATCCGCGGCCTCCTGGGTTCGCTGCACACGGTGCTGTGGGCGGACAGCGGCTGGGCGCCCGTCAGCGTGGCGGACCTGCTGGAGCCAGTGCAGGTGCGGAGTGGTGGCGGCTGAGAAGGAATGGTGCCGACGGTGGCAGGTTACGGTACCGGTACCTTACAGCATCCAACCTCGCCGCTTGCATTGGGTAACTGCTTATTGTCGTCTTTGGAATCCCATCAATACTGTCTTCCCTCGCAGATCAAGAAGGTGTACATGCGCGCCAACCTGCTGGTGCACCCGGACAAGGTACGGCAGCGCAACGGCACCCCCGACCAGGTCGCCATCGCAGACATGGTGTTCGACGTGCTGAAGGAGGCCTGGAACGCCTTCCGGTAGCCTTCCTCCGGCTGGACCGTGGGTGGATAGTTGTTAGTGCCGTACGCGGACATCATGACCGGCAGGATCATGACGAGGGCGGTTTTGTTCTTGGAGCACAGCTGCTGTGCGGAGCCGGTGCATGTCTCCCTGGACTGATTGAGGGCACAGCAAGGAGGGAGAGGTAGAGAAGCACGGCGACAAGTTGTTATTAATGCTTGTCTTGACTGGGCGGGACGAAGTGGGGCAAATATAGAGTGAAAGACGAGCGACGAGTTTGCTGACTTCGTCTCATGGATGTGTGAGACGAAAGGATGGTATGTAGAGCTCTACCTTTGCTGCGATTATACAATTAGATTGCACTGGGCTATACAACGTAATGCCGTTGAAGCCTCCTTAGGTGATTGGTAATCTAGGCCAGTAGCGATTTGTAGCTAGTAACGGTGGGCTGAACGCATTAGCACTGACAATGGCTGTTTGGCTGTCCTTAGAGTGGCGGTAGTAGGACTGCAGTAGACAGACTGCATACGTAAGTAGCAGTGGGCTCGCCCCAATGGTTAAGTACCCTTCTTAAGCACACGCGCAGTATCTACGTGGCAACGAGGATTACTAGTGCTTCATTTGCGTCCCCCCTGAAACCATCTAGTCAATACCCAGCTCCCGTCCCGCAACAGCCTATGCCCGCTATGTTAAGTGGATTCCTTACTGTACCAACCGGCTTGTAAGTGAGACCAACACAAAAGGAATGGGACCGATGTCCAGGAAATTTATGCAACGCAGCACAGCATACACATGCACAAAATGAAAGCCCCATGCGCACGTTTGCATGCCTTGTAGCCACAACCCTAACGAGTCGAGGTTAGTGCGTCTACGGGGCCGTCCGCCACAATGAGTTCCGCTCCTTCTTGACCGTACGTCAAGTTACACTAGGACACTACTCGGTCGCCCCTGAACTGGGTTCCCTTCTAACGCTCGCATCCGTTCGGGCACAAGTCCAACCTCGGGGTCATTGGTTTCCATGGCATATGCGATATGCCCACCACCCAGTCCATGCCGTCATGCAAACTGTCCAGCATACCGGTATTGTCAGCCAAGCCATATAACGCTGCAACCCACCTGTAACCAAGCAGCCATAGCGGCCATCAACCTACCAAGGTATAGCGGTAGCCTTGGCCTAGAGCCTGCAACTACTGCCTGCGATGCCCGTCATCCCCTTCTTGGCTGCTTTACCACCAGCCCAACACGCGCCAGGGGCTGTCCAGGCTGTTCACCGAGCCGCGGGGCAGCGGTCCTCGCACCCACAGCCACGAACCCATACGCCGCACCACACCCGTCACCTCCTGCCCCTCGCCCTCGCCACCACTGCTAGCGCCGCTAGCGCCGCCGCCCCAGCCAAACCCAAGACCCGACCCCGCCCCCGGCACCCCTGAGCCGCCGGCAGCAGCAGCACCCTTCACGCGGCGGTACGTCACGTCCATCCGTACATCCAAATGCACGACAACCACCAACCACGATTTTGACACGTCGGATGTGAGTTCCTTGGCCCATGCGGGGTCGAATGCGCGCACGGATGCAGGTCCCCACAGGTTGACTCCGCCGATGGACGCGTACTCCACGGCGGTGGTGATGCCCTTCACCTCCAGACCCATGTCCTCGCGGAGCCGCCGGCGGTCCCGCTCGAGCGCCTCCACCGCCTGTGCCGGTTCGGGGGCAGGGCGCGGACAGTGTGAGGTAAGTAGATCATTTTTGATGAGGAAACAGAGAAGTGTTATGAAGGAAGTGAAGGGATGGGAAGCAGGTTCACGCATGCTGTGATGAACTCATGATACGCCTGACGGGTCGGAACCCACAGCGCCCTAGAGAGGCCCGGTCGCTGCGCATGGGTTTCCACGCGCGCGAGAAGTACGGCAACATGTGCCCACCGCCCCTTACCTTGGTTGACGCCATACGGCGCAGGGACTCGCTGTCAGCTGCTGCCACTGCGTCGAAGAAGGTCGGCACCGCAGACCGCACGCCGTCCAGGAACTGGGGAGCGGGGAGGCCGGGCGGGGCCGAGAGGAACAGGAGGTAGGCAATGAGAGTTGCGATTAAGAGGGATGGACTACTGAGAGTAAGAGGATGCAGGCCCCGCGGGATGAACCATCCGGCGTGGCACCATCGGAGGTACCGGTACCACCAAAACCAAGTATGTGCTCCGGGACCGGGGGCCTGCTTCTGCCTCCGGCCACAGTCTCTCGACGTCCCTCTCGCGCAGCCCAGCTGAGCCCCCTTCCTATCCCCAGCCCTCGCCCCCACCAACCTCCTGCGCATCGAAGTTGCTCTCCACCTCCTCCCGCACCATGCGCTCGGACATGGTCTGCAGCCGCGCCAGCACCCCCGGCAGCAGCACCGACCGCGACGCCGCGCGCAACGACTGCAGCAACGAACCCAACAACCGACCAGGCGGGCTGTCGTACAGGTAACTCCAACCGCCACCGCTGCCAATCACGCCACCACCGCCGTCCACGCTGAGTCCATCAAACGCGTGGCGCCGCTCGGCCTCTTCTAGTAGCGGTTGCAGCTTTCGCATTTCATCGGAACGGGAAAAGTGAGCGTGCACGTAGCCAGCGTCGGGGTCAGAAGATTCAGGGGCTTTCTCGCTGTCGTCGTCGCTGCTGGTGTCTTTGCGGGCTTTCCGAGAACTTTTTGGTGCCGACGTTTTGGAGGCCGAAGGCGCTGTCGAGGAAGAGGAAGAGGAGGGCTCTGAGGAGGCGGAAGCTGAGGCGGCTTTGGGCGAGGAGGAGGAGGAGGGGTTTGGAGGTTGGTCGCCTTCGCGAGCGGATGAGGAGCCAGGAGGCGGGGGTGGGCTGCCGGAGGACTGCGGTTGGGAGGACAGGTGGGCGGCGTGGAGTGGCGGCATAGTGGGAAAGCGGATGAGGAGGGAGAAATGAGGGGTGGCAGGAAGGGAGCGGGGTGGTGTGTTAGGCCCCATGGCTGGTGCATGAAGGCCGATTCAAGACCCAAAAAGGGTCTGTGGGGTGCAGATGCAGTTGGTAAGGGGGCGGGGGTGGCAGGGCTGCTGTTCGCCGTTTGATAGGCAATGCATCCCGCCAGACTGGCCTGTTCTGGAGATGCCTACGATCTCGTAGTTGTAATGGACAAAGATTGCCATCAGGCGTTCCTCCCATAGTGCTAGGGCCCTACGCCATGGAGGGGTCCTGTATGACAGCTAGCTGCCAGAGCCAGTTCCTATGCATGCCGCGTCCATAACCCCGGCTTTCGGCCGAGCACCCCAGCTTCACACTATGCCTACTCCTCGCAAGTCATCCTTCGCCCCTTCAATTCCGTCTAAGTGTCACTTTATGACCACGTGGCCCGGGACAGGAACTGCCCAGCAGGCAGCACAGCAGGTATGTGGTACATACGCTTAATTCTATGCCATGAAATTATTTGTTGTAGCTCGCTTCCGTTCCCATTACGCAGCATGCTTACACGAGGCGACGGCTCTTCGCCTCCAGTCATGTGGCGGACCGCAGAAGCGCCCCAAAAACCAGGAGTAAATTCTTGATGTGATGAAAGGATCGCGGGAGCAGCTGAGGACCCGGGGTCCGGAAACGGACATCTCAGCCTCGCCAAGAGCCGCCCCCCAGCACGTGGAAGCATTGCCATATCAGCTAAGCAAACCACCTAGGCAGCAAGTTAACTGGCTTTACACGTTCCGTAAATGATGTCAAGAAAGTATGTTGCGTATTAGCTGGGCTACGTGCTGTCAAGCCTGTACCAAGATCTGAAACACGCAACGGATACAGAGAATGAAGGTGTGAAAGCTATAGGTAATGTCGGTGAAAATTGCTGTTCATGGTGACTCGAAACAGGAATACGGCATAGGCAATCGTTTACTGCCGATAACCCATAACGATCATTAGATTATGTTTGTGTTGCTCGTATCGAGAACTGACCCTATACCGGGTGTGCATTGCCCTGCATACGTCAGCTCTGTTCCCTTGCACCTTGGCATGAGGGGCTAGAAGTGTACATTACTGACCTTCGCAAACCCATGTTGTGCCGGCCTTTGCCACCGGCTGTGCAGCCGCTTCCATCACAGCCGCAAGCGTTATTTAACCGGGCCGCCTTGCCATCGGCAAGCAGCAGGGGCTACCGGCAATGCGGGACAGCACGATCTCATAACACTTTTACGCTTCAATGCATTCCATCGCGGCCAAACGGCGTCGTTGCGGCTCGCAGCGGACCGGCTGTGCAAGCGTTGCAACCGGATTCGGGAGCGGAGGCGCAGGTCGTCAAGTTAAAGCTAGCGGACAGCGAGAACGTAACGTCCTCAAGCCGGCTGTCTGTGGAAGATGGCGAAATACTGCAACCGGACCCGGATGATGTTGTACCTGAAGCGGGCTTCTTGAGCGATGAGGCGTTGCGCAACTTGGATGAGTACCGCCGCGTGGAGGCTACCAGCGCCGTTGTGTCCAGCAGCAGCGCGCACACGACCAACGGCTTCGCCTACTCGCCGGCGCAGCGCAACCAAATTCGGGAATCATGGGTCGCGCTCATGCGCTGGTCAAAAGTGTTCCGCACCAAGAGGCTCGCCGGTAGCCCGCTGGAGGCGGCCAAGAAAGTAGTTGTATTTGGTGGTGGCTCGTTCGGAACGGCGATGGGATGCGCGCTGGCGCGGCAAAAGGCGGACCTGGAGGTGGTGTTGCTCGTCCGCGACCCGTACCTTTGTAAAGACATCAACACGCTACATGAAAACACGCGGTACCTGAAGGTGCGTACATGCGAGGGCAGGGCCTGTCTAACGACCATCGCCTGGGTTGCAACTGGCATTGGAGACACAACGTCAGATTAGGTGGGCGGGTGACAAATGCTGGTGCTGTGGGTTGGGTTGGGTTGGGACACGAAAGGGCATCCCATGGCCCTTCCGCCTTCCGCCCTCCCTCCCCACTGACGAGTAACACCATCCTCAACGTCGCATCCCCAACCTCTGTCCCTTTCCCCACCTCATCTCAACCCCCTCTCCCCTTCCCTCTCATCCTCCTCCCTTTCCTCCCAGGGCTTCAAAATGCCCGCCAACGTCCGCGCCACCACGCTCGCCGCGGAAGCCATCTCCGGCGCCCAATACGCGCTGCACGCAGTCCCCGTCCAATCCTCGCGCGCCTTCCTGCAAGGCATAAAGGAGCACCTGCCCGCGCACGTGCCCATCATCTGCGTCAGCAAGGGCCTGGAAGTGGGTTCCAGCCAGATGATGTCCGAGCTCATCCCCAGCGCACTGGGCCGCAAACAGCCCGCAGTGTTCCTCTCGGGTCCCTCCTTTGCGCGGGAGGTCATGCAGAACCGACCCACGGGCGTGGTGGCGGCAAGCAAGGACGCCAAGCTGGCACGTACGGCACAAGCGCTGTTCGCGAGTCCAACCATGCGGGTCAACACGACGGCGGATGTGGTGGGGGTGGAGATCTGCGGCGCGTTGAAGAACGTGCTGGCGATTGCGGCGGGCATCGTGGAGGGCATGGATCTGGGGCATAATGCACTGGCGGCGCTGGTGGCGCAGGGCGTGTCGGAGATCAGGTGGGTGGTTAGGGCGGGTGAGGGGGGTTGAGGGCCACGCGGGCTGGATCTGGCTTTGGCTGGTTCGGAAGGCGAGTGGCCAGAGGTGATAACAGGGGGAAGGTGAAGAGGCGCGGCTGCAGTTGGTTTTGCTGGATTCCCAATTGGCTAGTACTGGGCCATTGCCATGCCATTTGCTCGCAGTCGACACATCTTCATATGGTCGTCACTGTACGTGTGATGTAACCCTCCTGCCCGTCGGAACCTCCAAGGAGTGTGCACCCCTTATGCTGCCCTTGCACATCCCACACAATCCGCACACCTGCACCTTCCGCCCGTAATTCCCACTACACGGTCCCATTACGGCTCTTCGTTTCATGCAGAGCGCTGCAGCGCCTTTCCTTTCCTCGCACACCGCCTTGTCTCACCCGTCTCCCATCTCCCTGCCCCCCCTCGCCCAGGTGGCTGTCTGCCAAGATGGGCGCCAAGCCCACCACCATGTCGGGACTGTCGGGGCTGGGCGACATCATGCTCACGTGCTACGGGGACCTCTCGCGCAACCGCTCCGTGGGCATCCGGCTGGGGCGCGGGGAGCGGCTGGAAGACATCCTCGCGTCCAGCTCGCAGGTGGGCAAGAAAGAGGGAAGAAAGGGTAACAACCTTAACTAGCGGAGGAGGGAGGGGGATAAGCGTGGGGGGATTGTATGCCCTCGTGTTGCCGCGCAGTTGTGTGAGGTGGGGAGATGAGAGGGTGTCGGAGGGAGTTGCTTCTTGCTGCTGCTTTGGGTTTCGGTATGCCTGATATTGGGAGTCTGTTGAACGTGTCGGGATAAGAGTGAGGACGGACGTACGTGGTGGTGCGTTGTTTGCGTGTTAGCGGAAACGCCCTAAGCTTCAAATATCTTGGGAAGTGTTGTCCTTGCCAGCTTTGCATTTGCACGCTACAACTGCTACTTAACCTGTAACGCCTGTGCCCTTCTTTGCTTTACTCCCTGACTTCCCTCTTACATGTGCTGCTGTGCGCGTTCCTTGCAGGTTGCTGAGGGCGTTGCAACGGCTGGCGTGGTGGTTGGGCTGGCTCGCAAGTACCGCGTGTCGCTACCCGTGCTGACGGCAGTTGCGCAAGTGCTTGACAACAACCTAACTGCGCGGGAAGCAGTCTTCCACATCATGAACTTGCCGCAGATAGAGGAGGCGTAGCCTACAAGGCGCGAGCTGATCTGGGTCGGGGAGGATTCTCATGTGTAAAGACGGTGCCCAAAAGAGAGGAAGCGAGCGTCGTACAGTGCTAGCCGCAGGAGTGTGGTGATGCTGAGTGGATAGGAAGAGAGAACGTGAGCATTCGAAAGGGGGGGAGGTTCCTACTGGTGTCCTGTTTTACAATCCCGGTTCCACCGCGGCTAGTGAACACTAATCACGTCGTCCATAAGCCGTTCACACGGCATATCCGTATAGACATGCCAGACACTATGGCTGACGGGGATTGTGTAAAAGTCTCACGGCCTAAACACTTCGGCAATCCACATCGCCAAAATGGACTGAAATCAGACCCGGCTGGAAAACACACAAACTTGCCACTACCTCCCAGCTGCACACATACTACCGCCCCTAACTACGGAAGAACACGCGTTCCCCCGGCGCCCATAGCAACCGCCTGAGCTACGCTGCTTCCGTGCGCCCGTCTAGCCTCAGCCGGGCTCAATGTTGTGCCGTTGTGCTGGCCCCGCCCGAGAGCTGGCGCTGCTTCTCCCGCTCAACAACCTGGCGCCGTGTCCGCTGCAGAAGGCCCAAATATAGAACGTTAATAAGTGTACTTTTTGGCATGCGCAAAGAGGCAGGTTTGCTCCGCCGATTACCTCCTTGTCTCGATGCAGGCATTCGGTGTAGTCCTCCAGCCACTCCATGCACTCCTCGCGCCTCATGTTAATCATAGGTGCCTTGCTCTCGTCCATGCACTGCGCCACGTTAACGCGCTGACGTTGAGCGCAAGCCGCGATGGCCGAAAAAGCTGACCGCCTAAGCCCGAACCTACCTTCAAGTAATCCATGTACCAGTCATAGCAGCGGGCAGTCCCGGAAGAAAGTCCCATGCCAGCCATGGCTGCGAGTTGGACGAAAGCAGCCCCGACAAGGGAAAATGACCCGCAGCTGTAAGGGACCTACTGTCCCCAAGTCGCAAACCTAACAACAGAACTGCAGTTGGTCATGCGCAGCGCCTTTCCTTGCGTTGCTTCTTGGGCTTGGTGCGCCGTGCATGTACGGCGACACTGTTTCCTTTCTCGCATGCCCATTGCGATATTCTACACTATTCATGCGGTAATGTCATGACATTTAATTGTTAATTTCTAGTAGCTTGGTCTTTGGCTTTTCTAGTTGACATGGCTTCCATAAGCCCGCCCCAACCGACTGAAGACTACAAGCGCCTGCAGCTTATTGAGCAGGTGTGATCGCGCTCGCGTGATATGGGGCGTTCCAGAGTCCCCTACCCACGAAACCCGCACCACACCGCTGCAGAAAGTGATATCCTGCGTCAAGATAGCTGCACAAGTGATGGAACACTTCTCACGCGTGGGACGCACAGCTGAGCTGGCAGAGCCTGTCCAGCAGCTCTGCACCAACTTTATGAACCAAATCGCGGTAGGGGCAGCTTTGCACCCCCCAAGTGCATGCTGCAGGGCTGAGACAGATGCCCTATTCATTCCCGCCTGTCCCTGCGACGCTGCTGGCCCCCACGTATGTCCTCTGTCCGCCCCCTTCCTCCCTATCGCCACTCCTTATAACGCGCGGCTCGTGAATCCGGTTATTGTTTCCTCTCTGACCCGTCCGCAGGAGGCTCTGCAGCTGGTTCGTGAGGGCGCTGAGGCGGGCGGCGGAGAGCACCGTCTGGAGCTGCATGCCTACCACGGACTGGCTCGGGCGCACGTCAACACGGAGAAGCTGCAGGTGCTGCGAATGCACCTGGAGGCGATGCAGGCGGGGTTGCTGCAGGGAGGGCTGCGGGAGGAGGAAAGGAGGGAGGAGGGGAGGGGGGCGGAGGAGGGGAAGCGGGAAGAGGGGGAACAGGGAGAGGGGGTGCAGGGAGTGGGGTTAGGGGCGGAAGGGCGTGGGGAGGGAGAAGGAGGAGGAGGGGTGGCGGCGATGGAAGAATGAGGCAGGCTGGCTGGTTGAGGGTGTGGGACATGGGGAGGAGGGGTGGGGGAAGGAGAACTTGTCGCACGGGGCCATTGTGGAGGCGGACGTGTGGGACGAGTTAAATGCATGAGGCGTTGTGAGACTGAATGGATGAAGTGCAAGCAAATGAGCAACGTGGGTATTGAAGAATGAGCGATTGGATGTGGACAATGAATGGGTCCGCAACCAGACGCGGCGAACAAACGAGGTGAGGCGTTGCAGCAGGAGTAATCGATTGACGAGGCTGCTGCTGCTGCTGGTGGTTTTGGTCCATCAGGACTAACATCACAAGCAATCATCGTGGGCAAATGGGGGTGGTCCTCTTAACTGAAGGGGGAGGGCTATGGACGAGCTGTACGAGTGTTAAGAAGACTGGCCGCGAGTGTTGTACATAGGGTTAGCTTGGGACAGCGCTTGGCGGCTTGGGGCACCGCCGCACGCGGTTGCTGTTTGTCGGTGCATATAACCTCAATTTGTGGCATTGGCAACGTAACCGTCCTTGTTTGCAACTGTTGCAAGTGCGTACAGCACGAAGCAAAGTTGGTCACACTCCTGGCTCGGCTGGGCCTTGCGAGCCTCAAGCTTGTAATCATCATCATCATCACCGCCATAGTCCGTCCAGCCGACACAGTCAAGAGGCATCAACCGCATGACCACACATGCAGCCACCCTTGATCAAACTGGTTGTCGTACCGATGCTGGCTCATAACGTCATGGCCAATGATACCTGTAATAGCCACGTCAGCACGGGTAGCCATTACGTGATGCCGTACCAGGAATAGCAAAAGCATGTAGGAGTTGAATTTCCAATTGTTTGCCTTGTCAAAGGGTATCGACAACTTAGCAGCCTGCCTTTGCAATCCATTACTCCGCATCCAACGCACTGCGCTCGGGGCCCCCATTGATGTAAGCGTTACCAGGTCTTTCCCCATTTGCATTGGCAACAAAGCATTGGTGAGCTGGATGGCTACCAGCAGCAGTTCCCTTTAATGCACTAGCAGCACACACAGGTAGGCTGCTACTCCTACACTTCCATCCAGCCTGCCATCCATCCTGCGAAGGAAGGGCCCCACATGCGCCCTTTCCCGCACCTGCACCAGCCCCCCCACCAACCTGCATGCGCCAACACAAATGCAAAACAAGTCCCTAAACAATTTCAATAGGCAGTCAAAGTTACGGTCAACAATAGGTAATGTCTAATGGACCATCATTGACCCATGGGTCGTGATTGTAAGCGGTACAACAGTTAAGAGTTTGCTCACTCGCTCGCTTTTGCTCGGCAAGCATTTCGCCGCCGGCCACACGTACACCTGCCTTCCAGGCCCCATCATCAACCTGCCCCAACTAACACAAGTTATCGTACGGCTACCAGCGTACGATAATCTACATACAGGGTACACAACCAACCAGCCAACAAAACTCCGCCCTTATAACCCCGTCCGCTGCCGCGACGCCACCCGCACCGACGCCGGCGACTGCGGCACCCCCGCCGCCAGCCCCAGCCTCGGAGACATGGGCGTTGCCGTACCGCCGCCCAACCCGCCGCGTCCCGCCAACATACCCGTCAACGCACTCGCGACCGCGCCCTGCAACCTCGACCCACCGGCGCCACCGCTGCCGCCGCTACCGCTCCCCACCGCCGACGCAATGCCTCCGCCGTAGCGACTCAGCACGCTGATGTTGAACGCCAATGCGGCGCCGCCGCCGACCCCGGCGGCGGCAGCGGCGGCGGCGGCTACGCCGCCGCCTCGTACCCCTCGCCCGCCTCGCTCCTTGTCCCCCTTCCCGCCCACCTTTGTATCCGTGGCTGCTATGGCTGTGGCACCCGGGTAGCTAGCGCAGCAGGATGCGGCGAGTGGGATGGAGTTCAGCCAGTTCATCAGGTCGTGGCGCCAGGTGTCGTCGGGCGGTAACGCCAGCGCCTCGCGCTGTCGCGCCTCCGCCTCGCGACGATCCGACTCCCGCCGATCCGGCGACCAGTCCGGCGGCGCGGACAGCGCCTCAACCGCGCTTCCGATCCGCTCCGAAACCACGTCGGGAAGTTTAGGCAGTCGTACTCGATGTTGCTTCAACTGCTCCGCGAGGCTCATAACTGTGTCGTACAGCGCTCTTAGGTTTATCCGTCCGCCTGCCGGCATGTGTTGGTGGGTGCTGAGGTCGAATGGCTCGGCTCGTTGCGCGTCGCCGTACTGTCCGAGCACCGGAACCACGGGTCGGAATTTGGCGAGTTCGGACTCCAGTCGGTACTTGGAGACGAGCATGGCTCGGGCTTGCTGATCCAACCAGATGAGAGTGGGAAGGGTGATAGCCTGCATGTGCGCGGTGTCAGCAGCAAACGAGGACGGGGACAGCGGATTCGGTCGTGAGGGATCGTGACTTCGTGAGGGGTGACGCTTAGGACCATGGCTTAGGACGCAGGGGAATTGCAGTTACCGGTACTGTACAACAAACGAGGACAGCTGGCAGGCCTCTCCCTTCTCCCTTCCCCCGCCTTCCTCACCTTCCTCAACGTCACCTTCCTGCCCGCTACCCGCAGCTCCGCCCCCACATGCAGGTCGTACTCATCGATGGGCGCCCCCGCGGCACTGGTGACGTCCATCCCTAGGGTCACGTGGGTACTGGGGACGTACGTACGACAAGGGGGAGGGGGAAGATAGGAGGAAGGGTACAGGTATTTATGGGCCTCTGACGCAAAGAGGACTGAGTAATGCCTGTTAGTTGTAAGCGAGGAGGAGGAGGAATACACACTTCCAGCCTTCAGGCGCGCTGCAATCACGAGCTGAAGGGCCAGACATGCATGCATGCCTCTCACAAAGGGGTTGTTAGGGGGGTCTGATAAGGAGATTGGGAGAGGAAGAGTGTCCAAGGGGTTTCAGGCGGCGCCGGAGAGGAGATGCACAGGTGCGCTGGCGAGAAGGAAGAGGAAGAGGAAAGCCGTTCGCTCGCTTTGGTACCGTAGTGGAGTACCGCAGGCGGGAGGGGTTGGGGTGAGATGCACCCCCCCTGCTCCGCTCTCACCCCGCAGTACACTGTCGTGTTGCCGTATCGTACGTGATATGCATGTGAACCTGGGGATGGGGAGGGGTATGAAGGGGTGGAGTGGGGTGGGTTGGGAGACGAGCTGGAGAGGAGTTAGGAAGATGAAAGGATGCCCCTGAGCGGCGGAAGAAAGGGGAATGTGTCGGGGGGGTTAGATAAACTGAGCCGCGGAAACACTGACCTTGACCGGGGGGGTGATGCGGGGCTGCGGCGGCAGAGTTGAGCCAGGCAGAGGCGAGAGAGGGCGATTAAGAGCACGGGAGGGAGGAAGGCACGAAAGGATGGCAGTCCTGACCTCAGGAGCCTACCCGGCCGCTGGCCCCTTCTCCATACCCGCACCCGCCCCTGCCCCTTCCCTAAGCTGTCACATCCTTCCCTCAGGTTCCCGGACCAGGCCTGGTGTGTATTAAGAGTACTATCCCCCCAACCACCACCGGCGACCCCATCCCTCCCCTTCTCCCCCGCTCTCTCTCACCCGCTCGGCTCCCTCGTACCACCACGTCTCGAACACCAGACAGGGCGGCAGCGGCACCACGGAGAAGGGGAGCCAGGGGCGGGGCAGCGACACACTACGGATGGGGGTTGGTAAGAGGGGAGGCGAGGAGGCGGGGGAACGGGAGGGGTAAGGGAGGATACGTGGGGATGAGACGGCTGGGAACGGGGTCGGGTTGGGACAAGTAGGGTGCACCGTCCAGCCGTCCACTGTTCAGGCAGCTGCAAGTCTCTCCGGGTATAACCTGCAGTCGCCCCCTGCGGGCCGCACCTGTGACATTGTGTCAGACGCCATAGCCAGCCTCCCTCCCTCCCTTTCCCGAGGCAACAGGGCCCCTCCCAAACACCCCTCTTCCATTCTTCCCCCTTGTTCATTACCCTGAGGGCGCAAATGGCGACTTGGGTTGGTGGTGGGGGCAGTGCGGCACTCCCGCCGTGAGGCAGTTGGCGAACTTCTTGCGGTCGGGGGACACAGGGCCCATGTAGATGCTGGGGCTGTGGGTGTGTGGGTTGGGGGGTGGGGAAGAGGAGGGGGAATGGAGGAAGGGGGGAAGGGGAAAGGAAGGAGGGGAACCCCCTGCCCCATGCGCGTGCGCGCTAAGAGTCGTGCGGCGTATACAGCATGATGACAGTAGCCACTTGACGGCTTCATTCCGGTTCCTACCTCGTTTTCAATGCGCCCGGCGGCTCCGGCGCCGTCCGCGGCCGCTCGCTAGCCATGTCTGCTCACCCCACTGCGCACGGACTGCGGCGCAGGGTAGCAAATTGGCATCGTTGGTTAGTTACGGAAAGGACCCGTCGCCCTGGTGGCGCTGGGCCGGCATTGTTTTGGAAAACATTTAATCGCAATGTAATGGACTCTGTGACTACTAGCGGCATACATCCGGATCCACACTGCTGAACGGATGCTTGTTGTCAGGAGAGGTAGAATGTGACGTACCTTTGCAAAGATGGTCGCGCTGCGGAAGCACCTGCGTCCAATTAAGCTTTTCTCTCCGCTCTCCGAGCTTGGGCTGTGGCCGTCTATAAAGGGTTGTGGCGGAGGCTATACGCCAAAAGTAACATTAACCTAACTAGATATTACTCGTAAGGCCTGAATGGAACATACTTAATCAGCTATGAGGTAAAAAGCCACGCCAGGTCCTCGGGGTAACTTTCTCCAAGTTCTGACGTCTAAGAAATAAAACCCAGTTTCCTAGAGAGGTAGCGCACTGTTGCTAGTAGTCTATAGGGTACATAGGCCTACCTTAACCATGGTGCTAGGCACGCTAGGGCGCAGCTTAGGGATGTACGTGTGTCGTACTAAAGGACATGACCTATCGGCAGTTGTTCATGAACCAAAAACGCGTTTGTGTGTTTGACCTTAATGCAAATGAGCACATTCACATTCTTTTCCGTCTAAAACCTTAGCTTAGAACCTGCGACGGTCACTATGGCCGCTGACGTGCAACGTCGAGGCCATGAGATACATATGGATGGACTATCGGTAAAGGCAGGTGAGAGACTGTCAGGCGATTGAGGCGAAGCCGTTTTAACGTCCGGTTGTCCCTGGACAAGGCTTACCGCCCTGAACCGATGCTGTGAAGCGAATGCATATTGTATTTGCGTGTCTTCAAGCTCAATAATGTTGTATGGACCTCTTCTCGCTTTGCCAGGCGCGGCGCACCTATCGCAATCTGATGCGGCCGCTAATAACGTGAAGTCTAACGCGCACGCGGCGGTGTTGCGGTCCAGTTACACGGTAATTCCAGCAGCTTATACCTGAACCCTCGCGCACTCTCTTGGTGCCTTCTGCATTCGGCATAATGCCAAATGCCAAAACTGAACAACTCATACCGCGTACTGTGCAGCATTACAATGGGATCCTGGGGGCGGATGAGGAACCCACGCCAGTTCAGCTGCCCTTCCGGGCTCATACTCTCGAAAGTTACGGACCTAAGCTCGTACAAGGCGATTACACCTTTCACACGGCGCGGCGAAACCTCCAGGTGCGCTCCCACGCGCTTTCACGGCGTGCGGCTTCCACTTAGCCGCATCCCTTAACGCTCGTCATGTCAACTCCCTGTTCCCTCAGCTCTCCTCGTAACCCCTCTCCTTCTCCTTCCTCCCCTTCCTGTCCTCCTCCTCCCGCAGGTTTCCTCCCTCATGGTAGGCACCAGCCTCATGCAGGTCCCCGTCGCACCCCCCAACGCCCAACGCGGCTCCATACCCGCCATGCTCCTCACGCACGCCAGCATGGCAAACATGGCAGCCTGGAAAGCGTACGGCAGCCCCTCGGCGCGAGGCGTGGCGCGGCCGCCGCCAACGCCAGCGCCCGGACATGCCAACACCAATCCGCACATGTTCTCCCAAATGTCTAGGTGGGAATCATGTGGAGCGCGGGTGGGGAATAAGGATTGGGTAGGCTCGGGCGCGGTTGATGTGTGGTTGGTATGTCTTACTGGACTGCTGGGTATGTCCTTGTAACGTTTGTATACGCTTCCCATTTTTCCCACTCGCACCCTGACATGGGTCCCTCCCTCTCCCAACCGCTCCCCCTCATAGCAAACTCCCCCGGGTTCAAGCCCTCGGCGGCGGCTTCCGCCTGCAGCGGCCGCACAGCGCCCCCAGCGGCCCCTCGGACTGCGATACCCACCCAGCCTACGAGCAGCACCACACCCGCACCGCCCGCCGGCCCTCCCCCTCGCGGACGCCTACCCCGCCCGGGCCCATTGCGTCAACCTCACCCGTGCGACGTCACTACAGCGCCTCAGGAGGAGGAGCAGCCGCGGCAGCAGCTGCTGCTGCTGCTGCCGCAGCAGCTGGCGGCAACTTGGGTCCGCTGCATGTGGAGATTCCGGATCCGATAAACGCAGGGAAGACGGATTCTGGAAAGGTCATGTTTGAGCACACGTTGCCCACGGACCCGTACGGCAAGGTGCTCTGGGAGGAGCAGGCGCGCAAGGCACGGGCTAACATGAGCCGCCACAGCGCAGCCATGTCGGCAGCGGCGGCGGTGCACAGCGGTCTGGGGCATGGGAACGCGGGGGGGCTCACTCGGCCGGTTTCGGGGCGGAGAAGCAGCGTAGCGGCGCCGCTGTCACCCACAGGGCTAGCTGCGTTGGCTGCGGGACCCGCCATGCGCCCCAAGTTTAACTCCACTTGCATGGCGGAGGTTCACCGGCAGGGGTCAGAACACCGGCCGCCGACGGTGGTGGGGTTTGCGGCGCCGGACCCGACTGACGACGCCACTCTGCCAGGCCCCGGCGACCCCCGCTGGGCTTACACCCGACTGGGCCGCAGCCAGATAGTGCGGCTGCAGCAGTCTCTCAAGATGCGGGATTACCCGCTCGGCAGGCCCTCGTCCGCACCCACTCCGGTGCTGTCGGGCGCGGGCGCCACCTCCGCCGGTCAGCCGCACGCCACGGGGGTCGCGGCGGTGGTGGCGGCGGCTCGCGGCAGCCGCAGCGGCAGCGGCACTGGCACCGGCACGGGAAGCGCCGGCCGCCGTTCTGTTAGCCCGGAACGCAGCTGGCCGCGAGGGGAAGAGGAGGGCGCGGCGGCGTTGCCACCGTCGCTGGCTCGGTTGGAGGAGACGGTCAGGAATAGCATGAAGAGGATGGACGCGGCCACTGTAAGCGGCGGCGGCGCCTTGCCATCTCAGCAGCTCGCGGATGCAACTAACACGACAGCTGCGGCGTCGGCGGCGGTGCCGCCGCTGGCGCCGCGGCGTAGCTTATCCATGCTCGGGCAAAGCGCAAGCGTCGTGTCTGCTGGCGGCGGCAGCGGCAGCGGCAAGGGGACGCCGCGGCGGCCTAGTTCCGCGAGTCGTGGCGGCGGCACGCAGACGGGTTACGGGCCGGCGGACACCCCACCGGCGGGCGTGCCTCCGGTCAGTGTGCGGGGCTCCTCTGCGGGTCGCAGCCGAGAGTCGGCGCCGAACCCGCGGGTGGACCTTCGGGCTTACCTGGCGGAGGAACACGACGCACCATCAGACGACGAGGGTACGGAAATGCTGCCTGTCGGCGACGTCCTTGCCGACGCGCTACACGCCGTCGGCGGCGCGGGATTTTTGTACGACTTGGCCGCCGCCGGCGACGCCGCTGCCGCCGCCGCCGCCAGTGGTGTCAGCGCCGTACAAGGCGGCGGTGACGCCTCCGGCGTGCCGCCGGACCAGCTGGCGGCAAGGCTGGCGGAGGTTGTGGCGGCGGTGGCGGTTGTGGCAGCGCAGCAGCAGATCGTGGGCGAGGAGGTGGTGGCGGCGGCGGCGCAGCAGGAGGGTGCACTGGTAGGATCCGGCCCTGGGTCGGCTCGTCGGAGCCGCGGAAGCGGCGGCGAGGACGGGGACGACGCGTTGCTGGCGTTACACGGCGCCTCGACCTTTGGTCGGTTAACGCCCCGTTCGGCTGGCGAGGCCCTTGTTGAGGAGGTGGAGGAGGATGAGGGGGAAGACGACCCGCAGCAGCAGCAGCTGGAGTCGGCAGGTTCTGGGCAGTACGGGATGGGGTTGGGGCTGGGGTTGGGGTTGGGGCTGTCGTCGCGCCCGGGAGGAGGGGGACGAGGGCGGCCTACATCGGCTCGGCCCACGAGCGCACGGCCGGTGTCTGCGATGCCTTCTCGAGGACGCAGCAACGGCGGGAACAGCGGTGGTGGCAGCAGCAGCGGCGGTCGGTTGGTTGGCGGGGGTGTTGGAGAGGGGTTGGGGAATGAGGCCGGCATGCACATCATTCATGAACACTCGGAGGGTACGGGGGGTGAGGAATGAGGGCTTTGTGGCCGGGGGAAGTGCTGTGGTGGGCTATGTGCATGTTGCATGCATGCAGGCGGGAAAGATGCGGTGCGTGGGGTGTCCTTGCGTGCCGGCTGCCTCGCATGCTGTTGTTGATGGGGGTGGAGGTTGTTGGGGGGCTAACATCGCGGGGCGGATGCAACTTGATGGTGCAGAGCTCATGCAGGGCTGATACGTAAGGAGTTAAACGCGCAGAGTTTTGCTGTGGATTTGTAGCACGTGGTATAGTTAGATTGTATAGGATAGAGCGGTTCCCCTGGTGGTTGCGTTATGATGGCCAAGCCGTGGAGGTACTTGGGACTTTGCATGTTGTGGGTGTCGTCTTCTGCTAGACAGAGCTGTGTGAAAATGTGTGATGTATGGCCACTGGCACTGTTGGCTTGCTTATTCGCTGATCCTTCTTCACTCCTGATGACTGTGTTGTCTTCCGCACCTGTGCGGGCTTTCGGGGTAACGCAGGCTGCCGTATGCCAGCTAGCGACACAGCTGGAGCGACCACGCACAAAAGCATGCAGAGTGAATGGCTCATGCGCATCGTATCCGTGAGTTCTTTTAGCGTGTTCCATGTTCCATCATGTCTGTCTGTGATTAATGGCTGCAATGGCTTCAAGCAACGGATGCGGCGCAGTCAAATGCTCCCAAGTCCTGATGCCACTGTCAATAACACTGTGACCAACTGACGAGAGCCTAGCCGCGCGTTATTGCTCGGAGACGAGCAAGCGATGAGGGCCGCCGCGTTACATTCGACTCCATCTAACATCTGCCATACCGCGAATAGCGGATGGGGGCCTGCTGGGGAGGGCGGGCCCCAGCTGAGCTGCTATCTGTTGTCAACTTGTCGTGCCTACGGTACGTTATCTTGCGACGTCTGTTTAGTGTGTCGTTGCAGGGGCTGCTGCACACGAGTTGCGGGTGCAGAGTTTGGTGGTAGAGTTAGTTTACTGTAGGAGGTGTGGCTTAGGTTTGGAAAGGGGTCGCTTAGCATGGGGTGTTGTACAGTGGTTGTCATGCCGTTCGCCTGCAAAACATGGACGTACGCCTTACCACGCACGCATCACAACTGCTGTTGGAATGTTGCCATATGACAACCGGTATGTTGTATACTAGCCCATACTACTGCTGATTACATAATGATGGACGGATTTGGTACTCACGTCTGGACGTGTATGTGGACGTGGCTGTTGTGTGCATGGACAACCGGGTGCCAGGTGTTGCTGCAGCAGCATCCGTATATGGCGCATGGGTACTTGTTTTTCTGTGTAGTATGCGAATATTACCTTTGTACGTCGCTGAGTATTTCGCAGTCGCCGTGGGATGCGTAAGCCGCGTTGCTGCTGCGTGCGTACGTACAGCTTCACTAAGGCCGAATGGCGCTTTAGGTAAGCCGTAAGCGCATTCTTGCGTTGCCTCTTATGATATTTGTTTATTCTCACGGCATACCTAATACAATAAAAAGCTTTGGTCACTAGCTTACTGCTTGCAAACAGATGCTTCCATGTCTGAAGCGGGGCGAGCTGTTGGCAAAAGTTCACAGCAATGGGCTTCGCTCATTCGCCACTTAAACCAGTTGCATATTGACTACATTTGACACAAAGTGCAATTCAAACTGCCCAAGCTGGCCTACAAGCACGCTCTGCCATACATATATAGTAGAGCCCGTCTACTGCGCCACGTTCGCACAAGTTACTAAAAGGGGCGTCCGCAACCGGCTGCAAAGCTTCGGCATTAATTGAGCCAAAATGAAGCTGCCGTGGCGACAAGTTCTGAGTCTGAGGTGAGAAGCCTTATTAGTCACAGCCGATGGAAGCCATCCACGGTCGCGCCTTCCAGTAGTGTAGTAGTGCAGAGAATCAGTAGTGCCTATCCTTGTTATAGTATCTGCAAACATGTGTTGGAATGCACGCGCGCGCTTTTACCCTTGCAACCATGGTCCAAGGGACAGAGATAGCGCAGCAATGTGAAGCCACAAACCACGTTGCCAACTTAACCGCGCATCGCCCCAATCAGCCTGCCAGGAGTGATACCCACTATGTTGCACCCGCTGCCTCCCAACGTGCCACATCTCACCCTGCTACCACCAACAACTCGGCCATCCATTCCAACATTCCATACCCAAAACCGTCTTCATAACCCTCCTCCCTTGCACCTCCACCCCCAGTTTCGCCAACTTCGGACAGGCAGTGATGCTCACAATGCCCTTCACCATCGGCGTCTTCATGGTTCGCGACTTTCAGGCCGCAAAGTACGGCGGTGACGAGGCCCGAGTGGACGAGCAGGTGGTGGGACGGCTAACCGGGCTCCTGGTGAGCTGGCCGCCCGTCTGCCCCATCCTGTATTTCCCTGTCTTGCATCCAATTGGTCTCTCAGTCAACTTGCCCTGCCCGCTCTTCCCTTGTCTCGCACCCACTTGTGTTTTGCGGTCTGTCCAGCTGCAGCTGCACGCCCGGGTAACCCATGAAGCCATGATTTCCCGCCCGCCCCCGCTTCCCGTGCACCGCAGGCAGGTGTGTTTTCCTTCGCTGGCTTCCTGACGGCATACGCCTGGGGCTGCGCCTCCAACTACCTCGGACGCAAGGTAGTTGGGGGACTCTGTGGGAGGTGTGCAGGGGCACACTTCACAGACCTGCAGCTGTCAACAAGTATATTAGCAACAAACTTCTTGTCCTCGGTACGTTACATAGATATAACCTAATCATGGCTCCGGCGGCGATACACCGGCAGCCTCTTCACCGCTACACACCTCCACCAACTGGCCGCCCCGCTAATCGGCTTGGCCTCTACAAACCCTACCCTGGCCGCCCCGCTAGTCGGCTTGGCCCAATGAAAACCTGCGCCCTACCCCAGAACACGGCAACAACCACGTCAGTCAGGTTTTTTAACTTGCACCAATGGCCGGTTGCAACTCTCAAGGCCACGGATCACCGGAAGAACCAAGAATCCGTGCGAACAGAGCCCTAGCGGCCCGCGCGGCCGGAAAACCGACCTGGGCCGGGGCACGGGGAAGGCGGGTGGGAATATAGAGGTAACGAACGAGTTCCTATGAGAATCACAACACGGCGGAATAGCCGTGAAACAATTCAGAGAACGCTAAGAGCACTAAGAGTGTCGTACCTCGTCCAAGAAACCGCCTTATCGTACCGATAAACCTACGCTTCTGTCTTACCATTTCTGATTCGCCTGCGTGACTTTTCTCACCCTCTTGCCGTACCTTTCCCCGCCCTCTGCCGTAACTTTTGCCGTACAACAGCCCGTCATCATCATCGGTAATGCCGTGTCGTACATCAGCTTGCTCTGGTTCGGCGTCGCGGCCAACTACGGCACCGCGCTGGCTGCTCGCGCATTGGGCGGATTGCTGAATGGCATCTTAGGCGCTTGGAAGTGTGCGATCGGGGAGTCCACGCCCGCTGAACTGCATGGGGCGTTCTTCGGTTACATGAGCCTTGCATGGGGTCTGGGCTGCATCGCAGGGCCGGCGGTGGGGGGCGCTGCGGCGAGGCCTTGTGAGCGGCTGCTGGGCGGGCGGCTGCCTGGATGTGGAGAGGGGCAGCTGCTGAGGGAGAGGTGGGAGGAGGAGGAGGAAGAGGAGGAGTAATAGGCTCTGTGAGCAGGGAAAGCGGTGCCCCAGGGAAGAAGGGCATGTATGGCCGGGAGACACGAACTGCTCCTCCCCTTTACTTCCAGTTTTCGATGCTTTCATTGTACATCTGGTCTTCCGGCCGAGATCCTTGTGTGTGACACGCGCACTGCCGTACCATGTCCCCTCCTCGCCCTGCCCTGCCCGAAACCATCCCACCCCCCCCCACACACACAGGCCCTACTTCCTGCCCTGCCTGCTGGGCAGCTCCGCCGTACTCACCGCGCTGCTGCTCTCGATCTTCATGCTGGAGGAAACACTGCCGTACGAGTTGCGGCAACACAGCTTGGGGACACGGCTGGGCCGCTGGTGGCAGCGGCGGCGGCGGCGGCAGAGACATCAATTGCACGGTAGCGGCGACGTCGACGGCGGAGCCGCTGTTATGGATATTAATGGCTGCGGTGGTAGCGGCGGTGGCGTCGGAGGGTGTGTGGGGTGCTGTGGAGAAGGGTGCAAGAGTGGGGGTGAGTTGGAGCTCAAGCGGCTGCTCAGCCCTGCTGGGGAAGGAGGTGGTGGTGGTGAAGGTGGTGCTGCAGATTGGAGGTGTGCAGAAGAGGAGAGTGGAGTCGACGGAGTGCATTCGGAGCGGACTCGCCTATTGTCTTGTTACAACAATAGCAGTAGCAGCAGCTGGGGCGGCAGGGCTGGTAGCAGGACGATCAGGCGGACCAGCAGCAGCGGCAGCGGCATCATAGGGCCCTGCTGTCCGGGGAACAAGGAGGCCTGCTGTGGCAGCAGCAGCAGCAGCGGCAGCCAGGGGTGTCGCAGGCACGGTTGCGGGGCCGAAGCAGAGCTAGAAGAGGCAGTAGCAGCAGCCGACGGCCGTACAGTCGAGGCGACTGCAATACCGGAACTGACTTCGGATAGGGAGGCTTGCCAAGTACCGGTAACAACAAGGGTAACGGCGGAGGCGGTTGCGGTTGCGGTTGCGGCGAGGGCACGAATGTCGTACGAACCGTACATCAAGCATGACCAGGAAGGACGTTACGGCGGGAGTGGAGGAGGAGCCGTTATCCATGGAGAGGGATGCTGTCACACAGTAACCATCATGCCTACTCCCGCCGTCGCTGTTGCAGCTACAGGTGATGCTGCTGCGATATCGACGACGTCAGCAGCGATGTCCGGTATTAGCAGCGGCGGCAGCGGCAGTAGTGGTGTATATAAGCTGCATGGCGGCAGTGGCGACAGCGCTCCCTCCTTCCCATTACCGGTATTACCATCCTCATTCTTGCCGTGCTCGTTACTCCCATCCTCCCCCCCACCCAAAGTCATTGAGGCAGCGACAACAGCTACAGCAGTGATAGCGGCGACGGCTGCTGCTGCTGCGTCGGCTGGGTATGACGCTGCCACCCCATGCAAAGGCGCAAACGACACCTCCGGAAAAGCGCCTCCGGACGGGGATGACGTCAAGAGCAATGGCAGGGATCTGCAGCGGCAAAAGGGAGGCCCAGATCCTACAGACATCGACAATCCGATGCCTTCTTCTTCTTCTTCCGCGCCGTCTGCCGCTCCGTCCCCTTGCGCGCGTCCCCGTCCCTGGTACCGCACGCCCCAGGTGCTGCTGACGACGCTGTCGTACGGCGCTGTGGCCTTCGTCTTCTGCTCCCTTGATGAGGTGTTCCCCATCTACGCAGCCGCACCCAGATCATCAGGTAAGAGGGGCGCGGCCAGAAGCAATTTGTTCGAGGCGTACGTTCAGTAAGATCTTGTGAGTTATGAACTTATCTGACCTTATCCTAAAATGTACGGCAGTAGTGGGCCCGTTGTTATCATTATGGATCTTAGAGCACGTACAAAAGAGTATGCGCTTGCGCGTACAACTACCCACCCACCTACCGGTACCGGTATCTTGTAGAATTGCTTACCGCACCGCACCGCACCGCACACCTTCATCCCCGCTGCTTTGTCCTAACTTGTGGTCTCCTATGGTTTGGTATGGTCTTTGAACCCCCCCTCCTGCAGGTGGTCTGGGCATGCGGGAGCACCAGATTGCGCCGCCCCTCATGTTCTTCGGACTCGTCCTCATGTCGTACAGCCTGCTCGGCTATCCCCGCCTGCAGCGCCGGCTGGGCACACTGCGGCTGACGAGGCTGGGGCTGCTGGGTACGGCGGTGAGCTGCATGGCGCTGCCGCTGGTGGCGAGTGTACGACATGCGAGCGGTTCGGATACGACAGCAGTTGCCATGGTGAGGACAGACAGGAGAGGGAGAGGAGGGAAAGGGTTGGGATTTAGGAGGGAATAATCAACAGGGTTGCTGTGTTGAAGGAATGCAGGAGTGTGTGCGGGGGTAGCTTGGCGGCCTCCTTTGGCCACGTCTTTCGTTCCATCTCTATCAGCACCTTTCCCAAGCCAGAGCCAACTTCCCTTGCACGGCAACGAACAAACCACCACCCTCAACCAACCAACCGCCCAGGTGATCCTGTACGGCGCCATGTTCCTCAAGGCCCTCTCCCAGTGCAGCGCTTTCACAGGGGCTATCATCGCAGTCAACACAGCGCCGCCCAAGGAGCAGCTGGGGGCAGTGAACGGGGCGGGGCAGACGCTAGCAGCGCTGGTTCGGGGTGTGGGACCCGCGCTCGGGGGGGTGCTGTGGGCTGCTTCGCTGGGCTTGCATGCGGCGGGGCAGCAGTACCTGACGTTTGGGATGATTGCGGTGGTGACGCTTGGGAATTGGGTGATGTACGGGTTTGTACGGCTGCCTGGGTTGTTGTAGCGGTTGCTGGTGGCGGTTGCTTGTATGTTGCGCCTGTCGTGTGGGTGGCTGTGGGTAAGGACAACAGGTGATGGGTAGTCGGCGTAGCCGATCCACATCGGCCCCTCTTCAACTTGGGTGCCTCTTAGGGCTCTGGGACGGAGTTCCGTCCTATCCAACAAGGCTCGGGTGTATCATCCTAGAAATGGCGAGCGCGGATATCTGAGCGATGGATATCCGCGTCTTTGCGATGCAGGCACAGGATAGAGGGCACAGGAGGACTTTGTTCAACATCGCATGCGATATGCTCCATTGCAATTGCAACGGTGTCCATGTTTTCGACCTTGGTAGGCTTAGCATCGGCTTAATGACTTGACGGACAGTGTATACGGCATACGGCAAGAACACGAAAAGTCGCGACTCCCGTCGCCATAGGCCCTGGAGTGCCCAGTAAGCCCACCAAACATAAATAACAGCAAACTGATGGGAAGGGGTACTGACCCGCATAACTGTACGCTGGCCTAATGGCAGCAAACGAAAGCTCTACCTCGCTGTTGGATGCAATACGCAAATTAAATGGCACGGCAGAAGCAGCCCTTGAGGTCAAGCTTCCTGAAGGCGGCGAACACTACGTAAGGACTCGCATGCTGGGCGGCGGCCGCCCGTTCCGTTAAGCCTGAAAGGAGCAGACCTTATAACTCTAGCGTGTTTCTTGCAGTATTACAACAACTTTCCGGCGTATAACGGGCCGCTTAAGGAGGGTCTCGCAACCATCCAGCAAGCGCTGACTACATGCGAGGTGAGCACGCGTTAACGAATAATGCCGATGGCTATTTTAATTTATGATGCCTACCCGTTTATGATATAAACGTTAGCTGCATCTGCGCTGCAATTACCCTAGTCCTGTTCCCAACTGCCATGACTTCCCGCATCCGGGCAGCGGGTAGCCAACCCTCCTGCAATTCTTCACTATCTCGACACGCCCTCTGTTGCCCTCTACGGTAACCAGGCTATAGTCCGGCCTCGTCGTGCCGCTCCTGCTGATTTCACCGATGCCGATGATGTCGCTGACTGGACTAGCAACTTGCTAGACGACATCCTCGAGCGGCTGGATGCATCATTGGACGCGGAGCGTGCCCGGGCGCGTGGGAGGGAGTCCGGAGCGGCAGCAGCAGGAGCAGGGGCGGCGGCGGGCGCTGTGGATGATGTGGCGCTAATGGCTAAGCTGCCATCCTTTGGTAAGCATACTGCCACCCTATGCTCCCTTACGGCCAGGCATGGTGTGGCCAACTTCACCAGGGTGCAAGGAACGGCCCCTGGTCCTGGTGGTGGTGACCAGGGAACCGCTGTCAGGTCACCCTCCCAGCCCCGTTCCCTGCTTTCAACTCTTGACCACCCACAGCCTCCCAGCCACGCCACATCCCTACCTGTGCCCCCCTACTTGTCCCTTGCCTTGCCTTGACCCCTTCGCATTCCTGCTCCTCCTCCTCCTGCTCCTCCTCCCCATACCCACTCCGCAGGCGGCACCGCGGTTCGCACCACCCGCTCCAAGGGCCCGGTTCGCCACGCCGCTGGCCTAGCCCGCCCCCAGGACCTCTTCCAGCCTCCCCCCGACAACCGCCCCGACCTGCCCTGGCGCCCCCGTCTGGAGCACTTGCTCCCCCTGGCCTCGCAGCGCCTCGACCCCAGGCAATTCGAACCCAGCCCCGGGGCGCCTGAGGCCTTCCCGCACCCCTTTGCACCCGAGCTGGAGGCCCTACCAGCCAACTACCCGCCAGCGCAGCTGGCGGCAGCGGCAGCGGCTGCGCCGCCTCCCCCGCCTCCCGCGGCTCCCGAGTCCACTCCCCTGATGTGGGTCGACAGCGAGTCAGCTCTGGAGGCGCTGGTGCGCGATCTGACAGCGGAGGGGGTGACGGAGGTGGCGGTGGATCTGGAGCAGCACGGCTACCGCTCCTTCCAGGGCTTCACCTGCCTCATGCAGATCTCCACACGTACGACTGATTACGTGGTAGATACCCTGGCGCTGCGAAACCAGCTGGGACCTGCACTGGCTGCTGTGTTTGCCGACCCGCGGGTCGTCAAGGTAGGTAATAACATGCACTGCGTTGGGGGCAGAGTATACTGCTCCTGTTGCGCTCAGACCTGCGCTCACGCGGTCTTCCCATCTCCCGCCCTGCCGCCTCTGCTGCCATGCCCGCCATCATCCTTCCGCCCGTCATGGGCTTTCATCAAGGGCTGCTGGTGGTACAATTTGTACCCATTGGCTCCCCGCTCCTCCCGGAAGGGTCGCCTGCCATGTTTGCACCCCATGGTGAAGCCCCTGCACGTCACACAGCTCGTCAACCTCTTCCTTTCACCCACCTTCCCACCCACCCACACTGCCTCCCTCCCTCCAGGTCCTCCACGGCTCCGACTCGGACGTGGAGTGGCTGCAGCGCGACTTCAGCCTCTTCCTGGTGAACCTGTTCGACACGGGGCAGGCGGCGCGGGTGCTGGGGCTGCCCTCCTTTGGTCTGGCGCACCTGCTGGAGGCCTACTGCGGATTCCAGGTGGGTCGGTAAGGGGGGCGGAAAGAAGGAAAGAAGGACGGGACCCGGTTGGTTGCGTCATGCATGGCGGGATTAGGGAGATTAAACTGGGGCGCCTTGGTGGGGTCTTTGCCCTCTGCCCCTCTGCTGTACCGTTTCCACGCGGCCGTTCCACTCCGCCCACCCACAGCCCATCTCCGCTGCCACCTCACCCTCACCCTCTCTCCTCCGCTCCCCTCCTGCCAGGCTGACAAGCGCTACCAGCTGGCTGACTGGCGGCTGCGGCCGCTGTCGCCCGACATGCTGCACTACGCGCGCTGCGACACGCACTTCCTGCTGTACGTGTACGACAGACTGAGGGGGCAGCTGGCGGGCATGGCGGAGGACATGGTGGGTTTGGGGTGGGTGGGTGGGTGGGTGGGGTAAAGAAGGAGGAGTGACGTGGGTGGGTAAAGAGGAAACAACGAACTGACCGTGTGATAAGGCGTCGTCATGGGTGGGTGGGTGGGTGTATACCGTACGGCAGACGGATTTGTCCTGGGCGTGGTTACCGCAAGTGGCTGTGTTGTGTGTTCGCGCGCGCACACCCTTGCAGGTCCCCCCCTCGCTGGCCGTGCCGCTGCCCCCCGGCGGCCCCCGTGGCGCGCTGGGGCTGGTGCTGGAGCGAAGCCGGCAGCTGTGCCTCAAGACCTACCGCAAACCCGCATTCGACCCAGCAGCATACAAGGTGCGAGCCAGGCTGGTGGGGATGCAGGGGAGGTGCAGGGACTTGCAGAGACTGCAGTTGACCCAACCTCCTACCTGGTCTACCTTCACTTATGACCTCCTTCCTTTTCACTCCTGTTTCATTTTCTCATTACCCCCACTCCTCCCTGCATTGGGTCTCCCCCCCCATTCCCCCCTCCCCCCGCGCAGGACACGCTGCTGCGCTGGGGCCTGAGCCTCACCCCCGCGCAGGCCTCCGTGTTCTGCTCGCTGCTGGTGTGGCGCGACCGGGTGAGCCGGCAGGAGGACGAGAGCCCCGGCTACGTGCTGCCCAAGGCGCAGCTGGTGGCGCTGGCGCAGGACATGCCGGGTAGGGTGGTTGTGGTGGGGGCATGAGGGGTGGGCGTACTGATTACACGGCGTACTGATGTTCACAGCATGGTATGACTTCCTTCCCCCCACCCCCTCCCAACACGCACACAGAGAGCGCCAAGCGGGTGCAGTCGGTGCTGGGTCGGGGCGTCTCCGAGGTGCTGCTTCGGCGCATAGCGGAGGTCGTGCAGCTGGTGGCAGATGCGCGGCACAGACCCCTCCAGGACACGGCAGCGGCAACAACCACATCAGCAGCAACACCGCAGCAGCAACAAACACAGCCAGTTGAAGCAGCCGCAGCAGCAACAACAGCAGCAGCTGCTGCTGCGCCCCAGCCACCAGCGGCAGCAAAGCCTCCCGCACTCAAACCGCGAGCTGTGGCGCCCATTCGAACCGCCAAGGCGGCTGTGGCGCCCGCACCCGCTCCGGCGCCAGCCGCCGTCTCCGCCCCCGCATCTGCCCCGGAACCGGCCGTACAACCACCCACCGCGAGCTCTCAGCAACAGCAACAGCAGGGCGCTGCGGCCTCCGCCCCTGCCCCGGGGGATGCGGCTGCTGCTGCTAAGGAGGAGGACGCGGCCGCTGCTGCACCTGCCGCCGCCGCGGCCGTCACGGGCTCTAATAGCCTGGGTGGGCTGAAGCCCCGGGCGCTGAAAGCGCCGACGCTGGCTGTATCCCGTTCCGGATTGCTGTTTGGAGGGTCCGCCGCCCCCACTGCACCCGCGACTGCGGCTGCAGACGCAGCACCCGCTGTAAGCCAAAGCCAGACCGCGGCCGCCATGGAGACGACGGAGGACGGAAAGGCCGGCACAGCGGCAACAGAGCAGGGGCCTGCGGAGCCCGCTTCGGCACCCGTACCTGTTGCAGCAACACGTCCCGCTGTCCCATCCCTCCTGAAGCGCCCTGCAGGCGCCGGTGGCTCCTCCCTCATGAGTGCCATGTTCGGAGGCGCCACCCGCCCTGCCGTACCTGCCGTACCAGCAGCACCCGCTGCTGCTGCTACAGGGGCCGTGGCGCCTCCTTCTTCCTCCTCCATGGCAGGCCAAGGCAGTACGGCGGCGGATGAGGATGAGGAGGAACGTCTGGCGCAGCAGCGAGTGAAGCGCCTACGGGCTACCTTTGCACTACCTTTCGTGTCAGCGGCGGCGGCGACGCCGCCGGCGCAGCCGCAGCAGCCGGGTAAGACAGCAGCGCCGGCGGCCGTGACCAGCAACGTCGCTGAGGGACCCGCTGCGGATGCGGCGGCGACGGCGGCGGGAGCACACACCACCACCAAGCAGCGGACCACTGCCGCTGATATCCGTGCGGCCGTGGAGGCGATGCACGAGGCCGGCGACGTGGACGTGGTGGTGGGGGCGGATGGGCAGGGAGTGGAGGTGCCGGCAGATGCCCTCGGAGGCCGTGGGGGCGCGGATGACGACAGCGCTGGTGGTGCAGGAGCAGGGTGGCAAGCGGCGCCGAAGACTCGTTCTGTTGATTTGGATGATAGCGAAGAAGAGGGTGAAGAGGGTGAGGAGGAGGCGGAGGAGGATGAGGAGGAAGGTGGCGAAGGCGATGAGGCGGACGAGGAGGCCAACGGAGAAGGGGATGCTGAAGAGGCAGCAGCAGGGGCAGCCGCAGCTGGTGCAGGCGGAGGAGGAGGGGGCAGCTTGTCGACGCGGCGTGTGGCGGGGTCGGAGCTGGGGCTGGATGTACTGGAGTTTGTTCCGTTGCCGCTGTCACAGGTGGGTGGTGGCTGGGTGGGGGTGGAGGGTGATGGGTCGCAGCAGAGGCTGTGGGGTTCGCGGTAGGGAGCAAAGGGGTACAGTCTTGGGTGCGAGAGAGGTTGTATTGTACAAATAATTGAATATGCTTGGGTTGCAGCCCAAAGGCAGGTCCTTAAGGGCTGTGGGTCGGACGGCTTCCCGGGGCTATTCCTTCTAGAAGCACTCACCGGCACCTTGCTTGCCTCCTTCGTTGACGTATGCCTCCTTTGCCCCAACCCGCCTACCCCTACAGATGTATCCCACAGACAAGAAGGGCAAGAAGCGTGAGCGCACGCAGGGTCTACGCGACGGTCGCGGCGGTGGGCGTCACGCCGCAACCATGCGCCGATTCGTAACGGAAGTCCCCTCGGCGGCTCCTGGCAGCGGCGGCGCCGCCGCCGCCACCGATGCTGAACCGTACGACAACAACAGCGACGGCAGCAGCGGTGACGACGGCAGCGACAGCGACAGCGACGGCGGCCACACGGTGGGGCCCTTTGCCAAGAAGAAACACAAGAAGCAGAAGCAGGCCAAGAAGCCACGAAGCGACTTGGCTGCTGCCGAGGCCGCTGCTGCTGCCGCGGCTGCCCAACAAGGGCGCGGCAGAGGCCGAGGCCGAGGCCGGGGTCGTGGCGGGCGACCTGCCCCCACGGGTCTTCAGGCGGAGTTCCCGCGGAGCGAGCGAAGCCTGGGGGGAACCGGTCGTGGGGAGCGAGGGCGCGGTGACGGACGCGGCGGGCGGAACGGCCGTGGAGGTGCTCGCGGCGGCGGAAGGCAGCCCACTGCGTTTAACCCGTACGACATTCCTGATGAGTTCTTGATGAAGGGCGGCAAGCGGTCGTCTGTGATGCCGCGATCCGGCAACCGGAGTTACACGTTCAAGTAGTGCAGATGATCAGCTGAGGGTGGGGAGTGTATGTAGAGTGTTGTTTAGGCTTGGTGAGTTGGTAGTGGTGGCGGCTTTGGTGGCACATGTGGCAGGTGTAAGCTGGGGGGAGGCTACAGGTGTAGTAGGTTTGAAGTATGGAACGGGAGGGGTTGCGTGCGGCACGCTGCAGCGGTCGGGGCTGTTGTTGCAACATCCAAGGTGTTAGGCAGAGAGATGTTAAGACATGGTTAGGCGTAGAGTCTTGCCGATGGAGTTTGGGCCTCCTGTGTTGCCAGGACAGGTCGTAACGTTTGGAAGGTCTGTATGGCTGAAGCCCGGGGGTGAAGGCCGAGCTGTGTGTCATGTTTGGAAGGAGGTTGAGCTAAGACTGGTAGCCGATGGCGGTGCTGCTGTTTCCTGGGACCTTGGGTTTGACGGCTGTACTCATAATTAAGTGACTCGCGTCTCTATGGTGTAACAAGAACGGGCTGGTGGGCAATATGGGGGCACCGGAAGTGCAAGAAGAGTAACGACGTGAACGACAAACCAAGGCCGTGGGCAATGGGAAGTACCGCAGTCATGTAGCTTCGTACATGCAATCACGGCCTAGTATTGAATACATAGCAGGTAGCTACAGGGGTTACCATGAGACCCATGTTTCCGAGACGGGCCGGGGCTAGGACCCCAAGGCAAGGGTCGGTCAAGCCAACCCGCGGGGATGGGTTGAGTTGAAGGTGATGGATACGTCCCACCTTCTGGCCGCGCTAATGATCCGTTGATCCCACACCCATGTTTGCAAATAACAGCAGTATCTCCGCGCAAGCATTGTGATCGGCAGCCGATCGTTTGTAGCCCCAACCTATCGGACGGAAATGCGAGACACGGGGGTCGCTGCCCGGGGTCCTTCCTGAGGGAGCTACTGACTGTACGCAATTAAATGAACAACCAGTAAGCCACTTTGGGACGTAAGCTGTATCGTATTGTACGCTCCATGGAATCGCAACGGTCACCTGCAAAGGTTTAAGTGCTGTATTCAGCAGGTGGTTCACGTGCTTCAAGCTGCACGGTCAGCACGGTAACTTTTACAGTTGCGCTGCCCTTCGCTTGTGGGGCAGTTGGGCCGTACGGTGGATCCGGATTATGGTCTCTTCAACAGTAAGCAGGCCCCTCAGTTCATCCAACTGTTAGAAGAATACCTGCGTGGGACGTTAATGCCTTGTAATGTGCCCGTAGCCGCGCCTGCACTTGAAAGGGGAGCATTTAGGCAGCATTAGGCAGCTGTCAGCTGCTTTTTCAATAACTGAAGCAGCATCGGTACCATGGACAAGGACACAGATGGAATAGAAGATAGAGAGTACATGAGCTGCGGTGGTAAGGCAATCAGCGTCTTTTGCTTTGGCCAGCTGTCAGGGCTTAACAAACATGTTCACCATCCCCGCAGCTCGCACGCTTTCCTGCTTCCAATATGAGGACCCTGCTACTCTTGAGCGGGTATGTATGTATTCTGGATAGTGCACTGCGCAGCCTCGGAAACTGCCTGACTCCTGTCCTTTTTTGCAGGTCGGCCTCAAGCTCCTTGCGCAGGTGCGCAAACTTGCATTACAATATTAGCCACAATACTCGCTTTTACTGCATATAACACCCCCAACCCGCTTGCAGGCTTGCATTTGTCCAGCAGCCGTCCTCGCCGCAAATGTCTCGCTCATGGAAGGCGAGGGTGCGGGGTCGCGTCCACACAATATCCCGTTTTCCGAGTAAGGAAATGCTGCGTGCTCCTCATTCCACTAGCGCATAACTTATCAACCACGTGGATTGCCTGGCTGCAGCGGCCTGGTGATAGGTCCCAAAGGAGCTATGGTGTACAGCAGCACATGCCGCTCACAAATCGTATGCGGGTAAGTCCTGGGTTGCGTCTATCGTTCATCTCTAGCCCTGCGCTCCTAACAAGATGTGCTGGTTGCTCCCGCAGACCCTTCTGCATGGGTCTCCCTGTGCTGTGCATGGAAAACTTGCTGCATCGCCAGCGCATCCGGTACGTTCAGGCTACGGGGGTGGTTTGCTGGTTGGGGAATCACTATCATTGCCCATGCAACATGCAGGGACAAGTATGGGCTGCAGCGCCCCAGCTCTTTCCTAGAGGTTGGCGCGGGCTTCTGCTACCCATGCTCCCTGTACGAGACGCACACCTTCCTCCGCGACATAAAGTACCAGCAAATGATAATGCAGCAGCGCTCCGGCAACGACGGTAAGGCGCCTGTTCACATATTCTAAATGAGTCAATTGCCATGTCACCAGGGCAACGATAAACTATTGCTGGAGTTGATGTTGTCTTGTCTTTGGCTGGCCCCGCAGACGCGCAAGGACCCCTAGAAACGGCAATGCGCGCCATGAAGCGCACGGCTCGGAGTAAAGGGACTATTGCGGGCCAGGACAGCAACTCAGTGGCAGTGCCTCAGTCGCCGTCGGCCGCCGTCATCGAGCCAAACGCTGTGACGGCAAACAGCGGAGTGGCTAAGGAGGGCGATGCGGCCCCTGCTGCCTTGCAGCCTATGTCGCCGTCGTTTTCAGCACAGGGACCGGAAAATGCAGAGATGCCTACGGACAGTGTTGGTGAGACGCCTAACCGGGTGGTCACACTCTACGGTAGGGAGCAGGTGTCCAACCGGCGAGCGCAAGCGTGCATGCCAACTGCAAGCGCAAGCAGCGCCGAGTCCCGAAGCAGTAAGTTTGAACGCGTGCTATCCGGTGCTTGCCTATGGCAAGGATTTGTCGGGGTTACAACAGCCATGGTAAGTAGGGCAAACCACGGTCGCTACCGCTAACTAATTCGTTGTCCTATGCCTCTTCCCTGCCTCTTGCAGCCCCTGCGAGCTCCATCCCGCCACCGGAGGTCACTGATTCCCCGCGCATGCGGCGCGGCGCCCAGACCACATCGTCCTCGGCCTCACGCCAGGACGATGCGGAGAGCGCTCTCGCAGACTCGGCGTCGTTCCCTGTCCCCTCTGCGCTGCCGCTGCCAGCCATGGTCCGGGACCCACCAACGTTTGCAGTGCCGCCAGCCCTCAAGCCCCCTGACTCTACGGATCCGGAGGTCATGGAAGCATGGATGCAGGTGGGTTACATCAGTGCAATAATTTGGTGGTCTTCTTTGCGTCTCAACGTGGCCCCGTCCTTACGTTGCACGCTATGTCCGCAGGGCCCAAAACTCACACACCTTTCGCAGTCACTCCAGTCTCGTGGTAAGTGCGCCTAACCATGCTGGATCGGTCTTACCTAGATAACCGTACCCCAGGCCCGTATGAGCGCGCCGGGCTTACACAACACCCCCCCTGGCTGCCACTACCTTACCACGTGAAACCTTGATCCTTGCAGGCGAGGGCTCCCAAATCCAACAGGACAGCAGGCCCCGGCCGGCGGCCCCAACGAGGTCCGGTAGCGAGGCGTCGCTCTTCAGCATTGCTCTTGAACCCACGGACAAACACTTGTCGCCAGCCAAGCAGCCTAATGGCCCGCAAGCGCACACTGCCCGGATTGCGGGCACTAGCGCGGTCGCCACCCATGCCGCAACTGAGGGACCGGGCAGCTCCCGGGAGCTGCAGGGTACCATCACGTCTTCTACGCTATCGGTCATGATTGACCAAGCCATGCTCAACGGCAGTGCCGGCAGCACCACTCGCGGCAGCGGTGGCGCCGGTAGCGTTCCGCCAGACTCGTCGGACCCTGCAGCGTTTTGGACTGGCTACCGGCAGACTGCCATGACGCCTATTGCGGAGGCGGAAGCGGAGGATGCCGTGTCCATGCAGAGCAACCCCGCTGAGCGCTCTTCCCGGCGCCAGGATGGCAGCACTGCTGCCCTCGGGGACACGCAATGCGACAACGACAGTGCATGCTCCAGCCAGCGGCCTGAGCCCATCGTCTCGCGCAACGCTCAGCGTGGATTGCGCTCCAGCGGCGCCCCGTCCGTCCGTACCAGCGGCAGTGCTGGCAGCAGCGGGTCCGTCCCAGCTACAGTCACGGGAGTGAACGCGGTGGCTCTCACAGCTTTGGCGCGCATGGGCAGCGACTCCGGCGGCGTTGTAAGCGCCTGCAACGGCCGCGGCAGTGGGCCGCGCATTGGGAACAACAAGCAAAACACCTTTCCAGGCTTGCAGCGGCGTGCGGCGGCGCCCATGCTTACTGTTGGGAGGGCCGCTGGGGCATCCCTGCGTGCGCAGGCTGCCGCTAAGGGCCTAGAGCAACCGTCCGCTTCTGGTGGGACCGAAGATGACATGGGGGCCTCGGCCGACAACTTCACGCAGGGCGGTGCTGCCTTCCAGGAAAACGTCGCATCGTCGCCAGCCCCGCCATTGTCCCAGTGCACTCCACCGAGTGCGGTTTCGGGACACTCCCCATGCACCTATGGCGACGGCGATGACGAAGTGAACCTGGCGTCAATCCGGCCCAGCTTTATCGATGCTCCCGAGCTGCAGCACTTCAAGCAAGTCCTTCGCGTCGCGGGAGAAGAAGTCGACACGCAGCCAGCCCCGGCAACGTTAGCCCGGCCGCCTCCAGTGGCTGGCCCCAACACCACGACCGCTCTGGCCAACGCCGGAAGCGCACGGCTCGTTACGCTGGCACCTGCCGTTGGGTCCTTGTCGCAACGGGTCGGCGGCGGGCGTTACGGCAGCCGTCCAGCCATCCCGCCACCGGCCGCTTTCCAGGCATACGCTCCCGTCGTAGCAGCGCAAGAGGCCAGCTACTGCGCGGATGGACCCTCACAGGACGATACGGATGGCGTGTTGTCGGAAGAGGCGTCCAGCGCCATTGACGGACCGGTCAGCAGCGCCGATGTGAGCCCGGCGTCGGGTGGCCAGCGGGCGCACCCCGCTACTCGCGGCGTCACTCCTCGGGAGAGATTCCCTGCCAGCGCCGGCGGGGACGCGACCGTATCAGTAGCCGTTACGCCGGCGGGAGCGCCTCCGCCCTGCACTGCCGGGGAGCCTGAGGTCACTCCGAATGCTGCTTGCACCTCCGCTTCGAAGCATAGCGCCAGCGGCTTGAGTGTCGCGGAATCCAACGTGGCGTATGACTCCACTGCGGATTCCGTTGCCATTTCACAGCATCGCCAGAAGCACTGGATCAACTGGATGGCGCAATCCGGGGTTTCGGTAGGCACGTCGGTGGGGTTATCCGTACGACCTGGGTATGGGAAGACCGCTCGTGGAAGCAAAGCGCCTGTGGACCAGAGCACTAGCTACGCCAACGCAGGCAACAGGGCGCAGCTTTCGTCCATGGTTGTGGAGGAGGAGGATGGCTCAGGGGAAGCGCCCGTGTACGAGCGTTGGGGGTAGAACAGCGGAGGTCCCTGTGAGCAGGTCTGGGTAGCCTGTACGGCAATCATATCCACGCATCGTGGGCGTTACGTCAGTGCCACTATGTGGCATGGCGCTTGATGCAAGCAGGAAAAGCACTATTGGAAGCATGCAGGTGTCTTTAGTATGCAGCTGCCCTTGTTACGCTCCGCAACTCGAGTGGGTGCAAGACGGCATCATAGGTCGAGTGCATTGGTCCTAGGGCGCTAGTGGGTTCGTGTGTCGGCAGTGTTGCATTGGTCAAAGTTGGTGACTTTCCATACGCGTCTTGTCTCTTGTGTAGCAGGTGTTTTGCCGGCAGCCTTTCTTGTTGCCAGCGGTATTGCTTTATGATGGGTCCTGGCAGAAGAGCTTCTTGAAGCTTGGGTCCCCTTCGCAGAAGCGGCCATATGCTGATAGCGGCCTACCATGGCTCTATGCTGATAGCGGCTGAACATGGCTCTACTGGGAGCATATGTAATGAGTCAGTTTGAAAGTCATAGCCCTCGCTATCCAAGTGCACGCTGAACCGTACTGCCCGTGCAGCTGGCGCAGTAGCAATCTCGACAGTACCGTACAAGTCCGTCAAAGTAGTCACACGCTACCCAAGCCAAGTGTACATGTGCTGCCGCGCTGGATTGCTTACTTCTGATACCGACTTATACGCCGGGCTCTTGTCTCTAATCTTGACTTGAGGTACATACACGCGCTGGGCTTTATTCGCAGCCTAATTGTCAATGGATAGGTGATGCTAAGCGTTGGGCCTCGACGAACGCACTGCGCGGTGCGGTAGAAGCGCAGGCGCAAGTATATCGGCTAACAGCGCATTACCGGCGTTTGCCCAATCGTCTATTACCTTTTGCAAAGGCCATGGCAGACGGCTGCTTTGCCTGGCCACCTCCCAATCGCACGCAACTACGGACTGCAAGCATGCGGACGTCGAGAATCCCGCATGCGTTGCCCAAGCTCACAGCATTTCGTGCAAGTCAATCCTATGCAATTAAACTCGTTTCTCCGAGCTTCATGTTAATTTCGCGAAAATGCAACAAAACGCAAAGCGCGGCTGTCTCCGGTGTCAGTGGCATGGCCATGCCGGACCCAACGGAGCCCTCCGCCCCGCAATCTGAAGAGGCGACAAAGGCAGTGCAGGTACAAATTGTGCATAATGTACGTTTGCCACCACAGCTACCCATACACCGTACTAGACACGTTGCAACTTGCATGCAGATGGAACGCAAGCGCTCGCGTGCCCTGATGCCCTACCTGGTGCCCTCTCCAAACCACGGAATCATCGGCAGCTCAAAATACGCTGACCGGCTGCGACGGCAGGTGGTTGCCGCGGCGCGTGATAACAGCAGGCAAGCAAGGATCCTTCCAAACCGCGTGCTCAATGTCTTCGCAATCGCAACATCCCAAATGACTCCCCACACTCCATGATAACCCCTAGTGCCCTTCCCCTAACAACCCAACGCAGTACGCCCATACACATAGTTCTTCCCCTTCCCACATTTCCCACTCCTCACACAAACACCTTGCAGGCGAGCCGTGCTTATCTTCGGTGAGCCCGGCCTGGAGAAGCCCAACGTGGCAGCGCTCATTCACTTCGGCGGACCCTGCCGTACAACTCCCATGGCAGCCCTGGACTGCGCGCGGCTGGATTGGACGGGATTGGAGCTGTTCGGCCGGGGCGAGAAGGCGGGGCTGGTAGAGACGGTGGGAGACGGCACCCTGCTGCTGCAGAATGTGCACAAGGTACGAGGACGCGGATGTTGTTTCCTTCTTGGCCGCATGGCTTCAATGCTTGCCTGTTTAGGCTGATCACAGTATACCGGTAGCTGCTGTAGTTTGCCCCGTCCAATGAGCTTGACACCTTACTTTCTCATCTTCTTCCTCACCTGGCTACCCCCTTCCTTCCTACACCTTTCCCTCCCCCGTTCTCCCTCACCCGTTCTTCCAGCTGCCTCCCTCGCTGCTCCCAAAGCTCGTCCGGCTATGCGGCGATGGCACCTACCGCCGCGCCTCCAACCCCGACCAGATTTCCTGCCTCCTCACTCCGCTAGACAGTCGGGACGCCCTGCCAGACACCCTGCCGCCACGCCGCCGCGCATCCTGCCGCATCATCATGACTGCTAGCCGCCAGGTCTGGGGGGAGGAAGGGAGGGGAGCTCGAGTGTAGGGTGGGTACGTGCGGGATGTTGGAGGTAGGGACCCTACCTTCTCTTAAGCCGGTGCTTCGCTTTTCCTGCCGGTCATCACATTGGCCCGACTGCCGTTATCAACCCGTTTTGCCTTCTGATGACCCATGGGTCACCTTGCTCCCCTCAGGTTCCCCAACTTGACAAGGTTGCCACCACCATCAAGGTGAGGAGCAGCTGCCGTACGCCGCACCTCCTGACCGCTGCCGTACGGTGGCCTGTGTCGCGGCCGCTTGCCCCACCTGCACACCTCTGTACATGTCGCACATCCATGCGCTTCACCGCTGCTCCCATCCTCCTTACCTTCCTCTCACCCCACCCACTCGCACTCACCCACCAAGCCACCACCCCTCCTCCTCACCACCCGCCCTCCACCTACCTACCTCCCCACCCATCGCAGGTTCCGCCTCTGCGCCTGCGCCCCTCCGACGTCAGGGACCTGCAGCGATACTACCTGCAGCAGCTGGCCCGGCGGCAGGGCGCCTCGCCCACCTCCTCGCTGCGACTGGAGCTCAGCCCCGGAGCGGTACGGCAGCTGGAGAGCTACGGCTGGCCCGGGAACATCACGGTGCGAGGTGGCGGGGGGGGGGGGGGGGCTAGGGCAACTAAGCCGCCGCGTTGACTACGTGGGGTGGAGGTATCGTAAGGTTCGTAACAAGCAACCACCCTGGTGTGCTATGTACGGTCCGCTCCATCCTGGATTGCACATCCCAGTACGAGGGCCGTGATGCGTCCTATCACTCGGCCCTTACCGTGGTTAAGGCCGCCTGCCCCTCGCATCTTCCTCTCTTCGTTCCTTTTCATGCTGACCCTCCCTATCGTATCTTCACCATTATCACTACTCGGACCCCATCCCCTCCCTTGCTGTACTCATCATCATTATTATCCCCTCCCTCAGGAGCTGGCCCAGCTGGTGGAGCGGGCGGTGCTGCAATCAGACGAGGCGGCTGCGGGGCCGCCTGGGGGGCGGATCAGCGAGGAGGTGTTCTGGTTCGCAAAGCAGGTGGGTGGGTTGGATAGGTTGAGCCGCGAGGTGGGTGAGTGGATGGGTGGGTGGGTGGATAAAAAATTATGTAAGTGAAACAACGAGTCCCAATCCCATATCCCGACTCATGCAGTGAGCGCATTGGGTGGGTGGGTGGGTAGGTGGGTGGGTAGGTGGGTGGGTGGGTAAACAGGAGGTGGGAACCCATTCGCCTTGTTGGTAAACAGGGACAGGGTATGTTGGGTCTCGTGTGCTGCTGGGCCTTCTCTCCTTCCCGTCTGTCTCCCTGACCTGCCCGTCTCTTCCAAACAGGCCAAGGACCGCTTCCGTCTCAATCTGCTGGCCACCTACCCGCCGCTGCGCCGCCTGCTGCGGTCGAGACTCTGGCCCGATGCCATAAACTTCAAGTGAGTACCGGTACCAAACATAGCCGCACGGCAATGCGCTCAAGCTTGCTCATCCCTCGCGTTACGATCGTCGTTGCGACCCTCTCCAAGAACACCTAGGCATGCTCCTCGTTATCGCGCCTGTGTTCAATCCTTCCCTCTCCCTCTCCCCCGTCCTCCTCCTCAGCTTCACCGCCTACATCTACCCCCTCATCGTCGCCCTGCTGCTGCTGGGGCCCCAGGACCGCGCCCACAACCCCGCCCTGCTGCTCTTCTGGGACGGCTGGTGGCCCGCTGTGTTCCTGTCGTACCCGCTGCTGGGCCGCGTGTGGTGCGCGGTGTGCCCCTTCATGATATGCGGGGAGCTGGTGCAGCGCTGGAGGCTGGCAATGATGGGGGTGGGCGGTGGTGCGGGTAGTGGGGGCGGGAAGAGCAGCAGCAGCAGTAAGAGCGGCGGCAGAGGTGGGGGCGGTGGTGAGAGGGGTGAGGGAAGCAGCGGCAGCACCACCAGCTCGGCGGCAGCGGCAGCAAGGTTGGCGCCGAATGGGCTGCTCAAGTGGCCGCGAGAGGAAGGTGGGTGTCTCAGTGTGTGCTTGGGTGGGCGGGTCGATGGATGGTATGTGTTGCCATGCTCATCATCCCTATTGCCTGCCATCCAACCATCCTCGCCTCCATCCCCGCATCCTCTCCTACACCGCTCAACCGCCCCTCCGCTCCACCCACTCCCAACTGTCTCAACCTTTTTGCATGCACCCCTCGTGTACCGGCACCGCTCCTCATCTCTTGCTTTGCACCCATCCTCCCTCCCTTTCCCCCTTTCCTTTCCTCCCTCCCTCCCTCCCCCAGCCGAGCGCTACGGCCCCGCCTTCCTGCTCTCCCTCTTCGCGGCCATCCTGGTGTGGGAGGAGGTGTGGGACCTGCCCCACTCCGCAGCTCTCTCCGGCTGCCTGCTGCTGCTCATCACAGCGGGCGCAGCGGCCTGCTCCGCGGTCTTCGAGCGACGCCTGTGGTGCCGCTACCTGTGCCCCATCGGGGGGATGAACGGGCTGATGGCGAAGCTGGCGGTGACGGAGGTTCGGGCGCGGCAGGGGGTGTGCTCGGGTGAGATGCGTGCAGGGGTTACGGGAGTGCGGTACGGGTAGGCGGTACGGGTAGGCTGTACTGGTACGGGTGTATGTACGACTTGCAGGACGGAAGGGTTGCAGCAGTCGTACACACCAGTAGTTGACATTAGCAGCAGTGTGTGGTTGGGGGTTTGCCGTTGGTTCAGTTCTGAGGGCTCCCGACGCTCCGCACATTAGTTGTGAAAGGATCTTCCTCCCCCTTGTGTCGCCCGTTCCTTTCTCGCTCCCAATCCTAAACCCCAAACCCCAACTAAACCCCAGGCGAGTGCAGCTCCTACCCCTGCTACCGAGGCAGCTGCCCCGGCCCCTCCCCCTTCCAGCAAGGCGTCACAACCTACCTGCCCGCCTTTGCAACATCCGTCTCCACCAGGCTGCGAGTGGGGCTGGGAAGCAGCGGCAGCAGCACGGGGGCCGTCACCACCTCCGCCACCACTGCTGCTTCTGCTGCTGCTGTTGCCAGGAGTAACAGCAGCAGCAACGCTAAGCAGCTGAATAACTGGGCTGGCAGTAATAACACCAGCAACACAAGAAGTAGCAGCAGCACTGGCAGCAGCAGCAGCATCGCTGGCGGCAGCAGGAGCCCGGCAGTTGGCAGCAGCGGGCCCAGGAGTGACGGCGGCAGTGACGGCGGCGGCGGGGGGCTGCCCAGTTCCGGCTGCCCGCTGTACAGCCACCCGGCGCAGCTCGCGGATAACCGGAACTGCACAATGTGCATGGAGTGTCTGCGGGTGCGTGGGGGCCTAGGAGGGTAAAGAGGAAACAACTAACTGACTGTGTGATGAGGCATGGTTTGCAACATGTTTGCAACATGTTTGCAACATGGTTTGCAACATGGTTTGCAACATGGTTTGCAACGTGTGGCTGGGTGGGGTGGGGTTGCATGGAGTGCCTGCAGGTGTGATCCTTTTATGGGTTTGGGCTGTTTACATGTCTTGGTCTGTTAGCAGTCCGGGCAGCATGTGAAAAGCTGCAAGCGTATGGAGCAAATGTGGTCCCACATGTCTCCCTTCTGTTCGTAGCCGCGCCTCGGCGCATCAGACCTCTTTCGCTCTCCCTTCCTCACCGCCCATCTTCCTCGTATCTCACCAGCAACCCCTCTCCCCCTTGCCATCCGCCTCCTCCACCCCCACCTCCTCCTCAGGCCTGCCCCAACGGCTCAGTGGAGGTGCGGCTGCGACCCCCGGGGGCCGACCTGCTGGGGCCGCACTCCGCTTCACCCGGGGAGGTGGTGCTGCTGTTTATGTTGCTGGGGGCAGGTGGGGCCTGGGGGGTGGGGAGGAAAGGGAGGAAGGGGGGAAGGGGGGAAGGAGCGGGGCGTGTGTGTTGGGGGCGGGGCGGGGCGGCTTGGTGGTGCGGCTGGTAGAGCAGCTGGGAGGGCCAGGTTGCAGGGTGTGCTTGCTCTTGCGATTCGGAAGGGCTTACCACTGGATCGGCTTGGTACCGGTAGGCTGGGCGTACACCCGGAGGAGATCTAGCGGAGCGACCTACCGTAGTCAATCAGCCGATCACCCGCCAACCGCCGCTGCCCTACGGTTAGTTAGTTGTTTCCTCTTTACCCGCCCCCCGCCCCTGCAGTCTACCTGCACAACCTGCCCGACCTAGCAGCCCAACTGGTTCAAGACGCCACCGCACTGCACCTGTCCGGCGTTACCCCCGAGCACATCGCTGCATCCCTGGTGCTGCTCACGGCACCCGGGGCGCTTGCATGGGCTGCGGACGCCGCGAACCGCCTAGCCGCCACCTCCGCTGCTGCTGCTGCTGCCAGCACCTCCAGCAGCAGCAGCAGCCCCATCCGCAGCCTCCTCGCCCGTGTCAACCTGGGTCGGACGGAAACCGCAGCAGCAGCAGCAGCCCTGGAGACTACTGCTGGGAGCCATGAAGCGGCTTCGCAGGTGCTGCCGCCTTCGCACCCGGTGCCGCTTCCCGCTCCCTTCCTGACCCTATCATACGGCTACCTGCCACTACTGTGGTCAGCCACACTGGCGCACTACCTGCGGCCGCTGCTGGCGGAGGCGGGGCAGTTGCTGCCGGTGAGGAGGGGTGAGGGGCGGAGGAGGAATGCTGCTGCTGCTGCTGCTGCTGCCTGATTCCTCAGCTGCAGTGCTGCTTGCAAGCGTACCACGCTTTGCCGTAGTGCTGTTGGGAGACTGCGCATTCCGGCATATGCTTGGTTTTGATTGGGTCATTGGTTGGTATGGGTAATTATGGGTATGGGTTATCTCTAGGTACCACGCGCCGTATTGACTTCGCTGCCCGCACATGACCCGTGGGTCTGAACCATGTACATCCCCAAGCAATGCTTTTTATTTTTTTGTGGATTGTATGGCCCCCAGGTTACGGCGGCGATGCTTGGTTGGGAGCATGCCTCGCTGCCGGTGGCGGAGGCTCATCCGGTCGTCATTACCTTCCTCCAGGTACTTACAGGCGGTATCCTGTTGACCATCCATACTAGTTGCTGGGGATTGTACATCGTCGGCAATGGTATGGGAATGGTGTTACATTGGGATAATGACTAACGCTTCCACGATAACAACCACTTCCCACAAAACACCGTTACTCCAACCGCAGGGTTCGCTGTTGCTGTTCGGCGCCGCCACCAGTGCTGCACTGAGCCGCAAGCTGGCGGCCGCCCCATGGGTCACTTTCATGCCCCAGCTGGCCCTCATCGGCCTCTTCACCGCGGAGGCCTGGGCGCTCATTCTGCCGCATCCGTAGATAGGTGATTGGTGGTACGGCGGGTTGTCATTGGTCACGATGCCGTACGCGGTGTATGATGGAGGTTAGCAACGACCCATGCCACATACCGATTGCACATAGAGACGCAGATAGCAGATAGAGCTGCACGTACGTTCCAACGCACACGCTTTTTTCATTCTTTGGGGCCTCTACTGTCCCAGCAATACCTAGATGTGTGAAATCGTGCCCTAGTTGAGTTCGTACAGTACGAGGGGGAGATCACTCTGGATCTCTAAACGTACGAATACATATGAGCGTGAAAGCACGCAGGGATCGCCTTGTAACCATTATAACGAAATGCACGAAAGCCAAGTTAAGCCACAGCCAAGCAACAGCTACTCCCCAGCCTGCTGCCCCACCCTCATAGCATGGGTCTCCATACCTAGCATGAGATCAGGCCTTGACACCAGCCTTCCACCCACTTGTACACCAACCCTCGTTAGTTACCAGTTCGTACTGCCTATCTTTTCCATTCATTGCTAAACTCGCCCTTTTCTCCTCGAGCGCCATCTCATACCGTACAATAAGCGCCTCGCCTTCAACCCTCACTCCTCATCCAGCGCAAGCGCGATCTTCACATAGGCATCCATGTACTTTGCCAGGTCCCGATGTGAGCTTGCATGGATGCTGACGAGGGCAGTGGGCGAGCTTTCCTTCTCCTCGGCCATGCGGCTCAACAACTTCACGAGTTTGGTTCCTGGCTTGAGCCAGTGCTCTCCGAACCGTTTGTGGCCCGTGGGAGGGAGCTTCGGAGCCGTGAAGCCGTATCCAGCCGCTCTCGCTGCCTCCCCTAGAATCCAATCTGCGAGGAGGGAGGTCATCAAGGAGAGGTCATTAAGGAGAGGTCATCAGCCAGCAGGGAAAGCACCAGGATCGAAATGTTGGCTGAGTGGGGCTCTGGGAACAGAAGGCAGCCAACACAGCTACGAGGGTGTTCCTGGATAGAGGTGCGGTATATTCCGTACATAATCAGCTGCAGACCGACAGTCGTCCGACAACACGTACGGTATCGTACACGAACGGCTTCTGTGCGGCTGCATCTATACGCACACAGAGCACGTGCGTAAACACATAATCACATACCGCTGTGGTTTGCCACGCCGCTGAATGCGACTTGGTAGAGGAAGCGCGGATCCTCGGTCAGCAGGTCCATCATTGCATGGCTGTACAGCACTCCGGAACCACCTGCGCAAGCATGGGGAATCCGCGGTGGCGTTGGGTGCACAGTGTCTGTGGGCAGTTATGTGAAGTTATGTACCTGAAATGAAGTACAATGGACACCGATGCGCACGCCTGGAGGATGGGAACATGGGATAGTCAGGTACCGGTATCGGCAGAGCTAGCACCAACACAGGGGTGCGTGGGTTGTCCCCGAGCATACGTCGTACCTTGGAACCATACTACACACGTCTTGTCAGGAATCCGAAAGTCCTCCTTCATATAGCAGTTGCTGTGAAAGCGGCACGCGGGCCTGATGATGCAAGGGCAGTAGTCAGTGCCCGAGTTGCAAGATTGGCAACGAGGATCGGATGTGAGGGGGTAATGCGTCCCGTTCAGTTTCGTGTACATATAGTCGGTGATCATGTAGGGCTCGTCGGGAGATACTCCCATATCTTGCAGGAGCTGCAGGACTGCCTTCAGGGACCATATCGTGTCGTCGTCGCCTAACAGCAGCCTGTACGGAAGAACGGTTGGATTCACGCGAGCAGCTTATGTAATCGTCAAACCTGTTGTAGACTATTTAACGCTCACCATTTGTAATTGCCCTTGTATGCGTTGTGGGCGAATATGAGCGCAAAGATGTGGCGCAGCACGCCCGGGAAGCCAGGGAAATCCGGTGTTACAGAGAAGGTTTCGTTAAACGCTGTACCTGCATGCGCAGTGTAGGCCAAGTACTTCGTATATGTCAGAACCGTGCACGCGTCAATATTATTATGTAATTGTTTCGATACCTTGAGCTGACAGATGCGCCAGGGGAAGGCTCGGGTCTACTGGCACCAAGAATATCTTCCCTTGTATATATGCAGCAAACTGTCGACAGTCTCAGAGCTAGCAAGGTAGCGCATAGCGCGAGGACTTGCCGCGCCATATGTGATGAATGTGCTAAAGCTTAGAGCAGGTCAGGAGCGGGCGTTTACGCACCGTCTTGGCCTGCCAACTTATGCGCCGTACACGGTCCTGACCGGTAGCAGCATTCCCAGTTACCGTACCATACTGCTGCCGGTGTGATTCCTCCTGGTGCTTCGTCCTTTAAGATTAACCAGGGGGTTCCCGAAGACATTGTTAGGATGTAATAGAGGTAGCGGACGCGGGCATCATTGCCAAAATGGCGGGCAAGGTGGCGTTGTCCCGTTGCCCGACATTACCAGAGCCTCGGGTAACCTGGGGACTCCGTAGTTTGAAAGGCGCAGGGTTGCACTAACTGACCGGATCGTGTTGTCGACGCCTCCGGCTCGCCGAGCAGGAGGCCATACGGACACGTACGCGTATCGTCGTGAAGGAAATACGGCAACAGCTCCACGATTTGGCTTCAACCTGCCTCAACTGAACATTGTAAGGCATATTTATTCTACACTCGTAGCTTTTGCGGATAGCCCAAAGACATGACGGTTAGTATGGCGCAGTCCGAAGCACTAAACACCATACAACTTGTACAGATGAATAAAGCGTCGAAGATTGGCACCACTGTACTTTAGCATCTTAGCGACGAAAGCATTGCGTTGTGCGTTTTGAGTTTCGGAGCAGCCAGCTTTCCTTGATGGCTAAATCCTTTGGGGCAGAGCGTCAGTGGTTACCTAGTGGTGATTTTTGCGGAAAGAAACACATTAATAGTATGCGTGCTTAACTGTGCGTCACAGCTGCTGGTAATCTAGCCTCTGGTCGTCCCGTTAAGCTCCTTGAACTACAAGTCGCTCAGGACTGTTGACAGATTTGGTGAACTGTTTTGATTTCCATAGCGCTTTTCGAGAAAGCGAACGCTGGGGCGGCCCACCCACTGCCCCCTAACCGGGCGGGGCGCCCCGTATACATCTGCATAGCCAAATACTTACACAGGTTTATAGATTTCAAACAGCCATGGGCTCCTTGGAAGAGCTGCTGTCCAGTATCAACTCGGGCATGGTCGATGTGACCGCATCGGAAGCCGTCAAACGCCAGCCTCGCAAGCCTAAGGCGCAGACCGACCTCCAAAAACGCCTTCGTGGCCAGGCGGGCGCCGTAAACAACGCCCAGGGCCATGGCCCCAAAGCTGCGGAGAAGCGAGGCAGCACGGCAGCCAGAGCCACGCCACCTCCAGCACCTTCCTCCACCGCTGCGGCCTCGGCCCCAGGATCCGGCGGCTCCTCCGGGCCCTCCTCCACCTCAGCAGCCGTAGCCACCGCTGCTACCGCTGCTCCTGCCGGCCCACCGCCCCTCGCGCCTAACGCGCCCCTCACCATGCGCCTAAAGCGCGTCCTCGACCTGCTCCGAGCCTTCCGCAACCCGCATACCTTCTCCGACATCCGTTCCAAACTAGCAGTGGACCTCGCAACCGATTCCGAACTGTTAGAACAACTCATAACCCACAACCAAGTGTCGTACGATCGTGATGCTCGTACACTCCGTTACCGGCCCAAAGTGCCCGGCATCAACAACGCAACCGACCTGCTTAACTACCTGCGCCGGCATACAACGGTCGAGGGCGCTAGCAGTGCCGTACCGATGACGGGTGTACGACTGGCTGACGTGGCGGATGCGTATCTCGGGATAGCCGAGGACCTGAAGCGGCTGCAGGCGGAGGGCAGCGTGTATGTGTTTGGTAACACGGGGCCGGGGCAGGACACCATATACGCAGTGTCAAGCCTGAACATGGGTGAGAAGGGTGGCGGAGAGGCAGGAGGCGGTGCTAGGAGGGGCAGAAACGGCAGGAAGGAAGATGGGGCAGAAAAGACACAGGCCTCAGCGCCACCGAGTTACATAACGGCCTGGTCCACATGTGCTTTGCGCTGCAGCCCCGGCTCCGCATATCCTTAGCCCCACCACCACCGCTACCCCCCCCTTCCCCCGCCGGTCTTACCCAATCCCATCTGTCTGCTGATCTGCACCCCTGCGTCAGGGGCTTCCCTCACGTCCTGGTTTCCTGTACCTGTATGCCCCCTTCCTCCCTCTCCCCTTCCCCTCCGCATTTATCTATATTTTCCCCCTCCGCCTACGCCTCTTTTCACCAGTGGTTTCCTATGGTTCGGTCTATCTTGACTCTCGCTCCTCCCCGCCCGCAGGCCCCGTCAGCGAGTCCGTCATTGAGCTCTTCCACAACACGCGGCTGCCCGCAGACGTGGTGGACCTGCAGTGGCGCGTGAAGGATCTGGGACTCAAGTCCGCACTGGCAGCCCGGCCGGTACGGAAGAAGGACGCGGAGGCGGGCGACAAGAAGAAGAAACGTCGGAAGGTGGAGCGGCGGTTTAATGTGGATAAGGCGACAAATGCGCACATGCGGGAGCTATTTGAGGGCGCGCAGCCGACGAACATTGACACCAAGTAGCACGGTAGCTGTGTAGGGGAGATGTAGTACGGGGGTAGTTGTGGGGTGCGTAGAAGCAAGCAATGGAGCACGAGGAAAGGAAGTCGACGGCGCTACAAGCGGTTCCCAATGTGGCGTGAAGTTAAGTAGTGGAGGAAAAGAATAGGACTAGTTAGGACTAGGACTAGGGGGCATAGGGGCTGGCTGGTAGCAAGGAAGGGTTAGGCGGAGGCGCAGGGGTAGGAGCAGTAGTAATGGTTTCGAAGTGGCAGCAGGGTTGTTGGCAAGGTTAGGTGAAAGAGTCTTTGGAGGAGGGAGCTTGGTGTATGTGTAGCATACGACGGAGGGGTTGCATGGCTGATAGTCCGCAACGTGCCCTGTTGAGCGACGTATGTACAGGAATAAGTTTCGAAGGAGAGACCAGCTGAGGAGTACTGCTGCGTTATTAGGTTAGAGCCGAGTCATCCGGGTCAGGGGCTGTTAGGACATTGGGGGGCTTGATTAAATGATCAGTGGCATGGGTCCTACAAGCTCCTTACAGGAATTTCCTGTCGACCGGTTTCGCTAAAGTCAGTGTAGGCTTAGCGATGCATTCGTTATACGATATTACGACGCAGGATGGGGCGGGATACGGATGCTTGGATGGATGTCGCCTTGCATGTCCATTTGTTCTGCGGTGTGTAAGGATGAGGTCTGTGACGATGATGACGTCACACGACCGTCCAGCCACGACATGTGCTCCCCTCATCCAGTGATAAGTGCACTTAGGTAGCACGTACTGTCTTCAATCCTGATACCAGCTTTCTGCTCTCTTTAAGCCTTCTGTGCCTGCGAGTCCCGTACGACCGTCCCTTCAAACCCTCAACACCAACCGATCCGCATCGAAGACATCCACTAGGCCTGTAACCATCCTGCCCGAATACAACCAAACCACACATGCTCACAAGCTGCAAGTCTCGCCTTTGCTCCTCCACATATTCATCACCGCATGTTCCCATCGCATCCAATACTTTCTCCTTCTCTCCACTCTTCAACCCTGCTCAGCTGCAGTCAAACCTCAAAGCTCATCCTGTGTCGACGTCATCAGGACGCCCCGTAGCGCCTCTCCAGGCTCCATCAAACCCTGACTGTCAACCTGCGTTTCCAACCCCTCCTCCAATCCCCCAGCCTCCTCCTCAAATGGTAGCGCCCGCAGCGCCGCATCGAGATCTTCCGTACCACCGTAATGTTGCCGTACAGCATCCTCTGCTTCGCCGTACGGTCCCTTCGCCTCACCATTGTCACCGCAGCCCTGTGTTGCCCCTGCCTGCGTCGCTGTATAAGTTGCTACTTCCTCGCCCAGGTCCAACTCCATAGGCGCGGCGGATCCCACCACCTCAGCGGCGGCGGCGGCTTCCACGTCAGCAGCTCCGCTGCTGCGACGGCGGCCTTGCCGTACAGCCGCCTCCGCCGCCGCCGTGTCCATCGCCGCTAGCCGCATCAACTCCTCATCCTCGTCATCGCCATCTTGCTCTTGCCGAGTGCCACTGCCGCCGCCGCCACCCCCACCAGCTGCAAATTGCGTCGTACGGCTCGATGGAGCCGCCGCCGCCGCCACCACCGCTGTCGCCTGGTACTCCATTTCCAGCGCGATGAGCTCCTCGTCATCGCCGTACGGCATCGCCGCCGCTGCCTCCTCCGCCCTAGCGGCGGCGCCAGCCCCGGCTTGTTGTCGTGCAGGCGCCGCCTCTGCCGCTGCCTCCGCCTCATCCGCAATCTGCATGAGCTCCTCCATGTCGATATCCTCAGGAGCAGGAGCAGGAGCTGCGGCGGCGGCGGCGGCGGGAGCCGTGTTGCTGCCTCCCCGCGGTTGCTGCTGTCGTACGGCGGCGGGGGCGGCAGGTGCACTGGGCGCCACCTCCAACTCGTCCATGGCGGCATAAGCTGCCTCCTGTACGACAAAACAGGTAGGCAGTCTTCAGCCACAAAGACATGGTGGAGCGGGCAAAGGGTGAGAGGGTCAGAGAGGGTCAGCACGAGGCATGCACGTTCAATTTTCCTTTAAGAGACGCGCTTGTGACACGGCCTGCAATTCAGAACTGGCTGCGAACTGGGTTTTGGTTCCCTTCACCGAATCCCCATCTCCATCTGCTTCTGTGGTGACACGGTAATGGCACGGTTACCAAGAGCAGAATCAATGATAGTTTATCACCCGCCCATACGCTGTCTCCACATCACCAGTTCCCGCACCTCATCCCACCCCATCCCATCTCATCCCTCTACCCACAACCACACCTACCCCACCCCATCCCATCATGTAACCACCCCGTACCCCACATACAACCCCACTCCACCCACCCACTCCGCCTCCCGCTGCAAGGCCACCAGCTCCTCATCCTCATCATCCTCATCGAAACCCAGTCGTGCTGCACCGCTTGAGGCACGACCAGCACCAGCACCAGCAGCAGCAGCACCCCGAGCGGTGGCACAGGTAGCAGCCGTACGGCCAGTAGCGGGAGCGGCGGTGCCCCGCTGCGGCCCCGCAGAGGGAGCAGCTCCAGGGGTGGCGGCCCCGGGCCGGGTGCCCACCCCGGGAGTCATTCCCATGGCCTGTGGAAACAGCCGGCGGAGCGGGCATGCATCAGTGCACCATGGCATGAGTGCGGTGCATTGGGGTGCGAGGAGGAGCAGCAACAGCAACGCCAACAGGACAGGACAGAAGTGCAACGCGGCAAGGACAGCATGGGTTGCATCAACAGCAGCAGCTGTCGCCACGGGGGGCTACTGTGCGATGTGGGTCACGCGACCTTGTTCGGCTTATCAAGATATACATACCCATCTTGTCATGTAGCGTGCATTTGCGTGCGTGCGTGGTCCTATTGTGCACGGCCCATCACGAGTCCGCCCCCATTATCTCCCATCAGCTGCCAGTTTCCAATCCCCATTTGCGGCTCCCAGCCCCCACTTGCCTGCGTGAGGCTGGGTATCTGGTCCTGCTTGGCCCCCTCCGTGTCCCCCCGCCGGATCCCCACCAGCGGCCCCCACGCGTCCTCCGCCTCCTCCGCTTCCGCCTCGGCCTCCGACGGGAAGATAAGACCCAACATGCGCTGCCGCATCTTGTTCATCTCGGTCTGCGGGTCGTGGCAATTAGGTAACGTCGATCGAATGGCTGGAGTAACTTCACGGCAGCAGATACCTCGACATCAATGCGAATCCCCACTTCTGGTCGTCCCTTTCCCCCACCCGATCATGCAGCTGCGGCTCGCCCTCTTCCCCGGCCCTGCACGCCTCCTTCCCTTCGCGTCATGCTGCCGCCTCACATCCCCATTGCATCGCCCTCCCTTTTGCTTTGGTTCTCCCCTGACCCCCTGACTCCCACCTTGACCATGCGGCTCCTGCCCGCCTTCTCCAGCTTGGTCACAAAGGTGTCAAAGTCGCAGTGCGGGTAGAACCTGGCCTGCCAGCGCTGGTAGAGCTCGAGCAGGCGCCGCAGGTCGGCCGTCTCGTGTCCCTCGCCCTGGAAGGTGGACTTGAAGGCGGGGGCCATGCTGTGCCAGATGTCGTTGAAACCGCCCTTGGACTGCGATGGGAGGCAAAGAGGAGGGAAGGAGGAGGAGAGAGAGGCGGGAGGTTGGAGGAGGAAAAAGGAGGATGAAGAGAGCAAGAGGAGGGTATGTACGGTGGGAGGATAGGATGTGGATGCACATGCAGCAGGGCGACTTGATAGCTGGAGGAGAAAGCGGGGAGGGCAGGAAAACGGATGGCGGGTTGGGGAAGGCACGAATGCTGCCGTATCTTACCTTTAGGAGGTCCAAGTCGAGCTTGGCAACCCGCTTCTTTGTGGCTCGCCTAGGAGCGGCGACAGGAGCGCCATCGGCAGCCGCAGCTGGCCCACGCGCGGGGGCTTCGCGGGGGCCTGGGCTGTAATGAGCAAGGACGTGCGTATAGCACAGTTACACGAGCAGGAAAAGGCCAAGCACGTAAAAGTAATTCTCAGGCAGGGTTGCATTATGTAGGGGATGATGGTGCGCCCAGCTTGTTTGGACGTCACATAATTCGAACATTGTTGAATTGTAGCGCCAACTAACGTTTTAAGTTGTTACTTCCGCTTTATTTCAAATCCTTTGGCTTCAGGGCGCATGCTATTCAGCCATCGCTGGTAAAGCCTACGTTATGCTCTAAAGGGACTTGCCTAGCGCCGTCCTCTTCGTCTGTGTCCACAATCTGGGGCGGAAATGCCGCAGCGCCAAATAAAGGCTCTTCCACAGGCTGAGCGCGAGGCGGCATCCTCTTCTACCGCTTTGACCTACGTAACCTACTACCACAGAGTTTTCTGCGTAAGAAGGCAAGTTGATACTAGCTAGACACAAAGGCTTGCTTGGAAGCTTTGCAATTCCAGGGTTCCCGCCTTTAACGTGGTACGGCTTAACCACCTCACGGTCACGGTAGCCTTAGGCAAGAGCTTTGTCGGTAACACGTAGACAGTATGGAATGTTCCTTAATAGCAAGCGGCACGAACCCATCCACTGGAGTCCCATACATGCGGCAAGCAAGCACGCTCGGCAAATACGGTTGGCACACAAGACGACCGAAAGCTGGCTTACCGAAGCATCCATAATACCCTTTGGATTATGTTACCTCAGTATCATATATCTTGCCTAGCTTGCAAGGCCTCACCATCCATGACACGAAACTGGATAGATATTCACTCACTATCCATATCTGTTAGCCAAAGCTAACGCTGGGAGTACACACTCATACCAGTAGATTGCACTGAACCACACAAGCTTGCACAAGATGGGCATGTTCAGGAGAAAACAAGCTGTGAACGTCGAAGGTAGGTCGCAGGTAGGTGGCTTGCCACGTGCGTATTGGCATACGGAAGGTGCGCTATTGATAATTGCAACTATTCTGCTGCGTAGGAACTAATGATGACGCCGCCCTATTAGCTAGAGCCTAGCCTGACTGCCGTACTGCACTCCGATTGAAACGCAAGGGGACCCTCTTCACCTTCGCTTGCTTTGTATAGCGAAAGCACGCCCCAGTCTAACGCTTGAAATTATCGAAAAGCACTGCGTTTGTGAGCTAGCGTTCACACCTTGACAACTTAAACTCGACATCCTGGACGTAACCTGTGACAGAGATGCGATGTAACGAAGACATGGAATAATCTGTACTGTGAAAACGCTGTTGCGTAATGGGCTGTGCAGCTTCAGCGGCCGCTAGAACGCAAGTAGACCCCAAACCTTTCGAGAATGCACACGCTGGAACCGCATCGGAGAAGGAGAAAGCGAAAACAAGACGGTGCCATGACTCGCAGCAGGCAGAGGTGCGCATACCCTTCGTCTTGAGTTGGTCCTGAAGGTTTGGGGAAGTGCTGCCTTGTAACCGCTTGGCGCTCCTCACCTTGACTATCATAATTGCAGAATATAACTACTACACAAGTTGGGGGAATCATAGGCAGAGACAAATCGCTGGATACATCAGAGAAGTTAGGGAAGGCCGTGCCAATTGCAGAGCTGGTGCGTTTGCGTCAGCGTTATGCTATCGGATTATCGTTGTACTTGCCAAGGACCTTGCAACGATTGCCTCTCTGGTATTGAAACCTAACTGCAACAATATCCATCGCCTTCTCTAACTCCCCCGCAGACCACCGTCCAGACGTTCGACCTTCGAAGCGTCCACTCCATTGTCGAGCGCCGCAAATCCAGCCCAGAACACGAGCAGGTTCGAGGCTACGCTTCTTCTCCCCTACCTGCGCCTCTTCCCGGGGCCCCTCGCGACGCCCTTCCGGACCACCCCGCGCACTCTCCTCCCAGACCGCAGCCATCTCGCCTGTCACCCCGGCATGGATCCTCCCTTCCTGTCAACCATCCCAGCTCCCCTCTCCTCGTCCCTCGGCTAGCCTCTGCGGGCTTCTCCGACGCTTCCCCGCAGCCGCAGCAACCGCCCGCATCCGCTCTCAGCCTCCGACCCATATCGCCTCCCCTCACCCGCACCTCCATCGGCGAGGCCCACCCGCCCGCCCGCACCCAGGCCAGCAGGGCCCTCCCTGCCGTTGACCCAGATGGCCCCGCCTCCTCGCCCCTCCTCACCTCCGCGCTACCCCCGGTGGACTACTCCTCTCGCCGCGCCGGCCGCCCTCCCAGCATGGGGGGCTTCCCAACGGGTGCTTCCCGCGGCTCAGCGGACGGTTCCGCCTTCTTCTTTCCCGCCCGACGCAGCACTCCAGGGGAGGGAGGCCTGCTCGCGTCGGCGGGCAAACGGAGCTCAGCGGATGGCAATCTGGGAAGTCTGGGGACCCAGGCTGGCTGGACGACGACGACTACGGATGCTGCAGGGGCTCCTACTGCGGGACTGTCCGGACAGCAGTACCAGCAGCAGCCCCCGCACTCGCCCTCGCAGCTGCTGCTGATCCAGCGCGTCACCGGTAGCGGCGGCAGCGCGACGCCCTTGCACCGCGGCAGCAGCCCGGGGTTCGTCAGCAGCGGCGGTGGCGGCGGTGGCGGTGGGATGATGCCCAGAATGGGCTCCCGGGATGCTGTAGCGGCTGCTGCTGCTGGTAGCGGTGTTGCGGGTGCTGCCGGGGCGCAGCACAGCACACCACTGGCGTCTCTGAGCTGTAGCCGCCCGTTGGAGGATGAAGACCTGGCGGCGGAGGAGGCGGAGCTGGTGCGGCTGTCGGAGGAGGGACGCGGCGTGGGCAGAGCCCCTACGCTGCTTGGTAGCGGTGGGGGTGGTGGTGGTGGAGGAGGAGGGGCAGCGCGTGGCGGGCGTACGGGCAGCAGTGGTGGTGGTGGTGGTGGCGCAGGTCCGGCGTCTTCGCTGCATGCGGGTGCAGCCAGCGTGCCGCCCATGCGGCTGGAGAGCCTGTCCGCAGACGTCCAGCAGCAGATGGGCTTGGGAAAGGAAGACGCTGGGGCGGCGGGAGGCGGAGGTGGAGGCGGCGGTGGCGGTGGCGTTAGTATGCAGGCGGGAGGTCAGCTGCTGCTGGGAAAGGTACGGGGCTGGGTGGGAGAGGGGATGGAGGGAGGGCTGGGCGAGGGAAAGGGGAAGGGGCGAGGCAACACAGGGCAGGGACGAGGGGGGGTGGTGCCGCTTGGGCGAGATGCAAAATCGATGCTACCGCTACGAACGGAGGCGAAGAAGATCATGCAAGGGTGTACAGCCGCCAAGCTGACTACACGAACAGAGCCAGCACGAACAGCCTAAGCATGCAGCCAGCAGCAGCAGCCGCAGCAGGAGATACCCCCCTCCTTTCCTCCCTCCTCGCTTTTTCGCCCACCTGCCCCGCCCCTCCCTCCTCCGCTCACCCTTCCCATCCCGGCACTCTCGCCCCTAGGAATCCTCTAACCCCCCGGCCTCGTCAGCATCTCCCTCGCGGCGCCACGCCTCGTTACTCGGGGCCGCCGAATCCGGCGGCACCCTCTCCCTCTCCTCAACCACTACCACTACCACCACTACTACCACTACCACCACTACTACCACTACCACTACTACTACTACCGGTAGCGCGAGCGGCTGCCCGCCCGTTTCCCGTTTCCTGCGTTCCAGCAGCCTCCTGCAGCCGTCCTCTCCTCCCTCCTCCTCCTCCCCGCTGCAACCGCCCGCCACCTACACGCCCATCGAGCCATGCTCAGCAGAGGCTCATGATGCCTTAACCGATAGACCCTCACCCTCAGATCGACTCTCCTACTCGTCCGTGACGTCAGAATGCTCAACGGCGGCGGCGCCGTACGAACCGCCGTCGGCGGCGCCGCCACGGCCTCCGCCGCCAAAGGCGCTGGCACCGGGGCCCCTGCTGCTAGCCCCCCCGCCCCTCCTCGCGTCCTCATATGACCCCTTGCTGACGTTTTCGAACCCTGCCGTACTCCCTTCCGTACACGCTCTCATGCATGCTGCCGTACAGCCGCTGATGGCGCACGGCATGCTGCCGTACAACCGGCGAAGCGCGGACGGCTATACCGGTACCTCGATCGCGCTGGGTGCCAAGGGGCTCCCGCCTGTGAAACCCAACGGCCACCGGTCCATTGGAATGGTACGTCTGGGGTGTTCTGGCCTGGTTAGTAGAGCGCATGGGAGGTCATTACGTGTTGAGTTGGGGAATGGTTGGCTCCACATTCCACAGAGAATGGCTCCACATTCCACAGAGGATGGCTCCACATTCCACAGAGGATGGCTCCACATTCCACAGAGAATGGCTCCACATTCCACAGAGAAAGTGTACCTGTCACGAACCATGGGTCGCGTTGGACCTGTGGGCGGGTTCTCACGCCTCGACCTCCGGAGTCTGACCCATGGATCATCTAGCCTCTCATTGCAGCTCCTCTGTCTCTGCCCGCCTCCTCCTCCGCACAGCGCACCGACGTCAACTTTGGCACGTTGGTGCGCGACGTGGCGACACCTCTGGTGCGGGGCTGGAGGGGCTCCCAACTTGCCGCGGTAGGTCTGTGTACGGTACGGCACTTGCCATGTGCCCACGTCCTTGTGTATAAAGTAAAGATGGATAGGGGCTGCTGGTCACAGCTACGAGTGGGGTTACGGGCCGTGTAGAGACGGCCCCCACCACCACCCATCCCAACCACACATATCCCAACCGCTACCTCCTTCCCCCTCGTACACCCCCCCTTCCCGCCTAACACCATGCAGCTCCCGACGCACAACGAGGTGCTGGAGGACGTGTCGTACGACAGCAGCAACGGCCCCGCGCCCCTCCGGGCTCCCCGGCGTGCCTCGGCACCCTACGGCGCAGCATCAGCAACAGCGGGAGCTGCTGCTGCAGGGGGGTGTACACATGCCGCTGCTGCTGGGGAGGCGGAGGCGGGGTTGCATGGGCCGCATGCGCAGGCGGGGTCGCAGCAGCGACCAGTGGTGACGGCAGGGGGCAGCGATACGGACGCCGGGAGAGCTAGTCGCAGGCCGCCAAAGGTATGTGTGTGAGAGAGAGAGAGAGAGCGGTTCGATCTCGTGCTCGTGCCAGCGCTACGCCATGCCATGCCAGACGCCACACACGCACACATGCGAACCTATCCCAACTGCTTGCTCTTGTTCTACTCATCTACTCAACTACACACATCCATGCCGCACACCCCGTCCCTGCCCCCTGAGTTGGGATATGGGATTGGGACTCCGTTGCTGCACTTTTCATATGTATTTTCCCCTCCCCCCCTCCCCCCTCCTCCTCAGCGCAACGGCAAGGAGTGGGACGCCAAGGGCGCCCGCTGGCGCCGCGCCAGTGCCTTCGAGTCCTCCGCGCACTGCGCCATCAGCCTGCGCTTCCTGCGGCGGCTGCTCAGCCAGCACGTGGTGCCGCTGGCGCAGAGGCTCAAACTGCCGCTCATGCAGGTGGGGTGGGGCCGGGGGGGGCCAAAGTAAGGAAACTGACGAGGCAACTGCCGGTAACGAGCTGTGTTAGAAGGCTTCAACACGGGGGGGGTGCAAAGATGGTGTTATTCTGCCTCCTGCCTCTCCCTCCCCCCCGCTCCCCCCCCCCAGGTCACCACTGCCATGGTGAACGAGCTGGTTGTGAAGCAGCTGACGCGGGAGGAGCAGTGCAGGCTGGTGGACGTGCCGGGGCTGGTGCCGATGGTGGGGGGGAGGGGGGAAGGGGAGGGCGCAGGAGGGGGAGAAGCCGCAGAAGTCCCAGTCGGATACCTGCACGCATCACCCGACCTACCCAAACCCTGAAATCCTATATTCCAGCCAAATTCAAAATATGCCTTCTTATGAATCCCTTACCCTTCCCTTCCCTCCCCCTAATTGGGATTGCGTTGTTGCACTTATTTATAATTTTTCCCCCTAATCTCCCCCCCACCCCTTTTCGGCTCGACTCACGGTTGAATCCACCAGGGATTGTCAGCTACTTGTATCAATATCACACCACACTTTGGAATTTCTTCCCCCCCTCCCCCCCCCTGCAGGAGGACGTGGGGCAGCCCGACTACTTCATCAGCCACGCCTGGTCCAACCCCTTTGCGCACCTGGTTCAGTGCGTGTGCGACCACCTGAGTGCGGCGCTGGACAGCACGCGCGTGTGGATCGACATCGCCGCAGTCAACCAACACCCCTCGGAGCAGCAGCAGGACGACCTGGCCAACCTGAGGAACGCAATCTCAAAATCCAAGGTACGACCGATCCGTCATACGGCAGATATTTGTTGAGATGGATGTGCGTGTGTTTCAAAATTGACTCAAAACGTAGAGGCACGGCAGTGTGGTGTGAGGGGAGGGCGGTGGTGGTGATGGTGGCTGATAGAAGGTGGACGGTGGGGAAGGATGTCCTTTATTAACCGTGTGTACCTACCTACCCACCTACCTGCCCCTCCCCATGCCCCTGCCCCCCTGCCGCCTCCTTTGCTTTGCCTTTCCCCCTACCTACCCCCCTGCCCCCCCCCTTGTTCAGGCCACGCTGATGTGCCTCGACGTGACGGGCGCCCCTCTGCAGCGCGTGTGGTGCCTGTACGAGTGCGACAACACCATCACGCTGCACGGACCCGACAGGCTGGTGCTGCTCACTCCCGACTTTAGTGTCAAGGTGGGGGGGGAGGGCAGGGAGGGAGGGGGGAGGTAGAAGATGTGTGGGGGGTGGCGGAGGAGGGGAGGCGTCGTGCTAGCTGCTGTGGTGGGGCGGAGGAGGTGGCGGTACGGACGAGGTGTTGGGGGTTGGGATGGATGCGAAAAGCGTAACGCCACGACCCCTAACTCACACCCCCACTCCCCCACTCCCTCTACTCCCTCTTCCCCCCCCCAGGACATGGCCTCCGTGTTCAAGTCCATCAACGTGTTGGAGGCGGGGGCGTACAAGCAGTCCGACAAGGACAAGGTAAGAGGGGAGGGTGCTGGGCAGGACGAGGGCAAGGGGGAAGCCCCAGCGCGACACGCAGCTGGCCGAGGAGGAGGAGGAGGAAATGCCCGGGGCCCTTCGGGACCTGCCCACGCCTTCTAGGAGGCACAACCCGCCGTCCCCCTTTCCCCCGGGGCACGCCCTGCTGCCCTCAGCACGGCCCTCAGCTCACTCTCAGCTCACTGCCCAAACCACCTTTTAGGGTTCTAGCCACCCTCCGACGCCGCCCTCCATCTTATAACTTCCGTCTTGGGCCCTCTTTTACCCACCCCCCTTCATTTGTTCCCCCCCAGATCCTGGATGACATCATCTCCCACCACGGCTCCCCCGCCGCCTTCGACACCAAGCTCAAGCTGCTGTTCCTGCTGGAGCCGCTGGACATGCAGCCGGAGCTGGAGGTGGGGGGGGGGGGGAGGGGGGAGAGAAGAAGAATACCCGATGGGGTGAAGCGGGGTTTAGAGTTTAGGGTTTAGGAAGGCAAAGGCGGGGAGGGCAGGCGAGCCAGCCCGCCCAGCCCGAATCTCAGTCAAGTTGGAACGATAAGAGGACGTACCAGGTGCTTCAATTATCCTTCCAGCCTGTTGCCATGCACCCCATGTTGCCATGTACCCATGCCCCTCCTCCTCCCTCCCTCCCCCCCGTTCCTCCCCTCAGTCCCTGCTGGAGGGCACGGGCGGGGCGCAGGAGTACGACTTCTCGCCGCTGCAGATGTGGCTCACCTCGCCGCGCTCGCCGCAGGTATGGAGTCTCGGTGGCACGGGAGGAAGGGAGGGTCGAAGTAGACCGAACCATAGGAGGGAGAGAGGGAGAGATAACGGGAAAGAAGAAGCACCATGCGAAGAATCCCCATTCCCTCCATCCCCTTTGCTTAGCCCTAACCTGTGGTTTTGGCATATCGCTGACCCCATTACCCGCCCACCCATTAGGTGTGTGTCGTCAGCGGCCCCGCGGGTAGCGGTAAATCCACCGTCTCCGCTGCCCTCTGCTGGGACGAGGAGGCGCAACGCAGGCGGCTGAAAGCCATGGCAGCAGGACACCTGCGGGCCTCCTCCTCCGCCGCATCCGCAACAACGGCCACACCTGCCACAACCACCGCAACCGCCACGCCAGCAGACCCTACCTCCTCATCACTCCCAACGCAGCCACAAGCACCTTCTTCCAGCCAAAGTGACCCACGGGTCACCGACCCAGGATCAACCGCCGCCCATCTGGGTCGACAGATCAGCACGCTGGTGGTTAGCGGCGGCGGCGGCGCGTACGGCAGCAACGGTAATAACGGTACTCCGTTGGTGCATGCGTACCATTTTTGCAAGTACAGTGATGTACGGCGGCAGAGTCCCATTCGCATTGTCAAGACGCTGGCGTATCAGCTGGCGCAGCGGCTGCCTCTGCTCCGGTCGTATTATGCGGGTCTTGATCTGGGTCAGGTGAGGTTTCGGTGGTGGGTGGGTGGGTTGGTAAAGTGGGATCTGGGTCAGCTGAGCTTGAGGTGGAGGGTGGTACGGTACCGTAACATTGACTGAGCCTCGTTCCGCGCTCCGTTTCCTCCCTCCCCCGCCCTTCTTCTTCCTCTCCTTTTTAACCCCCCCCCCGTTCTTACCCCCTCCCCCCTCCCCCACCCCCCAGGTTCAGCAGCTGCACCTGGCCTCCACCGCCTTCCGGCTGCTGCTGCTCAAGCCCCTCACCACACTGCTGCCGAGGGACGAACAGGTGGGGGCGTGGGCGCCAGGGGGGGGGGGAAATAGAACTAACCATGGGAAACCACGAATTAGGGCAGGAGAGTGGGGGATGTGGCGCCATGGGGGGGGAGGGAGGGCGCAACAGGTGTGTCACTCGGCAAGGGGGCACCACTTTGGTCGAGGAAACCTGCACGCTGCATGCCGCGCGTGTTTCTCCACTCATAATTAAGATGCATGAGCCGTACGCAGCGGCGCCTTAATTCCCAACTGCGAACCACCAACAGCGAACTGGCTTCCCCTCTCCCCGCCCCGCCCCGCACCTCCCTCTCCCCTCTCCCCCCTGCTATTCACATCCAACGCAATGGGAATCCTTCTTTCCCCCCCCCCGCCCCCCAGGTGGTGCTCCTGATCGACGCAGTGGACGAGGCCGACACCCCCTCGCAGCTGCCCCTGGACAACCCCGTGCTGCAACTCATGCTGCACCAGCTCTCCTGCCTGCCCCGCAACGTGCGCCTCATCACCTCCACCCGCTCCGCGCCCCACCTGCTCGCGCCCCTGCGCCGCAAGTTCAACGGCGCACTGGAGCTCACCCCCTCCATGGTTCGTAAACACGAAACCACGCTCACGCAGCTCAAGCGCCGGCTGGCGGTGCGGTTCGGAGCCGAGGCGGCGGGGGCGTTGGTGGCGGCGGGCGGCGGGGAGAGTAACCTGGTGTATTACAGCGTGGTAATGCTCTTGGAGCCGCCGCTTGGGGGGCAGCAGAAGGAGGGGGGCGAGGAGGAGGAGGGCGGGCAGGCGCCGAGGAGTTTGGGGGAGTGTTATGGGGCGGTGTTTGGAGCGGCGTGGCCGAGACTGACGGCGGCTCAGAGGGCGGAGGTGATCAAGGTGTTGCAGGTGAGGCGGGGGGGGTGAGGGGGGGAGCACGGTGGTGGGGGTTCAAACAGGAGCGGTCGTGTAGAGTCGCTGTGAGGGCGGGGTGGGGGGAAGGGTATAACTCAACAATCCTGCATCCCATACATACATCACGTGACTTAGCCGCCTCTCCATGGGCCGGTCCGGTGTACGATCGTGTCTCTCGTACGGCAGGGGGGGGCGTACCCGCGTACCCGCGCTGCTCCACATGCTGCTCTTTCCGGTCCACATGCCCGTTGCTGCCCCTGTGTATGTTGCTACAATCCTTACCCGGTGGTGTGTGCTGCCCTCCTGCGTCATAATTGCTGCCCTTCTGCATGTGACTTGCTGCCCCCTCAGGTTCTGATGGCAGCTCGGGAGCCGCTGCAGCTCTCCATGCTGGCCGGGCTGGGGCTGGAGCACGTGCTGCAGCTGCTGCCGGGGTGGGGCACCCTGCTGTACGAAAGGGAGTACAAGGTACGTACGACAGAACTCGTACGAGCATACCATCGTACACCATAAACGTTCTCCTACGTCCGCTTACGTGCCCGGTTTCCTATCTGAGTTGCATGCAGTAACCCCGCATTTCATCTTTCTCCCGCCCCCAGGTCTATACCCTGCACAAGTCGCTTCACGACTGGTTGTCCGACCCAGCAGCAGCGGGTGAGTTCCACGCCGACCCGCGGGTCGGTCACGCCACACTGGGTCGCTACCTCTTCAACGCCGCGCTGCCGCTGCCTCAGTACGGCGCCAAGTACCTTGTGAGCCACCTGCTGGCCTCGGGGGAGCAGCTGAGGGAGCTGCTGGACCAGGCGGTGACGGACCTGGACCACCTGGAGGTGAGGGGTGGCTGCGGGAGGGAGGGAGGACGAGTGCGGGCATGGGGGCAGGACGTTTTTGCCCCGCCTACCGCTAGTCCTGTACCGAGTCAAGATGGTACACAGCACATGGCCATGCAACCTCCTCCGCACGCAGGCCGTGTGTCGCGTGGGCTACGTCTTCCGCCTTCACGCCGAGCTCGTCTCCGCACCCGAGCCCAAGAGCCGCGCCGTGGCTGACGTGGCCCGCTGGCTGGGCCTCAACTCCCACGTGCTCTGGGCGCACCCCTCCGCTGTCGTACAGCTGGCCAACCAGGCGCCAAACACCTCGGCATTCATGGCGGCACTGCGCCGACCGCGTCGCAGCAGCACCATCAACACGGAGATCGTGGCGGCGGGAGCCGCCACGGCGGCTGTCGCTGCCGCCTCCGGCGCCGCAGGCGCCGGCAGCGGCGGCGGCTCCGCCGCCGCCGCGGCTGCCGCCGCGGCGGCAGCCGCGGTTGCCGCCTCCACCTCCCGCCCTCCCGTTCCCGTTACCCTCCTCAACAAGCGCCGCCTGTGGCCGCCGCAGCTCTCCATCCTGGCGCAACACCACCGCGCGGTCAACAGCGTGGCGTTCAACCCCGCGGGAACGCTGCTTGCCTCCGGCAGTGAGGACCGCAGCGTGCGGCTCTGGGACCCCCTCACGGGCGAGCAGAAGGCGGTGCTGTTCGGTCACCGGGGCCAGGTGCTGGGAGTGGCCTTTGCACCCAATGGCGCACTCATCGCCTCGGGTTCCGTGGACTCCACTGTACGGCTGTGGGACGCGAGTACGGGCGAGGGAAAGGCGGAGCTGGTGGGTCATGTGGATTGGGTGCGAGATGTCGCATTCGCGCCGGCGAAGCCGGCGCAGCAGCAGCAGCCTGACGGCGGCGGTAGCGGTGGTGGCGGCGGTGGCGCCTCCACCCCGCACCTCCTCGCCTCCTGCGGCGACGACAAGACTGTAAGGCTGTGGGACCTTTCCGGACCTGGACAACCCACGTTACGTGCCACGCTGGCCGGCCACACCGACGTGGTCTACTCAGTTGCCTTTGCACCCGACGGCGCTCTGCTCGCCTCAGGTTCCGCGGACCAATCCATCAGGCTTTGGGACACGGCCGCATGCCGCCAGGCAGGCCGAGCGCTCGTCGCGCACAAGTTCCCGGTAACCTGTGTTGCCTTCAGCCCCGCAGGGGGGCTGTTGGTTTCCGGCTCGCATGACAAACTGATCTACCTGTGGGACCTGCCGAGCTGCCGGGACAGCGGCGTGCCGTCGGGGGAGTTCGCGGGGCACACGGACAAGATCCTGAACCTCGCCTTCTCGCCGGATGGCTCGCAGCTGGTTTCCGCTTCCGCGGACGGGTCCATGCGGATTTGGAACGTGGGCAGTCGGCAGCTGCAGGGGGTGCTGTTGGGCCATGCAAGCGGGGTGGTGGCTGCGGCCTTTGCGCCGTGCGGCAACGTCCTGGCCTCCGCGGCAAGTGACAACACGGTGCGGTTGTGGGATCCGCGTATCGCATGTGAGGGTGGAAGCGTGGAGGAGGCTGCTGCCAGCCACATGGATTGCGTCACGTGGGTTGCGTTCAGCCCCAGCGGGGCGATGGTGGCGTCTGCGGGGCAGGACTGGACGGTGCGGCTGTGGGACCCCGAGGATGGGAGCCACAAGGCGTTGCTGCAGGTGGGTGGTGGGGATGTTTCCCGGGGTTTACCCGGGTTAGGGTGGGCTTTGGGGCTCCGTAACTACCGGCCGCACAGCCCGACCCTTGCTCTCCTCAAACCTCCTCACCCCTCCGCTTCTTCCCTTCCCAGCCCTCCATGTATCCCTATTCATCCCTCCCTCTCCCTCCCTCCCTCTCCTCTCCCCCTCCCCCCGCCTGCAGGGCCACACCGACGTGGTCCGCTGCGTCGCCTTCAGCCCCAGCGGCCACCTGCTGGCCTCCGCCTCCTCCGACTGGACGGTGCGCCTGTGGGACCCGCTGGCCAAGCTGGAGACGGGGGTGCTCACGGGGCACTCGGACCGGGTGCTGGCGGTGGCGTGGGCGCCCAGCGGCCGGCTGCTGGCGTCGGCGTGCCATGGCGGGGTGGTGATGGTGTGGGATGCGTTGTCGATGAATGTACGGCTGACGCTTAAGGTGAGGGGCTGAGGGTATGCAGGGAGGGAGGGGGAATGGGGATGGCGGGGAGAGTCACTAGGCTTTTGGGAGGCACCCGGAATACGGGATTTGTGTTTGGGGGACAAGAAAGACGTTTCTCTCTCCATTTCTTCGCTGGTGTGTCATGCGTCTTACGGCAACCCCTCCCCCTCCCCCCCCCGCAGGGCCACTCCGCACCCGTGCACGCGCTCGCCTTTGCGCCCAACTCCAAGTCCCTAGCATCCGCAAGCGCCGACCGAACCGTACGGGTCTGGCACACCACCCCCTCTCAACAGCTCCAACAGCCCTCATGCGGGGCCGACCCACCATCTCCGGCTGCCGCTGCTGCTGCCGCAGCGGCTCTCGTCATTCGCGGCCACGCGGGCGGCGTCAACGCCGTAGAGTACGACAAGAGCGGCAAGTTCCTGGCCAGCTCCTCCCTGGAGGAAAAGGCGGTGCGGGTTTGGGACCCCTCCACCGGTGCGCTGTTGTGCGTTATCGCAAACGCAGCACTTTGCGCTCCCGGGGCATTCTCCATGTATTCCCTAGCGCGCCACGCGCCCTGCGTGAGGGCGATTGTGCTGAAAGCCAGCGCGAGTGGTTGCGGCGGTGGTACCGGCGGAGGCGGTGGGTGTGGGAAATCGGATGGCGGCGGAAGCAGCAACGGAGGAGGACGGGGCAGCGGCGGCGGCGGCGTCGGAGGGACAGGGGGGCCCATGAGCCCTGCGTTGGGCCACATGACCTCCTTCACCCCGCAGCACCTGCTGCAACCCTCCATGACGCTGCGAATGGAACGAAGCTCCCAGAACGGTGGCGGGGTGGTGATTGGTGGTGGAGGCGCGTCGGGGGACTACGCGGGGTGCAACTTCAGCGGCATGATTGCGAGCGGCGGCGGCGGTGGCGGGGGGTTCGGAGGCGGTTTCGGAGGCGTTGGCGGGTGCGGTATCGGCGGCATGGCGGCCGTCCCTGGAGGTGGTTTGAACGCCAGCATGCGTATCAGCGCCGGCGGTGCTGGCGGCTTTGGTGGGCTTGGCGGCATGGCGTCGACTAGTCCTCGGGATGGCCCTGGCGGCGCTGTTGGAGGGGGCCCTGCGTCTCCGTCTCTGCAGGGCGCTGCGACCATGCGCCGAGGCAGAGAGGATGCGGCTGGGGGTGGTTGTACGACAGCCCCAAAGGCGGTTATGGAGCTGGTTTCGGAGGCGGATAACCCGATTGTGCCCATTTACACGCAGTTTGTGAGTCCCAAGTGTGTCACGGTGTACGGCAAACGGGTGGTGATGTCGGATGGGCCGCACTTGTATTTCTTCGAGTCGAATGAGGGCAAGGTGGTGGGCTGGAAGAACCGGGTGCAATCGGCGGTGCCTTGATGGTGTGTGGCTGGGTGCTCGTGTTGAGAGCTATGACGGACGCAAGGTGCGAGGAGCTGGCATACGGTACAGAGGTGCCGAGCTGTGTGTGGGCTGATGAGGGCACTGCGTAATGAGATGCGAGGTGTAGGTTGAGGTGGTTGTGAGGTGGGGTGTATACGCTATACGGATGCCGCAAGAGGAATGACTTGGCGAGGGCAAAAGCGGCATGAACCGGAACTAACAGGTGTTGGTACCAGAACCCAATCATTGAGTTGCTCGACGTGTTTGACGTTTGGCTGTGTGGATTTGACGTGTCTTCTGTTAGGACGAGAGGTTTGTTACTACTTGGCTAGGATAATGTATATGCTATGATTCGATCAATCGCTGTCAAACGTCATCCCGTCGTGAGATGACTCCAGGAAGGGCAAGGACGCCAGGCTAGTGCGCTGCAAAGGGGCGCAGTTAGCCGGGCAGGGGGAGGGAGTGGGAGATTCGGACCGAGGGGCTAAGGCACGTTATGTGTCGTACAAATAATGATGTGAAGGTGATGTTGGCGTGTATGTGAGCATGTTCCGTGCATATCTGCGTGTGTGGCCTGTTTGGCGTGCAGGGTTGAGCGGCGGCGCGCTGCTGCTGTGATAACTAACCGGGAAATACACTCAAGGAGTGGCAAGGCAGGATGCATGAGTGGCCGTTACAATGGTTCGCTAAAAGGGAACATGGGTGGATGGGCGGTAATCGCCCCGCGGTTCGGTCGTTGCCGGCTTGCTAATGAACAGGGATGTGCCTTTGCAAGTCGACAACGTAACGTGATGTGGGCTTTGTACATATCGTGCTGCTGCCGGCTGTGGCCGGAGATGTTGGCGAAAGCGACATCTCTTTTTCAAATTGTTTCATCTGCAGATGTATGTATATGCCCGTACACAGTCGTTACGGTGAGATACTAATGACCCTTTATGCTGCTAAAACGTTTGCCCTGAGCTTGCTAATTGTAGGCCATGAAACAACTTCGTAAGCTGTGTCGAACGACGCAGGCGGAAGGTGTCTTACAAGTGCCGTATACGTCAGCACATGATGTACAGCACGTGAAGTACCGATACTCCGCAGACGCGCTGTAACCAAACTGGCCTTCAACTAGTTATGTGCGCCACCCCCGTGATGCTGCACAGCAGGCTCTGTGTGCTGCACATATTGGGGTCTAAGGCAAAGGCCGCATGCGACCGGCCTGGAGGCATGTTAAGTACCTTGCCATGGGATGTTCGCAATGAAAATAGTAGCGAAGTAAGAATGCGAGTATTACAGCGGAGTCAAGTTGTGAAGTAAGGATAGCAATCGGGTGAGTTTGCTCGTACATTACTGTGTCAGCAACTCCCCCGTCCGACCATCGCCATCCTAACGTGTCATCCTCTGCATACGTTGTAGTAATTTGCGTGCGAGGTGCGCTGTAGATACTTAGTCGGCCTGTACAAGAAATCCGAATTGCCGTCCTCGCGCACAAACCAACAGACACGACATGAGAGGAACGCTTATACTCTACGTCAAACTGCCGACGATAGTCCAGATTATCAGGGTATCTTGCATAGACTCGTTACTGTCTAAGTAGAGGCTGGAACACAGCAGGCCTTGCACGCCAATGAGCTGGAGCGCTCAGCACCGAGCCCGTCTGGGTTTATATAGTCATAGTACAGTGTGTCGAGTAGTATCGTGGAGCACTAAACCTCTGAGACCCTGCCGGTTAAGGGTCCGGTCCATGGCGTCGTTAACGCTTGCATGCTCATCAGCATCCCCGTCCCAAGCTGGAGCTCCCTTCCAAGTCCTCGTCTACTGTGGTGAAGGCGCAGGGCATCAATCCGCACGGAACACCCTACACGCGCTCAAACGATGCCTTGCGCCGGGCGTTGAGGTGCGAACAGATGTCTCCTCATGCCTGAAATGTCACCAGACCGGCAATGCTATCTGTCAACCACCTTTGCCCACAACCCCTCCTCTGCTCAAATTTTCTTAATCACATCCTCATACTCACACAGGCGCGCTTTCTGGACACCGAGGAACTGCTCGAGGGTCGCTGGCGTGGGAGCTGCCTGCTGCTCGTGATGCCTGGAGGAGCTGACCTGCCTTACTGCAGACGTCTCAACGGCCGGGGCAACCAACTCCTAAGGGGTGCGTCCTTGTCGTTTACAGCTACATGCAAACCCCGTGGAAACACACATGTCGCTACCCACCTTTCTCCTTTCCCTATGCAACACATGATGTGGAGCCTTGTCACATTGCTAGTCATGTCCTGTTTATCCCTTCCTCCTTCTCTCCTTCCCATCCTTTACCCTCCTCCTTCCCTTCCCTTCCCTCCCTCTCCTCCTCCTCCGCAGCCTACGTGGAGGCCGGCGGCTCCTACCTCGGCCTGTGCGCGGGCGCCTACTACGCGTGCGGCCGGGTGGAGTTCGAGCTGGGCGGGCCGCTGCAGGTGGTGGGGGAGCGGGAGCTGGCCTTCTTCCCGGGCACCGCACGAGGAGCCGCGTACCCGGGTGAGGGGTTGGCGTGAAGGGGCGTGGGTGGGTTAAGGGTGGGGGAGGGTGGGTAAGGGTGGGGTATGTGCGTGTACATGGGTGTTGGGTGTACATGGGTGTTGCAGGGGTGCATGCTGCTGTATCTGTCGGCCGGAGCCAACTGGTCGAGGGGGATTACCAAGGGACTGCTATCAAAGATTTCAAAGTGCTTGCGGCGCGAGCGCTACCTTGCATGCATGCGTCCGCCCTTCCCTGTCCCCTGGTGCCATGAGCCCTTGCCCTGATCACACATCTTGCACCACATCAAACTCGGGGGTGGGGTTTGCGCTCTCCCTCCCTCCCTCCCTCCCATCCACACGCCCACCATCCCTGCCTCCTTCCCTCCCTCCCTGCCTCCAGGCTTCGACTACACCTCGGAGCTGGGCGCCCACGCCGCTCCCCTGCGCTTCCGGCCACCCAAGCTCCCTCCTCCTCCTCCAGCCCCCTCCCCATCCCCATGTACCCCGTCTTTCACTACTCCTAGCCAGGCACAACACCCGCACCACCCATGCCAGCCGCAGCAGCAGCAGCACCCATGCCAGCCGCAGCAGCAGCCCCTGAAACGGCAGCATCCACCGCATGCGCAGTCGATACCAATGCCCGACCATAAGGGAGGCCCCCTGCCTCCGCCGTGCCACCAGCAGCACCACCTCCACCGACCCATATCATTGCAGCTGCAGCAGCAGCCGGAAGAGGAGCTGTCCGTCGCTGCATGCCCCTTGCGTGTCCCACGGTTAGCACCTGACCACCTACACTTCGGCGACGCAGCAGCGGTGGCAGAGGTGGGTGTGCCGCATGCAAGCCGCCCTGCCAACGCCTACCCCGCAGCCGCATGCTACCATGCAGGCTCGTCACCGAGCGGGACCTGCAACCGCGGCAGCCCACCGGGGGACGCACCCCTTGATGACGCACCTGGGCCAAGAGGGCAGGCAGACGCAGGGCTAAGAAGAGGTGCGGGGCTGGCAACAGCAGCCGGTGGCGAGGGGGTTGCTAGCAGCGGCAGCAGCACTGGTGAGGGTTGCTGCTGCGGTGCGTTGCGAAGCAGCGATGTGGACGGCATGCGGAGCGCCGCCCTCACCGGAGGTTGCGGCGATGGCCATGCCAAGGCGGAGGTGGCCGGGGGGGACAGCGATGCCGGGCGCTGGGTGTTCTGCCGGGACTACTCCAATGGGGGCCCAGTCTTCGAGCTTGCGAGCGATATACCGGTAGCAACAGCCGCCACCGCTACTGCAGGCGCTAGTAGTACGGCAGCGGAAGCGGAGGCGGCATTAGGGCATGGCACGGATGATGCGCATGCAGCAGCAGCAGCCGCGTCATCATCATCCGCAGCCACCGCCTCCTCATCCCCAGCAGCACCAGCACCAGCAGCAGCGGTGGGGGCTGTGGAGGTGCTGGCGGTGTATCCGGACTTGGGAAACGCGATGGCGGCTGTCAGGTGCGCAGGCCAAGCCGGATCCGGCATGACGTCAGGGCGTTGGGTATCCCACATTTCTAAACGTGGGAGAGTGGGTGTGATTAGCTGCTTCCATCATAGGTAGGCACATTGCGTTTGGCATGGACCTCCTCCCCACCTGGTTCCTCCATTGGTTTGCCCTAATTCATGGTTTCCTATGGTTTGGTCTTTCTTTAGCCCCACCTCGTTCCTTCCCAAAACAACACGTCGCTCTCCACAAACAAAAAAACCAAACACACAGGTGTCCTGTGGGCCGGGGAGTGGCGGTGCTATGCGGTACGCATCCCGAGATGCCGTACGAGTCACTGTTGAATGCCGTATTGCCGTACGACGCACGACAAGCACGACACGTGGCGGCACTTGGCTCGGAGCTAGCGGCCTGGGAGCGACAGCGGCGGCAGTTTTGGATGGCACTGTTGTTGGCATGTTGTACGTCAAGCGCTGCTGCTGCTGCTGATGATCCGGGATTACCGGCGGCGGCGGCAGCAGGGTCTGCGGCGTCATCGTCGCCGTTAGCACTGTTTGGTGGCGTGTTGTCGGCAGCGGGAGTGGGCTGCGACGCTAGCAGGAGTGTGGAGGCGGTGAAGGCGGTGGGCGTGGCGGTTGAGCGACGATGAGAGGGTCTGTCAGGGCCTGTCGCAAAGTTGGGTGGGCTGAGAAGCAACATTTGATGAAGGTTGTTGTGTCGCCTTTTTGATATCAGGCCGTTACTCTTCCACCCTTCCTTCCTATGAATTTTGCTAATAATTGTACACTGTTGCACACCTCGGCTGATACCCGTTCATCCTTCTTCCCGCGTTTCCAGGCCGCTAACCGCCTTGAATAGTTTGACTCCACAGTCCACAACTAGCAGACAGTACACGCAAGAAAAAGGTTAAAGCTTGATGCCGTAACAACCCTGCGATGGCTGCTGCAGCTGATGCACTTTATGAGGGGGAACGCTTTGCGGTTGGCGACGACGAGTTAGTAAGCGAGTTCGACGATACAGATAGCAGTGGACATGACTTGGGTAGCCAGGATGGAATTCCAGGGCGGGAGGCCTCGAGGCAGCACCTCTCCCAGGCGGAAACGGACGCGGTGTCAACGCGCAGCAGCATCACCAGCACCTTTTATGCATCCTCTGTTGTTTCATCGTCAAGACCAGCTATAACGATAATCGGTGTTGCTGAAAGCTGCATCTCCGAGACGGCTGCAGGGCCAGACAGACAGGGCCGCGCGAACGGAGGCATCGCGAGCCGGGGTGGCTTTGCTTCTCCGCTAACAACCCACCAGCACCAGCAGCACGGACCTGCTTGTTGTGACAGCACTGCGAGCATCCCACATACCAGCAGCAGCAACGGCGGCCCACATCCCGACAGCTGCGAGCGAAGGCCCTTTCACAGCAGTGTGCACCTCGGCCAGCAGCCACAAACATTTTCAGTCGAGAGCACTTGGGCTTATCATCCTCCAGCACTTACAACTACCACACCATCACAACAACCGTACCAAGGGCTTCCTGCGTTGCCAGTTCCCGAACAAAGCGGACCGGGCGGACCCAGCACGCGACCCGATCCAGCTGCTCGAAGATGCCTGACCGCCTCCTTCACAGCGGAAGCCTCCTCATTCCCCTCCTCCTCCTCGTCCTCCCACCCGTCGTCCTTCTTCCCATCTGCCCACCCTCGTGTCTGGCAACACCGCAATCACCACCAACCAAACCAACAAACACAGCAACCGCAGCAAGCGCTTCAGATCGAAGCAGGCGGAGCCGTGCACGGAGCGCACACGCATCTTGGCTCAACAATCACAAGCCAAAACGACCCATGGGTCACTACCCCACCCGGACGCCATAGCAGCAGCAACGCCGCTGTTCCTTCCGCCATCATTAATTCCTCCCCGCCTTCCGCTCGCCTTCCTCCCGCTCCGCCCATGTTTCACCCGAACCAGTCCGCTGATTCTCCGCCATCGCAACCAGCGCATGCGACGCCTCCACGCCGGTCCTCAGCCCCCCATGCTGCTCCACATCAACTGCCGCAGGGGGCTCCCCAGCCCTCCGCCAGCCCATGCAGCTTCGGCAGCCCCTGTCCCAGCCCTCCTGCTGACTCCGAGCTACGCCACGTCAGCCACCGCAGCACCCCTGGGGGTCGCAGCGGGGGAGGCATGTACGACAACAACAACGCCAACAACAGCAAATCCATTACGACGGGCTGCTTTGAAACGTACGACAACGCATCGCAGGACCGGAAGCAGCAGTGGCAACAACAGGAGCAGAAGGAATATTTGCAGCCAGTATGTCAGCAGCGGTCGCCTGCTGCTGCTGCTGCTGCTGCGCCGCCGACGCCGACGCCGCTGCCGTTGGAACCGCGACGGCAGCATCAGTCGCCACTGCATTGGGTGGGTCTGCCACCGCATCAGCAACAACAGCGGCAGCAGGAGCAGCAGCAACAGCAGCAGTGGCAACACGATCAGCAAGACTACCAGCCTTCGCAATCCTTGCGGCCATTGCACCAGTCGCAGCAGCCGCAAGGTCAGCTGCACCAGCGGCCGCATTCCCCCACACCACCCGACACCTCCACCGCCACCTCCACCGCCACTGCTGCTGCTGCGCCCCTCCGGCAGCCAGCTGCTTCCCAACCGCACCCGCCGCCGCAATACAACGAGCGACACATTGAGAGTGACGGCCGCCCTGACCCACATCCCCATGCGCGCAACCACCACCGCCATCAGCAGCAGCAGCAACAACAGCCCCTCTTTGCACACCTTAGCATGCAAGGTAGCGCCGACCATCATGCAAGACCCGGCCCGGAGTTGGATCCGACACATGACAGTCCTGCAGCCGCCCCGAACGGCGCTGCTGCTGCTGCTGCCCGGGGCTATCCTGGGGGCCCCAACATGTACGGCATGTACGGCAGTGCTGGTGGCTGCAGCGTGTACGGCAACGGTTCCGCCGCTACCCGCGGTGGCAGCGGCACACCGTACGGCATGTACGGCAGTGCGTGCACTCTCCCCAGCGACGACAACGGCGACTGCGGTGCCGGCGGCAGGGATGGGGCGGGAGGCAGTGGCAGCGGTAGTGGCTGTGGCGATGTGGCGGCGGCTGCTCGAAGTCAGGGCGCGGAGCTGCTGGACATGGCTGGGCGGTGGATTAATAGCTGGCGGGAGCGGTGTGCGGCGGCGGAGGCGGCGGTGGAGGAGCTGGACCTGCAGGTGGGGGCTGGAGGAGCTATGGGGGGTAGGTAGGGGGGAGTTGGCACTGCAGGGAGTGGAAAGCGGGGCGGGGCGGGGGATGGGACGGGTGGGGCGGGGCCTGGGGAGGGGCTGTGAGCAACGTGGGGTGACCCCTCGCCTCTTCCTGCATACTGGTACTGATGCTGCCTTGCTCGCATGCATGCGGCCCACACGCCTCCTGGGATTCCTATCAGGTTCGTCTGGCTCGGTGGCGTGCAGCTGAGCAGGAGAGGGCACTGCAGGCCAGGGAGGAGGAGCGGGGCGCCGCGGTGGCACGAGCGGAGGCAGCGGAGCGGAGGCGGGAGGAGGCGGAAGGCGAGTACGGGTATAGCTGAAGACAGTAGTAAGGCTTTAGGAGGGGCAGTTTGCTTGGGAGGGGGAGGTGGGAAGGCGGGAGGGCAGGCGAAGGTGCTGCCCATCTCGTGTTGGGTGCGTATGGTGGTGGCAGGAGGGTTGCTGTCCGGAGGGATGGCTCTGCAAGGACCCTGCAAGGACCAGTACAAGGACCGCATGTCTAACCTGGGTGCCCCGCCCTCGGCAGGTGCTCTGGCGGCTGAGAGGGAGCGCGCGGACAGGGCGGAGGCGGAGGCGCGGGAGGCGGAGCAGCGGGCCGAGCAGGCGCAGGTGTGTGGTCTGTGCTGTGTTTGGAGGGTTTGGAGTCCTTGGGAGGAGCAGGAAGGGTCCGGGAGGAGGAACTCGGGAAGAGGGGGTCGTGGGCTGCGCATGTGGGGGCAGACAGGCAGGCCTGACGGTTGCAGGGACAAGCAACGAACAACGATGCGGGGGTGGTACTGCGGCGGGTAGGTATGAAGTATCGTACACGGTGAGGAAGGGTGGGTTGGTTGCCCATCTACCTATGTACTCGCCTTCTGTGTGCGTGCAGGCGCAATGCGAGCAGCGGGAGCGGGCAGCGGAGGAGCTCCGGAGGACGGTGGAGGCGACGGAGGTGGAGGCGCGGGCGGCAGTGGAGACGGCGCGGCGGGTGGCCGCTGTTGTGGAGGCAAACGTGCAGGTGTGTGAAGCTGTGACGAGCTGCCCACTGCTCTGTGTTTTTGGCTGCTCTTGGCCCTAGTCCTTCCTTCGCCTATCGCCGCCATGACCCAATGCAGGCGGCGGAGGCGGCAGTCACGCGCCTAACCGCCGTCGTCACGGCGGCGGAGGCGCGCGCATCCCAGGCGGCTGAGGATGTACGACAGCTGCAATCGGATCTCGAAAGCACTCGACAGGAGCACGAACGCGCGGCGGCGGCGCAGGCGGCGGCGGCGGAGGCTGCCGTACGGCGTGCTGAGGCGGCGGAGGCAGCTGTGGAGGGTATGGCGGCGGAGGCAAGGTCGCAGGCGGCGGCGGCGGAAGCGGCTGTACGGCGTGCGGAGGCGGCGGAGGCGGACCGCGTGGCTGCGGAGGGTACGGCGGCGGAGGCGAGGTCACGGGCAGAGGCGGCAGAGACGGAGGCGGTACGGCAACGCACGGAGGCGAGCGAGCTGAGAGGTCAGCTGGTGAGAGAGAAAGCGAAAGTTACAAGGGGGGCTGAAGAGAGAACCCACGTGGGGTGTACGAGAAGGGCACGACATGGGTTTGGGTTCGTGGGTTTGTATCCGGGACACCGCTTTCCCCGCAATTCATGCTTCCTCCACGTCCGCTTATGTGTGCGTTACATCGGGGTCCCTCCCTTCCTCCCTCCAAGCCCCCCTCCCTCTACTCTTCCAGCCTACAACAATTGGATACAGCATTCCCTAGCTGCATGCCACTCCCAGCCCCGACCCCGACCCCACCTGCCCAGGAGCAGCTCACCAACCAACTATCCTCCACACGCTCCTGTAACGCGGCACTGGCGGCGGCTCTTACGGAGGCGCGCGAGGAGCTGGCGGCTAAGCGGGAGTTGGCGGCGGAACTGCAACGAGAGGCGACACGGGCGGGAATGGCGGCGGCGGCGGCGCAGGAACAGCTGGCGACGGCGGCGGCGCGGGCAGCGGAGCTGGAAGCAGCGGTGGCGGCGGCGGCGGCACGGGAAGAGGTGTTGCGGGCGGAGATTGAGTCACTGGGAGCGAAGCTTCTGGAGGTGTGTACGACTGGTGCTGGTGCTGGTGCGCATTGCCTTGCATGGAACGCATGCTGCTGCATGCTTCCCCGCACGTACAGCCCCGCCGCCTCGCATTGCATGGCATACATCACCTCTTGGCGACTCGCCACCCCCGCTTGCCTCTCATCTCCCCCGCCCTCACCCCCCGCCTGCCACAGGCTGCTGACGAGACGACCCGCCTTCAGCACCAGACCGAGGCGGCGACAGAGGCCCTGCGAGGGCAGCTGTCGGGGCTGCAAGGGCGGCTGGAGGCGGCGGCAAGGCAGCTGGAGGGGATGCAAGGAGAGTTGGAGGCGGCGGTGAATCGCGGCGTGCAGCTGCAGCGACGTATCGCGTGCATGAGTGGACAGGTGGGACAGATGGGCGTGCAGGGCTGCTCCACCCACCTAACCCTGCCTCGTCAGTTTCCAGACTTTTACCTCCCCCCCCCCCCAACTTGTGGTTTCCTATGGTTCGATATGGTCTTTGAACCCCCCCCCCCCTCGCTGCACCCCACCCCATGCAGGAGGAGGCTCTAGCCGCCCAATCCCTGGACACCCTGGAGGCACTCGCGCAGCAGGCGGAGGCGGCGCTGCCTCGCTTACGACATGCCATCGTGGCGGCCAGGGTGGCGGCGGCGCGGTCGGAGGCGGCGGAGGCGGTGGAGGCGGCGACGTGTGCGGTGTGCCTGGCGGCTCGGCGAGACACCTTCCTGAATTGCGGTGTGTGAGAACTGTGGGAGGGGGGGGGGCAGCACACCTGCGCCTGTGGGTGCAATCGCTGCGAGTCCAATGCATGGCCGTCTCGGCACCTCTTGCACCTCGCTGCTACATGCATGACGGCATGCCGATAATACATGCCTGCCAAACAATACGTGTCTGTTGGGAACCACAGTAACACGCCCATGCATCCATTGTCAGATTATCACATGCCCGTCGAACTCGCTCCGACCCCGCCACAGGACACATCATCTGCCAGGACTGCGCGGAGCGGTTGGAGCTGTGCCCGCTGTGCCGGGCGCACATCAACCACCGCTCCCGGGCCTTCGTGTGATGGGGGCCGGCGGATGATACGCGGGCTTTCGTGGGTCGACGCGATGAGGGCTGGTGGCAAGCATGAGTGCATGGGGTGCACCTTGTCGCTGCGCCAGCCGAAAATGTGGTGTCATGATTACGCATTCAATAGAACGCGAGGTTATTGCCGTAACTTCCTGATGCTTTTGATTGTGTCCTATAGCCCATGTGTTGCATACTTTTCTGTACATCAAAGGTTGTTGTACATCATGGCTAAGCACCGTACGGGATTTGTACGGCAGTACAACCGTACTATGGACGAGTATTGGTCTTCTCTTCTCTTTCAAAATTGGGGATGCATGACTCTTTCTTCTTCACGTCGGCGACGATGCGCACACCCTTCATGCCCGCAACGAACCCGCCGAAACACGTTGTGGCTGTGAACACCGCTCCACACCCGTCTCTTCCTAAACCCAAAACAAGCTCTCCTTCTACACTCCACTCCAATGCCAACAGGCCTCCCTGCCTATGCTACAGCTGCCCAGCTGCAGGCAGAAAACGGCACGGCCGGCCCTTCCCTGTGGGACAACCCCTAGAGGGCTTGCACACCACCACTGCCTAGCGGGGGGCGCCCAGCATCCATCCATGCAGCTGCCCATGCATGCATGCATGCAACGACACAACACAACTGCCGCTGTTGCTGCCGCTACTGCTGCCCCGGTGTGTTAAAATAACTGATCGGTGTGTGTATGCTGCTGCTGCTACAGTCACCGCAGTCACTTACACCTTGGACCAGGGCTCGTTCCAGGGGAAGTACGGCACGGCCTCCTTGCCCGGGTTGAGGGTCTTGGTGGCCTCAATGATCATGGGCAGCACGCACAGCACAGCCACGGTGACGCAGGTCTCGGGACCCACGGAGGAGGTGTAGACTGGGGTGAGGGAGGGGAGCGGGGCGCAGGCAGGGAAGGTTTGCAATGGGAGGAGAAAGGAAAGCGTGTGAGGGCTGTGACCATGCCAGATGAACAGGCTGCTGTACACCACACCCCACGAGTGGATCCAAAAAGTGCTGCTAACGACCCATGGGTCGCCATCAGCGGCGGGTATACTCACTGTTGTTGTGGCCGGGGTCCGCCAGGTGGGTGGTCAGGCAGTCGATGGGGCCCTTGCCGGTCACCGCGGCCTGGGAGCAGAAGCCCACGAACGCCAGCATGGCCTGTGCCGGGGTAAGAGGGGGGCGTGTCATGCATGGAAGTGCGGGGGTGGGGGGACAAAAATTTAAGTATGTGAAACAACGGGTGGGGGGACGGGGACGGGGTCAGAGAGCAATCGACCCGTCTTGAAGGAAACCGCGAGGCGGCGGGGGGACTGGCATGATGGGTTCTGGGCTGGGCTGAGGTCCAGGAGCAGCGACCAACAGCTGCGCTCAGGGAGGGATGTGCTGGTAGCACAGCCGCTGCCTTTGCTTGTCACTCCAGCGCCCAGAGGTGCACTCTGGAGACCGGTTGTTCCCTAATTGATTCCGTTACAAAAGCAGGGGAGTTCCCCACTGCTCATCCTCCGCTGCTGCTGTTGCCGCACCTCCCCTGCTGCTGTCCACCTTCCAGCAGCCTCGTCGTCCCCACTTGTATGCCCCCGGGCCCCAATAGCATGCCACGGAACGCAGACCCAAAAATGAGCACGCGCGAAAACTTCTCATAACCTTCCAACAACATGCCCCCCCCGCCCCAACCAGCACGCTATTTTCTTCTTCTCCCCACCACCCCCCCACGCACCAGGCGGCCGTTCTTCAGCTCCCGCAGCTTCATCTCGGGGCTGCGCATGCCCAGCGGGTCGAAGGGGGCGAACGACAGCAGGCCGCACTGAGGGGGGGATGAGGGGAGGGGAGGGGGAGAGTGGGGCGACGCACATGGAGAGGGCGTTTTTGTTAGGTTAGGCATGCATAGAGACCCACGGGTCACTGAGTCACCATGGGGACCTGCGCCTGCGGCGTTCCCCTCTTCTCCACCCCCTCCAGCTACTGTCATCCATCCTCCAAACACCACACTAGCGCACACGCTCCCTAACCGCTAGCCTTTTCAGGATGCATCACCTGCTCACCTGAATCGCAGCCACGGCTCCAGTCCCAGCTACCCATAATCCACAGCTACCGGCCCCAGCACCCTACGACAGCTACCTGCCCTCTCCCGCCACTGCCCCCCCCCCGCCGCTCCCACCTCTCCGGTCTTCTTGTAGATGTCGTACCGCTTGGCCTCCAGCACCGCAAACACCGCCAGCTCGATGAGCGCCAGGGTGGGGGTGTCCAGCGCGTATTGCTGGTGGGAGAAGGGGGAGGAGGGGGGGAGTGGGGACAAAATTACATAATAAATGCGAACAACTAGAGTAGGGGGGGAGTGGGGGGGCATGGGAGGAGGCAGGGCATGGGAGAAGGGGAGGGAGGAGGCAGCAGCGGCCTATTGGCGGAGAGCTAGTAGGGGGGTATTTGAGCTGCTGCTGCTGATGCCGCTGCTGCTGTGGGGCTGCTCTGACGCCTAGCAGCTCCTTCTACATCGGAGTCATTAACGTGCCATGAAACCCGTGGTAGTCCGGAATGGATGAGACAAGGCCAAGGGGCCGTAGAGCTCCAATTTCAGCTCCCCTCTAGTAGAGCTAGCCGCAGCGGTGTGGCATCCGGCTGAAATCCGCTGCGAACACCCGCACACCAGCCAATCGCCAACCCCGGATGTAGCAGCTGAATGTTTCTTAGCGCTGCAAACCCAGTTGCAGCTGAACTGCTACATGTTGCGCAACTGCTATGTTTCACACCCCGCTTGACAAACGCACCTCAGCGCCAGCCAGCCAGAACTTGGGCAGGCCAACAGCATCCGTGAACAGGATGCCTGCAAGCAGCGACTAATTTTAGGTCAACCAACACGCTCGCTAACTTAATTTAGTACAAGCGCTGCTTACCAGCAACGGCGGCCATAGCCCAGCGGCCGTTGGTCAGCTCAGCCTCGCGGAACCACTTCAGCTGCTCGGGGTTGGTGCCCAGGCGGAGAGGGTCGAAGCTGCGCAAAAAAAACAACGCGATCGCTGAACATACTTATTTTGCCATAAGCTATAGTTAGCGTCTCTTTTCGCTAGCTTAAAGTTGGTGTCTTTTAATTTTCGCATGCAAGGCCGCTGATGCTGCTCTTTACTCGCGCCAGGCCTGAAATCAAGCTAGCTCACCCGTAGTCACCCAGCATGGTGCCATCCAGGTGCTTAGGGGCGGTGGCGCCAGGGTACCACATAGGGCGAGCAGAGGCGCTCACACGAACGGTGGCGCGCGCCGGGCGCACACCGGCGGCAACGCGAGTGCGCATCATCATGGTGGCCATTTTTGTTGGTTGTTGCGACTGTTCCCGGTCGAACACGAGCAAGCATAGAAAGTCAAGCTATACATCTGCCTTCATCGAATGTACGGCTGAGATTGTGGGCCCTATAAAGCTTGTTTGCAAACTGGAAGTTCGTCACACGTTAGACCTAAGCTGTGCGGACGATAGAACAGTAACTTTAATGTACATACTGGTTTGTAAATTACTCCCGCTTCGGCCTCCGAATTGTTCTGCTTGGCCTGCACAGCCACTCATGAAAACAACTTGTAGGACTATGGTCGCAACTTACAAGGTTTTGTGCCGAGAAATTTGCTTGCATCACTCCTTGATTGCCGTCGCTGTTCATGGCATATGGGTTACAACAACAGCTGATTCGCACGTGTGTTTAGACTTTAATGACTATGCTATTGTGACACAAGAGGCTGACACCAGCTAGCTAGAATTGCATGTCATGCATAACGGCATAATCTGTGCCTTCCGTGCGGTCGACCAGGAGCCTCGTTGCAACACCCACGCATCTGTCCACTCCACCTAGCGAAATACCTTTGCAATGGGTCCGCATTCCATAACATACAGTGTGCACGCTACCCTGATCTATTGCTACGCTAGCAGGCAATGTAAGCTCATATATCTCTATTCACTCCAAATGGGGACCTAAGCACCAAGTAGGACACTGCAAGTGCTACTTATTGCTTGATGCTGGTTAGTAGTACTTCGGAAAACGGCTAGCTGGTTAAGTGGTTATCCTGGCGACTCGCCAGCGGCGAGCTTGCATGGTTTCTTTTGGTTCCGGCGCACGCAAGGCATTTCGCGCGCTTTCCTGATAACACAGGCGCTTTCGCCATCACGACTTGCTCATGAAAGAAGCACCAGAAAACAAACTCAGGTCAACAGTAGCTGCGTATTATCCTTGCTTGTGCAGTGGCTCCATCCAACATGTTCGGCTTTAGGTTGAGGCGTAGTGGACGCAAGAAAACTGATGATTACACATGTGAAGAAACGGGTGTCGTAGAGAGTTCTGTCTGTGAACCAAGCTCCATGTTCAAGTCGCAATTACGCCGCGGTGTCGTAGCACTATTAGCACTTTTACTTTTAGGAGCAACCCTCACACCGCTTATGCTGTATGAGTGGTCTCCTGTACCATCGCATTGCCCTGTGCCGGAGCCTGTGCGACCGGTCGAGGCCAAGCTGGTTCCTACCTACCATGGACCCGCAGGTGCGCGATTCCGGCCTCACTTCGCAGCCATTCACTACCGGGGCCCAAGCAAACCAACTTCCTCGGCACGCACCCAACACCTGGAAACGTCTGCTGCCGAAAAGGGGCTTCCCTTTCCTTTCCTACACCTTTCTACTCTTCATACCCTCCTCCTCCCCTCCTCGTCCCTCCTCCCCCCGACACACACACGCACACATACACACACGCCCCTCCCCGCCCCACCCTTCCCTCCCAGTTGAATTCCCCGATCGCTTCACGCTGGTCCTCAACTCCTTCCGGCGGCCGCAGCTGCTGCAGCGCGCGGTGGCGCACTACGCGCAGTGCAGGAGCGTGGATGCAGTCAGGGTGGTGAGCGGCGGGGGGCGGCAGGGGGCCGGGGAGGCAGGCAGGGGAGGGGAGGCAGGCAGGGGAGGGGAGGCAGGCAGGGAGGGGGTCAGAGTAAGAAACCAATCGCACGACATGCTTCACCATGGGGAGTTGCATGAGGGGGCCCTTCCTCCTGTTCCTCTGCTCGGGGTGTTGCTTCTTTCCGGATACCTATCTAGTCGCGTGCTGAAGAGTGAAGAGGATGAAACACCCACGCACCCGCAAGCCGCCGCGGCCAGTTATTTTAACACACGCCGGGCCCCCGCAGATATGGTGTGAGGGCGGGTTGCCACCCACACGCGCGGAGGCGCCGCAGTACTACTCGGACGTCAAGGAGGTGCGGTACGACATCGTGAGTAACTCCTCACTCAACAACCGCTTCTGGCCGTTGGAAGGTAACAGCGGAGAAGGAAGGGCAGCCAGCAGGGCAGGGCAGCAAAAGAGGGCTTACGGGGATATAGTGGCTCCAAGAAGCCCTTGTGCTTGCATTGTTGGATGCTGCTAGAGACTCACGAGGCTTCGACGCCATGTTCCGCCTAATGATTCCGCCTCCCGAGATGCAAAACATACACATCCCAGGTTACTCGTTGTTGGAAATGACTATACGACTGTTGGCGGTTACCCTCCTCCCCTAACCCTCCTCCCCTACCCGTACGTGTGTGTATGTCGTACTCAGGTCTCCGTACGGAAGCGGTTTTGAGCCTGGATGACGACATCCTAGCGCCCTGTGAGGTGCTGGACGAGCTGTTTGCGGTACGACACATTGAAGGGGGCCTGATGTGGCATGACTAATGAGGGGGGAGACTAATGGGGGGGGGCGATTTCAAGGGGAAGGAAGAGGGGATGGGGAGGAACGATGGGAACAACAGGATGGGGGAATCGTGCACACATATCGCATGCCTCTGACGCACACCAGCCGTCCTCCTGCTCACCCTCTCCTCCTCGCCTTCCTCCTTGCCCCACTCCCCTTTCCCCCCCTCTCACACACCCCCTTCCAAAGCTCTGGCGACGTGACCCGCATAACATGGCCGGCTTCTACCCCCGACTACACGTGCTAGACAAGCAGTGCAGGTGTGGGGGCATGTTGGGGGGGCACGGTGGGTGGCAGACATGGGGCCATTGGGCCCATGCAGGCGGCATGGGTGGGTTGCATGGAAGGCAGGTGTTTGTTGACAGTTGACAAAAGACACCCGCGCGGTGCGACACGAATGAATGAACGGCTGATGATGGGACGTTTGGGAGGTGTGGCGCAGGCCTTTCTCCTAAGCACAGGTGCTGAGCCCTCCCCTCCCGCCCCTCGTCTCCACGCGCACCCCTCCGGGGGTAATCTCCTCCCCCCCCCCCAGGTACCGCTACCTCCAGGGTTTCGGCACGCTTACGTGGCACGGCGCCTACAGCCTGGTGCTCACCAAGGCGGCCATGCTGCACCGAGGTGGGGGCGCCGGGGTGGTGGGGGGAGGTCCGTGGGTGGGTAAAAATAAGGAAAACTGACGAACTGGATGACTGGCCCGTGGTTGGGGGAGAGGGGGCTGGAGGTGAAGGGGTTGGTTACTTCCGCACTAGGCTGGATTAGGTGAGGGGCGGGCCGGGCTGGGCGGGGAGGGGACATCCACGTTGAAGCCACCAATCAACGACTCCCTCACGAACACTCGCCACCAACCGCCGACCTCCCCCAACCGCCCAACCAACCAACCAACCGCCACCAGACTACCTGGAGTACTACACCAACCACATGGATCCCGCCGTACGACAGCACGTGGATGCCGTACACAACTGTGAAGATCTGGCCATGTCGTTGTTGGTTGCCTCGGCTACCGCGCGTCCGCCCGCCTTCCTGCACTCCCCCCGAGTGGTGGACCTGGGGAAGGGGCTGCTGAAGGTTAAGGGGATCAGCTCGGGCAAGAAACATGGAGATGTGAGTTGACGGGGGGGTGGGGGTAGATGGGGAAGGGAGAGGAAGAAGGATAAAGAGGAACCAACCAGCGAAGGGGGAGGGAAGAGGGGGAGAGTGTAACCTGATTGGGGAGTTACATGGGGGGATGAGGATCACGTCACCGCCACCCGCCCAACTATTATCCCACCCATCCCACCCTGAGCGCCTCCCTTATCTATACCTCTACCCTTACGTCCCCTCATCACACCCTGACTTGTGGTTTGGTCCTTCTTTGCCCCCCTCCTTTCCTCCCGCAGATCCGATCCGGCTGCCTGAGCTTCTTCGCCGAGCGGTACGGCGGTGTGTTGCCGCTTGTGGCGACCAGCCTATCGGAGGCGGCCGCAGCGGGGGCGGCTAGGGCGGCAGCGGGAGGGGGCGGGGCAGGGAGAGGAGGGGAGGGGGCAGGGGCAGGAGGGGAGGCAGGGGGAGGGAAGGGTGGTGGTGGTGCGGCTACGGTTGCGTGGATGCGGTTGAGTCCCTTCACGGATGCGTTGTACAGCCTGGCGTCGGGGCACATCTAGATAGGGCAGTAGAGGGGAGGGAGGCGGGGGAGGAGGAGGAGGAGGAGCTTGCAGCAGCAGGGTGTACAGCGGGGTCTGTGAAACACAGGGTACACAGGGTGGTGTCGCGCTGCTGTGCTGTGATACACTGCTGTCCTGTCTGCATGCGGACTCCTGCCTGGGCTCCTGAGCGTGTGATGTGATGTATGTGTAAGAGGGAGAGGGAGAGGGGGTTCAGGTAAAGTGCGCCGCGAGGAAACACTGACCGAGGGGGGGAGGGAGAGGGGGGCATAACACGTGTCTGTCTGTTGGTGCGGACACTCGCGCCACTTACCGGTGCTGATGGATGCATGAATGGATTACAGGGCCGGTGTATCGAGGCGACATCAACAGCAGCTAGCAGCATGCAAAGCAGCATGCAAGGCAGCTGCTGGATGCGTGTGAGACCAAGGAAACGTTAGGAAACCTTGAATTACACACCTAAAAGCCGTCACCGCCGCCGCTTTTAGTCACTACTGACGCCAGGCACTACACCACCACCGGGAACCGCACCACCAAAAAACGCACTGGCTAACCGGCCACCCCTACCCATCTCCGATTAAACGTCAACACCTTCTTCTAGTAGCACCCCCCACTCCAACTACCGCCTGCTACCTGCTACCACCTTCCCCCCTCGCTGCCACCCTCGCTCTGTCACCCCCTACTCCCCCCCTCCACCTCCACCTGCCCCTGCTGCCTGCTCCCCCCCTCCCTCCCCCCCTCCCTGCCCTGCTGCTGCTGCTGCTCCCACGCACTCCTGGCCGCGGCCCCCAGCTGCGTGATCCGCGGCACCAGCTCCTCGTACAGCGTCCACACCAGCGCCGTCTGGGTGGTGCGCTTCAGGATGCGAGGGGCGGCACCTGGGGGGGGGGGGGAGGGGGGTGGGGGATTGGGGAGGGTTACCATAACTGGCCGCTAGTCGGGGAGTGTATGTCCAGAAATCGGGGTGGGTTATGGGCTGGGAGCGGGGCAGGAATACGGGGCTGGACCATACACGGTGGCCGCCCTGTGTTCCCAACCCCCGGGTCCCTGACTCCCCCGTCAGGAGAGCAGTACAGCACATAACAGCAGGACAACAAGGACCGCGACATGGATAAACGGGAACCCGGGTGTGGCCACATTGTCTGTCTGACCCATGGGTCCATCCGCCGACCCACTGACCCACGGGTCTGTATACACCCAGGGTCCACTCACCCGTCATGAGTGCGCGCGGCCCCTCTCGCCGTAACGCCTCCAATAGAGTTCCCCATGCCCCCGCTCCCAGTGCTGCCGCCGCAGCCGCAGCGGCCGCCCTCGCTCCCGCCCCCGCCCCCGCCCCCGCCGCCCCTGCCGCTACCCCCACTGCACTCGTCCCCCCTGCCACCGCCCCAGCCGCTGTCACCGCCGCCGCGGTGCCTAACCCCAGCTGCATGCGTGTACGAACAACGTCCGCCGGCTGAGTCAGCAGTGTCGCCGCCACCGCCGCCGCCACGCCGCTTGTGAAGTTGACCGCGGCCTGCGGTCGGCCCTCGCCCGACAGCCCCTCCTTGAGCCGGGTGTAAAACATGTAGTAGAGGGCTGTGCGGTGTACGGGCGGGGGCGCAAGAGGGAGCAACGGAGAATGGGTGGGGCTGTATGTACCGGCATATATATACACATCTGAGACAGACAGACTGGCAGACCGCTCAGACCGACAAGCAAACAGTCTGAAGGGTCCCGCCTGCCACGAAACCGAAAAACCCAAACCACACCTGAGTACGGCGCGTTGGTTAGCACCGTTGGCCACACGCCTTGGAACAACCCTCGCATGCCCTCCGTCCGAAGTATGGTTGAAAGCGCGTGGAAGGTATCTCGGTACACCGGTATCCCCGCTGGGCCCACCGCCGCCGCTGCCCCCGCCGCCGCAGCACCAGCAGCTTGCCCCGCTGCAGCTCCGGCTGCTGCTGCTGCTGTTCCCGCGGGTCTGGAGACCATTACGGCAGCATCGGATACGTACTCCATGCGCGTCTTCACGACGGTGACCGGGCACAGCAGGATGGCGGCTATGGCGCGAGACACGCCTGGGCGGAATGGGAGGGGATGGGTTGAGGGGGAGATGGGTTGGTCTGGGTTGAGCAGCGGGGAGAGCAGTGTGATGTGGGCCTTACCAACCCCTCCCTTCCCCTCCCTGCCCCTTCCCTCCCCCCCTCGTTTTCCTTATTTTTACCCCCGCTCACCTCCCGCCAGTGCCGCCCCCGTGTTGCTCAGGTGCGACTGCCCCGCGGCGGTGGGGGAGGGGGTGGACAGCAGCCACCGGATCTGGAGGGGAGGCGGGCGGGGTGGGAAAAGAAGAAGTGGCGGGGAGGAAGGCAGGTGGGGAGGGGGGTGAAGGAACATGAAGAGGAAGAGGTGGGTGGGGTTGGAGGAGACAGATAGAACCGGCAAACCGGAGAGCAGCGGAGATAGAGGCCGTGCACAAGGTGTTGTATTCTTGGATGCGGTCTGCTGTGATGGAGAGGCCTCAACACGCAGCAGTACGATACAATGCACGATGCGCATCTGGGGAATGGGGTAATGCTGCCGCTCACCACCCTCCTGGCCCGTCTGGGGTAAACCATCCAAACCAGAAGGTAGGAGGGCACCCCTGTATCCCTGCATCCCTCCACCCCCCATGCACCCCCCCCCCATGCACCCCCCCCCCTGCACCCCCCATGCACCCCCCCCCCTGCACCCCCCATGCAACCCCCCCCCTGCACCCCCCATGCAACCCCCCCCACCTGCACCCCCCCCCACCTGCTCCAGCAGCACGAAGTGCAGTCCCGCCCCTAAACCCACTCGGAGCACGGAGGGGCCGGTGCCCGCCCACAACCCGCGGACGCCCTGAGGCAGGGGGAAGGCAGGGGGGTGGGAGAGGGGTGGGAGAGGGGTGTAGGGGGAGGTGTGTGGGGTCGTGGGGGGGGGACATGGTCGCCCCCGGGGGGTGCGTTGTGGTGGTTTAGATGGCGTGTGTGTTTTGACAGAAGCGGCTTTTAAAGAGGAAGAGGAAAATGAGGAATGGAGTGTGTGTGAAGGGGAAGGCAGGAAGAAGGTGATCCCAGGAGGGGTCCGAGTGTATGCCTCTGACCCATGGGTCAAACTCCTCCCTCTTTCTCCCCCCCCCCACACACCCACCTGCTCCGAAAGCACGACCCCAGCGGTGGCTAGAGCCCCCCGCACCACTCCGCGAGCCGCGTCAGCCTGCATCTTGGTTCGTACGACATCTAACGGCTGTGTCGTACGTACCGCACCGCACCCGGGGATGATGAGGTAAGATGAGATGAGCATAAGTATACACACGCACCCGTGTGTATGTGTGTATGTCGAGTGAATGGTGTGTGCCGTACGGGCAAAACCAGCGGGAGGCCGTCGTACCAGCAGTCGCAGGAGCGGCGGCGGTAGCAGTGGAGGCCATAGCGGGGGGTGAAAAAAATTAAATAAGTGCAACAACACCGGGGGTTGGGGTGGATGCATGGGGGGTGCGAGGGAGGATGGAGAGGAGGGGAGAAAGGAGGAGCATGATCAGGCTGTGTAGGGAATATAGGTGGAGGGGTGGAGAGAGAAGTGCTTCGTATCCAATCCGTGTCTAGGTATCAGGTTGCCCCCTTGTTCGATAGCAACCCAACCCAAGCAATCCGAGCAATCCAAGCAACTGTGTCGGAGTGATGATGTGGGTTAGAAGGGTGCACTCGGTTCCCACCTGCACGCAAGCGCTGATGAGAGCGCCAGACAGGGCGCCAGATATCGCCGAGGCGAGGGTGGGTGGTTTCTTGGGGCGTTTCGCCTCGGGCTTCGGTTGCTGCTCGACCTCCGGGGTTGCATCTACTACAAGCGGAGTCGTTGAAGCAGTTAGGCTAGGTGTTGTTGGTCGGGCCATGATGGTTTGCTGTTGGTTCAGCTTAGCGAGAGGATGTTGAACATTGACGGACGGCAACAAAGGAGCAGCATAAGGTGTAACCCAGTCCACATCAATAATGGATGTATAGGTGATGGTATAGTAGTATACCGTTGTCTAAGCTAGTAATGAACAACCCTGCGATCGTCGTATGCCGACCGTAACTGGTGGCATTCTCAACTTCGCAACGAAAGGCAGGATTAATGCGGAATTCAGTATCCCTGAACAAAAATCAATTGATTTCACACGTTAAAGCTCACCAATTGCCCAACTAGCGTAACTTAGCGCCGCCGAGTCGTTGCAATGGACCGATAGGTGCAAGATCTATCGGATCCACTAAGACGAATTGCCAAGAAATGCTGCTACGGAGCTACAGTAAAATCGGCGGGCCTGTAGGGAGCTTTCCCAAGCGGCGGGGCTTACCCATTCTTAAGGTGAGCTCATCGTCCGCGAGCTTCCACGCATCCCACACATACATAACCAACCACAACGCTGTTTCACCTTCTCGAGCACACGAGTTTACCCTCCATCCGCGCCAGATGAACTATTCGGATTTGGGCCCAGGCCCAAGCATATGCCATGGCATGCCCCGCACCTCGCTGCTCGCGTGCTTTCCTCCTCACATGCCTCTACATGCATTCCCTCTACCCTACTCATCTCGCGTCGTCTTATCCCATGCCATCTCACGTACTTGCTGTTTGCTGCCCTAGCAGCGCTCGCACGACCCTGCACCAGCCCCCTCATCTCCAAGCTGAATCCCCTTGCTGTCCACCCGTTTACCCCCCACACCTCCCCTCCTACAACCCACATCCCCACATCCATCCACTCCTTCTCCCACGTTCCCCTCCCTTCCCCTTCCCCTTCCCATGCAGGCTACCGCCCAACCCATCTCCCTTCCCTTCTCGTCCTCCTCCTCCTCCACCACCAGTCCAAGCTACCGAGCCATCACCACCGCACCCACCTTCACTCCCGCCACAACGCCAGGACCCCAGTACGATCCCGGCCCTCCACAGCTGCTGGGCCGCCGCCTCACCCTCAACCCCTTGCATGGCCTGGTTGCCTGGTTAGGCCCCGCAGAGCAGGGGGGGCTGCTGGGGCGGGCGGATGTGGCGGCGGCGACCCTGTTCGACCGGGCGCCGGTGCTGCAGCTGGCGGCGGCGGTGGCGGCAGCGGCCTTGACATACATGGTAGGTGTAGGGAGGGAGGGGCAGGAGGGAAGGGTGCGGTGTGTTGTGGTGTGGTGCTGACCGTTAGGCTGACCGTTAGGCTGACCGTGTGGCCTGCAACCGCTTTCTACCTCACGTCCTGTGAACCGCCTCCCGCTCCACCCGCCTGCCTCTCGTGCCCCGCTCACCCCTCCTCCTCCTCCTCCTCCTCCTCCTCCTCCTCCTCCTCCTGTGACACCGCCCACCCACCCACCCAGGGTCTGCACCCGCTCAGCCTGCTGCGTTGCGGCCTGCCCTCCCCGCTGGTGGGCTGGCTGGAGTGGCGGCTAGGCGAGTGGGCGGTGGGCGCCTCCGCCGGCCTGGCGCTGCTGCTGGGGCTGGGGGTGGCGGGGTGGCAGCTTCGGACCTGGTCAGCTGCCCAGCTGGCGCTGCTGGGGGCAGATCAGCCGTTGCCGCGGGGGGGGAGCCCTGCGGCGGCAGCGGGCGGGGCTGCTGGCAGCAGCGACGCAGCAGCTGCAGGACCAGCAGCAGCTGTAGGATCAACGACAGCGGAGGCTTCCACCTCCTCGACCTTTTCATCAGCAGGGCCCTTCAGCTCTCTGGTGCCTGAGCCGTTGCGCACAGCGGGCGTGTTTGAGGAAGACTGGAAGCACACTGACAAGTAGGAGTCTTGGTTTGGGAGATGTTTGGGGGATGTTTGGGGAATGGGAATGCAGGGGGCAGGAGTTAGGGGCGGCGGGTGTGGTGGGAGTTGTGCAGAGAGGGGTTAGGGAGCCCCGGGCAAGCCAGGGGTTGCCCAAAACAGCCATTGTTGCTGCAACCTAATTCCCTCCCCCTGGCCGCAGGTCCTGGCTGCTCGTCATCCTGCTAGCGCGCCTCGGCACCCTCCTCACCGCCGCACACTGCCTCCTCACCGCCAACCCCGCAACCGCAACCGCCGCCGCTACCTTCGCCGCCGTCTGCTTCGCAGCTTCGCTGCTACCCGCCGCCATCCCACACGTCCGCCAGCTCCTCGCCGCGTCGTCGTCGTACGGCAATGGCGGGGCAGCCGCCGCCGCCAAGCTTGCCGTACCGTTGCTCGCTGCTGACGTGGCGTTCCTAGTCGCATTGGCGCCGGCGGCGCCGCCGATCGCTCGCGCCGTCGCCGCGGCGGCAATGGCGGCGGGTCTGGCGGCTGCGGCCATCGCCGCGGCGGCGTCGCCGCGACTATCCGGGTTACGAGCTGCCGCCGGCGACGTGGCGACGTTTCATGTGGTGCTGCGGTTGCCTGCCAGCGGTACCCTGATCGATACCACGTGGGGACATCGGCCCTTGAGCGGCGTTGTGGGCGGAATGCTTCAAGAAGAAGGAGGAAAGGAAGCAGCAGCAACAGCAACAGCAGCAGCGGCGGAACAAGACCAGCCGGCGGGTGTCGGCGCCGCTATCGCCAGCGGCGGCAAGCCGATGCATGCCGGCGGCGAGGGCGATCCGCAGGCTCGTTTCCGGCCGTTGGAGGCGCTGCTGTCCGCTGTCGTACTCGAGGGGCTGTACCTGGGGGAGCGGTGCAGCCTCACGCTCTCTCCCGACGACTTCCTCTCACTTGCCGCCGCCGCCTCCTCCTCCGCCTCCGTCACATCCTCCGCCTCCGCCTCACCATCGGCTTCCTCATCCCCTCCCGAGGAGGAGGCCGTCACTGCAGGGGACGGGGATCTGCCGCTGTCACCCACCTCAGTGGAGCTCTTCCACAACCCCGGGCTGGTTTGGTGGCAGTCACTTGATGACCTGCACCGCAAGATGGGTCTGGGAGCCGTCGGAACAGCGGGCAGCAGGCGGGATGAAGATGAGGAGGAGGCCGAGGAGGAGGAGGAAGGAGGCGATGGTTCAACTTCCTCTAGCACCAGCCCTAGCACTAGCAGTAAGATCACAAGCAGCAGTAGCGGTAGCAAGAGGAGTCCTGTACGGCAGGGCGATGTGTTTTGGTATCCGTTGGGGGGCCTGGTATCGGAGCTGGGTTGCCGGCGGCTGAGCACGCATGAGGGGGCGGGGGGGCAGCAGCAGGCGGGCAGGAGGATAGCGGGGGCGGACAGCTGGGGCCCGGTGCGGGTTGCGGCGGTGTCTCCATGCGGCCAGTGGGTGCAGCTGGATGGAAATGTGGGGATGGAGATGAGTGGGGAGGCGGTGGAGGTGGAAGTGGAGATTGTGGAGCTGCGAAAGGGGGCAGGGCGGCCGCGGTGAGGGTTTCTGAACTGGCGTGTTGTTTGGGTAACAAGAAGTAATTTGCCTGAATGTATGCCGTGACGGGCGTGTGAGGGTTAAGAGTTGAAGTGGCGCGATTAAAATGTCTACTGTATCGGCTTGAGGAGGAGGCGTGACCCATGGGTCGTTTCTTCGGTGTCGATGGGCCTCTCCATCCATACGGTGTCCACCAGGAGCCCCATTGCTGAGGTGTGATTGGTTTGGTACACGGCGAGGGGCTGCTGCAGCCTGCAACAGCAGCAGCAGCAGCAGTGCTCTTACGGTACACTTCCCCTACCTCTCATCTCTCCTACAGAGAGATAGATTTCACGTCCTGTAGCAACACCGGCAAGCGGTGACACCATAATGAAGCTTCGCTGGCAGTCCTTAAAACACAGTTATATCACGCGTTGCCCGAGGGGATGTACGCCGTAAAGGGGATCCGTACGCTGCCCCTTGCCGCCTATGCACATATGCACGCATGACACCTTGATAATTGGCACGGACAAAGTACGTCTAGTGGGTGGAGAAACCACGATGTACTTGTAGTACTCAAGTCGCTGATGACGATAGCAGTGTGATGCATGCGCGCATGCAGGCAGGCAGTCCACAGGCAGCACCATGTCTATACGTAAGGCACCACGACCTCGCCCCCCCTGCGCCATACACCTGCCCGCATCGTCCCCTACCTTCCTCCTCTCTCCTCCTCCTCCTCCACCTCTCCTTCACGCTTGCCTTTCCATGGCTACGAAATACCAGTGGCCTTGTCCCCCTCCTCCTCCCCCTCCCGCTCACAGCGGCAGCGCCATCACCGCCTCCCGGCTCCAATCCGACCTCAGCACCAACACCCCCCGCACCTCCGCCGCACTCAACCGCCAACTAATAACCCCCCCACCCCCACCACCTCCCTCCTTCTCCCCTCCTCCTCCTGCCCCGCCTCCCCCTGCCCCACCCCCCTCTCCCCCCCAGTAATCCAGCAGCTCCTCGCAGCTCTCCAGCCCCAGCAGCACCGCCATCTGACTCAGCCGCGCCAGTCGGTCGCGCACCGTGCGGCTGGTCAGCTCGCCCAGCCCGCCCACCAGCAGCCGCACGTCCCGGTCCAGATGCAGCCCGCCCAGCTGCGTGAAGGACTTGCGGGCCAGCAGCGACTCCAGCCGGGCGGCGAGCTGGGGGTCAAAGGCCATGCCAAACCATAGGAAACCACAGGTTAGGGCAAAGCAAAGAGGATAGGTGGAGGGGCGAGGAGAAGAGGGAGGGGGGCCAAAGACCATACCGAACCATAAAAAACCACAGGTTGGGGCAAGACAATGGGGATAGGAGCGGTAGGGAGGGAGGGGGGGGCGGGAGAGAGGGTGGGAGGGCAGGAGGGACGGATGGTTGTTCACCTCTTGCAGCAGCTGAACCCCAATCCCTCCCACACCTTGCAACACTATAAAGCCCCTCTTCCTGTTTACCCAACCCCTTTCCCTCCCCCTCGCATCCGCACCCGTTTTCCCTTTTTTCCCCATGGTCAATACCTCCTCTTGCTCCTCTCCTCCCCTGCCTTGGGTGGCCTCTGCCTCACCCCACAGCCCTCTTCTCCTCTCCTCTTTCCCCCGCTCCCCCCTGCCCCCCTCTCCCTCCCTCTCCCTCTCACCTTATCCAGCAGCGACCCCAGCAGTACCTCCCAGTTGGCCCCCGTTAGCCCCGGCCGCAGCAGCGCCGCCAGCCCCCCCAGCGCCACCACCAGCCGCCCCGCCCAGCCGCCCTCGGGGGACAGCTCGGGCGAGCAGGCGGCGTAGTCGGACTCGGACAGCGAGTAGCTCATCTGGAGGGGGGCAGGGGGGGGGAGGATGGGAGGAGGATGGGAGGCAGGAGAGGGAGGCAGGAGAGGGAGACAGGAACACAGAGGGAACAAGCCTGCTTTAATCAACTTGTGTTTCACATGTAATAGTTCGCACACACATCCCCTCCTAATGAAAGCCCCGAGTCGGGCTTCTCACCCACAACGCACCTCCCTCCCTCCCTCCCTCTCCCTCCCTCCCATCCCCCCCTCCCTCCCCCTCACCGCCGCCACCTCCTCCAGCAGCCCCCTCAGCCGCGGCAGCAGCCCCTCCGCAAGCGCCTCCAATCCCCGGGCGGCAAGAGAGCGGAACTCGGAGCCCGTCTTGGCCAGGTCGGAGAGGACAAGGCGAGCCCTGGGGGGATGGAAGAGGAGGGGGATGGAAGAGGAGGAAAACGGAAAGGTCTTATCATGTATTTTTAAAGGGAGGGGGCCTTGGGCTTTTTTGCGCCCTCGTCTGTCCTGCGCTCCTCCGAAACTCCCTCCAGGTCTCTCTTTCTGTCCCCCCCCCCCACCCCTCCCTCCCCCCTCACTTGTCCCTGTCCCCCTGCGCCGCCAGCAGCCCCGTCGCATGCCCCTCCAGCTCCCCCCGCAGCTTGACCGCGTAGTCAGCCGCCACGTCCGCGTTATTGAGCGCGACACACCAGTCGGTGAGGGCGGCGGAGGGGGAGGAGGAGGAGGAACCTGGGGGGGTGGTTGGGGGGGCGCATGAGGCGGGTTGGAGAGTAGTGCGGGGAAGCCGTTGGGGACTAATCACGAGCGGAAGAGGCATGTGGTAGCGCGCAGCGAGAAGGGACTAACAAATAAACACCACCACCACCCCTCCCCCTCCCTCCTCCCTTCCACTTCCCCCCTCACCCTGTGGCAGCTCTATGGGTCCCGTGAGGGCGGCCGGCAGCGCTGCCAGCGCCTTGGAGGGACCCGCGGACAGCTTGGACTGCAGGTGGAGGGGGGGGGGGCAAGGGGTTGCATGGGGTGTGGGAGGAGGCGCAAGGGAAAGGCCACAAAGGCCCCCACACACAGGTTGACACCTCCCGCCCCGCCCCACCTGCAGTGCGTTCCTGAAGCTGTTGGCCAGCACGTTGTTCAGCTCCGCCAGCAGCGCAGCAGCGGCCTGGAACTGACCCGCGGCCAGCGCGCGGAGGCCAACCTGGGGGGGAAGAGGGGGACAGGTGAGGAGGAAGGAAGGAACTAACCTCATCATGTGGGCTTCAACATGCGCAGAGGAGCGGCATGGGCTGTGGTGCTGGTGCTGGTGTGGTGAGCTGTGTTTTTTTCTTCCCTCCCCACTCTCATCACCCCAAATCCCCCCCCCGTGCCGTAACCCCCCTACCCTCACCTTCCGCAGGATGTAGAACACGTCATCCACCATGCTGCTGGTCAGGGCGCCGGGCAGCTGAGGGAGAGGGAGGAGGGGCGGCAGGCAGGGAGGGCAGGCAGGCAGGGGTAAGTAGGGATAGGGTACAGAGGTTGCGGGGGTGCATCTGGCCTCTCCTCTCCACTTGAGGAAAAAACTGTATCCCCCCTGCTCTGGCTTGAATTCCCTCTGCCACCCCCCACCCCACCCCCATGGCCCCCCCAGCTGTAAACCCAACTCACCACCCTCTTCTCTCTCCCCCCACCCCCCACCCCCCACTCACCACCTCATCAATGCGCACCGCCATGGCTGCCGTCTCGTCCAGGTAGTACTCCTCCAGCGCCACGTAGCGCCCCAGCAGCTCGCGCAGCGACACGTTCAGGGAGCCGGACCTGCGGCGGGGGGGAGGGGAGGGGGAGAGGTGAAGGAGAAGAAGCAAACTACCTGTGTGACATGTAGGTGTCCACTGTGGGGGGAGGACAGAGGTGGGTAGGAAAGAGCCAGCGGACACCCCTCACCCCAACTCCACTCCTAACACACCCACCCACACGCACGCACCTGAACGCCGCCTCCCGTGCAGCCGGCAAGTGCCCCTGCGCCGGCACTCCTCCTCCTCCCGCTCCTCCCATGCTATCCCGCCCACCACCTCCTCCTCCTCCCGCTGCCCCCGCTGCTGCTGCCGCCGCCGCCCTCATCTTCCCCAGCATGAACTGGTTGTACTCCTCACACAACCCGCACACCCGCAGCACCTCCTCAATGAGCCCCTCCACCGCCCGGTGATCCGTACCCCCGCCACCGCCACCCCCCCCACCCCCGCCACCACCATCCCCACCCCCGGGCTGCTGCTGCCCTCCTGCCCCTCCCCCTCCTCGTCTGCGTGAGGCCACCTCCCGCACCACTCGCTCCAGTCGGCGGCTCTCGGAGAAGCGCTGCAGGATGCGGCTGCCTGCAGGCGGGGGTGAGGAGGGGAGAGGGGGTGGAGGGGAGGGGGAGGTTATGAGGTGACCCCAGTCCCCAAGGCAGCGGTGAGTGCCCGGGTGTGAGGGGCCATGGCAACGACTCCCCATGCACGTTTCTGCAGTGACGCCTAACCTCCAAAAGCCACCCCTGCCTCCCCACGCTCCCGTCCTCTCCATGCCAGCCTCCCTCCGTCCAGGTGCCCACCCTGGCGGGTTGGTGCCCATCTACATCCCAATGCCAGCCTCCCTCCCTCCCTCCTCGGCCCCCCCACCCCCAATTTGCTTGTTGCTTTGACATTTCGTGACCGGCGGCGCGGCACATGTCTTCCTAGTGTTACCACGCAAGGCGGCTTCTTCCTCAAGTCGTCTCGGTTTACGGTAAGCAACGATTCGGTAAGTAATTTGAGATGCGTGCTTCTAGGATAGTGGCTCCGAATGCGCTCACTGCATGAGTCGGGATATGGGATTGGGACTCGTTGTTTCACTTATATAATTTTTTACCCCCTATCCCTATTTACCCCCGTCCCCGTTTCCTTATTTTTACCCCACCCGCCGAGTCGCACTCCTGCTGCAGCCCCGCTATGACCTCCAGCAGCGCCCCCTCGCCGAACGTCTCACGAACCACCCCCTCGTGCTCCTGTGGGGGTGTGGGGAAAAGAAGAATACCCAATGTGTTGAATGAGGCTGACAAACAAGTCGACGGGAGCGCCGGTAAGGAGGGAGCCGCCGACACACACATCTACCCGGCAATCACAGTACGTTCCGACTCGCGGCCAGTATTCTTAACATACACACCCACTGCTTTCCGTGGCAGGTCATGCCACCGCTTAGCAAGGTAAGGCACGTCACTCGCGCGCGGCAGTACACCATCCGTCCATCCCTCATGCCGTCCATCCGAGCCCCAGATGGCACAGTTTTCCCAACACACCCCGCTCCCCTACTCCTCCTCCACCACCACCACCTCCTCCCCGCCCCACCTCCAGGCACATCGCCATGTCTTTGAACAGCGCCGTCAGAGCCGCCGCAAAGTCCCCCCGCCCGCCCCGCGCCTGCCCGCCCGCCTGGCCCCCTGCCGCCTCCAGCTGCTCGGACAGGGCGGCGTATGTGCTGCGGGCCTGGAAGGAGAGGGGAGGAGCGGGGAGGGAAGGAGGAGCGGGGAGGAGGAGTTAGGGCACGTGTAGGGGTGAGGAGCAGGGGGACATGAAGGGTTGGGAGAACCGTGGCCTGCTGCTGCTAACAAAGAGCCATGCCCCATGCATGCATGTGCACAGGGGAGTGGGATGGAGCTTGGGATTAGGCTCTTCCCCTTCCTTTTCCCATCGTTAGTTTCCTCTCATCCCCACCCCTCCCTACCTGCGCCCCCACCACCACTTTGAGGTACTCGATGAAGCGCTGCAGGCCCTCCGCCTGGGGGGGGGACGAGGGAGGAGATAGGCGAATTGAAGGAGAGCGGAGCGTAGTGGAGGGGGAAGACAGCAGGAGGAGCGAGGCAGCGGAGCATGTCGCAGAGAGGACAAGTGCAAAACCGACGAGCCCCAAATCGCCTCCCTACGGAGGCGACTCCAACATCCCCTCGAACCCTCCTTCCCCACCCCTGCCCTCAGGTTCCTTACTTTTACCCTCCCCCCACCCGCACCTGCTTCCCCAGCGGCTTGTACAGCTTTGCGAACCGCAGTGCGCCCGCGTGATCCCTCCGCGCCGCCGCCTCCGCGAACCGCCTCTCCGTGATCTCCAGCAGCCGCTCGCGCACCTCCAGCAGCACTCGCCGCTGCTCCTCGGCCTGCTGCGGCTGGGAGCCGGGCGGTGGGGCAGCGCCGGATGGTGGGGTGGGGCCGGTGCCGCTGAGGTGGTTGTTGGGGCTGAGGTTGCTGCTGTTGGGATCGGTGGAGGAGGAGGAGGAGGATGCAGCGGTAGCGGCGGCTGCTTCCTCGGCTTGCAGTCGGGCTTCCAGCTCCATGAAGGAGGCGACGTAGCGGGCGGCGGCCTCGTAGTCCTGAGGGGGGAGGGAGGGGCGAGGGAGGGAGGGAGGAGGAAAGGAGGAGGGAGGGGCGGGGCAGGGAGGAAGAGTGGAAGGGATGTGAGGGATGCGGAGGGGCTAGGAGAGGGAGAGAGCGGGGGGTAGGGGAGTAGGGCTGAAGAAGGCTACAACGCCTTGGTCTAAACAGGGTAGATATGACCCGCAGACAGTGCTGCGGTGCAGCTCTTACCTCAGCTTCCATGGCGGACTGCACGCCATTGATGCAGTTGGTGCGGTCGAGGATTAGGTTTATTTTTGTAAGGACGGCCTGCACGCGCCCCTGCACCAGGTCCAGCTGGCGCACTTTGCTGCTGATGTTGTCGGCAAGCTGTGCTGTGCCATGGACGCTCTGCAGTAGCTGTTCGCAGTCCGCGCGCACCAACTCCAGAGTCTGTGAAAGTTGTGAGTGAAACATGCGCCCTTTATTTAACTTCCGAGGAGGGTGCTTAATGTAATTTGTTTATAGGGAGAAAACGGTGCTGCATTTGGACGGGATCAACGGCCCGTTCCCAGTCCTGGATTGTAAGGAGTTCCAGCATATGATCCTGAACACCAACCTCTGCAGTTGGAGTATTAAGCAGCAGAAAGTTGCGCTCCAGGTCGTTTCGCTTGCTCAGCTGTCTGTCGAGGTCCTGGTCGATAGCCCGTTCTCGTGCAACTGTTTCATGAAGTAGTCGGGTAACATCTGAGATGTTCGTAAGCTTGTATATGTGGTTTAGGTCCACTATTGAACTAGCCATTTTTAGACGCAGCCTAAGCTGCAAGCAGCTTGATGTATAAGCGCTTAGACCATTATCTGTGCGAAGTTAACCAATTGACTTTAAATTAGTTGTTGGAAGCTCCTTTGGGTAAAGCCAAGTAGGTGTCAACTGTCACAACAGTATGTCGCCAATCCCGATCACCTTTACAAGCCAAATTCTAGATGCAGGACGCATATAGTTCGTAATCGCGTTCAACCTATAAAACTGAAGTGCACTATATCGCTCGTAGCGGTCGTCACCTAGCTATTGAGCAGCGCCTCACCAAGTCACCATTGCCCCATATCCGTCGGCCCACATCAACTATACCTTTCCGTTCGAGTAGAAGGGCACATGGCATCACATTGCGCGGTCGGTCTCTCTTCAGGCTGCCTAGCAGGACCTTCTGAAGTGGCATCCACACGACGGGTGGCGTCTCGAATCCACCAGGTACGTCGGCCCATAAAGCATGTATGGGTCCTGAACCTCTATCAACCCTATTGTAAATTACAACCATAAATAGCCGTTAACGTTTCGCCACGCATTTCACTTCGCAGTTGCTGGCCCCAAAGCTCCTACATCCGCACCCACACGCGCTCGCCCAGCCTTCGCGGCCAGGATTACCACTCTCGCATCCACGCGCCGCTAACAACTCAAGCTCCTCCACACTTCAAACATCAGCAGCTTCAACAACAACCCAACCACCTACCTCTCCCTCACCAACCACAACCAGCAGCAGCAACCCCAGCAGCAGCAGCAGCAGCCCCTCTCCGAGCTCCGAACCCGCCGCCCCATCCACACACACCCCTTCCCGTCTGACCACCTGGCAATACTCCAAGCTAGCCGACCCGGGGTTCGCTCCTTGGTTCCTGGGCCTTGCCTTCCTGCCGTTTCTGCTGCTGCTGGTGCCGCTTCTGAGCTCTCCACCCATGCCTCCGGTTGCGGCACCGTAGCCGCAACACCCCGCCTTCGAGGGGAGTCAAGAGGAGAAACCAACCAGTTCAAATGGTATCGAAGGGGACAGGAAAAAGAGGAGTGCACGGTAGATTGCTGGGTGTAGCGTGCTGGGAGCATATTAGGGGAAGGTGCCAATGGTGACATGCCAGGGTCGCTCGGATGCAAGGTGGGGTGCACGGTGGGGAAAGGGAGGAGGATCTGCGGCGATCGGAGCAGCAACGGAGTCTCTTGCTGAGGGCGGCGACTGGATGGCAGCAGCGTGGGGTGGGGTGGGTGGGCTTCGCGTATAAGGTAGCCGTTGTAGGGTTTAAGAATGAGATATCTGAGATCTGTGCTAAATCATCGAATCGAGATCATCGAATGTAGAGACGCGGCTGGACTTATCCCGAGTGCTGCATGCCTGTTGTGTCGCTTACCGGTGTTCCTCTTAAACCGGTAGTTGAGCAGTGCGCAGCGGCCTGGAGAGCGGGGACGAAGGTCGGATGCGACAGCGGATGGAAGTGGACGTATGCATTGTAAGGAGCACGCATCTCGAGTGGCTACATACCTGCAAGGGGATTAGGTAAACTGAGCCGCTGAAACACTGACCCTGACCGTCAAGGGGAGTGAAGCCGCGTGTCATGCCTGCATGATCAGCACGAACCTTGTAACATGCTGTACATGCGTGGCGGCCGGGCAACTGACCAAAAGCAGGGGGGGGGCCTACCGTATTTCAGGCGGTGCCTCAGCACCAGGCTTATGCTCCTCAAGTGCAAGCCTTTAGCACCCTTTAGCATTGAGTTCCCGCCTACAATGTAGCATTGTAAAGGTGCCTCAACAAGTTACACAAGGTTATTAGAGAGAGCCGCCTCTCCACACATTACGGTTCAGGTTCGATCACCTCTTGTTTTGCCTGTACTCGCGGTTCACATGCGAACCTCTCCCAATTGCTTGCTCTTGTCCTGCTCAACTACACACACACAACCACACAGTATGTCCTTCTTCGTGGCCAGTTTTCTAAAAACGCGCACACAAAACGTGCAACATACTCAAATCCCGGTGCTTGCAAACACACACACACACATGTATGAGTATGTTCCTACTTCTTAACACACACACAAGTTTTCTTAACACAAGCTCCTGCCTATGGCACCACATGGGAACACGGCACGAGGCAACCTCTTTCCGTACCTGCTTCTGACGGCTCCAAACTGCTCCAAACAGCACAATCTTCAGCACATGCTCGGGTCGCTGGTCTCCACGCTCTACTACAGCAACATGCTCCATGCACCCGCACATCCTGCTGCTGCGACCACCTCACTCCAGCCTCCCAGCAGCCCACACCGTCGCTCGGGTCATCAATCCTGCTTGTTGTCCCCCAAGCCCCCCAGCCAGGAACCCCCAGCCAGTCCCCCCTCCCAAGCTAGTCAGTCCTGCATGCTCTCGTGTGCCCCAGCCAGTCCCCCAAGCTAGTCCCCGTCAGTCCCTCATGCATTCGTGAGTGTTTTCGGGTTGGCCAGCATGGGTCTTACGAACCTCCACACGCTTCCCACCCTCCCTGCACATGCTTCCCACACCCGCCTACAACCAACTGTCGGCAGCCTCCGCCTCCGCAAGTCAAAACATGATCCCCGCCTTGCTTTCCACCCCACAAGCAGTACCGCGTAGCTGCCGCACAGTTCCCTTCAGCCCCCCCCTCTGCCTCATGCACGCGTCGTGTGCACGAGGCTCGACACAGCCCCCGTGTCACTCGCAGGCTTCCAGCCTCCCCTGCCGCCGGCTACCCTCTCGCACGACAGCCCCCCTCCCTCTGCCCTCCCCCCTTCACAACAACCAGTGCAAACTGCAGACTACCCTCCTCCTCCTCACGCCCTCTCCTCCTCCTCTCCGGCAGCCAGCCTTTTGCCCGCAAGCAGACTGCCTCTCTCCTCAAATCCCGCCCCCTTCCCCCCTCCTCCCCCCTCCTCCTCCTCCTCCTCCTCCCCCCTCCTCCTCCTCCTCCTCCCCACTCCTCCCCCCTCCTCCTCCTCCTCCTCCTCACATCCCGCCGCTTCTCGCGGCTCGGTTCATCCTATCCTTCCCCCCGCCCCTCCTCACATCCTCCTCTTCTTGGGCAGCAGCCTCTCCGCCTCCGCCATGTCCGCCCCCGCCGCCTCGTCCGTCTCCACACCCGCCTCCTCAAACAACTCGCTCTGCTTGCCGTCCAGGCTCTCGCTGAGGACAGACCTGGGGGGGGGTGTGCGGGTGGGAGGGCGGATGCGGGGGGGCGGGGAGACAGATGTGATCGGATAGAACGGGATAGAATGGGATGGGAACATGGGATGGGATGCCTGCCATGTGTAATGCCCGCCTCCCTTGCCTTGGGGCTTCATTGGGAACGGTTTGGCTTCTCCCTTGGGCCCCCAACGCGCCATGCCCCCACCAGGTGGCTTCGAACCCATAACCCACATCAGTTTTTCCACGTCAGCCCACGTCATGCCGCCCACCCCCACATGCCCCCATGCCCCAACAAGTCATGTTTTTTTATCACACACGTCATGGCCCCCCCACACGTCACATGCCGCACACCCCAACTCCCCCCCTTCTCCCCACCAGATGCTCTTAAACATGGCTCGCCGCTTGCGCCACCACTCCAGGTTGGTCAGCAGCCGCTTCTCAACCGCTTGCCGCTCCTGCGGTGGTGGCGGTGGAGGTGGTGGTGAAGAGGTAAAGGCAGGGTTGAGTAATGGAGGTGGCGGTGGGGGTGTACTATAATAATAGTACTTTTTCTCCTTTTCTCTGCTCTGCTCTCTCCGCCTTCCTCTGCGGTGATGATAGGCCGTGCGGTTACGTTAGGATCGATACGCGTTTTTCCCCTCCCCTCGCCTCCCCCGTTAGTTGTTTCCTCTTTACCCTCCCTCCCTCCCTCCCCATCTCTCCCTCCCCCCCTCCCTCCCTCTCTGCCAGCCCCCCCACCCCCCCACCACACCTCCCCCCCTCCCTCCGAATGCGCTCACTGCATGAGTCGGGATATGGGATTGGGACTTAGTTGTTTGCATTTCTTATATAATTTTCCCCACCACACACACACCTCCGCCGTGATGAGCACGGTGCCCGCCTTGAGCAGCCGCAGCTTGGACTCGTCGTCCGACAGCTGCAGAAGGGAAGGGAGAGGGGAGAGGTAGTTAGCAGGTGGATGATTGGGTAAACTGAGGGTTGTGTGGGTTGTGTGGGTGGTCGGATTGTTACACCACCGGTACAGCTGAAGGGAGAAGTGACGGGCAACAAGCGGTTAACTAACGGTCGGTTGGTTAGTTGGTTAATGGTTACCAGGAAATGGTTGGCTCCCGGCTGCACCCCAACCGCATTACCAACCACCTACATAGCAGAGCCACCCTCAAAACCGTGACCCATCACCATTCTCGGACAACGCACCCATGCCCACCCATATGGTCTCCATTAGGACGGGTTGGTTTCCCTCTAACCCCCAGGACAGGCACACCCGCGTACGGCCGCAATCACCTTTTTCGTGAGCTCGGCGGTTTGGCGACTGATCTCCTCCTCGGATAGGGCGCTGCGTAGCTGGGCCAGCTCTGCAGGTAGGGAAAAAACAAAGAAGGAGGACCATGCGTTGATTGGGGAAGCGGGGTTGGGCAGGTAGAGCAGAGTTGAGGAAATCCTCCGGGAATAGATAAGGGCAAGGGTTGGGTGAGGAGGTTGGGCAGGATGAGGAATTGGGTTCCGGAGTAGGGAATGGCGGGGAAAAGGGGTTCATGATGGTTGGGAAAGTGGCTTACCCGCTTCGAGCTGTTTGACTTCCGTGGCCTCCTTTTGGCATTGCTCCTGTAGCTGCTTTACGGAAGCCTTTTTGCTGTCGAATTCCTGCGACGGGAGCGTGTGGTAAGCACATGGCTCCATGGTTTTGTAAGAACGCTTATGTCATGCAACAGAGCCGCGTACCTCTTTAGATAGGACCTTTAGACCAGTTTGAGGAGGGATGAACAGTTTCGTCTTTCCGAACTCCTGCGCTTGGGAGGGTTTGACATCGTCAAGTGATGGTAAGCCAAAAGCCCCAACCCAAGGCCACACGGCATTCCATACCTTCGATATAATTTTCCCTTCAGCTACAAGTGCATCGACAGCCTTGGAAACTTGCGCCTTTTTAAGGCCGGTGGTGGCTCCCAGGTCGACGAGTTGCTGGAGCCCGAATGGCCTGTTCTGGTCGCGGACAATGCGCTCGATCTGGGCCTCGGCTGATTGGCTCGTCATATTCCTTAAGTCGATGCCAGCTGCAAGGCCAAACGCGGAGCCCGTTCCTCCCGCCAAAAAACGTAAAAGACTGCTTTCGCCGAACCTCGAAACAGCGATAAATCCGATTGCCACGACTTAATGTTACGGCTGCAAGCAAAAGCCCTTGCGTTGAGGCTTGTTGTGGACAGTTGGTCGGAGCAACTGCCATTCGTACCACTTGCGGGGCAACATGCATAGTGCCATACATGGGCTTAATACGTGTGCAAGGATGGCCTGCCAGTCCGTGGCAAACAGGCTTCTCATTTGTGGTTCGGTTATACCATGGCTAAGCGAAAGCGCTTTCCTTGCCTGCATGCTAGATGTTGTGTCTTAAGCAGGATTTTGTGTGGGACAGTATCAGGAACATATGTCGGCTGTCGGAACCCCCCGGAACCCCGACGAGTACGGCCTGGAACCCCGACCGACGACCTTAAATGTGCGACGACCTTAAATGTGTCCAGGATTCGGTCGTTAGAACCGATTACGCTATCGCGTAATCGACCCCACCACCATGCTTTGCCCTAAAAACTACTGGTATCAATACAAATCCGCCCATACTCGAGAACGCACAAAAAGCCTGGGCAAAGCACTCACATGGCACCACCGGACTTGCAAGACACCAAGTCTACTGACTTTCGCCGATGATACATGTTACAGGGACCCCTTTACGAGCCTTATATATGGTGTTATTTAGGATCTAAAAATGGCTGTCGCTTTCCATAGCCAACGCGACTCGTTCGGTCCAGTTCTGGCAGTATGTTTACTTCTATGCCTCTTAGTTGGCCTTGGTTGCTGACTTCGACCTTGAGAAATGGCAGGGGGGAGGGTCACGTAATCTGCATGAAGGAAGGAAGCCGCACACCGTATTACTTCTGCATGCGGATTGCAAGGATTGGGGTAACCAAATGAAGGTACTGCCCGAGGGCAAATTGCTGATGACATGGCTTGCGGAGAACAGCCCGTCGGCCCAAACTCTCCGTAACCCTCCCCAAATGGCCCAAAACATTAATATTATGCATGCTTTCACCTAGCATGCGTTTTGCTGCAGGACCTAGGGGTTCCAGGCATCGTACACCCACGGGGTTACAGGGGTTACGCCCCCCTCAATAACAATCACTAGGTTTCCTCTGTAGTCAGGAAGGGCTCATTCCTTTAGGAGGCTGTGGCAAGCGTATGGCAATTTCCCACCGATTACATGTAGGGAGCTTGACATAATAACAAAAGCCAATGAATCGGTGTAGGCGCAAGGAGAAAATAGCGCAAAACCCAACATCCGCCGGAATGCCCCAGCAGCCAGGTAAAGCCTGAAGTATAAAAGCGAGGTGCAAGAGAGGCATCATACAATCAACCAGCAAGGAAAATAAGAAGGGATCATCCAGAAACAGAAGGCAAGAATAGCGCCCACATTAAACTAAGGACAGGAGGAAGTGCTGCACAATCCGCTACAATGGCTGTTTCTTCTACATCACGCACGCACAACAAGCTGTCTACCCTACGACTAGGAACCGGACGCAAACGCAATGAGCACAAGTACCGTGAGCACAGCGTGATCCCAAGATCACAATAACGAAACCCTGAATCAGTGCGCGCACAACATAAGACAAAACAATGGTTTTGGTGATTGCACCGAAAGACCGAACTCAAGACAAAGACCCCTTTCTACCTTGAAAACGCTGCGCATGTCTAGCCAATGGAAACGGCCCAGCAAGAAAGCCCCTTCCACCACTGGCAAGCCCCAAGAAACATTCTGTCTAGACAAGGATGGTTAACGGCCATTTTGCTCACACCCCAGCGCTGGGTGGATTGCACGAGCATTCGAAGGACTAGAGCAGTGTGCGCCTGGCCAAATGCATGGACGGACATCCAACATAGAGATAATAAGCTCCCTGTTCATCACAGCCCCACCGCCAAAAGCTGTACTACGGAGCAAGCGGCTTTTGTTGCCGCATCCAACTATACGCTGCTGCGTCATCTATTCTACAACAGCTACCTCCTCCCATCGCTCACGGACAGCAAAGCGCTGGCCCATGGGACGCAAAGCGAGATACCACACAGCTGCATACCCCCAGGACAAATTGGGCTCTCCCGAGTACGTGCAATTAACAGCAGCACGGCGCGTAATTCCTCTCCCACCTTCATAACCGCCTTCATAACACCACCAACCACTCTCAACCAAGCGCGGTGCAACTAAGTTATGCGGGTAGCCTACAGCAAATCTCGGCGGCTGCACAGCCATAGACTTCGCACCCGAAGAGCACTCGCAACTCGGCTTACATCATGTTCAACTTGCTGCCTATTGAAGACAACCAAGGGGACAGACGTATGCAGGCCATTCGCGCATCGGCTAAAAACCGCCTGCAACCAACCTACTCAACTCACCAATAATCTAATCACATGTTTCAGAAGCCAATCACATGCATGTTGCCTCTCACAACCGTGCACCCGCTTCCAGCCGCCACCGCCGTAACACTGCAGGAGCTTCAGGATGGGGCCGGCATGCCTGCTCTATTGACGGCGCGAGAAGTCTCCGAGCTCGTGCGATTTAACGACGCTGGCTTCCCGATGGGGCCTTCTGTCGTCTGCACACATTGCTCCTTGGGAAAAAAGCTTCACCGACAGGGGGGGTTCCAATGTAACTAAACTACCAACGTAAATGATGATGTCACACGCACCATGATGAAAACGCTGTGGTCCTCGTACCATGCAGCACAGCGGCAAAGGAAAAGTCCCGCTGTGTTCGATAACTCGACTCAAAAAACGAAGCTTCAGCAGACCAGAGTAAAAGACAAACATCTACTCAGCGAAACCCCCTAAAAACATAGGAGTGTTTAGTTCACAGTGCGGTTTTACCCACCAAACTTCTACCAGCTCGGCGCACGTTATATATATACGGAGTATACCCTTGGACCCTTACGGCATGATCATGACACATGACCAAGAGATCAGACGAGAGGAAGGAAGAAATGGGCATGGATGCCTTGCAATTGGAAGGAATACCGAATAACATTTCGTTTGAAAGGAATCCAAACAAGATCATGGAGGCCAAAGCAGTACGTGTAGCATGTGGCTGGCCCCAAAGATGATCATTGCCGTCCTATACTGTGTATGTGCTTCCACAAAGCTAAGGTAAAAGCCGCTGTTAAGCGCCACTCAGGCCGCCACAAGCGCACCAATCACGGTACGCACCAAGCACTTTTCCCGCAAAGTACCAGAGATCTCACGGTACCGGAAGAAGATGCCCTTCCGCCCGGAAATGGCGGAACTCTAGGTGAGAGTGACCCACGGGTCACCACAGCGACCCTGGGTCGCCTTCTAGGCCTTCGGGGACGCCGCCGTCACCGACTTGTACAGGCAGTACAGGCGCTGCACGGGCGCCGACAGGTTGGCCAGGTCCGGCAGTCCGGGGACGGTCCGGAGGGAGGAGACGGTCTTGAGGTTGGCGTGCATGTGGCCGCCCTTGATCTCCGTCTCCGCGACCAGCAGGCACGCCACCGCCAGCACGCTGTAGCTGACGGCGGTGAGCTCGTGGTCCAGCACCGCCAGCTCCTGCGTGGGCAAGAGGACAAGACGGAGGGAATGGCATGGTGACACCTTGTAATTAAAGGCCTTTCGACATGTCGTGAGGTCTCCCGCGAGGGTCTTGAGGCAAGAGTTTGCAGATGGGATGGGATGACGGACAAGGATTTGAGGCATGGACGCCAAGATGACAAACGTATCAAGGTAAAAATGACAACGGGCATGCAACAACGGGCAAGAGAGATCGAAGTGCTCAAGAGACACAATGGCACAAGAGACATAGCATGTTGATACGTGGACTCGGTGGGCTCTACAGTGCATTGCTCAGTGCTCACCGCCAGGCGCAGCACGAGGCCGCGGAACTCCGCCTCCGTGCCGGGGGGGACCACCTGGCCGTCCTGCGGCCGGTTGATGACGCGGTGCAGGAAGAGCGTCACGAACGTGTAGACGGTGGGCATGCGCAGGCGCCACCCCAACGTGTCCAGCATGTGGATCTCCATCATGCGCGAGTCCTCGCCCTGCGCATGGTTGAACGATCGTTACAATTGTTACAAAGGTTTCTTGGGAACCACGAAAGAAAGCGCAGGGGCACGGAGCCGACAAGATGAGTGGGTGGGTGGGTGCAGCAGGAGTCCGGTGGGAGCTGGCCAACAGCGCAAGAAGGGGACTCTACGTACCCGGTAGAGGTTGCCGTTCTCGTCGCGCGCCAAGCTCAGCAGCTCGCCCGCGCACTGCTGCTGCGGAACGGAACAGTGTGGCAAGATGTTTACTTGGTTAGCGGTGGTGGTCAAGAGCAGTCCTAACGGGTGATGCGGTTTTTAGACGGGAGTGTTGCGAATACCTGGTGGCACTTTGCCGAGATGGAGACGCTGGTAAGGGCGACAAGCTGCAGCAGCGTAGGCGGAGTCGCGGTCTGCAAAAAGGGTATAACGATGCGCAGGTGCGTCAAGCCGCTCTTGATAGACAGTTCAATGCTACTGTGCCAGTCTCACCTCGACCGTAGACCGCGAAAAGCGATCGAGGACCGATACAGAAGTGAAGAAGGTCGCCGGTGAAAGTGCACGAAGCGCGCAGACGTCCCGCATCCAGTGCACAAGGGCTTCGCGATACTCAACAGGAAGCGGTGTCGGAGTAAAAGGTCCGAGCTCTGCCTCCTTGCTCAGCTCGTTCCTGCATGGCCGAAAGGCTATTGAACCCAGGGCCGACAATTCGCGATCAGCAGATAATTGCGTACCTGAGGGTCTCCTCTGCATCTGTATGATGGTATAAAGGCCCCATGTTAGCTCTAGCGGGCCTCCCAGGGGCCCACTCGCGGGTAGCGTCTTCATCGCAATCGTCTTCCTCCAGCGCGTCTTCGCATTGCAGCATTGCCATTGGAGAGTCCGATGCTGTGCAACAAGCCCCCTCATCGCTCTTAAACGTGGAGGAAGACCGCCGCCTGTAGAAGGAGCTTTCGTTCTGCGGGGGAAGTGAACAGCTTCCTTGACTGCGGGCCCCTCTACCATACAAGCTCACAATTTGTAGGATTACGCACCTCTGAGTCAAGAGAAGCAATGTCGCTGCAGCTGGTCAGCAAAGAGCAGCACGAGGCAAGTGTTCCCTGGCGCTTAGGACACCCCCCGAAGACAGCTCCCTTGAGCTCACGCGCTTCAAAGATGTTAGCTGTGCAATCCAGCTTGTCTAGTTGTTCTAGGGGCGATGAGCATTCCAGTAGTCCAGCGTGACCGAAGAATGGAGTTGCCATTGCAGGGCTCTGCGCCCGCAAACCTATGGAATACAGAAGTAGAAGGACCTACACTAAAAGCTGTTGAAAATATCTACATCTAATGCTCAGAACTTTTAGGGTGGTCATGCGTTGAGAACAGGTGTAGTTCTGCGAACACGTGTCGTACTTGGTGTTGAATCCTCAATCCTGCACATCACTTCAACGCCATCCTTGCACGTTGAAATCGCTGGCAAGGTGTTAATCATAGAAGATGGATGATGATCCAGCAAACGGTGAGGTATGGCTAGTAGGACCTGGGCATGCAACTCTCAAGTGTTTTGTGGGCAGTCATAACTGAGGCATGACATTCGCACATCACGCATCCGGCTATAAGATTTCATGATAGCTTAGCTGCCTGACTGCTTAGGACGGGCACCTACTCTTACCTGCAGGGTGCAGGCTGTAGCCTGTAGGTAACATATCACATGGATACAGTGATCAGTGAATGGTTAATTTAGATCTATGTCATTTGTGTCGCTTTCCTACATTAAAAGCCACAGTGGAGCGCCGCAACATTGTGCACGTGACTGAGAACTACCTGACTGTTTGTGCCAACCACCTTTCTCTGTGCTGCGAATCCTTCTGCATAGATATATACAAAATGCACTGCTAAACGGTTTTCCTGCAGCTGCGGCAGGGACAGGAGTCCATTCCGATAAGTACTGTATGTGTCCCAAGGGACAAGCGGGGGATGGGAGTTTGGGGTTTTGCAGCCCGCGTTTGGAGGAAGCAAAACTCACATTACATTTAACCACAATAATTGTTGTAGGTAAACATCCAGCAAAGTAGCTGCTGTTGACAGCTTGTTCCGATGCACAAGCAATCCCCAGCCGGCATCGACATTAGACATGCAAAAGCTTGCTTCTCATCTGCCCAACTTGCTAAGTTGCCATGCCTATCAAGACCAGCGTGCCAGCTACCAAGGCTCACAGCCCCAGGAGCAGAACAAACAGGAGTTCGGAACACGTACCCCACCATCGCCCCCTCCGTGCCTCCTCCGTGCCTCCGTACCCTGCACAACCCATTGAACACGCCACAACCCCTACCAGCCTGAAGAGGCGAGCCAGTTGGTGCCCACGCCTTGCTGCTTGCGTCGTCCTAGTCGCTCACAGCAGGTGCAGGAGGAGGTAGCAGGCATGACGCCATGAGAGGCCAGGGCCTCATTAGGATGTCCACAGCCACCAGCGTGGCTGAGGAATCTCTTCGGTGTTTCGTCGGCAGCTGCTTCATGAAGGCAGGAGCCGCCCTTTGGTGCAGCCAGCCAGCGCGGCAGGCGGCAGCACCAGCTGCCGAGCTGCAAGGTTGACTGCGCCCGGCAGCTCATCATGCCGTCGTGCTGCGTTTGGCTTATGGGCCATGTGGGCGATGTGGGTCACGCCGTGAAGTGCAGGGCACTCCCGCTGCTCCCGGAGCCTGAGAGAGCAAACCACATGCAGCCCGTTGCAGCTGCAGTTGCAGCCTCCTCAATATGCACCAGGCACCACGCGTGTAAACCTTGGCTGCTCTTCACACCGGCACCACCTTTTGCAACACGGGTACGTGTAGTGCTGCCGCATCCCCCCTGCACTACCGCCACTTCCGCACCGCAGAACTGACGTTGGCGGGTGGAGAAGAGCTCCCCACGTCTTCAAGTAGCCATCCATTCATCACCAGCCATCATTATCAGTGCCTTCTTTAACGTCGTAAGTCGCCGTCAATCCCCAACACCCGTCATAATCCTCACACGGGTGCTCGGAACCCCCCGCGTGCCGAAGCCACCCGCGACTCCAGCGCTGCCTGCCACTCCGCGTCACGCCGCGCTCGCTCCTCGGCCGCCCGCTTCTGCGCATCCTCCACCTGCGCGCACACACGTGTGATGCAGCAGCACCCGCATCACACATCACAACATGGCACCCGCGCCGCAAAGCCGCAATCAGGCCCGGTGTCGTGTGGTGTTGCAAGGAGGAGATGCGTTGGTCTCCTGAGTACGAGTTTGAACGCATGCATGTGCGTGAGGTAGTGCCGTGCCATGCAAGCAGCTATGTGCGCTAGGGTAGGCGCTGCTATCAAAATAGATTATACACTAGGATATAGGCAGGTCAACGGCTTGCTTTCCTACGGGCCGGCCTTCTACGGTGCACCCTAAACCCACCCGACCCCACCCGTGGTTTCCTATGTTTTGGTCCTTTTTCAACCCCCATACAGCTTCACGCCCACCTTGCGCCGGTTTTCCTCCAGAATGCGGTCTAGTTCCTCCTGCCTCTTGCGGGCCTGGGAAAGGAAGGGGAGCAGGGGACCCGGGCAAGGCTGGGTGTTCAGTGAGAGCCCTGAGCACGGCTGCCCGCATGCATGCGCGAACCGGTCCGCAAACACTGGCTCATACGGGCAACAACAGCTCTACAGGGCCTGCCGTACGCACCTGCTCCGCCTCATGTCGTTTGCGCTCCAGCAGGCTGCGGCGCTCGGACTCCAGCTGCGCAGTTACCTGCAGCCAGGAGGCAGGTATGGAGGAGCAGGTGAGTGGGCGGGTCAGGAAGCAGGAAGCAGGGAGGAGGTGGCAGAAAGCAGGAGGGGCCAGGTGCAAGCTCCTCCTCCCTCCCAGATCCCAGATCCTCACCTGCGCCTCCAGCTTGGCTCGCTCCTCCTTCAGACGCGCCTGGATGCGAGCCTGGGCAGGGCACCACCACCACCACCATGGAGCCAGCGGAAGGGGGGTTAATAGGGATGAAGATTCCGCATTACGCTGTATTTTAGGATTGCGCATAATTTTTTTATATTGCGCAGGGGGGGGGAGTAAACAGGAAGTGCAGCAGGCGGGGAGGAACACATGAGGAAGCAGTCGGGCAGACAGGGGGGGAGTGTCGGAAAGATTTCTCCTAGGCGTGCAGTGGCGGGTCGTGCTTAGCCTGTGCCCACCGGTAGTGCCAACGGCTCGGTATCACACTACCGTATCACTGGGCAGTAATGCTGCGAGTCCAAAGGCAGGGGTAAGAAACATCAGAGACTGGCATTCCGTGTGGGTCATACATGCCGCGAGCCATGCATAGATGCAGTCATCTGTGTGGTTGCAGCTGACTGCGTGTGCAAGCAGCGCAACGCCAAGCAGCGTGAAGGGGTGCAGGGCAGGGCTTGATGACCCGGATGGGTGAGTGGTATACTGGTACCGGCATTGCCAAACCCCGTTGCAACACCGAGAAGGCGTGTGTAACCCGACCCAGATGGGGGTACAGAGGAAACAACTAATCGACCGTGTGACCCAGATGGGGTGGGGGGCCAGCACAATCCTCCTCCTCATAACGGTTATACGACAATGTCCCTGCGGCGCCTCATGTGACTGCTGCTGCTGCTGCCGCTCCACGTTCCGCTTGCCTGACCCAACCCTGACCGCTGTCATATCCCTCCCATGTGAACAGCCCACCCCTCGTTAGGGGTCCTTACCCACCCCCCTACCTGCACCTCCTCCGACGCCAGCTTGCCCGCCAGCTGCTCCTCCACGCGCGCCTCGATGGTGGCCAGGATCTGCTCCTCCAGCTGCAGCAGCTGCTGCCGCTGCCGGGCGAGTGCGGTGGCGCTCAGGCTGTATGAGACAGGGGAGAGGGGAAGGGGAGGAGAGGGAAAGAGGAGGGAAGGTAGGGGAGGAGGAGAGGGGAAATTGAATGAGAAGATAAGCGCAGTCATAGTCCCGAAGAGGAGAGGGAGGAGTGGTGGTGAGATGGGATGGGATGGGAGCATGGTGTTAAGGACGGTGGCAACACGGGGGCCGGGGAAGGGGGCGGGGTAGGGTACGCGATATGAACCCACCCTGTGGCCTCGGCAGCCTTGGTGCGGTATCGCCTGTAGGGCAGGGAGGATCCGAATAAGCGTGCGTTAAATAAGCATACGTAGAGCAAGCAAGGGGCTAGGGCGGCAGCTTACCTGTTAGCTTTGGGCGCTTTCTCGGACGCGGGTCTCGCCGCTCCACTCCCGTATCTGTTCCAAAGTTTGTTTGTAAGCGACCCAATACTCTGGTAGCGTGCACGTAGCAGTTTCAGCGGACCTGTTGGGGCTGCGAGACCTTGACCTCGACCGGCCCATTTTCGGCTATCTTCCAAGGGGTTGTCCAGCAACACAAGCAATTATACCAAGATAGCGGCAATAAGGTTTCCTTCACGATGCACCAAAACTATCCGCGCGCGGTGTTATATTATCCTTCCAGGAGCACAGCGCTGGGATAGTATCGGTTGATATTCCCGTATACAAATCGGTAGTTGGTAACAACTATTCCTTGCGTAGAGTTCAGGATACGTGTTGGTGAAAACAGTCGCACGATTGCCGTGGTGGTGGTTGATGCCGGCAACATCGGCATTGCTGATGGCGTTGCTTTAGGCACACACATGAAGGTACCAACGCAACAAGCAAGGTTAATTTCGCTGTCAGGATGATTACTTATAACCTGGCCATGCTGCCATCGACCGTCAGTACCAAGCTTTAAACCAGCCCATTCCTCCACTTAACTGTATTTTATAGGCAATCGTCGCATAGATATATTTCAGAGCTTGCGGTTCCATACACGTTATCGGTGCCTCTATCCTTGACATGCTGGCACCAGGGTGCAGCGAAACAAGCGTCACGCTAAGGCTGCAAGGCGACAGGGATGTAGAGCCATGTGAGGTCGCTGGTTACACGCTTGAAGAACTTCGCTCCTCCTGTGAGGTAGGCTCGCCGCTTTCCCTCCTCGCAACATCCATGGCCAGGGAGCCACAACAACTCTTCTTTCCACGTGCTCCCTCCGTCAGTACATTCGGGGCCTTCTGGACTTCACCTCCGGCGCCGCTGGGACCTGTACGGCATACACGGACGACGGGACTTCCTGCGGCCGCGACGCACCCTACACATCCTACAATGTACACACAGGTGCGGGTGACTAGAAGTTTCTGAGACACCCCCAGCGCCCAGCCTTTTGCACCCACGTTCCCGCCTCTGACCCACATCACTTCATACAGCACCTGCTGAAGCCTTGTCGCATGCTTCGTGCCTCACCTCGTTAATCATCACCGTCCTCCCTCCGCACCCAGGCTCCTGCCGTGCGGCTCTAGCGGCCCGCGTGCTGCAGGCCTTCCTGCTGCCGCGGGCTGGGGCCGGCAGGGAGGCTGCTGGTGTTGGTGGTGCGGTCCAGCTGGAGGTGGACGGGGTGAGGCGGAGGGAGGGTAGAAAGAGGGAGAATGGGCGAGGGAGGGAGAGGGTGTGTAGTACGGACGTACGACAGGGATGGAAGAAGAGCGGGAATGCTTTGTGCCCAAAGCTGCCATGAGACCGGGTCGAGTACTGCCTACCCTCGCCTCACCCCGCCTCCCCCTCCGCTGCAACGGGTTGGAATCTCTTTGAACCCCCGCCTTCCCCCGCCTTCCCTGCCCCACCACCTTCCCCTGCACCAGAGCAACGCCGCCGAGCTGCTGTGGCTGGCGGACGTGTGGTGCCTGGCGCCCCTCAAGGCGCACGTGCTGGCAGCGCTGCGGAGGAACATGTGCAACAGCTTCAGGTGGGGCGGGGGGGCCAAAGAGGAGGTGAAAGAGGAGGTGAAAGAGGAGGTGAAAGAGGAGGTGAAAGAGGAGAAACTAACATGGCTATACCATTCTGTCCTGCTCCGCCCCGCCTGCACCCTACCGTCATGTTCCATGCCCCCACGCCTCCTGCCCCGCCTTTCGTCCCCCCCTCCCGCCCCTCCTCCTGCCTGCAGGCGCCCCTCCCCCGGCAGTCCCGCCCTAGAGGCGGTGCCCCAGCTGGCCGCCCTAGCCCAGCAGGCGCTAGGCGGGGTGGGGCTGGGTGACCCGGACGGGGGGCTGCGGGCGCTGTACGGCGAGTGTGTGGGGTGGATGGCGGGCTGGCCGGCGCGGGTGTGGCCGTGTAGGGCCTTTGCGGGCATGCCGCGGTGAGGGTGGGCGCGGGGTGGTGGGGTGTGGGGTGGGGTGGGGTGGTGGTCAGCATGTGATGGGGGGTGCGGCGGTGAGCTTCTTCTGATGTTACTGTTGCGCATGCCTCAAGGCCATTGGGTTAGTCAGTGTGTTCCCAGTGTGTACCTGGTGGCCCCCTCTACCTCCCTGCTACGTAGACCAACCGTCGTTTAACCGTGCACCCTCCCCCGCTGCCGTACTCTCCCCCGCTGCCGTACAGTTCCATCCAGGATGCGGTGCTGCATGCCGCCCAGTCACGCCTCAACCCCGCCTCCGCCCCGGGGCTGCTGGCGAGCTGCCGGCAGCTGGCCTCCTCGCTGCCGCCGGTGGCCTGGGCGGCGCACGTGGGGGAGATGCGGGGGGAGCTGGAGCGGTACGGCAGGTCGTACGTGTGGTCGCACTGGCGGGAGGTGTGCCGGGAGGCGGGGGTGCGGTGAGTGGGGGGTTGGGGTGGGGGGGAAAGCGGGGCTGGGGTTGAGAGGAGATGGGGTGGGGGCAGGGGTGGGGTGCTGCTTAGGATGCCTGGCTTCCTCGCATCCTCACTTGCTTCCTCCAGGACAACACGAAAAGCATGAGAGTATGTTCCAATAGTTTCTCGCGGACAGCCTTTTTGAAAGCATATTACTTACACACCTCTACGCAGCCAGGACCGCTCCGAGTGCTGGTGCGCGCTGCTGGAGGAGCTCCGAGACCACGTCATGACACACCCGGATCCAGATGCTGCCGTACAGGCTCTCGTACACTGGGAGGCTGCCAAGAGGGCGCTGCTGTACGGCGGCGGCAAGCAGGCGGCGGTTGGGGCCGCGGCGGTTGGTGTGTACGGCACAGCTCGTAACGGCGGGGGTCGCGGAGTAGGAGGAGTTGGAGGAGGAGGCGGGGCGGGGGATTGGGGGTGGTTGGGCGAGGAGGAGGCGCAGCACTTGCAGGTGTGAGGGGGAGGGAGGAAGTGCTGGAGGGAGCATGGGGTGGGGTGTGGAGGTGGGAGCCTTGTCGGGACTGGGCGCTAGAGTTAAAAGAGCAGCAATATATTGAATCAGATCTATCATACCACCTGCTCGCTTGAGCGGCCTCACCGTATACTTCGCTGAGCGGGGCTGCAAGCTGCTCTTGACTCCTCCTTACCAGCGAAAAGTCAGCCCCCTTTTCTCCTCCCGCTCTCCCCTCCTCCCCTCCCGCGCTGTCCCCCTTCAGGCCCTGTACGACCACGTCCGCAGCTACTGCGTTCGTCACCTGCCGCTGCTGCTCCGTTGCCCCGCCTTCCATGCGCTACCGCCCCCCCAGCAACAGCGCATTCGCGACATCGCAGCACAGGGCGTGGGAACCGGCACTGCCGCCGCCGCGCGTCACGTCACGACGGATAGCATTGCCGTACAATCCGCATCGCCATTTTCAACCGGCCGCCGGCGGCTGCCGCCGTCTTGGGAGGATGGCGAACGGCCGCTGCGACCGTCGCAGCTCGGAGGTCCTCCTAGCACGGCGGGCGGCAGGACTGGCAGCAGCAGCGCTGGTGCTGCTGCTGCCTCCTTTGCGTTTGGCGGCGGCGGTGGCGGCGGTGACGACGGCAGGAGTCGCGAGGGATCGGCCGGCGGCGGCGCGGCATGGGTGATTGCGTTGGGTCCGGAACCGACAGGGATGGCGACGCCGCCACCGCGACCGAGGCCGCTGGCATCATCATCAACATCAACATCATCAGCAGCAGCATCCCTACGGAGTATGTTACAGCCGTCGGTGACGTCATTGAGGCGCTCCGCCACCACCGCCGCTGCCTCTGCAGCGGCGACAGCGCCGGCGCCGGCTGCCGCAGCGGCTTCGCGGCCGCGAGCGGCGGCGCCACCGCCGCCGTCAGAGATGCGGCTAGGGGTGCAACAAGGAGGGGAAGGTGATGCGGGGCGGGGGCCGGGGCCGGGGTCGTGGTCATCACCTCGGGGCAGCAGCCATCGGGGGGGCCGCTGTGGTGGTGATGTTCCTGCTCCTCCGTCGCCTCATAGCGCAGCAGCAGCTGGTGCTGGTGCAGCTGCTGGTGCGAGGGTCCTGACGCGCGGTGGAGGAGGGTCCTCTCAGAGGCTGCATGGTAGAGGAGGAGCGGCAGCCGCAGCAGCAGCAGCGGGGGCGGTAGGGGAGCGGCAGAAGGGAAGACCCGGTCAGCAGCGTGATCGGACACCCACGGCAGCTAACGGTGCTCCCGCCGCCGCAGTAGGGGCGGAAGCGTCAGCAGGACCGTTAGCGGAGGAGGCACCGGAGGTGGCGGCAGCGGAGGCGGCGGTGGTGGCGGCAGCGGAGGCGGCGGAGGTGGCGGCAGCGGAAGCGGCGGAGGTGGCGGCAGCGGCAGCGGAAACGGCGGAGGTGGCGGCAGCGGAAGCGGCGGAGGTGGCGGCAGCGGCGGCGGCGGGGCCGGCGGCGGCGGCGTCAGCAGGGCCGCTAGCGGAGGAGATGGCAGCACAGTTAGCAGAGGAGGCGGCGGCAGGAGTGGAGGAGGCGGCGAAGGAGGCAGCGGAGGAGGCGGCGGAGGCGGCAGCAGAGGAGGCGGAGGAGGTGGCGGTGGCGGCGGCGGAGGTGGCGACGGGGGTGTCAGCAGCACCATTAGCGGCGGCAGTAAAAGCGGCGACGGAGGACGGCATTGACATCCTATCTTCGATCTTTGACCCCGCTGGGTTTGGGTGCGGAGAGGAGGGCTGCGAGACGGAGACGGAGACGAAGGCTCGGGGGGCGGAGGCTCGGGGGGCGGAGGCTCGGGGGGCGGAGGCGCAGGTTAGCGCTGGCGCGGGAGCGTCGGCAGTGGAGGTGCTGGGGGGTGTTGAGCGGCTGTTCGCAGTAGCGGTCGAGGGCGGTGAGGCGGCAGCAGCTGCTGCAATGGGAGCGGAGGAAGCAGCAGCAGTGGAAGCAGTGGAGGCGGGCATAGAGAGTAGTGCAGGAATGGCGGAAGGAGGAGGCATCCAAGTTGTGTCCGAGCCATGCCGCGCGGCATCATCGTCACCTTCAGGGGAGGACGTGGAGGAGGATCCGTGCGCTGAAGCGGAGGAGGAGTGGGAGAGAGGGTTGGGGCGGCTAGCAGAGGCGCGGGCGGAAGCCAACGACGCGCAAGTAGCAGATGCAGATACCGATGCGAGTTCAGATGCTGATGCAGATACGGGGGCGGCATCAGGTAGCCGGGCGGCGGCTGCGGTAGCAGATGATGGTGGTGGTGTGGAGGCGTGTCAGGACTGGCTGGAGGGAGAGGGTGTCAGGGGTGCAGCGGAGGCGGCAGCAGAGCTGGCGGCAACAATACCGCTGCTCTCTTCGTCAGAAGCGACTGCAGCATCAGCAGCGAAGCCTTTCGGATCTCCTTTATCCTTGTCAACCCAATCATCACCATCTCCAGCAGCAGCAGCAAGAGCATCGACAGCATCGAAAGCCCCCGGAGCGCTCCTCAAGACGCAGCAGCGACCTAGCAGCACCACCATCACCACCACAACGACTGTCAAGACGACCGGCACTTCGGCTTCCACCTCCTGCGCCTTCGCAGCAGCAGCAGCAGCAGTCGTGACAAGACCTCCAACCAGGCAACCAACCGCATCAGCAGCCCCGTCCGCGGCCGTTAGCACAACGACACGCAGTACGGCTGCCGTAACGGCTGCCACCACCTCCACCACCGCCCGCGTTAAACCCGCCGTACCTCCCAGGCGCGCCCCGCCCGGATCTGCCGTACACACCTCGGGCTCAGTAGTGGCTGCTGCCGGTGGTGCGTCTGGGCCCAGTAGCAGCAACCGCCGCCGCCCTGCCCGCCCGGACAGTCCTGCTGGTGGTGCTGGTGGTGCTGCTCATGGCGAGGGCTCCCAGGCAGCAACCCCGGAGACCCACCCGTCAAGGGACGGAGGCGGCTCCCCCCGGGCATTAGGCGGCGAGCAGCCGACCCGTGGGTCACCACGTGCTGCCGACCTCGCCGTTGGTCATCGACCATGCAGCGCTACGATGAGTGCAACAGCTTCAACGGCTGCTGGTACGGCGGCAGCGGGGTCGGCGGCGCCAACAGCTCGGAGAAGGAGTAGTACGATGGGGAGGCCTGGCAGCGCTGTGAGTGGTGGCGGCGGCGGCGGAGCTGCGGCTGGGGCTGGCGGTGCTGGAGTGAAGAAGGGGTGGCGGTAGTGGAATCATACCGGTAGCGGAAAACAGCTGGGAAGATGTGGGGGTGTGGGAACAGCAGAATGCGGCACATACTTGCAACGCACCAGGGACACGAGTCTTGCAGCGAATCTTGGGTCACGAAGGATAGTGCATGTTATTTAGGTATGTAAAGGTGTTTAGGTATGACAGCGTTTGCCGAGTGGGGCGACCCACATTAGGGGCTAACAGCGTGCGTGTGCGCGTATCGTGTTATTAATCTTACTGCTTTTTAGCGTGCATGAGCGAGACCGACAGTTGCCGTACTTACTGTACGACGATTAGGAACTGTCTCTCTAGGTAGCAACTCGCACGGCATTTTTGTATATTGTTTAAGGCATTCCCCCTGCAGCAAGGCTAGCAGGAAGCTGTTTCGGCAAGCTAGTTGCTAGTTGAAAGCACTCGGTATGTGAGGCGGCATTCAAAAGGCGTCGGGGCAAGTATGGCCTCTTGGTGTCTTTTGTGCCCCTCGGGTGCCCCTCCATAATTAATATGCCGCCATCATCAATCTTCGAAGGTTGAAGCCCGCGCAAAATGGATATGGTACTGATATCCGGCCAGCGTCGCTGGGTAAGGAGCGACTTAGCCACCGGAAGCTGATATGGGTCGACGCCGCAGTGTTTCGAAATGGCTGTATTTGTGTAACCAGTCGAACAGCACCTCGCTTTCAGTTAAATCGCGGCAAATACTGCGGCCTGTGAGCTTTGCAAGCATACTGCCATCAGCCCTCTATAACGAGAGAACCATATGCAACTCATTTGAGTCATTCGTTGGCTTCTTAAACGCTGTGCAGCAGTGCGAAAATCAGTTTAAAGACATGTGCGGAGGAATTGGGGACAGTATTCAGCAGTTGCTCGCACGGCAGTTTACATGGGCTGCAATTCGCGCCAACCTTATCTGCGTGACGAATAGTCTCCTAGGGTAGTGCAATTGCATTATAGTTATACTATACGTATCCTCGTAGTTCTCAGCGGCTTCCGTTAAAGATGGCCCTCTCGAACTGCGTCCGCATGGCCCGCCCCGAGGCGCGGCCAATTGCTGTATCCCGTTGCAGTGTAGTATGCGTTCGCGCTGTTGCTGGTGGCGTACCGACCCCGGACAAGAAGACTATTGTTGGAAAGGGCAAGCTAGTGGAGAGCATTGTGAAGGATGCTGACCTTACGCCGGCGCAGGCTGCCAAGGCTTATGAAGCCTTCCTTCAGACCATGCAGAGCGCCCTGGTGAACGGCGACCGGGTGAGGGCCCCGCATTTGCGTCCGGTGCTGGCATTGGTAAAGGTTAAGCCTACCCGAATTCGTGGAGGCTATAAGCACGTCTGGGTAAATGTGTAATGAAAGCTATATGCCGTTGCGTCATTGGTGGCTCCAAAGGCCTGGCGACCCCACAAGTCCCTATCCCACCTCGCCCATGATATATACTGCAAAAGCGCTAAAGATGCGAGCTTTAAGCTCCACTTACATAATCCTTGTCAACGGCGTTGCAATTTAGGTCACGCTCCCTGGATTTGGCTCTCTTGAGGTTCGCGACCGCTCCGCGCGGTCGGCCCGCAACCCGAGGACTGGCGAGCCCATGACGATCGAGGCCTGCAAGGTACGGTGTCTTTGCGTACAGTTCCAGCTGTTGACAAAGCCTTGAGAGGAATACCCGCTTAGCTGCTGGCGATTCCCGGTAGCATCATCCCGCCCCTCTGCCCATGCCCACCTGACCGCAGACCGCGGCCTTCAAGCCGGCTGCCGCTCTCAAGGACGCGGTCAACGGAAGGGCCGCTCCCAAGGCCGAGAAGCCAGCGGCTCCTGCTGCCCCGGCCAAGCCCAAGGCGACCAAGCCCGCTGCCACCAAGCCCGCCTCACCCGCCCCAAAGGCTCCCGCTGCTAAGAAGCCCGCTGCCGCCAAGCCCAAGAAGTCTGCATGAGCCGCGGCTCTCATGATGCGCTAGGTGGTCGTCCTGCGCGCTGGGAGGCGAGCAGCGAGGGTGCGGTCTGTTTGGATGCAGGCCGGAGCTGGAGCAGTGCTGTTACCTCGCCCTTGCTTCCGGTACACCTTGTGGCATGGTACTAATGGGTGCCGGTACAGGGTACTCCGTCCGACAGGTTGTGCTCCCACCTTAGCCAGGAATATAGCCAGGATACCGGTGGTAGTGGTATTGGGGTAGGTGTGCAACTGCCGGCAGCATGTGTGCAGTTGCTGCAGGAGTGTCGCTGGCAGGCGTGGGGGAGGAACTTGAGCAGCCGCTTGGCGGGGTTTCCCTTCCGATCTGGGTCGGTTGATACCACTCGGCAAGGTGGCATAAACTGGTTTGGGTGCCTTGATTACATATGTTTACATGCTTACTTGTTCCAGCTGGGTGTTATAGCTGGATGCTTGCTCGCCTGGAGTCGCGCCGCATGTGCAAGGCATGGCTGCATTTTGCGGTTTGACGGTCTTCTTGCAGCTCACTCCTGTGTTGTTGCCGCCCCCAGCGGTGTTGCCTGAAAAACGCTGTCCTTTTGAATCGAAAAGACACAAGAGAATATGCGTGGGGGTAGATAGCGGTTGGCCCCGGGCAGTCTGGGTGACAGGAAACGATTGCGGTTGAGCAGAACACCTGTACTCTTTTTTAGGGTTTTAGGGTTTTGCTGGTTTTAGGGTTTTGCTGGTTTAGCTACCTAGTAGTGCGGAACAACGCATCTGGGTTGTGTTAGGGCGGAGGTTGTGGACAAAGAAAGGAGGTCCGCAGCCCTCCGCGTGTCAGCGGGTGGCGTGTCACGCCTGTTGGTGCCCTCTAGCTAGCTTCTAGCTAGGGCGAAATGCCCATGTGGGTTCTAATCGCCGAAGCGTCCTGACACGTGGCAAACTTTTCATTAATGTTGTAAAATTTTTGCAGTGTTGTAACCCAAGCGCTCTCTCAGCCGCAAAAACCGCAACCTGCGCAACCCGACCTTGCATGCCCCAGTGTTGATGCTCCCCCCCTTTGAGAACCGCACTCGCCACCCTCAGCAGCGATACCGCACTCTTTCACGTGGATGCTGCCCGGCCTGTGAACCTCTCTTCACACAAACGCGCCCCTGCCTCCCCAGTCCCCGCCTGCCACCGCCGCTACCGCTACCGCTGCTTCCCCGCCGCGCCCTGCAGCCCTGCAGGCGGCGCCATGCACCGCACCAGCAGCCCCGCCTGCTCCCGCTGCAACCGCGACGGCAGCTGCAGCCCGCCTCTCAACGCTCGCAGCCCCATCCGCAACATCACCTCCTCATCCCAACACACATCCCCACCACCACCATCCCCACCACCACCACCCGCCCTGCTCCTCCCGGCTGCTGCTGAGCCCGTCGGACCACTCCTCTGCGCCTCCGAGCTGCTGTATGTTGGCAGCAGTCTCAGGAGCCCCATCATAGACCTGCCGAGAGCTGAAGCGGAGAACGCGCCGCACAAGCGCGCCACGTCGCGCAAACAGTCGACGTCTTCTGTCGTCGCCGTATCAAGGTCGCCAACCCCACTGTTGCGTGCTGGCTCTCCTCCTGCTGCTGCTGCGTTATTGCCGAACACCGCAACGTAGCGTTCCAACCAGATCAGCGAATGCAGTGCCGTACAGCACAAACACGCCGCGGGGCCCTGCTCATGCTTCCTTCGCTGCTGCTGCTGCATGGGCTGCTGGGGCTGCTGGATTGTGGGTGCGTGCGGGTCTAAACGAACCATGCCCTCCGCGTCAGCGACAGCATCCAAAACCTTGAGCGGCTTTGGATCAGCCCAACCGTCGCTACTACCGGTGTGACCCGCCGTACGGCAGGTGTTACGACTAACAGCTGCCGACGCGCCCCGACAAGCTTCATCTCCGTACAGACTGGGACTGTCGTACACTACCCACGTGTCCATGACGCCGCAACGGCGGAGGTAGGCCACCAGGAAGGTCGCTGAGAAGCGCAGCTGCGGGGCTGACGGCCCCAGAGGCAGCGCCGCCAGCACTGCCTCCGCCAGCGCTGGCCCCGGTACGGCAACCACCTCCGTCGCTGCCGCCGCCGCTGGCTGCTGCCGCTGTTGCCGTGGCGGCAGCCACCACACGTACCTCGCCTCCGCCGCTCCTCCTCCTCCTCCGCCGCCGACGCCGCCGCCGCTGCTGCTGCTCAGCCGCCGTACACTGCTCATGCACGCTAGCGCCGCCGCCAGCCCCATCACCTGCGGCTCGTCCAGCGTCGCCGTCAACGCGCTGTCGGAGGCCAGCCGACTCAGTCGCTCCACGAGTGGTGCATGCAGCGGCGGCCAGCGCGACACCACGTCTAGCAGCGCCAACTGCCAGCCCTGATGCGACTGCAGCCGGCGGCGGCGGCAGCTGAGCCCTGCAACACCAGCCGGCGGCGGATGAGTAGCAGCAGCGGCTGCTTCCGCCTCCTCCGCTGCCTCAGCTTCCATCACCAGCTCTTCCGCCGCCACAAAGGCCTGCAGGACCAGCTCGGCAATCCGCTCCGCTGCCGCCGCCCGCCGCCTTTCTACCTCCTCCTCCTCCTCCTTCTGCAGCTTCACTTGCCCTCCTTCTGTCAGTCCTCCTGCTCCTCCTTCTGGCTGCGGCTGCTGTTGCTTCATGAATCCAGCCGGCTGCAGCGCCCCACTCCCACTCATCACCCCACCGCAGCCCCCCTCCCCGACCCCCACCACCCCCGCCATCAGTTCTTCCCTCAGAGCTGCGTCCAGCGCCCGCATGAGTGCCACCAGGGTGCGCGGGTCCGCCAGGGAGGGGCCGGCGAGGGCCAGTCGCGACAGCAGGTCCTCCGCCGGGGAGCCGGTGGCGGTGGGGGGCTCGGAGGGGGGTTGCGGGCCCGTTGAGCCCTGGTAGGGGAAGGCAGGATGGAGGCAGGATAGAGAACATAGAGGGGGGCAAGGGATGGGCAGAGCGCGCGGGCGTGGGTTGTGCACGTAACAAGTGCTTGGGCATTGTAGAGGGGCGTGGGCTGCATGCATTGGGACAGGTCGCATGCAGCAGCAGGTGCTGCTGCTGCAGGTTCTTCGGGGGCCGGCGGGATCCGCCTTTTCCTTCATGCATGCTCGCACACACGCTGACACCCATCCCTCCGCTGCCCTTTCCATCCTGCCCCTTCCCCCTCCTCCTCACCCTCATCAGCTGCAGCCCCAGTGCCGTGTGTAGCGCCTCCCAGCAATCCACCTCGTACAACGTCACCAGCCGCAACTCAGATGCGGCCTGTGGTGCAACAGGGGGGGGGAATTCCAATGTGTGGTGTGATAAACTAGCTGACAAGCCCTGATGGAAAATCCGTGAGCCGAGCCGAACTGGTGACCGGGGGCAGGCGGGCCCGGCCGGGCGAGGGCGAGGGAAGGCGGGAAAGGGCGGCGGTAGTGGGTACCCGTAGAGGAGGCATGGTAGAAGCTGCTGGTAAGAGAAACGGGCTGCTGATGCGGGTAATGCACGCCCCCCTCTCCCCAGTCCCCGCCCCCCTCTCCCCACCTGGAGGTATTTGTACCGCTGCGCGGCTGTCGCGGCGTTGAGGGTGGGCTGCAGCAGCACGGGCTTGGCGTCCCGCTGCCAGCGGCCCCGCTGCACCCCGGTGTACTTCTTGAGGTGCTCTGGAGCGGGTTGCAGTGGGGGGGGGGGACAGGGAGGAGAGGGAGGGAGGACAGGGAGGGCAGGGAGGGAGGAGAGGGAGGAGAGGGAGGTGGAAGGGACAGGGAGGGAGGAATGGTAACTTTGGTAAGTAGTAGCGGGAGATGGGTTTTGGGCGTGTCACGAAATGTGCATGCATGTGCACGTTTGAACTGAACGCAGGAACGCAGCCAAGGGTCAGTGTGTGTGTTTCTTGTTAAGACACACCCGCACACAGAGAGCCCACCTCCCAAACTCCGCCCGCAGCCTCACCTTTACCCAGCCTCCCAAACTCCTCCAGGCACCTGCATGCGAACCCCCGGTCACCCACAACCACCGCCGCCTGCGGACCCATTGCTGCTGCTGCGGCTGCTGCTGTCGGGTGACCCATGGGTCTTCCTCCTCGCCCTCCTCCTCCTCCTCCGGCACCCAAGTGCTCCTTGCGGCTCTGGATCGACGCAAGGAGCTCCTTTAGCCGCCACCGCTCCGCCTCCAGCCGCTGTTGATGCTGTTGTTGTTGTTGATGATGATGATGTTGGGTAACAGCAGCAGTGTTGCCACCAGATGCTAACCGGGCATTGGGGCCTGGTGGGTTGAGGCCCGCTGCTGCTACTGGCCCCGCTCCCGCCGGACCGGTGTGCAACAGGGCTGCCAACGCCGCATTGACCAGCCGCTCGTAAGCGGACAGCAGCGGGATCGAGCAGCAGTACGGCACATGCAATTGTACGGCACGAAGGGCGGCGGCGGTGGCGGCGGCGGCGGTGACGGAGGAGGAGCGGCGGCCCGCATGGCTCGATGTGTCGTACGCTGGAATTGATGCTGACGGCGGCGGCGGCGGCAGCAGTAGCAGTGAGGGCTTTAGGAACAGCGCATCTAACCTGCTATCGATCGTCGAGTCCGGTGCTGCACCTGCCGCTGCTGCGGGATCGGTGGCGCCAGTCCCGCCGCCGCCGCCGCTGCCGCCGTACAACTCCATCTCCGTCACCACCACTTCCACCGCCGCCAGCACCTCCACCGCCAGCCGTACATCCGCCACTCCCGCCGCCGCTTCCCCACCCTCATCGCTACCGCGACCTCCTCCGTACCCCCCACGAGGCCGCTGCCCCTGCGCCTCCGCCGCCCCCTCAAGCGCCCCTCCTCCACCTCCACCTCCACCGCCCAGCCTCAACGCCCGCCTCAGCCCCCGGGACAGCAACCCCCACACCGCCTCCTCGCCCTCACCATCCAACGCAGCAACCGCCGCCAACAACACACCCACCGGACGACATGCAACACCGCCACCACCGCTACCACCGCTGTCGCCATGCTGCTGCTGCTGCTGCCGTACAGCCCGAAGCGTCGTCGTTATGACCCCCGCTGCCCCCGCTGCTTCGCCCGCTGCTGCTGTTGCTGCTGCTGTTTCTGCTGTTGTGGGTCTCCCTTTCCGCAGCATGAGCAAGAGTTCCTCCTCCGCTGCGTGCATCAGCAGCGGCAGTCCCAGCACGGCCACCAGGTGCGGGGCGCAGCAGCGGGCCGCAGCCGCCGCTGCCGTGGTGCCGATGTTGCTGACCCCGGCGGCGCCGGCGAAGCAGCCGCCGTCAGCGCTGCCGCCGCCGCTGCCAAAGCACTGTCGTACCATCCGCAGAGCCCAACTGGGGTAGGTGGGGACATGATGGGGGAGAGGCATGGAGGGCGGGCGGGACGGGGCCGCGGGACCGCGGGAGGCGGGATGGGGATTACTGCCCACAGTAGTCGGGCCAACAGATTACAGTAGTGGGCGCCGGCAAGTGACGTTCCACGCACCTCCGAGCACCCCACAACGCCGCTCTCACGTCCCTCCGCCGGTAGCTAGGTTTTACCTTGGTGCTACCTACCTACGGTGATAATACCCCCAGCCCCCCCAAAGCCCACGACACGACCCGCTATGCGTACCCCGCACCGGTGCAGTAGACCCACCCACTACCACCCAGTTACTTCCCCTTTACCCACCCAACCACCCACCTGGAGGCGAGGGCGGGGTCCAGCGGAAACAGCCGCTCCGCCACTGCCGCCGCCAGCAGCCCTAGCGCCTCGGGGCCACAGCGCTGCTGCTGCTGCTGCTTCGGCTGCCCCCCCTGCTGCCCCCCCTGCTGCAGGAGGACAGCAAGTTGCACCGCCTCCACCACCACCGCGGCGGCTGCAGCCAGGGAGGTGGGACAAGGGCCGCATTGGCCGTCACTGCAGCTGCCAGTGCCGGCCTCAGGATCGTCGCCGCTGCCACAGGCGCCCTGAGCGGCGGTGGCGCTCTCAGTCGCTGTCTTTGCTTTCTTCTTGGCTGCGGCATCAGCGGCGGTGACAAACGCCGTTGGGGGTTTGGGAGGGGCACCTTCAGCTTTCCGCTTGGGTGCCGCTTTCGGGTCGCTACGGCTCCGCAAAATGGAGAAGAGCTGCTCTTCCTCTTCTTCTTCCTCTTCGTCTTCGTCTTCTCCCTCCTCCTCTGTATCGTCAGCATTGCCCGCTCCGACAGCACCCTTTTCCTGGTCTGCATAATCACCAGCACTGTGTCGATCAACGGCTGCGTTACCACGGCCGTTGTAGTCAGGGTTCAGGTCAGGAGCAGCTGACGAGGCAAGGACAGGGGGCCCTTGAGGTACGGCAAAGTCGTCTGAAGGTAGGTCCGACTCATCCGCAGACAACCGAATGAAGTCAACGGTAAGGGCTGCGAAAGCCTCCTGAGCAGTAGCGGTAGCAGCAGCATCTGCTGCTGCTGCAACAGCCGAGCTTGAGTCATCTGCATCGCCGCTAGCTTCTGCACCACCGCTGTTGTTGTTGCCGTCAGCAGCAGCTGGGCACCTCGGCAGGTAGCGTGAGCGCACCCCCAAGATTCCGCCAAGGAGTGCAGGGTTCGAGGCAGGAGGCTGCTGCTTCTGCTGCTGGGGTGCGGCAGGTTCTGCAACAGGAGGCGCCGCGAGCTGCAAGAGGGCGGTTACCAAATCGCCCAAGCGGTTGCCTCCGCAGCAGCAGCCGGCAAGAACTGCGCGCGCTAGCAAGCGTTGGCTCTGGTGCTCGGCTGAGACGTGGGCGACCGCGAGCAGCAGGTTGCGAAGCTGGGCTGTGCTGGAGCATCGCTGTGCGAGGACTTGAACCACGTGAGCGGTGGGTGCTAGCCTGATAGGAATTAAAAATAGAGAAGCCGGATATGGACAAACGCTTATTTGCTTGGATGATAATCTGGATTGAGTTCGATGCAATAGCTACTGGCCAGGGACCTGTTGCGACAGTAATAGTACCTTAGCTCCACGCAGCTATAGCGTGTTAGCTGCGATGTAAGCTCCGTCGCAGCACCCAAGTGCCCGGCTAGCCGGCTGCAAACGCCCTCTACGATTGTCGCATAGAGGTGCGCAGATGGGTCAGTACGCCCGCCCGGCAGTGCCATATCTCAATATATTCACATCAAACACAACCTGGTCACCGCAGCGTTTGTGTCGAGTAGGGAGAAAGGGATTCCCGCCCTTTGTACGGTTACAAAAGGCTTCGGAGCCAGGCTCCGGAGCTCAGAAAAAGCGCAAAAGGCTGATAGCTGCTGGGTTCACAAACCACGAGGCTTGCCTAAGCTTTACCAATTTCAAAGCGAGTACGCTTGGTAAGCTATAGTGAGTCCACTTGTCGCCTGCCACTGCCCCTCCTCGTGCTGCCTGCTTTCTTTCTGCAGAACCGCAGAGCACGACCTTGAGCCCCTCCATGGCTGTGCTACCGCGCCCGCAAAAACAGCGTCACCGTGTGGTCACCCGTCATGCCTGGCAGAGAGGAGGCTGTAAGCCGCTACAAAACTAAACCGTTCCTTGAACCCTTCCGAAGCCTTTGTAATGCCTTTAGCCAGGATTTGTGCAGGAGTACCGGTACGTGAGTAACCCAGGTTGAAGCGGTTGAACGGCCTCTTGACAAGCGTCTTAGTAGTTCGGCACTACGATACACATGGACGAGACGGCTTTGCGGCACCCAACCAACCGAAAGATGCACTCCGAAACCGACCCACATCAAGATGCAATGCCCACGACGCCATGGGATGTATTGTACAAGGCACAACCAGTACGGACGTCAACCAGAGAAGGAAGCGCTTAACCAGTCCCGGCCTGTTGCTGCCCCATCCATGCGCCATGCCCTAAACCCTAAGTGAGAGGCGTCTGTCCGTGCAATTATTGGACGACCATCCTCAGTGCTCTATCCTCATACATGATTAACATGACCACATATCGACATGCATCTAAAGGATACCGGGTGCAACAACATCCGTCCATTTTTGTTTCATGTAACTGCTCTAACCGCATGGCATGCACATACAGGTAACTAGCAAATTGTTAGTTGAGCATGGATCTTTTCGTACATCTAGCCTTACTAGGCTCAACCCTGGCACAACAGTTGATTAGGCAAGACCTCGCACCGGCCGTTGGGGGTGATACCTGATACGGCATTTAGCCGTACACCTGCGCAACACACGGCACATGATGTATGTGGCAACCGGAACCAACCAAGCCCGTTCTAAGCAGCATCGTCCGTCCGTTTTGGGGGAGCAGACGCGCGTGTGTCACATTAAACATGAGCATCATCATCATCCTCAGCAGCAACAGCAGCAGCGCTTTTGCAACACACGATTTCCCATCCGTCCTCAGGGCCCTTGCACGTACGCACGTCTCCGAGCCCCTTTTGAGCCTGCAGCTAGCCAAACCAACTGCCCTCCATGAAACTTATCCACGGGCTTTGCTAGTCCCATGCAGCCTAATGGGCCCTCTACTGACAAGCCTTCACCGCAGCGGCCGACCTGACGCACAATCGCCTCACGACCCTGCATCAACCCCTTCATAACATCCTCTCATGCTTTCCCCGGGTTAAATTATACAGAAGCGTGCCTCTGCCCTGTCATCGTGCAGGAGTGTGTTTTCCCTCTCATATCCCCTCTCCCCTATCACCAAAATCCCCTGCCTGCCAGGCCTCCACCCACCAAGCACCAGCTCGTGTCGTGTACCCGGCTGCACACTCGACAGGTGTGCGACTGACACCTGCCCGCCGCGAGCAGCACAGAACGCCAGCTGGTCGAGGAGCAGACCTCTTCGTCTCTGAAGCCCCATCCACGATGAAATGCGTAAAAGCCCACGCGCGCAAGCTTTCCACCCCTGAATCCACCGCTGTGTCTTTTCATACTGCCGACCCCTCATGGGTTCCAGTCCGCCTCCCCTGCTAGTTTGCCACTCTCATTCAACTATGGTTCGCCTTCTTTTCTCCTCCTAGCGCATGCCTACTTACTACTCTTGACGGCGTATCAAACACCAACCTGGTTATATGCCTACGCTACCAACCCCAACTGCAACCCCAACGCACCCGCCGCCCCGAACCAACAGATCCTTCTCCAACCGCTTACATCCCTGCTCACCCTTCTCTCACAACACAAATCATGCATGTTCATGCATGCCCCCCCTCCATGCATCCATGCATCCCCGCACGACCCGCTACCCCACTCCTCACCGCCCCAAGCTGCCATCCGCCCTACCAACCCCCCCTCCTGCTCCTGCCCCCGCTCCCTCTCCTGTTGCTGCCCCCGCTCCCCCTCCTGCTCCTCCTGCTCCTCCTGCTTCTGACGACCCCCGCAACACCGACAGCAATTGCCCCGCTGGGGCTGATTCATGTCGCAGGAGCAGTGGCGGCCTCGCAGCCCGCACCGGCCATCCGCCGCGAACCGTCCCCTCATACCCAGGAAAGCTAGAAGCCAGCACCGCCGCCGGCGGCAGCACCCCCCAGTTACTGCTGCGGCTGCTGACGCTGCTGGCGCCACGTACCAGGCCGCATGCCTCGTCGTCAAACGCATCACCCCTCTCCGCCGCCGCCGCTGCCATCTCCTCCTCTAGGCCGCCACCAATGTTTGCGTGCGTGCCGCCGGTATGGATGCGCGCAGCGGCGGCGCCGCCACGGGGAGGCTCACGGCGCCTTGACTCCGTCAGCAACGGAGGCGCCGCCGCCGCCGGAAGCGACGCAGGCCAGGAGTGAATCCGCATCTGGGCAATGTGCGTTGAGATGTGCTGCGAGTAGTCCGGATCCAAAGCGGCTCCAGCAGAGGCGGCTGCAGAGGCGGCGCCAGCAGCGGCAACGGCAGAGGCGGCGCCAGCAGAGGCGGCTGCAGAGGCGGCGCCAGCAGAGGCAGCGGCAGGGGCGGCGGCGGCGCTTGACGACGGTTCATCTGGCGGCGGGGACGGCTCTGTGGACAGTGGTCCCGCTGGAGCTAGCAACCCATGCAAACCATGCGGCGTCACACTGGCCAACAGCAAACATCCTTCGCCTGGCGGCGCCGGCAGTGCCGGTGCCGCCAGCTGCGATGCAGCCGCTGCCGCCGCAGGTGCGGCTGCCGGCAAGCCGGGCAGGGAGAGGGTGGCGGCATCGCTGCAGGCACCGACGGCGGCAGCGGCGATGAGCCCGGCGGCTGTGGAAGAGGAGGAGGCGGATGCGGTGGAGGGCGGCGGGCGGAGGGAGGCGCGCGACAGGCTGTGGCTGTGGGCTGCTCGCGGGGAGGCGGACAAGGGGCCGCTGAGGGCGAAGGGGTAGAGGAGGCCTATGCGTGCAGCAGCGGGGCAGGAAACATGTTAGCATGGGTTAGCGGTAGCGAAAGGCGGTAGCGTTTTCGGCGTTAACAACAACATGGCATGGAAGCTATGGAAGGAGCTTGGCGGCATGGGAGGAGGCACCGCACTAGCCCCACAGGTGACCTACCGGTGGGCCGCAAGTGCTCAGGAAGGGAGGCGGAGGAGGGATGACGCGGTGGGCCCCTGCCACTGCCGTTGCCGTTGCGACCAGCGCCGCTGCCGCCGCCGTTGCGACCTCCATTGCGGGCACTGACGCCGCCGCCGCCGCCACGGCCGCCGCCAGCCGCAGTGCCGTACTCGTCCCTCGCGCCTCTGCCACTGCCCTCGTCGCCATCGCCCTCGCCGCCGTCACCGTCGCCGCTGGAAGAGCGGCGATGCATGCTCCCATCCTGCTCGTCTCCAGCGATCGCAGAGGCAAGTAAGCCGCCGCCGGCACCACCATCACCACCACCACCACCGCCGCCGCCGCCGCTGTCGCTGTCGTACGACCTGCCACCGCCGCTTCCCACGTAAAACCCGACGCGGCAGCGACCAAAGACCTCGCCTCCCTCGCCTTCTTCGCTTTCGCCGCCGCTGCTGCCGGCGCTGCCGCTAGCGACTGGAAGTATTCCACGGGCCGCATCCGCATCCGCCGCTGCCGCCGCCAGCGAACCCGACCCCGCGGCGGCGGCGGCGGCGACCTCCTGAGCGGCATATCCAGACCCGGACCCGGACCCAGACCCCGAGAGCTGCCTGGATAGCAGTGAGTAACGACGCCGCGTTGCCCCGGGCGATGGTGGAGGCGATCGGGTGCCGCTGCCTGTCCTCACGTCCCGCGTCGTCTCCCCCTCGTCGAAACCTCCGCCGCCGATTCTCTCAGCGCTGCCGCTGCGGGCAAGGACTGCCACTACGGACGTCGGGACCGCTGTGTATCGGGCGTCATCAAAGCTCTCAAGTGCGGATGGTTCGCGAAGGAGGACCGTGGCTGTGGGAGGGGCAGCCCCAGGGCGTGAAGGAAGAGGGCTGCCGGCATTGCGTCGAACGCTGATCTGGGTCGCGCCTGATGGGGCGGAAGGAACGGGAATGGCGCGGGCGCTGCTGCTGCTGCTGCCGCGGAATGGGTTTGCCGCTTGTGAGCTAGTGAAAGGGCTTTGGCCAGTTGGTTCGTGCAGCAACTCGGGCTGCGAATGCGACCGCGTACGCTGCTGCTGGTGGTGGTAATGCTGTTGCTGTTGCAGTGGATGATGCTCGGGATGCACGCTGGCGCTCAGGGGTTGTTGTTCGCGCGTTGTTGTTAGCTGTTGTTGTTGTTGTTGTTGTTGTTGTTGATGTTGTCGTTGTTCCGGCAAAGGCTGTTGCTGTTGCTGCGTAGATTGCAGCCCCATCGAGAGCCAGGAGTTGAGCGAGCTTACAAGCGGCATCGCTGTTTTCGGGTGATGGCGCGAGGACGCAATCGATCGAACTGCGAATGCTCCAAAGGGTTGTGCAGAAGGAATCTCAACTTAGCGCGATAAGGTTGGTCCTGACGCCGACCGCGTAAGCGTGAGGGAGGCGCCCGGTGGATGGAACAAGGGCTTAGGTCTTTGGACGCGACAAGGTTCAGGGCGGTGCGTCACGATGTGGCCCGAGTTACACTCCTCCAGGTCAAGGGGAGTGTAAAGGCGGCTTGTTGGTTGTAGCAAATCCAAACAACTCTACCGGTATACAACAAGCGCTAGCTGCCCTTTCGGAGTTTCAAGATGCGAAGGGTTTCCGCTCCTCGCCGGAGGATGTCAAGTAGGGACGAGCAGCACGCGAGGGCTATACGAACAAGCTATTATTTACAGACATTGAAGCCTTCTGCCCTAAGCAGAATGTCGTAAAGCCGGGTGGAATTCCTCATGGACTGACCAAACCCTAATTGCCGTTGTCGCGCCGCGATTGCTGCGGTGACCTCAGCAATCACCATGCAGCCTTGACCTGCGCAAAAAGAAAGCTTTACGCAAAAAGAGCGCGTAGATATTTGCTTATTTGCCCTTGGCTTGCAGCTTGCCACACGACTCTTCGGTTGCCACACCTAGGCCCTCATGAACCGTCGGGGCCTCACGTGGGGTCTCGCCTAGGACACACAACCCTCATGTGAACGCTGCTTCTAAAACCCTTTTACACTGCCGACCGTGTGCCTAGTATAGCACTACTTAAAAGACGTCATATTGTGGTTCTTGATTGCACGCTGCTTGACAAACCAAATCCTTCCGCGACTTTAAAGGTCTGTAAGCTTCCTGGCCTGGTTTTACGAAAGCGCTCAAATCCACTTTTTAGGCCAGGCATAAACAAGATGCTAAGCTAAATGAATGACCATTACAGCGGTTGCCAAGAGCTGTCGAGGACTTCGACATACGGGTCAACAGTGGTTACGGCGCCCGCCAATCGGCTGTGTGTCGCATGGAAACCTTTCAGCAGCCTCCGACCCTTCACACAAGCATTCCGCATCGGATGTGCTCCCATTGCGTCGTATTGTAAGCAGCACCCGACGCGTCTCCTACCGCAAAGCCTGTCCTAGCACAACGCAGTTTGTCAACCGGCCGCCGCCGCCAACCCAACGATGCCAACACGGACCTATGGGTCAGCATGGAAAACGCGCTGCCCGCTCCTGCCACAACTGCTTGATCCTCAGCAAAGAGGGCCGGGAACATAATAAAAGCATGGCATCCCGTTTTGATAGAACGGCTCCCAACTGCCAGCCGTTTATTAACTGTTTACGTGCGTTTGTCGTACTAAACGGTAGCTCGCCTCTGTATACTGTCAAGCCTCCTCCTGTTAAGTCTTCCCTCCAACCCTGTCGTACCGCTTGAACTGCCTTTCGCGGTAATCGCGCATGTAACAAAAACACAAACACAACACAACACATGCACTGTTCGGAGTTTAGTGTATACTGGCGTCCCTTCCGTTCGTGTCCCTGCGCTGACATAGCAAAACACAACCCAACACATGCACTGCCTGAAGCAGATTGCTCAGATCAGGAGAGGAGCGCTAGCACGTTTACCGCACCACCATCCTCCACGTGCCCCCTGACAATCTCTACCCAAAGGAGCCATTCGTTTGTACATACACTCTTTTGCAGTTGTCCTCTGTTGCACGGGAGGTGATCACGACCCACGGGTCACTGTCACGTCCACACAAGCCCCCCCCCACACAACACACTGCACAACACTCGAGCTAATAAATCACCGTGCACCTCAAGTAACCTCTCACAAACACGCTCATCCCTTCTTCCGCTCTCTTTCCTTGTTGCATACGAGCTACACCGTAAGAAACACACCTCCCAACCCGAACCCAAACTGTCACATCTCCACCCTTCCACCACCCTCTTCCGCGCACAGCTACACACACTCGAGCCCCCCTCCATTCCCACATCTTAACCCCCCCCAGCCCCTACCTACGCCCCGCTCTGACTCGCGCACACGCTCCCCGCCCCATCATAATCATCACCCGTCCTCATCACCCGTCCGAATCATCATCCGGGTAGTCGGGGTCTTCATCCGGTACCATTCCCATCAGGTGCCGCCGCTCCGCGCGAGCCGCCCGGCTCCTCGCACGCTGCAGGGAGCGCATGCGCGCTTCAAAGGTGTCCAGCTCCTGAACGAAAACGGAAAACGGGGAAGTGTGTGACAAAGGTGAGCAGGGAGTTGGGTTGCGTTGCGCTGGGCTGGGTCCAGCTGCCATAAGTAGCCAGAAGGGTGAGGTACGCGCGACGGGAACAGAGAACGCACATGGGGCAAGAGGTTGTGGTTAGGAAAGCAGCCGGACGGATGGAATGCCGCGACAGGTGTTGAGATGGGCGCAACGTTCACCAAAGAACGAAGGACGAGCTCGCAGCCTTTCGCACGTTGTGCCGTGCAACAGCAAACCACCTGTCCGTGCCCAGCACTCAGCAGGTCAGCCCAGGTCTGTCCCCACCCAAGCCGCGTATCGCCATTTTCCCCGCCACTCCTGCTCCCATTATCTAGCCGCGCCCAACTGTTCCCCCCACACTGCCCTCCCACGGGAGCCACCGCAACACCCGACACCCCAAAACACCGCCACCTATGCGGCATGCACGACCCCTTCCCACCATCAGCTCTCCAGCCACCACCGCCTGGGTGCGCTCATCCTCCGCTCGCGCCTTCGCCGCCGCCATCACCGCCACGCGCGCCGCCGGCGTCTCATTCGCCTCCGCCACCATTCTGTCGTACACCTGAACGTACGTCTTCTTAGGCAATGGTATAACCGTTCGCTGCGGCGGAGGCGGCGAAGGCATGGCCGCCCCGCCGCCACCGCCAAAGTTCAAGTTGCTGCTAGCGGTGCTGCGCCGGTCGTGATCGTACATGGACCCTCCGGCGCTGCCTGGAAGCGCCGTCGACGGCCGTAACCGGAAGGACCCCGCGGCTGAGGAGCTCCCCGGGGCGCTCATGAACGCCCCTCGCGCCTGCGCCGCCGCCACTGCCGTCGTGTAAAACCGCCGCGTGGGGTCCCGCGACGACGCGTCCCCCTGGCCGCCACCGCTGGTGTTGCCATCGTCTGAGGAGGTGGCTGCAGCTGAGGCGACGGAGGCGCCATGCGCCGCCTCCGCCGCTACCAACGCACCCAGGTCAGCGTAGGCGCTGCGGGGTCGCATGCCGCTGCGTGCGTATCGCGCCGCTTGCTCCAACCGCTGCCGCCGGAAGGTTTCCCGCTGCTGCTCCGCCCAGAGCCCGTGTCGCGCCTGCTCGGTTTGGCGCTCGGCTGCCTTGTCCGCCTCGTGTTTGGCTTCCACATAGTTCATGAGGGCCATGTGACGAGCCACCTCACGCGGGTTGTTCTCAAAATAGCTGAGGGCAGGCAGGCATGCAGGAGGTGTGTGGGAGGGTGGGGGAATGAAAAGATGCCAGGCTGGGTGCATGGGTGCATGGTAACATGCACAGGGAGGGCCCATACTACCACACGCATCACAACACCCGACCCCATTCCGCCCTCCATTCCTAACTACAGCTCCCCACACCGCACCCATCAGCACCGCTTCACCCATCCAACCCGCCACACCCGACCCCTGCCCCTCACCTCTCCCGTCCCCAGCACCCACCCACCCACCCACCTGAGCGCCGCCCACTTGCTGCCCGGCGGCACATCCGCGGGCTTCACGGTCCGTGCCGCCGCCACAAAGTTGTGGGAGTGCTGCACGGTGCCCGCCTCCCAGGCCCGGGTGGCCCCCACCGACATGGGGTCAGCGGAGATGAGGGAGAAGCCCGACAGGTTGCCCACGCTGCCACCCATGGACTCATTGCCCACGCTGCGACCGGAGCCCAGCCGCCCTCGCGCGGTGAGGCTGAGGGAGGCGGCGCGGGAGGAGGCCTGGGGGAGCCGGTGGAGGCCTACTCGGGAGTGGCCGGTGCATCTGCGGGCGGGGGGGGGGAGAAGGAGGCGGAGAGGGAGGGAGAAGGAGGCGGAGTGAGAGGGCTGTGATATGAGAGGTTGGAGGAGTTGTGGTAGGAGGGCGTGTGAGGATTGGAACGAGGGAGCGCGCGGAGTTCAACAGGACAGAGGGCGGAGAAGGAGTGGGAGGAAGGAGGAGTTTCGGTTCGAGGTTTTCACGCGCTCGAGGCGCTGATGAATAGTTACTCACATGAAGTGTCCGACTCCTCCGCGGCCAAAGGCGTGGCTGGGGAATAGCGTTGCTGGGTCCGACGTGTGCTTAACAGATAGGAGGTCCGACTGAAGGAGGCTTGGTGGCGGGTCCGTGGATGGCATTGCTGCCACAAAGCTTACTATTGGCTATTGGTAAGGACGCCGGAGAAAAGCTTGAACGCGTGCGTTTTAGTGGTCTACCGAGTCGGCAGGCTGTACTGCGGACAAGGCCGCGGGCCGTAAGTGGATAGCCAGCATGGTAACAATTTGTTATAGAGATACGTAGGAGACCAACCTTCCCGCGCCCAGCACAGGAAAGCCAATGCCGTCCTCGCCTAACTTTGTCCCTGCCCGCCACCGGCTATGTCAATGGGTCCAAGATACTAATTATAGCCGAGCTACGATAACTGAAGCGGCACTCGGCAAGATAGTCTCTCTGGGTGCCGCTTAATGCCTAGTAGTTATTGATACTGCTGAGGTCTTTAAGCGCGGAACATGGTAAAAATGTTTACTGTAGCAAGGGCAAAATATCGATACAATCTTCAAGTTGGAGGCGAAAGGCTCGGAAACGTCTGCATTTCATTCGAAGGAACGTACGATCAAGAGATAGGAGATACGCCGCTTGCCAGGATGTCATACTTTACAAACTTTACATATATAGTGTCAAGTTCGCTAATTTGTGTTTTGTAGCTTTACAGACATTTGGGTACAGCCTTGCCTGTGGCCAGTGGCCAGGCATTGCCGTGCCCACAGGTTCAGGACAAGCAATAAAGCGTGAAGGTTAGATGTATCAAATAGCATCATCTGGGTGATTTGAGCCCTGCCCAGCCCTTTCAACCACTAGTGCGCTCTTTCGAGGGGCACGTGTGACGCTGGGCGCATAGCGAAAGGCCTAAAATGGCGTGCCTTGAAGAGGATTTCTCTGACGTTAAGGAGTTTGTCAAGGAGGTAAGCCTGCCGCCAAGGGGTCAGCTAGAACATCGACGCTGGGGCTAGCACCTCTCTTCGTGCCCCATCGTGGCCGCTTCCATGTCATGCGCCATGTTCCTGTGCCTCTGATTTGGGGATCAGCCCTGGGTAAAGCGTTGAAATCCTCGACTGCCCACTGTGTGCGTCTCAATGAGGATGCTGGCCTTCATGCTAATATATGCTCCTTCTCCAGTAACTATTTCCTACCTCCAGTTGTTAAGCATGTTAGCACCGTTGCACTATGCCGAGCGCCCATGGTGCCCCGTATGGCTCCTGGACTGTCTGTAACCGGCTGCCCGCGGCACAGGATGACTCTTGCTATGAACAAAACGCTAGCGAGGACGAGGTGGAGCGAAAAATTGATGAAGAGCATGCGAAATTCAGGGAAGCGCAAGCGAAACGGCAAGAGGAGGTGAGATGGGCACGGCGCAACTAAAGCTGCACGGCAAGCAAGCCGCGCGCTTTGCTCCGGGAATCAGCAGCATGTTTTCGATAGCGTACTCGCGCGTGCGCTGTGTTGCCTGGGGCGCGCAAAACTTCATGCAGCAGAGCTGCTGGGATCCGGCGGCCCCCGCCTGCTTGCAGCCCTTCATACATCACTCCCCCTTGTGCCGCCAACTGCTCCTATCGCGTTGCTGCACCAACCTCTCCAGCACATCACCCATGCACCCGCCCGCACCTTCCTTCTCGTGCCCTCCGTTTTGGGTGCCACCCCGACCCCTCACGCTCTCAAGCCTTGTCACATAGTTCTTAGCTTTTTTCTTCAACCCGCCCACCCCCCTTTCCGGGCTCGCCCAGGTCCGTGCCAACCGGCCTTGGTCGTCTCCGCCCATCGAGTCGCCCAGACCTGAGCAGCAGAAGGAGCGCGAGAGGGAACGGAAGGCTCGGACTTCTACATCTGACTGTAGGTGGTGCGAGAGCGGTTACATTGTGACGGTGCAGGAATGCGGGCCAGGGGCGGGGCAGGGAGGGGGTCATGCGGAGCTGTGTACCTCTCGCGGCTGTGTGTACGGAGCTGCGTTCCCTGTTCGGACGTGTGTGCCGTTGCGGTGGTGGTGGTGGTGGTGGTGGTTATCAGAGCACGCCCTCCACAGCCCAGCGGGAATGAAGGCCTGCAGGTACTACAATGCCGTCGGTGCCACTGATCCGTGGGATTGTCTGTTGATCCGGGCGTTGACCTCTCCGCCCAATCCCTCCTTCCTCCTCCCTTCCAGCCTCTGGAGGGGACGCTCCTCGGTCCGAGTACGAGCCCCCCGCACGGCCGTACTTGCCGGCGGCCCAGGCGTCAGGCAGCAACTTGTCGTACTTGTCACGGCCGCAGTCAGCGGAGCTCCGGGGCTCCCGCCGGCCGTCAAACAGTGGTAAGAGGACTAGGAAGTGTGCGCGTGTGTCTCTGTGCGGGGGGCCGTAGCTCCTGTTCCTCATGCCGCCATGTCATATGCCGCCACATGTCGCACAGGTGCTGCACATGATGGGGGACCCACTGCATGCCAACCAGCTGCGCAGCGGCGACCCCAACTATGCACACCGGCCAGTTTCCGGACAGTTACCTGAACACGCCTCAGTTCCCAACACGCAGCACTTCCTCCTCCACTGCACTGCCCGCTACTCACCATGTACCCCTGCTCGCTCCCCACCCACTTTCCTTTCCCCCCTCCTCCGTGAACGCAACCCACCCACCTGCACCCGCGCAGGCACCCGCAGTTACACGACTGGCATGTCCCCGGCCTCGCTGTCAGGCATCGAGGAGGAGGCGGTGGTGGAGGCAGCAGCCACCTCTCGCCGGCCCTCAGAGGTGGAGCGCATGGGCTCGCCCACGCACGGCGGCGGCGGCACCGGTGCGCCCGATGACACACCGGGCCGCGACCAGAACAGCCCTGCCCTGAAGGAGGAGGATGAGGATGGGATTGATGATGAGGATGAGGATGAGGAGCTGTTGGGCAGCGAGGAGGGTGAAGCGGAGGAGGAGGAGCGGGTGGGGGTGGCGGAGGGAGAGGGCAGCGGGGCGTATGGCGGTCGGCAGGACGCCTCAGAGGATGGCGCGCTGAATGCGACGTTTGAGGTACGACCGCTGGAGGAGGCGGAGCGGCGGAGCTGGGCGGGCGAGGGCGACGTGGGAGGGACGAGCGTGGAGCTGGACCCGGTGCCCTGGGGCTCGACGAACGGGGCTCTTGCTAAGGGAGCGCTGGCGCTGTATGGGGAGGAGGCTGCGCCGTTTCGGAACCAGGAGGACGAGGGGGAGGGCGATGCGGGGCGACTGGAGCAGCGCTGGCTTGTGGGTGCGGTGTATGGTGGTGTGCAGCCATCCAGGGTTGAGGAGGAGGAGGAAGAGGTGCATGACGGTGTTGTGGAGGAAGAGCAGCAGGAGCAGCGCCGTGCGTCGGCTGCAAGCGGCGGAGGCGGATTGCCGTACAGTTGGAGCGGTACGGCAAAGGCCGTACCGCCGCTGCCTGAGGTGGCGGGCCCTACGATGGCCATGCGTGGGTTCGTGCAGCCGCTGCCGTGCGATTCATCGTACGACCACCCCGGCGATGGCAGGCCGCCAGCGCTGGGGGCGGAGCCTGCTTCGATGGAGATAGAGGGGCTGCCGCAGGGCCCTCCGGTGCACCAGGAGAGCAGCGTGGGAGGCGCCGTGCCCGAGGAGGAGGTGGAAGAGGAGGGGCGTCCAACGGGACAGGCGGCAGGCGCGGAGGCGGAGGGCAGCGGGGATGCAGAGAATGAGTACAGCAACGACAAGTTTGAAAGCGAGGCCGAGGAGGAGGAGGAAGAGCGGGAGGGGGGTCAAGGAGGTGCGGGGGCGGCGGGGACACAGGCGGCGGCGGGCGAGAGATCTGGGGCGGAGGGCACCGCAGAGGCCCCGCCCACGCATGCACCGTCGCGGGAGGCGTCAGAGCAGCAGCAGCAGGTGCCCTCAGCGGGACTATCATCACCGCCACCCGCCGCATCGGAGCCGTCGCAGCCTCCTGTGCAGCAGGTCCCGCAGCCGCCAGCGTCAGAGCCGTCGCAGCAGTCGATCTCGCCGCGGGCGGCTCCCTCGGCTGTTGCTTCTGAGAGGTCATTGCCAACGGCCCCGGGCCCGCCGCCGCAGCCGCCTGCCGCAGAGGCATCCTCGCCGCGCGCGCCTCCCTCCGCCGACTCCTCTTACGCCAGCAGCACCCCGCCGGCACCACGACAGCCGGCTAACCTGCCGCCGCTGCAAGTCGCTAGCCATGCAACACCAGAAGCCTCCCCGCACCCCTCACCACCCGCACCTTCCACTTCATCGCTCTCCAAAGCCGAGGAGGACGCCGCCGCCGCAGCAGCAGCAGCCAGCAGGCGCGCCGCCGCTGCCGCCGCCGTGGTTAACAACCTCCGCACCGTCAGCGGACCTGGCATCGGCGTCGGCGCCATCGGCAGCAACGCGGCGCCGCTGCCGCCGCCAGATGCAGCGTTTGACCTGCTCCCGCCGCAGCAATTCGCCATGCAGCTTCTCAAACACGACATCGACGTGCTGCCTCAGCACCACAGGGTAGCAGCGGAGGCGGCGGCCGCGCGGAGGCGGCCCATGTCTGCACGACCCGCCGGCGCCGGGTTGGCGTCGTTCGGCTACCTGGGCTACCACGTGCCGCATGAGGACTTGACGGCGCCGTCTGGAGTGGGAGGCCAGCGCAACCCCTCGCCCGGTCGTACGGCGTCGCCGGGTCGCGGTGGCGGTGACGTCGTCGACGATGAGGATGATGAGCTGTATCTCGCTGTGCCTCGGTCACAGCATCAGCAGGAGCAGTTCGGAGAGGGAGTTGCAGAGGGAGCTGCCGACGGCGGTTATGAGGGGGCGCGGCCAATATCCGCGCCACACATGCGACCTGGTCTGGAGGCTGACCGCGGAGGCAGGGAACCCGTACCGCCGCCGCCGTACGTTCCGTCCGTACACTTTACAGGCGGCGCCGCGGCACGTGGCGGCCGAATGCTGCCGCCTGTGGCTCCGCAGCCGCCGTTTCCTGCTCGAGGAGGCGGCAGGCGGGAAAGCAGCGGCGCTCCTGGTGGCGGCGGTATTCGCATGGCGGCTGCTGCTGACAGCCCGCCGTCGGAGTCGTCCATGTCAGTGCTGGACGAGGCGGAGGCGGCGGCGACGCCCAACCGCATCAAGTATGATGTCTGGATGGACCAGATGAGTGGCACCTCCAAGGCGGCGTCGGAGGCCGTTGGAAACGGCGCAAAGCAGCACATTGGCGACAGCGTTGACGGCGACATGGATGACGGCGCCGCCGCCGCGCCTGAGATCCGCCGGCCCGTACGGCCCATGACGGCACCAGCCAGCGGCCGTCGCCGCCCCGCATCCGCTCGTCCCGTCATGATGGCCGGGGTGTACGGCACAAACCCGCAGCAGCAGCTGGTGAACGTGCCGCGACCCTTGGGTCGGCCCATGTCGGCGCAGCCGCACCATTTGCGGCCTGCATCCGCCAGTCGGCGCGGCGGCGGCGGCACCGCCAATGGCGGTGTAGGCTACGAGACGCCTAGAGGGCTGCTACTTAACGTTGACGCGCCCGTTCCGGTAACCATGCCGCCTCCGGAGCAAGCGACCGCCGCAGGCGGTACCGCCGCCGTGGCGGTTGCGGGCGTTACGGTTAGCGTGTACGTCGCGGACACGTTGAAGCGCATCGTTGAGGCGAACCGTTGGTTGCAGCAGTTGGGGGTTACCTCGAAGCGCTACCGCCTGAAGGACCGTCTTTCCAACATGACGGTGCAGCTATGTGAGGACTTGCCGCCGCCACAGCTGCCGCTAGAAGACGAATTTTACGACAGTTACGATGTCGGTTACAACCCCGCCGCCGCCGCCGGCGGAGTCAAGGTCATCAAAGAGCTCAACCTCAAGCAGTTCCTCTCGGGCCATGCAAAGCTGAAGCAGCAGGTGAAGAAGCTAAGGCAAACTGGCACGCCACCGCTGCCGCCGAGCAGTGGTTCCGGAGCCATTGTGGGGCTGTACGGCGGCGCCGGCGGATCACCCCATGGCTTTGTGGCGGCGGAGGCCTATGTAGGCGGCGGTGGCAAGCTGCATAATAGGCCCTTTTCGGCAAGTGCTGGCGTCAGTGCTAGCGCCGGCGGCAGCATCGGCGTGGGCGGCCGGGTACGACCCGCCTCCGCCGTGCCATACAGCGGGGGCAGTCGCGGTACGGCAGCTGCCGGGGAACCGCATGCGCCGTACGGTGGCGCGGCCAACCACCATGCACACCTTCAACACCAACACCATCATCACCAGCAAATGCGGCCGAACAGCGCCAACCCTGCTTGCGGTCGCGGTCCCGTGTACAACACCCTCAATTCTGGCGGCTCGCCGCCTCTAGCGGTCCCCTCCTCAAAACACTCGAACGCGGTGGGCGTTGCAGCGGGTTTGCGTCCCGCTTGGGGCACGACTGCCGGGACCAGCGCAGGTGCGGCTGTTGGCAGCAGCCAGCTGTACCATCCAAACCACAACGGTGGCGGCAACGGTGGGATCAACGGTCTGCCGTACATGTACCGTTCGGCTTCCGCTCATACCCGCATGCCGTCAGCCATCTTGGATGAGGAGGACGCGGAGGAGGAGCCGGTGCTGCTGGAGCCGGACGAGAGGGGCGATATCTCCCGGGCTGTACGGCAGCATCTGGGCGGTGTTGCGGAGTACTGCCAGACGAAACGAAACGAGATTGCACGGCTGCGCAACATGCCGCTAATGTAGGGGTTGTTGCGGTAGTGGGATGCTGTTAAAGGGTGCCGCGTTTGCAGCAGCGATTTTGAGGCCGGGCTTTGAATAGTGGCGCTCTGCTTGCAGCAATGCTCGAGTGGCACAGCACACCTCCAGGGGTGTAAAGCAGCGGAACAACAACAACAACAACAACAACACGCAGCGGAAAGCTGGGGTACAAGGGGGGATGCATGCATGCATGCGGCGTGTGGTGTGCTTTGGGGAATCGCTGGAAAGACCGTTTTGCTGAAGCTGCAGGACCTGAGGGCCCACACTAGCAGCGGCTAGTTCAGCCAATGCATGGGCGATGCTGTACAACTATGCGGGTATTGGTGAACGACATCTGCGTTTGGGAGTCTCGGCGATTTTAAGGGCCTGCTCTGGCGTGTGTGGGAGGCGACTTTAAGGGCCTGCTCTGGCGTGTGTGGGAGGCGATTTCGCTCAGCTGCGCACGGGGATCCAGTAGGTGGTTGTTCTACGGGTGTCAGGTGTGACTTTCAGTATGGTACCGGTACGCGTGATGACATAGCATGTGGGGAACCTTCCATCGTGGGACGCGATGCACAGCTGCGTGGGTTGCGCTCCCTGAATGCATGCATGACGTGCATGATATGTACGACGGAACGGAATGTCCCCCATACACGCCGCCCTGTCGCAGCGGAGGGTTGCACTCCCAAAGAGGCTCATCATTATCCGCACCGTGCAACATGGGTGACCTGTGAAGCTGTGACACAGTGCTGCTGCTGATGTGAACATTGTCTGATGCGTGATGGGGGTAAAGAAGTACTCTTAGCCGTGGGCAATCTTGTGTTTAGGGTTTAAATGTAACTCAAGCGTGGTTTGCGAGCCCGCCGGGTGTACCACGTTTCACGGCAGGTTGGGTGCATTTGGGAAACAAGGTTTCGCGGAAGGCTCCATTCTACGAGTACCGGTAACAGCAAAATCTGGCATTGGGGATGTGATGGGTCCTGCGGGAGAGCACAGATCTTCTGGTGCCATGGGCTGCTGCAGGCAGGTTGGAAGTGCGTTGTGGTGCTGTCTATCGGTACCTATCTACCTGATCTATCTATGTGCGGTTGTGTTTGTGTATGTGTGTGTTTTCAAGGCAGGTGGCAAGTCGCAGCAAGAAGCGGCCGCTGATCGTACGGTGATTCCGGCTCTGAGCAGTTTTCTATTAAATGAGTCCGTGTAACGATATGAGACTTTCGTTTGTGCGATGTGTCTGGGCTACATGTACATAGCACATGCTGACGATGGACATGCTGGATTAAGGTGGCATGTAACACGATGTGCATACACCTGCCTGCACCCGCCATGTCATAAATTCCGTGCGCGATGGATACGGCATCATTGTTGGTACCGGTATGATGTCATCTTCTCGTTCCATTTCTAGTGCATGCATGAGGAGGGGAACCAGCTGGCCGTTCCTGGGGACCCTTGCAACCTACTGCCATCGGCTGAACACACGTTTACCGGTACCGGTAATCACGAACTGTGATTGCTCCGTACATGATCTCCAGTTGTACGGCAGCTTGTACGGAAGTCTCCATAAGTCTGCGTGTATGGCGGCTTACATGTAGGAGGGGCATTTGCCCTTGACCGACCAGCATGCACAATAGCACAGTAGCTTAAACCCTTAAGACACAGAGTGCGCAGCCCTCATGCCCTCACTTATGCGTCAGAGATACGGTATCTGACCTTTTAAAAATGGACTAAGGCTTCTTGCAGACTGACTAGCCAGTGGGCCGCAACGGGCCACCCTCGCCCCTTGGTGCGCCACATGCGCCCCTGTGCGCAAGAAACGACCAACAAGATGAACCAACACTTAGAACAAAGCAGGTAATCATAATCATCAACATCAGCATCGCCATTCTTGGACGCGGAGGTAGGGTGTTGTGGGGACCCCAACACCACCCTCCAGGCCCCGGTGTGTTGCACGCTGTGTGAAGGGTCCACCTCGTATCGAAGCTCGTCTCTCACACCTTACAGCAGCAAAACGTTTCCATCGACCCTTCCTAGAGTGGCACCCGTTGATTGCATAACACACACACGCACCGCCCACGTTTTGCGTGTCTTGGACTTACTTGGTGGTTTTGTGGGTCCCTTTTGCAGAACTCCTGCCATGTATAGCATACCGGTATATAACCCCAACATTGCAGTACCTGCCAGCCTACCATGCCTTCTTTTGCTTAGGACACAAGCGACAGCAGCTCCCCCCGCCACAGCCACAGCCACTGCCTGCTCACACGCTTTCTCATTACCGCCCGGCGGCGCACCTTCTTAAGTCCAGTTATCTTAACACACTCAGTTAGCACCCATGAACTCACGCGTGCAAGGCACAAAGCCCCGCTGCATACACTGCACCTACGAAGCTGCACCGGCTGGCCTCCCTCCGAAGCCGCGCGGCAACACTCAGTAAGCCCGAGCCGCCCTGTGCTCACCGCAGTGCCACCACCCGCATGGCTAGCCTGCCGATGTTCTAGGCACATGGCGCACAGTAGCTTCCGACTCGCGGGTTCCGACTCGCTTAACACAGAACCAACCCCACGGCAGCCCATTAGCCTCTCCAGCCCTGCCCGCCTGTGCACTCTAGCCAGCCCACCTGGCAGACATGTGTGGCAGCACACCTGCCTTTGCCTACCCTACCCTACCCTACCTTTTATACCACCCTTAGTACCCGAACCATTCTCTTGACAGCACCCGTGCGTGCGGCTTCCTCGGCACGAATCCGCCTGACTGCGGGCTTTGGCCAACCCATACTCCACAGCCAAAGCTCAACAGAACTAACGCCTCTCCTGCCAGGTCCCAGCCACTCACCCCGAACCACGATACTACATGCTCAGAGCCGCGCCGCCAAACCTGTTCACCGGTACTCATTCACCCATGTTGACGCCTTATCCCTCAGTCAGTTAGTTGTTTCCTCTTTACCCACCCGCACTACACTGCTGTGCTCTCACAGCTCCCCACCCGCTCCTCCGTGTACCCCGGCGCCTCCACCTCCTCCTCCTCCTCCCGACCTCTCCAGCAGCAGCTGCATGCTAACGAGCACGTAGACGATAATAACCAGGTTGAACAGCACGACCACCCCCCCCGCAGCCAGCAACAACACTTCCCCTGCTTCGTACGGGGGTCGAGGAGCTCCCACGCCCATGCCAACACCGAAACCAGGCACTGCCGCAACACCTTCCCACGGCAGCTGTTGTTGCTGTTGCTGTTGTTGGTGGTGTTGCGGCTGCTGTGATTCTACCGAGGAGTAGTGCTGTTGTTGTTGCTGTTGCTGCTGCTGCTGCGGGGTGCTGAGAAGCAGTTGCTGCTCCGCTGCTTGCAGTAGCGGCAGCAGCGGCTGTCTCGACTCCTCACAAATGGCCCGCAGGGACTCCAACGACAAACTGCCGCCAGCAGCAGCTGCTGCCACCACGGCGGCGGAGACAGCGGCCGCCGCTGCGCCCCCTGCTCCCGAGACGCTCCGCTGCTGCAGCAACGTCGATGTCAGGTGCGCCTGCGCCCCTGCCGCTGCCGCTGATGCAAGCCCAGGTAGCAACTCCGGTGCTCCAGCTCCGTTCATGGCTGCTACTCCGCCTGCCGTAGCCGCGCCGCCCCATCCCTGCTGCGGTGGTGGCTGCGGTGGCTGCTGCTGCTGCTGCTGCTGCGCTTGCGGTAGTACAGGCTGTCCGGCAGCGCTTGACGACGGTGACAGGTAACTAGTGGTGCTACCAGGGGGGGATGGAAAGGGCCGACCCGCAACACCCCCTGACGGCATGAAAGGCAGGCCAGATGGGCATCCCAGAGGAGTACCCGGCGCTGAAGCACCCCCCGCCGCTGCCACGTCCCCGCCCGCATCCAGCTCATAGCTACTTGCGACAGCACCACCACCGCCGCCGCCGCCGCCGCCGGCGCCGCTGCCCTCCTCTACCAACACCGACGCCGCACCGGACCGCAGCACGCTCTCCATCAGACCTGCCACCACATCATCTGTGGCCGTACGCTGCGTCGGCTGGTTGGCGACGCTGCGTGCACCGGCACCGCCTGCGACCGCTTGCACGACCTGCATGTTGGCTGTGCTGCCGCCGCCGCCGCCACCCAAGAACCCCGCCGTCATGGTCCGTGAGGTGGTCGGCATCATCATCCCAGTAGCAGCAGCAGCAGCGGAGGTGCTGGTGGTGCCCCCCGCGTCCTGCGTTGCCGTCCTACGTACGGCAGAGGACCCCTCCGCCAGGAGCCAGCTGCTGACGCCGACGCCGACACCGACGCCGCTAGCCGCTGTGACGACATGGTGCCCGAAATGTGCCGGAGACGCCGCCTGCTGCGACCCCTCCGCTGAGCTGCCCGCGAAGCGGCCACTGCCATTGGCTGCTGCTGCTGCTGCTGCGCCTGGCAACGCCGCCGCCATTGGGCCGCCTGAGTGAGGCCCTTGCGTGCGGAGTGACCCATGGGTCGTCATCAACGCACTCGACGGTGTGGATGCTTGTCCTTGCATGGGTGCCGGCGCGTTGTCCTCCGATGGATTGCTCGCCGTCGCCGTGGCCATTGCCATTGCAGAGGCCACCGTCTCCGCTGCCGCTGCAGCCGCCGCAGCGGCACCCTCGGGCGTTGCATGACGCAATGTGGGTTCACTGGAGGGCCAACGTCCGTCACTGGAACCCGGGCTGTCATGTTGCTGCTGCTGCTGCTGCTGCTGCTGCTGGAATAGGATCGCTGCAGCGCCCCGGGGAGGTTGATAAGGTGCAGTCCCCACCATCATGGGACCACCTGGCAGGCGTTGCTGGGAGGCGGAGGGTGCGGGCGGTGACGTGGTGAAGGGTGACATCATAGAGGAGCTGCTCCACTGCATCAGGCTGGAGGGATTCAAGCCAACGCCGCCAGCGGCGCCAGCGCCACCGGCGCTTGCCGCTGCCGCCGCGGCGGCGGCGGCCCTTCCCTCCATCGACCGATGCGCCGCCTGTATCCGCAGCGATTCCGTGCTTACGTTCCTTCGCACGCTGCGACTGTGAACGGGCGGCGGCCCCGGCCCATGGGTCACCATACCGGCAACTTGCGCGGCTGGCGACGTTAGTGGCGGCGGCGTTAGAGGGGCGGTTTGGCCGCTGCCGCGACCGTACGTGGAAGCCATGATTGACGCAGCAGACGATGAAGGGCCCCCCGCATCCGGACCTTCGGAAGCGCTGGCAGGTAAGCCCGACCCGGCAAGTGACGGACCCAGGGCTTGCATGTCGTACTGCAGGAGGGCGTTACTAAAGAACTCGTCGTACAGATAGTCCGTGGAGAAACGACGGGAGCTGAGGGCTGCATCCCCGCCGGGTCTGGTGCCCCGTATGCTGTCGGAGAGGAGGCCATGGATGGGCGTTCCGGCCACGCCTGCTATTCCTAGCTGCGCTTGCAAGTGCTGTTGGTGCTGCAGCTGTTGTAGTTGCTGCTGTTGCAGCTGCCACTGCTGTTGAGAGGGGTACTGCTGCTGCTGCTGCGGTTGCTGCGGGGGTTGCTGTTGTTGCTGCTGCAGGTGTTGTTGCTGCTGGTGCTGGAAGGAGTGATTCTGTTGTTGATGTGTGGGCGACAGGGAAGATGAGTTCTGTGGTAATAGGCTCCGCTGGTGTTGTTGCTGCTGTGATTGTTGCTGTTGCTGCTGATGTTGCTGTTGCTGCTGCTGCTGCAGGTAGTACTGCTGCAACTGATGTGGCGTCGGGAACTGGGTTTGCTGCCCCGGGGGGCCGCTGTTCAGCAGCTGTTGCAACACAAAGTCTGGATTGTCGGGAACCATTTGCTGCTGCTGGTGCTGCTGCAGGAATAGCTGCTGCTGTTGTTGATGCTGTTGATGATGCTGTTGCTGCTGTTGTTGTTGATACTGCTGCTGCGCCGCCAACTGCATTAACACACCACCACCACCACCACCACCAGCACGCCAAGCTCCTTCCCCAGTTGACACCCCCAGCCCCCCTGAGACGACACCCTGGCTGCTGCCGCCGAGTTGCCGAGGTAAGCTGCCGCCGCGCGCAGCGATACCCCGATCACTGGACACGTTCATGTCACGAATGCCACCGCGACCTAACGCCACGGCCGCCGCCGACGCCGCTGAAGTGCCGGAGGTGGCGACGGAGGTAGTCCAAGCGCCTCCGCCTCCGTCGCCGGGACCGACCCATCCGGCGCCGCCTCCGCCGCCGGCGCCCATTGTCGGCGGGCCCATCAGGGCAGCAGGCGAGCTCGCGGCCGCGAAGCGGGGCAGTACGGAAGGCGCTCCGCCGCCGGCACCTGAGGCGGTGGCGGTGGGAGCTCCGCCATTGCTGGACGGAGTTTCAATTGACATGGTGGATGTTGCAGTGGCGGCGCCGGCGGCGCCAGCGGCGGTTGTGATGGTCTCGGCGGCGGGTGTTTTTATGGTTTGCTGCATCTCTGTTTGGATTCGGACCAGCGCCGCTGCAAGCGTGAAACGTTTGGCGCCCAAGCCCGCAGGCGGCGCCGTGATCGGGGCGAGTGGCTTGGACGAGTCCGGATCGTCCGGCAGTTCGTCGTCTAGACCGGCCGCGGTAGCCGGTGCGGAGGTGCTGCCACCTGCCTCGCGTTTTGTGGAGGACATGGTGGACAGACCCATGGGTCTGTCACCCAGACTACCGTCCGCAGTGGAGAAACTCGTACACGTACCTGTGTTAACCAAGGTATATGATTACAAGGGAGGGAAAATGGCAGGCAAAAGGGACAATACGGTACAATGCGGTCATGGATGAAAGAAAAAGAGGTGCCTTCGTGATGTACGAAAAGACGTGTATGCTGGGCCCGGAAGCCACCTGAGGACGGATCCGAGACCCCTGCGGAAAAGGACACACCATGTACCCCAACCCCACTATACAACACTCGCTACCGGTATAACCACGCCTGCCTAAATCACGCTTACCTTTTCCGCTATCCGCCCGCGCGCCCACCACAGCGCCCGCCACCTGCTCCAGCGACCTCATCACCACCCTGGAGGAGGGCCCCAGCCCGCCCGTGTCCTCCCGAGTCAGAAACAGAGCGCCAGGGTCGTCGCTGCCCGGCCCTGCAGGCCTGCCTGAGAGGAAGCTGCTGTTGCTGGTCACCGGCCCAAGGTGACTAGACGCCAGCCTGTGGCTGGAGCCGCCCAGCTGCAAATGTGCAGTGGTGAAACCATCATCTTGTACGACGGAATGCAAGCTGCGAGGGCCGCCGCCGCCAACGGCGGCGGCGGCGGCGGCGGCGGCGACGGCGCTAATGGGTGCGGCGGCGGCGGCGGATGAGCCTCGGTTGTTGCTGTTGGGGCCGCTCCCGGGGGGCCCCACCGACCCGGCGACGAAGCCGGCGACGCGACCGCTGACGGGTCCGCCGCCAGCGGTCGCGTTGTACAGCATGCCGGCGCTGCCGCCGCCACCTGTGTCGTACACGCTAAACGAACGGGAGGTTGTACTGCCGAGGAAGGCGCTCAGCGCGTCGAGGGCGCCCACGGGGGCTGCTGGCGGCGGGGAATGAGGCGGCGGGGAGTTGCCTAGGCCGAGATGCCCCAGATAGTGCTGCTGCTGAGGGTGTTGCTGCTGCAGGAACTGTTGCTGAGGGTACAATTGGTAGTTCTGCTGCTGCTGCTGTTGCTGATGGTGCTGAGGGTAGTGTTGATGTTGATGTTGTTGAGGAGGGTGGTAGACGCGAGGAGAGGAGGGCATGAAACCTTGCGGCGGCGACACGTCCATCATTCCTGCCCCGGCTCCTCCGGCTCCTCCTGCTAACGCTCCGAAGCCGCTGTCGCCGGCTAGCATGAAGGGCATGGGACCGGAGGGCGATTGGTGGCTGGACAGGTGGCTTGCCAGGGCAGTTGCTGAGGGCACGGGCGGAGGCGAGACGAAGCTCAGTTTGGCTGATGGATTGAGCAGATCTTCATCCGTTAGGGCCTTGATGCGATCTTGCAGCGCGATCATCTGCGCCGTCAGGAGATCCTCCGGGGCAGGTGAAGAGCCGCGAGCGCTCTTTTTAGATGGCGACGGCGTCGCCGCGGCGTCGGCCGCATCGCCCTCGCCGGCGAGACTGTCGTCCGTCGCTCGCGACGCCGACGCGGCTGCAATCACCGCCGCCACCGCCGACTGATTGAACGAGATCTCGTTGGAGCCGTTGCCGCCCGTTGACGCCGAGCGCGCCAGGCCATGGAACTGCACCAGCGCTGGTCGCGCCTGCTGCTGCTGATGTTGTTGATGTTGATGCTGCAACCCTGCTTCAGCGTCGCCATCGTCACCGCGGCCCCCATCTGCTTCGTCCTCCTCCTCAGCATCATCATCCCTGCCAGCCATCAGCTGCTGCTCCCGCCCCGGTTGTTGCTTTTGCTGCTGTCCCCGCCCCTGCGGACGTTGCGGACGTTGCACCACGCTCGGAAGCTCACGGCTAGAACATGACGGTGGCGCCGGGCCGCCCGCGTTCCGTGGTGCGCTGCCGCCGCCGCCGTCGCCACCAGATCTCCGTGGCGGCGCAATCGCCGCCAGCGGCGACGTAACGCCAGCCGGCCTGACTCCGCCTTGGGCGGAGGCCAGTGAGGCCACACCTCCCTCCGCGCCCGAGGGCACGGTAATGGCGGCGTGCGAGTAGAGCGCGGCCCCCGCGGCGGATAGCACGTTGTTGTCGGTTTCGGTGCCCACCACGTCCCAGTCCGATTCGAAGGAGTCGCGTGGCCTGTGTTTGGAGGGTGGGAGGTTGCGAGGTGCGGTAGCAGGGTCGCAAAAGCAGCGAAAGGGTACAGGGGCTTTTTCCGGGTCCCCCGTGGGGGTCACGGCGCGGGCCAAGGCCCACTGTTCCCCACGTCCCGCCTCAAGCACATGTCAACAACGAGGCACCCAGTACCAACTCCCCCCGCCCGCCAGCCACGCTCCTCACTTGCTGCCGTTGGTGCTGTACAGCGGACTGCCGCCGAAACCGCCACCGCCGCCGCCGGCAGTTCCCCCACCGCCGCCTCCGCCAGACGGCAGAGCCCCCGCGCCGCTACCGTTGCGAAGGCTCCTGAGAGCGGAGAAGGGAGTGGAGCGTCGATCCGCGGACTGCTCAGGACACGGCGCAGCTTTCCAACAAGCCGGTAGGCTTTGGCACACGCTATGTTTAGTGCACGCGTTCACAGTCCCTAACCGAAACCGCACACCCCGGGAAGCCCCTTCGCCCTTTGTCCCCCCTCCCCTTGCCGTTCCCACCTGCTCTGCTGCAAACTGCGCTCCAGCGACGTCCGCAGCTGACGCGCACTGGATTTGCGGAAGCGAGTGAACCGCTCCGAATCCGCAGCTTGGCAGGAGGTGCTGCTGGCCGGCAGGGGGGGCTGCTGCTGCTGCTGCTGCTGGTGTTGTTGACCGGGGCCACCGTTAGCGGGGGTGAAGGCAGCCGCACCCGACTCGGAACACCGTTTGGGTGCCGCTGATGCAGATGCAGAAGCAGTCCGAGGGGAGCTGCTGCCATCACCACCGCCACCACCGCCTGCGGGGCCACATGCAGAAGCCACCCAAACGTTTCCAGCTGAGCCAGCAGAGGCTGTTCCTGCTGCTGCAATTGCTCCTCCTTTTCCTCCTCCTGCTGCTGCTGCTTGCGCGGTGCCTCCTGCTGCGTTGGCAGAAGCAGCAGCAGCGGCGGCTGCTCTGCTTGCGTTGCTGCCAGTGCTGCCGGCGCTGTTCAGGAGGTCGGTCGCGAAGGGGCCCTCGCCGCCCGAGGGCTCCCGGACCCGAGGCGGCGCCAGGCAGGCACCCCACCACCTGGGGTGCGGCGGGGGAGGAGGAGGAGGAGGAGGAAGGAGAAGGAGCAGCATGAGCGTTGATGATGGTGGGAGAAAGAATGGAGTTATAAATGGAGGTATGGATGGATGGAGGGCAGCGTTGATAGGGCACAGCCGTTACCTTTTTGCGGGCAGCTGGCAGCGGGGTTCACACGGGGGCGCGTACCGCGCCAGTACCCACCAGCACCTTGTCACCACACCATGTGGGTGGGGACAACGTATTCCCTCTAGCTACCGCGGCTGTCAGTTACCGGCAACCGCAGCAGGAAACGTCTACCCGTCAATACCTTAACTACCTCCACGCAACGGTCATCCGTCCCCCGCCCCCCCCAGCGTCTCAGCTCACCTGGGACCACTTGATCTGCGGCGGCTCGACTGCTGCTTCTGAGGTTGCCGCTCCCCCTGCCCCTGCCCCTGCTGCTGTTGCCTGCTGGCATCACCCCCACCGCCAGCCGCACCCGCTCCGCAGCTCGCCGCCTCCCCCGCAGCCCCGCTCATGGCACTGAAACCCCGGCTGGAGCCACGCCAACCGCTACACCCGAGCTGGCAGCACCCGCACCACCACCTGCAGCAGCGCCCACAGCTGCTGCTGCACCTCTCGCAGCACCTCCCGGGGCAGCTGCCGGGGGCGGCACCGCCCTATGAGGACAGGGAGGACAGCAGCCGCACTGCCCCTTTGCGCACCAGCGGCCGCTGCTAGGGAGGTTTCACTGCTGCTGCTGGTGACGCAGTAGCGGGGAGGAGAGCTGAAGACACGGGGTGAGGGCTGCTGCGTGCTTCGGGCCCAATGGCTGATGCGGCAGCAGAAGTGGCGAAGCTTGAGCTCGTCCGCCGCACCGAGGCTCCGTTGACTCGGGCGCGGCACGTGGCACAGGGAATCAGGGCGGCATGCTCGAAGGGCCGCGGCGACGCCGAATCTGTGAACAATAGGTAGCAACAAGATAGAGGTAGCAACAAGATAGAACATGGTTGGGTCGGACAGCGATATCAGGCAGGCGTCGAGGCAGGAAGGATCAGGGTGATGCGAGACTGACGCACGGCTGTGTGGGCGCTGCCTGGCGTGGAAACAACTTCAAAGGGGCAGCAACGACAATGGCTCATGCAGTTACGCGGATGGTTGCGGCCGACCCACGTCGCTGAAGTTGGGGTGCAGCTTAACGTTCACTGCATGTCTTACAGTAAAAGGTGACGACTTGTTGCCAGTGCTCAGCGACCGGCTTGCACAAGCAACAAGGCATGGACGCCATTTTTTAAGCACCGTGTAACGTGCGCAAACCTTATAACCGCAAATAAACATGCAGCATACGCATGTGGAGCGTGATTGCCCCATCCCGTTGCCCACCCACCCAGCGCTAAAGGATGCACAACACAAGGGCGATGGTGGCAGGGGTAGCCACAAAAATTACAGCGGGATACACGAGAGCCTCCAATAGTCAAGAACAGAGCGTTACTTACAATGTACGCAATGACTGAAAGTATGCCACAATGCCAGGCCGCCCCTGTCAGCCAAGACCAGCTAGCTTCACAAATGTTGGTTTTGTTCTAAAAGCAGCACGCCTTAAGATATGTCAACAAAAATCCTACGTACTAAACCCAGGGCGTCTCCAGCCCTGATAGAAGTCGAACCTAACTCAGCCTGAGAAATAATACGATATGACCTCCAATTACAATTAGCAGCTGAAAATAGCTCACACTGTAAAGCTGCGGCTGAGCAAGTTGTAACCACATAACGTAACCCACTCAACAAACAAGCGTTGCTCCAGTACAACACGTGCATCGCAAGCATTGTAAGCAGGAAAATGCTAACGCCCGAGTGGACCAATAACCGGTTTCACGATTGCAAAGGTAGATGTGCAGCCTGCGGTGCAGTAGCAGCCCTTCCACACGAAGGAGCAAGGCTCTTGGGCATTGCCTTTATTGAGGCGCGTTGTCGTGCAGCTCTGCCATATCCTGTTGCGTCACATGGGGCAATAGCGGGCGGGCAATATCAAATTTCACACATATGCAGGAACGTTGATTTGTTTCGGAGCTACGTCTCACATATTGCAAGGATCGTCTAAGCGCCACTATAAACAGCGCGTTACGGGAAATATACAAAGCATCCTGCTACTCCGTAAGCAAAAGGCTGATGCTCTATCCTACAAAAAAGACCGCCGATGTCGAGCGGCACCTCAGTGATGAGCCCACGCGCAGACCTTTACAGACGACGCATATTGTGGCAATCCATATCACGCAGCCAACCGAAACGGCAAATGCCAACTCTAAATCTTAGCCACCTAATCCCTCCACAACCCCTCCCATCTCCCAATCCCTACCGCTCCATCGCCCGAGCCTTCAGTCCCGCGCTACAACCCTGCTCCCTTTCCCCCGCTCTTTCCCCTGCCAATCTTCCCACCTGCAAGATTACTTGCCGTACGACGTCCTGCATCCCCGGCCACCACGTTCGTACGTCGAACATCAAACCGGCGTAGCAGCCGAAACAAAATGGCAGCAGCAGGCGCGACCAGGTGCAAGGTGAGGGGACAACGCAGGGGAGCGAGGGGGGAAGAGGGAAAGGCGAACAGGGCTGTCAGAGCAGGCGATTTCCGACCGAACTCCAAAACATCTCCGAACAACCTCCAAGCGGCCTAAAGCGGTAGTGCACATAAAACGCGCGCTGCGGCCAGAAGGACGAGTCTACCTAGCCTCGGGCCTCACCTCCCCCCGCCTGCCGCTCCCTTCACTTCCAGCATGTAAGGTACTCTTCTCCTTTTCCCTTTCCCCTTTTCCCCACCGCCTCCCCACCGCCTCCACGCCCTGCACGACTCCTCTCAGCTGCCCCTCTCTCACCGGCGTGAGGTGGTCGGCGTCAAAGTCGAATGTGAAGGGGGTGGGGCAGGTGGGCTCGTCGCTGAGGTCGTGCAGCGAGGCCAGGTAGGGGTGCTCCAGCGCCTGCTCCACGCTGATGCGCTTGGTGGGGTCGAACACAAGCATCTTGTCGATCAGGTCCAGAGCCTGTTGGAGGGGGGAGGGAGGGAGGTTGGAGGGATAAAGTGGAGGCAACTAACGGACCGTTTGATAAGGCGTCATTAGGGGGCAAAATTACCGGTATAGATAAGTGCGTCATTAGGGGGGAGGGAGGTGAGGTGAGGGGGTTGAGGTGAGAGGGTTATAGGGGGCTGAGGTGACGTGAAGAGGGGTGAATGAAGCACCGCCGAACCACCCAATCCCCGCCCCATCCATATCCTTCTCCTCTCAGCTCTTACACAGGCCCACCATGCCCACCCCTCACGTCCCCTGTTGCCCCTATCTGACCCATGGGTCTCCCTCCTCTGTTTCCGCGGCTCAGTTTATCTAATCCCACCCTCCCACCTTCCTGCCTCCCCTCCTTTCCCCCGCCCCTCCCCATGCACCCCACCGTCTTGCCCACGTGCGGCCACAGCTGCCCGAAGTCCACCCGCTCGCTGCGCGGCAGGGAGCGGATGTAGCGCTTGGCCTTCTCGCTGCTGATGAAGGCCAGCTCCTCCTCGCTGGGGGAGCCGATGATCTGGGGGGCGGGAGGGGGAAGGCGGGAGGTAGGCGGGGCGGGGCAGGAGGGGCGGGGAAACACGCAAGACGTGGTGAGAGGCATGGGGCAGCAGGCAGGGAGGACTTGCCGCCCTTCCCGCCCCCTCACTGCACGCCTGCACCCACCCACCCACCCACGCCCCACTCTCGCCCTCTCATTCCTTCCTGTTAGCCCCGTGAACCCCCCCCCACCCCTCCCACCTTGGTGATGAGGCTGAGCTGGTGCACGTAGTCCTTCCCCGGGAACAGCGGCTTGCGGCCCAGCAGCTCCGCGAAGATGCAGCCCACAGACCTGCAGCCGGACGCCAGGCAGGGACGTGCAGGCAGTTAAGAACACTAGCCGCAGTGGGTGTGGGGAGGGAGGGCTGAGTGTATAGGGTTACTCGAAGAGGGGGGTGAGGGCGCCCGGGGGGGGGGCGGGCCGGCGTGCTTGCGCGTGTGGGACTCAGGGAGGGCCCTGCCGCCACTGCTGGGGGACTCCGAGCACCGCAGCACCGGGAGTGACGGGTGCACGGCAACCCATCAGTTGCTGCTCCTCTGTGCTCATGTCCAATCAGTCGCTGCTCAGTGCTCCTGTCCAAGGCCGGTCCAAAGAGCGCCTGTCCTGCTGTCCGCTGCGGGTGCTGCCGCTGCTGCTGCCGCTGCTATGGATACCCACATGCCAAATTGCGCTCCTCTGCCGCCTCCGCCCGCTTCCCACCTCCTCTGCCAGGTTCCTTGCCTCCTGCGGCCGCCAACCACCACACCCCGCCGCCGCCCTTCCCAGCCCACCTAACGGAAATGTTTTCGGCAGCAACCCCTCTCTTTTATAACATTTGCTCATAACCGTTTTCTCATATCCCGGTGCCCGGGCCCTGGTGCACTCTACACCTCTCCCCCTTACCCCTCTCGGAAACCCAATCTCCCCTGCTTTCGCCCACCCCAGCACCCGCCTGCGCAGGGCCCTCCCCCCTCTCCCCAGCAAACGGCACACCCGACACCCACCACACGTCGATAGCGGTGGTGTATCCCGAGCAGGACAGCAGCAGCTCCGGTGCGCGGTACCAGCGCGTCACCACGTACTCCGTCATGTACTCCTTCTCGTTGCTGATACTGTGTGGGGGGGGGGGGGGAGGAGGAAAGCGGCGGAAAGCGGAGAAGAGCGGTGGGAAGCAGGGAGGGAAAAACCAGGAAGGTCAGGTACCGATACCGATAGTAGTGGTCAGCTGGTATCCCATGTGTGAAAAAGCCTCTACTTACCTCCCCTCCCCTTCCCGCGGGCCCCACACACAGGACGCACGGGTTTGTTTCAGGTTTGGTTACCTCTGTTTTGCTTGTACTTGCGGTTCACATGCGAACCTATCCCAACTGCTTGCTCTTGTTTCCGCTCAACTACACACAGGACGCACGGCAGCAGCAGCAGAGCCCCACCTGGTGCGTGCCAGCCCAAAGTCGCATATCTTGAGGTCGCAGTTGGCGTTGACCAGCAGGTTGGAGGGCTTCAGGTCGCGGTGCAGGATGTTGGCGCTGTGGATGTACTTGAGGCCGCGTAGGAGCTGGGCGGGACGGAGGGAGGAGGAGAGGAGAGCGAAGGAAGGTGTGATATGGCCTGGCTGCTAAGTCCCAGGCTGCCAACCACAGGCCGCAAACCAGCAAGGCTGTTCCTCAACTTTGGGAAAAATAATTGCAGATAGTATAAGGCCTTCCTTTTTGCAAGCTCCCACCTGGTATAGGAAGTACTGGCTGTGGTCGTTGGAGAGGGGCTGCGGCGAGCGGATGATTTGGTGCAGGTCCGTGTCCATCAGCTCGTACACCACGTACAGGTCCTTGAAGGAATCCTTGTGCATGGGCGGAATAATGTCTTTTATTTGGACAATATTTTCATGCTGCAGGTGCAGCAGTAACTTAATTTCGCGCAGCGTGCGCTTGGCATCGATGACATTGTCGAAGGCGTTTGCAATCTTTTTGATCGCCACCTTCTCCTGGTCCTCTAGGTTTTTAGCCGAACTGCGCTCAACAGCGGGGTGGAGCAGGGGGAAGGGGTCGGGTTCCCGTAAAGCTGGCGACAAAGGGAGTGCGATATGCAACAACTTCACTGCAAATGAGCAAACCTACCAGACTACCCCATAAGCCCCCTTGCCGATAGGCTTGATCGGCAAGTACTTGGCGGGGCACTCGAACAGGCTACCACACACCTGCTCAACCGAAGAAGCTGGCATGTTACATGTGCGCAAGCAAAGTCTACTGGTGTCGCACCCTCGTCCCATTTCCTACCAGGAACTGGTTGTACTCCCGGTTGCAGGAGTCAACCTTTCCGGTGACCTCCACTTGCTCTTGAAGTCCACTTGGAGCCTCAGGCCCAGTACCTCCGCCAGGATCCGTCATCCCTTAAAGCCGTCAACTTGTGCCTTTAGGTCAAAACCATATGTAAATTCAATTGGGCGCGAGCGTGGGGACGCCTGACTAGCGTGAAATGCCTTGCCCTAGCTTCCCTGGTAATCCAGAAAGTGACCCAAAAGATGGTGTTAGCAACTAAGTCCAACACTATCGCAGTGCTTTGCCTGCACTGTCGTCAATTAGCCAAGCGCAACAACGGGAGAGGTAAGCCTAGCGAAAGTCTCACGCGGATTCTGCAAAGTCAAGCAATGCTCTAGCGCAAGTAGATTTAATGTAGGCAACTATCGCAAATGTATGGGAAAGAACAAGAAGAAGAAGGAGGGCTCTTCACTTCGTACCGTTTTTTGGACGAGATTGTTCTCTGCGCATGAGTTTGGAAGGATTGCCAATAATTTTAGGGCTACCCATTAGCGACTTGTTATACAATCAACCCGACAGCTACAACGGAGTGTTCAACCCTAACGCACGCGCATACGCAATCGGAGGACTAGAACACCAATAAGAGCTGAATTTTAACAGTTAACCTACCTTCACCTCTTTTAAGCTGCATTTTATTGCTCATAGCGCACTTGCAAAATGGTTGCCGGCGGCCTTCAACCGCCCCCAGTTGAGGATGAGGAAGCCGCTGCGCGCGCGGAAGGGCAGGGTGTTATCTTTATCCTCGACGACGCACAGCTGGAAGTGGCGCAAGTCGGCAAGGTGTGACTCCATTTCATTTTTCGCTCGGCCGGATGCCTGTCGTTGCCGCGGCGGCGGTACTACGTGCCAACGTCGCCTTAAATGCAAATCCTCCGCAGACTTACCAGCTGCTAAACTGCGATGATCATGCTACGTACCTACGAAAACACAAAAAAGACCCAGCACTGTACCGACCAGACATCTGCCACCAGGTGCGGGATGGCCGGGGTGGAAGTTTGCCGACGTGCGGTATAACCCTGGTGGTGACACCGAGTGACAGAAGCTCTTGGGCTAACTTGACGAGAAGGCTTGGTCACCGTAGAGCCTGTTCCCTATCCTGCGTACCCGGCTCTTCTCTTGTTCAGTGTTTGATCACCGAGTCCACTGCCCCCGTAACATACATGCACTGACGGTTTCCATCCATAATCATCAAGCGCCCCCCTCTGCTACTAGTTGCGTCCATATACATCCTAGGTCCATCGCTCACCGGCGTGCCATGGATACTATAGGCATACGTCTTGACCCGTGGGTCAGATCTAATGCCATCGAGCCGCAGCTTCCCAAAGGTCCCCGCCACAACCCTTAAGCCTTCCCTTGGCGTCCCCCTTTTGCAAAGACATGCGTCCATCCGCACCCTACCCCCTCCTAGGCGCTCTTAAACATCCTGGACAGCCCCCTCAACAAGGCAGGCAAGGTTAAGGTAAGGACCGCCGTCCCCGGCATAGGGGATACCGGGCTTGTTGGGAGCTCTTTTGTTGGTGGACTCGCCAAATTACCCTAATGCTGTGGCTTTTGGGCGTCGTTGGTGTGGTTTGCACGGATCTGGGTCAAGCCGGATTGCGGCTTGTGGGTTGCGCGGTGGTTGACGGTTAAGTCCGTTGGTGCCGTTGGGGTTACGGCCTCGGAACTGGTAACGGGTAACGGGGCACCAACTGCAGTTTCAAAATGGGGGCGTTAGCAGCGCCGTAGTTGTGGCTGCAACCCAGGAGCCGCCGCAGCAGCCGCCGGGTCGACGACGGGCCGGGCGGTGGCGACAGCTGTGGAACCGCAACTGCGGGGGTGGGAGACGGTGGCGGCGGAGGAAGCACAGCGGAACCCTAACATTGTGAGCACCGAGGCAGCAGCAGAGCCGGCGGCGGCGGACAGCACTGTCGTCTAGGCGGCCTCAAGGCCTACCGCTTGAGCTCAGCTGCTGCCGCTGCTGCCGGATGATGATGGTGCTGCAGCTGCTGCTGCAGCTGGTGCTGCTGCCAGGGACTTACCCCGGTATGACAGTCCTAACCCGGCGCCACTCCTGACGCCACGCCCCGCCGGTTGTTCAGTCTCTCTGCTGGTTGTGACGGTTGGGAGCGGCCGCGATGCAGTTTAGCAGAGCCGTCGCCCCTGCTGGATTGACGGTGCATGCGCGGTGCGCCAAGCGTGCACACACCTTGCACCCATGTGCGGCTGTGACCCATGGGTCGCAGGGACGACTGCGGTGATGGAATGGCAGGCGGGAAAGCGGCTGCCGAACTGGAGGACGGAACACGACCCACCCACACCTCCCCAATCCCTCGCCTCTTACAACTACGTGTTATATACCGATCCAATGTTCCCATCCTACCCCTTTCCGCCTGCCTCTCCCTCACCTCTTCCCTCCTCTTCACCCGTCCCAGGCCGTATACGTGCGCACGCACAAGAACGTGCTGCTCTCCATCAATCCGCGCACCCGCATCCCGCGCACCATCAAGCGCTTCTCCGGCCTCATGGTGCAGCTGCTGCAGAAGCTGAGCATCCGGGCAACAAACGGACCCGACAAACTCATGAAGGTATGGGGTACGGTAAACATTTGAAAGACTCGTCCTTGTAATTAAACCGATTCATTGTACAAAGCCTCCGGTAAGAAGAACGCGAGGGTGAATGTGTACTTAAAAGGCAAAAGGGGCGGAGAGCGGGGCATCGGAGCGTGGGGTGGAGCCATGAAGGTTTGTATGGGGCGATGGTAGGAGCTGTGGCCACAGCTGGTGGGCCCATACATCTCGTTGGAGGTGCGTGTGTACGGTACACGCCTCCGCCCCATGCCCCTCCGCCACCCACCTCTTCTCCTTCTCCTCCATCTCTTCACCCCCACCTCCCTCTTCTCCCTCCTCCTCCTTGTTTCTCCCCCAGGTGATCAAGGGCCCGGTCACCAAGTACCTTCCGCTCCAGTGCCGCCGCCTGGGCTTCTCCTTCTCCGCAGCCAAGCGGGTCGCTGTCCACGACTACGTGGCCCAGCTGGATGACGTGGCCACGGGCTGCGTGGCGTTCGTGGTGGGGGCGTTCGCGCACGGCCGCATCGAGGCGCCGTACATTGACGAGGAGCTGAATGTGAGTGAGTACCCGCTGAGTGCGGCGTACTGCATCAGCCGGATCACGAATGCGTTTGAGATGAAGTGGAAGATCGTGTAAGGAGGCGGCAGCGGGGAGGCGGGGTGGCGGGAGGAAGGGTGGGTAGGCGAGGGATTGGATGAGTGTGATGTACAGGGTTTGAATGATCGGGTGAGATGCGGGGTGGGGCGTGGACGGGGAGGAGGAGAAACGGAGGGACTGGCATCCGTTACATGTGCAGTAGCGGCAGGGGGTTGAGGACCTGGCGGGGTTGAGGAGAGGTGAGGAGATGTTAGGTTGCCAGGTCAGGTTAGGGATCTTAGGTGAGGTCAAGGAAGCGAGCCGCGAGGCAGAGTAAACCTGGCGGTGGGGAACGTTCCGGAGTAGAAAAGTGAGCTCCGTGAGCTCGAGACACAGCCCCTACCTTCTGATGGTAAAGTTGAAGATAGTTACAACGTCTACATAGGCTCAGCACAGCCGGACATCAGGCCTTACACATATGGTAGCGTGCTAGCAATTGACGAACTGTGGGGGGTGGGGCATGGATCGCACTAGTGCCTTTGTGCTTGCGAGGAGAGGGTGGAAGGTCACTACCATTGCCCCAGAGTTGTCGGCAAAGCTCTGAGCACTGCCGACCCTGCCGTGTGATGTGGTGGCGCGACAAGGGGGGCCAGTCGTGAGCGAGGAACAGCGACCATGTAAGGCGCAAACAAGCCTGAGACCCATGGGTCAGCTGAGGTAATTTCACTGCTCTCGGTTGATGTGTCGCTCTGCATATTTCGCGACGCACACATGCTACTGGCAGGCGCGGGGATAGTGGATAATAGTACAACAGCCGCATATTGAGCGCGTAGTGAAACAATGAAGGAGGCCCTTCGTGCATTCCAGGATGCGCAATGTTTGAATGTGTGTGGATGTTTGAATCAGTTGATTCCTACGTCACCGCTCATAAACGACAGTCGTACAACACATCTCCTCTTCCTCCTGTGTACATACTGCGAGCATACTGGGTACATCATATGCATCACACCTAGCCACCTCAACCGATCATATGGGTCTTGGACGACTCATCTTCTCCACACGTACGTTCCAGTACGTCCATTCCAGTGCTGCCACCGTACATCGCCGTACATTACAAGTCGTACCGTCATTGCCGTACATCGTTTTCACGGTTTTTCGTTTCTTGTCATCTTCCTCATTTTCGTTTTGGGATTCTTTTCGTTTGTCGGGTTCGAGGATTCCTACGGACCGTCAAGGGCAACTACCCCCAATCCATCCTCCTCCCATAAACACTGCTTCCCCTGCTCCCGTAATCTACTCCCACCACTTCATCCCGCCTCAAACCCCTCAACTCTCATACCTCCGCCAGCCCCCACTCCTCCTGCAACCACTGTACGACATCCGTATGTCCACCCACTCGGGCCCTATTGCAGTACCGCCTCCTCATGTCGAGGCTGAGCTCCCCCACTCCCGCCGCCAGCAGCGCACGACATGCGGCCAGGCTGCCGTACATGCAGGCATTCTGCAGCTGCTCCCGCCGCTCAATCACGTCGCCCCCGCAGTGCGCGGCTCCCACCGCTAGCAGCTCCGAAACCGCCGCCTCAGACTGCCACAAGCAAGCAGTCGACAGCGCCTCCGTGGCATGCTGCCGTGCATCCACACCCGCCTCTTCCACTACAAAGCGGATTGCCTGGGCGCATGCACCTCTGGACACAGCACGTGTTGCAGTCGCCAGGACGTCCGCTTGTGCAGCGGCGGCATCCTCAGCTGCTGCGCAGAGCTTGAAGCCGCATGCCAGCATGCGACGAGGAACGTCCAAGGAGCCCATGTAAAGCAGGTCCTTAAAGGTGGTTAAGCCATGCTTTGTGTTTAGGTCTGCTCCAAGGTCCCGGGCCATGTCCACCAGGGCTAGCAAGTTGCAGGAATCCGCAGCTCTGAGGATGTCAGCCAGAACGGGTGAGCCAGGCTGCAGCCGTGCGCCTAGCGCCTTTAGCTCCCGCAATAGTGCGGGCAGGTCAACTAAGACATCGATTTGCCTAAGCCAGAAGGCAGTAACCGATTGCTTCACCGTTTCCTCCTCCGGACCCCAGCGTGTTATGCACATCAGCGCTAGGAGGTTAGGCTGCTGATGTAGGCTATTGGATGTGGTGTGTAGGGCTTTGCAGGCGAGGCGAAAGCCGCCTCGACCTCCTGTGAGGGCAACAATCTTTGACCGGAGGTCTTCTGGAAGTCTGTTGAAATGGTTGATGGCTGCCGTAGCTTCAGCTGTGTGTTGTCCCGCATGCTGAGAAGAGCCTGTCGCGCTAGCTGCCATTTTATCTCTCAAGGCGATTAAAGAACAGTTATCCTTACACGAGTACTCCGGTAGCGGGTATGGTAAAGATCAACAATGCTCGGAGAATGCTTTTGTCATTACTATTGCAAGCTATGCACTGTTTTGTTAGCGTTTTGCACAGAGACTAATCCTATTGTTTGAATATATATAGATTAGCGATTTAAATAACAAGATAACAACTATTTAGGTCTACGCTTGCAACTTAGAATGGCTCACAGCAAGATTTGTCAGGTTCACCAGGAGGAATGGGGTGCGAACATTGTACAACATCCCATGCTGAACACTTCTAGGAGGTGCATTCCGTCCCTCAGATCGAACAATTAGCTTTGCCGTACAGTAAATAACTCCGTACTAATCTCTTTTTTTTCCATTAGACTATGCGGTAATGGCATGGTTAAGCATACATGTCTGCAGCCAGAGGCATGGATTTGCAACCGGCTCTTTCCTTCATGCGCTCCCGCAACCTATCCCCACTAGCAACACTGCCGCTCGCGGCCATCCACCACGCCCCTGCCCCAGTGCGTTAGCCCCTCTCCCTGATATCCTGCCACACCCTTGGCCCCTGCCCACTGCAATACCGGTACCTCCAGCACTTGCATCGTACCCCCATTGCCATACACTCACTGGCCTCACACCTCAATCCCCCGCCGCCAGCCCCCACACCTCCTGCAACCACTGTACGACATCTGCACGGCCGGCCTCTCGGGCCCTATTGCAGTACAGCCTTTTCAAATGGGGGCTAAGCTCCCCGACTCCCTCCGCCAGCAGCGCCTGGCAGGCGGCCAAGCTGCCGTACTCACATGCGACTAGCAGCCGTGCACGCCGCTTGTTCACGTCGCCGCCGCAATGCGCGGCTCCCACCGCTATAAACTCCGAAACCGCCGCCCCAGATTGCCTCACGCAAGCAAGCGAGAGCGCCGCTGCGTCATGCTGCCGTGCATCCACACCCGCCTCATCGACCAAGAAGCGGATTGCTTGGGGGCAGCGGTCTTTGGACACCGCAATTGCTGCACACGACAGGAAGCGTGATGCTGCAGCGGCGGAGGGTTTAAAGCCGCATGCAAGCATGCGGCGGAGAACGTTCAGGTTGCCCAGGTATAGCAGGGCATCAAAGGTGGTTAAGCCATGCTTGTTGTCCATGTCGGCCCCGAGATCCCGAGCCACATCCACAAGGGCTAGCAAGTTGGAGTAGGAGGCAACCTCGAGGATATCAGCCAGCACAGGCGATCCAGGCTGCAGTCGAGCGCCTAGCGCCTTCAGCTCCTGCAATAGCGCGAGCAGGCCGGTTGCGCGTAGCATATCTCCACGCCGGAAGGCAGAAACCGCACGCTGTACCGCTTCCTCTTGCGGCTTCCAGCGTGTTATGCAAAGCAGCGCTAGAAGCTTAGGCTGCTGCTGTAGGCTGAGCGATATGATGTGGAAGGCTTTGCAGGCGACGCGAAAACCGCCTCGACCGCCTGTAAGGGCCGCAATCTTGTACTGGACGCCTTCGGGAAGTCTATTGAAATGGTTTATGGCGGTTACGGCTTTCGCTGTCTGTTGTTCAGCAAAGTGTGCAGAGCCTGTCGCATTAGCTGTCATTTCGTCGCGCGAAAGAGATGATTGCCGAACAGGCAAAGCTACACGGATATTAGAATGGAATGGGTAAATACTATTATGAAGAAAAAAATGGTGCCGGTGCCCAGCTGCGCGAGCTTGCTGGACACCTAGCTTATAAACTCATGGCGTTGGTGCCCGTTGCGAGCGGTTGAACTTGTACGACACCCGGGTTTACATTGGGTTTCCGTTTATCAACAAATTTTCTACAATAGTTTATTGGTATATAATCCTTTGCGCGATTGGGTTACCGGTAGTAGCGAGGATACCTCGTGGGTACGGTACAAGGATTTCGGAGCGGTACGTCAAGACACGGCCGTTTGATGTGCGGCTGGGAAGGCGTGTGACATGGACTGCTGCTAGGAACTACCCATAGTTAGGTAGACCCCTAGGGGAAGGTGCTTTTGCTGCAGCCTTGTATGGCTGAGCTGCAACAGACCTTGAAAGCTACCCACTGTATGTGCACATGTGCTTTCATGTCGCACGCTGTGCTGACATGTACGGTAGGGCCTGTGGGAAGCCCCTGTGAACCGTGTATGTAATCCGGGGGGCCCACAGGGGACAACAAATGTTTATTCCGGTAGCGCGTTTGCGCTATACAGGTTGCAGCTGCTCAGTTGAAACACCAAACCCACACGTGCGGTATCACTCTACCGCTGCACTAGGTGCCTCCCAACGTAGGAGTGAACATGAGGACATGTCAACACCCCCATGAGTCTCAAATCTGACCACTTGAAGGAAAGGAGGAGGATCAAACACACAGCTCCGTTCAATAGTTTGGTGAACAATGTTTACTCCCCAGTCACCAGCATGCAGCGCGAGCACCACATAGCGCGCACCAGCATCGCAAGGCAGTGGAGGTGTTTGTCATGCACGACCCGGCACAACCAACAAGAAGGCCCATGCACCCAGGATGCAACTGCTCACACGTGCAACGGCTAGCGGCTCACGCTTCGGTTGCTGAATGGGATGATCATGGGAGCTTAATAATTCCAGCGCAAGGCACTGACAGCAGAACTGGGTGCTGCATACCGCCCATGAAAGGACCCATGGGTCTCAATCCTCTTAAGCCCTAGCCCCCGACTCTTATGCACAAGCAGTATACCGGTACCCGCCTGCCCACAGCAAATCAGAACCGCACCGCCACCAATACATTTCACATGCTCACTCGGCTCTTTGCACAACTCTCTCCAAGAAAGCGCCGTACAATGGCTGCCGTACATAACACACCGTACAAGTTCGTACTCCGAGAGGTTTCCCACCTCCCCTGCTGCTTGGCAGTCGAAAGCCAGCAGATGCGCACGACACCCGCACAACAACACGCGCGCGTACAGATAGCCGCCACCACCAATAGGAGTATGGGCCAGTTTCCTCGGACCGCCAGCCTCCTCAGGCCGCCGTGACAATGGCCGCCACCACCGTTATGTCGTCCATCTTGCCGCCGCGGGGGAAGATCCGAGTTAACCATGAGGCCTGCGAGGGGGGGAACGGAGGGGATACGGAGGGAGGGGCAGAGTCCACAAAGTGTGTGCAGGAACTCAAAAGCTGCATACATCATAAACTGGTAAGACACGGTCCTGCTAGTGCCTTAGTGCCTTAGTGGCTTCACGCTTTCACAGAGCTCCGAAGTAACACCGGGTGTCTCACACGTCCTGCGTGTCCACTACCGGGGAGTAAAATGTACCAGGGAGGACGGGCGGACTGTAACTGTAACCAGGGAGGGATCAAGGGGCATCAGTGCATCAATACACATGGACACAGGTATGACCATTTCCCCATGAGCCCAAGCGCATGGCCGCGCCCATGCACGGGGCATACGTGGCACACCCTGCCGCAAACTATGTTCTCCCCCTTCCCCTCCCCCACCAACCCTCACCGACGGCTGGTTAGCCAGCTCCACTGCCCACGGCGAGCGGAAGGCGGGGTCCTGCGCGTGTCGGAAGGCGGCGGAGGCCAGGCCGGCGGCCAGCTGCTGCGCGGCGGCGGAGGCGGACGCGGCGGCGGCGGGCCCGGCCGCCACCGCCACCGGCACGCTGGCGGCGGCGGCGGCGGCCAGTGACACCAGCTGCTCGTCCCACATGTTGTCGTACAGCCCGTCAGTTGCAAGAATGATGACGTCACCGGGCTCTAGTGCGATCTGCGCAAAGCGAAAGCCAGGGTGCCGTACCGTCAAAAGCATGAGACGGCAGACAGTCACGCACATGCCGACACACATCTCCCTTCCGCTCCCCGCTCCCCGCCCCCCCCTCAACCCCTCACCTGGTACACCTGCGCGTCCTGCGCCGTGTCGGTGTCCGGCAGGTTGCCTGGGTGCGCGATCTGGTAGGGCATGTTGAACTGGTGCTCCTGCGGACTGCTGGACAGAACCAACGAGCCGCGACGGACCACCCGCACGCCGCTGTCACCCAGGTTGGCGATGGAAAGCAACCCACCACCACCCCCAGCAGCCTGCCCCCCTGCTGTTGCTGCATGCGGTGTCATGATGGCGACACAGGCGGTGCAGCTGCCGATGCTGCGCACCGCGGCCTGCGCCTCCGCCAGCAACTGCCGGGGATCCGCCGGCTCGCCCGCGTGCCGCCGCGCCTCCGCCGCCCGCGCCACAGCCGCCATGATCTCCCGACTGTACTGCCCCGGGTCAACATTCGCCTCCGCCCAACCGCCCACGCCGTCCGCTACACCCAGCGCACTGAGGGAAGGAGCCGACCCGCCACCACCGCTGCTGCTGCTGCTGCTCTGAGGGGGCGTCAGGATGAAGAACGCGTCTTCGGAGCCTTTGGACGCCTTGGCAACGTGGGGAATGGCGTAACCCGCGGCTGAGAGCTGCAACCTGCTTCGTCCCATGGGGGCTGTAGCGGCTGGGTTGAACATGTGGCCGGCGGGTTGCGTTGTCACCGTCCGGTTAGGTGGTGATGTCGCGGAGAGGGACGTCTTCCAGTCAGCAGCAGCGGTGCCCTGACTGCCGCCCTTGCTGCTACTTCCCTGACTCCCTGACTGCTGATGCTGCGGCTGTTTCCAAGGGGAGGAGGAGGAAGGCGAGGAAGGCGAGGACGAGGCGGACGCAGGGCTGGTAGGACCCCCGGTTCGCTGCACGATGGACTGTGCGATGGCGGCAATCTCCGCACCCAACTCATCATTGGAGAAGAAGGTACCGCTGCTGTTGCCGCTGCTGCCAGTGGTGCTCCTTCCAGAGGCAGCGGCGGCGGAGGCGCCCTTGTTGGTGCGAGCTGCGGGGCTGCTGCTGGCGGACGAAGAAGAGGGGCCAGCTGCGGCTGCGGAGTCGGGGGAGGTAGCGTTGCCGTCGTCGGCGGTGGCCTCGGAGGGCTTGGGTCGGCCCCATTCCGCGATGGGCGGCGTGTTGAATCCTGCTGGGGTGGCGGTGGCGGTGGTGGTCAGGTAGGAGGTGGTGGTGGTTGCCCAGACAGCAATACATCACACATTGGGCGGCAGCAGCAGCACAATTTGGAAATCACATGGATACCGTATAAGCCGTCTTCTGCAACGTTTGCGAGCAGAACGTGATCATAGTGACTGGAGAGTAATCGTAGCGACTCTGCATACAGGGATACAAGGTTATGAAGGGCGGGCAGCCCGCCAGTCATGCGGGCACATACGGAGCTGGCGACGTCATGGAGCGCGTCATGGAGCGCCATGCAACATACAAGAGTGGGGAGAGAGAGAAGGGGAGCCTTGCCTCACCGCGTGTCTTCGCTGAAGCTCCTGGTGGCGATACCTGAGCAGCTGCTGCTGCTGCTCTCTTGGCAGCCGCAGCCGCACCTGCTGCTGCAGCCAGCGCCGCTGCTGCCGGAGACTGCTGCTGCGGCTGTGGCTGTGGCTGCTGCTGCGACTGCTGCGAAGCACCACCGAACCCAGATGCAGGGGTTCGAGAGGTCGGGGGCACCGCGGAGCTCCGGTGCTGGGCTGACGGCTGCGGCGGCTGCAGCGACGGAGGATCCGAGGAGGAAGAGGAGGAGGACCCTGCGGCTTGGCGCCGACTTTCAACCACCGAGCGCCACTGCTGCTGCTGCTGCTGCTGTAGCCTGGAGGGTGTGACAGGCGGAGGGGAAGAGCTGCTGGCCACAGCGGGTGGTGATGGCTGGGCGGCAGGGGTGCTTTCCTGGGCAGCAGCAGCAGCGGTGACCCTGGTGCTGCTGCTGCTGCTGCCGTCGGACGAGGAGGAGGAGGAGGTGGAAGGAGTGGGCTGCTGTGGTGGTGGCGGTTGTGGTGTCTTGCTCTTTCGCACAACATCCCTCAGGTAGGCGGGCTTGGAGGGCTTGGCGGCCTGCGCGGTGAGGGGAGAGTAGTTGGGTTCAGGGGAGGCCGACGCCGCTGACACCGACGTTGTTGAGGACGAGGACGAGGACGAAGGCGACCATGAGGAAGGAAGAGGGGTTGAGGAGGCGGTGGCTCCTGCTGAAGAGGAGGACGGAGGCTGTCGGGAGGCGTTCCTTTCCTCCACACTGCCAGCAGCTCCCACGATTGACGACGCGCCGCCTGTCTCAGGCTCCTGCTGCTGCTGCTGTTCTTGTTGTTGTGCTGCGCCGGGCACCCTCTTCCCTTCCCCAGCACCAGCAACACCCCCACCACCACCCGGAGCAGCAGCCCCCAAGGAGGAAGAGGAGGAGAAGGAGGAAGAGGCAGAGGACGATGACGATGCGGGGGTTGGTGCAGATGAAGGTGCAGTTGCGGCGGATCCCGCAATGCTGCTCCAAGCATCAGCGCCAGCGCTGCTATCAGCCGCGGCGCTGCCAGGGTGGGAGGATGAGGAGGTGTCGAAAGAGGATCCTACAGGCCCTGGTGCTTGCCGAGAAGCCAGGATCTGAGACCAAACCGACGATACCGCCACACCACCACCCTCACTTCCAGCGGCACCTGTCGCTGCCGCAGCAGCACCAGCTGCTGTCGGTGCTGCTGCCGGGGGCGCTGAGGCCGCCACGGCTTGGGCGCCGGTCCCATCAGCAGCCGCCCTGCTGCTGCTGATGCTGCTACCGACACGCGACGCCGCCGTCGACGGCCGCTGTTGCCGCTGTGATCCCTCAGTCGCCGTCCGAGGAGCGCCGAAGGGACGAGCTGTGGGCGGTTGTTCCCGTGCAGCTGCTGTATTAGCAGCAGCCCCTGCTGCAGCCCCTCCCAGGCCTCCTCCTGCTGCTGCTGCTGGCGATGGTGGTGGGGACATGCTTGCGGCAACAGCGCCGGCCAGGGTGCTGGTCACCGCCTCAGCTAGGCTGCTCGCCATCGCCCCCACCAGCTCACTGGCAGCTCCCATTGAACCGCCGCTACCAGCAGCAGCACCACTACTGCTGGTGCTGGTGGTGTTGGTGTTGGTGCTACCGGTGCTGGTGCTGGTGGTGTTGCTAGCAAAGGTGCTGCCGGCAGGGCGCTCCCAAGGGCTGCTGCTAGCGCCGTTGGGGTTGTTGGTGTTGCCAACGCTGCTGCCGCTGCTGCTGCTGCTGCTACTGGCGCCGCCTCTGTAGCTCCAGTAACTGGGGCTGCTGCCGCTGCGGTTCCTGTTGGGGCTGTTAGGTCCTTGGGTGCTGCTAGTACTGCTGCTAGTGCTGCTGCTGCTGGTGACACTGCTACTGTTACTGCTGTTAGCGCCACTGCTGCTGCTTCCGGAGTCAGGGCGGCCCGCTGCATGCTGCGGCCGAGTCGGCTCCTTGGGGGCCGGCGGAACATCCCACGGACTGCCACCGCTGATGCCAGGGATGGCGCCGGATTGCGAAGATTGAGGAAAAGAAGACCAGCCGGGTCGCACAGCAGCAGCAGCCGTCGACGTGGTCGGGCGACCAGATCCGGTGGTTGACCCGCCGCCGGGTGACCCGTGGGTCGTGGTCGTGGCAGTGCCGCCGTTGCTGCTGCCGCGACCGGCTGGGGAGCCGGGAGCTGACTGGCCGGTGGAAGCGGAGTACTGTCGCTCATGCTCCTGTGTTGGGGGGAAGGGAGGGGGGCAACGGGGGACGCATGTGGGTTTGTGTTGCATGTGGGGCCGTACATGTACGAGGGGGTTGCATCCTGCATGTACGACATATATCGGTGCTAGACGACAACGCAAAAGCCTGTGCATTCCCCCCTTTTTTCCGTTGAACAGGAGAGCCATCCACAGGCCGACCAAACTGACAGCTTTGCGAATATCTAGGAAAGGTTCCTAACCCTTCCCGCGACGTCCCTCCCCACCTGCAGCCTGTCCCTCAGCGCCTCCACCCTCCTGGTCAGCGCCGCCACCTGCCGCCCCGCAGCCCCCGACTGCGCAGCCGCCTCCGCCGCCACCGCCTCCGCCGCCGCCGCCCCCCGCGGACCACCCGCAGCGGCCCCCAGCGCTGCCACCGCCGACTGAGCCGCCGCCAGCTCGGAACGCAGGGAGGCCAGCTCTGAAAGCTGGGAGCGAACCTTTTGATGAGAGGGGAGGGGCAGGAAAGGAGGAGGGCGGGGCCAGGGAGAGTGCGGAGGTAGGTTAGACATGGGTGCTAATGAAAACACAGCGAAGAAGCTAGGGAACGCTGCCCAAGGACCTCTCCCAAGCCCCCACCCACCACATCCGTCCCCGCCCCCTTCCCCCTGCCTCAGCTCCCGCACCGCACCTGCGCCGCCGCCAGTGTTGCCTCCGCCGCCAGCCGCTGCCTGTCCGCATGCGCCTCCCGCAGCGCCCGGCTGCTGGCATCCAGCTGGGCGCGCCAGGAGGCCTCCATCATGCGGGCCTGCGTGGGGGCGGGGGGCGGGCGGGGAGTGGGGGGGATAAACGAAAAGTGAAAAAACGGTAGTGAAAGGGTATGAGGGTGGGGGCCGGGGGCGGGGGCAATGCTGTTACGGGTTATTATTGGGTTGTTTCAGCAAGGGACTGTAGTTGCTGTTGTTGTGGGAATAGTGTAGTTGCCGAGGGAAGGGAGAGGGAAGACAGTCAAAGGGGAAGGGGGAAGGTCCCCATGCAGGTTCGCATTTATGTACCCAGAGCCCCCCCCACACACACACACCTGCTGCGCCACCGCCTCCTGCGCCGCCTGCGCCTCCCGCTGCTGCGACTGGCTGCGGCTGGCCAGCTGGCTCTGCAGCTGGGACTGCAGGGGAGTGGGGGTTGAGTGGGGGTTTGGGAGATGGGGAGTGAGGGGCGGGGCATGGGAGGCAAGTGTAGCGGTTTGCATGGAGGTGAAGGTGGCGGTGGTGGGGGGATGTCCTTCCAATGGTGGTGTGCACATCACACGCCTTCGCCAGCGCCTGAGCCTGAGCCTTCCAAGGTGAGGCATTCTACAGTGAAAAGACCGACTGCCTCCACGCCTGCATGCTTGCTCGCCTGCTAACATGCTAACAGGCTGTTCGAGCCGCACCCACCCACCTGCAGCTGCTGCTCCCGGGCGGCGGCCTGCTGCTGCAGCTGCCGGTCTCGTTCCTGCAGGGGGGTTTCCAACGAATGAGGGCGCATGTCGCATGTGTAGGGGGGAGGGGGAATGATGTGCATGGGGAGCAGCCCGGTGCCACTCGCAGCGGGGGAGGAGGAGTGGCGGTCGCCAAGGAAACACACGGGGGATGTGGGTCGCGGTGGGGTAAACACGCACACAACGACACAGGCGCTGGAGAGAGGAGGTGGCGCCCCGGAGGCGCTTGGGCGGGAAACCCCTGCTGATACCTCCTGCTGAAACCCACCTCATGCCCCCACCCCCAGCCCCCACCTGCATCAGCTCCCGCACCCGCTCCTGCACCGCCTTGCGTAGCTGCTGCTGGATGTCCTCCGAGGTGGGAGAGGGGGAGGCGGAGCCAGCAGCAGCCTGGCAGCAGGACACACGGCACACCGCACCGCACCGCACCGCACAGCACAGCACAGCATGAGAAGAGGCTGTCGGTACCATGAGAAGAGGCTACCGGTACAGCCTCTTCAAGGGGGCGGAAACGGGGGTAACACGTGACATGAAACACATGCGCTCGACATCAGCATGTTTCACCCTATAGCACCCCAGTGTCGTACATCAGCTTCGGCTTGCATGGGATGAGCTGCAAAACATGGGGTACCCCCTACCCCTCGGAGCTCCGACCTACCCTCATCTTGGCCTTGCGCTCCTGCTCCATCTGCTGCTGCAGCCGCACCCGCTGTTCCACCACCCCGCGCAGCTCCGTCTCGCGGTCCTACACGGGAGGGGCAGGCGGGGGAGGTGGAGAGGGCGGGGTGGAGGGACGGAGGCAGGAATGGCTGGTGGAGGCAGGGACGCCTTGAGCATGGGGGACGGAGGCAACGCAAACGAAACGAGGACCTGCAGCTCCTCCGCCCTCCACCTCTCCCTTTCCCCCTCCCCCACCTGCATCTCCGCCAGCACCGCCCGCTCCCTGCTCCTGGCCTCGGGCAGCATGGCGGTGCGGTACAGCGCGGCGAGCTGGGAGCTGAGGGAGCCCAGCTGCTGGGCGGCGGACTGCAGGCCCTGGGGGGGAGGAGGAGGGGAGGGGGAGGGGGACTTCAAAATAGACCAAACCATAGGAAAACACGTGTTAAGACAGAATGATGGGGGAATGAGGCGGGTGGGTTGGGGAGGGAGGGAAGGAGGGTGGGGAGGTGGTGGGTTAAGGGGGCAGGGGCGCCGATCCCACCCAGATCCCACCCAGCCTGACCCAAGTTCGCCATGCCAAGCCAGGGTGCCCAAAGCAGCCTGCGGGAGAGGCACTGGCGAGTACGGGGAGGTGGGCCCCTGTCTCTTCTTCCTTCCATCCCCATCCCCATCTCCAACCCCACCCAACCCCACCCCACCCGCACCTCCCCCACCCAGCCCCCAGCCCACCTCCTGGTCTCCCACCGCCTCCCGCGCCTTCATCGTCTGCCTCGCCCTGTCCGCATCCGCCTCCATGGCCGCCGCCCTGTCCGCCAGCGCCGGCCCCAGCCGCCCCACCGCACCCGCTTGCAGCTCCGCCAGCTGCCCCTGCAGCCGCTGCAGCTGGGACAGCAGGGCGGACTCGCGGGAGGAGAGGCGGGCGAGGAGGGAGGAGGACTGGGAGGGACGGGGGGAGGGAGAATGGGGGAGGGGAATGTTGGGTGAGGAGCAGGTGCGGTGGCTGCAGCTGAGCCTGGTGGCAGGTGGAGGTGTAGGAGGCGGGGAGGCGTGTTGAGAAACTGGCCGCGAGTAGTAGGAACGTACGGGATTTTCGTTGACATTGTGTGAGGGCTGCCAATGGCTACCAAAAGGGCTACCGTGTTAAGCGTTAGGACTCACCTGAGCGGCCTCACTGGACTCCTGGCCGCTGCCGCTCCGGGCTGCAGACGCAGCGGGCTTGGAGGCGGCGGGCAGGATGACCTGCCGCAACTCCTCCTGCGCGGAAGAGGTGGGCGGGGAGACGGGGAGGCGAAGAAAAAGGCAAGCAGAAGGCAAAGAGAGAGAGACAGAGAGAGAGAGACAGAGTTGAGACAGATGAGGGATTAGGCGGGCAGGTCGGAACCAACACCAGGAACAGTCTACACAGGAATGAACCGGACGGGCATTAGAACAGCAACCCAGCTAACGCTTACACACAGCCACCACCACCTCCCCCTCCCCGCCGCCCCTCACCTCCAATGCCGCCACAAATCCCCCTCCCAACAGCCCCTGCATCTGCTCCCGCAGCGCCGCCAGCTGCCCCGCCGCCCGCCCCGCCTCCCCCCGGGCAGCCGACAGCTGGGCCTCCAGGGAGGAACGCAGCTCCGAAACCTCGGTGGCACGAGCGGCGGCGGAGCGCGCAGCCGACAGCTGAGCAGCCTGGGGGCGGAGGGAGGGAGGGGGCATGCACGTGGAGAAAACGAACCGGGGAGCATGGGGCGACCAGGGCACGAGCCGCCCACTGCTGCCCAGGGCCGCACACCTCCACGCCTTCACACGCCTACATGCACACGCCTAAATGCACACGCCTACATACGCCTTCACACGCTGACTAGGGAAGAGTGGTAAGAATCAAAGTTGGTTCCCAGGCGTCTGGAGTACCGTAGACCCAGGGGGCCAGACGCAGGTAACGTATACACGCGTACAATTACAGAGGGGGGGGGGCGAATAAGCACGGGCTGCGGGCTGCACGGCACTTGTTGTTGGATGCGGAGTAAAAAACAAAGAAGAAAAAGGAAGGCGTAAGGCGCTACTCCTCCTACCTGCAGCTGCCCCCGCAGTTCCTCCACCTCCTGCTGCAGCGCGGCTGCTCGGGCGGCGGCTGCCTCCTGCTGCTGGGCCGCCAGGGCCGCGGAGTCCTGCAGGGCGGCGGTGAGGCGCGCCACGTCGGTGTCACGGCTGGACTGCTGCAGGTCGGAGAGCTGGTGGGGTGGGGGTGGGGGGGAGGGGAGCGTGGGCGAAGGGGGTGGGGAGGGGTGAGGGTGGGGAGCGGAGGGCTTAGGGAGTGGGAGGGGAAGGAGGAAGGAGGGAGAAAGCGTGGGAAAGGAGGATAGGACAGGACAGAAGCACACCGAAGAAGCCACATACACATACACACACGCAGGTCAGTACGTTCCTACTCGCGGCCAGTTTTCTTAACACACACGCACGCACCTGCTTCCTCAGCGCCTCCAGCTCCTGCTTGCCGCCCCTTCGCGCGCTCTCCGCCGCCTCCCGCAGCGCCGCCAGCTCGCCATCACGACTGCACAGCAGCGAACCCATCTGCATGGGAGGGATTTAAAGACCATACCGCAGGGGGGGGGAGGAGGAGAGCAGCAGGGTGGGAGGAAGGAGGTGACAGCGGGGAGGCGGGTGAGGACGAGGGCGGGTGACAGCCCACTGTCTGCAGCCGGTCGTCATCTCCATCCGTCATCTCCATCCGTGCCTCGGGGGTACACACGGATCGCAACCATGGAAAGGACGGATGCGGGTATGCGGTAAGGGTGATAGGACTGTGCACCCCACCCCCCACCTGCTCCGCCGCCCGCTTGCTCTGCTCCAGCAGCTCCTGCAACTCCGCCTCGCCCTCACGCAGCGAGGCAAGCTGGCTCTCGCGGTCGGCCAGGGAGGCCTAAGAGGGGGGGGCCAAAGACCATGCCAAACCGTAGGAAGCCAGAGGTTAGGGGAAAGCAGCGGGGATAGGAGCCGGGGGAGGAGGAGGCGGGGGAGCAGGGGAGGGACCCGCGCATGTTGCGAGAGGGTGCAGCGAGGCAGCAATGTTGGAGGTGTGCGGGAGCTATCTCTGGACAGGTTGGACAGCAGCAGCAACGCCGGCTCGCCGCTTTTAGGAGCCCCGCCCCCACCCAACTGCCAGCATGTTTTACAAGGGAGGAAAGCAGCCCCCACCACCAGCCCCCCCGGGCGCACAGGTCTTTCCGCCTAGTGCCTAGCGCCCAGCCACTCTTCGTTGCCTCGCTCCCACCAGCCCCCAGCTCCCTCGCTCCCTCCCGCCCCCATCCACCTGCAGCTTGGCGACCGCCAGGCGGTCCTCATCCGCTGCCGCTGTGATCTGCGAGCGTGCGCCACCCAGGCAGGCAGGCAGGCAGGCAGGCAGCAGGACATCATGGACAGAACAGGTAGGTCGGCAGCAACGGCAGCACGGCATCATGAGAGGGGACGGGAGAGAACGAACGAAGGTGCATACCCACAAGGTGCACAGCAGCGAACCAGAGTGGCGCACCACGCACGCTCCGTCCCGCACGCTCTGCCAGCCAGCCTCACGACCACCAAATGAAAACTATCTCCACTCCCCTCTCCCCTCATCTGGGTCGGCAGCACCCCCATGCATGCAACCAACCCATGGCGGAATTCACGTCACACATGGTTAAGGTAGCTACGGTAGCCCCTCCTCACTAAACCCCCCTCTTCCCTCCCCTCCCCAACTACTAGCCCCACCATGCGTATCTTGTCCTCTGCCGCTGCCGCCGCCGCTGCCGCCGCCTCCACCTGCTCCGCCAGCCGCGCCTCCAGCTGCCCCACCCGCTGCTGCAGCTCCCGCCGCTCCGAATCCAGCTGCGCCACACGCGCCTCCAGCTCAGCGGAACGAGCCATGGCCTGGATGGGGTGGTAGGGGGGTGCGTTGGTAGGGATGTGTAGGGGAATGGCAAGAAGATGTCATAAGGCCCAGAAGATAAGACACGCCACAAAACCAAACACAGATAACGAGCCTGCGGTATCACGGTAACCCGCACGTACCGGTATCTATGAACCCTACCCTCCTCACCAAGTAGTGGTCTGCAACCCCCTCCCTCCCCGCCCCACCTCCGCCAGCTTTCCCTGCGTGTCCGCCAGCTCGGCCCTCAGCCCCTCGATGCACCGCTGCAGCTCCCGCCGAGCATCCTCAGACTCGCTCAGCGCGGCGCGACCGGAGGCCACCTCGACTGGGAGGGAGGGAGATGGTGGGGAGGAGGGGAGGAGAAGGAAAACCATGCGGGGTGGGAGACGAGAGGCGAGCAGAGGGAGGTTACAAAGCGCATGCATGCAACACGTACCAGCATTGTACACCATGCATGGGCAGCGAGTTCGGATTAACCAGCGAAGTGCGGATTAACCACCTCCTCTTGCTATGATCCCATGCAACCCCCCCACCTCCCCCTCCCCCCCCACCCGCCAGCTCCGCATTCCTGTCCTCCTCCCTCCTCAGTCGCTCCCGCAGCGCCCCCACCATCGCCTCAAGCAGCTCAGTGCGCCGCTGGGACTCCTTGGGGTGGTGGAGGGGGTGTGGGGGCGGGAGACGGGAGGAGGGTGGGAGGTGAGATTGCGAATACCGGTAACTGCAGGTGGGAACGCGAACCATCGGACGCAAGGACCTCCACCCCTCTCCTTCTCTACTTCCTCCTCCTCACCGCTGCCCCCCACCCTACCTTGAGCTCCCCCCTGGCAGCTCCCTCCACCTCGCCCCCCTTGACAGCCGCCCGCTGAGCCGCCCGCAGCTCCGCCTCCCGCACGCGCAGCTCCTGCTGCAGCGAGGAAGCAGCCTGCAGGGCCCGGGGCGGGGAGGGGACCGTGAAGGGGGGCCGATGCAAAGCCACATGAACAGCGGTGCAGGGTGGGGTGATATGAGGGGGCCAGGATCAGGCAGCAGGCCAATAGAGAGGCAGCACAGTAGCAGCAATGTGATTGGATTGCAGCAGCAGCTGCTGCTGCAGCTGCGGGATTAGTGAGGTAGCGGGGTAGAGGACCAAACCCTGTCCCTCCCCTATACCCCAAAGCAACGACCCGTTTCCACCACCACCCCTCCTTCCTCCTTCCTCCCTCCTCTTCTGCCTCTTCCTCCCTCCCACGCACTTGTCGTGCTCGCTCCTGCTCCCTTTCAAGCTCCTCCGTCGGCTGCTCCGCTGCCTCCACCGCCTCCACCCACTGCTCTACTTGCTGCTCGCCTTGCGCCGCTGTCGTCGTGTGCTGCTGCTGTTGCACCTCCGCCCCAGCCGCTTCAGACAGCTGCTGCTGCTGGGGCGAGGCTGAGGAGGACGTGACAGCTGCGTTGGGTGCAGCAGCAGCAGCAGCAGCGCCGGTGGTCTGCACCACAGCTGTGGTTTCTGCGGCTTGTGTCCGGAGGCCGGTGCTGCGGAGTGGGGCGATGGGGCGAGGTGAGGGGAGAGATGAGGTGAAATGGAGAAAGTGGGCAGTTAGGTAAAACAAAGCCACTTGAGCGGTTGCGGGTGCTATGCCCTGGTGGACATCTTTTTGTGCATCAGGTATAGTGGCAACCCACCCCCTCAACCTCCCCAAACCCACATGGGATTCAAGTACGGCGGTAAGGCACTCACCCAGCGGATTCCCTTGCCTGGCCTTGTTCCAGCGCGCGCTTCACCAGGACTACTGCGCCTGTCAGCGCCACCAGACCTCCAGCAATAGCTGGGACGAGGCCGCCCGGTGCTGATGGCATGGCCGGCTGGGATGGCGCGGTCGGGGCCACCTGGTATACTTGCTGCATAGTAGGAGCCTGGGGTCAAGAAGTGAAGCCAGGGGACGACAAGGCGCCGGCGATGCTTAACATGGCCTTGCTGAAAGAAAGTGCTTAGGACTAGGGTCGCACGATTTGACTTGGCACGTGCTTTAAGAAACACGTATTAGGCAACCCCTGCAGGAGCAACCCACCTGTCTAGCTTTTGCGTTCACGGTAAACTTGGCAGCGCAGATGGGCAGCCGACGGCGGCGCGATATCGGGCCGGTAACCATGGGGCATGGCGGAAGCCTGGCATATGCACCAGAGCGTCCGCCAGGTATCAACATGACACCGAAATGCCTTCCATGACCTAAACGTTTCTCCCCTATTTGGGACATGACGATTGCCCTTTGGTGATGGTACCGACTGGAGCCTGGAGATGCTTAGGCTCCTTACACACGGCCACAAGTTGTCGAAAAATATGTCCAAGAGCTATACTTGGGCTGCATAATTGGAGTCTTTGGCCACGATAAGGGTGCACGGTAAGTTCAAAAGCGGATGGCTTTCAGCAGCAACGCGTATCGCTGGCAAGTACACGTCTAAGTTCACACGCGAGTTGCTGTAATTGTCGACGTCTTCACTTTCCACCAGCAAGCACGTCTTGCTGCAAGCGTACAGCCCAGCATGCATAACACATCCGTATGATCATAGACAGTAGGTGACCAACAGATAAAAATAAAAGATAAACAGTGTTGCTGTGAGCCAAGCGTCTTTCGAAACAACCGGCATGTCGCAGAGGAGATCAGGGTGTTACGGCATCTTGCCAATGCACCATCGTTACGACTCAACCCTTCAAATCCATATTAGCAGAAGACTCCGTATTTGAAGTCGTAATCATGCTTATCCATAATCGCAAACGATAAGGGCTTTGCGGGTCCATGGGCCCAGCGGTAAGGCATGCATAAGTTAAGGCAAGTGTTCCAACTAGGCAACCGGCGTTGTTAAGGCCACCGGGCACTCTCCTTCACTCGCCAGGGAAGTGCCTTACCCGGGTACTTCTGGGTAATTGCACTGCAGGCTCCACTTAGGGCTTGTAGATTACCAACTCATTGCTCTTTTCCAGGCGCACTTCGCTCGCAATTGTGGGGACGTGCGGGGCTGTGCTAAGTTATCAAGGCAATCAGGCTTGTACGTGAGGCTGTGACGTACCCGAAGTCCCAACCTTCATGGCATCAGAGCGATGTGAAGAATGCAATAAGCACTTGTCAGCTGCACATCGCCGAAGTGTGGCAGTGTCATGATGATAGACGAAGTTGCTGCGATGCCGACGCTGCAGGTATTGACCTGGTAACCGAAGTACCTAGCTGTACGGCAACAGTAAACTGCTACGTGGGGCCAAAACATTTAATCGATAGACATGCCAGATAACTGGAAGTGCCCTAGATCCTACCTCAGACCCTATTTTACTCTTATTTATCCACTAGCTTGGTAGGACTTATCCCCTCCACGCCCACAGCTTTTTCTCCGCTGAGCTCTAATATGCCTGAGCTGCAATGCATCCTACAAAATATGAATTAATGTCTCTTATTCGCTAGATTGTGTCGTGTGGCTGTGGTGAGAGTCAGCGCTCGTCGGCAAGGTTATTGCTGCTATTCATGGCGTCAATACATCGCACGCAACTTGGGCGTGTTGCACCCGGTCTTGCGACAGTGCACATACATAATCAAATGAGCGCTATACGAACGAACATCTTGCTCCAAAAGTTGCGCAGCCGGCAGTCGACACCGCTCGCAACCTTTCAGCGGTAAGTGGAATCAGTTTTCGACGCAGACCTGATATGCTGGCATGTGTTTAAATAAAGGTCGTCTACATATAGCACAAGCAAGCACTTACATAGCGAGCAATTGCCCGGGTGGTACATTCCTGGCAAGGAAGCATACCTCGTCCTTTCCATCGTTTCTTCGGTTGCCTTAATTCATCAATACAGACGTTTATAAATAGTATCTGTAAGCTTTTCGAGTGCTATGCTTGGCAACGACAGGACAAACATGTCCGACCGCATGCAAGCAGCCGCTAACGTCCCGCCTTACTGATCACGTTACCGCCGTATGCTGCTGCAGGCGTGCCTGGTTACCTGGATGCCGCTTGTATAAAGCATGCAGCAGAGCCAACGGACGCGATGCACTCGATCCCGCCCAGCAGCAACACCTGAAGGAACCCAATCTGGTTTCCCCACAAGCCTCGCCTACCTTTCCTCCCCCTCCTCCTCAAGCAGCCTCCGCTCATCACAAACCTACCACGGGCATCCCTCCTAATCCTCCTCCTTCCTCTCCTCCAGCTGCATCCGCTCCTCCTTTCCCTTGCCCAAGCGCTCCTCCCTCCCAAGCTGCTCCCTCCCCGCTGCCATCACCCACTCCCGCCGCATCTCCTTCTTCTCCCACCACCTCCGAAACCAAACCCGATTCGCTACTCAACGAGGAGCTGCGCCAGCTTGAAACGGAGCTGCAGACCCTAGCAGGCAAAGGGGTAATAACCCTCACTCAGGTGCCAATGGGCATGACGTCAGCTGTCGTGGCAGCAGACAATGGGGAAATGGCGTCAGCTGCAGCGGCAGCAGGCAGCCCAGCCGGGATTAAGGGGCGGCTGAAGGAGGTGGAGGCGGCCTTGTTAGAGCTCAAGGTAGGAGAGAGAGAGAGAGAGAGAGGGTGGGCGAGAGGATGGGGAGGGGTACGGTGGCAGGTTGCGGCGGAGAGGAGGTACCGGCCTCGTGGTCGTGGCTAGGGTTGCAACGTTGGGTGGTGTGGGGACATGCATAGTGGATGAGTCAAAGAAATACCAAACTGTATGTGAGGGTAACGGGTGGGGGCTGATGCTGGGGTTTCAGAGCGTCTTGGGGCACATTTGTATTGTCGGTGCAGTGGGTGGGGGGTGGGAAGCGGTATGGGGACGAAGCCAAAGAGGGGTTTCCGATTCATTGGGAAAGTAAGCAATGCCTCTCCTCGCCTCTCACCCTCCTCCCGTCTCCCGCCCCCACCCCCTCCACCCCCCAAGGAGTCGCAGCGGCGCACTGAGCTGCTTGAGGCGATGGTGGGGGCGCTGCGGGAGCGACTGCGGAGGGAGGAGGACAGGAACGCGGAGCTGGCGGGTGGGGGGGGAGGGGGTGTGGGGGGAGGTGGGGGGGTTGCATGGGATCATAGCAAGAGGAGGTGTTTAATCCGCACTTCGCTGGTTAATCCGAACTCGCTGCCCATGCATGGTGTACAATGCTGGTACGTGTTGCATGCATGCGCGTTGTAACCTCCCTCTGCTCGCCTCTCGTCCCCCACCCCGCATGGTTTTCCTTCTCCTCCCCTCCTCCCCACCATCTCCCTCCCTCCCAGTCGAGGTGGCCTCCGGTCGCGCCGCGCTGAGCGAGTCTGAGGATGCTCGGCGGGAGCTGCAGCGGTGCATCGAGGGGCTGAGGGCCGAGCTGGCGGACACGCAGGGAAAGCTGGCGGAGGTGGGGCGGGTGGGGAGAGAAGCGAGGTGAAGGGGAACTGGCGAAGCGTGTCTGTAAAACCAAACCAACTTGCTCTCCTGCCTCCCCTCTCCTTCCTCTCTGCCACCACGTGTTCCTCTTCCCCTCTCCTTGTGGCGCCCCGCCGCCTCTTTCCCCCTTCGGTTTGCTCTAATACGTGGTTTCCTGTGCTCCGGTCTAATTGGGCCCCCCCTCTCCTCCTCAGGCCCAGCTGCGCGCCTGCTCCCTGGAGTCCCGCGTGGCCCGCCTGGCCCGCCAGCAGGCCGCCCTGGCGCTGCGAGCGGGGGAGCTGGAGGAGCAGCTGGCGAGCGGGGCGGAGGCGGCGGCACGGGCGCTGGGGGAGGCAGCGGAGAGGATACGGGAGGTGAGAGGAGCTTGGAGGCAGTGTTTCCCCTTCCGCCTTTCTGTCAATCAACCTTGCCCTGCAGCCCGCTTTTTGAGTGTGTCTCGCCTTTGCCATACCTACGATCACTTGTGGTCCCATCACTGCATTTCCTTACCTTCCGGATTACTGTCGCTTGGTCTACCGGTATTTGTCTTTGACCCCCCCTCCCCCCCCTCCCTGCTGCGCCACCCAGCTGGAGGCCGCTGCGGAGGCAGATCAGCAGCTCATCACCCTGCTGCAGGTGCGGGGGGTGCGGGTGTTACAAAACCTGGCCGCGAGTCGGAGCGTACTGCAGGCAGGGTACGGCGGTGTGGATGCGTGAAGGGCGTGTCGGGGGTCGGTGACGGTGTGCGAGCGGCAGGGGGAGTGGAGTCGTTGGAACTGTTGTGTACGGCACATCCTGTTTGGATGCGGGCCCGCCCCAAAGCTTCTTCCTGATGCAGCGTCACTCCTCCCTCCCTCCCGGCTCCCTCCCCTGCCCCCCCGCCTCCTCCCCCGGCGCGCCCCCCTTCTTAGGCCTCCCTGGCCGACCGCGAGAGCCAGCTTGCCTCGCTGCGTGAGGGCGAGGCGGAATGGCAGGAGCTGCTGGAGCAGAGCAAGCGGGCGGCGGAGCAGGTGGGGGAGAAGGCCCTGAGAAGGCTGTAGTTCTAACAGGCCGTGCTTCTAAGGACTGCACGGCCAGCAACAATAACGTGACCTTACTTGGTTGTCTTGATACCGGTCAGCATCCACCACAACAAGGAGGGTCACAGGCCGCCTCACCACACCTCATACTGCACCTTTCCTGCTTCACCCCCGTCTCTTCCTCCCTTATTTGTGGTTTGGTCTGTTTCCGTAACGCTCACCTGGTCAGGTGGAGGCTCTGCTGCGGCAGCGGGATACCGAGGTGCTGCGGCTGAGGGAGGAGGTGGCGGCGGCGGAGCGGCGGGGTGAACAGCAGGCAGCTGAGCAGCTGAAGCTGCAGGTGGGTGTCAACTGGGTGTCAAACCAACTTTGCCGTGCATGGTGTTGGTGATGATGGATGGGGGACATGTTGCACATGCATGGGGCCCAACAGCGAGGTGTGGGGACTGGGGGTGCGCCTGCCCCTTATCGGGTTTCCATCACTCCAAAGCCGCCCACGGTGTGACGCCTCTCCAGGGGTTTCCACCATCACGCACCCATGATGCAACCCAACGTCGGTTGAGCCTCGTGCCACGGTTACCGTACTCCTCTTAGCTTGGTTTTGCCTTTTCTCTTTCCTCGCCGCAGCTATCCTCCCTGGAGGCCGCCCACGCCGGCCGCATACAGCAGCTGGCCGCTCAGTTGCGTCAGGTGGAGGACGCGGCGGCGGAGGCGGCCGGGGTGGCGCGGACGCGGGAGGGGCAGCAGCGGGCGGAGATTGAGCGGCTCAAGGAACAACTGGAGGTACGGAATGGAGGGTTGGCGTGTGCATGCAGGCGTGCATAGGCGTGTATAGGCGTGTGCATGCGTGTATGCATGTAGGCGTGTGGGAGCATGGGTGTGCATGCGTTCATAGGCGTGTAGGCGTGTTGGTGGGCATGTGCATGCAGGCATGCACATGCCTGCAAGCCTGCATGCCTGTAAGGGTGCGGCCCTGTGCAGCAGTGGGCGGCCCTTGCCCTGATCGTCCCATGCTCCCCGGTTCGGTTTCCCCACGTGTATGTACCCTCCCTCCCTCCCTCCCTCCCTCCCTCCCTCCCTCCCTCCCTCCCTCCCTCCCTCCCTCCCTCCCTCCCTCCCTCCCTCCCTCCCTCCCTCCCTCCCTCCCTCCCTCCCTCCCTCCCTCCCTCCCTCCCTCCCTCCCTCCCTCCCTCCCTCCCTCCCTCCCTCCCTCCCTCCCTCCCTCCCTCCCTCCCTCCCTCCCTCCCTCCCTCCCTCCCTCCCTCCCTCCCTCCCTCCCTCCCTCCCTCCCTCCCTCCCTCCCTCCCTCCCTCCCTCCCTCCCTCCCTCCCTCCCTCCCTCCCTCCCTCCCTCCCTCCCTCCCTCCCTCCCTCCCTCCCTCCCTCCCTCCCTCCCTCCCTCCCTCCCTCCCTCCCTCCCTCCCTCCCTCCCTCCCTCCCTCCCTCCCTCCCTCCCTCCCTCCCTCCCTCCCTCCCTCCCTCCCTCCCTCCCTCCCTCCCCCCTCCCTCCCTCCCTCCCCCCCTCCCTCCCTCCCTCCCTCCCTCCCTCCGCACCCAGGCTGCTCAGCTGTCGGCTGCTCGTTCCGCCGCCGCTCGTGCCACGGAGGTTTCGGAGCTGCGTTCCTCCCTGGAGGCCCAGCTGTCGGCTGCCCGGGGGGAGGCGGGGCGGGCGGCGGGGCAGCTGGCGGCGCTGCGGGAGCAGATGCAGGGGCTGCTGGGAGGCGGCTTTGTGGCGGCGCTGGAGGTGAGGGGCGGCGGGGGGAGGGGAGTGCGTTGTGGGGGTGTTCCCGGGGAGGAGAAAGGGCACAAACGAGGGAGGCGGCTTGGCGACTTATAAGCACATGCGCACGTCATCGCACGAGCAAGTTTACTAGCACAGACTCTTACCAAAACAGTCAATGTATGCCGACCGCCCATCGATGACGCTGTCCCACGCACGGATCGGTGGGGTACACGTGCAGGCGGATCTCCGGCGGCTAGTCCTGGAACAACAGCAGCAGAGCCAGCAGCAGCAGCAGCAGCAGCAACGCAAGCCCTCATCAGCAGCAGTCGCGAGTTCGACCCCGGCTTTCCGCGCCCCCTCCACACCTCCCTCCGGAAGGGCCACTGCTGATGCTGCGGCGCAGGTTGGTGGACAGCAGGGCGGGGGCTTTAGGGCTGACAGGCAAGGGTGCGTGTTGGAGCACAAGAAGTGTGGTACGGCCCAGTTTCCTTACTGCCGTATCTTTCATGCCGTTTCCCCACTGCCGTACCGGTTCATCAGCCGTTTCTTTACTGACCCATTGTCGCCGGGAACACGTCAGGACGCGTGTTCGGGTCATTGTTTGAGAGGGAGCGCTTGTCTGCTTGAAGTGGGCTGGTGCTGCAAACTGACAGGGAATTTATTCCCGAACTGCAGCCCAACCAACGTTACAAAATCTCCACACCTAAATACGGCCTCTAGCGGTATTGGTTCTAGAGTCTCACTGCCTGGCAACCATTGCTGTGAACCCCGATGTCCTACCAAGCACCATAACGCCCCCTCGTTTCTGTCCAATGCTGCGTCACACTGCAGGCTCAAGCCGCTGCGACGGCCTCCGCCTCCTCCACCTCACCCCAGGAGCACGACGCTGCGGTGCAGCAGCTGCGTAGGGCGGTGCAGGAGCGGGTGCGGGAGGTGATGCAGGTGAGGGGTGGTGGCTGAGGTGGGTGGCATGAGGTGGGTTAGGTGTGGAAGGCCGGGACGGGTTGCCCAGTTGTGTTGGGAGCAGCAGCTCATCTCACCGCACCCCTGCTGCTGCCCCGCCTTGTGTGCTCGTGAGTAGACGTCGGTACGCACGCAAGGGCTCTGATGTCTGCAGTATGTCTGCATGTCACCTCTTTCCCAAACGTCCTTGCAACGACGAACACATGCGCGCATGCATGCACGCAGGAGCGGGAGCAGCAGCTGCGGCAGCAGGCGGCAGACCGTGAGCAACACCTGCAGGTGGGAGGGGGGAGGGTGCACCACCGCCCCTGGTGTCCTATGTACCTGGGCAGATCCTGGCTTTATCTGATTGCTCCTTCGTGCATATACCCATGCGCCCTTGTTGCCCTCTCCTGCTCGGCAGCTGCCGTAGTTTACACGTGCAGCCAGTCCCGACACCCTGCTGGTGCCAGAATGCTGCAGATCGAGTGTTCCCAACCTGTCCCAACATGGCACAGGCGCCTAACCCCTTCGCCCTCCATAGACCCTTCGGTATGCCCTCATCGGGTCACCACCTCCCTCCCTACCTGTCCATCAACATGCCCCCCCCAACCCCCTCCCCCTCCTCCCGCAGGCCCAGATGCAGACCCGACTGGTGGAGGCGCAGGCGGCGCAGCAGCGGGAGCTGCGGGTTGTGCAAGAGGCGGTGGCGCAGCAGGTGGGAGGGGCCGCGGTACGCTAAGGGTACAGGCCGTCTAGCCCAGCCATTACGGTCCTTTACCTTGACAGCGTCCCATCGCCGGCTTCAATAATTAATCCCCATTGTCGGCTCTATGCTTGTGTTTTCCCCGACCTCCCTTCCCAGCAGTTCTTTTGCTCCATCTTTCCCGCCTTCCTCCTCCTTGACACCTAGTGTTGCCACTACCATCTAACACTCATGGTTCTTCTCTTTTTCCCGTCCCTGCCCCTGTCCCTGCCCCTCTAGGTCCGCCTGATGGAGGGCTCCTGGGCCTCCCACACCGCCGCCTTCACCGCCGCGCTGCAGCAGGCCACCCAGGACAAGGAGCGGCTGGCAGCGCAGGCGGCTGCGGCGACACAGCAGGTGAAGGCGACTGGGGGGCGACTGGGGGGATACCGGGGGCGCATGCTCTACCGTTGGTATTGCAGCGTATTAACTGACGCTGAACAAGAACAACCCCCTCCCCTGCCCTCTTCACCACAGGTTCGCTCCCAGCTTTCCGAGCTGGCCTCCCTGCGTTCCGAGCTGGCGGCGGCTCAGTCGGTGGTAGCGGCGCTGGGAGCCGCTGCGGGGGGCCCGCGGGGGGCGGCGGCGGCGGAGGCGGTGGCGGCGGCGGCGGCTGCGCAGTCGGGGGCTGCGGGGCGGCAGGTGGCGGCGCTGACCAGGAGGGTGGAGGCGCTGAGGGACAGGCTGCAGGTGGGGAGGCAGGGAAGGGAGGGAATACGGTTGAGGGGGCTGCAAAAAATTGTTTGTCCCCTTTAATGATACCAATTCGGGAATTTCCAGGACGGAAGTCGCCGCGATTTAGTGCTCAGTAGTTTGCACTGGCTTTTGCAGGGGCAGGAAAAGGAGTTGGATCAACATCAGCAGCAGCAGCAACACCAGCAGCCGCCGCGGCAAGGGCGATCTGGTCAGCAGCCACCGCTAACAGCGCATCAAGCCTCGGAGGCTACGGCTGCTTCTGCTTCTGACGCTCCCGCGTACGGGAACCATGATGCTGGAGCTACTCTCCTTGGCTCCCAACAGAATCCTTCTGCCGTATCGTCAGCAGCAGCAGCAGCAGCTGGGTCGCTGTCGTCGTCAAGGCCACCGTCGCTGTCGCCGTCGCCACAGCGGCAGCAGCGGGTGGGCGAGACAGCGCCGCCGCTGCGTCCCGGTTGGCCGGAGCGGTTCATTAACGGCCGGCAGCAGCAGCAGCAGCCAAAAGCGCAGATGCAGCCGCCGCAGCAGACTCCTGCCATCAAGGCCACCATGCAAATAACGCAACATGACCCCCACACTCCTGCTGCTACTGCTACATCCTCTGTGTCTTCTTCCGCATTCTCATCCACGTCATCCTCAGCAAAACCAGCAATGCAGCAAAGAGCGCTGCCGCCGTCTCCCTGGGATAACAGCACCACTGCCCCGCCTACCGGCCACAGCAGCAGCAGCAGCAGCAACGGTAATGGCAACGGCACGCATGGTAGCAACAACCACCGGAACGGCGTCAGCAGCAGCTTCCGCTCTGCCAACAAAAGCACCAGCAGCAGTACCGTTGCCAGCAGTAACAGTAGCTCTGTAGGCGTAATTAACACAGCATCCACGGCTCATGCTGCTGCTGCTGCCTCCGCTATCGGCCCCCAGATCGCTTTCTCCCCACCGCCTGACCCATGGGTGAAGCCAGCATTGCCGGTGACATCCACATCCGCGCCAAGGCCAGCAGCAGCAGCAGTATCACCCCTGCTGTACCGACAGAACGCGTCCAGCACATCACAAACATCATCATCATCATCATCATCATCATTACCTTCCCAACCCTCCACCCAGCCATCCATACAAGCCTCCTCCTCCGCCGTCCAGCGTTCGTCCTGCTCAGCCACACATATCAGCAGCAGCAAAAGCAGCAATGGTGCTGCTTTCCAAACCGCTGACGGTGCTGCCGACGGTGCCGACGCTGCACTGGGGCCGGCTGCTGCTGCTGCACAGGCATCCGTAAACAAGAGCAGTAGGTTTGGTGCTGCTGATGATGACAGCAGTCACATTTCCGTACGGAAAGAGGACAGCAACAGCGGTAGCCATACCGGCAGCGGTGCCGGGGTTGTGTCGGTTTGGACTCGTATCTTAGCAGCGGCTGCCCAAAGCGGTAACGGCAGCAGCAGCAGCAACAGTGGTGCAGCATCAATCGCAGCCAGCAGAATCGGAGCTGGGACGGCCGCAGCCGACTGCAGCAGGCCTCCCGACCTGCTCCAAGGGCAGTTGCAGCCGCTTGTCTTCAGCAGCAGCAACATCAGGGTGATGAGGGCAGCGGAGAGCTCTGCCGCGGAGTCATCACCATCAACGTCGCCAGCAGAAGCAGCAGAATCAGAAACAGAAGCAGAAGAAGGAGCGGAAGTGGCAGCAACGGATGTACCAGAACCATCTTCACCCCAGCAGCAAACCTCATCCCAAATGCTTCAGCCGGCGCCAAAGCAGCAGCAACAGCAACAGCCAGCGCAGCAGCCCTCCCCCGTCCAACAAGATCATCGGACGGGCTGGCGGCAGCGCTCAGCTCCAACGACCCGTGGGTCATCGCCGCCCGCCGCTGCTGCTGCGATGGCTGCTGCCGCCGGCGCCTCCGCAGCCGCCAAGCGCGCAGCGGCGGCTGCCTCCGTTGCTGCCAGCCAAGCGAGGGAGAAACCCAGGAGTAAGTGAGGTCCAGCACATGGAAGCTGGGGTTAGTTGGTGGGTTCATGTGCCCCATCAAGGCAAAGCATTTGGTTGATTGCACCTATAACCCCATTGCCTTCAGATCTCAATGGCCCTCTGACCCGCAGTCCAAACTAATCGTTCTCTCTCTTCGTCTCTCCTCGTACCATGTGTTACTACCACTAACTGGCACTGCACTACAGGCTTCGAGGTAGGGCCGATATCGGAGTGGGGCCGGCCAAGGGATGCCAAGTCAACAGACAGCGACCCGCGGAACGCTCAAAGCGGCGGCAGGAGCCCCTCACCCAAAGGCGCACAGCAGCAGGATAGCATGAAGACCGGGAGCAACAACAACAACAACAGCGATGAGGAAGCTTCTTTTGATCAGCAGGACTCGTCTTCTCCTTCATCACCCACCACCGCCACCCGAACTCCCTCCATCAATGCCGCCGCTGCCTCTGATGGCAGCAGCAACAGCAGCAGCAGTAGCAGCAGCAGTAGCAGCACCAGCACCAGCAGCAGCGATGGCCTCTCCACGACAAGGGGTACCTTCTTCTCCAATGATGAGCTGGGTGCGGAGATTGCCGCCATCGCACAGTCCATCGTGCAGCGAACCGTTGGTGCAGCTGTTGCTGGAAGTGCGGTGACGGGTGGTGATCAGGGTGTTGATCATGGCGACACTGCTGCTGTGGCTCCTGCTGCTGCTGCAAGTACTGCAGTCAGCAGCAGTAGCAGCACCAAGGCGTCCCCGGGGACCTCCAACGGCTCCAAGAAAGAAGGTTCAGAATCAGCAACAGCGCTTTCTCAGCTGCAGCCAGGAAGTGAGGAGGGTAGTGGCACAGGAATGGCAGCAACCAGCGCCGCCAGCGCCTCCACCAGCTCCGCAGGGGCTGCTGCGGCCTCCGGCACCGCCGGGTGCCGGGTGGCGTTGGTGGCAGCAGCGCACTGCATTCCCCAGCTTGGGAAGGTAGGTAAGGGTGTGATGCTTAGGCCGGGCGAGCGCGGGGTGCTTTTGTAGCAGGGCAAATGCATGGCTGTTTATAGTGTGGTTCACAGGAGGTGAATGCGGGCAATGATGAGCACGGGTAAGCAACACGGGCGGCGAACAGGAATAGGTTTGATGGACTGTGTATATGCGCTGGGACGAGGGTGGTGCATGGGGTGCTGATGTGGAGTGCTCTTGGCCCTGGTGGTCTGACTTCACTCATCCTCCACGCTTTCATGCTACCCTCCTCCCGCTGCCCCTCCTCTTCTTCTCTTCCCCCCGCCCCACCCGACCCCAGAACGCCAAAAGCTCCGAAGACGCGTTCTTCATCCTGACGCCCCCTCAGAGCAGCAGCGGCGGGCTCGCACCCTCCCTCAGCGCGCTGGGTGTAGCGGACGGCGTGGGCGGTTGGGCGGAGGCGAATGTTGACCCGGGGCAGTACAGTCGGGAGATCATGGCGGCTGTGGCGCGGGCGGCGGCGGCACGGCGGCACGCGGGCGAGCCGGCGGACCCCCGGCAGTTGCTGGCGGAGGCGCAGGCCGCGGTGCGCAGCATCGGCAGCTGCACCGCCTGTGTCGCCATCATGACACCGCATGCAGCAACAGCAGCAGGGGCAGGGGGGCAGGCCGCTGCTGGAGGTGGTGGTGGGTTGCTTTCCATTGCTAACCTGGGCGACAGCGGCGTGCGTGTGGTTCGCCGCGGCTCGTTGGTTCTGTCCAGCAGTCCGCAGGAGCACCAGTTCAACATGCCCTACCAGATCGCGCACCCAGGCAACCTGCCGGACACCGACACGGCGCAGGACGCGCAGGTGTACCAGGTGAGGGGTTGAAGGGGGGGCGGGGCCGCCAGCTCCATGCAAGTCACAGCAGCAATGCGCTAACCCACACGCCCACCTCCACCTCCACCCCTACCACACCTTGCCATGTCGTTGTGTTATAACCCTGATCGCCTGGAGACCCACCCTTATTCAACACATAGGGTATTCCTGTTTTCCCCCAAACTACCACCACCACACACATCCCAACAGATCAGCGTCTGGCCCGGTGACGTCATCATTCTTGCAACCGACGGGCTGTACGACAACATGTGGGACGAGCAGCTGGTGTCGCTGGCCGCCGCCGCCGCCGCCAACGTGCCGGTGGCGGTGGCGGCCGGGCCCGCCGCCGCCGCGTCCGCCTCCGCCGCCGCGCAGCAGCTGGCCGCCGGCCTGGCCTCCGCCGCCTTCCGACACGCGCAGGACCCCGCCTTCCGCTCGCCGTGGGCGGTGGAGCTGGCCAACCAGCCGTCGGTGAGGAATAGCCCGTCTGCCGCCATCCCATGACACATCGTTATCCCGCATTCCGACACTACTTCCCTGTGCTTTTGTGCTTGTGTGACTTTTCGAGCCCCCACCCCACTCCTGCTCCTGCCCTCGCAGGCCTCATGGCTAGCCCGGCTGCTCCCGCGGGGCGGGCGGCTGGACGATATCACGGTGGTGGTGGCGCTGGTGGTGGCGGCGGAGTAGCGGGCGGTTGCGGTTTGGGTACCGATACACTTTGAAAAGACAGGGCTGACATGCAGCAGGGCTCCGATGTGAGCGGAGGAACTCAGAAGCCTATAACGGGTGAGGATACCTAATTCTGCAACGACATACCGCATACGCGTTGGGTGTAATAAGGCTGCATGGTCTTGACTGATGTGCCGTACAGTTGCCTTGGTGGTTAGTTGGTGACCGGTGGTGCCGCGTGGTTGGAGACGGTTGCTGTTATGAGTCATTCTGCCGCTGCCGCATGTTTCTTAACCAGCACTAAGGTTGGTTGTAAGCTGCGTGCATGAGGGTGGTTGCTAGCAGACAAGCATCATTTCGTGACTTGATTAAATAAGTTACCAAAACGTTTACATGGCCTCCCAGAACGACAAGGCCTTGCATGCTTCGTTACGTTACATGGTGCTGTGTAGGGCCCTGCCGCCCTGCCGTACAGCCTCATGAACTCACTTTTGTTGCACCTCTTGGACACAAAGGTCTTGTGTAGTCATTCTATTTTCGTATAATGTCGTACCGTTGACGATTGCCGTACATCGTTGACGTTTGGGAGTCCCAATGTGTAGGGTAACCCAAACGGTCCTAGTAATAAACGTTTAGTTGTGGCGAGTGCTGCCGTTACGTTGGCTTCTGCCTGGCTGGCTGCTGTGGTGACTTCCCCATGAGCGTTATGCGTTGCGAAATGAACCTGCTGCCTTTGTCAAACTCCCCGATGTGGCGTCATGCAAGCCGCCATCCTGCCAGCTTGCAAACATCTCACCACCACCACCACCACCACCACCCCTCCATCTCACCACCACCACCACCACCACCCCTCCATCTCACCACCACCACCACCACCACCACCATTACCGGTACCACCCCAGTCGCCAGTGCTCCTCTCCTCGGTCGACAGCGCTATCGTGTGGTCAGCAGCCCCGTTAGCTCTGTTGTTTTACCACCATCACCATCACCAGCACAACACCACACCAACCAATTCTTTCCTCCCATCGAGGCTAGCAACGCACCTCCTCCGGCCTGAACCCCAGTCGCCGGCTGAAGCTCTCCACGAGCTCCCCCACCACTGTCCCAAACTCTGGAACCGACAACGAAATTGCGGTGACGATGTTAGGGCAACCCACTGCCCCTGCCCCTGAATCCACCCATGATTGCAACCGGTCCTGCTCCAGCTGCTGCTGCTGAGGCTGAGGCTGCAGTGACAGCGGGTTCTGGTCCTGGTAAAGGCGAAGGTTGCTGTCAGGGGCGGAGTCCGACCCACGAGTTGGCTGCGGCGTTCGCCGGCGCAGGAGCTCCCGAGCAATGGAGGTGACCTCCTTGTCGCGGATGCCGCAGGGTATGATGTTGTCAAAGTACGACAGGTCTGTGTTGATGTTGAGTGCTAGGCCATGGGAGCTGTGGCGTGAGGGAGGGAGGGAGGGAGGGGGCAGAGGGAGGAGGGCAGGGGTGGGACGGGTTGTTGGCGTAGGGCAGAGGGAAGTCAAACTACGTGGGCAAAAGCTGAAGAAGGGTAAAATAGGTACAAGTGAAATTAGGGGGCGTCCGGTGCTGTAATGGGTATTGGGGTTAGGGTTATTAAGCCGTGCTCCAATTGTACGACGTATATACAGTTGGTCGGGGATGCGGCCATGTGATGCAATGTAGTACCCAACTCCTGCCCCTGTCCCACTTCCGCCCCTGCCGTACGCCAATGCTGCCGTACCTGATGCCATGGGATATGCGGACTCCGATGGCCGCTATCTTTCGCTCCCCGACCCACACCCCGGTGGCGCCAGGCACGCGGCCGCGGGCTGCGATGCCGTACTTTGCAAGACAGTCGATGAGGCTGTCTTCCAGCCCTTCCACATAGGTGCGCGCACCTAGACCGGCTTGCCGCACACCCAAGATTGGGTAGGCGACAAGCTGGCCTGGCCCATGGAATGTCACCTCGCCACCTCTTGGCACAACGCAAATTTCGACGCCCGACGCCTCGAGTTCCTAGTTGTAGTAGGGGAACAGCAAAAGGATAAACTTATTGCTCGCAGTTGAGCATAGGCCTTTCAAATACACAAAGGCGCAAAGCCTACAAACCTCTTTGGGCTTCTTGAAGTCAACGTCGCTGCCTCTTTTGCCAAGCGTGTATACTGGATAATGCTACAGTTATGAACAGTATCGTAGTCAGGAATGGAAACACGAGAAAACGTCTTGCGCATGCAAAGCCGACCTGCAGCAAAAGAAGGGTGTCGCCAACCAAGCCGCTTTTGCGTTCTTCAGCTATCGAATCCTGAAGTTGGAGTCCTGCTGTATAGCGTGTCAGAGACGACGTAAGGTTGATCACCCTAAGCGGGCGAAGCATGGCCAAGTCGGCCTTCCGTAACAGCGCCCTGTCCTCTTGTCTGGTTGTTACAACAAGAGAAACGTCAACTGGTTGCAACAGCGGTGGTTAATAGGCAATTCCTGACAAAAGGGGCGGTTGCCTGCAGCCGTTACAGGTGCTGCAACGACCATAACAGGCTTACACCTAGCAAGCTGCTTCCCGCTGCGACGTACTTGTCCTGGATACAGGACATGCGTATGCGTCCGTAAGTCCGCAGGTTCACTGCCTCGTGGGAGTTGGCAGCTGTAGGCTCGGCCATGCTTGGCATCAACGCATTGGGGCGAAAAGACGCTGCCACCGTAACGTCGCTTAGGGTGCAGTCACCCCATTTTCTGTTTTGGAAGTCCTTCATAAGCTCAACTCATTAAACCACATAGATGATGTTGTCACGGTGGTCAACCTCTGGTCAACGCGAAGCAGCATTCCATACTGCGCTTTTACATAGTACATATAAGTCCATTACCCACCTAGACAAGCTAAGCGACCTCGTCAGCTGGAAGCTCCTGTGAAAAGGTAATAAGAAGCACTACCGTGCCAACCTCACAAAATGGATGCAACGGTGGTTGCTCCATCTAAACTTTATTGTCCTATGGCTGCCTGTAAGCATACACCTTAACAAGCCAATCCACTCCCTCCCTTGAGCCCCTCTCTTGTGGCGCATAACGCGACACCTGCCGACATGTCATCAAGTATGTACTTCCGTGGGAAATCCCTTGCCTCAAAGCCACGTGACTGCCACTCCTGACGACTAGCGTTGACCTCCTTCACCGCGACCGCCACCGTAAAAGCACTGCAGCAAACGACGCCTCCAAGTCTGCAGCAAACACCTCCACGATCTCCGATACTCCTCGCATCATCGTGTATGCGCTCGCATCTGACATCCCCGTTTCCAGGTCTCCTTGGCAAGTCTCACGGTGCATTTGTAGCCCTTCTAAGTTCTAACCTGCCCCCATGCACACTAGGAGCTAAACCCAGATCATTCTTGGGAGGTGAGAGAGGGTAGCATCACCATCTTGCCAATCCACGATTCATTCCCATTCCCACGCCCGACCCCAACCCCAACCCATTCCATCCACCAATACAGGTCCGCAAACCTGCGCAAACACCAAAATTATCACGAAAGGACCTTTCCTTCATCCAACATCATCCACAACACATTCATCGCTATGTGATTCGCTTGCAAGGCATGCAAGCCCAGATCACCAGCACCAATCACGGGTCAAACAAGGCATCACGCACTCTCCATGCACACCAGGCGCCGGAACCCCGACATGCAAGCCGTGTGCATGCATCTCGCCCCTCTCACGCCTGCCTACGATGGCTCTGACGCCGTTGCAGCGCGCTGACAACAGCGCGGCCAGCGATACGATCGCACAATAAGGACCCCCATCTTTGTCATGTGCTACTCGCACACGCCGCGCTCCTCACCGACCCGCCGGTCAGGGGCACGATATCCCAACCCACACACCACCACCACCATGCACAGTACCCCCCCCCCTCATCAACACCCCCTGCCGGCGGCCTGCCCCACCTCTTCACATCCCCTTCTTCTTTGTCCGCGGGTCGTTCATCTTGCTAGCCGGCGAGGAGCCCTTCTTCTTGGTGAAGGCGGCGAAGCGCGGCGCCGCTCCGCCCGCCCCCGGCTGCCCCGTGCTGCTGGGGCGGTGGGAGATCTCGGGGTCGCCGCCGCCGCGGGGGTTCTTGAACAGCCGCCAGGCGCGCTGGATCAACCGGGCTGCCAGGACCTGTGTTGGAACAAGGGGGGCCGGGGGTGTTGCGGGTTATGTGCATGGATGCGTGTCAGGGAAAGTGGCCACGGGAGTGGGAAAGTACTGCATGGAAGGATGTGTGCGGGTTGGGGCGTTTGCAAAACCCTCCTCCTCCTCACCCTTCAATCCGCAAGCTTCTGCACCCGCCCTTGCCATCAGCCCATGCAGATGTGCGTCTTACCATCACCACCACCTCTCCGCACTCTCTCCTGGCCCCCAAACCTGTCCCTGCCCCTGCCCCTGCCCCCGCCCCTGCCCCCCCGCCCGCCCCACCCACCGCCTGCGCGTCCTCGTCCGGCCACACGAAGTCGAACTCCAGGGTGGTCTGCGGGGTGGTGCCGTCCGCCGCATTGCCTCGCAGCACCGTCCACATGTTGACTCCCTGGTTCACTCGCTTGGGCTGGTCGTCTGGGGGGGATACGGGGGGTTGTGGAGGAAATACGGGAGGTTACGGGAATCGGGAAACATGCTCGGAAGGCCAGACGGTTAAGTCCCTGTCCCTCCCCGCAACTCAACGTAACGCAATCCGGCCTGCAGTCCCCCCCTCCTACCAGGCGATCATCCAAGGCCCCTCCACCACCACCAAGCCCCCCCCCACACACACGCCCCTACCTATGGTCAGGTTCCTCCAGCAGGCGATGGGCGAGTCCAGGGACTTGTTGTACAGCTGCCAAGCCAGCTGGTGCTCGTCCTCCTGGGGGGGGAGGGAGAGGGAGGGGCGGGAGACGGAGGTGGAGGGGTGGGTTGAGGGCTTTGCTTGCTGACCAGGGCTCTGATGGCACACACGGACTTGCCTACTCTGGTACGGGTAGATTAGTGTAAAGCGCCCAACGACGAAGAAGACGGTGAAGGTGAAGCATTCAACGGTAGAGCGCAAGGGAAGTGTACGGCAGGGCCCGCTTACCTTGAACATCCTCAGCCGGTAGTGCATGGCTGGCCGCCGGTCGTTGTAGATGTTCATGTAGCCCAACCGTTGACCGGTACGGACCTGTTGGTCGTTGGTTAACGACCGCATCACGTCGACCCAATGCGCGTCGCGATCCGTCACTCGCGCCCAAAACGCCGTAACCGTCTCCACTCGCTCGTCCGTCGCCGTCGGCGGCAGCAACGTCAGCAACTGCATCAACTGCCAACACGTCAGGTAATGTCGTACGGATACGATTCGGATCGCCTCCACGTAATGCTCCATGTCCCGGACGTGCATGGGCGGTACGCCTGGGGGCAGCGGCACCGCGGCAATGGGCGAGTTGGCCAATGCAGCCGCCGCGGCGGCGGCGGCGCTGTTGCCGCCGCCGCCGCCGCCGACGGGGCCCGGCGGCGTGCCGCCATTGGAAGCGCTGCCGCCGCCGGCGACGGCGGACGCCGTGCTCACTCGCGAGCGACCCCTGGGTCGTAATGGCGACGTCGGCACGGGGCCAGAAGTCCGATCGCCGCCGGTTGTCCCAGTGTCCAAGTCCGCTTGCTGGCTTGTGGAGCTGTCTCGCGGTAACCCCGGTTGGCTGGATCCGTAACGCCCGCGTGTCGGCGTGTCGGGCCCTCCGGAACCCCCAAAGGTGGCCGTGGCGGGGTCGCCGATGATGGAAACCCGCAGGGCACCGCTGCCGGCCCGCCCAGGTCCCCCGCTAACGGAACGTTGCAGCCCGGCGATGCCGCCTGCCGCCGCCACGCTGCCGCTGTTGGAAGAGGCCAGTGCACCTGACGTGGAGTCACGACCACCTGGACGGTTGGAAAAGGAGATGCCACCCAACCGCATGTTGCCTCCGCCTCCGCCGTTGCTGCTGCCAGCGGCGGCGGCTGCTGCTGCCGCCGCGGCAGCGCCGGCTGGGCCGGCGAAGCCGCTCGTGGCGGCGGCGGCGCCAGCCGCCGCTGCTGCTGCTGCTGCAGCCGCCTCCGGCGGCGGCGTGTCAGGGGCCGGCGAAGCCGACCCCGACTCCCCCGTCGCCGCCCCCGCCGCCGCGGCAGCGGCCGCGGCCGCTGCCGCCTCCGCTGCCGCCTCCTCCCTCTTGCGTATCTCATGCGTGGCGCTCCAGAGGTTGGGCACGAAGGCGGAGATCACGTGGTTGCGCGTCCAGGCCTCCCAGCGACGTAACGCCTGTACGGCAATACCCAACCCCGGCTGGTCAATGTGGCGCGCAAGGCCCACTGGGTCTAGCTTCTCCTCGTTGACCAGGTGCGACATCAGTACGGCAAACTGCTGCCGGGAGAGGCTGCGGGAGCCGGGGGGAGGCGGGCGGAGATCCACGAAACACAACTCCAGGATGCCCTCTTGGGGGAGGTAGCTGTGGGGGGGAGGGATAGGGGATACGGGGGTAAAGAGAAGGTTAGGTTATGGCAACGAGTCTAGCAACCTCTAACCCACATTACTCCGGCACACCACCGCCAACCTCCTTGTACTGCACCCAATCCACCCCCCAACCCCCAAGGCAACCCCCCCCCCTCACCCCATGGGGGATATATATATATATTTTTTTACCCCCCCTCACCCCATGCGCTCACTACATGAGTCGGGATATGGGATTGGGACTCTAGTTGTCCCCCGCACCCCCACCCCACTACTCACAGCTTGTGCGGGTCCGACACGTCCGTGGGCACCCCATCCATGATGCAGGTTGTGAAGCAGATGCGGTCGGGGAAGTGTGTCAGCTTGGCGTCGTACTGCAGGATGTACTGCTGCAGCAGCTGCTTGGCCATGCACTGGTGCGGCAGCTGACTCAGCATCAGCGTGTAGCGGCCGGTGGGGTTCTCGGGGAAGAACATGCGCACCTTGCCGAGCCGGGACTCCACCTGGGGGAAGAAGTTTGGTAAGTGGGTGGGTGGGTTGGGGCAAAGGTCAGAGATGTTCCAGAACCGCGAGTCAGGGCAAAGCAATGGGGAGGGGCAGCAGCAGGTATGGGTGGGGGCGAGGATGTGTATGCAGCAGGATAGGAGCTGCATGCCTGGGTGAAGCCATACCGGTGGGGAGGTCAGGACCTCAATGTTTGTTCTCCGGCACTTTGCGTGGTGGATGGCAGGCGTCACACGACCCATGGGTCAGCTCACCCCCATCCACCGGTACTTCCCACCCCCCTTATCCCCACCTGCTGCCTGCTGGCTGGCTCCAGCTCCTCCAACACCGCGTAGAAGTTCTCCGTGTCGGTGAGCACTCCGAAGGCCTGGATGATGGCCTCCGTGCGCGCGTCGCGACCCTCAAAGCAGCGGACCTGAGGGGGGGGAGAGGAAGGGAGGGTGAGAGGGATGGAGAGAGGAGAGTAAGAGGTGGAAGCGTGGAAGGACAAGGCAACGGGCTGCGGTAGCAGCGTCCGCACCACTTCGAACCCATAAATAATCCACCGGACAATCCTTCCGCCACACCCAACCAACCAACCCCGCGAACCCCCATCCCACATGACACCCCGGTTACCATTTCCCTTCCACCCCTACCCCTCTCCCTCCCCCCCTGCCCCGATCCTCATCCCCCCCCCCCCTCACTCACAATATGCTTCAGCTGCGCGCACGTGAGGTATGCATCCGTCACCAGCGCCTCCAGCAGCTGCAGCTTCCACTCATCCGTGGCGCCCTTCAGCTGCGACACGCTCGTAACGCCATCCCCGCCACGACCCCCCAGCGCCCCCAGCCCCCCGCCACCGCCCCCCGGTCCCGCTACACCCCCGCCGCCACGCCCGCCCCCAACCCCCGCGCCGCCACGACCCCGCGCGGCGGCTCGCGCTCCCGCCGCCGTCTTACTCGCGACCGCTCGGATCTTCCGACTGGTGCTGCCTGTTCCTGCACCTCCCGCCGCTGCTGCTCCTCCCCCGCTAGTAGAGCTGCTGGTGGTGTCATGCGGGTTTATGATCATGGGTCCGACCGGGGTGTGCATCCCCTCCGGGTCGGCGATGGAAAACCACATGGACCGCACCTCGGCGTCGGAGAGGGGGCGGTCGTCGCGGACCAGCGGGGTGCAGGACACAAACTCCACATGGAGGCGGCCGCGGAGGGGGAGCTGCGGGCGGGGGGGGGGGGCGGGGGGGGAGGCAGTGTTATGTAGAGGGGAAGAGAGGGAAGGGAGGCGCGCGCACAACAAAAATGAAAGGAGGACTCTGCTGACCTCCTGACGGCTTCATCTCACAGACATACCCTCCTGTGTCCTACGCAGTCGCCTCCAGCCCTGCCCCCCTCCCGAGCCCCTCTCCTCCAACCTCCATGCACCCTCCGCCCCCTCACCCTCTCCCCCCCCGTTCCCACCGCCGCCACCCCCCCCACCTGCTGCTTGGACGTGCTGTTGAGTCTGAATGGGCGGCCGTTGAGGGTGGCTGCCCGCCAGCTGCGGAGGCCCATGTGCGCGGACAGCCCCACCAGCTCCACCGCCACCTGGGGGAGGGGGGGGGGGGGGGGGAGACGGGTGCGTTAGGTGGCATGGGGTTACCGGTAACCCTCTACCTGACCCGGTCCGAACATGACACCAGGTCACGAAAGGTAGGCGGCGGCGATGGAGAAAGGAGGTGAGGAGGGTGAACGCCCGGGGGGGGGAAACCCGCGGTACGGTAGCAGGCAACACACGTGGCTGCCACACACAGGCTCCTCCTCCACCCCACCATCACCCCAAGTTGCTGTCTGGTCTTCGAGCCCCCTCCCCCTCCCTCATCCGCCCCCTCCCGCCCCCCACCTGATAGTGTGCCGGCACCTCCAGGTCCAGGTCGTACACCCCGTCCGGGTCGTGCGGGTCCCACACAACCGTACTGCCGCCCATGCCGCCGAAGGAACAACCCAGCAGGTCGACCTGTTGGGGTGGGGGTGGGGGAGGAGAGCACATGGGGAGGGGGGCCATGGGGGAGCATGGGGGGTAGCTAGGGTTGTTGGTTATTGCGGTTGAATGCTCAACCGAGGATCAAAGCGTGCGCGGTGCGCCATAGTCTACAGCCTACACCGCCCGAACAACTCCCCTCTCCTCCCATTCCTCGCCTCCCTCCCAGCTCGTCAGCTTCCACCTACTTATCCCCCTCCCCCCCTTCCACCCCCTCTCCCCCCCTCCCTCTCCCCCCCTCTCACCGACTCCAGCGCCCCCCCATGCAGCGCCTTGAGCAGCTTCCTCGCCGCCACCACCCCCACCGGGTTGTCCCGCAGGATGAGGTGAGCCAGGCTGCCGTTCTCCGCCAGACTGTCCAGCAGCACCAGGCTGGTGTCGCCGCTCACTGAGTCACCGGACAGGTCCAGGACCTGCAGTGTGGCATTGGACTTGAGCGCCTGTGCGGGGGGTTGTGTATATGGGGGGGGGAGGGAGAAAAAAATTAAATATGTGAAACAAGAAGAGAGAGAGAGAAGAAGAAGAGGGAGAGGGGGAAGAGGGGGAGGGAGGGAGGGAAGCAGTTACTAAAGTCCCAATCCCCTACCACGACTCACGCCGTGAGCGCATACGGAGGGGGATCAATACGCCGGGGATCCCCTCCTAAGAATTCCGCTCCGGACGCCCCTCCCCCTCCCTACGGTCAGGGTCAGGGTGCTTCCGCGGCTCAGCCTACCTAACCCCCACCTTTCCCCCCACCTTTGCAATGTGGCTGGCGCCCACATCCGTGATGCCCGTCCACGCCACGTAGAGCTGCTGGATGGAGGAGGCGCTGCGCAGCCCCTCGCCCAGCGCCTGGCCGCCCCGCCGGCCCAGCGTGTTCCAGGACAGGTCCAGCACCTTGATGGCACTGTGTATGGGGGGGGAGGGGGGGAAGGGAGGGGCAGATGGGTCAGCAGAATGGGCGCAAATCTATCCTCTATCCTTGTTCCTTGACGACGCCTCCAGCCTCCATCCCCGCCCCGACTAACAGTCATAAGGAACACCCCCTCCCCCTCCCTTCCCCCACCTCCCCCCCACCTGCTGTTCTCCAGCAGCCTCCCCGCCGCCGCCGCCCCCCGCTCCCCCAGCCCGCATCTGCTAAGCCTCAGCTCCGCCAGCTGCGTGTAGTCGGAGGCGGCCGCATCACACAGCAGCTCCGCACCCGCGTCGCCGATGGGGTTACCGTCCAGCACCAGTCGGGTGAGCACGCCGTGCAGCGGGCGGGAGTCCAGACCGCGGCGGATGCGCTGGGCCTGCAGGAGGGGGGGGGATGGGGGGATGGGAATGAATGAATGAATGAAGGAAGGAGGCGGGTAAGGAAGGAATTGGGTGAACGGGAGGGGAAGTTAGGGAGGAGGGTAGTGAATAAGAGGGTTGAACAGGGGGTGCATAAAGAGGGAGAAACCGAACACGGGCCCAACGGATTCCCTCCCATCCCATCCACTCCCCTCCGCCCCTCCTCCCCCTCCCCCCACCTTGCTCATGGCCGCCACCTCGTCCTTCATCAGCGGCAGCAGCAGCTCAACGCTGGCGGCGGTTAAGCAGTTGTACGACAGGTCCAGCTGCCGTAACGCGCCGCACTCGGGCGAGGCGAGTCGTACACCCAGTGGCGCGAATGCCTCGTCGGTGAGTGCGTTGCCGGCCAGCAGGAGCTCGGACACGGCGGCTAGGTCGGGGTGGGCCAGTATGTCTACTAAGGCCACCACCTGGGGGGTGGGGCGGGGGACGGGGAGTGCGTGGCAGAGTTGGGGTGGAAAGAGGAGGCGAGCGTAGAGTAGGAGCTGTTGCGACTTGTTGCGCGCCCAGCACAACCCCCCACCTCCGCATGCTATGCGAACAAAACCCTAAGAGATAGGGCATACTTCCCTATCTCCCCCACCTACTATACACACCCCCGCAACCCGCGCACACCACCGCAGCACCCCCCTCCCCCCCTCCCCACCACCACAACGTACCTGGTCCACCCCATTCACCGCATGGCTGAGGTTGAAGGCGGTGGTGACGTCCTGCTTGCGGAAGCGCCGCATCAGCCGCCCCACCTCGCCCACGCGGTCGAAGGGGCCGCTGTGACCCGTCTCGTCCACCTCCGCACCCGCCATGGCGACTGCCATGGCGCCACTGGGGGGGAAAAAGAAATTCCAAAGTGTGGTGTGAGAATGATACAAGTTGCTGACAATCCCGGGGGGTGTGAGGGAGGAGGGGTGAGGAGGGAAACAGGTGAGGCTGAGAGCCAGTCGAGTGGAGGTTTTTATGTGTTTACGGTTAAAGAGAAAAGAAGGGTGCATGTTTAATAGGAGGAGCAGGAGGAGCAGGAGGAGCAGCCGTGAGGCCGCACGCATGATGGGTGTGAGGCTACCGTATGCTACGCAACTCCTCTCCTGTGGTTCTGGGTACATATGTTTCATATACATGGTTCTGGGTACATGCTGGGTCTGGACAACTCCTCTCACCGTGTCTCCTCCAGCAGGTTGTAGGTGCTCGGGGAGCCCTGACCCGGCGGCCAGTCCCACCCCCCCAGGTTCTTCCGACGCAGCTTGCGACGGGGGCTGGTGTCGTCACCGCCGCCACCACCGCCACCGTTGGCCGCACCCTCCGCCGCTGCCGCCGTACCGCCGGAGTTGGCGCCGCCGCCGCCGCCGCTGGCGCCGTCAATCGGCGGCGGCGACACCACTGCCGGCGTCGACGCCGCCACGACTGATGACGCGGACACCGCCGCCGCCACCGCCGCCGCCGCCACGGCGGCGGAGGAACGCGGGATGGGAAAGAAGGCGCCGCCGGCGGAAACAGACCCACCGGCGAAGGCTCCCCCAGCGGAGGCGGCAGCAGCGCCGCCGGCGGACTTGGCGGGTAGCGGCGGCGGCGCACCACCGGCAGAGAGGGTGGAGAAGAGGTTGGTGGGCGGCAGCGCCTCTCCGTAGGTCCCTAGCTTGGCTGCTGCGCGGGTGAGGGGCAGCAGAGCTGCATCCATGGAGCGGTTGAACACCCCGAACTGTGGGGAGGGAGGGAGGGAGGACAGGAGGGGCGGCGTGTACATCCTCATTAACAAGCACTGTGTGTGTGCAGGGGCCGGCAGGAGCTTTGCTACCTGTGCAGCTGTGCTGTACTAGTGATGCAGGTGATGCCGTCCCAGCGGACGGCACTCTTTAACGCATTTTACCACCCCCGTCCCCTTCTCCCAGGACCCCACAGCCCCCCTCTCCGTCCCCCTCCCCCTACCTCCGCCTCGCTGAGCGGCTTATACACCCGAGTCGACCTCATCCCGCTGATGGGCGCCGCCAGGGAGGCCCGCAGCGGCGACATGGAGGCGCGAGCAGCCGCCTTGGTGGCAGCCACGCCGCGCAGCCGCTCCAGCCGGGCAGCGGCCCAGCCGGTAGAGGGGGCGGTGGAGGGGCGCCCGCCGGCGCTGCGGTAGCCTGCAGGAGGGTGGTGGAGGGGGGGGGTGTGCGGGGGGAGGCGTGAAGGGTTAGGAGGGTGGATTAGGAAGTGAGAGGGATGCTGTGCGGTAGGGATACCGGCATGGAAGCGCATGCAGCTGGGAATGAAGGAGTTGCCTGATCTGCACCACAGCACCTACCTGTTGCCAGCGGCAAGGTACGACCAAACGGTGCGGCGACGCTGCCGCTAAGTGGCCGGGCGGCCGGCAGCGTCACGCCTCCGCCGGGACCGCGGGTTGACGGCGAGGCGGCTCGGCTGCCGCCGCCAGCGCTACCCCCGCCGCCAGCGCTGCGGCCGGTGCTGGCGTTGCCGCCCGCCGCCGCCCCCGCGCCGACGGAGGCGCCGGACAGCCTGCTGCCCGTACTCGCAGCCGACGGCCGCAACGAGGAAGGACCTCTGGCCGATGACGGCGCCGCCGCTGACGGCGGCCTCAGCGGCGACCCCGGCCGCTGCGGCGTCGAGGGCCGCATGGCTGGAGCTCCGGATGGGCCCGTGCCGGCGCCGCCGGTGCCGCCTTCGGCGGCGGCGGCTGCCGCCGCCGCAGCACCTCCTAGTCCCCTCACCGGGTCCACCTGCTCCCCTGAAACCACAGCGGAGATGATAGCGGGGTCGATTCCCGCCGGCTGGTGCAGCCCCATGAGCGCTCCGACGGAGGCGCTGCCGGGCCGTACAAGGTGCTGCAAATGTACGGGTACGGCAGGCCGCGGCTGCAGCGTCGGCGGCTCCGGCGGCGCCTTCTTCTTGCCGCCAGCGGCCTTTTTCGACGACGACGTCGCCGCCGCCGGGGCTCGCCGCGCGGCGCCGCTGCGGCGGTTAGGCGTCGGCGCCATGGCCGCAGGTGCTGGGGAGCCCCAGCCGCTAGCCTGGCGGGATATCGCCGCGGCGCCGCTGACGACGGCCGTTACCGGGCGACTCTGCCCCGCCGCCATCGCTGCCGCCACCATTTGCTGCAGCATGAGAAAGTCCGCGTCGCGGTTCACGTAGGCGCTTGTGAGCTGCACGTCCGAGGCTTGTCCCAGGTTAAGTCCGCCGCCGCCGCCGCCGCCGGCGGAGGCGGTGACGCCGGTGACGACAGCGCCGCTGCCGCCGGTACTGGCGGTGCCGCCGCCGGTGATCCCCGGGCCCTGCATGGGAACCGGCACGCCATTTCCCAGCGGCACCGTGATCCCTAGCGCGCGTTGGTGAAAGGCAAGTACGGCCTTAGAGGGCAGGAACAGCGGCGGCGCCGCGGCGGTAGATGCGGCACCGCCGCGGCCGCGGCCCCCTAGCGTCATGGCCTTGCGCTTGGCCGCCGCCGCCGCGGCGGTGGGGCCGCCGCCGCCAGCTGTCGGAACGCTGGAAGCGGAACCGGCGCTGCTGACGGTTTGTCGGGCGGAGGAGACGCCGCCGCCGCCGCCGCCAGCGGCGGCAGCCCCGGCGGCGGCGAGAGCGGCCAAGGAGCCGCTGCCGGCGCCGCCAGCACTGCCGCCAAGCGGCCGTAGCAGGCCTGCTAGCGGCGGCACCCGTCCTGCCGGACCGCCAGCAATGCCTACCATGGGCGAGTCAGGCCTGTTGGCGGCAGCGGTGGCGGCGGCGGCGACGCTGGCAATGGATGAGGAGGTGCTGCCCAGGCGGTTGGCGAGGGCGCTGAGGGTTGTGGGGCTGGCGAGGGGGTTGAGGGGGGTGGCGCTGGGAGGCAGGGCGCCTCGGCCCGGTGACTCTAGGTTGGGCATGACCTGAGGGGGGGACGCATGAGGGCAGGGAGGGGGGGTGGGGGGTGGGAGGGGGCGATACGTGCCCGTGTCCAGAGGGACTCGGGTGCGCAGTGATCCTGCCATACACACCCACTCCAGCCCTGGATGCGTGAATGCAGGGTACCGCATCGGGTTCCTCCTGATTTCCGCCACACCAACCTCTCTCTCTCGCCTGCCAGCCCCTCCCCCCATGCGCGCCACGGCAACGCTCCTTACACCATGAGATTGTGTCACCCCTTGTCCATGTCGGCACCCATGGTGCAAAACCCCCATGGTGGAGTCTACATGTCACATGCTTAGTCCTTCCCCTTTACTCCCCATCCCCCACCCCACCCTTGATGGAGCCTTATCTAACGTTAGTTAACTGCCTCCTCTTTCCTTCCCCCCACCTCCACCCTTCCCAGCCCCTCTTTACCCCCCACCCCCCACCCCCACCCCTGTCCCACCAGGTACAGCTTCTGCAGCACGTCCAGCTCCTCCTGCGTCACCTCGTCGTCGCTGGAGGGCGGCCCCGGGTCCTCCTCCTCGCTGCTGGTGGTGGAGGGCGGGCGCGGGGGCGGCTTGGGCGCCAGCTCCATGCTCTCCTGCGAGAGGGAACGTGGAGGTGGAGGTGGGGTTTGGGGTTGGAACCCACTCGGAAAGGATTCCAAAATGCTCTGTGTGGTAGCGCAGGCGGGTTTGTACCTGGTATGCACGCTATATGCCACCGGCTTCCTGCCTCTACCCGCCCAGGGACCAGCATACCCACACACTCTCTCCCTCCCTCGCTCCTCCCCACATCCCGCCGACCCTCCCCAAACCAAGCGCATCCTACCGTACCTGGAAGAACCGCCCCAGCGCTTCACCAATGTTCTCCACCGCCGCCACCTTTCGCGGCGGCGGCCCCACATCCTTCGCAGTCGGCCGACTGCCCGGCCGATTGCCGCCGCCAACGCCCCCCAGTCCCGCCGCGCCCACCCCACCAACACCTCGTGCCCCCCCGCCCATGCCCAGTGCACCCCCAGCACTCGGGGGGGCGCTGCGCGGCCCGCCGGCGCCACCCAGCATGCCTCCTGCTGCCCCCCCGCCGGCGGCTCCCCCGCCGGCCCAGGCGGACCCCGCCCGCGGGCTCATAACAGCCCCGCCCACGGAGGGACTGGGTGCGCCGATCATGCGCCCCAGGGTGCCGGCGGGGGGTGCGGGCAGCACGCCGCCGCCGCCGCCACCACCTGACGCGCCCCCGCTGTAGCTGGTGACGGCACCAGAGGTGGTGGCGGCGGAGCGGCGGAGGAAGGAGGAGTCACGGGCGGTGGAGCCGTTGACGGCACCGCCGGCGCTGACAGCGCCGCTGCCGGCGGCGGCTGCATCTGGGTTGGCAACATAGCCGCCAGTGCTGCGGCGGAAGTTTCCAACCGCCGGCAGGAGCCCGCCGCCTCCGCCGCCGCCGCCTCCGTCAGTGTAGCCGCCGCCGCTGGAGGTGCCGCCGACGGTTGCGATACCGGCGGCGGTTACACCGGTGGTGGTGTGGAGCTGCATGGCAGTTGGCGGTTGCCGTCGTTGCTGCGGTTGCGGCTGCTGCTGCTGGGCCTGCTGAGGAGGCCGCTGCAGCTGTTGGGGGCCGGGCTTGAGAGGAAGTGCTAGGGTTGCTGGCAGTGGTCAGCCGTGGTGTGGAGTGTGCCTCCCGCAAACCAGGGGACTCTGTTACTGTTGCTGCTGATGCTGCTACTATAGGGGGGTCCAAACTCGGCCTGGGGTGGGGTAAAGTTGGGTGGGGTAAGGTTGGATATTACCGTGGAGTTAGTGGGTGGCCGTGATGTGGAGGTGAGGTGAGAGGAGCCGGGCCGCGGGGTCATACACAAGTATTGGGGCCAAGGGAAAGTAACGGCAAAGGGTTGGATGCAATTGAGCAAGCAGGGGATGGAACAGCATGGCAGTCACCGTGAGGAAAGGTTGCGAATGCAACAAGCGGATGTAGGCCTTTGCATCCTCGTACTGCAGCTTAGCCGCGTGCACGGTGTGGGGTGTACGGGAGCCGCGTGTGCCAAGGCGTCTAGGAAGTGAGTATTTGCCCTCATCCTAGCAGCACGCACCTGATTCGCCAGGCCTCAACTTCTGAGGCATGGCGCGACGGCCTCATCCACACCGGCCGTCGTGTCGCCCATGCCCTGGTAGGGAGGCTAGCCGCTGCTAGTGTTTCTCCAAAACACCAGACTCGGTGATCCGAATTCCGAACGAATCAAATAGCTGTAAGAATGACGCGTTCCTCTGGCCCAGATAAAGGTTCTCAAGCCTGAAAAGTGTGCCGTCCAAGCGCAAGCTCCTAAATACTATAATATATAAAAACGAGATCGGTGGCCACCTTACAAAGCGCACTAAGCGGTGACAGAGCCAACCGGTCCACGGCGGAGCTTCGATAAGGTGAACGCTACCAGAGTGCTCTGGAACGGTGTATCCTTATCACCAAGTAATCGTAAGTATATATAGCGTTTAGAGTTACGAATTCTGGTGGCGCAATAGGGCAAGGTTCACAAGTAAGTAAGACATAGACCTAGAAGGCATAGCTATTGCTGACAGTGCAATGTGTCTAAAGATAACAACTGGTGTATGCAGAGCAAAGCGGTTTGCACCTTTGGGACGTCCAGGTCCTCTACCGTATAGTCATCATCAGAAACCACCATTTCACGACATTTAAAGACCTGTGCACCCAGAGCGTACGCACCCAGCTGCGCATAACAATTAACATTGGTGATCATGAGCTAGTAACGCGGGGCCGGAGTAACATCCATCCTGCTTTTTCCGCATGAGCCATGATTTTGGGGCAGGTATTCACCATACCACTCCTTGGTCATGTTCCTTTTATCGCCACAGAGTAACCGTGGTAAACCTGCGGAGATGGTTCTAGGTATTCTGCTCAAGATCCAATAGGTTCCGGATCACGATGAGCAGGTGCCCATGCTTTGCCTCCGCTCTCCTTACACGCTGTCTTGTTGGAAACGGCATCTGGTCAAATAGGTTTATTTGATGTTGGTAAGGCTACTAGTATGTAGTCAACTGCGACTGCTTGTCAACGATGGCTTTCGGTGCAACCTTTCACAAGATACAATGTCAGATGGTAACACCCAAACCTAAGTCAATATCATCATCTTCATAAATAAGGTCTTGTCGCTAGGATGGACTATGACGCGTTACAACGGAGGAGAGATGCAGCTGCGCGCAGGATACAGGCATGTTCCAGGAAGTAGCGCTCAAGCCTTGCTTACCTTGAAATGTGTTGGATAAAGTTCCGTCATGTTTGCAGGCCGCTTGGCGTGCATACAAGGGCCGGAAGGCTTTCCTTCGGCTTCGGGTACGCCTGCCGAGTACCTTTAGCTGTCTCCTCTTACATGCGAAGCACTCTTGTTCCGCTTAGAATCCTCGTGTTCCCCATATTCCTCGGTGTCAGACGTTTCGGAGGTGTGCCAACAACCGCATGACCCCCACTCACACCCAAGGCATGCCTGAGGAAGCCCCAGCTTACAACACGGCACTCATGCTGACTCGCAGGATGCTGCCGGAAGAATCCAGGCCGCGGCCAAGGGCTGGTACGTACGCAAGCAGGTACGGAAGGGGGAAGGCCGATACCCTGTCTCATCCTAGCCACCCTTCCCGCACCCACACCCACTCTTCACAACCCCGCGTCCAATCCTTCCTCCCCCTCCTCTCCCCACACGCACATAGGTCCAGGAGCAGCGGGGCCGGCAGGAGCTAGATCAGCGCTTCAACGCGGTAATGGAGCGGCACCGGGAGAAGATCAGGGTAAGGAAGATCGGGGGGGATGTGGTCAGGGTGAGGTGCCCAGAGAGAGCATGCGCGAGCGGCCCGACGGGAACCCAAATCAGGCTTGATGGAGCTTTCGGTCGTCATGCGGACGTCATGCTGGTTTACAACAGCTGTTCGCTAGTAGCCCAGCATGCAGTGAGACAGAGAGAGAGGGAGCTAGACCGGACGCGGAGGACTTCCCATGGGGTCTTCGAAACCCTAGGAAAATCGCCTGCTGCAGGTTTTGCCGACCCACATCCCCTATCCTAAGAGAACCTCACCAGGGTCACCACACCTCACGAACTCTCCTCCTGCTTCAGGTGTTGGAGCTTGAGAAGCGCGCGCTGCAGGCGCTGCCGGGCGCTGAGATGGCGGAGCGGGAAGCTGTGCGTGTGGCGGCGGCCGTGCGCGTGCAGGCGGCGTGGCGCGGGTGTCTGGCCCGCAGGCGGATGGCGCAGTCACCGGAGCGAGCCAGGAGAGAGCAGGTGGGCAGGCTACGGTGCAGCCAGAAGCAAGAAAAGAAGGAATGCATGCAAGAGTGGCAGACGTGCTGATAAGCACAGCCTCCCCGCTGGTCCTCATGCGCCTTACTTTCCCTCTCCCCCGCTTTCTCCCACCCCTGCTGGCTGCTCCAGGCCGCCCGACGCATCCAGTCCGCCTTCAAACAAGCCCTCCTGGCCCGCCGCTCCACTGCTGCCCTCTCCATCGCCATCCCCAACTCCTCCTCTTCCGTCACCGCTATCGCCGCTGCAGCAGCCCTGCAGCAACAGCAATTGCTTCGTGCCAGCGGCGCATCCGTACTCCTAGGCAGCCCCCAGACCTCCGTTGTAGGGGGCGGCCGCAGCCGCAGCCCTTCGCCTAGCCCCAACCACCTACGTGGGTCCTCGTACGCCGACATGCCACAGCAGAAGCAGCAGCAGGGCAGGGAGCAAGACACGGGCGCAGGGGTTCTGGCAGCTCGTAACAGTTCGGTGATCGGTCCCCGGCGTTACAAGGAGCTGAAGGCACAAGTGGAGGGTAAACTCAGTGCTTACGTGGCACTTGCGCGCCACCGAGGACCCGGGTCGCGACCCAGGACCGACCCACGGGTCACCGACGCCCGCTTGGCTGCGCTGCTGTCCGCACATGCTGCCAGCTCGGCGGGCCGTACGACAGAGATCCTGGAGCGGCAGCGGAATCTGGTGGCTGTGGACTGCCTGTGTGTGCAATTGGAACAGGTGTGCGAGTGTGTTAGGGTGGGGTTGGGGATGGGGTAAAGAGGAAACCGAAAACAGCAATATGATGACATGTCAACATGAGTTCTCGCGCCCGTTCTCCACCATGCGCCTCTTACACTTTCCCACTTCTTTCCTCACCACCCCACGTCACCCTCCTCCAGGTGCGCCCACTGTCCGAGCTGCCCCCAGGTGCCGCACCCTCCGACTTCCCCCGTCCGGCGCGGGGGTCCGAGCGGGCGGAACGGGCTGCTGCCGCGCATGCACTGGCGCTGGCTGAAGCGCGGGCGGGGGGGCGCTGGTGGGACCACCTCAAGGGACTTAACACACAGGTGGGATGTGGGTTGCGGGAGGTGGGATGAGGTGAGGTGAAGGGGATGCAAACGATATGTTCGACTTGGACGCTGGGCGAATTCTCACCCATGCGACACCGGTGAAACGCTCTTGTCAAATAGCGGGTTGAGCTAGCTGCGCTCATGTACTGAGGTCGGTGCCGCTGCGCGCTGCTGACACTGCCGCTGCCACTGTTGCTGCCGCTGACGGCCTCCCTCCCGTCCAGGCCGTACAAGACGCTCTGCAGGCGGAGGATGAGGAGCAGTGGGACGCCCTGGACGCACGTTGGCGGCGGAGCTGGAAGCAGCTGGAGGAGCAGGTGGGGGGCGGGTGTGTCTGTTCGAGCATGGTAGCGCCATGCTTCATACGATTATAGTTCTCTCTATATATCCATCTTCCAACCTCACCCCAATCCAAACCGACATGCTATCCCCCGCCTACCTCCGCGGCTCCTGCGCCCGTCATGCACTGCAGGAGAACCAGCGGCCGGATGTGGTGGAGGAGTTGAGGGCCATGCGGGCGGGTGGAGGGGCGGCGGCGGTGGCGGCGGCGCGGCGGGAGGCGGCAATGCAGGCGAAGCAAGACGAGTACTTCACTCGATCGGCAGCAGCGGCGGTGGCGGTGCCCTCAGGGCCTGTGTGGCATGCTGGCGGCGGCGGCGGCGGCGGGGGATAATGAGGGAGCAGGGGGCTGGGTGACTGACCCATGGATCGGTGGGTGCAAAGCGGCAGCATGGGGGTTTGGAAGCGGTTGTAGCCGGCTGGCTGAGGCACTCGCCAACGGTGCACGTGTGTGATAAAGTAAGCCAGGGATAATGGGTCGCTGTTACAATGGTCCGAGCGCGCGTTGCAGGGATGCGGTAATTGGTGTAATTGCAGATTGTACGACGAATACGACGACGACGGCACCTATCAAGAGGGGCACGGCACGGCGTGATCTAATCTGCTGTGAGGTAGTGCAGTATAAATTCGCAAAACGTCAGCACGGAACCGGGTCCCAAGCCCCTCGTGTAGCCATACCACCATCGCAAACGAATGCGCCCATTGCGCACCCTTGCGACGGTGCAAGCGACAAAGAAAGAGGCAGCGCTGCCTTGTGGAGACGGCCTCCTCTCACCCTTGCAGCCCCGCACACTACTCAGCATGCACGACACGCTCATGTGTCGCGCAGTTGGAAACCACAAAAACCACATTCGCTAGGAATAGTCACATCGCCGCACGCTCATAGTGCTTTAATCACAGTGCAGAGCACACCACTGGGTTTAGCGCACATGGGTGCACTCTGCAGCGCGCAGAGCGAGGAGAAGCGAGGAACCGCCACCTCCCAACACTTTTCCCATGACCCTCTACCGCTACTGTCAGGAGCACAGCCGTGAAGGCCGGCTTCTTCCGCACATTGCTGTCAAAGTATCGTGCCCTCTCTTCCTATTCCGTTGATCATCAGTAACTGCTTCCCTCTCAACATTTAGCAAGTAGCATGCATTTCAACAAATTATTCGCGTGGACAAGCTACTAACATACACGCATGCGTTTCAAGATCGCATCGTCTAGCCGATCGCCTCCGTCTGCCATACCGGTACCGATGCCACAGACAGAATGGAGCAATAACAACGTTGCTTATTCCGATTGCGACTGCGAAGCCCCTCTCAGGCTCTTGCCCCACAAGCGCGCAACAAGCCTCAGTCCTACTGCTGCTGCTGCCACGCGCGATACGTCGGGATGCCGGAACGTTACCAGGTACCACCCCGTCATGCCACCGGGCAGGCAACCCAATCCCCACACACGCCTCTCTCACAGTCCACAAGGACATCGCAATCCTCACCGACAACAATACAAGAAGCCCCTACGCCCTCCCTGCGCCCGAACCGCTGCGCACCTCTTGCTTGCAGCACAACACCTTGGCAGATACCACACAACAACAGGGTAGCTGCACCCAACACGGGTACCACCCTCCACTCCCCGCAGCCCCTCACATCACCGGCGCGAGTGCGGCATCGGCGGCGACGGCACCCCTCCCGCCGCCGGCGCCAGCGGCGGCAGCATCCCCACCCCCGACTGCATCATCATCCCCGGCGGCGGCGGCAACACCACCCCTGGCGGCAGTACCACCCCTGGCGGCAACGGCGGCAGCACCACTCCCGGCGGCAGCGGCGGCATACCCGGCGGCGGCGGCGGCAGCCCCATCCCCGGAAACCCCATGCCCGGCAGCCCTGGCAGCCCCGGCGGCAGCATCAACCCCGCCAGGAGCGGCAGCGGCACCCCCGGCGGCAACGGCGGCATGCCGCCCACACTCATGCCACTCATATTCAACATCCCGGAGCCTCGAGGAGGCGGCGGGAAGCCCGGCATGCCGCCGCCCGACACCCCCGGCGTCGCTGGCATGCTGCCTGCCCGTGACGGCACCACCCCCGGCGGCGCCGAGTGCAGCACATCCTGCACCCTGTTCAGCAGCTGCATGGCCATGGCACTCTGATCCACAACGCGTTTGAATCGCGCCATGACCTGCGGCCGCAGCGGCTTACCCTCCGCATCCAGCCCGCCGCCGCCGCTGGAATAGCCGCCGCCCATGCTGCCCTGCGGAGTGGACGCCGGTGGCGGTGGCGGAGGCGGAGGCGGCGGGGAGCTGATGGCGGCGATGATGCGCGGGATGTTCATGAGGGGGACCTTCTGCCAGGCTTCGCCCTTGGGACGGAGCGGGTCGCGGCCAATGGTTTCCACGTGCTTGGCGACGTAGAGCCAGCGGGAGTCGGGGTGCATGACGCGGAGCTCCTCCTGCATGCATGGGGACGGTGGGGCGCTTGGGGTGTTGGTGGGGGAAGGACAGGTCGGCAATGCACAGCTCGTTTTGCAGCGTAGGGTACGGCAGATACTCTGCTGCTAAGTGTATACCGGTACCCTCCGCCCTCTCATCACCTATAGTAACCTGAAGGCAAACCCCCAGCAGCAGCAGCTCATCCCGTCCTGAACACCCCACCCCATCCCACTCCATGCGCCCCCCCACCTGCAGCTCCTCCACCCTCTTCTTGACAGCCTCCGGATCCTCCAGCGTGCGGATCTCCCCCGAGGCCACCAGCGCCACCGGCCGCAGCACCGCCCCCCCCGCATGCTCCCGCTGCGCCTCCTCGTCCCGCAACGCAGCGACATCCGCCATCACCGCAGCAGCCTCCTCCTCCGCCTCCGTCTCCACCACCGCCGCAACCGCCGCCTCCGATGCCTCCGTTTCACCCAACGCATCGTCAGCACCACCACCATCAGCAGCAGCAGCAGCGGATTCAAGACCGAGTCGCAGCGGGGCTGCAGATGAGGAGGGCCGGCTGGCGCCGGCGGCGGCGGCGGCCTTGGTGGTGAGCGCGGCGGCTGCGTTTTCCAGTTCGGCGGCGTGCGCTGCTGCCGGCAGGTGAGCGCAGGCGGCTAGCAGGGCGGCTATCATTTGCCGTACAGCGGGTGCTGTGGTGGCGTTCAGGTCCATACCCTGATTAGGGGAAGGGGGGGGAGATCAGGGGAAGGGATTGGAGGAGGATGTCGGGAATGCATACATGTTGCCGTAACCGACCCACGGGTCAGTAAGAGAATGAAGCTCTTCCCACACATACCACGATGCGACGATTGCGCAAACAATCCCTTTCGGAGGAATGTGCAACTCACCACCCGCCAACCCCCCCACCTTCTTGGCCTCTATGCGGACCGTCTAACGGTACCCTGCCCCGCATGGACCTTCTTCCTTCCCCGGTTCCCCCGCCTACAACCCTACCCATGCCTCCCTCCCCCACCCCACTCCCACTACCCTTCACTCCCCTCCCCCTCCCGCACCCCCACTCCCCCCACTCCCGCCCGCCCCCACCTGCAGCGGCAGCGGGTTATGCGCCAGCAGCAGCTCCGTCAGCCCCGCCAGACATGACAACCCCTTGGGCACCGTGCCCAGGCAGTTGTGGTTCAGACGCAGGCACTTCAGCCTGCTCAGCGCGCCGATGCCCGAGGGCAGGTGGCCCAGCGCGTTGTGGCTGATGTCCAGCAGGCGCAGGCAGGTGCAGAAGGAGGGCAGCTCGTCCGGCAGGCGAGTGAGGCGGTTGCCGGGCAGGACGAGCGCTTTGAGGTCGGCGAGGCGGGAGATGGCGGGCGGCAGGTCGGAGAGCTGGTTGTTCTGGAGGACGAGCGCCTGGATTGAGGGGGTGGGGGTGGGGGGGTGGGAGGAGAGGAGGGAGGGAGGGAGGTAAGGATCCTCTGCCCCTCGCCTGCCATACTCCCTTAGTGGCAAAGGCCGTGAAGGAGGTGCATGGAGTGTGTAACCCTAGCTACCTGCCCCCAGCTCCCACGGGCTTCACAACCGCGCATTCCTCCAAACCCAACACAACCCCTCCTTCTCCTCCTCCCGCCTCCCCCGCCCTTCCTCCCCACACCACCCACCCACCTGCAGCTTGCTCAGGCTGGTCAGCACCTCCGGCGCCAGCTCCCGAATCGCATTACTGCTGGCCATCAGGATCCCCAGCTTCGGCAGCCGCCCCAGCACCCCGCTGCTGGGCAGCTCGCCCAACGCGTTGCGGTCCAGCACCAGGGTGGATAGGCAGGCGAAGGAGGCGAGCCACTCGGGCAGGTCGGTCAGGCGGTTGGAGGAGGCCTTCAGCAGGGACAGGCGGCCGGCGTGGGGGGCGAGCTCGGCGGGGAGGGAGGCCAGGTCGCAGCCGGAGAGGTCCAGCTTGTCTGGGGGGGTGGGGGGTGGGGGTGAGGTGTGGGGAAGGTGGGTTGGGTTAGGGTTAGGGTTGGGTGGGTGTCGAAGGGTTGGATACTTGGATTGGACTGATCACCAAGGCTGGCTAGAGAACAATGAGAGGTGGGCAGCTGGGTGGGTGGGTGATGCAGCATGCACCCGCTCCCCCCCACCTTTGTCCCCCACCTCCACCTCCACCTCCACCTCCACCCCCACCTCCACCCCCCCACAACCCCCCTTCACTCACCCACTTCCGGGTTCATCAGGTCAATCACCGCCAGGTCGCCGTGCGCCCCCCGCAGCGCCCCCCACGGCTCCACCAGCGGGCAGTCCGCCAGGCTGAGCTGCTGCAGCCCGGGGAGGCGCAGCAGCTCGGGCGGCGGGCGGGTGAAGGCGTTGCGGGAGAGGTCGAGCGCGGTGAGGCCCACCAGGCGGGACAGCTGAGGGATCTGGGGGGAGGGAGGGGGAGGGGGGGAAGGAGAGGTAACCCGTAGGAGTGGTACGGCAAGCCGCCCTGCAATCCTCGGCAAAAGCTTGCAACCTGGGATACGACTGCTCTCCCGCCCGCCCTGCCCCCCTGCCTCCCCCCCAGGGAGGGTCAGGGTCAGTAATCCGCGGCTCAGTTTATCTAATCCCCCCTTTGAGGCCCCCCCACCTCACCTGTTCCAGCCCCAGCCCTGAGAGGTCCAGAGAGGTGAGCGCCGTGTTGTGAATCTGAGTGGGAGGGGGAGGAGGGGGAGGTGCGGGTGGGGGTGGGGGTGGGGGTGGGGGAAGGTCAGCAGTTTCACAGGTTGGACATGCACAAGGGAAGGTAGGTAGGCAAAAGGGGGCCAGGAAGGGAGGGAAGCATGAGCGTCAGGGAAGCATGTTGCATGAGGCGCGTGCCAAAGGCATCAATGTGGAGCTTTCCGCTTCCCTCCACAGCAAGAACCGCAGGACGCTCTCAGCACACCCTGCTTTCACCCCGGGCCCTCCCTCCCTCCCTCCCTCCCCGCCCCCGCCCCCCCCACCTGCACCAGCAGCAGCGGGTTGGCCTCGTACAGTGTGGCATGCGGCTGCGGCAGGCTGCACCCCTCCAGCTGCAGCCCCTCCAGCCGCCGCAGCTCGCCCAACCCCTCGGGGACAGTGGTGATACCTGGAGATGGGGTGGGGTGGGTGGGTAAGAGGTGGGTGGGTTGAGACTTGAAAGGTGGGTGGGGTGGAAAAAGAAGACCAAATGTGTGGGCGGGGTCGGGGTAAGGGGTGGGTAAAGAAGTGGGTGGGTGGGTTAAGAGGTGGGGAGTGGGGCGGGGAGTGGGTCAAGAGGTGGGTGGGTGGGCAGTGGGTTCCCTCCTCCTCTCACCCGTGTAGTCCAGGTTGAGCTCCAGCAGCCCGGGGATTGCGGTCACCACGGGCGGGAAGGCGTCCAGCGGGTTGAAGGAGACGTTGAGGGCGTTGAGGGCGGTGAGGCGGGAGAGGCCGGAGGGCAGGCAGCGCAGGCGGTTGAAGGAGAGGTCCAGGAACCTGCGGGCGGGGCGCAGGGGCGGGGTGGGGTGGGGTGGGTTTGGGAGGAGGAGGAGCAGCGGGACTTGGGTCGCGCTTTGACAACAAGAGCTCAATACCCTCCCCAGTTCCAAGTCCCAACCCACTTTAGCACCGCCTCCCATGCCCATGCTCCCTAACCCCCAACTCCTCTCTCCGCCCTCCACCCTCCACCCTCCATCCCACCCCTTCACCCCCCCCCCCTCCAACCCGCACACCCACTTCAACGTCTCCACACTGCCCAGCGCATCCGGCACCTCCGCCAGCCGGCAGCACGCCATGCTCAGCTTGGCCAGCTGGCTCATGCCCAGGATAGCCACCGGCAGCCGCTCGAACAGGTTCTCACTCAGGAAGAGGTCCACCATGGGCAGGCAGGCAAAGGTGCGCGGCAGGTCGGTCAGGCGGTTGTTGGCCAGGTACATTTGCTGCAGCACGGGTGCGGCGCCCAGGGCGGGGGGCAGGTGGGTGAGGCGGTTGAAGGAGAGGTTGAGGACGCCCAGGTGGTCGGGGGTGATGCCTGGGTTGGGGAGGGAGGGGGCAGGGGGGGTGGGAGGGGAGGTGGGAGGGTGGGGAGAAGAAGAATACCCTTATGTGTTGGGTGAGGGGGGAGGGGTGTTGGTGAGGTGGCTCGCTTTTTGCACAGCCCCAACCGTGTGCAGGGGCGTGAGGAATGCCAGGAACACCGGAAGTGACAGCGCAAACCAGTCCATTACCCATCGGGCACCATCGCATACACAATTACACAACCTGCCCTCACCCCCCTACCTTCCGCCAGCGTCTCAATCTCGTTGTCCGAGGCATTCAGCACCACCAGCCCCCGCAGCCGCAGCACCTCCGCGGGCAGGGTGCCCCAGCTGTTGTGCCGCACGTCGGCGACGTACACCGCCTGGTGGGGGTGGGGTGGGGGGGTGGGGAAGGAGAGCGCGGGCGGGGGAAAATGATGATACTTGCACCCACCGCGCTCCTCCGCTTACCCACCCAGGCACAGCCCGCTCCAAACCGCCCATGTCATCACTCGTCAGCCATCCAGCAACCCAGATCCCACCAGCCTTCTCTACCTCTTAACCCTCCCAGCGCCCCCACCCTCCTCCACCCCCACCTGCAGCCTGGCCAGCTCCCCCACCGCCGCCTCCGTGCCGCAGTGCTTCACATCCAACACGCCCGTCACCGCAGCGGCACTCAGCCGCCGCGCGATGAGCGCAGCCAGGGCCTTGGGGTCGGAGGGACGGGACTGCGGGGAGGGAGGTGAGGGGGGAGCAGGGGCAGGGGGGGATAACGGGGATGGATATGGGCCGGGATGTCCCGACGACCCCTCCTACTCTCCTCCTTCCTCTGCGGTGTGCTGTGATGCCCCCCTCCCCCTCCCCGCTGCTGCTGCTGCTGCCGCTGCCCGGCTTGGCAGCCCAGTTACTGCCGCCCTGCTACTGCCCATGTCCCCGGTGGTGGTGGTGGTAGTGCGCCACCGTCCTGCTGCCATGTGCCATGCTACTGTGGCTACTGCGGCCCCCAGTGCAGTACACCTGTAACCTTCGCGCTGACTGCTCTTTTGGCGTGACGGGGTCCCTTTCGTATGGGCTGTCTCCCGCGGCCACCAGTGACCAGCTCTCCTCCGCTGCTGCTGCTGCCTCTCCTCCTGTTCGCTCCTTCCACCTCCGCCCACCCGCCGAGTTTGTCTGCATCCAGAGGCTCCATCTGCAGGGCCCGCCTCCGCAGCTAACAGAAAGGCCCCATATACCATCCTCTCCCCCTCCCCTTCCCCCCCTTCACCCTCTTGCAACCCATGTTGATGCCTTATCCCTCAGTCAGTTAGTTGTTTCCTCTTCCCCCCCTCACCCTCAGCGGCGTGGCTCCCTCCCCCTCTGTTGCGGGCGCTGCGAACTTGTCCAGGTGCTGCTCCACCAGCCGGTGCTGCTCGCAGATCACCTGCAGGTAGCTCATGACCCACCTGGGGGGGGGCGGGGGAGGGGGAGGGGAGAGGGCATGGGAGGGAGACGACAAGGCGTGGGACGGGAACGAGATAGCGTGGGCGGGGTGTTAAGAGGGTGTTAAGAGGGCATGGGAGGGTGTTAACAGGATGTACGGGAGAAAAACGGAGAAACCCAAATGGGAGGGCACGGAAAAGGGCTGAGAAGGGCTGAGAAGGGGAGGGAAGGGAAGGGAAGAGGGCGTATGGAGGAGGGAGGAAAGAGGGAGGCAGGGGCGGCCCCACCTGAATCCCCCCGCCAGCACCCCCGGCGGCAGCCTCAGGTTGTTGTTCCCCTCCAGCTCCAGGGAGCTCAGCGGCAGCCAGCCGATGTCGGGAGGCAGCATGCGCAGGTTGTTGTACGACAGATCCAGAGCCTGGATCCAGGGAGGTGGGCGGGATGGGCGGGTGGGAAGGGGGGAGGGCGCGGGAGGAGGGGGCGTGCAGCGAGGGGCGAAGCGGGAGGGAGGGTGCAGGGAGGGGGTAGAGGGGCATGGGGGAGGGAAAGGTAGACGGTTAGGAGGCGGCCGGGGTTGGGCTGGATGGGAGGAGGAAAGGCGGAGTTGGCGGCGGCCTCAATCCTTGCCAGCAGAGATACTCCAAACGTCGGAGCCATGATAGGCATCCCGGCATGATACCCTTGGCCAGCGGCATACCCACGTACCTTCAGCACGCTCAGCTGGAACCATGGACCGCCAACATCGGATAGCCGGTTGTGGTTTAAAGCTAGCTGCTCTAAGTTGACAAGGTGAAAAATGCCCGAGGGGATGTGGCCGAGGCTGTTGTGTCCCAACAGGACCACCTTCAAGGAACTGCGAAGGTCGGGAATTGGGAGTTACATGTCATGGAGGAGAGCCGTAAGCATACACCTCATCGCGCATCTAAACGCTGTCACACCTGCATCTTGCTATATCGCTAGGTATACTTGTGAGGTGGTTGTAGGACAGGTCCAAAAGCACCAAATTGGGTAGCCTGGGAAAAGTTCCACTGGGCACGGCCTGCGGAACAAACATTTGTTAGGCCATGTTCGACACATACCGCTTACTTGGCTTCTTTCATACCGATATTTTGTTGTGGCTAAGCTTCAACGCTGTGCAGTCGGGCTGCTCCAGCACCTGCAACACATTGCAACAGCGCTCGATGTTTGCTGGTGTAAGTGAGTAACAGTATAATTATATATAGCTGTACCTCAGGTGGCACTGTCGCGAGGCCCTCAGCCTCGCGGGCTACTATATAGCCCTCTGCCATTTCCCAAGCTATAAGCCTACAAACAATCGGCAACCATTCGATGCCCGAAGCCTATACAGGCGAACACACTGTACCATTCGATGCGTTTCTTCAGCTGTTGTATGGTCACCTAGACAAGTTACTAGGCTTGGGATAGGTCGTACATGTCGGTACCGTGCCCGGGCCGCGGCACTCTTGCAGCAAGCGCCTTTGCTACGAGCGGTTTCAAGACATGTTCTTCACCATTTAATTTGATATGAAATGCCCACAAGTGGGTCTACCCTAGCATCTCTTCAAGTGTTCTGTCCAGAGTAAGCTGTAAGCGCCTGCAAGCGCACCCATCCGCACGCATCCCGGATACCCAAGGCAAGTGGGGAATGCTTGTATACATTGCTCCCCTTGGGCGCCTCGACTTGCTGCCAGGATCCTTAAACCCCCACAGGTCTTGAGTAACCCTAGCTAGTCTCCTTGCGTGCAGCCAGTACGGAGCCCCGGACTGTAGGACTCCGACCCGGAAGGCCCACCTGGTAACACGATCTACGCAAAGTGGTTAAAGTTTTACCCTCAGCAGCTGGTACAGAAAGCGCTTTCCGGGCAACGCCTTTGCAAGTCACACGGCCTCTCCCATCTTGGCATGCATGTAACCATGTGGGCGACCAGTTGACAAGGGCAAGGGCAGCTTTTGCTCACAATTTCGGGCGCAGGGGGTGTCTGTGAAGGGGCAACAGTTTCCCTGTTCCACGCCGTAGAGTCCCTAAGTTGCTCCTTCACAGCCGCCGAATTGCGCTGGGCCAACGTGACTCCCTGCGTCCCTGACCAGGCCGATTGCATTCCGCAGCGCCTTTGGGGCGCATAGCGCACGCCCGGGCCGTCAGGGCAAATGCGCACCGTGCAGGCTGAGCGATAGTTCTTTACGATGAGCCAACTGTTCTCCACGTACAACGCATATCGGTTCATCCCGTGCGTTTCGAAAGAGCAATCTTATGGAATCAGATCAGCACAAACATCACCAGCAGTTGGTAAATGTGGCATACGCCCTTGGAATCCAGGTCCTGTATATTCTGCTGAAGCAACAGCTTCGGAGCCATTCGTCAGAACTTTCAACGAAGCCTGTCGCGCTGTGTGGCCCAGTACTCGATCCTGACATCCTACAAGCAACGTAATAAGTGTAACTTAGATTAAAACTACAAGATCCTGGCTGCCGGATGAAAGATGGGGTCGTCATGTCGATTGACGACCTGCTGGAAAAGGAGCTGGGCTGGAATGGCTTCGGGCCAGCCCAGTTCCTTGCCCTGCTGGTGGGCGGTTATTCCTACATGACTAATGCCATGGTCATGTTCCTGATGACTTTCACCTACACCGACCCGCTGGCCGGCAATGGACCACCAAATTGGTTCTGCACCAACGCCAACGACACCGCCTGCATGTTGCTACTTCACCAGCAACAACTAGCGCATGGGTACAACAGCACCACACCGCTTCTGGCGACTTCGCCCTTGCCCTCCGCTTACACATTCGGCGGTAATGCTACGAATGTCACCAGCCATGCCGGAGCTCCGCCCCAACAGCCTCTGCCTCAGCTGCAATCCATCTGCGACATGGATCCAAGTCGGTACGGCTGGCTGGACGCGGGAAACTCCCTCAGCAGCGAGTACGGACTGGTGTGCGGCCAGGCCTGGAAGGTACGTACGACACCAACCCGATGGCGACGTCAACTTGGGTGTAACAGAGAAGCATAGATAGAACAGTATTGGGCTCCGCTAATTCTCCCCCTCTATCTCCAGCACCGCTCCCCAGACTAGAGAGACCCTCCCCCGCCACCACCCGCCCCCAACCCAACCTCCTCAGTCTGGCCTCCTTGAAACCCTCTTCTTCGCGGGTTTCATGGCGGGAAACGGCATCTTCGGAGCGGTGGCCGACCGCTACGGCCGCCGCTCCACCCTGGCCGCATGTGCAGCCGGTACGGCAGCCCTCACGGCGCTGTCCGCCTGGCCCCTGCTGGTGCCGCGCCGCCTAGCGGTGCTGGGCAGCGGTGCTGGTAACGGCAGTAGCAGCCTCAGCTTGGGAACCGACATCGGTGGTAACGGCAGCCTTAGCGTCAGCGGCAGTAGCAGCAGCAGTACTAGGACCAGCAGTGCCGGCTTCTGGGTTCACCTGGTGTTGCGGTGTGCTGCGGGGGCGCTGTGTGCGGGCCAGGCGCTGGGCGGGTACGTGCTGGCGACGGAGGCGGTGGGGCCCAGCTGGCGGGGGGCGGCGGGTGAGGAGCGGGGAGGGGCAGGAGTGAAAAGGGAAGGGCAAACCAGTGTCTCCGATCCTTGAAGCTGGTTAACCCCAAAGACGTAACACCATTGTACACATTATATTCCACCTGCCCCTTCCTTCCTATGGTCGGGTCTTTGCTGTCTCCCTCACTCTCTCTCTCCTCCTCACCCTTGCCCTCCTCCCACCCCCCAAAGGCATGCTGGTCCAGACGTTCTACATCCTGGGGGAGTTCGCGCTGGTGGGTCTGTCCGCCGGCCTGCCGCCCTGGCGCCGCCTGACTGGGGCGGTGGCGGGGGTGGTGGCGGGGCTGCTGCTGCCGCTGCCGGCGCTGCACGAGTCAGCCCGGTGGCTGCTGCTGCAAGGCAGGAGGGAGCAGGTGGGGTGGGGGTGGGTGGGTGGGTGGCGGGAGGAATGAACTGGTTGATGAGAACGGAGAGACGTGAAGGAGACGTGGTCGCGCCAATGGCTGTGAATCAAAGCTCTGCTCAGTCAGCCAAGCAATCAACGCGCATGCTGTGTTACCCCCCCCCCCGCCACCCGCCCGCATGCGCCTCCATCACCGCACTCCACGCAGGCGCACGCGGCACTGATGTGGATAGCGAGGTTGAACGGGCGGCCGCCGCCCGCCCTGGAGTTAAGCGCAGCGGGGGAGGTGCGGCTGATGAGGCGGGGGAGCGAGAGGGAGGGCGGAGGGGAGGCAGGAGGAGGTGGAGCGGTGGAGGAGCGAGAGCAGCAACAGCATGCAGAGGAGGGGCGGCAACCGCAGGGGCCGGATGAGGAGGAGGAGGAGGAGCAGCGATTGCTGCCACTGCAACCAGCTTCTGCGGTGGCTCCTGGTAACACCCGCTGTGTTAGGGGACAGCAACGGATGCGGGACGAGCAGCCAGGAGAAGGAGACAGTGAGGAAGAAGAAGCAGAGGAAGAGGAAACTGAAGACGTCCGTGCTGCCAAAGCCGCCCATGAGATGACTCCTCTCGTTTCTTCCCATCCAACCGGCGGCAACCCGACCACCTCCGTCTCCCTGCTAACCGCCCTAGCCCACCCCGCCACGCGCTCACTCCTCCTCTCCACCTGCTTCGTCCTCTTCGCCCTCTCCGTTGCCTACTACGGCGTAACGCTCGCATTGGGCTCCTCGTCCCTCGTGTCGTACGGCAACCTCCATCTCAACTTTTTCCTAACCGCTGCTGCCGAGCTGCCTGCCTATTTAGGCATCGCCGCATGTACGGATCGGTTGGGGCGGCGGTTGGTGATTGGCGGCGGTACGGCACTGGCGGGTGTGGCGTGTTTGGCGTGTGCGTTGACAAGCGGGGGGCCTATGCAGGTACGATGGGGGGGGACTCAGGTGTTTGGACAGGTGTTTGGACCCATGGGCCCGTAGTTAAAAACCAACTACCAATGGTGAACGCCTTTGGATTTGAGCATGTAACATAATCATAAGTTGCAGTACCATAACCTTGTCAGTCTTACCGACCAGCTACCTTCCTCTGCTTCCCCTTCTCACTGCGGCACATCCAAAGCTCGTGCTTGCATCTGTGTCTATCTACACCTGACTATAGCGCATTTCCAACCGACCCTTCCTCCCTCCCCGCTTCCTATCCCTCCCTGCCCCCCCCCCCAAGATTGTGTTTGCGGTGGTGGGCAAGCTGGGCTGCAGCGGCGCCTGGGCGGTGGGCCTCACCTTCGCCGCGGAGCTCTTCCCCACCGCACTGCGCTCGGCGGCTCTCAGCGTGGCTAGCCAGGTGAGGTGGGGGCGGGCAGGGGGCAGGAGGCCAGCCGGGGGGGAAGGGAGGGTATCGAGGGACAAATTACCGGCAACCGCCCGCCCCGTCAACCCCAACTCCGCTACCCTCGTCCCCCTGTGCTAACCTGTCTTTACCCTCCGCTCCTGCCCCCATCCCCGCCTCCCATCCCATGTTCCCAGTCGGGTGACCTAGGCGGGTTAGTGACCCCGCTGCTGCTCATGCTGGCCAGCCTGAGAAGCCCGGGAGACAGCAGCGCTGGCAGCAGCGGTGGCGGAGGCAGCGGCAGCAGTGCTGGCGGCGACACGGGTGTGCTGGGTCGGCTGCTGCAGCGGCTGCCATTCGCGGTGATGGGCCTGATGTCGCTGGCCGCCATGGGACTCGTGTGGAAGGTGGGTGGGGATTACAGAAGACCAACCAAACCATAGGAAACGACGGATGAGGGCAAAAGAAGAGGGGAATGAGGCAGCAGGGTGGGGACTTGGGAGGGTGTGCAAGGGAGCGCGGGGAAGCCACGGGTTTACACGTGAGGAGGCTGCTGGGTTGGTGGGATGCAATGTGAAGGAGGCAGAGGGGGTTAAAGCTGTTTGGGAGGTGGTTGCCTACCTTCTAGTGTTTGCGTGCGTGTCGCAAAACGTTCGGGTGCTGCAGCTGCGCTCCAGCACCCGAGCCCTACCGACCCCCTCCCGCACACGGCACTGCTGCACCACTGCATGATGCCCTCCCCCCAAAGTCCCAATACGATCCGTTCACAACCAACCGACGCATGTGCGCACCACGTGTGTTAAGAAACCTGGCCGCGAGTAGGAACGTACTGGATTGCCACCTGTGTGTGTGTATGCCGTACGCAGCTGCCCGAGACCCGCGGCATGCCCCAGCTGGACACCTTTGAGGAGCTGCTGGAGTGGCTGGCGCGGAGGAGCAGGAGGAGCAGCAAGAGGAGGGGGAGGGCGGACAGCCATCATGATCGCTTACAGCAGCAGAGCCGGCAGCGGCAGCAGCTAGGGAGGGAGCCGCCTGGCGCTAATGGCGCTGCTGTCGGCCGCCCCGCCAATGGTAGTGCTGGTGCTGCGAGGGTGCCGGTTATGATGGGGGAGGCAGCGGGGGCGGGGGCAGAGGCGGGGCTGGATGTGGAGGAGGGTGTGGCGCTGCTTGCAGGCGAAGCTGACGTCAGCAGCGGCAGTGCTGGTGGCTTGACGCTGCGGCATCACAATCACCAGAACCACCACAGTCTTCATGGTGGGGGTGGTGGAAGGGGTGACGGAAGAGGAGGAAGCGGAGTGACGTGGATAGAGCTCAGCGGCGGCGGCAGCAGCTCGGGTACAGCGACAGCGGCCACAGGGACAGCAGCAACAGCGGTGGCGGCGACAGGAGGGTCGAAGCGGGAGGCCAAGCCGGCGACCGTAGAGCTGGTTCGGAGCGGCTTGGTGCGGCCTTTGTAGTACGGCATGTGCAATTTTGTCGGCGATAGGTGTTGCATGGGGTTTCTGAAGGACCCGTCTGTCACCATGCATCCGTTCTTATGTGCCAGCGGAAGTACGAATGTACGGTAGTTAACACGGCACGTCTCGGGGCACCTCAAGAGTTCAACTATAGGAATGAGGGAAGAGGAAAACATGGGACACACGGCTTGGCTCCCTTAACGTATGGATGTGTAAAGTAATATATATAAAGTAATACAGATATGCATGCCGTGTCTCCAGTGCAGTGGGTCAATCCAAGATTACTCATCTCACTTTGTCAGCGATAGCACCTCTTTCGCGTACTGCTATGAACCACAGCCGTAGGCTTGTACTGCGGCAATCCCCTCGGGAGTGTACAGGGTGTCTCATTGCGTGACAATGCCACGTTTCAAAGTGCCAATAACGCAGGACGATAGCTGTACTCCTCAAACACCACCATTGCAAGAGAAATCAGGCCCCGCTGTCCTCCACTCCACTAAGCATATCTATACTAGTAGGAAACGATGATCCTAGCTCCGTACTACCCTCAAACGTACACCTGCACTTACAGAGCACTTTTGCACCCATTGACAGCCGGAGATACCCGCAGATAGAGCCTAATTGACTTTGTTGCCCGCACAGACCATACCATAGGGGGCCATCGTCATGTAAGAGCCGAGTAAGAGAATCGCCGATACATCCTATAAAGGCTATAATACTAGAAGACAGAAGCCATGGCATGACCCCATCACACTTGACCGCTGCAATGTGCAGCTGCTGTACGACACAGCCTCCAAGCGGGTTCCATGCGGGACAATCCGTAAACGAACAGCACTCTGCTCAATTTGAAACCCCAGCACGTCTCTAGCATGGGCCACATGCGCCACGTACTTCATAACATGTAGTTATACTGCGCCCTAGCCATACTGAACAAGCAAGCATAGCATCCAGCATGTACGGGAGTACACTACCGTTCCCTGCACAATGCCGCTCACGACCGCGGCACGCGACTGGAACGAAGAACATGAATGTATTACGAGGCATATAACACGCAGGTTGAGCTGTCTTAGAACCAAACCTCCGGCAGACAGAGAAAGAAACACGTTAGTAAGAAGCCTGCCCGGCCCCTGCCGTACTACATGCGCATTCATCCTACAAAGCTTACGACACTTCCTCACGGTGGGCCCCAGCTACAAATAGAAAACAAACGGCCTGGAAGGCAACCCAGCATCACTGCAGCTATGTACAACATATTATTGAAGCATTAAACAGTGCAACTGTACGACCGTACGACATGCCGTGTTTGACGGCAACTAAGCTATTGGCCAGGCACACCCTGGCAAAGCTTCCACATCCTTTCACGAGAGCCAGGTCGCGCGACATCCGGCATCACCCAAGCGCGCCGGGCTTAGCCCACCCCGTTCTTCCTCTTAGTATTGCTGCTCTTCGGGCAAAGGTGCATCATACGCTTGGAGGAGAAGGGGGTCTCCCAGCCACATCTCCAAAAGCTCCGTGCCCAAGCTTAGGCGAGCCGCGGACTTCTTCTTTACAGCAGTCTCGGCTACGGCCTCAGCCCCAGCTCCAGCGTCATCCGACGGATCCTCCTCCTTCACTACAATCTTCCTCTCCGCTGCAGCTGCAGCCTCCGCACGCAGCATGATGCCTCCTGTGGCTGCGAGAATCGTGGCCGCGTCGGCATCCTGAGGCGGTCCCGGCGATAGCACCTGCACCCGTGCCTTCTTCACTGTCGATGTAATGCCCCGGGCCCCATGCACGAACAAGGCTTCCGCGTCCTCCCAAGCACTGGCCATAGCATCCATACCGCCGCCAGCATTGCCCTTGGGAATGCGCCTCTTGAGGATGGTCCGTGGCAGCTGCTCCGCTTCAAACTCCTGCTTCGGCTGCCCCTCTACATGTGCACCGTCGTAGTAGGCCAGGAAGGGATTGCTGCATACGTCGTAAGCGGCGCCGGCAAGCTGCGCCTCCTCCGTGACGCCGAAGACATCACCCGTCGCAACTGCATGCATGGCAGAAGCGCGTGCAGAGCGACGTAACGGCATGGGTGTGTCCGACAGCAACGCCAGCGACGCCCACTGTGACTCCGGGTTGCCCGCCAACGCTTGGTCGTACGCCCTTCCCAGGTCGCTCAGCAGCTCCAGATCATCACCCTGTGGTCCAATTTCATCCAAGGACAGCGGGTGCTCATGCTTTGGCCAAGCAGGGCCCTGCTGTTCCAGTTGCTGTAGCTGCCGCAGCTGTCCTTGCAGGTGCTCAACCTCAAGCTGTAGGGCGTGCACCTGCTGCAGCCGTTCCATCTCAGACGTCGGGGTAAGCTGCAGCGGGTGCTGCGACCTCATGTCCTGGCCGTCAGGCATCAGGGTAGGCTGCTGCACACGGTAAGGAATAGCCAGGTCCAGGGCAGCACCGCGTGGCACTACCTGTATGCCCCGGGGGTCGCTGAACTGCGGCCCACGTTTGATAAAGGGATGCATGGGGTTGGCACCCTCATAGTATGACGCGTCCATCTGATCCTGATGGGCAGTTTCGGCCATGGCGCCGTTGCCGTAGCCAAGCGTGTAGCCAGGCATGCTTCGCTGGCTGGCGCCTTGGTCCTGGCGCCTGGCCCCGCCAACGTCACAGGCAGCGACAGTCTCCATCTCGGCGCCACGAGCAGCGTCGGTCCTGCCGCCAGTCCGCTTAGAACCGTCGACGGCGGCCGCGCAGGGCTTCACGTCAAGCTCCGGCACCTCGTCGCTCAGCCAAACCTCGCATGAGCGCTTCGGCGGTTGCTCGTTGCTTGCGGCATGCGCTGACGGCGCGCTGAGGACTCCGTCTGCACGCGGCTGGTGATATTGCTTCAGCGACAGGGCCGACTGGCTCGCGCTCTGCACCGCCGTTCTGCAGAGCTCAGCAAGCAGCGCGTCCTTGGAGTCAACGGGCTGGCGTTCTTGTTGGCCGTGCGCAAAGGCGTGAGGTAGAGCGGTGGAAACCCAAGCTTGCCGTGGAGACGCCTGCTGCACGGGCCCCAGCACTCCCAGCATAGGGCCTGGTCGCTTCTGCGGTGGCGCTGTGGTAGCAGGGATGCTGTTGCTGACCTTGCCGCCGACGGCTCGCCGCCCTCGTTTACCCTTCGCCCCCCATGCGGTGCCATCCGCCGCGGCAGCTGTTGGCGACTGGAGAGCTGGAGCTCTCTTACCGTCGTTCTCGCTAGTGCCGGATGGGATGTTCTGGTTAAGCACGGCCAATGGAAGCCGCACGCCGCGTGAAGCGATTTGGGTCGGCCCTGCGAGGCCCTTAGCGGCATCCTTGCCGCTTGGCTGCAGCACAGGCGGAAGCAGAGGAGACGCGGAAGCCGAGGGCATTGCCTGACCCAGTAGGGCCAATTGCGGGGTGCAGGCGGAGGTTATTGGTCCGCGGGCAACTGGGTGCTGCGACATCATCGGCGCAGCCGCAGCATTGGCGCCAAGCCCAAAGCTGTGGACGCCGCTGCCCAGCTGTGGGCCGGAAACCGCATTTGAGGATGCGCGCGGCAAGCCTTGCATAGCGGCAGGAGCAGCATCAGTTTGCCGCGCCTCCTGGATGGCGACGGCCGGCGTGACCAGGGCGCATGATTGCCCGGGGTGCTCATCTGAAGCCGCTGGCAGTTGGGGTTCTTGCTGCGACGGTTGGGGTCCGACACCCTTGCCGGCAGCGGCAGCTTGCATCAGGTGCACCATGATGAACGGGGCCGCCATGATGGCGGGCGCTGCAGCTCCAGTTGCAGCGGCGATGGCTGAGACCAGTTGCGCGCTGTCGTGATGGCCGTTGCTTAGCATGCGGGCGAGGCCTTTGGCGCTGGCGAAGCCAATGTCTTCCTTCTTGTTGTCGGATCTTCGGGCACCCTTCTTCCGCTGCGATGCGTCCTCGTCCTCTTCCGTACTTGTGTCGTGGCCATCTGCAGCAAAACAATACACGGAACAGGATTGGCTCAATGCGGAGAGAAACGGACAGTACGTTTGAACACTGGACCGCCCAATTTGCTATCCTCCGTGTCGCCCAAGGCCCCTTGTTGCACTACAACTCGCATGCTGGGCCAATAGAATAGGGCAGCTGCCATTGCTAGGACACCCGCCGTTCTTGGCCTACCAAGGTCACATGTACAGGGCTCTCCCACGACGCAGCACGAACACGAAACCTACCGGTACCCAGCTTAGCCGCAGCCTTCTGCCTGCGATAACGTCTGAAGTAGCTCCGCACTTCTTCCAAAGACCGCATACCCTTGCTGTGCCCGATGGTCTCTCCCTCGGTGGGCCGATCATGATCAGCCCAGGCGCTGAGGCCACCTTCTGGTGAGTAGTACCACCTAGAAGGGGGTGGAACAGTTGAGAAGATAGGACGTGGCCGATATGAGTGCCCTTGTGCCAACGCGCAGCCTAAAGATGTTGAGGTTTATGCCGCTGGTAGCATGGCAACGAAGCTACAGCATGGTGCGCGGGGATGGGAGTCTGGAGCCAGGGTAGCATCACGAGGCAATTGGAGCCGTTGGGGACATGTGGGTCGTAAACTGTAGGCTGCCCTGAGCGAGAACTATAATATTGGTGCAAGACTAACACGTAGCTTACTCTCGGATGTCAGCGTTGGTGGGCCGGCAGCCTTTTTCGTCCTTAAATGCTCGCCACCAATCGTTGAAGCTCTTCCAATATTGATCCTGCCTTCGACATTTCGAACGACGGCGCGAGTCCATGTCAACTAGTCAAATTACAGCAATAAATTCCGCGTAACCGATAAGGTGGTGCTGTGTTGGACAGAGAGCCGAGGGCGGACAGCGGAGAGCTGATTGCTAGGTGTTGACTTATAAGGATAACGGCCCTGCACAGGAGAACAAGTACATACACATGTGATTTGCTGCAAGGTAGTAACGCGGTCAGAGCAGGAAATCCTCGACACATGTGCCACATCCCAGCATGGCTGCTCGCCGCAAAACCAAGCGCTGGGAATACCTTCGTTCTACCAAGGGCTTGTTCTTACCCTAATAGACTGCGTGTTCCGGGTTCATGATATACCCAATAACTAAAATTCTTACACGTCTAATCAGCGACACCAGCAAGTGTGCAACCGAGGCTGACCCTTCATAGCCGCTTATGTAGAGTATGATGTCTTTGCAGTATCAAAGAGCAGCCTCCGGTTGTTAGAGGAAGTAAAAATTTGGAGGCGACATATGCGGACCAATACTTTGCCGTACAAACTTGCACCAGCCAAGCGCCTTGGCCACCGTCAGTCGTCCAAGGTCTTTCATATAGACATACGCCTTATCCCGCATTTGATCCAACATAACCCTTAATTCTTGCGCCCAACAGCTGGCTCTCAATACCCCGAACGCCAGATCCTCTCGAAACCTAGGATGGGCCCCTAGTCCAACCTCCCTCCGGGGCGGAGCGGCAACCCGTTGCAGAAGAATGAAAAGTTTGCGACTCATAGTTCCACGGACTGGCCCGGATTGAAGGGTGCGTGACAGCTAAGTGTCTAATTTAAATTGTAATTGGACTTTTTTCGTGCAGGTGGTCAAGGAAATGCGCAAGTGCCTGCCCTTGTAAGGTTCACTTCATTTGTTGAATGCTCGAACTGTTATCAAGGAGAATAAGGACATTGTGAGACGAACGCTGCACCCCCATATTTGTCTTCTACCATACATAGTGAAGAATGATTGATCCGAATGGGAAGGACAGCCCGCTGCGGTGAAGGAGTAAAGCGTAGTAGGGTGGGGTAACCAACCAGTAGAGGACACGATGGCGCAATCTAGCGTCATACCTTTCTGTTAGCACGATAATGCGTCTGCTTTGGTACCAGTAAATATATATTGGGGATCACAACCCTACACCACTTTTGGCACACCGCATACTCGCTTGTTGGAGAAGTAAATTTGCCGCTTGCGTCAACCAGACATCGGGATGGCCCATTCCTTACTATGGTCAAGCTGCCGGCCAAGTCTTTCTTTGTCCTTTACCCGAGGATGCAGCAGTCAAAGCCATGGCATGTCGTCAGCGGCGAACCCTTGTCGAGCTTCCTTGGTCGCTGCAAACCGCCGCGTACGTTACAGAACGTCTCAAGCCTTGTTGGGGCAGAAGCAAGCTGAGGCAGAAGAAGCGGTTGAAGAGGACTTTTACTCTTTGCTCGGCGTGGTAAGCAGCAAAATGGTATAAGATAGCCCTGATGTTTATACCTACCTACCCGCTATTCATGATGCTATGCGCATTGCTTCTTGGGTGCACATGCACTTATGCAACCGCCTATTTGCTTGCCCCATGCTCCACGCGAAGAGTCCTTTGGCGGACGCCAAAGAGATAAAGCGCGCTTACTATAACATGATGCGGACCTGCCATCCCGACCGCTCCGACGATATTGAGGCGACCGAATTTTGTGCGCTGCTGAATGACGTGTACGAGGTGAGGAAGGCTGCGGAGCTAACCAGGTGGCGGGGAGGGGGAGGGGATACACAGCCATGCAGGTTACCAGCTATCGCTTCTAGCTTTCCTACCCTCCTAGGCGTTTCATGCAAGCACGGAGTTTGTTTCATCCATCTGGGTTTGTTTGGTCGAGTTTCGTCAGTCCACCCCCCCGCTCCCCCGTCCATTACACGTACTGGCTTGGCTAATTCGGGCTGGGCGGGTCGGGCTGGTTCACATGTTGCAAACCATGATGATGCCTTATCACACGGTCAGTTAGAAGTTTCCTCTTTACCCCCGCTCCCCAACACTCCCCACCCCGCGCATCCTCCCCGCCAGACCCTGATGGATCCAGTACGGCGAGAGCTGTACGACGAACTCGCCGGCTTCTCCGACCACAGTGTCAACCCCTTCCTGGATGATCGATACCCGCAGGACCGGGTGCGTCCTCGCGTAGTGTCCCGGCTGTACGAGCTCATATACGGTAGTCGTAGTGTGTAAACAGAATGGTTAAACATAATGGTGTGGGTTCAGGGTGGGTAACCCGTGCACTGGTACTCCTGGTGCTAGTGTGCCTGTGTCGCTGTTTTTAAGAAGTCTGGCCGCGAGTCGGAACGTACTGTGAAAAACACGCAAAGAAAAGAAAGGGAGCGTGTGGGTTTACAAAGGGAGCCACCGACCGGTATGGGTCGGTGGGTCGGCAAGCAAGATGAAAGCATGATGCAACAGAGCCTGCAACTCGCCGTGTTTTCCGCTGTTACCTTCCTCCTCTGCAGCGTTCCTCCTCTCCAGATCTCACCCTCAACCAACATGTTCTCCCGCCCCCTCCTTACCCGAAACGCCGCCCCCCCCAGGTGTTCGTGGACGAGTTCGCGTGCATCGGCTGCCGCAACTGCAACGCGGTGTGCCCTCGGACCTTCGGAATGGAGGAGGAGTACGGCAGGGCGAGGGCCATGCAACAGGACGCGGACTCGGAGGCCAAGCTGCAGGTGGACAGGCGTGCGGGGGTGGATGGCGGAGGGCTGTGTGTGGGCGGTTGGTAGGATGCTGCGTACGGATGCTGGATTGATGCACGCATGGAGCGCGTTCTTGTGTGTTAAGAAAACTGTTCTTGTGTGGTGCGGGGTGGTCGTTTGCTTGCATGTACGGCAGTTCCATCACAACCCACACATTTGTCGTACACCGGCTTGTCGCACACCCTTGCCTGGCTGACCGCAGGAGGCCATTGACACCTGCCCCGTGTCGTGCATCCACTGGGTGAGCGTGGCCGGCGGGAACTGGGCTGGTGTTGCGGGAACTGAGTTGGCAGGAGACGGGCTGCCGTTGCGGGCTGGGCAGCGGGCTGGGAGTGCCAGACGCGTGTTCGGGTGCTGGGGTGGGATGTGAACTGCTACTGATAGGTTATTGTTGAACGCCGGGTTTTTGCGTAACAAAGCAAAATCCCTCCCAACTCCCGCTCCCCTGCAGGTCAGCGGCCCCCAGCTGTCGCTGCTGGAGACCGCCATGTCCCGCATGGGCCGAGTCGCCGTGTGGAGCATGATGGGGGGCGTGGGGGCGAACAAAGACGTGTTCACGGTAGGAGGGGGGCCGGCTCATGATACCGGTATACGGGTTTCGGTAGTAGGCGGTTGGATGGCGGCCCCGTACGTTCAGTCTCGCCAGTCGTTGACATCCCCCCGCCCGTGGAAAACATCCTCGCACATTGCACCGACCCATGGGTCGCCCACGACCCACCAGCAACCCACTTGCCTCGCAAAAGGACCTCCTCTGCTTCAACTACTCCCCTTGGTCCCCTCTCCCTCTCCCCTCCCCCGCTTCCTGTTGTTGTCCCGCTCCTCCGTACTGTCACACGGTTGTTGATGTTCCTCTTTATCCCTCACTCCTGCTCCTGCTCCTCCTGCTGCCCAGGAGGCCAGCCTAGCTTGGACCCGGCGCCAGTCGGACATCCGGCGGCGAGTGCAGGACGTGGCGGCCGCTCGCAGCGGGGCTGCTGCTGCCGCCGCCGCCGCGCCCTCCACCGGTTGGACCTTTTGGAACGATGTGTGGAGCGGTGTGGGGGGAGCCGCAGGCAGCAGGTGGGGGCTGTGGCGGGGCTGGGAAGAGGAGGGGACATGGGAGGGGTAGTACGGGCGGGCCGCGTTATGGCGGGGTGGAGGGTTGGGGGTCGGGAACGCACTGCCCCGTTGCTGCCTTGCTGTCCTCAACACCTGCGGTTCCTCACACCTTTCCGCGCGCTTCCAACGCTTTCCTCCTCTCTTGTCTAGGTTCTACCAAGACGCCAGCCAGGCTCGGCAACAGCGAACCAACCCACAAGAGCAGCAGCAAGCTGGCCCCTCAAGTCAAACTAGCAGCAGCAGCGGTGGTGGAGGGGGAGGAAGTGGTGGCGGAATGGGAGGCGGGGGTGACCGGGAGAGTCGCGGCGTGGCGGACCTGGCAGCGAGGGCGGCGAGGGCGGCACGGACCTGGCGACGGTTCCAGTCGGTTGCTCGGGCGGCGCGAGGGGGCCTGCGGGCATCCCTGGCGTCTACCAGCTCAGCGTCCTCAATGGATGAATGAGCAGCGGGGGACGTGGAAAAGCGTAGTGGAGTCCATAGAGATGTACCAACCCGTTGTAATGAAAAACCACAAGTTAGGGGTTAGTTAGGGGGTAGCGGGTTGTGGAGGGGATTAACAAGTTGTTGGAAAGGGGGACAGCGAGGAGGAGGAGGATGCATGAGTTCCGGTCTGTTATTGTGCACTTAGGGAATGGGATTGAAGACCTAACGTAGCGCGCCTGGCTGCCTTACAGTCGTGAGGCAGGAGTTGCATGACAGAAGAAAAACGCACACTACAAGGCACGCGTTACCGGTATGTGTGAGGGTTGCATACACGATTCGTGTTTTTTGTGCAAAACCACAAAGTCTTCAATATTCGTGCCGTACCGAGCAATTGGTTGGCTTTCTACTTGGGCACTAAGGTTCCACATGGCCAGTGTGCAGAGGACTTGCTCAGCAAGTGTGTATTTGGGGGGACGAGGAAGTCGCCGAGGAGAAATATGCTGCATTTATTAAGAAGTATCATTTATGTTGGCTTTCCTCGTCTTCAAGAGAGGACAGTGTGGGAGCGCTTGTATACGGTGAAGCTTCAGTTCGATACTGGGAATGTTATGGTGTATTGCTGTACGAAAGTTGCTTCCTCATATGCGCGATGAGGGGCAGAGAGAAGAATGGAGGGCCCATCGCTATCTGTTTATTGGCCAGAAGTGTATGTGTTTTGTCGTAACCTATCTACTTAATTTGGTTTGCTGGTGTCTGTTTGTACATTATATCAGAATACCTTCACGTGTGCGCACAGACACAGACGTGCGTACGTTCACAGGTATTAAAGCTTGGTTGTTTCGGAGAATACCGCGCGGAAAGCCGTTGCCGGTGGCCTGTGAAGCTTTGTAGATGCGATGCAGAGGAGCGCTACCCGCCTTGCATGCTGCTGGTGCGTGTATCCCTTGCATTCCGGCGGCACGGTTGCATGTGATGTCCTCGTTGTGAAGGCCGATTTGTGCCTTCTCAGTAGTTGTTGTGAATGTTATGTTTTGTTCCCATGGCTTGAGGTGACCCATGGGTCACTGGCCCGCGTCTGTGGTTGGTGTGCGAGGTGGTGACACGTGGGTAGCAACACTGACGAGGAAGCTGCTGATGGGGAATGCTTCCCTAAGCCTAAGTTGTTGCATCCTTCATGGGGATAAGGTTGAGGACGTCACAGCGCTGCTGCTGCTGTGTGAACTTCTGCAACCTACTTCCAATCCGGAAAGACGTTTCAACTCGGACCCAACAGGGAGGCTGCGTCCACACGCTAAACCTTTGGTTGCCCCATCGCACCAATAAACATCAACCCTTACATAGAGAGTAGTGTATGCAGTGCGCAATGCGCATGCAAATCGAAACCGGCGCAGCTCATTTAGCGGCTAGCAGGGAAGCCATGCCCTCAGTCTATCACGGCAACACGCAATGATCCACCACTGCAGCCAAAGCCGCTGTGTGCCGTAAGATGCCTTCACCCAAGGTGGTGGAATGGGCATTATGGGTTATGGGCCGGGCTTGGCCAACCTGGGGCCCAAGCGCAATGCACACACAGCCCAACGCCTTCTACACGTGGCTTTTCCGCACCCGGACTATAGCCCCATACCTAAGTATAGCAGCCTGACCTGACCTGAGGAGCACCTGACTGCGAAGCAATCTAACACCACCAATGTCGAGAGAGAGAGAAAGGAAGCGCGGCGAACCTACACGTATCCTAAGCCATACGTCCGGCCTGCTTCCTCGTTGCCAACATGCCTTGCAACAACCGCTCTCTCCACGCCTCTACCTAAACCTCCGAAAACCCTAATGAATGCAAGCGTGCACTCACCAGCAACGCACACCTAACCGCTCGTCCTACACAGAAGACACGGCAGCTACCCTTATCCTGTCCCCCCACATTGTCCCCAGCGAACAGCTACAAAGGTGCCTCCCTGGTGTGCTGCCTGACTGACCTACTGCGTTGCTTGGGTTGCCTAAACAAAACACACACGATTATACAGACGCCGTCCGGCTTAATAATGATACGGCAATCTGCCAGATCGCTTGCCGGCCAGCATCTGTAACCTAACACATCCGCCTGCACCTGTTTGCACCCTGTGAGTGTCTGTGCTGCAAGCCTGCTGTTGTCTAAAGCTGAGGCGCAACCTCCACCCTTGCGCCGGACGGCAAAACCCGTGCGTGTGCCCAATAGCACAGAGCGCACCCACATAAAAAACAACATGACTTGTGTTGTTCAACAAACAGCAACAGCAGCTGCAGCCGCACCCCCCTAACAACGCCTCAGCACGGCTGGTAGCTGGCACATGCATCCTCGCTTGCTACCAGGCTTGCTATCCTTTATAGGACAGGGTGGTGCCAGCTCTTGGCTTCATTCCTGCCATTCCAATGCAACCCTCCGTCAACGATCCACGCCTGCTGCCGTGGTATCCGCCGCACCATCGCCTGCACCATCGCCATCAGCCCTCCCGCCGCCCGCGCCGCTGACCCCGAACCCAAACTGCTGCAGCTGTGTGGCAGCTGCCGCTAGGCGCGCTTGGGCTGCCTCCACCTCCGCTAGAAGGCTGCGGGAAGGATGGGATACGACACCCAAAGCAGCAGGGAAGGTGCCAGTTGGGGAGAGGGGAGGAAAGGAGCTGGGATGAAGGAGCAAAGCGGCATAAGAGCAGAGGCAGCTAGCAAACGTTTAACGGTGGGATGAGAGGATGGAGATGCCATGCATGTTGATGCACCGACATTCCGCAGTAGGCATGCTGACCTGCTCAGCTGCCAGCAAGTTCCCGCAACCACCACCTTGGTCACACAACACGATATGACATATGAGGTCATGCGCATAAAGCTTCATTTTCCCCCGCCCACGTTTACAGCACTTACGCTGTGAACGCAGCGTCCACACACGCCCTGCCCGCGGATGAGGCATGCAGTCGCGCCTGCAGTGCCGCCACCTCGCCTCCCAGGTCTGTGACCCGGTCGGACAGGGCAGCCTCGCGACGTCGCTGCTCGGCGAGCTGTTGGAGGAGGAGGGCGGAGGGGCATGAGACAGGAGGAGGAGGTGGGGGATGGAAGGTGTGTCGCCAGCAGTGTTGAGAGGGCAGAGGACAAAAGATGCAGCATGAGCAAGAGGATTGCAAGTCGGTCGTCAGCACCACAACTCCAGCAGCGATTACTGTAAGCAGCTGCAGCTGCCTACATGCATGGCCACATGCCCCAGAACAGCAGCCGCCAGACGCCCGTCTAACCCACCTGCAGCTCTAACCGCTGCACGCTGAGGGCGAGGGTGCGTCGCTCTGACTCGCTTGCAGCCTGGATGGCAAGGGGAGGAAATATAGATAGGTGCATCAACGGAGCAAGGGCGGATGTGCGGGAGGTAAGCAAGGGGTTTGGGAGGTGCAGGAAAAGAAAGATCTCCGCGTTGCCGACGTCATCGCGACAGCAGGGGTGGCACGTTCACTAGCGGGGACACGCACCCTCAGTGGAACGTCCCTCCGCTTTATAACCCTGCCTGCCCTCCCAGCCCGCCGATCACACCTCCTTCTTCCCTTGTCAGCCTCTTACCAGGTTTGCTTGCAGCCTGCCAACGTCCACCAGCGCTCCATTCACAGACAGCACCCCAGAGGCACCCGCGGCTGCCGTACCGGCGGCTGCTGATGACGCATGCGCAGCTGCTGCCGTTGGAGGCGGCGTTGCGGGCACTGGCGCCGGCGGCACGACGAGGTTGGAGTGTTCCATGTAGCTGTGTTGCGTAGACACCACATGCGTTGCGGCCACAGAAGTAGCAGCAGCAGCGAGTGTCGCGTGGTGATGGGTTTGCGAGGGTGTGCGTGGGAATGAGGGCGCAGCATGACGGGAGGGAGGGAGGGAGGGAGGCCAGGCAGGGAAAGGGGCACCGGGGGGTCCGTCAGTTGGCTGCAAAGGTGAGAGGGAGGAGCATGGAAGGTTCATGGGTGTCGAGTTGGGAGGTAGGAGGGTGGAGAGCGGTTTTTTGGATGAGCGAGGAGGGCGGATAGCTTGGGGGCCGCGGCTTTAGCGTGACAGGGCCGATCGAACCCACGACCTTGCCGCACAAGAGTCCGACAAATATGGACCGGCCAAGGCAGCAGTAGCCTCTCACAGCCCCAGTGAAGGAAGGGACGTGGCAAGAGGCAGGGCGAGTGAGCGGTGGAGGAGGTAACGGTGTGGGGGTCGGGTGTCGGCATCATCACGATGGGAACATGGTAGGAGCAGGAGGTCGGACCTGAAACGTCCTCGCTTGCCGACTGCTTGGTCAACGACAGCTTGCACGCGGCGACCTGCGGTGGCCGCGGCCCAATGGCACGGTACGACAGCGGCGGGACGGGGCGGGGCGGGGCAGCAGAGCGAGGGAGGGGGCAGCAGCGGACCAGATCGGGCCGCGGCAGCAGCAGGGGGAGGGAGGGGGGCGCAGCAGAAGGGGGACAGGAGGGCGTTAGTCGTTGACATGAGAGGAGTAGTTGGCGGTGTGTAAGGAGGGTGAGGGAAGTGAAGGAAGCGCATGTGGAAGGGCAAGAGAAGGGAGGAGGAGGGGAGAAGACGAGGAGACGAGATGTGTAAGGTGTGAGAGGAGGAGTAGGAAAGGTAGGAGGGCCTCTTTGCATTAGGGCCGCTGGCTTAGGGCACGAGGGGACCGTGGATGCGGGTATCTTAGCTCCGCATGTTCCAGGGTGCGGCTAAAGGGGATGTGATGCGGGCCGGTTGGAGCGGCTTACGAGCACCCCACAGTAATGGCGGTTGCCGTTTGGTAGCCGACCAACGCTAATGCTAACACCGCAAACATATTGCAATACCCCTGCTGCATCACCCCCATGCCCCCATCCCTCTCCCTCCCTCCATTTGCCTGCCTCCCTCCCCCCAACACGACTCACGTGACACGTCATCCGCCGTCATGTACAGGATCTCCTCCAAGTCCTCGGACTCGATGTATCCCACGCAGCGGTCGTCAAACATGCGGCAGGCGGTCAGGAACGGCTCCGGAGGCAGGGCGGCTGCTGCGGGGGCGGCAGCCGCTGCTGCTGCTGCAGCGGCCGCCGGGGAGGGTGCCCCCGTTGCCGGCACAGGCAGGGTTGCAACGGGCGTGGAGGCGCGAGCATGGGGCGCTGCGGCGCCGCCGGGAGGTACTGAGGCTTGTTGTTCTAGGTAGATGCCGGGGATGGGTGAGGCGGCGTCGGCGCCTGTTGTGTGGGGGAGGGAGGGGGGGATCGTTAGCGGCAGAGGGAGCATAAACGAGGTTGGGAGTTCGGCGGTAAGGATGAGGAAGAAGGAGGAGTAGGATGCAATGGGATGAGAATCGCGTTGGAATGATGATGATCCTGCGCCGTCCCTCTCCTTCCCTCCCTCCCTCCCTCCCAATCCGTCTCCCCCCTACCTGCCACACTCTCATCCTCCAGTCGTCGTCGTCGCTTAGCTCCCGACCCCACACTCGAGGGAAAGCCGTCCATTCCAACAATCGCACCATCGCCCACATCCATGCTGCCCTCCATATCCGTCATACTGTCCCGCGGTCGCCGCCGCTTCCCGCTGCCGCTCGGACACGTCTCCGCATCCTCTTCTGTGACGCCAGGCCGCTCTGTCGCGCCCCGGTCCTCCGACACCTCCGGTGCCATGGAGGCGTCGGGACCTGCTTGACCGTCGGCTTCTTGGGCTTCCCGCATCTCCGCATCCTGGGGGGGGGGGTCCAAAGGTATACCAAAGACCACCGGTTAGGGCAAAGCAATGCGAACAGGGATAGGGGGAAGCAGGATGTTACAAGACGGGTGGATCGTCAGTCACATGGGCCCTAGGCATCGCACACCTTCCCACCTGCTGTCCGTCAACAGGTGTGCTCGCGCGCCCTGCAGCCGGAGCAGCCGGGGCACCGCCTCGGGAGGCGGGCGGCCTTGCTGCTGCGCCATGCCTGCACCCCCAACAACATGCGGAGCATCGTTGTTGGCAGCAATCGGAGGAGTGCGTAATACTGGAAGATCAACATACGTGGATGGAAAATCCTCAGCCCCAGCCCGGCACCCACCCTCTGTCCTCCGGTATCCCCGCAACAGCAGCAGCAGCTGCTGCTGACCGCCCCCCTGACGTCCTCGCGGCTGGCAGCGGCAGCAGCGTGGACAGCCCCCGCAGCAGCGCCCTGCCGTACCGCTGCTGCAACATCTCCCGAAACATTTCCGCAAACACAGACACCTGCGGCGGCAGCACAGGCGAGGTGGCAACAGGGCAGGATGCGGCATTACCGGTATAGCTCTTAGCATGTCGCAAGCCAGTCGTAAGTCACAAGTGGAGCCTCTCAAGGGGCTCGACATGACTTAGCTAAACGCCTTCTCAGGACGGGTACTCAGGAAGAGAAACCAATAATAACGAATGACCCAAGCTCTCCCTTAGAAATGACCAAGACATGGGCACGGATCCAAGGAAGCTCATGTTTCCCACACGCACCTCGAATGTTGCCTCCCGCGTGTCATCCTCCCGGTAGTCAAGCAGCTGCTCGATGCTGTAGCTGGTGAGCGTCACCCGCGAGGAGGAGGAGGAGGAGGAGGAGGAGTGCCCCGTAGCGGCGGACCGAGCCGGAGGGGTGAAGGTCATGGTATCCTGTGGGGTGCGGGGGGCGCGTTTGGAGGCGTGGCGGGTTTGAATGGACGCAGGATGTACGGCAACAGGCAGACGGCTGGTGGTTAGGCTGGCTAACGGTTAATCATGCGTAAAGAAACACTTGGGATTGCTAGGGACCCCCAATCCCACCTACCACGACAGGCGGGTTAGCCAGCAGCTTCCTCGCCTCCCGTGCCGCCCGCTGCGCTGCCGACAGCGCTTCCCGTGCCTCCCTCGCTCGCATGGCTGCTGCCTCGGCCGCCGCTCGCGACTCGCCCGCCGCCCGCGCCTCCACCCCCTCCTGACTATCACTGGACTCGACCTCCGCCCGCTTGCGGTCTAGGTACTCCTGTGCGTTTGAATGATAGGGAAAGGAGTAGGAAAGGAGCTCTCATCGCCATCATAATGCTCCTCGTTATGATGGCTACGAGAAGCATGCGGCTATCAGCCAGCCCGCACAGCATGAGCCCCTCCACGACGTGACAATATTACAATGACAACAACCCGGTAGCAGCCTCCCCACCTGCAGTTTGTCCACCAGCGGCTTCTTGCCCTGCAGCGGAGTCCACTTCTTGAACGCCTCCGCAAGGCCGCGCTTGTTGAGCTCCTCCTGCACGCAGCGTCACACAGGGGTGACATGGGGGTGCGGTACGACAGACGGGTTTCGAAAGGGTCTCGTGGCTTCCACCATGCCCCCGGTGCTCCCCCCCAGGACAACCAACACAGCCCTCTCAAGCCCGCCACCGCACCCCCACCTGCAGCTGTACCACCGTCAAGGACCCCGGATCCAGTGCCGCATCCTCGCCGCCCGCCGCCACCGCTTTCCGAGTCGCCTCCGCGGCCGCCTCCGCCGCTCGCCGAGCCGCCTCGTCAGCCGCCTCCACATCAAAGCGAGCGCGCTCCTCCCCGAAAACAGCATCCTGCAAGCCAAGCCCGGACACAAGGCCACCGACCCTTAACAATAAGAGCACGTCGCGGCACAATTTCTCACCACCCCCCAACATGGCGGCATATAAGGATATGAGATACACGCGCCCTTCCTTCCACAAATCGCTCGTATAGCAGCATGGGTTGTATCTCGGGCCGCGCCCACACTCCTCCCTCCAGCATCGCTTCGCACCCCCTCCCATCCCCCGCCTGCCGCCGCCCCCCTGCTGCCCCCCCTCCCCACCTGCGCCCGCGCAATCGCCTCCACCGCAGCGGGGCTGGGCTGCGCTGCCAGATGCGCATCCACGGGAATGAGCAGCACCACCCGCTCCTCCACCAGTCCCCGGGAGCGGCTGCGACCGGGACTGCTGCTGCTGCCACCCCCCAGGCCGCCAGCAGTGTTTTCAGTGCCGGGATGGAGGTGCCCCGCGGGTGCGGTGGCGGGCTGGGGCCGCATGTAGACCACCTCCGCGAACCGCACCCACTGCGGGAAGGAGGGAGGGGAAGGATACCCGAGGGAGGGAGGTGAGCATGCAGGGGGCCGGTCCGGCGGTGTTGGTTGATAGGTTGGTTGGTGTGTTGTTTGCGGTTGGGTTCTGTGGCTCTGGGGGGCCATTTGCGCACCTGCGGGTATGCCTCTGGCTATATTGGTTTGTACATACAGGAGCGAACGGGAGGATGCCGCAAAGCATGCATCGGTTCGGCTGGAAGCCCCCATCCCAACTTGCCACGGCCACGGTCAGCAATTCACGTTTTCATCACGCGACTATGTAAGTAGTACAGTAGCACATCAGGCTAGGAGCCCCGAGCTCCCACCCCTGATCCTCCTCGCACCTGGCAGCAAGGGCTGAGGTCCACTCCCGTCGCCTCCCGAAAGGTGCGTACGGCGGTGGCCACCAGCGCCGCGGGGTCACGTGCCGGGTGGCCGCCGTCCCGTGGGTCCCAGGGACCGCCCACCGCACCCAGCTCACTGGAGGAGCCGCTGCCGCCCTTGCTGCCGCTGCCGCTGTGGTGGTGGTGGTGGTGGGGGTGGCGCTTTTGGACGAGGACGCGCATCTTCCGGAGCGGGTGCTGCGAGAAGTGGGGGAGTGATGGGAGTGAGGCATGGGGGTCAAGTGGGATTCTTGCAGTAATGGGGAAGAAGACCAGGTAAGGCAGGGGAAGGGTTATGGTGGTGGACTGGTGGTGGTGCTGTGAGCGCATTAAGAGATGCGAATGGGAGGATGAACATCCGAGACACCGGCACAGGAAGCGGCTCAGAGTGTATAAACAGCCTGCATCCGAGCCTACCTGGAACACCTTGGCATCCTCCGAGTATAGCGCCTGGAAAGGCATGGCGTGGACAGGGGGTGGTAGTGGTTGGAAAGTCCGTGTTTGGCTGGGCCACAGGGTATAGTCATGCTTATTGGGTCAGTAACATCAGGACAGGTAGGTGACAAGGTAGGAGGGTGAATTCAGCACCACCGCAAGGACAAAGGTGAGCATGTAAGAACCGACTACCAAAGAACCCAACCCCACGCGCATAGGCGGCATAGCTACCGCACCTGCCCGGATACTCCGCTCAGCAGCATCACACGCACACTCCACCGTCGCCCCGACGCAACCTCCGCAGCACTGAGCAGCGGTCGTCTGGGCGGCGATGTAGACGCCCGACCAGCACCGCCACCACCCGCGCCGGAGGAGGTACCCGCAGCAGCAGCAGCGCCGTCAGCAGCAGCAGCAGCAGCACCGTCAGCAGCTGCGGTCGGCCTGGACTCTGGACTTGCAGCTGAGGCGTCGGCAGCTGCTGCTGCTGCAGAGGAGGATGCGATGTCAGCGGGGGCTGCTGCTGCTGCTGTTGCGTGGCCCCCGGCTGTGGAGACTGCTGCTCCCGGGGCAGCAAAGACAAAGTCTATGGTGTTGGTGAGCGGCAGGGGCGCATGCTCGGGCAGGGTTTCCAGCCAGGTGGCTTCCAACCTGTGCAACAAGGCGGAGCAGGAGGGGCGGCGAAAAACGCGGTGTCAAAGTGTAACGTTGGCACATGCACGCTGGCCCATTCCTCCGCTGCTGCAGCAGCAGCAGCGCAGCAACAGCGGTACTGAGACCTGTACCACCCGCACCGTTTCGCAACCCCAACCCCTTTCTTCCCACTCCCTCTCCAACACGCAACCCAGCGTAAACCCCCACCCCATCCCAGTGCCCCCTGCCAGTCCAGACACGTAGCCCTGGTTTCCATCTCCCCACCCTCACCGCCAACCTCCACCTCCGCGCCTCCACGCCTTATCACACGTTTCCTCTTAATCCTCACCTCCGCGCCTCCAAACCCACCTGCAAAAGTCCGAGGGAATGTACAGGCGCTTGTAGCGCTTGCTGACCGTCGCCAGCCCACGAAACCGCTCCCAAGTGTGGAACTTGGGCGGCCGGACGGCGTAGCGCGCCCCCGACCCGCCCCGCGGTGAGGCGCTGCGGCTCCGCGTCCTGCTCCTGCTGCGACTTCGCGAGCTGGTGCCGGAGGAGGTGGAGGAGCGGGAGCTGCAGGGGTCAGGGATCAGGCGGACAGCGGGGGTGGCAGGCAAGGTGAGGCATGAGTGAGGCATGCAGGGCGTGTGTAAAAAACGTGGCGTGTGTGTTTTGAGACGTTTGCAAACAGACCTATAAGCAAAAGCCTCAAAACCGCCGCTTCCCGCAGGACGGCGTGCATCTCCTCAAGGCACTACCTTTTTGGCTGCAAAGCCACAGCGCTGCCGCCAGGCCCCGGTGTGTTGGTGTGTTGAGAAAACTGGCCGCAAAATAACCGCCTTTATCCTCATCCTCGGAGGTGCAAACACCCCCAAAATCCGACCCGAACCTACCTAGAGCTTGAGCGAGAGCTTGACCTCGACCTTGTTCTCCTCCGTCGGTCTCTTTCCCGGTCGCGTTCCCGCTCCCGCTCCCTCTCTCGATCTCGCTCCCTTTCCCTCTCTCGATCCCGCTCCCGGTGTCTATCCGGCTCCCCTTGCGCCCGCCCCCAGCCCCGCCTGCTGCCCCGATCCACATTCGCAGGGGGCGGCTGAACGGCTGGCTGGTAGGCCTGCTGCTGCTGCTGCTGCCCCGTGAAGCCCAGCCCCACGTTGCCCCGCACTCCCACCGGGTCCACAGGCGCCACGATGCCCTGCAACAAAGGCCGGGACCACCAGGGAAACACATGGGCAGGAGCGGTTATGACAGCAGCACGACAGCAGTACGTATGACACGGCCGTGACAGTGTAGCACACCTACAACGTTGGCGACACGTGCACGCACACGTGTAAACCGTTGTGCATGACAGTGCATGCATGCATGTACGGACATGGAAAGGAAACGTGACAAATTAGCAGCAGCAGGGGGTACCCGGCTTCTCTCCACACACACACTTTGCAAGACCAAAGGACACCTGCAACAGTGTGCACCGGCGCTGTCGGAAGTGCCGTCCCACCTGCTCATTTCTCCCCAAGCCGCCCTTGCTGCCCTCCGCAGATCCAAACCCCATCTTTGCCAGCAACCGGGCTCCGACTCCCGACGGGTCGCCGAACGACGCGAGCTGCTGCACCGCATTCTCAGCACGCCGTCGCTCCTCCTCCGTCAGCGAGGGCGCCGGCTTGGCGAAGGGCGCCACCTTTAACGTAGCGGGCGTCGCTGCAATCGCAGTCGCCGCGCTACCCGAGCCCTCAACCGCATTCGCCGCCACTGCTAGCGCCACATCAGCGGTGTACGACACAACCGGTGGCGGCGCAGAGTTATACTTGGCCTTGTCCCCAGCTTGCCCTGCACCACCACCTCCTCCTCCTGCACCGCCTCCTGCACCACCTCCGCCAGCGCCACCGCTCCCGGCTGAACCGATCGCGCCACGTGCAATGGGCCCGTTGGGTCGAATGACAGTCGTCCCACGGGTGCTGCCAACGCCGCCGCTACGCGTGCCTGGGAGGGCCCCTCCTGCCCCTGCAGGGAGGGCTTGGGAGGTGGAGGCACCGGCGGCGGCAGCTGCAGCGGCTGCTGCTGCCGCGCCGCTGCCCCCGCCTCCTCCTCCTCCTCCGCTCACATCGAGCTCCACCTGGCTTATGCGCCAGGTGTACTGCCCGCCGTCCGTGTTGGGGTTGCCCTCGCACCGCACCCGCTGACCCACCTGCAGCACGGGCATGGGCAGGCGCGGCAAGGGCGAGGCAACGTAAGGCAACACGGGATTTGGTGAGCGGTAACGTGAGTCACGAGGCGGCGGCGGAAATGGCAGGATAACCAAATCACAGCGAAGGGGGCGCATGACAACAGGGCTGCTGGCCGTTTTGTTCCCCTGCCCACGCTGCCCTTTGGTGAGGCGAGCCGAGAGGTGGAGCTCTCCAAACGGGGAACGGGGAACGAACCAAGCGGGAAGCCACCTCCCTCCCTCCGTGTCCCTCACCTGGGGCAGCTGTCCGATAACGACCGAATTGTGGTAGAAGGAGTCCCCATCCACAATACCATAGTTGGGCGGAATGATGCTGGTCACAGTGCCTGTCCAGACCTGAGGAGGGGAGGAGTCGCACGGGCGACAAGATCATATAACGGGTCGGTAGGCAGCCGTGGAGTATGTGATCCGGCCTGGCATGCCCGACGGGCACTTCCCCCTCCATCTTGCCTTTTATCACCCCTGTTACCCTCCGACAGGACAACACCCCATTGCCGCGCCCCAGGGCCTCGGCTTCCAGCTGCGTGCCGCGAAACCCATCTATCAGCTAGATCCATTAGATCCAACCGCTAGATCCAGCTAGGTCGGGTTTCAAATGCTAACCACGGAGAATTCCCGCCATGCTTGGCAAGGCTAGGCCCACCTGGCCGGGCCGTACTACCAGGGTCTTTGCATCAGGAAGGCACGTTCACCTTGCCGGCACGTCCCCCTCTGCACGAACCCTCTTCCCCCCACACACGGCCGGGCAATGACACGGCCCGCCAAAGGAAGTCGAAGGGTCCAGGACTCCGACGCGGACGCCGACAGCCAGGACTCACCCTTTTAGACTGAGTCCTCGCGGCTGCTTGTGCGTAGTAGTTAGCTGCCGACTGGGCTTGCTGCTGTTGCTGCTGCACCGCCTGCTGTTGGGGCTGCTGCAGGTACCCTGGCGCATACGCCTGGGCGTATACGGGTTGCTGCTGCGGTGCCCCGGGAGCCTGCCCCACCTGCTGGCCCTGCTGGGAGGAGGGCCAGGGAGGGGCTGTAGCCGTGCCCGGCTGGGCGTAGGCCTGCTGCTGCGTTTGGTACTGGGGTTGCTGTTGCTGCTGGGGAGGCTGTGCTTGTTGCTGGTATGCCGCCTGGTAGGCGGAGGGATATGCAGGGGCGGTGGGTTGGGGTTGTCCAGCGGCTACCCCAGCTGCAGCCCCGGCATAAGCTGGCTGCCCCTGCGGGGGTGCGCCTTGTTGGACGTAGTACGCCTGCTGCGCCTGAGATTGCGCGTATGATGGACCGACATAGGGGGGTGAAGGAGCGCTTTGCGCCTGCGGTTGTTGCTGCCACTGCTGTGGTTGTTGAGACGACTGAGGAGGAGCTTGTTGCGGCTGTTGAGCGGGTGCATATGCCGCGTAACTGGCCGCCCATGCCGAAGCTGGCTGCTGCGGCTGCTGCCCACTCATGGGCCTTTAGAGCTTTTAATTGTCAACTTTATGGTGCAAGCAAGGTCACAAGGGCGCCTGCGCGGCTATCCAGAACCTCCACGGCTCATGCTGAGTTTCAAACAGTGAACTGAAGTCAACTTGTGATTGCTATGAGATGTTATGTCATGCTTGTATCACTAAGTTAGTCTATGAGTTTCTTTAGGTGTAGCGTTGTGGGATGTGACTGATCAAAAAGTCCCAACTTGACGAGCTCGATTTGTACAGCCCACAAAGTAACTACCGCGCAGGATCGCCTTTGCAAACACAAAGAGTATACTAATACAAATTGCTTACATAGGTTACTGCCTTGCGAAAATAGCCGAAGTCGGGAGCTAATCGGGCGGGAGACACAATGGCTGGGAGCTGGTTCCCCGGCCACATGGCGAAGGCCATGAGGCAGATGAGGGAACGCCTTAAATATGTTGATCTTGTGGTTGAAGTCCGCGATGCCCGGGTACGTCGACACATCGCGGCACAGAAGCTACGCTGCTGCGAACTGGACGAATGAGGAAACGAGAAGGGTTTTGCTAGGGCTTTGCTTAACCTATTTACTCCTCAGTTATCTGTATAGTATTATCGCCCCGCCAGTGACCCACGGGTGCACGAAAGACAGCCGGTCCCTTTCTTACCAATCATACACGCCACTCCGCACAATAAGCATGCCGCCGGTCAGCAAGTCCATGCTGCCCGTCTACTGCACACCACCTCATAGTACCTGGTGCTCCTCCTCCAGGTCCCCTTCTCCTCCGCCAACCCTGACCTGGACACCCTCGCCCGTCACAAGCGGCGCCTGGTGGTCATGAACAAGACCGACCTCGCAAACCACACCGCTACCAAGGTACCGGTATTGTGGGCCTCCTGCGCTTACCGCATGGTAGACGCGTGGGTTGTGTACTGCACATAACACGCGCACAACGCGGCACGTGGCAGCGCTGGCCAAGACCGCAGCTACACACACACCTATTCCTGCTGCTGCTGCCGCACGTCATTTCTCATCTACCGGTACTTCCTTCCCACCCGTCAGGCTGCATGCGCCCAGCTGCAAGACCAGGGGCTGCGAGTGCTGCCCTGCGTCGCCCTGAGAGACGGCAGCGCGAACAAGGTGGGGTGCGCAGGATGGCTACAGGCGCGTGTCCTTCGGCTGTTGTTGTTGGTGGTGTTGCGTCCTGTCGTCCTGTGTCATGCGGCGATGTCGCGACCTGATTGATGCCGCGCGCTGTGTCCGAAGTCGAGGGCCGCGGTATGTCCCCAGCCTAGGAGCAGTTCCTACCGTAATAGTAATACTTTCCTTTCTGAGTAGGCTCCTGGCACAACCAACGACCCTTGCTGTCTTCTGCACCTGCGTTTCCCTGCTGCTGCTTCCCCTGCTGCTGCTTTCCCCGTTCCTGCTGAGGCTTCCTGCTGTTACTGTTACTTCCCCTGTTACTTCCCCTGCTGCCTCCCCTGCTGCTGCTGCGCCAGGTGTTGTCGGAGGCGCTGTCCTGGCTGCAACGTGAGCGCCCGGGCAGCGACATGAGCATCATAATGGTGGCGGGCATGCCCAACACGGGCAAGAGCTCGCTCATCAACGCGCTCAAGAGGGCAGCCAAGCGGCATGGTAGGGTTGCATAGCAGCGTAGGGTAGGGGGTAGGGGCTAGGGGGTAGTTGCATGCTTGTGTGGGATGTTGGCAGGTGCTGCATGAAAGGATACCAAATTGAGGTGGCAAAGAATGGCATGTGAGGGTGTGCACGTGCATGCATGCGTGCAGGGTTACTGGAGGGCGAGCAGGCGTACAACAAGACGGCGAGGGCGGGGCCGCTGCCTGGCGTCACGCTACACATGGGCGGCTTCAAGGTGCGTGTGTGGGGTAACTAGCAACTAAACATCACTACACCACCAACAACAACAACAAAAGCAACACATATGGTGACCTTGTGCGAGGCTCAGGCTGGAAAGGCAAAGAGCAGGGCGCAGGGAAGTGGTGGGGGTGTTGCCTGTCTCTGCCGGTACCTCTGTATGCGTCCCCGCTATCTTGCCCGCACCGCCCTGCCGCAACCGCCCTGCCCGCCCATGCACCCGCCCCATGCACCCGCCCATGCACCCGCCCATGCACCCGCCCATGCACCCGCCCATGCACCCGCCCCATGCACCCGCCCATGCACCCGCCCCATGCACCCGCCCATGCACCCGCCCCATGCACCCGCCCCATGCACCCGCCCATGCACCCGCCCCATGCACCCGCCCCATGCACCCGCCCATGCACCCGCCCCATGCACCCGCCCCATGCACCCGCCCATGCACCCGCCCCATGCACCCGCCCCATGCACCCGCCCCATGCACCCGCCCCATGCACCCGCCCCATGCACCCGCCCATGCACCCGCCCATGCACCCGCCCCATGCACCCGCCCCATGCACCCGCCCCATGCACCCGCCCCATGCACCCGCCCCATGCACCCGCCCCATGCACCCGCCCCATGCACCCTCCACACACTGCAGGTATGTCGCAGTCCGCTCGTCTACGTGTTGGATACCCCCGGGGTGCTGTCTCCCTCGCTGCGGGACGCGGCGGTGGCCACCCGGCTGGCGCTTGCGGGGCTGGTGCCCACGGGGGGAACCACGGGAGGGCCGGACGAGGGGACGCTGCTTCGGAGCCTAGTGCAGGTGGGGGTGCAGGGCGGAGGGCTGAAAGGGCAGGCAGGTGGTGGGAAAGGGCATGTGGAAAACGGCTTGGCAGGTGGAATGCGGAAGGTGCGAGCGCAGGCGTGCTTTGATGTGTGGCAGTCAAGCGCCAAAGACGTCACCCTGCGCCCTGTCCTGATCCCCTATCCGTCGCCGCCTTCTTCCCCTCTCCAGTTGTTCATGACGAGCCGGGAGCACCGACGGCAGCTCTGGTGCGTTGCGGATGGCCAAATTACACCGCCCGCGCTCGCAGCCGATTCCGCCGCCGCCGCTGCTTCCAGAAACCGTAACGAACGAAGCGAGGGCGAGGGCGAGGGCAGCGGTGTCGACTTTGGTGCCATGCGAAGAGAGGCTCGAGCGCTGCGTATTGCGAGGTTGCTGTACGACGTGGTTTCGCTGCCTAGCCTGCCGCCGCCGGCGTGGCATCCGGGGGTGGATGAACGGGGGCAAGATGAGGAGGAGGGTGGTGGTGGTTTCGGTGAGATGACGCAGGAGGGGAGATGGCGGAGAGGTGCAGGGGATGCTGGGAGGTGCAATAGCAGTAGCAGCGGTAGCGGAAGCGATGGATTCCTGGCTGCTGGGGCGCCGGCGAGGGGTCCAGGCAGTGTCGCGGATGCTGAGCGGAGGTTGGGGGAGCTGCTGCGGCGGATGTCCCGAGGGGAGGCGATTGATGTGGGGCGGCGGACGGCGGCGTATCGGTCGGTGCTGGAGGCGTTTCGAAGCGGCGCGTTGGGGAGGTATACGCTGGATGATGTGGGAGAGGAGGTGGGGCGAGGGGAGGAGGAGGAGGTGGGGAGAGGTGGGGCGTTGGGGTTGCGAGAACGGGGAGGGAGGGAAGGGTAGGGTAGGGTGTAGTGATTGGAGCTCGGCGGGTGGTGAGGGAGGGAAGGGTGAATGCGGGGAGGCGTGGCTCGACATTTTGTTGACCAGGCTACCGTGCTCTTGGGCAGGAAGACAGCAATGGAAGCAGCGGATCGGCATGCGGCCCCGGGCGATGTGAGCGCCTGATGGCAGTGCCGGACGGGTGTGGGGAACATGCAACACGGTGTGCCGGCCTGCATGAACTGGAGAACTGGGAGCGCGCATGCACGGGGGTGGGCATGTGCGGCCACCCTGAAGATGCTAGCAGGCTCCTTGTAGCTGCTTTCGCCTTCTGTGCATGGTAGCAGAAAACAACTGGCCTGAGCTTTATGACTCAAGCTCAACTGGCTTAGGTTGGGGATGCAAACATGGAGTGATCCGTTCAATTCCAGGTAGGCCCGTATCTAGCCGCGTTTCCGGAAACCGATGTGCGTACTTCCTTGCACCTTCCATCGTCCAGCTGGACGAGCGCTGAAGGGCTGTGAAGTGCTCGAAATTGCTGACAATGTTACACGTTACAGCGCTGTGAAAGCAAACAGATTTATAAAAGCCAACCTGCCAGGTAAACTCGGTAGCTAGGCACAATCAGGGTGTCGGACTGGTCGAGCTGGACTAGTTCGTACTTGCTCGTCAGGAAGCCGAACGGCGCATTCTTGCGGCAAGATGCATGTTGCAATACACGAGAATCAGCACAGGCAACCTGTATGTTTAATCTTAACTTAGCTAGATCAGGCTGTTGTTGTGTGCGAGGTGTGCGACAGGGTCGTCCCTATCCGTAACAGTCCTATCCGTTTGTACACTAGCCAGCCAGCTAGCCTACCACAGCCTCCTCCACAGTACATTTATAGTAACCGCACATGAGCGTGGCTCCCATAGGCTTTCTCCCCACCTTGCTTGTGACCGTAGTACCTCAGAAAATGGTGCTTCATGCACAGCCTCAAGCGATCCGCAACGTGTGAGCCTAGGCGCCCCGCGTGTGCACGCCCGCCCATCCATAAACTTCCTACGGGGCCCCAGGCAGGAGAGGTTGCGTTCAGCCCCCTGCCGAGAGTAATAGCAGCGGATGCAGGGTTGCGTTTCGAGCAAAGAGGACACCGTGGTATAGCCAGGGGCATTGTGCTAATGGCACGCGGCTCAGTGTGTTTCTGCCGTGTTCGCCTTCTTATACGGTAGTTTGAGCCACACCATGCGTGTTCCGGCGTTGTTTCTGGGTTCGCATGCATGGATTGCAACGTATGTGCACCAGTACTAAAATGTACTCCCAACGGGGCTATTGCGCTGGGTTTTACCCATCCACAGCTTGCCAAACCGAGTACTACCAAATACTGATTGCAGTGTTGGGTAGGCTTCAGTACATGCGCCTCCTTGCTTCCACTACCACCGAACTATGAAAGCGGTCATTGATTAAGTTCAGGGCTTCACGGAAAAGCCAGCTCCTGCTGCCATCTTCAGCCCAGTTCACGTGCGACTGTGACAAAACTCAGACGCCGGCACACAGCCTCACCAGTTTAAGGGGAATGATAAGCCATGATGATGATGATGATGATTGTAACCTGAACTCATCTGCTCATCTCCCCTTGGCAGCACCACCACTTCTAGGTAGCTGCAGCATGGGAAACTCTGCACGATGCCGCCGCACCCACCCGTACGCCCTGTACGATGCACGTACGGCAGCCGTGTACGGCGCATCGGCACACGGCCAGGGGTTCTCCCAGTCTTGCCTCAGTGCCGGCAGCGGGGGTGGCGTCCAGCTGCCCAATGCGCCCACATCGCCCCCGCGGGCATCTGGAGTGTCTAAATATGCGTAAGGCCCGACAGAGGATCGAGGCAGCGGTACCCATTTGGCGCTTCCGTCGGCCTTGGCGGCGCGGTAGGCGCGGGTGGCGGATGTTGCCAAACCGAGGTCCCGGCGTTTAGCAGCTGTCTCCGCCGCCACCTCCGCCCGCTGACCCGCCGCCCCCGCTGCCCGCTTGAGCTGCTGCGCGCACAGCCGCTCCAGGGCGGGGTGGCGGTCCAGGGGCACGCCAGCGTCCAGGGCCTGTGGGGAGGGAGGAGGGGGCATGGAGGGAGGTGCGACCCAACAATGAGAAAGGGTGGGATGCAGAAGGGAGAGGATGGAGTAACGGGCGAAATGGGCACAAGAAGGAGGGATCAAGGGTCACAAATCCACACACCATACCACCCTCCCACTCCCCGCCACTCCCCGCCCCCCACACCTGCAGATACACCTCCATCTCCTCCACCGGACAGCCCCCAGCCTCCTCCTTCGCTGCAGCAGAAACAGTGGAAGGCACCAGCGGACACATTCCCTCCGGGTCGCCGCTGCCCCCCGCAGAACCACTCCGGCCCACCGCCACCTTCTCCTTCTTCGCCCCTCCAAGCACCTCCGTAGCAACCTCCTCATCGCCCCATGACCACACCAGCCCTTTTGCATCCTCCTTGCTTCCCCTCCTCCTGCGACCTCCGGCTGCTGCCGCCCGCTGCCGCCACTCCCGCCGCGCCTTCGCCAGCCACTGGTCGGTGGTGGGGGGCAGCTGCGCGGGAGCGGACACGTTCCAGCGGAGGCGGGAGCGGGGGAGGTGCCCGCTGGAGGAGGTGGAGGTGGCGGCGTTCCCGAGGGACGAGGAGGCGTTGAGGGGTGTGACTGACAGGATGCGCAGCGAGGAGTCGGGTACGCAGTAGTCCCAGGGCACTCCGCGGGTGGGGCCGGGGTTGTCGTGATCCAAGAAGAAGTTAGCCCACCTGGGGCCATGAGGGGCAGTTGGGGGAGAGTGGAGTGGAGAAGAAACGTCGTTGAGAAGGGAGCTCATCATGGTAGGCTGGTGACGGAAAGTGTAAAGGAGATAGCTACTAGTACTACATGTTGGGAACAATGGGAGCGGAGGCACAAGCCATGGAACACGAGTCCGCTCTCACTTCCTCAGAGGGCCGGTTCGGGATGGGTCTGGTAGCCTCTGCATGCAGAACCCTTACAGCAGCCCGCCCCCTACCTCTGTGCCATGGGCGCTGTCACGACCTCCACGACACGCGGCTCGTGCTCCTGTCGGAGCTTGTCAATGGTGCGGTGCAGGAAGGCGGGCCGCACCAGCCCTGTAAGAGGCACCAGCAGCGATTCACCCGGGCGAACAGGACGGCCAGGGGGAGCGGCAGCGGCAGGGACTGGTGTCGTGGTGCCGTTGACCATGCTTCCGTACACGTACGGCACGTCTTCTATGTTTTGTACGAAGCCCGCCAGCAGCCAGCCGGGTCCGGCTGTCCTGGTTGCCTTGGTGAGGAGCTTGTCGGGAGACCAGTGGAGGAAGGCGGCTGGATACGAGAGGGAGGATAACGGGAGGGAGGAGACAGACAGAGGTTGGAAGCAGCGTGGAGTGTGAAGGTGTGAAGGCGGTCATGGGGTGAGAGTCCATGTCTGCTCCCTCTGTGTCCTCCCTCCACCCCTGCCTCCCTCCCTCCCGCGCCCCCCTTCCTCGCACCTGGCGGCACCGCCACCTGTCCGAAGCAGTGCGCCTTCCCGACCGCTGCGAATGCCAGCCAGAACGAGTCCTTGTCTCCCCACAGCAGCGGCTTGTTGGCGTCCGGGTGGCGGTTGAGCAGCAGCAGCGCCTCCAGCACGTCCAGGTGCCGGGAGCGGTCCAGCAGCAGCTGGCCGCTCTCACTGTCGCGACGACCCGCACCGCGACCCAGGCGGAGAACGGACTGCGGGGGTGGGTAAAGGAGCAGCGAAGGAGGGGGGCCATGCCTGACATCAATGCGCCCGCCTCTGTCGCATACAAGATGCATGCAGGGGACACAGCCTGGCAATCCCATGGCCCGAGACTTGTATGAACGTAGGTCCCCTAGTTGATCCCTGACCTCATGACTTCATGAGTCGACGTGCCCACCCGATGCTGCCAGCCTTCCCTACCTCCGCACGGTCTCCATTCATGCCGTACATGCCGAACACCGCCCGGTCCGCCAGACCCGTCCAAGCGTCCGGCCAGAACAGACTGCACACACAACGTTGGATGTGGGTGGTGAATCGGGCCATGCCAGTACTGGGCGGGGAGAAGCGCATTGGGCTTACGGGAAGGGGCCGAACCCTACTGTCATGCCGCCCACCCGCCCGCCTGCCGTACCTGCCGTACTGTACGAACCGCGGGTCGTCAAACAGCGCCGCGGGGTCCAGCAGCGGCAGCGAGTCTGCGTCCAGCATGAGCACCTCCCTGAAGCGCGACACCGCCAGCGCATACACCTTGCCGCTGTAGGAGGTGGCGTCGAAGCGCTCCCCGTGCAGCCCCCTGACCGGGTGCGGCGTGTCCCGCACGTTGATGCCGCGCAGGGGGGCGAAGTGGCGCTCCAGGGAGGCCCACGTGGCCGCATCCATCTCGCCCGAGCCCTGCCACGCCACCTCCACCGGCAGGCCGCACCTGAAGTGCCGCCGCAGCACGTGCAGCGTGGCGATCAGGTTGGTCAGGTAGCGCGAGCCGCCCGCGCTGATCAGGATGCCGCGACCGCCGGAGGAGGCGATGGAGGCGGCGCGAGCCTGGAATGGATGGGGCGCCATGCAGTGGTGGCAGGCATGGGATGCGGAGGGATGAGTTACAGGGTACATAGCCACAAACCACGTGCTTCCGATCCAATCATGCACACATGCATGACTTTATCCATGCCCTCTATACTTCACCCTACTCAGCCCTCCTCTTGCAACGACCCACGGGTCTCTCTCTCACTCGGTACTCCGGGCTGCGAATGTAGTCCACCACTCGCCGGTGGTAGGCCTCCAGATCCGGACCCTTGCTGCTGACTGGCCCCAGGAAGGGACCCACCTTCCGGCACTCCGCACGACGGATATCACCCCCCCTGCTGCTTTCCGCTGCTGCTCCTTCTCTTCCCGCCCCCGCCCCTGCCGCTTCCACCCTCTCCCTCAGCTCCCGCGGCAGCCCCAGCCGCCAGTCGGGGTCCTCCGCGGCCAGGGGCAGCAGGTCCGGGGCGCCGGGCAGGAAGTCGGAGGCGGAGAAGGAGGCGCAGCGACGACAGGAGTCAAGGGGCATGAAGGCGGCTGGTGCCTTGGTGGTAGGTGCAGGGGTAGACGTGGTGGTGGTGTTGGCGGTGGTTGAGGAGGTGGCGGTGGCTGCGGTGGCGGAGGTTACAGTACCGGTGGGTTTGGTGTTGGATGGCTTAGCAGCTGCTGTTGTCTGGGCCGCAGCTATTTCAGACAGCACATCGCTCAAGTTGGCCACGCGGTGTGGATGTTTGAGACGTGGAAGGCGGTGCTGCTGGTTGCGGGCTGCTGGAGGCGGCGGGGGGCTGCTGTTGGTGGAGGGAGCGTCGCTGGCAGCAACTACTGCTGCGGGTGCAGTAACTGCTGCTGCTGCTGCTGTTGTGGTGTTCCTGCTGTTGTGCGCCTGCTCCGACCCAGTTCGGGTTGCTGACTGGGAGGCTGTGGAGGTGAAGACAGGTGAACACATGCAGGGGCAAGAAAGAAATCGCATGGCCTGCAGTGCAATCTGGTAACGGTATAAGCTATCAGCGCCCCGGAGGGCTGTCGCTGCCTGGTACACGCCATGTGGGGCGTATCGATGGGGGAAAGCCCCCAAGCCCCAACCTCCCTGTCCCAAACCTCGTTATGAGGTTATCCGGTAAACCTTCCGCGCTCTAAATTCTATCAGCCAGGAGTAATAGACAGCAGGTCTCACCTGTCACGGCGCCTGCGGTCCCCCGTGAAGTGCTTAGCGCGACGTCTGTACCCATGGTACGTGTGTTGGCGGTGCGGGTATGGTGGTCAAAGTGATGGCTCGACTGCCAGAGCGCCATAATGGAAACGAGCCCAATAGATAAGGATAAGACAGCTGATGTTCGCAAGCCACCGTGTCTACTCCTGTTGCCGCTGCCGCGTGTACGTGCGTTGCCATCGGTTCCGTCCCGGTCATCAAAGCGCGCTGGGTTTGATGACCGCATAATGCGATATAAAAAGAGGTGCCTGTAAGTCTATTAGCCCATCATCGCGATAAGGCACGTGTCGTCCTGCGCGACATTCCAACTAGCCATCCTCCAAGGTGGGGCATTGAAGCTAATCGCCCAAGGGGTAGGCAACGAGTAGCGCGTGTTTGTCCTATGTGTGCCGTGCAAGGGGCGCCTGGGAGAGTGGAGGACGAGAAACACATCCTCATTGAATGTCCCGCTTACGATGATTTGCGAGAAAAGATATGGGAAAGTGGTGTCTCACGAGATGCTGATATGATGTCTATCATGGGCATGGAGGATCAGGCATTGCTTGCTAGCGTGATCACTAGCATACGAAGTCGGAGGATTGCGCAGACAGGGTTCATCATCTGAGTTGCGTACTACGTTTCGTGACATAAGTTTACTTTTCTTCTTTTGTTTGTTAACGTGTTTTGTGCTCGCGATCCATGAGCCTTCTGGCTCGGACGGATCTTACGAGCTCGGTACGAAGCTTGTAACATACATACATACATACATACATACATACATACATACATACATACATACATACATACATACATACATACATACATACATACATACATACATACATACATACATACATACATACATACATACATACATACATACATACATACATACATACATACATACATACATACATACATACATACATACATACATACATACATACATACATACATACATACATACATACATACATACATACAGACATACATACATACATACATACATACAAGGTTCAAACTGGAACGTAACTGCTGCCATATCGCGATATGCTTTTGGAGGCTTTTGATGACTGTGGGTTGCAGTGAAAACTGCAGCGTTCGTAAACTTGCATTCGAATCATGAAAAACTGCTGCGGTTATAGTTTGCAATCTATATCACGGTTGACAGCTTACATCGTTGCTTAGGCAACTGGTCTATCAAATGCTGGGGAAACGGGCAACTCGGATGGAAAGCAGGCAAAGCACCGCTAGCCGTTGGAACGCCGTGCTCGTCGAAACTGTATTCGCTTCACTTTGTGCTGATCAACTTCTGCGATATATGTGTTCAATAACATATGGTGTTCACTTCAATAAAATTCATACTTGGTGTTGTAAGGGAAAGCCGCGACCCGCGAGCTCTTCGGTTTGCAAGTTGACGTTATGTAATCAAACCGCAGTAAACCAAGGACATTGAAGGCATGCTGTAGTACGCTACTTCCAATGGATAGCTATCATTCCGCAGGTCCTGTCGACCGACAACACACCGATGGCCGCATGCCAACGCGCAGCAGTGGCGGCACGGGCCGTCGTGGCAGCATGCGAACATCAGTTCTGTTATTCGCACCGCTTGGTCTTGTTTCTGCTCTAGCGCTCTTGCAATCGACCCATCATTTCCAGCACCATGCCCAGAACAGCAGCCATCGTAGCGGGGATGCGGACTTGGATCTTGATGGCTCGCAAAGCAAGGCGGGGAAGCCATCAGGTGGGACCTGGGTTCACCGCTATTGTTTGCTCATTGCAAGGCAATTGACAGCCAGCATCCTAAAGAGAACACCCTCTGCCCTGCCTCCGTCTCTCATCCACCCCTTCCTGCCTTTCCTACATACCCCCCCTCGCCTCACAATCCCAGCCGATGCTTGGTCGGGGCTGTGGCAGCACAAGGGCAGTAACACCGCAGCAGCTGCTAAACCATCTGCTAACGTCCAAACGCCGTCTATCATCACCACAACCAGCAGCACCCTGCCTCCGATAACTCGTCATCGTCGCCGTCGCCGCCGTCTATCGCAACCGACCCCGTAACCTCACACCCCTTCTGGGTAATGTCACCCAAACGGTTCTCCACACCTCTGTGTCTGCTGCTGCGTCTTCCCCGTCCCTTGACTCCTGTCGTCGCTGCGCCTCCTTCTCCGCCTCCGACTTCCTGCCCGGCGCCCCGGACCTGCTGCCCCTGGCCGCGGAGGACCCCGACTGGCGGCTGGGGCTGCCGCGGGAGCTGAGGGAGAGGGTGGAAGCGGCAGGGGCGGGGGCGGGAAGAGAAGGAGCAGCAGCGGAAAGCAGCAGGGGGGGTGATATCCGTCGTGCGGAGTGCCGGAAGGTGGGTCCCTTCCTGGGGCCAGTCAGCAGCAGCGATCCGGAGCTGGAGGCATACCACCGGCGAGTGGTGGACTACATTCGCAGCCCGGAGTACCGGGTGAGAGGGAGACCCGTGGGTCGTTGCAAGAGGAGGGCTGAGTAGGGTGAAGTATACGGTAGAGGGCATGGATAAAGTCATGCATGTGTGCATGATTGGATCGGAAGCACGTGGTTTGTGGCTATGTACCCTGTAACTCATCCCTCCGCATCCCATGCCTGCCACCACTGCATGGCGCCCCATCCATTCCAGGCTCGCGCCGCCTCCATCGCCTCCTCAACAAACATGCCATCACGCGTAATGACATCACTCGTCAATGCAAAATAACCAAGTTACATCGAACAGTATCCAAACAAGGGTAGCGTTTTAGCACACTCACTCGCGCAATGCTCAGTTCCAGCGCTGACAACACACCTGCTGCAGGACCCTCCAATACCCATGACTCCATTCATTTGTTGCCCCCCCCCTCCCCAATGCGCTTCGACCGTTCCCGTCCATCCCAGTGCTTCAAGGCTTGAGTCTAGAAAGCATGCAGGGCAACCTCAGCTTTTCCCCAGCATGGGAAACTCCCTGCGGTGCCGCTGCACCCAGCCGTACGCCCGGTACGACGCACGTACGGCAGCCATGAAGGGCGTCTCGCCACACGGCCAAGGCTGCTCCCAGTCGTACCGCACCGCAGGCAGCGGGGGCGGCACCCCGCCCAGCGCCCCCACATCGCCTCCGCGACCGTTCTCCGTGTCCAGGTAGGCGTAGGGCCCCACGGAGGAGCGAGGCAGGACCACCCAGTCCGCACTGCCATCGGCCTTGGCGGCGCGGTAGGCGTCGGTGGCGGCCGTTGCGGCGCCCAGCCCCCTGCGGCGTGCAGCTGCCTCCGCCGCCCCCTCCGCCCGCTGCCCCGCCGCCCCCGCTGCCCGCCTGAGCTGCTGCGCGCACAGCCGCTCCAGGGCCGGGTGGCGGTCCAGGGGCACGCCGGCGTCCAGGGCCTGCGGGGGAGGGGAGGAGGGGGCAAGGGGGGCATGGAAGGAGGTGCGACCCAACAAGATTAGATACGGTACCATGCAATATCCCCGTCAGGCCGCTGGGCTTATCGCCCATCATGCGAATATCTACCGGTGATGGGAATGACAGTCAGGGGAACATGAGGAAGGGGAACAGGAGGAAGGGGAACAGGAGGAAGGGGAACAGGAGGAAGGGGAACAGGAGGAAGGGGAACAGGAGGAAGGGGAACAGGAGGAAGGGGAACAGGAGGAAGGGGAACAGGAGGAAGGGGAACAGGAGGAAGGGAGAAGTCCCACAGCTGAGCTGCCTCCCACTACCTGCTCCCACTGCCCCTGCTCCCCCACCTGCAGGTAGGCCTCCATCTCCTCCACCGGACAGCCGTCAGCCCCTTCCGCTGTCAAAGAAGGCGCCAGAGGACATGGGCCCATATCATCCTTGTCGGTCACACTCTCTCTGGTTGTGCCGTTCCCGCCACCCAGCCCTGCAACTACACCACCAGCAGTGCCGCCTCGATCACCACTCGGCGGATGCCTGTCACCCTTCGACCCACGCCACCGCCCCAACCACCCATTCCCGCTCGCGCTCGCGCTCGCCCATTCCGTAAACGCCTCCTCATCGCCCCACGCCCACACCAGCCCGATCTCATCCTCCTTGCTTCCCCTCCTCCTGCGACCTCCGGCTGCTGCCGCCCGCTGCCGCCACTCCCGCCGCGCCTTCGCCAGCCACTGGTCGGTGGTGGGGGGCAGCTGCGCGGGAGCGGACACGTTCCAGCCGAGCCGGGAGCGATGGACACTGGTTGAGTTGCGGGCGTTGATCGTGCCGCTCTGAGGGCTGGTCCCCACAAGCGAAGCTGCCAGCGAGGCGTGCTGCCGGTGCTTGTGCTTGTGGTGGTGCTTGTGGGGGTGGGAGTGGTTGGACGCTGGTGTCGTCGTGTCGTGCTGTGTGGTGGTGAGGATGCGCAGCGAGGAGTCGGGTACGCAGTAATCCCAGGGCACACCGCGGGTGGGGCCGGGGTTGTCGTGGGCTAGGAAGTAGCCAGCCCACCTGGGGTCGGGTGCAGGGGGAGGGGGCCAGCACGCGACACGCAGGTGCTTAGGTAGGATTGTGTGAGAAGGGGCCACCACCCCTGCAGCCCTGCTCCCAACGGAACTGCATGCATGCACCCTATGCATAACCGGTAATGCTGCCCCCCCCCCTTGCCCCCACCTCTGAGTCATGGGCGCCGTGAGCAGCTCCAGCAGCCTGGGCTCCTCCCCCTGCCGCAGCTTGTTGATGGTGCGGTGCAGGAAGGCGGGACGAACCAGACCACGCAGGGGGACCAGGTCAGCGAGAGACGCACCAGCGGGGCGGACGGCACGAGGAGCAGGAGCAGAAGGGAGACGTCCTGGCCCATCCGCTTCCTCCTCCTCGTTGTTGTTGTTAGCCACATCACTGCTGCTGTTCGCGTGTACTCCTGCTGCTTTCAATCTTTTTTTGGTTATGGTCTTGGATGGTGTTGTAGTACTGCCGTGAACGTACGGCTCATCTTCCAGGTTTTGTACGAAGCCTCCCAGCAGCCACCCCGGCCCATGCTCCCCGGTTGCCTTGGTGAGCAGTTTGTCGGGTGACCAGTACATGAAGGCGCCTTTGGAGCGGCATTCATGAAGCAGGTGGCGGGGTTGGAGCTGACGAGGGCGAGGGAGTTACGACACTAGCAGTCAGAGGGCGGATGGGTGGAAGGAAGGACGGCATGGGAAGCGTGCGTGTATGTGCGGAGGCTGCCTAGACCTTTCAGTCGCCTTGCTTGTTGCCGCAATTATCGATTAACCCTTCATCTCCCGCGACCCCTTCCTCGCACCTGGCGGCACCGCCACCTGTCCGAAGCAGTGCGCCTTCCCGACCGCTGCGAATGCCAGCCAGAACGAGTCCTTGTCTCCCCACAGCAGCGGCTTGTTGGCGTCCGGGTGGCGGTTGAGCAGCAGCAGCGCCTCCAGCACGTCCAGGTGCCGGGAGCGGTCCAGCAGCAGCTGGCCGCTCTCACTGTCGCGACGACCCGCACCGCGACCCAGGCGGAGAACGGACTGCGGGGGTGGGTAAAGGAGCAGCGAAGGAGGGGGGCCATGCCTGACATCAATGCGCCCGCCTCTGTCGCATACAAGATGCATGCAGGGGACACAGCCTGGCAATCCCATGGCCCGAGACTTGTATGAACGTAGGTCCCCTAGTTGATCCCTGACCTCATGACTTCATGAGTCGACGTGCCCACCCGATGCTGCCAGCCTTCCCTACCTCCGCACGGTCTCCATTCATGCCGTAC